CAAGGGAATAGACTTTGCGCTGACGGAGTGCCTCTAACTCCTCGCGGCAAGCATTCATCCATTCCTTTTGTTGCGCGGGTGGCAACTTCAAGATGTCTTTGAACGTCCAGTCGCGTATCTTGGACGTGTCAGGAAGAGCGTCATCATTAACCGGAACCGCTTTGGAAAGCAACTCAGTGATGAGCTCTACTCCCCCTTCCCGGCATAGCTTTGCCATGCGGGCTTCGTCCTCATCCAGATGCTCTCGAGCGTCTGCGCGCGAAGATGGCTGCAAGCTAGGGCCAGGAACCCTTTTCTCAGCATCAGAGGTGGCTTTTGAGCGTGAGCTACGCGGTTCGTCATCGCCAACCATGTTTCTCCATTTTGACTCGCTCGAGACATCGTGTTCAATCTCCGCTGGAGCACGATCTCCATAGATGCTATCAGGACTAGAAACCTGGGTCCACTGTCTCGTAGACTTCCGAGTAGGTTCAGGAGGTGGACCTGCTTTCTTACGCCCTTTGCCACGCTTAGGAGCGGGCGGAGCTGCCTCTGGAGTCTGATCCCGGCGATCAAGCGGCGGGTCCTGACGATTCTGATCGTCATCATCATCATCAGGTCCTCTTTGAGGAGGGAAAGGTGGAGCCGGAGCAGCGGGACGCGGAGGTGGAAAATCCTCATCATCGTCGCCTGGCATGTCTCCTGATTCCTGTGGTGGATCTTGTGGATCCGCTGGATCATCATCACGAAGTGGGAAATCTTCCCCAACTGGTACGTGTTGACGACGAGTGCTGTCAGGACAGCGGGGGAACAGTGCTTCATCAAACGTGGCCTGAGTGCCAACAAAGAGAGCACCGTTTGCGCGCATAATCAAAAAGCCTTTCACCCCATTGGACATGCCCAGGTACGTCATCAGCTCCGCTTTGGGCGATAACTTATTCTGGCGTTTCTCCTCGGGGATAAAGACGTATGCGCCGCAACCAAAGACCTGGAGATGAGAAATATCCGGTTTGTCCTTGTAGAGAGCTTCGTGCGGAGTCTTCCACTTTAAACGCCGGATAGGCGTCCAGTTGTAGACCCGAGTCGCATGTAAAATCGCGAACTCCCAGAACGAATTAGGCAGGCATGCGGTAAAACACATAGACTCGGCCTTGTCCATAATCGTCCGGTTGAAGCGTTCGGCACGACCGTTCTGCTGATGAGCATAGGGTGCGCCTTTCTCCACGAGGATCCCATTCTCCTCAAGAAATTCCTCCATACCCATTCCCTAAAACTCTCCCCCATTATTGATGTGCCACTTTTTAATCGTGGTCTCGAACTGGTTTTTGACCATAGCAATAAAATTGCGCATGGCCTGTTTGGCGTCGGACTTCTGCTTGAGGCATACTGTCCAGCCATAGGAGAGCGCTTCATCGAAGAAGCTCATGAAGTAACGATACTTGTGATAAGATATCGTCGGGAATTGTTTGAGATCCGAGTGGATTAACTCAAACGGTTTCGTCGCGCGATGCTCCAAAGATGGAAAAGAGCGAGCGTGCATCTTCCCTTCAGCACATCCTCTGCACGGACGAGGGTCGGCAGGAAACTCAAGGTCTTGGGGAAAGCCCTTGGTGTGGTTGCGCGCCTGACGTAGAACGTCTTTTGACGGGTGCGCAAATCGCCGGTGCATCGTGTCGTAGTCCGTCCACCTTATAGATGAGGCTGACATTCTGCAACGTTTTGGTGACAGAAGGTCTGCACCATAACCAGTAAATCGTGGATAAAGGGTGGAGCGGTGTAAACTCCATGATCGAAAGAGGAGAGTTCCTTCGATGCAAGCTGATGCAAGCAGCGTTTCCGCGCATTTGCAATCCACTCTGTTTCAATAGAGTGCCCAAGGAAAGAAGACGACCGTGTAATCCAGGTACATGATAGACCGGATAAATTTGGGAAGTCATTACTTTCCTTTCTCCATGCCGTGTGACGTAGTGATCCACAAATGCTGTCCCGCGACCAACTACGCGTAAAGACGCACTAGCCGATGCTGTCTGCAGGGGTTCAGAATCCTCAATCGGTTCATACTCAGCAAGATCACTCTCATCCGCAGTCACATGCAGTGAGGCGCCAGAATCGGACATCCACAAAGGTGGGAAGTCACCAAAATTCTCAGCGGATTTCCCCTTACATCTCGGGCACGCAGCAATATTGGAGTGCACACAAAATTTATTCGTACAAAATTCATGAGATCCAGTCATCAACGAATGTAGTACGGTCCCCGCTGCGACAGTAATTACGCGCTGAGGTGTGGCACTGTGAGATTTGCGCAGTGGTCCAGAAGAGAAGGGTACTTGCCTTTCGGCAGTCTTGGCAGTCGCCGCGTCGACGGACTCCAGCATGAAGCTGTTGACGCTGTCCACGATCGACTTCATCAGGGCTTCGTCAGAGATCCCCTCGCCCTGTGCCTGGAGGAGATCGTCGGCGGAGTTGATGGGACTGGCGCTCCAGTCGAGATCAATGGTATTGCCGCCAGACGATCCGAAGAAGAGGTGACTCTCTCCGTCAAACAGCTGACTTTCATCGTTCTGCTGCGTGGAGGCCATCTCGACGTCGGTGATCGAGTCGATCTTGGCACGCTTCGCCGGAGGAGCGAGATCTTTGAGCTGAAGATTCGAGCCAGAAGCCTTGGGAGTGGGGGAACCCATCTCCTCGTCCTTGTCGTTGACGCGGGGGATGCCGCGGTCGTTGACGATCTTGTCGAGGCAACGGAACACCTGGGGCGTCACCGTGATGTCCAACTCCTTCCCAAAGTCGAAGACAGCTCGGGCGCTCTTGGAGTGTTTGTTGTCAGCGACAGCCTCCTCGTTCTTGACGGGGGGCTTCTCAGTCACGGTGCGGACAGAAGTACCGTCCTTTGTGATGAGCGTGACGTGGGACGTCTTGGTGGCAGGCACCGACGGTGTGAGAGGAGCGGGAGCGTGCAGTGAAGAGATCATCCCAGCCATCTCCGAGACGCCATGAGCGTGAGCGTTGCCGCCCTTGCCCTTGCCAGAGTTCTTACCAGCGCGATTGCCGCGATTCTTCTTCTTCTTCTTCTTCTCAGTGTTGTCGCCCTGCTTGGGCGCAGAGCTTCCGCCCTGTTGCTGATTAGAGTACTTCGGATCATCGCGCTTGCGCTTGGTGTTGAACTTCTGAGCAGTGGCGCTCGTGCTCATCCCCTGCTGCAAGTAGTGCGCTAGAAGCGCATCGCGAACAGTAGAGACCTTGAGCGTAGTCTTCGAGTGAGACTGAAGGAGATTCGTCGTCACGGGCTTGACCCGCGCAATCGCAAGCAAGATCATGGCCTGCAAGAACTCGGTGTTACGTGCAACGTGCACGCAACACCCATTCCAGCGCACCATTCCAGATTCCACATTTTCCGGTTCGTTTCCGAGTTTCCTACATACTACACGGATTCCGCTTCGTTCCGCTTTTCCGAGTTTCCGGTGCGCTTCACGTCCTTACGATATTCCGCTTACGATTCCCGCTTCCTTCCCGCTCCTTCGTTACGACTCTTATGTCACTAACCCTTTCCTGCCCTGCACTTACGGTTCGCTTCCGCGTTTCCATGTGCTTTCCTAGTTTCCGCTTATTCCGGATTCCCGCACCTTCCTTATCTAGTAATTCCGGACTTTCCTTATTCCACTGTCTACATAGTATATAAGCCAGTAGCTTAGTTCCTAGTAGACAGGCTCAATATCAACCAGGATAAACCCCCTGTTGAGTTCTGAGACCCATCCTCTTCTTTCCTCAGCCGACCCTGCACCTTTCCTTGACTCCTTTCCTGACTCCTTCTGCCTTTTATCTGTTTCCAGTCCTTTCCTGTCCTTCCCCCCCTTTCCTGCGATGTTCTGGGCGTGCATGAACAGCTAATCCGATCAGGGGTAAAGGGGATCGATCTCGGGCTTAGCAGCGCAGGTTGCACGGTCCTAACACTCGGGAATGGCAACATTCTCGTTCTTCAGACGTGTGAACTGCTGAAGGATGACGTTCAGCTGCGGATCTGGGTGCTGACGCTTGTCGAACTTGGCGTTCAGAGTGGTCTGCAGGTACCCAAAAATGTCGGCCAGCTGCGCTGAGCCATACGTCTTATTCAGGTACTCCCAGAGCTTCTTAGCAGTCACCATGTCCTCATCAGGGACATTGTTGATGAGACGCTCGTCAACGCGCATGATGATAGCACCACGCGCTTTGCGATCGTCACTATCAAGCTGCTTGAGCTCCTCCTCGTTGCCCTTCACTTCCTTAGTGGTAGTGATTGGACTCGACTTCTCCTCAGTCAGGACATTGTCAATGCCCTGGAACTGGAGGTAGGCCTTCATCTTCTTGGCGAAGGACTTGAAGTCCTTGCCGCTGAAGATGGGCATGGTGGAGGTGAGGGTGTTAGACATTGTGATCTGGAAAGATCGTCAGCATCGTTTCGCATGTCATCATAGAGGCAGCATGTCCGTAAGGACTGCACCGATGAGCAAAAGAGCGATGCGCCCTGAAGGGCCAGCATCTCCGCTAGAGATGGGCACCTTGATCAAGCGCGATCAGCAGTGATCATGAAAGATCAACAGCGATCAGCGCAATCCGGCATGGTTTCGCCAGCGCTTGAAGCAGCTAGTGGCGAACAGGCAAGCGAGCAAGGCGCTGCTCATCATCGCAGCCAGCAAGGGCGCAGATGACATGAGTTGCAGCCACTGAGGCGCTACTCATTGTGCCGCTGCCACTGGGGCGCTGAACACAGCTCACCGGGGCTCATAACCTGTTGAGCATGCTGGGAAGCGCGCCTATACTGCTTACCTGGTGGTAAGGAGCTTGGTATGAGGCAAGCGCAGAGGTAGGTAAAGACCTGTTATTCTGGGGGCAGAGAGGCCCTCCTTATATATGTACAGGACGGTAAGTAGCATGTGATAAAGCAATGGACATGTAAACAATAAACATATGATGTCATTGCATGTGTCCATGTGTGTCCATGTGTCCGTCATGTGATACGTGAGTCATAACATGTGACAGGCCGAATGTCCAACAGGTCTCTCTCCGCACGCAAGATGCCGGCCAACCCTTGGAAGGCAGGCAAGAACTTTATGGTCGAGGTGAACAAACTCAACAACGACGGCAACCAGGTCTACCTGTCGATGGGTAAATACATGAAGGAGAAGCGGCACATGGAAGACGGCTGGTTCATCAACTCCGATGGCGCCCACATCACGCAGTCCCTGTACTATGCTGATCCTGCCACTCCGTCGGGCAAGGGGCAGTTCAAGGGCATGAAGCAGCTGCTTCGGGAGCGCGGGATCAACGTGGAGGGGAAGCTTGCCGAGTGCAAGAACTTCAAGTGCGCAGAGGGCGCGACAATGTGCTGCTGCCGCCGCTTGCTGTACTTGCAGCCGGATTTCACGTCGGTGAAGTCCCTTCTCGAAATCACGTGTGAGGCGCAGGGAGTCGAGGTCTTATTCCCCCCTAAGTTCCACTGTGAGCTCAATCCTATCGAGATGTGCTGGGGTTATGCAAAGGGGGTGTACCAGCTCAATCCCGAGTCCTCGCGGGAGGACGCACTTGGGAAGAATGCACTCGCGGCATTGGATGCCGTACCTCTCGAGAGCATCCGCAGGTAAGCTGCAGCCTGTTCCTCACCATCTCGACGATCTAGATCTAACACGGCCATCAGATACACCATGCGCACTTGCCGCTTCGCCAGCGCTTATGCCGTTTTCGGGCTGAATGGGAAGCAGGCTGCTTGGGCAGCCAAAAAGTACCGGGGACATCGCTGTATACCCCCCTCCATACTTGCTGAGCTTGACAAGGTGTAGCTCTATCTACCTACACACTATTTTGGAACTTCTGGGACTACTGATATTATTGTACTTTCTTGATCTGTGTATCTGTATCAGCGCATTTTTGACAAGGATTTGAAGTCCACAAATATCCATAGGATATCTCTTGTATCATACATATGTATCCTAGGATGAACTTTTGAGATACGGTACAAACGTCGCCATGGAAGCAATGAAAGAGGCGGCGGCAAGGCACGTGTTCCCAAAATGGACAAGGTGTCACAAGTGACTTGATGGCGCGTGACCTGCTGCGGTTGTGTATGGCTCCTACCTTACGCGAGTTAAGCAGAACATTAGTGTATCATCAAGTGGCGGGGCGTGTACATGCACCCACGGTCCCCTTCCGTTCACGCCTGGTGGGTCAGCATCATCCGGCGCTTTTTGTTGTCTTGGTGATGTGGTCGTCGTGGCAAGTGGCTTTCACGAGCTAAATAAGCGCAGAGAGCGCAAGACCTCAGTCTTCCTGCGTATAGGATAGCGACTGAATTCATACCTAAATAAGCGCAGAGAGCGCAAGACTAAAATACAGTCAGTATAAGTAAGAGTAAAGTAAGTAAAAGATATACCCTCAGTCTTCCTGCGTATAGGATAGCGACTGAGGGAAAAGAAGGAAAGAATACACGCGTATGTACGGGGCCACCGGGGCAAAGCGTGGGGAAAAGTCATGTGATCATGTGACACCAACTCTGGGAATGTGACACAGTGATTCCTGGAGTTGGGAGCGGTCATGTGACTCCGGGTGAAGGCAGACTCGCCCTACCGACCACTTTTGACAGTGGCTTGAGCAGATACTCGAGGTAAAGGAAAAGAAATGGAGCGGGGGAGGGGTGTCTAGAGGCGGAGGGGGCGACGAGGAGGGTGGGGAGGTGGTGGTGGAAGACAAGCAACGCATTGCCGGATGCGTTGGATGAACGGGCCAGATGCTCGGCCCAAGAACCGAAGCACCTTGGAAGTCTCCAAAGCGCCATATCTTTGCATTCCAGTGCTTTCAGACAATGAAGTTCACAGAGTGTATGTGTAGACCACATAGAAGCTGTCCTAAATATTTCTATGAAAAAGTCACATGTTCTGCAAGAGCGGTGAAGAGAACAAGTGCCATCAAGTATTGAGTCTGTGCAAAGGGCCTCTCATCATTTTAGCACATGGGGAAGCTCCTTCCACTGTGCCTCCACAAAGAGGCCTTATCCTCTGATACTTGGTATGATCATTCTATACAGCTCTACATGTACAGCCAAGTTTTCCACAAGCAAAATGAAGAGAATTAAGCTGAGAAATTGAGGCTCAGAAGACGCTCAGAGATTGAAGTCCGGCAAGCCCGCCTAGCGAGCCGTGCAGCTTAGTCAGCACACCGCCACCGCTTTGACCGGCTCAGTTGGTACTCGGTCAACGGCCATTGCGCTGGCACACTGCGACGCGTACAAGGCCTCTAGTGCCTCGGAATCTACGCCGCTAGGTCTCTATAGTGTACACATTGCTCAAATCTATTTTTTTTGCTGCTTACCGAAGCTGTAAACCAATATCTAACTGTGTGCATCCAGGACGTGCGCGAAACCTTCAAGTTCCAATGTCCCTGCACCTCGTGCTGCAATCAGGGCTCTCGAAGGGCTATGAGCGGTAGGTAGTGGTAGTAGGAGAGATAATGTAAAGATATAACTGAGTGATGGGCATCAGATATCATCTACTTCAGACTCGTACAGTAGATCAATCTCCTCGCCCTCTTCCTCTCGCACGCTGTGGTCCACAACCTCTGTAGAAGCTATCGAAATGCTCGGCATGTCTTGCAGAACCGCTTTGGGTCCTACTATAAGTGTGTGCCCCTTTCCTTTGGGAATCGTGCGCTCGGATTCCGGTACTACACCGCCTGGGAAGAGTGCGAGAAGCTTGCGAAGCTCCACGACTTTGTCGACGTTCTTCGAGATCTTCGTGTTGGGCTCGACCTTTGCCAGAAGTCGATGGCGCCAGTAGTTCAGCTGATCAATGAGTGCATCTTTCCGCACCCTGACAAGCTTCTCCGCATCCGTGATGAGGACGGTGTTATCGAGCTTGATCTGCCGTTCCACCGCCTTCGCATTCGACTGCTCCTCAGATGCCTGATGCCGTCGGGCCTCCTCTTCGTCATGGGCGACCTGCGCATTCTGGAGCTGCCTCTGGGGCCGCGATGCCTGCAAGAGGCGGGTCTCACCACGTACGAACTTGTGATCCTCGGCAATGAAGTCCTGGTTGACGAACCGCTGCGTGTTGTTGCGCCGGAACGTATCCTTTGCCTCGAATTGGTGAAGTGTCTGGTTGGGGCGTGCGGTCGCGTTGACTCGGACACCTCCGAGCGCACTCTTGTTCGCGTCGTTAGTCGCAGGCATCCAAAACTCGTCCTGTTCCTCTGTCGTGAGCTGGCTGATATCGCCACCAGGGTCAAATTCCGCTGTGAACCGCTCCCACGTCTCGAGTGCACCCCTCAAAAACTCCACAAACAGGACCTCCAGGTGAGGCATGGCGTCACGGAGTGATGCTATAGCCTCAAAGACACCGGCCCTCTCCCATTCCTTGCCATCGAAGGTCGCGGTTGCGTGCGTTGCGTTGTCTCCGAGCACGATGTTTGGATTGTTGATCAACTTCTCGATGAAGTTTCTCAAGCAGACGTGAAGCGGACCGAGCGTCAATGCATTCAGACTGGTCATGCCTGGTCCCCGGATCTGGCGCACGTAGGGGCTCGAGACACAGAGGCCATAAAGAGCGAGTACAGCCATCTTGGTGAGGGTTGTATCGCAGTGCAGAGCTCGGAAGAAGTTCTTCTCGATGTTGGTAAAGCTCGGCTTCTCTTTCTTGTAATAGACTCCCCTTTGCATGAAGCTCCTGTATAGGTCCAGATGAAGGAGGATCTCGCACGACGCGGCACAGTGCGACTGGAAGCGTGTGTTGCTGACGTCTGGGAAGCGACGTGCAGCCACCGCAGGCCCTAGCTCCCTGTCGAAGTACCAGACATAGCGGTCATGCTGACCCTTTTTGCTGTCCTTGTTATTGCAGATCATGCCGGCGAGAGTCGTCGCCTTCACCGCCCCACAGCCAGAGATGGAGAGCGCACGCAGCTCCGCCGGGGTCAGCTGCTCGCCGTCCTTGACGCCCGCGAGAACCGCAGCATTATCTTTGTTCACAAGAAGAACTGGCGGCACGATCTCGGGATGACCCGAGTAATAGGCGCGCATGCGAGTGTCGCCGCCCTTGACACTGTTCAGCTCCTTGTGCATGCAGCAGCCAGAGAACAGGAACAGCGACAGCTTCTTCTTCTCGCCACCATCCAGCCCCTCGTACACTTGCTCTCCAACCTCCTCCGCTGCGCTACGCATGAACACGCTCTCCTTCTCTGCGCGAACGGCATCGCTGAGGGCTTCCCACGCATCCTGGCCTCCGACGTCAAGAAGCATTGCCCGCGCATGCGGGATGATAATGCAGAACGCGCTCTCCGGGCTCATCTGCCGAAGCTTGTCGTAGCCGAGCAACACCTTCGTCATCTCCAGCTTCCACGCGAGGAGGAGCTTGTTATCCTTCTTCACGTCGTTGGCGTGGTCGCCGTTTGTGCCGCGTAGACAGGTAGCAAAAGCCGTGAGGCTCATCTCGAGGCCCTTGCGTTTGGCAAACGGTGAGCGGTTGAAGATATCGCAGATCTGTTGTAGCTTCTTCAACAGGCCGCGGACTTGTTCCTCGCTGGAGTGGTTGAGGAATGCGTCGACGCCAAGGCTTCGGAGGACGTGCGTGTCCGACAGGGCCCCCGTGGATGTCACGGGCTTCAGGGATATGAAGCGCGAGTCGTACTCTTGCCGTCGATGAGACGTTGAGTCTCCGCTAGCGGTAAGGTCTGAATGAATATTGGTAAGTCCTCTCAAGCACGCATACTACATGTACTCACTCTTGTTTCTCATGATTTCGTAGCCAAGCTGAATCTTCGCGGCAATTCCGCCCTCCGCTATGCTGCGCGCAACAGTGCGTGCACTCATCCTCGGGATCGTGTTCAGGCGCCGAATGCCCACCAGCCATCCTAGCTCCTGAATTACGCCCCCGACCGCATGCTCGGCACAGCCAGCAAGGACGAGCTTCAGTGCGATCGCGCGAGCCACAGGGGTGAAGATTCCCTTGTCCCTGATGCGCTTTTGGAAGTCGGCAGTGAGTACGGAGTCCCTCAGATAGTAGGCGCGTTGTGACCGGGCGCTTCCGCTCCTCCGAAGGACTTGCATAGACAGCGCACGGTTGGACTTCTTCACGTCGAACAGCTCCTTCAGCCGTGCCGCCAAGTTATCGTCCTGCTCCTGAAGGATGCGCTGCACGCGCGCGTTCTCCGTTTGCTCCGCTGTGAGTCCTTCCCGTGTCTTTTGAAGCTCCCACCACATCTCTCTGTTTGCCCGTGATGCATCGCGTATCTCGCCTGCATGCCGTCTTTCTCCCTCAGCTACAGCCTCCTCCAGTGCGCTGACCTTCCCTTCCAGCCTCTCAACCTTATCCTCACTCGCGTAAAGCTTTCGGCGTGTCCTGCGTGCAACATGCTCCCAGTCCTCGAGGTCATACTTCTTGCGCTTGCGAGTGGAAGGTGCGACATTGTTTGTGTTCTCTATGGCCTTCTGCTGAGCTGAAGTGTGAAGTGCAGGCCTCGATCTGGCAGAGGGGGATGTAGCGCGAGTCGTGCTGGCCGACGGAGTATGGAGGGACGGGGTTGGGGCGATGTTTTCGCCTTCTTGTCGCTCAGCGCGTGCTTGGGCCAATGCTTCGAGTTGAGCTGTGCTCCTCTTCTTCTTCCGTCGTGTAGGCTTACTTCCTGCAGCCATAGTGGTTCAAGGAGGGTGTTGTTGGTATTAGAGCATTGTTCTAGTGTACAGCACCGTGCTGGTATGGGTAGCGAGCAACAGGGGCGCGGCACAGCACAGACCGGAACAGCGAGCCAAAAATTGCACGTGATGCAGCGCCAGAAAATGCACAGAATTGTGCTGCACATTTTCGACGCGACGGCAAACCGCTTCACGCGTTCTGATCGCTAAAAAGCGTGTCAGCACTTCTTGCCTACAGAACGTACAAAACAGATAAGCCTTTCTGTCTTCAACTTGTTGAGCATGCTGGGAAGCGCACCACTCAGCTTACCTGAATATAAGAGAGCTTAGCTAGAGGCTATGCGCAGAGTAGGTAAAGACCTAATATTACAGGGGCAGAGGAGCCCTCCTTATATACTACAGGAGAGGCGACGATGTCATACGTAGTAATAGAGAATGAGTCAAGAGGACAGAACACGCTGAGTAAAGCGTACATGTGACAAGTCCAACCTATGTGTCCATATGTGTCCATCTGAGTCATATGATACTCGCGTGTAAGTGCATGTGATGCACACGTGACATGTCGTGACAAGGCCGAATGTTCAACACTCCCCCTCGCTAAGTGCGCGCCAGCGCATGCAAGCGCCCATTCTTCATCGGCCATCTAGGACGAGTAGAACTCAAGTCCCAGTTGCGATCTGAACTTCAAGAACAGAGTGCGCCCTAAGTTCTTGGTGAACAAATCCGCAGGGTTGTCAGAGCCGTCTATAAAGAACAACTCGACCTCCTTCTCCTCGACCAGCTCACGGATGTAGTGGTAACGGATGTCGATGTGTTTCATCCGGCGGTCTCGGTAGGCGTTAGAGCCCGTGAAGATGGAGCCCTGGTTATCACCGCAGATGGGGACAGGAACAGTGATTTTGCGTCTGAGTTCTCCTAAGAGACTCTTCAGCCACATCACTTGGCGGCTACAGTCGGAGAGCGCCATGTATTCTGCTTCTGTCGACGAGGCTGCGACTGTGCGCTGCAAACGTGACTGCCAGCAGATGTTCCCGTTGGCCAACTTCATGAAGAAGCCGGTGGTCGATCGCCTCTTGATTGGATCGGAGGCCCAATCCGAATCAGTGTACGCAATCAGTCCGCCATTGGATTCGCCATCAAAGACAAGTGCGTAATCCCTGGTACCAGCCAAATAGCGGCAGATATACAGCGCTTTATGGAGGTGATCCTGAGACGGGTTGGCGGCGAACTGTGACAACTTGGTCACTGCGAACGCAATGTCGGAGCGTGTGCCCAACATGATGAAGAGAAGCGATCCAATGACCGACTGGAATTTCTGACGGAGTGCGGGATCGACTTCATCCTCATTTGGCATCGGAACGTAGCCGGCCCGTAGAGGTGTCGCTGCGAACTTGCAGTTCTGCATCCCAAAGCGTTGCAGCACCTTATCGAGGTACGGAATCTGATCGAGCTTGATCTTAGATCCGTCTCGTGTGATGCGCATGCGCAGGAACTCCTCAGTGATTTCCTGATTGCGGCATTCCCATCGCTTGTTGAACTCAGCCTTGAGAAAGGCAATGAGCTTCTTGTCCTTCGAGAAGAACATCGCATCATCTACGTAGACGATGATCACACAGAAGTGACCGTTCGAGTCCTCGTAGAAGAAGACACCGGCATCCGATGTGAGTCGGACCCAGCCCATGGCTTTCGTGGACTTTGTCAGCGCTTTCCACCATGCGAGAGCAGCTTGCTTCAGTCCGTAGATCGCCTTGTGCAGGAGCATGACTTTGCCCTGCTTCCCTTTGGCAATAAAGCCTTCGGGTTGTTCCATGTAGATCTCTTCGTCTAGATCGCCGTATAGAAAGGCTTTCCTGACGTCAAGACCTGACATATGCCAGCCTTCAAGCGCGGCAAGCGCGATGACCAGTCGGAACGTCTCGTACCTGACAACAGGCGAGAAGATTTCGTCATAGTCGATGCCCTCGACTTGACTGAACCCCTTGGCTACAAGCCGGGCTCGTTTGCGGCCATCAGATTTCTGATCAAAGACCCAGCGGCATTTGATGACCTTTCGTCCTTTCGGACGGTCCACAAGGGAGTAAACCTTGCGCTGACGGAGCGCCTCAAGCTCCTCGCGGCAAGCGTCAAACCACTCCTTCTGTAGCGCCTTCGGCAGCTTGTAAATATCGCGAAATGTCCAATTGCGAATATTGGACGTGTCTGGGACGGTCTCATTCGGAATTGCCTTTGAAAGCAGCTCCGTGATGAGTCCTACTCCCCCTTCCCGGCATAGCTTTTGTATGCGAGCTTCGTCGTCGTCTAGATGCTCAGGAGCGTCTGCGCGCGAAGATGGCTGCGAGCTAGGGTCGGGAACCCCTTTCTCAGCACCGGATGTGGCTTTCGAACGCGAGCTACGCGGTTCATCATCGCCAACCATCTCTCTCCACTTCGTCTCGCTCGAGACATCGCGTTCAATTTCCGCTGGAGCGCGATCTCCATAGACATTATTCGGACGTGCAAGCTTCGACCGCAATCGCGTAGACTTCCGAGTAGGTTCAGGAGGTGGTCCTGGTTGCTTACGCCCTCTGCCTCGCTTAGGAGCGGGCGGGGCTGCCTCTGGAGTCTTATCCCGGCGATCAGGCGGCGGGTCCTGATGATTTTGATCGTCATCATCATCATCATTTCCTCTTGGGGGTAGAGGAGGAGCCGGAGGTGCTGATGGGGACGGAGCATCGTCATCATCATCTGCAAACTCTCCTGGTCCCTGCAGATCTTGTGGATCCGCTGGATCATCGTCACGCTGTGGTTCATCACCAACAGGGACATGTTGACGACGATTCGAATCGCTGTCAGGGCAGCGGGGGAACACTTCTTCATCAAACATCGCCTGAGTGGCAACGAAGAGAGATGTGTTAGAGCGCATGAACAAATATCCCTTCACACCATCGGGAATACCCAGGTACGTCATCAGCTCCGATTTGGGCGATAACTTGTTCTGGCGTTTCTCCTCGGGGATAAAGACATAAGCAGCGCAACCAAAGACCCAGAGATGTGAAATATCCGGTTTCTCCTTGTGGAGTGCTTCGTACGGAGTTTTCCACTTCAAACGCCGGATAGGCGTCCAATTGTAGATCCGTGTCGCGAGTGCAATCGCGAACTCCCAGAACGAGTTAGGTAGACATGCCGTGAAGCGCATGGCTTCGGCCTTGTCCATAATCGTCCGGTTGAAGCGTTCGGCGCGACCGTTCTGCTGATGAGCGTAAGGTGCGCCTTTCTCCACCAGAATCCCGTTCTCCGCAAGGAATTCCTCCATTCCCATGCCTTTAAACTCTCCCCCATTATCGATATGCCACTTTTTAATCGTAGCACCGAACTGGTTTTTGACCATCGCAATAAAGTTGCGCGTAGCCTGCTTGGCGTCGGACTTCTGCGATATGCATACCGTCCAGCCAAAGGAGAGTGCCTCATCAAAGAAGCCAATAAAGTAACGATACTTGTGATAAGATATCGTCGGGAATTCTTTGAGATCCGAATGGATAACATCAAAGGGATTTTTCGCACGATGCTCGGAAGGCGGGAAGGCACGTTGGTGCATTTTCCCTTGCGCGCAACCTTTGCAGGGGCGAGTTTCCTCGGGAAAAACAAGGTCTTGGGGAAAGCCCTTGGTGTGTTTCTTCGCCTGACGTAGAACGTCTTTCGACGGATGTGCGAATCGCCGGTGCATGATGTCATAGTCGACCTTGTATACGGTAGACACAGACTGCACAGTCTTCGCCGTAGAAGGCGTCGACCAAAGGAAGTACAGGGTATGCACTTCGTTGAGCTTGTAAAACTCAAGTACCGAAAGAGGAGAGTTCTTCCGATGTAGGCTGATCATCGTGCTGTTTCCACGCACAGATAATCCTCCTTGAAGTAAGGAGCCCAAGGAAAGTAGACGACCATGCAATCCAGGCACGTGGTACACTGGATATAGCTGCGAAGTCGTGACAACTTTCCTCCCATGCCTCGTGACGCAGTGATCAACAAAGGCTGTCCCGCGACCAACCAATGCAAGCGTAGTGTCTTTGGATGCGGTCTGCGCGACAATTGGCTCAGAGAGTTTCTCATAGCCAGCCAGATCACTCTCTTCCGACGTCACGTGGAGAGATGCACCAGAGTCGACAAGCCAAGAAGGCGGGAAACCCAATTCGTCTCCGTGAAGCGGTGCTTTTCCCTTACACTTAGGACACGCAGCAATGTCGTTGCAGGCACAAAATATATTCGTACAAAAATGATGCGAACCAGTCAGCATACAATATAGTACAGAATCGCGCGATAAGATCAAGCGCTGTGTGCCGCAATCAGTATTGCGCAGAAGATCCTCGTGAGAGGGTACTTGCCTGTCGGCGCCAGTGAGACCGGCAGCCTGGGCGATGGCGTCATCGACGTTGACCTCGACATCCCCGAACATATTCTCCTCGCGCAGGTACTCCTCCAGAGGAGAGAGATCCCAGCTGATCTGCTCATCGATCGTCCCGTCGAAGAGGAACGAGTTGAGCCCGTGATCGTCGACGCGAGCACGCTTGACGGGCGGCTCGTCATCGATCTGCATCTTCGAAGAAGACGCGCGCGGAGTGGGGAAATCGTCGGTACAGTCCATGTTGACGGGGAAACCGCCAACGTTGACGACGGAGTCGATCTCGCGATAGATCTGAGGAGTGACCTGAAGGTCGAGCTCCTTGGCGGTGGCGAAGACGTTCTTCGCACCTTCCGCGATGGGGGTGTCGGCGATCGCCTTATCGGCGGCGACAGCTGGCTTCTCAACCACCTGACGGACCTTAGTCCCGGCGGGAGTGATGAGGGCGACGTGAGACGTCTTGACGTTCTCGACAGATGGAGTGAGCGCCGAGATGCGAGCGGATCCGACGACCTCAGAGATCGTGGCATGCGCATGCGCGTGCTCAGGCTGCTTCCCTTTCCCCTTGTCCTTCTTGTTCTTCCCGCCACGCTGGCCGCGTTTGTCCTTCTTCTTCTTCTCAGCCTTATCGCCACCATTGGGCACAGAGTTTCCACTCTGTTGCTGATTAGAGTACTTCGGATCATCGCGCTTGCGCTTGACGTTCGAGAACTTCTGGACGTGAGAGCCAGACATCGTCTGCTTGTGAGAGTAGTGCGTAAGAAGCGCCTCTCGAACCACAGCAACAGTGAGATCACTCTTGTCGTATCGCTGAAGGATAGACTCGGTGATGGACTGTATACCAGCGACATGCAAGAGAATCATCGCCTTGAGTAACTCAGGGATGACGATCTCGTCGGCAGCGAGCCGTGCAAACGCGTTGGTGACGACGTTGATCTGGGGATCAGGATGCTGACCGCTATTGAACTTGGCGTTCAACGCCGTCTGGAAGAACCCGAAGAGGTCGGCAATCTGAGTGCTGCCATACTCCTCCTGGAGATATTCAACCAGCGACTTCGCAGTCTCCATCTTGTCCGCCGGGATGCTGCTCTTGACGTTAGGCGAGAGGCGCAATTTAATGCTGCCCCTGACCTTGACGTCGTCGCGCTTCCACGACGTGATTTCGTCTTGATTGACGACTGTGCCCGCGTCGTTCGTCCGAGGAGAAGGAACTTCTTCCTCAATGACGTAGGCGAGCCCTTGGGCTTCAAGCCACGACGACATGCCATCCACCCATTGGGTGAAGTTGTTCCCCTCGAAGAGGAACGTGGCCTGGTAGAGCGAGTTCGACATGATCTGAATAGATCGTCAGCATCGGATCGAACATCATAGTGGCGGCCAGGAACGGCGCCGATGAGCGAATCGAGCATGATGCCGATGGCCATCGTCTCCTTCAGAGACGGGTGCATCGGATCAAGCGTGTAAACGCGATCCGGCATGGTGTCACCTGCGCTTAGAGCGGCATGGTGACGGCAAGCAATGAGGGTGCTCGTCATTGCAGCCAGTGACGGCGCTAATGACTTGTGTCGCAGCCACAGAGGGCGCAGACACTGTGCCGCTGCCAGCAAGGGCGCAGGCACTGCTCACCGGGGCTCATAACCTGTTGAGCATGCTGGGAAGCGCACCACTCAGCTTACCTGAATATAAGAGAGCTTAGCTAGAGGCTATGCGCAGAGTAGGTAAAGACCTAATATTACAGGGGCAGAGGAGCCCTCCTTATATACTACAGGAGAGGCGACGATGTCATACGTAGTAATAGAGAATGAGTCAAGAGGACAGAACACGCTGAGTAAAGCGTACATGTGACAAGTCCAACCTATGTGTCCATATGTGTCCATCTGAGTCATATGATACTCGCGTGTAAGTGCATGTGATGCACACGTGACATGTCGTGACAAGGCCGAATGTTCAACACAACTCGATGGAAATGCACTTCAGCCCAGTCCCCCTTGCCGATAATCCAGAAACTTTCTTGTACGTTCTGTTACAGTACGTCATATGTATGCATTCCACCCTTGAAATGAATTTATTTTGATGATTCCTGGGTTATGGGAGCGAGCGCGCCCTCCCGGAGATAATATCGCTTGGAAAAGCAGCTCAGCACACGTGACCCTGCACGATCGCCCTGGCGGGCTTGCCGGACCTCACAGAGATAACTTTGATGAACAGCTTGGATGTCTGATGGTGTTGAATCCTGGCCGTGTAAGACGAGTCCTGGCAAGCAGGTCTCGTAACTTTAGTCTTGTGTGTCCTGTGGAGAACGGTAGGGAAATAGGAAACGCACGGTTTCGGAAGTGATCGCTTCGCCCCGATCGTTCGTCCCGTTCGTCCGGTTCATCCGGGCGGGCCGGTTTGTCTCACGGAACCAATTGACGCGCTCACGTCCCGCCCCTTCCCCCCTTTACTCTCTTTCCTCCTCCCCTCATCATCGTACACGACGTCAACAACGCGTCCGCTCATTAAATGCATGCTTTGAACACTCGCCGCTGCCTAGAATGGTGCAAGGATGCAATGCTTCTGCATGAATTCCATCGGTGCGTGGCAATACCTTGCTCGCTAGCTCATTCACGCTGATCCCCGCAGGGTCCCTGTCGACGCCCGCCTTCCCCCTCCCCCTCCCCCTCCCTTACCTCCCTCCCTGCCCTACTTTTTTCCTCCCACCTCGCACTCCTCTTCTCCCTCTCGTCACATCCCGCCGACTTGGCCATGGGCGAGGAGCGATTGAACACTCATCATCGGCGCTACCCCTATACAGCGCCCTGCTGAGGCCAGCCAGGGGTAGCCTCCGGCGGCTGGGGGAAACCTACGTTTTCCCCCAGACCCCCTTCCCTTGCGCTCCGCAACGATCATGTGGGAGACGTGCAGTGGGGGAAACCTACGGTCTCCCCCACACCCCCTTCCCTTTTGTCGATCTTTTAGTTACTTTGAAGTGGTGGAAACCTACGGTTTCCCCCACACCCCCTTCCCTTGTGCTACCGCGACGTTCATGTGCCTTCCCCACGCAAGCGCTCGCCACGCATCGACGACGCCCTGCTCGATCTTCCACTTCGCCTGCCTCGGTCGCGCGATGTGGCTCCGAAGATTGGATACGATGACCCGCGCTTGCGCGCAGTCATCGATCCAACTTCTCCGCCTCATCACTTGACCTTGGCAGTCGTGCGTGTCGATCGAGCATGACGACGTCGATGCTAGCTCGCGCCCTATCATGTACAGAGTATAGTAGTGAATAGCAATGAATGTTCTCCCAATAAACAAGTCGGAAACTACCCCATCTCGGCAGTGGTTTTTACCCAAACTGTGAACTCGCCGCTCAAGTACAAGGGTGCAGAGGCTGCCTCATTATCATTGTAAGTCTCCATGCTGCTCTCAGAGCACCGCATTCCAAACACCTTTCAAGTTCACTGCAGAGCTTCATATACACGTGGATAAGATACTTTACATGGGTGTACCTAGGGAGATGTCCGCCTCCGGACGTTCGACAAGGGCAAGCGATAGAAATATGAGAAGGAGGTGCTCAATACGCGGGTATGTACCCAGTAGACTGACAACGAAGCACGTAAAAAGGGCAGATTACGCTCGCTACGGACAGTATAGATGCATTACAGTGACATGAAGATATATATATACGTGAGGGAGGGAGGGAAGAAAGGGGCAAAAGCGCTCATTATGACCACCACGATATATAACCTGCACTTGTCTTGCCTCGTCTCATCCTTCCGCGCGATGAATCGCCGGTCTGACACAATCCAAAACCGGTACAGAACGGACCCTTTATCGGCATGCCCGGACATGGTTTGCTTCCACCAAAACCGCACCGGACGAACGGTTTCAAAGGGAGAACGGTGCGTTTCCCATAGCAGGACCCATCTGGTCCTGTGCTCTTTTAGGTATGAATACAGTTGCTATCTCACTAGCAGGAAGACTGAGGTCTTGTGAGTCCTGCGCTCTTTTAGCTCGTGAGAGGTTTCCTGGCGAGCACCCTGCGGTCCTGCCGCACACCTATGTTGTAGGTATTGTGATCCCCCTGTGGCTCACAACCCAGCGAGAGCCGTTGCACTGAGCACCACAACTGCGCGGCGCAATTACGCTAAGTCGGAGCCACGCTTTCGTGACCCTGCCATGTGACGCTCACCTGCTACCAGCTGCTTCGCACGACTCAGCTTGCCCGATTCGTGCGGAGCGGATGTTCGAGCCTATCATGTACCGGGAGGCCAACTTCGGCGCCGACTATCGGATGCGAGAAGATGAGCCCGCCGGTATCCAGGCCGAAATCGGCGAAGCTCGTTATAGACGGCGGCAAAATGACAAGGATGCCATTGGTCGACCGGCGAGGCGACCGGCTGCGGCATTTGCCGGGCTTGCCAACGCAGGCTCACTTTGCATTGAGCGGCGACGGAGGTACATGCAAATTAGACGAGGTCGTTCTCGCGGCCTATATTTCCTCGGAAGGTCTTCTTCTGGCGCCGAGAGGCTGCACGATTTCTTTAATGCGTCAGATGCTAACCCGGGCATGTCCGGGAGCTTGAAGTGACGTCATGTGATCAACGATTGCCGTGAACTCGACGGCAGTACACGGGTTTCCAGTGAAGCTGTTCCTTGTCCTTAGCGTCGACCATGTTCTCCCAGCGCGTGATCATACCTGCCCGGACGCGCAGCCTTGCTAGCACTGCGTGCACATCTGCTTTGACAGCCGGATGGTAAGTCCTCAACCTGGAAAGCCCTCTCCCATCTCATATGTCGTGAACACAGGAAGGTTGCCGGCCGTGCTCCTCGCGCTCTATTTCATTCATCCCGGCTCCTTCAAGCCACGACGGTCAAAGTTCCTCAGATGGCGGAGTCCCTGACAGAGGGAACATTGAAGACTTGGCTCAAGCAGCCTGGCGAGGCCGTGGCCGCAGATGAAGAAATCGCGACTATCGAGACGGACAAGGTGTGTGCTTGTGCCCTTCGCGGCAAAGTCAGTCCATCTGACATTCGCTGTAGATTGACGTACCCGTCAATGCTCCAGCAGCCGGGAAGCTGGTTGAGCACCTAGCTAATGAGGAAGACACCGTCACTGTGGGGCAGGACCTCTTCGTGATAGAAGAGGGCGCTGAGGGCGAAGGCACGTCAACCGCCTATACCTAAAATTTTCCAACTTACACTCCACAGCGGCTCCCGCCAAAGACAATCAACCCGAGTCCAGCGCTGAATCTGAGAAGCCTGCGTCCGATGCTGCACCCCCGCCTCAAGATCAAGCGGCTCAGAAGCCTGCGCCGTCGCCTTCGTCCCCAAGCGATGCCGCGTCCAAGTCCGCTTCGCCACCATCCAAGGAAGAGCGCTCTGCAGCACCCGTCAAGAAGGCTCAACCCGCATCTGAGTCTAAGGGCCCTGCACCAACGACCTCGTCCCGTGGCGAGACACGAGTAGGCCGTCTGCGTACTCTGCTCCATGCAATTGCTCACGCCTATCCAGGTTAAGATGTCTCGTATGCGACTTCGGATAGCGGAACGTTTGAAGGAATCTCAGAATGCTGCCGCCTCGCTCACCACATTCAACGAAATCGACATGTCATCTCTCATGGAGATGCGTTCCAAATACAAAGACGCTGTTCTGAAGGAACATGACGTGAAACTTGGGTTTATGAGCGCGTTCGCCAAGGCCAGCACCCTTGCGCTGAAGGAAATCCCCGCTGCCAATGCATCTATCGAAGGCGATGAGATCGTGTATCGCGACTACGTCGATCTGAGCGTTGCGGTGGCGACTCCCAAGGGACTTGTGACGCCCGTGGTGCGCAACGCAGAGAGCCTTGGCTTTGTCGACATTGAGAAGGAGATTGCGGCCCTCGGCAAGAAGGCGCGTGACGGGAAGCTCACATTGGAAGACATGTCGGGAGGCACATTCACCATGTATGTGTCGCGTCCTAACTTTGTACATCTCATGCTGATAGACTTGAAGTTCCAATGGTGGTGTCTTTGGATCGCTCTTCGGCACGCCGATCATCAACCTGCCACAAGCAGCAGTACTCGGTATGCATGCTATCAAGGATAAGCCTGTGGTCGTCAATGGGCAGATCGTGGTTCGCCCGATCATGGTCATTGCTTTGACGTACGATCATCGTCTGCTGGACGGTCGCGAAGCTGTTACCTTCCTCGGTAAGTGCATAAGTGTTCTTCCTGTAGCCGTGCTGACGTGCATGCTTAGTGCGCGTGAAGGAGTACATCGAGGATCCTCGGAAGATGCTCCTGGCATGATCGTATCATTTCCGTATCCTAGTATATATGTTCGAACTACGTCTTCAGCCCAACGATGGATCGCGCCTCTTGCGACGACAGTTTCCATGTGATCCCTGAGCCGTTGTAGAACTCATCTACGTCTTCCTCCGCATCCAGGTTGAGCAACGTACTCATCTGTTGCAACCGCACAAACTTCTCGCGTACGTCGCCAAATGCGGTCTGAGAAGCTATGTAGTGGATGATTGCTCGGAGGTCCCTGTCAAAGCGGATGGCACCAAGCTACGATGAAGTGAGATTGGTATAGTCGTAAACAAGAACAACCTTACCTCTGTGTACTTCAATGTCATCAAGTACTTCTCCCAGGGTCGGACGATCACATCCAATACCAGAGAATAAAAAATACTATAGTTGCTCGTAGTGAATGTCTCCTACGCAACGTCAGCCGCTGAACTATGACTCAAGGCGCAGAAACGTACCTTGTATCCATCCAACAGATTTTCCCATCCCTTGACGAACCGCTTACGGACGATGTCCTGATACTCTGCTACCGAATACGAATCTTCGTCAAGCGTGTACGCGACGTCGCGATAGAGGTCGGGAATGAAGTTGCGTAGCTTGGGTCGGAGCAATTGATTGAATAACTGGTCTATGCCGCTCTGTGGACATGCGTTAGTACGAGAGTGGCAGGTTCGACTGAAGAATTTACTCGTGAAACGCTCTGGAATTTGTTTGTCAAACTCGCGAAGCTCGTCAGGCAGTTTCTGACAGCAGCGTGCTGAGCATCGACGAAATGCTGTTGAATGACTGGACTGTCGCCCAGATCGGTGACGAGACGCTCGAGGTGTGATGACGACACGTCCAAGTCGTTGAGAAGGATCTTGGACGGTGTTAGTCATTATGAATCTCAAGAGGCGAGGACGTACAATGAAGGAAGTACGACTGTCATGTTCTGCTTTCTCCGACGCTCTCAAAGGCCTATCGCCACTCCCCCCCGTTCCCCGGTAGACATCGTCCATCTTGCGCTTGATGACGCCCGCGAAGTCGCGTTCCATGATCTCCCGCAAGTGACCCAATGTACGCTCAACGTGAGGAAGCGATCCGGAGGCAAGTAGACGGGTTAGCACGACCTTCAAGACGTAGAATACATCATCGGGCGTGGTGGTTATCGGGGGTGATTGTGTAGAGTCCATTGTCGACAGACGGTGCGCCTTGAATGGATCAGACGATGGCTGATAGGTCAAAGTTGACATATTCGACATACCTTGTCAATGATTACGCGTATGTACCACGTCTCCATGGGTATATAGTACGTGGCAAGGAGCGCGGCAAACTGTCGATGCGCACCGCAGGATTCTAGCGCAACGTACGCCTTGTACACGGCCTCTTCCCTCTCGCGGGCACTCACAGCGGTCTCCTGTTCCGCTTCATCTAGCACATCATCACGAAGGAGCTCTTCATTCGTCTGATGATCTCAATAGACGAAGAGGATTTGCCAGAATAGCGGCTTACCTGCATAGTTTCGCAGAGGAATTTGCGAAAGACGTTCCACCTGCTGACCATGCCGGCGGCCTCGCTGACGACCTTGTCTATTTCGCGAGGATCTACCTCCTCCGTAGTCGGGTTCTGCTGCCTCAACGCCGCCCCACTGTAGTACATAGGTGTCGGAGGGTGGTTAGTAACGTCGGAGAGCTGCGAATGTCAGTGAAAGGTTGGAAGGGCTGCATATATGCATACCTTCCGATGAACCGACCGCTCTTCTTCCCATCCACTGATGAGATTCTCAACCGTACGGTCACACTCTTCAAGCAATTTCTGCACCACGTTCTTCATCTTCCCCGGCCCATAGTACTTCTCGACTACGGGCTGATGCTGGTCCGCGATCAGCGCCACACTCTCAAAGAGAGCTGTAAGAGCCGTTATAAAGTACAGCGGCGACGATGCTACGTTATGTCAGATATTGCATGTTCTGCACGTCTAGCAGAGCAAACGTACTTTTGACAGACGCAGGTGCTCGTACGCGCACCAGACCGGTCACAAAAGCGGCATAAGCTTGGAGGCCCTCCTCCTCCCATCCGATAGCGGGAAACAGTTTGAAGAAGCGGCTTGTACCGGCGGAGTCCATGGCAGTCGATGCCTTCTCGAAATTGCGTTTGAAAACAGCAAGGAGCTGTTCTCGCGCGGCTTGAAGCGTCTGCGCAGGGGGTAGATGACTTTCAGGCGTAGGCTAAAGACAAAGTCAGTCGATGGAAGAGCGCTTGCGGATGAATAACTGCACTAACGACTGCAATCTCGGCAAATGCGCCAGTAATGACGGGCAGGGGAAGGGACATTGCGCGCGCGCAGTGTCGTGTAGCGGACTCCCAGTCCTGCGCATCGATGGACGCTTGCACTTCTGCCAAGGAGTCCTGGGGTGATTGAGAATCTGAGAGGGCTGCGTGTGTGGTCGACGCACTTTGAGCTGCATAACCTGTGCTACACGTTCCCCGGCCTCCTTGATTCGTCGCATCTCCTCGTCGAGAGTGCTCACGCGCCCTCCGATGCGTTCGGCTGTCTGTGCAGTAGAGGATACGCGGCCGGAGAGAACGGCCGCCTCATGATGTAGATCTTCGATGTGGGGAAGGACAGCGTTTAGACGATTTAGAGAGGCGACTATGGGTTCTCGCGCAGACAGTAACTTCGTCAGGGAATTCGAGAGTTCAGCCTCTTCAGACTGGAGGGCAGAAAGACAGGAGAAGATTTGTGGGAGCGAAGTGAGCGTCCGCGGGTCCCATTCTTTCCTCTCGTCGCTGTCCATGATCACTCTGCGTCGACGCGCTGGTCACATGCGCCCTCGCGATCACGTCGGCAATTCTGATCAATCGCGTCCTGCTTGAGTCTTCCGCCCATGTGGCGTGCAGTCATTATCGTCGACAAGCGTACTCTGACGGAATCCACCAGCGTAGTCTCCACTTCATGTAATCTTCAGGACAAAACCACCTGTTCGTTAGTTGTCACGCGGCCGCTGGGCGCCTCTCAGTCAATACTGGAGGCTGGACGACGTCGCACGGGGCAGGGAAACATTCGCAAGACTGACGAGCGCGCCTACGGCTCATATAGAAGCGTCGAGGAGTCGACAAACGCGTTCTCAAACTATTGCAGTCCTCAAGCTACCTCTCCGATAAAGACCCAATCGGTACCCTCGGTAGGGCACGCATCATGCTAGCCACCACTCAGGTTGGTCCAGGAGTCTGAGGCATGAAGTTGGTCAATTCGAACATATAATGGAGACGCTACACCGGCAAACGGAGAGAACATCATCGGTAAGGACAATCACGGTGTGTATCATGACCGTTGTGGATCCACGATTACACAGATAATTTGTCCTTTCCCAACAAACGTCACGCCTGACGTCATCATGCGATAGCTACTTAGGAAGGCCGGTGCGCACGCCGACCACAGTCCAAATCACTCCAGCGCTCGAACAAACAAACATCCAAATATGGCACCTGGAAATGCGTCCGCCAGCCGATCGAACTCTTCCCTTCGCACTCATTCCATCCAACCCGTCGCTCTCCATTTCGGCGCAGGCAACATTGGTCGCGGCTTTATAGGCGCTGTCCTCGCCCAGGCTGGTTCCCACGTCATATTCGCAGACGTCAACAAGCAGCTTGTAGACAACATCAAACGTCGCGGAAAGTACACTATCCACATCCTCGATGGGCACAGCGACGATGTCGGCTACGAGGAGAAAACCCAGCCAGTCTCGAACGTCTCTGCGATCCTCTCCAACGATCAGGATGCTCTTGCGGAAGTCGCCGTACATGATCTTGTTCTTATTACAACGGCCGTTGGACCAGGTGCGCCCCAGTCATCCACTTTCGTGGTGTCATGCTAACGACTTCGTCTAGCGATCCTTCCAAAGATTGCGCCCGCGATTGTCACCATCCTACGCACACGCAAGGCTGCTGGCAAGGGCCCTCTCAACATCGTTGCCTGTGAGAACGCGCAACGTGCTACATCAATGCTCAAGGACCACGTCTTTGCTGCCCTGCGCGACCAACAGGCGGACGACGCCCTGCTGGAGTACGCGGAGTGCAATGTTGGCTGGGCGAACTGCGCCGTCGATCGCATCGTCCCTCCCTATCGTCCTGGTGTGTATATCCTGCTGCCTTGTCTTTCGAACCGCGTGTTGACACCTTTGAACAAGAACCATTCACAGATGATACATCGCTTGATGTTGGCGTCGAATCTTTCTATGAATGGGATGTAGACATGCATTCGCTGAAGAAGACCGATCCGGACGTCGACATCGGCGGTATGAAGCCCACCAGCAACCTCGAGAAGTACATTCAGCGCAAGCTCTTCTCTCTAAAGTATGTTTCATCTTTGTAGCCGTCATCTTAGCGAAACTCAGTGCCCTTTCAGCATGGGCCATGCTATCACGGCTTACCTCGGCGCACTGAAGGGACACAAGTCCATCGCATCAGCGATCAGCGACCCCGAAATCTACCCCATTGTTTATGGTGCTTTGCAAGAAAGCGGTGCCGCTCTTCGCCGCGAACATGGGTTCACAGAGCAAGAGCACGCCCGCTATATTGACATCGTTTTGGCTCGCTTCCATAACAAGGATGTACCGGACGTCCCCTGGCGCGTCGGGCGCGAACCGCTGCGGAAGTTGAAGCCCAACGATCGTCTCGTCGGCCCAACGACGATGTGTAGACGAATGGGTCTAGACAGGGGATACTTGCTGCGAGGTAATATTATATTCACATCGTATCTCGAATTGCATCGCTCATTGCCTACGTAGGGATTGCTGCTGCTCTGGCCTACAAGAACGACGACGACGATCAAGCCAAGGAACTGCAAAACCGCATCGCTCAAGATGGGCCCGAGAAGGTTGCAGTGGACATCCTGGGCGTCGACAAGAATGACGAGGATGTGGTCACTGTACTAGGCGCCTACAGGGAGCTGCGGCAGCAGCAAAAACTATAACAAGCGAACACCTCTACCCATGGGCATAGCCCGCACATGTAGCTATAGCAAATGCAGTCCATCTATTGTAGTTTCTTGCGTGAATCAGACAGAACAGTGATTCCACGGCATGGCGAAGCTTCAGACTGAACTGCAATAAGCTGCGGTGATATTCTCACGAGTTTGCGTTGTCTTCGGCCCTCATCCCCATCCGCCACAAGTCCGCCACTTGATTACGACCTCCACTCGTCCGTCCTCTACCAACCCAAGTGTATTCGTCAGAGCCTCGTCCACGGGCTCCTTCGTTTATCAGTCCCTTTGTCATGGCTCCCGGTCGCCCCGTTCGTGATATCGTCGTCAAAGTACCCCGACATAACGCAGACATCCTCCGCAAGGATTTGGCGGCGAAAGTGCATGCCGCAGCTAAAGATGAGGACATGAACGTCCAGCTTGAGCAAACGCCCAGCGAAGAGGTGGCCCGCGCGGTGGTGCGTCCGTGTCCTTCACTTGATGAATTGCCGGTTCTAACTTCTGGTCAGGAAAGCGCATCTGAATGGAATTCCCTTCTCATGACTGCGCGTGCAGAGCGAGGACCCCAGTGGGATATTGGGACTCAGCAGTGCGTGCTACTCCAGCGTTCACGCGCCGGACTTCTCACCCGAGCCCCAGATTCCACGTCGACGTATACTCCGACCTTTACTACGACCCCACCTCACTTTTAGCATCTACTCGGCAGGCCCTCGGTGTCGAAGAAAACGAAGAGCCAAGTACATCCCCTCAAGACGTCGCGTCTACTTCCACCGTACGCCGTTCACATCGTAGTCGCGGGAGCTCACAAGCCCCCATGCCTCCCGCTGCTTCGGCTGCTCGCCGAGACATGGATATGATAGCAGCACGCGGAGCCGGAATGTCACCCCCACGGGATATGGGAATGGGAATGGGTGGCATGGGTGGCGCACCGCCAGGCATGCGTACAGACATGGGCGACCAGGTCATTGGAGGCATGCGTGGGTTTCCTGCGGGCATGTCTCCAGCAGCAATGCGCGCAGGGATGGGCATGGGGGCCGGAATGGGCATGGGGGGCGGGGGACTTGGGGCGGGAATAGGCGGCCCAGGGGGGTTGCCCAACCCAGGCATGGGCCTGAACGGAGGGATGGGCGGGGGTGGGGGAATGGCAGGTATGGGAAATATGGGTATGGGCATGAGCAACATGGGTCGTATGGGCGGGATGCCTGCGAATATGGCTGGGAACATGCCTGGAGGTCCCGGAGGGATGGGTATGGGGAACATGGGCATGGGCGGACTGCCGCCTGGTGCAGCCCCACGAAGGATGATGTAGCGTCTGTATTTTCCTATTGTACTGTATTTTCACTGTGGACGAGCATTCAACGTCGCGTGTTCCATAGCTGTACGATCGGAAGACCGAAGAGATCAGCGGCGACGTCCACGACGTGATGAACGAGATGTTATATAGTTGCCTCTGACCTTCATCTGCATCGCGCCTTCCGCGCTAATTGTCGTCGCGCGGATCGTCCTCCACCTAGCTTGCGTCGACTTGATGTTCCTCTCTGGCGAGACATTGCTCTCGGCGATCGAAACACTATCCCCCTCCCAGCGCCAAGCAATAAAGAAAGGTGCGTTCGAGTTGGTGAACATTAAGCTAGTGTGCTAATTGAGCAGGAAACTTCGACAGCGTCTCCGACCTCCTCCTTTCCACAAATGAAAATATTGTCAAACGATGCAAGCTCACCCCGATAGAGGTCGTTGACCTGATAGACGCCGTCTGCCGCGACTACGTTCCCGAGATCGCGCCCCTCAGCCAAGTTAGGGAGCGCGCTGGGGTCTTTACAACGGGAGACGACCAATTGGACGTTGCCTTGGGAGGCGGCATTCGTACTGGGATGCTCTGGGAAATCGTGGGTGAGAGGTCAGGCAGTTCTAAGCGAGGATGTCCAGTCGAGGGTCGTTTGCTCACTTCGGAACACAGCGCAGCTGGCAAAACGCAAGTTGGACTCCAACTATCTCTGAGCATTCAGCTACCTGGCGAGAGGCGCGGCCTCGATGGCTCATGCTGCTACATCAAGACTTCGGCTCAGCTGCCCACTGGGCGTCTCCATCAGATACTGCAAGAGCATCCGGTACTGTCCTCTGCCAACTGCACCCTAGACGACGTGCACACGATGTCCGTACCCACTATACCTGGACTGCTCCACGTCTTGGCTACGACGCTCCCGGCGTTCATGCAGGAACTTGGCGCAAGCCGCAGCAAAAAGCCCGTCAAGCTGCTGGTCATCGACGCCCTAGGCGAACTCTTCCATGTCTCCGAAAGGACTACGTCCCACACGTTGGTAGAGCGAGCCAGACATCTGACTGAGATCTCAGCCAAGTTGCATGCCATCGCTTCTGCCCATGGAGTCGCCGTCGTTGTGCTCAACGAAGTCATTGAAGCCATAGATCGTCCCGCTACTGCTCGCCTGTCAACAAACTTGGCAGACTTGCTCTACAGCGAGCAGGCCCGCTTCTTCGGACGCGCAGAGACGACACCTGGAGAGAATCGGAAGGAAGCTAGTCTTGGGCTTGTGTGGGCCAACCAAGTGAACGCTCGCATCATGTTGACTCGGACGAATAGACGTCGCGCCGTCGACAACATTGCACCTCGCAAACGTACACGGACATCTTCCGGGGTCAATGCTCCTTCGGACGACACCGAAGATGTGTTCCATCGCATACGACGTTTAACAGTCATCTTCAGCTCTGTCGGCAGTCCTAAATCTTTGGATTATATCATAACCTCCGAGGGACTGGTCACTCTTCCGGGAATAGATGAGCCTTTGGGGACTCCTGCCGATTCTCGCATCGTGCCTTCACGTAGGGTGCCTACCTCTGACACGGCAGATACAAGGCTAAGCGTGGCGTCCCCAGATGGCATCGTTCCGCTGGACATTGGATACGCCAGAAATACAGAGGAAACGGTGGCAGAAGACGAGTCCTTCGCTGAAGGAGAGGATGCCGAAGATGATCATCTGTGGGCGTCTACCGCAGAAGGGATGCCAGACGACCTGTACGAATTGTTGGACATTCCATAACGACTAGCTACTTGAGAGTAGATTAACCTAATGGTAATTCTGGGTCCAGCGGGCGGTACAGTCACAGTGACGCTCATCCATTGGCCAATGAGTCGAATGCAGCCATATTTGGTCTTGCTTGGCTAACAGCTTATGTAGCGCAACGAGGCGCAAGCGCATCTATTGTCCTTGCCCTCCACCATCACCATCTGCCGACCTCTGGACATACGCTCTTTCTCAACCTCCTGTTAAATCTTTGAAGGACACCAACTGCCTACGATGAGGTCGAAGTTCAAGGATGAGCACCCGTTCGGTTCGTCAAGCGTTTACGCGCAGCATGACCGCCTCGCTGACCCGGGCTGGTACACTTCCCAGAGAAGCGCAAGGCGGAAGCGGAACGCATTCGCCAGAAGTATCCTGACCGTATTCCTGTCAGTATTGGCGCGCTATATCGACCATCATCCATGATCAGTCCTCATGTTGTCCCCGCAGGTGATCTGCGAGAAGGCGGATAGGACGGACATCCCCACTATCGACAAGAAGAAGTATCTGGTGCCATCGGTGTGTGTACCTGCGCTCAACTCGGGGTGTGAGGCTTACGCACGACCAGGATCTGACCGTCGGCCAGTTCGTGTATGTCATCAGGAAACGCATCAAGCTTGCGCCCGAGAAGGCCATCTTCATCTTCGTCGACGAGGTCCTCCCACCCACAGCGGCACTCATGAGCGCTATATACGAGGAACATAAGTGCGTGCTGTACGCTGTCTACCTGGATTCTGCTGAAACTTCGTCGTTAGGGACGAGGACAACTTCCTCTACGTATCCTACTCTGGCGAGAACACGTTTGGCAGATCAGAGTTTGAGACGCTATGATACCTTCCTTCGGCACAGAATCCGTTGTAGACCGTGGCTTGCAGGTGGTTTGACTTTGTATCTATGATGAGGGGGCGTCTACCTACGTATTAGTTTGGACGTTATACCCCGCTCACTCCTGTCCTCTCCTGATCACCCTCTGTATTATAATCCGTTTACCAGAAATCGAGAAATGCAATGGACGGAGGCGTGGCGAGGGATGTCTGGATGTATCAGGGCGATGGCATTGCATCCCACCGTAAAGGCGGAGGCTTTTGGTGATGCGGGGTATCGTCCGAACCTTGTCGGCGCTGTTTAGCAGTGGGTGGCCGTCGTGTACGTCGGTGAGGGGGCCATGGTGGTGTTGACAGCGGCGCCACAGTCGATGGGGCGTCCTTCGACTCTCACGTCATCGCCGCGCGCCATCGTTGTGACTTGTTTGGTTGCTGCCTTGCCCCAGAAGCGTCACCTGACGGGACAGCAGTCCAGAACGCCCAGCAAAGGAGTCCCCAGATTGCTGTCGTCCCTTCCCCGTCTCATCGCCATCGTTCCCAACAGCGTACAGACAGCAATAGACCGTAGGCGAGCGCAATCATGGCCAATCCTGGACCCATAAACGGCGTCAAGATATCTCGTGCGTTCACCTATTCGGGTCTGGCAGCGCAGCTGATCAATCTTATTTCCAAACTTGCCTTCTTACTTTTCCCTCTCCACCCATGTCCTCCTCAAAAGCTATCGACGACCCCCACAAGGTCGTCAAAGTCATCGCCTCCGATGGCAAGACTGGCGAGACGCGCGAGATGTCTTACTCCGGCTGCAAGATCGTCGGCAATGGCTCTTTTGGCGTTGTTTTCCAGGCCAAGCTAGTTGGTGAAGAGACCGGAGGCGACATCGCGATCAAGAAGGTTCTGCAGGATAAGCGCTTCAAGGTACGTCCCAGATAGTTCCGTATCCTTGCCCACGTCCTCATGCGTCATGTCAGAATCGGGAACTGCAGATAATGAAGCTTATGTCCCATCCAAACGTCGTCGATCTAAGGGCATACTTCTACTCCAATGGTGACAAGGTACGCGTCCTCATTCTATGTACTTCTTGCGGATCGTGCTCAATCGCTCTCGTAGAAAGACGAAGTGTACCTGAACCTGATGCTCGAATACGTCCCCGAGACGGTCTACCGCGCGAGTCGTCACTACGCCAAACTCAAGCAGCCTATGCCCATGCTCCAAATCAAACTGTACATGTATCAGCTGATGCGCTCCCTGGCATACATCCACTCGGTCGGCATCTGCCATCGAGACATAAAGCCGCAGAACTTGCTGCTCAACCCGGCAACGGGTGTGCTCAAGCTGTGCGACTTTGGCTCAGCGAAGATCCTCGTCGCGGGCGAGCCGAACGTGAGCTACATCTGCTCGCGCTATTACCGAGCGCCGGAGCTCATCTTTGGGGCGACGAACTACACGACTAACATCGGTATGTGTCGCGCGTGACCAGGATAGAAGACAGACTGATCTTTGGGTGTCGCGCAGACATCTGGTCGACGGGATGTGTGATGGCTGAGCTGATGCTTGGTCAACCCCTATTCCCTGGCGAGAGTGGTATCGACCAACTCGTCGAGATCATCAAGGTGCTCGGGACGCCGACACGGGAGCAGATCAAGACGATGAATCCGAACTACATGGAGCACAAGTTTCCTCAAATCAAGCCGCACCCATTCTCGAAAGTATGTGCCTCTCCTTCTATCTCGATTCCGTTCCCTGACCGAGATCTGCAGGTGTTCCGGCCGCGGACGTCTCCGGAGGCGATCGACTTGGTGTCGAAATTGCTCGAATACACCCCAAGCGCGCGCCTGAGCGCAGTCGAGTCCATGGTTCATCCTTTCTTTGACGAGCTACGTGTCGAGGGTGCTCGGATGCCAAACGGCAAGGACTTCCCTCCACTGTTCAACTTCACGCGCGAAGGTGAGCTTGCCAAGCGACGCGAACCGACGCGAACAATTAGAAAGCGGGATCACTGATGACAATGGTAGAATTATCCGTGAGGCCGGATCTCAACCACCAGCTGGTGCCGCCCCATTGCTTGCCGGAGCTGGCTTCGCGGCAGATTGACCTTGACAACTTTGTACCTATACCACTCGAGGACATGAAGATCACACTGGACTGAAGGCCGAGGAGGATATCATAGTGTATATGTGTAGTGAGCCCGTATTATAACCTGCCTGCCTTGTCTTCGTGCTTCTGAACCCCGCGTACGTGACGACATTCGTGGGCCGAATGTGTACCATAGTCATCCTGTGCTATTGCCGAGAAGATCAAAAGAGCGTCTAGTGACTGTTATGTTCGAAAGTTAGCAGCGAGCACGCCAGAGATGATCAAGACCGAATGGGGATTGCACCTTCCTATTGAGTGAATTGCGACATCTCGTGCAAACGGTGGCATCAACCGCGAGCACGAATACATAAACCTTTCTCTTCCAGACCCAGCACGTCCTGCCCCTCATGGACTCCCCAAAATCATACCTTTGCGATACGCTCCCCGCCCCCCGACTTGCCCGCGCATCCAGCGAGGATGCCGACTCAGCCAATAACAACAACCGAACCGATGGCCCCTCGACGGTCATAGACGAGACCGATGCGGCCAGCGTCGAATCCTCTAAAATGACACTCCCGAAGCCTCACCCGTCCAACAAGTCTACTGCGCCATCTCGCAAGCTATGCGTCCGTCACCAGAGGATGGCGGATGAAGGGGTCAACATGAAGCTGCAGCAGGTGTGTGCACTGTTCGGGTCCCCCAGTTCCCTAACTCATCCCCCCTAGTCCCTAGACGCACTGCCCGTCGAAGAGAGAGAGGCCGTGACGGCTGTCTGGTCCCAGTTCTCGTCGTCGTCGCACGCACGGAGGGCCATCATTCTCCAAGGGCTCCTTACACTCTGCTGCTTCTCCCAACTGTCGCTCCTCGCAGACTCCCTCCAGCACCTTATTCGCATCGACCCATTTGCCGTTCTACCTCGCGAGCTTGGCCTCAAGATCCTGGGTTATCTCGACGCGACCTCATTGTGCAGAGCCGCACAAGTCTCGCGAAGGTGGAAGGCCCTCGCTGACGATGATATCCTATGGCGGGGCATCTGCGAGCAGCACATCGGACAGAAATGTCATAAGTGCGGCTGGGGGTTGCCTCTACTCGACAAGAAGCGTCTATACCGAGCCCAATCGGTGACGCCGGTACCAGGCGCCCCCGACCCCGTTTCGAGCCCTCACGGCTGCATACTCTCCGTCAAGCGACCGCGCGAGGGCAGTCCCGACCTCGAAGAGCAGCCGCTGAAGCGGCAACGCTCTAGCTCTCCGTCTCAGGATAATCACCGCCATGAAGAGTCGGCTGCCGAGTCATCCCGTCGTGCATCCTTATCGCTGATCGCACCGACCTCTCCTGGCCGGTTGTCCCCGTCATCGACTCGACCATGGAAGGAGGTCTACAGCGAACGTATGACGGTCGAGTGGAATTGGAGGCGCGGACGCTGTACGGTGCGCACTTTGGAGGGCCACACCGACGGAGTCATGTGCCTGCAATTCAACGAGAACCTCACTCATCCCGCCTTTCCCGTCCTCATCACCGGGTCCTATGATCGAACCGCGCGCGTTTGGAATCTCGAAACCGGCCTTGAACTCCATGTTCTTCGCGGTCACACGCGCGCCATCCGCGCTCTCCAGTTCGATGAGTACAAGCTCATCACTGGTAGCATGGACTGTTCGCTGAAGGTCTGGGACTGGCGTCGCGGTACATGCATCCGCACACTCTTTGGACATACGGAAGGCGTCGTCTGTCTCAACTTCGACTCGAACATCCTCGCCAGTGGCTCCGTAGATTCGACCATCAAGGTGTGGAACCTACGGACAGGCTGTGCGTTCACTCTGCGTGGGCATAGGGATTGGGTCAACTCGGTGCAGCTCTGGGATCGTACTGCGGGTGGCGCCGCAGGTCCTGCCGCGCCAACAGTCTTCGACGGCCCGCCCTGTAACGGCTCCAGCGGCGGTGCGGACCCGGGCAAGATGCTGTTCTCCGCGTCGGACGATGGCAGCATTCGTCTCTGGGACCTGCATCTGCGAACCTGCGTACGCCAGTTCACGGGTCACATCGGGCAAGTGCAGAGCATCAAGCTGATGTTCACTCCCGACTGTGGCGAAGGTGATGGATCCGATGCGGAGGAGGGTCCTACTGGACGCTCTTCTCCCGCGCCTCGCACGAAGTTGCCAACGCTCGTGTCCGGTAGCCTTGATAACACTATCAAGGTCTGGGATGTCGAGACGGGTGCTTGTGTGCGCACTCATTTCGGCCATATCGGCGGTGTCTGGGCGGTCGCGGCGGACAAGATGCGCATTGTCAGCGGTAGTCATGACCGCACTATCAAGGTTCGTCCCAGCTGAATTATGTTCACGTTCGTCGATACTGATAATTCTTAGGTCTGGAGTCCGGACGATGGAAGCAACATTGCCACGCTCGCGGGTCACGAAGCGTCCGTGAGTTGCATAGCTCTCGGCGAGGACAAGATAGTATCGGGGGGCGATGATAAGACGATCAAGGTTTGGAGCTTTGCTGGTTAGGTCCGCGTACTGGAGCGCTCGTCGTATGATTCTGTGAACTTATCTTACTCCATGTACTAGTTTAGTCTTGTTCATTCGCTGCATCTCGCCCCAGATGGGATTTATGTCTACACTGATTAGTTTGCGGCGCGGTTCATTGGACAAATCATCGGGGTGATGGAATAATGATAAGGTGAAGAGTAAGAGTACATGCATGACGAGGGTAAGTACAGGTGTAATACAAAACGTGAATGCTTGAGCCCCAGGCGCAGAATGGTAGGAGAAGTCGGTATCGTAAACTGAACTACTTCACTCGGAATCCAAGACCTTCCAATTCTCGTGCTCGAGCACGGTGAGCTTGCTCCTCCGACTCAGCTAACGCTTGCGCGCGTTCAAGCAACTCCTCGTTCGATCTGCTCCGTGCGCTGTGGCGCAACTCACGTCTAAGATATGCGATAGCGGGCGCATGGGGCGACTCATGAAGTGGTCGTCGGTCCGCGAGCGTGGACGGATCTGGAAGAAGTTCGCCCATGCACGCAGCTGCTCGCGCGATGCGCTCGAAATTGAGCAAGGCTTCGCCATCTGGTGTGACCGAGATGGCTTGCGGGTAGCGCTCGAGACTTGCATTGAGATCTCTCAAGTGAACGGCTGTTGACCGAATGAGCTTTCTGCAAGCCGTATAATTGGGACAAACAGACCTAACCAAGGCAACGTTGGCCATTCATGGGACTGTCGCAATGCCGCCCGGTAAGCACGATGATTTGAACTGGGATCTAGCAATGACACGAGCTCGTCGAGGGTGCGCTGGGCAGTGGCTGGTATTCGTTGTCGTGTGTACCGGAGACGCTCTAAAGGCGAAGATTGCAGGGCGTTCGCTATTGCAGTAGTAGAGCTGAAATTGCGCAATCGACGACATTCCTGGCACGATATCAGCTAATAAGAAGCCAACCGGCGTCGCGAGTACTACCTCTGCCGTGTTGATCAGGAAGAGCATTGCAGACGCGCGTGCCTCTACTCCCTCTGGGTCCAGCACGGAGAACTTAACCCAATGGATGATATCATTATTGAGGGCCGACATTGCTTGCACGCCACGAAGCTTCTTGGCGTCACCCAAGCTGGGATTCGAGCTACTGGCTGTACTGGCGGGTCGCTGCTTTAGGTAGCGGATATAGTCTGCGGGCTTGATGCTGCGATACCGTTCTCCCTCTAGGAGGGTCAAGGCGGTTGCGAGCTCAGTCGGCGTGATCTCCGAAGCGCGCAGGGGCTTGACGCTGGGCGTCATCCCTTGCCCCGAGCTTACGCTGGGAATACGCGCCACATTATCGCCACTGCCGTTGTGCGGAGACGAAGCGCCGTCTCTGACACGAGAGGCAAGAGAAGCACGACGCTGCAATGCAGCGGTCAGCTCAGAGAGATAGAAGGTTGATTGGAATGACTGACTTGTTCAACGGCATGAGCAGCGGCGTTTATCCGATCTAACTGGGCTGCAGTGCTTGGCGAGGCAAGTGCGCGTCGCGCAAGCGCGGCCATCCGGTCAACAATTGCAATGGCCGGCGCGACCTGAACATTCTCTACCCATCTTTGGATGAGTTGGAGCACGCTGGGGAGGTATCATTGGCATGCAGCACATACTGAGACCTGCAGCGAGCACTGACTTAAACTGCAGGTTGGCGCGGTCCGAGGGAGGTAGGGTATCTGCATCGATGAAGTGTTTCTCGATGCTGAGCATGATGCGTTCCGGGGTGGTGAAGTCGGTATAGATATGGAAGATCGACGTAAACAGGTCTTGTTGTGGGGGAACAGATTGTGAGTGGGCATCTGAAATTATCTGTCAGTGTTTGGTCTGACGGAGTGTACATGGACTAACTAGCTTGGGCGATGAGCTCGCCAACAAGTCCGTGAAGGGTGCCGGCCTGTATGAGTCCAGCAGAGTTGCGGTGAATGATGGGGACAGGGGAGTCGAGGGCATGTGCGATCGACGCAGGATGGCATGATTGAGAGTCCGAGGACGTGCGGGAGTCGACGCTGTGGTGATCGGCAGAGTAGTAGTCGGATGAGGAGTGTGATGAGCGGCGGTCTGAGGACGAGGAGCTGCTGGATGTCCTCATGATGCTGTCGGGCCGCAGGTCACCGGCCTTGTGCTTCTCTGCAGAGTCGGTCGAGGAGCGTCGACGGACGCCCCATTGGCGCGGATGCATGCGTTCAGAAGCCCGACAGTCACAGTCGAACCTCCTCGATCGACTTCGTTATGCTCTTATACACGTGTCCACCACCTTATCGCCTGCTCCATGCGGCACAACCGCCGCAGCATGTTCCTATCTTCCCCTCCTCCCGCAGGCACCCACGCTTCGGCCCCTGGCGCTTCATTAAAAGGGGTCGCTCCGTTGACTTCCCGAGGCTGACGTGCTTCAAGCTGAGCCTCGGTCCGGTAACTTATCCATTGCGTGAGAAAAGCATACAATACAATCCAACTTGGACCTGGAGGTACAGCAGATCCCTTCAGAACCCCAAACCCGGTGAAGCGGAATACGAAGTGTGCAGTGGCAGGCTTGTGACATCCAACATCACATATACACATTAGCGCGAGACGATCCTACTCCAGATCACCACAACTACGAATTTATCTGAGCGCTAAACCCTCAAAAACGAGCTGGACCACTTACACTGCCTATGTTGTCCTGACCACCAGGGTTCTGCCTCACGCGACGCGATGGAAGGGCCTTCTGTGCGTCATCCGGGGCTTCAAAGAACGAACCTATGCTGCTGTTCCCGCCAGGATTCGAACGAACACGTCTACAAGGGGCAGATTCAGTTGCGCATCGTTCATGCGGTGTACGACATACCTGCTGGGCTTGAAGTCGCTCGAAAAACCGTGCAGACCCTCATCCTGAGGCTCTGGGGCGGGGTCGGGGGAGCGGTTGGGCTTCGGTGCTGGCTCATCGACCGCGCTTCCGTCGTCCAGGTGCGAGAAGATATCGCTCGACGCGCCACCAGGAACCGTACGCACACGGCGCGTGGGCTTGAACTCGTCAGAGCCTCCTACTGCCTGTGGCGATGCCGCTTCGGGCGTCGAGCTTTCCGCTGCATCTGGGGCGGGTCCACTGATCTTGCCAAACGAGGCATATTCTGGTGAAGGGCTGATAAACCCCAGCGGCGAAGAGGATATATGATAACGTACTGGGCAGCTTCTGTATATTCTGGAAGTTGGTATCCACTGTGGTTCCAGTATACCTGTGGGCGTCAACGCCCGATCGAGCGGCCCACAGAACAAAGACATACTTGAGAAATTCAATCAACGACCTCTTGGTGAAGATAATTCGCGTACTGTCCCAGTCCATCATTCCTACAGTCATCAGCGAGTGAATCGTCAACCGGGGAACGTGTCTCGTACCAAGGCTGGCCGGCCAGTCCCTCTCCTTTGTCTCATCGACAACCTTAGAGGGGGTGAACTTGCTCTCTGAAGTGAGGTCGGTCATCGCGTTCGATGTAAACAAGACGAAGGGGAAGGAAGCCGAAAGGGTCTCAAAAGCAGAACGACGGAGAGTGCGGTGGTTGCGAGGGTCAAGCCTAGTGATCGTCAGGTGATCGTTGCATCGCGTCCGCGACGCGTGACTATATATGTGACAGCACGCGTTATTGGCCAAGTTGAACTTCAGCAGGCCACCCTTTTTATCTCCTTGCAAGGCCATGCGCCTTGGATATCGAGGCAGCGCGCTTACTCCCAAAGAGTGCTGAGAATAGATCCACGAGAGGCAGAGGCAGCAGCAGGAGGGGTCTGGCCCTCTTCAAGAATAGTGATCTAGCTACGACATGAACAAGGATTGCGACTGGCAGTCTCAGCGTATGATCCACTGTGCCATAGTCCAGCCGTTCGGATACAAGTAGCTCATCTATGCTTCAGCTGTTCCAGGGCGGTCATCCTGCCAGTAGCTCTTCTTGTCCGGAGCCACCTCTTGGCCTGCCTGAGTCGACAGCTCGTATTCTTGATCCTTGGCGGTAGCGTTGCGGAAGTCGCATTGCGTCGAAGTGGTGACGCCGACCTGTGATTTATGATGAATAATCGAGTATACCGCCCAAAGAACGTCGAGACATACCCGGATGGCAGTAGGGAACGACGCGGCTTCCGTGCTGTTCAGCATACGTCGTTGCTTGTCTCGAGCAAGAAGAGTGACCATGACTGTGATCGTGTATATCCTGCTGATCGAGAACTGCGGAAGGAGGCTGCAAAGGACGAGTGAGCACCCCTTGAGTCAGCTGTTTGGGATGCACGTACTGGTATGCGGTATCTTGGAGGGGCAAGTACTTAGGATATCATGAGATGAAGCCGCAGATCTGGCGCAAGATGCACGCACCAATACCAAGTTCAGCAGGGCCACGAGCGCCGTCATTGCACTCGTTTCCATCGACAGCGTAATCAGACGAGTGATGACTATAAAGAAGTCAAGAAGTGATGAGCAGCCGCTCGAAGAAGGCCCAGCCGGTACACATACGCGCGTCCGTCTTCCTAAATCCCGTGCGCGATCGGATGAGGTGCCAGGCGAGGACAACGGCGATCACGATATCGGCACCTGCAGTCTGCGAGGGAGTCGTCAGATTGACTCTGCAAAGAGCACAAACGCGACCTACCGATGTAAGCCAAAGAATGATCGGCTTCTTGAAAGATCCGAGAGAGCTGAACCGTCCGTAAATCATGAACGATATAGACACACTGCATGCAATCACATTAAGGCGAGGTTGAACAGAAGGTGAATGGTACGCACGCCGCTCCGGAGCCAAAGCAGAAGAGCACGACTGTGACGCGCGCCATCAGTGGAAGGGAAGCGCACTCCTCAGGGAAACCCACATACGCAACAGCAGAAAAATCGTCAGAAGCTTGGACTGCACGATGTTATGACAACTGGGTTCGTATGATGGGTCAGCATCGAGAGAAACCATGCGCGAGATGCGCATGCACGCACCGATTCAAGAAAAATATTTGGGCTACAAGTCCGACAATGGCGGTCCCTGCGATCCTTTAGTCCAGACCGACGAGATTTTACGGAAGCGAACTCACAGCCGGGCTCTGAGGACATGGTCCACGCCTGCCCATCAAAATGGTCGTAGTCGCCGTAATGAAGGACTGATGTACGGTAGAGAACGTGACTGTCGGAAGCGACATGAGCAAGGAAGAGTGATTTACTCGTGTTCAGCTACACTCACAAATCGATGGCACCGAGGAAGACATTCAAGAAGAGAAGCGCGTGTACTATGACCCTGTTGAACTTCTTGTCGGTCTTGTAGAATTTACGGTAATAATCAATCATCTGCGCCAGTATGTAGCCGAGAAACAGCTTGCAAAGCGCCTCAGCTGCGAAGGCGCAAAGAAGCAGGCACTACGCACCTGTTGTATCCAGATACCCGTGACGAGTGCGCCGTAGGTCGTATTGATAACATCCTGGGGAGGCGTCGCGCTCATGACCGAGTACTGGGAGAGCGAACGAGTATTCGATAAGGGGGAGGATAGCGCGCCTAAACGCGAGCCTTCGATCTTGTGGACTTATATAGCGGCGGATACCAAAGTCCCCGCTACCTGAGGTCATGCCGTGAGCCTCTGGGAAGAACACGACGGTGATTGTCTGAGGAATGATGAATGGGGCTTGAGAACCAGCTCCGAGCCATGCTAACCGTAACCATCAAATTTAGCGGACACCCCATCCAAGGTATGGATTGACAACCAGATCCCGGAAAGTGGGTTGTCCAAGGGAAATCGGTCGCGAAAACGGTCATGTCCGTCGGCGGGTTTCCGACGTCCTCTAGGCAAACCTGTGCAGAAGCAATAGCAGTGTCTCGTACCGTACTTGTACGCTCTACAGGCTCCAGCTCGCGCGCGGCAATGAGCGATGTGGCTCGGTGGGCATGTGAGCCACTTGCGGTCCCGTTCGAGGGTAGGAAGTAGTTGGCTTGCAGACTTTGAGCTTCGTGGACAGGGAGCGGATCCTGTGCGGGCCCTGCTCATGATAGGCTGCCTGTGACATTGACTTGCCGAGCGAGAAACGAGTGTGTCAAGTCAGGCGGGTCCAATTAAATAGGTTGCGAAAGTCCGATGCGGGCAGCGCCTGAGAACAGAGTATCCTAGTCCACTTCATGTTGACGGAATCTGAGCGTTGGCAATGGTAGGAGCAGGCCTCGGCGGGGAGAAGAACGTGCGAAGAGTCATCGCGCTCAGGCGGAGTCAGGCCGGTCGCAGCGGGAGCAAAAATAACGGCAGTTGCCGACAGTCCCATGTGCCCGAGAGATCTCCGCTCATCGCTTTGTCCTCTGTTGCTGGCTTTCGGGTCGCCTTTCGATGAGCGCCCACAATACAGAGCTAGGCTATACCGGCTACACAGGTTCCTGGCGCTATGGCTGAATCCAATCTCTTTGGTGCCACCTAGGAATGTTGTCACGTTCAGTGCCTCTGCCGTCTAACTGCCGTATGTTGCACGCAGAGGCGCAGTTCCCCTGGTCACCCGTACGTCTATTATGTCCATGGTACTTACGTGTTCAATTCAGCTCCTACTCCACGCTAGTGGGGTTGCCTGAAGCTCGCTCTGATGGGATACACGAAAGCCCTGCAGTCCGCGCTGAGCCAATTATCGCTCTAGCAACTTGTCGGTAACTCGCCGGTCAATTCGCCCGGATGGAGTCCGCAGTGAAGAGAAGAGTCCTTGGACCCTGGCCTGGGAATGTCGGACGGCATCGCGTCTACGTGTCAGGCCAACGGAGATCCTTTTCCACTCGTTGTTTCCCCAACCCCGCATAGATATCCGTGTCACGCCGCCCTTGCATATAACGCCTGCCGTTCTCACACCTGCGGGAAAGTCTACTTGGCTCTGACGCCCACCGGAGACCCTCGCTCTTCCTTTCACTCATTTTACCTTTCTTCGCATCCTCATCATGCTCGACTGGACACAGGTTACCCCAGCGTTTCTCGGACGCGATGCCGTGATCGCGTCCATTCTTGTGGCTTCGCTGTCTGGGCTGTACCTTCGAAAACGCTCCCGGAATGCGTTGGGCTTGCCTTACCCGCCAGGGCCAGAGCCCAGTCCAATCCCATTCTTGGGGAATCTCCCGGATATGCCCTCTTCAGAAGGTGTGATTCTCGTTGTCCATAATACTATTGCGTCTAACCTCCGCCGCAGAATGGCATACCTTTACGGAATGGGGGAAGCAGTACGGTAAGTCTCCCACACGATATAGCCATAATCCACCTGATGCGCTCGATAGGTCCCTTGGTGATGATCAGCATACTGGGCAAGAAGATGTGTATCATCAATACAGCGAAGGCAGCTACAGACCTGCTCGACCAACGCTCCTCGATCTACAGCGACAGGCCGTCGATGCCCATGGTCTGTGATCTGTAAGTTCGCAATGCTACATCGGGTAAACAAGCTTGGCTGAACGAAGAATACAGGATGGGCTGGGACTTCAATATGGGTGCGCTTTCGCCAGACGTGAAGTACGATTTGTACGGCTGATTGCTTTCTTCAGGACTGCAGCCGTATACGCCCGCGTACACCACCGCACGCAAGCTCTTCCACTTTGGCTTCAACAATCGCGCATCGGAGCAGTACATTCCCATTCAAACCGTACGTAGTACTCAGAACCCTGTAATCGTCGTCTCATCCTTCATAGCGAGAGATCATCTTGGCTCTAGGCAAGCTGCTCAAGAGCCCGGAGCAGTTCGACGAGATTCTGCGATCGTGAGCGACAGTCCACGGTTATTTCGTCGACTGACACGTCTATAGTACCACGGCAACGGTTATCATGAAAATAGGTATGCTGGGCCGATCCAAATTCTTTTGGATAGTCATTGACATCCTCAAAGCGTTCGGTTACGAGCCCAAGGAGGATGACGAGTTCGTCCGCGTCGCGGAAGAGGCGCAATTGGCCATGGTCTCCGCAGCTCGGCCAGGTGCTTACCTCGTCGACATATTCCCGATCCTCAAGTACGTTCCGGAGTGGTTTCCAGGTGCTCGCTTCAAGCGCGTCGCACGAGAGGGCTACGAGCTTGCTCAGGAACTGCAAGAGAAGCCGTGGGCTTGGGCGCAGGACCAGTTCGCCAAGGGCGAGGCGAAGCCTAGCTTCTTCACCGCGCTTTTGGCTGCAAAAGGCTCCTTCAGTAAGGATGCGACCGAGGAGGAGAAGATGATGAAGAAGTCGTGCGCGGTCATGTACGCAAGTATGTCGGTTGTTTTTGCGTACTTGTCGTCGAGGAACTGAGCTCTTCTCTAGCCGCTGCTGATACGATCCTTGCGTCGCTGCTCAACTTTGTGTTGGCCATGTTGCACGCTCCTGAAGTTCAGATCAAGGCCCGGGAGGAATTGGATCGTGTTGTGGGCGCTGCGCGCCTTGCCACGATTGCTGACAGGAAGGACCTTCCTTACATCGACGCCATAGTGAAGGAAACGTACCGATGGGAGCAAGGTGAGCCCTTCACGATCTCCTGGTTGACCATCGCTGACTTCCGCTAGTCATCCCTCTTGGTGTTCCGCACCGCGTTATGCAGGACGATGTACGTATGCGTTGAGCCGTGTTCTCGTCAGAACTGAAGGGCATCGGATCCAGGTCTACGACGGTTATTTCATTCCGGAGGGTAAGAAGGTTTTGGACACCGCTCATCAGTAATCTAACTTAGGCGCAGGAACAACAATGATTCCAAACCAGTGGGGCATTGTGAGTTGTCTCCCTCGGACGTGCCGGCATTGCCCTGAACGGTCGGTAGGCTCATGACGAGAGCATGTATCCCGACGCGATGAGCTACCGCCCTGAGCGCTTCATCGGGGTACCTGACGCCAAAGACGGCGGCCCTCGCAACCCAAACACCATTGCCTTCGGATGGGTACGTGTTAACTTGTTATCCCAGATACACATACCAATCTGACCACCGCTAGGGTCGTCGTATCTGCCCAGGTCAGATCTTGCCCTTACCTAACCGCCGCGTGCTCATCTCCGTTTCGTCAGGTCGATTCATGGCGGAGAACCAGCTTTGGTTGCATGTTGCAACCACCCTTCAATGCTTCAATATCGATCCCGCAGTTGACGACAATGGTATGCCCGTCATTCCGCCTAGGACCTACACATCGGGCATGGCGAGCCGCCCTCTCCCGTTCACGTGCAAGATCACGCCCAGGAGTGCGGCATACGCCTCGCTCATCGAGCAGAACATCGCATACCAGGAGTAGGCGTATCGTCCGCTGGTCTTTATGAGAGCGTGGCCGACATTGCTATCGTTTCCCGCATACTGTTCGACTATTTCTATCCTGTACATCGTCCACACTATCCCCTCAATTGCAGTCCTTGGTCGTAGACAGAAACATTTGAATGGACCTTCGGATTCCAAGTTGCCATTGAGATGTCCCTACTCAAGAAAGCAAGCATAATCACTACTACGCACGTCTAGGCGGCCTGCCTGCCTAGCGATGTCTCCGAGTTCGTCCTACCCAGAAAGCCGCCCACGACATTCGAGACGGCCTCCGTCAGTTGGCGCTGTTGAGCTGGTGTATGCTTCACGTAGAACAGGCGAACGTTCGTTGCGTTCCAGATGCCCAAGGGACTCATGTGCTTCACATAGATCTCGCCCCACAGGAGGGATGTCAGCCAAACCATGGAGGCATCCGTCCACTGGGTAGCATGTCAGAACAAGGTCAAAATACGTTGCGTGCTCGCGGGCTTACCACAAATCGTCTAGGCGCCAGAGGTGGTTTTGGAGGTAGCGCATGGTCCAGCGTGACGCTGGCCAGGAAATTAGCAATAGCGGTGCTTGAGTTTGCCTTCTGGGACGCTTGCAGCTCCTGCAGTTTTGGGAGGAGTTCCGCTATCAGGACGAGGATAGGATCTAACTGTAGGCTGCGAAGGTATGGTAAGTTAGCAAGGGTTGACCAAATTAGCATCGACCTTACCCTGTCTGCCACGACGCGACCCAGTCCTGCGTTGGAACAAATCCATTTCGACCAACGCCGGCTGCAGCGATCCGCTCTAGACTTTCGTCCATCTCATCCTCCGGCGAGCGTTCCTTCATCTTGCCTCTGGCCTTCTCAGACCGCCGCTGCACTCCGGAAACGTCGTCCAAAGTTTCGCTTGCGCCATGCGCGACGCCCTCTTCCAGCGCTCGTGCGGAGTCCAAAGCGCGAGCCTTCTCCACCGAGTCAGGGGTCCCGCTGCGGGAAAGATTGCCGTCTGGTGTTCGTACTGTACGTCCCCGGGCTATGCTGTCCGCCCGACCGTGGCCGAGAGGGCCGTTGTCTCTAGAGCCTCGCCGCCGCTGCAGGTCTTCCTTAGCCCGCTGCACGCGTCGGATCTCGCGCAGGCCCCGCGCTAGAGTGAACGTTGCCAGATCTTCGAAGGTTTGATGAGCCTGTAGCAAGGCGTATAGTACATGTGCGTTGTCAGACAGCTGATGGAAGATGATGCCGTTGAACACTTCCAACCTGTTTGCAATATCATTAGAGCGCGACAGGGCATGTAAACGAGGCACTTACATGAAGAACAGCAAGCGAGGATGTCCCTCGTCGGATAACAGGAACGTTGGATTCGCGAAGGAGGCTACAAGTTGCACTAAGCGCGTGGCTGATGTAACTGTCAGATTCTTCAGGTAGGGCGACGCATTGGCGAGGGCAATAACGAGAGCAGGATACAGCGAGTTGAGTTGTCCGGACGTGGTACTTATCACCGAATAGACAGCCTGATAGCTCAGTTAGTCGACATCTGCCAGCGCCAATGACGATCGTACATTGATCAGAAAATCGGCGGCGTTCCCTGGGACCTGGTACTTAGCAGGTAGCTGCATGCGAACCGGCGTCTGTAGCTTAGCACCGAACGTCGCTTCCGCAGAGAACGTCTGGAGGATGTACGAGAGCGTTCGACACATTCCGTGTTGTTCTGGTCATACTTAGCTTTCCGCACACTAATTGCCTGAGGGATAGAATAGAACGTACGAGGCTTGTCCTTGAGTTCCAAGAGGTAGCATACCAAATGGGCCATCACGTCGTTGCATTTGTCCGACTCGAGAACAAACGAGCGGAATTTCTGGGCGGATCGTTAGTGCCATCCCGCGCCAGCATGTTCAAGGCAGACCTTGTTCAGCTCGATCATCTTCCAGAAGAATATGATCATCTCCGGGATGTACGGAATGGACTTTCGGGCGCCAGGAAGGATATTGTTCATGCTGGCCATCTGTTGGTCCATCGTGTTGAGGAAGCCATCAAGGATGAAGGAGAGGTCCTGAGTGCGATGCTGCGATGCATGTTTAGCGTTCATGTGATTCCCTAGAGTTTGTCCTCGCTCACCAGCTTCATCAAGAAGTAGCGAAACGCGTTCGTGCGAGCCGTAGGCGCAGTCGTCCGATTTTCGTCGGTGCCCTTGGCCTTATCACGAGCTGTGCCGCTCTGGAAGTCCAGCAAGGCGCACAGTACCTGAAGGCAAAGTGTCGCCAGATTCGTGCGTGTGTCCTCGCCCTTCATGACGAGATGATTATAAGGTAACCGAGCGGCCATGGCGCCGATTCCATGATGCGCCGACGAGGCGTTCATAGCAGTGTTGAGTAAAGAGCATAATAAGACAAGTACATCGCGTCTGTCCCGCATTTGCACCATATGCAGCGAGTACAGGGAGGGGGCGGTGAAGAGTGAGGGTGGTGGAACGTAGATTTGACGCGATAGCAGGACCAGCAACAGGCGTAGGACCTCCGTGCGGTTGCTCTCGTACGGTCCGCTTGGGCCAGGATCCTGCGTTGCTCCTACGCCTTTCTCCCTGGGCAGAACGTTAGTTGGGTCATTTGATCAGACGACAGCGCACTTGCCATGTCATTGGACTGATCTTATGGTGGTCCACCTGAATTTCCTTGGGCAAGGTGAAGCCACAACAGAAGAGAAGGGAGAACAAGGCGTCGAGGAGTTTCTCTGCAAGAGACGGTAGTTGCTTCGTGAGCCGCCCCTTCTGCGGCGAGCGTGGTTGGGAAGCGGACTCGTTGTCGCTGTCCTCTTCATCGTCAATGACGAACTGGGTGGTGTCGGATGCATCTGGGCCGTCGTGGTTCTCGACTTCGTGGCGCCTCCACATCACTTCAGTTTCGAAGATGCTTGACTCTCCCTCAACGTCGAAGATGACGGGTAGTACGCGTGCGAGGACACGGACACAGTTGAGCGCCTCCTTTGTCGTATTTCGATCGGCAAGACCAGAGCCTGTCTTCATGAAGGAAGATGCGAAGGCAGCGACGGAGGGTACTGCGGAGGAGGGGAATGTGTGGTCGGCGATGAGATTGTTGAGGCGCCCGACAGTGACACGGAAGAGGGTAGCGACATTCTCTGGAGCTTCGAGAAGAGCTCTGCGGACTGCGCTATGAGATGCAATAGGTACGGTTCACCAAAGGGCACTCACTGTCATTGGGTGCGATGAGGGAGAAGACGTCGGAGGGCGAGTCGAAGAGAACGAAGAAGTCGTTCCAGTACGCGTCGGAGTCTGGTATGTTCCGCACGCTAGCAAGCTTGGCGATGCCGCCTGGTTCACTGCGAAAGCGCAGCTTCTGCTCGTCGGGCAGCAAGCCAAATGGGACGGAGAGCTTGCGAGAGAACATGACAAGACGCGATCCGCTCTATGTGGCGTCTCGGCCTCCACGTCCATCTTGTATCTGACCGTCATCATCGCTATGCACCGCCTCGGCGGCGTCGGCATCGCTGCCTTTGAGCGCAGTGAACAATCGAAGCGCTCCTTCGCAGAACTATCATCCACGGTATCGCAGACGCAGGTTGCCGATCTCAAGTCCCAGCTTGAGCAGTTCCGTACCGCCCTCGCCCGTTTCGCCACACAGCACCGCGACACCATCAAGAACGATCCCAACTTTCGTCATGCCTTTCAACAAATGTGTGCTACTGTCGGTATAGACCCGCTCGCTGGCCCTCGCCGGGGAGGATGGTGGGCGGAGCTCCTGGGCCTCGGAGATTGGCAGTACGAACTCGGTGTCCAGATCGTCGACGTCTGCGTCAGCACCAGAACTCGCAACGGCGGCATGATCGACATGAGCGAGCTCGTTCGCCATGTTACACGTCTGCGCGGCCTGAATGCTGGCGCGGTCACCGAGGATGACATCGTCAGCAGCATCAAGACGCTTGAACCGCTTGGCGCGGGTTATCAGGTCATCGACGTGGGGGGGCGGAAGATGGTCAGGAGCGTACCGAAGGAGCTTGATCAGGATCAGGCTATCATCCTCGACTTGGCCCACGATACGGGTGGACGCGTCGTCGAAATCGATCTTGTTTCGCGCCGCGGGTGGACTCAAGAACGAGCGCGCGCTGCGCTTGAAAATATGCTTCTCCGAGATGGCCTATGCTGGCTCGACGACCAAGATCCTACATCGGGAAACGCATATTGGATCATGTCCGTCATGCAGTGGGAATGAGCGAGAGCCCTTGTATCTCGAACCCGACCTACACGGCCCGTTGTCGTGCGCTCTTCCTGAGCATGCTCGAGTCAGCGCATAGAAACATCTATCTGAACCATGGTATGGCTCTCCTTGACTGGTCAAGAAAGTTGGCAATTGATATCACTACAGGACGACCGTTGGTACTCCACTTCAGTCACTGAAGTGCGAAGTCCGGGATGCGTGAACGCTTGTGGCTGGAGGCGGTCGCGTACCGTGCTGTCAAGACGCGCATCACTTCAGGACTAGAGATCACATCCCACCCGTTTCCTCGCTGTGGCGACTGGCAGACCATGCGGCTTTCTGCAATACCAGCTAGTGGGAATTATTAGTCGTGCAGGAAAGCATTCTTACTGCGAAGACTGCCCCCCAGGGAAACCATACATTGTGTCTGAATCTCCGGCTAGTAGCTACGTTGTACTCCTTCATCGCAGGGATCGATCGATGTCAACTCCTTGTCGCGTACGCCATGTACACCATCATACGTATATGTCGATATTTGCTATGTTGAAGTACGCCTCGCCAAACGCGCTTGGATTGTTGTTAACCCGATCTATGCAGCTCCCAGGACAGCCGTCGTTGTTGTACACATTGCCTGCCCAATCGCCGCAAAACGTAAGGTTGATGATGATTCTACGCAAGCATCAAGAGTCAGGCGAAGACGCACGAGTAGGTATAGTTGCGAAGCGTACCTCAGGGCACCGAAGTGGCTCCCAAAGTTGCAATTTGTGTTTGGAAAGTACGCTTGCGGAGTTCCCTGCCGCAATAGTGACCCTTGAGCAATCTTGTGGCCCTCGAACGTTTGAATGACGCACTAGATCTCCGGAAACAATATCACTGCGCCTATCCCTAACCGCCGCAGGTACGCTGGGATCGTTGCGCGCCCAAAACCAGACGGAGATCGCAGTGCTCTTGCGCTCCGTCACAAACCAGCCTCCGCCATTCGCATTGAAGCTGGGGCCGTACGACAGAGGAGTCGACATGCGGACGCCGCAGCCTGCATTGCCATTCACGTTGACATTACAGTCAGATTGGGTGGGAGACCTACAATAGGCGATTAGCCGTATGCCCGGACGACGATGAAAACACTCACCCTTGCATGTCGCGCCCGCCAGGCATCGTGCAGCCCGCAGTGCTATGAAGCGTTGCCGCGTTGGGAGATATGTCATTGACGCCCTCAACGACGTCGATCTCGCCAGCGCCGGGCCAATTATTCACGTCCGCGTACCACATCGCAGGCCAAGTCCTGACTCATCATGTTAGTCGTCTCATCCCAGTCAACCGCGTCGCTGCGCTCACCCACAACCTTGAGGCATGTGCCGCACGTTGAAGCTGAGGATTATCCAGTAAGAACGAATATGAAAACCGCAAACGACACGCTTACACAGAAATATGGTTCGTGTATGTCTTCTTCGACTGTATGCGTACAGAATCGCGACCGGGGCCATTTGGTCTGAGGTAGGACCAGCTGTCCCCACGTAGGATGAACGTATCGCCTGCGAGGTTATCAAGAGGGTTCTGTGATCTAGGTCATGTCATCTCATACCTGTGGTATAGGTGAGATTCCTGCCCTGTGCGGTGTACATATCAACGTAGTTCACGCGTCCGTGCGTAGGGCTGAACAATCCGTCAGCGTGTAGTCGCATTACCAATCGGACGATGTGCCACTCACTCTGTGATGGCCTGAAAGTCGAAGCCACTGTAGAAGCCGCTGCCGACGTAGCTCTCTGAGAGATGATAAGACTTGGCGCAGGCATGGGCGAATATAGAAGCGACGAGCAGGAGAGCGAAGACCTTCATGGCCAGATACCTTCTTCAAGTGGCGATACAAGGAGCCCATCCTGGGAGCCCTCTTATATAGCGATATTGGACCTCTACACAGGGTAAAAGCCCCTCCTGGAAGAGCGTTGATTTCAGCAATAGCGAAGGCCAGAAGAAATGAAGCGAGGACTCGTCGAAGCATTACCGCGTGTGCTGTCACCCATTTTCTGACGCCTGAGGAATCTACCAGCCCCGTATCTCCTACGCGCTCACACTATTGCGGACGCCGCAGGAAGGAGACTGGCAGTCCGGGCTGATACTTGATGAGAGAGATGGCACTCGTGCCCACATGCCCCGCTTTTCGCGGAGGAAGAGGGTAAGATTCGCGAGACAAGGAGGACAAGGCGAACACCGGTCCATACAATGCCTGTGAGGATCCTCGCTATCAATCCAGTGAGCCCAGCGCGTGAGGAGCTTCGGAGGACAGGATGATCATGGTGATCCATAGCTATATATATATAATTTGGAAGTAGGTGATACAGCCCTTGGGTGTGTTGTCGGAAGATGCGACGCCCATGAGTTCAGAGAAGGCACGGTCCGACAGACCCGGCATAAGTATATCTCAGCATCATGGCGCGAATCAAGAAAAGATACGAGAGAAAAATCGAGGGGAGAGGAAACAACCTGAGACGGTTCCCAGTCGAAGATGATGTTGGCCGACAAGAATGATGTCGGGACTTGCCGTACTGCTCGTTTAGTCCCAAGTAGGCAAGAATGGCTGTGGACACGTGAAGCGCAGTGCGTGACCCACAACCCAAGATCAAGCAAAATCTCGTATAACTCAATAAGCTGACATGTAACGAGAGAAGACGTCCGTCATCACCTTTCAAAGCTTGTCAGCTGAACTATTTAGTAGGTGTCCGGCTTCCTCATGGCTCCCTAGGCTCTCTAAAGCGATGGCATCGCGCAACCTGAGTAGGATTTGACAACTACAAACAAATTCGCCAATAATACCCAAATAAATATGAGCAGACTTTCCAGTCGTCCCGGTCATGAGCAGCGTCACTTATCATACGCTCACGTGTAGAGATCGATGTTGGCTATGTCGAAGTACGCTTCGCCGAAGGCACTTGGGTTGTTGTTGGCGAGGTCTACGCAACTTCCCGAGCAACCATCGTTGTTAAACGTAGAGCCAGCCCAGTCACCACAAATCGTGAGGTTGATGATGATACTTAATGAATGATTCAGTATAGCTCTGGGTTCGCATTGAACGGACATACCGAAGAGGACCAAAATGGCTGTTGAAGTCGCAGTTCGTGTTGGGGAAGAGGGCTTGGGGCTCAGCCTAAAGACGGTGTCAAATACTCGCATAATGAAAGGTCGACTAGGGCACGAACCAGTTCCTCAGACAGCAATGAGTCCTGGCGATTCTTGATGCTGGCCGGTACATTGGGATCGTTGCGTTCCCAGAACCAAACTCGGATGGCGTCGTCCGTACGCTCCATGACGAACCATCCGCCGCCAACCGCATTGAAGTTCGGCCCAAAAGAGTTCCCATTGTTCATGCGGACGCCACAGCCAGCATTGCCGTTGACGTCGTGATTGCAATCGGACTGCGTGGGCGACCTGGCAGACCCATCAGCAAGAGTAGGCTATGATATCGCCGTTGTTACTCACCCGAACATACCCCGGTTATCGGGCATGGTGCAACCAGCAGTAGTGTGAAGGGTCGAAGCATCTGGCGTGACGTTGTTGACGCCTTCCAACACGTCGATCTCTCCAGCACCAGGCCAGTTGTCGACGTCCGCGTACCAGATCGCAGGCCAGGTGCTTTCAAGTCGTCAGCAAGTCTAAAAAGGGAGAATACGCTGGGAGCGTACCCGCAGCCTTGAGGCATGTGGCGCACGTTGAAGCTGTTGTAGAGTAAGTGTCCACCCTGAAGAATCGGTCGGAAAGGCTTACACAGCTAGATGGTTCTTGTAGAGGTTCTTCGACTGGATACGGACCGAATCACGACCAGGGCCGCTTGGGCTGAGAGTACTCCAGCAGTCCGTACGCAAGATGAAGGTATCATCTGACGGTGGAAGGTGAGCTGCTGGCGACGGAAGGGGATTCTGATATTCCATACCAGTGGTGAAGGTGAGGTTTCTCCCTTGAGCGGTCCACATGTCGACGTAGTTCACGCGCCCATGCGTAGGACTGTCAATGCTCGTCAACTACGAGGACATGGGCGTCAAGTATGCACGCTAAACTCACTCAGAGACAGCCTGGAACTCAAAGGCATCGTAGAAGGTATTGCCCACATAACGCTCCGACGCCGAATACAGCTTCGCGGAAGAAAGAGCGATGAGAGACGAAAGCACTGCGATGAACTTCATAGCGAAGAACTTGGCAGAGGGTGAGCGCTTGAGCAGAAGCTATCGAGGGTTGACACCTTTTAAGGGAGAGGGAACTATTGCCGGGCCCTTGCGCAGGGTGCGGGCACCAGTGCCGGGACCTGCGGCGTGATCAGAATAAGTCGTGGCCATCGAGATGATGCTCGCCTGGGTCCTGCGTTGCATGCGCATCGGCAGAGGCACAGACGCTCTTGAGCCCCTGGATGCGCCTGCGTCGTATCTCCAAAGCAAGTGTCGCAGGCTTATCCTTGTCGCTCTGGAAGATCGTTTGAGCTGAACAATGGTCGACGCGGCGACACGATACCGGGTAACGTCCCTACTGCGCGGGTCAGTGCATTCTTTCATCAGTAGGACTGTGCGTGTGAGTGGCCTATAGCAGTAGCGGCGACATGTCCCAGCTTCATTCTGAGAGGGAATTTCGTCGTTGACCTGAATCATCGGAGGGCAAGGTCCTCGGAGATCTTGTACCAGAAGCGGGCGCGCATCGCGCCTCACGGAGAGGGACACCGGCTCTGCGGCAAGATTTCTTGCTGGGCTTCAGGCATGCCAACTGAGCCTAGAGACGGGGCCAAGCTCACTCGATCGACGAGTAACCGTCTGCAACCACAAGGTCATATGCAACGGTAGACATGGACCTATCAATGGCTTCGATCAGTGTAATTGTGAGCTGAATACGACGCATTCAATTGGGGGTTGAAACACATGTGCGTGCCGGTCCGCATGTATCATTCGTGATTCGTCTACTCCTCCATCTGGCTAAGGTCGGGTTCCGACATGGTCATGTCCGGCTCTTCTACGCTCAGTGTAGGCTCGCTCCCATTCGTTTCTGCGAGTTCTAGGTTCAGCAAGTCGTCGAAAGAGGCAATAACAGCAGCTCACTCATTTCCGGTTCCTCTTCGACGCCCCCCGTCATTTGATGCGTCTTAAGAGTGACCGTCTTCACCTTCAATGTCCGCATATTGACCAGTACCACCATCCCCGTGCTAGAGAACTGCGGTACTAATACGATGCGGCATTGTCCATCGGAGGGCCCTGCTAGCCGAGTCGCGAATTTCTTCTGGTTGCCGATGATATACAGGTCAGGCGTATTTTGCAACACAAACGGCTCTGCGTGGAAGAATGGATGGCACCATAAGGTATCTGGGGCAGTCGGGGCCATGTGTCGCCAGCGTAGAGTCGCTTCAGCGATGCCTAGCCGCCGCGCCGGCGGTGACGGGAGGTATTTGAACATGTCGTCCAGCGGCTGTCCGGAATGCACGAGAAGCTGCCGCTTTCGAGGACCGGCGGCAAGGTCGATGAAGGTTGGGTTTGTCTCGCACTTGAAAGTAGAGAGTTTGGATACCATGCCGAACATTCGTCGTGGCAAAGGTTGTTGAGGCATGATTGCGCCGGAAGGATCGTTTGCGCCGGGTAGTAGGTGAATAGGCATTGACCGCCCGATATCGAGAAGCGTAGCCGAGAGACTGAGGGTTGGATGTGGCGAGAAAGTCGTCGCATCGTACCCGAAGCGTCGCTGAAAGATCCCCGTCACTGACTGATACCCAGCTAGAACAAGCTGACTCACTGCTTTCCTCTCGTCGGTGACCTCTTCCGTGACGAGGACGGTCGACAAGGAGTCGCCAGCGATCACGAGACGGGAAATCTGAGACGCGGATATGGTATCGTCCAAACCACCACCTTCGCCAGTCAGATACTCGACCAGCATTTGCAGCTGGGCGTCCGCCGCGGAAGGGGCGCCAACATTCAGTCCTGAAACGAAGGCAACATAAGAGTCTTCCTCTATTAAACGCGTCGTCGTCAGCATGCACTCGCACGTCAAGTGCAACTGGCTACCTTCGACTTCCATCGCCGCACTGTCGTCCTCCTTCGGGTATGTTGGAGGTGGCATCTCCGCGTAGCATATATCGACGACTTCAAAGTCGCCATTGGGCGTCTCGACGCCAAGCGCGCCAATAATGACACCTGTTACAAGGGGTGCAGCCGTTACGCGAGCGCCAACCAGGCGGATGCGTCCTGATTCGTCCTCGAGCATAACATGGTCTTCTTTGGAGCATATCTTCGGTGGCGGTGGCGGAGGTGCAATAGAGTGCTGGTGAAACAGGAGGGTAAATAAGGGTCATCATAATCGCAGGTTGACATCCGAGTTCAAAAGGCCAGTCAGTAGATAATCCGAAGCGGAGGACCAGCACATACATCACGGGCAATATCCTCCATCACGCTCGGCTTGAGAGGCATTTCCATGTAAACAGTTCCGACAACATAGCAGAGTTTCGCTTTAGAGACTTCAAGAACGCGAGGGATGTGCACGGGGCTGCCTGTGATGCGTGAGTGGACGAGCGTCGTAGTACCAGTCGAGTTCGGCACCATCAAGATCTTTCCACTTCCGTTGAGCGTTCTCAATAACAGCGTCTCGTAGAGAGTGCAGTCGAAGATAGTAGATGTTTGCATATTGTTTGTGGAATGACTTCTCGTTGTCGGGAATCAGGAACGAAGTGCCTTTCGAGGGCAAGACCTGGGTGTCTTTCCGTGTCGATGTGGAAGGTATGGCTCTATAGAACGCGTCAATAATCTGATCTGACCCGCGCCAAAGAGCGAGCGCGTACAGTTCCTCGATGGCCATGTTGTATTCGGTGCAGACAGTGAGGTCAGGTCCAAGAGCAAGACGCGCGACGCGTCTAATGATCGGTCACAGTGACACAACGCGCTCGTGACGAATTCGCCATGTGGCCTGTGGCTGGCCCGGGTCGTCGTCTGCGGGGACGCCTTCTCAGACTCCGCTCCCGTCTCCCGCCATGGCCGGCCCCAATCTTGAGGTGTTCAAGTTCTCCATGTACCTCTTCATTCCCATCTTTGCGCTGGTGCACTTTGGGGACCCCGAATGGTACCACAACCATGTCCTTCCGGTACGCTAGCCCCTGCTCGGAGCGAAGGGAAGAGTGCGCTTACAGGGGGCTGCAGTACAGAGCAAAGCTCTTCCCGCCAGAGGAGAAGACAAACATTGTGCGTTTAATGTACGCTATGCTCTGACGCTGCCCTGATACGACATTACCCTTCCAGCTCTTCCCCAAGGACCAGACTGGCATTCGCGAAGAACTCGAGCGCTTAAAGGCAGAGCGGAAGGCCAAGACGGAGAGTCGCAAAGACCAAACACAGGATGCATGATCGGATATCTACTTAGTGCGTTCCCTCATACTCCTATGTATGCGATCGCTCATACCTCCCAGCTGCTCTTCCGGGCATTCTATCGGTGTACTGTGTACAATATGCATCACTTCTCAACCCTAATGACCCTTCCCTGATCGTTCAGAACATCCCACGAACCTCCCTCTGCCAAGTCCGCTGCAACTTCTTTGCGGTACTCCTCCATCTCTGCCAGGGAAACCTTGAATCCACCGCAGACGATAAATACGACCGTCCGATCAGCTGCATTCTGCCCAGGCCTCGGAGGTACGAGCTCGTTGAATAACTCAGGCTTGTATGCCGCGGTGAGGGTCGCGCCGCACGCCAGTTCGACCAATACTTTGTGCTCATCTGGATGCATCATCCCCAACCGTTGACTGCACAAGCAAGTGGGGAACTCACCAGCAAATCTAACGCATGCCTGGACTGCAAGTGCGTCGGGCACCGAACTGGTCCTTACCCCTCCGGCATGTTCGAGCGCCATCTTGACGACTTGCGCTGCCGGCTGCGAAGCCCCCAAAGACCCAGATGCCCGCGAAGAGAAGCTGTGGAAGTGGGCGAGTTTAAGGCCAGTCCCCTCATCCTGCACCACTGTCACATTATCAGGTAAATGCAATGGCTCGTCCGTCGCTGATGTCCTGTTCAATGCCACAGAGTAATGGAAGCAGTCCGAGCCGTTGGTCTCCATCGTGCGAACGCATACTATAGGCATAATGAGCTCGGTGATTTGTCTAGGGTTTTCGAGTGTGCTTACCGTCATCCCAGCCATTCTTCTTGCAGCCCACAAGTATTCCGCCGAGCATGCTACCTCCGCCGACGCTGCAGAAGATCGCATCCGGCTTTGTCTTCAGTTGCGCGGCAAGCTCGCCGACTATGCTGGCATGGCCCTCCCACAGTATATCGTGGTCGTACGCGGGCACGGCGATACTGTCGTTTCGTCAGTAGAGAACACCGTGCCAAGCCATGGTAAGTACTCACGCATGCTCTTCGCTTGCCGCTGCTTCCTGCGCGGCTTTGAAGGCTTCCGCATAAAATCTACCCGCGATGACCACTTTCGCGTTCTGGGCCTCAAGCAGGTCGACCGTGTTCTGTGCAGCTCCCTCTGGGAGGTACACCGTGCACTTCACGCCCAGGATGTTCGCGGCGCACGCCGCCGCAAGGCCTGCGTTGCCACCCGATGCGATGATGGCGTGCGTGTTGGGCCCATGCTTCTGCTTTGCCCACTTCACGAAGTGGGATATCCCCCGATACTTGAACGAGTGGCTGGGCTGTAGATACTGCGATATGGTTAGCACAGAAGGAAAGGGGGAAGTGATCCATTGGCTCGAACCTCCAGCTTTAGATACGCCTTACAGCCCAGTGTTCTCGATATGTACGATGAATAGATCGTTGGCGTCTCGCTCCATATATTCTCTTGCTCTGCGGATGCCATGGTAGTGGGAAGCAAGAGGTAGAAATGAGTCAGTGTCCAGTCAGCACCATCCTATCTGGCTACCCCGGCGGCCAAAAACACCTCCCGCCGGCAATAGCGCCCACTGATCCGCGGGGAACGCGGACGGGATTTCCCCCGCACCGGCGGACCGGGGGCGGGAGAAATACCCGCAACTCCCGCGTTACTCCAGCAGAAGTCCAGCGTGACACCCGCGTCACTCCCGCTACCTTGACCCATTGTTCGCGCTTCTCCATGATGATCGTCTCATCCGTCGCTGCCGGGACTCGCATTTATACACTTGTCCATACGGTCTCTACATAATCCACCAAGAAAACTCGGTCTTGAAATTGAAGCATCATTATCCTTCCTTGCTCAGTGCACTGCCCGCGCGGCTGCTCTTGGCTGGAAGCTCTTCCCGATATCCTAGATTTGACTTGCGGCTCATGAGTGATGTGGTATCCGCCCCTCAGCCATGCTCGGAATCGAATTTGGGCGAGTTCAGAACACGAAAAAAGGCCACCAAGGCAAGTGTATTTTACGCGCCTGCTACTCCCACTGGCGGACTGACAACATCATCCAAGGCTTGTCGGTATCACACTTGCGTTGCTTACGGTGTGTACTGTCATTTGATCCCTTTGCAGGGAGGGTGGTGAGGCGCCGCTTGCTTCGCTAGCGTGCCAGCCGCCGCAGATGTGTGAGATCCTCGACTTGATGCGTGGCGCGCAGTGGCAGCGGTACGCACGCCTCGCGTGCTAAGCGTACTGAGTGTGTAAGACGATGCTAGCTTCTGACTATCGTTCTCAGAATTGTAACAGCGCCTTGGAAGTGGAGACTTCGATAGGTTATTGAGGTGAGTACGCAATTCAGTGTCTCAAAGGGTGCAGACGCACTTGCGATGCGGCTGTGTCGATCTGCGCCGGCAGCAGTCCTGACTGGGCAACACGGGAGTGCTGCTGGAGTGCTGCTGGAGTGTTGCTGGACCATCGCTGGAGCAACGCGGGAGTGTTGCTGGAGTCCAGCTGGAGTTTTGCTCGAGCTGCTGGACTCTTGCTCGACTCTTGCTCGACTCCTGCGGGACTCTTGCCGGTGTCTTGCGGGCCTTGCTGGAGCTCAGCTGGAGTTGATTTTTGCGCGTTTGAGGCGTGGCGAGCGCTCTGAAGATATGATAGCCATATACACTAACACTCCAACGACGCTGGGCTGGATTTGCTGACAATGCCTGACACAGGTTCGGCCGCACCCTTGGGACACCGAGCCGTGATAAACTGCGCGACTGGCGCGCAAACGAACACGGAGTGCGAACGGGCCCTGTAGCCCAGCACGATGCCTCTATCATGCTTGTCTTGCCGCGTTTGCGACTCACCTCTTCCTACGTGGGCATTGGTCGGTTCTGTCCGTCCGCTTGTTCGCCGGTGAGCGCCAGGTCTATGTTAGCCCAGACTTTAGACCCCTACGTGGTTCGGAGGTGAGCTTTTCTTTTCCGCGCGTGCTTTATCCGGTGTGCCGCGCGCGCTGTGCCACTCAACCCCTATCCTTCCGATCTCCCTGCTCTTTTGTGGCGCAGCGGGGTTTTCGGCATTCTCGCTTGACGACACTCTCCCTCCTCTGCTGTATGCTCGTCTAATGCTACATCCAGTTCTTGTATAATTCTACATATATTTTGCCCAGTATGGCTGTTCGTGGTGGTTTTTGCTCGCTCGTTTCATGACCTGACGGCAATACAGAATATTTTGAAGAATATATGGAGACTGCTTGTTCAACTACAAGAACCGCCACCGCCTCCACGCGAAACCCCCATGTTCTTCCCTTTCCAATTGCCTATGGGTAGTCAGCGTCAGTCTCCTCGAATCTAGCTCACGTCTTGCAAAGTTATTGATGCGTGTTTAGTCCTGCCCACATATACTCCGGATGGTGCGTCATCTCGTGTGGTGTTGCAGGCGTCGAATTCATAAGTCCCGGACAGGCCAGATCACCGGCTTTCGAGTCGCTTCAACAGATGCCTCTACTATGCGATCAGCAACTTCAACATCCACCGCCGAGTCTTATCCTGCTCATTCCTATCCGCCCCCCTCTTATGGTGCTGCTCAAGGAGCGACCACTACGATCACTCCAGCGCTCGGCGAGGAATTATATGTGAAGCAGGCTGATGGGCAGTTCATTCCTTATAATTCCCGACCTCTTGTCAATGCGCATCAACAAGCCGCCTTCAGCTCTGCAATCGCCCCTCAGCCAGTCCAGACAATCAACCCCGCGGTAACACCCGCATGCGCGTCCATTCCAGCACCCGCACTCGCATCTGCCCCAGCACCGCCCGCTCCCACCCTCGCACCAGCGCTGTCCAGCATGGTTCCTCTCTCGAGCGGCCCTGCTATCAGCGCTCAACCGGACAGTACCTCCTTCGCAGCAGCGGCGAGCGGAGCAGGAGTTGTCCAGTCTGCAGCGGCTGGAAAGACTCCTAGCGCGGCATCTATGGCGACGCCAGCCGTGCCTCATCTTGCAGACTCGCGGGTTGGTGCGAGGTCAGCGACCGACGTTGTGCCCGAAGGGCGTGTCTCCCGTACCGCTGCCGCTACACCATTGGCTGAATCCTTCGCATGGGACCCTTTCATCGACGGATATCAGGTCCTCGAGCTGACCCTGGATCAGCACGAATCTTGCAAAGCTCAGGTTCACTGGGCGATGCAGACTGGTGGTGGTCCTACCTCGGAAAAGCAAGGAACACAGACAAGCACAACCTGGGAAGGCGGCTTCTATCGCCGCAGGCGATGCTTAGGTGCGATTCACTGCAATAATCCGAACTGCTCGCTCGTGGGTCGCCCAGCGACTGAGAAGGCGGTGACTGCTAAGCGTGTCGCCGAACTCTGTCGCTGCGGCTCATCTCGGCGGCTCATCCCTTGCGATGTTGAGCTCAGGAGCTGGCAGTATCGTGATGGCGTTCATCTGGTGCATACTGGAACCCACCACCACGGCCGCCCTCTTCCAATTCACCTTACTCAATCGCAGCGGATCGAGCTCTTCGACCAGTTCAGCAAAAACCCCGATAAGGGTCCCCTTGCACTAGCGGTGGGCCATTCTGGCCAGGATGGCGTCACCAGCATCTCCCCGCTTCTGCACAATCTATCGAAGGTCAAAGCTGAGAAGCGTGAATACAAGCGCGAGAACACGGCCTCATTCCCTCGCGAGTTCTCTCAGTTTGACACCGAGAATCCCGGCGTCATTGTGGCCAGCCAGTTCTCGTCAGAGATGGTCATCTCGATGCAGACACCCTATATGCGCCAGCAGCTCGTTCGCGTGCACACCCTCGCCAGTACAGTCAACGGCATCGTGACCGACGCAGCTCACAAGTTCTGGCGTGAGAAGAATACTGTGCTTATCATCAGCTCCGTCTACAGCGATACTCTGCACCGGTGGATACCCGCCCTTATAACGTACGCGAACGGTCAGACGGCTGGGCATTATGCGGTCCATTTCGAGACGCTCTTTCAGAGCATGCAGGAGGAATGCGCTATCCAAGGCCGGATTCTTGAGGATGATATGCTTGCAAATGTGTGTGTCTTCCTTTTCTCATTGGAACTCGTCTCACGCTGAATAGGTTGTCGACTTCAGTGAAGCGCAGCGTCTCGGCTTCATACAAGCGTACATCGCCTTCCGCGCCAACAATGTCAATGACCTAGACGATGAGTTCCTCGTGAAAGAGCTGGAGGGCAGGGCGGAGCGCCTTCTCAAAGGCTGCCAGCAGCACTTTCGAGCGCAGGTTACTCGCGTGTCCGCTATCAGCGGGGTGGTCAGCGCAGACCAACGGGAGGACTTCAAGCGTCGCGCAGGATTCCTGCTTGACGTCAACTCGTACGAGACCTTCCAGGGGCTTGCCGATGACCTCCTTCGCGATTTCCCGAACATCAAGCCCTGGCTGGAGTGGTGGATGCGCCCTGTGCACGCACAGATGCTGTTCAGGTGCGACCGGGTCATGGACGAAGGTCTGTGGGAAGCAATACCCGACACAACAAATGCGCAGGAGTCCCTACATCACAAGATGTACACCGCCCTAGGCGCTGGTAACTTCTCGCTCCTGGACGGTCTTCGCTCCCTTCTGCGGATGGCGCAGTTCTTCGAGGGACAGCATAGTCATGTTGAGCGTACGTTCATGCCTTGTCTCGACGTTGGTCAATTGGTCACTGATTTATCACTACTAGAAGGAGGGAAGATTACCTACGGTGACCCCGAGCCTTGGAAAACGGCTAAGGCGGCCGATGGCCTCTCACGAAGGGCTCGAGTCCGTCTGAAGGAGCTCTTGAAGAAAAAATCCAGCAAAGACCGGCGTGAGAAGGCTCAGCTGGCGGTCGCCTTGCGCACCAAGCGTAGGCCTCTGGCGCACCCACGTAATGATGGACGTCCAAAGGACACGGCAAAGCAGCTCATCCCGCAGCGCGCGCAGACGCAGGGCAGCAACCTTTCGATGTTTGACGATGCTTCCACCGACTCTGCCGCTTCAATCACTGAATTCGATTCGCCCGCCCTGTCGCCTTCTCCTGTCTCCAGTCAACATCGCTCTGCTGTCCCGGACGAGCTTGCCGGCCTCCGGTGGCTGTCTAATTCATGCTGGTTAGACGCTGGTCTTCAAGCTCTGTACTACGCCATCACTTGCAGCGACCACTTCAATACTAGCTTCGTCCCTCGTGTCGACCAACGGCTTCTACCTCATAGCGAGTCGTCACCTATACATGAATTCTTTCGGCTCATCATCGATCGATACTCCGCTGAGCACAGTGGAGAGGATACCGTCCAGAGCCGCGCCGAGCTGGAGCAGCGGTTGGACAGCCATACTGCTCAGTTCACCAATCGCCGTGATCTGCTTCGTTCATCCCTTGTCCAGTCGGGGACTATTAGCGCCTCAGACAGTATATTCTTCCCTCTTGTAAGCCACAAGTCTGTCTTATTCAAGCAGCTAACTCACCGCTGCTCAATAGCCATGGCTTTGGACCGAATTGCGCCAGCATGCGTCACTGATTGGCCCCCCATTCTCTCGCGGGGGAATCACCGCGCAACACACGTACTTCGCCTCCGCGTCCTACAAGTTCCGGCGCTGCTCTGGCGCGGTTAAGGGAGCAAAGCGCATGCCCCACTACCAACTGGCGCCTCATCCGCGACTGAGCTACCATATTGAACTTCCGAATAACCGCGCCGATGCTGCACGCTACGAATTCGACATAAGTCGCGTCTTCAAAGACTTTCTCAAGCTCCCGACGAAGCAGCCGCACTTCTCGGACAGCAGCCCATGCTGGCGCAAGCGCGATGATGATCTCTTATGCGAAGGGGCAACTTGTACAGATCCGGACATTGTTCTCTCCATTCCGGTCGTGTTGGCTGTGACACTGAACGGCGTTGAGACGGCCGCTACCAGATGGAGTGTTCCGGAACATCTGTACCCCCATACTCGTAACACAGAGGATCAAAGCCAAGGCCTCGTCTACGACATCGTCAGCATGATCTGCTTCGAGCGCAAGAAGGAGCATTACTGGGTTTTATTTACCCCGGACGGGAAGGCGGTCTACAAGCATGATGGTATGCACCACCGTGGGCGATCAATCCTGCTCCCTCACGCCACGGTCGGAGATACTCTTGCAAAGACCATCGATATCACACCTGCCAGTGACGTCTGGCCCCAGCAGATCATCTACCGCCTCCGCGGGGGATCCACCGCGCAGCAGCTCTTCTACAACCGACGTGTTGACGCCCTCGAAAGCGCTGTTCCAGACATCATCCTTTCCCAAGCTAGCGGACCGTGGCCGGAGTCGATCCTCTCCGATTCTCCCCCACATCTGCCTTATCTTCCTACTGCAACTATGCATGAATCCCGGTTCCGCCGTGTTCCCCTAGCGGAGCAGGATTGGAGGGTGCCACAGCGCATTCTCGTTGGTGATGGCGAGGTACTGGAGTATTCTGAAGACCCTTTTGGTGCATTCTGGGAATATGTGCCCGTTGCGTCTGTAGATCATTCAAGTGCGTGCCCGCTCCATTGTTTCCAAGTTCTGGTTCTGGGGTATCTGACCACCTGGTCCAGGTTCCTCGCCGGTGAAGGCAGCAAAGCGACGTCGCGAAAGCACTGCATCTACGGTGGTGACAGCTTGCGATGATGGAGATACAATATTGCCGCCGCTGAACAAGCGGTCCCGCCCGTTGACTGCTGGCCACGAACTGGCTGAACCTGCTGTCAAGCGCGAGAACAGAAGCGCTCGGACGCGGAAGGATGAAGCATCATCAACAAGCAGACATAGAGCACGCGCTTCTGCGATGTCGAGCAAGTCTGTGCGGGTTGTCGCCAAGAGCGGACGGGTGAAGGACCCCGGAGCAAGCTCAAGTCCTCGGCCTCAAGCCGGCGATGAGGCCTCCGAAGTTCAGGCTGGAGATCCTCCTGCAGCGCCTTCTTTAGATGCCTTCACTGGCGCCAATTCCAAGCTCCCATCCGACACGTCAGACACTGGCGACGAAGAGCAGAGCAGGATGTGCTGTCGATGCGGGCTCACAGGCGATGCAGATGAACTACTGGCTCGTGCGGACAGCGTCAAGCACGGCCCAGTAATTCAGTGCGATATATGTCGCGCCTGGTCCCACATGGCTTGCCAGCGGGACGGATTTGCTTCGCTTCTCCAGCGTTCACAGTCATTCAAATGTGACAACTGTTCGCTGGCTCCTCTGCTTCCGCAAAGGTGAGTGTTCTCTTGCTTGATGGCACGCGCTTGGTCTCATGGGTTAATACCTTAAGCAGCTCAAATGAAGGTGCCTTCTATGATGGCCTGAAAAGCAAAGCCAAGAAGCGTGGAGGCGTGAAGTCTCGTCTCACGTGAGTGTCTGACCAGGTGGATTTATGAGATACTCATCGCCAAGGGGCAGAATCGGCCAAGGCTGTCTTATTAGAGACAATACTCAGAGCGTGTTCTGGTATCCCGCTCGCATCATCGACTATGACTCCATGCGCATGGAGTGGACTGTCATGCTTTGGCGTGGTCGCCACTTCTGTCCGTCCGAGACTAAGCGCGGTCTCTTGCGCACAGTGGCGCTCCCGAACATTGTGGATGAGCTCTGGCAGCAGCGTGAGGAGCGGCGCAAGATACGAGTTGAGCCGCCTGTTATTCATCTTTTACTACATGGAGAGCTAACATCCCAATTTATCGTGCTCTAGCTTGGTAAATGGCAGCCAGGCTGGGAGTCTCTTGACGCAGAGGACATCATCACGTCTTTCAGAGACTTTCCTTTCACCACCGCCATCGACAAGGTTTTAAAGCCGCATCGAGCTCTCTTGACTGATATGCTGCTCGATGGCCTAGATAGCTCGAGCGCAGCGGTGCAGGCATCGCCTTGCATGATATACCTAAAGGAACAGAGCATGCAGAAGTCACGAGTAAGCACGCTTCCAATCCGAACTTTCTGACATCGACTTGAGACATCTGACGCCACTGTACTGCAGGACAAGTTGACAATTGCAAAGGGATCCATACCGCTTGAAGGACCCCTTTCACCAGAAGAGCGTGCACGCATAGCAAACTGGATCTGGTGCATGGTTCCTGGCGCACAGGAGGGTTTGTTGGCGCTCGAATGGCTTGGGAAGGCTACAATGGCGCATGCCGAGCTTCTTGTCATTGCCGCTAATAGGCAGATATCCTTGGAAGATGCTTGGTCAGCCAAGAAGACGGAGCGATGGAGCAGTAGAAGAGCGCAGTCCGCTGTTGATGTGGATTTGGAATGCCTCCGAATCTTCGAGCGTAAGCTCTTTGAGAAATCGGAGGCGTCCGGTCCTGCAGGCAACTGGCAGTGGGGCCTTGATGCGGGGCCGCACCAGCATGGCTGGAACCCTGATATGGACTACACACAGTGCAAAGGAACTTGGACGAAAGGTGATACGGAGGAGGATGAGCTTGACCGGCTGGTACGTTCTCTCGAGCTATCACTTCGCTCTTATACAGAACTAAGATACCTTATCCTAGCCCGGCGACGGCTGGAAAGATGCTTCCGCAGCCGAGCTGCAGTGCGAGCCAGCCCCAAAGAAGTTGCGGCGCTCGGGCAGCAAGCCAACTCAAGGTGTAACGCTCCCACTGCCTGCCTTCAGAACTACAAGGAGTCGTACTAAGGGTGAGCAAGTGTAGAGATTAGAAGATATACTATATCGCGATGTACAAAGATTGTTGAATACTTTACAACGGCAACAGCCCATGAATTGGAGGGCGCGTGACAATCACATGACAATCACATGAGCTGTACATACGGACCCACATGCTCGAGATCAACTATCCGCGGGTTGTCGCGAAAGGCTGTCGATTGAATGAAAAGTGAGGGTACATATAGTTATAAGAGGTGCTGGCGCATCCTACTGAAAGGTTTACAACCTGTTTGAGGCAAGAGAACTTCAGGAGTTCAGTCCTGCACCCGTCGTGTGTGTGCGTGTGCATTCGATTCCGTTCCCAACGGTGAGTTGATGTCCAGTTATAGTCTTTGGAATAGAGCAGATCTGTATATACAGCCCACAAGATACCACTGAAAGGTGCGAGTAACATGCTGAGATATCTTATGGTGAAGATTCCTGGGGCACAATTGGAACTCGTAGCGGAGTCGTAACTCGGACTTGGTGGAGGCGAGTTCTGGCCTGATTCTCTAGGTGGTCCTTGTCAGAACAGGTAGGTTACTGCAAATACTGATAGAGGAGGTCAGACTCTCCATGTTTCTGACTACTAGGATCATTCATTCGACAGCCCTCCTCTGAACGTCGGCCAGCAAGTTGCGTGTGGCGTGGGAAAATGAGACACGCTACCTCTCCAGTAAGCAGAGCACTTTGGCGAAAGTTCTTTAGCGAAAGGGAAAGTCATTTATCTGCAGACCTAATGCACACATTTGGGGAGGGGAGGTATGCGCTTGCAATCGACACGCTATTACATCAAGAAAAAACTATCTACTGCAAGTTCAATCTCATGCTTTCGATCGTCGTAAGCGACGACTTGTACCTACGGAGGCGAGCAGTGCGAGATCACGATCTGCACTACGCCTCATCTTCTTGGCCGGCTTCTGATTCTCGCTCCCTTCGCCTGTCTGAACTGCGGTCAACTCCAGGTCTGACTCCGACTTGCGCTTTGAAGGCGGCAAGGGTGTTTGCTTATCCACGCGTTGCACATCTGCTGCGGGTAGGCCATGCTTGCGATTCCCGTGCGCGGAGTATAGCGCAGTGGAGATAGCCAGTAGGCGACGACGCTGAATAAACTGGGGAACACGGGGGTCGCGCTCGCACACCATGAAGCTGTAGTACATGGTCAGATTGACAGACAATAGGTGCCAGTCGAAATTGAACGTACAACTGCGACTTGCCACTCCGCACTATGCGCGCCACTCCGCAGAAGTCAAGGGGGCCGACCGTGTACTTCTTGTAGTGGTACTCGGTGATGTACTGAATCAGGCGCGTCTGACGCTGTTGTCCCTCGAACTTGAACCCGGTCTTACTCCCCTGCACCGGCGCCAAGGGATCCTGGTAGAAAGAGCGCCACGTGGTACCATCGTCAGGAGCGACAACGGCGGTGCTGGATCAATTGGTCATCATGAGAACATCGACTAAGAAAGAGGTACAGACGACTCACCCAGCTTGGCCTCCTCGCCTCGGTGGGAGCGCACTATTGCCGGATGTAATCGCCAGTTTGCGAGCACATTCTACATCATGTTGTCGCTTCTGTTGGTCTGCGAGCGCTTGAGCATCAGCAGCAAGCTTCCTCCTTGCTGCCGCAACACGAGAAACATCCAAGGGATGTCCTGTGGGCATACTAAGATGGGGATATGCCGGTATACATGACCAGAAGTCGCAGTTGAAGTTGTAGACTTCAGTGCGGAGACGACAGTCGGTGTTGCGCGCGTTGGAAAACAGAGTGTCGTAAAGGTCCATGTTGAGCCATGCACGCAAGGCAGAGGGCTCTTTATGAAGGAGTAATCAGTGAGGCTTCCATTACGATGGTGATAGACACTCGTACCGCGACCATGCTCGCGCAGCCAAGCGACCTCTGCCGGATTGTTGAACAAGCGCCATATTGGATTTGCGGTGGAGATACAGTCAGAGGGCAGGCCTGCGTCAAGGCATAGACGCCGCCAGTGTTCAAGCCCAAAAATGACTGCGCCTAGATTGCAGGAGCCTGCCAGCTCCAGAGCATGGCGAACATAGCTGGGCTCGAAGGGATCGTGGGGGCATTGGTCGCGGGTCCGTAACCAACTTCTGACGACGTCAGCATGAGGCGTCTCCTGCATAATATCATCAGGTGGGCGCCGGGACGCGTACAATAAGGGAGCTCACGCTTCGCTCAGCATTCGCTTTGGCCCAAAACGCCTACCATCCAGTGCTTAAGCAATATCCCGCCTTCAGAAGAAGCGGAACATACCATGGCGTCTGTTACAGCAACTCCATAACGGTGCGTGACACCTACCGCATCGCATCCATAAACGCGAAGACAGCCCTGCTCATAAGCACGACGATCGCGCTTGGCGTCGACAGCGAGCAGGTATCCATGAAGGTAAGGTCGGATGAACGCCCTATAAACCGTGTCAGACTGAACGACGAGGTAAACGGCAAAAAGACGAACTTCATGCGCGGATGCGCATCCACTACGAAATGATAGTATGCAGAGATGAGACGAGCCAGGCGATCCGGCTCGTCGCACAGTTCCTCCTCAGTCAGGTTGGGTGGCAAACCTATGGCTCGTTAGCTGAAAGATCACCGGGATTACGAAATGAACCGACCGGCAGAGAACCACACCTCCGACGTTGTGTAGACGCCAAGCCCAGGGAAGAGTGGGGTCTTGTCCGGATTCTGAGCGCTTCGCAAGGAGTTGATGGCCGGATGTTGTCGCTCATGTGCGCTATGGCAATGACGGCGCTCATGCACCCACGCAGCGATGTTCTGCAGCAGGACTTCAAACTGGCCATCCTTTCGAACGTCGAGAACCTTGCGCGGAAGATCCGCCCGACGGCGCGCCCAGTGAAACTATCTAAGGGTGAGTAGGCGCACCATGAGTGGGAGATGTGAGACGCACCTGAGTTATGTTGTCGAGAGAATTAAACGAGAGAACGTGGTTTGCAAACCGAAAGGCAAGAGAGACGCGAAAGCCGCGCGGCTCCACTCCCTAGCAGATGTGAGATAATTGGAAGAAGTGAAAGGAAGTAGCATGCGCACCTTCTCTGTCCGACAAGGGATCTGCATTACCGCGTTGTCCCATTCATCAATAGTGTAGATCTGCGTGAGCGTGTGCTGAAAGAGCTGAACCTAGAAAGCGATTGAGGCGCCACAGAAATATCATCATATACCGTCTACGCACCTCGCACCATAGCTCATCTCCATTAGCAGCAGCGAACGAGAGGATGAGCGAGCGCGGCGTTGCTTCCGCTGACTGAAGAACAAGGCCATGCTGACTGATGGGGATGTTGGAAGGATCCCTATATGGCGTTGGGTATAAGGAAGTTTGGCTGACGCGCTGTCCGCGGACGACAGTGGAGCTTGACTGAAGCTCGGTGACATGCCCTTGTCGAGCTCGAGAGCCCGCCGGCGCACGTTTGCCCTCGCCAATGGTACAGTCATAGTATAGCGCTAGGACGGTGCGGTTCGACCCGTCTTCGTTCGAAATGAAGATAGTGACCTTCACTTCGTCGGTGACGCATTCCCGGATCTCAGGCATGGTGGTCAAGGTCAAGGATCACACAAACAACCACGTCGCGTCCTCTCGATCATGCATGTGACCGCGCGCGTCAACGTCAACTCGCCCCGACAATATAAGATACTGATTCCCTTGAAGCTCGAAAGCCTCAAGGGTGGGCTCACAAAACGATAGTTTACTGGACTTGCGGGAGCTGTGAGGTCCACGAGACTTCGCCATCTCCTCCCGACGGCGACCTCACCACTATAGCCGCTTGTACGTACTTTGGAGTACCACGTTACTACCTATAGGCGCTTGTCGCACCTTCGTAGCCCAATTTACTTGCCCGGATCCAGCTGCTGGAGCTGTGCTGGTCTGCTGCTGGACCTCTGCTGGACCTCTGCTGGACCTCTGCTGGACTCGTGCGGGAGCCACGCGGGAGTTGCGGGAGCGCTGCGGGTATTTCACCGGACCCGGCGGACCGGACACGTGTCCGACGCGACGACACCGCGATCAGGACTTGGGTGCGCTTCACCGCTACGTCCAGCGCTCGCCATGCATCTTGCCTGGCTGGCACTTCTCCCGCTCGCGAGGGCGGTGCAGCCCTCCGTGAATGACACCCTGCTATGGGGTGCATATAGGCCCAACCTGTATTTTGGCCTGCGACCGCGCATCCCGCAGTCGCTCATGACCGGTCTCGTCTGGTTTGGTACTCAGGATTATCAGTCTGTCAGCAGTGCGTTGCGCTTCACATCTCTCTTGTAACCTTACTTACTGCTATAGGGTCCCGTCACGGATGCGACCAGGGCGATGGACTCGCGGGCTACACCTGGACGGAATATGAGCCCCGCGAGGGCGGCGTCCAGGTCATCAACGACACTCCGAACAACGTCCGCATCACGACCGAATTCATCAAAGTCGCGGGGGGAAACAATGGCGGCAGCTGGGCTGCACGAGTGAAGGGGGAACCACTCGACCCGAGTACGTGTCAGGTTTCGTCGCACCGGGCTATGGCTAATGCTTCGCGCGCGCAGACATCCCCTCCCGCATTTCTACCATTTTCTACATGGGACTGGAGGGCCTGGGGGGCATTGACATGGTCACTGACGAAGACGAGAACGTACGTCGCACGGTGTTGACTGCATGCAGCGCATTAATTTCAGCCTAGGGTCTCGAAGGCGATGTCGAGTTCACTGGCACTTCCCCTGAGCTAGACGACTTCACCATTCGCATTGTAGAAGGTAGGATCCCCAACTTGACCTACGTGTGCAAGTTCTGACGGTATATTCCAGGACCGGACAACCAACACGTCTCGAATGGGCGCCACGCTAGCGCTTTCGAGGAGCGGATTGGCAAGAGCCATTACGCAGGTCTTCCCATCCCCGCTGGCAACATATGGCAAGCTAGAGGTACGCGTCTCGCTCCAGGGCCTGCAAGCAACATGCTCAGTTGCTATCAGAAATTCTGGTCCAATCCATCATTAAGCGCGCAAACGAAGTTCTCCAGCCGTACAAAGACCCCGCAGTCGGCGCACCAGACCCATCTTTCGTGCTTCACCTGAACGATGAGGCTTTCAGTGGAAGCAACCTCTACGCCGTGCAAAAGCTCTTCGACGGTCCCTTCCAATTTGACGTGTTCTACGAAAGCGCGAGCGCGAAGCAGAAACTAAGCTGTTTGTCCGCTTTCCTTACATCACCCTGCTCACTGACTGACTAGCTTCACCCAGCCGCTGTAATTGATCAAAGCATCCCAGCCTTGCAGCAATCATACGCAGCGCGCTTCGATGTCGCCCTACCGTACCCTTCTGACTTCCCGGCAGAGCAATATGAGGACATGCAGGCCTTCTCGCGCGCGGTGACCTCGAACCTCGTTGGCGGTGTCGGGTACTTCTACGGCACGTCGATCGTCCAGAAGAAGTCATCGTACGAGTGGGACGAAGACGAGGATGAAGACGCGGACGACGCGGATAGCAAAGTCGCGCACTTGACTCCGCCAAACGCGCTCCTGACTGCCACTCCGAGCCGCAGCTTCTTCCCCCGAGGCTTCTACTGGGACGAGGGCTTCCACCTGCTGCACATCTTCCTCGTCGACCCCGACTACAGCCTGGACATCCTCCACGAGTGGATCGACCTCATCGACGACGACGGCTGGGTCGCCCGCGAGCAGATCCTCGGCGAAGAGGCACGCAGCCGCGTCCCCGTCGAGTTCCAAACCCAGGTTCCCAGCTGGGGCAACCCACCCACCCTCACCCTCGTCCTCCCCGCCCTCATCGAAAAGGCGAAGGCCATCTCCTCCCGCGACGTCTCCGACTTCGATCTCGGCCTCGACCAAGCGCCCCTCGGCCTCCACCGAACCCCCATCCACACCGGCCCCGGCCCCGCCGCCACCGCCTCCAGCAAGCACCTCGCCTCCTCCGACGCCACCGCCGAGTACCTCATCTCCATCTACCCCGCGCTCAAGCGGCACTACGAGTGGTTCCGGCGCACGCAGCGCGGGCTCATCAAGCAGTACGGCCGGCGCGCGCGCAGCCGCACCGAGGCGTACCGCTGGCGCGGGCGCTCGCCCACGCACGTCCTCACCAGCGGCATGGACGACTACCCGCGCGGGCCGCCGCACGCGGGCGAGCTGCACGTCGATCTCCTGGCGTGGATGGCGCACTTTACGCGCACGATGCACAGTGTAGCCGACTTCATTGGGCAGACGGACGACGCGGCGAGCTACAAGGAGATCGAGGAAGGGATGCTGGCGAACTTGGAAGACCTGCACTGGAGCAAGGCTGAGGAGATGTTCTGCGATTTGGATGTAGATGATGAGGGTAAGTTCAACCTCCGTGTCTGTCCATGACCTCGATCCCAACGTCATCTGCCAGACGAATCCTACCACGAATGCCACAAAGGCTACGTCTCCATCCTTCCCGCCGCCCTCGGCCTCCTCGACTCCGACTCGCCCAAACTCAAGGCCATCCTCGAGCTCGTGCGCGACCCCGAGGAGCTCTGGTCACCCTACGGCATCCGCAGCCTCGCGAAGAGCCACCCCGAGTACGGGAAGGGCGAGAACTACTGGAAGGGCCCGATCTGGCTGCAGGTCAACTACCTCATGCTGAGCTCGTTGCACAAGGTGGGTTAGAGGGATGTCATGGTAGGTTGATAACGGAAGCTCACGCCCCCTCGCAGAAATACGCCGCAGAAGAAGGCCCCTACAGAGACCTAGCGAGCGAAATCTACACGCAGCTGAGGAAGAACTTGGTGGAGAACATCTACAGCGTACGTGGTCATTCCTCTCACTACTCTCATCCTAGCTAACCGGTCCTCCCGCAGGAATACAAGCGCACCGGCTACGTCTGGGAACAGTACGATGCAAACACAGGCAAGGGCCAGCGGAGCCATCCATTCACAGGCTGGACATCCCTCGTCGCTCTGAGTACGCTCTCCCTCCTTCGATCTCAACCCTTCTCTGACTTCCGTTGCAGTCTTGGCCGAAAAGTACCCATGAGGGAGGCCGCGTCGATTGTGGGAGTAGCAGTATTTACCTGTACTAGCCTATGTAACTACAATCGCCTGCTACCCCAGAGACCTGACAGCACATCCGGTGTGCTTGAACTTCAAAGTCCTCCACCTGCCACATCCGGACGCAACAACGACGCCCGCGGCTCGGGCAGGCGGTTTGATCGCCGGGGTCACGCTTGGTTCGACTTCGATCCCCGCCCACCGCGCTTGAAAGTTCAATCGCCTGTAACCGTTCGCTGCTTCGCGTGCTGTCTGCCCAAGCTTCGCGTGCTGTCTGCCCAAGCACCCGTAACGCGTTTTGCCTGTCTATCCTCACGCCTCTTCTCATCGACGCCGACGTCGTCTCCTTCTTCTGCTCTCTATCCACGTCGTCGTTCCCGCTGGCGACCGCGCCGACTACTTGCCCGTTCGTCAACTACCACCACTAGCCTCTGGGCGTACTGCTCACAGCGCACCTACACACCCACACACGCCTAACTGCCCTACAGTCGCTCGTTATACCACTGCCATTCACTGCCCTGCCAGTACCATTCACTGCATTCACTGTACCATCTTCCCAACCACTTCACACCTTGTCCCGCCCTCCGACACACGACGATGGCGCCGACGTTCTCTTTCATGACGCGCAGCGCGCCGAAAGCCAAGCCCGCGGAGGCGGCATCCATCCTCGCAGAGGCCGTCGCCGCCGCCGAATACAGCAACGCTATACCTCCCAGCACCTCCATAACCGCCTCAAACTCCCTACCCTCCTCAAACACCCTACCCTCCTCCAACTCTTTACCCTCCACCAACTCCCCATCCTCCGCGGACCATCCCGACCCCTCCACCTCCACCTCCTCCGCCCTCTCAGGCTCCTACCACGGCCAAATGCCCCACGTCGTCATCGTCCCGCCCGAGGAGGACGACGAGGCGCCGTACACCTGCTTCGACGCCGCCAAGCCCGGCGGCGCTGACGACGAGGACGAGTACCTCCGCAACCCCAACGCCCTCGACGACGAGGAAGAAGACTTGGGCGACGACGACCTCTTCAACCAAGGCTCGCACCCCGACATCGGTGCCGCGCCCGTGCTGCAAGTCCCCTCCCCATTCCAACCGCGTCCTGCGGAGCCCGCCTACGAGGAGCACGAGCACCTCACGGACGAGGAGCGCGCGGAGCTGCTCGAGCTGGAGGGCCCCGGGAACGACTCCGAGGTCATCGAGGTCATCAAGGTGCGCCGGCACGGGACGCTGCCGACGGACAGCGAGGACGAGGACGGCGCGCGGGGGCGCGGCGGGAGGCGGGGGCGCGACAAGGGCATGAAGCGCAGCAGCTCGGCGTTCATCGCGCGCGCCTTCATGACGATGCGCGGGCGGAGCAAGGGCCCGGGGAGGGAGGGGAAAGGGAAGGAGCGGGAGGCGAGCGGTGTGGACGAGGGTATGCAGGCGGAGGAAGCGGAGGTGCAGATGGGAGAGAGGGACGCGGAGGAGGGGAAGAAGGCCAAGGAGGGAAAGAAGGAGAAGAAGGCCAGGGCAGCCAGCAAGCTCGGGAAGCGCGCCAAATCCCAACAGCGCACGGACGACACCCGACGCGTCGTGAGCGAGACCGCGCGCCGCGGGAGCGTCACCAACGACTCCCGGCGCGTCGTCAGCGAGGCCGTGCCCCATGTCGTCGGCGACAGCGCCCGCCGCGGGAGCGTCAGCAGCACGGCGATGAAGCGCAGGCGCAGCGCGACGCTGCTCACGAATATCTTCCGCCCCTCCGCCGACACCGGCGCGCCCTCGTCAGGTCCTTCTGCGCAATCATTCGCAAATGTCACACAGTCGTCAGCAGAGGCCACACAGTCGTCAGCAGAGGCCACACGGTCGCCCGCGGATTCCCTCCCACCCTCCGACTCCTTGCCACCCTCCCCCTCCCCCCTCACCTCGCCCTCCGTGTTCTCCTTCCAATCAGTACCCTCCCTGGGCGTCCCGGAGGAAGAGAATGGCGCCGCGGTCGCTGGCGATCCATCGCCCCACGCCGTCACGTCGCCTACCCCATCTGCCACGCGCCCCACGAAGCGCCGATTCTCGATGCTGCGGCTGAACCGCATCTTCACGTCCTCCTCCGATGATGCAGCCACCGCTGATGCTGCTTCGTCTACCTCTGCGTCTGCGCAAGGAGTTTCTTTTGCTGGCGCCTCCGCATCCACGGGCCCTCACGACGACCCCACCACCACCACCACCGACCCCACAACGACCCCCGCCCTCTCCTCCGCGCGGACCTCGGACGGGTCCGACACCTCCGCGCGCCCGCCCTCCATGTCGCGCGAGAGCACGCCGAGCACGGCCGCGGGGTCGATGCCGCAGACGCCGGTGAGCGAGTGTGCGCCGGTGTTGCCGATGTTGGGCGGGAGCATGCCGGTGGTAATCACTTTGAATAAGGATGAGAAGGAGGGTGGTGCGTCGTTGGAGCAAGGCGCCCGCATATCCGCGGAGGACACCGATCAGACCCCGCGCCCCTCGCGTTCCTTCTCCGAGCGGTTCAGCATGTCCTCCAAGTCGTCGGAAGCCAGCAGGTCGTCCGCGACGTCGTCGGCCTACAGTGCGTCGGTAGGATATGCGGCGGCGGCAGGCTACACCGCCGCGCCCACGCTCCCCACCATCGCGGACACGAGCATGGAGATGCAGCTCGACTCGCTGCATTTCGACGACCTGTCGTTCGACGTGGATAATTTCTTGGAGGGGGTGAACTAGGGGACAGTCGTGTTACTCGTTTGTGGTGGCGTAGTACTCATTGGTGGCAGCACTGAGTGCAGGGTAAGTCCCTTTCGGCGTTGTTGTGACGTTCGGTCACTTACCATACCTCCCAGACTAGCTGCTCGCCGTTGGCATGGGCTATCCCTCTGCATTCCTGGGTGCCATATGTCCCCCTACCCTCACCACCTCCGGTTCATTATATCCCAGCCATTCATGTTGACTATATATTACTCGATCACCTCACGCCTTTATGCACATAGTCTGTCTCCCACATTCATCTGTATGCATAGTACGCCTCCTCCGCCAGTACCACTGTGATCGTCCCCTCGCACGAGGAGCCTCCTCATAATTTTTTCTACCACTATATCCCCTCCCACCACATGCGTAGCTGCGCTGCATCTTGTCTGTTTACAGTGGATCATTATACCAATACCAAATGGCAGGTGCTTGGATTGTTGAACGTCGCGGGAGAGGGAGAGGAAGCGCCAATCTTGGGAAGGTCGACAGGCGAAAATCCGGCTGAAGGTCCTTTGCGTTCGATCACGCGAAAGGGAGAGGAGGATTCAGGCGTCGACGCGCTAACAGTGCAAGACCTTCGTGTCCTCGCAACGGGAATCAACTCGAGGATCCCATAAAGGTGCGTTGACAATTGGATGCTCAGCCGGATATTCAGGATAGGGCAAAAAATGCGTACAACAGATGTAACAAGATCCACCTCCTTCTCTTCTCCCCTCACCCTCCTTCTCCCACCCCTCATCCCTCTCCCTCTCCCCCCACTCCTCTCCCCCCTACTACCCTCTCTCCCTCCTTCTCCCTCTCTCCCTCCCCTTCTCCCCCCTTGCCCCCCGCTCCCCTTCTCAACTCCTCTTCCACTCCTTTTCTACGTGCTACCTCCGCCGCCCCGGCTCGTCTGCGGAGGGCGTCTTCCCGCGTCGTCCACCCCGAGGCGGGTAGGGCTCACCGCGGCGGGAGGGCGTATCGCCGCGTCTGGACTGATACCCATGGTGGGACTGATACCCATGGTGGGAGGATGTGCCATGGTGGGAGGATGTGCCATCGCCCCGGGGATCATGGTGGCGGGACGAGGTGTGATAGTCGCGGCCGCCACTCCCGCCCTGATCGCCCCAGTTGCTACCCCCTCGCTGACCTTCCCCGCCCCTTCTCCCCTCCCCTCTCCTCTCGCCACCATCCCCCCTCCTCTCGCCGCCATCTCCTCTCCTCTCGCCGCCATCCCCCCTCCTCTCGCCGCCATCCCCCCTTCGCCTATCCTCGCGCCCACCCCCACCGCCCCGATTCACATGCCTCGCCGACAACGCGACCTCGCTCTGCCCGTAGCGCGCGGGGGGCGCGGGGGGGATTCGCGAGGGGAGGCCGGCGTTTGGGAGAGGGGTTGTGTTTGGGAGGAGTGTTGTGTTTGGGAGGAGTGTTGGGGGTGGGAGGGACGTGGTGAGGGACGTGGTGAGGGACGCGGCGAGGGAGTGGAGCCCGCCCTCGAATGGGATGGGGATCCCATTTGCCTCGTACTCCATATCAACGTCGATGACCTCGCGAGGGCCGTTTCTTGTCGGCGCGTGTGTACCGTGCATGTCACCTTGGTGTGTACCGTTCGTGCCACCTTGGTGTGTACCGTTCGTGCCACCTTGGTGTGCACCGTTCGTGCCCCCTTGGGGGTTTTGGGGGTCGAACCTTCCCCACTCGGGGCACACCTCCACTCTCATGAAGTCGGCGGCGACGATCGCGCGCCGGGCGGGTTTGTGGCGGGGGTCTGGGGGTGGCGGGTGAGTGGCTGTATAGGGCGAGGGTATGCGGGAAGGGGGAGGGTATGCGGGAAGGGGGAGAAGGGAGGAGGGTGAAGAAGAGAGGAGGGGAAGGAGAGGAGGGGGAGGGTATGCGGGAAGAAGGGAGGGTATGCGGGAAGGGGGAGGGTATGCCGGAAGGGGGAGATTGGAAGGGGGAGAAGGGAGGAGGGTGAAGAAGGGAGGGGGAAGGAGAGGAAGGGAAGGAGAGGAAGGGGAGGGGGAAGGGAAAGGGAGAGGATATGGAGGAAAGAGGACGGTCAAGAGAGCAGCGAAACGGGTGCATACCTCCAACCCCCACCCACGCCTCCGTCGCCTGCCGCTCGAACTCGCGCATGATGCGCGCCTTCCAGTCGGTGGTCGAGTCCGCCGGAAAGGGGAACCGCCCACCCACATGATTCAACACCAGCCTCTCCGCCCCTACCTCCCGCGCAAAGGCGCCGGCCATGGCAGGAATACTATGCCCCCTGGCGAGCGTGCGTTGGAGCACGACGTCGGGCTCCCGCCGTTGGCGCCGGTCGATGGAGGGGGGGATGTGGGCGTCGGTGGCCTGGGGGGAGGGTTAGTGTTTTCGATCGATTGGGTAGGTGGGCGTTGGTGTTTAGGGTTGTTGATTTTTTTGAGGGGGAGGGGAGGTGCGAGGGGAGGGGGAGAGAATGAAGGGAGAAACCACTCACCTCATGCACCAGCACACTCGGCGGCGGGTCCCTGCACAGCGGCGCGACGGGCGCGGGGTCACTCGTGTCGCCGAGGACGACGAGCTTGCGGAGGGGTGGCGCCGTCTCGCGGAAGACGTAGCCGAAGGAGGGGACTGGGGAAAGGGGTTGGTTTGGGTGGTAGGGAGGGTTTTATTTGTGTGGGAAGGCGCAAAAAGGGTTAGGGGGTGGGAGGGAAGGGAAGGAGGGAAGAGTAGGAGGGAAGAGTAGGAAGGGTGGGGGGAGGGGTGGGGGGCAGAAGGTGAGCGAAAAGGAGGAGAGGGGGAGAGAAGCGCGGAGAGGACAGAGAAGAACGAAGGAGGGGGAGGGGGAAGGAACAGCTGCAAAGGAGGGTGAGGGAAGGAATGGAGAGAAGAGGAGGTGGGGAGGGGGAGAAAGAGGACGTAGGAATAATAAAAGACGGAGGGTGGAAGGGAAGGGAAACAGGTGGAGAGGGTGCGGAAAGGGGGAGGGATGGGAAGGGCGACGAGCAAAATGGAATGGGTATGGGGAAGGTAAGAAGGTGACACGAGAAGGGCGGAGGGGGCGTTGGAGAGCAACAAGGGAACGCACGAAGGAGGGGGGGAGGGATAAAGGAAGGAGTAGAGGGAGTGAAGTACGAATCGTGCGCCACACACCTCTATGCGCAATAGGCGCCGCGTCGACCACAATGTCGCCGTAGGTTCCAGGCGCCGACAGGAAGCCTCTCCACAGCCCGTCCTCTCCTGAGGCGATGTCCAGCCCAGGCGCCTCGCTCATATGCAAAACGTCCGGCGCGCAAGAGGTGGTGGCGTCGCCTGGGCGAAGGAGCTCGTGCGCCACGTAACGATCGCCCGAGTTGGACTCTGTCATGTTGAAGATGGTGCGAATGAAGTTGCGGATGCCGGCGGGGCCGTAGACGTGCACTTTGGGCTGGAGGGGAGGTAGGCAGGAAGGTCAAAGGCGAAGGGGTGGTGGCTCACCGGTGCATTGGGATCGCGATCGGGGCCGGAGCCGAGGACGGGGAGGGGGAAGAGGACGTTGCGGAGGAAGCCGATGATGCCCATGACATGGTCGACTGGCGGAGGTGAGGGGGGTGTATGCGAGGGGTTGGAGGGTGCGTACCATGCATGTGTGTGATGAATATCTTCTTGACTTGCATGGGCCTTACATCGCGCGCGAACATGAACTGACGCGTTGTGCCCTCGGCGCAGTCGACCACTAGACGCGTGTCAGCAGTCATTCCATTAGCTAGTGACCACCCGCACTCCATAGTTCGCCATTGCCACAGCAGTCGACGAGGAGGGAGGAGCAGTTACGATGTTCGGTTGGTCCGCCACCGCTGCTGGTGCCGAGAAAGGTGATCGCCATGTTGTTGTACCCCATCGTGCGCCGTGTCCAGTGCAGGCACCGCGTATATGTCGGTAGTCTGAGTCGGCGAGTGAGGCCAAATACGAGCGCGTGCCGCAAGAGCATAACCCTCAATGGACGCCCGATCGCGCCGTCATCGCCGCGTTCGATGCCATTCCGGACCGGCTGCCGGTGCGGGGCCGCCCCATTGTTCGACTTTGACTTTGTGGCACACAGCCCCGGCCCCATCCTGCGTTTGTCCGCGCTTAGATAGCTTACCATTCCGCTCATTCCCAAAGCCCCCCTCTCTTGCTTCTTCCAATCCACGTCGACGAGCGCCATCTCAAGCCGGGCTTCTTTCTCCTCCTCCATTTCACCCCTTCTACTTGTATACATATCACACCTTGCTGTCGTTGAGAAATCATGCTTAGTATCACGAACACTCGATGACCATGTTCTGCATTTGCTTCGACAATAAATTGTGTACGTGAGTCCTCTACTCCTCCAACACCCAATCTGGCAAGCCCGCCTCGAACACCCCCTCCGACGTTGTATATCGCAGCGCGTGCAGATATATCCTCAGCTGGTCCTGAGTCGGTTGACGAGGCAGGGGCCGCAGGCAAGCTGCGCAGGCAGGGCGGTCGCCGATGGTAAGTGGGGGCTCGATGAGAGGTGTGGAGGCAGTCAGAGTGGTGAAGGAAGAGGCGTGTGAGGTGGTGGGGGAAGTGGGTGGGGTAGCGGAGGAGGTTTGAGTGGGGATGGCAGGAGGAGCTGAAGGTAGGAGCCCATCCGTCGTGGCAGGCGCCACCTCATCCGCATGCGCCGCCTGAATATCCGCCTTCGCGCGAGCAACGGCGGTTCGTATGGCTTCCCAGGCAGAGTCTGGCGATTCCAGGTCGGGCAGCGTAAGGTCGGACGGGAGGATTTCCTATAGGAGAATTCTATTAACCTCTTGCATATCCTTTCAGAGATAGAGTTCCTCACCGTTTGCACATCCCCGGACTCGATCTCCGCTGACGCGTCGTTGTCCAGCGGAGGAAGCTCCAGCTCGAGTGGAGGTGCTGAGCCGTCCAACGCATCCGGTGATGCGTTCCATATAGAATCAGCATAGTACGGGTCGTTCGGAATCGGATGCCCCAAATGCAAGAGGTGTACCCGAATCTGGTGCGTACGTCCAGTGTACGGTCGACACAGCACGAGACTCGTATCCGTCTTCGCATCGTAGCTGACGCGTACGAAGGCTGTCGCGGAAGGCTGAGAAGCGAGAAGAAAAAGTAATCAGCTTCATGGTCGTTGCTCAAATTCAAGGAACCCACCTTCCCCTCCTCATGCACAATGCTCAGCCCCAGCTGCCTATGCACTAGCAGCAGCTTCTCCTTACACAGTACGGGCTCTCGTGGAAACCGCCCCCTCACCCTTGCCAAATACTCCTTCCTCACCCGCCCATCCCGCAGCGCCACCCCCAGCCGCCCCGCCGCCCTTGCATTCAGCGGGAACAGCATCACCCCCGACGTCAGCCTATCCAGCCGGCTCACCGGGCGCACCGCCGGCAGGCCCTGCTCCCGCATCATATGCGTCAAGCAATTATACCGATAGCGCCCCACCGGGTGCACGGGTACACCCCCCGGCTTCTCAACCACCAACAAGTCCTCGCTCTGCGATATCGCCCTCACCCCCGCCCCCGTCACCGGCGGCTCGTGCCGGTGCGCAACCGTCTGCAGCTGGTCGCCCGCGCGCACGGTAGTATCCGGGTCCGTCAGCCGCCCATTGAGCGTCAGGAGGCCGCTCCTGAGCGCATACGCGTAGAACTCGCGCGGCCTCGGCGGCTTGAAGCGCTCCGCCGCGACGTCCAGCACGGTCCGCCCGACCCACGCAGGCTGCGCCGCCGCCCAAAAGTAGTGCCAGTACGGGCGCACGCTCACCAGGCCCGGCCCCGCGGGATGTAAGCGACAGTCCGCTGCATCGTTGGCCTCGCGCAGCAGGCGCGCGAGGACGTGCTCGAAGACGCGGCAGCCGGGGAGCGGGACGGCCGCGGCGTCGCGCTGCTTGGAGGTGACGAGGCGGACGAGGCGGGCGTCGCTGGCGATGATGGACTGTAGGCGCGCTATTCGCCCATGGTGGGCGCTCATAACAAGGTGCGATCGTCACGTGGGCGCGCGGGGCGATCGCATTGTCGACCCGCATAAGGCAGGCATTGTACTGAGAGGGTGCCTCTCTTCCGACTTCCTCGCCTCGAGGGGGTTCTTCTCGTACTTCAGATGCGCGGCGATGGGTATGATAGATAAGTTGAGGCGAGTACGGTGACGCGGAGAGCGGGCCGGGCTCGGCTCACGGAGATGATGAAGAAGATTCCCACGAGGTTACTCTGTAACGAAGTCTCGATTGAAAACCTTGCCCTCCTCCCTTGGAGGAGGGCCCTTTTATACCTACAGCTGTAAGTAGTCATAACTAGTCACGGAGTATATATACGAGTCATAAGAAACCAGGAGAACCTCAAGGAACTCCAAAGGAAATACCCCCGCGAGGGGTGAAGGCAGAGCACGTGGCGTCGGCTAAGGCCGAGGCGTCACATACCCCCCTCCAGCGCCTTCTAAGGCGCTCTGTAAGTACAGTAGCAACCAGTAAGTAGCACGTATGTATAGAATAGAAACGAGTCTTTGTTTTTGTATATATTTCGAACCTTTTCTGTAAGTAACTTTCGAGCCGTTGTTCTGATGATCTCTAGTAAGTAGTAAGTAACTACTGGTTCCCCTTGCCCTCGCGCCGCTTGGCACGGTTCGCCTCGAAGGCCTGCTGGCGGCGGGCGTTCGACAAGCGCCCCTGCATCGCCTCGATGGCCGTCACCTCACGAAGGAGGAGCTCCTCGTTGGTGGGCTCGGGCACCTTGCCCTCCACCTCGTCCATGTAGCGATGCGCGGCCGCTCCGCTGCTGATGTCGAGGATCTGACGCACCCAGAAGGTCCGATCAATGCGCTGCTCGTCGGGGATGGGTCGGACTTTGCCGGTCGCGAGGTCGATCGGGCACATGTGCTTGCCGAAGTCGGCGCGCTGGAGGATTTCCACGAACTCGGCATAGCCGGACGGGACCTCAACAACGTCGTGGCGGATTCCAGTAGCAGTGATGCCGTCGCTGAAGCGCATGTACTCGACGAGGATGGTGAGTGGGATGCGGTAACTGAAGAGGTATTCTTCAGGGTCGTTGCGCGCGTAGATAGGGATGACGAGGCGGCGTCCGCGGATCTCCCACGTCATGGGAACGATGCGGCGGTGGGCGAATTGGGCCGGGCCACGTGGCTTGGCGCGGCCGAGGAGGAAGCCGTCGTCCTCGGAGGCGCGCTTGGCGGGCGTCGTCTCAGCGGCGGCGGACGGAGGCGCGGTCTTATCCGCACCAGCGTCGGCGGCGGCGTTGACGCGCGGGATGGGTTGCTTCATGACGTCGGAGCGCGCGGCTTCCTGCTGGCGGATGCGGTCGGCGATGATACCGGCATTGTACTTGGCGCGGGCGGCCTCCTTTGCGCGGAGCGCGGCGGCGGTGTCGACAGGCGGCTCGCTGTCGATGAGAGTGGAGGCGGCAGAGCCGGCGGCGTCGAGGACGGACGACATCGTCTTGGGCGCGGGTGCCGGCGGGGCGGCCTCGGAACTGGGTGGGTCGACATCCATCGGTTGGACCGAGTCCGCCTTGTTGCCATTTTTGATCGCCGGCGCCGTTTTGGCCTTGGTGTGGGAACGGGTACCGACACGGTTGACGTTGGGCGAAGGGGAAGGAGAGTTGGGAAGCGGAGGTAAGGTAGAAGTATCCATAGTATGTATGTAGAGAGAGGAAGAGGAAATGGAGTTGGTTTGGCATACTGACTGTCCATCCCTTTTAAGGGGATCCCAGCTAAGCCCATTACCCGATTCGTCGTGAATCTCGCCATCGGGAACACGAGGCTCGATCGTGAGTTCGAGATTCCCTACATACAATTGGATATCCCCGGGGTCTGGTTCAGATCCAGCCGGGAGATCACCCGCTTTGTCAACGCCAAGCGCCTCAAGGTACTGCTTGACCTTCTCGAGGGTGGCAACATTCTTGATCGGGATCCAGGACATGTCGCCTGGCTTCCACTTCACCTTGAGTACTGCATCAGCACCCTTGCCGTGATGTCCCACAATCTCCTCAATTGCCCATTCTTTCTCCCAGGCACCGAAGTCGGCCACCTGAGTCTCAAGGCGGCCCGGAAATAGCCGATCATCATTGGGAATATGAATTCTCAATAGAGACGCGTGGAAGCGCGGGTGTATTCCCCGCTGCTTCAACTCCTTCGGGAGATCAAGAAGGAAGGCCTCATTGCCTAGATCCTTCAGGATGCGGTATGGTCCAATGAACTTGGGAAGTAGCTTACGAACGCGGCCCTTCGGGAAGTTCATGTTGGCAGTTGAGACATATACTAGATCGTTCTCGGCAAAAGGCGCGCGGATGCGGCGTCGATTGGCATCACGTGTCTGCTTGACACGCGCGGCGAGCACTGCGTCATGAGCCTGCATGATGGCCTGCTTGACGCGGCGCGCATAAGTCCGCACCCCGGGATATTCCGTCGTGGGTGCGTCCTCCCAGATCATGGCGCGGGGCATGCGACCAGTATTCAGGAAGAACGGTGCATACCCCGTGCTCTCCGAGCGCACGGAGTTGATCGCAAACTCAACCGCCGGCAATTTCAGGACCCAGTCCGATTGAGCGGGCTCGACGCATTCGCGTATCATCTGGACAACTGTCCGATTGGCCCGTTCAGTTGATCCGTCGGTCTGCGGATGGTATGCAGTTGACATGCGCAGCTCCGTTCCGATCAACTTGTGCAGGTGAGTCCAGAATATGCTCGTGAAGAGCGAATCCCGGTCACTGACTATGTACTTGGGGAGCCCATGTAGCTTATAGACTTCCGCAAAGATAATGTATGCCAGAGTCTTGGCAGTCACATTAGTACGCGTCGGAATAAGATGTACCATGCCGGTCAGCAGGCAGATCACGACGAGAAGGTAATTGAAGGTCCCATTGTGATTCTCGCTCTCGGGAAAGGGACCCGTGAAGTCTATCCCGATAGCTTCCCAAGGCGTGCCAGGCACCGGCAGGGGATTCAATAGCCCGTACGGCTTGTGATTGCTGGGCTTATTCCAAGCGCACGTGGTGCATGATGCGATGAACTTCTGCACATCAGGCACCAGCGTCTTCCACCACACCTGATCACGGAGCACGGGGATAACCTTAGCGGCACCGAGATGCGCGAGTAAGGTGTGTGCTTCCTGAATAATGAGTCCTCGCACGGAGCGACCACTTTCCTTGATGTTCGGAATGCACAGCAGACGACGAGAGTCCTGCTTCAGGAAGATGAGTCCGTCAACCACCTCAAAGTTTCGGAAGTGACTGGGTTCTTCCAATATCTTGGCAAAGAACGGATCGTCCTGATACTTATCCCGGATCAAATCTTCAATGCGTACACCCCGTGTGTGATTGGGTATAGCCGTCAAGATAGGTTCCGTGAGGCTAGGAGGTGCGATATCATTATCTTCGTCACCTTCCGCGCCGACCGAGGTCGAGACACGTGTTTCCTCTGCTGAGGCTGGTGTCTCGCCTGTCGGGTGTTCTGGTTCGGATTCCGACATCTGGACAGCACTAGGTATGTCTATATTCGCATCCTCTGTGATTGGGCTGCCGACGTCGGGCGACGACGGGCTGTCTTCGACAGCGCGCGAGTGCGCGTTCTCTCGGGTACCCGAGGGGTACTCGGAAGATGCCGAATGTGATGTTCCGCTGACATCACCTCGCGTGGCTTGATCGGAAGCAAACGCGTGATGAGCTGGCAGCGCGTTCTGCGCTGCTTCCTTCTCACTCATCTCGTCTTCAAACGCGTTCGGGTCACTTGCAAAAGGTTCGACCGGGTCGTCTCCCCCCTCCAGACGCGTCGCGCGTCTATCAGAATCGCCATCCGCCGCGTGATCGCCCACAATCAAGCGGACGGATCCTTTCTTCGCAGCGAGTCGGCGAACCCAGTCGTTGAAGGCCTTCGTCGAGCCTTTCGGACGACCGCGACCACGGCGTGGAGCTGCGTCGTCCCCGCCTTCTGGCGCAATTGCCAGGGCGCCAAGCTCGGTCACAAGCGGCCGAGTAATGTCCATACCGTCGTAATCGACAGAGCCATCCTCATCAAAGGATGTATATTCAGAGGGAGAGCGCAGTGTTCCAGGTGCGTCGCCCTCGTATATGCGTGATAGTGCATCAGCTAACACGTTATCCACGCCCGGCAGGTACACGACTTCGAAGTCAAACTCGCCCAACTTCTCAAGCCAGCGCGCTTGCCGCCCCGAAAGGTTTGGCTGCCGCAGAAGATGGACGAGACCACGATGGTCAGTCACCCACGTAAAGTGGAATCCCTGAAGTAAGTCGCGATGTCGCTGCATTGATTCCACGCCAGCTAACATCTCAATCTCATGTACAGGATAATTCTGCTGAGTCGTGCTCAGCTTCGCGGAGAAGAGCGCGATTACCGTTCCGGTACGCCAATCCTCCCCTTCAACGACTACTCCTGACAAAGACGACTTAGAGCCGTCGGTCAGAAGCCAAACGCGCGAAGTGGGCTTGCCATCCGGCCCGAGGGTGATGCCTCGGCGTGAGACGCGCTTGCTCGCGCTCACCAGCCGCTTGCAATCCTCAAACGCGCGCTGCTGCGTGAATCCCCACTCCCATCGGTGAGTTTCGCCGCACAAATCGTGCAAAATGCCCAGGGGCGCGGCGATCTCGGCGACATTGTCGGCGAGCCAGCCCACCGCGCCACAAAATGCGCGAACTAACTTCTTGTTCGTAGGCACCGGCCACTTCGCGACCTCGTCAACGCGGGCAGGATCGACACGAATGCCGTTCGCATCAACGATTCGCCCAAGTACGCGCACTTCAGGCTCGAGGAAGTGCAGCTTATTAACACCCAGATAGAACTTCTCGCGCGCCAGCACCTCAAGCACGGTTTTGACAGCGCGAACATGCTCTTCGAGCGTGTCCGTGTATATGACAATATCGTCAAGGTACACGTCCATGAAGACACCTAGGTAAGGGCGAAAAATATGCGTCATTATTGCCTGACACGTCGCGACAGCATTGCAGTCGCCCTGGAGCATAACCTTGCTCTTCACGTTACCATCAGGCGTCGCCATGATGTTAACGTCTTCGTACTCAGGTAAGACACGTATTTGCTCATAGTGGTCTTTCCCGTCGAGAATTGACCAATATTTCGCAGCGGCGACGCGACGCAAGATCGCGTTCTGGTCGGGGAGCGGGGACGACAACTTGCGCGTGTTGTCGTTGCGCTCGCGCAGGTCTACAACAGTACGTAGCTTCGTCTTCTCGCGCTGATTCTTCGCGATGAGAAGCATGGGCACCGTGTTCGTGGCGGTGGTGAATTCCCACCGCCCCGAGCGCATATATGCGTCGCGTTTCTCATTCCATTGCTCACGAAAGATTGCAGGGCAATTCGAGCGACGGAACGGGTACCGACGGTCGGGGTCTATGATGGGAATCGTGTGATTAATCGCACGCAAGGGCGGGAGCTCAGTCTCCGCGATGGTCTTGCACAAAGGTAAGGCCATTTCGACTAGATGCTTCCGAATAGCTTCTAACTCGTCCGAGCCAGGCTCGGGCTCTACGTTCGCCATGAACAAGTCGTCGACGTGTGGCCCCTCAAGCGGCAGCGCCTCAACGCTCCCAATGAGGATCTTCGGCGGGTTGATGGAGAACGAGATGGAATGCTGGTACAGGAACGGAGTCCCGAGGACGACGTCGTAAGTCGCGAGGTTCAAGACGTCAAAGACGCGCTGCTCGTGTATAGCTGACCATTCAAAATCTACAGACGTATGAAAATTACATTTCGAGCGCGACCCGCTCACTGCCATCGTCATGGACACCTGGCCATCGTGCTCAATGAGCGGAAGGCGCAGTTGAGTAGCGAGAGCCGAGCTCACGAGATCTACTGACGAACCAGAGTCTACTAACGCCTTGCAGGGATGCCCGCTTACACGAACGACGAGGACGATGGGCCTCGGGATGCGGCGGCCGCTCCCCCGCGGGAAGACGGCTGTCCGTTGCGCAACGCGTGCGGACGAGGACGCCAACGGCGCGGAGCGCCCCTTCGATACTGCGAAGACCGTCAGCTGACGCCATGGAAGACGCGAAGCTGGGAAACGTACCGGCACGTTGGACGCCATGCGCACCATCGTTGCCCACGCCTGTGCGAACACGCCGGACTCAATCAGGTCCTCCGCGGGCTCGCGAAACCAACGCGCGGGGAACGCGCCGTCGGGCTGCGTGAAGACGTCGAAGCTTCGACGCGCTGCGGCATCAGCAGGCGACTCGAACCAGCGCGACATATAGCGCTTCGGGTGAGCCGTGTTCTGATGCCCACCCACGAAGTAGCGCATGCGCTGATACATGTACCAGTACCAGACGTTGATACCGGCGTCAATGTCCTTGAGACGAAGACCCCACGACACGCCCAGGAGCGTGTCGCACACGAGGATGACCGGCGACCCAGAGTACGGCCGGAAGGCGTAGAAGCGGGAGAGGTCAGCGCGACGCTGCTCCTCGCCGACTACGCGTCTGACTGCCCAGTTGAGGGCGTAAGCGACGCTCTCGGGCACGAGATCCCCGAGGGTAGTGCCCGTGGAGTAGAGGTACGCCATGCGACGAGCCTGTGAGGTGTCCATCCCGAAGTCGACGCATATCTGACGCGCAACGTAGTCCTCCATCGAGAAGCCTTCGCGGATGAAGAACGCATTCGGGATGCGAAGCGGAGCCAGTTCGCGACGCCCAGCTTCGGCCTCAACAGTCTCGAAGAGGGAGACACAATCGTCCTGGGTCTGGACTGGCAGGAAACGGACGGGCGCGCCATCGCAAAGATACGAGAGCGGCGCGAGGTTGTGGAACATCGCATCGCGCAGCTTCTCGCCGTCGCCAGGCCAAGCGCGCACGGCGTTCAGCGCGAACGCACCACGCACCCGCCACTGCCCCAAGTCGCCAACGTATGAAGGGTCGCAGGCGCGACCGATAAAATCGGCATACTCGGGTGTCTCGCAGAGGGCGAGCAAGTCGTCGCCCGAGCAAAACTTGGGAGGCTCGCGCCTCGTGCGCAGCGCAATTCGCGTGTAGTAGTCGAAGAGCGGCTGCACGTAGAGGTGGGGGCGTCCGGGAACGTCGCCACAGACAAGCGGACAGTCCGCGAGGACGTGTGTTGCCCACGGCGGTGAGCACGTCGTGCAGCGTGTACTGTCCGGGTTAGACCCAGGTGAGTCGTGCGAGGGTTCGAACTGAACCATATTGACTGACAATGTAGTCGTGTTAGTGATGCCAGCACGTCTCTGGTCGAGCAGACGTGCCTGTTCGATTGCCACCGAGTGAATCGCGAGACCAGGAGGTCCAGAAGACGTCGAAGGTACGTGGTTCGCTTCGGGACAGTTTCGGCTTATATGGTCCTTAGACTCACAGCGGAAGCAGCGCCCCTCTTCACGGAGGCGCTTCAGGAGCTCAGGAGATTTTCCTGGCTTGCGGTTAGGAGGGGCGCGACCGTTCGCGCTCCTTCCATTCGGCGCGGAGGTACGTTGTGACCCCCTTGCCTGTCCGCTGAATTTACCTCCAGTGGTCCTCGAGCGTTCATTAGAGCTCGAGGTGCGCGTTCCAGCGGCAGCAGACGCGTTCGCTGGCGGCCTAGAGGAGGGAGCAGAAGAGCTCCCGCCTCCAGAACGTCGGGACGATGCAGATGCGCCACCCGTGCCGCTTCCGCGGTTGGGGGGCGATCCACCATGGTCGTCAGGGCGCCTGCCCTTCGCTTGGGCTCGGGCAGCGTAGCTAGCCTGCCAGAGCTGCAGAGCACGTCGGTACGTAGGCTCTAACTCATCAACTTCTTTGCTGAAGCCGTCCTCCATCAGGCGCTTCACGAGCCAGGAGTCAAGGCCTTCCCAAAACTTCAAGACCCGGTTTCGGCTGGTCTCCTCAGTCAGCACCACCCAGAAGCGCTCTAGATCGTGCATGTAGTCGCGGAGATCGCGATTGTCTTGGATACAGGACTTGTACCGAGTACGACATTTGTCTTTGTAGTTTAGACTGAAACAGTGATCGAATAAATCTCTGAAAAAGTCGTCTAGATTTGCGCTTCGAGAAGCACTAAGCATGTAGTTCTGCTTGTAGAACCTTCTGGCCTTGCCAGTGAGCCAACGCGAGACAACGTCGGCCTGCCGAGTGGCTGCCACTCGACCATCAGTGACATACTGAAGAGAATCAATGACGAAGGTCCAGAAGGCCTCATCGTCCTCCCGGCCGTCGTAGGACTCGGGAGGCTGCGGCTTAAGGCGGCTGGCCTTACCCGCGCTGTCAAACTGTCCGTCGTCATCCGAGTCTGAGCTCGGAAGGCCGACTACACGGCTTCTGATCATAGCCATGTACTTGTCCCAGTAGGACTCGCCCCCAGCTACATAGCTCGGACGAAGCTTGTCTTCGGGACTAGAAGCCTTCGAAGGACGTTCACGATGCACCGCGGGGGGCACAGAGGCCTCCGCGGTCTCGCGCTTGATTGCGCTCAGGTCACGTGTCGGTTGAACTTCGTTCGGCACCGATCGCTCACGTGCGACGCTCGCAGCGCGCGAGCGTGCGGCGCCAGACCCATCCGTGAGGAGTTCGACGAGATTGTCGTACCTCTCACTGAGCTGGCTGACCTGCCTCGCCAGTTTGGCATTGAGGGCGGCGTAGTCCGCGGCCTCAACAGTCTTGAGGTGGAGTGCATCGAACAGATCGGCGATCTGCTTGTTTTCGGCGGCGCGGGGTTCCAGATTTGCCAAAGACACCCTTGGCCCCTGATTGGGCACTTGAGCCCGCGATCCCCGAGCTCGATTTGCGGCATCCAGGATGTCCCGCTGAATCTCGGGATCGTGTTCGACCTCGTCGAAGTCGAGATTACCGAAATTGCGTAGATCCGGGCCTTTACCCTTATCCATCCGGTCCCTACTGTTTCCGGGGATAGAGCTCTCAGGTACGTTCACGCTTTCGGACTCGCGAGCCCCGTGCTCGCTGTTCTCATCATACTGAGGGAAAATTTTATTCGTAGTATTATCTACTTCCGTGGACTCTGGCGCGATAGCGCGACTGCCCACAGCACCCGGTGCACGCGGCTGAGCACCAGCTTCAGGCACGAGGCCGTCGGCGGCATGCGCGTGGGTCGGGGACTGAGCAGCGGCATCGGCCGACCACTCGCCCTCTCCAGGGTCTGCTCCGTCGAGAGCAGACACCTGGCGGGATACCCCCACCGTCGTGGCGGAAGCACCCGACGACGGCACAACGTCGTGTTGCACCGTCGCATGCTCGATGACCTGGTCATCGGCGGTGGCAGGCGGCGCATCTTGAGCGCCCGCCGTACCCGAGTCGGACTCGTTGTCCGAGAGTGCACTAGTGAAGGAGTCGTCAGTACCACGCCACGCGGTCTGAGACTCACCGGTGTCAACCGACGCTGCGCGAGGGCGGAAACGTCCGCTGGAGTCGCGCAGAGGTTGAGCTTTTGGCGCCATTGAGATTGTCGACAAGGAAGAAAGGGTAATTAAGCCGCGAAGGGTGCCGGGTTGATCAAGTCCGTTGCCTTAGCGGGGGGAATAGGGGTAGGTAGTGAAAACTTTGCTGGTTGCTGGTTGTCGAAGTCGAAGTCGATGTTTCTATCGAGGACGTCGAGCGAGAGAGTAAAAATATTAGGCGAGTACGGTGACGCGGAGAGCGGGCCGGGCTCGGCTCACGGAGATGATGAAGAAGATTCCCACGAGGTTACTCTGTAACGAAGTCTCGATTGAAAACCTTGCCCTCCTCCCTTGGAGGAGGGCCCTTTTATACCTACAGCTGTAAGTAGTCATAACTAGTCACGGAGTATATATACGAGTCATAAGAAACCAGGAGAACCTCAAGGAACTCCAAAGGAAATACCCCCGCGAGGGGTGAAGGCAGAGCACGTGGCGTCGGCTAAGGCCGAGGCGTCACATAAGTCTACCGTCAACCCAGGCGGAAGGGACCTTCACGAGGCCTTGCAAGGCACGCACGTTCTGCGAAATATCCTGATGAACCGATGGCATCCGATGTACAACAAATTTTACACGTCTAAAACCTTCATCGCTACCAGAGCAATCCCTTCGTTCACTCAAAGATCCACTGCTCGTTGACGTTGGTGTACTGGATCGTACCCTCCGGGAACCAGCTGCAAGCACAATTATCAGCACCCACGACCACCGATCAGTGGAAAAACCCAGGACGTACAGCTTGATCTCCTTCTCCGCGTTCTCAACAGAGTCGGATCCGTGGCAGATGTTGCGGCCGACAGCGAGCGCAAAGTCGCCGCGGATGGAGCCTGCGCGAGGGTTAGCACCCGATAACCGATCAGCAGCGCTCGCGAGCAGGAAAACGCACCCGGGGCGGACGCGAGCGGGTTGGTGGCACCGAGCATGGAGCGGCCGGTCTTGACAGCGTCAAGGCCCTGCCAGACCATCGCGACAACGGGGCCGGAGGCCATGTACTTGACGAGGCCCGGGAAGAACGGCTTGCCCGCGAGGTCACCGTAGTCTGCGCAGATCATGAGTTTTCGAGCGCGTATATGCATCTCAAGACGTACGCTTCTCGAGGTGCTCGACCGACGCGTGGACGAGCTTCATGGCGACGAGCTTGAAGCCGCGCTCCTCGAAGCGCTGGATGATCTTGCCAACGAGCCCACGCTGGACGCCGTCGGGCTGCGCGCGCGCTGGTCAGCCCTCCCCTCCACCCAAAACCCCGCCCGACGCACCTTGATCATGATGTACGTGCGCTCGTTGACAGACATGGCGGCGATCCTACAATCAGATAGAGATGGAGGGAGGTGAAGAAAACCCGCGCGGTCGCCAGGCGCGCTCTTATACCCGCGGGCGCGTGGACCGCGCTCGGCGTCTGCCGATCTGCTCGGCCGGCGCAAAATAGCCATCAACACGGGCGGGCGGCTCCGGCATCCCCCGCGGCGGCGTCGTCTGCGTCGGACACTGCACACTGAACCTGCTCTCACCTCCCCACTCATCCCAAAATGATCTTCGGGCCGACGTCGCTCTCCCTCGCCCCGCGCATCGCGCAGAGCAAGTCTCTGCTCGCCTACTTCAAGCCCATCGCGGCCTGGTACACCGACCTCATGGGCTACCGCAAGTACGGGCTCAAGTACGACGATCTCAGTGCGTTCCTGCGTACATCCCATGTACCGCAGCTAACCTCCGCGCAGTCCTTGAGGAGAACAAGGACATGTTCCGGGTGCGTAGCAAGAGAGCGCCATACTTGTTAGGCTTACGCTGACCTGCGCGCGTACAGGCTATCAACCGCCTGCCCGAGCGTGAGCTCTACGACCGCGGCTTCCGCTTCAAGCGCGCCTCCCAGGCATCAATCATGCACGCACCGCTTTCCAAGGAGCAGTGGACGAAGCCCGAGGAGGTACGTGCTTCCCTCTCGATCATACGCGGTGCATCCCTCAGCCCCCGTTCCCCCTCCTCGGCCCCTGCGGTCCTGCTCGAGCCGCGTTGCGACGTCTTTCCCTTCACCAAGTTCGCGTACTTGCTTCTTGCCCGGCGCTCACACAACTCCAGGACACCCAATACCTGCGCCCGCACATCGACAGCGTCGTCGAGGAGAACAAGGAGCGCCAGTACTGGGACAACCTCAAGGTCGAGCGCAAGTAGACATGAGCTCTTCGCACGTAGACTTAGGCACGGGTTGTGCGCGTCTCAGAGACGCTGCCCATCCACTTCGCTGGATCGTCATCGAGCCGTAGCATGCGTTTTGGGCGTAGATGAGACTATCCAATCGCAGGCATTCATTTATTCAGGATTTCATCTTCGTCCGACCGCGCCTTTGTCAAGTCCTTCTCAAGTCCGCTCTGTGCTTCGTTCTCAAAGACGAGGCAATCCGCGTCGTCGCTCACCACTCTGCATCCACGTCACCCGCATTATCTCCCATTTCAAGCCTTAGATATTACACAATGAATACAAGAACTAAACGAACGACGAGCGATACAACAGGCAGCCAATAAGTAATAGTCAATCAAAAGTCAAAGGATGGTGTGTGCATCGAGATGATGATAAGCCAGGGGGAAGGGACAGTGCAATGCAGATCGTGTGTAAATAGAGCAAAGAACCAGACAAGACAGTCCATGACGCGCGCCGCAGGGAAGGGACCGGAAGCGGTCCAACCCCACGCCGCACCCATCGTCCTTCTAGGTACGCAGAGATCCCGTCCGTGGCGTGTTAGTTTCGCTTTCGCTTTCGAGGTATAAACGTGAGACCGGAGGGTATGCAAGACTGGAGGGGAGGCGGGGTGGGGGGTATGCTGGTCCGTCGTGCGCAACGACGGCGGCGGGCGAGTGCACAGCAGCGCGCAGACCGGGACGCACGCACGCGAAGGGGAACGGGGTTAGGCGTGCGTCCCAAAGCTCTAGTATGCCGGCCGCGAGGGGGAGATGCCTGTAGACGCGTCTGTCTCCCGCTCCCACACGCGCCGCCCATGATTGCGCGCCGGCGATGGCGGCGATGTCGTGCCCTGTGGCACGATGCAGAGACGTGGAGGTTCATCGTCATTGACCTCATGTCGCTGCGGCGAGGATCCCCGCGAGGTCGCGCTCGCTTGCCGCAGGAAGCTCTCTCGAGCGAGCTTTGAGACGCACTAAGGGGAGCAGTTAGCAAGCGTACCCAAAAGCTATGAGAGCAGATAACTTACGATTACGATCCAGCGTAACGAGCACAACCTTCTCCGCCTGTGCGTCCTCGACCTGGCTGCCTTGGAGGAAGGCTGACCTGTCGGCCCAATGCGCTTGGTGCCAAAGCGCCGCCTTGAGGATAAGGTCGTCCATACTGCGCTCGGCGCCAGCGAAGTCGACCTCCTCCGTCCTGATGCTGAGGGTAGCGAGGTAATTGCCGCGCGTCGTCTGCACCTTGAGCGAGACGCCGTGGACGCGAACGGTCGACGCGATGTACTCGACGGCCTCCGACGCAGGGCCAGCGAGCTCAGATCCTCCGGAGACCATGCCATCGAGCTCCATGATGACGGGGAGCGGCACGACGATCGTCCACTTGTGAGACTCGACGAGGGCGCGGAAGCCCGCCAGGGTCGACAGGAGAATGTTGGTGTCGACGACAAGGACGGTGTATCCCGGAGCGATCTTGAGGGGTTGACGCGCCGTCTGTCCACGGCGAGGACGGGGTCTTGATGGCTGAGCGCAAGGGTGGTGGCGTGCAGACAGAATGCTCTCCAGCTGCTTGCGGCGAGCCTACGGCGAGTCGTTAGTAAAAGAAACACGTAAACGTCAGCCAAATCCTTACCTTGAGCTCCTTCACCTGCTCGGACTCGGACTCGTCATCCGTCTCCTCCGAGAACTCGTCGCTACCCTCGTCGTCCACCTCCATCGAGTCGTCGTTCCACCTCGCACCGGCCAAACGACGCGCCTCCGCCTCCCTCTCCAGGCGTTCCTCCTCGCGCCACCTTGCCGTCTTCTCCGCGAGCTCACCCTCTATCCTCCACTCCCTCGTCCCCCGCACCCACGTCAGCCCCCGAATCTGTTTCGAGAGCTCGACAGCACCACGGATGACGCGCGTCCACCGCTGGCCGTCCGCCTTCTGATGGCCGGCGGCCTCCTCGTCATCCTCGATGCGACCATCCTCGAGTGCCGCCTCCGCCTCCTGCGCATCCAGAATCTCGAGCTCGGGGCGGCGATCCTCGCCGCTCTTCCAGTAGCCGCGCTCCCAGACCTTGCGCGCAACCCACTCCATACCACGGAGGCACCAGTCCTCGGCGAGGGGCGGCGCACAGCCGCTTGTCAGGAGTGTCCAGTGAGGCTCCGCCGGTTCAGCGCGCGCCAGCAGATGTTGCGCCTCCATGACACTGCGAGGCACAGTCTGGAAGAACGCAGCGAGCTCGGTCCACGGTATGTGGCGCTCGAGAAGCTGCTGCGCTTTGTCGTTCCGGAGCATGGTGGGTAAGAAGGTGAGGATGATGGACAGGTAGGGGTTGAGGGACTTCCTGGCGAACATCGTCGGCTTGCGGATGGGCTGGCGAAGGACAACGGAAAGCATGGAGAAGGTGAGCTGTACGGCATAGGAGAATGCCATGGGGAGCTCCTGCGCGACATCGGCCTCCGTAAGGTTAGGCGACGTCTGCTCGTCGTCGACTTCCATCCGATCCTCCTCAGCGGCACGCTTCGCAAGACGAACTGATGCCGCGCTCATGCCAGCACCGACAGCTTCACGAGTTCGCACAGCGCCTGCTTTGCGGAGAAGACCGGTCGGCTTGCCATACTCGAGAAGGGCGCCAATGTTGGAGATGGCCATCATGATCCATTCGCGCTCCTCGGCGCCGTCGATGGTCAGCCTCTCGAGTAGGCGGGCGAGCGAAGGCTGGAAGTCGTCCATTTGGATGTTGGTGAAAAGCATGCCGTGGACCAGGACGAACAAATCCGGGACGCGCGCATCGGGCTGCGCACGGCGCGCTTGCGCCTGCGGGCTCCAGACCTGAAGAATCGACTCGCGCGTCGTGGAGAACGGGTGGAGGGCGCACAGACTGTGTAAGGATCGTGAGCATTGGACATGAAACACTAGACGGGCAGGCACGTACCTCTTGATAAAATGGTACATGCTGCGCAGTTCCTCCCCTTCCGCCTCGCGGCTCAGGAGACCCAAATGGTGGTGCAACTTGCCATTGCCCGGTTGCTCGGACAAGCCGAGTGCGTACCACTCGCGCGCAATCATCCGCCACCGCTCCTTCTCCGGCTCGAGCTCGAGCAGACGTGCGGCAGCGACACCGATGCTCGGTGACGGTGAGTCGTCGATGCGCGCAGCGGGCGCGTCACTGACGGACTTGGCGTGTGCCGCTGGAGGAGGTGCGAGAGTGCCGTCCGGAGAAGTTTTCGACGCTTCGGATAGTGCTGCCGAGGTCAAGGCCGCGGGCGTGCTGCCCGTGCTGCGGTTAACCATGGCGGCGACTGCCATGCGATATCGTGCAATGTCGCCGAGGGCCTCAAGCCACTCGCTGCGGAAAGCCTCAACGGTCGTTTCCTCGTAGAGTCCGGTGTAGTACGTATAGGCGAAAAGGATGAAGTCTTGCAGGTGTTCCATGGCCACGGGCGAACGTAACGAGGCGGCACGTAAGTTCTCCAAGAGACGGTGAAAGCCGAACATCCAAAGGCGCGCGATGAGGTTGTATTTCTTGGGTATGTTGCGCAGAGATGCAGGGACGTTGGGATTGAGCGTCAATTGGAGCATGTCGTGCATCCTGTCGATGAGTCTATACAACCAATTAGCTGGTATCCCGTGGCCCGATGAGAAGTACGTACCGCTTGTGATCAGCAATCTGCCGACGCCACTTCTCATGCTCAGCGTCTTCGCTCGAGGCAGCATCCTTGCCTTTCAGGCGTATACGACTGTTGCTCTCCGTCGCATCTTCCATCTCATCTTGTTTCACCTTCGCCTCGAGGTCGGTGATGTTGCGATAGAGGCGCTTAAGCTGAGCACCGAACTGGTTGTTGCTGGAGTCGTCACGATGACCACTCTTACCATCGAAAAGGGCGGAAGAATTCGAAGAACCGTCGGTGGTAGACGATAGGGTGAAGGATGAGGAGATGGAAGGGGCGTAGGAGGATGCCGAGGAGGCGGAGAAATGGTCCATCGACGATTGGGGCGTCGGGACTTTGCTGCCGGGCGGACGCGCGAGGACGGAGAAGAGGATGGGATTGTCCTTCTTGTGGTCGAAGAGCTGGCGTGCACCTGCGTCGCGATTGTGGCCGCGATGCTGCGGACCACGCGGGACGTAAGAGCTACTAGAATCCGAAAGAGTGTCGGGCTCTGCAGTGCGCCGGATAGGAATGGGATCCCGGTCGGGGTTGAAGAGCTTTGGACTGTGGTTGTGCGCGGTAGACACGCGCCCGGGACCGGGGCTGGGGGAGGATGTGATCTTGAGACGACGGGAGAAGTCGTCCGGGTCAGCTTCGGGAGGTTGCACGACGACGTTCGGCGCCTGATGATGGCGGCGTGGCGACGTGGTCGGGGGAGCCTTCTGCGAGGAGGAGGATGGTAATTTGGGGGACTTGTCGGACCTGTCGGCACGCGCGGGCGCAGCGGGGCGCTCTGCCCGGTCCGCACGCTCTTTGCGTATCGGCCTGTGAACCACAGTGAGCAGTGATATCGGTGCGAGATACGAGCAAGCACGCACCCTGCAGTGCGCCTCTGGAAGGCGAGGAGGCGCTTGTCAATATCGGTGACTTGTATTTCTTTCTGGCCGTCGCGGGGGGCGGGGACCTCGCGTTCTTTGCCCTTCCTGGACGTGCGCGGCGGGTCGATGGCGCTCATGGTGGACGTCTGAGAGAAGTAGAGTGCAGGAAGGAGAGCCCGCGTCGAGAATTTGAGAGGGCAGGTTGCGAGCTGGCTTCGCCCGCAGCACTCCTCCTACATCGACTGCGCATCTCGATCAGTGTGACCATTCCCACGCGGTACTGCCACCACCCGACATCTCGTTCGGCTCACATTCCGGCAACTCACTCCAGCGCCATTTCTGCTGTCCCTTCGCGCTGCACATCCTGCCCTACGTCCTGTACGACCTCTCTCCCTCCCCTGCTCGACGCACAGACCCTCGCAGATTACTATCTATAGTGCGCAGTCGCACGCAGCTCGCAGCTCCGGCGTGAGTCGCAGCTCCCGGCCTTCGCCACGTGAGCAGTTGCCCCGCCGGATCAATGCCAGGGCCGCTGCTGCACGTGTAACGTGCGCGCCCCCTTGTCTGGGGCGCCGCCCTCGGTTGTCCCCGCCAAGCGCTGACGCGACCTTCTCCACCGCCTGCAACACATCGGTAGGCCAGCATACAAGTTTGAGACTCAGCCGCAGTCAAAGAGGCCGCCGCCATCACACAAAGCTAGATGAGAGACGCCGGTGGTGGAGCACAGAAGGCTTCGCATCCTATACAATGACATTATCGAGCGCGACGCGTGCCCACCCAAAGCAGGGAGATCGTAGAGCAAGAACGCGATTCTCTCCACGATAAGTGGAGCGTTTGTCGGTTCGAGAAACGACCGATGTAGCGGCTGCGCTGGTCGGACGCGAGGCGGAGGCCGAATGACAAGGCTGAAGAGGTCGTTATTCCAGTAAGTATACACGGTAGATACAGTAACAGCACCACAAAGTCAGAGATTATTACACGTACTGCGCAGTCAGAGAATGGATCATAGGGTAAGGACTACAACACCACGGCTATCCGTCCAAAGTCCGCAGGGAATACGATTTGCGGCAAATTCAATGCTGTACTTGCAACTTCGGAACACGGAAGAGCCAGGGCCCCAGCTTGCCAAATCCACGGCGCAGCAGCTCTGCGCCGTAGTGCGTAGGCGGCGCTTCGCCGTCCCACTGGTCGACGAGACGTATAACGCGATCCTTGTCGTCAAGGTCCACGATAACGATCGACGAGACGGTCTATATCTCGGTCAGACGTGATGGAATTCCTAGAGCCACAGCAACCATACCTTTGTCGTGCCCACATATCGATACGTGTACGCGACTGTCTGCGCGAACACGAGACGGTTCGGATGCCTGGTAGAGGACATGACACGGGCCGAAATGATTTCTGCGTTAGAGAGGAACTTGGTCTAGGAAGACGGGCCACATGAGCGAGCGAATTGTAGCAGGGATGAAGCCGCCGTACCATCGCGTACCACTGCAAATCGGGTAAGCAAAGGTTTCAATGAAGAGCTGCCAACTCACCTGCGCAGCGATTTCTGTGATTCCTTTACATTTCGAGTAGGGGTCCTTCCATCCTCGAGTCAGTCCTCAGTACGTACACTCACCCAAGATTTACGCACCTCGAATATAGCCAGCGGATGCCACGAGCGCTCAAATATCTCTGGTGAGGGTCTCCCAGAGTAAAGCTCCTTCAGATCATGCAGGACACGCTCATGGTCGGCGTGCAGTTCTGTGTGGACCTCTGAATGGTCGTGGCTAATCGAGCGTCGGTGGCTAGAGTGCACTTTGCCGCCAGTATAGCGCGCGCCACTAGCTGCAGATGATACCAAGGATGGTGTAGGTACGGGTAGGAGCGATGGATGGAAGGTCGAACAAGGCTTTCCCGGAGATGGTGATCGAGGACGTCTCGCTTCGGGAGAGAGCGAGTGAGCATGAGAGTGCGATCGTCGTCGGGAGTGAGATGTAGACATTGAGTTTAGGGTAAGGTGGGAGATTCAGGTAATTTATGCTAGAGACGCGATCGAGGACAAGTCAAGTCGCTGAATGGTTCATGAATGCTGTGGACAGGTCGTGTCGACGCGGGGGAATGACAGTGCCAAGCACAAACACGTGAAAGAGCGACGGCCCGATCCGCCGATCGAGGCAGGCCTAGATGCTGATCAGGTGATCTTGTAGGTGCTTGTGGATTTAAACCAAGATTTAAACCGTTCCGCGGTGCCACCGAAATGCAGCAAGTCCGCTTGACCTGAAGTATTGATGGCAACCTCATTATCAAGCAAGATTGCGGAAATCGCGAGAGGGGTCTCCCCGCAAACGATGGTGCATCTAATATCCTTAAGTGCTAGATAGATCCGGCTATATTGTCTGTATCAACGGTGCCGTCTTCTGCGTGAGCGAGACCGACCTGTGAAGCGGAAGATGCTTCTCCATGTGCGGTCGGAAGTAGCCTCGACCGTGTAACACCTCGCGGGGAAGGTTGTACGAACCTGGCACAAGGCCATCGAAGGCGTATCCCACTGGCCCGAAGTACATCAAGGAGGTAAGGAGAGCGGTCTAAAAGGCCTGGAAATTAGTTCGAGCCTTACTCGCCCAGCGCGGGGATACTGAACGTCCCCTTCGTTATTATGCAGAGGCCGTGGGGCATGACACACAAGTGCTTCTTGTGAGCCTCCGAAGCGCTCAAGAAACCGAAAGCGGGGAAATCACCTTCATTCATCCTCACTACCAGAACCAAGTGAGTCTAGTGTTGTTGTAACCCGAATCACGTCCTCGTTCTCCCGAAGGTCCTCCACAAGTTTGGCTACCTTCTCACCGTCCTCGTCTTCAACCTGCGCCTCGTCCTTCGGCAGATATGCCTGCTCAGCGGAGATGACTGAGCAGGTGCCGTCCGCAGCCAACGCCGCTTCCAGTGCCGCCAGCTGTGTCGGCTCGCAGGTGAACTACGTTCTTGTCAGACTCCTGACAATGGAAAGGAGCGCGCGATGCAGGACGTACGTCTATGACAGCTTCCTTCTCGCTCTCCGGATATGGATGGAAGTCTAAACAGTCCGCTCCTAGTCCCGTCTCGATGACCTGCGTAACCTTTGAAGCCACCTCGTCATTCGTGATACCCTCCTTCGGTACCGCCACTTTGACAAGGCCGACTCGGTTGAACATGAACGCGACGGACGCCATACGCGCGCTGGCACTGAGCTTAGCAATGCCCAGCGGTGAGGAACACGTGAGCGCACGCACTTGTGCTCGTTCAGGAGCTCCCGGACGCGTCCTACGGTCCTCTTCGGATTCTCCGTCAAGGTCTCTCTGTCAAGCATTACTCAGGGCCGCACGTAGTACGATTCTGCGGCGCACATACATCATGAACCCCACATTATGGGCTAGGGCCTCATAGGTGAGGTACTCGCCCTTCGCATCTCTTGCGGACGCAGCCTGCACGGTGCCGGTCAGAGCCTTCTGGAAAGCCCGCAGTACTGTGGCGCTCACCTTCGCGAGCGCTCGCTCGATGATGTCCTTGGGCGTATCTTGCTCGCGCAGACGCTTGATAGTGTTCGCAAGCGTGATATTCTTGGCGGGATCCGGCGAGCCACCAGCTAATTGTAGCGGTCAGTGGACTTCCCTGAGCAAGTGTGAAATCTATAGGCACATCTTACTGCAACGGCAATGAGCTGAAGAAGGTCAATCAGCCGCACACGATGAACGGGCGCGCTACGCACTCGAGTCGCTTTGCCGTGAGCGGCACCTTTCTTAGCGTCGTTCGCGCCCTTCTTCTCCTTGATTTTCGACCACTGCACACGCGCATAAGCAGACGTAGACCTTACGGAGGCTATGCAGTCACTTTGTTATGGCCCGAGAGCCCAAGGGGCGTGGAGGAGAAACACCTTCGCTGAGAGAACGCGACCGCGCGAGACAAGAACATGTCGCTTTGCCCCGTGCTAAGCGCCCGATCACTACGCCGCCCGCACGCGTCCTTGATCAGTCGTCAACGGTAAGTTCCGTTATTCCGATGTTGAACTGGGGGGACAGGCCTCGGTATCCTTTCGAACGCAGTGTGTTGGACGGACAGATAGTGAAGTACTGACGACTGCTACATCTTCGTTGAGGTCTGTACATACAACATGCGGTGAAAATTAATCTAACGATTGCGAATAAAAGATGATAACCAGAGATGGTGATGTACATAGATGAAGGAGTCCGTGCGCCAGGGAACATTGCTTTGAGTGTATGCCTTCGATTCATACAGCATGCCGACCACTCTAGATCATGGCTGTGGCATCCTCGATAGCACTGGCCCGCTCAGCGGTACGCTCCGCAGCACGAATAGCAGCGGTGAGGTCGACATGGAAGAAGGGTGTGTCCGAGCGCATGACAGCCTCGTAGCTGCTAGTCACGGACGACTTCCCAGACGGGGATACGGGAACCTCCGTGATCTCCCCAATGGACTTCCCGTTCTTGCCTCCCGATTCCAAATCATCCTTGCCGTAGGTCAAAGTCTCAGTCCGCGACTCGTTGTCTCTGTATGGGACGACCGGTGCGATTTCGTGGGGGACATGGGCACCATCGCGACTGAAGCCAAAACCGCCGGCGATGAGAGCGCGGCGGACCCAGGGCGAGGTGATGGTGGCAAAGTGGAACTGCATTAGAGATTAGATAAATGGTTCGAAAGGAACGCGACGAAAGGCGTACCTCAACGGGGCTATCCGTCCACCGCTCGATCTCGGCGCGCGTGTCGATCAGCGTCTGAACCGCAGTGGTGTCGATGTGCGATCTAGAGAGCTCTGTCAGAGATATAAGCTACCGGATGAGAGAATTACTCACATGGAGGAGAAGTCAAGCACGATGGCACGTAGAAGAGGCAACTGCTTGTCGTCCGCGCTTGTGGAGCCGTTCTTGGGACCTGGGTCGTTCCAGGGGCGGTCGGCGTAGCTGACAGTGGAGAGGTCCTTGCCACGCCTGGTCGTCTCCTGAACGTAATCGACGAGCGCCGAGTTGAAGATGTGCTGGTTCGGATAGAGGTAGCTCTCCTCGAAACGATAGACGATGACGCCGGGCGCGGGGGGCGAGACGTAAACGGCCGGGTTCTTGATACCATCGTCGGCTAGAGAAACAAAGACTTCCCTGTTTTCATCGCCGTCGGAGTCGCTCCTCAGAGTGACCTTGCCCAAGAACTTGCCGCGAGGATGAGCAACGCGGATCAAGAGGAACGCCAATGAGGCGCAGATGGCAACGTAGATGCCGTCCTCAATGGTGGCGAATATCGTGCACAGGACCGCTGCGACCCAGATGACGAATTCGACAGGAGAGATCCTCCAGTATTGATATACCTAGCGAAGACGTGAACATGCGACGTGTCTGCATGGCAGTCATGCAGACATACCTGAGCGGGCGACGTGACCAAGTCGGCGACGGCGTGGATGATGACCGCAGAGAGTGCAGCCGATGGGATCCAAAAGAATGCCGGAGTAAGGCCTGAATGATGATTATAAGCTGCGCGCCATCCGTCGCGAAATGCTGCTTACCATATAGTGCAACAAGGACGACCAAAGCAGAAGCGAGTCCACTCGCAGGCGTGCGAACACCGCACTTAGCTGTGAGCGCAGAACGAGAAAAAGATCCCGTAGCCGGATAAGCACCGAAGCAGGAGCCAACAGCTATGCGACTTCAGCGTCGTGGATCGTGTAGTTGCACGACATACGTACTGTTCGTCACACCGATAGCAATAAGCTCCTGGTTGGGGTTGATCTTGTAGCCATTGATACGACCGAACGCTATGGTCATGCATGAGAGACGTAAGTGACAGACATGTACCATGCTTACACTTCGCGATCGCGACGTGCTCGAGCAGCAAGATGATTGTCGCCACGGGCAGTTCGCTGGCCAGCACCTTGATTAGTTCGGGGTCGATGTCGGGACGTCCAAGGTGCTGGAACCCGCGCGGTACTTCGCCCAGAATTTTGATAGGTGAGAGGGACGCGTCTTGACTGGGACCGAGCCTATGCCGCGTATACAGCCAGGACGCGATCGTCAAAACCAAAATGACAAAGGCATTGCGTAGAACCGAAATAAAGAATATGACACGACCTGCCTATGGGTCAATAGAATAAGGGGCAAGAACGATTGACTTACTGAAGCGAGGGCACCGCTTACTGAGTTTTTCGCAGCCAAAGCGCACGGCGTAAAGGAATATAAGCGCCGGGAGACCGAAGGCCGCGTCTATCTTCGTCTTAGGGAGGTGTTTGAGGCAATCGATGATGACATGGTACGTTGCCGCGCGAGTGCTGAGGAAAATATGAGCAATCGAGTACAGTCATAGTGCACGGAATACGCACTCGAATCCGGAAAGACCAAATAGTCCCGGAAGCTGACTAGTGGCGATGCTTATGGCGGAGCCCGTCATGAAACCGGCCACCGCAGGGGCAGGGATGAATTCGATCAACCATCCCAAGCGGAGCAAGCCGATGGCCAGAACGATAAATCCGCAGATGAAGGACAGGGTATTGCCCACTTGTGGGCCGCTGAACACTCCTGGGGCGGCCGCGTCGACCTCTCGTATGATTTGAGCGACGGTGAGAGACATGACAGCCACCGGTCCGATAGATACATCCTTGGAGGTCGCGAAGATCTGATGACGAGTCAGTGTCCTGAACGGCAGGCGCTAAGTATAGGAGGAAACGCACGCAGTAGATGAGGACGCCAACGAACGAGGAGTACAGACCGTACTCCGGACTCAGGGTTGCGATCTGAGCGTAGGACATGCCTTGCGGCACGAGCACCATTCCGACGGTGATCCCAGCGACGACATCACCGTAGAACCACCCCAGGTCTGCGGTGATACTGTGAGCAATGCTGGCGAACGAAGGGAGAATCACGCACTGTAGCGGGGAAGCCAGCTTAGAATGGGGAACAGGCTGGTCACATAACGCGTAACCTAGTGTTACGGTGAGCTCAAGGAGCGAAGAGCGAGTGGCATTGGAGGTGGCATACCGACTGCATGGGATTCCCTGCGCTGGCCTTCAGCCAGTCGACCGTGTCGATGGCGGGAGGGACATCGTCCTGGTAGCCGATGACACGTTTGCCGAGATCCTTAGCTTGCTCTGTGGTGGGCATGGCGGATGCACGAAGGGGGCTGCACAATTTTGCATGAGCGGCGCACCAGCCCTTATAACGCAGAGGACCGTGGGACGCTTTCTCAACAGGACAGCGGGGCGCCCATCCCACGTATCGGCTGGCGAGAATCTCCACAGTCTGCGGTTCGAGTGCGGCATGGCGCAGGAACCCCCCACACAGGGAAGCTGTCTGCGGAACTCTGTCAGATTTCCCAGCTTCTCACCGCTCAAAGCTCTTCGAGATATCGGCGTTTGATAGAAGATCTCCTTGGGGAAAGGCAACATGTCCAGGTCCGCCAGATCTAGAGCATTACAGCGAAGAGGTGATTGTCAATCAGAAAACAATGTCCGCGCAGGACTCGGGACCTAGAGCCCATCTGGTCGTTGATCATCGTTTCGAACAAGGTCTATAGGCGCCCGTGACGAGACTGTGACAATGGTCTGTTCAGCACGTGGGGGAAATGCTCGGCGCTAGCCGGTGCTTACTGCACTCAACAGCAGCCCCCATCATCTTCATGCGACCATGGCCAAAATATATCTGCTCCCGCTTGTGCGTGACCTTCTCTCTGCGAACTCGTCCCCACTTCGCACAAGCGAGCAGACCTTTGGCGACCCCATGGTTATTTGCCGTTGTCACGCCGTTGACCCTACCATCATCGTTTGTGCTGGCGCACCTCCCAACTCAAGGCCGCGCAAGCGTGGAGTGGTATGCAAACTTTATCTTATCTGTCGTCTGTACCTCAGGATCGCGTTGCATGGCGTGCGCGCAGACTGCTGGCAAGCATTCCGTGACGTGGAACAAGGCAACCTTTAGCAGCACCCGACCCTGTGATCTGACCGCTTCCGAAAACGCAGCATCAGCACGTATGGGACTTCCGGAACTTGGGGCGTAAATTCAGGCCAAGGAATGACCGCTGCTCGACGCAGGCTTTTTTCTCGTTGAAATAACGAGCGATGCTTACTGGTCTGCCCCACAAACAGTGCCGAACTCAACGCAGGCAACAGCACAGTGAGCACCCCTCGCCTTTGCATATTCTTGCCATTGCGGACTACACGCTCCCTATTTTTGTTGTCCTTCCTCTCATGCAGTCATCTCCGGACTCGCCATTGCCATACCTCGCTTGCTCGTTCAGCAAAGGCAGCTCCACGCAGATAAGGTCCGCTGGCGATCCTGTGCTGAACTTCCACGCCTACGCAGGATTCAGGTCAAACGAACAGTCTTTAACTGCGCTTGCCACCCTAGGCAAGTGGCGCGTAGGACCTCAGGCCGCACACAGTAGGTATGTCATTTTTTCCAATGCCGCATCGAATACATTGTCGTGTCGTACGAAGGTATCTACCCTACTCCAGAAGATGAATAACCGCAGTAATTTTAGTGCATTTCGAATATTCAGCCTTCGCCAACCGTCCACCAGTTAATGCATCTCGTACGTCCTTATGTCCGTTGCACGAGCAGACCCTGATCATCATACAATGCCGGTCGTATGACATCTCACCCGCAATGTCCTATTACCTTTTAGTAGCCTCCTTATCTGCGAGATTGAAAGCTCATACTAAGAACCCGAGGGCAACCCCTCGCCCCTCCGTGCTCCAACGCGTGGGTTGTCCGCCTTCGAGATGATCAACGATAATCCATTGAAAGTGAAGGTGAGCTGCACTTCAGGCGGAGATCGCGTACGATAGTATATGCTCACGAAGGAGGCAGGTCTGACCGGGGCGCAGGCGCCGCTCCTCGGAAATGACCTACGGTGGTATCTGGCCTTCAGCTCTGCCATGGCCAGGCGGCAGCAATTCGGATCTCTCCTGTTAATTTTGCATGAGTGAAGCTCCTTAAAGGGTTTAGCCTCGCTCCACGACGCCTACGGAGGACCGCGGGGGACGAGCACGACATCGTTACTTCGACGGGAAAGCTCACATGAACCTCTCTCGGGGAGGCAGCGGCAAGTGAGCATCCAGCGCCCACCCTCTCTCGTGACACCATCCGGTGCTCCTACTCCTCCTTCCCTATAGATCATGAAGCCATCTATGCACCATCTCCTGTATGTCCCCGTTGTATAGATTTCACAGCAACTGAGCTCACTGCGGGGTCAAAGCCACCGATGCGGGTAACATAGTCCCTCACAGAGGCGAGAAGAATGGGAGCTAGGATCTGTACACGCTCGGATGCTTGAATCCATGTGAAGAAGAGGCTGTCGCGCGACGTACGTAGCGGAAGTCTTCGCGGACTTCTTGACTCCTCTGAGGTGACAGCCGTGAGTGTGAGGAATTTCTTCTGCCGCTCTCATGCAAGCCTTCTGCTCAACTATATAGTGTCGCTTTTCCAAAAAGCTGAGCCCGCCTCAAATGACTGCAATGTGCATGGACCTTCGCGCGGGGCGCAGGTCAAGTCGAACCGCCACGAATTACCATAGTGGAAGACTTTCTCGATATGGCAGGCTTGCTTGTACACGACACGCGTGTGCTCGTTCCGTTTACCACATTTCGACTGCTGGTGCCTTTGTAGGGCCAGTGCGCAGCGCGCCTGTTTAGTATCACCACGACACGATCTCCTCCTTCATTTTACACGATTTCGTCGCCAGTACTGTGCAAGATAATCATCATACTTACGCCTTACCTCCAGCACTTCTCTTAAAACCTTTTCTTCATGTCTTACCAGCCCAAGTCCACGCCGCTCGTCGCTCCCGGGCACACTAGACCGGTCACCCACCTTTCCTTCTCCCCAATTCAGGACGATGGTTCCTTCCTTCTCGTGTCGAGCTGCAAAGATGGCAATCCCATGCTGCGCGAATGGACTGGCGACTGGATAGGCACCTTCTTGGGCCACAAGGGCGCAGTCTGGAGTACCAAGCTCAGTCCAGACGCGTCGCGTGCCGTCTCTGGGAGCGCTGACTTTACTGCGTGAGTCCCCATTGCATGCTCCCGCGATAGCGCGCGCTGACGGTCCCTTTGATAGGAAAATCTGGGACTCGTACTCCGGCGAAGCGCTGCACTCATTCCCGCATAATCACATCGTCCGCACCGTCGCTATATCGCCTAGCGCGTCCCATATTCTCACTGGCGGTCAAGAGAAGAAAGTCAGGATCTTCGATCTCGCTAGACCGGACGCGGAACCCGATTTCCTCCTCGATCCCGGCCCTTTCTCGCACGAGGGGACGGTTAAGAGCGTAGTTTGGGTGGGCGAACATACAGGCGTCTCCGCTGGCGAGGACGGAATGATCAAGTGCGTATGTCCTCATACTACGCGCCATTGATCTAACGCGCTTTCCCAGATGGTGGGATCTGCGAACCATGAAGCTCACCACAACCCTTTCGTTCCCGAACCCCATCCAATCTATGGAACTATCGCCTCAGACTAAACGTCTTGTCGTCACCTCTGGCAACACTGTCGCCTTCATCCCCGAACTTCCAGGAGGTGGAGTCACCACGCACAGCGTCAACCTACCCTACTCCCCTTCTTCGGCCTCCATCCACCCTATCTTGCAGGATCGCTTCGTCACCGGTAATCTTGGCGATGAATGGGTCCGCGTTCATAGCCTAGACGGCACGGAGCGGGACGTTCTGAAGGGTCATCATGGTCCTGTGCATTGCGTCGAGTTTAGCCCTGATGGTGAGATGTATGCGAGTGGGTCAGAGGATGGTGAGTGCCATGGTTTTGTAAACCTTACCGATACTGACGTGCATCCGATAGGCACAATTCGGCTGTGGCAGACGACACCCGGGAAGACTTACGGCCTCTGGCAGGGTACCAATGGCGCGTAGTGGAGGTGTATAATCCTGGATTGCGCATACACTCTCATACTGTAATCTCAGTTATTTGGAAGGACCGCTGCCATCTCGCGCATTCTCAAACAGGTGTGCAATCTCTGTCAGTGACCATGGCCCAGTTTTGGCCACTCTTCCGCTCATGGGAAGGCTACGCGTCGGTCTGACATGCATTGTCGAACGCTGCGTTCAGAAGCTCGCTCGCTGCCGCGCCATATCAGAATCACCTACAACGACGCGTGTCCAGGGAGGATTATAACGCAGGGCACCGGACAATGAGATTGAACATAGGCTAGTGAAGCGTACGTCGCAATGTAAGGCAGGTCATATTTTCTTCCAACGAGCCATATGGTCGTTGAGGCGCCTGTGCCATGCCCCCTTCAGGTCCAGCACTCTGTCGGCACTCGCGCGGTCGTTCATCGTCAAGTCAATCAGCCATTGCTTGAAAGTCGCCTCGTCCGTGGACAGTCCTCGACCGCCCGTCTGCAGGTCGATCAACATGTCTACCAGCCCTTCCTCCTCGGCCAAGGCGGGCCTTCTCAGAGCTTTCGCGAGGACGTCCATCGCTTCCTCAGTTCTGCCCATGCGAGTTAAAGCAGCGCTCTGCCGAGCGTACCTGCCCAACAATGTCAGTTCGACGTCTCACCCCGCCTCTGGTCCCCTTACCCTTTCGCGTAGTCTGGCTTATAATGCACCGCGGCTTGCCCATCCTTCAAGACCTCCTTCAGATCAGACGCTGAAGGGTCCAAAAGTCGGGCAGCAGCGCGATTCGCATGGCATATCGCCAGTTTGGCCAGTACGTCCTTCTCGTCCTCGGCGGACAGTTTCTGCGTTATGGCGCGCTCCCATTGTTCGATGGCCGTCGTGTACTCTGCGATAGCCTGTGCCTTGTCTCGTCGCTTCATCGCAGCAGCGCCCCGGTCCTTTGCCTCGGCTGCCAACTTGCCGCTGGCCTGTGCGACCTCAGTCGACTTTTGGTATACGCCGTCGGTGACGAACTCGGCCTCTGCAGCAGTCTCAAAGCGCCAGGACATCTGCGGTGACAGGGAGTTCAGGAAAGGTATGGCTTCGTCCGCGAGGTGCAGGAACTTCCTTGATACAAGGAATTCCGACGGCAATGTAGGTTTGAGTGGCGGTAGAGGTTGCGCGATGGCCATCCGTATAGCACTTCGTTGCGGCCTCACGTCAGTACGTGCCAACCTTGCAAACTGGAAGGACGTACATCAACAAGTCGGCTGGCTGAGGAAGATGCTCGACGTCGTGCGTGGCACGAAAGCTACCCTTCTCATCGTAGACATAGAGGGTGAACGTGGGTATGGCGCCAGGGGTGTTCGGTATATCATCGAGCGAAAGCGGTTGCCTTGTCTTTGGATCGAGAACAGGGCCTCTTTCGAGCTGAACAACCCAGATAGTTTGTGGCTTTACAGTAGTCTTCAGGAATTCGTAGTCATACTTGTCAAGGTCGACGCTGGTGCCTGTCTTCAGCTTCTGCATCTCACCGACGAGCTTTTCCATCTTCTCTGGATGCTTCATCATGCATCTGCTCAGCGTTAGCGGATAGAATCTACCGTTCGGCGCGAGAGAACTCCTACGCCATGATGTCGCCCAGGTCATTCTTCTCCCCCGAGGGGCCTACACTCGGCATATCAGACAATATGGACTGTGAGGGATGTCCATCAGGTATATAGACAGCAGTCAAGGATGACTGAGCGTACCCTCACGAGATTTGGATCCAATCCTCCAAAGTCGGAGACTTCGTCCCAATCTGTTCGCTTGGACTGCTTCCCCCGAGAGGTTTTGCTGTTTTGTTTGGACATTTGGATTCAGATATTCGTTGGACAGATGTACGCAGGCTCTGAACAGCACGGGCGCGCGATGCAAGTTTGGATGAGATTGCGAGCATGACGTCCAATCAGATCAGAATGTCACGTGGCCGTGATGCGTCCACGTGTGAGACGCGAACAGTTGAAGTTGAGTTTAACGAACGCCCTCAAACTTCGCAGCACACCTCACGAATACCTTAGCATATCTGGAGCTACTTTTGGGTCGGCCCCGTGAATGCTGAGGGTAGCAAGCGGCTTAACGCGACCGTCTCGACATGATCTCATATCTACGTCGACTTTCGCATAACCTGCCCTTCTACAATGGTACCAATTATGCCCTTGCCGTCTTTTCCTCTTCCAAGTCAGGCCAGAAAGCTGCTTCCAACTCAATGGTACGCTCCCAAACCTCTTCTGCTCTCTTCCATTTTGGAGAATCCGGCTGAATGCCCAGGTCGTCCACGATGTCGCGCAAGTCCTCAACAAAGTTGATGAACTCGTTGCAGGTCCAGTTCTCCGATAGGTCGTTTATCGGCTGGCCCGTTATGTTCGACGCCTTTAGGCCCTTCTTCACATTCGTCCATACGTCCAGGTAGGCCTAATCGACGTCAACGATGCACCTTAGTATTCATGAAGATGCGAACCTTCTCCATTGCCCACAAGAACACCATGTTTTCCTCTAGTGACGCAGTAGCGAGCCGTGCCATCTCCGCGGTGTAGTCCCTGGTTCCCTTCCGCTCCTTCCATCCTTCGATGTTCAAGCTATACTGCTTCGCTGTGTCGCCGAAGAATCCAACCTCCCGAACGACATTCTGCAAGGAGTACAGCAATATCGACAGAACGCGCTTATTGATCGCCTCCCTCTCCGCGTCTTCGTACGGGATCGCCGCTATTATGTGGCCAATGAATTTTGGGTACGCTTGCGATGCGTAGATCTTGTCCTGCGATAGCCAGTATCCCAACGTCGACGGCGGGAGCTGTCCGGATCTCGCGGCTTCAAGGAAGGGGTGCGTGCGCGTCGCCACATTGTATAGGTCCTCCCGAAGGGTGACGAGGTGCGTGGTGAGCTTGCGCGATACGGGTGGCATAGTGCTCCAACGCTGACGGCTTCGGGCAAGGAGTCAATGGGGGCGCAGTGAGTCGAGGCGCCCTGATCTGGCCTAAGATAGGCATCGTACAGGCCGTTGCGTCATAGGCGCTGGGCGCTTATAAGGTGGATCTGCACTGCGCCAAGCTCATTCACAAGTCGTGCAAACCACCTTGACGAACGGTACCCCACCGACTACCATGTCATTCGTACCCAACTCTGTCGAGCTACCAGCCCTGCCCAAGGCCGCGCACAGTCCTGCGGGGGATCGCGTTATATCCAGGCAACCTACTCCCTCAAGCGGCATGTCTGTCAGCGGTTCCTTTGCGAAAGCAGGCAGTCGCCAATCCGGACAGGAGGGCGTCATGAGGCAACGCGGAGGATGCATACCATGCCCGGTACGTCTGCATTGTACATGTCCTCTGTTGAACTTTGGGCTGATGCGTGCTCTAGGATGGATCTATATGCTACATCATCCCAATACCCTGTTGCTGCTGTCCTTAGACGATATGCTTTCAAGCTGGTATCAAGCTCGCCGTCTCGTACCCATTAATATGTATACCCAACCTAATGATGGCTGTGACTGTAGTTTTCTTTTTCGACTTTTCCTGCTCGTGGACGATGGACACCACTTTTATTCTGAAGCGCAAGCGGCCCAATATCCGCGTCCTCTCTCCTGACAGGGTTGGCGCAGCACAAGTCCTGATCTACAAGACTGTATACTTCACTGCAGGGGCGCGCCACCGACGTGACTCCGGAGTGTAGGTCTCATTTGATCCGGGCGGGGTGTCACGCACGTGGGCCTCGTCGCGAGGTCGTCATCGCCAAGCGCCTCACCAGGTCACTGCCTTCGCGCAGCCTTTTCTGATTCACTATATAGCGCAGCACCTCTTCCCAAACCACACCGAACACGACTACCATGAGCCCCACGCCCACCTACCCACCTGCGTCTACCGCCACTGCGCCGGCGAACCCCGCGCCTGTCGCGCAGCAGCCAGGCGCCAACACGGGCATGTCTGTGTCTCGCGAGGCGCAGAACCAAGAGCAGAAGGCAGAGAGATTGAGGGGTGGATGCATTCCGCTTCCTGTGAGTCTCCGCGATCTCCTGAATCACAGTGATGCTGAACAGATACCTAGAACGGCGGTCGCTGCTGGATCATCCCCATCCCCTGCTGCTGCTAAGCGCTTGCGGAGTTATACATACTCCCCGCTGCTTTACGACCCATGATGCCAGAGATTCCGACGGACCAATATATGTTGTTCAATTGCAATGTCAGCCTCGCTTGCCCAAACAAACTTTATCCCCTCAATCAGGATTGAGGATACTGCAGGATGGAATAACGTGTCTATTTGCCAAATGGCTATCAGACGCCTAGCTCAGAATCAGCGCATCTTGGATATAGCTCATAGCCGGCCGTATATGATCTGCTGAGTGTTTGATCCAGCATATCGTCGCGCCATGGTCCATGATTCGCCGCTACTTGAAGTAAGTTCTATGCATTGGATTCGTCTTGTCTCGCGTTTGCTACTACTCGCTCAGACAGTGTTCTGCTCTAGAACTGGTCATGACACAGGTCGATAGCATACCCTCCCAGTGAAGTCGATACACCGGAAGGTCCAGGTATGTTTCGGGTGGCGCGCACCTACAGAGCGTGCCCATCACGCTTTGGTCCGACATGCGTTAGCGTCGGTCTCAGAGTCGTGTTACGGCGCGTATCGGCCACCCCATAGATACACGCGCAGAGAGGTCCACCATCTCGAGGCATGCCGTATAATACCCGCGACCTTCGTCGCGAATCCTAGTAACCCGCTAGCGCATCCCGCCGGTACCATCTCTCTTTCCCTTCAACCATTTGGACCCTCTGGTTCTGTGTCCACTCTCAGCTAGCCAGACGGCCATGTTCAGGTCCAGCGAGAAGGTTGCAGTGTTTTGGGATTATGGTGAGCTCCCCGTTTGCCCGCTTGATGGTCGCGTGCTTACTCGCATTGCTTTAGAAAATTGTGCTCCTCCAGCCCAGGTGTCTGGCTACGACGTTGTAGATACCATCCGAGGCATCGGGCACCGCTACGGGGCCATATGCCAGTTGAAGGCTTACCTCGAGCCTCCAAGGCAGTATGTCGATCCGTCTGGGACGGCGCGGCTGCTGGCCCTGCGAACCGAACTGCAGGCGTCGGGTGTATCCTTGACGGACTGCCCGCACAACGGAATGAAGGAGGTCGCTGACCATATGATGCAGGGTGAGCTCGCTGTCCTGATCCCTGTTTGTGCAGGTACTCACCATGTCTTCGTAGTCGATATGCTGGCATTTGCCCTTGACCATCCAGCCCCAGCGACCGTTATCCTCATCACCGGCGACCGCGATTTCGCTTACGCAACGGCCGTGCTACGCGCTCGACGCTACCGCGTCATCATACTGTCGCTCCCCCACATCCACGAGACTCTGAAGGCGCAGGCCGACGAGTGGCTGGAGTGGGGGCCTGCGGTGCGGGCGACGGAAGAGCGGCGGAGAGCAAGAACTGCGGGCAGCAATGCCTCCAGCGAGCCCGCAGAGGTGGCACGATCGACGCCAAAGGGGAGGGCAACGCGCGCGAGCTCACTATCTTCAGTGACCTCGGACGTGTCAACCCTATCCTCGTTGTCATTGTCGCCGCCTTCGTTCCCCGTCAGTGACGACAGGGACCTGTCCACCCCACCGTCTTCACCCCCATCTCTGATGACGACCCCTGCCTCCGCTAGTCAGGCGCCGGATGCCTACGATAGCGATGTGACGCTTGCGAATGTGTCGCCGCCTCCGATGCCGAGCGTTGAGGGTAGCGGGTCTTCTATCAGGAAGCCCACGGACGTGCATCAGTTCGCAAAGACTTTGCTCGCATGCACCCCTCCGAGCCTGCGTTTTGATTTCTTAAAGTCTCCGGTGGCGAGACCCCTGTCGCCTGTCGTGACGCCTGCGACAGCGACAATAACGGGTAGCGTTGCGTATGCGCACCTTCAGCCAGCTGTAGCAGCGGTGACTCCTGAAGCGCCCATCGCTTCAGCCGCGCCGGTCTATGAGGCGCCGCCCATAGTCGTCCCCGCGCCGACCACGGTCTCCATCGCGCCCGCGCCTGCACCCTTAGAGGAGATAGCGGCCATATCATCGGTCGTAGACCAAGCTCCTGTCGCCGCATCGCTTCCGACTCCCCCTCCCTGCACGGCCCCGACCGCGCTAAACACACTGCAGGCTTCGGGTAGTTCGCCTGCGCAGATGAGGATCGTGCCGCAGAACTACGCCGCCCTCGTTAGTATACTGCAAGATCAGCGTCGCCTCGGGAAGATGCAGTTCAGTCGCACTGAGCTCGCGCGCTTGCTGAACATGAAAGACGTACGTTCACGCCCGCAGCTTCATACTCGGGGGCTAACAATTACAACAGAGCATGGTCTATCGTCGCACGAAGGTCTCCAATTGCAAACAGTACCTTGCCTTAGCAGCGAAAGAAGGGTTTGTGGATCTAGGGGAAACAGGCAGTACATCTTCGGCTTGGGTAGAACTGAAGGAGGAATGGCGGACAACATTCTGAGTGGTATTGTGGATTGGGTAGGCGAGGAACCGGTGAGAGTGCTGGCACCCCGCGGGCCTCTCACATGGCGACACGACCGTGTTGTATGCGATTATTCGTAGTGCTTGATCTATAATTTATTGGCCTTGTCGACGTCCACGGTAGCACGCGAACCCTATCAACAAGCCGGTGAACTGTAGGTCCGTCTCACCTCATGTTTTCCAGTGATAGCGGCGCGATCAGGCAATTGCTGAGCTTCATGCGGCGCTGCTCGTGACCGGTTCAGTAAGACAAGCGCGGTCCCAGGACGGTCGCTTGCCAGCAGCCAGTGGCTTTCGGATCTGGCCGCAATCTGCTGTGTCAGAAAGGGCACGCAGTCGACTTGCACTCACCGCGATGCGTAACTTCTAGCGTGATACTGAATTCACAAACATGGAGGAAACGTGCATTTCGCATGTAGAACCTTGGTGATGAGAGGAGGTGTGCATCACAAGAACCCAAAAGGACCCGTACCGACGTAAAAGGACAATAGGAAAGCTAGAGGCATTGAAGCGCGTTGACTAACGCCGCGCACCGATGAGGAGACTGCCATAACAGCGCTCAGCTCTCCCAAAAGTCCTTCTTCGCCTTTTCGAACTCGGCCTTCTTTCGCTTGGATTCCTCGCGGTTCTGTGCCGACCGATTATTGCGCTAAGCTCTGTAAGCCGAGTGCGTGACGAGAAGGGTTCGGACAACTTACAGCCGCAATTAGGCACTTATTCAGCAGGTTCTCAATGTTCGAACATTTATCCGTCCATTTCGAGTAGGGGTCGGCCTCGCAGGCTTCCAGCGCCTCGACGAGTTCCTTGCAGTCTTTGCACCATGAGATATCAGTAGATGCGGGCAGAGAGAGCGCCTACCGATACGCTTTTGGCCTGATAGTTGGGGATGCATTGAGGGGCAAGGAAAAGAGGAACAGGAGTGCGGCAGTAGGTTGCGGCGGTCCGGACTCGGTCCGGGGTCGCCGAAACGGACGCCTTCGGAGATTAGCGCATTGTGGGGATATTTATCGATCCGCGCAGATCTTGCTCTCCTCCTGCCCTTCTCCTCGTTACCACTTCACCACCATGGCAGGATTCGCCCCCAACCCCGCCGACAACATCGCTGTTGCGACCATTCGCACTCTCGCCGCCGATGTCGTCGCCAAAGCCAACTCTGGCCATCCTGGTCAGCCCCTCGGGAGGCGTACGCTCCCCTGGTTACTAACACGCCCACAGGCGCGCCGATGGGCATGGCGCCGGCCGCCCACGTCCTCTTCACTCGGTATGCGAGAGTATCTTGCGAGAAAATTACTACTGAGCCCCGTTCTAGTTTCCTGAACGCGAACCCCAAGGACTCGAAGTGGTTTAACAGGGATCGCTTTGTTCTGTCGAATGGGTGAGTCTCCTGCATGACTTTCGCCGCATCATGTACTAATCTCCATGACAGACACGCGTAAATCGCCTTTCCCTTGATTCTGTGACCCCTAGACTCAAGTTTACACCAGTTGCGCGCTCCAGTACATCATGCTGCACCTGATGGGCTACAAGCTCTCCATGGACGACCTCAAGCAGTTCCGTCAGCTGGACTCGCTCACTCCCGGTCACCCCGAAGCCGGCCACACAGACGGTTAGCCGAACTTCATGCGCGTAGTGGACGTATGCTCAATGAGTTATGTAGGTATCGAAGTGACCACCGGGCCTCTCGGTCAGGGTATCTCGAACGCCGTTGGGCTCGCAATTGCGCAGGCTCACTTGGGGGCCGTCTACAACAAGCCCGGCTTCGAGCTGATCAACAATCACACCTACGGTTCGTGCATTCGGCTGCTACCTAGCTATCACGCTGACATGGATCGTAGCTTTCACCGGTGACGGCTGCCTCATGGAGGGTGTTGCCAGCGAGGCTTGCAGCTTGGCAGGCCATCTGCAGCTCGGCAACCTCATCGCGGTATGTACCAATCTCAACAACCAGGGATGCTGAGGCTTACTTTGCCCTGCAGATCTACGACGACAACCGTAAGCTTCTTATCCGAGGCTCTGAACTCTTCACAAACCCGTCATTTCAGACATTACCATTGACGGTGACACCAATGTCGCTTTCACTGAGGACGTCCAAAAGCGCTTTGAGGCATACGGCTGGCAGGTCCTGCACATCGACAACGGCGACAGGTTAGCCAGACGCGACATTGTCCTCGTCATAGCTGCTCATTCATCTGCAGTGACCTCGAGGGCATCTACAACGCTATCGCCGCTGCAAAGGCGGAGAAGAACAAGCCGACCCTCATCAAGATGAAGACCACCATCGGCTTCGGCTCTAAGCAGCAGGGTACCCACGGTGTTCACGGCTCCCGTAAGATTGCTCGCCTCAGTTGCCGAACGCACATTGACTTCGCATAGCGTTGAAGGCTGACGATATCTCGGCGCTGAAGACCAAGTTCGGCTTCAAGCCCGAGCAGCAGTTCTTCGTCCCGGACGAGACGTACGCCGCCTACGCGGAGGTCGCGAAGAAGGGTGCCGAGCTCGAGGCTGCATGGGACAAGCTCCTCGCCGCATACGGCGAGAAGTACCCCAAGGAGCACGCCGAGCTCACCCGCCGCATTGCTGGGAAGCTTCCGGATGGCTGGGAGAAGGCCCTTCCCTCCTACACCCCGTCGGACCCGGCGCAGGCGTCGCGCAAGCTGTCCGAGATCGTCCTTAGCAAGCTCGTTCCTGTCCTCCCGGAGCTCGTTGGCGGTTCCGCCGACTTGACTGGCAGCAATTTGACGAAGGTCAAGGGCCAGACGGACTTCCAGCCGCCCAGCACTAACCTCGGCACATACGCTGGCACGTACATCCGCTATGGTGTCCGTGAGCACGGTATGGGCGCTATCGGCAACGGTCTCGTCGCGTACGGTGGCATCATTCCTTACGTTGCGACGTTCTTGGTAAGGTCACGCTATCCGTCCCTAATGCCCTGTCTAATGACTGGAACAGAACTTCGTCTCCTACGGTGTTGGCGCCCTTCGTCTGGCTGCCTTGAGTCACCAGCAGGTCATTTGGGTCGGCACGCACGACTCCATCGGTCTCGGTGAAGATGGCCCTACCCACCAGCCGGTTGAGACCGCTGCCCACCTGCGCGCGATTCCCAACCTTGCTTTCTGGCGTCCGGCCGACGGCAATGAGACCTCCGCTGCGTACTACAAGGCGATCACCATGTCCGGCACGCCATCCGTTCTCTCCTTGTCGCGCCAGAACCTCCCCAACCTCGAGGGCTCGACCATCGAGCGCGCGTCGAAGGGTGGCTACGTCGTCCACGAGGTCGAGGGCGAGGACCTCACCATCGTGAGCAGCGGTAGCGAGGTGTCGATCGCCATCGAGGCGGCGGGCATCTTGAAGGAGCAGGGCATCAAGGCTCGCGTTGTCAGCTTGCCGTGCTGGCTCTTGTTCGACCAGCAGCCGAAGGAGTACAGGTTGAGCGTCCTCCGCAGTGGCGCGCCCATTCTGTCGCTCGAGGCGCTTTCTGTACGCTCCTTTCGTTATACATTGTGCTCGAACTGTCTGACATTGATATTAACAGACCCTCGGGTGGCAGAAGTACAGTCACGAGCAGTATGGTCTCCCGGCTTGGGGTGCGTCTGCCCCGTATCAGAAGGTGTACGAGAAGTTCGGCATCACTGGCAAGAGTAAGTCATGACCTCTCACTCTCGTTACTCTACTCTAATGCATACCTCGCAGACATCGCGTCCGTCGGCAAGAAGATCATCGACTTCTACAAGGGCAAGGAGGTCGTGTCTCCCCTTGACAAGGCGCTCTGAGTCTTGAGTGTATGAATCTGTTTCGTTAGATGTCTAGAATTGGTTTGAAGATAACGTTGTATCCTTACTGTAGCCTGCCATAGAAAATGGTCTTTCTCTAGCGCTGACTGAGTTGCTTGAAAGTCAACTTGAACTTGAAGAGGACATCGACTCGGAGTCACACCGGTACCGCGCTTGTGACATCGCGGTCAGCTGATGGACGTCACACTCGGCGCGCTGCATTGTTCACCTTGATCTCTGCTATCACGGTCGAAGACATCGCCCGACAAGGCGTTCTGCTATGCAGCCCAGCACACCCTACACACATGCGGAGATATTCAAATGGACGCTGACTGCAGATGCGGTTGCACCCTGCTTTGTCGAGGACGTCTTCAAGCTTGAGGAGAACGAGAAACATAGTGCGTTATCGAAGTCCGGCCTTCATATATGTTGTTCATTGTGTGCAGCCAGCGACTTCTTCTGGCTAGGAAGTGTGCCTTGTCGGACTGTGAAGCTAGTGGGCATGCTCGTGGGCGTGCAAACCTACGAGAAGCGGATCGTGTATAGCGGTGCGTCGACCTCCATCCCTGATGTGAACAATTGCTCACTGGCCTTCAGTCGACGATGGCACTGCTGTCATTGATTGTGTCGACAGACATCCCACTCTGCAAACCCCCTCATCCTCGAGCTTTTTCTTCGGCAAGATGCCTCTGCCCATTGCGGATGTGGGAGCCTCCGTCACGGTAATCGGAAACGTACTCCCTAAGAAAGAGCGCCAGATCTCGATCTCGAGTATAGGTGACTGCGAAGTCCTTCTCCCTTTGCACTCGAATGCTTACTGCTGTAGAGCGATGCAAGCACGCTAATGCCGAGCCCCTTCATTGGTTGGCGGTCCGCCAGCTGCATCGCGTGTCGTACACCTCGTCCACGCCATTTGTCATCCCAGAACAAACTACACCCACTACACCCGCCGACGAAGTACCCTCTCGACCACAGACGCCTGTATCTCTGGCGTCTTCATCCGCCCCACCCAGCCCCACCAAGTCTGTCGCTTCCTCGGTTGCAGCTAGTCCAAGCAAGCTGAAGGTTCGTCCCTAAAAAAACCCATACGTTCTTAAGGCTCACACAACCCTAGACTCTCATGAAGCTTCGCCACCCCTCCAGATTGCACACTCGAGACCTCACCCAGAACACCTTCAGGGTCTACCTCAAGCACTTCATGGACAATGCGCCGCCCCCTGCAACCGAAGACAACACCCCTCCTACCGCCAGCCCGTTCTCCACGCCGAAGAAGCGCATCCGCCGTGCCGATTCCGACGTTACACCTCGCGCCGCGCGGCTCATGCCTATCGAGAACACGCCCCGCGGCTGCCGACCTGCGACCACGACATGTTCCAATGAACCCGCGGCAATTGGATTTACGCTGTCGTACCTTCGTCGGGTGCCGGAGCTACGCGACCTGGCGAAGCGCGTGGTCAAAGCTGAAGCCAAACGTCGCGCGCGAGCTGCGAAGGCGAAAGAGCGCAATAACAGGGAGGCAGAACCCGCGAAGCCCCTCGGCGCCGGTGCAAGCAAACCACGCAAAAGCATATCCGATGAACCGATATCGCGTCGCATGAAGCGCTTGTTCCAGTGGGCACTCACTGCCCTGCTCAATGACGGCTATATCGTCTTGTGGGACGGACCGCCCCGACCCTGCTCTTCCGCGGAGCCCCTGCCAGACACCAGTTGTCTTTGGAAAACATCAGCGTCCGCCAACGCCACCACGAGTACCGTGGACACGACTGCGAGCAGCCTTGTCTCCGCATCCGAGTCGCAAGGGCTCGACGAAGACGAGCTCTCCGACCCCGATGAGCGCGAGGAGTCGTACGTTCCGCTCGAACCGACAGTTCTGGCGAAAGCTGTCGAGAACGCCGTATCCTCCTTGATATCGCGCAAGCGCAGGCACAAAGCCAGTGCCGACTCGCATGCACTTTCGACCAGCAAGGAGTCCGTCATCGCGCTCATGCAGCGAGACGACCGGTGGCGATATCTACACAGCTGGCAGGTCGAACAGACGCTCGAGCACCTCGTAGACCAGGACGTCCTGTGCGAGCGCTCGAACGGCAGATATTCTATACGACGGACCTCTCGTTGAGCAGATGGTCCAAGCTACATACGTGTACAACACTTGCGAGGATAGATAGACGATAAGTACAGCGATATCAGGTGGAAGAGGTTCAGATATTCGCCTTCCACCTGTTGTCCAACATGATCCAGGGCGATTCGTCTCCCTCACCACCGCCCGTGGTGATGATATTCGCGCGCCTCGCTCGGTACACATAGTCGGAAAAGTCCTTGCAGTCCTTCGACAACTTCCCATACAACGTCGGATGTCGCTTGCGAAGTATCGTATTCACCACCTGCCGATTCGACTTCGTATACCCTGCCCTCAACTGCGCCTGCAGCAGCTGCACGAGCGGTACAAACTGCGGCGGCAGCGATGGGTCGTCGACCGGTGGTAATTCGATCGCCTCCGCCTCCTCCGCGTAGGCTGGCGTCAGCTCGACGTACGCTTCCGAGCCCGAGCCGCCGGGGACGACGAGGCCCGCGGCGGTGGCTGCGGCGATGTAGTTCTTGAAGCTCTGCAGCCCGGCCTTCTGGTAGACGTCCTTATCGGCGCGAAGTAGTCGGCCGCTGAGTTCTTTGCGACGCGGGCGTGAGCTGCCCGCAGCGTAGAGCGAGCGCATGACGTCCATCAGCGACTGGAAATGAGCAGGGAAAGTGGGCGAGTTGGCCGACATTGGAGGCGCGTTGTTCGATGCGGAGAACGAGGGGGATGACGCAAATTGCCCCTGCTGTACTGCGGGAGAGGTTGCGGGACCGCCCTGCATGATGCCTTCTGCGCCTTCGACTGCATCGTCGAGGTCTGAAGCATTTGCTGTCGCCGCGGCAGCCGCAACTGTGTCGGACGAAAGAGTGGAAGGGATGGAGGTGGAAGATGCGGATGGTGTCGAGGCGGCTGAGGGTAAATCATACAACGGCACAGGTCCTCCTGCTCCCAACTTGGCGGAAGTCTCCGGCGAGGGGATCTCTGGTGCATTCTCCTCATCTTCAGCTGCGGCTGTATATAGACCGGACAGGGATATCCACTCCTTGGCGCCATCCCCGTCTAACAGCACGATGCCTTGGGCAGCCGCCATCGAGCAGTATTCCTTGAAGTTGTTCGCACCAGCCTTCGCACAGGCATTGACATCGATTCCTATAAGCTTGATACCCACTGCGGACACCTTTGGGAAAGGTTCGCCTTCTTCAAAGTAGGCGCGCAAGATTCGAATGAGAGGCTCGAACCGTAGGTGCGGTGATTGTGAAGGAGCGGCAGGAAGGACTGGTGGTGGCGGTGGTGGTAAAGTTGGCTCCGAAGGTATCGCCGATGCTGGTATGGCTGAAGTGCCGAGAGAGTGTGAGGGGATATCGACTGCACTGGCCAATGGTACTCGAGCAGCGGGCGCAGCTCTGGAGGTCCCTGCCAGTCGGACTGCAGGCGTTTCCGAGGGTGACAGAACCGAAGGCAGCAGCGTCTGCTTCCTCGTCGCAGGCTCTGGGTCCATCGACGGTGGATTCGCCGACCTGATGTCGGGCTTGGAGGGGGATTGGTATCTTGATGGCTGAACAGACGTAACCTCCGCAGAGACTACTGCAGGAAAAGCACTTCTGGAATACCGATCTGAATATAACCCAGCGGTCAGCATACTGAAGTGCAGCTCAGTCAAACTACGCACCCCTTCGTGGCGAAGCCTGATCTGGACCCGGTGTTGATGGTGTTACGTCCTGTCTTTCGAGGTTGCGCGCGCTCATGGATGGCGATTGCACATGCCGTGGGCCTCCCGAGGATGGCGAAGCAGGCGACTGCATCGGTGGACGGCGCCTGACATCGTACTCAGGCTCGTTGAAGCCCAGTATCTCCGTGGCCCAATCGACGTGCGAAGCCACTTGGGACAGCAGGCTTCGGTGCGGGCCAGGCTGCGAGCGGCAGATGAGAATGACATTGTAGTGTCGACGGCGGAGGACAGCCGCCGTGTAGGCGAAGTCACGGTCGCCAGAGATGAGGACGAGGGTTGCTGGGGCAGGGTTATCGAGGGCGAAGAGCAGTATGTCCGCTAGGTAGAGTTCAGACGTCAGAATGCGCTCGGCGTCTAAGTGGTGGCGACGTACTCTGCAGCATCTGATCGACCGCATTCTTCTGCCCATTGTGAGGGCAGTCAATTAGCGCAACGCCCGACGACTGAAGCTCCGAGCGCAAGTTGTTGGATATCGTGCACAGCTGCGGGTCCAAGTAGGCATTGAATGCTGTAACGCTCCCATGAGGGAGTGCGACGCGCTCAATGTTCTTCGCGATGTCGAAGCCAGAGCAGCCTCCCGTGAAGTGACAGTTCTCTGTCCGTGTCGATCAGCCCCCGGATCGCTCTCGACGTGCAGAACGACGTGCCGTAATCCCAGAATATACCTACAGGTGTACGTGACATGAGAGCAGAAGCAGAGAAGTGACCTATTCAGTCCCTTTCGGTTCTGCTTCGGCGAATGGCCCCAAGCACGGCATTATATTCGAGTATTTTGGGAGATTGAACATGACATTCAGAGGAGGAAGATGAATCGACCAGGTGAAGATATCAATGATAATGCTATTGTGCCCAAAAGAGTAGGTCGATCGGGCACCGCACACGAGGCGGTCGGAAGATGTGGATGTCAGCTGTGTATTCGAAGTCGATGAGCGACAAAGTTGGTAGTGGTACATAGTATGTAGGAGAAGGAACTCGTGTATAAAACGTAGTATGTGCAGAGAATAAACCCACGAAACATTTCCCTCAAACCACCATCACTTTCTTCCACTTCTTCTCCAACGCGATCCAGGTGTGCCCTCCATCAGGATCGCCACCCAGTACCACGATCCCCGCCTTCTCCGCGCTCGCAACGTACTCCCTGAAGTTCTCGACGCCCGCCTTCTTGTACACGCCCTTGTCGCGCTGGACCAACGCTGACCCAATGAGCCCGCGATTAGGACTTGGCTGCCCCGCCTCGCGATACTCGTGCAGAATGCGCACAAGCAAGCGGAACTGTGTAGGCACAGCAAAGATGGTCGGCGAGGGCGGCTTAACGGCGGGCGGAGGAGCCTTCGCGGAGGGCGTGCTACCCAAGGAGATCCACTCCGCTCCATTATTGGGCCCACTGAGCGTGACGAGGCTTGCTGAGGCCGCGCGCGCCATGTACTCTGCAGAGCTACTAGCCTGCGTGCGCTTGCAGATCATGGGGTCGCGCTTGAGGAGCTGCTCCCCAACGTATGAACGTAGCGGACGGAGCTTCCCAACCTGTTTCTGCTCCTGCAGAATCTGCACGAGCAACCTGTACTCGGCTGGGACCGTCGAGGGAATCGAGGGTGCTGAGGTGGACGCAGGCGAAAACGAAGGCGCAGGCGCAGGCGTCGCAGTGCCAAAGGCCCACTGGGTGGTAGCCGGCAGCGTAGCTTTAACACTGGCGATTGACACCCATTGCACGCCTCCCTTCGTACCGCCCATGATGACTAGACCCGCAGAACTGGCCCCAGCAACGTAGGCCGCGAGACCGCTGACGCCTGCCTTCTTATATACCTCGGGGTCCTTTGCCTTCAGCAGGGCACCTACGACGGAGTATAGAGGTCTGTCCTGGTCGTCTGCCTTCAGCTGCTGCAGCACTCGCATGAGCGGCTTGTAGGAGGCGGGAACCTGACCGGCGCCGGTTGAGCCTGATACAGGCGGAGACGGCGTTGCTTTCAGTTTCGGCGAAGGGGTCGATGGGGCCGGTGTCGACATCTCCGCCCCGGTGACCCGCGCTGGTACGTAGGCCATAGCCAACTTTGGACACGGGAGCTTGCTCCGGCTCAGAATGGTCGACGCGGCCGGCGCAGGCATTCCCGCTGAAGTCACCCGCTTCGCGCCCTCCGCCGGCAGCGCTAGCCACGCATCGCCATCCTCATCACCAAGCACCACAACACCGGCCTGCTCGGCAGCGTCGACGTACTGCTTGAAACGGGACACGCCGGCCTTCGCGTACGCGTCCGGGCAAGTGGCGAGAAGGGCATTACCGACTAGCGAGCGTCTCGGTCTTGTTTCGCCGACCTCGCGTAGTGCGGTCAACACGCGGACGAGCGGATTGAAGACGGAGACGGGTCGGAAGGTCGAGGTAGAGGACGTAGAGGGGTTAGCGGCAAGGAAGGCGGACCATGCTGAGGAGGCTGATGCCGGTGATGGGGCCGACAAGAGCAACGGGCTTGGTGAAGGTGATGGTGAAGGCGAGGGTGAGTCGAAGTTCTTCGTCAACGAGATCCACGTCTCTCCTCCTCCTGTCGCGGCACCACCGAGCGTCACAAGCCCCGCTTGGCAGGCGCGCATGGCGTACTCGGTGAAGTTCTTCACCCCCGCCTTCTCATACACTCCAGGGAAATGGTGCGCCAGGCGATAGCCAATCACGCCGCGATTGGGTTGGGAGAAACCGGCGTCACTCTGCTCCTGGAGTAGTCGTATGAGCGGCTCGAAGACGCCGTGCGCCCCATTCTTCGCTAGCACGACGGCCGAGTTTGTAGGTGTGCGTTCTGCGGCGGCTGCAGCAGACGACGTCGCTGTCTCGCACCTTGGGTTAGGTGACGTGCAGAGCGAGTCGCTATCCTCGGAGGTGGATTTGTCGGCGAGGTCGGTGGACTCATTAGAGGGGCTGGTCGGGGGAGAGGACCAGCTGCTGAGGGAGACGGATGAACCCGAAGGTGTCGATGGCGTGTCATCCCTCTTCGCGAATGAGTCGTCTGCCTGGGATGTTGTGGAAGACACGATAGTGGCTGAGGAGGAGCGCGACCATTCCCTCCGATGCGGGTCTTCGGGCAGGCCCAGCACCCTCGTGTTCCAATCTAAACACGCCGACACCTGCCACGCTAGGCTCTTGTGCGGGCCCGGCTGAGAATGGCACAGTAGTACCACCTCGTATCGTCGGCGGCGCAGTACAGAAACAGTGTACGCAAAGTCCCGATCGCCCGAGATGAGGATTAAGGTCGCAGGCGCGGGATGGTCGAGGGCGTAGGCCAGCATGTCGGCTTGGGGCGGTTAGCTGACAGCCGTGGAGCAGAGTGCTAGACACTCACTCTGTAGCATCTGGTCTACTACGTCTTTCTGTCCGTTGTGTGGGCAGTCTACGAGGGCTACGCCGCTAGACTGCAGTTCGGACCGCATGGTCGCGGGTAGCGCGCAGAACTGCATGTCCAGGTAGGCATTGAAGTCGGAGACCGTGCCATATTCCAAAGCAACCTGCTCAATGGCCCTCGCGATTTCGTAGCCAGATCGTCCAGCTGAGTACCGACAATTCTCTGGTAGAGATCGGGCGTCAGCGGCGTGCCTCGAGAATATATGGACCCCCTCGAGCCTTCCTCCCGAGTTACGTGGAGATGTACGCAGGGAGAGTAGATATGGGGTCGATTGGTACGAGGAGTACACTCACCAAAGTCCCAGAAGATGCCTACGCTCGCCGGACCAGTCATCGTGGTAGGAGGCAGGATGCGGGTGGGCTATGTACTTCCGCCGCAGGCTATACGCCGGGCAGCCCAAGGTCCCGTGAGCAGCACATACTGGGGGACAAAGCATATCATCTTCCAGCTATATCGGTACGATTAGAGCGGGAGCGTGTTGGGGTGCGTCTGCTGTCTGCAGCAAGGGCGCCATGAACGCTACGATCAGGATCATGGACGAAGAGCGGCGGCGCGGCCCGAGCTCCGGCCGATTATAGTGGCGCGCGCCACCCACTTTCCCTCTTTCCTCCTTCTCCCAATGACAAGTCCGACCACTATTTGCCTCACTATCATCGAATCGCTCACGGATGCCATTAGACTGGGTGTCAACTCTATATTACTCCCGGAGCAGCTAAAGTCCTAAGATTGGGAGGATGAAGCAGAGGTCAACGGGCCCAACCCACCTCCCTCTCCGACGATTCTCAGTCTATAGCAAGACCGAAGCCTCCACACCATAACTCAGGCAATGATCTCCGGTGTCTCGCTGTATGATTTGCGCTTGCGCTTGATTTCCCATCCCGCCCGTACTTCTGGCCGCGCTAGCACCTCACTTCGACTACCTCCTTGCCGCCTCCGCCGCACGAAATTGAATGCGGAAGAATGATAGGGCTCACCGTCCATGGTCTGACAAGGGAAGATGCAAGCTAGCTGGACTGTTCTCTATCGAAACGCGTGTGGAGAGCGCGCTCGATTTACTCGGTTGTCAAGTGCGTACCTGGGAGCGCTCCTCGTATATAAGATAGGGCCTTCATCTCCCTCAACAAACTCGTAACGCAGCATCACATACCTTCCTCTCCTTCACCTCTTTCTCCGCTATGCGCTCTTTGATCGTTGTCGCTGGGCTTGCAGCCTTTGCCCGCGCTCACGTGGGCGCGTTCGTGAAGGGCATGTACTGCAGGAATGTAAGTACAACTGAAAAACTTATCGTCTAAACCTCAACCACATCACCGCCAGGGTGGTGCTTCCTACGACGATCAGAACTCGAACAACGAAGTCAAGCCCATCTACGGGCAAAACCTGGAGAACTTCATGTGTAAGTGAACCCAGCCTAGCGAGTGCAAATAGCAACTGATCTGGCGACTCCTTCCTAGTCAACCAGGTCCAGAACGTACGCATGCTGGTGCTGGTGACAACAACATACTCATGATGCCCAGTGCCTCAACGACCCGCCGCCTGAGGGCGAGATCGCTGACCTGTAAGCGACCAAACCGTAATCTCGACACGCGCCACTTACACCTTCTTCAGGCCTGCCGGCGGCACCATCAATATCGAGCTCGCCACGAACCGAGGCTGTACCACTTTTAGCTTCAACGGACAGTACGCCACAAAGTACATCGATGGCTACACGGGCGAGTACGATGACAACTGGGTGAGCGTCATTCTGTCAGTGGCAGACTATGTTAACTGATTATCACCTGGCAGAATGATCCGAACTGCCTTACGAACCCGAACATCCATACTCAGAATAGTGAGCTGCCCGGTGTATGATCGGCGTTCGTGCATAGCTAATGAACTTCAGAGTCGATGGCGGCCGGTACCGCTCTGGCCATCTCCTACGTCGTAAGCTCAAGTCATACCTTCAGGACCCATTCTACAAGCTCATACATGATTACTTCCTCCAGAACGACCCGCACGACGTCACATTCGACAACCTTGTCGTGTTCTCTGTGCTCCCGAAGTAATCCACCTTTTTTTTTTGGACTTGTGAACTGCCTTGCTTACATCGGTCCCACAGCACGCCCTGGCTGTACCGCGAAGTACAGTACGAGATCCCGGCCAACCTGCCACGTTGCCCGAACGACGTCTGCATCTGCGCTGTACGTTGTCCGCTCTCGTTTCCACCCACATCACTGACAATTTCTTTCAGTGGCTCTGGACGCCCAACGGGTAAGCTATCCTACTCTCCTCCTGATATTCCATCGCCTTCCATGATCCCTGCTAACCTCTCACTCAGCTGCGGCACCCCCAACGACTACATGGACGGCTTCAAGTGCCGCGTTACGAATGCATCGGCCAACAAGCAGCTCGGCAAGCCCCAGGCGCCTGTCTACTGCGGCCAGGACGCAGCACCGTACGAGCCGAACGTACCTGCGTGAGTGTGTGTCCAGCAAATCTCTCCTTGAGCGGGCAACCTTCGCCTTCCTCTGCGGGCGGCGCTCCCGTCGCATCCTGTTGTCTTCTCCGAGATCGGCGCGCCCATAGGGCATCGCCGATGCCAGTCTTGACCGTCGATCCCGCTCTGACCGCCGACGTCACCTCGTTTCCCATCACTTACATCCCCGCAGATGCATCGAGGGCCCGAAGCAAATGATCGTCTGGGGCCAGGACGGCATCGACAACGTCGGCGTGCCGGCGAACTCTGGCCTCTCTCCGGGCTACAACGAGAGATCTGGCTTCCACCCGGGTGAGTCTCTGCCTTACCTAACGCTGATGGAGATTAGCGCTGACGGGGAATACCTGCTTCAGGCGCCCAGAACGACATCTTCTCGAACGACGACATAACGTGGTGAACGATGAGAGTTGGTTCTCGATAACGGGGCTACAGTGGTATCTTTATCTATTTATGTGGGTATATCATCCGATACAAACGCGTCTAGCCTTGTCAGTATTACAGTATCCAAATCGTATGGCGCCAGTCGCACATCGTGAGCGGGATCCGTGACCGGTCATTTCTGTGCGCGAGCTCAATTGAAGATCAGACAGCTCAAAGATGCTCAAACACGCTCGCAGCCAAAGGCGCCGCGTAGATATAGGCGTTCAACGCCTGCACGCATTCCGCGAGGCCCAGCCCGAGCGTCTTGCGGACATGGTCGACGATGCACACGACGTGCTCGGCGATCATCTTCTCTCGCGCGCTGGCGTCTAGAGTCGTGAAGAGCATGGTAGAGGTCATGGGGTTTGGCGTCGGGAGCTGCGAGACGCGTGTAAATGCATAGGCGATTGTGCATGGGCATTGTGTCAAACGTACCAGAAACTGGGCGAGTGTGCCACCGATGGTGATGGGGTCGCGAATGAGCTCGTACATGGGCACTCGCATTTGGGATGGCGATGACTGCAGGCATGATTTCATCGCGGCAAAACGCTGAACTGCGAGGGGAAGCAGCCCGGTCATACCGCACGGCAGGTCGCAGTTGGGTTGCGTCTGAGTTAAGACGTGCATGTAGGGAGTCAGCTATAGGGCCATGAGTACCATTGAATATCCTCCAGGAGGTATAACGCACTGCACAGTCATTGCTCAATGCAGCTAGAAAAAGCAGCTTGTGTGGGCCAGAATCGCCAGAGGGAAGCTTTGCGAGCACTCGTCGAACGTTGACTTCGAGGTAGTTCCAGCACACGCGGGACTGAAGCTCGGTGACCGACAACGCGCTGCTGTACTCCAGGTCAAGGAATCCCGCACGCATTGCCACCCACTCGGCTGAGGCAATCCAGTTGCCTCCGCCAGACTCAGGGCCTTCCGCGTCTGCTTGATGCTGCGCCCTCACCGTACACGCCTCATAACGCGTATAGAACGCGTACCAAAAGTCCCCGAGCTGCTTGCAAAAGCTGTAGGTGAGGTCGGCGTGAGTGAGTAGCTTGCAGAGCGAGGCGGTGGAGTCGTACAGAACGTGGCCATCGAACGCAAGCCAAAGACGCGACCATGTGAGCGCTGGCGCGAGATAGCGGTCAATCGAGTCGGGCGCTTGGTCCTCAGAGGCAGCAGTAGCAGATGGAGGAAGACCATCCTGAGCGACAAGTCTGAAATTGGCGCGCAAGAGAAAGGCAGCGAAGGCGAAGAAGCCCTCGCACCCCGGCAAGGCATGACGAGGAGGTGGGAATGGCGAAGGATGAGTCCGTGGCCTCGGCGACGCCGGGGAAGACCTTTTCGGGCTCGGTTCGCATGACATCGGAGGTGGCTGAACCACTTGCGGCTTGGGTGGCAGACCGGCAAGGTGGATTTGCCTCAATTTCCTGCGCGACCGTCTTATTGAAGCCTCGGACGGGCATTGACGGACGGGTTGGGTGTGCGCAACGAACGCTTGTGTTTGTTCTCTCCCACCAGTAGTTTGTGTCTTTTTCGCTGTGTCTTCAGTCCATCGAGCCGAATCGGTGCGCCTCGGGGTTCGACTGCGAGGAGGCTGCCGTTTCTCTATACCGCCCATTGTGCGATAACTGATGTCTACAGGAGAGGGTGAGATGAGGAGAAGAGTCAAGGTGGATCGCCGTATTGCTGGACCCTCTCGTGCTGCGACATTCGATGAAGGCCACAGCTGGTCCGAACACAATGACCAAGGGTCCTGGCACAAAGATGCATATGGTCTGAGTCATACCCTTTTCCGGACCATCTGCAAAGGCAACGGTGGTTCATGTTTTAGAAGTGAAGCAAGAGCCGGAATTTCCAGCTGTGGTTGCTTTGAGAATCGAGGGTCGTGAGCAAGGTTGTGTAACGTTCTGGCGCGTGACGCAAGTCACGCAACCGTGTTCGGAATGTTCCGAGCAGGTTTCTCTGTTGATCATTTACTATTCTGCGTACAAGCGTAGGATATGGCAGAGCATATGTTACAGTATAGTAACATAAGGCGAATGAGCACATATATGTAGGTATGATTTTGAGTTGCATAGTCAAAAGCAAGATACAATATGTTTATTTCTAGGCGTAGCAGACTGACGTTTGCTCGCGCCAGGCATCTGCAAGGGTCACCGAGGGCTGCCCGGTAGATTCGCCCTCCTTTGACCCGCCACCTAGAGTAACCAATCCAGCTTCGCTCGCTTGTAGCAAGTAAGCAGCATAGTCCGAGACGCCCGCCTTTTTGAACACAGCAGGATCGCGGTTACGAAGTATCCCGCCGATAACGCTGCAATTAGACCGCAGATACCCAGCACGTATCTGTGCACGAAGCAGTTGGACCAGCGGCCCGAAGTGAAGCGGAACATCGGGATCCAGCACATCGGGGAGCGCACGAAGTAGTGCGGCATACCGCGGCGCTAGAGACACCCACGCATTCGTGTCTTCGCCGCCAAGCTCGAGTACTCCAGCGGCTGCTGCAAGCGCGCAGTACGCTTGGATGTCCTTCACTCCCGATTGCTTGTATAGCTGGCTATTTGCACGAAGCAAACGGAGAGAGACCTCGTGCGGGCGTGGTCGCACATTTCCGGCCTCGAGCAGGAGAAGCATAACGCTGATGAGAATGTCAAACTGCTTGACTGTCTCGGAGGATGGAGGGGAGCTCGGAGTGTTGATTGGGGTAGAAATTGTAGGAGATGAGAGATCGGACGGTGATCTTGAACTCGCACCAAGCGATTCGGGCGAGGGCTGCAGGAGCGTTGCCGCAGGCGTCGCTGAGTTCTTTGCCAAGGGTGTATCTTGTCCATCCCAAGTTCCAGTGCGCATGGGTGAAGGGTGTACCTCTGCAGCGCTTTCATTTAGGTAGTCGCTCGACAGCGCAACCCACGCGTTCTCTCCCGTGTCAGCGCCGCCAACAGTGACTATGCCTGCTGCAACTGCAGCCCCAACATAATCACCGAATCGCTCGTAGCCCGCCTTCGTGTAGAAGTGGCGGTCAATGGCCATGAGGTTGACATTGACGAGAGCACGACGAGGGCGTGTCTGACCGTGGAGGTGAAGGGATCGTAAGACGTCGACGAGGCATGAAAATACGTTTTCAGGCGCTGGAGAGTTCGACGGAGCTATTGCCGGAACAAGCTGTCTGGTCGGCGCGTCCGATAGGGTGCTGACCGACGACGTCGAAAAAATTGTCGATACGGAGGATGATTGCGCAGCAGATGCGCGTTCATCGGCTACAGAGGAGTCGTTCCCTGCTGCTGAAGGCGACGCTAGACATTTTTCGCCCGACGAGGCGCTCGTGGCATCACTATCCGACGACGCCACGCTGGTAGATGCGTTGCTGTCATCTGCTAGGGAAATCCATGCCGACGTCTGCGAGCCCCGATTGCGACGACGCCCTCCGCGACAGCGGCAGCAGCATATTCTTTGAAACTCGAAACTCCAGCTAATTCAAAAGCTTTAGTTTCTTTGGCCCGAAGAGCGATCCCCACGGTCGAGCGGACTGGCCGATGGTCGCCCCTCTCATGAAGGCTACGCAATGCAGCGATGAGGGGTGAAAATTTGACAGATACGTCCGCCGAGGAATGTGGTGAGGAAACTGTGGGTTTGGCGGATGGTGGCGACGAAAGCTTCGCCGCGTCGACCGCTTTTTCTGAGTCTTGCAAAGGTCGCGCATCGTTTGGCGTTGGTGACGAGCCGGGTTGGCCAGGACTCGACATGCGCTGCGTGTGAACTGGTGTCACGACGTCCTCGCTGGCAAAAGGCGGCTCCGTGGCGGATGGAGGCAGCTCGTCTTTTGTCAATTTCTGCGGGTTGGCTGCACCGAATATTGGAGTACTGGACGACGTTAGTGTCCTGTTGGACGAAGCAGGCGGAAGTGGGGGTCGTGATGGCGGAGGGGCTTGCGCTGAAGGTCGCCGGAGATGGTCCAAGGATGAGCCTGGTAGCCCAAGGACTTGCGTATTCCAATCGATATGGGTAGACACTTGCTGGAGCAGGCTCTTGTGTGGACCCGGCGTCGAATGACAGATCAGGACAACGTTGTACATTCGCCTTCGAAGTATGGATGCCACGTAAGCGAAGTCTCGATCTCCGGAGATGAGAACAATGGTGGCCGGCGCAGGGTGATCCAAAGCGAAGACCAACATATCCGCTGCAATGGGTCAGTCGTGCAAATGAACATGATGAGGCAATCAAACGCACTCTGTAACATCTGGTCCACTACGTCCTTTTGCCCATTGTGGGGACAGTCAACGAGGGCGACCCCGGTTGACTGCAGCTCTGATCGCATGCTCGCTGGGACGGCACATTGTTGCAGATCAAGGTAGGCGTTAAAACTGGCTATTGGACCGTGCGCAAGAGCGACTCGCTCGATGTTCTTCGCCACATCGAAGCCGGAGCAACCCGACATGAACTGACAGTTCTCTGCACGCCCGCCTAAGTTTTCGGCTCCAGACGATGGATGAGACGCTCACCGTAGTCCCAAAAGATCCCCACGAAAGACATGATGGGAGGTAGAACAAAGGAGCGAGTAGGCTGCAACTAGCCACACCTGACGGTCACTGGCAAGTTACGCTGCGCTACATTTCGGGGGCGGCTTTACTCCTGATCAAATGAAACGGGCCTCTCAATCGGCGGAGCACTCTGACTCGGAACCGAACGAGACGACGGCGTACTAGGATTAGGGAGTTTTGAAGCAGTTGTTGTGATCTTGTACAGGGAGAGACGGGACACATTCTGACATGGGCGTAGATCAGACCAGTCAGCCTTGGTGAGCACTGAGACTCAGTGAGAGGGTCAAGGCGATCCATGATGTGCCGAACTCGGCAGCCTCTATCCACGTGAGAGAAAGGTGATAGCCACGTGAATGCATGTTCGATAACTTCAATTCAGCTGCGTGCGTGTCATTGCGGTCCTGGTACAATGTCAACTAAAATAGTTAAGTGGGAAACCCACGGTGGCTCACGCAGGGGCTTACCGCGCGCCTACGGCGCGCGGGCTCGCGGCCCGAACGCCCTGGCGGGCGCGCTGGCGCCAGACAGAGAATTTTGGGTCTATGGATTTTCGTGAAAATTCGCTAGCCATCTCAGCATACCCTAATGACCTCCCATGCAGAATTTCAGAACATTATCTCGAAGTTTGAACGCGCTGCGCGCGTCGAAAGGCGCGGAGCGCTTTTTTGTTGCGTTGCGTTCCGTGATTTGTACTTGTTTGTACGGCACTCCAGCCCATCCATCGCGAACACACATTGCTCCCGCTTTCCCTGCCTCGTACCTCGGCGGGGCCCCTGCTTGAGCAATCATGTTGTGAGTGAGAAGACAGACTCAGAGTCCTTAAGTTACAAAAAGAGGTACATATGAGGTCCATCCATCAGAGCATTCGTAAACAGGGACTAGTAAGCATTTGCCAGGGCAATCCAGGTGTCGCCGTCAGCCCCTCCAAGCTTGACGATACCCGCATCGTAAGCTGCCAGTGAGTAATCCTTGAAGCGCGCCATCCTGACTCTGCGGTAGAGCTGTGGATCGATAGCGAGCATCCTGACGTTGACTTCCGAGCGCGTTGGGCGGGGATATCCAGCGTTTTTGTAATGCAGTAGGGCATCTATCAGAGGAGCAAATACGTGCCCGTATGGCGCAATATCTGTAGATTGAAGCGGTAGCGTAGATGTAGGATCTGTTGGCCGTTTGCCTGATTCTGGAAGCAGCGTCAAAAACTTTGGCATTACATGAACAAATCGGGAGATACTCACCAATATCATCCACGCCATATGCAGCTGCTAAGTAGACTTTGCCTGAACCGGTCACTTCGACTATGCCAGCCTCTTTCGCAAGCTTCATATACTCCGAGGCGCAAAATACTCCAGCTTTGCGAAGCGCCCACGGATCTTCATCCAACACAGAGCGAACGAGATTGTTCTCCGAAAGATTTGCAAGTCCCATGGAAGAACGCCCTCGAAGGACTTTCAACAGAGGTGAAAACTGAGTTGAAGCCATACCGGATGCTGCATGCTGTGCACTCTGTGATTCGCTGCACAGCGCCGCCGCAACTAAAGGCGTTGTAGCTGCAGGCCCCCGATGTCCGTCTACGGGCGACACCGAAGCATGTTCGGGCTCGGCTAGTGCAATCCACGCGTCCGCTTGTCCGCCCATCTCCACAACGCCAGCGGCCTCTGCTGCAGCAGAGTATTCCTCGAACCAAGCCACGCCCGCCTTTCTGAACACATCCGGGTCCTGCAGCACGAGGTTCATGCTGACGAGCGAGCGACGTGGGCGAGGATCGCCCGTCTGCTTGAGAGCGCGTAGGAGGCGTACGAGGGGCCTGAAGGCGGATGGAGGAAGCTCTGGAACATGCACGTTGGCCGGAAGGGGCGAAGGCAATCGGTCAGAGAAGGACTCCGTATCACTGGGCAATACGGAGCTCTCCTGCGTACTCTTCGGAGCGCGGTAATGCACGCGGCTAGTCTCCTTGAGTGCGACCCACGCGTCCGGCCCCGCGCCGCCCACGTCGACGAGGTCAGCAGCCTCTGCTTTGCAGATATACTGCTTGAAGTGCCGGACCCCAGCCTTCGCGTACACTTCCTTGTCGCCAAGGGGCATGACGAGGCCTAGATGAGTACGCAGGGGGCGCGCTACGCCCATATCCTGCATCGCGCGTAGGGTGCGGACCAGAGGTTTGAAGCAAGAAGGATCAATCCTGGACGTCGTCATGCCCAGGCTTCCCGACCTCCGTACAACGGCCTGGCACGACAACGCATCGGTACTTAGACTGCATGGTCCCACAGCTGCCATCGCCGACGTGGTTCGGGTTGGTAGTATGCGAGGAGACGGATACACCAAAGGCATCGGTTGGAACGCGTCGCGGAGGGCTTTCAAGGGCCGCACGTTCGAAAGCACGGCGCAAATGTCCTTGGAAGTTGGTTGGAGAGCCCTTTCGTCTAATTTCGCAAGCTCCATCGTGTCGATCTCTGGGCTGGTCGGAGGGGACGTGCACGAGGCCTCCTCGGACGAGGCCAATGAAACGATGGTTGTCGCTGGACTCGCGCTCTTTCGAGAGGTGAATGAGTGTCGAGGGCTCGACGGTGTTGTTGGCTCAGAACGTGCTGAACCGACGAGGGAAGACGACTGGGACGAGATTGATGAGGCGCGCCATCGGCGGACCGCGACGGCTCCCGTCTTCAGTCCAAGGATCTCGGTATTCCAGTCGACGCGCTGACCTACTTGCCATAGCAGACTTCTATGCGGCCCAGGGTACGCGTGGCAGATGAGCACCACGTTGTACCGCCTTCGTCGTAATAAGGAGACAGCGTAGGCGAAATCTCGGTCCCCAGTAATGAGGATGATGGTGGCAGGAGAGGGATGGTCGATAGCATAGGCCATTGCATCGCCTGTGTCTTTGTCAGGCTCTACTCTACCAACGGCCAGAGGACTGGGAACGCGCCTTGCAGCATGTGGTCCACGACGTCCTTCAGCCCATTATGTGGGCAATCCACCAGCGTCACGCCACTCGACTGCAATTCGGAACGGAAGGCGGGTGGCAAGTTGTGGTGTTGCATGTCCAGGTAGGCGTTGAACGTGGTCACTACGCCATATTCAAGCGCGACTCGCTCGATATTGCGAGAGATCTCGAAGCCTGACCGACCAGCCGTATACTGGCAATTTTCTACAGAACCTGAATCAGTAATGAACTGAACCCTGTAGACGCGGACAGCGCGCCCACCGTAGTCCCAGAAGATGCCAACGCTTGCCATGGCTGTGCGTAACGACGGTCGCGGTCAAGCTGCAGGAGGAATCCAGGCGCTCAACACGCGCAGTGGAAGCGGGACGAGCTACGCGAGGCTTGCGCGTGTAGAGTGGTGAAACTTGCTATCGTCGAGGCTTCTCTGTCCTTCTGACCTGCTTCGAAAGCCGGATCAACGACTTCATGAACAAGGTCCCGATGGCCGTGGTTCGGTGCAAAGGCCTAAATAGACATCACTTGACGCTTGACGGATCCGGGAAACGAAAGGCGCCCGAGACTTACTCTGTATGAATAGCAAGGCAGGCCATGGTCTCTTCTACCAGGAAACGTATCCATCAGCGCACGACAGGACAAACGGGTACCTAGCTAATGTGAGCTTGACACCGCACGTTCTTCATTTGAGTCTGGCTGCTCAAGACGATGGGAGAAGGCCGACCGTGCGGCCAAACAACGTCCCATATTGCGCCAGCTCGCAGCAAAGTCATGAAGACCTGAAGATTACATTCGGTTGAGCGAAGCATATACAAAAAATATACATGGCCAACAATAGACTGGCCTCACACCTGAACGGCCCAATCCAACGTAATCCACGCCCCGCCATCCTTCCCTCCCGTCCTGACCAGCCCCGCGCTGACCGCCAAATTCACATACTCTGCAAAGGTGCTCACACCCGCGCTCTTGTACACCTCCCGTCCGAGTCGCAGCCCCACGCATGAGCGCAGCGGTCGATCCGACCCCGACTTGCGGAGGTCATCTAGGACATTCACCAGGGTTCGAAAGGGAGGAGTGATCGTTGGCGCGGAGTGTGAGGCCCTGTATCGTTCGCGGGCTTGTTTCCAGGGTTCCGTGGCGGCAGCTGGCTGATATGCACGAACATAGGACCGATATGTACGGTCCCTTTGGGGAGATGCGGACAGTGAAGGGGATGGGCTCCTAGTACGCGGATAGTATGACGTCGCGTAAGCACGACTGCGGTATGGAGAAGGAGAACGATAGTTAAATGGCGAAATTGGCCTATACGGGGACATGGGACGATAGTTCGGCGAGGGAGGTGAATAAGCCGATGGATATCCTGACCGGGAAGGTGGATAGCCCAATGGAGAAGGGGGACGATGATTGGGCATTCGTCTAGTCGGCCTCTTGTCGGGAGCAGTGTTCCTCTCTTTCCCGTCGGTGATGCCACCGTACTCCACAGTGAGCGCAATCCATGCAGCGGCATGTAATCCTCCCAAGACAACGACGCCAGCAGCCTCCGCGGCAGCGGAATACTCTTTGAACCCCGCAACATTGGCTTGAGCATAGACCCTCGGGTGACCGGCGATGAGTTCGCTGCCTACGAGAGAGCGACGAGGGTACGGATCATTGGTGCGAAGATGAGCTTGAAGGACCCCGATCAGAGGCTGGAAGAGGGCGACCTTAGCCGTTGGGCTCGACTGAGTCGCAACAGAGCTTGTCAAAGGATAGGGAGCGGGCGGACGCCCACGAGTCGGCACTGGCGATGGATGAACCGAGCTGACGTCCGCCTCAGGGCCACCACCACCGATATCTGAGCGCTCTTCCGTAAGCGGCGAAGACGACGTGGATATCGACGGGGATTCTTGGAGTGCATCCGCTTCAGGGGCTTCCTCCGGCGTAGCCGCTTTTCCAGTTGCCAGACACTCTGTGGCTGGGATTATTTGCGTAACGAACTTCGATGGCACCGTCGCCGGCTTCTTTTTTGTGGGCAAGATAGCCTTGTCCTCTTCGTCCATCTTCAGAATTGTCTGGTTCCAATCCACGCATTCCGAGACCTGGGCAGCCAAACTTCTGTGTGGACCTGGCCGCGCATGGCAGACGAGAACCACATTGATACCCCTCTGCCGCAAAATCGACGCAGTATAGGCGAAGTCCCGATCACCCGAGACGAGCACGACCGTCGAGGGCGCAGGTTCCCTGAGCGCGAAGACGAGCATGTCGGCTACGAGGACCAAGGATACGAGAGAGTCAAAGTTTATAAGGATTATCGTCAGCGCATGTGGCAAAGGGGCGAAAGCACATAACGCACTGAGAAGCATAAGATCCACCACGTTCTTCTGTCCATTATGCGGACAGTCCACCAACGTAACACCGCTAGACTGCAGTTCGGACCGCAAAGTAGCAGGAGTGGCGCACTGCTGGACGTCGAGGTACGCGTTGAATGTCCGGAGCAACCCGTGGCCTCGGGCTTGCTCTTCTATATTTCTGGCGATGTCGAAGCCGCTGCGGCCAGCGGTATATTGACAGTTCTCTATAGAAAGCGCGTCAACGACAAGGGACGACACGTCGAACAACTCCGGGAACGCACCATAGTCCCAGAATATGCCGACCGCGCCCATGGTGGCGAGCGCAAAGGTGGCCGGTCTCAGTCACAACCGATCGATGCATGCCTGAAACCGGCGAGCCGCGTGCGCATAGCAAATTCCTACCTTCCGAGATGCCCATTGTTCGCGTCTTGCGCGCGAACAAGGCCCGTACTTGAGAAGGGGACGCGCTTGAGGATACTGGCCGACGTATATTCTAGTCACCCGATCGGTCTTTTCTCCCTGAGGTGTGGACATGGCGCGCTATATTGCCTGCAATTATATGCCTGCCGGAAAAGGCTAGTAGTGTACGGGAAGAGTGCATGGTAATCACTGTATACGATTTCCCAGACGAGAAAGGTGATAGTTGATCGTAGGCTTGTGTTGCGGCTTTGCTGGAGGCTGTCATGCTTCCGTCAGTGCTCGGGTACTTCTTCAGAGGTCTTACAACGCACCATTGTCCGCATGCACTCAAACAGCATAGTTGCATGGCTCGCACACTCATTCGTAGACATGAGGTCGCCGTGCGCCGCCCAGCAGCCCAACATTGAGTTCAACTGGTAAATGCATGGGGTCCGCTGAATTTCTGCACGGACATGTGAGTCTCCTACAGCTGTGCTACATAGTCCGACTATACTCACTCTTCTTCGGCCTGACCTTGATGTTCTTTATGTGAATGGTCATGTTGGCAGATGAGCAGACGACGGCGGCGAGCAAGCGCGACGGAGTTGAGATGCGGAAATTGCCCGCCACGTGTGTGACAACGTCACATGCGCCCGCGGGGAATCCGAGGACAGTGACCACGTCTGCAGCTTGTATACCACCGTCATCGCCGTTCTATACCGCTCATTCCTCTTGTCTTCTCTTCATAATGGCAGGGCTTAACAAGAACAATTCAGGCATGTTTGTGTATAAGCCTTCATCGATCTATGTTGACAGCGAATGCAGCGATAAAGCGCATTATGCAGGAAGCGCGCGAACTCGCCAATGATCCATGCACGGACTACCGCGCAGCCCCATTGGAGGTGCGTGTCATCTCTCCCTCACTCACTGTATCTCTCATGACTCTGTAGGACGATATCTTTGTAGGTCCTGCGCTGTAATTGTGTGCCCAACCCCTCATACACTTCCAGGAATGGCACTGCACCATCCGCGGCCCTGCCGACACTGAATTTGAGGGTGGACTCTACCACTTCAGGATCACACTGCCTCCCGAATACCCCTTCCGTCCCCCCTCCATTATAATGTTGACGCCGAATGGCCGTTTTGAACTCAACACCAAGGTACGCCTCTTTGCATGTCGCGATGGATTGGCCAAGGACACGCCACTGACCCTTTGTCTCAGATATGCATTAGCTTTACCAACTGTGAGCGTACTTCCTGGTTGCCCTACCCTGCTTCTCACCATATCGCACCCCAGATCATGAGGAGCTCTGGCAGCCCGCTTGGGGTGTCCGTACCGGTGAGTAGCAGTACCCTCCGATCTTTATCGGGGCGTCTAATTGAATGTGCGCGTAGCGATTGTCGGGCTACAAGGCTTCTTCCCTTTGAAAGGGACCAACGCTGTTGGACTTGGGGCCGTCGAATACCCCCCGGCCGAGCGAAGGCGACTGGCCAAGGCGTAAGTTAATCCCCTTCTTGCCGTAGGCACATATCTCACGCTATCTAGCTCTCGAGAATGGATCTGCCCACAATGTCAGCAGAGGAATCTAGACCTGCTGCCGGACCCGCCAACGTCGAGCGAGGGAAACACGAGCCATCATCACGACGAGCCTAAGACGACCGTTGCTGCTGAATCGACCGCGACAGCATCTCCTGCCCCTCCTCCAGACGCCCCCATGGCAATTCATAGCGTGGGCGTCCCGCTACCGTCCGGTAACGTCCAGCCGAACTCGGGTATCTCTGGTCCAGCCGTACAAGCAGCGGTGTTGAATCGCACTACTGTTGAAACGACCCCCGTTGCTCAGGCGCCGTCAGTCAGTGCGCAGCCCACACGACGTCCAGCACAAACGACTAGACGACCGCCGCTGCTGCTGGACACGCTCATATGCGTGCTACTGGCCATAGTCGTAGGCTTGGTCTACCGACGACTGACCTGAGCGCCCGAGACTGGTTCCTGTTAGACTTTTAGTGACCTCCATTTCATGTCGAGGCTATCCTGCTATTCATTCGGATCTGTATAATTGTACTATGAGATTTGTCTATGGACGTGCGAATATGAACTAGACCCCTGCCGGACCCCTGTCACGCGCGAACGTGGCTCTGCCGAGCATCTTTCGAACGCAGTTTTGTTCGCAACTGTTCTTTGTGTGCGACCTCGCCTCCCTTTGAAGCGCCGCGATCCCGCCCGGTTTTCCGCCCCGTGCGCAAATCCGAGAGTACATAAAGACGAGTGCGCGAGCGGGGATGCACCTCCGCATGGATACGCCGCTGCGCAGTGCCCGACAGATCCAATCATCGTCCCGCGTCCAGGATCGCTCCTTCCTCACGACCTCCGCCATGCCCAATAACGTTTCCCCAACACGCTCATCGCCATCCTCCGCATCCTCCTCCCGCCGCTCATCTCTTGACATGGGCCGCAATACCCGAGGAAAGAGCTCCACAGCACGCGCCACAATCCACTCGAGACATCCTGGCCTCCGACTGGGCAAGCTGCCCGACCCAGCGCCCATTCCCCCATCCCTCCTCGGCTCGCCGCTCCTGCAAAATCCGGATAGCATCTTCCGGCGAGGGCTCACCACGCCGCTCCGTCCGTCCGAAGAGGACGAGCGGTGGCTGCAGGACACAGTGCCCCTCGTCTCGGGGTCGCCGCCCACACCCTCAAAAGCTCGCCGGCTCAGCCTCAGCGGCGGCGTGCGGGAGGAAGGCGCGCTCATACGCCGCCCACCGACCCAGCGCACGAGATCGGCGCAGATGCACCACCGGCCAAGCCCCAGCATGCCCAGCATGCGCAGCGTGATGCTCTCCCCGCCGCTGGTGCGTCCGCCAAGGACAGCGCCGGGCAACGCGATCAGGCGCTCACCACCGCGGCAGTACTCAGACTCGCTACTGCCCGTCCGCCAGCGCTGCGCCACAACCCCCTTCCTGCCGCTTGCCTGGCACGACCGCCCAGACTACTTCACCGGCCTCCCACTACGCACGCAAGCGCGATAGACAGTCTGCCCTGGCACCCCCGCCATCCGCCTCCTTCGCTCGTTCATCTCATGGGCAGACATATCGCCTATGCCATCCACCAGTACTGACCGCAGGAGCGGCCCTCCTTCCTTCATATATATCTTTTGGGATCCGCGGGGAGAAAGACCCAGGATAGTAGACCCCCATATCCTTATTCCTCTGTTCCGTCTCGTTTTCCCCTCCTCGTCGTCGCATATATCATCACTGTACACATACGTCTCTGCACATACCACGGTGTCCCTTTGGTCTGGTCTCTTGCACTCGCATATCTTCTACGTCGCGCATCCTTTCTTTCACGCCATAGCACTACCTGGCGCGTACACACTCATCACTCTGTTGGGAATTCAGGGAATTCTTGGGCATTCTGGGGAGAACAGTTGCTACTAGCTACGTAGACTGTACACCATACTTTAGCTGTACTTTCACTAATGGTCTTTCTCATTGAACGGGTTTCAGTCTTCTCTTGCGCGCCCGTCGACGATGCGTCTCTCCAAGCACGTCGAGACATGATGAAAGCCTGGCGACAAGGGCTTGAAAGTGCTGCGGATTGAAATAAACCGCTAGATGGTCCTCGAACCCCCTTCCTGCCTTCTTGCGCACTATCGCAGCGACCCTCGTTGCGATGAGTTGCCGGGCCTCCGCAACAGTCCTTCCTGGACACCTGAACACACCCGGTGCTTACCGACTTACGATTGCGATAGGCACGAGCAAGACACTGAATGCACCCGCCAGCAGGCGACCCAAAGCCTGACTGACGGATCTTACTCAGTCTCCTTCACCAACACTGCCGCCCGACACCGCTGATTCACCCACAATCCCACAGCGCAGCTCAAGTAGGCCCGGTGCCTTGCACCTGTCCGTTCGTACCCAGAGCCATAGGCGACAGGAAGCGCTGAGAACGGCAGATTGGGCTTCGGTCCTTAACTTGAGGGAGGGGAATGACTTTGGCGCACGAAGAGCTCCAGTTGTATGAAGGGCAACAGAGTTCAAACAACGCATACACGTACAAGCATACACCTGCTCCACCCCATCCCTCAGCGCTTCTTCGGCGCACTGACACTGAGCACCAGCACGTCCTCCTCCTCCAAGTTGTGGCTCGCAATCGTCGTCGAGTTCGTCAGCATCTTGCCTTGGTACGACAACCGGATGCGCGACACGGGCGCCGCGCTCCCCGTCGCCTGCAAAATGCGGTCCCGCAGCGTCGACACAAGGAGGTTGAGCGGCAGCTCCGACAGCGTGACCGTCGTCCCGTCCAGCTTCCACTCCGGTTTCGTATCGTCCTTGGGCAGCTGCACTTGGAGCGAGATCGGGTACTAAAGACGCCAATGAGCACGATCATCTCCCGGGTGCTGTCTTCACTTACAGGGTGCATCGCAATCCAGTCAGCCTCAGGATAGAGTTGCCCGCCCGGCAATTTCGCGACGCGCTGCCGCTTAGCCGGGGGCGCCGCGTCTGCGCCGCCGTCCATCTCGTCCGCCGAGCGGACCTGGCCGGCCTGCATTGGCGGCGCGGGCGAACCCTGCCCAGGCGGGTAACCGTATCCGCCGGCTGGCGGCTGACCCTGATAATGCATGGGCGGCAGCATAACAGGTGGCTGCGCTGGGTAGGTAGATGCAGGCTGGGGTCCAGATGCGACGGTGGCGGCAGAATACGCCGGGTTCGCTGCGCTGCCGCCCGGCGCCGCAGGTAGGGAGGATGCGCCAGTCAACGGCGCCGGGACGGAAGATGCAGGCGCCAATCCTGGACCAATAGCGCTGGTCTCTTGCCTGTCAGATACAAGTTAGCGCCAGTAGCTGGTTTCCATTAGGTGGATTACTAACGGTCCGAGACCCTTCGCCCGATGGATGGCAGCAATCTGCTCTTCGAAGTTGACATTGGTCGAGTAGGCATCGACCGTCCGCGCCATCGACGCCGTGTGACCATCCCAGACAACCTTCTCCCGCTCCTTGCGTCTCTGCCGCTCCTCCTCTTCCTCCTTCTTGCGCTTCTCCTCGTCCGCCTCTGCACCGAAGATATCCACACGCGTACGAGCGAGGTTTTTGAGCGATGAGACAACGTTGGCACCGCTGAGGAGCTCGGAGGCACGCGCGCGGCGCGCTTCGTTCATGTCGCGCTGCTCCTTCCACTTCGGGTCGAGCAGCTCGATACGCATGTGTTCCTGCAGCTCGTCCACGGGGATTTGCTGACCACAGACCGTGCAAGTCGTCATGGTCTGTTTCGACTTTGCACCGACTAGGAGAGCATGAGTACGCGGCGAAGCACAGAAATGAACGCTATCACTCACGTTTGGGAACGTAGTCTGTGCGGATCTTCATAGGACCGGAGCCAGCCTGCATGGCCTGAGCGTGCTCGATTTCGCGAGCGCGCTCCTGCTGCTCTCGCCTTGCGCGGTCTTCTGGTGTTTCCGCGACACCGACAGGCTGCATGACCGTGTCCTGCTGCTGTTGCGCAACGTTCTGCGCAGCTTGCGCTTGAGCAGCGGCCGCGGCAGCTTCGGCTTCCGCTGCAGCTTGACGCGCGCGGTGAGCTTCGACATCTTCGGCCGTGTTCTCCAGGATCATGGCAGCGTAACGCTTCTGCGCCAGAGTCATATTCTCGACTTCCTGGACGCTCATCGGAGGAGGAAGTTCCGAGGTCGCATCGGCAGCGGTAAACTCGATCGTCTGCACGATGGCATAGTCGTGCCAGTCAATCTCCGCGAATGCGACTGCGTCCAGATGTGAGTGGCCAGTAACTTGTATATGACGATAGTGCACGTACTGCGCTCGGCTTCCTGATCATCCTGCCTCTTCTTTTCCCTCTCACGCTTGTTCTTCTCCCACTTCGCGTGCCGCTTCGCAATCTCAAGTTTCCTCCAGCGCGCGCCGGGCTCTGCATCCAGCTGCAGCTGTTCCAGCATGTCCTTATTAGGGTGCAAGACTTTGGTGTACTGGTCGACCAACCGATTGAAGTAACCGAAGAGGGAGTGCGTCGGTCGCAGGAATTCGAACTGAAAATTGCGCGCCTCACGAGCAGAAAGGGCTTGGATGAAGTTGCGCCCGCGACGCGCGGTGAAGAGGGCAGTGAGCTTCATGATGTCGCTGGAGGCCGGTTAGTGTACGAAGCGGATGATAATATGAGACGCACAGGTCAATTGCCGAGATATTGGGCATGTCCATAATGAAGTCAGGCGCTGGTGGTTCGAGTCCGTGGTCGACCACCTTCACCTCAACATCCTTCGCCTGTGGGGTTGCCGTGCCCGTCTTGGGAACCTCCTCAATCTCTCCTTGCGCAACCTTGGTCAGCTTGTGACGGTAGTAGGCGTGGTAGGGGTCGGCAGGGTTCAGGAAGGAGAATTTGGGGTCATTGCGCTGTCCCTCGCGAATCTTGTCTTCAAACTGAGGGGGGTTTGCCGACCGTGCAACAAAGGTCGCAGTACGGTCAATGACAGCTGTGGAGGGTCCTAGTCAGTACCTCTACTGCATGAAGTGCACAAGTACGCACATTTGATTTCCGGGGGAGGGAGAATGAGGCCGCTCGCAAAGCGCGCCACATGAGGCGCCTCAGCATCCCCATTGACGCCGTTCGCCTCCCCGTTCAAAAGCCCATTGGGTGGAGTCTGCACTGCGACGCTCATGTCAGGCGCCGGCGTCGAGGTCGATGACAAGAAGGCAGTCAAGGCGCGTCGAGGCGCTTGGACGTGATTTCCGTCCTGGTGGTCGTTCCCACGCTTAGGCCAGGCCTGATCTGGAATGGATTCGGTCATTGCATTGCCTCACGCAGTCAGTGTTACAGTGTTACCAGCTGGCAGCGGTTCCCTCTCTATCGATACACGTTGCACCCACACTCTCCCTACTCCTCCATGCTATGTAGCTTTCGCTCTACGACTATGAACGACACACCAGTTGCCATCTTTTGGGATTTCGGTGCGTTGCCAGACAAAGGAGATCACCCGATACTCATCGCGACACAGAGAATTGTTCCCTCGCTTTGGGCCGGACGGGATTCACGGTCGCTCGCAGCATCGAGTCCATCGCACAGAAGTATGGCTCGCTCAAGCTCTTCAAGGCCTACCTGGACGCCCAGAAGCAGCCTTTGGGCTCAGACATCTTCCGCGCTGAGCTGCAGTCGTCCGGCGTCTCTGTCACCGACTGCCCTCACATTGGCAGGAAGGAGGTAGCGGATCGCATGCTGCAAGGCGTGTACTTCCCCAACCCTCCTTGTCTTCTACTGATCCATCTTCCCCTGCAGGCGATCTGATGGCCTTTGCCCTCGACAACCCCGCCCCCGCCACAGTCATCATTATTTCAGCAGATCGGGACTTTGCCTATGCTGCCTCCGTCCTGCGCCAGCGACGCTACAATGTCGTCATGATCTCACACAGTAACCCACGGCCAAATCTCTGGCTCACTTCACAAGCAATCGACTGTTACGACTGGAAGAAGGACGTTCTTCACGTCGAAGAACGTGCTACGACGATTCCTACCATCCTCGGGAAATCGGTTCCCACCCACGCAGAGGTGCTAGCGCAGTGCTTAGCACCCATTCCCTCCACCACCGGTGCCAATCCTTCCACCGTTACCACTTCCAGGGCGCCAGTGCCTCCTGTTGCTGCGCCACAGGCTGTCGCGAAGACGGCAGATCCCCCATGTGAGTGCCATCAGTTTCGCTCTCGTGCTTAGTCAAACCATTCACTCTGCACTAGCGCCGACAGACAACTCTCTTTCGCACATCCCGCCCAAACTGCGGGGTCTCGTTCAGGCGCTCCACAAGCTCGCGCCCAAGTTCGGGCCTGTGCAGAGGACGGATGTGTATGGTCAAATCAGGACCATCGACCCCAGTTGCAGTAGGGACGAGTTCAAGCAACTCCTACGCGCGGGGCGCGCCCAGCATCTTATCAAGACCGGCAAGAAGCCCCACAAGTGGGTTTCCCTCAGGCCCGAATGCCTGACTGCGAAGACCTCGGACGGACGGACTTCGGAGGAGCTCGTCGACTCCGGCCACGAATCCTCGTCGTCGGACGAGGACGACACCCTCTGCGAAGTGCCGATCCCCCTCGGCTTCGATATCCTAGTCCGCGCCCTGCGCGACATCGGCCCTACCGGTGACTACAGCATGAAGCTCGGCGACGTCGCCGTCCTCATCGCGAAGCACAACCGGCGGCCCTACCTCCTCGCTGGCGTCGGCAAGCTCAAGGCCTATCTCGAGGTTGGCGAGCGGCACGGCGTCATCCAGCGCGTCGGCCCCAAGACGACCTACCTCATGGGGCACGTGGCGCTCGCCGACAAGTATCGGCGACTGGGCCGCCCATCCCCGCCGCCCTTCGTCATGACGCACAGCAGGCGCTCGAGCGACACGACCGTCGTCTCGGACAGTGTCGAGCAGGCGAGCGAACTGGCTGAGAAGCCGCACAGCTACGTCGGCTCCGATTCTGGCTTCGAGGAAGAGAGCGGGGCGGAGATGACCGCGCCGGTGTCGGTCTCGGTGAAGGTAGAGGCGCCTGCGTGCCCTGCTCAACCCGAGCCTGCCCCCGTTAACCCGCCGAAGGTCGACGAAGTGGTCTCTGCCCCTCTCTCTGAGCCCGACAGTGTTGTCGCCGACGAGTCCACGGAGACGGACATTGCTTCCCAGGCACCGTCTATTCCCTCCGGTTTCGACGTGCTCGTCCGCGTCCTCCAGGAGGTCGGCCCAGGCGGCGAGTACCGCATGAAGCGGCTCGATCTCGCCGAGCTCATGTCGGCCAAGCACGGCCGCATGCCGTACGTCCAGGCGGGCGTTGGCAAGTTCAGCCGCTACCTCGAGCTGGCGGTGAGCTTGGGCATCGTGGAGGTCGAGGGGAAGATCGTCGGCGGGAAGAGAAAGGCGAAGACGGCGGTGGTGATACTGAGGGAGGCGTATCGGGCGAGTCCCATTGCGTCGCCGTCTGTGTCGCCAATGCCATCGGAGGAGTCTGACGCTCCTGCGCAGACCTCTGTGCCCGTTTTCGAGCAAGCACCTTCCACCGAGGAGCCTGCTTCGCTGGAGACAGAGGCGCTTATCACCACCTCTGATGCGGCTGAGTCCACGGCTGCAGGGGAAGTTATCGCGGAAGAGTGCACGACTTGCGAGTCCCCTGCCACCGTAGTGAACGAGCCACTGGCCGCCGACACCCAGGAGGTGCCCCTCGCCGTGAAGACGACGCCGTTCAGCGAGCAGTCGTCCTGGGCCTTCGAGCTCATCTCACCGAACCCACCGGAGATCGAGATTGACTTTTCCTGCACCGAGTCCCTCGAGACTCTGGTCGCATCCAGCAACACATTCATGACTTTCGACAAGCCATCCGTAACTGACATCGACGAAGAAGACACGGCTGCCGCTGCGGAAACACACATCTCTGCGCCTCAGTCGTTCGTCTCCGACATATCGACCGTCGACGTGGACGATCCCACACCCTCGCCACCGCCGTCCGCGACCGCCGGCGACATCGATGTCCTCATCGAGGTCTTACACAGTCACCTCGACAAGGGCTTCACGGAGCCCCTCCGCAGTATTGTCGATTTCGACCTCCGCTATCGCCTCGGCTGGGAGGGAAACCTCAACGGTCTCTTCCTACAGGCTGAAGCCGCTGGTCTCATCCGCACCGGCGTGCATCGATACAGCGGGCTGGAATGGGTCGCACTCGTACCCGCGTACTAATTATCGCAGACTGCCGCTGCTTGCGCCATCGCCTCGCTTGGACGAGGTGATGCGCGTCTGGTGGCGAAATCAAACTTGTAACTATTGGCGTTGTGGTGTGTACCCATATAATATTGACCTGTATCGCTCTCGTTCGTGTCGACGCTCTCATTTAGTCTCCAGTACGCTTGACTGCGACTTGTATTATACTGCTCGCTCTCGAAGCCAATGCAATATCTATCGCTGCTCTGTCTCCCCTTCTTCCCATCCGACTCACCAACGTACATGCCAAGTGGTGAGCACCAGTTCTTTTTCTCACTCCAGGGGACAACATAAAGTGGATAAGGAGGGAGACATCATAACTGACGTTGATTATTCGTGAGTGGCTTGGGAAAATATGTTGGCTGATAGTGCTAACGACGACCAACTCCAAGATCTGCGGGGGCGTGGTGGCGTCTTCGCAGCGTCGGACAAGGTCTCCGGTCACTTGCGGTAGCCAGAAACCATCTATGGATCCTGGTGAGTCTTCTGCAAGGGCTCCCCTGGACTGCGCACTGAAGGCTTCTCCATATAGCCTAGCGCTCATCCTCTTCCTCCCCATACGGACACAGTGGCTTTGGTGTGGGGCATCAGAGGAATCAATTGACCTTTCGTCATTTCTTCATGTTCTTCCTGTGATACTCCGTACCGTCATGACTGGATAACTGACGTCAAACAACGAGGCTGGGGGATAGAAAAGAGAATGCACGGGCGCGCGTTCTCTAATCACCTTCGGCCACACCATCCCTTCACCCGACTTGCTAGCGTACCATGGGGTGAGTTTTGCGTATCGCGGACGAGGGGGATGCGCTAACAGGAATGACAGTATTACCGCTTCTATACTCGCAGGCATCCCCGCGTTCATAGCACCCATAACGGCCGTGTTCACGAGCTGCGCGGATGTCTTCAAGTGCGTACTCGTTATTTCGCACTTAACGTCCATAACGCTGACCATCTGTACAGGACGCACCATGAGACCAAACAGAAAAAGCACGAGACCAAGCAGAAGAAGAAGGAAACGGAGAAGAAGGAGAAGCAAGTATCAGGCGATGATTCTGGAGGCAAGGGAGGTGGCGAGAACGGGGGCGGTGGCGGCGGCGCACAACCACAAGTAATCGTGCAGCCTATCGTGCAAGGCGGTGGTCAGGGCGGCTCTCAAGGTTCGTCTGCGTAGTTCTCCATCTGGTTCGCGAATTCACGTCGTTGCAGATCAGCAACAACCGTCACAGCAGCCACAGCAGCCACAGCAGCCATAGCTCGAGCAACAGCGATCAAAAGACTTCGCATTCGTCCTGACGCCACCCATCATATACCTGGAACTGCATTGTGCAAATTGTACTACGTGTAAAATAGAGATAGAATTGTTCATAAACTTTCGTGCTGTGCGCTACGGGTCATTACCAGTCTGAGGTACTGGTTCAGCCCACCCAGCCAAGTTTGATCCCGTTCTCCAACTGTAAGGATACCTCCTGAATCCGCGGCCGTCCTCGAGGGTCGGACTGCCAACAGTTGCATATGATTTGCCACATATAGTCGGTAAGCCTATAATCTTTGGGGCGTTTCGGGCGCTCCGAAGAGTTTTTGCATATCTCGGCCATGTCAAAGACGTTCTTGTTGTAGCCGTACGGGGGACCACCGGTATATAACTACATCGACAGGTTAGATAGTACGGTGTTTTGTAGCCCGTTGCGTTTCTTACCTCGCAAGACATCATCCCAAAGCTGTAGACATCCGCCTGCGTACTGGCTCGTAGCTTCATGCCAGACAAGATGATCTCAGGCGCAAGCCACTGCTGACCGATGGCGATAGATCTGTAGCTCGCAGGCAGACGGTGCGGCATCTGAGTCAAGTCGGATGCATTCATGCCGATGTCAGCCAACACGGCTTGTCCGTTGTCCCTGATCAACACGTTGGCCTGAAAAGTCAGTCATTCATCTCTATTGCATTTTTAGCGACGCTCACAGCCCTGATGTTCCCATGAACTACGACAGGCGTCTGACCATGCATAAATTCCAACGCATCTGCGACATCGTGAAGCTGAAGCAGTTTTGAGAAGGTGTATGTAGCAAAGTGCGGACCACGTACTATAGGTGCAATCTGAGCACAAGGTCTCGCTTCCAAATACTGGTTGGCACTGTAAGGATACATGGGCCTCACGAAGGCAGGCAAAGAAATCCCGTCCACTAGTATCCCGCAAAACTCAGCAATATGAGGATGGGGAACCACACGTTCCCACTTCCTCAGAACCCGTGCAATTGCCTGCAGGTCAACAAGTTGCCACAAGACACAAACATTCTACGCACCTTGCGATACTCCTCTATGATCGCCTCAGTCGCATATGTACTGATATTCCACGTCCGTATGAGGACCTTTCTCCCCCTGACCCGCGCTCTTTTGTGCTGAACGTATGTGCTATGGGCGCAGTATCGTCCTTCCACGTCCTTCACGTCACCAGCCAGAATGGCATATTTCGCAACGTCGAATTCCTGTCGAATTCGTATCAGTATGTTCGGAAGGAGATGGAGGAAAGACACTGCACACGTCTGTCAGGATCATGAAGAAAGTCCGCGATGGAGGAGCTGCGAGTTGCCAGTGATCACGAAAGCAGAAGATACGGATGGCAGGGACACTGTTACGCAGGTTGTTGTCACTCGCGCTGATGCAATGGCAGAAGCAAGCAGTTTGCATTACAGAATACTCCTCACCTACTTATGTAGTCGTCGCAGACCTCTTTGTGATGATCGCACGCTCGTAACAATAAGCGGATGAGGGCCTAAAGGCCCGTACATGCCGATGGCCTATTGTTACATGCCCGATCGCTATTGTTGCAGGTAAGATCGGTAACGTGCGCGTTGGCCATGGTCACTCCGCCACAGTGCACGGAGCCAGCGGTATAACTGCACTTGGACAGAATGGAATAGGCCTGGCACCCGCTGACCTTTGAAATATCGTCAAATAGAGCTGACAGCGAGATCACAGCAAGTAACTGTACCAGGCTCCGATCTTGTTTCCATCGGTCGTCATATACCGGGCTTGCGCTTTATGGAACCACAACGAGGGCAGCTGGAGGCGGTGAATGCATGCACTAACCCAACACGTACCGTTCCGCGCTGGCGCGCGGCCGAAGAAGCGACCTCAGCAAATGACTGTATCCCGCAACGAAGAAGCATATGACTCGCTCGCGAGAGCGCATAAATTACCGGCATTACACCCAGTGTGTTCTTATGTGTTATGGAGTTATGGGGGATTATAGTGTACAGAATATAGCATCGTAAGTGGTGGGTGCGATGCCAGTGGTATGTGGGACACCAGAAGGCGGCGACGGAGCGCGCGAGGGCCGGTAATTCGAGGTCATTGACGGTGTTGTTGAACGGACAAGCGAGATGATAGGTAGCAAGCGAGGACGACTCGCCGATGACGAGTTCAGACGTACTCTTCGAGCACGCGGCCCTTCTTGCCCATCCAAGGCCATCGACGGGTGATGTTGATAGGCGTGTTCGGCTTGAGCTGTACTCCGCGGCGCGCGAGCTCGGCAAGGATACGACAAATGTTGCGCGTGTCCTGATGAGAGGTTAAGAGAGCCGTGTCCTAGCAAAGTAGGATACATACGTCGATGCCGCTGTGCTGTCGACCCTGAAACTCAGGCAGGCCAAGGGCTCGCAACTGAGCCGGTATATTCGGCGTCCGCCGACGGGGAAACATGGGCTAGTGGAGATGTGAGATTGATGTCGAGGAGGAACACGAAGGTAACTTACTTTATACTGATTATATTGGGGAGACGAGGCATAAGACATAGGAGAAACAGACGAAGGAGGCGATCCAGAGGTCGTCGAAGAGGTATCCGAAGACGAAGATTGCTCATCCATCCATTGCATAACGGGAACCCGGACATCCAGGACGTCACCGCGCATCCATTCAGGGAAGACGATCTAACGCGAATCAGTAATCGTCTGTGAGTCAGCAGGATGATGATTACCCTCGACAGAAAGCATTGCTTTACGACGAAGTCACGCAGGTCGAAGGGGCCGTCGCTGCACCAGCAGTACTTCACCAGCCGCTTCCCGGTCCGGCGGTCGATAAGCCCATGACGAATCATGAAGGCATAGAAGGACCTCAGGACGTCCGCAAAGGGCGGTGCGGCATCGACTTGTGACTACTGACAACGGTGTTATAGCTCATGGCATCCTGATAGATTAAGGAGGTACAGACTTGAGTGATGCCGGTAAGGTCGGTACAGAATTGCGATAGTACAGGCCGCCAGGTGGGGCGGACAAAGCTATGAAAGGTGTCGACGACCTCGAGCTCGGAAGCGGTGCCGTCGTCAGCCTTGTCGCGCCACCGCATGAGGCAAACCGGGAACTCCTGCGGACGATGACTCGGTCAGCGAGGGTGTGCAGTGGCAATACGGTGGCTACGACGCACAATGATCTCGTTCGGGTAGCTGAAAGTCGTTCCTTGCATACAGGTGCCCTCTACGTCCACGACGAGAAAGGCGTCATAATTCTGTCTGGTCGTCGGCAGCTCTTGCGCCTCGCAGTGATCCTGTGCGTCGTAGACCGGCGACGGCGATGGAGACGGCGAAGGCGACGGAGTCCTGCGCGATGGTGGCGCAATCTTGATAGACGAGCGAACAGGCGAAAAGCGCTTCAGGTCATTCGCAAAAGAGGTACGCGCGTACGTAGGCGACGGTGGCGGGGATATCGGGAGAGAAATGGGCGGAGGGGAAAAGTACTTTCGTACAACAAGAAGAAGACAAAGAAAGAGAGCAATCACAGAAAAAACAACAGGGAGGAGCCATATCAGCGGCCTGCCTGCGCTAACAGGCGCCCACTGGAGACCCATGGTGGCGGAGGAAGAAACGCAACCGAGCCCGGCGCGTGCTATGCGGGCAACCACCCACGTGGTCGCTCACACGTGGCAAGCGTTTTCCGGGATTTCCTCTTGTTTTCGGAAGCGATACCTCTTCGATCCTACTTCCACCATGGCAGGCGGCGGTGACGACTTTGACGACGACTTTCAGCCCGATGAACTTGTGGCACTTTCTGATGATGAAGCTGGCGAAGGTGTAGACCTAGCGGACGTTGGCCACAGTGCCGAAGGGGCCGACGAGGAGGACGATCAGGACCCGACCCCCAATGATCGCTCGGTCGAGGACAAGAAACGGAAGCGGAAGGAGAAGATGAAGGAGAAGAAAGCCAAGGTGCGCGACGTCTGCGCTCTTTCGCGAACAATTCCTGAATCTCCGAGCAGAAGCGCAAGCTCATCGAGAGTATGACCCCGGACGAGCGGGAGGAGACGTCGGTGGCAGCCCGAACACCCTACGAGCTCGCGCAATACCTCGCTACTGCACAGTCTAAGACCTTTAAGGATATGTCTGCCATTGAGCTCGAAGACATGCGCATCCCAGGTGCGCGCCACTCTCTTTCATTGCCATAAAGTCCTTAATTGACGACCAGAACTTGCTTATCCGTAGAGGCTGCTATTGTGGACACGACAATATGGACAGGTCCTCGAACACTTGATAACCTGGTCGACTTCATCATGAAAGGCAAGCCCACAAATCTTATGGAGGTTGTGACCACTGACCGCGCCACCAGCGGTACCTTCACTCAAGACGCGTCTCGGGCAGAAGTCAAAGGCTAATGGTGCCCCCACCATGATCTACATCGCGGGCGCGGCTTTGCGTGTCGCTGATGTTACTCGCGTGCTCAAGAACAAGAAGCTTCGCGGAGAGAAGGGCGGAGACGTCGCCAAGCTGTTCGCAAAGCACTTCAAACTGCAAGACCATGTTCAGTACCTGAAGCGCACCGCCATCGGAGCCGCCGTTGGCACACCAGGTCGAGTGGGCAAGCTTCTCTGCGAGACAGGTGCGCCCTTTGTACCGGCCTACCGAAATGATTGTTCATTAACCATGCCGCAGATGCCCTCGCCACGACCGCCCTCTCCCACATCGTTCTCGACATCACCTTCCGCGATGCCAAGAAGCGCAATATCTTGGACATCCCAGAGACGCGGGACGAGCTCTTTAGGACCATCCTAGGCTGCCCGAAGGTACTGAAGGGGATCAAGGACGGGAAGATCCAGGTCGTGTTGTTCTGAGGGATGGATGGCGAAGGGCTCCCGGGGAGCTGCTGCATCTATTGTACATACTTGCTTGACCGTCTACTCTCTATCCTGCACTGTATCTTTATCAATGCTTACTTTCGTAATTACCTGGCTCCGTGCGTCCAATCCTAGATGGTGCTTCACAAAGGGCGCAAAGCGGTTTGAAGAACAGCAGTCAGTGCGCAATAATATCCAGTAGTGAGTGTGCAGCGATATCGTACATGTGTTCTAGGTATGTGGTCGTGAGAGTCGTGTCATCCAGCAGGTGCATGTGCGATATCTAGTCTAGGACGCGGGCTCGGGTACAAGGAAGCCGACCATACATTGGTCGAGCATGAAGTCGGCGTTGACCCAAGCATGAGTGACCGCTATCGTAGCATCCGTCAGCCTTTTGACCATTGTTCGGGCACACAAACACTCACCGAACAGCTTCGTCCCATCCCTCCCCGCCACTCGCATCAACTCCTTCTCGCCACCGGGGTGGAAAGGCAGATACGCTGTCATATTGTATACCTTCCCATATATCGCCGTCCACGCATTGTCCTTCTTATTATGCGCCTTCAACATCGACGGCGTCACCCTCAGCAGCGTCTCTACGCCCTACACAGAAATCACGGTCAACGACCATTCTGCCCGTTCATAGCGCATTGATCACTCACCCTCAAATCCTTCCCCGACGCCTTCAAGTTCGCCCAATCCAGAGGGCCGTACCCCGGTTGCAGGGCGACCTTCTCCCTCGCACGTATCGGCTTAGACGTCGACGGCGGCAGCGCAAGCCCGCCCCTACTTCCCCCACTTGGTGGTGGCGCCAGCCCCGGATTGCGCACCGCAAGGCCAGGATTTGGTGGCGGGGGCATACGAGCGTTGTTGTTCAGTATCCTCGGCACGGACAAAGAGGCGCGCTGCGCGCTGTTCAGAGCCGGAAATGCGGGTGCGACGTCGTCCTCCGTCTCTGTCGCCGAGCCATCTTTGTCTTCGTCCTCTGGCGGGACAACGGTAGGCGTAGCAAGAGTGGGCCCGGAAGCAGGCGCAGGCGCCGAAGAAAACCAGCTGCTGAGGTACGAGGTCATCGTGCTTAACGTCGGGGAGGATGGGCGAGGTGAAGGAGGGTACGCTGATAGATCAAGCCAGTCAGAGGCAAGCGCTTAGCGCCGTGCCCCCGTGATGCGTGCAGCAACGCGCCGTGATCGGCGCGGGCTTCCCACGCTCAGCACCTACTCCCGCCCGCCATGTTCGGTGCCTTCAGGCCTACCCATGTAGCATGCGGCGGTAACTTATGGTGCGTAGCACAAGTGTATACAAGGACTGGGGCTGACAGTGCTACAGGAAGATGCCCATGAAGCTCTCGGTGACGCGCAAGGCGAACGTGCGCTCCCGGCTGAAAAAGGTCGACGCCGTCATTGAGGCCGTACGTGCGAGCGGAGTCGAGTGCACAGCGCTAGTGCGTCTACCTCCGTGTTGCGTGAATTTTTGCTGATGCGCGCTATCAGGAGCGCGCCCTCGAGCTGCCGAAGGAGAGCGAAATGCCGGCGCGGGACAAGTACACCGTCTTCTCGCGCACGTCGCGGAATTACCGCAAACCTATCCAGTTCGTGCCCAAGTGGACTAGGGTGCGTGCTCTCTATTTAATACTTCACTACTGTCCACTCACTTCCCCTACAGTTAACGCAAAGAGTAAACCCCAAGGGCTTCTAATCCGTCCCGCACTCCGTCTACTACCTACTTCTATGCCTGTGCTACCCGGTCAATCAATAGTCCCTCTCTCAATGCGTGTCATACAGTGACCGTCACAAGCAACATGCAGTTTCGTGCAACTGCAAGCTAACAGTCGTTGCTCCCTGGCGCAGCCTCCGCCCGACCATTTTCTAGGGTGTCACTCAAAATCTCAGACGCAGTCAAACCAAGGCTCCGGATGAAAACGCATGAATGGCGAGTGCATATGATACAGGTATCGCATAAGAGTGGTATGGTGTCGCTAGTGCATAAAGCATGATTGTTCCAAAGTCCGTCCGGATGCCATGATCGTCCTCCAACTCAATGCTGGACTAGTCCTTTCTTCCCCTCCAGCTCCTTCGCCCCTCCTCCCGTCCCCTCGAAAAGGGCCACGGCCCTGCCTCAAAACTTCACCTCCGTCCACTCGTCTTCCAAAGCCACCCACTGCACTCCCTGATATATCCCCTCGTACACGATCCCCTCCTGCGCCGCCACCTCGATGTACTGCTTGAAGTTCCGCAGGCCCTGCTCGCAGATGAGTATACTTCACTTCCATATTCACGCTAACAGAGACAGAGACTGCAGCGACAAAGAAGGAGTCTCAACTCACCGCATGGCCATATGCATCCTTGTCGAACTGCATAAGCCGAATGGCCAGCACGCTGCGCGACGGGCCGAACTTGCCCTCCGCCAGGAAAGCTTGCAATGCCTGGATGAGCGGCTTGAAGCGTACCCCGGGCTCGCTCGTTGCAGCTGTCGTACCCGTCGCCGCGGGTGCCGTCGCCGTCGTCGTAGTTGTTACTCGGAGTGTCGCTGTCGTCGTCGAGGTCTTGACCGCGTCCGCGCCGGCCTTCGTCTTAGCCGCGGTGGTCATCTTCGGGGCCAGTTCCTCCTTAACCGTGGCCAGGGTCTTCGGTCCCGCACTTGCCTTCGGTTGCAAAGTGCTCGTTGCTGTCGTCGAAATCGGACCCGGCTTGCTGGCCAGTGAAGACGGCGCTGCGGGCAATATTGTTTGCCCAGCGGCCATAGCGGACACCCAAGTCGACGTCGATACTGGTTTCGCTGGCAACGACGTGCCCTCCACATTCACGATCTCCTTCAGCGGCTTCCACTTCGACGCATCGGGCGCAGGCTGAGTAGCCGCCGGGGCTTGCGCTAGAGGCGTAGCCGAAGAGGAAGAGGACGCAGTCCCGTTCATCGCTGTCACCGTAGCCTTGACAAACCGCGGCGGCGCCCTTCCCTTTACCTCCGTCTTCTTCGCCACCTGTGGAGGCACAAACGGCGTGTTCGACTTCGACCTCGACCTCGCCGGCGGCCCCGTCGGCACCTGCAACGTTGACGCCGATCGTGCTGGAGGCAGCCTGTGCACCGGCGAACCCATGGGCGACGACGACCGCGCACGCGCCGTCGGCGTCCTGGACCTACCTCTCGGTGGGGTCCGCTCGCGCACAGAAACCGAGGCTCGCCGCTTGCCAACAGCGCGAGAGGTCCTCGACGGACTACGCGGCAGCAGCGCGGACCCGCCCCTGCGTTTCGGACTCGCCGACCGCGACCTCGAGCGTGCGTTGCGAGTGTCCCAGGTGCCGCGCGAGACGCGCTCCCAGTATGTCTCGTCGCCCGTCATCCAGATAACGTCGTCCCCAAAGTCGTTGTTGTTCACGCAAGTGCCTTGCAAAGGCGGGCGCCAATACTCTTGCCGTCCGTCGACGAGCATCGGCGAAGGTGAACGCGAGCGCGAAGAGCGCCGTCGCCGAGAACCTGGGCTTGGGGCGCGCTCCGGACGATAATGCTGGTTGTTCGCGTTGCTCCTGAGACCTTCGGGACTCGTCAGCCTCTCATACAGAGAAGGACGGCGTGCCTGCTGTCGAGAAGGCCCTGCTGCCTGCGAGTCGGCGGACGGCGCCACGGCCTTCTTCAGCACATAAGCTGCAGCCGCTTCGCGCGCCCGTGCAGCGGCTTCACGTTCGCGTGCTATCGCACGCTCGCGTTCAGCTTGAGCATCTTCTGGCTTGGGATGTTGTATGTCGAGATCCATGGACATGCCTTGGGCGGTCTTCTGCTGTCCCGGGACATCGTCCTTCCGCGCCTTGCCAGCCTGTGAATTAGCATCGCGGATTTCACAAAGGGACCGCCAGAATTCCCCTACCTCAGCTTTAGCCGAAGCCGTCAAGCGGTTCGCAACCTCGACAGCCTTTTGCCTTGCGAGCTCTGCACTGTCGCGGATAATTGCGGTGCTCGACCCTGCTTCAAGTTGCCGGTCCGAACCGTCGGTTTTTTGCTGCTCAGAATCCTTGCCATGCTGCAATCTCGTGGGCGAGGACGGTAAAGACGAATCAAGATCCATGTCCGCTTCGCCCATGTCGCATCCAGCCTCGATCCCTTCCATCGGAGTCGGTGGCGGTGACGGCGAGCGCGGAGGTTCTTGCACCTCCTCTTCGACAATCGCCTGTAAAGGCATCGAAGACGACGATGCCTGAGCCGAAAACTGGGCAAGGTTCTTGCTGTTCTTGGGTATCGAGATGACAATCGGGTCGCGCTTGCCCTCTTCTAGTAGTATAACGCTCGCCGACCTTGATCGTGCGGCTGCAGGCTGTGGTGCTAGCGAGAGATTGTCATGAGCGGCTGTGACCTTGACGCTGGGCCCTGGCGCAGATGGCTCTACAAGAATCGCGTCGGCAAGCGAAGACGATTGCGGGACAATCTGAACCTCAGGCGTTTCTGGCTGGCGTGCCGATGCAGGCAATGCCTGTTTTGCTCCGCCGTTTGATAAGGTGGAAAGTAAAAGATCGATCTTGCCCGTGTCTAAAGGAAATCGCTGCGTCTGTGGCTGTAATGACGAAGTTGACACTTCGACGGGAGCGCTAGGTAGTTGGAAAGTCTGAGCGCGGGCTTCATCAACCCTTGTAACGGACGTCGAAGGTTGCGTTTTGTTGACTAATCGACTGTTGATGAGCGCACGAGCGGCGATAGTCAATGCCACCGAGGACGACGAAGGCCTTGCCTGCTGAAGCTGCTGGTTAGCACCAGCAGGGCGTTGCGCAGTTCGCCAGTTGCCAGTCGTAGAAGACGCTGCGAGGGTACCGGATTGCCAGGCATCTACATTTTGCTGAGCAAGGGTGGCCTTGTCTCGAACGGCAACCCGCTGCTGCGAAGAACCCGGCACAGGGCGTTTTGGTAGCAAGCTCGGATGAATGCGTTGCGGGATGGCGGATGTTCCGAGCACTTCAGTCCTCCAGTCGTAAACATGCGTCGCTTGCTCGCGAAGACAGGTGACCGCCTGCGCGGGCGAAATGATTACTATCCTGAAGTTGCGGTTGCGCAGGATGGCCGCCGCATAGGCAAAGTCTCGATCACCGGAAATGAGGACAATGGTAGTGGGTGGCGGATTATCCCACGCGAATACAAGCATGTCGACTGCAGGAAGCGGCAATAGCGATAGAGTGAACGAAGACGTTGGCAACGAAGAGTGTACTTTGTTATAATTCTCGCACCTTGAAGCATTTGGTCAGCGACATCCTTGTAGCCGACGTGCGGAGTATCTGTGAGCGAGACGCCAGAGATTTGGAGCTCGGCGCGGACATTCGTGGCGTGCCCCTTCACTTCCATGTATGCCTTGAAGAGATTGATAGTGCCGTATTGCAACGCAATGTCGCGTATCCTCTGGACAGCACCGTAGCCAGAGTATCCCTTCGGAAGTGGGACATTCTCTGGACCGTTGCTCAGCACATGAACCACATATAAGCGATCAGCGACGCACCATAGTCCCAGAGTATGCCAACGACCCCGTTCCCGGTGGCCTGCGAAGTCATAGCACGACTGGAAGAGCCGGAAAAGGCGGTTCAAGCACTGTTGGATGAGAGATGATGAGGGCGAGAAACAAAGCACGGACGGCCACTCTTTATTGTGGTTCGCCGTGAGAATGCCATGGCCCGCCGGCGCGGAGGGTCGGAGACGCGCCGCGATCGGCCTCGTGGCGAACACCGCACGTGACGGCGCAAGACTTGGAATCTGACGGTCATCGTCTCGCACTGCTCACTTACTGCCGTGCTCTCTCTGGGAAAAGTGAGAGAATCAGAGTAACCGCCCGCTATAGCAAGCCTCTGTAGCTTGTGTTCGAACCAGATCGCGATCCCTGGCCCTCTACAACCTTGACACTGCTGCTTGTTCCCGATCGCCTTGGGAGTCTTCTCCTGCCGATATAATGGCTACTAGCGTTCGTGATCTATTTGGCGGTGCTATCACCGCGCGTACCCCTGCCAATCTCATAGATGCATCGTAAGTCCATTGTGAAGAACCACGCCCATGCGCTTAACACGGTGTGACCAGCGATCTTCGCCAGATCCCTGACACCCAGGAGGTGTTCCTCTACCCGGACTCTAGTGCCAGCATCATTGTTGAGATCCTTCAACGAGTTGAGCCTTCACATTACGACGCTGCAATCAGGTGTGCTTAGTATTGCCTTCCGCGATCGCCGCTCATACCTTATCGTAGGTTCCACTTCGATTCCCTTGCGCACGATAACGATGCCCAAGCGAGCACCGTCTCCAGTGTCTCCGTCATACCCAACGACCGCGCAGGAGACCAAACACCATCCGCTATCATCCTTTCTGGCGTGCAGAGTGTGGCCAAGTTCAATCGCTCCACCCTGGACGAGGTTCTCGTCTTGATGGCGCTATATCGCGTCGCAAGCAAGGGCATCGACCTCGTTGTCACCTTCAATATCCCCACATCTACAACAGACGACTCTGGCGCTGTCAGCTCCGAGAAATGGTCGACAATCGAGTCGGACTTCAACTCGCTTGTGACTTCACTCCAAATTGTAGATTTCGGCCTCTTTGCGTAGCGACGTCCCCGTCTGAGTATATTCAAGGCGCCTATGTACACAAACTGTATTTGTTAGCAATGTATGGTGCGCTCCTGACGTCCCCGTACTCCTAAACAATAACACATCCATTTCAGGTAGAACCACGGACTGCCCTTTGTTGCCTTTCGGGGATGACGGCGGACACGTAGGACCAAGCGTCGAAATCCCGGGAACAATAGTGCTGGTACCTTCTTATCGGTTCTGGCTCACGCTAGTCTATTCTGGAACAAGGTGGGGAATGCTGGAGCCCCAGAAGCCCGGCGCCGAGCTGCGCAAGGCAGCGGCTCAATGATTCGGATACGTGTCCATTGTTGCAAGACACCATATAAGGTCGCGCCATTCTTCCGCTATCGACACAGGTCATCCCCCTCCACCACCGCCTATAAAGCACCTGCCCCAACAAGTCTCACTCTTCTTCAGTGCTGCTCACCATCCGTGCGCCACTCATCTGCATCAGCCCACAAACTCCTTCGCAACGTTCGACACGCCACAATGCCCGGCCTCGCACTCTCCACTCCTTCGACGCCGTCGACCACTGCGTTCGCAGTGAACAAGCGCCCGCTCTGCGAGTCACCCATTCCGTTCCCCAGCGCGCCCGCCTTCTACCCCGCACGCCCAGCATATCTGTTCTGGATCGCCACATACGCAGACTTGCCACCCGACCTGCAGGCCTTCCTCGCAGACAACGGCATCCACGACTTCACCCCTGAATCGTACGACAAGGAGGACGTCGAGGCTGCGCGCGTTTACCTAGGGGAGGAATTATACAGCAACGTGCGGAGGGCGCTGGATGCCACACAAGGGTACCCCGAAGAGGAAGTGCATTTCATGCTGCAGCAGATACTCGATGCGCACATGCGACGATTCGACGCGCTACTATGCTGCGAGGTCGTCGTGCGGGAGGATTTGGGAGAACTGGTGGCGGCGGATTGGGTGGAGGACACCCGGCAACGCGAGATGGACATCAGGATCAACGTCATGCGCGAAGCCGTGGCGAACTTGGACAATGACCAGGACCTCAAGTGCGCTTTGTAATCTGCCTCTGCGTACAACCTTGCGGACTTCTACACAACTCACATACCCTCTACCATACTCTTTTATGCCTCGCACCCGGTCCTTGGCCCTTGTCTATCTAATCTCTCAAGAAATGTATAAGTAGGAATATCACACGGCTCGAAGGGGTTTTCATGATGATTTTATGGCCAACCTGAACATCGACTGACTGCAAGACTCTTTTGACAACTTCAATGCTGTAGAACGGGAGCCATGGTATACAAAGCTTAGAAGGACTACAGATACAATTGCTATTTCGTGTCCAATGAAGTACGTATACAAACCAACAGCCGAATCTGAATCATGAATATCGTACGTGTTCAGCCGTGCTGAACTGCCCAACGACGAGACGTCAGCGAAATCCCATATGAATAAAGAGGGCGAGCGAAGATAACTATACAAAGCACGGGGTCGTCAGGGAAGGCCAGCAAGAGCGGCGGGGTTTGATTTGGGTCTGCGGCTCCTCAAGAGCGCACGAGAGGGTTTTATCGCCTGTTCCTCGGGAACAGGCCAACATACACGTGCTGGTGAGAGCTCGTGTCATTCCTCGAGAACGACACACGCGGTTCGCCACTAGCGAACCCATCAACCAGCTCTCGTCTCCAGCACGAATGTAGCAGGCTTTTGGGGGTGCGGCAACAGTCTCGTGAATACGTACCCGTTGCGCAGGGCATCGATGACTCGAATGCCCCGTTCGGCACGAGAGGGACACCAAGAGACGTCCTGGGAGGATGATGGAGGCAGCATGTTCGTCACGTCGCTTTGTAGGGCGAAGACGAGCGTGTTGACTACGTCTCCGACAGACAAGCCGTTGGGTGAAGGGGGCTGAACGACATCGACCTTGATCTTCACACCCGACTTGAGGAGGACTTGCACGCAGACCTTGCTTACCGGTGGGAAGAAGGCTTGCTCGTGGTAGGGGAGCTGGCGATAGTCCGGCGGCGAGGCGAGCGAGAAAGGTGCAGCGCCGGACAGGACTGGGTGGGCAGCCAAAAAGGCTGGCGGTGGGGTGGAGCTTGACGAGGAATGATGCGAGCCATAATCTGCAGTTGAAGCAGCATGGCCGCGAGAAGAATGAGATGAGGTCGAACCTGTGTAGAGTGATCAGCGAGAGGATCTGTGTAATGAGCCTGCGACGCACCCGAATGCGCAGAGTGGTCGGGGCCGGCGTGGTGGCCGGAGGTACGAGAGTGATAGCTGGACGCGTGACTGAGCGCCCCGCTGTGATAAGTCGGAGGATAATCCGACGCAACCGAGTGAAAACTGGGCGCAGGGGTCGGATAATAGGCAGTAACGCCGGCGGAAACTGAATCGCTAAAGGAAACTGCCTTCGACGCGCTGCTCGATACTGAGCCCACAGGGGTCACGTAGCGCTGGGGCGCAGCTGTCCCCGATTTGAGAGTCGCAGACGAAGGGGTCGGGGTGTAAAAAGCGCGAGTGTGACCGGGCATCTCTGAGTGCTAAGCGATGTGATGGCGGACGGCGGGTCGGATGAGGTGAAGGGAGTCATCCCGCCGCCCACCCCGTAATATATGGCCGCCCATTGATCGCCCGATAAGGTAATATTTGTCGGTGGTTGGCGAGGGCGAGGGGCGCGACTGTGCTGCGGACCCGACCGTCGCGGCGGGAGGCGGGGTGGCGGGAGGCGCATGTCCTGATGGCGGCGTGGGGGGCGGTGATGCGGATGCTGCGAGGTGATTATCGATGCACATCAGGAAGGGAAAAGGCGCCCATATACGCGCAGCCATCCTTCTCATTGGCTCGAGGCCTTAGCCCAGGTGCTTCGTTCGAACGTGAGAAGCGCGCCGCCCGCCTCCTGCGGTACCGATGTATTGGACGACAGCAAGCGCCGACATGAAAGGAAAGTGACTCATGGACACCGCAAGGCGGCCGCCCCCTTGGAAGACGTCGGGCCGCCTGGGGTCTGTATTGGGCCGCCGATGGGCGCCTAAGTGCAGACTTCTGGAGGCGACGCCGCACGATGTCTCTTCATAGAATGACGCACCGCTCAATGCTTGGCAGGTAAGATGAAGCCTAGAAAACGCGAGTCACTTCGTTAGAATCCATGAGGTGGGTATTGACTAGACGTACTGCTGAGTCGTTGGACTCGATCATTGGGACAGCTGTCATCAGATATTTCGCAAAACGACAGTGAAGGGGACAAACATTATATGAGATCATACGCGCGAGTGCGCATCCAAGAAAACCTAATGTACACCTATAAATACAGTGATGATAGCAAAGCATGCCAAGTCGTAGACGACGGGCTTTTGATACGGCTGCAGAGATCATGAGTACGGACGAAGAACGAGATAACAGGGTGTCAGCTACAACTCACCGTGGGCCAACACAGCCAGCCCTCATGATCCCTCCACCTCCCTTCTATTATCGCCCTGCCTTAACACCGATATTCATGCACCCTCCTCCTTCTCGGCCCGCTCCTCGCCCTCGGGATCTTCCGCGATGGGCTGCTTCACCGCGCCCGCTGCAGCCTTGGCTTCCTTCTTCCGCCGTGCCGACTCTTTCAGCTTGTCCCATTTCTCCTTGTACTTGATCAACGAAGCTTTCTATAATGGGGTCAGAAGATGGCGAAGAGGCTTGTCCATAGACTATGCACCTGCTTCTCGTTCTCAGCTTTCGCCGCCTTGAGCTCGTCCTCCAATTCCTTGACGCGTTTGGCGTATTGAGCCTCCCTTCCTGTGAGCATACCCGGCGGTATCTCACGCCCTGGAGGAACAGCTGGTGGGTTGACGATAGTAGAACCCATATCTGCTGCTCGCTGTGGTGGTGGCGGGGGCGGCGGGGGCTGGTTGGCCATTCCACCCATCAAACGATGCGCCTGTGAAGGGGTTAGTTATCGGGTTGACGGTCCAGTAGAGAGGCGCCACATAATGGACGTACCTCTCTCGTAGCCAGATAGACGCTGTCTCGCAACTGAATCTCGTGCTGTTTTCGTGCCTCGAGCTGCTGCTTGAACGTCTCGACCTGTTGCTTCATACTTTCAAGCGCAGACTTGAGGGCCGCATTTTCCTTCTCGAGCGGCGTGGGCTCGTTTTCGGAGGGTATAAAGAGGAAAGATCCAGAGAGCGAGTCTGCGGCCACGATGAGTACTTTAGGCGCCATAGACGACGATGCAACACTCACCATCGTCCGAGCTTGACCAGTCATTTTCCGTATCGCCAGAGTAAGCATTCGCGGGAGGACGCTGCAGCTCATGCGCTAGTGTACTAGGACGGCTCATACCCAAGCGCTTGGTTAGGCGCGACATCATGTTCTCTTCGCCATCGGTATCGCTCGACAGGCTGCCGTCACGCTGCAGCTTGCGATGCGCCGAACGCGCGTCCGGTGACTCTAGGGGGGCCGTGGCGAACGCGACGGGCTGGGATAGGTTGTCCAGCATGCCCTGCATGATGTTCCAGAACTGGTTGAACGCGTCACCAGGATCCGACTGCGCCACTCATCAGCCACTGCAAGGGAAGGACGTAACAGATATGTATCAAGGACTTACCCGCTGGCCAGCAAGGACCATGAAGCTCTCGTCGACGGTGTTTTGCGAATCAGACATGGGGCGGGAGGACGAGGGAGGGGAAGGGTTGGACCGTGGGCCCATGTAGGATGATGGGGGAGGACGAGGTTCGGGCTTCTGGGGTAACGTGGGGTCCTTCCCGTCTTGCTTCAGTTTGTCGATCTTTCGCTGAAGGTCCTTCTCCGTCTTCCTTTGCTCGTTGTAGAGGAGGTTCAAGGTGCGCTTGGCCTGCAGGTGACCATGCCGTAACGGAAAAGTTCACGTCAGCCGGACCATGGGCACAAACCGGCCATGAAGGAACGCACAGCTTCGTCATTGCTTCGCGCTGCAGCAGCGGCATACGATTCAGCAGCTTTGCTGTGCTCCTGCATCGCTGCTACTATCAACCCTCTGCGCCTCGAATTAAGCGCTATAATTCTGAGGCAAAGTGCGCGCCACCCACTGAGCAAACAACTCGTCCGCATTGGCTGCATGTTGGTGCGCCTGTTATTGACGCGTTTCAGTCGCGTGTTCGCTGTAATGTTCTCAAAATCATCACCGTTCGTAGAGGAACGTCGTTTTGTGACGACATTGTGTGGCTTGGAAGGAGGAGATGGAGGCGATAGTCAAGTTTGCAGAGCGAATACCGGCTGTCTGACCACGGGCCGAACGCGCTTCCTTCCGCATTAGGAAGGCTTTGTGGCACGTGGCAGCCCTCGGCCCGCTCAGCGCGCGCAGCACGCCCAGAACTCGCTCTTGAGTCTCGCCAGCGCCCAGTGCCCCTGCATGCTTTCCCCCTCCAGGGCCCGCTTCGCCAGCAGCAACCCAGAAGAGGAACGCGGGCAGTCACTGCTCACTAGCTATCCTTTGGCTCCGAGGACGAAGCGGCGTCCTCTCGTCATCTTTCTTGCGCCAGGGACTTTTGGGGAGTTTTTCGAGTGCATTCAATCTTCCTGCCCTCCTTCCGAACCACACGCAATTTTTGTGTATACGTTTAGGACCTGCCAACCAGTTTCACCCCCAATCTGCAGAAGCGACTTTGTGCGTCATCTGGCAGACGTCGCCTCGTCGTGTAGACTCGCACCCCTCAAAGCATCCTCTGTTCTCCGAGCAAGCCTGCGCACTTTCGGTAGCTTTCACCTTGTCCTCGAGTCCATATGCGCAGCTCCGACTCGTTCCTTCCTCGCAACAGGCAAGACACGCACGAGACTGCTCGCGATCTTTGTGGCCACAAGACATCTAAGCGCGGCGTGTAACGATCTATTACAGGGGGAATGATCGACTTTTATAACGATCGGGGCTCCTCCCTCTTAACTCCCACTCCCCTTCCCCCTCACCCCCCACGTCACCGTTACCCTCGCTGTCCGCGCTCCTCCACGATATATAATTGACGGCCCATCTTGTCCATTTCCGCGACTCCACCTGCTCGAATGCCCCCGTGAAGATCTCCGTGACTCAGCTGCTTTGTCCTTACTTCCACATCATCATGTTTGATTTCCTGCATGTATTCGAGAGACGGACCAAGGGAGAGTCCCGCAAGGCAAAGGCGCGTATCCTCTGTCGTTGGGGGAACGTCTGAGCCAACCGTACCTTCAGCGCTTGACTATAGCTGCCCTCGAACGACCGACCTATAATGATTCACACCCTATAGCAGTGGGCACCATTGTAAGCCTGCTTTCTCTCGTATGGCTCCCGTTCAACCCCTCATCTGTCCCCTCCCTTCAGGTGTATCAGGAAGACGACGCCTCTTCCAGCTCAACAGGATACAGTCCAGTTGAGCAGAAGCGCACCATGTTGGTCTTCCACCGGCCCAAGCTTTCTCGCAAATCCATGGACCCCTCCCCAAGCTCCTCCCACACACGGCCAACCCTCCCTCGCATCCATTCCGAGCCCTCCGTACCCCTGTTCGCCGGCCGCCACCGAGCCGTGCACAATCCGCGCGGCGCCCCAGCCAACGACCTCGGCGACTTCAGCATCTTCCGCCAGACAGGCGTCGCCGAAGGCGACCTCGAGGAGCCCTTCTACGGCACGGGCACCGAGGCGCTGCGCAACGTGCGCGACGTCGCCGCGCGCCGCGTACCGCTGTACCACAACTCGAGCACGGAGTGGGTGGCGGAGACAGTGGAGATCGTGGATCCGAGCGACTACGGCTTGATGGAGACTGCGTCGTGTAATGGCGTGCAGAGGCCGCCGTATTTCCCGCCGCGGTATGCGATGGGGGAGGACTTGTCCCCGATGACCGTGAGTGCCCCTGCCTTTTCATCCCTGGCCCGACTGAGTGACATCCCCTAGACATGCTCGGAGTCGGCTGAAGAATCAGACGACCACGATAGTTCCGACCGTGACTCTCTTACAAGTTCATAACGGGCGGATCCTCTCCTTTCATGACCCCCTCGTTGACTGATCAGGTTTCTTTGCTTCCCCTGGGGCTGGGCATCGATTGCTCAGAGTGTGTTGTTTGTTCGCCTATGTATTCCTCCTCCTGCTTATGTATCCTTACCTTCTACGAAGGACTTTGAAGTACTTCACCAGGACAGTGCTGCTAATTAAGCGTTCCTACTCTGACTTATTCTCCGCTGTGTAGCATGTCCAACGAACTGTTTTTCTAGGGTTTATCAGACCGTCTCCGAAGCTGTATAATTTGAATCCTATTGTACAACTGAAAAATCATCTGAACTACAACGAATACTTTCATGTGCTAAGTAGCCATTCCCCTCGCATGCATGACTATCCGCACAAGGTACAGAAAGTCGAGCAAAGCCTGCAGTAGTTCCTGCCTGAGGTGGACTACCTTCACCGTCGGCGCGCCATTGGCAGGGTCATCCATCCTCAACGTCGCATACTCTTCCACCTCATCCGTAAACCGAGTGAACTCCAGAGCTTTGCACGTCTGCGACAACGATGTCAAGAACTCAATCCTCGTCGCCTCATCCCCCACCAACGACCGCCGCATATCCTCCTGCCCACTCTCGTCATCCTCCAGCATTCGATCCCTCTCCGCCACGCCCCATTCCTCGATCTCCTTGTCCTCGCGTATGATCAAGCACAGACGCTTAATGCCCGGGAACGCCCGCCCGAGCCACCAGCGCACGTAGTCCAGGTCTCGATGCGGCACTAGTAGCGGCAACACTAGGTCGAGGGTCTCGATGTGAGGCATGCTTAGCTGCGCTCCCGAGCGTGGTATCAGCTCCCACAGCCCGCGGTCCATGGCCACCTGCGCCGTGCTCTCCGACAGTTTGAGGCGCTTGAGAGTCGGGAGGCGCGCGATGGACCGCAGGAGTTGGCTCATCGTGTTCAGATCGCAGTTCCCGCGGAGGTAGAGGGACTCCAGACGAGGGAAGATGCCGCGAACGGTAAGGAGGTGGTTAGCGAATGTCGGGTAGGTGATGAGGCGTCGGATACCGGGAAGGGGGAGGATAAAGGAAATATTGGAGGAGATGATGGACAGCACAGATAGGTCTGCCACGGTTGGGTTCGCTGCGAGGAACGCGAGTAGCGTATCCAGCTTCGTCTTGTTTGAGTCGATGATGAACGTGGTGAGGCTCGGTAGCCTGAGGCCGCCCAGGATGATGGCGAAATCGATTTGGTGCATTGTGTCTAGTAGCGTGAGGCGCACAAGTTGGGACGCCTTCATCGAGCTTAGCAGCCAATTCCGAATCAGGCTTCCCCGTATGATCTGACCCGTCGAGATGGCGAGTGATTTGAGTGTAGAGATCGCGCGTGGTACTGCCTTGGTACGAATAGAGAATTTATCGTCGTATTCCACGCCCCCTACATGCAGTACCTGGCACGACGCCGAGCGTACCCCGCGTAAGAGATCGCAGAAGGCCTCGCTGGCCGCATCCTCTTCGTCTCCCGAGTATGCCTCATATATGAAGAGGTTGATGTTGACCAAGGGGACGTTTGGAAACATTGAGAGCGTACGTTGGGCTTCTCGTGCATCCACTGCGAGGTCGACGCCTATGTCGACGCGGAAGATATCTGGTATAGGTCGCGGTCTCATCCTGCTGAGTGCTAGCCGCACGAGAGGAAGACAAGAGTTCGGGATACAGTCGTCAGAGGCACCGACATGTATATTTTTCGGGAGGTAGCCGACTGCGCCGTGACTCTCGAAGCAGGCGGGCTCAATGAGGGCGTTCCACCGCGAGCAGACGAGCGCGGCGGCGTGCAGCTCGGGCTCCGCCATAAAGTCGCAGATGAGGAGGAGAAGCTCGGTAGGAAGGTCATTAGCTGGGCCTTCGGCTTTCTGTGGTTTTGCAGGCTCGAGTGGCGGGGCGAGGAGGGCCTCTTTCTCGAGACGCTCTTTGCGGCGCTGGGCGATGGCTTGGGGCAGGTCGTTGATGCCCATGATGCGAGCGCGTCGTCGGATGGCAGAGTGCATGATTCTCCCCGATTTTGTGGATCGCAGAGGGGAGGAAAGAGGCAAAATTGAGCAGACCTGCCACGGTACCGCCGAAACCATTGATTCTGGTGTAGAGCATCTGATGTGACTCACCGATAGGGAGGTTGCGGTCCAGCGAAGACTGTTTCGCGGATTCATAGTGCAACAGTATATTTACCACCTGTGGGCGTGTGGGTGGTGCAGACGAGTTCCCAAATCGAGTTCAAGTGCAGGCGGAGACATGAGGGCGACTTCCGGACCGGACGGAAGTACGGAACAAGGCACGGCCGACACTCGCACAGCCGCGGTCTGTGACGACCGTGACCACGAATTTCTCCCTTCCGAGCTCCCAAGCGAACGCCAACGCTCAGTTCAACTGCCGTGCAGCTGCTGTCGACGCCTGCGACCCGGCTCGTAGCGACCAGCGTCGCAACATATCACTCCCTACATCTTATCGTACTCCTCCCGGTTCCGGCTTGGTAATCCACCATGACCAACCCTCCTGGTGCATTGTGAGTGGGACGAGCTAGGTGAAGCGCTTGCATACTTATAGAGACTTGTAGGAGGAAGAAGATTAGAGTGACTGGTACGCGCTTGCAGGAGACATCGCGCCTTGCGCAACCCTAATTCGTCTTGCAGTTGTTGCCGCAGACGGCCTGTCGAAGCGCGATGTATTTCGCCTCCCGGATCCCTTCGCGGTCATAACAGTCGACGCGGAGCAGACCCACACAACCAGCGTCATCAAGAAGACGCTGAACCCGTACTGGAACGAGTCCTTCGATATGTAGGCGCCCTCCTCATAATCCCGCGCTTGGATACTCATGCATCCTGCAGTACCGTCAAGGACTCATCAGTCGTAGCCGTCCAGATCTTTGACCAGCGCAAGTTCAAGAGAAGGGACCAAGGATTCCTTGGAGTTGTCAATGTCCGGGTCAGCGATGTGCTCGATCTCGAGCTGGGTGGTCACCGTGCGTAACCATGCAATCTATGACTCGACATGCGCTGACATCTCGGCCGCAGAAATGCTCACCATGGATTTGAAGAAGTCCAACGACAACCTTGTTGTCCACGGCAAGCTCATTCTTTATCTGTCCACCAACGTCAACCAGCCCATATCCAACCCTGGGCCCTCCCAGGTCAATGGCCTGTCCACCGCACTCGCCGACATGGGCATCTCCCACGGGCCTTCCCCGTCCGCCAGTACCTCGAACCTCGCCGCCTCAGCGGGCGCCACGCCGAATTCCCTATCCCGGACTCCGAGTTCCCACGGCCAGGACACAGCTACTGGTGGTATAGCCATGCCTACTCCGAGTTTGGCACCTGCCACCACTTCAGACGCGGAGCAGGCCACATCTCCTACACAGCCGTCCCCCACCTCCCGCCCCGCGAGCCAGAACGAAGCCTCAGCGCAACCTCAGGCTACACCCGCAGCTCAGCAGGCCGTTCCTCCGACCTCTCCCAGCCAGACCACGAACAATCAGCAACAGATGCGGAACTTCAACCCGAACGTTGACCAGTATGGACCATTGCCCAATGGCTGGGAGCGCCGGATCGATCCCCTTGGCCGCACGTACTACGTCGATCACAACACCCGTACAACGACCTGGAATCGCCCTTCGTCCAACCAGACGGTCAACGACAACGCTCAGAACAGCGAAACGAATGCCGCACGCGATCAACATGCGCGTCGCATCCTTGCCGATGATCTGCTGGAGGCTAACAGCAACAACGCCGCCGGGAACAGCGTATATCGCACGCCGTCGGCGGCCGCCTCTACGACGCCGTCACAAATCTCGGCTAACAACAATGTCACAACCGCTGGTTCCGGTCAACTTCCCCATGGCTGGGAGGAGCGGTATACGCCCGAAGGTCGCCCGTACTATGTCGACCACAACACGCGCACAACGACCTGGGTGGACCCGCGTCGGCAGACCATCATCCGTGTCATGGGTCCTAACGGCCAGGGCTCCGCCCTCCAGCCGCAGACGATCTCGCAGCTCGGCCCGCTCCCCTCGGGCTGGGAGATGCGCCTGACGTCTACCGCGCGCGTCTACTTCGTCGACCACAACACGAAGACGACGACGTGGGACGACCCGCGCCTGCCGTCGACGCTCGACGCGAATGTCCCGCAGTACAAGCGCGACTTCCGCCGGAAGCTCATCTATTTCCGCTCCCAGCCGGCGATGCGGGCTCAGCCCGGGAACTGCCAGATCAAGGTCAGGCGGAACCACATCTTCGAGGACAGCTACGCGGAGATCATGAGGCAGACGCCGAACGACCTGAAGAAGCGTCTGATGATCAAGTTCGATGGCGAGGACGGTCTGGATTACGGTGGCTTGTCGAGGTACGTGTGGCGAAGTGATCATCATGATTGTGACTGACAAAGTTCGCAGGGAATTCTTCTTCTTGCTCTCGCACGAGATGTTCAACCCCTTCTACTGCTTGTTTGAATACTCAGCCCACGACAACTATACCCTCCAGATCAACCCCGCTTCCGGTGTCAACCCGGAGCACTTGAACTACTTCAAGTTCATCGGTCGCTGCCTCGGTCTTGGCATCTTCCACCGCCGATTCCTCGACGCATACTTCATCACCAGCTTCTACAAGATGATCCTGAGGAAGAAGGTCACGCTGGCTGATCTGGAGAGTGTTGACGCCGAGCTTTATCGCGGCATGGTCTGGATGTTGTATGTATCTGCCTTCGTTCAATTCACCCTTCAAGACTAAATACCCTTCTAGGGAAAACGATATCACGGATATCATAGACGAGACATTCACGACCATGGAGGAGCGCTTCGGCGAGATGGTCACCATCGAGCTGAAGCCTGGAGGCGCGGATGTTCAGGTTACGGAGGAAAACAAGAAGGAATACGTCGACCTCATCGTCGAGTACCGCATCTCGAAGCGCGTCAAGGAGCAGTTTGAGGCCTTCATGTCCGGCTTCAGCGAGCTCATTCCGCTCGACCTGATTACTGTCTTCGACGAGCGCGAGCTCGAGCTCCTCATCGGCGGCATGTCTGAGATCGATGTGTATGTTCACTATCCCTACTTCGAGTCGTGCCCTCCCCGCTGACCTTTACCCGCAGTGACGATTGGACCAAGTTCACCGACTACCGCGGGTACGAGATGAACGACGAGGTGATCCAGTGGTTCTGGAAGTGCGTGCGCAGCTGGCCGCCCGAGCGCAAGTCGCGCCTGCTCCAATTCGCCACCGGTACCTCGCGTATCCCCGTCAACGGCTTCAAGGACCTCCAGGGCTCCGACGGCCCGCGCCGCTTCACCATCGAGAAGTCCGGGGACCCGTCGCAGCTGCCCAAGAGCCACACGTGCTTCAACCGCATCGACCTGCCGCCGTACAAGGACTACGCGAGCCTCGAGCAGAAGCTGACGCTTGCGGTAGAGTGCGTCTTCTCCTTTTCCGCTTTGCTCGTAGATGTACTGATGCTCTATCCGCGCAGGGAAACCGTCGGCTTTGGCAACGAGTAAGCGACTCGTTGGACGTACAGACATACAGAACGCGGGTGCGATTCGGTTGCGGACATGGGTTTTGGCTGCGCTCTCTTTCCCTTTCTTTGTACCAGTATTCTAGCCTCTTACTCGTCTCGACTAATGTGCGTGCGCTACGTGCTACTACAGTAACTATATGGATACAGATAAGATATGGGCGGGCTAGCACTTCTGGAATGCGAAGGCGATGTAGACGTCTGCAAGGGGGAAGCAGGTGAGGATGCAGAAAAATGGGAGTGGGAAAGGGGGACTCACTGGCGGCGTCCCACTGATCCTCGGTCATGTTGCTCTCCCCCTCCTCGTTCATGACCTTCATGCGGATGAGCAGCTGCTTGAATTCCTTCTTCTCGCTCTCCTGGAAGACCTCGCCGAACGGCTCCTTGTAGATCGGAAGTAGGCCGTATTCCGCTGCTAGCCTGAAGTCGAGAAGCAAAGGGGAAAACGATGCAAAGAAAGAATGACGGGAAAAGGGATCTCATCAGACAGCTGGCTCGCTCGAGGGCGTGAACTACATACTTGACAAAGGGGTCCCAATGTACTAGATACTCCGGCACATTGTCGACGGCGTCTTGCAAGTAGAACCAATACCTGTGACCATAGATCGAATTATGCTTGCGCTCGTCGAACTTGACGTTGTAGACGGAGTTTCCCCATGATAGGTCGTGGTCGTCTTCATCGACATCGTCGAGATGTGAGCTGCAACGCAGGGAGTGTTAGTATGGCTCGACATGGGGGATAGAGTTTGCTCACAGCAGAAAGTCAGCGTTGGGTATAGTGCCGATGAAGACGCCGCCTGATCGAAGATATCTGCTGACATTGTCGAGCATACATCGCGCCTTCGCCTCCGTTTCAAATGCGTAGTGCATGCAAAATTGCATCGAAACGACGTCGAATGGCGTGCGCAATATATCTGGTGGTAATGCGCGACCTATGGGTTCAGTAAAGCAGTCGAGTGCGAGGAAGAGGGCTTCTGGACGGGCGCCTCGCAAAAATTCCCAGCGCTGCCTGCCCTGCTCAACGGAAACGGCCGCGATATCTAGATATTCAATGTCAGGATACCGTTATCACAAGCCACCGTCGCTACGCACCTGCACCGACGTAGTGCTTCGCATTCGCTTTTTGCCACTTGTTGATGTCGCCGCCCTTCCCGCATCCAAGATCGAGCACCTTGCCACGCAGTCGCTCTTTTCGAGAGTAGTTGGGGGAGTGCTGCAGGGCAGGATGTGCGAATTTTGTGATGATGACGGATTTGACCCAGTTGTTGAACGCTTTGAGCGCGAAGATGGGTGACTCGACGCGCTTATCGACGCCTACTTCTGGTCTTGCATTGTCTGCGAGAACGTGAGTGTGAATTTGCAAGGAGGTATCTGCGACGCACAGTGAGCCGCGACAACCCCTGTATCTCCAATAAGCTTCTTGTTGGGTGGCGGCCGATCCTCGTCCGGCTCTCTTGACGGCGCACGCTTGCGCTTGCTCAGCGTCACTGAACCCTTGCCGCGGAAGTTCTGGAACTGCTCCATTTCGGCCTTTGATAGAGGTATCATGACTGAGCCGGCAGGGGTCAGGCGCTTCTTGGGCTGATATGCAGTTCGTGGAGGCGGTGGTGGGGGAGGGGGAGGTGCCATGGTGCCGTGTGATGACGTGGGACGCGTGGCCGTCCGTGCGCTGTTCACCGCAGAAGACGAAGACGAGGGCCGCGACAGGCGCTCTGGTGACTCCGGTGCTACTGGCTGTGGCGCAGGTCTCCCATTCGTATGCGCGGCAGGGGACGGCGTGAAGAGGCCCGCGCTCGATAAGGAAGTGCGCGAGGAGGATGACGACGGACGATGCGCAAAGTACCCGTCGTCGTCGCGCGATGACTGTCCGCGGCGTAGAGGGTCGCTGAACGCGAGCTTGTCCTCTGGCTCGGTCTGGTGAACGAGATGGGCGAGGGACGCGGAGCGCGATGACGGGGTGCGGGTCAGGGGTGGGGGGTCATCGTTGAGGAGCACGCTGAGGTCTGTTGCGCGTTTACCTATTGACGGGCTTGCGAGGGGGGAGGAAGAGTAATGGGGCGCTTCTTGGGGGCGTGTGAACGGGCTGGGGGGCGGGTGGGACGGAGATAGTGGCGAATTGAGCGCGTCGCGCACTGGATCAAACGCCGGCATGGTCGAGGTTTCGGGCAGGAAGCGCCAGCGCTGCCGCGGTCGGTGTGTACGTCTTGCCCAACAAAAGCCACCAAAGGCCAAAACAGGCGTTTGTGTGCACATGTCCATCAACAGCCTCCCACGCGATCACATGCTCCAGCAATCCCCATTCTCTACTCCTACCACTACTGCTTGAACAAAGCTTCAACTATCACCAACATACCGCCCGTCCAGCTCACCATGACCATACGCGCGTCCTACCGGAACCATGACCTATGCTGCTCACCGCGCCGCAGTTACGCTGCGCCGGCCCGCAGGCCTTATAATCAGCAGCACCCTCTTTTCTGTACTTCCGCCCCCGTCTAGATGATCATCGACTGCGAGAAATACCCTCCAACTCTGACAGGCGAACAGCTTTTATCCAGACAACTCCAGGATGAAGCCCAGGAACAGCCTTTCGAGGTCAGCTTTTATATACGCCTCCGGACGTACGCAATCCTCAACGCCATCCACCCACCTCAGACGCCCACGGCAGACAAACCCAGACAGTTGAGCGATACAGGCGAATACATGTCTCCCAAACCAGAGAACTACATCTTCGTCTCGCGCACGGAGAGCGAAGGTCATATCAATGCCACCTGCCTTCTCGACCCTCGCCTACCCGACACCACAGCACCCATGAAGGTCATTGTCACGCCAGACATGTCCTATGACAGCGCCACCGTCGACAGAAGCGCCGGCGAGCACCTCGAGCTCGTCACCGCCGCCGCCCCAATTCACTGTGACCTCACCATCATCCCCCACGACCCGCGCTCCCTCGACCTCGGACGGCGCAAGATCACCATCCTCCTCCAAACCACAGGCAAGCTCTGCAAACTCCGAGTCGTACGTCCCCCCACACCCCCATCTTACCCGTTGCCTCAAATTCACTCCCCCCCCCACCCCACAGAAAGCCCCCGCCCTCGAGCACCGCGCGCCCCTCAGCATCTTCCTCCACACCTCCAACGCCACCGCCTCGCTCTACATCCCGCGCTCCTTCAGCGGCATCCTCAGCGTCAACGCGTCCTGTGCGTGCATCCGGATGTCCAAGGCGCTCTCCCGCAGCGCGCAGCCCTTCGGCTTCGCCGCCGGTGCCACGCGCTACTTCGTGGGCGATCCCTCGGCGTGCAGGCTCGAGGACATGCAGCGGGGGTGCAATGGGGACGAGGCGCATATTTCGACGCCGAATGGGGTGGTGTGGATTCGGTATGAGGATGAGCAACCGTCGGTGCTGGCGAGGATGCTGGCTCTGTCGTGAAGATTTTTTTTTTGCGCCGAGGCCTGCGTTTGCTTGACTTCCTCCGTGATCTCATCTCGGATTCGTTATTTCATCAGACAATCGTAGGGTCACTCGTAGGTATCAATCCCACGCGAGCAGGCAGAGAAGTAGTCCCACTGTACAACCAAATGCATAACTACTGACAATCGGGTCCGCATCTATATACAGTCGAAGAAGCAAAGAAGGTGAGGGTAGTAAGTACACAGCGACGTCAAGTAGAGGGTGAAGAGAGATGGAGGTGGGATCGTACACAGGTAGAGTGAGTCGGGGACAAGTCGGGGAAGTGCGAAATGGGAGAGATCGTAGAGAGGAAGTGAGGGATACGAAAGATCAGAGCGAACGAGTAAAGGATAAGAAGTAGACAACACCAGGCAGCTACATAAACGCCACCTCCGTCATCCGCCTCGTCTCCTCGTCCTCAATGCTGTCCATTTTGGTCGATATCGTCTTCACGTCGTGCATCACTGGCGCCACGGGCAGGCGAGTCGTGATCGGCGCACTGCTCGTCCTTGGGCCATCCCACGTCCCCGAGCGCCTCTTGGACGACGTCGGCGAGGGCATATCCCATAGGCCTGACCGCCTATTCGACGTCGAGGGCGAAGGCGCGGACGGTCGGGGCCAGCCGAAGAGGCTCAGGCGCTTCTGCTTCTTGGATGCCTTGTCTGCGCACGGTGAGGGTGGCGGGCACGCCTCGTCCCCCTCCTGCGTTGGTTCCTCGACGATGGTCTCCTCCAGCAACGGTGGCAAGACGACAGAGCCCTCAACAGGGCTCTCCAAGACACCCGGCGTACTGCGCTCGACGCGCTCGCGCGCACGCCACGACGCCTCAGAGCGGGGCGACGACGAAGCCAGTGAGGACCGGCTATCGGTGTCGAGTGCTGGTGCGCGTTCGCTCGATGCCAGTGACCCACGTCGCATAGCCGGCGACGAAGTAGACGCCTCCATCGCCTTGACGCTAGGTGCTGGCGACGGAGGCAACGGCACCGTGCACGGATCCACCGACTCGATGTCTACTGGCTCGGCAGCATCCGTATCCACCCTCAGCGCATTCCTCGCCAGCCACTCCTCGCGGATGCGCCTGGCAGCCGTCGCCTCCCCATCCTCCTCCTCGCCCACGGGCTGCAGCACCGGCAGCCGCTCGTCGCGCTCACGCTCCAGCGCGCTGAGGTCCCGCACAGGCGGCTCGAGACCCCGCGCGCGAAGGGCTGAGATTCGGCGACGAGGTAGGCGCGGAGCAGGTCGTTCGGCTCTGAACGGGTCATCGATGTACTGCATGGGTTGCTCTGCGGTGGGTGAAGATACCTGAGCACTGGGACTGGACGCGCGCAAACGCATCGACAGCCGCCTCAACATGCTCGGTGACCGCCTCGGTGCATGAGTGGTAGGGGTTGCAGGCGGTGCGAGGGCGGCAGGCCTACGGTGAGTCATCGTCAACAAGGTAAACGGCATATCGAAAGTTATGGGCTTGCACACTCACCCAGCCACCTCTTTATCCTCGCTGCGCATGTCGGCATCATCAGGACCGCTGCGCGGGGATCTGCAATCAAGAAATAAGCGTCATGATCGAAGGGGGGCAGGGGCGGGAGTTGGAGAGCACAATGTCAAAAAGCTGGGCAAACGATGAACGGCAACCACTCAAGGGGTGGGTTGGCACCCGAAAGAGGAAGGGGCGAAGGGCGGAAGCCAAATGGAGTGGTAACGGAAGCCGAATGAGGAAGTAACCGAGTCAAATGAGGAAGTAGCGGAAAGCGGAAGAGTCAACGACAAGTCTCGCCTGCGCCTATTCCGAGACACCCTAATCATGACGCTAGACTCACCCTGCTGCTGGCGCGCCACCCGGTGAAGTAGGTGCTTCGTCGTGAATGAGCTTGCTGGGGACGTCGTTCTGCTCCTCGTCGACCTTGGAGGATGTACCCAGCAAGCTCGCGAAGGAGAACTTGCGAGCCCGCTTGTCCTTTTGATCGGTCGGACGACCACTCCTGGGCCTCGGGCGACTCCCCATAGCTCCCCGAGCTTCCCCCTCGTTCACGTTCATGGAAAAGGGACGCGGCATGATGATCGTTTTACGTCTCCGAGTAGAAGTACGCGCAGTGTCGTGTCGAGAGCGCAAAGTCAACGCAGCTCGTCGTCGTGCGTGATGAGCAGGCGACGGGAAGGGAAAAAAGGAGAAGAGAAACACCTCAGACCACGGCACGAGACCTTTTGAGCAGCGGATGCAGCCGAATGGCACCTGTGATCAGGCTCCGAAGAGACGCCTGCGCGCTCCTGACCAACGCGGGCGTACCTCACGTGAACAGGGCAGACGCGAGGACCCGGCTATACAGCCAGAGGCTTCCTCCCAGGACCCTGTGCAGATGCAGGGGGAAAGCAGGTCCCGTGAGCGATGGCAGCCGCGAGCACAAGCCCAGACGCGAAGCGAAGACCCGTAGCGCGAGCGGGGGGCAGGCGAAGTCCGTAGAGCCGAGCGCGGGTCCTGAAGAGGCTGCCGACCGGGTTTCAGGGAAATTGAGACAAAGCGTGAGGCCGGGTGCGCTTGGGTGGCGCGCAGCGGAGGCGCGTTATATAGCCAGTTCATACGGTAGGAGGGGATCATCGTTAGGGAGACGATGCTATAACGTAGGGGAGCGTAGCTCGCTCGGCAGAAGAGAAGATTCAGGACGGCGTTTTCTTGGAGTGCGGGGTATGGGAAGCGTAAACGCACGAACAGGTGTGCGCGATCACGAGGCGAAGTTGGACCCATCTTGCCTCCATCTTTGCGGCGTGCCCAGGCGGCAAACGAGAGGGCTCCAGTTCCGCAGGGCATGGGATGTCCTGGGGCTCTGCGAGGCATGAGCATACTCCGCGCTCGAAGGACAGAAAGGGTATTCAGAGCGCTAGCTCGGCGCTTGCGGATTTTGCCTGCGGCGAGTCCACCGAGGAGAAGTACAGCCTAAGGGCTGTTCGCAGGGATCCGAAACCATTCCTCTGCTTGAGGGGAGTCGCATCAGGTAAAGAACAGAGTAGTGGCTTTAGGCCGTTTCGTTGCATTGATTATGGGAGGCAGTTCGACATGCCATTGCTCCGTCCTAGCGACAGGTTGCTTGTGGCGTTTTAGGCAGAGCATACCTCGATATCTTGCATCTAGTTGACAACACGGGTGCCTCACAGTCGTCCTAGAGCTCCAGAGTAGCAGAGATATCAAGAGGGTGTCATCTTGAGATCGCAGAAGGCCTGCCGTTACACGTCTCGCGGGAAGAGAGCGTCGTTCGAGCGAGAGTACAGCTGAAAGTTGAAGGCGAGGAAGACGCGGATGTCGCGGACACGGTGGCTGAGACGAAGACGCCGTCGCGAATTACTCTTCACGGACAATGGGTGTTTCGCGGGAACGCGCACGCGCCCGGACGCGTGGTCATCTGATCCGGGCTCGGCGTCGACGCGTCGGACGGCGGTCGGTCTCGTTCCGTCGCCCGACGCGTCCGCCGCCCTCATGAATATTTTCTGGGCGCCCAACGCGCGCCCCTGGACGCTGAGCTCGTCGCTGCCGAGATGCGTGCAGCAGGCGAGGGCGTCGCTGAGCACGATAGCGACGCAGCCAGGGACCGTGGCGCAGCGATACGCCCATGCGTCGCCACAGCTGGCGTCCCTTCCCCGGAGTCAAAGCCAGTCAGCCCGGGATAGCAGGTGGTTTAAATTCGGTTCTCGCCGTCCTCCATCGATCCCGATACCATCACCCTCCTCTGCCATTGCCAGACGAACGATGTCGACCGCTGCGGCAGAAGATAGCAAGTTCAGGCTCCCGACGAACGTCCGCCCTACCCACTACGATGTCACCGTGCAGACCGACCTCGAAAAGCTCACTTTCAGCGGCTTCGTGAAGATCAAGTGTGTACATCTTCCCGCTGGTATATACTACAGCTGATATCCCTAGCCTTGACATCAAGGAGGATACGAAGGACCTTGTTCTCAACTCGTCTGACCTGGAACTGTCCCCCGCGTACGCCCAGATCACATTCCCCATCAAAATATATCTCACTCCTACCATAGGCGCGTCTGGTCGGACTCTTTGAAGACCGAGCAGGTCCAGTCCAACACCTCCTTCGAAAAGACCCAGGAACGCCTTACCGTCTCATTCCCCACCGCTCTCCCCGCCGGCTCGAAAGCAACCTTGACCATCCCCTTCCATGCCCCCCTCACCGGGAGCATGATGGGCTACTACCGCGCCCAGTGGGAGGACGAGGGCGTCAAGAAGCACTACGCCCTCACCCAATTCGAGCCCACCGCCGCACGCCGCGCATTCCCCTGCTGGGACGAGCCGCTCCTCAAAGCGACGTTTGCGATCACCCTGGTCTCTCGCGACGGCACCGTCAACCTAGCGAACATGAACGACATCTCCGAGACGGTCTACGAGGCTGGCAGCGCGCTTCCGCAGGACGCTGACTTGGCGAGCCTGCTTAAGAGCACCTGCACCGAGGGCAAGTGGAAGATCACCAAGTTCGCGACCACGCCGCCGATGAGCTCGTACATCGTCGCCTGGGCCAACGGCTACTTCGAGAAGCTCGAGTCGACGGTTAAGCTCCCTGTTAGCGGCAAGGAGCTTCCGCTGAGGATTTTTGGTGCGTACTTTTGTGCCACCCTATCGCCTCCCCATCTGATTAGCGCTGCAGCGACGAAAGACAACATTCACCAGGCTCAGTTTGCGCTCGATGTCAAGGCGAAGGTTCTTCCTCTGTACGAGCAGGTCTTCGAGGTCGGCTACCCGCTTCCCAAGCTCGACACCCTTGTCGTAAGTCATCAAGTTTCGCGCTTAAATCTCATCGTGATTCTCACTCATCTCAGGCTTCCGACTTCGACGCCGGTGCTATGGAGAACTGGGGTCTCATCACTGGCCGCACTTCTGTCTTCCTCCTCGACCCCGAGCGCGCCGACCTCCAGGCCAAGACCTGGGTCGCGTCCGTTCAGAGCCACGAAGTCGCGCACATGTGGTTCGGCAACATCACAACGATGAAGTGGTGGGACAACCTCTACCTCAATGAGGGCTTTGCTACCCTTGTGCGTCTGTGCTACCTACCCCGAGAGCGAGAGTGCGAAGCTAATTCAACTTTTCTACAGATGGGCGAAGTCATCATTACGGACAAGGTCTTCCCTGAGTGGAAGCTCACGTCGCAGTTCATCAACCAACATTTGTCGCGCGCTCTGTCTTTAGACGCGAAGCTCTCGTCTCATCCTATCGAGGTCGAGTGCCCAGACGCCAACCGTATCAACCAGGTGCGCATATACTTGCACTCCATCAGGCTAATACTCACATCAGTTTAGATCTTCGATGCCCTGTCATACTCGAAGGCTGCGTCGGGTATGCATTGACAAACATTGACGTCAATGCGCTCTGTTGACAATACTATAGTCCTCCGCATGTTGGCTGCGCACGTCGGCGAGGACAAGTTCCTCAAGGGCGTCTCGCTGTACCTCAAGGACCACCTTTTCGGCAACAGCGTTACCGAGGACCTCTGGAAGGGTGTCTCGACCTCCACTGGTATATCCTTTCGTTTATCTTCTCTGACTTCGACTGATTCCCTTCTCATGTAGGTCAGGACGTCGTCGCCTTGATGACCAACTGGGTCAACAAGATCGGCTTCCCCGTCATCACCGTCTCCGAGGACGCGAATGGCATCAAGGTCCGTCAGGACCGCTTCATCGAAAGCGGCCCCGCCGACCCCAAGGACAACGAGACCATCTGGTACGCCACCTGTCCACCATCCCCTCATCCCTCTCCTAACCCACCCACAGGAACGTCCCCCTCGCCATCCTCACCCGCGACGCCTCCGGCAACTCGACCATCTCCCGCCCCGTCCTCGGCGAGCGCGAGAAGACCTACCCCCTCGACACCAGCAAGCCCTTCAAGCTCAACGCGGGCACCGCCGGCGTCTACCACGTCCTCTACACGCCCGAGCGCCTCGCGGCCATCGGGCAGGAGGCCGCGAAGGCGGACTCGCTGTTCACGCTCGACGACCGGATGGGTCTGGTATTTGACGCTTTTGCGACGAGCAAGGCGGGCCTGTCGAAGCTGAGCAGCTCGTTGATGCTGGTGAATTTGTTGAGGAATGAGAAGGAGAGTGAGTAATGGGATCGTTTGGGGGAGTGAGGAAAGGTGCTGATGGATGATGGTAGACCTGGTTTGGGAGACCATTGCGAGCAACTTGAGCTCGCTGACGTCCATCTGGTGGGAGCACGAGGATGTCGTCGACAAGCTCAAGGCTTTCCGTCGCGTGAGTGGTTGTCTTGGTCACCCAAATCGGCACTAGCTGATTGTCCTCTCAGTCCCTCTTCGTCCCTATCGTCGACCGCCTTGGCTACGAGTACTCCGCCGACGAGCACCCGGATGTCACGCAGCTGCGCACCCTCGCCATCTCACAGTCCGCTGCCAGTGACGAGCCAAAGTTCGTTCATAAGTGATTGTCTACGATATAGGAGCTAACGGCGAGTGCAGGGTTATCGCCGAACTCAAGCGCCGCTTCGAGCCCTTCTTGAAGAGCGACGACGACTCGCTGATCCCCGCTGACCTCTTGCGGACGATCTTCGTGCATGTCAGTACCTATATCGCCTCTCTGTAGATGACTTGCTGACGCATAGCTCTCAGTCCGTCAAGAACGGCGGCCGCGCCGAGTTCGACAAGATGAAGCAGGTGCTCAAGAAGCCCAAGACGCCGACGTACAGCGTCGCCGCCATGTACGTCCACGTGTACTGCCTGGCGAGTCCTCCTCTGACCATATCCCCGCAGGAGCGCAATGTGCTCTACCCGCGATCCGGCTCTCCTCGAGGAGACGAAGCACTACGTGCTGAACGAGAGCCGCGATCAGGACCTGCTGCACTTCTTCCGCGGTCTGCAGGGTAACACGTCCGCCCGCCGGATGTTCGTCACTCTCCTGAGGGACAACTACGACACGGTGCGTTTTCGCGATGTTCCTGATGCAGGAGAATGACCTGACTGGGGGCTACAGATCTGCAAGCGCTTCGAAGGCAACTTCTCTCTTGGCCGCATCATCCAGTGCCCCATCGAGGTCCTCTCGACCGAGAAGGACTACAAGGAGACGGAGGCATTCTTCGCTGTGCGTATCTTTTGGGTTTACGCCTCCTTCATCACTCACGCTGTTACTACAGGACAAGGACACGTCCAAGTACGACATGTCGCTCGCGCAGGCGCTCGACAGCATCAAGGCGCGCTACACGTACATCGGCCGCTCGACGGAGGACTTGAAGCAGTGGCTGGACGAGTGGCAGGCCAAGCAGTGATTTATTGACAGGAAATCTACCACCACTTATCGTACGTACGAGACAGAATAATTCAAGGGACATGTGAAGTCGCTCAGCAGCCTTCGCCCGCCACTGCAATCTCACAAGTCGACGACTGCACTTCGGTAACGCGTGACGGTAACGACAAAGTGCGGGCAACTCACGAATTCATATGCTCATCCCCTTTCCTCTCTTTTCGTACTCATGATTGAGATTGTTTCTCACTCGAGAGTACGACGGGACACCAAACGGAACCCCGCGTCGACTTATACTGCGAGACAAAACCGATGTAAAGGAAGGGTCCGTAGTCAGCTGGTAACGCAAGAACAAGTTCGCCTCGCTCACAAATGCTCTCCAAGCGCTCCGCCACGCGGGGTATATTCACCTTTTGTGCACCTCCGTCCCCGAGGAAGCCCCGTTTCATCCCAAGCAACGCATGGCAATGAAGATGGCGGAGGTCGAGGCCGGGGACATCCCATGGTTTTCCCTCGAGATCAATCGTTCCTGGTCACGCGAAGCTCACGACAATCAGCCTTGGCGCCTCCGACGGCCGTGTTGTTCAGTGGACAAGAATCATCTGCCGAGGCTCGAAGGTTTATAGCTGCTCGGTATGCACGAGGTCCCTTCGAGCTCGCTCCGCCTCTTTTCTCTCGTTTCCTTGTCTTTAGCGTGGACCGTTGACGGTCGGCGACCACTGACTCATACATCTCCACTCTCTTGTCAATATGTACATCTTCTCCGCTCTCCCTTCCTTGACGCTGGGAGCTACTTCGGCGGCGACCACTGCCCAGCTAGCTGCTCGCCAAAGCGGAACTCAGGTCATCACATCCTGTGCGAACTCGGGTGATGCAGCGCTCACTTTCGTACGTACACTCCGCCTTTGAAGAGCTTTGCATTGATTTTAAGGCAGGACGATGGTCCATACATCTACGAGTACGTGCTTCAAGGGTAAGAGAAGGTCATCTTAAACGCATCTTGTCTAGGAAAGACATTGTGGATACCCTGGACGCTGCAGGCGCCAAAGGCACATTCTTCCTCAGTAAGTCCATTGACGTGTGCATCCTACACCTGCTGACAACCCATAGACGGCCAGATGCGTAAGTCCACCTCCTTCGGTGTCGATAAGCAAACCTTCATCAGCTGCAGAGCGATGCATCTACGACAACGACATGGGTAAGTCATAATGAATCCGCTACTGTCGCATGGCGTCAATCGAGAAACTATTCAGTCGACAACCTGCTCTACGCGTACAATCGTAGTCACCAGCTGGCATCGCACACCTGGAGCCACCCGCATTTGACGCAGTTGTCTGCAGATCAAAGTAAGTCTGCTCATTTATGCACCCACTTCGACTTATTTCAAGCAATTACCAGTGAACCAGGAAATGCAGCGCGTCGAAGGTTTGCAGCTCATCACTACCCCTCCCGCTTCTTGTTTAAAAGACAACAGAGGCCCTACAGAAGACTGTCGGCGTAGTACCTGCATTCCTCCGGCCTCGTAAGCGTATATTTCTCACTTCAGTCCCGACTCTTTGACCGGTGATCTAGCGTATGGGGATACGAATGACCAGGTCACTGCCGCTGCATCCAGCCGCGGGTACAGTGCTTTGGTAGTCTGGAACTTTGAGTGCGTCTGCGAAAGTGTGTATGGACCAGTCTGTCTCTGACAAACTCTCTTCGCAGCTCTAACGACTGGGCGGGCGCATCCGCCGCCACCGTCAATTCCAACTACGATAGCATCGCGTCTCAGCACCCTGACTCGATTATAACCCTCAATCACGAGACGATTGGTGAGTTTAAACCGCCTCTGGACTACATGATCCATTCTAACCTCTCCACAGAACAGACAGCGTATGTTACTTATTCATCCTCATGGGAACCCGGTCTAATGCAGCACAGCCATACAACCCTCATGCACGCTATCCAGACCCTACAGTCCGCAGGTAAGCCTGGAGTCGGGCTTTACAGGACACCCAGGCTCATGCTCTTCTTCGCCAGGATACAACCTCGTCACTGTGGCAGAATGTATGGGTTTGGAGCCATACCAAAGCGTTGGGGAGCCTTCCACCCGCGACGTACGTTCTCGCTTCTTCAGTGGTATTCGAGACTGACCTTGGTCATGCTTCAGAGTACTTGGACATGCTGAGGTACTTGCGGCAAGCCGTCGTCGAGTGCGGCCGGGATACCAATGAACAAGCACTTTGATCGTTCCGGTATTTATGCGATTTGTGGTATGTACAAGACATCAGAGGTGTATCCGAGGGTTTGCTACAAGATATGGGAACGACTGGCTACACAAGGACTTCTACGATTTCAAGGACGCCGGCAGAGCCGGAACCAGGGATGTCGGAAACTTCACCACCAAGCTGCCGCGGTCATGGCGCTGGACCACCCCCGCGATGCCCTTCGTCAAGTCACGTCCAGCCTGATGCAAGCCACCCCAACTGTCAACCATCGTACGACAGTGGTCCGCATACTCCTCCTGCAAACCAAAGATTGCCTCGTAATGCTCGCGGCTGCATCATGATGAGCCTTTGTATCGCTAGCAGACATTCAAGAGCGCACCTCTCTTGTTGCATAGCACGGAAGTCGTCGGCAGCGTCCTTGAGCATTGCGTACCTGCCGAGGCGGACGTCTTTCTTAACGTTGACGAAGCGGCCCGATACCTTGTCAATGATGACTTCGTGTATATCGTTCAACACCTAGTGTGATTAGACGCAAGCTGGGAGAGACATGGGCAAGCCTCACCTCGATGATATCCTCGATACCAGCGTACGTCCGTGATTTGGTAGTCTCAGGCCTAATGTACGGCTTGCCCGAACGCGGTAAAAGTACGTCTCGTGTAGCCTTCTCCACCAAGGGAGATGCGCGCACTGATTTGCGTCAGTAGAATCCTTCAAACCAAATGTAGAGCTTACCAGCTGGCGTCCCAGGCACGATGTAGTCGCGTCGAGCCATCCGACCTGCCTCGTGAGACTTTCGACGCTGCAGGTTTTCAGGCGGGGAGGGGGTACCCGGCCACATCCCAGCCTTCGTATTCTTCGAAGTCGACAAGCCAGAGCCAGCCAGACGCTTAGCGCTGTTCGAGATACCCGTAGAGCGCAAGATAGAATGCAAGGTTCGAGCAGAGTCGTTGACGAGGGTCGTGCTTCCAGACGTACGGCGGTCCAGGCGATGCGGAGAAGACGAGGCGAAGACATTATTTTCCGGTATCTTAGAACGAACAGGCATCCGCGGAGGAGGCATAGCATCGGTAGAAACGATGTCAACTGGTTTGACTTGCTGCTTGGTGGTTCGCGAGTGAGGAGCGTCGTGTTTGTCTGCGCGAAGTTCATCGACATCGGACGAGCGAGCGAGTTCGTGACTGTAAACAGGAAGCGAGGTCTTGATGTGTGACTGAGGGCGAACGGCGGAAGAAAGCGCTTTCGTGATCGTCTCCTTCGCGTGGGTTGCAGGACCCTCCTGAGTCTTCGGAGCGGAACGGTTGGCGGTCGAGCGTCGAGAATCTTTGAGAACATCGGTAGACGTAGTAGGCGCAGGCTTGTCATCAGTTGTCTCGAAAGCACGTCGGTGAGTTGAGGCGCTTGACGCTCGCGTTTTGCTCTTTTCAGCCTTGGTAGTCCGTGGAGTGTCAGTCGTAAGGTCAATATGCACAGGTGAGCGGGAGTCAGCAGCCGAGTCCAAGGCGCGAGAGGAAGCGAGATCAGCATCGGAAGTAGTAGCAAGCTGAATGAAGTCGTCAGTATCAGCGAGATACCATGGAGGATGTCTTTCTTACGGGCAAATCCTGGACGAAGTTCACGTAGGCCTCCGTATCGGACTCGTCAATCGGTGTCAAGGGTTCGTCGAAGCCGCCGAAGATAGGCGACGATAGGTTGTTGTTCATAGCAGCGAGAAGCTTCGAGGTCCTCGACTTGTCCTTGGATTTCGCCGGAGTCCTTAGCTTCGACTTGACGTCCTCCCAGGGCGTCTTGGCGACTTTCATAACTGAGGTCTTCTTCGGAATCTCCTGCAATCTGGTCAGTGACAGCAACAACGGGCATGTGAAGATGTGCACATCAAAGTTGTCAGACTCCTCCGCATCTTCATCGCGCAGAGCACGTCGCGCAGGGGCAGCTTCGGCCGTCTGCAAAGTCTGAGAACCGGCGTCGGCGCAACAAACAAGGTGCGAAACTGACCTTTGTAGCGCTAACGCCCTTCCTGACAGGAGCGATGGTAGAGTCCCTACCCTTCGCGGGTTTGACGACTTCGTCATCTTCAATGGGATCAGACGAAAGAGCGGACGTCGAAGAGGGCTCCTTCTCCTTCATCGTCGCCGCAACCTTCTTCTTCGCCTCCATCTTCTTCTCAGTCTTCGCCTTGCTCTCCGCCGCCGCTTTCGCTTTGCTCCCCAACGTCGCCTTCGCCTTATTTTCCTTCGCCAATTTACCAGCCTTCGCCTTGGTCGCCGCCTCCTTCTTCTTCATCGCCTCCTTCACCGCAGGCTTCTTCGTCGTCGCCTCACTGCCCGGAATGAAGTCAAAGTCGCTCGTGGGGTGTGCGGTCGTGGCCGTCTGCGCCGGGCTCGACGCTCTGCCGCTCTTGCGCCCAGGACTCGACGATCGCCCAGCCTTACCGTAGCGCTTAGCTACGCGGATCGGCTTGTCAGGCTTGTGAGCGGTAAAGATCTCGCGCATCGCCGTCTTCGAGCGGTTGATCGTCTTTCCATTTGCCGGGTTCTCCTTGCCTGCAGGAGCATCTTTGGCAGAAAGTCGCGTACGCTTGGCGGGAGGAGTGGGCTCTTCGGTTGACGCAGGCGCCTGTATGTCGCTCTCGGGCGGAGGCCGTTTCTTGTCCCGCAGCGGGCCTTTGCTGGCTATATGCGCGTTGGAATCTGCAGCAAGCAAAAGCGAGTAGGCATGCAACTTACCCTCTTTCGTATTGATCGCCGCTTTTGCATTCTTCGCCTTCACGCCTTCCTTCACCGCATTCCCCTTCGCCTCCCTCTGCTTCGCAGTCACACCCTCAGTAGCATCCGTCCTCGACTTCTTTGCCTCGGCCACCTCATCATCATCCTCCGAGTCCGGCACGCGCATTCGCTTGCGATTGATGATGAAGGGATCCTTGTCCGACTCGCCCTCCTCCCGGCGCGCGGGCTTGGCCCTCGGCTTCGGGCGGGTCGCCTTTGTCGGAGCAGTCGATCTCGGGGGAGAAGGCGCGCTCGACTCGGGAGGAAGATGCGACATTGGCTTTGGCGGAGGCTGCGCGATCGACTTCGTTGGCGGTGGCGGCAAAGGCAGCGGCTCGTCGGACTCGTTCATGAGCGGCGAAGTGGGCTCTATCACGATCGCGCCGTCGACGGTGGAACTGTTCCAAACTGCATACTGTGAGCGACGCTTCCTTAGAATGAGGAGTTCTGGCACACCTTCCTCGACCATCTTGACTTTGCTCTGGACATGCGAGGTCAGTATTGTATAACACCGTTAGCGTTTATGGGACGAACCTGCGTAGATGGCATAGGCTCCTCTATATCCTTGTCGAACTCGACGACGATTGTAGCAGTCGACATCCGCTTGTCAGCAGCAAGAACCTTGTTCCCCTACGCTCGTTCAGTATATGCGCTCAATTTACCATCAAATGAACACTTGCCAAACCGCGCGCTTTCAGCGCCTTCTTGAACCTATCCGCATCCCTCGCCTTGATCCTGAACTTGAGGTCGAACCTGCTGCCTGCTTTCTCCATCGAGTAAGGCTCCTTGCCGAGCAGCGGAGGGGTTTGCAGAGCGACGCGGACGCTATTCGCGTTATCCTTGGTCGACGTGATGCGGATGTCGACGACCGTTCGATAGGGTGCGCGGAGGTGGTCGAAGGCATCATCCTGGACCGCATTCAGTCAGTTGCTTGGGAGTTTGCAAATCGATACATACCTGTTCGACGTTCGCATAGAACCCCTTGTCGTCGACATACAACTTGCCGTGGTCCAGCTGCTCCGTCGCGTCACCCACGAGAAAGCCAGAGACGTCAAACGGTTGAGGACTACGGCATTGCGTCAGCTCATTTCGTGAGGAGCGACGAAGAAAGGACTCACTAGGTCAGGCTGCCTTCGGCAAGAGTTGCCATGATATGCGGCGACGTCTCGCTCCAATCTGCGGAACGCATATTCGCCAATATGTTGATCGCTTCGTCATGACAGCGGAAGAGAGCGGGGTCGAACACGTCCTCGATGTACTTTTGACGCGTCTGTCCACCTTGATCCTTGGACGATGGTAGGGCCGTGGCGAAGACTTCGAGCAGGTGTTCGATCACAACGAATTCTGCGAGAGTCAGGTTCAAAGTCGCAGCCAATGCTTGCTGATATCGACGTACCCTTCGTCTGCGCCAACATCCAGCCGATACGTTTCCTAGTCACAGTCAGTTTCCTCCGTACAAGTAAGAGGAAGTCAACGTACGGTCCTAGGAATTCAGACGAGCGCAGCCGACGTCTGTTGTCCGAATGCCTTATCGCCGCGTCACTCATCAGCATATACACCTAACATAGTCCCTTATAAGCCTCGTATAAGACGCATATATGCCCTCTTTGATGCTCACCGCAGACAGCAAGCTGGGCCCTGCAGTAACGATGTCGTCCTTCTCGTCCGGGAAGTATAACCGACAAAGTGTGGAGTACAGCTTGTCGCCTATAGCAGCCTTGATCTCTACGTGGGTTGAGTTCAACTATCGAACTCAAGTACGGACGGTACTTGCCGTCTGTCTTCTTCGTGCTGTTCTCCAAGAAATCCTGAACACTTGTCAGCGATGTTGCCTCTAAAGCAGCACTGGAAACGCGTACGATGACACCATTCAGTAAGGAGTCCAGCACTGGCTCCCACGATTCCCTCAATTCATCCTTCCCTGGTCCGGTGAAGGCCCCGATCTTCTTGTCGCTGATGTAGACGAGCACCGCGCGGCAGTAGTCGAGCATTGCTTCCGTGTGGTCTGCATACAATGGGAGTAGAGGTGCACGTAAGTGCTCTAAGAGCTTTCGGAGAGACGCATCGCTGGGACTCGACAAATCCTGCAAAATTCTCAGCTCTCGTCGATGGGGTTCCGATGAGACTCACCAGTAGCGGCAGGGAAGCCTGCAAGCTCTCGACGCCGGCCAGGATGTCTTTCTTCCGCTGCCTTTTCGTTGCCTTCTGCAGCGCAGACACTGCAGCCCTGATATCGCCTGACATGCCGACTGGTTGGGAAACTGAAGCTGGACGTTGTTGACGAGTCGCGTTTGCGCCGCATTTGGAGCGCGATCATTGAAGCGTTTGGTCACGGGGTCGAGCGGCGCATTGACGCGTTGTTTGTTTGTTGATATTGCGCATTGCTCTCTTCCTGCACTTCCATCCAGCCGGCCTCGCGAAATCCCCTCCTTCAAGCTCAACCTTCCCTCAAGACCCTCATGCCTTCGTCAAGACTCGGTATCTCTCGCCCGGCCTCCATGCTACCGGCCAACCTGCGCTTCCTTCGTCGTGTCCCGCCCGCCTTCACCTCTTCGCCGTTGGAAGACCCTGTGCAAACGGTGTTCTTGGATGGTACGATCTGCGATGTCCGCCATTGGATGACGCTCAACGCTCTTGCAGCCCTTCACGTCTATCCTCCTTCCAGCAAACTCCATCAGCATGAACCAACCTTCGGCAACTGCCCGCCTAGTCGCTGCCGCCTCATCGCTGCTTACATTCAACGTAAGATTGGTGTGATCATGCCTCTGAGGCAGGTCATGCAGAGCGTGTACGAGCTTGAGTCGCGCACGACCATCAGCAAATGTAGGTCATCTCTTCGCATAATCCTAGGTTTCCACTCATCATGAGCGATTGCAGTACTGCACTCCTCTGAACAGGAGGTCACACTTGCTATCAGCAGCCCTGCTGTTGCCACCACAGATCTGCCATCTACGCTTTCATCCCCTGCCGATGTCAAGGTACCTGTCAAGGCTCAACAGGAGGACGTACTCAAGGCGTTGCCCTCAATTGCTAGCGGGAAGCCCCCTCACGCTAGCGCTGGTTCTATGTCTCAGCGGCGTCAGGCCCTCAACATACCGACCCTTCACCGCCAGCTCTCGCTTGCTCGCTACCGCTCGTCCAACCTGCTCTCCGAAGACTTCTCCACGCCCATCACGCCTGCCGAACAAGTGCTACACACGCCTCTCGACCCTCCCGAACTCCTGCCTGCGAAAGCAACGGCGGCCAAGAGAAAGAGCTTTGCCACGCCTACAAGCAGCACTTCGCCTGGAAACGCAGCTTCTCCTTCGCCGCTCCGCTCGCGTGCCCCGCGTACTAGCTTGGACCGCTTCCTCTGCTCGCCCACACTGCCGAGCCCGGACTCACTCAGTCCGCTGGTCAAGAGCTTTGGAAGGCGTCTTGCTCTCGCACCGCCTACTCGTCTGCCGCGTCGCCTCTCGTACTCGCGTGGTGGGATGCTGGACACTCCCAAGTCTCCGGGAGACACCCCGTATTTCAGGAACCTTACTCCACGGGAACCTCTCGCGTCACCTCTATGTATCCAAGGCTCCGTCTCTGACCGCGCTACTACAGAGTTCTTCTCGTCCAACCACGCTTCTCACATTCGCTGTTTCTGAAGAGGACTACGATTTCCGATTGAACACTGTTCGCGTCACCTTATCTTGCGCTTGGACAAACTTGGACTGCCCTGCTCTTATACCACGCTCTTTTTGGACGACGCTCCCTGCTCCGTGTCTCGTTGCGATATATAGCTTCCTGCCTCGTAAGTATAATATGTACAAGTACGTAGGTTTTGTGTGACCTACCTGCTCGACTGTGTATCACCCCTGTACCTTAGTGTAGTGTCTCCAGCATACTGTACAATCCACTGTCTTTGGTTGCGGTCTTTTTCTTCTGGTCAGATGTATTTTCGGGCTCACGAGCTACGATGGTGAATGCATGTCTTTCGGAGAATCCGATGTGGCGCAAGCAGGAGCTGGCCGGGCCGGCTTCCCGGTGCGCACAGTAGCCGACTGAGCGAGTGAATTCCTGACCTCCACCTCTCAACGAGCTTTGCCTCTAGCTTTGGAATCGTCGCAGGCCTCGACTATAGCTGCGGTACTAGCTTTGCAGAGGACTGGACCACCAACATGCCCGCGGGTACGAAGGGGAGGCTCCCCACATTCATTACTGTAGGTTTCCCCACTGTCATCGCTGAAGGACATTGCTTATCCCCTCGCAGCCAGCTTGGGTGCGAAGGAAGCATCTCCGCAAGGCAAGGCGTCTGTGACTATAATAATGCACAACCTGCTTATCACCTCTGCAGTTCTCGTGGCTGCCAGATGTCCTCCGCGTTAAAGGAAGCGTGCGTCGTTCGCAGCGTACTCGCCACCGAGACTAACGACGAGCACGATAGATCATCAGGCATATCGTCGGCCCAGTGCTGACCGTCACGATCTGGGCCTCCATCATCGCGTTCCTGCAGTCTCGCGGGCATCCAGTGGAGTTGACTAACTCGGTCGTTCCCCTGCTCTCTGTGGTCGTCGGTCTCATCCTGGTCTTCCGGTGCGTGTGCTGCATCCTGATCATCTATTTCTACTGACATTTTGAACAGCAACGGGTCTGTCTATTCGACTTCTTCAGCACGCCCTGAACTCACTCTAACGCACTCCCCAGCACGTCATACGACCGCTACTGGGAAGGCCGCAAGTGCTTCGCCACCCTAACCTCCAACACCCGCAACCTCGCCCGCCTCATCTGGGTGCAAGTCGCCCCTCCCCCAACCGACGAAGAGCCCCCGTACACCAAAGGCAAGACCCCCGTAGCCAAAATCAGTCCCAAGCAGCTTCATCGCCGCAAGGAGGACGCCCTCCGGCTCTGCCTCTCCTTCGCCTATGCCACCAAGCACTACCTCCGCGGCGAGGACGGCCTGAACTACCCCGACCTCCGCGCAAACCTTCCGCAGACCTTCATCCGGCTAGCGGAAGCGGGCTTCAATCCCAAGGCCATGTCGCTGGTGAACGGCTCGTACGCGGCGACGAGGAACAACTCGAGTGAGAGGGTCGATTTGGCAGCGAGCGATATCACGATTGCGCGCGGGGACGCGACGAAGCGAATCAAGGTGAAGCGGAGCAAGGATAAGATGCCTCAGGCGACCACGCCGCTGCTAGCAGATTCGCAGTATACGAGCGTGGACTTCTGCAAGGAGACCTCGCTGCCTCTGCCTCTTGGGTACGAGGTGCTTCGCCCGTGAACTCGGTTGAATCTAACCGGTGTCGCAGGATTGCGCATGAGATCACTCGATTCCTCTTCGTCTGCAGGCGAGATGGCTATCTCGAAACGGTCGGCCCAGCAGGAGTAAATGCCATGAACGGCATAGTCACCAGCATGATCGACCAGCTTACTGCAATGGAGCGCGTTGCGAACACGCCTATACCCTCGTCATGTAAGTTTAAGTGCCCAGCTCGGTTACCCACCCTCGCTGACAACGTGCAGACGGCATCCACCTCAAGCAATGCGTCACGCTATACCTCTTCGCCCTCCCAATGACTCTGGTCAGCACGTTGGGCTGGTCAGTCGTGCCTATTGTGACCATCGTCGCCTTCACTCTCATGGGTATCGAGGGTATCGCGGACCAAATCGAGATGCCCTTTGGTAGGATCGCTGCGTTTTTGGCTCTTGGTTGCCGCTAATATTCTGCAAGGTACGGAGACAAGCGATCTGCCACTGGATAGGTATTGTGAGGACCTGAAGGAGGAGATTCAGTGAGTTGTCGATGCGTATTGTCGTTGATCATTGGCTTACTCGAGGCTAGTTTCATGATCATGAGCCTTCCCGAGGGCGGGGAAGGGATGTACGGTTACGACGACGGTGAGGGCGATGACTAAAGGATTCCTTTCGCAATCATTGTTTTCTAGCCACATATCACTCATGGACTACGTATGTGTCACATTCATGTACTCTTGCATATTCTGTCATGACTTTACGACGAATGGAATCGAGATAATCTGTGGTAAGATCGGCGATTTGTGGCACAAAGGGATATCCTAAATAGGAAACCACAGACTTCTTCCGCGACCGCCATGATCACACCGCGATTTTCATGCGATCAAACCGACGAGCATGTCATCGTGAAGGTGTACTGCCCAGCCATACGTGTCAGTCAAGTATCCTCCCTTCCCGGCCTGTCTCACAGTTGACAGCATACAGGCTTCCGACGTCGACATTCATGTCGATGACACCCTGCTCACAATTCACATCAATCCCTATTTCTTACGTCTGAACTTCCCTCATCCTGTATCTGAGGAAGATGGATCTGCTGCAAGATATGATGCGGGCGCTGGCTTCCTCTACGTGACTCTCAATAAGCAAGTGAAGGGCCAGGAATTCAAGGATCTCGATTTGCTCTCCAAACTGCTCGCGCCTCGGCCGACTCAGGCGCAACCACCTGCTATCGAGGTCATCTCCTCGCAAGCTGCGGACACAGCCCGCGCGGATGACGATGTGGACCGCTTGTCATCCCAAGCAGAGCGTCTGACGCTGGAGCAAGACGAGTTCCTCCAAGGTTCGTTCTGATAGGAATGCTGCTTCTGTGACGCGGTCGCGATGCTGACCTGTTTATAGCGGAAGAGAATGAATGGCAGTACCCGCAGACGGTACCGGAGCCTCTTGACAGCCTAAATATCAGGCCGGAGAAACCCTACGGCTTCCTCAATATGTACTCCGGGTACTTGACGCATGTCGCGCTTACCGAGAACGAGGTCAACGAATTGGGTGCTGATGCGGAGACGATGACACCGCAGATGCGGCGGGAGAGGCGTATAGCCCACGAGAACGAGAAGTGGGACGAAGAGCACTATATGTGGGCGCTCAGGACTTCCCTTATCCGCATGACTGCCTGCTAACCTACTTATAGGGCTGACTACGCAGACGACGAGTACATTCAGGAGCTTCTGCAGTGGCGACCTCCGTACACATCGGAGACGGTAGATGAGTTCACAGAGGATGAGAAGATGATGATGCTTCGCCTCCCCCGGAAAGAATGTTCGAGCGCCTGTCCTACTGTTCATGCTGTGAGACTTACCTCGCTTCTAGATTTAGCGACACAGCAGGAGACGGACCAGCTGTATGCGACGCTGATAACCATTCTATTCGCATACGCATACGAAGCCCGCACCACACAAATAGAGCCTACACCGGAGAGCGCTTGGACGTTGTGTAGCCTCACGCCGGCCTTTTCTGCGCTTGACCCGTCTCCATACGCTCCTGGACCCCCTTTGTCCTCCGAGAACCTCGCCACAGCTCTTGTGCCGTCTTACCGACGTACCCTCAGCTTCCCGCTCTATCGCTCCTTCGCGCTCGCCGAAGCCTGCCGCGCGGACGTTGCCTCGCTGCTTGCACGCGGTAAACGCACCGTCCTGCGCTCCCTACTGGCCACGAAGCGCATCCTCGACCGTCACGAGGTTTATTACCTTTACAGCAAACTCTGGCTCGATGACTTTTGCGTATGGGTCCAAGGCTACGCGAGGTATGCCTTTCCTATTGTCTTTCAACGGTACAAACCCAATCTAATCCCCGTGAGTAGAGATGATACTCTTATGGACCTCGGGACCCGCCTTGGCACCCTCAAGGTCCGCAAAGACGATCTGGGGTGGGATTTGGAAGCATTGGAAGAAGCCGCGCGGGCTGCTTTGAACGGGGAAGCGGCGTCGGATAGCGACGACGAGTCGGAGGACGATGCGAATGGCCCGACCCAGCTGTAGGTGCTTCCCAAGACCTTCCACATGTAGCACCTACACCGAAGGACTACTGGATCCGGCATAGTCCGCCTCACGGTGCCCGCATCGATGGGACGCCTACACAGTTGCAGAGCCGTGCCCCCTATGCGGGAGGCCGCGCGCGCTTCGGACTCTTCGAACGATGCCCGAATGTGCCAATACCTACGCCGCGGGCGGGCCATATTTCTGGTTCGTCGAGGTGCGGCATCGATTTCACACCAGTTTCAGCATTCCTCCGCTGTATTGTGAACTGCTGTCGAGATGTCGTTGATACCAGATACCAAATGGCAACAGTGAATGGCCTTCATATACATCTTGAGTTTCAATCATTAAACATCATCAGTAGATCATCGCCGACGCGTGTAAGCCTGCGTTATTGCCGTATACTGATGAGCCCAAGCTCGGCTCATGATGGTTTATTTATCTTGCATACGATAGTCGCGGCAATCCGCGCTGCACTACGAACTTGTGCGCTTGTGTCGCACTTCAATTACGGCCGCTCGAAGGAGTTGACACGCTTTGCCGCGGAGGCTCATCACGCCCGACTTCTATTGTCCTCTTCGGGCAACACCTGCCCCTCCGTCGAAGTAGGAGCTCGGAGCCCGCGCACCCGCACCTGTCAACCGCCTTGCAATCACAACACGGGAAAGCATATGGAAAGACGACAGGATGAAGCAAGGATGAAGCAAGGATGAAGACAATAGTAATGCTTGTATTGTATATAGGTGACGAGAAGAGCTAGAGCCTCGACGGCGTCCATACGTCCTCCAATCTGATGCTATAGAAGTGCTAGGCAGACCCACCGCCATCCGCACACGCTCCACATGTGCGGGACGGCGCCAAACTCGAGAAGACGACCAGAGACTCAAAGGAACGTCCGTAAGGAGAGCGCGAACATCGGAACGGGGAGGCTGTATCGTAGGACGAGAATGCACGTAGGTGCTACACGTGATGCGGGACCGGCGCTTGTCCGCTAGTCCTCGTGGCGAGCAGCAGGCCGCGAGGTCGAGCGCGCGCGGTGCGCCTCTGGGACGACATCGAATCCGCTCTGCCCGAGATCCGCAGGAAGCGCGGCGGTCTCGTCCAGAAGGTCTTCCACCTCCTCTGGGTCGACCTCTCCATCCGCTGTGCGCGGCCCGGGCAGGCAGGGTGGCGTGTTCACGAGGTCGTTGAAAAGGAACTGCCGAGGCGGACAAGTCAATATGCAACTCAAACGGAAGTGATGCAACAGACGCACAGTGCCATATCTGGAAAAAGTCGATGGTGTAAGTGAATTGAAGACGTCCTTCTGTGGGTACGTACACAAGCAGGCCAAAGCCGACGATCTGGAGGAGAGATATCGGGAATAGAAGCTTCTCCCAGCCCAGGCCTAGACTGACGATCCATATGGCGAGCGTCCTGCACGTATCGGTCAATGAACGCGCCGTTGCGCTTACATGGCGTGTAACAGAAAGGCCGAAGAAGTTGAAAAAGGCGATACTGCATGCGACGACCACGCCAGACCAAAGGACGCTAGGCGTATCGATCATCTGGTGCCATCCTCGGGGCAAATCGAAGAAAGTAGACTTGGCCGAAACTGCAGGAATCGCCAGTATGGGAATGAATGCGATGACCGTGATGGCACCGAACAAGCCTTCAAAGCCTACGGCCGTGAGTGGTGCAACAGAGTAGCGGGCTGGTGGCAATTAGCCCAGGTCTACACTCAACTGTCATAGACCCACCCATGATACTCTCTAGTGAATGGCTCAGTGAGCAACGGCAAAATGCATATACAGTGGAACCGAACCTTCAACGACGAACTGACTCGCGGTACTGGTAGTAGAGTTAAGAGAGTACACTTGACGTTCACGGGAGCTACTCACAAGATTTGGGCGAATAGAATGAAGAAGACGCCTGCAAATCATGAGGCCGGTTCCATCATCGCATTAGCTATTGCCACATACCAATCAAGACGGAGGTAGGCTCTGGCTTGCCACCATTCTCTGATGCCTTGCTGTCGTCAACAAGGAGACGCGCCAGATACGATACGGCTTCGGCGCCAGGAGCCTCTTTGAGCGTGTCCTTGACAAGGGAACCACTCCAGCCGACAAGAGTGATCCCCGTCATGACGATGATCAACGAAACCCATCTGTGAGCGTACACAAGTCAGACTCCCGGAGCGCTGGCACAAGCAAAAGGAACCAAACTGGTAGAGCCAAAGTCTTCTCCGAAGGAAAATCACACTAAAGACGCCCACAAAGAGCACAAGCGCGCCCCTGGTCATCTGATAGATGGACACGGGAGTGTAAAGCAGGCCGACATTCATGAGCTGGGTTCGGTAGGTTAAGCATCACATGCATGAGTTGGTTATGAAGCGAGAAGAGCTCACAGTAGTACCCGTGAGGTCACAAGCAGCCGGGATCCAGAGTAGAAGAACTTTCCAGCCGGTCAAGGGCTGCGCCACAGGCTTGATCGGGACGGGGTCTTGCTCGGTGTCGGGCTCAAGGCGGACAGGTTGAGAGCGGCGTTTCTCTCTGGCCCACGAGACGAGAATGGGAATGAAACCTAGGGATGCGCTCAGCCAATGTGGTGAAGGCTTGATTGAAGGCGTACGCACATAGCATTTCCCCGACTTAATCGCCTCGAGTGAGACTAAGAACGTGTGCCGTGCAAGATAACGCACCAAACATCTGAAGCGTCTGCCAGACGGGCTGCTCGTACAGAACATGGTTGCGTGCGTCTGGGTCGTCGCAGTTCTCCACGCACTGCATGTCTTGATACTTGCTCCATAGTGAGTTGCAAGCACCCTAGCGCTATCTTAGCGACATGGTACAAGATAGAGCAGCAAAGGCGTACGGTGAGGATCATTCCTCCGAGGAGGAACGGGATGAATAGAGAGGACGGCATAGCGATAACCGTCGGGGTGGACGCCAGAGACAAGCAGCGGCGCTGGCGGCTGGACGCGAGGCCGGAAACGGAAGCTGTTTCGGTTTACGCAGGTAAACCCAAAAGAGGCAAAAAGACCCCTTCTCCGGAGAACCTCCGGCTTCCGACATTTGCTACCGATGACACCGATCGAGAAGCTCGTTTCCGGGGCTAAATGTGGTCCTTCGCGAAGGCCGCCACTGATTTTTAAGGCGACGGCGAATGATGTGCGTGTCTTCCTGCTTTCCCGCTCATGGTCCAGCTTTCCTTGGTATCCAACAAAGGTGCGCCCCACCCAGCGCGTCCCCGTCGCGTCCTCACGCGTCCCCAGGCAACTCGGGTGTCCGCTACTTCCCGTACACGGGCTACCTCGGCCTCACACCCATCAAGGTAGAGGGTGGTACGTGCTTTCCCCGCGCCGCGAACGCGCTCTCACATTCTCTCAGCTGTCATCACCAAGCTGGACGCGGACCGCAAACCCCTCCTTGCCAAATGCATCACCATCGCCGTCCGCTGCTATGAAGCACGCGTCGGTCGCGCAGGCATATCACGCGCGCACACCTTGGCCGAGTACACACAAACTCTCTGGTCCAAGCCCGAAGACCAACAATACGCCGACGTTGCCGACCTCGAACTCCCATTCCGCATATCTATCCCCTCCAAAGTCGGAGGCCACAGCACATGTTCTTTCGTGGAGTACAGGTGCTTCTGGAGGATAGAGGCTTGTGCGTGACCGTTTGCGTCGTTGTCGTATCGCATGCTGACTGCTGCCCAGGCATCGACCATATACCCATATCGGCCGTCGGCACACGCAAGACGAAACACTTCGAACTCGCGTTCGTGCGCTACGACGTTCCCCCCGAGCTGCCCTTGCCATTACCCCGTCAACGTCTTCACCTACTCGCCGGCCGACAAGGCATATCACAAATTCGCTATCACTTGGAACCTCCCACCGCCGCAATCGGCCCACTTGACCTAGTGTCAATCCCGATCAGCGTGCTACCCTTACAACAGCCAGTGTCTGTGCGGGGTGCTTCAGTCACGATCGAACGTCGCATTCAATTCAGTGATACGGCCGCCGCTTCATCCTCATCACCTGCATCTCCCTCATCCTCCCCCGCATCGTACTCGCATATGCCCACCCGACATAAGAACGACTCCGCCATGTCCTTGTCTAGCGACCCCTCGTCAACAATGGCTCCCTCTTCATCATCGACCATCACCCCGGACACTGCCTATAATGCGCCATCTCTGGCAGACTTGGCGTCCACATCTGAACTACCCCTGCTACCACCACCGCCGCCTGTGGAACCCCAACCAGCATCCTCGTCTTCCAAGGTTCACATTAGCCACATCATTGGTGGTCAGTCTTCCGGCCCGTTCGCTGTCACGGACTCCGGTGTCTGCAACAAGACGCTCACTGTCCAATGGCCTGCCATGAAGTCCCACACGCGCTGGGCTATCGGCGAGACCATGCAGACTGAGTTGGCCTCAATCAAATACTTCGCATGTATCAAGGTTTGTCTCCGTCGTTCATGATGTCTCTGCATAAAGGCTCATTGATTTTTAGCTGGAGCTAAGTACTGCGAAAGGCCACGAGATTGTCGATCTTGCACCCCAGGAGCTCCTCGTTGTGTCGACGAACCAATCCGAACGTCAAGTCGCCATCACCAAGTATAATGAGATCCTTGCTACAGAGCGCTCCCGCTCCAAGTCCAAGTCTCCGAGACGAACCCGCAATCCTCAGCTCCCGGAACCTCTACCACCAACCCCAGCCAACCCCATCGTCATTCCCTCCTCATCCAACGACCGCCGGGCATCCCGTAAAACCCCACGGCGGCCCCACACCAGCTCCGGCGCGACGCATACACCTACCCTCTCCTTCAGTACCAGAGACACCAAGCCAAAGCACGCCTCCGCTATTGTCAATTTGGGTCCCGGCGCCACATATGGCTATGACACGGTGCACGCTCCAAAGTCGTATATCGCTCCCAAGATCGCCACGGTGTCGAGTGGTGGCAGCGCTATCAGCGGCTTCAGCACGTCCAGCCGAGGCAGCGCGAGCGAAGACGAGCGACGGCGAGCCTCCAAGGTCGCGGACGATGCCAAGATTCGCGCCTGGGAGGAGGAGCTTGCGAGGATCGAGGCGCAGAGCCGACGCTCAAGCGACCTCCTCGGCTTCGGACGCAAGTTACGGCGGCTGGTACGATGAGATGTGGGGTAGATTCGAGGGTGCGTCCATGTGCAGTAGCGCTGCACGGTAACCTCTGGGCTTTGGTTGGCTTTCACGGACCTTGGATTCACGTTGTTCATCGCTATCGATCCATACTGCATTGCCATGTGTAACATTATTCTACATGCACTTTCTGTCCACTGCATCAATCGCATACCCGAATATGAGGATATGCTCGTCGTCTCCATCTGCAGGAGACCCCCTTCAGTGATAGGCATCGCCGACGCAACTCCCGAGTCCCCAACACATCACGCAACGGAACCTCGAGGTCGCTGCTCTAGCGTGGTGACGTAACATCGGCGTCTTCCGCCGGCTATTTGCGGCCTTCAACGAAACCATCCCGCTCCGGGTTGGCGCCCGAGACTTCGAACTTTGTCCCATTCAAGCGTTCGGCGTTCGCACGCGAGACCATTCCTCCGCCATGTCGAGCACGCTCCCTTTCCTCACCAAGGTCTCGGTATACTGTACGGGAGGTCAGTACTTTGCGCCCTCTTTTGTTGTCCGCGTTTTCCTTGTCGAATTCGGCCTTTTCCTCCCACTCCACCTTCCCCTTGGCTCGTCTGCAAGTGCTCTCCTCGGGGACTTACCGAGCGATGCCGCGCGCGCAGCGATGCTCGTTGCCCCCCTTCGCCTCCCTTCTCCACATCCACATCATCCACCTCTGCGCCCCAGCCCTTCTCGCCGGCCCCGAAGTTCGTGCTTCGCAAGGCCTGCTTCTTCTGGCGGAAAGAGATACCGCACGCCGGTGCCGGGGGCCGCTGCCAGCCTCCCTTCATCTGCCTTCGATTTAGCCTCTCAGCCCGTGCCCCCTCTGCATGGCGGACCGACGCAGCGGGCTAGCGCCTGCAAGGCGCCCTTCATCGCGACCGCATCGCCAAGGCTGTCCGGCCTAGGCGCCCCCAGCGCACGCACTGATTCGCCCCGCGCGATCTATCACATCTGCCTTCGCCTGCACTTCGGGCTTCCTCAGCTTCCTGTTTGAGTACGTCCTTGTTGATCATGCGGTTGCTGACCGTTTCGCAGCTGCGGCCTTCGGGTGGGCGCTTATGAAGAGTAAGTAAGCGCTTGCGACGGTGTTTCCCTCCTGCTAAGAGCAGCCTTTGCGGGCGGCTAGTCACCGTGCCCACGCCGGACCAGGTGTACAAGGTAAGCGTGGATGCGCTTGTCATAATTTGGGGTCAAAGGTCGTCCAGAAACGTCTTGCTAACTGCTACTGTAGGAGATGTCCCCGGATCTGCAGCGTGCGGTCGACTTGAAGAGACAGGTTCCGCACGGCCAAGCACCCTTGGTCGCGCAGGTGAGTCAACTCGTGCTCTACCCCGACGTCGCCTCCCCGTCGGCCTTCCTGCTTTGATCCTCCCTTCGCGGGGACGCCTTGTGCTTGCGGCGCCCCCTTCTTGCACGACCTCGGTCACTTCCTTTACGTCGCCCGTCTTCGTCATCCTACACATTGCTAACCTTGCCTTCCGTCTGTAGGCGCGTGCCCAGGCGCACGCCGTGCCCGCCGACGACCCAGACAACGTCAAGCCCATATGGTCGGATCGACGCTAGGGTTCTGTCTGCTTCTGTCTCGTAGGCTACGCCTGCTTTGTCAGAGTCGAGTCTACGATGCGTTTGATTACGCTTGCAAACACCTCTCAGTCCACGTTTGCGCCGCCAGTGCCCCGAATCATTGCATACGACGATCAGAGGGAGAGTCAGTCAAAGGTGGTTGCCGTGTTCTTCAAGATGACGTTGAAATCGCGTCGGCTGGTAGCAACATCCGGCTCTACCTGGATAGCCTCCATAATCAAGTTGTAAGCCGCTCGATGTCCTGTCAGTTGAGGTAGGGCCTACTAGCATCACCCGACGCCAGCGAAAGCAGCTGCTGTGGCAGACCACGAGAGCCAGGTATTCATCAGTCAATTGTGGAGTACTGCCTAGTGTCCGTGTGCAGCAGAGCACAATGGTTGAAACACCCACGAGTATGGTCGTTGAAGCTCTGAAGATTGCGCGTTTACTTGGACTGCAAGTTGAGTCCATATTCAACTTGCGGCATTCGCCGAGCGCGCCGCGATCACGTGCGAAGCTTCCATCCCAATGGCGCCGCTGTGGCTCGCTGCTGAAAAAGGACCCATGACTGATGTCTTTGCATCGTCGCCCATGCAGGCCAAGGATAGTCAAATTGTAGTGCATTCACGGGAATTATGGAATAGATATCTCTAAAACCAGGACAGCCTGCCATAGCGTTGTAAGACTGGGGAACGTCCGACAGCAAGCAATTGAAAAGAAACCATGTAGTGCACAATAATGTGAGGACTAACGCGGGGGACTGGGGGACTAACATGGTAGACTGGAGCGTACGATGAGAGGTGCAGAACGATAGGAATTCAATGAGATAGATGTACAGCAGAGGCGCCGCCTCCAAACTACATTGACAGCCAGTCCGTTTCCCCTTGCTTAAGCGACGCTCCTGCCCTGAGCCACGAGAGGCGGCACTGAGTCCAGGACAGAGGAAGCTTCGACGCCACCCTTGATGGAAGCCGCGTCACCGTCAACACCAGACGGCAGCAATGGCTCATTCGCCTGGTCGTCATCCAGAGCCGGCGTCGACGGAAGCTCGACATAGGGCCCGTCATTCGCAGGGAACATAGATGACGTTGTCGAGTTCCGCCGACCGACAGGGGAGTCCGCCGAAGGCGAAGACGATGCGGCTGATGAGTCCTGGGAGGCTTCAGCTTCCGTACGCGGCTCAGCCTGATCAACGGGTACAGATGAAGGGGATGGACCGTCCTCCAGGGGTGTCGAAGACGCTGTGGGCGTGGGTGGGGAGTCTGGGGTGGGCGAGTGATTATCTACAGGTGCAGAAGTGGGTGGGGCTGGAACGTCCTCCGTTATATCAACCGTCGGCTGCGAAGGCCTGTCCGCTGCCGCAGGTTGGGGTGTCACATCGCCGTCCACCCCACTGGCAAGCAGGGCGCTTGCAGTGAGGGTCGAGCTTAACGCGGCGTTTAGTGTTGAAAACGGCGTCGTGGGCGTACTTGATGGCAATAGCGGGGGATTACTCGACAGTGGCTGCGCCGCAGAAGGTGAGGGCGAACCGCTGCGGATCTGGGCAGAAGACGAACTGGAAGTAGCCCCCGAAGGTGCAGCAGCTACTTGGGAGCTGCCGGACGACGACGTCGACGTTCGCTGCGGCTCTGTACCAGCGACAGATCCACTGTCAGCGGATGCACCGCCGTCTTCGCTGGCGCGGGCGGTCGCGGTGCTGGGACCCGCATCGCCAGTCTTCTTCTTGTTCTTCTTGTCTTTCTTTTTCTGCTTTTCCTCCTCGGCTTTGCGTTTACGCTCTTCCTCCTCGTGCTGTATAAGCGAGAGGCGCATGGCCTCCATGAGCATAAGCTGCAATGCGTGTAAGTATTCGCGCCGATGGAGCAATTGCAAAAGCACACCTCTTCCAAATCCTGGCCTCCCATACCCACGAACTGGTCGAAGGCGCCACCGCCCTGATTCTGCCGTCGTCTGGACCTGCGGCTCCCAGAACCGCTGTCCTGTTCGATCTCCTGGGTGCTCGCGGCTTCCTCGGGGCTAAGTGCATGGACACGGCCTGACGATACACCGACAGGGATGAGGCGGTCACCAACCTGCCGCATGATAATGCGACGGTTAGCACGGCGAGCAACTGCGGCGCGCACGGCTGCGAGCTTCTGTTCCCAGTCAGGACGGATTTGATCTTGCAGAAAGTTAGCTGCGGGCGGGTTGATACAAGTGCACGCCTACCCGTCGTCACCACTTCGGGGCTGTCAGCGCTAAAGCTCTTCTGACGACGCTTATGACGCTGAGGGGCGGGAGTGTCGACAGACAGCTGAGAGCCCTTCGGAGAGCCGGAGAAGGGAGAAGGTGCGCCGTCGCTGTTCAGACCAGCGCGCCATGGAGGGGGAGTGTAGACGACGCCGAAGTTCTCCTGAACACAATATGGGCAGGCAGCTGGTTCAGAGACGACATGGGTCGTAGTCGGTTCCGCTCGCTTGATTTGTACGAAGCACTCTGTGCAGATAGCCTGGTCACAGCAGCGAGAATGGTTGATATTTGGAGGGTAATACTAGATTGACGTAATGTTATGAGCGGAGGATGGTCAGCGACAAGGCGCACAGCACACACCAAGAAGCAGATGGGGCATTCTACTGCGCCTCTGTAAATCGCCGCCTCGTTCTTCGCCGATTCCTTCGTCAGTGGTGGGCGTTTACTCGACCGCATGCTGCTTGAAGATGTCGAAGACTCGACTCGAAAAGCTGTGTTTGCGTCCGACAACATGTCCGCGTTCTGAGGCGGTTGCTTTCGATGGGCTAGGATGGTATCGTCATCCCAGTCCTCTTCGTAGTCCTCCAGCGGTCGGTAGAACGGCGCCAACTTGCGCGCGCATATCAGCTGCGACACAATCGCCTGATTCCAGTCCCGAGGGCCGGTGTAGACGCCCTGGGGCGTAAGGAAGCCAAAATCGACGGTGTCGTCCTGATGGCGGTGACTAGCGGAGGATGAGCTGTTTCCCATGACGGGCGACAGCAACGACGGTGAACGGCGACGGCGATGAGCAGCTCGCAAGTGCTCGTGTGTCAGAGGAGGACGGTCACGATGTGTGACGGCTTATTGACCTCTGTGGTTTCGTGACGACATAGACACCCGCGTGCGAACTGAGTGCGGAAGTTCTGTGGCTTTCTGTGGCTGCACGGGTTGCGGACGACTATGAAGGCGACGGCGCAACAACTACGCATGGACTACCTACGTGATTTGCCTATTCCCTCCTGAAGGTGGCCTCTAGGATGGACTCGTGGACCTGACCTGGGCCATATAGCTGATCACAAGTTCCCACTGAGCTTCTTGATTTCATTGCACGCTACGTTGACACCAAGTCGACGGGGTGCAAAGTCGAACTCACTCGGAGTTTCTTTAGAGTCCTTTCTCGCACCTTATGGCCATTCCGAACAACTTGTGGGCGCGTATGTGAGGGCCGGGGTAGAGGTGTGAGGGACACGTCGGCTGTCACGTGTCGATCAGTAATTTCAGGAAGCGCCGGTGCTTGCTACAGCGCAGCGAGTCTTCTTGCCTCCCTCCCCCCTCCACATAGTCCCTACCACTCAAGTTTGCGTTCATTATGGACGCTCCTTGGACGAAGACCCCGAAGGAGGTTTTCGAACACTTCGGGATTGACCCAAATCGTGGTCTGACCGCTGACCAGGCGGCGAAGCACGCTGAGCTTTACGGAAAGAATGGTGCGTTCTCTATAGCTGAAGGCGTCACTCGGTTAGCTTATGCACGTGCAGAACTATCTGAGGATCCCCCCACACCCCTGCTCGAGTTGATCTTGGAGCAGTTCAAGGACCAACTCGTGCTTATCCTTCTCGCCTCGGCCGTCATCTCGTTCGTCCTCGCGCTCTTCGAAGAAGACAATGAGTCCGGTTTCATGGGTGCCTTCGTCGAGCCCCTTGTTATTCTCCTTATCCTCGTCGCGAACGCTACTGTTGGCGTTATACAAGAGACGAACGCGGAGCGGGCCATTGACGTACGTGTCTTTAGCGCCCGTGGTGAATGCGTATTGACCCCCTCTGCAGGCGCTGAAGGAATACTCACCCGATGAGGCGAAGGTCCTTCGCTCCTCTCAAGTTGCTCGCATTCATGCTACTGAACTTGTCCCCGGCGATATAATCGTGGTGTCCGTCGGCGACAAGGTCCCCGCTGACTGCCGCCTCATATCTGTCTCCTCAGCCTCCTTCCGCGTCGACCAGGCTATCCTCACCGGAGAGTCTGAGTCAGTCAACAAGTCACCTGAGGTGGTACCAGATTTGAAGGCCGTGAAGCAAGACATGACGAACATCCTGTTCTCGGGGACGACCGTCGTCAATGGCAGCGCTCGCGCCGTTGTAATTTACACGGGTCAGAAGACCGCGATCGGTGACATTCACCAGTCGATCACTTCACAAATCTCGGAGAAGACGCCCCTCAAGCGCAAGCTCGACGACTTCGGTGACATGCTCGCCAAGGTCATCAGCGTCATCTGCATTCTCGTCTGGCTCGTCAATTTCCGCCACTTCTGGGATCCTGCGCACCATGGTGTGCTCAAGGGTGCCGTCTACTACTTCAAGATTGCAGTTGCCTTGGCTGTGGCTGCTATCCCCGAAGGTCTGGCTGCTGTTATCACGGCCTGCCTTGCGCTTGGCACCAAGAAGATGGCGCAGAAGAACGCTATTGTCCGGAACCTGCCCAGCGTTGAGACGCTCGGTTGCACGAATGTGATCTGCTCTGACAAGACCGGCACATTAACGACGAACCAGATGAGCGTATCGAGGGTATGCACATGCTTTCACGGATGAAGACAATCTGCTGACCTTCACCTAGTTTATGACCATCGATGCTGCCACCGGTGGCGCTCGTGAATACACCGTTGAAGGCAGCACCTTCTCGCCCTACGGGTCGGTTAAGCTTGCTGATGGAACGGACGCCTCGACTGAACTGAAGGCAGACCACCTACAACGCCTTGCAGAGATTGGTTCTATCTGCAATGACGCCAAAATTGTGTACAACAATGTAAGCTCGTCCGAATTTCCTGGTGAACACAGACTGACTCCGGCGGTAGGAGAAGGGCACGTACGCGAACGTAGGTGAACCCACCGAGGCTGCCTTGAAGGTCCTCGCAGAGAAGATCGGCTGCCGGGACGGCGAGTTCATGAAGCAAGTGTCCTCTCTCGCTCCCAGCGAGCGCGCCAACGCAGTCAACGACTATTTCGAGCGCACTATCACCCGTCTCCTCACCTTCGAATTTTCCCGCGACCGCAAGATGATGTCTGTCCTCGTCAAGACCCCCACCACGGGCGTTCTCTTTGTCAAGGGCGCGCCGGAGTCCGTGCTCGACCGCTGCACGTCCGCCCTCGTCAACGGCACCGTCGTCCCCTTCACCAACACCATGCGCACCGCCGTCCTGGAGCACACCCAAAAGTACGGCAATGACGGTCTCCGCACACTCGCCCTGGCCTACGTCGACGTCGCCGACACGGACGCCGCCCACTACCAGACGAGCAGCAGCCGCGACTACTCGCGCTTCGAAACGAACCTCGTCTTCACTGGTCTCGTTGGCATGCTCGACCCCCCGCGCCCCGAGGTCCGCGACGCGATCGCGAAGTGCAAGGCCGCTGGTATCCGCGTCATCTGCATCACCGGCGACAACAAGGGCACCGCGGAGACGATCTGCCGCCACATTGGCATCTTTGGCGAGTACGAGGACCTGACTGGCAAGAGCTACACGGGGCGCGAGTTCGAGGAGCTCACTCACGAGGAGAAGCTTGCCGCCGTGCAACGCGCTGGGTTGTTCAGCCGTACTGAGCCTGGGCACAAGAGTCAGCTCGTCGACCTGCTGCAGAGCCTTGGTTTGGTGGTTGCGATGACAGGTGACGGTGTCAACGACGCGCCAGCTTTGAAGAAGGCCGACATCGGTGTCGCTATGGGCAGCGGCACGGACGTGGCCAAGCTCGCGGCGGACATGGTACTCGCGGATTCGAACTTCGCCACCATTGAGGAGGCCGTCGAGGAGGGCAGGTTGATCTACAACAACACCAAGCAGTTCATCCGTTACCTCAGTATGTCTTCTCACCGTACCAGGTGCACCACTTGCTAACCACCTCAACAGTCTCCTCTAACATCGGAGAGGTCGTCAGCATCTTCCTGACTGTCCTTCTCGGTATGCCGGAGGCTCTCGTCCCCGTACAGCTGCTCTGGGTCAACCTCGTCACCGACAGTCTTCCCGCGACTGCCCTCGGCTTCAACCCTCCTGACCATTCCATCATGCGCGTCCCGCCTCGCAACAGCCGCGAGCCGCTCGTCGGTCCCTGGTTGTTCTTCCGCTACATGGTCATTGGCACATACGTCGGCTGCGCGACCGTCTTCGGCTATGCCTGGTGGTTCCTCTTCTACTCCGAGGGCCCGCAGATCTCGTTCTACCAGCTCGTGAGTGCTGTCTCATAGTCGCTGCCTTCCTCTTACTTACATCTCACGCCTAGACGCACTTCCACAAATGCGCATCCGCATTCCCTGAGATCGGCTGTCAGATGTTCACGAACGAGATGGCGCAGCGCGCGACGACCATGAGCTTGTCAATCCTCGTTACCGTTGAGATGTTCAACGCCATGAACTCCCTCTCGGAGAACGAGAGTTTGTTCAGGTTACCGCTGTGGAGGAATAAGTTCCTGGTGGCCGCCATTGCGCTCAGCATGGGGCTCCACTTCATGATCCTCTATGTCCCGACGTTTGCTGTACGTCCTTTCCTTCGTGGTTCAGCGCGTATGTCGCTGACACTTCGCAGGCCTTGTTCCAGATCGCTCCGTTGACGTACGCCGAGTGGAAGGCCGTGCTCTGGATGAGCGCGCCCGTTATCGCCATCGACGAGGTTCTCAAGTTCGTCACTGTGAGTTTTCCCGATAATTCTATTACCTACCATCTTTGCTAACTCCCTGTCAGGCGACCTTCGTCGACCCTCCCGCGAAGGTCGAACTAGCGTAAGACGCATAGAATCAAATAATCTATTGTAGTTGTGTTGTAAGGGTACGCGGCAGACCGCGTTGGGCTGTAGATGGCACAGCACTCATAATTGAGCCCTTGCGTCTGCTGCTCTGCAGTACATCATCCAGTGTGAAACTCCGTCTCACCCGGAAACCCAAAGCCGTGCTCTGCTTATAGCGCACGCATTGTGGCTGGGCCGCACTTTTCGCGAACCATCATCATGTTCTCCCTTGGGCGTGCAGCCATCCCGCGCTTCTTCCTGCTGAGTAGAGGGGCCGATAGCGAGCTCTACCAGGCCTGGCGGGACGCTATCAAGGAGGTGGCACCCGCCAGCGTACACGATAAGTTCGAACTTCTGAGCGCCGACCTGAAGGAACTTCCCGCGAAGAAGATAGCTGTTGACTGCGTCGTATCGCCCGCCAATTCGTATGGCATCATGGATGGAGGGTAGATGCAGCAGTTTCTTGTCTACGCATACGTTATCTGATTGTTTTGCTACCCAGGTACGACCTTGCCTTGTCCTTGATGTTCAGGGGCAAAGGCAAAGATGGCGAAAAGACGTTGACACGCTACTGCCAGGCTGCCCTTCGCGAGAAATGGGCGGGCTACCTCCCGCCTTCCTCCTGCATGCTCATGCCTATTCCCGCTGAGGTAGAGAACCCGCTGAAGGCCAAGGTCCTCGCGGTCCTCCCCACGATGCGCATCCCCGAGGACGCCAGCTGGCGCCGCGACCTGGTGTACAACTCGATGTGGGCGCTCCTGAACGCCATCCGCACGCACGACGCGCCCCTCGAGAGCGTGCTGCTCACGGGGCTGGGCACGGGCACCGGGTGCGTGAGTCCGAAGCGCTGCGCGGTGCAGATGATGCTCGCCGTCAAACACTTCGTGGAGGGCATACCCGAGAACGGGACTTGGAACGACGTAATGCCGGTGGCGCTCGAAGTTGACGAGACGTTCAAGTTGTAGAAGAGGTGGCTTTCGAAGATGGAGAAGTGGGTGGGACCCTGCCCAGGTCAGGAGTCCATGGCGGGGGCGTGAGCGTTTGTTGACTTGCGTATCTATGACGCTGTATTTGTACTCGGGTCGGAGAGGGACGAGGACACCTGTTCGCGATTCCGAGCGTCCATCGAGCTTCTCTCCATTGCATTCCGGCGGGAAGGAGACTGTGCTTCTCGCAGCTCAGTAAACGGACTGTCAACTATATAACATCGGTCCCAGACAGACCCTGAGGCCATCTGCTCTTGCTGCGCTTGCGACCGGGCAAAACACGGAACTTCAGAAGAAGTTCAGGGAATCTGGGGCACAAACAGACTCGGGAGCGGACAGGGTGCAGAAAACTGTGCCGGGTGACATAATGGAGAGGAAGGACGGGTGTTGGCAAGGCATGAAGGATAGAATACAAGGGAGAGCCAGCGCGACAGTACACAAGCATCGTGGTAGCCACAGTAAGGGTACTTTCCAGGAGGTCGAAGCCACAGCTGGAGGGATAGAGCGGGAGGTAAAGTTGAAGTAATGAAGTTCGAGCCGTACGCCACATATTACCGCACTAAGACCAGGATTTATTCCCACGATTTGGATGGAGGGCGACGGCTTTGCGCGAGGTTACCTCCCACCGACGAGCTCTCTAATAGGTCTATCGTATCCTTACGGTTCCGTTATTTTCTATTTGGTGGAGGCTTATCCTAGGTTTTGGGCAGCAGCGGGCTCGTCTCTTCCCACCACGCACCTGTCGAAATCTTGGTTTTCTAGGGCCAGCTACGCGACCACGGATACCCAGCGCGACACGACGTCGACATATCCTGCGTCAAAAACGGTCCCGGCGACGTCAACGGTCCTCCCCTGTCGTATCCCAGCAGACATCCCTGAAGGTCAACGAGTCGACGGCGAGCACCCGCCCTACACTTTCGTAATACCTAATCTTTCGCAAATCCTCTTATAATGTCTCTATCGGCCTCGGACAACAATGGATCCTATTCGAGGATTCCTCACAGTGGCAAAACGCCCCCACCGGCGCCTTCTGCGGCATATGCGAAGAGGTGCGTGGCACGACCCCGTGGCGCGCACAGGCGTACTGAAAAAAGTCTCACAGGGCGCGCGAGCTCCAGGCTTCAGAGAGCCTCGGTGGCGGCGCGCGGTACAGGCCTCCTGCGCTGCGCGCGTTAGCCTCGGGCGGCTCTCCTCCTAACGAGGCGCCTCCTTCGATCACGTCTCCGCCGGAGGGAGGCCTCCCGCCCCCGAGTAATTACCCTCCTGGATTTAGGAGGGCTAGGGCTGGAACCCTCCCCTCGAACGTCCAACTTGCCGCACAGCGTTTCGCCGCGGCGTCGACGAACCTCAGCCCTTCCCCGTCCTCGGAGTCATTGCTCGAGCAGCAGTCCATGCAGCCATCTGCGTCTAACCCCTCCGCATTCGCCCCGGCGCGCCCCAGCCTGCGTCACTCTGCATCAGTTGCGGGCCCAGTTGCATCAGCAACGGGTGAACGCAACAGTCGCCTCAGGTCGGGATCTCTCACGCTCCCCAGCCGCGGGCTTTCCAACGCGTTCCCGTCCGTCCTGTCGACGTCCTGGCTGACGTCGGGCGGTGGCGCAGGTTTCACCACGTTGGACGAGTTGCACTCAATGACCTCCGGCGAGTCGCAGTCCGGCGACTTCGACGTGCATACATTGGACTATCTGGGCTTGGACGACGCGCACCTCGGTCATGACTTGCACCGTCTGCAGCCACAGGCGGCTACCATCTCGGAACTGCGAAACCAGATGCAGCAGAACCTGGCTGGCAATCTCACGACAAACCCGTCGCGCCTGCGCGCGAGCACCGTCTCGAACCCGTATCGCGCGAGGCCGTCGGCAAACTCGCTGATGCCTACACCTGCTGCCGAAGAAGAGGAGGAGTACTTTGACGAATATAACGACCGCCACACTACGTTTAGTCGACAGCGCCTCAACAGCTACGAAGTGTCTGGCCCCGATGCCTACTCGCAGTACGTTGCGCAGGGCTTCAAGTCTACGGACCACCTTGCGCCCGCTCGCCCCCGCGCCATCTCGGTTGGCAACCTAGAGGAGCCCATGCGCACCATCACCCGTCGCGCTACGACTGCCGACCTCCACCCCTACGTGAACAATCTGGACATGCAACCGCCGCCTCTACCGGTGCCTCAAAACATCCCGCCTACGATACCTAGCCCTGCTACAATCCTGAAGGAGAAGCTGACCGCTCGTGGGGGCACGTCCCCGAACGTGAACTTCCCGAACGGTGAGCAGCCCCGCGGTTCCTCGTACCTCGCAGCGCCGGGTGGTCAGAACCGCTCTGTGTCTCCCAAGTCCGAGCCCCAGTCTCAGCAGGCGCAGACCCCCACGAGGTCCCTCTGGATTGGCAACCTCGACAGCGCTGTCACGAGCGAGCAACTTATCCACCACTTCGCACCCTACGGTGCCATTGAGTCGCTCAGGCTGCTCCCTGAGAAGGTACGCGCTAACTCCGCTTTCTCCAGCACATACCTAATCTCTATTGCAGGAGTGTGGCTTCGTGAACTTCGTTGATCAGGCGGACGCCATCCGCGCGAAGGACGATGTACTGAACAGGCTGGGGGGTAACATCGGCATGCCGAATGGCCAGACCGTTCGCATTGGCTTCGGGAAGGCCGACAGTGCGCCTGTCGCGCCGGCGAAAGGCAACCCCACGAGCCCTGGACCCACTGCTCAGGCAGCGTCCAAGTCGGTGGCGACTACCCCGGGGATGGCGGGCATGGAGTCGCAGTTGCAGTCTACGCCCACTCGTGCGCTTTGGATTGGGTCTATTCCATCCACAACCACGCCTGCCACGATTTTGAGCGTGTTCAGCCCTTACGGTCCTATTGAGTCTGCGCGTGTTCTTACTCACAAGAACTGTGGCTTCGGTAAGTCTATGCACTTTGTACCTTTCACACACCTTTTAACCCGCACCACAGTCAACTTCGAGCGTCTGGATGATGCTGTTCGCGCTCGCAAGGCGCTGAACGGCCGCGATGTCTTGGGCAGCGACGTTGGTGCCATTCGCATCGGCTTCGCCAAGGTCCCCGTCAAGAATGGTGCGGAGGGCGGTGAGGAGAACGCGCCTGCGACGTCTGTCACGGGTGTAGGCGATCTTAGTGTTGGTGCTACCATCCAGGCTCTGCGCAACGTCAAGGGGGCGTCCACGATTCCCTCGGACCAGCAGGTGCTGAGCGGCATGGTGGAGAACTACCGGTCGAACCTCTTGCTGAGCATGATCGCTTCGGGCAAGCACAACTTGCCTGCGGAGGCCGGCTCCATTCTGTCCAGCCTGGCGGCGGCTGTGACCGAGCAGCAGATGATCATGCGCGAGCTGAGCGGTGGCGACCCGTCGGCGGAGCAGGACATCGCATCTCTCGCAGGTATGTACTTCAGTCTATGCGATGCGGACCTGTGCTAACCTTTAAGCAGAGTTCCGCCCGCCTACGATGTACTACACGCAGATACCCTCTGTGACGGAGCGCTCGCACAACAGGCGCTGGGATGCGGCTAAGCTGCGCGACTTGCGCAAGCGATTGGATTCGGGCACCATGACTGTCGAGGACATCGACGGCATCGTCGGCGAGTTTATCGAGGGCGAGATCGTTGACCTCGCGTCGGATTGGCTCGGCAACACGGTAAGCAAAGCTCTTCACTAGCATTGTGCCAGGTATTCATCATGGGTTGTAGGTCGTGCAGAAGTTATTCGAGAAGTGCAGCGCCGCCCCGAGGCTAGCCATGCTGGAGCGGTTGGCGCCTCACCTCGCCATGATTGGCATCCACAAAAATGGCACTTGGGCCGCGCAGAAGGTCATCGAGTGCGTGCAGACGATGGAGGAGATCATGCTGGTGTCGCAGAACCTGCGCCCCTATGCTCCGCCTCTTCTCCTGGATCAGTTCGGCAACTACGTCGTACAGTAAGTAACACTACTGCTCCATAGGAATCCAGTCTGACCACCGGTGTAGGTGCTGCCTGCGGTTCGGAAGCCCGAACAACGACTTCATTTTCGACGCCATGGTCGACCGTATGTGGGAGATTGCGCAGGGCCGCTTCGGCGCCCGCAGCATGAGGGCATGCCTCGAAAGCCCCCACATCACCGTCAACCAGAAGAGGCGCGTCGCCACAGCCATCATACTCAACTCGATCCCCCTCGCCACCAACCCCAACGGCGCCCTCCTCCTGACGTGGCTCTTGGACACGTCCGAGTTCCCGTCGCGTTACATGCTTTTGGCGCCTCGCTTCACGCCCCACCTCTCGCATCTGTGCACGCACAAGCTTGCGTCGCTCACGGTGCTGAGGATTGTGAACCAGAAGTATGAGCCCGAGGCATCGTTCCAGATCGTCGACGCGCTATTCAACTCGCCGGGTGACCATGTCCTCACCGACGTTCTCGGCGACCAGGTCAACGGCGTCTCAGTGGTGCACAAAATCCTTACGAGCAACTTCATCGCTCCGGAGAACAAGGCCCGCTACATCGAGGCGACGAAGAGGGTGTTGATCGAGCTGAAGGTCATCGCGACCCAGGCGTACCGCCGCCTGATTGAGGAGGTCGGGCTGCCCGTGCCGAACTTCCAGCCGACGTACAACAACCTCCCGCCGAGCGGTGGCAAGTCGAAGAACTCGCAGAACAGCAACTACAACATGCCTGGGCTGCCGCAGACGTACGCGAACAACGACCAGGGCCTGCAGGCGATGATGGCGAGCCTGCAAATGGGTGGGCAGAACGCGCAGGCGGGGCCGCCGCAGCTGCACGTTGATCCGGGTTACAACAACCCGACGCCGCCGCGCCGCACGCCGAGCTACTCTCCCTCGCCTGCGGCGGAGACGTACTCGCCAGCGTATGGCCGCTCCTCGGATGCGCCGACGCCACGCGGTGGAATGCGCCGCAACCCATCCCTGCCGTCGATGACGCCGCCGTACTCGCAGTCGCCTGCGATGACGCCGTCGAACAGCCAGGGCGGCTACGCGCCCCAGCCGACGTACGCCTCGGGCCCGCTGACTTCGCAGAACATGCCTCCGGGCCTCTACCAGCAGTACATTTACCATGCGCAGTACCCGCCGAGCCCGAACATGAACATGGGCACCACCTTCCACTCCCAGCCTTGAACACCAAACGATACGACCGTAACGACGACAATTTCTCTAGACCGACCGGCTCCTTCGCACAGCACACAGCGAACAGTGGTTCCCCCAAAATGTATGTATGTCCGATATTTGGTTTATTACAATCACATCTGCCCGTATGTTCTGTCCCTTCGTTATACCCGACCCTCCCGTGAACTTGTACATGTCAAGCGTCTGGCAGCCAACCGCGCACATTCGTTTTCTCGGCTCATTCCCTTTTCTTCGTCTTCTCTCTTTCCCCCTTCATTGTTGATCTGCTGCTACTACGTCTATGTGATACGCATGGTTGTTCTCAAGAACGGAAGCGGCGCGCTGGCGTGGCGTAGTACATTTGCTTGCATTCTTGGCTTGAAGTTCGTCGAGTGGCAGAGTTCGTGACCCATGTACAACAGTCAGGATCGGGCTTGCTGGTGGATAGGACTCTACGGCGTATATTGGCAATAAGTACAGGAATATAAGCGCTCTATTATCCTCCTCTCTGTGCAAGTTCCCTCTACAACATACCAAAGTCGATACTCTGCAGCTTGAGAAGATGCGAGCGCAACCTTCACGATGACGTCGTTCGCATCCATTGTCCTCACATCGCGTCGACCGGCCCGAACATCCTTGCCTCTTACCAGCAACGATGGGGAGCTCGGCGTCGAAAGCAACGAGAACCCTTCCCAAGAAGAAGCCTTCGTGGTCGGGGGCGAGGACAGGCGAGATGCCTCCTCCTCCGCCTTCAAGACCACGTCCCGTCGCAAGCGAGACGAAGAACGACGGTACGCGCTTCTGATCCCTCTCGCGCGTCTGTGGCGTGTCCTGAACGTCTCGCAGCTATCATGGAGGACGCGGGTGACCCTCATCTCCTCGCGAACCTGCGGACACTTGGCGCTGTGAAGGTTGACCACCACATGCAGACTGTGAAGGTGCGTACCCGCGATCGCCCACCAGCGCTCAAGTCGACTGACCTCTCCCTCCCCCCTTCCCTGATAGGCCTCTGACGGCACCGCCAAGATGCTGCAAACGCGAGCTGAGGCTGACGAAGAGGCTGCATCGTTCACGCTCAACCGCAATCACCTCTTCTCCTACGCGCTCACGCAGCTGCTGGAGGAGAGGAAGACAACACCCGTCTCCGTGCTCGCGGAGAAGTACAACATCGACGCTGCGAAGATAGAGTCCCTCTGCCGCTTCGTAAATGTGCCGACGATTGATACCGCAAGACAAAGACGGACAGTGTTGAAGAATGGGGAGGAGTATGTGGAATCACCGGTACGTGTTATGCGCGTCTGTTCCTTGAAAGATCTGACCGTCGTTCAGGTGATTTGGGTCGAGCCTCCAAAGACTGCGTAGCTCTCGTGATGCATTGCTGCTTATGAGGACGACCTGAAGAAGGCGCAACATCCTCATCCGCCACCAGCAAACAGCGTGCCATCCTGACACCCACATTTTGTCCCCCCTCGATGCAGCGACCATGCTTCACAGCGCTCACGGCCGTGAGATTCAATGAAATAGCTTCGCAGACCTCGGCACGGATGTCAGAGTACTGAAGGTGGCGCTAAATGACAGAGGGAAGAGATACTTCTTGCGCTATGTATGGATACACCGACTTGCTGTACCTGAATACAACCACCTCTCTTGCTTCAAGTTGATGAGAACACGGCACTCCATTAGTTTCTGAGCAGCTGTTACCAGTTCTGGTATACCTCTTTGCTCGGGGCTTGCTTGTCGCCCGTCCCCGCGTCATGTCGTGTTGTCGACTTCCCGTCCCCGCGGAGGTCCGGATCACAAAATTCTGCGAATCACGAACGCGCCATTGTCCATTGTGCCGAGACGCGTAGCGCGCCTCCTCTGCTCCTCTCCTCATCATGTTCCGCCGTGCAGTCTCCAGCAGCCTCCGCTCCCAGGCGCGCGCACTCACAACAAGCGCGACGCGCACAAGGGCTGGACGGGCGAGTCTCGCAGCTGGTTCAGCAGCCTTGGCTGGCGGTGTCGCCTTATATGCTTCGACGAATACTCTGTGGAATGACGCCCCTGCAAACGAGAACTTCCAAGCTCTAGACGGCAATGAAGCAGGCTCAAGCGAGACAATAGAGGACGTTCCTCAGCCGTCGAAGGTAACCGAGCTCAACCCGGACGTGCTGGAGACATTCGTATGGGGATCGAACAAGTGCGTAGCATCAGTTCCCCTTCTCAACTAGTCATGATTACTGAAAGTGTACAGGTCTAAGACTCTCGATCCCGAGCAAGCTGAGAGCCTACGACTTCCATCCCTCGCGAACTGGCTGAACGGGGTTGCGCTGAGGGACCTCGCGCTGCACGAAAGCTATGGCGCCTGCGTCGACGCGAAGGGCGATGTCTACCAGTGGGGTGAAGGCTATTCTGGCGCGGAGGGACAGAAAGATGCGAGGCCTGCAGCGACTCTGCGCGGCAAGGTATGTGGTTCACGCACATACTGCTAGACCCTTGCGCTCATTCGCTTCCCCTGTAGAACATCGTCCAGCTGCAACTTACCGAATCGCGCCTATTTGCGCTGTCATCCTCGGGCAAGGTCTATGTCCTGCCTGCCTCAGCCGAAAAGCAAGCACTGCCCAACCCTCCCTCGCGACCCTCTTGGCTCGGCGCCCAGTTATGGAGCGACGCAACAACTATTGACTATGAGGAGCTTGCACCTAAGCAAGCCTTGAAGCGTGGCGAGAGGTACGTTCAGCTTTCTACTTTTCTTCTCTCTTGCGCAACTATAGCCATTTGTGGCCCTCTCTCCACCTCTGCCAGTGGTCGCCGTTCACATCACTCACGTTTCATACAGGTTCACCTCCATCGCCGCCGGAGACGACCACCTCCTCGCCCTCACCTCTCAAGGTCGGACCTTCGCGCATCCCGTCACCAAAGCCGCCAACACCTGCGGTCAGCTCGGTTTCCGCCGCTTCGAAGTCCCGGACCCCGCCAGCCCCTCGCAAGCACTGCAGGTCGAGCTCAGAGCGCGCTCGCCCAACATGTCGCTCCTCCAGGGAGCCGGTCCGTCATCCTCAGACAACCTCGTCGCCTTCGACGAGACAGATATCCGGTGGTGTCCGTATCTGTTCGAGGTACCTGCACTACGAGGAATCGAGATGGCGCAAATTGCGGCGGGGAAGAGGAGTAGCTTTGCGCGGACGAAGGACGGAAGGGTGCTCGCGTGGGGTGCAAATGAGGCAGGGTGAGCTCCTACTCGATTGGGCAGTAACAAAGAATTCTCGCTGACCTGCTTGACTCGCAGACAACTCGGCCTTGGCCGCACCGTCAACCTCGACGTGGTCACGGTACCCACCGAAGTCGTCCTTTGGGCCGCAACGCCACAGCGCACGCGTACGAAGTGCCTCGATGTCGCAGCAGGTGTGTATCTTTACGCTCATCGCTCGCCTATCTTCAGTTCTACGTCTTCTTGCACGCCTCCCCGAGCGCCACTAGGCGTGTTTGTTGTATCTACCACCCTTGTACCTTGACCCTTTCTTGCACCTTCACCCCCTTCTTCGAGATCTCCGCCCCTTCCATTTATGCCTGGAGCAGTCGACCCCACCTTCAGTGGTCAAATACGCCCTCAGGAAGCCAAATTTGTGGCCAAGAAGCTAACCTAACCTTACCCAGGTGGCAATCTGACGTGCTTCACCGTGGAGCGCGAGGATGCGCAGGCGCCGAAGACTGTCGAGGTGCTCATGTGCGGCGACGGACAATGGGGCGGGCTCGGGGGTAACAACTACAGCACGGCACAGAGCACGCCTCTGCGCGCACGCAATGTCAGCGGGTTAGCGGAGTGTGAGTGGTATCTCCTTCCTCGCGTGGATCTCCTATACTACGGAACTCCTGGCGTCCCTGCGTGATCCAACATTTGAACTGGAGCTGACGCCCCCGCAGACGACGATGCAACGGGCGCCATGCAGCCCATCGGCCCGCGCGACGTCGCCGTCTCCCCCACCGGGCACGTCCTCCTCACCCTCAATACCGCCGCCTCCAACCCCACCGCCGGCAAGGACCTCGTCGTCTGGGGCCGCAACCACACCTACGAGCTCGGCACGGGGCGCATGAAGAGCCTCCCAGCGCCGACGACGCTGTTCACGCCCGAGGGGGCGCGCGTCATGCTGCGCCAGCAGAAGGCGAAGGAGGTCCGCGCGCTGGACGGGAGCGTGTGGAAGCGGAATGTGGAGGTCGTGCAGCACGCTGCGGTGGGGTACAATAGCAGCGTGGTCTATTGGCGGATAGCACAGTAGATGATAGACGCTTCGGATACTTCTTTGTAGCGTAGCACTTTTCGGAACACACACCTCACTCCATTGATGGCACTCGCGGATCGAGCTCGGCTTCAGGCCAGACAAGTGAGAAGAAAACCGAGCAATAACTCATATACATCATACTACATACAGCGTACCGCGAAGAATGGGCATACGGCGCGTCAAGTCATAGAACGGCTGCTACGTAGGCAGACATTATCATAAGCTAAGGAAAGTGGTCCCAGCTGCAGCGGGGGCACTCGTATGGTAGGCGAGGATCAATGGGACGGTGAGCGGAAAACAGACAAGAACAAGGAGGGATGAGATCAGAATAAATATCTACGCTGGTCAGAAAGGCGAACAAGGGAGAAAGCATGAGATTTTACAAGTACAATTCGATGGTAGGGCACGCCGTGGTGCTGAAGCACACCTTGGTGCTGGTGTCGGTGCTGGTGTGAGTATCGATATCGATGCGAGGGGGAGCGGCGGCCGGGCGCGCTGGCTCCTCAGTGGTAGCAGGTGACGAGGAGGACGTTGAGGCCGCTCTCCTTCACCGCGCGCAGGTTCGCGGCGTTGCGCTTCTTGCGGATGTCGCGGATGAGCGACGAGCGGCTCGGGTGCATCACGCGCTGGACCGCGTCGGGCCCCTGCGCGCGCACCGCGAGGTACTCGCGGATGTTGAGGAACGCGTGCGCCTTCAGCAGGTTGCGCGCCGCAGTCAGCGAGTCCGGCAGCGCGGCGGGCGCGAGGCCGAGCTCGATGATGAGCGACTGCAGCAGCGTGAGGCTCGCCACGCGATCCTTGGTAGGGTTCGAGAGGTACCTAGAAGTGCACGATGGGCGACACGAGGCAGCACGAGGTGGGGGGCCTACTCACGACGTGATGTACTTCGCGGCGTCCTCGTACGGGAGGTCGTCGGCGCGCTCAGAGGCGATGTCCGACACGTCCTCCACGATGGGTCGCGCGCCGAGGCCCATGACAGGCGACGCGGCGGACCCAGCTAGCGAGTGCTTCTGCTTGCGGCGGCGCGGGGAGGCCGGCGGACTCGAAGGCGCAGACGAAACGTCGCTCTCAGGCGTAGCGGCCCCCGAGACGCGCGCCCGCGCCGCCGCACCGGCCCTCTTCCCCCTCCGCGTCTTGCGCTTGTTCAGCGACATGTCCGCGAGCTCGTCCGCGAGAATGTCGGCATCGGCCGTAGCGGGAGCAGTAGACGCAGAAGGCAGCACACGGTTGGCTGCAGCGTTAGGGGTGGCAGGGTCGGCGGGAGGGCGGCCCGTATCCAAAAGGACGAAGTCTTCATCTTCCGAGGCGTAGGAGCTGCTGCTCTGCGTACTGTCGGATCCGTCTGAGGCGGACTGAACGCCCCAAACGATTTCGTCGTCATCGGTCGCGGCCTGCAAAGACAGGGTAGACGTCGTCGAAGAGCGCGAGCGTCCGGATATAATGTCAAAGCTTGAGCTGAAAGAAGTCGCCGTAAAAGTGGGGGAGGCGGCGGACGCCCAGTCAATGGATGAGGTAGACATGCTGGTATGTGTTGCTGGTTGTCGATGAATGGGTGATCGTACTCGGCAGGTAGGAGATGGCCAGCGTGTAGATCCTGATCTCTTTCAGATTTCAAGGGTGAAAAGGGGAATATTGGCTGCAGCGAGTGGTCAGTCCGTCGCATCCCATCGCGCGCAACCGGCACGTACAGGGCGTGGCCGCAGCAAGCTCAAGTGCGCGTAGAGCCTTGTGCAGCACTGATGCTGTACGCCGCCGCTCCGAGAGGAAGAAAAAGAAGGTCGAAGGGGAAGGGAAGTGCCCGCGGAGGGGGATGTAGAAGAAGAAAGACAAGGTGCTCACGCCCGCCTTCCGTGCGCTAGGGGCGTATATATATTGGGCACGTGGCGGATATTTACAGATGGGGGTTATCGTGAAACGATAACCCGTTGTATCCCCGGCACTCCCTACCCTGCGTTCAAGGCTACTGCGCTAGCTCTGTCCATTTCCTGACTCCTTACACCATAAGCGCGTTTCTAGCCCAGCTAGGGAGCTCGTTTCCTGGCGATGAGATGTACTAGAACTCACTTTCCCGCCCTTTCGCAGCGCTCGTGGCCACAAACCATACTGCCACATCTTCAACGCCATCTCATGATCGGACAGGGAGCCTCAGAGCTAGACGCTGCGAATAAAACTAATCAACAGGGTCAGGCAATAACCGCAATAGTTAAGTAAACCGCCACCAGATTCAGGGCGGAGCGGCCCGAGGGTATAGTAGTACAACAGCAGTACGTACGTTTAGGTGCCGACGCAGGCATACCAGACCATGTACACCCAAAGCCCAATAAGTAGGTTAGTAGATGAACATTCAGGGGCTCGCCCGGATCGACAATTATTGCCCAGATCGACAGTGAGAGGCTCACGCCTGCGCACCCGCCGCAGCCACCACAATCCCGCCCATATCCAGCACGACCTGCCGCAAACTATCCACCACATTGTTCTTCCCAGCCACGAACGACGTCGCCGCCGGAGCCGCCGTGCTCGTCGCCGTCGCCGACGTCGACTCCACCTCCGAAGAGCTTGAGCTGGAAGAGTGATGCTTCTTGGTCGTCGACTCCGATGAGGTCCACTCGCTCGAGGAGGCCGAGGACGAGGTCGTCTCCGGAGGTGGCGGGGTCCACGAGCTCGTCTCACTGGTCGACGTCTCGGGCGGGGGCGTCCAGGTGCTCGTCTCGCTGGTCGAAGTCGACGTAGCGCCGCCACCATTGCCGCCGCTCCCGTCGTTGTACCACCAGTTCGCGTAGATCATGCCAGTTTCCTCGGGGTTGGGCGCGAAGACCTTGAATAGATCGTACGACAGGTCGATGCCAGAAAAGGGGGGACAGCTTTCGCACTGATAGAGGACAGGTAAGGAAGCGGTCAATCATGACAGTAAGGCAAAGAGAAGCAGGGAGACGCACACGGTCGGTGACAGTCGCCTGCGCGGTGACGCCGTTGTACTCAATAGTGATGGGCTTGAAGCAGACATCGGACGGGTAGCCATGCGTGAGGCCAGCGTCCCATTCCTAGTACGCAGGTTAGCAAACGCCGGCCCCCATCTCCCAGTACCAGCACTCACATCAGCGCTAACCGCGACGATCTTCGCACACACATCCAGTCAGCACAATATACTTCACTTCAGCTTCGAGATACACGCACAAAATCACTCGGGACATTCACAATCCCGCAAGCACCTCTGATCGCCAAGGTCGGTAATCAGCAAGCCGCCAGCAAACACTCGGCGCGCCTACTCACAGACCGACCTCATAGTAAGTCATCCGTGCATTGCTGGCGCGCTTCGAGAACCGTTGCACGTCCCCAGGCGCGCGTTTCGCCAGGTCGCTATGCCGTTTTGCATTCTGGCCCCTTTCGTGCGCGCTAGCGCCAAGGGGGAGACCGAGGACGAGCAGGGGAAGTAAGGACTGCAGCATGATCTTGCTGCTGGACGTTCGCTCTGGTCAAGCAAACGAAAGTCTCGAGCAAATGAGGGTCGAAGGCAAAAGAGAGGAAGGATGACGAGGCGAAAACACCCCGCACGATGTCCTAGCAACAAGCGACGGCGAGGGACGAGAGCAAAAGGGACGAATGCCAAGCACAATCGCCGAGGGCTGATCGAGGACTCATACACCGGACGGACCCCGGCCGGCCCAACGCCGCCGCCCGCACTCTGACACCAGGCACGCCGTCGAGGAGGCAGCCGGGCGTAAATGGGCGCCGGAGGCTCGAGGGAAAAAAGGAGGGCTGGTTTGGGGACGAAGCCGAGTCACCGAGGCAGTCGAACAGATGCAGAGCAACAACATGGCATCGACATGATTTAAAGGACAGGCACACCATATAAAGACCGACCTGCATATCTACCGGGTATCTTCAATCGTCCGTATCCCACATTCCGCGCGGGTGAAGTCCAAGGATGGCTCCTCTATAGCAGCGGCGCTGCACCTCAGTCGGACTCGGCAGCCTGCACGACGACACCGCCCAGCTGGAGAACGAGGAGGTTCATCTGCTCGATCGTGCCGCCTGAGGTGGCCGTAGCGGACGCGGAGGCCGCGGAGGACGACGCGGTCGAGGACGCGCTGGACGAGGTGGGCTCCGCGCTGCTGCTTGACGAGGACGACGAGCTGCTCGACTCGCTGGAGCTGCTGCTGGAGGAGCTGCTCCACTCGCTGGTCGAGCTCCACGTGGACGTCGTCTCCGGCGTCCAGGTCGAGGTCGGGGTCCAGGTAGTGGACGGCTCCTGCCAGGTCGAGGTGGTCGTAGGCGGCGGAGGGGCTTCGCTCGTGGTCGCGGGCGCGCCGTCGCCGTACTCCCAAGAGCCGTGCAGAACACCTGCATCGGTGCTCGAGAAGTACTCGAAGAGGCCTTGGGAGAAATCGAGGCCGCCATATTCGCACCCAGGGCACTGGAGACTGGTCAGAATGTGCAATCCTCTCAGATCTCGGGAAACGCACCTCGTCCACAATCTGCGCCTGCGTGGACTTGCCATTGACGGTGATGGTGATCATCTTGAAGCAATGTGCGCCGCCATCCCACATCTATGGACCCATGAGCATCTTCGAATAATGCGAATCCCCACGCCGCTACTTACCCCCTGGTTAAGTGCGACGATCTGGGGAAGAAGGTCAGTCCCACATCCACAGTTTTAGACCGCACAAGGCACGCACAAAGTCAGAAGCCTGGTTCATCTGGCCACAGGCACCCATGCCCGCCGCGTAGTACGTGAACTGCCCATCCGTACGCTTCGACAGCTGCTGGCCCTCGTTGCGCGCGTCGTGCTCGTCCCGCCCAACCGCGTTACGCGCATGGTGGTGCCGGCGGACCGCCGAGTCTTCGTGGCCTGCCGCCGCGCAGAGAGTAGCCAGGGAGAGGATAGAAAGTGCGGAGGCGCGCATTTTGCCAATATGTGATGGAATAAGATATTATTTGGTTGCTTTGCGGGTGCCGTAGAGGATGTCGGGGGAAGAGAGCGTGGTAGGCGTGCTGCCTATGAATTTAGGTGTGACAGTGGGGAAGCCGCAGCCGAGGCAACCAAGCAACGAGAGTTGGTAGCAACAGCAACACCCACGCGGACTCTATGTTTTCCGTGCACCGCCACCTCCTATGTGGACCCACAACTTGAAGTTCAAGTTTCTTCATTTCACCGTACAAGGGGGTTGGGGCTGGTCGAGGATGGTGTGCAAAGGCAAAGTCGGTATCTCTAGCTGGCTCCATCCTCTTATACGCCAAGCTGTCAGTTTGTCCTTCTTGCGTATCAGCAAGCCCAGTGAATGCCTCGGACACAGCCACAGATAATTCAACTCGCTTCCGTCCCTCATGGACGTCTTGCAATCGAAGTATGTCGAGTACGCCTCCTCGCTCGGCTCTCCGTCGGAGGTTTCTTATATACCTATACCTCACGCTTGCTCTGTCTCGTGCTCTCCTGCGGCGAAATCTTGCAAGAACCTGGCGCTCAACTGAACGTCGGATTTATCCGTTGCACCAATCCTCGAATGCTCATTCGTCCCTCGCATACAACAGAAGCTATCCACGTTGCACTCACCTAAGCTTGACGCTCCTCGGTGTGCCTATACACTCACGCCTCGAGACTATGTAAAGTGGGCGCTAGAGCTCGCCATGGGATCAACCAACCTACTTTCTCCCCGCCATTCGCCCTCTTGGCACTGCAATGTATCGAAGGCCTTCGCTTCTTGGTGCCGCTGCTCTGGTCTCGCTGGCTGCAGCTGCTGCCCAGGACACCACCGTGGCATTCACGGACCCTAACACTGGAATCGATTTTCAGGCGTTTTCGGACTCGGGCCTTGGCTATCAGTTTGGTATTGCGCTTCCGGAGACGATCACCACAGAATTCATTGGGCAGCTGGTCGGTCATCGATGCTCGTTCATGTACTGGACTTGCTCACCTGAAGTCTGCAGGTCGTCCCACTCAATGGCACGGCAGGCTGGGCGGGCGTGTCATTCGGCGGTAGGCTGCATACTGCTCGGCATGTTGGAAGGCGTTACTGACTTGCTGGTGCAGAGCACATGGTTGGCCCACTGTTACTCGCCGCCTGGGCGAACGCTGGAAGCGTTATGTCTTCCTTCCGTAAGGCCTCGTACGTTGTTCCTTTACCTCTATTTTTCTCCCTTTCTTTCCCTTCTCTTCGCCCCCACCGAACCTTACTTACATTGCCACCCAGCCAATACGCTCAACCACCTCCCTACTCCAACGCGAGCGTTACCCTTTCCCCCATCTCCTCAGGCACCTACATCAACGCCACACACGCCAGCCTCACCTTCGTCTGCGCGGGCTGCGTCGACGACGTGCTCTCGTTCTCGCCCGCGGACACGTCGACGACCATGGCGTACGCGGTCTCGTATACCTCGCCGCAGACGCCTGGGAGCGCGAGCGCGAATCTGAGCTTCCATGGGGCTGGATACGGTGAGTATATCCTTCGTAAATCTCTTGTCAGAGGATGGAATTTTGATGGAATTCTCTGGCAGGACAATTTACGGTGCTTCTCTCAGAGGCGCAGTCGCCGGAGTACGAGTCATGGGCAGCGATGGCCAGTAGCTGATCAGACCGTCGCGTAGAACGCTTCCTTGTACGCTATTTCGCAAGACCTGATAAGAACTATCTCATCGTTGTCTGCTTGGGCCTCGGGACCGTCTCGCACAAACATCGTTGGCAGAACCAACATTTATAGAACCAAACAACCAGCACAATATTTAGGACAATCCATACAATAGATAGTACAGAGACGCATTCATTGGTGAGCCTGGCAAGGGGAGACTTTATGTTTTACGACCGCTCGGGAGCCACGACCGCACGCTTAGCAGTTCGCCGAGTACTCGCCCTTGGTGTCAGTGGCGACGACGGTGTCGAACTTCATGTACGAGGAGCGCTCCTCGGCGGACAGGGCGCCATCCATCTGGAGGGCCCACTTGTAGTGGCCCTGGGTGCGATCCTTGTACTCGAACCAGACCCAACCGGTCGCGGTGAAGGGCACCTGACCGGAGCCCGAGGTCGTACACGACGTCTGCTTGAACTGATCGCCAGATCAGCTACTGTGCGAAACGGGAGCCAGTCGTTTATAACACTTACCGAGATCTTGCACGTCTTGCCGTCGGGGACGGCGATGGCGACCGTCTGCGTCGTCTGCTGGTTCGACTCCGAGGTCGTGCTGTCCAATGCCCTTCAGCTCCCTCACTCAGGAAGCGCAAAAGACCACTCACGTCGTCGCCAGTGTGTTCGTGAACGAGCTCTCCAGCGTCGTCGCCGACGTCACGTCCGCGACCTCCGGAATGCCCACCTTGACCGTCACGGTCTCGCCAACCGAGAGCGAGGAGGATTCTGATGATCGTCAGCATCAGCACCCGAAAGCAGCTAGCGCGAACTCACGAGTGACAGTCTGCTGCGCCGAATACGACGTGCCAGTGACCTGGCTGACGGTCGCGGTGCCGTTCGTCCCAGTCACGGTCGTGTCGAGGGTCTGCGTCGACGACTTGCAAGACGGCGTGCCATTCACGGTCACGGGGCCGGCGTCCTGAGCGCACACGGACGCAGGCGAGTCGGGGTACTGCAAAGAAGAGCAAGGTGGACCGCATCAGTATCGAGGATAGAAGATGAGAACGAAGAAATCGAACGCACATCCGGATCGTTAGTGACGATGTTCCAGTCACCGTCGCCCCACCTGGAGATCGCGTCCGCCTTGAGCTTCTCCCAGCCGGGCACTATCGATACTGATCAGCCACCCAGCGAATGACAAACCAATCACCCGACTCACACTTCTGCGCATCGTCCGCGCTGAGCGCGCTGCAAGCGCCACCATCGCGGCGGGACACGGGAGCAGCGATCGTGCCAGGCTCGATGAAGCCAAGGTACTTGTCCGCGTCGTCGAAGACCACAATACGGTTCGTGGCATCGTCAACCGCGAGCTTCTTTGCCTCCTGGGGGATCGCGTCCAGCTGGCGCTCCTCGATGACGGGGCCGGCGCTGACGCGAAGCGCCAGGCAGAGGGTAGCAAGGATGAATGAAAAGCGAGCCATTCTAGCGATGGAAGGAATGTATAATGGAAAGAAGGGTTTAGAAAGCGAAGGGAATTTATGGATTGGGGGATTTTATGAAGCAAAGGGTTTCTGAACAGCTAAGGGGCTCGAGGAAGCGAAGGAGGCTCAGAAACCGGGAAAGAAGGCGTGTATGAGGAGACGAAGGACCATGCCATGTCGAGGGCTTTTATACCGGAAAACTGGAAACACTGGGGAAACTGGCGGAGAAATGGAAGCAAGGCACGCCAAGGCTGCGCCTTGTGCACTTGAAGCAGCAGAGAGCAACGGTTGACGCGCATATCACTGCTGCATCAAGCGCTTGTTCGAACTTGCCTTGATCGGGCGTTAGCGACAAGCGTGGCGACATAATGAACTGACGTCGGACTCGCCTCTGGAGATCGTTCCCATCGTCCTTCAAGAGCCGCAGGACGAGCTTGAAAGCAAGAGCGGCGCTTGCCAGAGGAAAAGCTAGCGATCTATCCCTCCTGTTTAACACCCACCCTTCCAGTTGCTTCAAAGCGGAAGCAAAATATCGAACGTGGCCTCGAGTATACCGGTCAATACTCACCGCGCTGATAGCTGGACCTGCGAATCATCCATGTGCTCTGTCGATCCTCTCACTGTGAAATCACCGTGGTGAGATGACATCGCCGGAAGGCTATGTGTTCGCTTGTGCTCTTTCGGATAACCATGATGTTCTTCTCGATGGTCATGATGAACTCGGGCCTCCCTAGCGACGATCCTTGCCATCTACGGACAACGCATCGCCCAGAACGGAGTTAGGGCGTCGGCTAGCAGGTTGGGGCGGGCGCTTAACAATTGGGGGGTGATGCAGAACGCGTCGGTGGCAGTATGCTGGACAAACCACTCTTGCGAGGGTGCCCACGGTGGTACGCATGAGACGCATAGGCCCATCGGTACTCGCTTGCGCCTGCACGGTGGAGAAACGGAGCGAGACGAGAACGCACCTGCACCGTGAACTCCGAGCCCAGAGGAAAGGGACGATCCGACCCCCAAGCTTTCTGGTAACCAATATTATTAGAAATACACAGACAATGCGCGAGTGATGAGAGGTGGTGCATCCAAGTCCTCGTGTATCGTATCCAAGACATCTACGCCAGCAACGTCAGGCAGCGCTCACGAAAGCGGCGCGTTCTTGAGCCACCTCGTTATGAGGTCCTTGGAGAAGGTCAGCAAGCGGTTGAATTAGCAGTCAAGCACGACACGTACAAGCGCCGCCTCAGGCTGGTCGAACGGAACCATATGACTATGGGAAATCAGAGCAAGCCCAAACGCGAAAGAACCAGACACTCACCCCGCCTCATGAACGTTCACGAACGTTACGTTGCCAGCCGTGAAGCCGCCTCCACCAGCGCTACGGACCTCACCAGCCAGGCGGCCCGTCGTCGAGTCAATCCAGGGGATGGACTTGGCCTTCTGGAACTCATCCTCGAAGTCGGACTCGAGGACCTCAACCCAACGTTCGTTGCCCATGTAGTTGCACATCATGTCTGTCATGCCGATTAGCGCAAATTTGGTGGCGCCATTGGAGGGACGTACCAGCGTTACCGGCGTAGACGAGGAGGCGGATGCCATCGTTGACGAGGTCGGGAAGGAGCGCGGCGCTGTTGTGCGCGCCGTCGCCCTGCATCGCGAAGGCCTGGTTGACCTCCATGTTGCACGACTGGAAGTTGCGTGCGGGGTTGACACCGAGAGCGGCCTTGACCTTGGGCTGGTTCATCCAGATGTCGATGTACTGCATCTCCTTGTAGCAAAGGTCGCCGTCCTTGGAGCGGTCGCACGAGCGGCGGACGTCGTAAGGGTTACGGCCAGTCTCTGCATAAGTCATTAGCACAGCAGAGGAATCACAGAAAAGACGGATGCATACGCATGAGAGGACCGAACAGCTGCGCGTTGCAGTACAAGCCAGCAGGAACACAAGTGAAGCGGGAGTCGAAGTCGTAGCAAGACTGCATCAGACGCTGGCAGGTCGGAATCCTCGAGCGCAGCGCCTGGCACTGAGCACCCTCGGGGTCGTCGTAGACAGGATAGGGACCGTCGCAGGCATAGTCAGCAACCGCGCCCATCTGGATCTTGGGGTTCGTAAGACCGTTGGCGAGGATCAGCGACTGGAAGTTGATGATCTTCAAGTCAGAAGTGCCCGACGCGGCAACAGCCTTGTTCTCCTTATGGATGACGGAGCCGATGTTGGGTCCGTAGTGGCCACCGTAACTCTCGGCAGCGACGTGGAAGGGTTGCTTCGAGTATTCGGGGAACCTGTCCATGAAGAGCTCGAGGAATGCGTAGACATCCTGAGCGGACACGGGCGACGTGTTGACGGACGTGCCCTCCTCCGCGAAGGAAAAGCCGACGTCAACTGGCTGGTCTGCAACATTGTCAGTCTCTCGCAGGTCAACGAACCGAAAAGTAACCTACCGAGGAAGATGACGTTGGCCCGCTCGGTCCATGAATGAGGATTCCAGGTGGTGTTCAATCCCTCCTCAGCGACACGGCAGGGTCCAAGCTCGAACAAGAGACCTGTAGAAGAGCTGCATCCAGGACCGCCGTTGAGCCAGAGCAAGACCGGATCGTCTTTGGGGCTCCCACGCGACTCGAAGAACCTATCTAATATCAGCCACGGTCGGCATCATGGCGCTTATGAGACGTACCAGAAGAACAAGTGCTTGTCAGTCGCAATGTCGAGGTATCCAGAGTACTGCTTAACAGAAGCATCGCACAGGTCAGGCTCAGTAATACGAAGCTGGTGCTCGCCAAAGGCAGGGTGCGAGATAAGCTCGTCTGTGATCCCGATTAGAATGCAACCGACGTGACGACGACAGATACGCACAGAGCATTCCATCCTGCTTGATGAACTCCTTTCCATCGTGCGCCCACTTGTCCAAGTTCTTCTTGCCGCTCAGTATGGCCTTCTTGGCGTCGGAGAGGAACTGAGTAGCATAAGATTCAGCGCTGCCGAGCGCGCCACCGCCGCCGAGCACGACCTGCTCAGCAGGGAAGGCGACGACAGAGGAGACCGCGAGCGCGGCAAAGGCCCAGACAGCTGACTTCATGTGATGGTCCGGGAAGAGAGCCTGTTCGCTGCGGCGTCGTGACTCGTGGGGTACGCGCACGCCCCTGTCACTGTCCGGCGTCATTGCCTTTTGCGTACCCGTGCGGTCATCAGGGCCCGGCACGGGCCGGACCGAGGCAGTTGTCACAAATCACGTGGGATGACTTCTCGCGTTCAACTCTCATCGCGAACTTGCTGGACTCCCGTAGACGCATCCTCTGCGTACAAGGAACATGTCAACGATAGACCTGAAGACTGCAGTGTAAGTTTCTTGCATTGAAAGAGCCTGAATACTCCTTCTCATGTCCCTGATCACAGAGCTTACCTCCGGGAGATGACCGGTCTCATCGACGGCTCTGATGAATGTAATACGATAGAAACGGCAGACACTCTACTCGCCGAGAAGGAAGAGAAAAGGAGACAAGAACTCGAAGAGGCGACAGCCAAATACAAAGGTAAACTCATCCTCATACTCTACCGCGTGCGTGCCTCTAATGTTGCCACCAGCCCAAGCGAAACTATTGGAACAAGCTCGCAAGTCGGCGACCCGCCCAGCGTCACTTCCTACGGCCGAGGCACACGCCGCAGCTATGAACGAGCTCGAGGACGCGCGTATTAATCTGCAGAAGGCGACGAGCGATCTGGACGACAAGCAAATGGCGACGCAGGCTTCACTCGCACTCTGGAGGAAGAAACTGGCAAGCTTGAATGAGCTTGACCAAGTATCGCAACATCTGGAAGATGTTGACTCGTCTGTGTACGCATCTCTCTGTCTCCTTTGATAATTCTTGCTCTGACTCAACCCCAATATAGCCTGCGTCTACAACTCTTCCGCGGTCTTGGCTTCGAGCCGTTGTTAGACGACGACCATCGCGTTCTGAAGATGCTCGTCCGTAAGTACATCTTGGTTGCCCGATTTTCGCACCCTTACGCAAACGCACACAGGCTCTCACTTCGACGAGGACATCTACCCTGTCGAAATTGAGCGGGACGACGTCAGCTACGCTAATGAGCTATGGAGTTTGGCGGGCACCCGAGGGGCGACTGCATGACGGTGTTCTTTCTTCTGTATTCGTCTGTTATGTTATACCCTGTCTTCGCATACTACTACCCAAAACTCAGACCATCCAACTCATCCGGGAACAGCTTCCGTCCGTTCTCTTGACCAGCCCCCGGCGGTGTGCATCAAACTGTTTCTCGGAAGCACCCTCTGACTATCTTAAATCCCAATTTCCCAGGACTTCACTTGTGGCTACAGCCAGACGCGTACGAAAAGGCTACAGAGAAAGGAACTCGAGAATATCTAATCTCAGCGATTCTTGCGATTGCTTGCAATGCTCTCTCACCGACTGCGTCACTCGACGCACCACAATCGAGCCTCACACCGCAAAATGAGTACAGAGAGAATAGATGATTGGTTGTATGGACAAGAATGGCGTACAGTAGGAGTACACGTGTACAACAGTGAGAGCAAAAGCGGTAAATATTGCAGCACTTCAGCAGGAGGGGGCATGCGACGACAGACTATCGCGCCTCTAGGCCCTGGCGGCCTCCAACCTCCCAGCCCACACCGTCATGACGGGCGATACCCAGGACGGGGCAGGCCCTGGCGCACACACGAGCCCGCTCATCGGATGCCCGCAGTCGCTTTTTGGAGCGCACGCTTGATGCCGAGCTGCGCCTTCTTCAGCTCGTCCGCCGTCGAGTCCTCGATCTCGAGCTTCTCCATCGCGCGCGCGAGCTCGGCCTCGACCTGCGCCTTCGCTCCGCGCTTGAGCTTCATGCCGATCTCCGGGCTGGTGATCGTGCTCTCGACCTGGTGGATGTACGCCTCAAGGTCGGACTTGGCCTCGTGCCGTGCGGAGAACTCCTTGTCGGCGAGCTTGTACTGCTCGGCGTCCTTGATCATCTGGTCGATCTCGGCAGACGAGAGGCGGCCGACGGAGTTGGTGATGGAGATGGAGGCCTTGCGGCCGGAGGCGCGGTCCATGGCGGAGACCTTCAACAAGCCGTTGGCGTCAACCTCGAAGGTGGTGACGAGCTCGGCTTGGCCACGGGGCATCGGCGGGATACCAGTAAGCTCGAACTCGCCAAGCAGACGGTTGTCGCGGCACTGGGTGCGCTCACCCTCGTACACCGGGAAGGTGACGGTGGTCTGATTGTCCTCGACGGTGGTGAATGTCCGCGACTTGTTGGTCGGGATGGGGGTGTTGCGCGGCACAACGACACCGAAGACGTCACCCTGCATGGCGACACCGAGGGAGAGGGGCGCGACATCGAGAAGGAGGAGGTCCTTGGTCTGCTCAGAGGTCTGACCAGTGAGGACAGCGGCCTGGACGGCGGCACCGTAGGCGACGGCCTCATCGGGGTTGATGGACTTGTTGAGCTGGCGACCACCGAAGTACTCGGACACGAGGGCCTGAATCTTCGGGATACGGGTGGAGCCACCGACGAGGACAATATCGTCAACCTTGTCGCTCTTCATCTTGGCGTCCTTGAGGACCTTCTCAACCGGCTCCAAGGTCGACTTGAAGAGCGCGGCGTTGATGTCCTCGAAACGAGCACGGGTGATGTTGGCAGAGAAGTCCTCACCCTGCGCAGCGTTAGAAACCTAAAAGATATCACAAGCCCGTCTAACATACCTGGTAGAGTGAGTCAACCTCGACGGTGGTCTGCGTCACGCTAGAGAGGGTGCGCTTGGCACGCTCGCATGCAGAGCGGAGACGGCGGAGGGCACGGGCGTCGTCAGAGATGTCGAGCTTCGTCTTGCGCTTGAACTCGTTCTTGAAGTGCTCGAGGAGCGTGTTGTCGAAGTCCTCACCACCCAAGTGGGTGTCACCGGCAGTCGCCTTGACGGCGAAGACACCACCAGAGATGTTCAGGAGCGAGACATCGAAAGTACCACCACCGAGATCGAAGATGAGGACGTTCTTCTCCGACTTCGACTGACGGTCAAGACCGTAGGCGATGGCGGCGGCGGTCGGCTCGTTGATGATACGGAGGACGTCAAGACCGGCGATCGCACCGGCGTCCTTGGTCGCCAGACGCTGCGAGTCATTGAAGTAGGCGGGGACGCTAGAAATTTGCTTAGCATCAAACCCTGACTTTGTCAACACGTCGACTTACGTGACAACCGCCTTCTTGACGGTCTTGCCGAGCTTGGCCTCAGAGATCTCCTTCATCTTGGTGAGGACCATAGACGAGATCTCCTGGGGAGAGAAGGTCTTGTCCTCGCCGAGGTAGGAGACCTTGATCAAGGGGGAGCCATCCTTCTCGATGACCTCGAACGGCCAGTGGGTCATGTCCTAAAAATCATTAGGTGGGGAATGATCGCCCGAAGCGAGTTGTATGTACCTTCTTGACATCCGGGTCGCTGGTGGCGCGTCAGATAATCGGACGCGTCGATGGGCTCTACTCACTCATATCTGCGGCCGATGAGGCGCTTGGCGTCGAAGACGGTGTTGCGCGGGTTCATCGCGGCCTGGTTTTTCGCGGCATCGCCGATCAAACGCTCGTCAGCCGAGAAGGCAACATATGAGGGCGTCGTGCGGTTCCCCTCTGGATCGGTTGTAAGTCCTATGATCTGGGTGCCGTATGGCGCCACTCACGGTCGTTAGCAATGATCTCGACGCGGTCGTTCTGCCAAACACCGACACAGCTGCAGACAGTGAGCAGAGGGGACTATCGGGACAGATCTGGTACGTACGAGTAGGTGGTGCCGAGGTCGATACCGACGGCGCCTTCGAACAAGTCCTCCGCAGACATTTTTTGGGAGAAGGAGAGGGTGAAAAGGGTGGGGGGAGATGGAGGTGAGGAAAATCGAGCGCTCGCTTAGGTCAGCATAAGAAGTAGAACTTTTTTGATGCATCCCGATCACATTCCCACACTCCGCGTGACCGACCCGGACTTCACGTCGCCGCCGGGCCTCCGTTGTGAACAGCGAGGACGGAGAATGTTGCGCTCACGGGTCCCATCGTCGTCCAGGGTAGCGAGTACGGTCTTTAAGCGCGGTGTGCAGCTAGCGTCTCAGCATCCACCGCTCAAGACCGAGGCAGACTGGACGCAGCTGCAGTACGACCGGGCATACGTCTCGCAGCTCAGTAAGTGGCGTCTTTGCATGCACTAGCATCCCCTGACTCGCGCAGAAAATGTCTTTGACAAGCAGGGACCCGTCCTGACCGAGGATAGCAAGTGGCGATTGCGGGACTCGCTGAATCGTCCGCCGCAGGAGGCGACCATCTCCGCCCTGCTCGCCGCGGGCGCGCACTTCGGGCACTCCACGTCCCGCCTGAACCCCAACTTTATGCCATACGCATATGGTACCCGCGGCGGCATTACCATCATTGACCTCGACCACACCCTCCCTCTCCTCCGCCGCGCGACCCAGTTCGCCCGCTCCGTCGCCTACCGCGGCGGCCAAATCCTCTTCCTCGGCACGCGCCCCGACCTCCGACCCGTCGTACAGAAGGCTGCTGAGCGACTTGGCCCTGGGAACGGCTATTATATTGCCGACCGCTGGCTACCCGGCACGCTCACGAACCGCTTCTCCATGCTCAACCCGGACGACTTCAAGCGCTATAACCTCCTCCCTGATCTTGTTGTCCTCCTCAACCCCATTCAGAACGCTGTCGCCATCCGTGAACTTGCTGTCGAGCACGTACCGACCATTGGTATCATTGACTCGAACGCCGACCCTCGGCTCGTCATGTACCCCATCCCCGCAAACGACGAGAGCACGCGCGTGGCCGAGATCATTGCTGGTGTCATCTCCATCGCTGCGCGCGAGGGTGTTCACTTGCGCGAGCGGGAAGCAGCTGATGTCGCGCGCAAGCGTCTCGCCGACGACGCCGGCAAGTCCGAGGAGGAGAGCGACCTCAGCGCTACGCAGCGCGAAGAGCTCGAGAACCTCATCCGCCGCGTCGACAGCCGCGCCATGGTGGAGGAGCACGGCGAGGACCCGGTCACCAGGAGACCTAAGTCAGAGGCGGAGATCCTTTCGTATCGCAACCGACCAGTCAAGAAGGACGAGCCGCCCTCCGCACCCGCGCAGAAGCTCGTCGAGTATGCGGGTATCTTGCGGTTGCAGGAGACCTTTTACCCCTCCGAGCTGCACGAGCCCCTCCAGAAGTTCGCCACCTTCTTGGAGAGCGTTGCATGGGAGACTGGTGGCTACTCGCTCGACTTCCAGAAGAGCTTGGACATGGCGATCGAGCGCTTTGTGCAGACACATCCGGAGGAGGCGAAGTCTTTGCTCGGTGCCCCCTCACCAGAGTCCATCGACAGTACATAACCTACATCTCATCTTCATAATGGCATTGATCAGGCATCTGCGCGTCACTCCTCTACCTTTGTTCGCGGCCCGATGCTTTTCGAAGGGACGTCTTGGAAGAACTCCAACACCGCACGTGCCCTTTTAACACGATCACGTGGCTTGGGTCCCAACTTGAACTTGGCCTGGGCGTGGGTTATGTGAACGCTCATCGGGTGTATACTCGAACTCTTCTTCCCAGGGCCCATGACCGTACGTCTCCCCGCTCTTTACGTCGTGTCTAACCTCGTTCTATAGGAGCATACAGTTTCCTAAACCTTGTGGACCATCATCTGCCTCGCGAGCAATGCGAGGAAGCCACCCTCACCTCAATCCCGGCCTCACTCCATCCTCCTTGACCTCATAACCTACCTGGATATACCCTACCCTTGCTTCCCTTCTCATGGAGGCCTCTGACTCATGGCTGACGCCTGGCAAACTTTGTCTAATCTCCAAGCTAGTATATATTCACCCTCACCGTGCGCCTGCCTCGTTCCAAGTTGCGCACGCATCCCTCCTCCTACCTGCATTGCGAGCACTTGCTCCCAACATGTCATACCCTGTGAACGTCAACCCCGTCAACGGACCGACCGTCAGATACTGTGGCACCCCGGTCTACTACGACCATTCTCCCCTCCGTAAAGGGCTTTATACATTGCTCGTGAGTCCCCCTTGCATCCTCTTCCGTGCTTCACACTTACTCAGCATGTAGGGCATGCTTTCCGTTACCCTCATTGGCTTGACCATCACTCGCATCGTCAGGACCGAATCTGTTTATCGGCGGGGGTTCTATGGTACGGGCGCAAAGGTCTTCCTGGCTATGAATACCTGATCCTAGAGTAGACCGTATCATTGCCGAGCTCCTGGCGACAAGCCTTCTGACGCTCCCGGTGGCTCTGCATGCGTAAGCCTCACTTCTCGGCATCTGATGAATTTTCAGCTAACAGGACACCAGCTTCCATACCCTAGAGCGTCGCATCGACACCGGCATTGGCAGGTCCTTTGCCCATGAACTCGGTATCCTCTTCGTCCTCTGGATCCTCTGGCTCGTCGGCGCAGCCGTCTCTACCGTACGTCGCTTCTCCACCTATCCCCTCTCCGCTTTCCTCTTGACTCCCTTCCTTCCTTCCCTCCCTCCTCCTCCTCTTCCTCCTCTCCCGCCCACTAACCCCCACTCACTAACCCCCGCTCCAGTCCCACTGGACCGACCTCTACTCCTGCTGGTACCTCTTCAGCTGCCGCCTCCTCACCGCCATCGTCGCCATCTCCTGGTCTGGCTTCGGCGTCCTTACCTTCCTCATCATCGCCAGCGCGGTGCTTGGGCGCCTCAAGGGCGGCTTCATGCGCCCGATGCACGCGCAGTATAGCGCGCATGCGTACCATCATAGGGGACCCTCGGCCTCGGCGCGGATGTCGAAGGAGAATGAGGCGGGAATTCCTCCTGCTTGAGAAATGCGTTTGATTTTGGGATGCCTTGTACTCTATACGATTTCATGGTGAACAGTTGTCTCGCATACTCATAACTTTGGTCTTAGGTTTGAGGTTACTTTATGATTATCCCTTCCATTCTGATGTCACTGGTTCGCGGTATTCTAGTCTTCCTCTCTCCGTCTCTTATGTACCTGTAGCTGAATTCGTACTCATAGTTTTCTTTGTCCAAGCACCCATTTCCATCACAAGGCAAAAGGAAGCAAAAGTGCGAGAGCAGAACGACATTACGCATTCAAGAGATACTAGGATATCCATATGTACAATCGTGTCTCCCCCACCCCTTCTCGCATCATCTCCACCACCGCCTCCACCGCCTACACCGCAACCGCCTGCCCATTACCCACCACCCCCGCCTTCAATACCCACACCTTCCCCTGCGCCGACTTCTCCGCCACCTCCCTAATCTTCGCCTCAATCGCGTTCTTCCGCACCTTGTGCTCCTGCAGGTCCGCGTGGATCTTCTCCACGAGCGCCGTCACGCTCTTCGCCTGCATCGTCTGGATCGTCGCGAGCAGGTAGGGGAGGTGCGCGTCCGGGAAGGGGTTCTTTGGCGCAAGGGCGGAGGGTTTAGGCGGTGCACTCGACGAGGATGCGGTAGGCGCGGTGGTAGCGGAAGCTTTGACGTGGTCGGGGAGGGGCGGGACGAGGAAGGGGCCGCTGCTTGTTGAGACGGCGGGCATTGGCGCGGGCGCCTTACTCCTCTTCATGTCCTCGACCGCGGTCGATACGTAGGTGAAGGGGTCGACGGGGAAGGGGGTGTCTGAGAGTCCATCAGTCAAGGCCCAGGCACAAGTAAGGAATCCCACCCACCATTGAACAATTGTATCCGATACGCCGCAAACGGCTCATACTCGCAGTGGCCCACCTCCTGCTCGTAAAACGGCCCCTTCGCAAACGGCACCAGCGGCATGATCTTCTTCTTCTTCGGCGCCTTGCCCACCTTCGTATCCTCCGCCTTCCTCTTATGCGCCGCGTTGCTGCTGAACTCGATCCCAAACACCTCCTCCTCCCCCTCCCGCTCATCAATCGGCGTCCCCGGCTCGACCTCCTCGTCATCATCATCCACCAGCCAGCTGTCCGCGTCCGAGTCCTCTTCCTCATCGACGCCCTCCTCGTCGTCCTCGTCCACGTTGTCCGCCTCCACGGGCTCATCCTCCCACTCCTCGCCGCTGTCGTACCCGTAGTCGTGCTGGTTCGCGTCGCGCGCGAGCGGCGTGCGCGGGCCGATCACGTCCGACGCGCGCGTCCAGGTGCCGTAGTACCCCGGCCGCGAGTCGGTGTGGAAGATGAGGACCTTGGCGGGGATGGCGCAGCGGTCCTGGAGTTTGGCGCGCAGGCGACGCACGGTGGGGGCGTCGTCGGTGACCTCGGCTTCGCTCATGCGGGTCATGATGTCCCGGACAGAGACTCGGCTGAAGGACTTGGGTCCCGGAGGTCGAGGGCGGCCGCGTGGCAGCAGAGAGGGGTTGAGAGCCTCGGGCATCCGCTTCAGTGAGTCTTGTAGGCGTTCTGGGAACAGTGAGCTGCTTGATCATCGGGTCAATCAGGAGGCATACCTCTCGGCGTCATCCTCTCAAGCTCTTCTTGCGAAACCGGAGGAATATCGACCTCCATCGGCTCATGCCCCCTCTCATCCTCGTCGATGACAATCACATCATCCTCCGTCCCCCTCGCCCGCTTCGGCTCCAAGAACCAGTTGACAGGCGCCAGCGTCGTATCCTTCTTCACTAAGAACGGCTTGAACGTCTTCTCAAAGTCCGTCTGCGAGCTCCCCGCCTCAGGCTGGCTGTTCAAGGGAGGTTTCGCAGCAGCGGGCTTCTTGGAGAAGAAGTTGGCCATCAGCGAACGCGACTTGTCGTGCGCCTCGGCTTGCTTGCGCTCGCGCTCGGCCTTCGCGGCCGCTTTCTCTTGCTTCTCTCGCTCCTGATATGCTGTGAGCGAAGGGGAAGTAGAATCGGAGAAGTGAAGCTCACCTTCGCGGCTTCCCGCTCAGCTTTCGCGGCCTTCTTCTCCTGTCTTTCTTTCTCCTACTCTGCGTGAGCAAGATGTTGATAAATTAGTGTTATCTCCTACCTTGGCTTCTTTCTCCGCAGCTTTCTCTGCAGCTTTCGCGGGATCCTTCGGACGCCCGGGAGGCTTCTTAGCGGATGACTGGTGGCAAGTGAATACATGTGTGATGGAATGAGAGGGACGGGACTGACAGACGATTCTGCTTTGCTGGGTGATGCGCTCGGGCGTGGGGTAGCGTCAGCATCTTCCTCAGCCTTGACGGCTTGCTTCGCTGGTGATACGTCGCCCGAGGGTGTGTGAGGTTTTGGGGCGTTCTTGAGATGCAGTATGCTGGCTTGCTCGTCGGCGGGTAGTGCCGAGAAGACCGTCTGCAGCTCATTCTTGGCCTGATCAGGAGGGTAAACAAATGTCTGCGAGAAGAACACGTCAAGCACTGACCTGTAATCGGTCCTGCCTCCGCACATCGGCCTTCTCGCGGATGTTCTTGGGCAGCCAGTCCTTGTAGTCCTGACTGATCTCCCAGCGCCACGCACAAGCGCTGGCTGGCGGCTTGCACCCATCGGGCGCTTCCAGACCGTAGTTCACACGTGACGCGACGCGCTTCACCACTGCCTCAATCGCGGACAGCGGGACCAGCCGCGCGAGGTCAGAGGTCGTTGGGTCCGCATCATCCTCATCGTCGGGAGGGGGAAGTAGGGTATGCTGGATGTGCTTGCAGAGGGCGGTGAGGGTCTTGTCGCTGGGTTTATGTCATGAGTGAGAACGGATCGCACGCTCTGTACGCAAGGGCAGGCGCACCTCTCGAAGGAGAGCTTCGCGATGACGGGCTTGTGGTCGTCGGGTATCTCGGTGAGGGGAGGCTCGCTTGCTTCGGCGCGTGCGGAGAGCATGTCGCGGAATGCGATGATCTCTGGCATGGGGGTCAGTACCGGGAGTTGAACGGCCTGTGCACGACGCACCTTGAAGCGTCTCGGAGTTCTGCTCAAGAGACATGGGCTTCTGCTTGAAGACGACCTTGCCGTTCTTCAGCTCCGCCAAGGACTGGGCCTTAGCCCCATCTACGACGCGTCAGATTCATCGTTATCTGCCCTAGGCGCTCGCCACGCACCTGTCGACGCGTTCTTGCCTGTGGGGGCGGTCCCATTATCTGCAATCTACTGAGCGAAAGAATATATTCATTGCCGTTTGCAACGCACCCTTATTCAATTTGGTAGCCGACATGTCGATAAGGGGACCATGCATGCGAATGCGGGGTGGTGGAAGGCAAAGGGCGGCCAGCAATTGGCGTTAGACGCGATCTGTCACACAACTCACGCGTGACGGACGCGTCGCGTACGGCACTTGGCACCGACACCCATGGCTTCCTCCTTCTTCAAGCCCCAGAACCGCCAGAACCAGCAGGCAGCAACCGCTCAAAGACATACGGTGGACCCAGCACTGCAGCCATGGGTAGAGAAATAGTATGTAGGGAGGGTTTTCACCGTGATCGTGGCTGACTGGTAATTAGCCGCCCAAAAACCATCGACGATGTGTCCGCGCAAGAGCACACTGTTAGCGTGCTGCAGAAGGCGTTGACCTCCACAAATGTGTGCTTAGCTGATTGAGATGGAGAGCATGTCCTAACTATCGTTCCAGCTCCCTCACATGCTGTTCTATGGTCCTCCTGGGACTGGAAAGACATCTACCATTCTCGCTCTGTCACGACAACTGTTCGGGTGCGTATCCCAGTCATATTCGAGGCTTCTTAGTACCCATTCTTTTGCAGTCCAGACAACTTCCGTAGCCGCGTCCTCGAGCTCAACGCTTCAGATGAACGCGGTATCAGCATCGTTCGAGAGAAGGTCAAGAACTTTGCCCGTCAAACACCAAGAGCCCAAGCGGTCGCCTCAGATGGGAAGGAATACCCATGTCCCCCATACAAGATCATCATCCTGGACGAGGCAGACTCCATGACCCAAGACGCTCAAGGCGCCCTCCGTCGAATCATGGAGACGCACGCACGCATCACCCGCTTCTGCCTCGTCTGCAACTACGTGACACGGTAAGTCGCCTCCCTCCCCTACAATTCACACCCACAAACCACTCACATCCCCCAGAATAATCGAACCCCTCGCCTCCCGCTGCTCTAAGTTCCGCTTCACCCCCCTCGACTCCTCCAGCGCCGCCGCCCGCCTCTCCTACATCGCCACGAACGAAAACGTCGCCGTCTCCCCGCCCGTCATCGACACCCTCATCTCCACCTCGGGCGGCGACCTCCGCCGCGCCATCACCTACCTCCAGTCCGCGTCCCGCTTGTCCTCGTCGACCGATCCTCCGACACCCATCACGCCCGTTGATATTCAGGAGATTGCTGGCGTGGTGCCAGATGGTGTGATTGACAACTTTGCGCGTGCGGTGGGGATTGAGGTCGATGGGTCGGACGCGATGGACGTCGATGGGTTGCAACGGCGAGGGTTTCAGCTCGTGCAGAGCAAGGTGAAGGAGGTTATGCGTGATGGTTATTCGGCGACTCAGATATTGACGCAGGTGAGTCCTTCAATGCCTCTTCTCTACTCGTGCTCTTTCAATCCCCCCGTAACAACGCCGCCTGTCCGCTGACATTTTCCCCAGCTACACGACCTCGTCATCCTGCACCCCACGTTGAGCGCACGCAACAAAGCACAATCCGCTCTCGTCTTCGCAGAAGCGGACAAGGCGCTCTGCGACGGCGCGGACGAAGAACTCTGGATCTTGGAAGTCGGTCTCCGCCTAAACAAGATATTCACTGCATAGTCGATGGGGCTGAACCCCTTCTTGTTCTGTACATTGCATTATATTTTTCCTTGCATCTTGCGATGATCAACAAGTCCGCCTTTGGACCTTCTCCGGTCTTTCGACTTTTCGGTAAGAAGGACGGATATAGGGCATAACGTCCTTCGAATCCAAAGCCTCTCCTCGTTGTTCCCGTCAAGCTCTCATCCCGGCCATTCCTCTTTCGGCCACATCCTCTCAAGCACGCACTCCCCTATCTCTCACCGCCACCTCGCTCCTACCACCGTCTTCAAACTTGGTCCCTCTTCGCTCTCTAATCTGGTAATTCCCGGTCCTTCGCCATATGTCAGCAGCCTCAGTGCTCGATCAGCTCCGTTGCAGGACTTCCTGCCTGTCGTGTAGTATCCGACTCGGTCCTTGTGTAAGGACGACCAAGGAGGGATGCGGGCGCGCGTGCAACCTGCATCGGGGGTTGTTTCTCTCGGGGACGAAGTGCGACTGTGCCACATATCATTGCCTATTGCGTCGTTCCCGTTTTCCCCTTTGGGCCCGATGCTCTCACTGTCAATGGCTTGCTGACTACGCCGCCTAGGATTGGGGTCACTTTCATGAGATTGTGCCACATTTTCTGGAGGTGTTAGCGGATAGTCTCCGGCGGGTAGTATGCAAATATATAAAGACCGAACCTCCATATCACCACAACATCAAGCTACTCACCTCCCTTCGAAGTGAACCTTAGAATCCGCCTCAACATGTCCCCCACCGTCTACCTCGTATCAGGCGCCAACCGCGGCATCGGTACGCCCTCCCTAAAAATTCTCTTTCCCTCTATCCACCCCCACCTAACCTCCGTCGCTAGGCCTCAGCCTCGTCACCCTCCTCGCCGCCCGCCCGGACACCATCGTCTTCGCCGGCGCCCGCGACCCCGCCCGCGCCACCGACCTCCAGGCGCTCGCCGCCACCCACCCCACCCGCGTCTACCCTATCAAACTCATCTCCGCCGACCGCGCGAGCAACGTCGCCGCCGCGGAGGAGATCAAGCGGGTTGCTGGCCGCCTGGACGTGGTCATCGCGAACGCGGCCATCAGCGAGTGTATCGAGAACATGTTGGGGGTGCCCAAGGAGGAGCTTGTGAGGCATTTTGAGGTGAGGATGAGGACGGCCATGCGCCAGCCTGGCACGTCTTTGGGTAAAGGTGAAATAAGCCACAACGCTGACCACCCTCTCAGATCAACAGCGTCGGCCCCCTGGTGCTCTTCCAGGCCGTTTGGCCCCTCCTCAAGACCAGCCCCGCCCCCAAGTTCGTCCCCGTCACCTCGATGGTCGGCAGCGTCGAGGTCGGCAGCCTGTTCGACATCGACAACATCCCGTACGGTACCTCGAAGGCCGCCCTCAACTGGATCACGCGCAAGCTGCATCACGATTTCCCTGAGCTGAGTGAGTATTGCGCACGCCAATTCCGCCCCCCCCCCCCCATGAATGCCCTGTCACCTTGAACGCTCTGCCCTCTCCACTGCGCAACAAAATACTGACCACATCCACCCCTCAGTCGCCTTCCCTATCAACCCCGGCACCGTCGAGACCGACCTCCTCAAGAACGGGCGGAAGGACCCCAAGGTCGTGGAGGCGCTCAAGACATTGCCGCCTATCACTCCTGAGGAAAGCGCCAAAAGCATTCTCGAGCAGGTCGACAAAGCAACTAGGGAGACGCACGGTGGCCAGTTCGTCAATTATGTTGGGAACGAGAGGATCCCCTGGTGAAGGGTAGGAAATATTTTGGCGGACTCCTTGGTGAAGAGGACGATCACCTTGTGAAAGGGACGATGTTTCTTGATGATGGAGTCCAGTAGCACTCGCGTATCGGTGTGATCAGCCTCGGTGATGTAGAAAGACAGGTAGAAGCTTCCGAGTTGCTAGATTCCTTGTTCGATTCTATTGTCTACAAACAATGCTACGGAGCGATGATATGGCAGTCTTCCCGAGTTCCGTGGTGAGAATAAGCGTGTCAGTAAGGTAGTGCAGAGGCCAGTCGCGGCGTTCGAAGCAGGTTGCTTTGTGCCGTCTGGATCTTTGAACTTAGTGATGTTCACCATAGTGGAGAGGCTCCTCGTAGCCAGAGTACGAGGTGTAGTCATCGAGAGGAGGAAGCTCGGGCGCAGGAACAGGAGGCCAGAACAGGGACTCGTCGACCTCGGAGGACTGCGACGACATAAGCTCGTCGATGAAGGAGGTATCAGAGAAATCGATGCCGAACAAGTTGTCCACAGGCGACGGAGGGAACGGTGACGGCGAGACAAATGAGGAGAAGGACGACGAGGGAGACAGTTCGGGGACACGAGATGACTTGCGGGAGGTGGATGCAGTGGCAGTGTGATAGACCGCCGTAGAGGCAGCCACGGCGTACCCGACGTCGCGAGATATAGTAGGCGCAGCGGTATGCCCCGGACGCTGAGCCTTGGGCGCCTTCTCCACGACGGCCTTCGCAGGCTTCGTGGGCTTCGCTCGGGGACCGCGAGCATTGGGCGACTTGTAGTCGTGGTGGCGCTCGCGATGGTGATAGAGGCCAGCACCGTCATGAAACACCTCACCACAATCCTCGTTGGGGCACACATACGGCGTCTCGCCAGTGCTGTGAAATCGTTAGATGAGTAACAGTTTGACAGAAGGACGAGTGGCGTGAACTCACTGCTTCGCGCGAATATGCGTCTGCAAAGTGCACTTGGCTGCAAATCGTTTGCCACAGTCAGGCCAGGTACACGGGTGCCGACTGAAAAACATATCAGAAAGCATTGGACCCTACGATATAACCATACGCACCACTTGATGTTCTTGTACTTGTCGGGAAGGTGTCCAAGTTTATGGCGATTCTGATCGCGCGTCTTCTTCACCTGAGCGCCGCATTCTTGACAGATCGTGTCAACGAAGACCGGAAGGTTATTGGGAGTGTAACGCTATGTCCACGAAAGTCAGTGGCGAGGTCACCCAAAAAGGAAAATCCACCGCATACCTCGTTAGGGCGGATGCGAGGCATCTTCGAGGTTTGGTGGCTTCTACTGCTCAACGGGCAACGGGAAACTGTTCAGAGGGTTGATGGGGGCTTGGGCAATGAAGAACCAGCCCCCAACGGCCCCCATTTTATAGCTTTCTGGACGACTCGTCCTTGATTGCTCTTCGATTGCTCCTCGATTACTCTCGTTCGTATAAGGAAATTTTACTGTTTGCGACTGTTAGCGAGTGGCTCAGTGGCTCAGTGGCGGGAAGAAGAGGGCCGGTCTGCGGGCCCAGGAGAGCGCTGTTCTCCGTATGATCTGGTATACGTCCTCTAGATGGTGCGTAGCATTAGTTCGATGCGTTGAACAAGCCATACCTTCCACCCGTGGTCAGATATGCGACCATAGAGCTGCCTTCCTAAGGTAGTAGTTTTCTTAGAGGAGGGGGCGCTGAGGTATCCTAGCAACGCGCTTAACCCAGGCTAGGCCCTTCACTTTGTTGTTGTCGGTGACGTCAAACATGCAAGCCTCATGCATGGTCAAGACACAAGCATCGGGGAGCCGTCGAGATGCTCAGCGGAGCTGCAGTCGACCACAGGCAGAGTCCGTCAAATTAGCAGTACATTGTGGGCGTCGGTGAAGGCGAGGAGCAAGACACTGTGGCGTGAGAATGCCACACGTTCTAGTTCCCACGGTTCGACTTTGCCACTTCCTTTGCCCCAGCTTTAACACAATGAAAGCTCTGTGAAGACGACGAACGGTACTTAAGAGATACGGCAGTCAGCTTATGCATTTTAGCGTCTACTCGCACATCTACCACTGCAGCCAGTCTGTACACGCACACAGAACCATGACATTGCCAACAAGTCCGCAGTATCGATAGCTATGGAACGTATCACTATGTCGACAGAGCGCCGCCGCCGCATATGTGGCACAGGCAGCCCACGTGAGCACAAGCAGCAACACCCGCCACAGCGTAGACGACGTCGTATAGCCAGACAGAAAGAAAGGAACACAATAATAAGAAAAAAGAGACAAAGAAAAATGGTATTAACCACAACAAACAGCGCGCAGGTACGAGTGTGCTAGCCATCCGCAAGTGTTGTAAGTGTCCGTAGCAAGTTGAAAGGCGCCAAGCGACGGAGACCGATGCTGGGTGTAGTTGATTGTCGTGTCCGTCAAAGCGTACGTATGTGAATGGTCGATGCGATGATGGTGGGTAGATGCGGCCGGGTCCAAAAAGTCAAGTCAAATGAATCAGAAGAGAAGAGAAAAAGAGGATGAATGACTACCGCGGGTCACGCCCGGGCAGAGTACATATATATTGACACACATAGATAGAGTTAGAGGAGATAAAGAGGAGAGGAGGAAACGAGATGGGGAGAGGAGAGGAGACGATGTGGAGGTGGTGGCACCTACGCACGCAGCTGGTTCGTCGAGAACCAGGCTTGGGTTGGGGGGCGCTGGCCCGTCGAGCGCCAGCGCGGCGTAAAGAGCGTGGCGGAAGGAGCGACAGGGTGGGAGGGCATAGATCTTCTTTCGTCATAGGCGGTGAGGTGATAGAACGTCGCGGTCGGAACGTGTCGTTTGACGTGCATTGATTGGCGGCGGGGGGTGAGCGCAAGTGAGGCGAGCGAGCGACGGTCGTGCGTATCGAATGTTATAGACGGCGAGGAAGCGATATGTATCACAGGCGGATTGGATAGAAAAGAGTTGGAAGAATGACATTCACAGCGCCTAGTACTGGAGCGGCATGCGCCCAGGTCCATATGTCTCCGCCCGAGACAGCGCCCGCGGTTTGCGGATCTTAAGCGTCGTCGCCTTGCTCGGCGGCGGGCACGGGCTGTCCCCGATGTCGACATCCGTCTCCTCCGCCGCCGTCGTGTTCCCGTCCTCCGCCAGGGTATGCAGACCGGCGCCCTTGCCGCTCCCTCCACTGCCCGACCGACGCGTGCGCGCGGCGTTCGCAGCCGCGAACATCGACGGCGGGCCGCTCGGCGCCGTGTTGCGCTTCAGCTGTGGCGCCGGCTTGAGCGACGTGGTCCCCTTGCTCATCGCGTCGCCGTACGCGTACGACTTGTGGCGCCCGAACTTGGCCTTGCGGAACTGGTCGAGGTCCTCGCGGCGCGACTGCGCGTGCGCGGGGTCGTCCATCGGCGTGTACGTGGTCGGCTTCCTGTGCGACTTTGACGACTTGAAGTATTCGGAGTATCCGCCCTCCAGGATGTACAGCTCCGGGTAGTGAATGCGCGGGTAGTTGTGGTTGTTCATCGCGCGATCCTTCTGGCGTAGGTGTTTAGCGCTAGAGGGGATTAGCGTGCGAAGGAGGCTGACGAGAGACAAAACTCACAAAGTCGGGGCGCGCTTAGCACTGAACTCACAGTGGAAGACTAGTACGGTCTGCTTGACGTTGTCACCACTGACGGTAGGCTTAGGACGGAGGAGGCCGAGCAACTCCTGCTCCAGACGAGCGGTGCTGTTGATGTTGATCGCGCCCTCTATGTGTCCGCCGTTGTACTCGTAGTCGAAGCGACAGTCAATGACGTAGTAGTTGTTGATCTTGTTGTCGAACTTGCCATCCAAGAGGTCGTCGAGCTACGGAAGGCATGAGCGGACACACACCGGACGCTACGGCAATACGTACAGTATCAGGCTTGATCCTCATAAGACCGTCGTCGGCCACGCGGTGGCAGGGTAGAATCTTGCCCGCAGCCTCGTTGTCGCCGAAGCCCGGGATACCCGCGCTCAAGAATTTTGCCGAAGGGCTCTCCTGCATCCCGACCTTGGTGGCGGCGGTAACCGGCTTGAAGTTCTCAGTCCCATCACAGCGGCGGATGGTCCTCTGCTGTTGACGACGCGCGTACGCCTGCGCGGGCGACGACTGGTCGAACCCTTCGAACGACGAGTCCTCGGAAGACTGGTCCAGAACGGACGGCGGAATCATAGCGGAGAAAGCGCGACGGGGTGGGCCTCTCGAAGACTCGTCGCTCTCCAAGGCGGGGTATGCAGACAGCGCACGGAGACCATCAGAGGGCGCGACCATCGCAGAGAGCACCGGGCGCCGCGGCCGCTTGGTGGCGTTCGAGGAAGGGCCACCCAGTCCTTGAAGGGCGGGCTTTGCCATGCGCGTGAGCGAGAGCAGGGGACCGCTAGGAACGCGACGAAGTCGGCTGTCGCAGGGCGATGGCTGCGCAGGGGAAGACTCATTCTCGTCGACGAACTTGTGGCTTTCAGGGGAGCACGAGCGGCGCTTCTTGTGCTGGGGAATGCCTGGCGAGTCGTTCGCGGTAGGAGACATGTTATCGTAGAACAGGTTCGAAAACGAGTCCTTCGTGGGCGCTGCAGAGAGCGGGGCAGGAGTGAAGGTGGTCTGCGTGCTGGCGGACGGCGGGATCACTTCAAACGACATGTCAACATCCATAGCTTCATAGCCAGGAGACGACGGCTCCTATGCATCGGTCAGCACAGGATGAGAAGATTATGCAGAGTACACGCACGTTCTCCTTGGTGGCAGGATGAAGCCACTCCATCGGCAGAGCGGCCCTCGAGGTGCGCTTCGTGCTCGAAGTCCCCGACTTCATGGAGCCGTTGATAGACCCGGGGCGGTTCAGAGAGCCATTGCTCATGTCGCCGCCGAAGATACGCGCAGCACTGGTGAAGGCCCGGGGGCGCGTCACGGGCTTGAAGGGATTATCGTCTTGGGTCTTGATCGCGGCGGAGTGCGCGCTGTAGAGGGTCTTGGGTGGGCAGGGGGAGATGTCCATGGGCGCCACATCGTACTCGATTTCGGGGGTGAGCGAGATGGGCTCCGTCGGCGGCGAGTTGAGGGACGTGTTGGCGAGGGAGAGTTCGAGATCCGAAGAGAGGAATGAGTCGATGTCGTCACGGGGTCGCGTTAGCGGCGTGATCGTGCCGGCGCGTCGACGGGCCTGATGGGTGGGGGCGGCGAGGAACTGGGGGATGGCGAGGTTGGACATTGGTGGTTTGGTCGAGCCGTCGTAGTGTCTCTTGTGTCTCTTGTATGGCTGAGGCTGGCGCGCTTCTATAATGCGTTCGCACAGGACGGCGGGCATGGTGGCGGCAGCGAGGTGAGGTTGATACAGTGGAGGTGGTGGTACAACAGGGCGCAGAGGGCGGTGTTGGTACAGCGATAGCGATACAGTTGAGGGTCGTTTATATGAGGGAAATGCGAAGGGCAACCGATCAGCAAACGGTCCAAGCAGAGTGGAGGGCAAGGCCACCGTGCATGTGCAGAGCAAGAGGTGAACCAACAGGGGCGTGACTTATGTGCGGTTGACAAAGAGCCACCGGGGGCCCGGGTGGAAACGTGGACAAAAGACAAGGAGGAGCACTAAGCAACCGTCCATTGTTCGCCATGTGCGGGCTGATGCCGTCGCACGCCCGGCGGTGCACGGTGGCCCGCTGAGTTTGTTGAACGAGAACACTCACCAGTACGTAAGGAACGTGTTGCAGAGGTGGCCGAGCCTGGAGGACAAGAGCAAAGAGGCAGGTCAGTGAAAGGCGATCGTAAAATGCAGAAAAGGATTCTCACGAGGAGGAAGGGTCGGCGCAAAGAGAATCAGGTTCCCGAGCAGCAGCCAGGCCGATTGGGCGAATGTCAAGAAACGTTAGAGCTGGATTTCTGGTTTTCGCTGGAGGAGGTAGGTCGAAAGGGCGGTGTCGCTGGAAGAAAACGGTCGCCCGCCGTCGAAAACGCCGTGACGCTCGGAAGGACAAAACACGTCGCACTTGTTTGCGCTTCTTTACCCACCGTTGGAACCGCGAGGCGTCGACCATGCACGTGACCGCGTGACGTCGACGCGTCGCGTTCCTGCCTGCTGTCCGCCGCGCCTGCTCCATCCAGACGTCATGCGGCACACATCTTCCATTCCGTAGTCGAGCAGAAGCGCGCCGCAAGCTCATTTACCGCCCTCGAAGCTCACTAATCCCCAGCGTACTCTCAGGCCACCCCGACCGCGTCTGCTATCGACACACTATCCTGTCCAATCTGATCCCCTTTAATGCGCACCCAGCTTTGCACCGGGCGCGCTCGAACAGTCTCGACTGATGCTGGCGGCATCCGGTAGGCATCGCACAGACAGCGGCCCCGAACAGCCGCCGGCGTCATCTTGGAGTTCTTGCTCACCGGGCACAGCGACGAGCCCTCCGATCTCTACCCGTTCCATATGCTCGAGTTGTCATCTGCATCCGGCAAATCAGACTGACGATGGAACTGACGACAAACGACAGGGACCATGCGGGCCCGGAGCTCCTTCGGAGGGACGCGACGAATTGGCACGTGACCGCGTATAGACCGCGTGTGCGACGCGTCGCGTCTTCAGCGCGTTCACAGACGCGACTTGGATCGCGTTTCTATGCCCAATCTGCTCGAGCGATGATCTGAAATGCATGTTCTGGCTTCCAAACGCTGCTCCCTTGGTCGGAAAGTCCTTGCTGAGTCCGCTCTCAAATCGAACTAAGTCACTCACCCCGCGAAGATGAAATCGCCCGCCGGCGTCCAAGCTCTCGCTACCGGAGATCTGAGCGCACGATCATGTCGTTTCGCGATGTTCATACAGTCCGCGATGCCCACCCCAGATGAACTGCGGTTCCTGCATTCCTTGGCTCACAAAGGAACGGCCAATTCCTTGGCCCACAAAGGACCGGCCAAATATAAGTGCTCCGGAGAGGCCATGTTCGACGCCGCCCCGCTCCCCGATCGGTTCATTCCTGGCTACCCCCACCCCCACCCCTCGTCGTCAGGCGCTCTTTCGCTGAGTTTCTACAAAGATGGAATAGTCCCGACCTGCGCCCTCCATTGACCCATACCGGTCGTTGCGCCGTCTTGGCAGATGATGAATGGACACGAATAGCTCACGAACCGAACCGGCCACCGCCTTTGAGAGCCCCGCGGAGATTTCATGTCGTTCTCCGAGATCGCATACCGCAACCTCCATGTCATATCGCACAACAGACTTAGATCAGACCGAAGCAGTTGGGAGAAGCAAAGGAATCCGGGTATATATTGGCAATGATGCGAGCGACACAAGAGAATAAAGCAAGGGCGCGGCCGGTAAATTACAAGAGGTCACTAGTAGCAAGAATAAGGAGACGAAGCGGTGACGTTCAAGCAATCATGGAGGAAGCGACGAAGGCAGCAGTATATGTAAGGTAAAGTAGACAAGGTGAAATAAGCAAGAGAGGCATGGGAAAGGGGGGGAAGCCGAAGCCGCATGCGCGGGCGTCCTGTAGAGAGAGTCAGTCACTGCACCCGTTCTGTCCAATCACATACCTAATCGCACCGACGTCTTCACCTCCACCGCCTCCGACTCCCCTCGCCGATGCCCCACCGCGAACGACAACACCCCATACCCACCAACCCCCACCCATCGTCACTCAACCGCCCAATCTATCCGCCAAACCCGGCCCCACTCCCGCCGCCCAGCCTACTTGCGAGGTAGACAAAGTCTACTCGCGAAGTAGACCAGCCGACGAGGCGTATACCGAACCTGACAGTGACCGCAGCGCCTGGTGCCGAGGCAGAAGTCGATGAGCACGAGATGCGCCATCCGACGGCGGGGACGACGAACACCGAGACACGCGTCGAAGCGGACTCAATGCCCGTCGCGACACAACCCACCCACCACCCCAAACGGCACGTCCCAAACCCACTGACCACCCCCCACCCCTCACATACCGCGTACGCAGGACTTACCAGCAAGCCATAGTAATATACGCCGCCTCGACACCCGATCCGGGCTACGGTCTGGTCTAATCGGCAACAGCTTAGTACTGGGGCGCACGCGGCGTGAGGGAGAGGAGGAGAAGAGCGAGGTCGAGACGCGTTGTCGGAGGTGAGAGGCGAACGACGTCCGTCTGGCGAAGGGAAGACATATCTGCGGAGGTGCACGTGGTTAGTATCGTGCTCGAGTGAAGGGCGCAACATACCTTGCTGTGCAGTTGTCCGCGGCGTAGACCAAGCACGAGCACCGACAGCGAAGCTCTTCATCTCCAGCGGTACTAGGTCGCGGGAGGCCCGCGACGTTGGTATAGGTGGCCGCCGGAGGGGTGGGGAGAGAAGGAAGGGGGATAGGGAAATTAAGGAAGAAGAGAGAGGAATTAAGGCAGGGGAGTCGCAAGCCGTATAGGTAAAGTAAAGAGATAATGCAAGGGCGCCCGAACAGGTATAGTAATCAGAGACCAGAGAGAAGTAAGAGTATCCAGACGAGACATGTCCGAGATAGACGAGGTATAAGCAAGAATAACCAAGGAGAAATAAGCAACGAAGCCAAGGGAGCAAAAGCAAGGAGAGCAAAGGGAAATGAGCAAGGGAGCCGCGGGGGGACGGGGGATAGCACAGTAGAGCAAGGGAGCGAAGCCGCGGCGGCGAAGTCGGGCTGCCTATGAAGAAGTCAGAGTCCGTCTGCCTGATGTTAGATCACGTACCGGATTCAGCGTAGATCACCACTCCCCTGGAGTCCAGTCCGCAACGACGTCCACTCGAACCTCGCCGCCGCGGCACCTCCCACCCACCACCCCAAACAACACATCCAACACCCACCGAACCACCTTCGCCCATCACATACCGCGTACGCAGAGCTTACCAACAAGCCATAGTACACGCCGCCTCAACACCCGATCCGGGCTACGGTCTGGTCTCGGCGACAACAGCTCTGTGCTGGGGCGCACGCGTTGTGATTGGAAGAAAGAGGCGAGCGAGGTTGCGACGCGCCGTCGGAGAAGGGCAGACGACGTCCGTCGGTGGCGAAGGCGAGCGACGACCATTCGGAAGAAGGAGGATGTATCTGCGAAGGCGATTAGCACGGTGCGCGGGCAAAAGGCGCAACATACCTTGTGGAGCGAATGGCGACGTAGTCGACCAAGTACGAGCAGCAGCAGCAAATCCCCATCCTCTCCGGTGGTGACAGGTCGCAGGGCCAGCCCGCGACCTCAATATGTGGCCGCCGGAGGGGAAGGGGTGGAGGGAGGAGGAGGAATTATAAAGGTAAGGCGAAACAATATAAGCAGCAAGACGTATATGCAGAGTAAAGAGATAATGCAAGGGCGCCCAAGCAGGTATTATAAGAGCCGAGAAATATAAGCCAGAGTATGCAGACGAGAGATGAAAGAGACAAGAGAGATAAGCAAGGTTACCGAGTCAAGGGAAATAAGCAACGGATCCACGGGAAGTAAGCAAGGAGGAGAGCAAAAGGGAATAAGCAAGGAAGGGGGGAAATCGCTGTGCAAAGCCGAAGCCGGGCGAGACGAGCGCCTAAAAGAGTGATCAGAGTCTGTCCGCCTGATAACAAGTCACATACCGGATCAAGCCTATGTCAGCGCTCTCCTGGGTCCCGCTCCCCTCGTGGCGCCCGCCGTAGACGACAACACCCCACACCAACCAGCCGCCACCTATCATCACTCAACCGCCCAATCCATTCCCCCAGACCCGCTCGCCCTCAACGCCCCCGACCCACTTTGCGGTAGACCGGAGGCGCAGGGACGTGAAGCGGATCTAGTGGTGACCGTAACGCTTCGTGCGGAGGCGACAACTGATCAGCGTAGAGTGCGCCATCAATACAGCAGGACGACGAGCACCGAGACACGCGTGGAAGCGTACCCAGTGCTCGCCATGACGTTGTACACCCATCACCCCAAGCAACTCGCCCAACACCCGCTAGACCGCCCGATCAACGAACGCGCACGCAGAACTTACCAGCAAGCCATAGTTTACGCCGCTTCGACACCCGATCTGGGCTACAGTCTGGTCTGGTCGGCAATGGCGTAGTGCTGGGGCGCGACACGTCGTTCAGAGGAGGCAACGAGGTCAAGACACGCTGTCGGAGGTGACAGGCAGACGACGTCCGACTCACGAAGGGAGATCTAGCGTGGCTGTGGTGGCGGTCAATAATGCGCTCGCTGAGTGAAGCGCGAAACTACGTACCTTTGAAAAAGCCAACGCCCGTCCAACGAAGGAAGGAGTATCTGGGCGTGTGATCAGCCAAGGGGAACGGAGTGCGTAGCTGACCTTCGGGCAGATGATGGCAAGGCAGACCAAACATCAGAGTACTGCGAAAGCCACGGTCAGTCATCTCGCTCATGATGAGTGCGAACAAGACTCACCTCATGCGGCAGCAAGCTGGCAGTTGCATAGGCAATGCGAACCAGAGATCCAAGTGATGACGACGACTGTGTCAGGGTAGACGCAAGCATCTACTTCCGGCCAGGAGCGAGGCTCTTGAGCGCGCGACCCACAGCCTTAATTCCCTTGCGTACCATACCGTGCTTCTTCTTCGAAGGCAGCGTGAAGCCCACAGGCGCCCCCCACTGCGACGCGGGAGTCACCTTGGCCAATGCAGGCTTCACGGTTGCCTTGCCCTGCCCCACGGCGCGCGACACCAAACGCGCTGGGGGCGGGACGACGGGGCGCAGAGACCCACCCGTCGCTCCTCCAAGCATGCCAATCGGCCTGGGCCTGCCAGCGACCCGCGGCCCGAGTTTGACCTCGAACACGGGTACGGTGGCAGGTCCTTGGCATGTCAAGGGGGAGCGGCGGGTGGACCTCGCAGTCGTCTTGTCCTCAACGGGGTCGAGCACATCCCCAAGGGCTTCGAAGAGGGCAGAGGGTACGGCACGACGAGGCGTGAACTTGGCGGACAGGCGCCGGACGGCGGAGTCCTGGCTGTAGATCGAAGCCTCGCTGGCGATCGAAGTTATCGAGGATCTTGCGGAGTCGGCCGCGGTCCACATGTCGGCGCTCTGCTGGCTCCACTGGGAGCTCGGAGAGCTGTGCTCGGTCGCAGGGGACTGGCAACTGCGCAAGTCGACGGCGCTGACGCGAAGGAGGATCTGCGTGGGGGCAGGTCCGGCGGCGACCTGCTGGCTGAGGGCCTTGAAGGCTGAGCACTCCCTCTTGGCGTCGTACGTGAACGCCGCCTGCGCGTAGGCGTCGACGGATACGACCTCGCCCGTAGGCATCGCAACGGCGAAGGAGCTCGTGAGCTCATGGCGGCAGACCTCCCTCATCCTCGCAGTAAAGACCGTCGCACCGAAGCCGTTCGCGCGCTGAGCAAGCTGGTAGGCGCGCCGGAGGCCGAAGTCCTTGTCTCCGAGCTTGTTGACCTCGCAAATGAAGTTGAGAGCCGCATAGATCGCAGTACGACCCTCAACGCCGCCGGTACGTGCGTACTTGATGGCGGCGTCAAACCTTCCGAGCGATGCCTCGACGCGGCGGATGATAGCAACTGCCTGAGCGATGATGTCGTCGGCGAGAGCGATCGCGGTCTGCGCGTTGCCGCTGAGCCAGGCGTGCTTGCACGCGAGGATGATGTTCAGGCGTACGCTGAACATGTCCTTCTCTGCCTGGTGGAATATGTCCTTGACCGCGACGGCTTCATCGAGGAGAGCGAGTACTGCGCGAGACGGATGAGTAAAGGCGGGGAACGAGGAGATAGTAGACATACACTCAGTCTCTTCGATGACATCCAACGTGTTCGCTGAGACGTTGAGGCAGGCCACGAAGGCGGCGAGGATGCGCTCGAAGAGCCCGTCGGATTGCAAGGGAGCACACGAGATCTGGACGACGATGAGCGGGACGAAGAGCGGGTCGGCGAGAAGACACGTACGCTGGAGGCCTCCTGAGCTTTTCCGAGGAGGTAGTCGGCGGCGACAACAGCCGGGCGGGAGTCCCGGCCAGCGGGGCCCGGCGCCGTCACAGAAGCTTGAGAGGAGGTGCGGGAGAAGGCGTGCTTGACAGAGAAGGGCATGGTGACAAGCGTGGGATGCAGAGTGGCAGGTGAACGTGGTGAACGTGGGTGGTAAAGAAACGTGGTGAGCATTTCCAGGAAATACCCCGCAATTTATACCCATTTCCAGCGGAAGTAGAAACAGTGACAAACTGTGACAAGCAATTCAAGCACGTGACCGTGGTAAACATGTCACGCGTTTCAAAGTGGGTCCAGAACCCTGCAGCGGCTGCGCCGCCAACAGCTACACAGGAGGCCAAGTATCCTGGTCATACACACCGAGACGCACATATGAAGACCTGCAAGCTGCAGCCCTAAAAGCTCAGGGCTAAATGTCGTCGCGCGCTGTCTGCCTTCACGAAAATGTGCTTGCCTCTAAATAATCAAGTCCCACAGCCTGAGGTATACATATGTACATGTCGCATTACCCTCTATCATGCCGATGTCGCACCCTCCGCCTGCTGCATCTCATACCAATATTCTGGTAGCAGGTATTAGCAATAGGAAATCAAGAGGAAACGGATAGCACTCACTCTCCGCCTCTTCGAGCGCCCGTACATTGCCTTTGAGCTTGTTAATCGTCTCGATGTACTCCTCCTCCTCGTTGGAGTCGAAGACGATGCCACCACCCGCCTGCAGGTATGCGACGCCGTCCTTGAACAACATCGTGCGGATCGCGATACACGTGTCCATCGCGTCGTCGGCGAAGTCCCAGCGACCGACCGCACCAGCATACACACCCCGTCGCTCCTGCTCCAGCGACGACACGATCTCGATCGCCTTGATTTTCGGCGCGCCAGAGACCGTGCCCGCCGGGAAGATCGACCGGAAGGCGTCGAACCGCGTCAGTCCTGGCCGCAGGACACCCGAAACCTGCGAGGTGATGTGGATGACGTGCGAGAACTTCTCGAGCTTCATGAGCTCGTCGACCTTCACGGTCTTCGGGTCGCACACGCGGTTGACGTCGTTTCGTGCGAGGTCGACCAGCATGATGTGCTCCGCGCGGTCCTTCTCCGAGGCGAGCAGCGTCTTCCCAAGCTCCTCGTCCTCCTCGGGTGTCCGCCCGCGATGTGTAGTGCCTGCGATCGCGTGGTTGAAGACAGTGTTTGCCTCCACCTTGCAGAGCGTCTCGGGACTCGAACCAACAATCTGCTCGTCACCGCAATCAATGTAGAACATGTAGGGACTGGGGTTGATCTGGCGAAGGTGGCGGTACACGTTGAAGGGGTGGATGGTGGTAGGACGAGCAAGACGCTGGGAGGGGACGGCCTGGATTATGTCGCCGGCGACGATGTGCTTCTTGAGCGTGGTGACGAAGCCCTCGTAGCCAGCCTTGCCGACATTCGAGACGCTCTCGTTACCGAGCTTAATGGGCGGCTGTGGTGGCTCGGGGGTGACAGCGCTGAGGATAACCTTCGCTAGACGGCGCGCCTTGGCGACAGCGGTGTCGTACATGAAAGAGAGGTTGCTCGCGCCAGCGGTAGGGGGCGCAAAGACGTGAGAGACGACGCGCATGGTCTGGTAGATGTGGTCGTAGATGACAATCGTGTCGACGAGCATGAAGACGGCTTCAGGGATGTGCAGGGTGTCCTTGAGGTCCCGCTTCGTCTTCGGCTCGAAGTGCTGAATACAGTCGTAGGTGACATAGCCGATCGCGCCGCCAGTGAATGTGGGGATCTCGGGAATCTTGATGTACTGGTGCAACGCGAGCTCCTTTTCGAGGGGGCCCATTGGGTCCCCCTTAATGTCCTCGTTCGGACCAGTCTTGATGACCTTGAGGGGATCTGTTGTGACTTGTCAGTGAGAGGGGGGAAGGCGTATGACTCGGGTATGCTTGCCTGCGCCGATGAAGGAATAGCGCGCGACGTTCTCGCCCCCAATGACGGACTCAAACAAGAAGGAGTACTTGGAGTCCTTCGCTATGCGCAGGTAGGCCATGCATGGGGTGATGAGGTCCGCGGGGAGTTCGACATAGACGGGGATGCAGTTGCCACGCTTCTCATGGAGGATGAGGCGCTCGACGGTGTCGAGGGCAGGGTGTGCGTGGAGCCTCTGTGCGCGGGCGTGAATCGCTTCTTCTGAGACGGAGACCATGGTGGTGGCGACGTACGGACGGGTCGAGCATCGCAGCGAGTCAGTGTCAGGTATAAGTAGCGCGGAAATAATGGGCTCTTTGATCGCGCCCCGCCTCCCCATCACAAGTCCGATCGGACCGATGCCATCAGTCATCCCGTTCGCTGCTTGTCCCGCTCCTGCTCCTCATCGCGGCTACTCGTCTCTACCGGGCCATATCTTGTTGACTGCTCATTCTAGCTTACGGAGTAGCTGCTTCAATGCATTTCTGACCGAATAGAATGTGTCCGACGCAGCCCGACGGCCAACGACCTCATCCGCTCATATGCGGTGAACGCGGACGTTTGCAGATGAAGACCCTTGCTACGTCGAGTGCTTAGCGGATGATAGTTCCCCGTCGCTGTGCTGCCTCCGCTCGCCTATCTGCCTGCGGCTAACCTGACACTCTTGTGCGCGGCCGGCAGGACGTCCTTCAGCTTGTCTTCAGCATGCAAGGCTGTCTTCGAGATAGTATACCGTTGTCAGTACCGTGGCGGGGGATAGTTGATACACGTACGTCTACCGTCATCCCGTTATCAAGCTTTAAGTACGGCAGCGAGGCATTAGAGAGCTAACAGCGAATGAGACCGCAACAGCGTCGGCCGGGTCAAGGACACGTTCACTCGCACTTCAGGACGATACAACACCAGCGCTGAGCTTGATGCGATGTTCGCGCGCTTAACTGGACTGCGCAGGTGAGTGCATAGGAGGTATACAGAGCCAGCTTACGACCTCCAGATCCACTTACTCGTACACAAGTTCCGACCGTTTGGACTGATATCGATGTAGATTGTCATCGTTGTATGTTGCTCTACGTGCTCTTTGGAAAGGCAAATCCCTTATACACGCGAATAGAACGAAGGATTCCACAGGGCCTACGTGCTGTGAGAGTCACGGATGAAGGAGCGTGATGCGCAACAATAACGTGACTCGTGAAGTTCAACTGTGACATGACGGGTAACGAACGCGCTAAAAATCGGAAACTACCGAGTTGACGCGCTAGTGGCTGTCCTCTATTTTTTGTTGATTTCCATCAACAAAGTTTCGCGAAAATACTAAACATATCCAAACCAATTGGCTATATAACCCAGCTGTCCACACCCCGATTTCCTCGAGAATATCTCTCACCCCAGGCTTCTGCACAGTTGCTTGCCCCTGCTGCTTCACAGCGCACTCGCCCCCCAGCGATTAACAACCCCACCATGTTCACCCCTGTTGCCAAACGTTTCTCCGCGTCCGTCAAGCGCCTCCTAGGGGGTGCCGGCGGTAGCGGGAAGCAGGTGCCGTTCCCCGTCGAGTTCGTCACCGGGCCCGATGCGGGAAGGGTCATCACGCCTTCGGGCAAGCGGCCCGTGGACCTGGAGTGCTTGCTTGCGTCCTTCATTGACGCGCCGGCCTCTGGGAACGCGGTCGCTATCGCCGTGGTCGACGTGGCTGCCCAGGCCGTCGACCACTCGGACGTCCTTGCAGAGGTGTCCGACTCCGTCGCCACGGTTTCTGCCGCCACCGCCTCCCAGCGTTCCGCCGACTTCGCTGCTCGCCCCGCCAACGTCTCTGCTCGTCTCGCCAAGGTCGCCTCCGCCGTCGCTCCTTCCGCCGTCCCTGCTGTCTGCCTCTCCGCCGGTCTCGCCGCTCGCCAGTCTCGCCGTGCTCGCTCTTCGCCGTCGCCTGCTGCCTCGCCCTTGTCGACCTCTGCTCTGATCGCTGAACGTGCTGCCATCTGCCCCTGGGAGACTTCGTCGCCTACCGCCACGCCTGCTGCTCGCCCTCGTGTCTCCCGCCATGCTGCCACTCCGTCCTCGACCTCGACCTCAACTGTCGCCTCCTCTACGTCGGCCACTTCCCGCTTCTCCGTCTCCGCCTCTATCAACACCGCAACGTCGTCTACGCTCTCCGTTCCTGCTTCGATCTCTACGCTCTCTTCGCTCCGCCGACCCTCGCTCTTCAAGGCAAAGTCCCGCTCCTCCTCTGTCACGTCTATCGCTGTCTCTGTCTCCGTCGACATCTGCTCCGTTCCCGACTTCTCGCTTGCCAGCGGGAATTACTAGGTGCGTAGCGCGTCCACGTCTCTTTGTGGCACCCTGCGCGTTAACCTTCCAAAAAAAGCCCAAAAAAGACAAAAAAGACGAAACTTCGGATTGCAGCGCTGGCCGTTACGCACCGAACGCTCCTTGCACACCTGACTGCTTGCTTTGCTCATTCTCGCTCTGCTATCGCTGACCTTGCTCTCGTCTTTCTTTGCTGTCCCTGTTCTTTCCTTATCCTTGCTGTCGCTGTCGTTGCTTTCCTAGACTCCTCTTGCTTTCGCTCCGTCTTTTGCTCGTTCACGTCTCTGTCTCTTGTCGCTGCTCTCTTCTCACTTTCTCGTTCCTGTTTTTTTTTTTGCTTTTCCTCGTCTCCGTCGCTCTTCTCTCTCTTGTTCTCTTCCCTCTCTTCTTCTTTTTTTTCCTCTCTTTTGCCTCTCTCTCTCTTTTTCTTTGCCTCAGTCTCATATTTCCCATCTCTCCCATCCCTCCCACTCGTAAATCTACCGGCTTTATTACGCAGCTTGTATGACAGGGTTCTGCTGCGGCTGCCGCCGGTCAAAAGGTAACACCGCTCAGTGGGCCATGGACAGTCGTCCGTTGGCCGCTGCCGGTGTTTCTCTTGTACCTGGCGCGCATATAGTCAGGTAGGTAGTATACCGTGGGCTCTACTCTTCCTTCTTTCGGCGGTGGACTACTCTTAGAGGCGGTGCCTTCGTTCCATTGAAAATGGATGTCTCTGCGCATTGAGATTGACAAGTCACAAGTGTGGATGCAGCAGGCACAGCGACTCTCGATTTCTATTGAGGGATTTCTATCGACCGCTGCTTGACTGATGGCGCAGGGTTCGTCCAGTCGACCTCGTCCCATCTACGGAGGCATCAGCAAGACAAACGGCGAAACGGGGCAGGCGGAGCGGCGGAGTGGACGCGGCATTCGGGACGATGGTGAGGAGATAGAATACAACGCACCTAGGGAATGAGTATCGTAAGTTGTCCGGGTCCAGCTCTGGATACTTCTCCTTGATCACCTTCAGGAGCTCGACATACATAATCTGGACACGCCTAGTCAGTAACCCTTTCCTTCCCCGCCTCGATGTCGGTCGAGCGCGTCCTCACCTCGTACCCCACGGCATTCAAGTGCAGCCCATCACCCAAGAACTTCGCCAGCTCCTCCTCCTTCTCCCCCGCCGCACTCCAAATTGCCTGAAAGACATCCACCACCGGCACCCTCTCCTCCCTCCCCACATCCCTCACCGCCTGCGCATACGCCTCCGTCACCTTAAACTCCCGATCAAGCTCCTTCGGCGGGTCCCGCGCGCGCAGGTCCGCGCCGCGCTGCAGCGTGTTCACCGGGGGCGGCGTAATGAGCAGAATCTTGGTGTCGGGGGAGTAGTGGGTGGAGGTAGGGGAGCGGACGAGGGAGATGAGGTGCTTGAGGTTGGCAGTGAATTTGGGGAGGGAGACGTGTTGAGGGGAGGGCTTGATGCAGGCGTCGTTGGCGCCGAACCAGATGGTGAGGAGGCGGACTTTGGGGACGTGCGCTTGTTGGTCTTTGGTGGCGAAGACCTGAAGGGGGAGGGGATGAGGATCAGGGGATGTGCGCGCGTGCAAAGCAGGCGCATACCTTCTCGAAGACTGGGATAGCCCACTCGGTGTTGTAGCCAGAGAGTCCGCGATTGAGCACATCGAGTTTGCGCGCGTAGACATCTACAGTCGCGTCAGGGTCACCGATCCCGGGGTAAGATCACAGAAGAGTGTACGGACGAGCTAAACGAGTGCCAAAGCCATCCTTGCCAGGCTCCCAAGCTCCCTGAGTAATCGAGTCTCCAAACAGCATGATGGTGTCTTGCGTGTAGGCCGCCATGGTCGTAGAAGTAGAAGAGGAGTTCGTGGTCGTGAGTGTCGCGAGATGGGTCACGGATTCCGGGAACCAGAGGATGACGAAGATAGCTGTGACGACGGGAAGGATAGAAAGGAGGGAAAGACCGTGTGGCATCCAAGATAATCAGCTCTGGGCCTGAGATCAGTATGGCGAACCCCCTGGACGACTCGACGAATGGCGCTCAAGTCGAGGAGGTAGCGGTGCGCTCGGACCGTCGGTTCAACGGGCCGCCAAGCTGGCCAAACAGGCGCAACTATCGATCGGGCGCTTTTGTCTGATTTTCGGGACGCGTCCCCTGTTTTCTGCGTCCACCATCGTTCCTTGCAATGTCATTGATGTTCTCCCGACCGTGTGTGATGCCCCCTTCGCTTGCTGAGTTTTGTTTACCTCTCGCCTGCTTTCTTCCTCCCCCACAAACAAGTCAAGGCCCTGGTCGTCCTCACGGATTTCCTACGTCCAGGGCCTGTTACGTTCGTGGAAGATCGACACCTGCGCGTATCTGCCGGCGTGCTCCGTCTTGGAGTGCGCCGGGCTCCAGAGCCGCGCAGGCAGCTGTCTCCGTAGAGTTGAGCCCGCCATCTCTGGGGCGGTGCTCGTAGTTTGGGGACATACATCCCTTCGTACGCGAATCAGTTTCGTTTGCTGCGATGCTGATGGTTTTCGATGTCTAGCTTGTTCGTCTACATAGGTAGATTGCATAATGATACATGGTGCTTCCACTACTCCTTTGCCCGATTACCATCCCCACTTGCCAAGCCCCGTGTAATCGACGAATTCCCCTCCGTGCGTCTCCCGCGTAGCCTGGTCAATTTCCTTCAGCATACCATCTACGCTTTCCTGGGGCTGTATTCTCGGGAGGGTCTTCAACCACGGGTCCTTCTCGACGGAAGCATTGGACATGTCGGTCTCGACGAAGCCTGGCGAGATCGGGAAGGCCACTGCAAAGCAAACGCATGAAGTGAGTCCTGTGCAACCCTGCGAACGAAGACGACTTACCGAGGTTCTCAAAGTCGTGGTGGATCTTGCGGGTGACCCAGTTGAGCGCCGCCTTGGACGAGCCGTACGCGTACGAGCGGCCAGGCCATTGGGAGCCGACGGTGATGCTGCCCACCGGCGACGACACGGTCACGAACTTGGGCGCCTTGCTCTCCTTTAACAGCGGGTACGTCGCCTGGAACAGCACCAGCGGGCCATTCACATTCACCTGCAACGCAATCGCCAGTCAGCATCCCCTCTCAAGCCATCCATCCCCCCTCCCCATCTCCTCAACTCACGTCAAAATGGCTCGTCATCGTCTCCTTCTCAATCGTCAACGCGTCCTCGTTCTCGTCCGCAATCGCCGCGTTCGCAATCACGACGTCCAGCTTGCCCGTCGTCTTGCGGATCGTTTCCGCAGCGGCGGCGTTCGTTGCCTTGTCCGCGGACGCTAGCGCGACGACGTGCACCTTGCCCAGGTGCGCGCTCGCAAGCTTGGCGAGCTCGGTGGCCCCACTGGGATTGCGCGCGCCGGCGAAGACGACGGTGTCCGGGCGCGCGGCGAGGGTGGCGACGAGGGCAAGGCCTGTGCAGCTGTGGTGAGTAAGGTTTGGGGGATGAAGGGGTGGTTTCAACCATACCTATGCCACGGTTCGCGCCGGAGACAAGGTAGACGGTAGGTTGCGACATTGCTCTGGTTTGGGTGGGCTTGACTTTATATGTGCAGCTAATGCAGAGAGGACAGGGTAGAATGTCAGAACATCATCTCTCGCACTCCTTATATACCCCGCCCTCCCCCTCCCCAGGTTTCACTCCTTCCCTTGCCTTCCCCACTCTTCGTAAGGCATCCGCGCCCTGTCGCCAACAATCCGCGCTCCCACGCTTGGTCAGCTGCAGCCGCTTGCGCGGCCTCTTGCCAGGTATGGGGAAACGGGGCTGCTTACTCAGACTTCAGCCCCCGACTCGCATGTTTACCGCCAGTGCTTGACGCACCACAGTCCGTCTCCTTCATTGCTTAGATCGCTGAGCACGTTCAATGCCGCTGAATGTCTCTTGCGCAATGATGCTAACGCGACGTTTGACGAAAGCAAGACCTCGGTCATCTTGGGTTTTCAGGCGTTGGCGCGCATTGGCAGGACAAATTCGAATTCATTGTCTCGAACTTTAAACTTGCCATATCAGGTCGATGCTCTCTCCCCTCACCCCACCACTGCAGAAGTACTTGCATCGTTATTCATACTATTACATTATCGAACGACAGCACGGATAGCAAAACACGGCGGAACTCGCTGGACACAACATGCTACACCATCGGCGAGGCGCGAGGGGTGGGGTAGGGATGGGAGACATTCGTGAGGATGGTAGGGATTGGTAGGAGTAGGGAGTATGTAGGGATGATCAGGGTGGACCGTGGCAGGGATGGACGAACGACGGGTACTGGGGACAAGGGATACGTATACGTAGAGTGAATATATGCCGAGGAGCCACACGCACAAGTAATCACAGCAGCAGACGAGGTCAACGCGGATACGGAAACAAACAATATGTGTCGAAAAACGAGCCCTAAAATACAGAGATATTGTCCCGTCGTTGCCGCACCCTTGATGATGACGATGACCCGAACGCCATGGACGTGGGCAGGCCAATCGTCGTGAGTGGATCATATGTCTTCGTCCTTGTCCTCGATCTGCGACGGCTTGAGCATACCAGGGATGCGCATCGCCTGCTGGCGCTCCTCCTCGGCCTTTTGTCGCGCGGCGGCCTCCTTCTCCTCAAGGTAGAGCTCCTGGTTGTCGCCGGCGAACTCCTTGAGCTGAATGAGGAAGTCGCGCAGCGCGGTCTTGAAGGCGAGCGGGTCGGTGTGGCTCGTAGCGAGGGTCTTGACGAAGTCCTGCACTTGCAAGCTGAAGGTAGGTGCGTCAGCTGGTTGTTCTTTTCGTTTCGCATGACGACTACTCACGGGTTCAAGTGCGGGAATGCCGTCTTCAGCAGGTTCACCGTGAACTCTTGGAAGAAGATCGAGTTGTTCAGCGCTGGATCCGGGAACTGCGCCGTGTCGTACAGCGGCTGCACGATCGCGCCCTGCTCGACGAGCTGGAACATGCGCGCCAACAGCTGGCTCTGCAGCTTGAACCCGCTCTTGTGATCCGTGTCTGTTAGCACGAAGAACGTGTCCTGGACGATGCTCAGGAAGAACTGCTGGAAGAAGGCGTTGCTGACGGCGGGATCGGCGGCGTTGGCGAAGTTGTTGACGATCTCGATGCACACTGATATCACATTAGGGCAGATACGAAGGCGGCAGGGCATACTACTCACTCAACAAGCCAATATCTGAGATGTCGCGCATAGTGTGCTTGATAGCCCAGATGACGCTGTCCATGAACAGCTTGAACTGTGGCGGCGGAATGGTGAGGAGGGCTGCAGCTCAGTCAGCATCCGTCTTCAAGATATCTAACGGACTACGTACCAGGGAAGCAGTTCAGATTAATATTCCTCAACAGCTTGAAGAACCCGACGCGGTGTTCAGGGTACTCCGAGAAGTCTTGGTTGATCATATTCAGCGTCGGCTCGAACACCGCGTCCAGGATCGCCGGCACTTGTGGCGTGAGCAGCGGCTGTGTCCCAAGTGTTATAAGGACAGAAGAACGCGAAGCAGAGAGCGTACGCACACCCAAACGGTTCGTTATCGTCGCCATCACGTTCAGCACCTCGGCGTCGCGGGCGGTCGGGACGTTGGAGTTGTAGTCACCGAGAATGGCGTCGAGTAAGGGCGGCATGAAGTTGCTGTTGACGGAGTCGAGGTCCTCGGCTCGTCGGATGTAGGTCTCCATGAGCTTGAGGATCTCCTTCTTAACCGTCCGCAGTTGCCTGACTTTTGGTGTCTTGGTCGCGATGGGGCCTATGTACTGTTAGCGAGGGCCGATATGATGGTAATGCCTAGCTCACCCTCCTTCGCGACCGTGTCGCTGATGATGTGGCTGACAGCCTTGTACAAGCCGAGCATGTCAAGGAATATCCGCCCGATTTGTGGCAAGTAGAAGCTGCCAATGGAAGTGCACGCCGCGACGTTCGTCTTCAAGACGTTCGCCAGGATCTTGATGTTATCCGTACTTGACAAGACGTCCATGCTTTGTGCTGCTTGCGCCATCAACGAGTCCCACTGAGGGTCGGTCAGTATGTGCGCTGGTCATCATTGAAAAAAAAGGACGCACGGCGCTGTTCGGCAATTCCATGAGCTTTGCGATCAAACGCTCTTGCTGGGGCTTGTTGGGCTGCGCAGAGATCATGTAGCCGACGGCCTCGTAGAATGTGTGGACCTGCACATTCGTCAGCGACGGCGTACTTCACACGCGCGAACTTCCCGGCTCACCTGCTGCGGCGACAAGTCGACCGTAATCCGATGCAGCATCCGCAAGATCTCGTCTACAAACGGTTCGCCCTCCCCGCTCTGCTGCATCACAAAGTGTCTCCGGCACTTCTGCGCAATCTTGATGAACGTGTCGCACGCCATGTCCTGGACACCCTCGTGCGTCTCGTGCATAAACTCGAAGAGCTTGTTGACGACAGTCTTGAGGAACTTCCAGTGCGCCTTGAGGAAGCGCGGGTACTGGCCGACAATGTACATGATATCCGAGGCGACGACGGCCTTGTTGTCCTTGCCGCGCTTGATCTCGCACAGGCCGAGGAGGTCCTTGATGACAGTGACGAGGAAGCGCTTTTCAGTCTCCTCGTCTGTGAGGAGTGTCAGTATAGCTCGCGTCATGCGGCAGACGAGACGTACTCATGGCGCCCGATATCGAGCCAATAGCCCAGCATAGCGTGTTGAGGTTGTTCCATGACCATTCTGAGCCGTCGACCTGCTTTGCGAGCTTGTCCGTGAGGATGGTCTCCGTGTCATTGACGTCCAAGTGAGTAAGGTAAACCAGCAACTCGCGCATAGACTTGTATAGCACGATGGTGTCGCTCTCCTTCATGAACTCACGAACGATCTCACCCTCGTCGTTCTCGACAACGAGAACCTGGCAACTCGTCAGCGGCAATGAAAAGCAACGGAGCAGGATGGTGGCTGACCTCTTCGGGCTTGACCATGCGCTCGATGACGACCAGACGTAGATTCGAGAGTACAGCAGCGTAGATGTTCTTCCGCAAGTTCATACCAGCGAGCAAGCTGCTTTCCCCAGGACCGTTGCCGAGACTCAGGTTCATGAGCATGCCACTCTCGCCGATAGGTAGACTCTGCAGCTCCTCGTACAGCTCCGAGACAAGTTTGACCCAGTACTCCAAGCAGATCTTGAACACCTCGCGCTCGTCGACCTGTGAGATCTTGACCATGTACATATGCGCGTTGAGCAGCACATCCTTGTTCTCCTCATTCTCAACGACACGCAGATGGTTCGAGAGGAAGTTGGCGAGGAAGAGCGCAAGGTTCAAGATGAGCTCCTGGCCGGCGTCCGATGCGTTGGCATATGCGCTGGCGAAGTCCGTGCCCGGCGGGATCATCTTGTTGACAGATGTCATGACCATGGCAAAGAGGATGGCGAATTTGGGGTCGTATTCGGGACCAACGTTGAGCGCAGCGATCTCCGCAAGACACTTGAGCGTGACATTGCGGAATTCGGGCGTCTCGAGGAACTGTGGGATATGAATCAGCATGCGGCGCATATCGAGTGGCGTACGACGCACCCGGTTGAGCAAAAGGTCAATGATGGTCGTCTCAAAGATGAATCCCAGCGGGATCCAGTTGAGGAAGCGCAGGAATGTCTCCAGAGCAGCCTTGATGAGGGAGGCCTTGTTGGCGTCCTGCAGCACCTCCTGGCAGAGCTTGAAGATCTCCGAGAACTCGCCGCACATCTGATTCTTCAGGTTTTTGATCTTGACTGTCGTCATCTGGTCGGCGGAGAAGTCGAAGATTTCCTCGGACAGCAGCTTCAGTATAACCATGTTGTTCTCGCAAAGGGAGAGGTTGGTCTTGGAAGACTCGACAAGCTCGGAGATGAAGTTGGGCCAGTTGTGTGGCCACTCCTGCTTGAGGATCTATAGTAATACTGTGAGCTGGAGTGGCGATGCGGAGGCTTTGTGACGCACCTGGATGAGCGCAAGGTTGAGTTTGTTGAGGTACGTCTTTTCCCTCCGCATAACCGTCTCGTCAGATCCTAGCTGCACCGTGAGGCCGACAACAAAGTTCCGAATGCCTGTCGGTGTGTCAGCACGTGAAGACTGCGTACGCATCGCGCCCGGGACGAACCTTGCCGTTGACCATCGGGGAGGGACTTCCAACGCGTGCTGATGAGTTTCTCCAAAATTTGAAGACCGATGTACTATGGAATTGCCATCGATGATCAGCCAAAGAAGGGGTACAAGAAGGTATCACCCACCTTCGTTTGGGGGAATGACGATCGCTCCAGGATGTCCGGTACCCTCGTCCAGGCTTCGGGGTTGTCTTGAAATTGAGTCAGCACTTGCTGTGCCATTTGTTGCTGCGAATGTATAGGTAAGCGCGTCATCCACGCTCAGAAGCCACTCAAGACGCACCTCCGCCCCTGCCCCCGTATAGAACGCGACAACGACGCGGTCCATGAGGGACACATCGAAATCGGCTGAGAAATCGAGTAGCGCCTGGGTACGGATTAGCTGACGCGTCGTATGACCGCAAACGCGGCTAGGTCACCTCCATGTTGGCAGACGGGTATCTGGTGTACGCGTCCGCGAGTGTGAGCTCAGGCTTTCAGCGCGAGATGAAGGCGGAAGGAGATGAACAGCACAAACCCTCCAACAACCAAGTCCATGATCATCAGCTGCTGACAAAGCACGGCCCGGTACCCGGTCCCGCTCGGACAATGTCGTCATGTCATCCCCGCCATTGTTCTCTCCTCAACCACCCCACCATGTCCCGAGTACACCCTCTAGACAGTCCCAAGTCCCGGCCCTTTGTGATGAAGGAAGACCATACTCTCAGGCTGCTTATAATTGTTGAGCGACTCAACGGCTGTAGCCAGCAAGACCATGGAAGATCCTGATCACAGTGCGAATCGCAATGTTCAGCTCGCTGTCGGTACACAACAAATCTTTCATGCGTAGAAACTACCTCTTGTACTCTAGGTCCGACTCACAAGACTCTCTGACTACCTTGTCAACATTCGATTGTGCCTAAAGACCTAGGACGCAATGAGCGATCTTGTTTTGCCGTCATTCATGTCCCCTTCGATGAGTACTGTCGGCTACACAAGGTGAACATCAAGCCTGATTGTCTATCGCGAGTCGGCTCACCACGACGGCTGATATCGGAGGGGGGCTAGTACACCGTGATTGGTGAGGAAAGCTGATAACCGTCAGACCTTGGCTCTCCTGCTGCTTACCATCACCACTCTGCTGCCTCTTATATCAATCATCACAGTGCCCTTGCATCATTTCCGTCGACCTCTCCTCGCGATTCCTGTGCTCATGACCGTCCTCATACATTCGTCTACCTGTACCTCGCGACCACATCATGTTGGCGCCTGGAGCATCGGGAACAACCATGATTCTCCCTGTGTTTGGCCAAACTACCTGAACAGGTACCTTCAGGATCTTCGAGATTATGCAGATGGGGTGTGCATGGGTCGCGGGACTTAGACCATCGCGCTGTGGATTCGTGCGTCTCGAATCCTTACCCATCTCGAGCTTCTACTCTCGAAGATGACCAAGCCACGCACAGATGTGCCAGGGCCCAGCATCAGAAACCCGGATTTGAGGCGTCTTGCTTCTCGGCCAAGTGAGTACTGGGCGTAGTCCATGAGGCGACATGGGAGGTCGTTGCAGACGTTGGCGATGGCAATGGGGCTCGCAAAGACGCACGGAAAAACCTTGTGACCCCGTCTCACCTAGAGATAATAGCCGCCCAAAGAAATGTGCTGACGCAGAACGACGAAGCAAAAGACGTGAAACTCTTGCCAAATCTTCAAGTCGAACAATGACCACACGTGACTGTCACGATCGATCGATTTCGATACGCTGACTCTGTTTCCTACCTCCTCCTCGACGCCAGCCTCCGTGGAAAGCATCGATACAACATGTTCAAGAAGTGCGAGGCTATGCTCACACCCTGGGCTTCATTTGCCAACGCTACCAGCCCAGATTCTCCGTCTCATCAGACGTATCCGGACAAACACCCGTGAAGACATCGGTTCAGCGCCAGCTGCGCTCCGCCATCCTTTCCCAATGGAAGATCGAGCCAGAGACGCTCGAGGCGGTGTGGCCGAAGAAAGAAGGCCTCGTGCTCGTCAAATGGTCCGTGTCATCCTCAGTCCGTCCCGACGCGTTAACCCAGCGACGGTAGCAGAGAGCACATATCCATCTATACCGTGAACGGCGAGCCCATCTTCTTCCAACACTTTGACGGTCCCTTCTATCCGACTCTCCGCCTTCTTCATAAGTGTATGTTCCCCCTCGCGCACGCCCTGCCTCCCGTCCGCCCCGTGGTGGCACAAGGTTTAGGGTATCGCGGACTGGACTGGTACTTACGTCCGTCGCACAGATCCATATATCCTCCCGAGGGTACAGATAGACCGCGGCGCTATCCGCTTCCTCCTTGCCGGCGCGCACATGATGTGCCCCGGCATGACGAGCAAGGGAGGCTATCTCCCGCCGCCGGAAGAGGAGATTCCCGCCGGTGCCGCCGTGGCAATATACGCCGAGGGGAAGGAGCACGCTGTGGGCGTGGGTATCACGAAGATGAGCACGGAAGAAATCAAGAAGGTCAACAAGAACATCGGCGTAGAGACGACGACCTATCTTGGGGACGACCTCTGGTCGATACGCACGCTCTGAAAGCGCCCGTATGTCGTCGAAGGTGCCTCCCATTTGTAGCGGCTGCGCGCATCCATATCCGCCGCACTTCGCATCTTCGTTGTATAGTGCGTATCGGTTTCTGCCACCGTGCGCGTGTTTACTGACCAGTCACTGTTTTAGGTGTAAGATAAGCAACCTTTGTACTACCACTTCGACGCACATCCAATGTAACACCGCGTCCGCGCACGGCTTGACGTGTACTCGCGCACCTGTGGCTATCACGAGGTCGTACTCGAGGCGAGGTGGCGTTCGGCTCTGCACCCGCAGCACTCCCAAGTCGTCTACAGCATTGGCTGTGGAAGAAGCCAGGCGACATATCGCACCGACCCAATACCTTCGGCGGAGACTCATACAGGGACCTTCTCGGACGTAGGATCACGCCTTCCTCGCGTTCCTCTTGACGGCGACAGCGCTTCGCCTTCTCTCCCTTCACTCGCATCTTGTCTTGGGGCTTGTCGACTCACCTCACTTGGCTAGCGAGCCGGCTCGCGCTCCCAGATACGCGCAAGCGATCTGCGAGGTCACGCGATGATGCCTGATCGTGATGCCACTGCGTCGGTGCGTCGGCCGTGCAACTCAGGTCGCGCGACTCTAACCGAAGCCCGCGCTACCATCGCGTCGGACAAGCCCGCCATTGATACGGCGCGCGTCATGCCTAACGCGGCGCGCCACCCTTGGTCAGCCCGCTGCATAGATTTGCGGTGGGGCAGGGCGCGTCGCGCGCCCTCTATCGACAGCGCGCACCACGAGAGATAGCGATGATGAGGCCTGTTATGCGCTCAGCGCGGAGTCCTACGTCCCCCGGACGACCCCGCAGAGGCCTCCGATGCCCGCTTGATGGTGGGAGCACCTTGCGCTGGGGCTTTGCGGAGGTACGTTCGCAGCGTCAGGCCGAGATAGCGCCTACCGCGCCTATTCGTCCGATGTGAACGCGGTATCTCTGCTCACTACAAACTGTCCGTGCGGGATAGGCGACCCTGCAGCTGGCTAGACCTCTCCAAGCGTTGCAGCACACCTTCTCAACCTTCACCAGCCCAGCCGTCTCATGGCGCCATTACCTAGCAGCCTTGGACTCGGACGCATTCTGCGTAATGAATCGCACGACCAACGATTGCGAGTCCCTGGCGAGTCCACTCGTGATCACTCCATGTCTAGGTCGCCAGTCAGAACCCCCGAAGGATGGATGGTCTTCGAACTTCTACAACGATGAGTCACTGCAGTACTGATCTCTGGCAGTACCCGGGGGCGGGCGCCCACACTCAGACTGGCATTCCAGTTCCCTCGCGAGCTTTAGCGCCACTTTAAGCGCTGCCTCATCCTGACTCCCCCGATAAGCGCGCCTCGAGCACATAGATGTGGGAAGACTGCCCGTGCGTCCCGTTGTGTCCTACCGTGCTTGGAGCCGAGCAGGGGCCTTACGCAGCGATCCCATGGCCTACGCTTTCGTAGCTTACATACCTTTCATCCCCGGCCCAACATGAGGGCAATCTAGCAGGCGCCAGAGCGGCGAGGGCAGGCTATCGAAATGGAACGGTCTGAATAGACGCTGCTATAGCCATTACCAAACGCAGCGAGAACAGCAGCCTGCCGCGTCCGAGCCCCGCACCTGACCACCCTCGCCGCAAGCATCGGCCTTCCGAAAACGAGAAGGCCAAGTCAGTTCGCAACTCAATCATGCATGCGCGTACGCAGGACCGGAGGAAAGACAGCGAGCGAGGGCCCCCATTGACACGGTCAGGCAGGGCCCCCTGCGTCTGAATCCGACTCTGGCCGACGCCCAAGCGGGGGAATCCGTCTAGCCATGACTGGCATAGATAGATCGTGGCACACGACAACGAAGTCCTCAGAGAAGCGCCACAATCCTTTGTCTTGCAGATAAGGCCGACTCACGCCACGCCAGAGGGACTCAAACATAATAAAAGACCACCAATAAATCGCAAGATAAGTAAACGAGGCCGACCGAGCATGTAACAAGAGGGTGAGGGGGATGGAATGAGACAGGGACAGGGAGATGAGCACTAAGCGGTACTAGGGCTACTAGGCGAACGCTACGAATATATGGTACAGGTCGATCCAGAGAGAACAGAGAGGAGAGATGGAGAACATGCATGATGAGGGGATGGGAACGACGACCAGAAGATGGAGGTGAGGGGAGACCAGAAGATGAACTAGCACTCTTGGTATGTATTATACGGATTTTGGAGCTGGTCGTCGGGGAAGGGAAGAGGGTCGACAGCAAAGGGGTAGAAGTAAGAGTCGTCCGTATCGACAAGGATGTGCACATGTTCGCGCAGGCGACTGCCCTCACCCGGTAGCGGCACCGCCGCGGGGCCAAGGGGAGGCAGCGAGCGCGAGTGACCGATGGACGGGGTGAGCGGCGAATCGCTCTCGTCGTCCGATGTGTCTTCTATAGCGTCTGGCACGGAAAGGTCCTCGTCGTCGTCCTCAGCGTCGTGATACGGCAAGGGGTCGTGGTACTGAGACGAGACGGTACGATGAATGTCGAATGGCGAAGGCAAGGCGTCCTCGTGCGCAGGCGGAGGCTGATAAGGGGGGTATGGTACAGGGTATGGTACAGCGATAGGTGGTGGATAATATACCGGCGGTCGAGTCAGGTCGTCGGAAGAGGACATGGGCGAGGTGGACGGGCTCAGCAGCGAGTCGTCGTCGTCGTCCTCCACGAGCATCGAGTGGACGTCCGCGTCCATCGCGAAGTCGTCGTCCTCGTCGTGGGAGAGGGTCTCCAAGAGGGAGTCTAGCCATTGTTCTTCGCTTCCGCTGCCCTCAGCAGCGGCACGGTCGTCGACCAACTTGCCGGCGTCGGGGAACATGAACGAGTCTACTTCCTCGTCCGCCGCATCGTCAGCGTCTGTGGCATTCCTCGCGTCCGCAGCCGCGTCGGAGGCCGCGGCGTCCGGCGCCGTTGACAACTGGGGGGTAGAGTGCACAATGGAGTTTTTGAGAAGGACCCAGCGGTGCAAGCTTGCGTCCGTCCTGCCCCCGAGGGACAGGTGCAGCTTGGTGCGCGCGAGGGAGAAGAGGTTTGTCGAGTCTGACGGCATGGTGACTGGGGACGTATGTGGGGAGGGGGATGTAGACGGGGCGGTACCTATATCAGTGGCTGACCATGAGCCTGCGGGCCACAAAGACAGGCACACGGACTCACTGTAGGACAGGGAAGGCGTGCACGAGGCTATGAGCGGGATATGCGTTCGACAATCTCTGGTTCGAAGAGGAGAGCACCAGTGGAGGTGATGCGGACGGCTGTGTTGACCATGCTTAGAGGGCGGAGCGCCAGTCACTGTGAAGGGCGACGACGGGCAGATAAGGAAGACGACGTGCGGTCGAATTACGCAGACATGGCTGAGGACGGCGGCGCGACAGTGACGGCAGTGGGCAACACACAGACGCGTTGACTCACTTTAAATAGCATTCCCCGCCACGTGCGTGACTGTGGCCCGCAACAGTCCCCGTCCGAGCCGGCTCATCACGACCCCGCAGACGGGGCGAACCGAACGTGAACCGGCCGTAAACCTAAACCAGCGCCAGCCTCAGATATACGCTTGCCAGAAGCTTCATGTCAGGTACTCCTGAGCCTGTCACCGTGCGGGGGATCCCCTCCAGAGCCAGGCCAGCACCCTCATTTGTACATGTTTCCCCCCTCACTTTCCGCGTCGTTATGTTGAGCTGCACGAGGGGGTCCCACCGTCGCCCACCGTCGCAATTGCTGTCGCCAGTGGCGCGGTCCAACTCGCAACCTCGTCCGACATCATTTATCCTCATACAGTGGTGATTCCGCCTGGTCTTCACGCATCCAGCTCGCCATATTCCCAGCTGAGAGCTCGCTGGCTCGCACATCCCGCCATCGAACGCGCCTCGATCGCGACTGTCCTTTCCGTCTGACGAGTGCCCGCCCGGACACTGCGCATCCCCCTCTGAGTGACTTACGGCCTGCTTCGCGGCCAGTATTCGGCCCCTTCCTTCCTCGCTTTGCTTCCTTCCACGCCCCATTGACTCATTATGCAGCAGAGATGGTGCCGGCGCTGCTTATTGCACCACCACCCACAGTATACACTAGTAAGAAGATGTGGGAAAAGCCCCCGAGACCAGTCGCGGGTCAGTCACTGTCACTCGTCCTTGGCCGGTCGTGCGCCCCCCTCAGCCCTCGTCCATCCGGTTGTCCTCATCCTCGTCCTTGTTGAGCTCCAGCAGCTTCCGAATCCGGTTGACGCTCTTCGGCGCGATATCCCGCGCGACGGCGACCATATGCAGCGCCTTCACCTCCTGCCCCGCCAGCCGATAAGCCTTCGCGAGCTGGAACACCACATTCGCCTCCTCCGGCGACGTGTTGCGGAGGAACTCCAGGTCGCTGATCGCATCCTGGCAAACAAGGTCAGCCCACGTCCGGACCCGCTATAGTTACATAACCCCGCGCACCTCGTACCGCCGCATTGCAATGTATATCTTCGCCCGCCGATAGCGCACGAGCGCATTATCAGGCTGCAGCTCCACGGCCTCATTGAACAGCTTGAGGCCCCCGGGGCGATCGTTCCGTCGCTCTACCGCCTATAGAGTGTGGTCAGCTGGCCGGCCGCGCAACAAAGCCAGCCAAAACCGGCAGGCTACTAGGCTGATGTGGCACGCACCATTCCCAGGCAGCCTAGCAAAACAGCGTTCTTCGGGTTGATCTCGACCGCCTTCCGAAAATGAAATTCTGCCATCCGTATCTTGCTCATGCGCATATAGCACGTCCCGAGGCCATACCTAGTGCAGCGATAAGCGACGGAGAGGTCGGCAAACAATGAGACCCTACCAAGCGTTGTAGTGTCGTGCGTCGACGCGAAGAGCGGATTGGAAGAAGTTGATAGCTCGGTCAGCATCCTCATCCAGCAACTCCTGCCCACTGAGCGTGTACGCGTAAGCGCAACTGGGGTCAAGTTGGAACGCCCGTCGAAAGCACGCCAGGGCTTTTGCCCGGTCCCGTTGCAGCGAGAAGAGATTCCCAGCGGCTAACCAGCCTTGAGGTGCATGCGGGTTGATGTTGAGGAGCTCCTGCGCTAGGTACGACAGCTCCTCCGCTTTCCGGACGTTCCAGAGCAGCGACGAGTATATCTCCATGTCCCACAACCGGTAGGGCTCCAGCGTACGTACTGCCCCGAACGCGCGTTCTGCCTGCTCAGGATCAGCCCTTTGCACGATGAATTCGGTCGGGAAAGACATACTGCAGCGTAATTCTGTCGCTCGTAATGCGCCTTGCCCGCCATGGAAAGCACCCACGGTGAGTTTTGGTGCGCAGTGGGTATCTCGTCCAGCGCAGCGACCGCGGCCACGCAGTCATACTTCGCAAGTGCGCGCGCAGCTCGCGCGAACATCCTCATGAGGTTGTACAACTCGAAGTCTGCGCATTCTTGCTCGTAAGCCTCTTGCGCGGCTCGCTCCTGCGCTTGTGTCCAAGCTTCAGGCCCTGGCGAGGCCGCTGAACGTGGCGAGGACGGTGACTGAGCGGGTGGCACAGCATGGTCTGTCTCTTGCTCCGTGTCGGTTGACTGCGTCCGTGCGTGCTGCGTCGTCGGCTGTCGTCTCGTCCGTGTCGCTGCAGTCTACATAACCCTACCATCAGATCAACCTGAGCACAAACCTCACTGCCCTTGCATACCTTCGACGGCGGCTTATTCGCCCCACTCAGCAGCCTCGTACTCCGCCGCGTGGGCGCGGGTGGCGGGATCTGCGACGCCTGCGAGGTGACCTTCGTGACCCGGGAGGTCGACGCCTGCGGTTTGCGTCCCGGTAAGAGGACGTCAGCGATCACGGAGCCAGCGCGTGAGCGTGCCTTTTTCGGTGCGGGCGGCTCCTCGTTCGACTTTCCGGCCTTCTTCAGGTCGGCGCGCCCGGTGTGGCGCAGCTTCTTCTGGACGGGGCCGGTCTCGTCTGCGGAGGACAGAGGTCGTGCGATTCCTGGAACGCCAGGGGCGGGGTTGTTGGATGGGGGCTGTAGTTGTGATGAGGGGAGAGGGCGGATGGGTCGGTTGATTTGGGCGAATGAGTTTTCGGGGTAGAAGGAGGAGTCGTTGGTGGCTCTGAGGGATGTGAGTCACTAATAAACTGATGTTAGGAGAAAATGGTTCACATGGAATCTCGCGGGCCCGCAGGTGGGCCCATTCGAAATGGGTGAGGCTGGCCGAAGCCAGCTCTCCAATTTGCGAAGCCATTTGGCTTGGTATTGTTGTCGGGAGTGAAGAAGCCAACTCCAGTGGCTATCGGCATGGTTTGGGCGGCTGGGATCTCCTCCGGCTGTGAGCGTTTCACCGGTAGCGGCCTGTGAGGGAATATCACGTCCAGTTCGGGGACTTTGCCTGCTGTGAGTCAGCTTCTGGGCCACTGCGTGCCACACGCCACGTACCGAGCGCGCAAAGGCCCTCAAAGGCTTCCCATATCATGGGGTTCAGTTGCAGGGATTCGCGGAAATACATGGCGGCTCGATCGTGTTGGTTGCCCTTCAGCGCGGACGTGCCGGCGCGACATCTGAGCGTGGCTTCGTCGGGGAACGTGTGGGGTACGAGACGCGACACCGAGGACGCTGTGCGCGAGTCAGAAAAGGCGCACAAAGACACAATCATGCCACACACCTGTCCGTACATACTCCGGATCCGCGATCGCATCCTCCAGCGCCTCGCGCGCTTGCCTGTGCTGTCCCAACTCGCTATAGCACTTCGCTTTCAGCTCCGCGCACCCCGGGCACGCGCGCTCTTTCGGGGAATTCACGACGCAAAGCGCAGAATACGGCTGGCCGGCGCGCAGGAGGACGGTGGTATAAAGGTGTCGTGCGTCGTGGTTCTCGGCCTCGAGCGAGATGTAGCGCTCCGCGTAGAACACGGCGGACTTGATGAGGTCGAGATCGAGGCACTGCCATATAATCGCGTGCAGGCGCTGTTGCAGCGGGGTGAGTTCCGTGAGCGGCTTAGGCTGCATGGCTGGGTGTGGCTGGGGTGCATAAAGCTGGAGGCGCGCGTCGTTTCGCTCGGTGCGGAGGCCTTGGCGGGAGATATGCAAGAAGCGCGACACGCAGGGGCAGCGAGGGGCAGAGATGAGCGTTTGGGACAGGCCACAGGATAGCTAACAAAGAGCCAGAGCGCGAAAAAGACCCCGTCCCGATGATGGCGTAGCGGTCAACAAGGAATTGCTCACGTGATGACGCGTAACGGGCCGACGTACGTGGGAATCCCCTGCCCCGACGTCTGCCCGCCGCCCGACTCAATTGAGTGCAAGTCCCCGCGCGCAAAATGAACGGAGATGGTCGTCAAGACCACAGCCAGGTCGCAGTAACAGCGCCGTTAGCAGTATATTGTACAGTACTACTTCTACATCTTCTAGTGTCCGTGAGGATCAGGCTCGCCTTGCGGCTCTAAGGATGGGATCAGAAACGACGAGAAGATGGCACAGAAACTTTTAACTTACCTGGAATGCACTGGATCGCGTCGTCGATGCGAAGCAAGGAAACAGCAGCCTCGTACGCGGACTTCAGGCTCTTCACCTTGCTCATCGTGGGCTCGAGAATGCCAGCAGAGACATTGTCCCGCACGTCCCCGTTCATGAGGTCGAGGCCATAACGCAGGAGCTGCTTCTTCGGGTCGCCAGCAGGTGCAGTCTGCGCCTTGTAGTGGTATGACCGCAATTTGGCGACAAGCTCGGTCGAGTCTTTCGCTGCGTTGACAGAAAGGGTCTTCGGGATGGAAAGCAGAGCTTGCGCAAACTCAGCGATCGCGAGCTGTTCGCGAGATCCCTGCAAACAAAGTCAGAAGGCTTGTCCAAGTATGTGCAGATAGAACGCACCAATGTCGTCGCAAAGTTCTCGAGGTATATGCTGAGGGCAGACTCGACGGCTCCGCCACCGGGGACAACGGCGCCGCTCTCCAACGTCCGCTTGATGATGGAAAGAGTGTCATGCAGAGCACGCTCCATTTCGTCGAGCATGTAGTCGTTGGCGCCGCGGAGGATGATAGAGGACGAGCTGACGACCTTTGTGCCCTTGACTAAGATAAGCTCGTCGTCCGAGATGCGCTCTTGCACGACCTCGTCCGCGGTACCGAGGTAACTGGGCTCGAAGGTCTCCTCGCCCTCGAGGTTTGCCAAGCTCGACACCAAGGTACCGCCAGTGGCCTTCGCAATTCGGCGCAGGTCCTCCTTGCGACATCTGCGGACGGCCATCGCGCCAGCCTCGACGAACTCCTTCAAGCAAAGGTCATCAATACCCTTCGTCGTGAGGACCACGTTCGCGCCGGCCGCAAGGATCTTGCGAATGCGTTCCAGCGTAATCTCCGACTCCCTACAGATCGAGCTCAGCATGCTTCCCGCGCGAGGGAGGAAAGGATTACGCACCGCTTCCGAATCTCCTCGAGCTGGTTCGGATCGTCGACGAGAATCTGCACGCCGAGCTGCATGCGCGCCTTCTGGAGGTTGATGTCCAGGCAAGCGATCTTCGCATTCGTTATGCGCTTCTTCATCGCTTTTGAAACATGAGCAAGTCTGACATGCACTCCACTGCGCATGACACCCACCTTGACTGGCGACGGTGCAGTTCAGGGCGTAGCCCTGCACGAAGATGGAGTCCCGTGCGCTCCGCCCGTGCGCCTTCAGTACGTTCACGGCCTTCACGGGGTACTTGATGTCACCGCGCGTGTTGATTGTTCTGACGGCGAGCATCGCGTCGACCGCCATGGGGGCGAACACGTCGTCATCGCTGGATGGATCAGTACTCTGGCGCGCTTTTGTAACCGATGCAACTCACTTCCCGATGATCTTGCTCGACATGCTGGTCTTCGCGGCGTTGATCAGCGCCTCCTTCCCGAGCGCATCCACCTTGATGCTCAGCTGGTCCTGCATGTACTTGACCGCCTCCCGGCACGCGAGACGGTAGCCGGTGATGATCGTGGTGGGGTGGATCTTCGACTTGACGAGCTCATTTGCGCGGCGCAGAAGCTCGGCGGCAATTATGACGACGGACGTAGTGCCATCGCCGACCTCCTTGTCTTGCTTCTGTGCGAGATCGACGAAGATGCGGCCCGCGGGGTGATCGACAGAGAGGAGGGAGAGGATGGTTGCGCCATCATTCGAGATGGTGACTTCCTGCACAGATGTTAGAGCGCGCAGCCATGCACGGCGCAATCACATACTCCAATGTTGTCCACCAACATCTTGTCGAGCCCCAGAGGGCCGAGGGAACTCTTGACGATGTTCGCGATGGATTGAGCAGCGATTACTGGAAGTATGGTGAACACTTGCTTGGGATATAAGAGTTCTGTCGCGCACCATTTTGGTCACGAATATCCTGCCCAGATACTCTGTCTCCACCCAAGAACGCGCCAGCACGGGGATCCCTTTGGAACATCGCCATGATTAACGATGTGTAGCCGACTTTTGGGAAAAGGTCAAGGACGCGTATGGCGCAAACAGCGCCAAATCACGATCGCGCCCGTCGCGTGGCGCGCGTCGGACTTAGCCATGAAATCGAGTCCAAGCTCAGCAGCTTGCAATTGCTCAGGGACGGCAGCTATGCTCAAACGCGCAAGGTATTCGCTGCATGTAGCTCTACTACGATACAGAGCTTCGTATAGAATTGGTCCCCGAGGGCGTGTGTATGCATTGCACTAGCTCGCGCGAAGGCGGCAAATATGCTCGTATTGACAGCCCAAAAAGACAGACATGAGTGCGATGACCAGCATCCAACGCGTTGTTATACGGCTCAGCGCTCAAGTCCAGGGGATGCATTCACAGTTACTCACACGTCGTGAGCGGCCACAGTATAGTAGACCACGGAGGTGCACATATAGCGGCTATAGAGTTAGCGCCTGTCTTTCAAACGAATCATGTACACTTGCGGTACGTTGAGGCAGACACATCGGTGGAAGCATACCAGCGCCCGACAGTGCCACGTCGATGAGGTATAAAGCAGAGGATGCGCAATGGTAAGCGCCTCCTCAAGCACACCCATCTCAGCGGGTGTCGACGTCGAGCTGGGAACCGGAGGACAGCAGCAAGTCCACATCCCGGCATCTGAGCCCAAGAATTCAATGGATGCCGACGAGCAGTGCAAGACGCGGAAGAGACATCTCGACGGCTAATTGGGCTGAGGTCGGGCAGCAATGGTGGAAAAGCGGCGACTGAGGCAAGTATCGCTTTTTTCTCCTCTGCGCGGCAGCGGCTCATCTGGACTTGTGAAGGCATGCGGGCGCAGCAGAGTTGGAACTTCGAGAAGAGGAGGCTGGTGTTTGCGTCGCTTTGCCTTCGCCGGCTCGGGCACGTGGTGATTGGCCTCTGGAGCAATTTAGAACGGGCTGCCCACGACCAGCGCCTCAAGGGTCTCCGACTGTCCTTGTCCCGCCGCTACCGGCCTCAAAACCACGAAAGAGCGGCCGAGATACCCTCACCCACTTTCGCTCCTTGTTTCGGCCAATACTTCATCTTCTAATACCGCGAATTGCTTCCGCTCGACATGGACGCTGCTGAGCTCGCGAGATGGACGCGTTTTGCTGCCAAGGGCGGCATTGGGAAATGCACAGCGGTGCAGGACTGCGTTGCGCAGAGCTCCGAGGATCTTATGTTTCTGAAGGTGTGTATACAGAAGTACTTCCTCTCATGCAAGTGCTAACATTCGGCGCAGGACGACGAGATCACGGTGCTCATGCAATTGCCAGAGCAAGATAATTTATACCTGGTATGCATATGTCATGGCATTCTGCCTGTCTCTTACCCTCCTGTAGGGCTATTGCGAGGGCGTTGTTGGTAGATTCCGAGGGGAGTTCGTCCACTTCCACTCCAAGCTCAAGCGACCCGTCATGACCAAGCGGTCGTCCGTACACTCCTACAAGTCGTCGACACCCGTGCCCTACCCCAAGTCTCCCTCACCATTGATGACGCCTGTCGACTCTCCGTCCGTGAGCCAATTCAGCCACGCGTCTTCAAGTCAGCCTGGGCCCTCCCGTAACGGGACCGGGGAGAGCGACGGACGCGCTCCCCCGACGCTCTCCCGCTCTGACTCAACGACCAACTCGGAGAACACCCTTGAAACCCCGCCGATGCTCTCACCCACCAGCGCGCGCGATTCGACCGCTTCTGCCGACGACTTCGCGCTCCCCAATCCCCATTACGCTGTCGATCCCCGTTTCTCATCCATCCTTGCCGGCGGCACGGACATCATGGACCTGGACCAGCACGCATTACGTCCGCCTTCGCCCATCCGCCATGAAGATATTCCCGATACCCCGCCGCTTCGAATTACCTCTCCTCCATCAAGGTTCACGAAATTACATGACCATGAGGAGCAGGCGACCTTCCAGTCTTGGCAGATGCCCATGGGCGAGCAGCAGGCTCCCGTTGCATCCTCGGCTGACAGTCTGTCCATTGCGGACGACCATATCACGCGTCGCAACTCGACAACGACGGTGGACGGCGAGACTGGCATCGGCTTGACATTCTTGCAAAATATGACGGGTGGTGATGGGGACGACTGGTCCTCGAATTACAGCCGCAAGAGCATGGCGAGCGACGTGACTTCCCTGGCTGAGGGTGGGCTAAATTACGCTGACGACGAGTCGGTGTATGAGGAGCGGGTGGTCAACGACAGTGCTTCGGTGTATAGCAAGGCGTCTATGCTCGCGGACACCTCCCATGACACCATTGAGGATCCCCGCACTCCAAATGCACAGGCGAGTTTCAACCCACAGGAGCCGGAAGAGACGCCCTCGCCCACACCTCGAGGGTCCACCGACCAGGACGCCGATAGACGATCCGAGTCGCCACCAACACCCACTTCCGCGCGGCCACCTGCATCTCCGAGGTCCATCCAAACCTACTCGACCGGCCAGGACTTGTGGGACATCTATGACGACTACCGGTATTCCCGATACTCCATGGCGTCGAAGATGTCGCGGTACTCGACGGCCTCGCATCGTCCTTTCGGCAGCTCTTCCTCACCTCCTCCTCCTCCGGTACCAGGAAGGGAGCGCGTAAACTCGTACCAGTCCGGCTCGTCGGTGTATACTCAGGCATCGAAGGTCTCTGGGACTTCGTCGTCGCAGAAGTCCGACCGCGCACCGGGATCATCCGCTGACGATAGCAATTTGCCTGCAGCGAGCGACCGCGCGCCATCCGAGCCCGACGCTCAGGAAGTCACGTACAAAGGACGACCGCCATCTTTGCAGCTCAGTGCTTCACTCCTTCATACGACATGGGCATCACCTTCGACGTCTCCGTCGAGCACTGGCGACCGTATGTCCTATGCATCGCAAGCCCTGCCCTCACCAGGCCTTGGTCCGGGTGCTGCGAGCTCGCTCAGACAGCAATTGGAGCACAGCCAGCAGTCTGTGCCTGCGAAGCTCGCCTCTCCGCATTCTCCAGACGAGGATGGGAATGAGGACGAGGATGAGGTGGTCGTTGCGCCGCGCGACTCCGTGCACTCTCGTGCCGAGACGGAGAGCGACTACAGCGATGACCATTCGTCGCGCTCTAATTCACCTGATTTGACCATTGGCCACCTCCCGCCGTTGTCGGTCACGAATGCTTCGGACACTGGGCACTCGTCAGAGACGACACACACGGAAGTAGCTCACGATGCTTCAGCGAGAAGTGCGCCTCCCATCGTGGTGGAGCAATTGGCGTATCAGCAGTCCTCATCGTCGCCCATCGAGTCGCCTCTGTCGCCAGATGGTGGCACATTGGGCGTATCATTGCCTCCCTCGCAGTCGCCCTCGCCCACTTCGCATCTGCGCATCCCGCGTCCGTCTTTGCAGGAGTTGCGCGGGGAAGATGGCGCTGGTCAGCGTACGAGCTTATTTGCCCCGCATCCCAACGCGCCGAAGCCCACGGCGGACTCGTCCGGCCCCATGTACCTTCGCTCGGGCACTGACGCTCCACCGATGCCTTACACCGCACCCCAGCAACACGTTGCTCCCAGGCCATCCGTCATCGTTGTTATTAGGCAGGCACTGGCGGGCCCGCCGCCATCGCATCTGCGTCGTGGGCCCACAGTTTATGGGATCCTGGACATGGACCTGAGCCAAGCAACTGGCCCAGTGCCAGTGCGCTTCAGTGTAGAACCTCCGCCTGCGACAGCTCCTGGTGGACGTATACCGACACCGATGTCCCCGCCCTCGCGTGCGGCGACTGTGCCAATTATCGCTCCGCAGCCCGTGGGGTCACCTCCGTTGGCAGGCCCACCGTCTCGTACGGGGTCGCCAATAGTCAGCACGTTTTCGTTGCCGGAGCGGCCGTCCTCGGCAGCGTCTACTAGCAGTGCTGCCAGTGGCAGTCAACAGTCAACAGCGTCGGGCGCTATCCCTCGGGCAAATTTCTTCCCTAAGGCTGGTACGGCGCGTCCTCGGTCCCGGAGCTTCTCTGGCTTCAATAACACTCAGCCAGAGCTAGAGTTGGGGTAAGCGTGTTCTCAATTCATGCCAACCCAAAGCTAATCAGTCATTTATAGCAAGGACAACACTCGCCCATCGCAGACGGCCCAGCCCGCAAAGCCGAAGGGACGCACGATGTCGACGCAGCACGCGTCGTCGCCGTTGGCTCACAGTGCGATCACCTCGTTGAGGGGCGCGGCTTCCAAGGCGCCTACCAGCCCGCTCGCGCAGCACTCCATCACCCGGCCTGCGTCGACGATCTCTACGAAGCGTGCCAGCTTACTGCCGAAGTCATCCATGCCCAACCTCGGAGAGCGTGCTTCCGTCAGCAGCGTGGCCTCCTCGTCAAGGCCGACGCCTCTTCGTGCTAGCAGCACTGCGTCGACAAGTAGAGACGGGAGCGAGCCGCCCTTGTCTCCCACTACTACCGTGGACAAGCACTCGAGGAATCCCACACTTGACTCGCTGGCTTCGCGCGCAAGGCCGTCGACTGATGATACAGCGTCGATCGCCAGCGGTCGTTCGCAAATGACTTCGCCGGCTCCAGGGCGCCAGTCATCCCTGCGGAGCAAGCTCTCGTTACCCAACCTACGGCGCTCGGGCGACAAGTACGAGTCGCCGAGCTTCTCGACCCTCAACGAGAACGAGACGATGCAGGTCCAGGATATGGACTTCGAGCTCGTGCGGCCGACGATCCCGCATCTCAGTCGCAGCAGCGAGGACTCGACGCGGACATCGATGGAGTCGGTTTCACTGCCTCGGCCAGGAGTACCTGGGATGCTCCGTCCGGAGAGCCCTGCTCTGTCGACCATCTCTGCACCGCGCTCGCCGACCGCACCGACAGATCCATCCGCACCGCGGCTACCTGTCTCGATCAACAAGCCCCCCGATGCCGAGTCGGTCGAGGGCCACAGACAGCGCGAGCTCAAGTGGGTGTCGCTCATGTCCGCCGTGCCGCCGTCGCACGCGCGCAAGAGCAAGAAGGTCAAGAAGCTGCTCTACGAGGGTGTCCCGTCGTCGGTGCGCTACCTTGTGTGGTCGCACTTGATGGACAGCCGCGGAAAGTCGGTGCCGACCGTGTATGGACAGCTTGCTAAGCGCGAGCGAGTTGCTGCCTATCATCAGATCGAGCGGGACGCACAGCAGAGCGCTTTCGATCACCCGAATCTCGCGCCGACGCAGACTTCGCTCCTGTCGCTACTCCAATCGTACCTTTGTATGGTCCCGGATATCACTTATTCTAAAGGTGCGTTGTCTGGTACTCGGGTTAGGACTCTACGCTAACAAAACCTCTAGGCCTGACTTTGATAGCCGGGCACCTCCTTCTGCTCGCGCCTGAGGAGGACGCGTTCTGGATTTTCGTCACCCTGATGGATGCATATCTCCGACCCTATTTCTCGCCCAACACGACTCAGTTGGAAGTGGACGCGGCATTGTTCTGCCGTGCGCTCGAGTCCAACGATGCGCAGGTGGCGAAGAAGATCCTGACCGAGATTGGCATTGGTGCAGTAGAACTCTGCCGTCCCTGGTTCACGACCCTCTTCGTCGACGCGCTGCCGTCGGAGTATGTCAACCGTGTTTGGGACTTCTTCCTCTGCGAAGGTGAGTACACATCAACTACCATGCATCTACTCTTGCTGACTGTTGTCAAGGCCTTCCTCTACTCATCCGTGTGGGCTTGGCCGTCATTCAGTGTTGTCGACGCGCTATCTTGGAGTGCAAGACCGAGGAGAGCCTGCTGCGCTACATCACCGCTCCTCCGCCGACCTGGTTCCCGCCTACGGTGGATGCGTTCATCACCGTCGTCATGTCCGCGAAGGTGAAGGACGACGACGTTCGCAAGCAGCGCGTCAAGATGGAGGCGCAGATCAAGCGCCAGACGCAGCAAGGCCCTCGGCTGCAGACCAACTTCATCTCCCTGCCAAAACCGTAGTCGTCGATTGGGACTCTGCCTTGACTTGGTCTATTTGCGTCGTCTCGCATCATCTATGGATCTGTTTACACTCGCTTCCACTTTGGATTCAATATATCTATACAGCATTATTCTCCCATTTCTTCGTCTAAGTATAAAGCAAGCACCATACACCACGTACATACTTTCTGCTAATGAACTGACGACCATCCCCTTAGCTCTCTCCCCGCTCTCCTCAGCCTGTCCACCCCTCGTATACGGTCTCTTTCTGGAGGCCATCTACATGCGTATCTCATGCAGGATCCTACATATTCTCATACACTATGTCGTCAACCGCTGTGTAGTTGCTATCCCAGTCTCGCGTCTCTATGTTATGCAAGGGCGATGTAAATATCTGACACGGTTGCGACGACAGAACTCTTGAGAACCTCGAGAGCAGACACACTTCAAGTTGAACTTCATTTCAGGGTCCTTGTGGGTCCAGATCAAGCCAGTCACGTGAAATCCGAGCGGCAAAAGTCGGGGGTCGCGCATGCTCGCCGTCATCATCGACGACCGAAGCAGTTTGACACCGCGCCTGACAGCGAGCTCTTGCACTTGCAAGCCGCTTTGATTGCGGAATGTACCGGGCACTGTCGCGACATGCCATAGTCCCCTCCACAGGACGCAATGCTGTCCGTGTGACCAGAAGGGTGCGTCGCCTACTCCCTCGAATGCGCATGTGCTAACTGGCCCACAGCGTCTGGCGAACGATGCATCTGGCGTAACAAAGAAGAAGAAGAGCATCGTCCGCCGCGTTATCTTCTGGTCCACTCTCACTACCACGGGTTTCTACGTCGGCAGCACCTTCGTCTCGTTCAACAGCCAGTTCTACTATGACTTCTTCTCGGAGAACGTTCCCCTCGGCTCTTCCCTCCTCGACTTCGCTGAGTCCCATGGCTGGGATACTATCACGCTCGATAGCATCAAGCTCTCTGCCCTATCTGCTCAGCAGTCGATCACGGACCTCGTGAACGGCAAGACCTCGATCACGCCTGCAGACGCGCTGGAACGCGCGAAGAGCACGGCAGAGGCAACCCGGAAGATCATGTCGGACAAGCTGCGCGAGGCCAAGGAAGCGACCTCTCACACAATAGAGGATGGCAAGGCGAAAGCCACGGGCGCCGCGAAGACCGTAAAGAAGGCCGGGAAGGACGCAGTTGAGAAGGCTGAGGAGGCTGTGAAGCACCAGGAGGAGCGCGCCGAGAAGGAGCTGAAGGACCTCGTCAAGCAGGCCGAGGCTGCACTGAGTGGCTCTTCCACTGCGCAGGCGAAGCAGGCAGGGGAGGTCCCACCTCTTTCGGACGCGCCTGCGAAGGCTGCCGATCCAGCCGTTTCCGCCGCGGACGTGTACGATGCACCTCTACCCATCGGTTGCGAGCCCCCGCCAGGCTACAAGCGCCCACCCCCGCCACCTAAGCCCAAGGCTGAGGAGAAGCCCGAACCCCCTGTCCCCGAGCTGCCTCGCTTGACGCCGCAGATCGACGCGTCGGAGCCCGTCGTCACACATCTTGCAGGCATCATCGACCAACTCGCCACCTTCGTTTCTCACAACGCCGAGACTAGCGCCAAGGCGACCCCCGTTCTGGACACTGCGAAGGAGGACCTCACATCGCTCGTCAACAAGATTGCGCAGATCAAGGAGGACGAGCAGAAGAACCTTGAGGCGAAGCTCGATGCGCAGTCGCGGGAGTACAGCACGAAGATGTTGGAGCTTGAGATGCAGAGTCAGGACAAGCTCGACATGCAGGAGGACGAGTTCCGCAAGTTTTACGACGAGGAGAAGCTGCGTCTTGCCCAGATGTGCCGCGAGAAGCTCGAGAATGAGCTCAAAGTCCAAACTGAGCTCATCAACGAGCGGTCAGTGCTTTACGTTGTCCATATTGCATTCGCTGATTCGTATGCAGGTTGAAGGAGGAGGTCATCGCACAGGGCATCGAGCTCCAGCGCCGATGGATTCGTGCGGTGAAGATGCACGTCGAGGAGGAGCGCGGTGGGCGTCTCGCCAAGATCGATGAGATCTCGAAGGAGCTCAAGTCGCTCGAGCGCGTTGCCATCGACAACAGCATCTACCTCGATGAGAACCTGCGCGTCCACGCCCTCTGGTCCGCCTACCGCACTCTCGCCCAATCCGCCATCGACGCACCGGTACGGAAACCTTTCCGGGAAGAACTGCGCGTCTTGCGGAGTATCGCCGTCGCTCGTGAGGACCCCGTCACCGGCACCGTCCTCGAGCAGCTCGAGAACGGTACTGTGGCTGACGTCGGTGTCGAGCCCTTGGCCGACCTCACCGTCTGGTTCACACAGAAGGTTGCACCGAAGGTCAGCGAGGTTGCGCTTGTGCCCGAGTACAATGCCGGCCTCTTGACCTACCTCGGAAGCCGCATCGTCTCCGCGCTCATGTTTGACAAGCGGAGCGGGAAGGCGCCGGTGGCGGGCGACGACGTGCTGAGCATCCTGAAGCGCGCCGAGTGGTACCTCGCAGAGAAGGACTTGGACAGTGCAGCGCGGGAGGTCAACCAGCTGCGCGGCCCCGCGGCGACATTGGTGCAGGACTGGCTGCAGGCGGCGCGCCAACGATTGGAGGTTGAGCAGGCTTTGTCGGTGGTGCAAACCCAGGCGACGCTGGCATCTCTTTTGGTGGTGTAACTAGTCTCATCTCAAAACCCGTAGACCTTTGCACACTCCTTTCAAGCGCTTCTTTGTTGGACGTTTTGTTCTCGTCTTGGCGAGTTACGGACGTCGAGTGATATGGAATGAAAGTGTTGGCTGCAACCGGTCTCCCTTGGCAGTGCGGTTTCTCCATTACTATCTACGCCACGCTAGCAGCGCTTTGTGGCTCACTCGATGTTCTATCCCCACTGTTGCCACCTTGCAAAGTCAGACTGCAGGCGCAAGTACGTTTGAACGCCCGGTTGACTTTCGGATTCTGCCGAGATTGTTGTCGACTTCGCTTTCGACCCTCGACCTGATCAGCGCTGAAGACCCCGTTACCTGCAATTGAACTCCCGCGGTCAATACACATTGTGTGTTTGTTTGTGCACCGGTGTGGCGCTTGTTTGTCTTTGCCCCGTCTGGTCATTTTTGTCACCTCCAAGGTGTATGCCCTTTCATGAATGGATGAATAGAGTTGGCTGCACCTGCAGAGGTATATATATGCACCTGTTCGAAGAGAGCAAGCATTCCCCAGCTCAACCCAGGCTTCGAGGGCCCGTGCCCCTGCGCAGTCTTCCAGCTGACCTGTCGCTGCACAATCCAGCCTTGCTGCCATGGCTCGTGACAACCCCACTGCACGCCCTGTTGCCAATGCACGCGATAGCCACTCGCCAAGCGTTACCTCAGGCACTTCTTTGGCGCCATCGAGCCCCGCGGAGTCAGCCACTTCGCCGAGCAACTCGGCCGCGTCGTCTGCGCCTGAAGGCGGCGCAGGCCAGCGCGAGGGAGTCGCAGACCAGCCTGAGGGCACGGAGACCACCACCTCCTCCGTAGGCCGGATTTCCTACACGCCGAACGGTCTTCCCATTGCCCCATGGCGTCTCAGCCACCAGGAAATGGTTGCCCTTCAGGTCCTCACTAGGTCGCATAGGGAAGGGCCATTAGCCTTTTACCAACCATATCCACCGGGTGTGGATCCTGAATATCTCCACTCACGAGTCTACAAGGGTCATGGTGCACCCAATGGGCCGCCTTGAGTGTTGTTGTCACGGAAAGCGCACTGGGTTAACAGTGTTGGACATCAGCTTTCGCCCTCCATAGAACATGGCACTGAATGGATTTGATCTCATTTGGATCTCATCGTTTTCCTTTCATGCCATGGCTAGGCTTCCAATTCTAATCGCTACAATTTCTACGTACGTACAAACAAGAAGGGCGCATACAGTGGACAGTTCCAAGCTTAGCAAACAACAGACATTCGTGACGTTCGTACACCCGTACAACATTGCGTGTCGTAGATCAACAAGTTCGTATATCGTCATCGTAGCCGCGCGCGTACCCTCTACTTTCGGCCTGCAAACAGTCAGCGATCAGTCAATCAAGATATGGCAATGGATAGTACTCACCACCCTTCTTCTTCCCTCCACCCTTCTTGCCCTTCTTGACCGGTAGACCCCAGTCGTCGTCAGCAGGCTTCTCGGTAGCGGGTGTAGTTGGCTCAGTAGCCGTTGGTGTTGCAGCCGCCGTACCACCAGGCGTGTCTTCCTCGCCTTCCGCCGTTGCGCCGTCTGCTGCAGGCGCTACCTCTTCTGCGGGAGGAGCCTCGACTGGAGCAGCCTCAGCCGGCGCCTCACCTGCGCCTTCGCCGTCCATAGGTGCCAACTCCGGTAGCCCACCAGGCTTGGGCGTGCCCAGCAGTCCCCCAAAGTCGTCGCCACCTCCATCGACCGGTGGCAACTCAGTCGTCGAGCCCCATCCGCCATTATGATGCTGCTGCGAAGGGTCTGACAGCATGTCCGACAACGCACCCGGGATAGCCTCGTGGTGCTCGCCGCCGGGCGCATCGAACAGGCTGTTGTTGTCGAACGAGCCAGCACCCCATCCGTCGGCCTGAGGCGCCTGCGGCTGCGACGCGTCTGGCAGCGTCCACGACGAGAAGCCATTCTCTTCCTTCTCTGGGCTCGCCTTCGCGCTGCCCCCATTGCTGCCGCCGCCGAAGCCCGAGCCCCATCCTCCAAAGATGGAGGTCGCGGCAGACGGCTTGATACCGCCGTTGGCCCATCCACCAAACAGTGAAGACGCGAAGCCGCCTTGTGCAGGAGGCTCTGGCTCAGGCAGCTCTGCCGGCTGCGGCGGCTGCGGGGACGCCGGCGTGGGGGTCGAAGCGGGCTTGGGCGTCGCCTTCGACGAGGCCACGCGCGAAGGAATGCGCGAGGCGGCACGCGACTTCGGCTGCTCCAGCATGGCGAAGCCATCGTTCTCAGCCGGAGGCTCAGGTGCGACGGGAGGCTCCGGCGCAGGTGGTTCGGGCTCCGCGGCATTCTCTTCGGGCGGTGGTGTCGGTGTTTTAGGCGGAGGGGATGCAGCCCTAGACGGTAGCTTGGAGGCTGCTTTAGAAGGGACTGCGGAGGCTGCCTTGGAAGGCACCTGAGAGGCCACCTTAGATGGCACTTGTGACGCAGCCTTGCTGGCGGCCTGCGACCCGGCCTTGCTTGCCGCCTGAGACCCTGCCTTGGACGCCTTCGCCAACTTCCTCTGCTCCGCCTTCGACAGCTTTCTCTCCGGCTCTGGCTCCGGCTCAGGTGCAGGTTCAGGCTCAGGTTCAGGCTCCGGCGCAGCTGCTAAGTAGAGGTTGGTCCATGTCTATGACAACGAGATAACGAGACTACGTACTTTCCAAAGACCCAGGCATCTGCTCAGTAGGCTCCTCCGGCTGCGGCTGCGGCTCCTCAGCAGTCGGTTCAGGCGCGGGTGGCTCAGGCGCAGGGGGCTCAGGCTCCGCCGCGGGCTGCGGGCTTGCCGCGCGCGTACCCGCTCTGGGCGTCGCGGCCGGCTGCGGCGTGGCCTGCGCGGTCGTCGCCTTCGACTTGCCCTTCTTGCTCTTCTTCGACGGTGTCGAGAACGCTGGCTCAGGCTCAGGTGCAGGTGGTTCGGGCTCAGGCTCAGGCTGCTGCATCTCTGGCTCTGGCTCTGGCGCGGGCGGCTCCTCGGGCGCAACAGGAGGCGCAGAGGGCGCTGGCGACGGCGGCACCGTCCCAGCGGGCGACGCAGCCGCGTTGCCCCAGACCGAGTTGAGCGCAGCGCCGAGACCGCGCGAGGAGGTGCTGGTGGTCTCGGTGAACTCAGTGGGCGCGCGCGATCGCGAGCTGCGGGAAGAGCGCGCATCGTCGGGCACGGCAGTGGACGCGCGCGACACCGACTCCGAGGGAGCGCGAGAGCTCGCGTACGAGAGCGAAGTAGCGGACGACCGCGAGGTCGATGTGCGCTCGATCGTAGGCGGCCCTTCGCGGGAGCGCACGACGTCCGGAATCGCGGCAGGCAAGCCATCGCGATGGCTACCAGAGGTACGGCGGCTGTCCGAAGTATGGCGTGAGCTCGAGGTGTGGTGGCTCGCCGAGCTGTGTTGGCTCGAGGTGAGGTGGCTTGCCGAAGTGTGTCGGCTGGTGGAGGTATGATGGCTCGTTGTGGAAGCCGCCGTACGATGGTGCGACGAAGCAGAGTATGCCGAGCCGTAGGCACTTCCTGTGTCGGTCGCCGTCGCCGTAGACGTTGACCTGGTGGATGGTGCACCATTCGACACACGCCGGTCATTATGGCGACTCGATGACACGCTCATATCATCCTCGGGTATATTGTCTGGTTCGTCCTCCTCGTACCGATGGCCACGCTCGTTGTAGATGATCGAAGCGGGCCCGCTGTTGAGCCTACCGTTAGCACACTTTCAAGCGACCAGCAGGTACATCACTTACTACTTCACCTGCCCATCACTCCCTGTCCACTTGATACGGGCCTTGAACTCAGTCAGGCCGAAGTGGATCTCGACAGAGAACACGATCTTCCAGTAAGTCTTCCCGCTCGGGCCATGTTTCGGCGTCGCGCTGCTGGCCAAAGGGGACAGGTCCGCGCGCACGATACACAGCGTCGAGTAGTCCTCTGCAGCACAATGAGCCTTGCTTCATGAGCCAACCGCGGAAGAAGTGCATACCATGCTGCCTCAGGATCCACTTCGGGATTTCATTGCCTCCACGATAGCACCAAATCTCGACCTCAAACACAGACAACAGGCTCAAGCTTGTCAACTCCGTGCAGTACTTGCGCGTGAAAACGGTCGACTCCTTGACTTTGACGCCCTGCAATGCGTGATCAGAGGATTGCCTTTCTCCATACAAGAACACTCACCCTAGCCAGGATACAGTCAAATGCATCCGGAAGCAGCTTCGGGCCAGATGGCAGCTCGCACAAACGGCCCTTTCGCTTAACGTGCTCCCTATCGTTCGGATCGAACTCACGCAGGAACTCGACGCCATACATGAAGCGCGCCATGCGTGCAGAGACGTGGTGGTCGCAGTAGAAGCCGATAGCACCGTCAGCAACCGCCTTCGAGCTGAACGCAAAGGAAATGTGTTAGTCACCGCAAGTCAGGAGCAGAGAATAAGACGACAGACGCACGTTTGCGTGTCCGGCCTGCTGACGACGATCTTGAACGGTGCGAGGCGCTCCAGGAGCTGCGTGAAAAGCCACGGGCTGGCGGCGAAGCCTCCAACGAGCCAGACGGACTTAATCATGCCTTGCGAGGCTTCGATCTGACCCTTGATCGCGTCAACGGCAGCTGGAGGACGGTCAGCAGTCGTTGCGCATTTGCGATGCGCCACGCCTCACCTTGCACGGATGGCTCGAAGAGATCGGCGACTTCGGCACTGAGCAGGTATAAGTATCTCCACCATGCGCTATGACATTCGACATACCCAGTCAACTTCAATTGTCCGCCCCGAATGCCCACACTTGGGTCCTTGTCGAGAGGGGAACCGAAGGGGATGAACTGCATATCCCTCTTATCGCGGAACAAGCGCTTGGTTGTCTCGTCGAACTTCTTCGCGATATGATCAAGTGCGTCTTCGGTGCCATACTTTGAGTTCTTGAGTTTCTCTGAAGATGATAGCGAGTCAGTGAGCGTTACATGCCTGCGAGAGCGCCACACACCTTCAAGGAACATCCTTGCACGACGGCTAACAAACACGGAGCCAGCAAATATACAATCCGGCGGCGCGATCTCCTCCATGACAAGCGGTGAGGTGCCTCGTATGGCATACGAGCTGATGTCCAACGTCCCACCACCTGCATCGGCAACGATGAAACCATGGTTGGATGGGTTCTGGCAGGCGCAAAGACGTAAGTAGGTGCCCAAGCGAACGTGTAAAGGCGCACCTGAAGCACATCGGCGGCAAGGCCGTTTAGCACACACGCGTGCAAGCTCGCTTCGCCTTCGGTTACGAACCATATCCGCGCCTTGCCTTCGTTCGTATCGGGTACGAGGCGGCCGTAGACGGCGGCGCGGCGCATCTTGGTCTGCTGTGCACCTTCCCAGCCGTTGGGATGTGAAAGGACGAACTGGATGTTCTTCTCGACCTGGCTCCATAGTCTGCGAACGTGCTTCAGTCACCACACCGATCTGCGTCGTGAACTACACTCACGATGCGCCGTTTGCGTGCGTGTCAATGATGAAGTTGCGGGTGCAGTGGAAGAGGTATCGCAGAAAGTCGCCGAAGACCTCGACGGCGGTCATTCCTTGTGGTAGTGGGCTCAGGCGCATTCCGTTCATGCTGAGCTTCATGGTACGCGGGCGGAGACGCAGCTTGAAAAGCTCAGCCTTGGTCCAGCCCTCGTCCTCGGCCTGCGAGACGATCGCGGCGGTCTCCGCCTCGGCGCCTGCAGCGACCATCTTCCCATGGCGGTCGTACCAGAGGACACTGGGGATCTTCGAATTGCCTGCAACATGTTCTTGACCAGGGAATCTGTGCCACACATTCAGCTACGTTTCCCGATGGTCGGCTAAGCGCGCACCTGGTGACACCGTGTATTTTGGGGATGAGCCCCGGCTCGAGGATGGCGTAGGACACCTGCGGGACGGACGATCAGCCTCCGAACGCGATCGGCGAACATGGCACGCACGCCACTGAACGTAGTCCCGACGTCGAGCGCGATGACGAGGGAGCGGACGGGGCCCCCGTACGGCTTGCGCATGTCCGATGCGGACTTCATGGGTGCTCGTGAGGAGCGTGGGCTCTCGACGCGATGTGGGAGATAGTGGATAGCGCAGTCAGGTTATCAGTGGAGAGAGAACGAGGCCTTGGCGCTGGGATCAGTGGAAAAGAAGGTGAAGTGAGGCGTGCTGGTTAGGGGGAGAGGTCATAAGAGGAGAGCCTCGAGGCGCTGAACGTTGCGGGCACGCGTCGCTTGACTTTTGAGGAAACGTCAGCGCCTCGAGGCCTCGCAGGCGAGTCAGAAGGCCGGGAACAATAGAAAATGGGAGCCCGTATCTGCATTCCATTGTCTTCTGTATCCGCAACGTTCTGAGCATTGAGCGCTACAGAGTGAACATCCCGGCATCGTCGCGATCGAACAGACGCGTCTTGTCCTGAACCTCCATGATCACCGCGTAGAAGCACGCAATATGGCAGCCCCCACCGAAAGCCCAGTCAGCGCCATCATCAATCAGCTCAGAAATCCCATCCCAGATGCAGAAACCCTCCTCACACTGCTGGCTGCTCCTCTCGACTCTATATCTCTCCTAGCACCTCCCCTGCGCAAGTACAACGCGAATTCCCTTCCCAGTGGCACGTTCTCTATCGCGCGCCATGTTCCCCAAATCCAGACTGCACTCATTCAGCACATTGTCCCTACTTGGGACATCGTTCTCGAAGAGAAGCAGGCCATGCCCATCGTGACACAATACTTTTGCCCCGATTCCTTCTACTACAGCACCCCCGCAGCGGGAGAAATAGTCATTCACGCCCTCAGCACCATCATTTCCCTGCCCCTCACAGACTTCTCTATCCGCATGCTTGCCCGCATCGCTATCGAATATCCCATCGACCGCATCCACGCCGCCATCTTCCAGTCTAAATCCTACACTTCCAAAGAATCCCTCGCCTGGGAGGACTACATCCGCGACCTCTGCACCGTCCCCGGCAAGGTCGCCAACTTCTTCGCCGCAACGCGCGCACCTCCGCCCGCTCTAGACTACGAGCCCTACTTCAGTCATGTCTGTACGCGCTTCGAATGCCTAGTATCCGCCCTGCCACCGCAAGGTGCGCTGTGCCCAGTCCCCCTCTAAGCTGCTGCAAGTCCATTTACGGTGATATAGGTGCGCTGCCCTCCCTCACGTACGTGCTCATCAAGCTCGCGAACGTGGGTGTGTTCCCGCCCACTCCACCCGTCGAGCGCTCGCGACCATCCTTCTGGAGGACCACGCTTCCTATCATCAGGCGGAAGCTGGATAATAAGAAATACGCGCATGCGTGGAGTGAATTGCTGGCGGCGATACCGGCGACAACGACGACTCAAATTATCCTTGTATCTCTATTTGCCGCCCTGGAAGTAAATGAGAAGGGCACGGATGGGTCGGCGCCGCAGCGGGCGCTTGTCAAGAGGGAAGCGCGGGTGCTCGTTGGTGTACTAGGATACGCGACGAAGGACTCGCAAATTCGCGATCTAGCGTTCGGGATAATGCTTGGGAAGGAGTGGAAGGAATTGCATGGCCGGATCTTTGTCTGCTGGACTGCAAGCGCATCGTGGAATGGGACCAATATCGAAGGTGAGGTCTAACAACCGCAAAGAGAAGCTTGTCCGACGATACCTCAGGATTGGAATTACTCCTCAAAGACGTGCTTGACCTATGGTCTTCGCCAGACCATGTCAAACATTCCCTCCTCTCCCGACACCAATGTGAGTCTGTTTCCTATCATCACCATAGTAGGGGCGACTGATCATGTCGCAGACATCACATCCCTCCTCCTCCTCACCGCATCCTACTTTCCGCCCTCTCACCCCTCGGTGGCCAGGTTGGCCATCTCGCCTGCTTTTATATCCGGCGTGAGCATCTACATCGGGCATATGGACACAGGCGTGCGCCGCTGCGGCATGCTCGTTGCTGAGATGGTCGCGCGCTATGCCAACAAGTCGCTTGACTTCGGTGATTGGGACGGCAACGATAGAAGCAGCGTTTGGTGCCGAGAGCTGCGCGCTCTGCTAGGCGCGCGCGATATGGACGCAGATCTCAGTGCTCTGGACGAACAGCCCGATACGGATGTACCGGCCTCTCAAACCACCCTCTTTGAGGATGCCGATGAGGAGCTCACCACCTCATCCGCTGCTGCTGCCGGAGCGCAATCTGCCCCCATCACCCTCACCTCTACCACCTACGACTCCGACGACTCTCTCGAAGGCTATGTTTCACCCTCTTCCAGCCGCTCCCCCTCCCCCACTCCCTCCTCCCTCGCCGAAATCGAAAAAGATCCCTCGCTCGCCGTCGCCCCCATCAAGGTCCCCCGCCCCGTCTATCTCGCCCAGCTCGGCGCCCTCCTCCGCGGCCCGCCAGGCGCTAAGCCCCTCGAACCGCAAGAAGAGTACAAGCGCCTGGAAGTCGCACTCAACTGCGCGGAGGAGCTGATACGGAAGAAGCGCGGGTATGGGACGGAGCTGGAGGAGAATGCGGACAATCTGGTGTATGGATTGGTCGCGTTGCAGGATAACTTCGACCTGGATGGAATTGAGGAGAAGAGGCAAGGAGCGCTGACGGCGCTAGTGGCATGTTGTCCGAGGAAAGCGGCGCCGTGAGTAAAGTCTTCTTTACTCAACGAAGCCATATATTGACGACTTTGCAGGGCTCTCGCTGAAGCGCTCTTCCAAAATCAATACTCGGCACAACAGCGCTACACCATTCTCAACGCTCTTGCTCTCGGCGCGCGAGAGCTTGCGGGCCTTGAAGTGCCGCCCTCCGCTGTCCCCGCCGCGCGCACGGCATTCCCCAGTAAAATGCTTCCACCTGCGCTCCACCAAAAGTACATTGCCGCGCAGGAGAACAATCCCCTTCCCCGCCTTGTCGACGGCATCACCCGCAAAGCACTAGACAAAAACGCCGCCGACGCAGAGGAAACCGCCCCCACCCTCGCACGCGAGCGGCGGCTCCGCCTCCGACCCCAGCCCAAGGTCACCGAGATCTCAGGCCTCGCAAAGCCCCCACCCCCTCGCGAAACAACCTACGCTGAAATCGCCGCCGAGTACTTCATCATGCCCCTCATAAATCGCTTCTGGACCTACCTTCGCGACGAGCGCACCCGGGAGGAGCGCACCGCGCACCGGACCTCTCAGCACCGCTATCGCGGCGCCGGCGTCGGCCTCGTTCTCGGCGCCCTCGTCCTCTCGCGCTTCCTGAGCACGCTCGCCGTCCTTGTGCACGCCGCTCAGAACGCGCCCGAATGGCTCGCCGTCGTCGCGCCTGAGGCACTCGAGCTTGCGCTGACGCTGGGCGCGAAGCCTGTCAGTGCCGCAGAGCTCGAACCGGGCCAGGACGTCGAGGAGGGCGGAAAGCAGGCAGCGGTCTTGGTAGCCGCACTCGAGTTGGCGATCATCGTTCTGGACGGATGTTTAGAGCTGGATGGCGGGCAGTCGATGGGGCTGGAGCATACGGCGCTGCTGTTGGGTGTGGGTGAGTGGGGCGGGGCTATATTCTCGCAGCTGGAGAAGGGAGCGTTGGTGCAGGGTGGCGGAGGGGAATATGAGGTGAGATTGAGGAGGTCGGCGGCGGGCGTGGTGCTCAAAGTGGACGAGATGACGGCGAAGTGGAGGCGATCTATGGTAGATCTGAAATAATGTATTTCGTACTGCAGTACACGCATGTCGAATCGTACAATAAATATGTGAAGGAGAACACGAGCGTTATGAATTGGTATCGTTTGCGCGACCACACTTGCAATTACTGTAACATGCAGACTGTCAGAAATCAGGATGTCTGAAGGACATCGATGTGCTCGAAGTTCTGAATGCGGATTCTAGGTGCAGCAATTCCATCTGTTGTATGCGGTTGCCAGTGTGGTATATGCTGAACCCACTTGACTCGTGAGGTCGGAGGCGCCATGCGGCAACGTTCTCAATCTCCACTAATCGCGCTCTTTTCCTTGTTCAACGAGGACAGTGCGCACCAGCCTTCACGGCGTCGGAGGATTATAAAAGGTCCCAATCGCCCCATTGCGCTCCTTATCCAAGAAAAGCAGCCCGCGAAGGGCTCCCATCTCAGCATAGTTGAGGTGTCGGCCAGATCCCCGTATGCCGGGCGGCGGATTGGGGCTTATGTTCGGCGGATTGAGGCCGCCACAGGCAGGGCTGGCCGCGCAAGCATTGGCCCTCGGTGGACACGGATTTTGTGGCACGCTCGAGATGGAGGTGGCAGACCCGTCTGAGCTGCTCTCAGAGGGCGATGGCGAAGGTTTGGGGCTGAAAGGCGTAGAGGCAGTGGCGGATACCATACTTGACGCGAGGCTGTCGCGAGGAATTGGGCGAGCAGTGGGGTTGGTACGAGCCATGGTGTAGGCTGAGTCGAGGAGCCTGAGCCTAGCTGAGCGAGTGCGGGCTGGGGTTGGAGTATTTTCCTTCAGAGCGGCAGAATTATACGTTGCTAGGAGTGTTTGTCCATCGAGCCAGCAGGCATTGACAGAACCGAGAGCACACAACAAACACTGGGGGAAGGAATCGACGCGAAATTCGCTCGATAATTCGCTTAGCTTTGATGGAAAAACACTACGATCTGAGTGAATTTCACTCAAGATCCAGTGATTTTCGCTCAGCCTCGCGCGAAAATATTTCACGCCAAAAAAGTCGCGTTTCGCGACCTCTGTTTCGCTCGACTTCCAGCGTAAATCACTCTTTGAAGAGTGAAATGGCCAGTATTTCCTTTCTGCTGCTTTTTGCCATTTCTCTCCTTCGCCTCGCGCTCGTATGAGATCAAATAAGTATATTCGAGTGACTACTACTACTACTACAGCTATCACAGCAGCTTTACGAGTATCAAGACTGAGAAGTGGGCTATCCAGCCTCAGCTGAACGACAGAATCACGAAGGTAGACGGTAACTGCGTAGGACTCTTCAAATCTGGATGTTCGGGAGATGAAAATCAGTTGTCTTTATCACGTGTAGAGAGCGAAGAGGCAAGACTTACCCGCCGTCTCAGGGTCTTAGAGAGATATCCTGACCCACAGTCGCAGCACGGCGTAATGGACTGCAATCCTTGTCAGTTGTTGAATGCGTTTCAAAAGGGGGCGGGGGCATGGCACAAACATACCTAATAATTCAGTGAGCTCTTGATGACGCACAGGACGGCGGAATGGTGCATACTGCATACAAGTTTGCTGGTGGTGCGAGCGAGCGCGAGGGGGGAGTGCCGGCGAAGTACGATGGGCGAGGACTGCGGTATCAAGTGAGAGGCAGCAGGAGTTAAAGTGAAAGATAGCGGTGGGCGGCGTTCAGCGAGATGAAGGGTGAAGTCTGCAATCGACACTCAGCTTAGCGCTCGTCTCTGAACAAGGCATCTCAATACGCACCGTGATCCCGCGGCTTGGGCAGCACTCATCAGCATTTATTATATTTCAATCTCGAGGCCGTGCGTCGTACGCTTGTAAATGGTCTCCACGCATCATGGCGAGCGATATAGAGGATGGCGGTCGAGGACAAGGCTCGACGATCTGCGACCTCGCATACGTCACTGTGTGGCGCCAACGCCACATAATGGCCGGGCAGAGTTGCTCATCGCCGCGCATGCCCTTTTGTCGCCTTCTGTGACGTTGGAGACTGACATCTACCGAACCCCGTTGCAGCTGAATATCAATGCCAATCGGAGAACCCTTGGAGCCCTCAGGGCTCTCGATGCGTTGATACGCGTAAGACCTATGCCCATCTCGCTACTCAAAATTAACCCGCTGTAACTTTCGCTCGACGTCGGTCAGTTATTGGCTCAGCGAAACAGCTTCGCTCAAGGTTATGCAAATTTCGCTTACCCGACGTGAATTGGATTCGCATGATCTCCAGCGAAAAGCGAAATTCAATCGATGTCGAGTGAATTTCGCGTCGAATCCTTTTCCCAGTGAAACGTGACATGGGTCAAAGACTCAGCGGACAGACAAACGCGCGCCACGGCATAAGCGCCACATCAATACCGGGGCATCCGAGTCGTAAAGGTCACCCGAGATGAAAGAGCAAGTCACATAGTTTGGTGAACGGAGGCGGATTTTAGTCGAGATGAACCACGTCCGACGTTCAGAGGTTCATCTCGACTATACGTTTGTCCATTTACGCAGTGTCGAATTTCGAGAGGAGACACACATTGCTGCTGAAGGCAAGGTTCGCGGCGCAGAATCCCCAGGGGGGAGGTTCATTCCTCTGTGCGCGCGAGTGGTCAGAGCAAGAGGGACCACCTGCCTGTGGGAATCCACAACCTCACATGAGAGAGAAGGAGCGAAAAACAAAACGAAGATACGCCTCGCAATGGAGGTGTTGCTTGAAAAATTGGTAAGACGGCATACGGTGAGCCACCGCCACGGAATCCCCTAGTAAAAGGCGAGGGGATTGTTAGGTTGTCGGTGACTCTGCCGTCGATAGAGCTTTCAGGTCTGCATCAGGTCATTGACAGAATTTTGGGTTAAATTTGACCCCGAGGGTGGGTCGGGGGCGGCCTCCAGAGTAGCTACAGCGCTCAAGTGTCACCGGAAAGGATGAGAATAGGCTTTGCACTTATGAACATTTTATGACCGGCCTGAGAAAGTGTCTATGACCAGACCTGTCGAAGGTCTTTGTTGCACAGCGTTTCGGGATTCGCCGGTGCTATTGTCCTTCCGAGCATCATCTGCCCACCGAGGCAGACGAAGTGCAGGGCTTCCATCGTCAACCTGCCATAACTGTGAGAAAGAATGCAGTGTACTAGTCCCAAAAGCCATACATCGCCCCGGGAACATCCTGTTCTGATGCTTTCTCAATGAAGCGCCAATGCTCTACAGTGACTCAGGCAGACGCTACGAACACCTTCGGCATGTACCGCCTTGTAAGCAGCGCTTCCTTCTCAGCGGTCGATTCTTTTCAAAACAGTCCGAATAATTCGAGCACTATGCTTTGCCAGGCAGAAGACTCCCATGGACGACTGACCAGTTGATACGCGCTTCGATGGCGGCGGTTTCCTCTTCGGGGACAAGGGTCATGCTCTTGGCAGAGCCCGGCCACATTCACGACCTCGGTGCCTGGCAAATTTAGAGTCGAAACACTGCCTGCGTCGCCTCCGCCAGTCCTCCGCGGCTTATCTGAGTCTCTCGGGACGCAAACCGCTGTGAACTTCGCCGGCGCTTTCTGAAAGCCTTGATGTGGTTGCACGTGGTGCTGTGGCGACCGCGGAATCCAAGCGGCGCCAAGGATAAAAAGCGGGCGATGATGCAACGGGCGATCCCCCGTCCCCCCGTTCCCCCCACCAAGGAATGCCCGACACGACCGATCATCATGAGTCCACCGCTGTCCTGACAGACCCCAACGACGAGAAGCGCTTCGCCGCTAGCTCGCCAGAACCTCAGTTCGTCGCCAGCAATGAAGACCACGACCACAACCATCGCCCGCAGCGCAAGAGTAGCGGCAACGACCTGCTCGAGACGGGCACGCACACGACGGCGGAGTCTACCGCCGCGCCGACGCAGCGTGTGACGCGCCCGCCCCCCTTCTCGCGCAAGCTCACGAAGAGTTTGTTCTTGCGCCCCGCGAGCACGCGCGGGCCTGCGCCGGGCTGGAAGGAGAGCATCAAGTGCGCGCTGACCTACAGTTGGATCAACGTGCTGCTCATCTTCAACCCCATCGCATGGGCGCTGCATTACACTCACCAGGAAGATGGGGTGCGCAGCGCTTAACTCTTACACCATTTCCCCCGTACTGATCCATCCCCAAGGCCGTCTTCGCCATGGCCCTCCTCGGCGTCATCCCCCTCGCCGGCATGCTCGGCCACGGCACGGAGACCATCGCGCTCTACACTGGCGACGCGCTCGGCGGCCTCATCAACGCCTCCCTCGGCAACGCCACCGAATTCATCATCGCCATCCTCCTGCTCGTCAAGTGCGAGATCCGCGTCGTCCAGGCCTCCCTCCTCGGCGGGCTGCTCTCCAACCTGCTCCTCGTCACCGGCATGGCCTTCATCGTCGGCGGCGTGCGCTTCTCCGAGCAGGAGTTCCAGCAGACGGCCGCGCAGCTGAACACGTCGCTCCTGACGCTCGCCGTCATCGCCCTCGTCATGCCGACGGTGTTCGCGTTTGCCATCGAGCAGGCGCAGGACGAGGACAAGGAGAGGGATATCATCCTGCAGATGTCGCGTGGGAGCGCGCTCATTCTGATCTTCATCTACATCTCCTACATGGTGTTCCAGCTCTACAGCCACACGTACCTGTACAACCCGGAAAACGATGTGCTGAACGACTCGCCGAGGTCGTCGCGCTCGTCGTCTCCCGAGCGTGAGGTTACACCCGAGCCGGCGCCGCAGCTCACGCAGCGCAAGGTGACGGGCCAGCGACGTGCGAACTCGTTGCCCTTTGGTAGCGCAGCGGCTCTGGGAAGAGGAAACCGCAGCCCACTTGCTCCGGCTCTTCACCCTAAAATCGCAGAGAAGGACGAGGAATTGAGGTTCGTAGACATCCCTCCGCGTTGTATATGGCACACTGAAGTCTTTGCAGGCTCCGCGCTGCCCGTGAACGTCTTCTTATGCAGACGGCCGCCCGCCGCGACGTCGAAGCAGCCATGCACAGGCGCGGTTCCGAGGACGAGGAAGAAGAAAAGGAAAGCCCCGAGATGAATCTTGCCGTCGCCATCGGTACCCTCGTCGCTGCCACCGGTCTCACCTGTGCGTCCTATCTCTCTCTCCTCCTCCCCCCCTTCCCGTCCCTCTTGCTCCTACACCCGCTAACTACTGTTCCCCCTAGACGTCACCGCCGAAGCCCTCACCGACTCCCTCGAAGGCATCGGCCAGTCCGGCTCCGTCAGCACCGAATGGCTCGGCCTCATCCTCCTCGCCATCGTCGGCAACGCCGCCGAGCACGTCACCGCCGTCTTCGTCGCCTACCGCAACAAGGTCGACCTCGCCCTCGCCGTCTCCGTCGGCTCCTGCATCCAGATAGCCTTATTCGTCATCCCGCTGTTGGTGCTGATAGGCTGGATGGCGGACAAGCCGCTGTCGCTGCTGTTCGACCCGCTGGAGGTGGTGACGCTGTTTTTGAGCGTGCTGTTGGTGCGGTTTGCGACGGAGGATGGGAGGACGCATTATATGAGTGGGATCTTGTTGTTTGGGACGTATGTTTTGATTGTGAGTCACTGTTCTCATCTTACTGCGAGGCAAGAGGAAGAAGCTGACGGATGCTCAGGCTTTCTCGTTCTGGTACTACCCGCAGGGAGGTACTTCTGTCAGCCAGCTTTTCGACTCCTGCTAGACTTATGATACTCACGCGTGATGATTTACGCCGTACTTGTCAGTGAACATTGCTCTCTACCCATGGATTGGCATTGCTATAGTTCAGCGTACCGACCGACAGACTACGAATGCATGCATGTTCAACGATGACGTTCATCCCTGTGATAGGCTGCGCTATACTCAAAAGAACCGAGTCGACCAACCGGAATTAACGCAGTGCGAGCCATGCTCTGAGGTACGTATTGATGCACTGCAGCGTGTATCAAGCAGCACATCGTTACCCGTGCGCGCAGCGGTGGAAGTAGGGTACCAGCAACGCATCTGAGTGACGCGGGCTCCGCACCCTGAGGGCCATGCCTTCACTTCGCACAGCGATGAAAGAGGAGATCACGATACAGGGATGATAGAACCTTCGGCGAAAGAAGGATGCCAGCGATGAAATCTGCGGTGAAAGAGCACAAAGGAAGGGGCGTACATGGAGAGTATATAGCATCTTCGGGTAATTGGGGAGACGTACGCATTGGCTAAGCAATCCTTTGTACTCGACGCGGGGAGTATCCCATCCTCCCGCGCAACAAGCGACGCGACGCGACCATCTCAACGTCGTGCTCGCATTAGACTGCCGCGCACCCTGTTAACCACACATCGCTCTTCGCCATAGCTCAAGGATGCGCAACTCGGACGCCCTCTTCGCCTGGACGGCTATCCTCTTCCTCGTAGTACTCATCGTCGGAGCCGGGGTGTGCATAGGGCTCTTGGGATCGGTGGCGGTACCGGTGTTCTGCATTCACTGCCTAAGTGCAATGTCCAGCGCGGGTGCGAGGGTATTCAGAAGGCTGTCGCGCGTAGGAGTGCGATGACAGCAGGAAAATTGTAGATATGACGAACATCGAAGCGGTATGTCGCGCATGATTCGTCTGGGCAGTACGCTGATCGGCCTTTCAGATGGAGTTGAGCTCTTGAGCGAGTGTTCCGAGGAGAAGACGAGATACAGAAGGACTCTTTGTTGTACACTTAGACGCAGTGCGCAGATGCTGCACAAGCCATAGACGATTGCCTAGACGCCATGAAGTTCGAGAGCAAGAGGTGATCGCGCCGACGCGTTTGTTGCACTTTGTTTGCAGTCGTCTGATCGTTCCTCGGGAGTTCGCGTCTTCATCTTGTCCTCCTCCTCCACGTCCGCCTCGGAGCCACTCACTCCGAGTCCTCTTCCACACCTCTTACCCGACAAAAGGAAGCCTCAGCACGTCCCCGACGCGTCAGGAATAAGATGAACGGTGCCGCGTCCGCGTCCCAATCCTCCTACGTCAATGGCCACCAGAACGGCTCGGCGGGTGCGAATGGCGCGGGCTCCCCGTACGAGGCCGCGGAGAACGAGCAGGCGACCTCCTCGGCCTCTCCGCAAAACGGATACGTGTCAGTACGCCTCTACGACTTGGGCGGAGCTTGTGCGCTTACGCCACGCACAGGTTCCCGGCAAACCACCACAATGAAGAGATCGTCGAGCACTTGTACCAGTCGGGATTTCAGGCGGGGGTGTGTGGCGACGTTTCTTTGAGCGGCTGAATTATTGACGCGCAGACGTAGAACTACTCGGACATCCTGTTGCATGTCCACCAAAACATGTACCGCCTGCACTCGATCATCCTCTCCAGGTCACCCTATCTGGCGCACCTAATGTCTACAATGCAGCCGAACGTGCAGCGCGCCATCTATGTCCCCTTGGACCACGACCGAGAGGTCACTCCCGATGTGCGTACCTTCTCCACTCCCGACGAGGGTTATGTGCTAATGGTTGCGTCAAGGGCTTTGCTATAGGTCAGTTGTGATTGCCCGCACTCGATCATCCTGCTGATGCGTATTCTCTCTCTCAGCCCTGGGCTATCTATACTCCTCCGCTTCGCTTCGTCTCGTGCACCCCGACAATGCGCGCGGTGTCCTGGCTGCAGCATGCCTGCTCGGCGGCATGGACGAGCTCTGCGAGTTCGCCTACGATGTCTGTCGACGCCACATCAGCCTCGACAACATCGGCTCGTGGCTCGACTTCGTCGAGATACCGGACACGACATCGGGTAGCGCCACGCCTATGCGTTCTGGCACCCCGATGCTGCCCGGAACACCCACCCTGGCCACGCCACCGCCGCTGCCACAGCCGACGACGCTCTTTGGGCTTTACACCCAAAGACTTCGGAGCGACGTCTTCAACTTCCTTGTCGTGACGCTACCCGCGAGCCTCGACCTAACCGACACGAACCAGGACTCGTCCGAGCCCTCCGGACGTGACGTGCTCATGCAAATATTCGCGCAGGTGCCCTTCGACCTGTTCAAGTCCGCGGTCGAGTCTCCGACGTTCCAAATCGGTAAGTTTACTCCTCGAGCGTAGAGGGTGGCGCACAGCCCCGCGGCGAAGACGCTGCAGCTATTGCGAAACAACCTCCCGCTCTGCATTGTGGCAATGATTCTCACCTCGCTTGCGCACAGGCTCCGACCAGGCGCGCTTCAAGTTCGCAAAAGACACGATCGAGGTCCGCAAGCGCACGAACCCGCGCGCGGCGGGCGCCGAGGAGACCGTCGTGCTCGCGTTCGGCGGCGGGAACGGGGGCAGCGCGGTCCACGTCACGCGTAAGCTGAGGAAGAAGCCCCTCTGGAAGGTTAACTCGTAAAAGGATGCGGGCCGGGACTGGCACGGTTTGCTATACGAATCTCTATCTACTGTACGATCTCCTAAACTGCTCTCGTATACTCACGGTATCTGCTTGTGTAGATGTAATTTTGTAAAGCCCCTCCAAGGCTTTGTAAACCCCACGAGGCGTTTTGTGCGCAAACTGCGTCCGACCCCGCGTATACAGGAAGACTTCTTGAAAAAGGCGTCAATAGGCGCTGAGAACGGGGTTCTTCTCTCCCTTCTCTATGTGTGCGTCCTCATGCACGCTCGCCGTTAAGCCCGTGGTCGCCGGTTCATGCGCCTTGCAGGCTCTCGCACATGTCCCTCATAGACTCTCGCACATGTCCTCCCTGACCCTGCCACTGACCAATCGATCCTATAGCCCCCAACAGTATCATGCACTCATGGTCAGTAGCATGCACCCAACATCGTCATATTCAGCGTCTATCGTCATTAAAGCGGCCAGCTCTAAAGACGCGCACCCGGCAGTCTCCCCGCCATCACGCAAGAGAAACTGCCGCTACGCGAGGACGACCTGACAGTTTATGTCAACCGAGTGATGCGCGTGGGCAGCTCTCTGGATAGCACCCATTGCTACGCCGCGCACCCCTCGGTACGTGCACGGCATCCATGGCTACTCGTGCACGGCACCCAGTGATACGTGCGCGGCACCCGTCGGTACGTGCGCGGCACGGTGGTACCCATTGATGCGCGTGGGCTGCCTCTCCGCTGGGCACGGCGCGGCTCTGCGTGCCAGCATCTGAATGCGCCCTCATGCTCCCTCTGACGCACTCGAAGGCAGGTCCGACGCGCTCGAAGATAGGAAGGCAGAGGCGCACTACGCGCGTGGCTATCGTGCGCGCGCGTATAAGAGGTAAGCGGCGGGCTAGTTGGGTATACGGCCATTGCATCTTCATCTTCATCTCCAGACTAAGCAACGTCGAGGATGGCGAGTGGGACATGGCAAGCTCAACCTACTATGCGGATGCAGGCTCAGCCTTCTGTTCGAGCGCAAGCTCAACCTACCATGCGGACGCAAGCTCAGCCTACTATGCGCGCGCAGGCTCAACCTATACCGGCGCGGCAGCAGAACTGGACGATCCCGCGAGCCCCTCAGCAGGCACAATGGCACAACCTGTTCTATACGGGCACGGACGACCCGCGGTCGTGTGTTGTCATCGGCGAGGACAGCAAGCCGCACCTTTACTGCTTTGATACCACACACTATGGCTCGTCGGGCCTCAGAACAATGGTACGTCGATCCCTCTATTATTCGACTTCTCTCGCCATCTTTTTCATTGTTCGACTATTTCTCCCTTCTGACGCTTCTCCAGCTGCAGAAAGACAACCGCGACATCGTCGCCACAATTGACTGGAGCCCAGGCGACTACTGGTCAGGCCGCGTTACAATCGGCGCGCGCCACCTGTACGTCTCCCAGCTTCTCGCGCCGGGATCTTCCAGCAGGCACGTCTCGTTCCATGCTCTCACATCCTACTCGAGACCTAATTTCCAGCTTCATAGCGCCCGGTCCTTCCTCTCGATGACGGGAAAGAAGTGCGAGTGGCGGCGGTCCGGCCAAGACAATTCGACGTACGACGTGAGTGGCATGAGCTTGTTTGTTTCTTCTTGCGATTGACGCGCTTTCAAGCTCTACGCGGGAACATCTCTGATTGCAAGCTACCGGCGCCTCGTAGTGACCACCAGCGTCGGGCCTTCACACGGACTGCTTGAGTATCTGTTCGACCATGACGCCTTCCTCACGGAGGTCATTGTCACTCTCTGCCTGAACCGCTGGATAGATACACATGCATTCGGCACCTCGACGTCGTTTCAACATGTATAATTGCGAAACGCAGGACTCTGAAAACGGTGCACTAAGTAGTACCATGAGAAGCAGTGTATCTTTACAAGCATTATGTAGCGCAAGTACTTATGTTACGGACAACGAACGGAGAGAACGAGGATCAGCGACGACGAGGTTCGGAGCTGTTAAACGCGGTTGACACATTGCAGATACCAACAGGAAAGGCAAAACAAGGAGGATGGATATCATAGGGGTGCGGCAGATATATGGTGACTGGACCTAGTTAAGAGTCCATAGATGAGAGAGTATGAGAGGAAAGACGGCTCGATGACCCTGTTTAGACAGGCCTCATCGACGAAATCATATGTTCAAGACGATCCTCGACCGTCCAGTTGGAATCAGTAGAGGACACGAACGACGAAGACTGCGACTGCGAGTTCGGATTTTGCCTGAAGTTGAAAGCCCCTGCCTCGGAGCCGGAGTTGGCCAGCTGCTCGATCAGGCGGCCAATCTGCGCGGTCGAAGAGTAAAAGACCTGTTCGTAAGGGTGAGCTAGCGGGTCCTCGGTGCCGCAGAGTCGGCGTACCTTGGTCTCCGGGCGGCTCGCGGAGCCCGCGGGCGCGGAAGGGGGCTTTAGGGAGGAGCCGAAGGTGCTGTTCCTCAGGGACAGGCGCTTGCCGCCTTGCGAGCGGTCCTTGAATGTGACCTGCATGCTATCGCCGCCGACGGAGTATTCGGAGGCGAAGCTGGCGCGAACATTGTAAGTGGAGTCGCGATCATCGTCACGAAGACCGTCAACGATGTTCCAAATCATCTCGCCGTCTGCAAACTCAACCACCTCAACAGCAGGGCCGGTAGCAGAATCAAGGGATGGTCCGCGGCGTTGCTGCTCGCTCGAGTACATATCGTAGCTTGAAATCTCGTTAGCAAAGTCTGGTAAAGCAGAGAAAGATAACTTACAATGAGTCGTATCCTTCCGAGTTGGAATTGTCAGCCGACATACTCGGCCGAGGAGGAGGAACCGGGAGGATGAAGCTATCCTGCGCCGGCGACGACAGAGATGAGGGGATCGTCGGTACGGGAGGCGGCACGTCCACAGAGTTGTGGCGTCCTCCCATAGATGCTCGCGCAGGCGGCGGCGTCGGCGCACGATCCTGCACAGAGCGCGTCGACAGAACCGACGACGTACTCGCACGCTTGCGGCCTTTCGGCGTCGGCGCCTTCAAGAGCGACATCGGATCGAAGTTCGACATACGCGTGTTGGATGGGAAGAAAATGGTGCGTCGCACGACACTCTTGCGCTCTTCGCCGCTCGGACGAGGCTGGCCCCGCTTGCGCGACGCACTCCGGCGCATACTTGGCTCTGGCATCGAGGACATAGATGGCGGCTCCTCGGGCAGAGGCGAGTCCCGTGCAATCTCTGGGATGGAGCGAGATTCTATCGTCGTGCTCGGCCTCGACTCGTACGCAGTCGTCGATACGGAGTTGCTGCGCGACATCGACCCCCACTTGGACGGTGCCTTTGTCGAGGTTGAGCCAGATCGCTTCAACAACTCGCCCAGAGCGTCGGGGTCAAGCCCCAGGTTGGATGCCGCATCGAAGAGTTGCCTCAGTGCCTGGGCATCCGACCCACGCCCATCCTGGTCAGGCTCAGAGGACGATGGCTCGTTCGACGACGGAGGACCATTCTCCTGTTCGGCGGCGTATGGTCTCGAAAGCAGCGGCGCGCTAAGCATGGGCTGGCTGTACGTGTTCTCCCGTTCACGGTTGTCACCAAAGTACAAGGCAGACATCGCAGACATGGATGCGGTCGCGGTGTGACCACCTGTCGCTTGTTGAGGTTCCTTGCGCTCTAGCTCGGGTGTGAGCTCTCCAGCGCGCGACTTGCTCCTGAGACGAGACATAAACAAACCCTTGAAGCCAGATCCGCGACCTGACGACGACTTCGAAAGTCCAGTCGCGCCAGTCGGAATCTCATGCGTGCTTTCTGACGGCGTATGCACCTGCGACTGAGGTGGCGACGGGTCCACGCGGAATGTCGGAGGTGGCGGGGTAGGTGATGGCACGGAGGGAGCCCCCAAGGTGAAGGGTGTAACCTCTTCGCCAGTCGGAACGGCATGAGTTTTGCCTCGCAAGGTACCGCGCAACCTCTTGAGCCTCGATCCAAACTTTGACGTGCTTCCCTGATTCCCTGCAGGCTGAAGTGCAATCGCATCCACGCTCGTGGAAGCCGACACGAGCTTTGGCGTAGAGATCTGGTGAGGGCTGATCCGCTTGCGCGATGCCTGCCCAGCCGGAGGAGCATTCTGCACGTTTTCGTTCAGGTTCGTGGCAGACGGCGATTTGCGCAAAGCAGCCGTGGCCGCATCTGCTCGGCGCTGCACCTCGCGAGTGAGCTCTGCCTCCTCTTCGGGCGTCCGAGGTATGCGAGGAGTAGACGGGTTCCTGAGTCTGTACGGACCACCAGCAGTAAGCGGCGTCGTAGGTGGGTGTTCCTTCGGCGACAGCATCGGGAAGGTAGCCGGCGTCTCCGCGACGGGGCTCGTCTCGCTCTGCTGAGGCTGAGGAGGTATAGTGATCTGCTGGGATGTATCCTGCTCAGCAGGCCCTTCGCCCTCGCCAAAGATGAGCTGAGCAAGGTCGCGGTTGCGACGGGTGGCAGGGGAGACGTCGCGCGAGTTGCCGATGGAGGGTATTGTTAAGGAAGGAGGGGCTTCTTTACGCGGTGCGTTTGACGGCATCGCTGGTGCTGCAGGAGTAGCAGGCGGGGCCGGCGGAGGAGAGGATGGTGGGGGTGACATGGGTCCTGTGGTCCTGATGCTGTCGACGACCGAGTTGAGCAGAGCGTTAGCGCGAGCGTTGGCTTCATAGTCAGGGCCATCGTCACTGGGACGTTGAGCAGCGATGGTGGGAGACTGAGGTGGACTTGAAGATGCCGCGGCCTGCAAGAACACGTTAGTCAGTGCTGATGAGGTAGTGATCAGCACGCACCCGAGTTATGTCCTTGTACGAGTAGTTCGACTGGGACGTAGATGGTCTCCTTCTCCTGAGTGACGCTGCGCGCTCCCTGTGGTCCGGTACGCTCGCTTGCCTAACGATAGACGCATCCACCAGCTTCTCCTGAATCTTCGCCAAGTCCGACTTTGTCAGCCCAGCAGTACGCTTGATGACCGCCTCGTCGTTCTCCGAGTCGGCTCCCGTCGGTGGAGGCAGGTCGTGCCACTTTGGCTCGCGCGCCTCGTCCGCATCCCCAAAGACCTCCCACACCCTGTCCCTCCCATCGCACTCCGACGAGTGATAGCTCGAGCCGGAGGATTCGAGCGACGACCGCGACGATCCAGCGATCGGCGAGAAGAAACCATTCGCATACGGATTGTTCGGGTGATTCTGGCGCGAGGACCGTTTGGACGGCGAGTCAAAGGCGAGCGAGGCACTGGGTGAGTGCGCCGGGGCACCGCCGCCGAGGCTCATGGGCGACATTGGCCGCGAGTCGAGCGGCCCCGACGCACTTCCCATGCTTTGGGTGACGGCGTGCAAGGAGTGGATGGCTTCGATGAGAGGCGAGTCGGGCAAGGCGGGTGATCGGAGTGATCGGGTCGAAGCCGATGGGTTGTGATCACCCGCGGAACCATTTTGCTGCGCGTGGGCCTCTTCGCTCGTCGTCCAGCTCGCGTCGCGGTGATGCGCCCAGACGTTCTTTGCATTGTGCGAGAAGGAGGAAGGGGTGCCTGGGCGGGAGGAGTTGGTGCTTTGCCGTGGAGGAGATGGCTCATCGGAAGGACGGGGTGTTCTCGAGAGATCGGGCGCGGAGACTGCCGTGCTGAAAGGTTGGAATGCCTGGGCGGACAATGGTGAAGCGGGTCGCCGCCAGCTCGTCGTGGAGTACGTCGAGGAGTAGCTCGGGCTCGCAGAGTGCTGCGTCCCATTTTCTTGCCCTTCATTCCCGCGCTGGAACATCGGCGAGCCAGACCGCGACGTGTTGGAGCCACGGCTGGACATTTCGCGGCGTAGCAGACTCGTCGCGAGGCTGCTCGAGCCGTTGAAGGACGAAGACATATTGAACGCACTCTGCCCTCCCGCCGCAAATGATGACGTCGGCGATGTCATGCTGAACGACGATGAATGAGTGTGTGCGTGGGAGGGAGAGGTTGCCCGGGGCGTCGTCGAATGTGAGCGTTCGTCGAAGTCATCCCGGGGCGTCATTGGGCGCGGCATGCCAGGAATATAGCCGGGGGTCACTTGAGACGGGATAGGCGACGCACGGGCCGTGGTGGGGTGTTGCGCTTGCGGCGGGACGTCCGCGATGGCAATGGACTCCGTGGAATGATCATTTGTGTCGCCGACGTCGGGAAGGATAGCCATAGGGATGGGTACGCTCATTCTGCGGTCCTCTTCCGTGTCTGACGATGCTGGTGACTGTTCTTGGGAAGGCTGTGTGGTCGGGTGAGCAAACTTTCACGAGATGAGAGATAGCCGGCTAGATGTGATCGAGGTGGTCACGACGCGAGGCAGTAAATGAAGAGGAGCACAGAAGCCGAGACCAGCGGCTACAGAAGAGGGGCGTGAAGTGGGGGAAGACAGGCGCCGCAATTTGAACCATGGCACAAGCATGGCAACCAATAATAGAAGTACAAGGGGATTATCGAAAGGGGAAACAATGGCATGGCAATTACGGAATTTTGCTTCCGTCGCCATACGCAGCGGATGTAAAGACGAACAGACACGCACATTCATCTTAACCCGGGGCATAATCACAATCTCGTCGCCGTCCTCTGCCTCGCTTGCAGCCTGGCGCGAAGACGCCTCCGCGTTGCCCATGGCTTCTTCCCCCAGCACCACGTGACCGTCCAGTTCATCGCGAATGTGCACCTCCATCTCGTAACCGTGGTCTTCTTCGTCCCCACGGTCGCCCTCGCGGCCGTTCGACGTCAAGTCTTCGTCCTCCAGGCCGCCCTCCTCCTCAATCTCCTTGATGACCGCTTGGAGTGCGATAGATGCGCGCTTGCCAAGCCGTAGGGTAGCCTTCGTAGGTTGATCATACTGCGTAGAGGTATAGGGAGGCGCCGACCGTGGGCCTGCCAGAAATGGGTCTTCATCTCGAGTGACAGTAAGGGTTTGACCGGTACGGTTGGGTCGACGGGCACTCGTCGAGCTATCCTGCGAATTAAGGCGTGCTCGCTGCGTCTCCCGGATGTAGGAATAGTCCTTGAACTTGTTCGAGCCGAAGAAATTGTTGCTGTAGCGCTTGACCGATCGAGGCGTGCTGGGTGAGGAGTGTGTGCCGTTGCTGAGGGCCGAGCCTTGTTCCGCATTATTTGAGAATTCTGATCCTAGTGTCGAGCTGGAAGGGACCTTCTGGGGCGTGGACGTAATGGAGGGGGTGAAGCCCGAGAACTGGGAGAAGCGGCCGTCGTCACTCATGGACATAGACGTGGACATGTCGTGGTCGTTAGAGCCCTGATTCGTCTTCCGCTTGGGCGAGCGTATCCGACCCAGCGTCTCCAAGATCATGTCCTCCTCTTCCGGGGAGACCTGGAATTCCGCGTTGCGCGCGCGCTGCTCCGCGAACCGTGACCGCAGCTCCTCGGCGTCGATGGACTCGCGCAGGAGGGTGAAGCGCCGTGAGAGACTATTATACATGGTGTGCGAAGGGCGGAATGGAAGGTACTGTTAGCCCCGGTATACACAAAACGGCGCAGCAGACGCACTCTGGAAGTATCAACGACGTGCGGAAGTCACTCTCCGGGGGCAATTGCGGCAGCTGGGGGAGCGCGCCCGGGCTGAGGCGCCCGTCGTGCTGCTCGCGAATCTGGGCGAGATGGACCTCCAGACTGACTTGCTGACGCTTCGCGTCGGACCGTTTCCTGTGGGGAATCGTGTTAGGGACGCGGTGCGACTTAATCTAATCAGAGGGGCAGGGGCGGGCGCGCAGGAGTGTGGCGAGCGCTAGCGCGCGATGCGAGTCCGGGAGGAGTTCGGTGCGCGGCATGAGGACTTGCCTGAAGCGATGCATGGGTGATACGCGGGGCCAGACACGTTATTGTTGGGCACTGGCGGCGATGGTCAGGGCGTATTCAGGGTGGGGCACGAAGCAGGACGGACAAGGAAGGTGAGGGCAACGTGTGTAACACGAGTTGGATTAGATACTGATGGTGCGCTGGTCGCGGACCGGACGGGCAGTGTAGAATTATAAACAAGAAGACAGCGAGCAGAAACTCCGGATAGTGGGGAGGAGGAGGAGAACGAAAAACGAAAGACGCGGCGCGACACTGACCGCCGACGGTCGAACGGAGAAACAGGCGATCGCCCGGATTTCGTATGTGCTTGACGGATCCGGAAACAGCGCCAAACACGGACACCCAGCCTCACATCATCTACTCTAGCACATCTCCCACAGCTCCCCAAGACTGACCATGCGCCCAAACCCCTCACTGGCACGCATGTTGACAAAGCCCTCCATAAGGTTCGTGCTATGCTGCGCTTTCGGCCCTCGAATCGGCGCATGAGCGGGGGGCGGCTTCACGTACACCTGATCCTGAGGTACTTCGCTCGAAAGCTGACAGGAATCATGAGCAAGTGCAATACAGATCATCCATCGAAGAATTACCATATGGCTTCGGTCAGAAGCGAAGTGGTCGGAGAGGTCGCGCACAGGCACAATGCGAAAGAGGCTGAGAAAGTTAGGGAATCTCGCGATCCGGCTCGCCACAGTGCATACCTCTGGAACTGCTCAGGAACGCCCTCATTAAAGGTCCCCGAAAGATATTCTATGCCAGCCGTGACTATAGACCCGGATACGATCCTCGAATGCCTACCTTCCAGCAGCACAGGCGTCGGGATGCGACTGTCGAAGTCATATATCCAGGCTTGCACAGTGACTTCGCTGTGCTGTTCCTGCACTTCTCCGGTTGACGTTCTTGCTGGGTCCTTCCGCGGCAAAAGGAGAGCGACAACATGGTAATCCCATACCACGGGCATGATGTCGTCTTCAGGTGCCAGCTTCTGATTCCAGAGGGCCACCTACGTGGACGAAAGCCCAGTGTCAGTCCCCAATACATATCTCCGGCGTAGAATATGTACGAGCACTTTTGCCATGATTTGAGATGAAGACGGCATTTAGATCCCAGATCTCTATGACGGAAGAGTTTTTGGCGAGAGCCTGAAGTAGCAGATAGATGTTCTCCTCGCAGTAGTGGCCTTGGGTAAAAATTCAGTCAGAGGATGAATAAAGCACGAAATACAGCAATCCTCCGCCTGCATACTGGTATAAACCACTTCTGGCGTCGTAGGGGGAGGACGTAGATATTGAACAGACATGCAGGGCCCGATGTCAGGCTTTGATGGGAAGCAAAATGTTGGATTGCCCTAGAGTATCCTTCGGTGATCCAAGATAGAGTGAAGTAGACGTCGAGTACCGAAGTGCGAATAGGATGGCTGGGGCAGATGAGAGCTCGCGGTTGTCAGACCTTCTATCGGCAAACTCCGGTGCGCTGGTCACGCGTCACAGCAAGAAATTCCGGCTGAATGGTCATCGCACGCATTTGTGAGGCTTCTGACTCCATAATTTATCGGATTGAGGTACATATTAGAGGGAGAGGGAGAGGACAGTAGGAAGAGGCACACCATTCATAAGCGTCTTGGCCATAAAACGGACCCACCGGGACCCATGTTCGCACGGGACCAGATGCACTTCCCACGCCCCTGACGATCTCGAATCGCGACGGCCGCGACGCGCATCGCCGACGACAACCCATCCCTCCCTCCCAAACCATGTCCGGAGGACTCAACTCGCTCGCCACTATCATCAAGCGGTACGACCGTTGTCTATGCTCACTTGCTCCTTCCCCTCACGACAATATAAAGGCTCGAAGCCGCGACCTCGCGCTTGGAGGACATCGCGGCGGCACAGGGCGCGCCGGTAGCGCCCCTCAGCGCCGCGGACCTCGATGGATCTGCACTTCCGACGGCGGGGCCTACGCACACTGCGGCGAAGGGAGCTGCCGCGCCTGCTGCACCGGCTGAGGACCCCAAGAGCGTCACTGCATACGACGAGCTGATCCTCCAGGGCAAGATCAAGCCTTTCGTCGAGCTCACGAAATCCTTCGCCGCGCCGGCGGTCGTCGAGGCGGTGCGTGTACCTCTGTCGCTTCCAGCAAACGCCCAAGCTGATCAGTGATCCATCGCGCGCTCCTTTCCATCCATCCATCCTGCCATCTGTCCATCCACCATCCGTCTCCCAACCCAACTCGTCCATCGCCATCCCCACCCCAGGTCACCCTCGTCGAGAAGCAATTCACCGACCTCCGCGGGCTGCTCCTCAAAGCCGGCGCGTGCCAGAAGCCCGACGCGAAGGCGATCGAGCAGCTCCTCATCCCGCTCCAGAAGGACATCGAGGCCGTGCAGCGCTGCAAGGAGGCGAACCGCAAGGAGCGCGACTGGCTCAACCACCTCACCGTGCTCGCCGAGGGCGCGCCGTGTATCGGGTGGGTCGTGCAGGTGAGTCGGGCATTCAATCGCGTGATGGGAGGGAGATGAGGGCAGGTAACTGATGCGCGAGACAGGTCAAGCCCGGGCCGTACGTTGGGGAGATCAAGGACAGCGTGGCGTACTATGGGAACAGGATTATGAAGGAGTTCAAGGATAAGTGAGTGTTTGGAGCGCGCAAATGGGATAAGCTTGCTGACAAGGTCGAAAGGGACCCCAAGCACGTCGACTGGGTCCGCGGATTTACAGGAATACTGGATGAATTGCGCAAATATGTGATGGAATACCACACTACGGGCCTTGCCTGGAATCCCAAGGTGCGCTCTCCCTCTCAACCTACACCATGAGACGTTAAATTCGCCTTCAGGGCATTACGATTGACAAATACGCCGCCTCCTCCCCCGCAGCTCCCGCCCCAGCAGCCGGTGGCGCCCCACCTCCGCCACCTCCCCCTCCCCCTCCTCCCGCCGCTCCTCCCGCGCCCGCCGCCACCAGCGCAGCCCCCGCCGCCGGAGCTGCTGCCGTCTTCGCCGAACTCAACCGCGGCGAGGAGGTCACTAAGGGCCTGCGCAAGGTCGACAAGAGCGAGATGACGCACAAGAACCCCGCGTTGCGCGCTGGCAGCACGGTGCCGAGCTCCGTGGGTACGACGTCGCCGCCGAGTGAGTGTTTGGATGCGAGGTGTAGGGCTTCGAAGGCTGACGCGTTTTGTTTTCACGAGAAGCTGCGAAGAAGCCATTGAGACCGACGAAGCCTCAAGCGCTGATGGGGAAGAAGCCGGCTAAGCTGGCGCTGGAGGGCAAGGCTTGGAATGTGGTATGTGGAATGATTGCGAGAGTATGAGTGCTTCCTCATAGGGTCATAGGAATACCAAGAAAACGAGCCGGCCCTCACTTTGGAGGACGTGCAGATGAACCAGACGGTCAACCTCTTCAACTGCAAAAAGTCCACTATCGTCATTAAGGGCAAGGTCAACGCCGTATCACTAGGTACGCTTCCCCTTGACTCATCGTCACCTCGCTCACCTCACCTTTCAGTCAACTGCGAAAAGACCTCGATCCTCGTTGACTCTGTCGTATCCTCCATCTCGGTCACCAAATCCCCCAACTTCGCCATCCAGATCACCGGCGTCTGCCCGACGATCCAGCTCGACTCGACGGACGTGGGGCAGATCTACCTCTCGAAGGACTCGCTCGCAGTCGAGATCACGACGGCGAAGTGCAGCAGCATCAACGTCAGCCTGCCCGTCGAGGGCGAGGAGGAGGGCGTGTTCGAGGAGCAGCCCGTGCCGGAGATGCTCAAGACGGTCGTGCAGGGCGGCAAACTGGTGAGCTCGATTGTGGAGCACGCGGGCTAGATTTCGAAGCGTGGTCGGGTATATTTGAGAGGATTGGGTCCGTTTACGTTGGATAGTGGAAAACATATTGTTCATAAAGCCGAGTTTTGGTTGGGCGCGGGCGCGCAAGGCAGCTCATGGGGCGGGTCGCCTCGTCAGAAGTGGGTGGTAAGCTGTAAGTTTGGGGTGTCGCACGAGGATGCCAAGGGGGTAGATAGAGCTGACGATTGACGCTATCGATGTAGCGAAGTGCCGCTCGGGCCTCTGGGCAGCGTCCGGGGCTTTCAGAATGCCTGTTGCGCTCAATAGATGTCCGACGGACAATGGACGCGCGCGGATGACGGCGACAAGTTCGACTTCGGGCCGGAACGCGGACCGAGCGACGAGAGCGACGAATTATGAAATCGGGGTTCCACCGCGGCGAGCGTCGAGTTTCGACGAGCGACCTATTTTCTTGCTTCTCCCATCACGCTTTGGGCAGCGCCAGGCAGCGACAGCCGTGCTCAACCTGCTTTCCGCTCTTTAACTTGACCTTTCACCACCGCAAGCCCCCGTTGACGCGAGACACCCCCAGAGATGGATGACCCAGGGTTCCATGCGCGGCGGCGCGCCGCTAAGGTGCGAAGCATTGTCCCCCTCCTCCCCAGTACACGCTCTGACGCGCATTGCAGCAAGACGAGTACTTGCGCCAGACGCAGCGCGGGTTGGACGGCCGCTTCACGCCCGTCGAGCAGATCACGCCCATGGACGAGAGCTTCATCGGCGGATTCCACCCCCACGTACCTGCCGGTCCCCCTGTCCCCGCTAAGGACGCGTACAGGCAGCGCGCCGCGAGCGACAGCAGGACGCAGACATCGATTGCGTCTAGCCAGCTCACGCACATGTCGGCAGTTGAACGGTCCAAGGTCCTCCGTGTCGCGCGCATGGAACCGCACCTGCAGGTACGTGCGCATGTCTCAACGAGCCCCCCTCTGTCTGACGCGCACCACAGTTCATGGTGGGACCCTTGCTGAGGTAGGCAGATCGCAGACGCGCCTGTCGTCATGTTCATTTCGCGACAGATACGACACCGTCGACGCGGATGGGGTATGGCATGGTGCCGCGATGATAGTCAGTGCGTAACAGCCGTGCTATTCGCAGAATCTATCTTTTGACCTTTCGCACCTATAGCCGCTGACTCTGGCTCAATATATGAGCCGTACCCAATCCTGACATACGAATGGGATCCCGAAGTGATTGCACCTGCCTCACCACGTAGGAAGCACCACAGGGGAGGTGCCAACCTGTCACTCGACCTGGGACCCCATCCTGCCGATCCTCATTCTGCCTCCATACCGACCCGGACAGCCAGCGGTCTGCCTGAGAACGGTCACGGCTATTCCTCGAAAATAGTCCAGGAATCAGCAGGTCAGGAAATCCACGTACATGGTAGCGACGGCGGGTACGTGGAGTCATCCAGGATATTCGTAAACCTCGCTTACGCTCCTGCAGGACATTCACGTTCTGGCGGTTTATGCTTCATGTTCCTCTCAGCGACCACCAGATGGTGATCACATACACCATCAACCGTGGGCAGCCGTTACATTTCTATGTACCAGGCCGGAATCAAAACATGCGCATGGCCGCCTACTCTGTACGTACCTTGACCGCTTCCTGTAGCCCGAATTCTGACCGTACGCCACAGTGTAACGGCTTCTCTGCCGGTGTCAACCCAGACGATTTCCGCGGACCCGGCTTCAAGTCAGGCTACGACCCAGTCTGGGTAGACTTACTGAACAAACACCATGAAGAGCCCTTCCACGTCCTCATGGGTGGTGGTGATCAGATATACTGCGATTCGTCGGTGTACCTTCACACGATTTGCTGTCAGTATGCTCACCGTCTATGTCAGTCTCACGCGCGAGCCCGAATTGCAGGACTGGGTCACCAAGACAAAGCCCGAAGAGCGCAAGGCGTACCCTCTGACGGACGAGATCCGCGAAGCTATTGATCGCTTCTTCTTCAACCACTACTGCCAGCAGTTCCGTAGTGGCGCCTTTGCGCGTGCAAATTGCTCGATGTGCGTCTCAGATTCATTTTTTCCTGATAGCGATGCCAACTGATAATTGTCTGCTAGCCCTATGTTGAACATGTGCGACGATCACGGTACGAAGAAAGTTGACGAGTTTGTGTAGTGTCTGAAGCGACACTCCCCCTCCTCTAGATCTCGTACGTCCTTTCTCACCGTTGTAATTGGCGAAGGCTGACAGTCTTTCATAGATCGACGGCTTTGGTAGCTACCCCGACGACCTGCAAAGGGCACCCGTCTTCCAGACGTACGCTTCATTGCTTGACTGCCAATGATAGCACGACAATGCTGACCCGCTCGTATAGAATCGGCGCCCGCGGCTTCTTCTACTACCTCCTCTTCCAGCAGTTCATCAATCGTACGTTGACTCGAGTACACATCCACCTAACCTCCCTCTGACCAGCCTATTCTCCCCTGCAGCCGAAGTCGACGGCCTTGATGACAGGCCCGGCGCCCACGTTACCCGCTCCATCATCTTTGGCGAGCAGGGGCCTTACATCCCGTACCCCTCCCACAGCTTCCTCAGCTGGCTTGGACCGCAGATCCAGGTTCTTATGTTGGATTGCCGGTAAGTGCATTGCTATGGCCTGGTGAAAGCAGGGCTGACTGGGCAATTTACGCAGCGCGGAGCGGAAGAAGGACCGGGTATGCAGCCAGACAGAGTACGCGAAAGTGTTCGAGAGACTGCAGAACATCCCACCTACGACGGAGCATGTTATCGTGCAATTGGGTGTGTATCCTGAGATTTTTCTATGAAAACGAGGAGATGGTACTGACATCAAACGAAGGCATCCCAATTGCGTACCCGCGTATGGTCTTCCTGGAGAGCGCCCTCGAGTCGAAGTACAACCCGCTCACCATCCTGGGACGGAACGGTTCCATGGGCCTTACTGGCTTCGTGAACAAGTTCAACGCGGACGCAGAGCTCCTCGATGACCTGGTATGCATTCTTTGACGCCATCCCCCCCTTCGGTCCGCTGATGTTAGCCAGAATGACCACTGGACCGCGACTTCCCACAAGGTAAGCACAGCTAAGTGGCCTCGGTGCCTCCGAGTGAACAATTTACCCACCTTCCCAATAGAAAGAGCGCAACTGGCTCATTGAGCAGCTGCAAAAGATCGCCATCGAGAAGCGTGTCCGGATTTCGTTCGTCTCCGGGGACGTGCACTGCGCGGCCGTTGGCGCGTTCAAGACGCTGAAGGGCAAGAACTCGAAGGCGCTGCCGCCGCTTGCGGACCCGAAGTTCATGCTCAATGTGACGTCGAGTGAGTGTGCTTGGCTCTCTGACCTTGATATGGGGTTTGCTGATGCGGTGATTCAGGTGCCATCGTAAATACGCCTCCGTGAGTATTCTATAGCACAGTGGATGGGTAAGTTGACATCGGAGCGCAGACCTGCTGCTGTCATCCGCCTGGTCTCTTCCTTGGCTTCGAAGACGCACAAGACGCTGCACTATGCCGAGACAGACGAGACTATGGTTTGCTTTCTCTCTCTTGGTATTCCCTCACGAATGCTCAACGTTCTCAGGTACCCCTCTTTGAACGCGAGCCCGACGGCAGCAGCCGCGGCCAGCGCTACATCATGGGCCGGCGGAACTACTGCGAGATCGACTGGGACAGGTCCTCTGGAGACGTCATTTTCGACGTCCGCATCGAGAAGGAGAAGGGTGTAGGGCAGACCGTTGGGTGCGTCTTCTTCCTAACTATCACTTCTCTCATCTGCCATCCCGGCCATCGTCTCAGCTGATGCCGCTTGCTAACCTCGGCTCTTCAGCTATACCGTCCGCGCGCCGCCGCCACGGTGGTAAGCCGCGCACCATTTCGTGACCTGGTCAAGCAACTCTCGGCATCTCGCGTCAACGTCCTTGCGCACCCCTTTCACCGTAGTGTAGTTATTTATCTCGCGTGCAGAATCCCGCAATCCGTCCCACTCGTTCTCTGTCCCTTTTAGCAGGTTGCCCAGCCTGTCTTAGCCGTGACGGCTGCCTTGCTACTCGTTCACTGTCCACCTCCCTCACGGCTCCTTCGTCCACCGTCATCATGGGTGCCCCATTAGTACCCATGCATCTTCGCAATACCCTTGTGCGTCCGCGCATACCCCGCGTGCCCGTTCGGGCGCGCATTTATCTTACCTTAGTACACCGCTTAGTTCTGTAGCGCTATCTCTTCTACACCTCGGATTTATGACATCTGTTCATGTTACAATGCGCGGGGGAGGAACGCATGAGCGCGTAGTTGGCGTTGGATGCGCCTGCGATTAGCCGAGAGTTCTCACAATGTCACTGTCGCTTTGAATCCACCTCACGAGAACAAACCTCTACACATTTTTGTAAGGGTGTCGGCGAGGCTGAGGGGAAGGAGGCATCACGAGGAGCGTGGGAAGTACGTCTTGTCCCGTGCGGCCATGATCCCGTTTATGACCAGCAATCTCTGTTTGTCGAGCAACTGGCACTGTTTGTCATTCGTCACCATGCAAGAAGCTGGCCTCTCTGGGTAACTGATCATAACTCAACAATTGAGAAGACACAGCTTCTGCGCGGTGCCTCATGCAAAGTCCAACGATGCTTTGACCTTGCTCAATCTTTGTTGCTATTGTTTTTGTCGATGCATGTAACCGCCTCCAAGGGTATATAAGGTGCTCAATTCGGTGCTCCACTTCATCCACTCCCGCAACACTACTCGACTAATTGCACATTTCCTCTCGTCCCGCCAGCCCACCCAGCTTTGCCCGCTATGACCTACGACAGCTCTTCTCGCGTGAACGTGGTGAGCTCACTTCTCACTTCTCTATAAACAGTTATCTAACGACATATCTCCCAGGGCAACACCCTTGCCCCCACCTACGAAGACGCGCGCCTCTTGCTCGACTTCGCAGCGCAACACGGCGTTTCCGTCCAGTACGGGTCTATCCCTGCGCCCGAAGTCGCCCAGACGATGCAGCGGGTACAGACCTCACTCGAAAGCATGGAGATCGATGAGAATCCAGCCGCTCGCCTCGTCCCCGTCTTCCAGTCGATGGACATCACCTCAAACTTCTCGGCCGGGTCGTCGCCTTCGTCCAGCGTATACACCCGCACACCTTCACCTGCGGTGTCAGCCTTGCCTGTACAACTTCACCCGCATCTGCTCACCTCGCCCTCGAAGACTCGCCCCGACTTGACATCCGCCCGGCGCGGATGAGGGCGCGGAGTCGTTTGTCTGCACTCCTTCAAATCATTAGCGCCGAACGCGAATCAGATGGCGAAGGAGCGGATGTGGCTTGCTCACAACGTAGTGAATCTGTCGCAGAATGAACTGTAGGCCGGCGGTGCCCAGCCATCGCGAAGTGGCATACTCTATACATTGTCCTAATTCTGTCTGTGCTTGTACATGCCATTGTATTGTTATGTGTCCCCTCTACCGAACCGACCACAGATCACATATAGAGTGTACATCTGAATCTGTCTATTTCGAGCTACGTTCATATGGACTCGGAACAGCGCGATCAGTGCATCATAGCTTGCCCATTCATGAACCTCAATCGCGACCATCATCTTGGTCTTGCAAACATAGGTCCGGACCACACAAGATAGCATACGCCAAAGCAAGACCGGTGTCTACATGGATACGGTGCAGCAAACGGGTGGCATATTTACAAGCATACAATATGTGGCAACGGTCCGTTCATCAACTTCGTGAATCTTGTACAGCGGCAGGGACCCCATAGAACATTACAACTTGTTTGGAGGGGTCCAAAATGGGCAGCATGGATGATATTCCGACCCTCAGAGGCATAGTAGAAGGCTCCTTCTAGCACTCAGAACTGCTGTTTCTACAGACCCAACCCTTCCGAGGACCTCACGAGGCTTCCGTGCTCCCACAAGACTCGTCACGAGCGACGCAACTTGGACAACGCAATGAGCGCATTTACGGACGCGAGCTCTTCAGCACTCAGTGCTCGAGCGTCCTTTGGGAGCAGTCGGGGGCACACTTGATATTGCTGGCGGGTGTGCATTTGTGGCGTGCGTGGGGCTGCGCCATGGCCATGGCTAGAGTCTCGTTGAGGCGCCGATGCAGACTTCGAGTGCGGAGGCGCAGGCGCAGACTTCCCCCCTGCTGCTCGCGGATTGCAGCACGGCTGATTGTAGCAGTTCGTGCGCGTCATGTAGCCCGTGGTGTGGTGGTGACAAGTCATGGTATGGTATGTGGCAAAGGCGGAGACGCGGTGCTGATGTCGGATGTGAGTGACTGGCGATTTATCGAAGGGGCCTCGTGGACGACGACACGGCGCTGGACGGTATGGCCAGTGAGCTTTGCAAGGCCAAGTTGGACTGAGAACCATGGGCTACGATTCATTGTTTATATCTGGCGCCATGGCCATTGATTAGTCATCAGCTGGCCAAAGAAGCATACGATAGCAGGTGTGAAAGAAGACGCCGGCGGTGGCCTTGCTATGTCGCCGCAGCATCGCTATCCGCGAAAGGCAAGTATCGGCTCTTTCACGCGCCTCGTGGTCAACGGATGAAGCATAGATGAAGCCTCGAGGTCAACATGAGAGCCTCGAGGCGGATGTTACGGACGCCTGAAAGAGGTGAATGGGCCGTCGAGGGTTTGCGCGAAATTAGCGTGGCAGTGCGAACAACACAAGGCTGATTCGCGATTCACATATCGCCCTGATTCGCTCTGAATTCTCATGAATCAAGAACTGAAAGGAATATCAGTCATGAAATCACTATACCGCGGCCAGAGCACTGACCAAGATTACAGAGGCATGAGAATCACGGAGTAAGCAGAGCTCTCAGTTACCGTTTGGCAACTTCTCACAGAGGAGGCAATACCTGCCCTAACCGAAGCCAGCCCACTCGATAGACAAATACGAGACTGTCCGCTTGTCGTCGTCCCAGCTGCATAGAAGATGCGCCTTCTTCGTCGCCGTACCCAGTCGTCCATGTGCCACAATCTCCATCGGACGCATTGGCGCGTCCGGCGACTCAATGACGGTCGCAGCGAAATGCGAGTGATATCGGAGAGGGTCGCCTGTGCGAACCTCAGTAAGACGTGTCAAGGTCATGCTTTGAGAAAACTCACCTGGATAGACGAGGTAATCCGCACCGAAGCGGATACCAATGCCCATGAAATAGCTCTGTTCCCATAAATCGCGGAAGACGCCGTACTGCGCACGGTCTTGCAATGTCTCTGGGTACGTCCACAAATCCGCTTCTCGTGCGGCCTCAAGCGTCGTGTATGTCTTGTTCTCCGGCTCATACCAGAGCAGCCCCGACGACGAGGCCGGCAGAGAAATTGTGAATATAGACGCCTGTGAGGGTTGTGCCGATGGCGCCGGCGCCTCTTCTGGTGGAGGGACGAAGACCGCGGCATCCTCGGACTGCTGTGCCTTCGCTGCGCGCTTCGCCTCGCGTTCCTTGCGTTTGCGAATGGCCTCTTCGGACATGGATTTGTCTGCGACGTTAGTCTGACGGTTGCGCGAGAGCTCTTCGGCGGCTGCGAGCTGAGATTCGATGTCTGCAGTTTGCGCGTCTGCCCAGCGTGCTGCCTCTTCGGGGGAGGGGGATCGGTGTGCGAGGGCGTCGTCGACGAGTACGGCGAAGCCTGCGCGACTTAGCCATGCATGGGTGATGTAGGATAGCTGCTCACCCTTCTCAACGAGTAAAGTCACTTCTTGGGACATGAGGACGAGGGGGACACCGAGGAATGCATTTTGTTGGGCAAGACGGGGAAGGGTGCCGGTGAGTAGACCGCATATACGGTGGCGTGAGCGTACGGTCGCTATATCTGTCCTTGGGAGCGTTGAGAGATAGTTATTTGCGGAGGACTGAGCTCACCGTCGACATCCCAAATAAACGCCCGCCGGTTCGAGATACTGATTCGGACAGGCGCCATCAGTGCTCAAGACAAGCGATCGGAGCTGATTCCGGCCACGATCATGGCGTCCTCGCCGTCGCCCCCGTCGGCCGCGCACCCACTCATCGTCTACCAGCGCGCGCTCGACTCCCACGTCCGCCGCACCGAGCACTGGGGCCTCGCCGTGCTCTTCTCCCGCACCGACGCGCGCATCTTCGAGATCGTCGGCAACATGGACTCCTTCGGCTACGTCCCCCGCGCCGCGCGCAAGTACGCGTCCGACCCCGCCTGGCGCGGCGGCCTCTACATCGCCCACGTCGCCCCCGCCGACATCGATGCGCTCGATGCCCGCCTGCGCGCGCTGCCCATCGTGAAGAACGACCCGGACTTCGACTGCCAGACCTGGGTCCTCGGCGCGCTGCGCATCCTCAAGCAGGACGGCGTCATCTCGACCGAGATCGACGTGCGCGAGCCCATCGTCCGCGCGGAGCTCGAGCTGGAGAAGGAGCGCTGGGAGGCTGCCGACGACACCGTCGACGAGCGCCTCTTCCCCCATGCCGCCCGGTGATCGCTAGGCGCTGCTGCACATCGTATTCACACAGGGCTTTGGGACAGAGAGCTATCGCTATGGATCCTTGCTTGACGGACACTGGTACTTATATGTTGCATTATATTCGCTAATTGTATTACCTATAGCATCGATGGTATACCTGCAATATGGACATCCCCCCGGATCCCCCTGCTAACACGGCTAGCACACATCATCGCACACACTCGGCTGCAGATACACGCCTGATCGATATTCCAATCCGAAGTAACGAAGAGTCAGAAGGAAATCCAGCAACCTCCCTAATCAGCCTTCCTCCTCCCCAACTGCACCCTACTAGTCGCCGCCCGCGCACCGAATCCCCTCCCCACACCTGGTATCGCACTCGGCGCGCCCACCTCTCCCTGCTCCAGCGTCTCCGTTTCCCCCTCACTCATGCCCCGCTTGTGCCCCTTCACCTTCCCTCCCCCGCCCACACTCACCACCCGCACCACCCAGTCGTTCAGCCACATCACCGGCGCAAACACCCTCAAACGAATCGGCACGAAAGGCGACGGGTGTCGTGCCTCTGCGGCGGGATTGTACGGGTCTGTCGGCGTCGGCCGCGCGTGCATCGCCATGATGATATACTGGGGCAACATAAGGAAGTTGAAGTCAAGAATTACGATTTGCTCACCATGGGGAACACCAGCGCAAAGATTGCACCATTCGCGAGGCCTGTACCGCATGTGCAGAGCAGGGAAGCGGGGAGACCTTCATTCGGCCAGCGTCAGCTGAAGCACGGTTCGAATAGCCCGGGACGCACCAAATGCGAAGAAGTACGCCCATCGCTCCTCGAGATACCGGACCCGCCTCGCCAGCCCCATGTTCCGTGCTATCCACACAAACCTACGCGCCCGTCAGCGCGCTTTCTACCCCACCTGGCGATGCACGCACTCGAAGCAGTAGTACCTGTGCGAGCAAGCATATATCAGCTATTCAACCCTCGCACTCAAACATGAGCTCACTCACGCGTCCACCCAGCACAAAAACGCCAACTCGAGCGGGCGGCCTACCCTCGGGACCATTCCTAGTGCCAGAGAGAGCGCGACGGAGGTCAGGACCATAACTCCACGGTACGCGCTGGTCGCAATGGCACGGAGCATGCCCGCGTACGTCTGCTGTTGCGCGGATGCGGCGGCGCGCGAGCCGTGTTGCAACGCGAAGGTGCGCTTCGCGATGAGGGTGCACCAGGTGCTCTGTATGAATGCGTCAGCCTCATGCACATACACCAGCAAGCTGGGGATAACATAGCTTGAGCAACTTACATTCAAATAAAACGACACCCCAACCACCGGCAACAACCACAAAGCCTGATAAAACCACCCCACATTCCGATGTACCCAGCGCGTCTGTCCGTGCAGGAGGGGTGCTAGTAGAAGGTCGAAGCCGTAGATCGAGGCAAGGGACAGAGAGTTGAGGAGGAGGGACTTGACGATGTTCGCGCGGACTTCTTGGTCGCTGGAGGGGGGGAGGAGGTATGATGAACAAGGGACAAGGGAGCATGAAGCAGCGAGGCATGGGTGGAGAAAGCAGAATGGGCGCAAGGAAGAACGAAACAGATGGATAGGCATTTAGTCACTGTATTCCCTATGTATCGCTACTCACCTCATGACCGTCCCATACACCAGATCCCACCTGAACGCATCCCTCAACCCATGCCACGCCCATCGCAGCTGCAATAGCACCGTATCCTGTAACGAGAGAAACTTGGGGTATGACGCGCGCGCAGAGGTGTAGCTTGGGGACGCGTGGAAGCCAGGTTGGGAGTAACTAGGTGAAGCGGGGAATCCGGCCGAGGAGGAAGCAGAAAACCCAGGCTGGGACGGCGAAGCAGGGAAACCAGATCCAGGAAGCGGTGATGAGGGGAAGCCTGGCGATGGTGGGTATGCGCTCGTTTGCGAGCTAGGGTACCCAGCTTGAGAGGTCGCATGTCCACCTTGCGAGCCAGCGTATCCTGGCGGTGCGGACGGACCCACACCAGGGGAAGACGCACCACCAACAGACGGCGACGAAGGCGCATACGATGGGTACGCCCTTGGGGATCGCGGGGGGCGACGTTGCGACATGGGTGAGCCTTCGGAATCACTACGGTGAGCCTTTGGAATCACTACGGAGATCCCTTGGTGGCACTGGGTATTCCTCGACACCGGAAGGCTGGCACGAGACGACAAGAGAGGTAGTGGCAAGCGCGTCACCAACGCGAGGCGCGACGGGCGATCGCGCCACCACGCCACAAACAGCGCGTGGGGCACGTGTGATCACGCAGGCTCATGTTCGACTTTCGCTAGGCTTTCGCAGATCCGTCTTTCCGCCTTCTTCGACCTCTTCTAGCGCCCTCCCCATCTTTCGTTGTCTCTCCATAGACCATTTCAACTGTCCTTCTCTACCTACTTCTCCAGAAGGCTGACAGACCAGACCCTCTCCCCCTCGTCCCAACCCCTCTTCCACCTGGATCACACCTCACACTTGACTATCCACTTTATCGCATCATATAAACATAAATTACACTACGGTGCATCACTACTACTACGCATCCTACATACTCATACTCTATATAGTCTGCGATGCGCTACGATCGGGGTGATACATACAAGAACGAGAAACAGAGGCACATATCGAAGATAGGACGCGAAGAGACGAGGGAGGAAGCACGTATGGTATGGAGTACTCAACGCGAGCACAGGAAGGTGCGTAGTAGGAGGCACAGGGGAGAGGATAGACACAAGAGGGAAGAGAAGACGGGAAAGTGTACACCGCCATAAAGGCGTAGGGCAAGAAACATGAAAGACTGGACGCAATCGCCGCCTACTTCTTGGGCGCCTGGAGGACTAGTAAGCATTCACACCTACACGCCACAATGCCGAATGTACTCACCGTCGTCTTGCGCCCGGACGATGTGCGAGCCGCCTTAGCGGGCTTCTCCTTGTCCGCGGCCTTCTTCGCCGGTGCAGCCTTCTTCGTCACGGTCGCCTTCTTCGCTGCCGTCTTCGCCTTCGTCGCCGGCGTCGTGCCAGTGGCAGCCTAAACATCAGTCAGTCGCTTTTGCCTCATCCCAGTCGCTTTCGAGTACGGACCTTCTTCGCAGGCGCCCGCTTCGACGCCGCCGTAGGCTTCTTGGTCGTTGCCGCTGCGTTCTTCTTCGCCGGTGCAGCTGCCTTCTTCTTGCCCGGCTCTGCCGCCTTCGCCTTGCTTGTCGACGCCTTGGCCTTAGCGGGCGCCTTCGCGTTGGCCGCCGTTGGCTTCTTGACGGTCCCAGCAGCCTTGGTGGTCCGCGCCGTGCTTTTCGCAGTGGTCGCCTTAGCGGTGGTGGCCTTCTTGGTGGCCGTCTTCGTGGGGGCAGCCTTGGCCTTCGAGGGAGCAGCCTTAGCCTTGGACGCCGGCACCTTCGCAGCAGCGGACTTCGGCTTCGCGGCGGGCTTATTCTGAATCAGGGTCAGAGCCGCACGATGGCATGCATTGTGATGACATACCTCCTTGGAGGCAGCGTCGGCGGGACGGCTCTTGGGCGGAAGCTTGACGCGGCCAGAAGGACCTGCAAAAGGGCGAGGTCAGTCAGCAGATGCGAGGCTGTCGCGCGTCCGCTACGCACCCTTGGGAAGGACGAAGTGGCCTTTCTCAGCGCCATACGCTATCGCCCGGGCGAGTTGCGTGTTCTGCGCAGGGCCGATGGTGAGCTTGTACTTCTCCTCGACATATCTGAGTAGCAGAACGACTCGTTAGCGAAAAAGGCGGGAGCACAGGGCAAAGGGTACGCACTTCTTGATCTGCGGACGCGAGACACCGTGGCGGGCGTCCTCAGTGTTGTCAACGATGCACTCCTGCAAGGAGCATCAGTATACGCTCGAGAAGAGGAACGCGTGAGGCGGAGGAGGCGAGAGGGGAAGGGGGGGATGACTGAGAGTGGCCAAGGCAGATGCACCTCATCGACGGCGATGACGAAAGAGGCGCGGAGTCGCCAGCGCAACGGCGAAGGGGACGCCTAGCGAGCTTGCAAGGGAGTAGAGAGACGCGTACCTTGATCATCTCAGCCCAAGGGGGGTGGGTGGATTTGGCGGCAGTCTTGCTGGCAGCGGGGGCCGCCTTGCTCGACGCCTTCGCGGTGGTGGACTTCTTGGCGGCGGGGGCCATCGTGTTGTTGGTATGCTAGCTTGGTGACGGGAGGTGTCTTGGGGAAGAGGAGAAGGCGGTATGAAGCGCGAGAGGGATCGCTTGTATGGGGATGTGGTGGGAGGAGACAAGAGCGAATTGAAACTCCGAGAGGGGAGTAAACGAACTCGAGCCCGTGCACGTGATGGCTTCAGTGAGGCGGTGGGCTGAATTGCGTCTATTTCCCGCGCATATACGCTCTTATGAATAGACATTGAAGCAGTGAAGGTTATTTAGTTGATGCTGAGTAACTTTTTGGCGAGAGGGGAATTGAGAGACGCCCACAAGTCGCCCATCTTGAGCTCCGATAAGCCTCGATGTGGTGACACAATAGAGATCGCCGTACGGATGAAAGGCGCGCTCGCCACAAGATTCGCCTTGGAATGGAAGTTCCTGGTGCAGTCCCCCACCCCGCCAACCGTGTACTGAACCTCCCCTCCTCGTCCGCCGTCTGCGCGCCACAATGATCAACTAGCACGCCCCTAAACGCGTCCCTTGTTTACGCGCTGTTGACGCGAATGATCGGATCGCCCGGCGACCAAGCAGCGCACGTGTTTCGATCTCTCCTTCTCGAAGGTCGCCCCGCTCCGGCCCGCCTGTACCTCTCCTTCATGACGATTTCTGCGGAATTGCGGACGGCGGCGCGCGCGGCGTACCGCGACCTCTGGCGCGCGTCATCGAGGACGTTTGCTGGTGCGTGTCGTTACTTTTTCTTCGGTTGTCTAGGTCTAATCCAAGGTTCCAGGGGATGCGCCCGTCCTGCAAGGCAAGCTCGCTACACATATTCCCTCACACGTTCCTTACATTATGCAGCCTTCCGTGCCAAGATGCGCGACGACGCAACGAAGGCCCTCGCTGTCCCCGTACCCGGCGCCTTCGAGGAGCACGTCAAGCTAACTCGCGACCTCGCCGTCTTCCTGCGTCGCAACATCATCCAGGGCCAGCAGACCGGCGAGAACTCCTGGCGTGCGTTCCCTCTCCCCATCTTACTCCACTGTACATCCTTACCCCAAACCTCGTAGGCCTCCGCGTCACCGAGGACACCGAACTCGGCGACAACGACTCCGTCAAGCAGCCCAAGGACGCCATCCCGATGAACAATCGCCGAGCCCGCAAGCAGGAGAAGCAGCAAGCCGCTGGGTATATCCCTCCGTGCCCCACCTTACACCTCAAACTGACCGCCTAGCACCTCAGCTCCTGCGGCTGCAGCCAGTGACCCCCACCCCGCCTCCAAACCCCCCATATACTTCTCCCAGCTCAAGCGCGCCGTCAACGGCCGGAAGGTGCCCGAGCTGCGCGAGGAGGATCTGGAGGAGTCCTTCGTGCGCGGTAGTGGTCCCGTGAGTGCTTAATGTGGTTGAAAGAGGAGATGGGAGATGCTAAAGGACGCAAAGGGCGGCCAAGCTATCAACAAAACCGCAAACAACGTCCAACTCGTCCACAAGCCAACCGGCATCCGTGTCGTCTGCCAGGAGACCCGCTCACTCGAACAGAATCGCAAGCGTGCCAGAAAGATCATGATTGCGAAGGTGCGTCCCGGCTGTCCACCTCCCCCTTCATCGCTCCTCGCCGCTGTCCAACCAATTCGCTCTCGGCTATTCCTTCTTGATACTGCTCTCATTCGCGAGCTCTTCACTGACATATCCTCGTAGCTAGACCAACTATACAACCCTGGTATCTCGAAGGAGGATCTGCAACGAGCCAAGATGCGCGAGCGCGAGCGTCGCCGGCGCAAGAAGGCCAAGAAGAGGGCAAAGGACCGGGCAGTCGATGCAGATGACGACTAGACAACCTGTACTTCATTCCCATTTTCTAATGCAACCACGTCTCGCTCCACTGGCCTGTTTTTTGAGCGCCACTTCACTTGACTAGCTGGTGAGCCTGCCTAAGCCTGCCCTGTCCAACTCACTCCCCCTGCTCGGACTCACTCATGATCACTCCCAATATGCGTGGCAACTCCTCAGTATTTATACAGCGACAGTAACCTAAGTATCTTGAGTGGTGGGGGCAGCGTCCTCGTCGGCACAAGTCAGGAAATAACAATACACAAAGTATAGACGGAATCGCCCCGGACAGAACGTCGCCTAGGGCACCAATACGGCAAAAGAAGAATATGCATAAGTATGCGTCGGCGTCGCCTAGCATGGGAAGAAGATCGAAGGCAAGCTAAGCATACGCGCGCCATAATGTACTGGATTGGGTACCTATATTGTATAACTAGAGGATCAGGGGAAACACTTGGGTATGTGGGGTTTATAAGTATATCGTAACAGAAGGGTGGAACCATGGGTCGAGGAATCCATGACCGGCCGACAAGTAGGACAGCGCGCCCGCAGCAAGAAAGCCCGCGCGCAAGAACTATGGGGAGGAGGTTATGAGGTGGGGGCCACAACAGGAAGAAAGGCATCAGGCATGAGAAGAAAAGAGAAGGAGAAAGACATGATACAGCTTCTATAATTTCGATCGAGAACGAGGGGTGGGCGTCGTGCGTCTCAGTATGCAAAAAGTGGGGCGAAAGACGACTAGAATTTGGTGGTCATAAAGTACGGAGAGGGGATATTAAGGAGCGTGCAGTGGGCAGCAATACAGTCCATTACGAGGCGGACGCCTTAGAGCCACGTCGAGTAGCGGCCCGCGTGCGCGGTCGCGTCTCACCCGCGGCAGCAACACGCTTCGAGCGGCGCAGTGACCCGCAGTCGCGCTTCGCAGGCGGTGGGTGGTTCGTATGCGTGGGCTGCAGAGGCTTGCTGGGCGAGCGCGGCGTATCCGGTTCTGGAGACTTGCGCTTCATGCCAGCACGTATGGGTGCCTCGGCTGCCTGCGGCGCAGGAGAGTCGCGCTCAGGCGTCAGCTCGGGTTCGGTTGGCGATAGCGGCGGCGACGGTAACGACGACGCATCCATGTCAACATCCGGCGAGGATGACGGCCCTGCTTCTGATGTCGGGGCAGGCGCGGGTGCGGGCGAAGGAGCAGCAGGCTTCTCCTCTTCCCATTCAGCGCTCGCGCACCATCCATGGAAAACCTCTTCCTCCTCCGGGCTCAGCGGGTCCTCCGTGACTGGCTTCGGCGCCTCGTCCTCGGTCTTCCTTGGCCCTGCAAGGGAGAGCAAAGCGAAGGCGCCGTTGCTCTGAAGTACGTCCGACTGTTGGCAGAGCGCCATAGCCTGCGGCGTCGAACCAAACTTTGCACCGAACTCGTTGCGCTCGCGTGTCGCGGCGCACGAGGTGTGGAACTCCTGAAGCGCGGGAGGGAAGCGTTCATGCAGCGATTCCGACAGGAAGACACCGAGCTCGTCCTGGTAGCACGGGTACTGGCGCACGTATTCCTGCGCTGTGGAGAGCGGTACCCATGTTCCAATGACGCTGACCGGACCCTGGTCGACGGTGACTGTGAACGACATCTTCGGATACGGCGTGTTGCCATGGGCGACGATGGCGGACATGTTGACCCAGTCCGTGTCTATGCGGCGCAAGACCCCCATGTCGCCCAGCTTGGTCTGGTACACGCATATACCTACATGCGGAAGTCAGTAATCAAATCTTAGATACACGAATAGAATAGCGTACCTTCGATCTGTGTCGCGGTAATAGCGGGGTTGCACGGCTCCGTCGTATGGAGGATCACCTGCTGCTGCTCGAACCGCGATGCTGGTGGTAGCGAGTGACTGAATGGGAGGGCCAACGCAGAAGGCGGTACTGCCGCGCCCTGCACTGTTGGCGAAGCCATCGACATCGACGCGAAGACGGACGCCAAGGATGGCGTAGCGGGGGAGACCGGCGTGAAAGGCGCCCAGCCATCTTGACGAGTATTGGGCAGTGATGGTGGGGTCATAAAGGCCATAGCAGCGGCAGCGGACGAAGGCGGCGCGGGGCTGGTCGTGGTTCTCAAGTGCGGGCGTATCGTCGGGTACTCGATTGCTGGTGACGAGGGACCTTCCGACTGCCAAGAGTCTTCGCGCTCGCGGTAGCTGTATTCGAGAGGCGGCACGTCGGCGAGTGATGCGGCGAATTGCGAATACAGGGCCAGGTCCTCCTCAGATGGAGGAGGGAAGCCGCCTTCTGTGGACGACGCGGCCAGTAGGTTCTGCTCTGTCTCCTCCTGTTTGATGAACTGGTCGTCGTCCGAAAGCGTCGAAGGGGTTGACCACTCGCGCTTTACGGGAACGCTGTAGCGACCGTACACCTCCGGCTCCGCCTTGACGCCCGTCTCGTACACACTCTCGAAGGTGTGACCTCCATACTCGGCATCCCAATGATCCAGGAGACCTTCCACAACGGTAGGCTCTTGCTTGACAGCAACCTTTGGATCGGACATCGGTAGAGGGATGCTGTACAGCGGCGGAGACTGCGGGCCCGGGCTGTCAAACCTCTCGCTGTCGAGGTCCCCGTCGATGTCGAAGTCCTCCACCGTCGTCGTAAGCAGGCCGTCGTCTGGCAAAGACGGGCCGAGCTCGGCAGCAGCGGAAGTCGGAGGGGGAAAGTATTCCTCGTAATCATCCTCGTCATCGGACTCGTCAGACTCGGGCGGTGGCGAGGCAAGGCTATGCATAGAGGGAGACCTGCGGAATCGGGTGTTGAATGACGGCTGGAGCTCCGGATACGGCCCGTCGAATGACGGCGTATAGCTCGGGATAGCAATGGAGCGCCGTGGATAGGGAGGGAGCGTCCAAGAGCTCTCGGACTCTGGCGAGAGACCTGTCAACGTGTCGCGCTCTGAGTGATCACGACCGTCGTCATCGGTGGAAAAACCTGTGATCGGCTCGGCAGATGCTGCGTCAGGTGTCGCATTGGGCGGGGAGGAGGCGGGGGTGTTCAGTGGCTTCAAGCGCAGCGTTAGCTTCACCCTCTGCTCCGGCTGAGGCTCGTCGTCCGCCTCGTGTGTGACGCATGAACGCGTGGCCCGCTTGCGCTTGGACCCGCACGTCTCCATACGCCTTTGTCGTTCCTTTTGACGCTGCTTGTCCTTTGTGTCGGCTAGAAGACCAAGTTTTCCATTCTCGCCGTAATCGCATACTCGTATTCCAGCCCTAGCGAATGGACAGGGAGCGCCGGCGGCCTTGCTAAGATACCAGACTTGCGTCCCGCGTCTAAAGTTTGTGGCGCGCTGGTCTGGCGCAGCCGCGGACTGTGCGCCACCCGACTTCGAATACAAAGCGGGAAGTAAGTCGTCGTCGTATGGGGTGCCGGATAGAGTGTGCCGCAAAAGAAGGGGACAGTCCTGCTGTGCGTCGCAACGCTGGAGGTGCGTGCGAATGTAGGTAGTGATCGCCTGGCTTGCTGCAGACACACTGTCGATCACAGAATCAGCATATATGCGGGGGAACACGAGCATATCACGCACTTCTGGCATACTAGCCCGTTATGAACCACCATGTCCGCGAGATCCTTGACGGTCATGGCACGGTTGTCCTGTGGCGCGCGGGTCAGACGCGTTGCGATAAGCGTGGAATGTGGCGTGGCGCACCACTGAAAGCAAGGAACGACCAATAGCTGCCAGCACTCTGCTGCTCGCGTCCTCGGGATGGAGTACTACGTGCGGTGGCGGAAACTCGAGGGCTGTCGGGAAGGCGCCCGGCGTGTTTAGGGTAGGATTAGGTGCATTACTATTGTTCTTGGTACTGCCTGGCTGGAGGGACCCTGGGTCCGCCGTCTGGCCTGGGCGGGCGGCCGGCTTGCTTGTGGCGTGAGGCTTGATCCTGGTCGCATGTTGCTGATTATGTGTGGCGACAGAGGAGTCCATAAGGGCTGGTCATGAACGTGAGGGACGACCAGCGACTTTAAGCGTGAAAGAAACGGTGAGTAAAGGGAGAGAAACGGTGGGTGGCGGGATGGGCTGATGGTGGCGAAGAACAAGCAGGGGAGTCGAGAGAAGAAAGGAGACTTGAAACCATCTTCAGGTAATCACGAGACCCCCACAACCGCGTCTTTTGCAAATTTACAGTCATCCCCATCCGGCAGGTGGGTGCACGGGGTCCGGCAGGGTCGCGGCACCGTGCGCCTCCGTGCCTCGCCTCCTCCTCCTCCCTGCACTCACCCACAGCCCTTCGGTGCAGCCAACCGCCTGTCCCACCGAATGCTCACCCACTCACTGCTTTACCCACAACCTCACAGGCGCTATCTCTCCCCAGAATGCGACGGAGCACCCCTGGGTCCGTACTTCCTTCTGCTGATGATCAGACGGCCAACATATGCGGACGACGCCACAAACGGGCAGCAATACAGAATTCCCAGGGAACTGCGCAGCTCTCGACCTCGCATCCACGTCACCTCCTGCCTACCGAGCGCCTCTGGAGCCTATTGTCCGCACTCCCCGTCTGTCCCCTTTCCCCCGCTTCCCGGTATGGGGGGACAAAAGGACGAGCCAGGCATGGTCCCATCCGCAGAGCCTACCATATCGGTAGCACAACGGTGTCTACCATTCATCGTATGTAGACACGTCCATCATAGACGCTATTGTCAAGTGCCCGTCTCCACCGTATCCATGGACTCCTCTCGTCATGATACCGCTCCCCCAATCAAGACTCCCTTCAGACTACCACAGATGACCTTCTCCGTACAGTCCGTCCGTTCACACCCTCATTGAGCATAGAACGGTGTGCCGTAAGATATATGGATTCCCAAGGACGAGTAGTGCACCGATAGGGTCGTCTATGCTCTACCCGGCGATCTCCTGTGGCTGAACCTCTCCCGCGAGGTATCTCGCCATTGTACTCAGGGTTCGACCCTGTTGTCATCACTATCGTCATCCCCAGCCCTTTATGGTATGTCATTTTGTGCGAGACCGGTGGCTGGCCCATTCGAGCTTCAAATGACAGCACCCTGCATTCATCGCCCTTGGCCGGAGAGGCCTGCCCGGAAGACCGACGAAATTCAACCGTAACGCGTGACTGTCACGGGGCCCCCTTCGGCGCGCTTATCTTTCCGCGTCTGCCCGCGACTCCGATCGCGTTGCCATTTGAAAACACGCGTCGCGTCGCGCCAATATACGCCCCTCAATCACACGCGCCACGTCCAAGTCGTGAAAAAAAGTCGACCTCTATCTGAAGCAACGGGTAATCGTACAGTATAAACTAGTGCAGAATAATAGATTCGCAGAGCCAGAGCCGATAGCATGCAAGACGAGACGATCCGGAGACTATGGTACAGACAAGTAGACGGGCGACCAGCGCAGTACGTAAAGCGCAGGCGATCCCACTCAAGCAGCGACCTAGGGGCCGTGGATCAGTACCGCGGGTTGGCAACCGTCAGACACGGGATCTCACCTTCTTCTTAGACGCTGGCTTCGTAGCAGACTTGGGCGCTGCCTTCGACTTAGACGCAGCCTGCGGATCATGTCAGACATCGAGCGCACAGATACCAAGCCGCGTCACGCACCTTGGTCGCTGCCGTCTTGGACGGGGCAGCCTTCTTGTCCGCCGTCTTCTTCTCTGCCACCTTCTTGGCCGTCTTCGCCTTCGAAGCAGCGGTCGTGCCAGTCAATGCCTGCAAAGTATGTTAGACATACGATGGAACAGTGGTCAGTGTATGACGTGCCTTCTTGGCCGAGTCGCGCTTGGTGGAGGCCTTTTTCTCCGGTGCAGCAGCCTTCGCCGCCTTGCTCGTCAGGATCTTCTTGGCGGGAGCCTTCTTCGCAGGCGCCTTGGTGTCAGCAGCCTTGGTAGTCTTCTTCGTGGTGGTGGCCTTGGTGGTAGTGGTGACCTTGGTGGTAGCGGCGGGCTTCTTGGTGGCGGCAGCCTTGGAGGTCCCTGCCTTAGCAGCAGTCTTGGAGGTAGGCTTAGCAGCGGGCTTCGCGTTCTACAGTAGAGGATGAGGATAGGTCAGATCACTGAAATATGCGTACACACCTCGTCGGTGGGCTTGGTCTTGGGAGCGAGCTTGACCTTGCCAGACGCGCCCTTGGGCAGGGCGAACATGCCCTTCTCCGCGCCGTGCGTGATGGCAGAGTTCAGGTGGTGGGCGTTGGTCGCGTCGGGCTCAAGACCATATTTCTCGGCAGCGAACTGGAGGGAACGATGAGGAATGCGCCGCAAGGGACAAGCACAGTACACACCTTCTTGATCGCCTGGCGCGACACACCGGTGCGGCCACCCTCAGCAGTAATGCACTCCTACAGCGGAGGTTAGCGAATGCGGGGGGAACGCGCCGGCAGGCCACTCACGGCAACAATCTCCTTCCACGGCGGGTGGCTCCCAGCAGCAGCGCCAGCCTTCGCCTTCGTCGCGGTAGCCTTCTTGGTGGTCGACTTGGGCTTCGCATCAGCCTTCTTCGCAGACTTCTTGGTCGTCTTCGCGTCCGCCTTCTTGGTGTCGGCCTTCGCCTTGGTGGCCTTCGCCCGCGCCGACGGCTTCCTCTTCGCGGCACCCTCCTCTTCTTCGGCCTCCTCAGCCTCCTCTTCGGCATCGCTCGCGTTCTTGGACGCCGACTCCTCCACATCCTCCATCATCTGGTCGACCTCATTCAACTCGTCAACCGGCTCCGAGAGCGCAGACATGGCAGGCGACGCAGGGGCAGACATAGCAGGCGTTTGGGTTATGAGGGTTATGCGTGTGGGTTGGGTGTTGAGTGATTGGGCACTCGAGTTGCCTGGGTGGCAGGTAAAAGCGCGATGGGGGGAATCAACAAGCGTTAGAGGGCGCCGCAACGCCGGGGTCCGACATATTTATACCCACGGTTAGGGGTAAACGCGTCGCGTATACGAGCGCATCACGTGAGCGCATTCAACAAAAGAAAGTCAGCACAGCCACCGTGTACACGAGGCGCGGTGCCGGGCATTGTCCTCAAGGCGCGAGGTGAGTGACTCCATTGTGCGTGTGCTTTGCTCGAGTATGTATGTAATTACGGGCTTCCGTATGTCTCTTTTTCATCGGGAGCACAAGCTATCCTTCCAAAGCAGCAGACCCGTAAATGTAGATCCAAGCGAATGTCCATTAGTGAGATTTCTATACACTTTTCTCCGTACACCACAACCTCATCTGAGTCCGTCTTCACAGGTACTCTACCTACCCACCATCAGTACTGCGACACAATTTGGAACGCCCCATTCGTCTGCACCCTCGCCGTCACGCCCACCGCCAACCACCCTTCATCCTCCTCATCCCCATCGCTCCCCTTGCCCTTTCCAGAGCTCACGTTCACGAACTCCTCCGCACCAACGGGCTTGCCCACTGACGGGCCGCGGATGAGGAGCGTCCCCACGGGGTCTTCGCCCCGCGCGACGGCGTCCTCGTCGACGTTGATGAGGCGCGCTTCGACGTTTACGGAGGGCGGTCCGACGTGGGCGGGCTCTTCGGGCGCGGCGGGGAAGTCCTGCATGTCGAGCGCAAAGGAGGCGAGGACGGGGCCGGCGACGAGCGGGGAGGTAAAGGCGTTGACGAGCGGGACGGAGAAGGCGATACGCGCGGGCGTGAGGAGCGCAGCGGGGACGGGGCCTGTGAGAGAAAATGCGTGAGATGGAATGCAGGATAAGCAAACAGGATCACAAGCCTACCTCCGCTAACGACCAACAAACGCAGAGAGCCCGCGACCTCACCGACAACACCACCACGCGCAGCATCGTAGACTAGACGGTCCCACAAGCTCTCCTTGGTCAAGTAGCCCTCAGCGAGACCCGCAACCTTGTGGCGCCACGCAAAGGGGTGCAACAGAATGTTCTTGCGCGCATCCTTGAGCACGAAAGTTACCAAAGCCTGCAGGTGCGGGGGCTTAAGGAACATGATCGTCGGTGAGGGAATCGAGTAAGACTTGAACGACAAAGCGTCCTTGACATCCAGCGGGACTTCATCTGCGGTCGCAATCAGCTTTTGTTTGCATATGAATGCAACGATAAGACGTACTCTCTTCGTTGCGGAACTGTTTGGTGCTGTCCAACGTTGCAAACGAGACGCCCTCATAGACAGCCGCGTATGCAATAGCCCGACCGTACGCCGTGCTCAGCGAATGCGCCGACACGAAGGTGTCCAACGTCGAGACCGCCTGCTGCTGAGGGATCATGGCCTTGACCGCACATACACCCGCTGTCAGGTTTGCATGCGTGAGCTGCACGCCCTGCAGGCCCTCTCCGTTCGGGTAGTACGCCAGCGAGAACACGTCATTCGGCTCTAAGGCGCCCGTTCAGTATGTGCACATCACGCTACGTTGGGAAAGTCAACGCACTGGGAATCGGGCTCAAGGTCTTCTCAACGCGGAAGCCCTCGCGCTCAACGTCGGCGAATTGGAGGACGGTGATGCGGCTAGCGACGCTGGCCATGACGCGCGGGCTGGGTTCGCCCACGACGACGATGGTGTGGTGTGCCTCGTCGCCAGACTCGTAGATGAGTTCGAGGATGGAGGTCAGGAAGTCGACATGGGTGATGATGGGTGTGGTTGGGTGCTGCTCGAGGACAGGATCGAGGAGAGTAGCCGAGGAGAGGGTGATGGATGGGATGGAATGTGATGACAGCGCGAGGTCACTGATGAGGAACTCTGCGAAGAGTGTCAGTAAAGGGAGAAGGAACATCTTAATGGGCACATACCAATACTGTCATTCAGCAAGAGTAGGACGCTAGACTCGCCGGGCACAAGGTTCGCAAGACGCAAAAGACCGGTGCCAAATGACGCGACGCGATCCTCGAGCTGCATGTTGGTGATCTACGTGTCCGTGTCAGCATCTCAGTTATTCAGATTTCTATCTGACAAGCATACCTTGGTGTTGAACAACGTCCGCGGGGTGTCCTGGTCCGACCTCACAAGGTCGGACAACACGGTAACATCCTTGTTAGGACGGACGGGGAACTGCACACGTACGCGCTAATTAGTTCCGCGGAGGGAACTCTAAACACACGAACACATACCCTCCCCATAAGCCCCGTCCCATAGTTCCTATACACCGGGCTCTCCTTCGCATTGCGCACCTTTGAGGTGTCGCTCTGGCGGCCGAGCAGGATCGGGTGCACAAGCGGCTGGGGCTTGTACAGGTTTTGAAGCAGAAAGAGCGTGGCTGCGATGAGTCCGAGCAGAATTGTCAGGTCATCTGTCGCCAGATAGTCGGAGAGCGCCATTTTGGGAGCCTTTCCTGCTTGGGTGGGGTGCGCTGGCAGGAAGTGGGAGGCTGCGAGTGTGAACACTGCGCTCGGAGTCCGGCGCGGTCGGCCCTGAGGGGACTTTGCCCGTGTTTGACACGGACCTGGCCAGTGATCGGGCCGACAGCGCGTCCTCTTTCCCTCCTACCGTCGCGTACCCCACTCCCCCGACGCGTCCTTCGACCTCAAATGACAAGTACCGACTAAAATGACCTTCTTGAACCTTCAAAACGACAAGTCCCACCCAAAAGTACGCGTCAAACCGACGATTCAGCCATCGCCAGGCCCAGATTTCGCCCTGCAAAAGTCGCGTTCGCCCCCCTCGTCATGTCGTCCCCCACCATCCCGAAATGCATACCATCTCAAAGCTGAAGGTCTCCCCTCTTGATTGATACCCCTTTCCAACCACCAACCCTCCCCGTTGTCTCGCAATGGACGCCAAAGGCGAGCGGGTCTGTGCGTCGCCACGTGATGCTCACTATATGAAGCTGGCGGCAGAGGGTTTGACGTCTGCCCTTCTTCCCCTCGCATTCCCCCCTTTCCCTCGTGTACCCTGAATCTCCCGATTGCTACCCTCCGGAGCTCCCGCAATTATGCCCACCTCACCGAATAAGCCTACCAGCAAGACCGCGGCGAACAAGCCCGCAAGCAAGGCCGGCGCCGTGGCGCACCCGACGTGGGTGGCGATGATAACGGTGCGCAGGCGGGGTGCGGGGCTGGTTTGTAGGACTTGGGCTGACGCAACGTCTCTTTGGCGATGTAGGAGTGCATCACTAGTCATCCTGAGGAGGCGAGGACTGGCGTGAGTCGTCCAACGATCAAGAAGGTGCGACTTCGCCCGATGATTCAGGTGGATGGGCGCCTTACCTTGTTCCCCCTCCCCCAGTTCGTCGAATCCAAGTACCATATCGAGGTCAATGCGACCACTGCGAGTCAGCTGAACCGTGCTATCACCTCTGGAGCTGAGAAGGGGACGTTTGTGCTCCCGAAGGGTGCGTACGCATGTGTCAGGTGGTAACGTAAATGTTGACCTTCCCCCCCTCGCAGGCCCATCCGGCAAGGTCAAACTCGCACCCAAGAACCATGTTGCGGAAGCCTCTAAGGAGGTGAGAGTGTACCTCACTTGTGCGGTACCTCGTTTCTCATGCATCATCCCAGAACGCTACCCCTGTGGTCAAGAAGCCCGCATCTACCTCCAAGAAGCCTGCCGGGGTCAAGAAACCCAACGCGCCCTCCGCGACGAAGAAGACGAGCCCGCCAGCCAAGAAAGCCTCCACTGCGAAGGCGAACGCCGCCGCGAAGAAGTCCACGACCGCGAAGAAAGCTGCTGCCGCCAAGAAACCCACCCCCCTCGCCACCAAGCCCAAGGCCACGAACACCACAACGACCAAGTCCGGTCGTGTCGCGGGCACTGTGACCAGTCCGCCGCTCGTCAAGGGCAAGGTGACGAAGACATACGGGAGCGGAGGGCGCAACAAGGCGGCGCTGGCGAAGAAACCCGCCGCTGAGAAATCCACGGCTGAGAAGAAAGAGTCTGCCCCTAAGAAAGCCGCCACAACGGCCAAGAAACCGGCTACGACGACGAAGAAAGCAGCGGTGACGAAGAAGCCGTCGGAGAACGGGAAGAAGACGAGTGTGGCGAAGAAAGAGGCAGGTGCGGCCAAGAAGGCGCCGGCTGCGAAGAAGGTGTGTTTATATTCCCGTAGTTCCTGGGTTGCGCCGCTCGGGAACGTTCCACGCCACCGACTGTGCTCTGACATCGCTCCGCAGGCGCCCGCTGAGAAGAAAGCTGCTGCGAAGCCCAAGGCGAAGGAGAACACGAAGTCGGCGGCGAAGCCTGCTGCCGCGAAGGAGACGAGGATGAGCAAGCGTGCGGTCAAGGTCAGTGCCTTCCGTTCGCCCGTTGCGTTGCAGCGATTGACTTCGTTTGTAGGCTACGTGATCTGTGCGGTTGGACTGCTCGCTAAGCGCACGCCCGCTGTTCGCCCCGCTCGCGCGTTTCGCCGAGTCGCAATCGTTCCTGTTGTTCTTGGTTGTCTTTCGCTCTAGTCAACGGCAGCTGTACGACTATGTATCTGTATCTGACCTTTCTTCTTGCTTCGACTGCACTATTTCGCTTGCTCGATTCTCTCCTACATCTGTTGCTGAATTTCCTCGTATTTCATCTGGCTACTCTTGTACACTATGTATCTGTATGGTAGTGAAACGAATATGAACCCGTAAACACCCCTCCTCGCAAGACCGTCCGTGCCGTGCAAGACACATCGCTGGCGTCAGAAGGCGAAGCTAACGTGGGCCCGCAGGTTGAAGATGCAAGTTTGCGGCGACGCACGCGCGAGTAACGTGATAACCTCGTGGGAGCGACGGTAGGGGGGGTCGGAGACGGAGAGTAGTGAGCAGTTGCATGGGTTGCTTGTTAGAGCGCGTCAAAGAATGCAGAAGCGGCGGAAACGGATGAGGACGGTCATTCGTGATTTTCTAGATGCACGAGAGTTACGCGCGATAGGCCTGGCGAGCCATAGAGGTCGAGGAAGCCATACTGCCGACACAAAGTCAACCCAGGACATCAAGGAGCACGTACAATCAGGTCGAGCCCCTGCTCATAGACGGCCATGCCTGCACTTCAGAAATCGTCTCGCGCGCGTCGCGACCGATAAAACCGTGCGAAAAAAAGCGCCGATGAGAGTACGCGCGTCGTCGCATCCGGAAAAACATGCTGGCCAAAGGCATGGATTTTTGCGCGGCTGAAACGGATGAAAGCCCCCCTAGGGCATAAGACTAGTTCTGTAGGAACAGTGAGATCGTTCAGAGACTCATAGGGCACGGCGAACGCACCGGATGACGTTGCAAAATGGGCAGAGGGCGCAGTTGCGAAAACTTGCCATCCAAAGATTGAATTCGAATTTTTGCGCTGTTATCCCTGGTTGCGGACGAAATCTGGCAGCTCGTACATGGTCTGAGAGAGGCGAAAGCATCTGAGTAGGGGGGGAGGGGGAAGGAAGGGGGTCCCAGTATAAAAAGGTGGAAAGTGTTGATCGTTTTCCCATCACAACTTGTCCTCCTTCTTGACGGTGCACGCCACTCGAAAGTCAACTTTCGTCCTTTCGCCTGTCCGTCGTCGAGAACTCCTCTCCACCACCTCCAGAAAAGTTGCCTCGAAGATGAGCGCCGTCGCACATGGGTACCACCAGGGAGTGTTGGAGGATGTCATGTTCAGGGAGACTGCGCAGGTGCGTATACTGTCTGTCGCTGTTTCGCCCTGTTCTGATGTCCATGGCATTCAGACCTTGCCCTGGGTCGGTGAAGGAGCGTTGTGGATGGCAGGAGGAGCATTGGATGCTGCAAACTCGGTGAGTCTTGCATGTCCGAACCTACTGCCTTCCGTCCTTACCGTCTGTGTTCAGCAGTCGCTGATGCACGGCCAGCGGGCTACTCCGAACCACATAGACCACAGCGGCATCCCTCTCGGCCTGCCGGTCAACATACGCAGACTGAACCTCGTCCGCGACGCCGACGGCTTCTACGAAAATGGCCCGATCTCCACCACCCTCGAGCCCGACACGGAGAGTTCCGTTGAGGAACGCCAGGCTGACAACGACGGGGGTTCCAAGAATAAGAGGGGGAGACGCGCAGGCAAGAGCGAGCACAGAAAGCGGGCGAGGGAGGCTAGAAGGGCTGCGCAGGTTGGGGACTCCATTGCCGCCGGCATCGCACCAAGGTCCGTCGATGGCGAGCAACAAGCGAACCTCGCTGACGACTGCTGCAGCAGCTTCCCCGCGACGCGCGGGGGGATGCGCCGTACCCAGAGCCTGACGAGCTTGAACCGCCTGTCCCGCATCTTCGACGACGAGGTCACGGCACTCATGAGCATCAACAAGAACGAATCCTCTGCGCGCAGCAAGCCCACGACCCGCGGTGCCGAGGATCGCTACGCCGAGAAGGAGAATATGCGCCCCAACGCAAGCATGCTCAATAACGGTGGGAAGTCATTGTCGCGAGCGCGGCTGCCGATCTCTCGCGAGAACATGGTGTGGACTGCCTGAGCCAACGCCTTGCATGTCGGCGACAGGCGCCCTCAGGATATTGCCCTCTCGATGGGGAGGCTCGCTCGCTGACAATTGGTCAGTTCACGATGACTCCGATGTTGGGAAATGGACAATCGATATTGTAGGAACGATATGTACATTAGGTATACGAGCGAAAGAAGTGTAAACGAAGTCCATGAACCCGCCTGTGTGTCTGCGTGGTGATCACGCTGCCCAAATCAGACGGGCAGACTGTATACAAAAGAAGAAGTCGAAGCACAGATATGGAGAACGGGAAAGTATACAGTACTCACCTATCGATACCGAATGGCAGGTCAGTGCAACAACGTTTTCATGGCAGGGACGAGTGGCGCACGGATTCGCGACAAGACCTGGTCAGCGAGCTGCCTCCTGATGATTCTGCCCCATTGCTCCAGTGCCTTGCAGCCTGTCAGAGGCAGTATAGGCTCCCAGTAGCGTCGTTTCCATTGTGTGTTTGTTTTTGACCAAATGGGGTTTGGCCCGTCGCGCCTTGAACAATGATCTGCACGTGAGCACTGCTCTTGCCCTTCGACCTTCACCTGGCCCGCGTTGTTGGTCATTGCGCTCTTGACCTGGCGCCGGACTCTGCCACTGCATCATCATCGGCGTCGAGCAACGAACATGAGCGCAGCATCCCAAGCGAACAGCACACTCGACGTGCCGAGTGGCGTCCACGACGAATCGGCCGGTGGACGAGCGACACAATCGCCGACAGCAGAAATCATAGTGGCATTGGCGAAGACACGCACGACGGACCTATTGCAGGTGCCGCAGTTGAACGAGTGGTCGAGATGGGCGGGCGAGCCGCCGCGGAGCGAGAGCTTGCAATCGGGCATCGAAGTGCGTGTCGCGTTCCTTTTCTGTGGTCCTTGGGCTGACCATGCGATTCAGAGTCCTGCGGAAGATGTCGCCAGCGTAGCCACAAAACTGAAGGGTGCTATGAGGGTAAACCGGGGGGAGCAGGTGCGCTCGCCACTCGTCGTCGTCGACCTGTCAAATCTGACCACAGCCAGTTTCCGGCCATGTCGCTCTCGTACACGGTGACCGTCAAGCGCAACACTGAAGGCTACTGCGTCAAGCGTTGTGTCGACGGCTTCATCGAACTCTTCGCCTCGAAGGAGAACGTTGCCCCAATGCACCTCGTCGCCCTCGACGCCGATCGGACCGAGTGGCGACCTATACCCAATATCCTCGTCACCGATCCCGAGGGCTTCGTAAAGGCTGCGAAGATTCCTGACGCCATGCCCGTCGTGCGATGCAACGTCCCGCTCATCCTCGTCGAAGACCCCGATGGCTTCGTGACCAAAGTAGACATCCCCGATGGCGAGCCCACACACAAGACATGCACGAAGGTCGCACCCGAGGACCCAGCGGAGGAGACGAAGGTGCACGACACCGACCGAGTTGCGGCAGCCGTGCCAATGCAGGAACGCGGCCGAGAGCGAGAGCGCAACGTCGTTTCCCAACGACGTCCGCGCGGAGCCCGCTCAGGCAAAAAGGTGCGGGCCAGGAGGGGTGAGAGGCAAGCCGTTGCGGATGCTGCAGTTCAAGTGGAGGACGAGGAGAACCTCCCAGTGCGGATGCGGCAGACTCGGATGTCTCGTCCTGCGCGCGCGCGCAGGTCTTTGTAGGCACGGGTCTGCTCCAATGGCCTCTGCGACAACAATGCTGTGTTCTGCGTCTGAGAGGGAGGTCAGCTTCAGTTCGGAGGGCGGGGGAAGTGGGCTAGAATGGTTTATATACATTGTACGAGTAGCGCATCCGAAGGACGAAATGTCCTGACTGTAGTATATGCACATACTGGCGACGCAGAATTTCTTAACGGTGGGTTCAAAGCGGAACTCACCTGAGATCAGGTATACCTGCAGAGATGCTTGGGCTAGTCGTATGGCCACCTCTGCATTCGTGCAGTATGGACCCCCAAGCAGCGCTACTCAATGAAGGCCCTGGCGAGCTTGGTCCGGCGCTCAAAAATGCATCTTGAGCGAGATAGCTCGCAAGATAAGGTCTGCACGCCCCGGGTCGAAAATCTGTGTATTCCCCTGCCCCAGCCAATTCCCCGTAGCCTTTCAGAGGCCTCTTAAAGGACGCATTGACCCTGTTTGCACCAGGGTACGCGCGTTTGGGCTGGGAGGGGGGCGGTCCGCAGTATTTTAGGGTGCACGTGAGCGCAACCTGCCCTTTTCGTCAACCATCCTGCTTGACGGCCGCGTCGCGTCGAGTATTCCCCTGCCTTGCACACCCTAGCCATCGCACATCCTAGCCATAGCACAGTAGAACAACCATGGAGACGACCCTTGCACCGTGGCCCCGGGGGGATCTGGCTGCGCGCATCGCCAACGTTATGGCGGCGGACGACGCGTATCGTGCAAGGAATCGCGATTCCGCGACGCCCGAGGAGCATATGGCGGACCTAGAGGCGAGGATCCATTTATCGGCGGAGTACGACGCGGTATTGCGGGCTGTCGTCGAGGGTTGGGACGCGGAGAATGCGCAGGACGAGGAGGGCGATGCGTCGGAGAACGAGGAGAATGTGAACATTGAGGATGCATTGTCCGCGGTCGAGGTGCGTGTTCTCGTGCCTACAACGCCGGAAACCTGCTTATGCTTTCATCACCAGGGGGACGATAGCGCAAACGCAGTCGTCGACGCGGAGGATGCGAAGGAGGACGCGGAGGATGAGGCCACAGAGGGTAGTTCGTCGGAGACAGAGGTGCGTGTCAACGATCCAGCGTCGGTGCCGTCGTACTCATGCTGCCATCCACAGGACCTCGAAGAGGACGAAGCTTTCAAGCGTATGCTGGAGGAGGTCGAGCAATGCCGTATGATCAAGGAGATGGTGCGCGCACCGTCCTGCTCGTCGCATGCAACCGGCCTGACCGTCCCCAGATACCTCCCACGGCACAGGCCTGGATCGTCCCCTACTGCAATACCACCGAGGGCCAGCTCCTCTCGTACAGCAACGGCTGGTACGACTTCGCCGAGCCCGACCAGAGGGCCGTGCCTCTGTACCGTCACGTGAGCGAGTGGGGCTTCTCCCACTGGCGTACCATCCCAACCCGTATCCACGACCGCTGGGAATTCGGCTCGTGGGAGGCCTTCATGGCGCGTATCGGATGGGACTTCGTCAACGAGGTGGCCGACCCGCAGCTGCTCCTGCGGGAGGAGATGCGCGAGGATCGCGCCGACTGGCTCGAGTACTGGGAAGAGATGTGCCACAGCACGGACTTGAGCGTCCCGTCGCCCCTGCCGCCAGCGCCGCAGGGCCCGCCGCCACCCCCTCCGCCCGACACCTCGAACAAGGAGAACGAGCGGCCCCCGCGGGCTGTGCCCATCGTTGGCACCCGCCCGAATGGCGCGCGCCGCCCCTTGTCCGGCCGTAGGATCCTTGGGGCCCGCGAGGACCAGATCATAGTCGCGGCGCCCGAGTCACTCGTCCCGAAGTCCCCTCCACTCAGGTTCCGCGTGCCCTATGAAGACTGGTCGACCACCGACGACGACTCCGTCCGCGACATGTCTATCACCGACGTTCATCGGTCCGACGAGGACAGCTACGTGTCTGACGACGACGAGTGAGTGCCTTCGCGTGCAGGTCCGAGAATAGAGAGCTGACTACCGTCCGCAGGAGCTCCGTCGAGTTCTTCCTCGGTTGAGGCGAGCGCTCGAGCGGGTCGCCAGCGTCCCCGCTTCACGGCCCAGTGGCAGGACCAAAGAGTTGTACCTGCGGAGCTGTGAGCCTGGAGTTTTAGAGGGATGCTGAGAATGAAGGAAGGAAGGAATGTATAAGGACTTTGTTCGTGAGCTTTGTTTGTCTGTCTTGTTTTTGTTTGTTCGGCGCCTTAGCGCGAAATGTACCACCACCACCGCACATACCGCGAGTAATAATCGACAGCATTGAACCCAGAGTGATATGGACCTTGAGTCCGCGGCTGAGAGAGATATAGCGGGAGTGGGTGGGGTTGTGGGGGGGAACAGGCGGTAGGATGGGCTTTGACATGGCGCGAAGAGGTACGTCCTTCCTGAAAGCAAGAGCGATGGAGACGGCAGGGAGTCCACTCACATCTCATCCCCTCCACCTGGAATATATGTGTCGGTCAGACGTGATGAAAGCCGACGAGGCGCCTGGCGTTGCTCCGATCGCCGTCTCATCCAATAATTCGGGTGGTGGCCGCGACGGGCACGAATCCCTCTCAGGGCTCGGACTGCCGTTGACCAGACCTCGCGCCAAGGTTTGAGCGTGTCGCCGAGGGTGCAGGGTGGGATGGAGGTGCTCGGCGTCGCTGTTGTCGACGCCTATCTTGTCGTGGATAGTGCCAGCGCATCGCGTCCTTCTCGGGAAGTACGGGTCTGAGAGTCTCGAGCAACAATCAGGGAGCCGTCGGAGGGTCTTCTCTGTCGAGGAGGACGATGGGGAGGGCTACAGCAACTGGTGGGGGCCGATATCAAGCGCCGGCTGCCTGCCTCGCACCACAGGATTTTTTGACACACGCGCTCGCTTCCCCATCGGTTCAGTATTCCCATTAGGGGAATTTCCCATCCACCATCACTCTGCGCAGATTTAGTCCCGCTCACAACGCGTGATGATCATGATGGTTTCTGGGGTCTTCAGGGTCAGTTCAGGGTCCTGCAAGGTCCACAAGGCAGTCAATGGCAAGAGACCATCTACCTCGACGCACAGTGCTCGCGCTCATCCCTTCTGGTTTTAGATCAAGTCAGCACACTCACAAATCGGGTATTGAGAGAGCAATATCGGAAGTAGCAGGTAGTACAGGTCGTAACAACATAAGGAGTACAGTTGCGTTCGAAAGCAGTCCAAAACCAAGTGAGTACAGGCAAGTGAAAAGGTAACAGAACTTTGAAGGTCACGAAAGGGATTAGATGCGATTGCCTGCGCCATTTCCGTAGCCAGCCTCGGCCCTGCCCAGCGCGCCTCCGCCAGTGTGATGGGCACCCGAAGGGGGAACACCACCCATCGTCCCACCGCCGAACCCTCCCAAGCCCGACGCGTCGTTCGGCGCGCCAGCGAACGCCTCCTGACCCCATCCCCAGCCACCGTCGCGCGTGAACGGCAGCGACGATGTCGTGTAGTCGTAGCCCGGGTGGTAGTTGAAGTACGGCAGTTGCTGCATAATCCCGCCAGCACGTCCGTCCGTCATTGCACGCTCGGGGAAGTAGGGCATGCGGTGGAACATGGACGTGGTGCGCGGGAGGAGGATGTGGTTGAAGCGGAAGTCCAGGATGGCGGCGAAGGTCTGACGGTAGGCGACGATGGCGGTCGAAGTACCAATGATCGCACCAGCGAGCACGTCGTACCAGTGGTGGTCTGAGAATCGAATCAGCATATGATCGCCGCTCATCTTCGAGGTAGACTCACATTCGTCAATAGTCAGAGCGCCAGAGATGAGCGTCGCACCGAGCAGGGGAGAGAAGAACAGGATCATTTTCCAGTACGCGGGGTTGTGCGCGCTCATGACCTTCAGCTGCGCGTTGAAGTACAGTGCGAGATAGAAGAGGCCAGCCCATCCTGCAGTCGAATGGCCAGATGGGAAGGATTCGAGGGAGTCGTTAATTTGGTCACGGTCGCCGGTGCAGACGGTGCGGTCGAAGTAGATCGAACCGAAGCCCACACCATTGAGGTTTGCGGGGTCGACATTAGGTTGGCAGGCGGTCAGGAAATGCGGACGCAGGCCGCCAATAAGCCATTTGAGCCAGACCTGGAAGCACGTTAATCGCTTCACACGCGAAGGAAATGAAGCCCAAGAACCTGGAACACCGCCGCCGTAATCAAGCTCTTCAGTAGTCCCATAGTCGTCGTGAGCAAGTCATCCAAGCTCCTCCTCCGCCACTGGAAGAGGCAGAAGAAGAAGAACGGGGCGAAGAACGCAATGAGAGCCGCCGCATAAATGGGCACAATCTCCTTGCGAAGGGGATACGCGTACTGCGGGTACACGATCTCCCCGTCTCTGAAGTACACGGGGAAGGACCTGCTGGGCGCGGGGTCGGCCCAGTAAATCCCAAGGCCCAGCGCGCCCATGAGCGCCATCGTGATCAGGTCCAGCCCGTGCAGGCGAATCCATGGCAGGAAGCGGAATCGTGGCGCAGGGCTAACACCCGCAGAGTAGGCGTTGAGGGGGCGCTTGTTGAGCATGGCGGTCGCGCGCAGGTTCGTCGTCGGAGAGAGTTCACGTCGAGGCAGACTTTATAGAGACGCGCGGGTGGAGCGTGTCTGGGTATGTCATTGCTAGCTTGCGGGTGGCTGAAGGCCTAATTATGGGTCTGGCAGCAGCGAAAGGTCGTCATGCGTCGACTATGACGCTGCGACGGGCGTAATGCGTTGCCCTGAATGCGACGTCGACGACCCGGGAAAGAAATTTACCAAAAGAGCAAGCGCGAACGACGGACGAGGGAAACATGACATTAAAAGCCTTCCGTGGCCATAAAGCAGACGAGAAGACCGTGACATCTTGGCGAACGAAGGCTTGGCGGACAATGTGAGAGTACGGCAGTTGCCGAAGGACGCCACAAATGACGGACTTCGCGTCAGGTGTGGTCCCCGAGACAACGCGACGCGCTCATCAGCCTTGCACATACCACGATGACCACCCTACGGTGCGCGATAGGCTTATATACACCTCTGACCCTCGCTGATGCTACGCCAGACGCGTACAGAAAGAGCTCGCCGAGATCAAGAAGAACCCCATCGTTGGCCTCACTGTAGAGCCTCGCGAAGACGACATCCTCAAGTGGGACTGTATCATAAAGGCGGACCCAACATCGCCATACAAGGGCGGGAACTTCAAGTTTCTCCTCGAGCTACCCTCCAACTTCCCTTTCAAGGCGCCTACGGTCACCTTCCAGACAAAGATCTACCACCCGGGCATCAATGAGGAAGGAGCAATATGCGTACCGATTCTGCGAGACGAGGTGCGTCTTACATTCCGCAGGTGAACATCTTGACTGAGTACACGATCGTAGTGGAAACCTTCCGTGACCTTGTCAACTGGTGCGCGTTGTATCTCTCGCACATACCCTCTCAATCTGATCCATATTGCTAGTCCTGTCCATCATTCAGGAAAAGCTCAACAATCCCAGCCCCGACGATCCATTCGAGCCGCAGATTGCCGCTGTACGCTCTTTCATGCTCTGACTGTCGTAAGGCTGACCTCTTGCTAGCAATTGAAGACCGAGAAATCGGCGTTCTTGGCCACAGCCAAGGACTGGACGAAGAAGTATGTCCCATACCGTCACTCACCCTTCCTGCTCGCCATCTTCCGCGAGCAATCATGACCATCCGCTAACTCGACATCTAGGTATGCCACGTGAACTGGCCGTCGCGCATGATCATCGACCTGGAGAGAGGGAACACCGTCGACTTTCTGTATTTTTACCTGCTTTCTTGCAAGCACGCAACATGTATTTCTGCCAAGCAACACACAATGCACCTGTTCTACTCATCGCAGCACGACGTGAAGGCGTCCCGCACGACCGTCGGGTACCCTCTCGTAGTACTGATGTGCTTATCGCAGCCATCGGCCCTTCTACCCTACAGGTTCCCCCGACGACCCCGACGAGGTTGCGACTCGCAACGTTCGCCGGGGCCCGTCCCCCTCCTTGCTCTACCCGGCTCAGCAGGACCGCAACTCCCGAGCAGCAATCAGGCAGCAATCTCTGCAATCCAGACCCCCAGCCGCTCTCGGGCGCTCGCTTATTGTCTTCGCCGCTCCGCGTTGATCAGCAATGGAAGCCCGCAGACAAGAAGAACAAAAAGGACTATTCACTGGGCCATGTGCCGCGGCATGGGAACTGTGGCGTCGACGGAATCGTGATCGCCATCCCACGAGGGCGCCCACTGCAGGGGGCGGGGGCAGCGACATCGCTGAAGCTGGAGGACACTTGGTGAGTGCAGAGGTCGCTATAGGTACTCATCGCTCCCACAGGACGGGCGATGAATGCTTCCGCGTTCCTAGAGAACAAAGGATCGCCCAAAGGGGAAGAATGACTTATCAAGACTCACCCTTCTGAATCCCACAGACCAGCCGCACACGTAAACTCGGCTAAGGGATCCCATCAAACCGCGTGCCAGGACCCCTCGGCGCAGGGACCGGGGTCTACAGCACTAGCATTATCCTCCCCTTTCTCCCCCACCCTCCTTTCTTCCTACCACCATCCAGGAAGACTTCAGCAGGTGCCTCAAGCGCCCATCTTATCCAGCCTTGCAGAGCACATCCGTGCTTGTTAGGCATACTCAGTAGCTTCATTCTCATCCCCTTTGTCCTCGAGATCGCCGTCCGTCCCGTCATCGTCGTAGCCAATACTCGATAGGCGCCGCGTCCGTCGTCCGTCCCAGCTTCACGAAAGCCCCAGCATCGCTATCCCAAGTACTTCTAGCAACACCAACAGCATCGTCGTGGACATTTAGGTGTGCTTGCGTTTGTGGCGGATCGTCCCCGGCAAGCGCTGACCTGGTCAATGACAGTGCCACAAAGAGATACTGCCCCCAAACACATCCAACACATCCCCCAACCCTTCCTGAAGAAGAATCTCAAAGACCGATGTGAGTTTCTGGCGTCGCCGTCTTTGACGAGCACGGCGCTTATCGCTCTCTTTGACGACAGATCCGCACTCACGGTCCGCTAGAACAAAGGAACTTATCACCAACCATCTCGACGCCATCCTCAATGGCAGACTGGCGTTACAATAGACGCCCCGGGTTCGCGACCGCGACCCGCGCACCCCGTCAGCAACCTTTACGCCCAACCCCGACCACCTCATCACCCATCGCCGCCGCCATGACCATCACCGCCTTCGCCGTCCTCTGGGACTATGGCCTCCTCCTCATGCTCCTGTACAACATGCGCCCCGGTACTCCCGCTTTCACCGTCCTGTCCACCGTGTTCAACCTGCTCTGCGCCGCCTTCGACATCGTGTGCTACAACTTCATGGAGATCATCGAGTTCTTCCTCAGCATCCCCATCGCCATCGTCGTTGGCTATCTGAACATCGACCCCGCCGCCATCAAATATGATGTGCTTTACGTCCGGAACGCGTGCAGCCGTGCCGTTCGCGGCTACCTCGTTGCCCTACGTGAGCGCGCTCGCAAGAGCGTCGTCGCTGCCTGGCATCGCGGATGCGGCTACCTTGACTATCAATGGAAACTCCATTGCTGGTACGCCGACAACATCAATGCAATGATTGTCGGTTCCATCGAAGGCCGCATTCGGGAGTTCACGAACGAGTGCATCACGTTCATCTACCTGACGCCGCCGCTGGCTGAGGTGTACATGGCCGGCTGGCAGGCATGGTTCTGGCTGCTTTGGATGCGAGACGGCGCGTCTCTGTTGTTGTCGTACCTGCCTGCCTTCCATGCTGCCTCGTCTCGCTCCACCTCTGCGACCGCGCAGTCCACGCCCAATGCCAGTCGATCGTCGACGCCTGTGTCCGACAACGAAGCGCCCGTGTCCAACTCTTCTCAACCTACCACCCCCGAGCCGCAGGCCTCTGAGCCGCAGCCATCCGCACAAGACGAGTCCCCGCGCACAAACCCGGCTGCGCAAAGGGAGCGTGCGGAACGCCGAGAGCGTCGGGAGCGCAAGAAGCGCGAAGAGCGCGCTGCGCGCAAGAGGGAGGCTGACCTTCGGGCTGCACGCAGCAAGGAGGAGAGAGAACGCCGCCAGCTTCAAGAGCGCCTAGCACGGGAGGCGGAGGAGAGGCGCCTGGAGCAGGAGGAGCAGGAGCGCCAGAGGCAGATGCGAGAGCAGGCCGCACGAGAGGAAGAGCGTCAGCGGAAAGTTCAGGAGCAGGCCGCCCTGGAGAAGGAGCGCCAGCGAAAAGCGCAAGAGCTGGCCGCGCTCGAGAAGGAGCGGCAGAGGAAAGCTCAAGAACAGGCAGCGCTGGAGAAGGCGCGCTCACAGAGCACTGCCGGCCAGTGGCTGAAGCAGGCCATTGCCAAAGCTGCTACAGAGCAGAAGACTCAACCGCAACCCGTCGTACCCCTTGCTTCCGCCGGCACTGCATCCCTGCAGGTACGTGTTTTGCTGTTGCCCGTCCGCGTATCTGACTGACAACGACCATGTAGTTGCCGAAGACGCTCCCGCCGGTCGTGCTGCAGAAAACCACCGGCCCTACCCTACCCTTTTCCCTCTCAGCTGCGCCAGTAATGGCTGCCAACCCACCCCGCACCCCTACTACCGCATCCACTCAACCACCTTCGGTAAGGCTATCCCCTGCTGCGGCTCTTTCAGTGGGTTCTAATGCAGTTGTAGCAATCCACACCGCAACCCCAAGCCCCCATTCTTCAGCAGCGTCCGGCGATGAACCTGCAGCCACGCCTCGGTCAGGGTCAGAACGTCCCCCAGCAACTTCGTCCTCAGCCTCAGCAATCCGCTGTCGGCACGCCCGCCGGCAGTCTTGCCAGCCCCAGTGGCCTGCAAGTGAGTGGACGCGATTTCCACCGGTTGCCTGTACTCACATGTTACTTCCAGGCCTTTCCTACTTTCTTCGCGAGTGGAACCGCCCAGCAACGTCCGGCAACGGGGCTGCCTTTCCCGATCTCGACTTCCACAAGTGCACCGGCTGCGCCTGTCACCCTTGCCCCTCCTGCCTCGGCACCTCCTTCGCAACCTGTAAGCGACGTTTCGCCAACGCCATAATATGCGCAGATCACTGAACTCGTTTATAGCAGCCGCAGCAGCAGCGGACTCCAGAGGAGATCCGGCTGACTGTGTTGGCGCGTATAGCTGCTCTGAAGCAGGAAGCACAGCAACTACAGACCCCATCCCAAACTCAGCAACAACCTCAGCAGCCCAGTACACAACTCCCCATGTTGTATGCCCAGCCTACCCCGACTCCCACAGTCGCTGCACCCTCGGCCGCCAGTGGGCAGCCTACCCTTTTCCCCGCGAACACTCTTCAAGTCACTGTGAGTCGTCTTGTACTGGTCAGATTGGCCCTTTCTTGACTATTCTCGTAGCCGTCGTCAAATCAGACGGCCACTCACAACGACGCGTTCAGCGGTGCTGCAGTTGGCTCGTCTATGCCTGCCTTCTCTTCTTCTATCACCTCTATCCATCCCATCAATATCCCCGAACCTCAGGCCGTCGCTGAGCCGATGGAGGTAAGCACGACTGTTTGTGTACTTCGTGTCGCTCATTGATTATGCTCTACTTCTGCAGATCGACATTCCGATGCCATTCATCCACAACCCTTCGCCTCCTCCGCAATCAGACCTCGTACGTGTATGCATGACCATCGGCGACGTTGGCTGACTGTCACATAGATGGACGTTGATGACATTGAGATGGAGGACGCTTGGGAAGCAGATTGCTCTGCTACTTTGTCATCCGATATCCTACCTCTCTCTGCGCCTCCTACCATGGAAGTCGACGACGAATTGCCGGAGTCGTGGCCTTCGCCAGTATGGTTCCCACTCGCAACACCTCAGCCATCGCGGCCAGTGACACCCGCACCGTTGTCGCCGCCACCGGCTGTTGTACGGTCTCCAGAGATTGTGATGGAGGTGGTGGCGGCACCACAGAACGCACCTGCTCCACCACCGGTAGCGACGCCGCCGAAACCATCACCCCCTCGTCAGGTGACAACGCCAACCACGTTCAGTGTGCCTTTGAAGCCCACTAGCACTGCGGCGTCGGCCAGCAGCAGCGTCCCATCAACCAACGGCACGACGCCTAAGCCAGCGCAGGGCCCTTCTGCCTCAACCCCACCCAAGGCGACCTCGAACGTCTCGAAGCAGCCTGCGATTCCTGCGAAACCGACAGATCCTTCCAAGGCCCCCGCGCCTGCACCTGCTGCTCCTAAAGCCGGCCCTTCGTCCATCCCGCAGAGCTCCGCGCCCGCTAAGCCCAGTAGCGTCACGCCTCCTGCCTCGCAGGCAGTAAGTGGCAAGTCCAGTCCATCTGCCTCTTCGTCGACACCATCGCGGACGCCTGCTCCATCCGGCCCATCGAAAGCGGCCTCTCCGACAGTATCTACTTCCACGCCTTCAGCGCCAACGACTGCCCAACCTGCGGTTTCCACTACGCAGAATTCGCCCTTATCGTCGCCGCCTGCCGCATCGCGTGTTGACGCCGGTAGCGCAAAGGCCCCAGCCAATACCTCCACGGCGAAGCCGCCCCTAAGGAAGTTTGGCTTTGCCTTGACAAAGAGGCCGACGGAGAAGAAAGAGGAGACCGAGGACAAACCGATTCTGTTCAAGGACAAGCGCCAGTTCCCGCCGGATGCCAAGAAGCCAGCCGGACCTTCGGTGGTGAGTGGTTAAGCCGTTATGCCACCTACCTTAAGGTTGAAAGCCCCGTGAAATGTAGGCATCCTCTCAGAATGCGGCGAAAGGGCAACCCGCCCCGACTCAGTCAAGGCCTCGTACGAGTATCCTGCGACCTGCTTCATCGACTTCAACGCCGACCTCTCCTGATGTGAAGATGTCCAACGCACCTTCTGCAGCATCTTCCCTCTCACCCGCCCGGTCCGCGCCCGTCAAGGCCGCGTGCAACACGACTACCGCTGCCACTTCCTCTCTTTCTTCGAACTCCGCCCCCATCACCAGCCCCGTCATTACCGCGCTTTCATTGCCCTCGTCGTCATCGAGCACAAAGACGGACTCTGTTATGGGCGATTCATCGAGCTCATGCGCTGTGCCCGCTCCTTTAGTGCCTACGCCCACGCCGTCGACGCAGGCTGACAACAATGGCGCTCCGGCCCAGAGGCGCATACGCAATCTGCCCAAAAAAATTGGCGATAAGGAGATCGTCGAATACACCGTCGCTACACCGATCGTCGACCCGGGGGAATCGCAACCCCAGAACGCGGAAGATGAGCTAGAGAAAGCGGCCGACGCTGCAAGCAACTCTTCTCAGGCCAACCCCAATCTCGCTCGGGCGGATGCGATGTTCGATGATGATGATGATGATGGCTTCACCGATTTCGACCGGTTGGTCGGTGCCGCCGATCCCGATGCACCCGTTTTCGCCTCGCCGGCCATGGATCTATCGACGGATCCGACATTCCTGGCTTTGACAATGCCAATGTCTTTGGAGACACTAACTCCTGCCGTGTCCCAGCAAGGGTTGGCGGCTTCCTCGACGTCCACGCCCACAAGTACTCAGCCAACGTACGCCTCGTCGTCCTCGCCATCCTCAGCTCCCTCTGATCCGTCATCCTTCCCTCCAGGTCGACCGAACGTGAGTGGTCCTTGCATTCGCTCAAGGCGACCCTGACGCCCTTTCCAGCCTAAGATCCGTCTCGTGCCACTTGTACATGAGAGGCCCGCAAAGAGCTCCAGTGCGCCTTCAGGCGAGGTATGTCTTCGTCATGTCCTGGGCTTACTTTCGTGCTGAGTCGAAGTCAAGGCCACCGACATGAATACTCTATGCCTACGCCAGCTCTGGGACTTCAAGGACCGAAGGCTGCAGAACTTTCTGATTTATGGTGATACAGAGGACCTGATATGGTAGTCCTTGGCTTACTGCGCACCCAATACTCCATAACTGGAACCGGCCTGTTGTCCCTTTACTCTTCGTCGTCCGGAGCATCTACCTCTTGTTGCTATCCTCGGTGTTTGACTGTCGTCTTGTACACTGTACTTATTATCACATCTCTAGCCCCCCTGTTCTGTCATCATCCATCTACTCTCATCTACTGTATCCCTACTCATACCCCGTCTGTTGATGTTGACTCAGTAGCTCCGTCTTGCCCCCATTGCTCTGTTTCCGTCTTCTCCCCAGATCTGTTCCGTTTCCTGCCCTGTTTCAACTGCTTCCTGCCTAGCACTGTATCGTTACTAGTTTACACGTCTAGCTGTACTCGCTGTCTCCGTCATTGTATCGCTGTGCATAGTTGGAAAAGACTTTATCGGGCTCATATATTGGAATTTGTGGCACGCCGTCGACCCTTCAAGGGGAGAATGTTCAAGCAAGTGAAGCCAATGTTGTTCGAGAAGGGCCCTCTCAACCGTCTCTCTTCAGAACATCGGGCGATGGCCACATAAATTATAGGAGCAATAGAGATACAGTCTACTCGTCGTCGCACTCATCGTCCTCCATCTGCGGCGTCGACGGACCCCATCCCTCGCCGACCCACCTCCCCGCCTCAACGCAATCACCAACACTCACTCCACCCACTCCGGCCCCTACCACCTCCATCCTCCCCTGCCACTCGCCCTCCTTCAGCACCCGCCTCAACTCCGCCACCCGCTCCAAATGCCCCGGCGCTGGCACAGGTATGCAATCCCGATTCTCGCGCACGCGCGTGTACACGGGCTCGTACACCTCTGGCCAGTCGAGGTGCCGCGCGAGCGCCTGAAGTACCGTGTCCAGCGCAGGCGGCTTATTCTGGTACGGACCGCCCGTCATAACCGTCATCTTCGTGTACTTCGTCGGCCCGGGCATCACGTCCTGCGCAGACAGCGCGCACGAGTCGAAGACGCAGCCGAGGATGCCCTCCTTGTTGGCTTGCGGCTGCTCGTACCCGCCAGGCGGGCGGGGGATGAGGTAGCCGAAGCCCGCGGGGTGGATGGGGGTGGGGGTGTCAGTGCGGAAGATGAGGTTGTAGACGGTGACGGTAGAGTAGGGGTTGGTGGTGAGGTGGGGGAGGTTGCTGGTAGGTGTAAGGACGCGGTGTAGTGCTGGGAGGGGTAGCGTGGATACGACGTGGGTAGGGCGTATTTCTGGGAGCTCGGGAGAGGTGGTGGTGATCTACAGTGAGTGTCAGTAATCTGTACGCATTTGAGGCATTCTGAGACGTACCTCGATGGATTTGTCCTTCGAATTCACACCCAAGGATTTAACGTCGGCGCCTTTCAATATAGTGACGTTCTTGAGCTTTGAGAGGTGATGCTCGGTGGCGCGCGCGACCGTGTCCATTCCGTTTCGGAAGGAAAACACCGCAGTCTCCTCCATGGCCTTTTGCACGGGGTTGCTGATGTAGTAAGACTCTTCCACATCCTCTTCACGTCGTCCGCGGATGAAGCCTCGGACAACGCTGCCCCAGCCGTACTCCTCAGCCTCCCAAAGGACGGGGAATGCGGCCCGTACGCTGAGCTTCCGGGAGTCGGCAGCGAAGATGCCGTGTACCAAGGCCGAGCCAACCTTCTCGGCGAACTCTGCGGTGAAGCGACGGCATAGGAAGGAGTCGAAAGATTCATCCTTGAGGTCGTCTCGGTTCGAAAAGGCCATAGCCTCTTTCGCAACCGCGCGAGTGAGACAAGCACCGAGGGGGGAACTAATGAGGCCCTTGAAGCTCGATGGTACTGCGAGGAGCCCGGGCTGGCCGGGCATATGAAAGTACTTGTTCTTTGCGGAAGGGGAGGTGCGGGGGACAAGAATTAGATCGTCTAGCAAGTCGAGACGGGTGACCTGGCCTGTCAGCTCTCTTAATGCGAGTGTAGAGCTTGGTACTCACTAGCTCCAACACGGACTTTGCGGTCGGCCGCAAAGTACGAGGCCCGCCCTCGATGAGTATTGACGCTTCGCTGCCATCCTTCGGGTCTTTGAGAGATACCCGCTCGCTCTCCGCCCATCCTCCAACGCGTGTAGAGCGTTCTACGAGCGTTATTAATGCATTCGGAAAGCGATGCGAGAGGTGGTATGCGGACGAGAGCCCGGTAAGGCCGCCGCCGAGAACTGCAATATGATGGGGTGCCATTGGGAGTGTGCTATAAGCTGTTCGGCATCATGGGGGTAGGAGACAAGGTGGACAGTCGCCGCCGTCGAGCGTCGTACGTCGACCGAATCGGCAAACGTCGCGGGCGCCTAGCCGCCAGCCGCTCAGCCGAGAGCACCGTCCGGACCGCGATCCGTGCATTACACGTGACGTTAGATCGGCGTTTAGCGAATATTTCCCACGAGCGCGTAGGCGCTGACCTTCGCGGCGCGAAGATGCGTGCAGGTTGTCTTCGCCCATCGCGTATTACGTGCCGAATGTCTGTCCTTCTTGACTTCAATCGATTGCCAGAGCTGAGTTGCTCCCATTCGTCGCCGGCATGAGGCAAGGATCACCTCTCAGGCCTTCCGAGGCCTCGCCTAGACTCCCGGATATGCGCCATGTCGAGCGCGTTGCTCGCAGTCGTTCGGCGTACGACAGCCCGCACCGCGATCCCATTCAAAGCCATTCTACTGAACTTCATTCCTCGCAACAATCAAAACAGCTTCCAAGATAGCAGCAATTTGTTCTAGGTACGTTAGGGTCCGGTCCGTCTGGATTGCTCGACGCCGTCGTCGAGCTGCCCATCGTCCTGTCGATAATGGCCGGTGGCTTGACGAACATGCGCGCGCCATGAGGTAGTCAGAAGACCCGTTTCGCCCTTCTTGTCCGCTCCTGGCCCGCCCGCAACCGTCCCCTCCACGACCCCGGAATCTAGCCCCCGCATCGCCGGGGATTTGGCTTGGATTTGGCTGCCTATGGCGTTCCAGAATCCGACGTTGCCTTCTCCAGGGCAATCCCAAACGTATCCCGATGCACGCTGCAAGCTTGCTGTCTGCTGTATCCACGATGCCACCCCCAAGCCTGCGGCTGTGGCGGTACCTTTGTCATGCCGGCTCTTGATGTCATGCCCCGCATATAAAGGGCAGTCACCGATAGTCGTCTAATTCCCACCTTTCAAGGACTTTACTCTGAGCGCCATGTCTCCTCCCCACGGATTCAGCTCTAAGCCATCGACCGCGGCGAGGCGGCGCTTGTCGTCCAAGGCTTCGCTCACGAACAGGCCTACCTTCTCGAAGATCACGACTCAGACATATGCCTCCCTCACCGTGAGTTCCGTCCCTCCTCGTTTTCCCTTCGTATCTGACGATCGTGGTCCATCAGCCTATGTGGGCTGGTATCGCTGGCGCGCCCATCAACAATGGCAGTCAGTTCGAGCTCGCCATCTCCGTCCACGACTCGGTGTACAGCACCGACTTCGCGTCGTTTGTCATTGACCATACGCCCTTGGACCCGGAGAAGGCCGCGAAGGAGATTGAGAAACACGTCCTCGACGCCCTGCGCAAGTTCTCCCAGGAGCATCTTTGCAAGTTCCTCGGCGCTGGTATCACGTTGGCCCTGCTCCGCGAGGTGCGCGACGCGCCTGTCTCACATTCGCTGGCACTGACGTTCGCCATAGAGCCCGAACATCTGCACGCGCCTCTGGCTCGATCTGGACATTGTCCCCATCGTATTCAACATCAAGCCGTTCCACACGGACTCGCTCACGCGTCCCAACATCAAGCACCGCATCTCGTCCACGTCCGGCTCGTACGTCCCGTCTGGCGCGGAGACGCCCACGGTCTACGTGGAGGCGTCCCACCTGGGCAACAACCTCAGCGCTGGTACCGCGAGCAAGCTCCCCATCCCTCGCACGCTCGATGAGCAGGCCGACTCCGCGGCGCGCAAGGCCATCATGTACTACGGGCCGAACAACAACCCCCGCCTCACCATCGGCCCGCGCAACCAGGTCGCGGTCGACGCCGGAGGCAAGATTCATCTGATCGACGATATAGATGAGTACCGCAAGACGGTTGGCCCCTCGTAAGCTTCATTCTCGCCGATCCCTGGAGGATCTCGCTCACCGTGCCGGCAGGACCTGGACTGCGGTGAACAAGCTCGCGGACGAGCTACGCGAACGCCAAATCAAGATCGGCTTCTTCAGCTCTACGCCTCAAGGAGGTACGTCCCCTGGATCTGTCTTTAGCCCGGGTACAGGTCCGCTGACGTGATTTGCAAGGTGGTGTCGCTTTGGTAGGCGAGACCAATGAGGATGTGCAGACCGCGGACTGACAGGCCCATAGATGCGTCACGCCCTGATCAGGTTCTTCTCGGCGTTAGACGTCGACGCAGCGTGGTAGGTCATTTGTCCTTTCGTACCCCACGTATCCCCCACGGCGCATTCCCGCCGCCCCACATTTTTGCGCTGTCTCCCGTTGCTCTTTCCGGATGAATAGGCCGTTGCTGACTAGTTTCGTTTAGGTACGTCCCGAACCCATCGGTGAGTACCCTTTCTAGTCTAATAACGTTCATACTCACGATGGTTCCCAGCCCAGCGTCTTCCGTACGACGAAGAACAACCACAACATCCTGCAAGGTGTCGCTTCGCCCGACCTTCGTCTCACGCAGGAGGCGAAGGACAACTTCGACGCATGGATCACTAAGAATGGCCTTCGCTGGACTGCGGAGGGTGGTCCCCTTGCACCAGGTGGTGTGGACGTCGCATTTATTGGTACGTGAACCCATGGGAAGAGGGATGCGGCAGCTGATTCTCTTCGCGCTCTTCAGACGACCCGCAGATGCCGGGCCTCATCCCGCTCATCAAGAAAGTCCGGCCTGAGCTCCCCATCATCTACCGCTCGCACATCGAGATCAGGTCTGATCTCGTGCACATCGCGGGCTCGCCGCAGGAGGAGGTCTGGAAGTACCTGTGGAACAACATCCAGTTGGCGGACTTGTTCATCAGTGAGCATCGAGCATCTCCCGCTCATCACCTCGTACTGACGGCTATCCAGGCCACCCCGTCAAGGCCTTCGTGCCCGAGGATGTCCCCATCGAGAGGGTCGCGCTGCTCCCCGCCGCCACCGACTGGCTCGACGGCCTCAACAAGGAGCTCAGCGACTGGGACCGCCAGTACTACATGGGCGAGTTCCGCGCGCTCTGCCAGAAGGACAAGATGAACACGCTCGACTGGCCGAACCGCGAGTACTGCATTCAGATCGCGCGCTTCGACCCGGCGAAGGGCATCCCGAACGTCATCGACTCGTACGCGCGCTTCCGCCGCCTGCTCAACGAGGCGGGCGACGTCGAGCCGGACGACCAGCCGCAGCTGCTCATCTGTGGGCACGGTGCCGTCGATGACCCGGATGCGAGCATCATCTACGACCAGGTGTTGACTCTCATCCACGAGAAGTACGCCGAGTTTGCGAAGGACATTGTGGTGATGCGTCTGCCGCCGTCTGACCAGCGTAAGTGCTACTCCCTGTGAAGCCAAGGTCACTTGCTGATGCCTTACAGTCCTCGACTGCCTCATGGCCAACGCCCGCATTGCGCTCCAGCTCTCTACCCGCGAGGGCTTCGAAGTCAAGGTCTCTGAGGCCATTCACGCCGGCAAGCCCATCATCGCCGCCACCACCGGCGGAATCCCGCTCCAGGTCGAGCACGGCAAGTCTGGCTTCCTCACCGAGCCTGGCGACAACGTGCAGGTCGCGCGCCACATGTACGACCTCTACACGGACGTCGCGCTCTACGACCGCATGTCGCAGTACGCGCGCACGCACGTCTCGGACGAGGTCGGCACGGTGGGCAACGCGGCGGCGTGGCTGTACCTCGCCGCCGTGTACACGCGCGGGCAGAAGCTGGCGCCCAAGGGCGCGTGGCTCAATGACCTGCTGCGCGAGGAGACGGGGACGCCGTACGTGGAGGGCGAGCCGCGTCTGCCGCGCGGGGGCATCAAGGTGCAGGACTAGATCGTCTGCATAGAGGCGCGCCAATGCGCGCGATGTGGTGAAATAGCTGGCTGGGAAAATGAATCGTACTCAAAGCTCCTTGGTAATGTTTCTGGATGACTCGCTCGTACACGATAGAATGTACTACTACGACCTATATTTCAAAAGCCCTCTTGTTAATTGAAGACGTCCCCTTTCACTTCCTCGTTTGTGATGCCTTCTCGAAAGACTGTAGGCACTCAACGTACTCAATAGTTTGAACATACCTCGTTGATGCGATCTGCCATGGAATGGGGGGATGCAGGTCTGGACTATGTGAGAACTCTGAAGTACTCCATCAACCAAAGCTTGCCTCCGATGCGAACCCTCACAGCATCTCACTCGTATGATTTTGGGATGCTGATCAAAGGCCTGGAGGAGGTGAGAAGGGCATCGAGACCAGGACGAAGGTTGGAAACGAGTGACGATCACCGTGACGCGCACGCGCCACTTGACGCGGATCCGGACATCACGGGACCGCGTGATGGCCGTGAATGGCCAAAAGCGCGTCGGCCGCGGCCCTTGTTCTCACCATCCTCCACCACGACTTGTCTGCAAGTCCGTCTCTTACCTGCTCCTGGCATGAACATGGTCTACAGCATGATGGACATCGACGGCCAAGCAAGTCCTCGACCTCACCTGCGCGCAATGCGCTCCTTCAGCGCGGGGGCGAAGCGAGCCCGATCCCCGGACTCGGAGGATCCTCCCACAGACCGTCCCGTGGTGCGTGTCGCTCGCACTTACCACGTCTCTGGCTAAGTCTGCACCCCCTCAGAAACGCATTGCCACCGACAATGACGCCCCCGCATCCCGCCCTATTGTCCAGCTCCACATCAGAGGGTCTGGGAGCAACCGCGGCAGTCGCCAGTCCTCTGAGGAATGGCCGAACCAGATGGGCGGCCTTCGCATAGACAGCCCGATGATATCTAGCGGCGCGCCCTCGGAGAACGGCGAGGACGACGCTATGGACGTCGCGATGGTGCGCTCCACGTATTGACGAGATGACCAAGAAGCTCAAAGAGACCCTCCCCAGGACGCGATGCCCAGCTCACCCTCACCACACATCGGGCAGAACTCGGTGTTTGCATCTTCTGCGCCCAGCTTGTCCATGTCCTCGAATGCCGCCGAGCGACCTGCCTTCCTCACAGTGCCGTCCACGCTCGGGATGCCCGGGATCGTCGACAATGTCACAGGGACACCGCACCGGCAAGGCCCGCAGATCCAGATCACACCAGCCACGCCCATGGCATCCTCCCAAGGACCTGGCATCTTACCTCAAGGCCTTGAGATATCACCCCAGCCTGCGCTCGCGCCCCGGGCAAGCAGCGTCGACATTGCCATGTCCTCATCCTCATCCCCGTCCCGCCCACCTGCCACCCCCTCATTCCAGCGTAGGTTCACCATGGGGCCTCGACTGGACTGCGAGAAGTGTCGGTTGGGGGTGAAGGGGCATTATGCGCACTATACCTAGGGCAGCGTCAAGCGCACGATACCTAACAGCTATAGGATGATTACCCTTGCACGTCATGAAAGCAAGCACACGCACATTCAGCATCTGCATGTACACTACATACTATTCCCCGCATACCAGCGATAATACCCAGGCATTCACTTTCCTTGCATATGGCTCATTCTTACCCTTGCACTCGCGCCCTTGAATTACGCTTTGCAAGTACTGAACTCCCTATTTGCGCTTACTTTGGGTCTGGCGCATTGTCTTCCGCGTGGCCTCGCCCATTGTATTCCGTGCGGGGATATTCCCCCTTCCGCACATCTTTTTCTTCGATCACCTCTGATCACAAGTGGCGTCTGCGTCCGGGTTTCCGGCTCTAGCACGCGCGACGATGAGCACGACGCTCCCCCTCTTCTGGCGACTGTCCTCGGCATCCAGGAAGGAGCGCCTGGATGCGTCTGTCAAGCTGATCGACGCGCTCGAGAAATTCCAGACGCAGTACGCCGCGAGGGATGCGCCCGAAGAGAAGGATGCTCCCTCAGACGCAGAGGATGAGGAGGACGCGCAAGACGTGGACGAGAGCGATGGGCTCGATGCGCTGAATGCTCAGGATGTGTCCTACTCGATACGCAGGCTGATTCGCGGGTTAGCGAGTCCCAGGGAAAGCAGCAGGCTTGGGTTCGCGGTGGCGCTCACGGAGGTGCGTGCCCTCCCCCCCTCCTTGACTTACCTCCTCGCTCACAGAAGTACAGCTCTTGTCGCGCATCGACACCGTCACCTGCTCCCAAATTACCGCCCTCATCAATGATTCCTCCAAGCCCCAGGGCTCCATCTCCGGGCAGGAAGAGCGCGACCTGCTCTTCGCGCGTCTCTTCGGCTTCACCGCCGTCATTCAAAGCGGGCTCCTTGTGCGCACAAAACCGCTCCCCTCCTCTGCCTCCGCCTCCGTCGTCTCCTCCCTCGCCAGCTATCAGGACGTCCTCACCGGCCTCCTCGCCCTCGGCGAGGCCAAGGCCTGGCTCCGCGAGAGCGCCTGGTGGACGATCGGCCTCGCCCTCGATGCCCTGCGCGCCTCCGCCGTTCCGTGGAAAGACGCGGCGCGCGACTGGACCGCGGAGCAGATCTACACCGAGCGCGAGGACTGGTCGCCCGAGAAGGTCGCCATCAGCCTCAAGATGCAGAAGCTGTATCCGGAGCTCGCGTGGAAGAAGCTCCTAGCGCCCGTATTCAAGAACAAGGACCTGCTGAGCAACGCGAATCTGCCGGTCATCGCGCGCATCATAAAGGACACACAGAACGAGGAGGACGAGGACGAGGTGCCGAAGGCGCAGGCGGGGAACTGGAAGCCGCAGCTGCATTTCGTGTGGGATCTCATGCTGGCGGAGTTGTTGCCCGCGGAGGGCGCGCAGAGCTCGTCGTCGGGCTCCTTCCAGGAGTTCTTCCACCATGTTGTAGACGGTGCGTGGTCCTCATCTGCATGAGAGGCTTTTGTGCTGATAGAGAGTCGTAGACTCGTTGTTCTCCGCGACAGCCTCCCCGCACCGCAAGTACTGGGGCTTCCAGGTCTTCCAGAAGGCGCTCCCTCGGGTGGACGCAAATACGATGCCGATGCTCTTCACGCGCAACCTCATGCGCTCGTGGATCAACCACCTCTCGCACAAGGATAGGTACCTGCATAAAATCGCATTGCAAGTCGTGCGTACCATGTTCTTCACGCTAACTCCATCCACACCGTTGCCACACGAGCTAACGCGCATCACAGGCCTCCGACGTGCAGTCCTTCGTCAAGTCGAACCCGCACCTCGGGTTCGCGCTCATCCTGCAATTGACCGGTGTCAACGGCAGCACGCAGTTCGACAAGCTCACGCACACGAAGACGGTAGAGACCATCCTGACGTCGATGGACGAGGCCGGCATCAAGACGTACATTGACCACCTTCTGGAGCAGGTCAACCCGTCGGATAAGTGCGTCCTGGCATTCTCCTCCGTTCATCGCATCAAGTGCTCATCTGAGTTTGCAGATCCGACGTTCAGGCCGTGAACTCGACGCGCGCATGGATCATCGAGCAGCTTGCCTCCTTGATACGCAACGGCGCGATTCCGAAGGATGAGCGGTGGATACAAACTATCCTCGACTGGTTCACCGTCCACGGCCTCTTCACCGTCAAGAAGAAGTCCGAGAAGAGCCCCTTCCTCGCTGTAAGCCGCTCCTTCGGCTTGCTCTTCCCTATACACGCTTACATACCATTGCCAGCTTCACACCGCCCCCAATCCTCCTTTTTCCGACGCCCTTCGCAAGAGCTGTCGCGAGCGCCTCATGACCTGCCTCGCCGACCTCACCAGCCAGACCATTACGGTCAAGGCCGACGACGGAAAGCCCGTCAAGCTCTCCGGCACGACCACCAGCGGCGAATCCTGGGTCGTGCGCGTCCTCTCCAATATCTCCACGCTCGAGCAAGACACCAAGCACGTCACCCCGCTCGTCGACATCGATGACGAGGAGGCGCAAATCCGCACGAAAGCCAGGGACCTCATCGCCAAGCTCCAGAAGCTCGACGATAACGACGCGGCGAAGGGCGCGCAGCTCCTGCTCGCCGTCACCCTCCTGCAGCGCTGCTGCGATGTGGACGAGGGAGAGCTGGGCGGGGAGGATGATCTGGAGACGTGCGTGGAGGCCGCGAGCCGGCTGTACAGCGAGTTCAAGTCCGCGAAGAAGGGGAAGAAGGCGCGCAAGTCCACGGCGGCGGATCCGGAGGAGCCGCCTGTGGTGGACGTGCTCGTGGACGTGATTATTGGGTTCTTGGAGAAGGGCAATGCGTACTTGCGGGCGTGTGGCAACAAGGCGTTCGCGCTGTTGACGGGGGTGGTGCAGGAGAGCACGGTCGACCTGATTTTGACGGTGCGTAGAATTCTGTCTTTTCCTCTGTGCGTTGACGAATGGTGTTGCAGCAACTCGAACGTCGCGATCCTACCGCGGAGCACGATGACGACGAAATGGAAGTCGACGAAGAGGGCGATGAAGAGGAGGACGAGGAGGAGGAAGACGAAGAGAGCGAGGCAGAAGAAGATGAAGAAGACTCCGACTCCGAAGAGGAGGATGACGCCGAAGCCGCCGAGCTGCGCAAGAAGATCGAGGACGCTCTCCGCGTGAACGGCATCGAGCCCGCGAACGAGGAAGACGATGAGGACGACGACCTCATGGACGACGACCAGATGATGGCCATCGACGAGCAGCTCACAGAAGTGTTCAAGGCTTCGGCGTCCGGAAAGAAGAAGGGTATGTTCACTCCCTATCCACGTTCATCCTCATCGCTGACCTCCTCACAGACGTTGACGCCCAACGCGAAGCCACGCACTTCAAGAACCGCGTCCTCGACCTCGTCGACGTCTTCCTGAAGCAGCAGCCCACTAGCCCGCTTATCATTCGCCTCCTCCTCCCCCTCGCCGACCTCATCGTGTCCTCCGGCCCCGACGAGCAGCAGCTCGCCGACAAGGCCAAGGGCATCATCCGCTCGCGCATCGCCAAGGCGAAGGACACGCCTACCTTACCCAACGCCGACGCTGTCAAGACCGCGCTCACCGAGTTGCACTCTCGTGCCCGGCGAGCGCGCTCCTCGGACCACCTGGGCACGCTCAGCATATTCAGCCTGTATCTCGCGAAGACAGCATTGCACTTGGGCGCAGAAGACGCTGTGGTTGCGGCGTATAAGGAGTCGCTCGCAGACTTCTTGACGCGCAAGAACTCGTCGCTCAACACGTCGTTCTTCCAGGAGATTATCAAGCGACATGTCAGTGTCGGGTGGCAATTGCGGACAGACTCATTGGAGCTGTCTGGGAAGGCAATCAATGCCTACAGGCGTTGTCAGGCGTATCAGCTTGTTCAGACTCTGTTGAACCAGCTGCCATCACTTGTGAGTTGACCTATGCTATCCTGCCTTTCCACCTTGCTAAAGCCTGTTCAGACGCTTGCGCATGACGAAGTCGCTGCGTTCATGGAGCTGCTACAGCGCTCGTTGGCCGACACGATCACCGGCGCATGCGATGGAACCGTAAACCTTAACGCGGCCCAGCTCAAGGAGCTCCTCAAGCTCGCCAACTCCGCCGCCCGCCAGTCGCAGAAGCAGCCCGAAAATGTCAAAACCGTCTGGACCGCTACCACCTGGACGCAGCTCTCCGACCGCCTCTCATCCTCCGACAAGTTCAAGTCGTCGACAGGCCTGCACAAGACCTGCCAGCAGATCGCGCAGCTTATCTCCGGTACTCCCTCCCAAACATCCGCAACCAAAACAGCGTCCGCGGCCAAGTCCGCCGACTCACCGGAAGTGAACGGCGTCGACAAGCAGGTGAACGGCACCGACAAGAAGGCAAAGGCCACAAAACGCAAGGCAGAGACCGACGCGGCAGGCAGCGAGAAGCCAAAGCGTAAAAAAGGCAAGAAAGACAAGCCGAACGTAGATTAGTGTATATATCTCCCCGATGCTATCATCTGTATCTCTGCGGCGGTGGCAACTGCCTCGATACCGGACTCTTGTATACATTGTTGTATGAGCTGTGCACATTTGCGTAGCCTGCACGAGGGTTAGGACCTGGATGTAGGAGACTCGGGAAGGTACGAACCTGTTGCGCTTCATGCGAGCCTCCACTTCAACCTGGAAGCTTTGCGACCTCTGCGATGCGGTTCGGAGGACAGTCTCGGGTAATCCTGCAAGCCTGCCACACTCCACGCCAAACGACTCTGCGAGTTGTAAGCGACTGCGACAATTTTTGCTTGGAAGCTGGGACTCACCAGATGTGATGCCACTTGTGAGGCGATACAAGAAGGTAATCTCTCGCGTTCCGTCGATGCGCAGGTCCGCCCGGTACGCCATATGCAGATTCTCTACCTCCTTCATGAACTTCTGCTCAAGATTTGTCGCGACCAGCGGGTAGTGAGTGATGAACAGTGTTTTGCAGTGCTTCTCGGAGAGCAAGTAATGCATAGTTGCATCTGCGATGGCCATCTACAGCGATGTCAGTTATAGGGCATGTAACAAAACGAAAGTAGCGTACTCCATCGAACGTGGATGTCCCTCGGCCAAGTTCGTCCAGAATGACGAGGCTGCGCTCCGTCGCAGTGTGCAGGATCTCGCTCGTCTCCGTCATCTCCACCATAAAAGTCGACCGACCGCGCGCCAAGTCGTCAGAAGCTGAACAATCTTTAGCTTGAGCACACCAGTGGGAAGCAACGGATAGACACTCACCACCCATCCTCGTCAACACCGAGTCCAACAAGCTCATACGAACCGCCTCAGCTGGCACATAGCACCCAATCTGCGCCATGATCGCAATGAGCGCAACCATCCGTACACAGCTACTCTTCCCGCCCATGTTCGGGCCAGTGATGATTTTGCTTCGTGGCGAGCCTCTGCCCATACCCACATCGTTCGGCACGAAAGGGTCGTCACGCAGTGTCTCGACCATCGGATGTCGGCCGGCCACGATGTCTAGGGCATCCTCGTCTACGAACTCCGGGCGCACATATCCGTCACGCAGAGCTACTTGGGCGAGGCTGAGCAAGCAATCTGCGGCAGCTAGCTGGTTGACGGCGTGTCTCAACGGTGCGTAGTGTGTGCGTGCAATCTCCGAGAGGAACTCTGAGTACGCTGCGCGAGCCTCCGCCTGTTTTCCCTTCAGTGAGAGGCAAACGAGGTATTGATACAACTTACAGTCGCAGTCTCCATGTACCGCTCACGCTCTGCAATGAGGTTGATAATGGTTGGTGTATGGTATCGCTCATAGAATTTAGTGCGCGACACGAGCTTCCAGTCGTCCGGTATTGGCCTGTTTTCGCTCTTCTTGACCTCGATGAGGTACTGAAATCCTCCGTCAGCGATGCCTACAGTGACATAGATTCGTCTTACTTCCGCATCTGTCTGATGAAGCCACTTGAGCGATGGGTATCGTAGGACCTTGCGGACTGTGCGTCGCAACTGAGCACACCACGATTCAATGTCAACATGCAGCTTACCTCTCTTAAGTTCCTCCTCCAGTTCGACTTCCACCATTGCTCGGCCCTGAAACGCGTCGAGCACTGCAGGGTACCGTCCAGGATCCTTCCAGAGATGCTCCCTATTGCCCGCCGCAGCCTCTTTGAGCGAGATATGCAAGACGATCTCATCTATCGCAGGCTTGATCTTAGGGAGCGCGTAGAGAATCTCATTGAGTACATTGGACTGGAAGCCGACGTCCGCAGGCGAATTCACGTCTGGAAATGCATCCCCTATCCGCTTGAAGGATGTCAAGAGGATGGCGAGCTCCTCGGGTTTGCACTATTTGGTCGTAAAGGCGTGTAACACTATAGCAGGAATGGAAGGCTCACCTGCCCATACTGAATCTTGCACAGGCCCTTGGCAAGGTCAGGCATGCGTCTCAGCAACTGCCGAAGAGTGACGAGCTTTTCGGACGCACTCGAGACGAGTTCCTCCACAGCAGCTACCCGTTCATCGAGCACTCTAATCAACACCCGTCAATCTTTGAACGGGAAACCTGCCACGGACCAACCTCTTATCGATCAACGGCCTCCCCACCCAACTCCTCAGCAGCCTCGCCCCAAACTTTGTCTGTGTCTGGTCCAGCACCCATAACAATGACCCTCGCACTTCCCCGTCCGTCTCATTCGCATAGATCTCCAGATTCCTCAGCGTATTCCCCGCCAGTAGCATGTGCGTCCTCGCAGCAAACCTCGCGAAGAACCGCGTCTCGCGCAGCGCGTCGGCGAGGCCGAAGGCGGAAAGGTGCTTGATGGTGTGTGCGAGGGCGATGACGACGAGGTTGGGGAAGTCGGCGGCGGCGGCCATGAGGGCGCCGGAGGTGAAGGCCTCGGAGGCGTTGGGGTTGAGGTGAGAGGCGCCGGAGATGGAGCCGTCGGAGGTTGCGGGGGCTTTCTGGGAGTAGAACTCGGAGACGTAGGCGAAGGCATCGGTGTAGTCCATTTGGCCTTTAAAGTGCTCGACGCGAGTTTGAGTGCCGCTAGCCGTAGCGCTAGAGCAGATGTGTGAGAATGATGCAAGAGACGAACATGAGCAAAGTACACCTACACGGTGAAATGGCCTAGCATCTTCTGCGTCGGCCCCGATAACCCAGTCTTTGGCAGAAGCAATTCCGCGGGGCGAGTGTGCACCAGTCGCGTCTGTTAGCCTTGTTGATCAGAGTATCGTTATTACATCGTGATAGGCACTTGCCTCGAGCTCGAGTCTCATCGGGTTGTCTGTCGCCTGTTAATCGAGAACAGGTTACATGAGGCAGGAGACTCACCGTCAAACGCATCCCATACCACATCCCCTGAGCTGGGAGAAATGCTGATCATTGCAACATGCACGTCCGCTCCCGCCCCAGACGTGCTCTCCTCGACGATGCATGTGAACGGAGGCGCTGAGCTGCCAGATATATCATCGACAGAGTCGAGATCGTCAACGTAGCTGGCACGAGGGTCAGTCTAGGTTCAGATGGAAGAAGCAGCGTGCATACGTTGCCGCGGTGTATAAGCGAGTGAGCTCGCGCCTGAAGGGCGCACTTCGTTGGTCGCTAACCTTCTTGAGGGCAGCGGTCTCGGTCTGGTCACATACACCGACGCGGTAACCCTGCGAGAGAAGCCTGGGAGATATTCGGTGAGCCCTTTGAGAGGGGGTGTATTGGATGAGGAACCCACTTCTTCAAGTGAATGTCGCGACGATGGCTGGGTATAGTTGCCACATCGAAGTTGCGGTCATTGTAGCAGACCATGCCGAGCTCTTTCGCTGCTACCTGCGTAGGGTGTCAGTCAAGTCAATGTGAAGTAGGAAGGTACTGCGATTCGTACATGTGCGTCTTCGCCGAAGAATTTGTACTTGTAGCCAATTTCGACCATGAGTACCGTTCCGGGGTTCGCTTTCTTCAGCTCCAGCACCTGAAGGGACATAAGCATAGTCCCCCACAGAACTATTCCTATCACGCACCTGCTTTTCCAAAGGAGTATATGGCTCCCCGCTGGGACCCACTGGCTCGTCTTTCTTGGGTGCCTTCCCCTTGCTCGCGCCACTGGTCTGTCGCTTTCCCCCTCCCTTCGGCTTATTGGAGAACATTGCCTCCAAGTCTTCGAATCTCTTGCTCCGCTCTTCCTCATCGTCTTCGTCTCGATCCTCTTCTGCAGTCGGTGCTGGTGAGGCTGAGGGCTTTCGAGACAGGAATCTGTTATTCTGTTGCAACAATCGCCTGCGAAACTCCTCTTTGGATCGTTTCTGTGCTTTCGTCTCTTCCGCGCGAGGTTGTATTGGCTTCTCAGGCGCGTATCTCCACTGCTCTGCCGTCCCCGCGCTTGAAGAGGCAGCTTTACTTGGGGATTGAAAGTAGACAGAGGTCGCCGCACTGGTCTTCCGCTTCTTCGTCTCTCTCCCCGACTCGTCGTCCGAGATCTCTATGGGCGAGCTTGGCCGCTTCCCTGTCACCTTCTTCGGCGTCGCCTGCGAGAAATACGCGCTGATAGTGGGCTTCTCGCTCATCCTGACACTGTCCCCTTGATGACGGTGGCGGGGAAAGCAACATACGGAACCGCGGCCCGCCCGCACGTTAGGCGCCCAAGCCTACACGCGATCGCGCGCGCATTATGTGGCGTCGTCAATTCTCGCCACCGACGACGACGACGATGCTGGGGTTCCCGTGCTTACGACGCGTAGACGTGCTCCGGACGGTGCAGCTTGGGCAGCGGAGATGGATTACGGCGTCCGCGCGCAGGCTGGCGGAGACGGCGGACGGTCCCGCGGTTACGCAGACTAATAGTCAGCATTTGTTTCCCCGGCGTGCAAGGTGTGCTATGGGTGACTGACGCTGTATACAGAGGCGGAGGCTACGATGAAGCGTTTTTGGAAGGATGTGGACGTCGCAGAACGCGACGGGGGCTACGTCGTTACCCTCGACAGGCGCGCATTGAAGACTCCCTCCGGCAACACCCTGCTCCTCCCGCGTAACAAGTTTGCGGTCGCGTCGCTCATTGCGGCGGAATGGGAGAGCCAGTCAACAGTGCTGAAGCCGCATGCTTTGCCAATAGTGCGCTCTCCGTCCACTGCATAGAAGTGGTGCTGACATGTGGTAGACTTCCCTTGCCTCGCGCGCGATCGACGCGTTCACCAACGCTACCGAACGCGCACAGGTGCAAAAAGGCCTCTTGGACTATTTGCATACGGACACCATCTGGTGCGTCACAGCTCCCCTGAAGTTAATTACTGAACTGACAAGTCCTGAACGTCAGCTTCCACCAGGACGAGCCTCACCAACTCGTTACTCTGCAGAAGCAACACTGGGATCCCCTACTGGACTGGGCACGCAAAACCTACGGGGTCGACGTCCGCAAGGCCGAGTCGCTGTTCTCCAGCACCCAGCCGCCAGAAACGGCCGACAAACTGGCGAAGGCATTGGACGAGCTGGATCAGTGGGAGCTAGCTTGTGCGACTGCCCATTGTCATTCTTTTCCCGAAGTAGACTGACCGTACGCATTTGCAGCATTCGAGCGCGCCACGCACGTCACGAAGTCCTTCTTGATCGCGTTGGCCCTCGTCAAGCGTTGCTTAAATGTCGAGCAGGCGGCGAACGCCGCGCATGTCGAAGTCAACAGCCAGATTCAGCGGTGGGGAGAGGTTGAGGACAGTGCGTACCTTGTCCTCTTTCATCGTTTCCTCCCCCCTTTCGATCCTCTCGTTCACCTCTCGTGACCCTACGAGTGCTATCTTGCTGACACCCCTTCCCAGCCCACGACGTCGACTACCACGACGTGCGCCGGCAGCTAGGCTCCGCCGCGTGCCTCTTGATGCGCGTATAGCACTTTCGCTATAAGCACCTCCCAGTACACCATCTGTCAGTACTGGCGCAGGCGATACTATCCACCGGTCCTTGGCGCTCATCTCGTCAGTAGAGAGTGGACGACACCTCTGCTAGAATAAGGCTTCCATGCTCGGGAAGTTTCTGCGCGTTGGGTGCTAGAAGAGGAGAGGATCCGAGGACCGGTACCTCCACACCGGCTAGGGTATCTCTACACCGGCTCATACACCTCCTACCCTCGTGATAGCTTCACGTAGACGTCCGTGTGCAATCGAGCCTCTCTGTGCTTGCCAGCGCACTATCCCCGCTCACCCCCTGCTCGACACTGCTGAGCATACGCGACAATTATCCTTGCGCTCGTACCACTGGCTCGAGATAATGCCGTGCTGACCTGTATTGGCCGGTATCGGTGTTGCGATCCGGTGTTTCTGCTCAGAGCTCTAGCCCTGTGCAGTGATGTGCTCTTACGCAGGGACCTGCTCAGGTGAGCTCTACTGCTGCTTTGGCGAATGTGGTCTCGGGGTCAGCTGCTTGCGCGCTACAATTCCTTGTACGTCTGCGAGGCAAGACTACAAATGCACATCGACGGCGTTCATTTGTAGGCGGGGAAAGCGGTCACAGTCGGCGCGGAGAGGTAAGCGTTGTGGACGGGGTCGTATCATCAATCGGCGAGAGGTGAGCGCAAGCGGTAGGTATGTTGAGCCCCCTCCAGTGATTGTCGTCTGTCCTGCACAGGTGCTTTGGTCCTCCGTTAACGTCGTGCCTCGACCTGCTCCGATGGCGTGTGCCTCGCTAAACGTGCAATCGCTTCCGACAATCAAGCGCCGACAATTGCACAGGGCCAAGCACCGACGATTGCCCTGGACAGTGGACTTGCAAGACGCCTATCTCCTACCCGGACCGTACCCCGCATGATTTTTCCGCTTTTCCCCAGCTTTGTTCGCCCGTTCTCCTCCTCCCTGACTCCTCTGACATCCTCCCCCATTACTATACTATAACGTCCTCCCCTCTGACTCCGCCAATATGCCCCCTTACTCCTACCCCATCCTCCCCTTACTCTCCTGCCCCATCCTACCCCAGCCCTTATCCCCTCCCTGCTCCCCCAGCCTACCCCGCAGATCCGCGCTCCGGCGTCCGCCTTCTCCCCCGCATCCCAGGCCCCGCATCTCCTCTGGTCCGTACATCCTCTTGATCTCCCCGCATCCATTTATGGTCATCTGACCGCGCTCCGGTTGTGCGGGATTGGGTGCTCGGGCGGCTGGAAGATTGGGTGCAGGAGCGGGCGGCGGATTGGCTGCGACCTTCACTTTAGATCGGGCACATCAAGCACCGTACATTGGCTGCGTCAAGCACCGCAGATTGGCCACAAGCGCGCCCAATCCGCTCGTGGAGGCCGAGGCGGTGGCATGGGACTGCGCTATTGGTAGAGGACGTGCCCTAGTATTGGTAGAGAACGTTTGCCCTATTGGTAGAGGACGCGCCTCATTGGTAGAGGTGCGCGTCCTCCTCGAGGTAATTCTGCGATATTGCGCCGAGCTGTACGTCTCCGTTTCGTCTATTCGCTCGCGGCAGGGTGTCTTCGTGGTTCACGCAAGTCTACTGAGCGTAAACGTAGGTAACGATACTGCGGGGAACGTAGCCTTCACGAGATGGGGTAATGTGCAGGCTAGGTGTCCACTTACAGCAGGCTGCCTCTCGTTACCGTGTCTTCACGTACACCACCACGGGAAAGCTTCGCGTATACGGGCTGGGCGGCGCGGGCGGTATTATGCCATCCTACAGATTGTTTACCGACCCCGACGTGCCGCCTCCGCGGCACGCACCCTCGCACGATGCAGCGCCTCTTTCCCGCCTCCGAGTTGCTACCACCAACCCCCCGTCCACCAATCACCGCCTTCCTTCTTTCTGGATTTTTTCCTTCCGCGCGCCACCACCCTTTCCCGCGCCCTCCATCTATTCCCGTCCCTTCCAACCTAATTTCCCGCTGCCCCCTCGCCCAGCCCTGCGCGCGACAGGACGCTCGGAGCGGGAGCAGAGCGCAGCGGCGGCGGGCGGGCCAGTCGGGGGCGCGCCGTCAGTCTAAGACACGCGATCGCGACGCGTCGAGCCGCGTGCGCATCGGACCTAGCGGCGCACTGATGCGCGGGTGATAGAAACGCAGGCACCCGCGCGCACGCGTCGCGCCCCTCCGCGCCCTATAAAAGCCAGGCGCCAGCCCGGGGCGGGCCCTCCTCTATATTTCTCCGCCCCGGGCCCTCGATTCAGCCAGCGCGCGACGAGCTCGGACGATTACCAGCCCATTCTATACACCTCGACGCACACGAACGTGTACTTCCCTCGTCCCACCACCATGCCTACGCTCCCCGAGTCCTTCGACCCCTTTGCGAACCACCCGTTCACGAACGGCTCTGGCGTCGTCCCCCGCCCGCCACCACCGCACGCGTACAAGTACGCCGCTGCCCGGCCCGATCATCCGTCGTTGGCCCCACCGCCCGCGTCGAGCGCCTCGTACCCCACCTCCCCCCAGCCCTCGAGCTCCATGCACATCAGCTCCCCGCCCGACATGACCTTCGGCTCCCCAAACTCCTCGTACATGGGCTCGCCCCCCACATCATCCTACATGGGATCACCACCCACCTCGTCCTACATGGGCTCCCCACCACTGTCCTCGCCCCCAACATCCTTCCAAGGCTCCCCACCAGCCAGCTCAGGATACCCCTTCGCCACCGCGAGCCCCGGATACCCCTACCCCTACCCCCCGTCCTCGCAATACCACCCCACCTCGCAATACCCGCCCACCTCGAAATACCCCGCGCAGGACGCCGAACGCCGCGGGCGCGTGCTCGCGCCGTCGTTCATGCGGAGCACGCCGGGCGGCAAGCACCTCGGGAAGGACGGCGAGAAGCAGCTGGACGGCGCCGGGAGCGCGTGAGCGTGGGGTCGAGCTAGGGTCGAGATGAGGCTCGCCGGCGATGAGGGTCCCTCTCCCCATACGCCGGGCAGCGGGGACCCGAGGATGCAGCGACCGGCAGGCCGCGACACTCTCGACGGCTCCCAAGGGCCCTGACAATCCCCCACATATGCTCCCCCCATCGTCCCAATCATGTTGCCGACCGTCAACATCCCGTCCCCGGTTCGCCGACATCATGTACCCGACTTGTCGACTCGGACATCACGTTCTTCGATTCGTCGCATTGGGCGTCACATCGCATCTTGATTGATTATCTGGAGAGGAGAGGAGACGAAGTAAAACCACTAATGCCGGGCTCAGCGAGCCCCGACTATGTATCATTATCGCTGTCAGCAGCAGTGCTTGTTTATTCTGTACCACCATAATCTATGCCTCTAGTGCGCTACGGCGCCGTCTCCGCTCTACAGACCGTCTCGTGCTTTCACTCTGCATTTCAATGCGTCGTCCAACAACTGAGTGCCGATTGCAAGATTCAAGGAACGTTGCACTTGTGAAGAATATAATTACACAACGTGTGCGATACAATGAATATCGACGAGTCCGTGAAAGGGCCAGAACTGAAAGTAGCTGAGGTGCATCGTTCATGAAGTAGGCTCACAAACAGCAATCCACCTGCCCCTTCATCCTCACCCCACCTCCTCCACTTACCCCCTGACTCCCACCGGCACCTCCCTCGCCTCCCCATCATCCTCCAACACGCCTCTTGGGCGGGCCCCATCGCTGGAGTGGATCCTCCCCAGCTCATGCCCGCCACCGCTCTCAAAACCCCTCACCCCACCACTCTCCAAATCCCGCCTCCCCGGCGTCCGATCCTCGTCCTCATCATCCGCCCCCTGCCTCCACACCTCCTCCAGCGGGCCCGGGCCCGGGCGCTTCATCGTGTCGCCGCGGTGGATGCTCGAGGAGGCGTGATGTTGACCTGATGCATACTGCTGACCGGAGGGACCTGACACTCCGTAGGGATCCTCATAATCGCGCCGGGGCGCCGACACATGCGCCGCTGGCGGGTACCCGCCCGCGTACCGCTGCGTCGTCGGCAACACTTCACCCTCCGTGCTATCGGCGGCGGTGCGGTCGTACCCATTACCGTCCCGACCCTCCGCCCCATCCTCCACCCACGGCTCGTCCTCCCGCCTGATCCGCGGCGAGTACGGGCGGTGCGCGAGCGGGTCGTGCAGCGGGGGGTAGTACTGGCGGTACGCGAAGTAGGTCATCACGGTGCCGAGGATGGAGCCGGTGAGGACGTCCTGCCAGTGGTCTGGGGAGGGGCGGGTTAGTAGGCGGTAGGTTGGTAGATAGGCAGTGGGTTGGTAGGTAGGCAGTAGATTGGTCGGTAGGTAGGTAGTAGGTTAGTCGAGGGTGAAATTTATGGAGACATGGAGTGGATGTGCATGATATGAAAGGAGGAAAGGAAGGGAAGAACAAGAAGAAGGGAAGAACCAAAGAAGGAAAAAACAGGAAGAAGGGTAAGGAGACAATTACGCACGTCTATAATCCATGGTACGAGAGATAGCGACGAGCGTGGCGCCAGCGAAGGGCGTGAGGGCGAGCCAGGCTTTGCCCTGCCAAAGATGAATGGAGCTCTAGCCAGAGTACATGCGATACATACAGTGTGCCCGCGCCTATCGAAGAGGTGCAGCTTGCCAGCGAGATAGAACGCGAGGAAGCCGAGCCCGGCGAAGGATACTGCGCGGGATGTCAGCATGCATCGTACAAGAACTTTGTGAGCACGCATTGACTGAAGATGCGGCTAGAGGAAGATGCGACTACGACTGGAGGAAGATGCGACTAGAGGAAGATGCGACCACAGGAAAATGCGACTGGAGGAAGCCACGATCCCTACTCACAGCTCGAATGCCCCGACGGGAAACTCCGGAACCCATCACGCAGCACGTAGTGGTCCGTCTGCGTGCAGATTGTGTAGTTGCTCAGGCCGTAGACGGGGTCGGCGGACCCGGGGCGGGGCTGGCAGCGGTCGATGACATCTGGGAGGGTGTCAGCGGCGGGCAAGGCAGGGTGTCAGCGGCAAGCAAGTGAGGTGATTTGGACTTTCGGATCGCAGATGCAGAACTGGATTCGTGATTTTCAGATCTCCCCGTATATGCTGCCTGTCTGCTACACGTCTGCACGGAGCGATGGACGAAAGATGCAGATGGCAGGCCAACTGGATCATGGAGGCCTCTAGGCGGATACCTCGATACTACAGGGTTTCCATCTGTACCATCCGCCTCTTCAGACAGGCGCACGAGGAGCATGCAGCATATCACGGGGAAAGCACCACTCCGAATCCAGCACAAAATCCCGAATGTAGCGCATCTGGGATTCTGAGCGTCACAAATGATGACGCACCGGGGCGAGGGCGGCCGACAGTAACCTTGGCGAACTGGGTAACTGCGCCGGTAAGGGAGAGGCCAAGGACGACTGCACGGAATCAGCGGATGGGGGCGGTGTAGGCGGTGTAGACGTACCACCGAGCCAGCCTAATGAGCCAAGGTGTCAGAAGAAGGACAAAGAGAGGAGTGAGGGAACATACTGGCGTGTAGATCCCACCAAGAGCGTATGGTGAGGACGTTGACGAGGGGAAGGAGGACGATGGGTGCGAGAATGGCGATGACCATGAGTTCTTTGTTCTATGTGGGGTTAGATGATGCGGGTGTGGATATGCCGAGACGTACGGGTATGCGCTCATGGACGGCATAACTGGGTCGTGTGAGCAGACGAACAAGGGGGATGGGGTTGCTTACGGGTGTCGTAGACTGTGGAGGCGTTAGCTGTTGCTAGGGGAGTGTGGGATGGACACGCACGAAGTATCTTCGAGGGAAAAGACGCGCTTGAATCCTTCTATCTCGTCCAGCGCGAAGAAGATGGCACTATGCGGGGTGAGATGCGGTTGAACCGACCCGCTATACACTCACGCGAGCACAATCGTTAGGATCCTGGCCCTCTTCAGTACATCGTACAGTCACCCAAGGATAGACACACCAGTCCGGTAGATATGAAAGTATGAGCTTCCGCCTGCGCGCGGCCGTGACTGGGGGCCGCTGGTTCGCCCTGCGCGGCGTAGGCATGATCTTGTCGAGTATGGTGGATGAGGACATGGGTTCCGGGAGACGAAAGTAAGACATGGGCCTGGCTTGGCTGCTCGTCCGAGAAAAGGCGTGCACAACAGAGATCAACAGCTCGGTCCCCCCGCTTGGCTGTGCGTGGCGGTCGATGCGCTGCGGCGGGATGAGCTTGGCGCGCGCTTGTTCTCCAGCCCCATCCAGCGACCGGCCCGCGACTCCGCTGCCTGCCCGCCACCGAGTTGCGTTCCGCCCCCATGCCCGGTTTCGAATACACGGCTGGTGAGCGGGCAGTGCTCCCCGGATAGACACTGACGCTCAGGGCTGCAGAACACGATGCGCTGCTCGAGGGCATCGCGCGCACAGACACGATCCCGTGAGTCCGCATGCGCGCGACGCGTCTTTCACTCACTCCAATCAGCGAAACCGTCACTTGGGACACGCTCAGAGACGCGATCAAGGCCAAGATAGAGAAGGTAGACCCACAGCACGACCGTGTGCACGTCTAACCTTTGTGCAGAACATCGCTGTCTTCCTTGAGGAATGCAAACCCCAACCACCCCCTCCGCCATTCCCCCCACAATCCACCGCGTCCGGAGGCCTTCGCCTCGCCCCCTTTCCCCCACGTAAACCTCAGCAGGTAGCCCCCACTTCCATCCCCCTCACGCCCACCCCTCACCTCCTCCAGGACACACCCGAACCACCCATCAACTACATGTCCGCCGAACAAGCCTCCGACCTCAAGCTCGCCATCTTCGACCAGCTCGACCAATTCGACGCCTCCCCACCCTTCACCATCCAGCGCCTCGCCGAGCTCTGCACCGCCCCGCGCGCGCACTACGCCGCCGCTGGCAAGTACCTCCGCGCCCTCGAGCGCGCCATCCTCGTCACCTCCGGCACCGACGCCTTCCCCGCGCTCCCCGTCGAGGCGCGCGCCCCCCTGCGCCCCGAGGACGAGATCGGGGCGGCGATGCCGTCGGCGGGCGCGGCGCTCTCGACGCCGACGACGCCGATGTTCTCGCCGGTGCCGTTTGCGCATGCGGATGCGCGGAGGGCGCCGTCGCCGTTGACGCTGTCGGAGCCGCGGGTTATTGGGCTGGTGGATGAGCTGGACGATCCGAGGCCGGGGCATTTGTCTGACAAGCCGACGGCGCTGTCGGCGGTCACCGAGGTGCCAGAGGAGGCGGAGAAGGCGCTGGAGGCCCGCTTCACGAAGGGAGAGACGTCTGAGGGCGAGGCGAAGACAGAGGAAAAGGTTGCGTGAGGTGGTTCACGACGATCGTTTGTACGCTTGTATCTTTTCTTATGCTTGTGCTCACGCTACTTAGATGTATGATATGCTTTGTGATCGTTATGCAGTGCGCATCCGTATACCCCTAGCAGAAAACCTCGCAATGCCCTGAGCAACGATTCAGGCATCTTCCACCCTTGCCACAAAACCCTACGCATAATCCCTCTTAATCTTCTCCAGCATCACCTCCATCCGCAGCGCCATATTGGGCTGCCCCCTGCCGCGCCCGCCGCGCCCTTCCCGCCCTCCTTGCACGTTGCGACTACCTCCTCGAACATCGCGACTGTCGCGACCACCTCGTCCGTTGTCGTGCCCACCTCGCGCGCCAAGCCCACCTCTGCCGCCTCGCCCTCCATCGTGACTGTCTCCTCTGCCTCCATTCCCCCCACTGCCTCCTCGCCCACTATCGCGACCACCTCGCCCCCGGGAACCACCATGCCCACGCCCACCCCTTCCCTGCCCAGCCTTCACCGTATGTAGCGAATCGGGGTGGTAGGCTGCGCGTGCGCGGTCGCGGAGGGTGGGTTCGTGGGGCGGGCCTTGGTCATCGGTGTAGCGCTTTCGAGATCTCTGTTGGCTGCAAGAGGAGTCATGACCGCGTAAAGAGTGATCAGAGTGACCCCCTCGCCCGCGGGATGGACGTTGTCCCCGAGAGGGTTGCTGCCCTCGTCCCTGACTTCTTGAATTTTGTGTGTGATGACCTCTACCGTGGCGTGCAGGTGGATGGGAGGTGGTGGCGTCCTCGTCTGAAGCATCCGCTTCGTCACTGTCCGCTGCATCTTCAGATTTATCCTCATCCGGGCTAGCCTCGTCGTCTTCGTCTTCTTGCTCTTCGTCGCTGCTTTCATCCCTTGTCTCTCCGCCATGACGCTCTTCCCGTGCATCGTCTGCATCTTCCTTCCCCTGTTCCTCATCCCAATCTTCATCTGCATGAGCGCCGCCTTCGTCATCCTCGCCTGTACGTGGCTTGACGAGCCCCTCGCGCCGCTTCTGAGCGCGCCATTTGCTCTTGAGCTTCTGTGTCTCGATCCAGTCACGGCGGAGCTTTTGGGCTGAGGCGGGAAGAAATGCGATATTCGAGTGAGGGTGTCGTGGGGGATGAGTCGTCAGAGAAGAGGTGGTATGGGGAGGGGGAGGTGATGGAAAGCAAGGAGACGAGATGGGTGGGTGTAAGGCGAGAATTGGAAGCAATGCGATGAATGGAAGATGCGAAGGGAAAGGAGAAGCTGTTAGATAGTGTGCTGTTGACAGAGAAGACTAGTACACACCCTTCTGCGCAGGCAGATGCACAAAGGTAGGAGGGCGCTTGCGCTTCAGCGTCTGTGTGTCCGGCATGGCTGGTGTGTCCTTCGCGTCAACTCCTGCTGTATACTGTCAAGATCATCAGCACCTCCCCCTCACTGCACCCCCTCTCCCCCACTCACTCCTAGGCCCCGGCCGTCGAATCCCAATACAGCGCTCACAGCAAGCCTGATCACGCCCCGATCGCGCACTCCCACCGGCGCCCAGTCCGCGCCTTCGATCAATTTGCGGCGGCGGCGCCTCATCGTTACGTAATCGCGCACCCAGCCCGCCTCATAAGGGCCGCCCGCGTGTGCTGCCTCTCCCCACCACCGTCACCGCGCCCCGCCCACCGCACTCGCCCGCGTTCCTCGCCACCCCCCTCGAGCACTTCCACCCGTCGCATGAGCGTGCAGAATCTCAACAGCTTCGGTGAGTCGCCTGTCTCGTTATCGATAGGGAGATCGGAGGGCGTGGTGATGGGAGGATGAGTTGGTTTTGTGGGGAGGGAGGGGTGCTGGGTGCACTTTTGTGGTGTGCTACTGACGGGGAGCCGTTCGCAAGGCGGAGGTCTGGGAGGGCTGACAAGGCGGATCCAACGTAGCGCGGACATGCTGACTGACAACGCATCCCAGATCCTTTCGCCGAGGAGGGCGATCCGCTCGCGGACAACCAGAATGACGTCGGCTCCCAGGCCAATTACATCCATATCCGTGTCCAGCAGCGCAATGGCCGCAAGACCCTCACCACGCTCCAGGGTGTGCCCAAGGAGTACGACCAGAAGAAGATCCTGAAGGCCTTCAAGAAGGTGCGGTTTCCATTTCAACCCGCGTGTACTCATCATGCATACGCCTTGTTTCTATGATTCACGAACATGGCGCTGACGCATGGTTCCCCACAGGAATTCGCCTGCAACGGCACCCTCGTCGACGACGAGAAGATGGGGCAGGTCATCCAGCTGCAGGGCGACCAGCGCGTCAAGATCCGCGACTTCCTCGTCGAGAACGGCATCGACCGCGCCACGATCAAGGTGCACGGTTTCTAAGCGCCGCCCACCCTTCATCGCCGTCCGTGTGTTCGTATGCGCTGCTCCTCCCATCGTGATCCCGGCCCCTCCTTTGTGACCCGGACTTGAGTACCCGCCGAGCACTTTTTTACCTACCCCCTTCGCCCTTCACATACCGTCGACCTCCTTCGCATTTTTACCGACGACCCCTTCTACCACTCTTACTGCCGGCCCTTTCTACTCACCGACCTCACCCTCGGTTGTACATCCCCTGACGCACGCATACCCACACGCTCGGCCACGCCCGCTCTCTCTGCCTGCTTTATATTCTGCATTGCTTTGTGTCTGTACGATAGTAGTGCGATGCGTGCGCAATAGATTCGTCGCGCCTGTGTATGACATTGACTTGCGGTGTGGTATGAGGCAAGGATCAATTGAGTGCGTTAAGTCAGCTCTTCAGGACAAGGTTTGTGTTGTCCCAGCAACGTTACTAGTACGGGTGTAGCCGTCCCACTCGCTCGCGTAGTGGCTGTCCCTTCCCTATGTCTACCGCCCGCTCGAAATACGCTTCGCCCAAAGCAATATGAGCCGAATGCAAGAATTGCAGTACATGTCAGAACATTCAGGTATATCGATAAAATGAAGCGCGACCACAACGCGCGAATAAAGTAGGCAAGAAGACCGCGGTGGCGGCAATAGATGAACAACATTTGAAGTAAGTACATGCCTGAAATGGTGTTTGTAACGCGTGCATATATATGTGCAAGCTACGGCTCCGTATGCGGTGCCATATGGTCGAACGAAAGACCCTCGTAGTCGTTCAGTGAGCTGCTGGGCTTCAGCCCACCAGCCGGAAGCGTATAACCGTACGCTGTCCAGGGAAGAAGCGATGCGACCCGTCCGCCATGATCGCAATCTCCAGCTCCCCTCGCATGATCTTGTGCAAGGGCGCCGCTGCCTGCTGGTCCTTCTCCCCCGTCGCCGCGACGTGAATCAGGACCTCGTGATCGCACGCGAAGCGCGCGACGACACCATGCTCGACCTGTGATACCCACATCGTGGGCCTGGGAAGGCGAATTAGTTTTGTTGTTGCCTCAAAGGGTCACGAAGGCTCAAAGGGCCACGAAGGATGTGAAGAGTAAGGAAGACACGCACCCAAACTTCAGCCTCCCCGCGCACTCAATCTCGTCCTTCAACACCCGCGCATGTTGTACAACAGCCTCCTTGCGCCCGAGCACGTCGTAGTCCATCGCGATTACCGAATACTCGCCGTCGAACGCGAACATGGACGGGCTCTCGTGATGACGGCCGGCCATATTGGAGAGAACAAGATAGCGCGCCTGCGTCTCAAGAAAGTCGCGCAGGCGGGTGTAGAACTCGACAAGAAGGAGCATGAATGTCGGGAATTCGGGGTAAGGAGTAGGCAGGCGGGGCTGCGATATTGTTAGTTGAAGTAAGGTTGGAAGAGGTCTGTGAAAGACTCACAGGTGGCAAGTGCTGCTTCATCTTGCGCTGCTGGTATACCGACTCCATCTTCCGTGGCTGCCCTGGATGCTCATCGCGGAAAGTACATTGTTCGCACTTGGTTGCCGGCGGGGAGACGACCATCCCGCAATCCAAGCTCACGCAGCGTCCCGGTGGTGTTGGCTCCAGCCGCTCATTGTCCTCCGCGCGGAATTGCTGAAAGCCCCAGCTAAGTATCCCTGTTACCCTTCACTACACCAAGAACACGCATACCTTCTTCGGATGCTCCTCCACGCCATTCTCCTTCCCCCCATGCGTCGCCTTCTTCGTCGAACGCACATACGACCGACACGACGCGCACATCTTGTACTTGTACTCGCCCGCGGGCGGCAGGATGTGCATGCAGAAGCGCATCGTACACTTGCGCGAGCCAACGACGACGCGCGAGGCGTCGCCGAGTATACGGTCGACGGCGGCGAGCTCCGCGTTTAGATTTCGCTAGCATTATGTTAGGCGGATTCGAAGGATGGGCAGGAGAAATATGGCATACCCGCTGCGGCTCGACCTCACCGTTCTGTCGCGCGCGCTGGTACAGACGCGTACGTTCCCGACATGCCTCGCAGCACTTCCACCTATTCTCGAGGGGCATAGACTGCTTGCAGATCCGACAGGGCTTTGTAGGTCCCGCTATTGGCGCTGGAGCGGGCACGCTCTCAGGGGGTGGTCGCGCGGGTATACGAATCTTGAGGCCCGTAAGCCGCTGCGCAGATGGTTCATCATCACTATCGTCGCTCAACAGTGCAGCTTCGAGGTCGGAAAGGTCGGTCAGGTCGCTGTCACTGTCATGATCGACAGCAGCAGGGCGTTCGGGTGACGTGGTGGTGGACGAAGGCTGGATCTTGGGTATCGGATGAGAGATGGCTGGAAGCTGGAGTGGTGCAAACGAAGATGCAGGTATTGCGGACGAGGGTGCGTCAATCGGCGCCTGTGCAGAACCGGACGACGAAGACATTGCTGTGGACGACGATATCGCTGCTGGCGTCGACGGCTGCGCAGTCGAAGCAGATGATGTGGCTTGGGCGAGCGCTGAGTTTGCTTGCTTGGGGCACGGTGATGCTGGAGCAAGCGGCGCGGAAACCCTGCGACGTGGCAAAGGTATTGAAGGGCGCTTCACAGTAGGCGACGACGGCGATGAGGAAGCCGCCTTCGTCGGCGAAGGTGGAGATTCACTAGACGGCGATATACCCGAAGGATCTGCTGCAGACGATGGCGGCTTAGCAGAGGCTGATCCCGGCTTACCCAACTTCAAAACCAACGACCTTGTCTTCGAAAATAATGGAGGTTTCGTCTTCGCCGCCGCTGGCCCCGTCTTCGATAACGGACCCGGTTTCGTCCTCGCTATCGAAGAAAGCGGCACCTCCACATCGCTGTCCTCGCTCTCACTTGGTGCATGCTGCCCTGGAGGCGGCCAGGACAGCACGCGACCACGGCCAGCAGGTCGTGGTGGTGAGGCTCCGTTCGCGGCCCGTGTTGACAGCGGTGTATCGCTGTCGCTGTCACTGTCCGTCGCTGGTGGCGGAGTCGGAGGTATCTTGATTGCGGGTCCTGAGGGTGAACTGCTGCTCGAGCATGCAGGCGGGCTGCTTAGTTCAATTTGCCTCTCCGGCTGTTTCCCCTTGCTCCTATTCGACGAAAGAGCCAACGGCTCGTCGTCCGACTCCTCAAGATCGGCCCAGGTTACTTTCTTGCGCTTTGCACTGGGTTGCTCAATTTCCGTGGCCGTTTGCTGTAGAGGTTGGGGCGCAGAGGGCCCTGGCTTGGGAATGGGTACTGGCTCGGCTCGAGGCGCAGCCACCGTAGCTGTCGCCGACACCGCGGCTGGCCTGGCAATCGGCCGTGCGGCTCTCATACGCTGCCAGTCGGCTGACACGCAACTCATGCAACGTCGCGCCATCGACCCGGGCTGGACGATTCCTCGACAACCCTTAATGCTGTTCACGCAGGGGCGGAGCATCTTGGGAAGCCTAAGTATGGGCTGAGAAAAAAGCGGAAATTACTGACCTGCGCTGGCATAAACATCGCTGCGGGCGAAGAGCCGGATTGTGGCATAAGCATTGGCGGGGGCTGGATCACAGGAGGCGGCTTCGTCAGCGACTGCATAGGTGGCGGACGCGGCAATATTGGCGGAGGAGGGAGCGGTATTGAGACCTCCTTCTCGTCGACGCTGAGTGGCGCTGAACACAACGCCACAGCAGTTTCCTGCTTCTCAGTAGGAGGCTCAACTTTCATTTCAACGTCTTCCTGGGACGACACAACATCAGTTTGCGATGTAATGGTCTTCAGAATACTTACATCAGGATACTCGAGTTCCAACGATTCATCCAAATCCATTTCATCTGTGGCATCCTGCACGTCGGATTCGACCTGGGGAGTTGTCAATGAAACGGGGGATAGGTGATTCGGATGCGGCCAACCTTGACTATTGGTGGTGGAGCAGGCAGTATTCGCCTGTGGATGGCAACTGTAGGGATATCGGGGACTGATGGGATGGATATGGGTGGCGGACGGCACGGGGGAGTAGACGAAGAGGAGGACGCTGAAGAGGTAAAGTTAGTGGATAAGCCATGTAAACCGCGTCACCACGTACCTCTTCGCTTGTCCTGTAACTTGGCGAGGGACTCTTCAGCTGCCTTCCGGGCGATTGGCAAACACTGATCGCAAAGTGTCACGCTTGGCGGGAAAGACGGGGGTATGGTCTCGCCACATCCCATCCTGGTGCATACGCGCACTTCAAAAGGCGAAGCCTAAAAAGCGCGTCGGTTGCCACTCAAACTGAATATATATGCGATGATGCGAACATACCCGTTGCGACTGTGTCTCCGTGACCTGTTGCAGCTGGGAACGCGCTCAGCTCATCTCTGATGGACATGAATACGATCAGACAACTCACCAGAGCACCATCGGACTCCTTCAAGGCTGCTCGCAATGACGGGCCTGCTTTCCATCTGTTGATATAGCCACCTATATCTTCACAGGCATCGCGCCCCCTCGCATTGACCAGACAACTCGCACACATACCCCCCTGAGTAGCGGGTTTTGGGCACGACGAGCACCTGCTGTCCGAGCCCATCTCCCCGGGCATGGCGCGTCAGCAAAGAAGGAACGCGGGGTCAGACGCGTCGCGCTGCGCGACTCGCTTGTGCGCTCGCCGTCGTCGCGGTCGGTGGCAAGGAGCACGATAAGGAAACGAAGAAGGGCTGCATCCACGTCTCTAATTTTTTACCACAATTCAAATTTGTTCACGGCAACGGCTGTCGCAGCGTCGAATGGCGTGGGACCCGGCGTCCGGCCCGGATCGAGCAGTCCGCGTCAATTGGTGTGCTCGTTTGGCTCTTGTTCTCTTTTGGTCATCGTTCATGACGGCGTCGAGCGCAAAGGTACCTGTCTGCTCATCGCTATCCGCGTAGAACCCGGACGTTAACCTGCCGCAGTGGCCATGGCGGCCAAATGCTGCGACTCCCCCGTCATAGTCACAGAGTACGGCTCCAGCGTCGCATGCTGCACGAATTGTGGCGAAGTCGTCGAGACCGTCTTTCTCAGCAACGAAGAGCCGTACAGTGATACCTACACCGGACACTCCCGTGCGGGACTGCCCTTGAAGAGCTTCAGGAACGATGGACGCGTTCTGGCAGGACAAGACACGGAGCTGAGGCGTTACAAGCTGAGGGTGCGTAACGCGTCATACGGCTTGGGCGCTTAGCTGACTGTGATCGCAGACGGAACTGTACACGTACATCAAGCAATTCACTGTCGAAATGGGCTGCCCTGGTCTCAATGAGCGCGTCTGTAACCTCTTCGATCAGGCCATGGCCAGCGGTCAGTTCACCTGGGGCAGCAAGGCCATCTTCGTCGCCGGCGCCGCGCTCATACTCGCGCAGCGCGAAGCCAACCGATGGGAGTCGATACACGACATAGCGTACCTCCTCCAGAAGGTCCAGGGCTTCAACACCGCGTCTCTCACATCCACGAACCTCGGCCGTACCTTGAACGCCGTCAAACACGCCTTGAATATTGAGCACAAGTTCCAGGACCACGGGGAACTTCTCGATGCCGTGCAGAAAAGACTGCGAACTGGCGCTGACGACAATTCTTCTGACCGGCCGCCCTCGGCCTGCATCAAGCTCCTCGCCAACGCCAACCTCGATGTTGTAGCGAACATTGCGCGCACTCTGCACAGTCAACTTGGTCGCCTCCCTTGGTCACACGAGCTGCGCGTGCTCTCCTTCCCGGCTACTGCGTGCGTCATCGCTATCCTAGCCCTCGAGGCTGAACAGCGTGCGATCATGCCCAAGTATGCCGAATTCGCCGGCTGGCTGGGCGTGAAGCACGGCGTGAAGAAGGGGACGATCCAGGAACGTGGGCGTATCCTGCAGGATCTCGCGCTGGAATGGATAGGCGAGATCAGCTGGCTGCAGCAGTACGACCCCAAGGCGAAGAAGTCGTCGGGCAAGCGGCTTGTCATTGCGCGCGGGCTGAAGGATGCGTTAGAGCACCAGGAGAAGGTGTGGAAGGAAAGGGTCGACACGAATATCGCGTCGCGCCTGGCGTCACCTGTCGATGAGCAGCCGGAGGCGGAGACGTCGCCATGTCCAGCTGCGTGTACTGGCAAGCGGAAGAGGCAGGATGAATGCGCCACACGCCCGAAGCGCCGGCCGCTTCCTGCCTCCGTTTCGGCTGCTGCTCAGTTCCTCCTCGATCCCACTGCCGCGCCAGCGCCCAGGCGCAGACGTCGCACGCCGGCCACGGCCACGTCTGATGCAGGCCATTCCGAGACGTCCGCCATGTTGCCGACAGCCGCGCACCTGCTTTCGTCGCACGCGGCACTTGGACCTGCGCCTACGCGGCTGCAGAAGCTCGTCGCCGTCCGAGGGGGTGCAGACCGCGTCACTGACGACGAGCTCTTCGAGGAGGACGAGTTCGCCAGCATGTTCCGGTCGGAGGCGGACGTCAAGAAGCTCAGCGACATGGTCATCGACATATGGATCGCCGAGGAGGCTATACGCGCGGAGAAAGCCGAAGCGAGGCAGCGCTCACGGCAGAAACGAAAGAAGCGCGCGGAAGGCGAAGAGAGCGAGCGCATCGACAAAGACGCACTGGAGAAGTTCTTCGACGATGATGATGAAAAGGACGGGGAGGAGGAAGACGAGAGAGGAGAAGGTGGTTGGTTCGACGACCTGAAGGCCCTCAGCCCCGAGTCGGATCCTGGCTTTGGGACAGCGGTCGGCCTGGGTGTTGGGCTGGGAATGAGGGTTGATGACAAGGGCAACGATCCGGACGCGGAGAAGGGCGACGACGAGTACGAGCTCGCGCGGAAGGAACTCATGCGCATGCACGCGGGTTCCGATGCGATGGTCGTTGGCGACTGGCGGGCGGCGTCCCCGTCAGGTTGGGGTGGCGGTGATGACTACTTCTGAGTTTCTAGGAGACTACGTCTGAGTGCGTGGCGACTAATAAGTTTGGAGAAAAGGGCGAGGAGAGGAGGCCGTTATGTGAGCCTCAGCGCTCAGCAACCTATCATGTAGAATACCCCGGTTTTGGACTTCTGTTTGCATCGCATCACACTTGCATCTGTATATTATTGTTATCGACATCTTTAGCATAGCTATCTTACCGTATCGTTCCGCACAAACTTACCGTAGAATTTGGCTCCCAGAATTTACAGCCGCGCGTCTTGATTCGAGCGAACCCCTTATATAAAGGATATTGAGGCTTCATATTGACGAGTACCTGCACCCTTTCCCTGGCCAGTGTATGGTCGCTTAGGGCCGCTCTAGCATGTCTTCCTCTAGATTGCATTGCTTTGACGAGACAGGTTTGCGAATGAACCACATGCGCCATCACGTGAATACTTTCTCACGGTTCGACTTTGATTCGTCTTATCTCGGAAAGCCCCTTATTCTCCGAGACAGCATAGCCACGACCTCCAATATAAGAACCCTGCGCCACTGATCGGTGTATCAAAGGTCTCCTTTCCTCTTACGCTCTTCAACAGCTCAAGACCGCCACACAATGTCGCTGCCTTCCTCTTCGTCTCAGGCATCGTCCAGGGTAGCATTAACCCCTGGGGAGGGCGGGTATCGACCCACATTCTTCAAGCGCATAACGCGCAAGTTATCTTTGAGTAGCTCGAAGGTGTGTCTCGTTCCCTACGCCCTATAGATTGCGCGACTGACGAATCCTGCAGGTAGCTGCTCCCAAACGCGTCGTCGTCCTCAAATCAATTCGCCAGGTGGAAGACTTCACCGCCCAGCTACACGGACACTATGACTTGGAACCGTATGATATTCAGGTTCACCTCCCTAAACAGGAGCACAAGCGCAAAGACATGCAGCTGGCTGTGCAAGCCTTGTATGTACGGGAGGCGTTGGCGAAGGGCACATTGAAGCCCTCGCATCCATTGCATCTATGGCACGCTTGACAGGGAGAGTCCAGCCATCCATTTTGGATTGGAATATTCACTAATCCTCAGCCGTGTACTCGCGCGGTGTCAATTTATACCCTTACCAAATTGTTAATTCCTAGCAGTTCAGGAGGTCGGGACAGCGAGGTAAAAATACCAATCAAAGTTCTACAGTCCCTCAGGTGCTGAAAACATCTGGTGTGAGCCCTTCCAGAGAGCCAACCAAGACCTCTACAGCAATTCCAGCAAGTATAGACGACTCCTTCTTCGAATGATCCGCCCTCCATTTGATGGTGTCCACTTTGCAGGTGATACAGCGCACGCGATGCAACCTGTTGTGCTGGTCTCCGAGTGCAATAAGATAGCGTAGCATGTTCTGGTCGGTAGGCTCGTTCACAATGCCACCTAGCTCGGGAAATCGTATATCCATATCAGCGATAGTCTCCAGGCTCGCGTGCGTCACCTAGAAATAAAGAGTGCGATGTTTAGATCTCTGACCCTGTATTGAAAGTCATACGCACGTAGTAGTGTCTAATCTTCTCCTTTGGCAATGGGATCCTCCTTCGCACGCTGATGTATAGGCTGCATCTTTTTTGAGCGTATGGGTGATATTACAAGTTGCCTGGCCACATACCAGTGCGTCGTCGAACGCTCAGGTCCATGATTGGTCAGGTCAAAAGCCATCACGGCGAAGCGCCCCAACGCGTCCAGCCATAGTTGTATCCACTTCTGTAGATGCAAATCCATCTCGAGGTCGTGATACGCCTTCGAACCCGGTTCAGGCGCAGGCTTTGTCCTCCCCGTAATGTCGACGCTGGGATGGGGGTTGCAGTTCTGTTTGTGGCTGGCCTTCCAATGGGTCTTCTGGCAATCGCGAGAGCTGTGTGTCCCTCATGAGATGCTGGACGCACGACGCAGTCCGCTGAGTTCAACTGACCAATACATGATTATTTGACAGCGTCCACAACGCTTAGCGTCCTCGGTCTTCTTCCCGCAGAAGTGACAGGCGTGCATGGTGATCCGTTCAGGGTTTGGATGCGAGCCGTTACTGCAAGTCGTCGGAGAAATGAAAAACTCAGAGGCAGATGAAAGGCAAGAACGAGGCGCTTGTTATGGTTTGTTTACCCCGTCAGCGCTTGAAAAGCCAATTACTAGGAAAATATTTCAGAATGGATATCGCCCCAGACACATGGACGTTGCAGCAATGACACACTATCGGTGTATATAGCATGTGTATTGGTACGATCTAAGTAGTGTCAATCAAGAACAAGTGTAGATCCTGACTTCATCGACTACGCCCTCCCCTCATCATCTTCTGAACATCATCAGGCTCCATCGTATTGATGCAGTGCACGATAATCGAAAGCGCATCCTGCGCGAGCATCCGAGACTGCAGCTTCGGCATCTGCCTCCACTCCGGGATATTCAGGTCATTCCACTGATTCAGGCGAACGCGTTGAATGTGGCCCTCGTCGTCCTCGAGAACGAGCAAGAAACGGGGCCGTAGCAGATCCGTTGGGTCGTTGACGATAGGGGCTAGCTCGGGCACTTTTGCCTCCACCGTTTCGCGGTCCTCGATGAGCGCTTCGACTGCCTGAGGCAGAGTTCAGTCAAGTCAGTCAGTGGAAGGCGTACTGAACAGCATCACATACACGGAACTGCTTGGACTTCCTTTCTTCGCCTTCGGGTGCATGTTGCACGCGAATCACCAGGCTGGCAGACCAGGAAGTAAGCAATGGCAAGACGGAGGACGCAAAGACTGCGCGCGCGGGTATGTGAGCGTTTAACTTACCAATGAGTATTTGCACGGTCGGGAGGATGGTTTGCGAGATCCAGACAGACAGTGGTATACGTGCAGAACGCTGACCGCCAGAGCTCAAGCCACCTGCTGAGCTTCTTGTCCAGGTCAAGCTGCCTCTTATCCTCCCGCTTAATTTTAGTCCTGGGGTTGCCGTCCTCGTCGTACAAGCTCGCGTGTGGCCTGCAAGACTTCTTGTGCGAAGCCTTCCAGGACGCGACCTGACAATCTTTGGAACTACACGAACACAACTCAACAATCCGGCGACCCATAAGGAGTGATGAAGCGCTCACCAGTAGTACACCAATCGGCAGCGTGCACAACGCTTCGGATCCTCGGTCTTCACCTGGCAGTAAAAGCATGTATGGGGGGAAGGCATTTTGTACGCGATGGTCTGATTGATAGCGTGTAGACGCGCGTGCCGAGTTGATGGTGAAGGCAAGAAGAAAAAGGCAGGAGATAACTTGCGCACGTGTGGGATGCTGCCGCAAGGCGCCGCCACCAAGCGACACATGGCTTTAGTGAAATCAGCGTTGAAGCTGCAGGTCTAATTTACAGCGTATCCGTGAGCCCTTAATACGGTGCTCGTACAGTAATTCTAAAGCGCCATACTCTTCCCTCGACAATCCATATACTAGGCGATGAACTCCTTGATGTAATCGACTAATTTGTCCGTATCCTCCTCCGTCACCGCATTGTAGAGAGACGCACGTATGCCACCAACCGACCTGACAGCGTCACGTTAGCTCGATAATAGCCTCACAAGAAGTACACCCACCTGTGGCCCTTGAGACCCTTGAGATTCCTTGCCTCCGCGCCAGCCAAGAACTTTGCCTCCTCGCCCTCGCCCAGGACATCGAACACGACGTTCATCCAGCTGCCAGAGCCCTCCTGCACCTTCCCGCGGAGCTTGCCCTTGGCCTCGCCCTCCTTGAGCACCGCGTACACCTTCTCCGCCTTGCTCTTGTTCGTCTGCTCGAAGTACGAAAGGCCGCCCAACTGCTTCATGCGCTGAACGACGAGCCCAGTCATGTATAGAGGCAGCACCGAAGGCGTGTTGTACAAGCTGCCGGACTCAACGAGCGTCTTGTAGGACATCGTGATTGGTGTGGGGACCGCGCCGAGCTTCGCCGCAGCATCGACGTCCACTACGCAGTCCTGGCGGACGATGAGGATCGTAAGACCAGCGGGACCGATGTTCTTCTGCGCGCCAGCGTAGATAATCGCGTGATCTGCGAGCCGCGGAATAGGTCGCGACATGAAGGACGAGGAGTAGTCCGCGACGAGGGGGACGAGCGCGTTCTTCGGCAAGCGATCGTAGGGGAACGCGGTAGTCCCGGGCGTATGCGCGAACTGCACGCCGTCCACCGTCTCGTTCTCGCAGTAGTAGATCAGCGCCGGGTTCTCCGAGAACGTGTACGTGTCCGGGGGTGGGATGCTCTTGAACGACTTGCCGTCCTGCGAGTGCTTGCGCCCGTCCGCGACGACGTTCACGCGCCCGCCGCCCAGGCGCTTCGCCTCCTCGCACGCCTTCTTCGACCAGGAGCCCGTGATGACGTAGTCCAAGACGCGCTCCTCGTCCGTGAGCTCGGGGTGCAGCAGGCGATGGCGGGCGAGCATGTTGAGCACTACGGCCGAGAACTGGCCCGTGCCGCCGCCCTGCGTGAAGATGATGTGGTGCGTGGGGGGCACCTCGAGCTGCTCGCGGATGAGGCTCTCGAGGTTGCGCACGTACGCGGTGAACTCCTTCGACCGGTGAGAGATCTCAGCGATCCCAATGCCCGTTCCCTCGAAGTTTAGGAGCCCCTTCGCCGTCTCCTCGAGGACGGACTGGGGGAGGGCGGACGGGCCGGCGCCAAAGTTGATCGCGCGCGCTTCAGCAGACATGGTGGGGTGAATGTGAGTGTAGGAAACAAGAGACGGATGTGAGCGGAGGCAAATGGTCCATGGTGAGGTATATGAGTCGAGAATTCGGAATCGATGGCGACAGAGTTGGCACAGGGTTCGGACTCGTTGCGGACAACCGGCTACGCCCCGAAGTCCAGGTGATCGAGTCAAGCGGAGGTCAGCGGCGGAGGAGGCTCGAAGTCAGTGTACTTCTTCTCTCGAGGCTAGATTCCATACGACACTGCTTCTGTCTTGACCTCTGAAGGCGAGGGTGAGTGAAGAGGTGGTGGAAGTCGCGTAAGGAGCCCCGAAGGAAGGTGCCAACGCCGACGAGCCGGGATGGCGCTTCCCATCCACGGCCAATCACCGATGACTCCCGAGCAGCTATGCGTTGTGCCCTGGCATCAGTAACCTTCGTCGTCTTCCCTCTAGCTGCACGAGACGGCACACGATACTTCCTCAGACGTCGCACACAGATGGAAGACCGGGAACAGCGCGAAAAATCGCATAATGCAGGTAGGATCGGGCAGTAAAGCTGTGTACTGCGAGAGAGATGTATGCGGCAGTCAGTCGAGGCAGGTCAATGCAGTAGGAACTCGAAACAATGCAGCAATAGTCGTACGGTAGTTATCAGGGTACGACCGTTCCTTGGAGACCAAGACCATTCAGCAATTCGGCGAGACTGTAGCAGTCAACAAGTGCAGTAAAATCAGCAACAGCAGAAGGTTAGAAGAACGACGGAGAATAAGTGACAGTTATAAATCGTGAGGATATGTGCGTAGATGCAGTACAAGGTGATGAATAGGTATAAGATTATAAGGTAAATAACAGAGAAGATGGATGTGATGGATGGGTTATTGGATGGGTGTGTGGATGATGAATGAGCTTGCGACCGAGAAAGGGATGACTATTGCAACCGAAGCCCAATGCGAGAGTTGAGTGATGCGAAGCGAGTGCGGCGCGGTGGACGCGGAAGGCCGAGAAAGACTCGCAGCGCACGGGTATCGCGCGGAGGCGGCGTCCAGCTGGCTATCCTGTCCAGCGCGACGATGGCGTAGCGCACGCCGCGCCGCAATAATTACGTTTGATTTAGCAGCAGGAGACCGAGCAATGATGATGGATAAGCGATGCGACCGAGATGGAAATGCAGCAATGATGAGGCCGATTCAAAGGCGAATGATCCCGGGGCCGGCGTCGTGCTCTGGTGCAGACAGCAGCGGCATGAGGTGGCGGAAGATGACGCGGTCGGTGGCGCGGGTAGGTGACCGTTTCACGGGGGTATGGGGTCGGTAGTGGGGGTTGCTGCCGGCAACGAAGGGGAACGCAGGGCGGTCCTCGCGGGTAGGCGTAGCCGCGGGTGTCGGCAGCTGGCGCGGCACAGCTATCGGGCTGGCGCGCAGAGATGTCTTTCGACGGCGGACGGGGCCGGCGCCGCGACGGTCGATGTCAAGCTGCGACAGGTCGCCGATATCAGCGGCGTGGCAGCTGTAGGCGGCGCACTCTGACTGGAGAGCGGCGACCCAGGGTAGTTCGTCGAAGTTGGCGAGCCCCGACTTAAAGACGGGCTCAGCCATGTGCTGTCGACGAGAGGGGAGACGCGTATTCCGCTTCTTCGCAGAAGAGCGCGCCTGTTGGTAGGGCTGAGGGGAAGACGCGTCAGCGACGCGTCGGCAGGGGGGGGATAAGACGGCTCACCAATGGCGCGGACCTGAGACCGGGCTCAGCAAGACGGATGGGGGACTGGAGACGAGGGGGCGCGTTCTTGACGCGAGGAGGGCGCGGAGAGGGTAGCTGGGGGAGGAAGTAAGCACAGGAGTTCGAAGACGCGTCGACGCGTCGCGACTGCTCACCTGGGTGGGGAAGCACAGGGAGGAGGAGGAGCGCGGTGTGTTGTCCAAGAAGGGGTCGCTGGAGAGCGCAATGGGGCAGGGGGCAGCGAGCATCATGTTGGTGGTGTTGTTGGTGTTGGTGAGCTGGGCTGCGCTGGTCGCTTCTCGGTGTACGAGGAGGCGGTAGTGAGGATTATACTGTACAGCGAGGATATTTAAACGGTGCGCTAAGCACACATAGATAGATCAGATCCGGGGGGAACAATGAAGGAGGGACAATGACTGGGCCGCCCCGCTTATATGAGGCTGGCGCAGATGGGGGATGGTCGCAAGGGGAAACTGAGGGTCCGTCCCGCCAGGCGAGCATTACATATCGGGTCACTGCTTGCCCCGGATGGCAAATTCTGCAATTTTTCGGGGGTCTTTTTGCCCGGTGCCGCGCACGTGACACTATCACCCGCTCGGATCTGAGCTGGCCTGGTCCGGCCCTGGCCGGAATCAATTCCGCTTCCGCCTACTTCCCCGGACGAACAATGGCATCCGGCATGCTGCAGGACATGGCCCGACGCTGCGACCACCGTTCGACTGGCGACCATTGTTGCTCGTCGCGTCCACCGTTGCCAGCCCAGCCAAGGTCTGCGCATTGCGCATTGGAACCACAGCGAACGTTGGATTGGAGAACATGGTGAGAATGCTTGGAGAACGGTGGCTACAGCAGCGTCATACCATTGAGTATAGGCTCGTACTCTCTCGGTACGTCCTCCCTCTTCGTCATCTAGGGGTCCTGGGCAGTATGTATAGACGATTCCAGATACCACTGCCACAAAGGTTCTCGAATTGAATGAATGCAGCGTATGACGTGCCGTGTACGACGCTCTCACTGCGCCAAATGTCCTATCGGCACGCGTAGAACGACCGATTGTCGCGCCATCTCCGTCCTGTGGGCGCGCTGATATGGACACACGGCATCAGATAATTATGCAGCGCGGCCTCGACGCAGGCGCGAGGCAGAGAGGTACAATAGCACGCCCACACAACGCCCACAGCGCGTTGCTAATGAGCCAAACGCGTCCCATGCCCACGCGCTTCTGGTCACAATAGCGGGGAACAATGACACGGCACCGCACGGTCCGCACTTCGGGCATCGCATCGATGGAATCCCGCGTCTGTACCACGTACGTCCCGCGCTTCGCGAGCATAAGGCGAAGGTTCGCCCACCTGTGGTTGATGGTCAGTCCTCTGGTCTCCTGCTCTCCCCCGCAGGAAGCGGAACTGATTCTAGCGCGATGGTGCCGCCGACGTCAGCGCGGGACCGTTGCGGAATAGCAGGGAGTCAAGTATCGAGAACGGTGATACTTGATTGATGTGCAGCGATAGTAGATGTGTCTAGTGTCGGACGCGGTCACGCAGAAGTGGACGCGGGGTTGACTCGCCCTATACTGGCGCGAAATCGATGGGACTAAGGGCGTCTAGCCGGTTCCGTTTTCCAGGAATACATGTTGACGCCAGCTCAGCCACTGGGGGACCGTCAGCGCTCAAGTAGCGCTGTATCGACACTATGCAGGTGGCGTATCTGAAAGTACTAGGCGGCTATTAGTTCGATATGTGTTGGCTAGGAGGACCGCAGACTTGCCTTTGAGCACAATGATAGACGTCTCGAGAGGACCCCGGGCTCGTACATGCTCCATGTAATTCAAAGCGTGCTAGGCAGCTAGGAAACCCTTGATCGACAGGTGTCCGTGTCGGGAGCGACCTGGGACGATACAAGGCCTTACCGACTCTCCTGGGAAGTACAAGGCCCATCATAAACCAGTCAGTATGGGACCCTCGCAAATCCCTCATCGTCGGCACCGCACTTCATCCCCAGTCATGAACTCTAGCTCTGACATGGACTGACATACGGCGTACCTATGGACAATGGAGTCTCCATGGCGCCTGCATATGTCTACGCGCAGAACGGCCTCTCGACGGGCCCGGTCGCCACCGACACGCGCGGACAATACAGCGCACAGTATCACCACCGCGGCGCGCGCATCCCGAAGCCGGCGACTCGCCTGAATGCGATGCTAGCCTCGCCATCGACTCGGAGGACCAGGGCATCCGCGTGTATCGGTGAATAGGGCGCCAAGGTCCAGAAGTCAGCGTATCGAACGACGCCGCTGCGCCCGGTCACAGTGGACGACTAGACATGCCCGGCCACCATCGGGGCCGAGAGCGCCGGAATCCTGGGGGCGCGTCCGGGGCGCGTCAACACTCAACAAACCACCGCGTCAATCCGCGTGCAACGTCGTCGAACCGGCTCGCACCTCTGTTGATTATTTCTTAGTCAGCGGCGGGGGCCTGGGCCTGGAATCCGCAATTTATGGCGCGGTTTTTCTGATGTTTTTCTGATGTTCGTGATGCGCTGTCGGTTCTGGTGATGCGGGGGCGTGATATTGGCCGGCTTGTTGATGTCCGGCAGTCGTCGGGGCCGTTGACGCGGAGACACGGGGAGTGACGAAGAGGAAGGGGAAGAGGACCCTGTCGAATGCGGAGGGTGATACGAGGGTGCTGAGAGGGAACAGCGGAGGACGAGTGCTGGTCACGATAAAGCAGGACGAGACGAGAGCCGAGGATTGAGATGTTCGAAGACGTCTGGAGCGCGAGTAGAACGTGTCGTACGATTGTCAGTTGTCGCGCAGTTCGATTGGAGGACGCCGGGTATGTTCGGGTTCTCTAGGACCATATCGCGGCAGTAGGCTGAGTCTCGAGACCCCGGGTGAGTCGTCGGCATGCGTCCCCGTCTTCGACAAGGGGGTGACAGCGAAAGATCTTCGTTCTGCAGTCCATCTTGACGTGCCCAACGACAGCGGCGAGTGAGCTTTGCTATCTTGACATATCCCCGCTGCGGGGAGCCCAGGCAAGGTTCCGCGAGCTCGAGTCAATCTTCCTGTGGATCCCGCAGCGCACGATAGGCATGGTGTAGATTTAGTAGGGGTCCATGGACGTCCGGACGTCGTAACATGCATCTGTTGAAGGCTTTGCCATTGGGCTACAGGAAGATACAAACGGGAAGCGTTACCAGTCGTAGCAGCATTCAGAAATCATGCAAGGACTCAAAAGAGGTATAACGAATTCAACGGGCTCACCAGGCGTAGACAGAATGGATTCTACAGCGCCAATCTTACCGAGGGAAAGCGTGAAGCACGGTATACCATCTTCCTTTCTTCGGCAACGTCGTTGGAGCTATGCCTCACTTGAGGTGACGAGTCAGGGTACGTCCTCGTGCAACGACTGCCCTGGATAGCAAAGAGACTAGGCACGATATAAGCGATTGCCTCAAATAATTTCTTTGCCGTGCAAAACACGTACTTGCTTTCTTCGTGGTATGATGTACGTGTTCAGGCGTGTTTCGCCAGAAAAGAGGTTCAGTCTCGCATCTGAGGATGTAACACTGACGTCGTATGGACAGAGAAACTACATTCGAAGAGAGAAAGTGCAGTGAATCCTCGACTGGTGCTGAGAGCGTAGGCGCGCTACAAAAGTCATGACTGAATTATGATTCTGACCTTTCTCGTGCAGGGTTGTGTAGTCAGTATTCAGCTAAGACGAGAAGAATGCGAAGCCCTGAACAATGCAGGAGCGTATAGGCCGAAGGCGTGGCGGACAATGGATATTGAACATGGGGGTGATAGAGAGGTGATGGTGACCACATCGGTCTGCCGGCTGATCCCAAGTTGGTCCCGGTTTCCCACACTTCTCCCAAGCTCTCGTCGCCGCCCGCAACGATGACGGCCAAGACATCGTCGGCGAGCTCTGAATTTGTATTCCCCAGGTCGTCTTCGCCGGCGAAGGAGGACCTACGCGCCAATGCCCACCCGTACGCGATCAAGACGACCTCGACAGGCATCCTGTCCCGGTCCAACTCGTCCCCACAACACCCACCCTCGCACTACAAGTCGTCGCACCACTACGTCCCCGCCGCGCCCAAGAAGTCGGAGAGGCCTGCGCGCATACACGGACACCGTTACTCGCGCAGCTTGACCAGCGATTCCCCTCGGCCGCTCCCCGCTCCGCCTGTGTCCGATAGCGAGGACAACGCGTCGCCGATCAAAGCTATGACGCGCTCAGAGACGGCACCGATAGCCCCTACGGTTCCTCAATCCCCTCTGACACCCTCCGACCTCCTTCCTGATGACCTGCCCCCCAATCCGAAGCTGTGGACACCCTCGCAGCTGGCCACGTACCTCACGACTGCCCTCCGCGTCAAGTCCGGAGAGGCTTTGCAGCTGCCCAAACCCGTGGCCAAGGATATCGCGCAGTTTGTGAGGGATAGTAAGATGACGGGGAGGGCATTCGTGCGCATGACGGAGATGGACCTGGAAGCGTGCGTCCTTTGTCCTTGAAGTCAATAAATCGAACTCATGTGAATGTCTTTTCAGCTATGGCATCAGTAAACCCTGGTGTGCAGCCCTTCTGGCCGCGTCCCGGAACCTCCGTCACAACGTCCTTAAAGGCCGCATATGGGGCTTCGGCAATGATACTGCGTCTGGCGAATCCGAGGGCGACGATGAAGATACACCCAATAAGCGCCGTCGCTCCGCCTCAACTTCTACTTCTTTCCAACAATCCAATCCCTTTGACTCCGACCTATACTCCTCTGCGTCATCGTCTTCGTCGCTCGATCTTAGCACGAACTCGGCGATTCGTGGGCATTACCGGAATGGTCGCGTCAAAGGGATGGTGGCGTCCTTTGAGCGCAGCGGCAGCATCGATGAGGGTCGTCCTCCCCGTCGCGAGCGCAGCGACAGTACTGCCAGCAGCGTGGACAGCCTGCCCGAGGAGCCGCTCGACGACATGTATCTGACGCAGCGCCCTCTGCCCACGCCGCCTGCTACGATTAAGCTGGGCTCCCCTGCTAACGGTCGCGCGCTCCCTACGCCACCGTCCATCGCTCCGTCCATCACCTCCGACACTGAGGGATACGAGACGGCTGCTTCCGTCGCCCATCTCGACGATGACGAACCGACGATGGAAGAACTTCTTGCTGCGTCTGGCGAGATTCCGACTTCGCGACCGTACGGTGGATACGCTTGGGAGAACGCACACGACACCCTCGTTACGATGAAGCGAGTACCCGCGCCCGCTCCGGAGGTGCCAACCTTTGCCGAACCGATCAGGATCAAGAGCAGCGACGGCAAGGGAAGCGGTGGTAGTAGCGATTGCAAGCCACGGGTCGCGCTATCCTTGGACGATATCTTCATGGTCTCGCCATCGCGATCGTCGCCGTCTCGTCCATTGCCTCCTCCGCCGCCTACTTACCCGCCCATCCTGGAGCTACCCGCCACTCAGGATAAGGCCATCGCAGTATGCATACCGGATAACGACGCGCTCGAGTATGCGCGACTCATGGCGGATATTGGGGTCACGCGCAGCTTGATCGAGCAGTTCCGCATACGGCTCGAGGAGGTGGAGGGCAAGGTTGCGGAGATGGAGGAGCAGGAGCGCCAGCGGGAGATCGCCGCCAAAGCTGAGCAAGAACGAGCGCAAGCGGCCGCCGCAGCTGCAGCTGCTGCCGCTCCTGCACCACGCGAACATTGGCTACCTGTTCTCGCCGGATGGGCTTTACAGAAAGTCGGACTTGCTAGCGCACCGTCGGAAGACGCGCGTCGACGAGGGCGTACTCTACAGATCGAAGACCCAGCTACCCTTCGTGCTCTACCGCCATACATCTTCTTTGTCGGGCTAGGTGTCTGTGCCGTCGTTCTGCGCGTACTCCTTCGCCGGGTCGGCGGCAAGAGCCTCCTTGTTAGGTGATTCTTCACTGTGCACCGTTCATACTTACAACACCCCTGCTCATCGCTCCTCACCCCAGCCTGTTGTCTCGCTTCATATGATACCTACCATGTTCGTTGTGCTTACGACTGTGTTTTCTGCTGGTCAGCCGCCGTGTTCCTGCTGTACATGTAATCCTCACCGCTCGCCTTCCCGAAACTTACGACCCCTCATGACTTGTCACGACCCATGATCATGCCCAACCCCAACCCCTTCGTCAAACTGCTGTATCACACAGCAGCGCGCCGCTCCCCTCCGCCTTGTACGCTTAGCATCTTTGACTGATCTTTATTACCTATCGTTTCGCCGTATGTACCAAGTCGCGCGACAGATTGAGACGTGCTGACTTTGGAATGACATGCCTTTAACCTTGGCTGCGCGTATGCTTTCACTTGGCTAGGATGCTCTTGCTTGGCCAAAAGCCTTTGAGTTTGCGCTGCTCGCCGCGGGACTTCCTAAGGTCGAACCGCGTGCTTGTTGGGGTCTTGCATGTTCAGCTTCGTCCGGTGCAAGCCTCGGGGTATGCATTGCGAAGGCGCTCGTAAGGTCAGATTCTGAATACAACATGTCCACAAAACAGTTCGTGAGCGAAGTCCATATAGTTCCCATGTCCGTCTGTCCCAAGATAGTGCGAGTGCGCAAAGAGTGCGCAGTAGTTTACGCTGCCTTGATGGTGAACTCTTCGCTGATGTTGCCAGAGTCCCCGAAGACTGCGAATCTGTCAGCGACCGTACGCCCTCGTGTGCGACGAGGAGTACTCACGAGCGATGGTGTAGTCAGAGCCTGGCGCCAGATCCCCCGGAACGGTGAACTCGACGAAACCGGCGCGAAGGTCGAAGCCTTCAGCCAGAGTCTCAATCGCTAGGAAGGCGGTCATTACACTGTCAGTATAGCCTGGCACATAAAGACATACGGTACGGATGCCTCAGGACGACCAAACCCTCGTTGGAGATTTGTGCAGGCGCGTCAGATGTATCCCTGGGATGATGCAGGTCAGAGCGTCCACGAGGCTGCCCCTATCGACATTGGGCAGATTACCATGTCACGTTCGCCTTCTGTCCAGCGATCCAGACGGTCTGGGAGTTGGGTGTTTTGATGTGTGGAACGTAGACGTCGAGCGCGGCACGAGGTGCGATGGGGCTTGCCTGAACGCTGGCAAGAGCGCAGGCAGCAGCAAGAGCGGAGAAGAAGAACATCGTTGTCGTCGTTAGTCGTGGAGCAGTCGCGAGCTTCTGCTGTTGAAGGACGTACGAGATTGAAGAGACAGGCGACCGAAAGCGACGTTTATATAGACGCAGCAATAGCCATAGGCAGCACACCTCGACTCGCTCGCTCCCGCAATAGCCCGTGCTCCGCGCAATCTTTCGTTAGGCGATCGACGCAGTGTTATATGCTAGAAGCACCCAGAAGCATCGTAGAGTTGTAGAAGCTTGTACCTGGCTCTTGAGTGTCATATTTTCTGCTACAAGCGGCCTTGTTAGCCGAGCGGAACGCGATGGCCGCCGCTGTTCCCGGTACTGCCAGTTGAAGCGGCGGCCTTCATATCGTATTGTGCTTGTCATGAGTGCCATGACATACTCAGACCAGAGATACATCCGCGCCAAGGGTGTCGGTAGGCCTGATTAGACCGTCACCAAGAAGTGGGAATTCTCCACAACGACGCGAATTTGAAGGGCCAACTAATCGCGAGAACATCACGGGGATTGCCGTTGCGAAGTTCGAGAACTGAACGGTGTGAACTTGCTTCCAACTCGCATCTTGGCCTAGACAAACGCGTGCCCTCAAAGCCTACATACGTCGGTCGAGCTCTTGCCTTCCCTTCACGCTCTGCACGTTGTGTAGGGCGGTAATTGCGCGCTGATCAGGTGAGTCATTGAATTGGGCACGCCGAAGTCGTGCCACAATGTGAACAGCACATCTGAGATAGGTCAAGGTGCCACTCTTCTAGCGTGAGATCCTCTTGTAACGCCTCAAGCGGGAATATTCAGCGATGTCTTCACGGCGAGCCGCTACGCGGGATAGGATCAGGGAAGCAACTGGTCGAGGCAGGCTACGGCAATTAGGTGCCAGTATCCCTTCGTCGCCACCCAGGGTGAGCCCATAGTCGCCCTCATGGGATATCGTCCTTGCGATAGACATGAATCCACAGCACCGACCCGTTCCTACATTGGATATAGGCCCACAAAGCTCGTCTGACCTGCCGTCGTCACCCGAGTACGGAAGGCAGATAGCCGGTTCACAGAGAGTTCGTACGTTCGAGGAAAGGCGCATGGCGGTTGACGAGTCCGTATCGCCTACCTCTGAAGAGCTGCGATCCCTCAAATTTGACTTCGCTAGTACCCCGCCCGACGCTCAACCCTTCGGATTTCCTGGGCCAGCCAACAACAATTCGCTCAACTTCGACACGATGATTCAATCAGGTGACCCAGAGTGGGCCAGCGTCCTTACGCTAGTACCCAACTGGGCTGAAGATCCCAACGCGTTGGTGTTCTCTCTCCAACTGGTGTGAATACTTACACTGTCAATCAGACACATCCACCAGGAAGTTCTGCAATCTCAGGGCGTTTCATTCCCGGCGCCTGCTCCGATGGATGCTTGGTCGGAGGCGTTGGCCTCGATACAGCTGAGTGTGTATCAGTATGAACATACGAAGGAGTCCAGCACGCAGGTAAGAGGTGCACGCGCGATATGAAGTTGCCGAATTGTCATGGTCTGACACGAAAGCAGAGCGAGGGGACCTCTCAGAATTTCGGATTTTGATATAAGCCCACGGTCATAAAACAGCGGATTGGATCTCGTTGTGGCAGGTCCACGGCAGACGAAGGTTGAAGGTTTCCCTGTTGTACTTGTACCGAGATGATACCCCATTTACCCAGTCGAGAAAAGCTTCAAGTTTCCTCTCGACGCACTGACCTTACAGTCGTCCATGATACTGTACTCCGTAATCCAAGCGATCTACGTTCAGGCAAGCACTCAACCAGGCATCGGCCTCGGCGCCACAACCGTCACCGGGCTCCCCGACCGCGGCGACACCAACCCCTGCGTCCCCTGCACCTGCACCCTCAAACACTCGTTCATGAACTCCAGCTCCTCCTTAATCTCCTGCAGCTCACGCTTCTCCTCCCTTAGCCGCTCGACCTTCGCGCCCAGCTCCTGCTTCACGCGCGCGAACTCGGCGATGTCGGACGCGCGGCGTTCGTACGCGGGCTGCTTCGCCGCGCGCTTGAGCTTGGCGATCTGCGCTTGGAGGGCTTGCACTTCGCGGCGTTGACAGCTGAGGGGCCGGGTGAGCTTGAGCGTCGAGGGGATGAGGGTAAGATGTTTGAGGGACGTACCGGCCATCGTCTTCCAGAATGCATTGCTGATGGAAGTAGCTCTGCAAGTGCATGCGAAGCTGCTGGATTTCGATCTTCATGTTCTCGACCTCCACCTCCCGTTCATTGAACCTTCGGAAGTCTTCGCCCCTACGTACACCGTCAGCGCGAGTTTCGGACATGCCAGAAGAAGGGCGCTCACCACAATCGCTGCATCTTCACATGCTGCTCAATCTGCGCCTCGTAATCGTGCAGCCGGTCGATCTTATGCTGATTGCTCAAAATTTGTGTGCGCAAGTCGAAGACCGTCTGGTTCGCCTCTGCCAGAAGTTTGCCCTGCGCTTCGAAGAGGGCCTATGCGGTACTTCTTCAACACTGGTTAGACATTACACTGCCGAAACGCACCTTCGCCTGCTTCTCCGCCTGCCGCAGGGCGGCCTTCTCGTCGTTCGCGACCTTCTGGGCCTCCCGGAGCTGTTTGAGCTTCTGCGCGAGTTCCATGTTCCATTCCGAGAATTTGTTCTTCGTGGACGAGGCCAGCTGTTTGTGCTCGCGAAGCTGCCGTTCCAGATCGTTGACTTGAGTACGATATTTGCGCAATTTATTGTACTGGATAGAATGCGTCAGGATGCATTCACCAAAGACAAAGATTGACTGACCAAAGCCTGCCGTTCGGTTTCCGCGCTTCTGTATAGCGTACGGTCTTGGTACAGCCGCCCGATGTTCTTCACATTTTCCCTCGACAGCCAGAGCTCGAAGTTGAGCTCATTGCGCAACAGCACGACCTCTCGCTGCAGACTCGCCAACGCCTGAGCCACCCGTGACGAGTTCTGCACATCCGTGGTCGTTATCGACGCTGTGTCCCCCGGCAGCGTCTGATGACTCGGCGATGGACTCGACGGACTCGTCCCCGGCCCATTGCCATTCGCAAACAGCAGGTTCGGCCAGGCCGTCGCTGCCTTGCTGATGCTCACATCCATCCGCGACTTCAGCGCGACGGACGCGGTGACCATGTCTTGCAGCGAGATGAGGGGCTTGCCCGCCGAGGTATCCGCGACGCGGACGGGCACGACGGGGTGGGGGTCGGCGTCGAGGACGGCGGGGGCGGGCGGCTCGGCGTTGGGAGAGGCGATGGTGTTGCCGAGGGTGGCGAAGCGCTCGCGGACGCCGACGGAGGTGTGGATGATGTCGAGCATGGAGGCGTCGCTGATCATGCGCGCGACGTCGTATTTGGACCAAAAGTTGGTGTCGCCCATTTCGATGGTGGCGTCTTGCCAGATCATGATAGGGTGGCAGATGTGTGTGCGGACGAGGTGCTGGGAAAAAGGTGAGCCTCAAGATGGTGGATGAGCTTGAAAGGATTTTACCTCGCTTTTACTCCGAATTTCTGCATCGTCGAGCGCGGCGCTCCATTCGACCGTGTATGGGCTGGGCACTTCGTGGAAGAGTAGGTAGTCGATCGGACTTCGGAGGAACTTGATGACGTTGCACGGGAAGAGGTAGTAGAGCATGGTGTACAGCGGCCGGGGAGACGGTGCTGAGGTCGCGGCGCTGAACGTCAGTTCCAATCGCTGCCACTGCAAGTCCGGGTTGATGTGAAGCGGTTGTCGAGTGTCGCGATCGAGCTCTGCTTCGAGGTCAGGGTCGTACACCGGGATGATGTCCGGATCTTCGATTGTGGGTGCTGGACGTCCCCTCCACGACATGATCCTGGCAAGGATGGCAAGTAGCATGGGTAGAGCACGCTTGAGATCCCGACTAGCATGCACCGCGAAGTTGGGCAGCATCTTGACCATGAGCAGGATGCTACAAGTGCACGCCGTAGACGAGTTGTCCAGCATGAGGGAATTTAGCAAACTCGTGAACAGTTCGTGCTGCGCGAATATCGGCGCTATACTTGCAAACTGTTCCGTCGTTGCGTATAGGTCGAGCAGCGCGATGAGCTGCAGTCTGTGTTCCGGTTGGGCGAAATGCGCATTTACTTCGGCCATAAATTCCTACATTGCAGAATATTATTACTCTGTAGATAGCGAGTTGACAGAACGTTCGTACTGCGGGGCATTGCGTCCCATGCTTCAGGAGGACGTCTTCCAGGTTGGCCTTCCAGCAAGCCCACTTTTCCTTCTCGCGCTCGTCAAGCTCCGCCCATTCTAGAACGTCGTCGCCGGCCTCGTTGAAGGTCGCGCCAAGGTATAGATCGAGCAGACGGCGGCGGAAGCTGCACACCTTGTCGTACGAGGCGTCGTCTGCCTTACGTAGGGCGGAAAGGACGAGCTCTTTAGCCTGGTCAACAGATGTAGTTGACAGCTTTGCCTCGCGGAGGGCCGGACGGAGCAGGATGTCAAACCAAGAGGAAATGATGATGTCGGCAGAGAGCACGGGTTCCAAATGGGTTAATACCGCGAGCAGGACCTGTATCTGGTAGAGGACAGTGTGGTCGACCTCTTCGGCGTTTATTGTCTGCAACTCCTCTTCTAGTTCTGCGATGATCTCAGGGTAGCTGGTGGCGACAAAGTCATCGACCGCTGCAAGAAGCTCTGAGAGCGCAAAGGCATCGGCTGGCTGAGTGAGGATAGTACGCAACTGCCGTCCGATGGCTGGGACGGACATGATGATGAGGGGGGAGGACAAGGCTCGGACGGTCGCGGCCCGGCGGGAGCAAAGCCGCCGCCGGTTGCCACGCGGCGCTGGGGTGCCCCCGAGGCGGGACGCGCCTGCCATCCTGGCTACCCCCAAACCTTCATTATCGTACGCCCTTTTCTCCCCTTTCTCCCTCCTTCGTCCCGCCACTATCCTCGTCTCGTCGACCCGAGCAGACCGCGACTCGTGCACCATGGCCCTCGCCCTCGCTGCTCCCTTCCTCGATACGACGAACGCCGGCGCCTTCTCCTCTCACCCGCGCACCCGCAGACACACTCGTTCCTCCTTTTCATTACTCACCAAGTCGGCCGCCCCATGCACCCTGTCCCTCGCCAACGTCAGCGCATCTGTGGCACCTGCAGTCGATCTGCCGGCGCAGGCGCCGCTGAGCATTGTCCCCTTCCCTGGCGACCTTGATATCCCGGAGCCTATGTCTCCGATACCTCAGCAGGCACAGGCGCGCCGTCGTGCGAACTCCCTCCTCGCGCCCACACACTCCCGCCGTCGCGTACGCCGCGCCTCATCCCTCTCCCCACTGAATAAACCCCGCGCATCCGCGAACAGCGACCTGCAGCTCATGCGTCTCGTGCAACGTATCCTTGCCTGCCGTCTACGCAGTCGGTCTCCAAGCCCAGCCCCAGAGGCGGGCTCGGACGATGGCATGGACGTCGACGAGCAGACGTCAAGCGACGTTGCCGAGCTCCTTGCTGCGCAGGATCGTCTCCTTTATGAGCGTCTAAGCGCGCACCTCGCGAAGCGCGGCGGTGCCTCATACGACAGCAGCGGCGACCTCTCTGCCACCCCTCCTCAAGTCGTCGCCTCTCTCATCATGCGCCATAACGACCGGTCTGCGCTGCGCGCCAGGTCCAGGTCTAGGTCGTCTGCGATGCGAAACCGTTCCCCGGCGCGGAAGTACACTCCGAGACGCGTCACTTCCCCCCTCGGTTCGGGCTTACAGGCATGACTCGTGGCTGGCATCGAGGCCACTGGGGAGAGGTTCCATTGTCGCGTAAGTCTTCATATCTCTTGACCTGTACCTCCTGCTCATCGATCGCTCCAGGGCACCGCAGATAGCGGCCCCCAGCTCCTCCATCTCGGCTATCCATCCCACCATCGGCAAGCCATACTCTATTGTTTATTTATAATCAACCGTTACGACTGGCACGTATCTCACGACCCCGTGCTGCACTGCGGCGGCCTGCCTTCCCAGCCGGCTTGTCCGCTGAAGTGGCTCGCCATGCCCTGCGCACAGACCGGACATCCAGCATGTCCGGTCACCCCGCCGCGTGCGGTCCCCTCGCTTTGGTCAATGGGACCCGCGGCCGAACGCCACCCCGGCTGGCGTTCCATACCCCGCCCGAGTAGATGACACGCACCCTGGACTGGTGCGCTGTCCCAGGCGCTCCTCGCCGTCTATCTCGGTGCAATCTCCTTTGGCATGAACACAAAACTGTATCCACCAGGTCATCGTTATCGATACTCGCCCCCAGTACACTTCGCACATAGGATTTTAATATCTAGTCTCGACGGCGGTGCAGTTAATGTCGTACTCGCGCTGTATCGCTGCCGCTCTGTCTTCGAACGTACTTACTTGGTCTACATAGGTGTATACACTTTTGGAAAGTCTTGCGGTGCACGACGCACTGATACATTGTCCGAAGCTTGCGACATTCGACTGCCTTTCCCAAAGACTCGAGAAATGTGACAGTGACACAAGTCGAACATTCGCGTGACGTTTCGCGTCCCGCCCATTGTCTTGGCCGCCTTCGCGACGCCTGGTATCTTACGAAGAGCCCGGGCGCTTGAATGCTTGGGGGACGCAAACGATAGGATGTGGATTGTTCTGGGGAAGCTGATATGTGATCGTTAGTCAAGGAAAACAACATCCTTGTTTCCAGCAGGTTTCCAGACGCGTCGACGGCGCTGTGTGCGGGGTAACATGACCTTCCCGTGTCCGGATCCCCGCCTCCTTGCCCGTCTCCCCGAAAGGGCTGTTGCTCAGGGCGCCTTTATTATTTTCTCGAGTTTTCCAGCTGCCAGGGCGCTTGTTTCCGAGCGCCTTTGAGGGTAGTTTGTGGCGTCGCGCAGGAAACCTTCTCGAAGGTTCCATCCGCTTCCTCACCCATATCCGGTAAGAAGATTCGAGAAGGGGAAAATTGCGATGGGCGTATAAAAGACGGGAGCGCGTCTAACAGCTCGCTGCATAGTTTCTCTCCTTTCTCGCAACCCTCACTTACTCTCCCCCGCGAAGTACGTCGCCTTCGACGCGTCTCTTTCGCGATTTCACTCAACTTCCCCCCAGAACCATGTCTGCACCCCAGACCGAGAGCTTTGGCTTCCAGGCCGAGATCAGCCAGCTGCTCGACCTGATCATCAGTAAGTCGACGCTCTCCCCTTTGTGGCGCGACCGCTGACCGCGTCCCCAGACACCTTCTACTCGAACAAGGAGATCTTCCTTCGTGAACTCATCTCCAACGCCTCCGATGCCCTCGACAAGATCAGATACGCGTCGCTCACCGACCCCTCCGTTCTCGACACCGAGAAGGAGCTCTACATCCGCTTGATCCCCGACAAGGAGAACAAGACGCTCACCATCCGCGACACGGGTATCGGCATGACCAAGGCCGACATGGTCAACAACCTTGGTACGATCGCCAAGTCCGGCACGAAGGTGTGTAGTTGGGCGCTTATTTGATCGTGGCCGATTGCTGATCGCGTCGCAGGGCTTCATGGAGGCGCTCAGCTCCGGTGCCGATATCTCCATGATCGGCCAGTTCGGTGTCGGTTTCTACTCGGCGTACCTCGTCGCCGATCGTGTGCAGGTCATCTCCAAGCACAACGACGACGAGCAGTACATTTGGGAGTCCGCTGCTGGCGGCACCTTCACCATCACCCTCGACACCGTCAACCCGCCCCTCGGCCGTGGTACCGAGATCCGCCTCCATCTCAAGGAGGACCAGCTCGAGTACCTTGAGGAGAAGCGCATCAAGGAGATCGTGAAGAAGCACTCCGAGTTCATCTCCTACCCGATCCAGCTCGTTGTCACGAAGGAGGTCGAGAAGGTTCGTACTTTATCCTTTCATGCGCGTCGACAATCGCTGACACGACCTTGCAGGAGGTCGAGGACGATGAGGAGGAGGCGAAGGAGGACGAGGAGAAGCCCAAGATCGAGGAGGTCGATGAGGAGGAGGAGAAGAAGGACAAGAAGAAGAAGAAGGTCAAGGAGGTCGAGAAGTCCAACGAGGAGCTCAACAAGACGAAGCCCATCTGGACGCGCAACCCGCAGGAGATCACCCAGGAGGAGTACGCCGCCTTCTACAAGAGCTTGACGAACGATTGGGAGGAGCACCTTGCTGTTAAGCACTTCTCCGTCGAGGGTCAGCTCGAGTTCAAGGCCATCCTCTTCATCCCCAAGCGGTAAGCACGCTTCTTCTCTTTGTCTTTACACGTCGCTCATTCGTCTTTAGCGCGCCCTTCGACCTCTTCGAGTCCAAGAAGAAGCGCAACAACATCAAGCTCTACGTCCGCCGCGTCTTCATCATGGACGACTGCGAGGACCTCATCCCCGAGTACCTCAACTTCGTCAAGGGCATCGTCGACTCCGAGGACCTCCCGCTCAACATCTCCCGCGAGACGCTCCAGCAGAACAAGATCCTCAAGGTCATCCGCAAGAACATCGTGAAGAAGTGCATGGAGGTCTTCTCCGAGATCGCCGAGGACAAGGACAACTTTGCCAAGTTCTACGAGGCGTTCGGCAAGAACCTCAAGCTCGGTATCCACGAGGACGCCCAGAACCGCAGCAAGCTCGCCGAGTTCCTGCGCTTCTACTCGACCAAGTCGCTCGATGAGCAGACCTCGCTCAAGGGTGAGTGAATATGCGTGTGCGCGCCACGAATATCGACGTTGACTCCCATCCGTAGACTACATCACCCGCATGCCGGAGGTCCAGAAGTCGATCTACTACCTCACCGGCGAGTCCCTCGCTGCCGTCCGCGACTCCCCCTTCCTCGAGGTCCTCAAGAAGAAGGGCTTCGAGGTCCTCCTCCTCGTCGACCCCATCGACGAGTACGCCATCACCCAGCTCAAGGAGTTCGAGGGCCACAAGCTCGTCTGTGTGTCCAAGGAGGGTCTTGAGCTCGAGGAGACCGAGGAGGAGAAGAAGGAGCGCGAGGCTGAGGCCGCCGACTTCAACGAGCTCTGCACCGTTGTCAAGGAGGCGCTCGGCGACAAGGTCGAGAAGGTTGTCGTCTCGAACCGCATCAACGACTCGCCTTGCGTGCTCGTCACCGGTCAGTTCGGCTGGTCGTCGAACATGGTACGTCGCTTCATCTCTTCACCTCCTCGACTTGTTTTCTAACGACCTCTGCAGGAGCGTATCATGAAGGCGCAGGCCCTCCGCGACTCCTCGATGTCGTCGTACATGGCGTCGAAGAAGACGCTTGAGCTCAACCCGAAGAACCCGATCATCAAGGAGCTCAAGCGCAAGGTCAAGGAGGACAAGGCGGACAAGTCCGTCCGCGACTTGACCTACCTCCTCTTCGAGACCGCGCTCCTCACCTCCGGCTTCACCCTCGACGAGCCGACATCGTTCGCCAAGCGCATCCACCGCATGATCTCGCTCGGCCTCGACGTCGACGAGGAGGAGGAGGCCGCTGCCGAGCCGTCGACGTCCGCCGCGCCGGCAGCTGAGGCCGCCTCCACCTCCGCGATGGAGGAGATCGACTAAGCGTCTCGCATACCCTGATGGACTCGGTGTGTCGCTGTGAGCGCCGCCCTTACACATGCCATGGGCGACGGTTTTTCGAGGGCTCTGTGCTGTTTCTTTATTGCATTGTTTCATTTACGTACACTCACGCTTTGCTTGCTGTCATCTTTGGTCAATTGCTCTAACTGTATCATACATCACGAAGAATGCTAAAGAGTAATCAATGTACACTGCATCTTCTTGACTTTTTGCTGCCTGACTTGTGCGATAAGTTACCTCGTCCGAATCGGACTGCGAGACTGGAAGGTTGGGGATGCGCGCTGACTCGCGAGGTAGCGTTGAGAGAGGCCTGGTCATCGATCGATCCAGCCATGGGCGCGGCTGCAGTGGGGTGGCCACAAATAAAGCCCGCCCCTCAGCGGGTAACCATATTTCCCCCTCTCCACGCAACACTCCACTTACAGACTACCACCATGGTCTACACTATCGTCGTACACCTCTACGCCAAGGACGACCCGTGCGCGGTCGAGAAGATCAAAGCAAAGCTCATCGAGGCGGCGTCCGTCTACCGCAAGAGCGAGGGGACGATCGACTGGTTCGTCATGCAGGACACGAAGGATCCGCGTGCGTTCACTATTGTCGAGCGCTACGAGTCCTTGGAGGTGAGTGTTGCCAATATTGAGAGGGGGGGGTGATGCTGAACAACACAATAGCACCAGAAGAAATACCATCTGGGCGACCCATACTGGCCGACGTTCGATCCCTACGTCAAGCCCCTGCTCGAGAGGTGGGTGGACGTTCAGTCTGCAATATGCATGCCACTGATCCCATTCCCTTCAGGCCGATGGACCTCCACCGTCTGGAGGAGCTCGACGACGGCAAAGTCCTGTACTCGGGCGATGGCAAGTGGATCCAGTGAAGGAGCCATCAATGCAAAATATTCATCAGAAAAGCGAAATGTATAGTGAAGCAATGGATTATACACGTAGAAAGAATGCCTGTTAGCATAGACATCGCTGAGGACTTGAAGTTGAGAGCGAACTTGGACTTGGTCAGCGTACAAGGAGTATCGCGCACGTGGTTCCGATCACGCTGATTTTGGCGCCGGACCGCTTGACGGACATCAACCTTTGGACGCGCTTGTACTTACGGCGCGGTCATCTCCCCCTCTCCCTCATACTCTCCCGACATGAGTACGAATGACCTCTTCTCCTTCCTCGAGGATGGCGAAACTGCGGATGACGTCGAAATGGCCGACCTCCCGGCCCCCAGCGCGCCGCCGAGAAAGCGCAAGGCGCGAGAGCCTGCTGAAAAGCACGATGGCGCTCAGGGTGGCGCTATGCAGGTGGACCAGGGTGCAGAGCCTTCTGCTGTGAAGAAGCCGCGGACGACATCTCCTGGACCGGTTGTGCTGGATGACTTTGAGACGGAGGCGAAGCGTGAGGTCGCACCAAGCGCGGGGCTTACTGGTGGACCCGCGGAGACAGCACCAGTGCAACTGGGTCATATGGTGCGTGAACTCAATCCTCTCATTAGCTTGCAGACGCTAACATCTTTTGATAGGTTCGACACAAAGTGGCCGTTCCCCAAGGCTACAACTACATCCCCATCTCTCAGCATGTTCCCCCCGCAAAGCCAGATCGCGAATACAAGTTCGAGCTCGACCCCTTCCAGCGCGTCTCCGTATATGCCATCCAGCGAAACGAGAGTGTTCTCGTCTCTGCCCACACCAGTGCAGGCAAGACGGTGGTGGCCGAATACGCGATCGCCCAATGCCTCAATAGAAAGCAGCGAGTTATCTACACTAGCCCGATCAAGGTACTTACTCCCTTTGTACTTCGTATTCTGCATGTCAATAACATGGTGTCTGTTGTGCAGGCGTTAAGTAACCAAAAGTACCGCGAGATGTCCTCCGAATTTGGCGACGTTGGCTTGATGACGGGAGACACGACCATAAATCCTTCAGCAACATGTTTGGTCATGACAACAGAGGTATGCCCTAGGCCATCCCATACGTGCTCAGGTACTCATCCCCTGTAGATTCTGCGCTCGATGCTCTACCGCGGCTCTGAAATCATGCGCGAAGTTGCATGGGTCATCTTTGACGAAATTCACTACATGCGCGACAAGGAGCGTGGTGTCGTCTGGGAGGAGACCATCATTCTGCTCCCTCACAGCGTTCGCTACGTCTTCCTGTCTGCCACCATCCCGAATGCGATGGAGTTCGCCGAGTGGATCACCCAGTCTCACGAGCAGCCCTGTCACGTTGTGTACACCGACTTCCGGCCTACGCCTCTGCAGCACTATCTCTTCCCCGCGGGTGGCGAGGGTATATACCTTGTCGTCAACGAGAAGAGCGAGTTCCGGGAGGACAACTTTGCTAAAGCAATGGGCAAGTTGCAAGACGGCACCGGCGATGACCCTTCGGATCCTTTCGCTGGCAAAGGCAAAGGAAAGAAACTCAAGAAGGGCGGAGACAAGAAAGGTATCTGTCGCACCAATTTGCCAAGAGCGCTATTAACCACATTCCAGGCCCCTCCGACATTGCCAAGATCATCAAGGTCATCATGAACAAGAATTACAACCCGGTCATCGTCTTCTCCTTCGCGAAGCGCGACTGCGAGTCCAACGCCATGAGCATGTCAAAGATGGAGTACAACAATGCCGACGAGCAGGCAACAGTCACCGAGATTTTCGAAAACGCCACCGCTAGCATCTCCCCCTCCGACCGTCAACTCCCCCAGATTACTAACTTACTCCCCCTCCTCCGGCGCGGTATCGGCATCCATCACGGCGGTCTACTTCCCATCCTCAAAGAGATGATCGAAATCCTTTTCCAAGCCGGTCTCATCAAGGTCCTCTTCGCCACAGAGACCTTCTCCATCGGTCTGAACATGCCCGCGAAGACTGTCGTCTTCACCGACGTGCAGAAGTTTGACGGGCGGGAGTTCAGGAACCTGTCCTCGGGCGAGTACATCCAGATGTCTGGTCGCGCCGGTCGTCGAGGGTTGGACGACCGGGGTGTGGTGATTATGATGGTGAACGAGAAGATTGAGCCGTCGGAGGCGAGGCGAATGATCAAGGGAGAGGCAGACAGATTGGACTCGGCGTTCCATCTGGGCTACAACATGATCATCAACTTGATGAAGGTGGAAGGTATAAGCCCCGAGTTCATGCTCGAGCGGTGCTTCTTCCAGTTCCAGAGCAAGGCGAGTGTGCCGGTGCTGCAGAAGGGTACGTTGATTACTTGTTTCTGATCGTAGTTCCGACGACTGACACCATTTACAGACCTGGAGAAGGCCGAAGCAGAACGCGACAAGATGAAGATCCCCGACGAGCACCTCATCGCCGAATACTACGATTGCCGACAACAACTCGACCAGCTAGGCGAGGACTTCCGACAAGTCATCACTCATCCAACGTACTCCCTTCCCTTCCTCCAACCCGGTCGCCTCATCAAGGTCAAGTACAAGAAACTCGACTTTGGCTGGGGCGTCGTCATCAACTACCAAAAGCGCTTACCACCAAAGGTATGTCGTCTCCCTTTTCATTCTTTACTCACCTTAACATGCCTCACCCAGAACCGCCCCGTCGACCTCGGCAACCTCCCTCCCCACTCCCAATACATCGTCGACGTCCTCCTTAACATCGCCCGCGCCCCCTACCAACCTCTCCCCAAAGGCCAGACCTGGTCGCCCGAAAAGGCCGCTTTCGTCCAGCCTTGTCCACCAGGCGAGCGCGGCTTACCTGTCGTTGTACCCATCCTGCTCGACGTCATCGAGGGGATCAGCCATGTCCGCATATTCCTACCGAAGGACATGCGGTCAGAGAACGCGCGCGAGACGGTGTGGAAGAGCGTGCTGGAGGTGCAGAGGCGGTTCCCGGAGGGGATTGCGCTGCTAGATCCTGTGCAGAATATGGGGATCAAGGATGACAAGTTCCAGGCCTTGTTGAAGGTGGGTAATATCGATGCACTGATGGTCACAGTTTACTGACGGGAATGTCCATACAGAAAATTGCCCTCCTCGAGAGCAAGCTCTTCAGCAGCCCGATGCACAAGGACCCGCGCCTCCCCGAGCTCTTCACCGCCTACGCCCTCAAGCACCAGGCCATGGAGCGCGTCCGCGAGCTCAAGCAGCGCATCCAGCAGACGCACGATATTCTCCAGCTCGACGAACTCAAGTGCCGCAAGCGCGTGTTGCGGCGACTGGGCTTCACGACGGCGGACGACATCGTGGACATGAAGGGTCGCGTGGCATGTGAGATCAGCACGGGCGATGAGTTGCTGTTGACGGAGCTGGTGTTCAATGGCGTGTTCAACCCGCTGTCGCCGGAGCACTGCGCGGCGCTATTGAGTTGCTTTGTTTTCGATGAGAAAGTGAGCTGGGTTAGGTGCGAATGGAGCGCAGTTACTAATGAGATTGTGACAGAGCGAGCAAGTCGTCAAGCTGAAGGAAGACCTTGCCGGTCCCTTGCGAACATTGCAGGAGACTGCGCGTCGCATTGCGAAGGTCTCCAAGGAGTGCAAGCTCCCAGTGGACGAGGATGCCTACGTGCAATCATTCAAGGTCGAGCTCATGGACTGCGTCTTGCAATGGTGCAAAGGTGCATCGTTCGCGGAAATTTGTAAGGTACGGTTGAGCCCTTTTTTCGCACAAAATCTCAGCGTACTGATTATATTTCCCAGTTGACCGACGTCTTCGAAGGCAGTCTCATCCGTGTCTTCCGTCGTTTGGGCGAGCTCTTGCGGCAGATGTCCACCGCCGCGAAGGTCATCGGTAACACCGAGCTCCAAGAAAAGTTCGACAAGGCAACGGAGATTCTGGAGCGCCCCAACTCGGTCATCTTCTGCTCGTCCCTCTACTTGTAATGCTTTGCCTCTTGTACCTACGCACCATGTACAACTTTCGATGCTTTCTCGCTGTTTTTATCCCTTGGCACACGTGACAAGTTCAACGTATCGAATGATGGCCAAGGCTCAAGTGGATGGTGCGTGTCTTGCAAATCGCTCTCAGAACATGGGTAGAAAAGGCGATACGCACCCGGAAAGCAAGCGTGGTGCCCACTAACGCGAATTGCGAAGTCCTCAAAGAGTCTGCACGATAGATGGATGACAAAGGGCATGACAATAGATACAGATACGGCTACTCATCTTCTCGCAGCAATCAAGAGGCCCGGCGTGGCCCTACTTGATCTTGTCAAGTGGCCTGTTGAATCCTCCTCTCCTAGACGGGTGTGAGCAATGACGGTGTAGGGAAACTATTCGAGAAGACAAACCGGTTCATGTACTGGCGCCACGTCCGCATCTTCTTGATGTCAACAGCACCCTCCTGGTTACCTTCGACGTGCTTGTTCTATATGAAGTTGAGATCACTTACGACGCCGAAACAGTGAGCATTGGCGAACCTTCGTAGACCCAAAGCCAGACAAGCCCATCATTTGCATCATAGCAGCCTCCTCGTCCATCTCCTCCATGGGCTCGTCCTTGGGGCCATCAGGAGCATCCGGGTCAAGGTTCGGTCTCCCGTCGGCGTGATGCGTCGGGGCCTCGTGGTCTGTGGCAGGATGTGAGCAAGTGCGGACTGAATTGTGGCGTGCCACACACCTGATCGACCAGAGACACTCCCTGCACCGCGCGGAGGGGCCTCGTCAGTATACCGACCACGCCTATCATCCCTGTCCTCCGGACGACGGGGCGGAAGGGGGCGATAGTCGTCGCGGCGGTCGTCTCTGTCGCGTCGATCGTAGCGTCTGTCCGCATCTCGTCCCGTACCACGGTCCCGTTCGCGGTGCGGTGGCTCATCGTACTTTCGTTCGTAGTCCCGACGGTCTAGCATTCTGGTCGGTAAATGTTGTTACCCCGGTGTGAGGGCAGCGCACCTCTACGATCCCTGTCCCTATCGTCGCGTCTTGGACTTCTAGACCTGCTAGAGCGCCTCCGCGTATGTCCCCCTCCCCCTCCACGAGAGTATCTGTCCCTGTCCCTGTCGCGGTCTCCGCGGTCGTCGCGCCGCCGGTAGTCGCCTCGTGAAGACATGGTGGTGGACAATGGACAAGAGTGATCCGTGACGCGCACGGAGGTCACACGGCCCGACGCGCCCCACGTGCGTCCAGAGCTCTCGTTCTCCCCGATCACGACAAGCGCCCTCGAGTCGGGTTCGCCTTCGGAAGATGCAGCGCGCCGCACGGGGTGAGTATTGGAATGGGATACTGAGCGTGAGGCTTACCAGCAGACCAGAAATACCTCATGTCATAAGGCTCAGAAACATCCCCAAGTCCGCGACTCGGAACGATGTCGCGCGAATGCTCATGCGTGCACAGGTGGAGGGTGTGACCTCGGGTGCGTCTTGCTTCAATCTAGATATGTGTATCTGACACCATTTACAGTCGAGCTCGAGTACAACCGCTGGCTACCAGCTGGTTCCGCGCTCATTCAGTTCCACCGCCCGGAATACGTCCCCGCAAGCTCCCACAGGCTCAAGGGAAAGGCCATCCAGGGCATCACTGTCATACCCGAGAACTTGACCAGGTTCGCCCTCCAGGACTACCAGGAGGCGTTGAAGAAGCAGGAGAAGGGCACCGGGACTGGGCCCAGCGCAAATACGACCCATCTAGAAGAGAAAGTCGTGCTCTGGGGCTTCACCCCGCGCTGGAACGCCACGGACGTCGCTGCATTGTTGCGGTCATACCGCCTACACAACCATGATGTGGATGGGGGCGCAAACTCCATCTCCTACACACCATTGTGAGTGATGCACTCAGAGATGGTGAAGGACGCTAAACTTCACCCTCAGAGCGGACCAGACACACTCAAGGAAGTTCGTCGCGCGTATGGCGGACCCCGAAGAGGCACATCGTGTCGTCCGGGACCTGCATATGACTCCCGTTCCCCACTTATTTGGTGTATCACCGTCCATAGGGCAGTACTTGCGCGCTCGAGTCTTGTCACCGTAGAGTCCAGTATAGCACCCCGATTCAGACCTAATCCTTCGTTTGCTTCCCGCCGATCGCGGAGCTGCCGTTAAGATGTTCAAGACGTGGCGCATCATAGCAAGAGGAATAATACAACAGAGTAATGGGTCCGACGTGCGCTACATGCGTGCCCCTTCGTCGTCCATACGGGCGCGAGCACCCTAGATATCATAAGCCATGTATGCCGTGAAGGGTGTACGCGGGGACGTACCATGCGCGCGTTCTCCCCCTCGTCTTCTGGTGATCGACCGCGCTTCTTGTCCTGTGCGGGTGCTGCTGCAGGCTCCTTCCAATCGCCACCACCTTGCGCAACCGCACCAGGTCCCTCTTCTGCGTCGGCGTAACGCTCCTCGACCTCTCTTCTCCGGGCCTGTGCGCCCCATCCTCCGCGACCCGGGTCGTAGTCTTGTCTGTACTCGTCTCGTACCTTGCATTGAGTGAGTATGGTCCGCAACCATCGTTCAGGAGTATGCGCACCTGCCCGCCACTTTTTCCTCTGCCGAATTGACGCCCCTCCTTGTACCCCAAGTCCAAGTCGCACCGGATAATTCGCTCGTCCAGCTTCGTCCCAGAGATATACCGCATGCTTGCTAGCGCTTCCGAGTGAGTATAATACTCTACGAAGCAGAACCCGCATGGTGTTCTGTGCAGTGGTGAGTGGCAGGTAAACCCGGACATATAATCCACCCACCTCGTATTCCGATCGAGTCCCATAATGATACGCTTAATGCCCCCTCCATCCTCAGGGCGGGCACATTTCGAGAACAGCTCATATATCTGTTCTTCAGTCGTATAGAAACTTAAGTTACCAACCTACGTAACGCCCGACGGGTCGTTAGAACGGCTCCTGCTCCTCAGCGAAGGGGGACTCACATAAAGAGTGGAGGACTTCTCGAGCAACTCATTCTGCTTTTGGCGGTCAAACCGCGCTTGCGAGTCCTTATAGTTCGACGGCTGATCGAGGGGGGTCACGACATGGGCCATTGTATTCGAGGAGACCGTTCGGGACAAGGGAGTATTCCCAAAATAGAATAAGCCGGGGCGCAAACAAGGGCCAAACAGACGCGTAACCGCGTCGCGCGTCGCCTATTTCTTGACTTTCGCCACCATGGATCAGGCAGGGATTGAGATACAGAAGACGGTGCGTGGTGAAGTGCACATCGATGATAAGATACTCATTGTGCTGCAGGAACCGACGTTTGAGAGCGTCGTGAGCGAGAAGTCGCAGCTCTTCCAGGAGTTGCAAGAGGAGGACTTGTACATCAAGTTCAAGAAGCTCACGCGCCATCTCGAGCTCCTCGACATCCAAGAGTCCTACATCAAGGATGAACAGGCCAACCTCAAGCGCGAGTTGATTCGTGCGCAGGAGGAAGTCAAGCGCATCCAGTCCGTGCCCCTCGTCATCGGCCAGTTCCTCGAACCCATCGACCAGCACACCGGGATCGTGGGCTCTACCACGGGCTCTAACTATGTCGTCCGCATCATGTCTACCCTTGACCGCGAGCTTCTAAAGCCTTCATCCTCCGTGGCCCTCCACCGACATTCGAACGCACTCGTAGACATCTTGCCGCCCGAAGCGGACTCCAGTATCGCGATGTTGGGCGTGGATGAGAAGCCCGATGTCACATACTCGGACGTTGGTGGTATGGACTCGCAGAAGCAGGAGATTAGGGAAGCCGTTGAGTTGCCTCTCACCCACTTCGACTTGTACAAGAAGATCGGTATCGACCCGCCCCGTGGTGTGCTGCTGTACGGCCCACCAGGTGCGTTCGCTACATTCAAGCGATACGTCGCCTATGTCTAACATCGCTGCAGGTACGGGCAAAACTATGCTCGTCAAAGCCGTCGCCCATCACACCACTGCCGCCTTCATTCGTGTCGTCGGCTCCGAGTTCGTTCAGAAGTATCTCGGTGAAGGTCCACGCATGGTTCGCGACGTCTTCCGTCTCGCGCGCGAGAACGCACCTGCCATCATCTTCATCGACGAGATTGACGCTATTGCCACAAAGCGATTCGACGCGCAAACGGGCGCGGATCGTGAAGTGCAGCGAATCTTGCTGGAGTTGCTGAACCAGATGGATGGTTTCGACCAGGGCAGCAATGTCAAGGTATGCGCCGTCTTCGTTGACTTCTTCGATACTTGTGCTAATGACAATCCCAGGTCATCATGGCTACCAACCGTGCCGACACTCTCGACCCCGCTCTCCTCCGTCCCGGTCGTCTTGACCGAAAGATCGAGTTCCCGAACCCATCAAGGCGAGAGAAGCGTCTCATCTTCCAGACCGTCACGAGCAAGATGAACCTGGGTCCGGACGTCGACTTGGAAGACTGTACGTCGGCCCATGGATGCACTGATATTCCGAGACCGAGATTGACTGGTTCACAGTTGTCTCCCGACCCGACAAGCTCTCTTCGGCAGAGATTGCGTCTATAGCACAAGCCGCCGGCTTACAAGGTAAGATCGTCGTTATTCTATGTCGGACGGAGCCTGACATAGTTACAGCTGTGCGCAAGAACCGCTACGTCATCTTGCCCGTCGACTTTGAGGAAGCATGGAAGGTGAGTTTGGCTTTATTTGCCCTTGTTGGTGCAAGCACGATCACCATCAAGAAAAAGTCGATCGCGTCTTCTTCCGCCCACCACTGCCCTTTCCTTCCTCCCTTTCCCTTCGTCTGGCTCTGGCCACTCTTTGGACTCGGATGCTCACGAAGGATATATAGCAAACGGTCAAGAGGTCAGACGAGACCCACGAGTTCTACCGGTAATTTCTGTATCTTCACCCATAATGTGAGCAAGCCCATGTTGTCTTTACGCGTACTTTTGCTGACCCGCGTTCTGCAGACGTTTTCATTTGTATCTTATCACGTCAATGCAAGCATACGTCTTCATCATGTCTGTCTTGTGATTGTATCCCTCGTCGTATCGTCGTCGTCGTCCTTGCTTCGCGTGGTAAAGACAGCTCCGTTCACTTTAGCGTCTCTCCGCACCCCTACGGATTGGCGCTCATTCTTGAGAGCGAGATTGACATTTCCCGTGCTTTTTTTGCCTGTCCCTCCGCCGTTCGCTTGTCGAGCAGGTCTTCGACCGGGAAGGAGGGGTTGGTTCACACACGGGAGACATCTCTTACCCTAAGCGACAGCTTCGCTAATCCTGTATAAGGTACGTGTTCATCCTCTCTCCGTGTCACGCTCGCTAACACCCATACAGTATGTAGTGCAATATATTACAATTTAGCCATCATCTCGGCCTTCCTCCCTTTCCCCCACCCCACGCTCTTTGACACTCTGGACGGCGCTGTACACCCAGGCGCACGTTCTCATTTTATGGGAGCAAGATGGATCGCTGTGCATTCGTGTGCTGCGGGTCGGTCCCCATTCGTGGGGGCTACCTTCGTTTTGGCCTGTCCTCCATTCTCCAGGGAGGATAGAACATGCTAGGAGGGCACATCCTCGCCCTAGGATTCAGGTATCTGTGCGAGGTAACATAGGTATCTATGCGTGAATATATTTGCATGCTGGGTATTCCGTCGTGTGGCTATCAAAACCCCATCTCTTCGTCGAGGATGCGGGCGAAGCGAGAGCCATCGAAGGGAGGAAAGGGTACGAGTGATGTTGCGTCGAAGGAGGCGATGTCGCGAGCCAACGTTCTGCAGTAAATGTTGTAAGATAGCCTGTATGGTTCGCTGTGTAACGTACTCTGGGGTTGAGGCTACCAGGTGTCGTTGTTGCTCGAGGACATCCGCAAGTTCCTGCTGGTGATTGTCCAGTAAAGTCGGGTTCGGGACGATGACGAGGGGCTTGGGAATGCGGAGAACGTCGAGAATGGTGCCGGAGCCTTTAGAGGACGTTCGTCGGCAATCCGCAACCCATGGCTAGCAGACGGACCTGCATGGCTGATCACCAGGTCTGCTCTCTCGTAGTCCTCGCGCAGCGATGGCTTGAACTTGTAGTACTCTTGTTCGATACCGTGACTGCGTGTACGGACGCTAATAGCCGCTTCGTGCAGCCTTGAGCTGTGTTCGAACGTAGAGTTCCCGGCCTGGACAACAAGGTGGTTATACCCCTTCGCTTGAAGCGCGTCGAGGACCGCATCATTGCACACCGCCTGCACAAGCGCGTCGAACTTGGTCGATCCGACGGTGACGAACGCGAGCATTGTGCGTGGGGGGAGCGCGCAAGCCTCGCCGCTTGTACCCAGCCGTACGCGTCCACGTCGCCGCGATCGGCCGTGGGGGATGCCAGGAACGTCGATCAAAGGGACTTCCCATCCGAGCCTCGTCCGAGTCATCATGATCACAGATCCTCCGCATTTCGAATGGAAGCAGCTCGCACCTTGCTAGACCCTCCATCACCTCCATCGCGCCATCCTACTTGACAATGGGCTACAGACTGTGCATACTGGGTACGTTGACTCCCCCCTCCGTGCTTCAAACCGTTACTCAACTATACACTCACCTCACGCAGGATGCGGCACGATGGGCATCGCGATCCTCTCGGGCGTGGTGGCTAGCCTGGAGGCAGCCACATCCGCAACGCCCTCCTCGCACAAGCAGCCCAAGTGGGAGTCGCACACGCCGGGGACGATGACTCCGGACCAGGACGCGTCCTCGACGCCCTCGCAGTTCATCGCGTGCGTGAGCCGTGCGGAGACGCGCACCAAGCTACAGGGCGTATTCGGTGCGTTGGGTCCGCTGGGGAAGACCGTTCAGGTCGTCGCGGGTGACAACCTGAACGCGATACGCCAATCGGATGTGGTGATCCTTTGGTATGTGGCACTCATTCAACAGTAGTGGGAAGGAGCACTGATCGTCCGTTCATAGCTGCAAGCCCCAGTTGGCGCATGTCATCCTCGCTGAGGAGGGCATTGTTGACGCGCTTGAGGGAAAGCTGCTGGTCAGCATCCTTGCTGGTGTCACGCAGGCGCAGCTCGTGGGCTGGGTGCGCCCGACGACGCGGGTTATTCGCGCTATGCCGAACACTCCTTGCAAAGTACGTCTTCTCTCAACTAAGCCCTTTCAGGCTTCTTATAGTCGCAGATTCGTGAAGGGATGACCGTCCTGTGCAACAACTCTCCCATCACTGAGCTTGACCGGGCAATTCTGCTCAAGATCTTCTCCTCCATCGGCCGCTGCTCTTTCCTCGATGAGAAGCACTTCGATGCGTGCACTGCGCTCTCGGGATCAGGACCTGCCTTCGCTTGCATCTTCCTCGAAGCAATGGTATGCCTCATGCGGCGGCTAGGGATGTCCAAGTACTGATAGTGTACAGGCCGACGGTGGTGTGATGATGGGTCTTCCGCGCGCGGAGGCGTTGGAGCTTGCTGCTCAAAGTGAGTTTGTCCGCGTCGTGCATGAAGTTCATGCACTGACTGTCCTCCAAGCTTTACAAGGCGCGGCACGCATGGTCTTGCAGCATGGTGCGCATCCAGCGCAGATCAAGGATACCGTCACCAGTGAGTCCCAAGCTTCAGATTTCGCCATCTTCATGGTCTCGCTTCGTACATGTGCACGAGCTGACGCTGTCAACAGCGCCAGGAGGTTGTACAATTGCTGGATTACTGGCATTGGAGGATGGTCGTGTGAGATCGACCATCGCCCGTGGTATCCAGATCGCAACGGAGAGAGCTAGCGAACTTGGCCAGCCGGCGAAGAAGTAACTTCGCAGTGCCACGGTGGTCAATCGCCTTAGGCAGAGCCGGCTTTCGTCAGTTTGTCGTTCTATCGACGCCGGAAGGCCTCTCCAAAATCATGTAGATATGTAGAATATGTACCAAATGGATATCTGAGCTCAGAAGGATATGCAATACAAGATAACTGTACCAAAGCGCAAATGCCACCTGCGTATTTGAGGCACGACCAAGTCGAACAATGTGACAAGTCACGCGTGACCCTCGCCCGGAACGCGCAAGACGACGCCGAGGACGCATCCAACCCCCAAAACCCTCTGAAAAGGTGAGAATCGCTGCTCGTGCTGCCTTGTATCGTGCTCCCCGTCACCGATTTCCACTTCACGGGAGGCATCAAGCTCGACCGAGCGTTAGACGGGCTGGATTGAATGCGATGGGTCCGGATGTCGATCGGCGCGCGACGCGTCTGGCGCGCCTTTGCCAAATCCCGGACAACCACTTGAGATCCATCTCATACTCCCGCAGATGTCCAAGATCGAGGAAGTCGCCTCCGACCACTCTGACCATGAGGGTCACAACCACGCCCACGAGCACGAGCATGAGGACCCGACGTCCAACGCCGCGCTCGAGAAGGTTCAGTCCCGGTCGGAGCGCAAGGCGCGCAAGGCCCTCATCACCCTCGGCCTGAAGAAAGTGGATAACATCACCCGCGTCACCCTCCGCCGGCCGAAGAACGTGAGTCGCGAATCCATCGCAAGTAGGCGCCCGCTAACTGAAGTACAAGCAGGTGCTGTTCGTCCTGTCGAACCCGGATGTGTACAAGTCGCCGAACAGCGACTGCTACATCGTCTTCGGCGAGGCTAAGGTGTGTGGCACTCGGGAGAACAGGAATCCGCGTACTGATTAGCGCGATCAGGTTGAGGACACCAACGCGTCTGGCTTCTCTGCTATGCAGCAGGCCGCGGCCGCGAGCGCCAACAACGCACCCGCTGTCGAGAAGCCTGGTGCTGACGACGATGAGGACATCCCCGAGCTCGAGGCGCCCGAGGAGGAGGGTGAGGTCGACGAGACTGGCGTCGACGCGAAGGACATCGAGCTTGTCGTCCAGCAGGTCGGCTGCTCACGCGCAAAGGCCGTGCGCGTATTGAAGGAGAGCAACGGCGATTTGATCAATGCTAGTGCGTCTCACAGTCCTCATTACTGCCTGAATAGATCGACTAACATACGTTTTAGTCATGGCGGCTTCGGAGTAGGCAACGACTCACCATTTGTTGTATTTTTGCATCTATCCTGCTTTCAATGCATTGCTGTATCTGGGCGGTACCGACCCACAAGCGAACATCGTCCGATTGTTTGGCTCAATGAACGGTCTCAAACTCAAGATCATGAAAGCAGCTGATTGTCCATCTACGGTATCGTCCGGATACTCGTCGCGTCGACTTTGCACCACGAATGCGGAAGCCACCCAGTCCGATGAAGAATTCAAGACTTTGACTACCGTTATCCATGTACTGATGTTCAAAACGGCTTGAACGGGTATCGTAGGAAGGAGATAAAGCTGTAAGATGGTCGTCCTCAGTCGCGTCGTCTTTCCGCGTCATTGCATCGGCCTCCTCACCGAAGTGACTCTCGTCCCACAATGCTGGATCCTCCCAGTGCGCGCATTGAATGTAAAGGGGCATGATTGAACGACGTGTACCCTCACGACCTCCTGGGTAGGCCGTATACTCAGGGGAATACCATCTGGCAGGTGGGTCAGTGGATGCCCGTGGCGAAGATCGTGTCAAGCCCATACGACGATTTGTACTTGGCGCTGCCTTCGTTCCTGCGGTCAGGAGTATTGCGTCGCAATTCGTAGCGTCAGCAACTTTCCTCGCTGGACGCCGAATCTATGATCCCGAGTTCAGGCCAACCGTCTCGGGAGGCTTCAATCACTTTCAATCCAATTTTCAGCGAAATTTCATGGACCATGATAATAGATTTACTTGTCGGTAGTGTGCGGTATGCTTGTTGTGTACGTATATGCTTAAACGATGGGTATTGTCGTACAATACATAGGGAGACGCATGCGATGCATAAATGAGTTGACGGGGGAGGCTACAGGAAGCTGAAGGGCACGGCGTCGGTTATACGAGCGATGCCAGCGATGAGCTGTGGTGTACATTACAAGGGAGAGAGGGGAGAAAATATGATATGTAGTTGAACAATGAGCAACGTCTCTTGTGGATATGAGGGATAACTTTTGGGCGGAAGGGAAAGGAATCAGAAGTCCATGAAGGAGGTATCGCCCGCCCACGGCTCGCGCTCGCCAACGATGGAGACATTCTGAACTATGGCAGACATGTCCTTGTCGACATCGTCGTAGGGATCCGGCATGTCGTCGCTGTACGACGGAGGATCGAAGGCCGAAAGGGGCTTGTCATGAAGCAGCGAACGCCACCCCCTTGAGCTCGTAGGTGTTGCGAGACCGAGCAGCTGCAAGCCCCTCTGGATGTCGGCCGAGCGAGCGTCTGCCTCCTCTTCGTCATCGTCAGAGTCGTATGGCAGGATAAGGCGCGACGGTGGGCGAGGGAACTCTTCCGCAGTCGCGAGACTCATCGACTCGAGGAAGAAGTCGTCGTCCTCTTCCTCCTCCTCATCCCGATACGGCGCGTACTCAAAGTCCTCGGACGTCCATGACTGCTGCGCAATTCGCGAGCTCTTGTACGGCTTCGACAGCTCCGTCGTATCCGACGGACTGCACGCCAGGCGCATATTGAGCCAGGCGCGACGTCGGCTGCGACCCTCCAACAAACCCATTTGTCGCTCCCGCTCTACGTCCATGAGCTGCTGGTCATGTCGAGCGCTCGTGGAAAGCTTGCGCAACTTCGCGGTGAGTGCAGAGAAGGCGGTATACTCCGCGAGCTCCTGCGGGGAGAGCTTCGTCTCGGGCTCGGAACGAGGGCTGAAGTAGGTGCAGGAGGAGGACGTGGATGAGGATGAGGCTTGGCGAGACAGAGGGAAGGTCTCGGTCGCGGAGGGCGTACGGATAGAAGTGCTATCGGTGTCCGTCTCGTCATCGCTGTCGTCCGCCAGCCGCCTGAGGGAGATCAAAGAAAAAGGCCGCCGTACGCCCGAGCGAGAGGCAGCATGGTCGGGCGATGCTTCTTCGCGCTTCATCAGCTCGTCCATCCGCATGTTAGCCCTTCTGATCATGCTGTCGACTACCCAGACGTAGTAGCCCTCCTTCGGAAAGCTCCTCGACAGCACAGGGAGAACGTAGCGGCGGAATGCATCAACCAGGCGTGATCGAGCACGTCGTCGCAAACCACGCGAACTCAGGCCAGGAAGCGGTGATTCGGCAAAGCTGGTGGCCGACGGACCAGGCGAAGCGAGCTCCATGGCGTGCATCGATGAAGTAGCGGGCGGCGGAGGTCTACCATCTCATCAGCATCGCGCACGCAAGATAGGCAGATAGAATACTCACGCGAGCAGCGAGTTGATGGTTAGCATCTGTGTCCTGTGCCCGTACGTCGTCGAATCGTGTTCGCGCGTCCGTTCCTGCGCACGGCCGACCGCCATCTCCTTCGCCCCATCATCCTGGCGCTTCTCGCGGCGCAACTCCACGGCGGACTCGGCGACGTCCGCAACGACGCTGTCGAGCGTCTCGAGGCATGATTGATCCATCAGTGGCCACTCCTCCACCGATCCGTCCTGATATCGACAGGTGATGGTGAGGGCTGGTACACTGAAGAGGACCTCGTCGAGCAGACTCGTGATGCCCGCGGCCTTGTCCAACGCATGCAAACTCTTCGGGACCTCCAGACCGTCACGATGAAGAGCCGAGAGCTGGTTCTCCCAACCGGCTGGTGTGACTTCGACGCCTGCATCCTCGAGGTGCGGGAAGGTGAAAGAGAAGAGGACAGTGGGCTGAGGCGCAACGGGCACGAGCTTGATCAGCATGGTGGGAGGAGGAAGGAGTGATAATCTGTATGGCCAAAGTCAGTAAACATGGTCGACCTTATAAACGACGCGTACACACCTGGTCAAGCACAGCGAAGAGGCGCGAGCGATGTCCACTGTCCAGAAGATGCGTCGATCCTCGATGGTGCAAGGGTTGAAGTAGCAGCCGGCGTCGGAGGCGGTCGCTAGTCAGTCCCACTCGATCGCTCGAGGATGGGGGCGAAAAGTCCCGCCTCGGAGCTCGAGCCGTCTATATGTATGTGACCGCGGTCTGCTCGGGCACTCACAAAATTGGCCCCGTCAAATCGTAGCCCGCATCATGTCGGGATGGTGGGATCTAGCGTCTCCTTTTGCGGCGCCCGACTGGCACGCACCTGAGAGCGCCACCGACGCCATTTGCCAATGCGCTGTAACAACCGAAGGACGCGAGGGGCGCATCAGCAGCGCCGGCATATCGCGCGTTCGCGTTCGACGCTGAGGCGATGGTGAGCGGACCGGTATCAGCGTCGCTGATGGCAGCAGCCAGAGCTCACCTGAGGGGACCTTTGTGCCACCAGTGATGGGTGGCTGGAAGCTGGAACCGCCTCAGCGTAGGCGACCCCACACGGTCATTAAAAGCCCCCTATGTGCCGTCTCTACAACGTTTGAGGTGCCCATAGCCTCGGATGCAGATATACAGTTGTTGCCATCGGGAAGGCCAGGCACTTCGGCGAGTCTGCAAGGGTCTGTGTGCCCAACATGGCAGTCCCCGCGTGGGTGCCTCGTTAAACGTCCATGGCGCGCATGCACGCGGGGCATATCGGGCCTTTCGAGGGCGCCTCGACACGTCGAGATGCGCTGAAGATGCATACAAAAACGGCTGTTTGGGCAAGTCGCCGCGGCGGCAGCCTACACTCTGGGGAGTGGGGAAGCGTGCCCGACGTTCGACCGTGGAGCTTCAGAAGAGCTAGCCGTGCAGGGCTCACCCAGCGACGCTCGCGAAGCTGGAAGTGCTGTATGGATTTTCTGATTAATGAAGACAGGGTACATGCACTGGACGATAAGCGCCATCTCGCGGGAGAACGTTCGCAATTGACGGAGGAGAAAAGACGAACTTGCGCATCATCACGCGATCGGCGATGGCACGCGCGCACACGTGCAATGTTCAACTTATCGGCCTCGGCGTCGCTTGTATACAGTCACACAGGTTCTGCCCCGCAATCTCAAGCTTGACATTCTCCTCTGAAGAGTAGAGTACTAGATCATCTATATGTACCCAATCAAAAGACCCGATCCTCAACCGACATGAAGGATATGGCTGACAACCTCATAGGCATGCCTCAAAGTCCAAGCAATACGCATCACGATCTCGAGCTCCCATCCTGCTTCGCGTTCATCCCGCTTCCCAAGAAGGCTAGCCAATTCATGCTAGCGTTCGGGGGCTGTCCAGCACCTCCGCCTCCGCCTCCTCCGCCGGGAGGTCCACCAGAGGGACCTCCTCCTGCGGCGCCACCTCCAGGACCATGCAAAGGCCAATCCATACTTCGATCTCCGCCGCCGCCAGCGTTCGACATGCCGGAAGGACCGCTCATACCGCCCGTCGACGATGGTGGGGTGCGTCTACCAGGGCCAGGACCAGGACCGCCATAATTGAATCGTCCGCCAGACGCGCTCAGGCCTGGAGGCATGCCTCCGTACCCCATAGGGGCGCTGTACGTTCGATGGAATCCCGCGTTGTAGTCGGCACCGCCGGACCCTGTCGACGCACCGCTTCCTGGGCGCGCAATGAAGCCTGTATTGGCATCCGTGTTTGTGGCACCAGAGCGCGAGCTTGTAGCAGTCGGAGGATGGTCCATGGTCACGGCCCGTTGACCAATGTTTCCACTGCTTTCGTATGCGCTAGGCGGCCTGACATTCTTGGAGCTGCCGCCGCCGCTCTGGTTGAGGAAGCCAGGAGCGGGAAGGTGCCGGTCCGAGGACACAGGTAGCGAAGACAAGGTGGGCGCCATGTTTGACATTTGCGGCGGCGGGTACATGGAACCACTGAGATGAAGTGGCGGACCTTGCTGGCGGTATGCCGGCGGTTGCATGTAATCGACCTGCGATATGTTAGACTAGTGACGATCAAAGACGAGTGGACTGACATTAGTAGCCGGTGGTACAGGCGGAAGGCTGGTGTTTGCCGAGCTCTCTAGAGCGGGGGTATTGCTCCCTGGCGCACGAGATGATGCTACCTCATTAGAAGGTGTACGCGCTCCTGAAGCCCTCCCAGGACTGGGGGCAATGTTAGTAGGCCCAGCAATACGTGGTCGCTTTCGAGGATTGGTCCCATCGGGGGCCTCCTCGTCTTCTTCATCCTCTTCATCGTTTGCCGCTGCCGATGTATTTGCGCCCGTGAAGTCGCCTGGACCTTTCGTGTCCTTATCCCCGTCAAACTACGGACATTGAGATAGTCAGTAAGTAGCCGACTAGGCACAGAGAATGAATGGCGCACGTTCAGATGTCTCTGCACAATCTCGCTGACATCTCTCGAACCGTATTGGTATAGCTTGGTGTGATGACCTGGTCTCTCCTCTGCGTCATATCTATCAGCTGAGCACCAATCTAGATGCTTGAATCGCCCACCAAAGACGATGACAGCAATGTCTACGCTACAGAGCACGCCGAGCTCGTACGCCTTCTTGAATAGCCCATTCTTGCGCTGGGAAGACGTCAATACATGTCCCGATGGAGGTCATATCCAAAGGGAGGATAAGAAGGAGCAAGCATCAACAGGGTCTGGATGGCGTGTTCGACTTGGCGGGGAAAGTGACGCTAATCTCCGTGAAGGGGAGGGATAAAAATAAACGGGCGTAGGCTGCTAAAATTACAAAAGCGAACATGCCAAGACCTCCGAAAATAGCAAGTTGAACTTGATTGTTCGCGCTCTGCAAGCTCTCGTGCGCGTCGTCGAGAGCAAGGACGGCCGAAATCCGATTCGGAGGGAGTCCACTGACCTTCAGAAACGTCACGCTTCTGTTCCTTTCGTGCTGCAGGCGTGTAGACTATAAATATGGGCTTCCCCACGTCCGAGCTCGTGAACGCACCAGGATCGGCTGAATCTCGATCTTCCTCCTGCCCATGGCTGCGGGATATGCTCCTTCGCGTCCTCGGTGGTGAGTGCGGGAAGCAGGTGTGTTGCTGAGGCGGACACGCAACGTTGGGCGTTCCGTCATCGGCGGCAACCCGGCCGGACCGGGCGGCGGCACACGTGACCTTTCTCCGGGCATCGTCCGCGTTTGGGATCGTGCAATGGTGCGCGCTTTTCGTCCTGAGCCTCCATGTTCTACGCTATTGGACCGCTATAGGACCTCTCGCCGACCCTCAAAAGGCTGCTCGCTGCTTCTGGATACTTTGGAAGGTATCTGGACTCTTGGCAACCCCGATTAAGACCGCTTCTCGCGCTCTCCCTGCGATACTTCCTCCTTGCTCGACTCTCGCCCTCAATCTCGCCAGCATAGACGCGTAACATTCAGGATCAACATGCGCTCTCCGATCTCTAGCACTCACTACCGGCTCGCGTCTGACGATGATGTGGTCTTGCCCTTCCTTGCATCCGCCAACTCGAATGCAACGCTCTACGACGCGTCCGCAAGTCCTGGCGGCTACTTCACCTACACTCTGCCCGCCCAGGATGGCCATCAACGCTCAGACAGCGATATGTCGATTGTATGCGACGGAACCCGACCATCCTCCTCCTGCAGCTCGCCTCGCCAAAAAAGATACTCAGGCGCGCCAAGACGTAGCCTCAGCTGTCCTTCATCTCCGTCCCAAAACAGGACTGTCAGAAGACCTTCTTCGCCGCGCTCCGAGGTCTCCATCCCGGAAGTCGACCCTTTTGATCAGTCATTCGCGCAGGCGCTGGAACCCACACGCAACGTGTCCTATCATCTGTCGCCCAAGAACCACCTGCTCGACGCGGACGACATCGATGACGCAGAAATCGAAGAATTGCCCTCGCCTGCTCTGACGCCCTCCTCGTGCTACAACCTGCTCGGACACCTGCACTGCGCGCGCTTCTCTGAGAATCACCGACTTAACGCTCATTTCGTTCACGAGTACCAACTGGAGGACGAACTTGGCTCGGGCGGCTACGGCTTCGTCATGACTGCTCGGCATCGAAAGCGCGGAGAAGAGGTCGCCGTCAAGTTCATCATCAAGAGCAAGGTCCCGTCCTACGCGTGGATGCAGCACGAAGAGGTCGGGCAGCTGCCGACGGAGGTCATGTTGCTGTGCTTCCTCGATCACCCCAACATTGTCAAGTGCAAGGATCTCTTTGAGGATTCACTCTACTACTACCTGGTGCGTGCTGCCACTGCATCGCATAACGAACGCGTCTGACAGCGCCCCTAGGTACAGGAACTGCATGGTTCTCCTTGGCAGAAGGAAACTCGACTGTGTGCCCGCTCATCTCCTAAGGCGTCTGCGACTTTATCGCCCCTCCCCGGCCTCTGCGCGTCTTCCTCGCACGACTCGATCCCCAGCTCGTCGAGCAGCTCTCCCGCCACCCCTTTCCAGTCCACCATGGACCTCGCTTCTGTTGCGCTTCTGCAGGAACCCCCTCCCTTTAGCCCAGAGACGAAGGATGATAAGACCGAGGAAGTCATCCTGATCCCCGATCCTCACCTGCTGCAGCCTGCGCGTCCCACCCAACGCCGTCGACCATCACACGACCTCTTCGAGTGCATAGAGTCGTCTAAGCATAAGCGGCTGCCTGAGGATCGCGCGCGATACGTGTTCGCTCAGGTCGTCGACGCAGTGCACTACTTGGATAGCCAAGGAGTCGCGCACCGGGACATTAAGGACGAGAACATCCTCATTGACAGCGAGTATCGGGTGCGTTCCCATGATCATCGAATGTATGCGCCTCAACCTCACCTTTCGCCTCAAAGGTCAAGCTCGTCGACTTCGGAAGCGCGTCCGTCATCGACCCCTCCCAGCCCCGCCCTTTCTACTCTCAGTTCTACGGCACCACGGCGTACGCTGCGTCAGAGATTCTGAAGAAGCAGAAATACCAGGCCGCGCCGGCGGAGGTTTGGACCCTCGGTGTCCTCCTCTCGTTCCTCCTCACTGGGAACTCACCCTTCCCTACCGTGAAGGAGGCGGTGGAGGGGGAGATACGCCTGGTCGACGTGCCGGGGTTGACGCTGGGCGAGGATGTGAGGGACCTGTTGCGTCGGTGCTTGGACCCGGATCCGAAGACGCGGGCGACGATTGCGGATGTGAAGGCGCATCCGTGGGTGACGGGGGAGCAGGACATATCGACTGCGTAATCGCGAGGCGGTCGACTTGAAGGTGGAGGTGATGGCGGAGGTGCAGGTGGGGGTGAAGGCGGAAGTGGTGGATGGAGTGAGTTGTCCGCGGCTGCTGCGTATCTTTCCCTTTTTTCTTTTCTGCTTCACCCTTTTCTCGTCGCTTCCCTTTTACATTACATCGTCCCCCTTTACATTCCATGTATATATACTCTTGCATACCGACATCATTGGACCGTCCCGCGTCGTAGATACCCTCATACCTTACCTGGATTCACCTAAGTTCTCTCAAGCCCGTTAGAAGGGCCTTTACAATACTTTCAAACTGTACCTTTATACTACACTCTGCGTAGACCATGTCGTGTACGGCGTCAGACCACCGGAGGGAGTGTTTTCAAGTAGAAAAAAATGGACAGAGTAGCGATACAAAAGAAGCACGCGCGTCCAAATAGATACGGACTCGCCAGACGTTCTTACATCAGGAAGTAGGCGATCCAAAGCATGCCAACCGACGTGACCCAGCCTTCTCGGACAGCAGTGTGCGCGGCGCTGTTATAGATGCACGTCCCCTGTGCAGTCTGTGCGACGTTGGCCGAGCTCGCTGCATGCTGGACCGTCACTGTCGGCCTAGCGGCTCGAGTACCATCGACGGCGGTGTAGACCGGATTCTCCGAGCCGTCGTACGCGTATACGGGGGCGACGATAGCTGGTGTCGCTGTGGCTACGTAGTCTTCATAGCAGGGGGCCTGCACGGGGTTTGCACCGGGGAGGGTGTCGAGGGTGCCTTTGACTGATAGGTGTGGTCAGCTGCGGTTTCCCGTACGTCTGTATATACGCGAGGGGGTACGCATACCTTTCTCCTCCACGGAATCCGTGCTGTAGCACTTGGCCTCTTGATCGAAGGTGAAGAGACCCTGGGCAACGCAGCAGGATGGGTCACCGTAGGGGTTGCAGTGGCAGTAGTCGAGGGCGTTCTTCAAGGCGAACGGCTCCCAGCCGTTGACGAAGTCTGCGAGGGAGGTGAGTGGGTGACTCGATGGGGATAATGGGAAGAGAAAAGCAGTATCTGAAAGATGGAAGAAATATGTGGATGGAGAGACAAGACGTACCAGCATGATACCCATACCCCGTGGGATCGCCGTTGGAGAAGCTGCCGATCATAAGAAAGTACACGAAGGGATGTGATCTTGAAGCTGCGTACACGAAAGGCTGATCCGGAGAATAAGACTGCGACCGGAAGGCGTCCCAAACTTGCGTAATCCAGTATACCTTTTCAGAGTCAGAGGTCGATAATTTACGCGCTGGCAGCCCTTTCACTTACCTCCATGAATATTCTTGGAAGTGTGTACGGGAATGCAGGGTCGTCACACGTCCCGTTATCCGGTCCTGTCGACAAGAAAGCGACGTGGGAGCGATGGTCGTCCGAGTCGACGTTCTGTGTAGGGACTTCATTTGAGCGATGCGTGCAGCAGCCTCTGATTGATCGCACCTTCCCGTCCCAGCAGCTGGGAAAGTTCTGCGTAAATAAGCGCCTGCATCCCGCACAGAGTACAATGGCCTACGATCTGTGAGCGAATCCCGTTCGAACATGCACCTCGAGGGAGCTCATTGAATCGAGCTGAGACGCCTCCGGCCTGTAGGCACAAAAATGTGATTGCTTGTTGAGCGAAACTCGCGGGATCGAAGGTGCGCAGATTGGGATCGCCTTCCGTAGCGCACTGATGAGTGAGCAGCGTTCCTTCGTCCTTCACCATGGCTCACCTGAGATCATCCTGAACTGGAGGGGATTTCACATTGCTCGTGTTATATAAGTTGTATACACTCACATCAACAGGAAACGGCGTCGTGCTGTTGACTTCGTCGCTGAACAGGTAGTCTACACCTTAAGTCAGCTGCGGTCTGCTGGCTCAGTGATTATCCTGACATCTTTCTGCCCATTAGCGTAGTCGAAGATGGGGAGTACGCGAGACGTACATGACCGGGTTGCCATCGACAAGACTGAACGTCCCGTTCTGCCATCTTCGGTAGTGTATTGAGAGGCGCAATTATAGCTGTATGCTTGGAAGTTACCGAAAATACAATTGCTACAGCGACTTCGTGATTCATGGAGTCAGTAGAATAATACGACTCACGCACTGGATACCAGTAATTACTCTTATCCTCGCGGATGGGCACGGATGTGCAGGAGCTGTTGCGTAGGACGTCTGAGCTCGTAGAATCGAGTCCAAAGCCACTACTGCCGACGACTGGGCGGCAGACATTAATTCGATCGCAGCCTGGTGAACTGCCTTGCGCACCGGAGTGCACATGGGTAGCAACTTGGCCCGGAGTCAGTATGGGATCAATCCGCTGCGTTGTCAGTAAATTATCTGTAGGAATATCCCCTTCGTTAGACACGATAAGAGAAGACTATACGGTCGACTTGCTGGCGGCCATAAGAAAATACGCCGATGCGTGCAATCCCAACAACCCTAGCAAAGCCAGGGTAGAAAAGATATATCGCGGCATGATCATTAGCATGATGAGGGAGGAACACAAACGTATATTCCTGCATTGCAACGATTGCGCTTCATATACGAATCGTGGCTACAGAGCTGAGGCCTCGTGGGCGGCGCATGTTCACGGTGGCCGGTGATAGCCAGGAACAAGGAGATTCCCAAAAAGGCTCGATATAATGCGCTTTGACCAGTGATCGCGTCACACCCGTTACACGTCCGAACTCAACTTGAACTTAGCCGTCACGAGCGCTCACGTCCTCGGGATCGGAACGACACAACTCACACATAAGGTAGGCGTCATTCTAAGACGCTACATAAGGCCTTACTGAATCCTGCCTTTAGTCCTTCCTCTTCATTTCCTTGAATTAAGCCTTCGCCCTTCCCTTCGGTGCTTTTCCAGCCTTCAACAAATCCTGTGCCTCCTGCTTTCCCCAATTGGGAGAGCTTATACTATGGTAAACTGCCTGTGTCGGTCTTGATCTATCTAGACGCTGAACGCTTTTGTCTAGTCTGTAACCTTGCACACAACCCATGGCGACCTGAAGGTATATCATTCGTAGCACAGTACTTTGCAACGTCGCGCATGCCAATAACGCCATCTATGATCAGATAGAGGTGTTCTGCGAAGCCGTACCCAAGACCGCAGAGGTAAAACTGCTTTGCGCTCGTCAGACCGCCACCATTACCTAACCGATTTAATAGAATTTCCTTGCCCTTTGCGCTTCGAATTACTACGACGGCTGCCTTTTCCATCGCAATATCAAGGGCTTCATGATTCAGACTGGTAAGCAATGCGCTGCACTCCTCGAAAGGTGGGCTCATCGACCGCACAGGTGATCCTTCGGGGACCGGCAAGAACGGTCAGAGTATCTGGGGAAAGCCGTTCGACGACGAGCTACGCTCGACATTGAAGGTGACGCGGGTTTCATTGAGGCTCGCGACTGCACCCTCTAACTGTACACCGATAGTTCAACGCACGAGGCATGGTCGCAATGGCGAACTCTGGCCCGAACACCAACAAGTCTCAATTCTTCATCACCTACTCAAAACAGTCCCACCTCGACCAGAAGTACACAATATTCGGGAGGGTCATCGACGGCGCAGACTCAACGCTTGATGTGATGGAACGCGTTCCCGTCAACGCAAAGAACCGGCCTCTTAACGAGATCAAGTTGCTCAGTGTATGTCTTTTCCTCGCCGTAATTCGCCCGCCCGCGCTGACTGCACACGAAAGATCACGATACACGCCAATCCCATCGCTGACTCAGAGATAGCTTCGTAGCTTGCGAATTAAAGAGTGCAAGGCATAGTGTACAAGCTCGTTGGTTACCTTTCTGCTTTCCGATACCCCAGCCTGCATCAGAAAGAGCAACGAAGCGTGAGGGCGCTCACAGCGCGATACGAAAACCGAATCAATTTTGACCATTCAAACATTTTGAAGTTCAGATGACCGAGTGGTTAAGGTGATGCCCTGCTACTACCCGTAGCCTCAGCCCAGGCATTGTGCTTTGCACGCGGGTGTTCGAATCGCCCTCTGAACGAACTTTTTGGCCCGTCTCAACCTTATGGCCCCAATAGAACGTTAGCCTGCGATTTGAGCTCGAGTGTCCCCTCAATCCAGCCCCGATAAGTCTTTCGTGTAGACGTATATACTGGATAGGTATCTGAGCAGAGTTCCATAACGACTAACTAGCCCCCAGCACAAATGTACTCCGTCCACCTCTCGGCAGTACAAGCACAGTCTCCGCGTCGTGCTCCTGGTACGTCCGCAAACTTGGCAGCGCCACCGATCCCATCGTCATCTCTCCCGCTATAGGCAGCGGCGTGATGATAACCTTGGGCAGCGCGAGCTCCCCATGGTGCAGTGCAATCAATGTCACCGGGAAAGAGAATTCGCCGTCGTTCTGGGAGGAGCGAATGAGCATCAAGTACCGCGCAATGTTGACAGTGGCGCCAACGTACCTGAGCAGCAAAGTCACCCCGTTTCCGCCCGCTCACGAGCCAGTCCCGCACCAGCTCTTCGAGCTCGAACCGGATGAGATACTGCCTGTCCGGATCTGGCGGCTTGTCGCTCCAGTGAAAGGACGTGCGGACGGTGATGATACCCGAGAGCGGCTGGCCAGCGTAGAACGGGGACGCATCCTCGGACGTCGAAGACGGATTGGCGGTTACGCGCAAGCCCGCGGCGGCCACGATCTGCGTCAACGACTTCAGCTTACTGTGCGAAGGATCTCGGTCGGAGCATACTCACATTCATCGTCGGAATGTCGACCGGGATAGCGAGCTCCTTCCACCTGCCTTTCGGTGGATTGGCGTGTCGATGGGCCTTGAGCAGGTCGAGCACCGGCGCGTTAGCCTCGTCAGATTCTTGATTCGGTACGTCGAGCTCCCCAGTGATGCTGTACTGCTGTATCCACTTCGTGTCGCTCTCTAATGCGTGGGTAAGGTTTGACAAGAGGCTCGCCCGCCTGGGAAGGTCAGCGATTTCTTCGCCCAGCGCTGAGCGTATTGATTCATCGAGAAGCTCTTGAACCTCTGTGGTGGAATACCGTCAATGACGGCGTTATCGAAGTTACAGATGGCATGCGCACCTTCTCGCAATATGCGATACCGGATACTGAAGCGCAACGGATCGAGAACTGGGCAAGTTAGTCTACGTCCTCAAATGTGTGAGGGGAGTTCGTACCTGGCCCCGCATCCGAGTGCATGCAAAAGAGGAACGAAGCGGGCTGGTTAGGCGTGACCGTCTTAGATACGAAGGCTGTCAATGGAGGTCCGATAGTGAACAACATGAACCTGAACTCACCACGACTCTGGCCTTGCTTGCGCGCACGGACGAGATAGTCACGCCTTTCATCGGCTCCAATAGTTCCAAGTGCGCCTCCGATATACGGATGTGCTGATGAGTGGTCGTTTCGACGACAAACCGAGAGAACAGCCTGAGCAATCGGTTGAGTAAACATTGCCTCAAGCCCAGCAGCAGAATACGTACTTCTTTCCTCGGAAATGGTCTTTGACATGAATGGCTATGGGCAGCGATGTCATCACGCCGCGCGCCAGATGAAGCTCGCGTGTCGTCTCTGGGTCGTCATCGACGTCGTACACGACCGAGACGTCGACAGGCTGTTACAGGATGTCAGTTCGCCAGGCCTCTGACCAGAGTGACGGAGTCATCCGCACCATCACCCGCGAGGACGGCACTCCAACATGTGGCACCTCAACTTGCACATGTTTATCGGCAGGTATGTCCGTGAGGATGAAGCCATCTTCGGAAGGCTCGATGGAAAAGTGAGAAGATGCTGACGTAGATAAGTGCGTGTTTGCCGTTGGAATGCATTTCGGTGCCCACCAGGTGCGAGAACGGCCCCTGCATGCTCGAACTGCACATTCTGCGAGGACAACTTGACCGTTGCCCGAGAAACGTGATTCCGCCCCGTCGATAGTACGACCAACACGGTCTTTCGGCCCATCTGAACTGCAAAAATCATCAGTAACCCGTCCCTTCGGTAGCTTTTTGTCATGGGCGACTCACTTAGATCCGGCTGCTTCACGCGCACGTCGAGGGCAAGCAAATCCTGCGGTATTCTGACTAGCGTAACATCCCTCGCCGAACGGAGAACTTTGCCCGAGCTTCCGCTCTTGCGATGTGTCCGCTGCAGCACGAGTTTCGATAAGTGCACCGCGCTAGTGTCCAAGGCAAATGTCCCATGCAATGGGATCTGGCTAATGTCAGAACAACGAGCGAAAAGCACGGTTCGGCTGTACTCACGGGAGAGAATGTAGTCAGCTTAGTCTTGCCGGGCGGAAGTCCCTCCGTCTTTGCCCTAAACGTCAAGCGTTCCGAGTCCCTGCCAACGAGATTGACAATGACTTCAGTAGCAGGCAGGGCCTTTTAGAGGAGTCAGGAATTTCCGTAGCGTTGAATTATTGGACGTACGATAGGCAGACGGTTCGTCACGACGACGTCGAGGTTGTTGCCATCCTTGTCTCCCGAATGACTGGCTTCACTTGCCACGGTCAGCGTCACCGCCGGATGGTCGGAGTGTTGCAGTTCTGAACCATCGCTAGTCAGTCGGACGTTGAAGCGTAACGCGCCAGACCGCTCACCCTGCTCAAGCTCAGCCGACGCTTTCCGCAATGCTTCGACCAGGTCCGTCAGGTATGTCTCACTATCTTGCTGATCCATGAGCAAGTCCTTGCCCATCGTCGTCACATAAGCTGCCAGAAACGCTAGTAGCGTATGGATCCACTCTCGGTCGTGTTGTTGGTCCAGCGCTGCGTGCGTATCAAGCGCACGCGAAAGGACGAAGAATTCCAAGGACGTCCAATGGTGAGGGGAGTAATGTGCAGGAAGGGATGTGAATGTGGTCAGCGCTGTGCTGAGGCGTTGTCGATGCCTACAAGTGTCTATGAGCGAGATCTCGCATCCAGAACGGGGAAGTACACTGACACATCGAGGGCAGCTAGGCTTCCGTGTAACTTGAGCGCAAACTTCCGTCGCCCAGCCTTGGCATACATGTCGATCGCCGACTTCGTCGTGCGGATGTACAAGTCGTAGAAGAAGTCGCTATCGTCGATAGCGGACTGCACCTCACGATTGCTGATCTTCGCTGATGATTGTGTCTTCGCTGCCGGTCCCTGATACGCGTTCGAAAAAGGTGGTTTGTTAGGGAGATGACCGGCGCTAATGCCGATGTTGTCGAGCTTGGCCCCAGTCAGCAGGAGGTAGAAATAAGAAGGAAGATATTCACTTGTATCCTGGCAAGCTCCAAAAGCTCGCCCTTCCCCGCATTGAGTGCAGCTACCTTAGGGCCTTCGACGCGGAAGGCCTTCAACCACGAGTCACACTGTTCGACAACACTGAGAGCGGAAGAGTACGTCCATGATTCTATAAAGTACTGAGGTAGCGTGTTCTACAAAGGTACACTTAGCCGAGTAAAAAAGACTAGCAGCGGCGCAGAGTACCTGGACTTCGCGCAGCCGGCGTCCGAACGCGCTAAGGAATGCGCTTGTCTTGTGACTGACTTCGTTGAGGCGGCCGAGGTTGGCAAGAAGCTGACATTGGCGGGCAAGGGTATAAATGCGGAAATCAAAGACGGAGATGGTGTTGGCGAGGATGAGGTCCTTGTAGGGCTTCTTGGAGATCGAGAGTAAGGGGGCGGAGTCGTCGTTGGGTGCGGGGCTGATGAGAGTGCCGAACCATGAGAGGTTCTTGTCCTTGAGTACGCCGTAGAACATGATCTCGAGCTCATCGTACTGTGCCAGGGCATCTTCAAATAAGCTGATGCCCTCGAATGAGGTCGCAAGGGTTTCCTGGACAATATGAGCTCATGTCCAGCGGACACGAGATGGGGCGCACCTTTAAGATAAAGAAGGTGCAGAAGTTCCAGCCTGGCATGGACTTCTGACTCTCGGACCGCTTCACTTCCTCCTCGCGTTGTTGCAGCACGAGGTCGAACGCGGACACGAGTCCATCCTTGATCTTGTTCACGGGCTCAGCCCACGTAGCGGGGTTGTCTGCCGCCGTGGACGACCAGGAGAGCTGTACGCATCGGTCGCGCTTGTCGGCGTTGAAGTCGGCGCGAATCTTGTCGATAACGCTGCCCTTGATCGCGAAGAAGTTGCCGGTCGTGGGCTTGGTTTCGGGTTTGACGACCTGAACGATGAGCCATTCTTGGTTCTTGCGGTTCACGACAGAGGTGTGCCAGTCCTTGATCTGCTTCTTCGCGGTTGTCCTGTACAGCTCAAGGTCTGCGTCCTGTCGGGAGTGTGAGCATTCTTCGTTCCTTCTCGCGAAGAAGTACCACGCACATCACAAGCGACGAAGAACAGATGCAGCAACGGTTTGTCCAACACCGTCACCGGGACCTGAGAAGCACTCTCGTCTCTCACACTTGCGAGGGGGACGAAGTTCACGTAAAGCTCTTGAATGGTGCGTATGGATGAGTGTCCCGCCGGCTTCCAGTGAATGTTGCGGAGGGGAAGTTGGGCCTCGAGAGACGATTGTATTTGCTTCCACGTCCCGGACGCGAGGAAGAGTGGAGGACCTGAGTACGAGACGCCGACCTTCTGAGATGGTGGGCGGCTCGCCATGGTCGTCGGGATCGTGGAACTCGTCGACAGCGCCACGACGCGCATCCGCCGCCGCCGACGCCATCACCGGCGATCAATAGTGATCGGGCGCTTCTTCACATCTTGCCCTTGTATTTTCCCCCACATATCCCCTTCCCCCCTTCGCCTCTAGCAATGGCAGGACCTGAAGAGGCTAGCACGTCTGCGGCAGCCCCGACGTTCAAGTCGTTGGGACTTATAGATCCTCTGCTCGAAGCCCTCGACAAGATGAGCTTCAAGGCACCCACCGAGATTCAGGCTCAAGCCCTCCCCCATGCTCTGGAGGGACGAGACATCATTGGTGTCGCTTCCACTGGCTCAGGAAAGACCGCTGCATTTGCCCTCCCCATTCTGCAAAAACTCTGGGACGACCCGAAGGGGCTCTTTGCATGCGTCCTTGCGCCGACCAGAGAACTTGCGTACCAGATCTCACAACAATTCGAAGCTCTCGGGTCTGCTATGGGTGTCCGATGTGCAGTCATAGTCGGTGGAACAGACATCATGGCGCAGAAGGTCGCCCTTGCGAAGCGACCGCATATCGTTGTAGCCACACCGGGACGTCTAGATGATCACTTGGAAAAGACTAAGGGATTCAACTTAAGGGGGATTAAATTCCTGGTGCGTTATCGTTGCCTCCTTAGCGTAAATCGAGCCTTACCCCGCTTCATAGGTGCTGGACGAGGCCGACAGACTCCTTGACATGGACTTCGGTCCCGTCATCGACAAAATCCTGAAGGTCATACCGAAGGAACGAACAACCTACCTTTTCTCCGCAACGATGACGACGAAGGTAGCCAAACTGCAGCGAGCCAGTTTGTCGAACCCAGTACGAGTCGAGGTCAATACCAAGTACGCATTTCAATACTCACCGCGAACCTGTCATAACACGTTCCCTTCAGATATCAGACCGTCGACTCCTTGTTACAATACTACCTCCTCATGCCGTTGAAGGAGAAGGATACACTGCTTGTATATCTCGCAAACACATTAGCGCAGAATTCCATCATTATTTTCACTAGGACGGTGAACGATGCTGCACGGTACGCCGTACCCATCGAAGCATACGTCCTCTGCTCATTTCGTTTCAGGCTATCAATCATATTGCGCACACTAGGCTTTCCGGCAGTACCCCTGCACGGTCAGCTCAGCCAGAGTCAGCGCTTAGGAGCTCTTTCAAAATTCAAAAGCGGTGGTCGCAAGGTCCTTGTCGCCACCGATGTCGCTAGCCGGTGCGTGCAACCGCGTGGTTGCCTCGATTCACGACTTATCCTTCCCCTTTTCGCAGTGGTCTAGATATCCCCTCTGTCGACATCGTCATAAACTTCGACATCCCCACCCATTCGAAGGACTACATTCACCGCGTCGGCCGTACAGCTCGCGCCGGGCGCGCCGGAAAGTCCATCACCTTCGTCACCCAATACGACGTCGAGTTTATCATGCGCATCGAAAAGGTTATCGGGAAGAAGATGGAGCTTTGGCCGACGGATGAAGAGGAGGTATCTCTCTTGCGCGAACGTGTGGGCGAGGCTGCGAGGGTGGCGGCGGCAGAGATGCGGGATCAGGCAAAAGCAGGGCATGGCGGAAAGAAGAGGAGGAGAGGGGGTGATGAGGGTGGAAAGGACGACAGAGACAGGGACGATGATATGGTAGAGGCAGGTATGCCGATGAAGCGCAAGAAGGGGTCCCGTTGATATCGTGTATCGCGGCCTCTTACAGTTGTTTGTCCTGTACATGGGAATTCTGTACATTGCCAAGCTCAGAAGTATCGAAGCCATAACGGCAAGTATGTAAAAAGAGTCGGTGCGCGGAGTCCAAGCATGAATACCGTCGAGAAAGCAGGGAAGGGCAAAAATGCAACTGCCCCGGAGAGGCTCGAACTCTCGATCTTGTGATTTGCCAAGCGAAACTTAACAGTCACACGCCTTAACCATCTGGGCCACGGGGCAGACATTTGAGGTCGTAATAATGCATCCACAGTGTCAATGCTGCTGTGGATGACAACGGGAGGGACGGCAAGAGTACTTACACAGTTTGACAGCGCCATTCAATGCTTCGGTCTCATAGTCAGACCAGAGAAATTAGATGGTTGAAGGCCAGCTTCATGCAAACATCAGGTCCGAGCGCAAGACGTACTTCGTACCCTTTACAACTGGCGCGCCTTCGTGCAGCAAGCAATTCGCGCCATGTCTTGTAGAGGGCCCTTCAGTGCTGGTCATCGAACATGAAGAAGAGACGGCCTGACAGACCTGTGAAGTAGAGCCATGCCGCGTGACAATGGCGGAACGAGAGGTCGGGTCGTTCGCCGCTTGCCCTCTCCTTCTTCTAGCTGGAAGATAGTCTGTATAACGATGAGCCTTCAGGCGACGGAAGGTACTTGCTCAAACATACCTCTCCTCCTTGAACGCCGTCTTCGGCGCCTGTAATATATACAAGGAGCGTCCATTCAGATTTATCGCCGGTGACACTGTCCTTCACGGAGTCGTCGTAGTGCTGACTGGTTGGGTGTCAGCAATGATACTTCCCATCTCAAGGGCCGACGCAGAAGCTCACCCAAAGTACTGCCCCTGAGTGTACTTGTACATCCGAATATTCGAGTTCATCGAGTGAGGCAGCCGCGGCGCCCCTCCTCTCGCAGGGTGCGGAAAGGGCGACAGATGCGGCGTCAGCACCTCATGCAATCGCTTAGCGAAGTCGGGCGATGTTATAGAGTAGCGGTCTGCATGAATGAATCAAGAGTTTGGAATCTGAGGCAGCTGGAGTTCAGAGCCTGAGCACACTCACAATTCACCCTCGACGCCTCGCCTCTCTTCTTCGGTGGTGTCAATTCGAGGGGCAAGTTGTCGATAAAGTGAGCGTAAGCTTTGCATTCTGCGGCCGAGAGGAAGTTCTTTGGACATTATTTGTTCTGAGCGTTCATCGAGCATACATATTCCCCACCTTGATCAAGATGATTTGGTCCTCGAGGAACGTCTCAATCTCCATCCAGTCCTTCTCCGAAATCTCAGGAAATTTCAAGCTTGGGGCTGGAGGAGGTGCAGCAGCCGACGAAGGGACAGCCTCCTTCACCTGTCCCTTCTTGTTATTGGTCTTTCGTGGAGGCATATGGATGTCAAGGTTGGTGTCGAATGAGTGTGGGAATCCAACGCCGGTGAGCGAACTCCCGTTTAGGCAACCCTTGTTCTTTCTCAACTTCCCACCATCACCTCTCCGACGCTCCCTACCGCCATGTCCTCACGCAAAGTCCAGCCCACTCAGGTGTCGGACGTCCCGCAAGACTTTGAGAAAGATCATGTGCATGCAGTATACGATGAGATAGCGTCGCATTTCTCTTCGACGCGGTATAAAGTAAGGGCTGCCACATCGTTCTCAAGGATTTCTTTACCTGATAAATATTCGCTACTAGCCATGGCCCGTCATTGCAAAATTCCTTTCTTCCTTACCCACCGGCTCCGTCGGTCTGGACTCGGGCACGGGAAACGGGAAGTACCTTCCACTCCCGCTCGACAGACCGAGCGGGTCAGTGTGGACCATTGGCCTCGACAGAAGTCGCAACCTCCTGGAAATTGCGCGACGAGCGGGCGACGGACCACTGCGTGAGGTAGTCTGGGGCGATGCGTTGCAAGATTGTTGGCGATGGCATGTATTCGTGAGTGTCAAGACGGGATGGTAGGATTGGGATGCTGACTGATCCGATCTCGCAGGACTACGCCATCTCGATTGCCACCATACACCATCTGGCGACAGAGGAAAGGAGAAGACAAGCGGTAGAGGTTAGCGGTTTAAGATACTGTGGCATACGTACACTAACGTCCGAACAGGCGCTCATCCGCGCCGTCTCGCCCGCATCCGGCCGCGTGCTCATCTACGTGTGGGCAGTCGAACAGGACGAGCTATCGAAACGACACATACCAGCAGAAGATACTTCCGACGCAGGCGTTGACGTCTTCGTCCCTTGGGTGTTGTCGGACAAGGCGAAAATTCCATCGGACACTCCCGCGAGCGAATCGAGGGTGTACAACCGATACTACCACATGTTCGCGCGAGGAGAGCTAAGGAGATTGGTGGAACTCGCAGCAACGGGGATGGGGTTGGAGGTAGGCACGAGGGAAGAAAGCGTAGTAGGGAGGCGAGGATTGGAGATTGTGCAGGATGGATGGGAAAGGTCAAATTACTACGTAGAGTTGCGACTTTGGCGTACCTGAGGTTCATCAATGCAGAACGAAGGAAGCCAATGAATGCTGAAGCACGAGAAGCCAGGGGAAAGAGATGCAAAGAAGATTGGAGATACTGGTACAATTGAGGATACGATGTGAACCTGCAAACGCCCGACAGATCATGCGGGGGTCTCAGAGTGGTACCCATATATCGTCTGCCAGAACATGGGTCGGTGCATCTGCTCGATCATGTCGTTCGCGAGCTTCATATCTGAGGACGGTCAGTCTCAGCGTCCTGCATAAACAAAACTCATACGCACCGATTTCGTCCCCCAGCTCAATGAGCCCCGCAAGCTTGATAGTCGAGCTGTCCTGTACCAGGCCGATAACTTCGAGGTACACAGAGGTAGGCTGGGTGTCCTCCTGATTGAAGCGTCAGACCACAGTGTACACAAGCGCTCAGACATCGTGCTCACAGGCTTCGTTGCGACGACCACAACCACTTCACCGCCGTCTGTCGTTTCCACCTTCATTTCACGAGGGCTTGAAAACTTGGGCTCGTCAGATCAGCCTACTGTTCCGGTAGGGCGCCTTCACTGCGCTTACGTTCTTCAGCTTGCAAATGAGCCTGACTTGCTTCCCCGTGAAGCTCGACAGCTTTGCATAGTTGACGAAGGGTGAAATGTGCTCATTTTGCGACATAGTGAGATATTCAGGAGTTTCCGAAAACGGCTGAGTCGGAAATGTGGGACACGCGACGCGTCCAAGATGAGGGTAGACGTGTTGTTATGCGCTGTTTACCGACGCGACTTGTGAGTTTTCCCACGCCGATAATGGACCTCGGGCCGAGGTTATGCCCGATCAGGCAAAGTCCCCGGGCCATTGTTCGCTCTGAATTGTCCCCAAGTTGTGACTTTTGTCTCCAAATTCCACGGCACTCTCTCTTTCTTTTTTTTCTTCCCCCATCACGTCCTCACGATCCACGACAAGGTCTCTGGCAGGCCGCCTCACGTTCTTTTTCCCCGACACGACTGCCCCACGACTCCCCGCTCTGGAGCAGCCACTTTCGCCTCGTCGCGTCCCTCCCCTTCTCGTCTCGCACTCCGGATAATGCTACGCGAGACTGTGGATCCCATGCCCGTGTCCCCCACCTTCCTCAGGATTCGTGTCATTGCTTTCAGTGCGTGCGCCACCGATCGGGCAGACGAGCGGGCGAGCTAACCTCGGTGGCAGGTCTTATTGCTTTCTTGAGCTTTCTATGGGCCATATTCTATACGCTGGACATGTACTGGCTCTTCGATGGGATGAAGGCTCCCGAGCGTGCGTGGTCCGCATGATAGTCGTGACGCTGCCTGCTGAACACACTGCAGGGATCCTCATTTCCCTCATGCTGTTGAACAGCTCTGCGACTTGCATAATGCTTCTCGTACTGTGCGTGACTTGAACATCATGCTCGCGCATCTGCTCATACCCCGCCAGAATCACTCGCGAGTTTCGCCCTTGGCTGGATGCCGCTCGTATTCTCCTTCTCTTCACCACCCACATCTGTAAGTTGCGCTGTCACTGAACCGAACGACGCTGACGCCAGAGACAGGCTCGGCTGTGGGATACTCACTATGGTACCCTACCTATGTCTGTCCTGCTGCAAGTACGTCGCTTCAAGTGCTCAGTAGCTCGCGTCTCATCCCACACCAGAATCAGCAAATATGTGTCGCATGTTCAACCTCTACATCCTTGTCATCAACTGGGTGGATATCGTCTTGCGTGCGTGTTTTGCCCCTCGACGATCTCACCCCTCTGACGCGCTCTGACAGTTCTCGTCTACGCCGGGGGCTTGGCCACGCTCGTCTTCGTACGCCGTCGCGCCATGCAGCGAGAGGCGCAGCAAGGCATTCATGAAAAGTTTGTCATTGACGCGCCCGACGCCACGGAAATCGGGAGAGGCGACCTGCTGCACACCACGTACAGTCCTCCCACTCTCACTCCTTCCTCTCGACACGCGCATTCTCGAAGTAGCGCCAGCTCCTTCTTCCCCTACCCCCAGACCGCTACCCCGCAATCCATGTCTCCCCCTCAAAGCCGACACAGCTCCTTCCAAAGCTCTCACCACCACTCTGCTGGGAGCTCTCGACACAGCTCGACGCAGAGCTCTCGTCCCCACTCGATCCAGAGCTCGCGTCCCCACTCGACTGAGAGCTCGCGCCAGAACTCGACGCAGAGCTCCCGCAGCCACTCCCGCTCTCGGACGAACTCTCGTACCCTTACCATGTCCCCCATCGTCGAAGAGCCCCGCCTGCCCGAGCCAGCTGTCAGCAAACCGGACCTGAGCCCTCGCTCGTCCGCTCGCCTCTCCCGGCCCCGTCACTTCATGTAACGAAAGCATCCCCTTCACGCTGTATTATAAAGATTAGCACCTGCGGTGCCCAGTGCCGGACACTGATCAGACCTTGCTGTAGCATATCCTAATGTATTCACGCACCCCTAATGTATTCACGCACCTTGAATGCAGAGCATCACTCTTTCGTGTAGTCGGAGTCTCGCAAGCCTGTCGGAGGTGCACGGCGCGAGGGGTGGGTGGGGAGGGGGCGCCGAGGGCGCGGGAAGGGGAGAAGGGGAGAAGGGGAGAAGGGGAGAAGGCGGGGGGAGAAGGCGAGCGAGAGCGTGCGCGAAGGGGGGGCGATGGGAGAAGGGGCGCGGCGAGGGGGAGAGGGGGAGAGGGGGGGAAGAAGGAGAGGAGGGGCGAGGCGAGGCGAGAGGGCCTCGTACATTGTAGATAGCACCCGTTGTGTATTGTAGATAGCACCCTTTGTATTATGTACTAGAATACATCTCTTTGCTTCACTCTACGTGTGAGCTGCGCGCGACGAGAAAGGGGATGGGGGGTGCGTAGACGGAGGTAGGGGAGGTGGGGGAGGCCGGGCGAAGGAGTAAAGCCGCGTGAGGGCGAGCAAGAACGGGCGAAGGTGAATAAAGTCGCGCGAGGGAGAGCAAGGACGGGCGAAGGTAGGGGAGGTCGCGCGAGGGAGAGCGAGGAAGGGGGTGAAGGGGGCGACAATTGAGTACACGCGACGACGAGACTTGAGCACTCACGAAAAAGGGCTCGTCAGAGGGCGAGAAGACGAGAGGGGGCGAGGTGGGGTGATAGGGGAGGGCAATTGCGACGTAAATAACGATGGGGGAGGGCAATTACGACGTAAATAACGATGGGGGAGGGCAGCTGCGCGAGGAGGAGGGAGCGAGGTGCGAGCGAATGAAGGAGAAGAGCGAACAAAAAGGGGGAAGCGATGAAGGGGAGGGAGGGGGCGAGCGAAAGAAGAGAAGGGAGGGGAAGTAAAGTGAAGGGGAAGTCAAGTAACGGGCAAGTAAAGCAATGGGGAAGTAAAGTAAAGGGGAGGGGAAGCTGAGCCGAGCAAAGGGAAAAGGGGAGGAGCGAAGATGGGGGAAGGGAGGAGCGAAGGTGGGGGAGGGGAGGCAAAAGGCAAGAAAGCGAAGGGGTGGAGGCAGGGTGTATCATATACGAGCGGGGGGACAGTCAAGGGTGGAGAGGGGGATGTGCACGAAGGGTGAGGGCGAAAGCAGGAAAGGAGAAGTCAGGGGCGATACACACCTTCACGCGCGAGAGCTAGAGCTTACACTCCTTCGCCCGGGACCCTCTCGAGAGCTTGGTCTTCGCGCACTTCGTAAAGTCGATGAGCTCGAGGATGCGGCGGTTTCCAATCGACGTGAAGGGGAAGGCGTTATATTTCAGGCAAAGGGGGTAGGGACAGCGCCTTGTAAGTATATACCTACCCCGGCATCGCACCGATACCCCCTTCCTGCTCTCTGTCAAGGTTCGCACGACATCTCACCCCCCTTCAGGGTGAGATGAGTTCCGCCCTCGCGCGACAAGCAAACCCCACTGGCACCCTGTCTCGACGAGCCGACCCCCCTCCCCGATTCTGGGCGGCCTCTCATCCGCCCTCAGCGCACCCCACGACGAGTTAGCAGGACCCCTCCCCCTCACACCAACCGCACACCCCCGCGGGATATGAGCGCGCACCTGTGGCGCGTCTACCCCCACGAGACAGGCCCCCTCCTCGCCGAAATTCGACACCCCTCCCGCTCAGAGACGAGGGGCCGAGTCAGTCAGTCTCTTCTTCAGTTGGGCGCACGCCAGATAGACCCCTCCCCCTCTGACTCGCCGCACGTCGCTCCCCCCGCCCCCTTCTCTCGCCCGTTCGGGAAGCCCCCACCCATCGACTCGCCCGCGCTCTGCCCATCTCATCGCGCACCCAATCCTAGTCCCCTAGTCGCCCCTCGCCCCTCCCCTCCTCGACTCAGCAGCCCCCCTTCGCTTCTAATACCCCCCACCGCCGAGCCCGCGCGCGAGCAAGAGTAAATGCGCACCTTTCCAGTCGCGAATACCTGCGCGGGACCCCCTCCTCTCGCCCAAAATTGAGGGCGGCGTTGATTTCGAGGGCGCGCGCTCGAGTCCACGGACACCTTTGATTGGTTAGCGCATCCTCGAACACCCACCCCCGCGAAAAGCGCACTCACCAGGTCAAAAAAGACTTCCTTCCCGAGGGAAACACCCCTCCCTCTGCTCCCCCCACCCTTCCCCGAAGGCGCCGTCCAAGGGGGCCTCTCCATTTCCCCCACCCTCCCTCGCGAAAGCGCCGTCGAAGGGGGCCTCTCCATCTCCCCCACCCCCTTCGCTGCTATCCTTCTCGGCGTGCCCTTCGCTCAAAAGGGGGTATGTCCGCATGCCGAACCTTGAATCTCTTGACGAAGCACATCTTGGCCGATGTGCCGATGCGATTGCGGGTAGAGGTGGCGAAAGAATATCTCTGAGAAGGGGGGTCAGCGTCGGGTAGAAAAGGCGGTGGGGGGATAAACGACGAGAAGGGGGAGGGAAGGAATATCTAAGGCGAGGCAAAGGGGATGCTATGATAACTAGAAGGGTGGGGGATAAGTTACTTGGACGCCGTGAGGCGCGAGCTGGCTGAGTGCGAAGGCTGGGAGGAGGGAGGGGGAGCGTTAAGCAAGGGGGCGGTAGTGGACTTGTAAGTAGTAAGGAGAGCGACGAAAGCGAATGTTAGTACAGGTACGAAGGGCAAAGCCAATCAGGATCACGACAAGGGAGGGGGTGCAAAGCAAGGACGAGCGGGAAATAAAGCAAGGGGGGGAGTAAGTAACTGGAAGGTAGCCGCGTTAGGTCAAAGATAAGATGTAAGTAGGTGGATAGCGATGACGGTCAGTGATGACTTGGAATTTCGAAGTGGGTAGTGTAGCATATAGTGATCATTGGTTTATATCAACACAAGGGAGGGGGGAGGGCCAACGATGGCGGGGGGAACGAGGGACTCACCTCGACGGCAGTCGACGACGGCCACGGATGCGATCCTCGTTGCAGCACGCGGTCCCCGTCGTCGTCGTGCGTGCGTCATCGTTGAAGACACACGTCGAGGTCGGCGCGTCGGGGAGGACAGGCGGGTGGTGCATAAATCCGACCGAAAGCCGTCAAGTCGACCAGGTCTCCGCGCCCGGCGTCGCGCGGTCCATGCGCGGTCTTCGATGTTGGTCGTCGAGGTCGCTGCACACGATGAGCAGGTGAAAAGCAAGAAGGGTCAGTACCGACCTTGACCATTGCCTCGCCACCGTCCAGTCATCTCGAGTGCCGCGCGCTATCCACGTCCCCGCACGCAGGCCGCGCTCAACATTCCCTCGTCGCCGTCGTCGTCGTCGTCGCCATTGTCGCCGTCGTGGTCGAGCGCAAGGAAGCTCTGCGGAGGAGACGCGGCGCGGGAGAACCAAGGGGAAGAAGACGTTAGAGGGTGACACGTTGACAGGCGCAGACAAGAACCAACTCACGTCATGTTATGGGCGTCAGTGGGTGGCTGGTATGGTCGATAGTCGAGAACAACGGCATCTGCACGCACTAATTTTCAGTAATTAGGGCAGACACAAAGAATGGGACGAGCTTACTGAATAGGCGTCGCCGACGTGATAGACACGCCCCATGAGGATCGACGCGGCCACAGGATGTGCTGGAAAACGCCGCCGTCGGAATCTTGAAGCTACACGAAGTAACGACTGGTCAGTCATGAGTGATACCCTGTCGTAGTATAGGCAACTCACCGATACCAATCCTTTCAAAGACGTGGCAGCAAAGGAGAGCTTAGTAACGGGGAGTGAGCGCGGGTAAGAGAAAGAGGAAAACTGCCTCAGTCGGCGCTGATGGGCAAAACTCACCTTCGGGATGAGCTGGCTGAGGACCGGGAGCTCAGCGTGCACGTAGAGCGCATCGCGTACCGATAGGGGTGTACGCACGGTAGTCCTGGAGGTGCCTTCTGATCAGTAAGAAACATGAACGCGTTACAAGACTTGACTTACCAGAGCAGAGGCCTGCGCTTGCAGCTTCGCAAGTAGACGTCGAGGAGGCTGAAGTAGTAGATTAGAGAAATCAACAAAACATCTGAAAGCCATACTCAGGTAGAGAAGCCGACAGTGGAGGGAGGGTCTACGAGGCGCGGTCAGCATGTAGGGTGAGAGCGATAGCAAGAGAAAGGACGTACACGAAGGGAATCAGCGAAAGGGGCATAAGCAAAGGTCGTCGCAAGTAAGATCGCTGTGAATATGCGGAGGGAAGGAAGTCAGGCTGGCTGATGTCGCTACTGACCTCCCCGCCCGCCTTTTATACTCAGAACGCCTGCCGTCCTCCGTCTTCGCCCGAACTGGGCTCCTCGGCGAGCGCTCCCATCGTCCATTCTACGCACCCAGCGTGCAGCCTAAGACCATTCAAACGTACGTACACGGCGACCGATTAACTCACCGCAGTCCAAACCGAAGTTTGCGCGCGCCAGGGCGGAAGATTGGGGCGCAATCCTCCCCGACATGGCATACGTCCTGCGAGCTTCACGTCGCGATGGACGCCCAGGTCGCGTCGAATACACGTACCAAATGGCCTCCGCAGTCAGGGGGTGGCGTTAGGGAGCGACTGAGTTGGAAATGCAGGAACTGCTCGCTGAACTTTGCCGGGCGCGTTCTCCAGCGCAAAGGGCGTCTCCCTCGACGCCTGAAGAGCCCAGCGTTCGTCAGAGTGCAGAACAGCGACGAGAAAACATACAATGAGTGACTCGTGACGCGTCACAAAGCCGAGGCGCCCGAAGAAAAGCGCCAGGAAAATCAAGGTGGTGGTTGAGTTGAACGCGATCAGGCCGTTTCTCCTTTGGGAAGGCCTTCAGCTGCTGCAGAAAGGGCGCGCCAAAGGCGCGCTCTACTCTGCGTCGTCCTCGCCCAAACCGCCCCCGCCAAGCCTCGGAAACTTTACCGACGAGAGCTCCGCTTCTAGATCCACGTTCTCTCCCGCAGTCTATGGGGAATACAATGCAAATGCCGTGCATGAGCTATCGTGCTCGCGGAGAATCGCATTCGAGACCACGTACATCGCGCCCGCTGTCACCACACAACGTCAGAAATAAGCTTCGAGTATCATGGTGCACGTCTCGGAGTATTTCCGGGCGTGGAAACGTACGAGGATGGGTGGAAGATGTGAGTGGAATTTTGGGCAAGAGCGCCTAGAGCTTGCCTGTCCGCAATAGAGCCCGGCGGGCGCACCACCGTTGTCGTATTTAGTGTGCGTAAATAATTATTCCCGAGATCCATCCGGTTTCGGACCATCCGCGCACGGAAGACGGGTGAGGTGGCAGAATGAGGGAGAGGAGGAGAGGGTCATGTATGTGGCTGTCTGCGGTCAGCGCACGCTATTGCATCGTTCAGTATAGACTAAGGAGTAGTCTCATACGATGTAATTATACTTTTCCGGGCATAATACCCTCGGGCAACGGTGCAATGAATGCGCCGAAATCGACGCCACATATTCAATCCGCCACCTTTCGCGCCGTACATAGCGTTCGCATGCACGGGCAGAGATTCTGAAAGCAGAATCGTAGTCAGTAGCACCAACATAATCGATCTATGGGTTGAAATTTTTCACAGAATATATTTTTGTGTAGGGTGACCGTTTGAGGTGGTGAAGAGGTCGAGTTTGGCATGCAAACCTCTTCGTCCTTCAGAAACGATAGGACAGAACGCTGATCCCGCCCATCGAAGACTTGCTGACATATTCTGAAGCGCTGGAGGTAATTATCTGGGTGTGTAGGACCCATCGTACCTGCTCATTCGACGTCGGACGTCGTCCGAATGGTTCTCGAGGCAGAGTGCGCGCCACCGCGTGAGTCTTTCAGGATTTGTGAGCGCGCCTTCGCGCGGGTGAGAGAGAAAAGCTCAAGATAGGTATAGATTAAATGAAATGTCTGTTTCGCATAATCTCCGGCGTTGCGCAGGTACGCGATGGATGAGAAGTGCATGTGGCGGCGAGAGACAAGGGAGTTCGGCAAAAGCCGGTGAGGTTCGGGAGCGCGTTTCCGGTTTGCCGGCGGGTCCTTCTTCGACTGCAACCATCACTAATCATTCGAACGACGCTCGTCGCGCTTGCGCTGCTGCTCATCGGCGCACACAGAGGTCCCTAATGACCATCTTCAAGTTCAATAAGACCACCAGATACACTCATACACTCACACCGGTGCTGAACTTCAATGCACTTGATTTCTCTCCGACGTGCTGGTTGCTGCATTCAGCCTGAATTCTCCGGCGCGAATACAATGGCATTACGGTGTTCCTTCCGTTTTCCGAGAGCGACAAACGCGGACTCGTAACTGAGGGTCCAAAGGGTAGCTTAAAGGGGTAAGATTCCGGACACTGATAGGCTCACCGCCGCATGCGATCACAGCGCCGGTCAGTTTGTGTACGCAAGATTGTCCGTTGATGTTCACGGCACGCGACGTTTCTTCAAATATACGCTTCCTTGCTTCGCTGGCCTCTTGCAACGTCCCCCGTTCCCCCGTCTTCATGCTTTTCCTCTTCGACCCCATCCGCTGCCCGTCCGCCATTGCCTCAATCATGCTCTGTTGGTGGATTCGTCTGGCGGTGAGTCTCTCGTACCTCTTTCCCTTTCTCGAGTCGGTTGTCTTCGCGCTTGAGGCGCTCCACTTCCCCTCCATGTTTAGCCCCCAGCTCAGCGCGAGCGCCTGCGGCTTTTGCAACTTTCTCCTTCTGGTCCCGCTCCTGGCTTCGCTCTTGCCTGTCGGGCGACCCATTCTCCCTTCACATTCACGACCTTTGATCTTCCTCTCTGCCTTCCACTTCCCCTCCATGTTCGACTTTCTGTCGTTCCCGTTCCTGTTATCAATCTCGTCCCTGCCTTTCACTTCCCCTCCATGTTCTCAAACTTCGCTCGCAATCCCTTCCATTGTCTGTCTCCCATTTCCCTTGTAGCTTTCGGTCTCGTACGAGTTTACGACTCGTTTCATCGCCCCATGACCGTCTACTGAAGCTTCTGCAGAGCGATCTGGCTCTCCCGCTTGACTGCCGCGTCTCTTGCGCTTCGCGCTAGGACTGCGCAGGGAGACGCTTGGGTTGATCGTAGGGCGGCGCTCGCACTAATGTGCCGGTGAGTTCCTGCTAGGCCTTTGCTCTACAATAGGCTGATGCGTTGTTGACGGAGTGTTGCGAGTATGCGGGACTCTCTACGCCGGCGCGTCAACATCCCGCAAGGATCCAATGTCGCCGGAATTCCTCACGCTTGAACGGACGCGCTTCAACTCACGCAAGCCGCCGCGAGCCTCGACGATGATCTCTCAGCAACCTCGAAGACGGTCACCCGCGACATCAACGACGGCTTCTCGTGGCCTGCCTCGAACTCGGCGAGGTAGCGGTGGTAGTCATTCGGAAGAAGAGGGCCTCCGTCGAGCAAGGGACAGTGCTCGACAGGCTTGCACGAAGACTCTCATCCATGCTCGGTGCGTACCATTGACTCGGCGGTTGTGGATTTTGCTGATTCTTCACTCGCAGCCTTACCCTCGCAACGACGCGCAACCTCCTGTTCAACGCGCGGCTTTCTTTCTCTTCGACGCCTGAGCCTTCGTCCCGCGCCCAGCTCCATGTTCCGCACGCGACTCCCTTGTCGATGTCCCAAATCCTCGTCGATGCCGTATCCCCTCAAGCACGCGCGTCCCTGCGCAAGTCGCGGAGGGAGGTATTGTCGTCCGATGAGGTCTCGAGTTCATCCCGAAAGCGGTCTTCGGGTTACGTCCGCATGGTTTGAGGTGAGTTTGGCGCGTCCGCGATCCATGATCGGCACTGACTTTGTTCTTGTAGAGCTACGGATGCACCGCGACTGCAGGACTGCAAATAGTCCCCGCTTGTTGCGCGGAGGTCATTCTGCTCAACGCGCCGGGTGCATCCTGCTCAATGCATTGCGGGCGTCTTTCTCATTGCGCCGGGCGCCCCCTGCTCAACTCTTGCCGCCACTACTATCCACGAGACGGGTTCGGCTCCAACTCGTGAAGCAATGGACCTTCGTCCGGCGAGCAAGGTGATATGTACGTCTACGAGGCGCACGTCTGAGCGAGACACTAATGTTTCGTCACAGATCGTACTTCGCATCGTCAGGGTTGTACTTCGCATCGCCAGTGTTGTACTTCGCGATGCCAACGTCGTACTTCGCCCTCTGCGTACCCCAAGCGATTCGCGAAGCAATGCATCGCCGTCCGACGAGCGGCGATCTCGCAACCTGAACCTTCTGCATACGCGCTGCCTAGCCAGCCAACTCGCCAACTCACTACGATTCACCCTCCCGCCGTCACGAAGAGGCCAATTCGCCAGCAGGGTCACCTCAGTATTCATTTTCGTCCGGCGAGGTACGCTCCTCCTGTGCCGCGTCGAATGTTATCAAACTCATTGTGCTTCCAGATGCCTTTGAATCGAGCTACACTATGCCTTTCCGTCCAGTCCGCTCGCACGCCGTCGCTCCAAGTTTCGCTCCCGCTGCCTGTTCAAGTCGCTCGGCCGCTGCCTGTTCATCAAGTCGCTCGGCCGCCGCCTATCCAAGTCGCTCACCCGCCGACGCATCTGATCACCCATGCGCCACCCGCCCAAGTCGTGAAGCAATGTATCGCCGTCCGGCGAGCAAGGTATCGGGGTTCTCGGTTGGGTAGTACTTCGACTTCTAGCTCGGGTAGTACCTCGACTGCTGTGGTCTCACAGGTGAGCACTTCGTACTTCCCTCGCTGCGCGCGCGAGTCGTGCTAATAAAAAGCAGCATTTTGTAGATCTCTTGTATCTTGTACATCCTTGGAAATTCACAGACGACCGATTTTACGACCTGTATACTACCTCGCTTGCTCATTAACTACCTCTACTCCTCGCGCAGCATCTCATCACTCATCAAGTAGCACATCCCTTCTCACCTCACCTCACCTCTACTCACCGCGTCGCATCCCACCTCGCCTGCGTTTGCCCACTCGCCCCCTCGCGGCGAACTCCGGCGCACACGTGGACGCCTCGGGCCCGAAAGTTGAACGTATCACGTGACCCGCGGCTGGCGATGAGGCAACGTATCGACGTCCGGCGAGCGGGGTGTTCGACGTCCGGCGAGGAGGGTGGTCGGCGTTTGGAGAGGGTGGCCTGCGTCGGACAAGGAGAGTGGCCGGTGCTTTGTTAGCGGGGTGTAGCTACGTCGGGCAATGTGTACACTTGTCGGGCATACTTGTCGAGCAGGCAGAGTACGTGATTAGTGGGATCAGTGCATGATGGGTTATCAGGAGAATAGAATTCGTCAAGCTAACTAGTGCGACGTTTGAGCCATTGGTACTTTGCCAAGGACTTGTGAGGGATGAGCTTTGGTGAAGGACAGTGTCAATGTATAATGCATTCAATCAGCAGACACATGTCGTTTGACCTATGCAGTCTCGAGTCTTACAGTTCTACCTCCAACTATGCAATGTATGGTCTTACGACGAGCGAGCTAATTCTACGTCCAACGTAAGGAATGGAAAGAAACAGGGGACCTCAACGTAACCGAGCTTGTCAAAGTGGCAAGGCTAAAGTACCGCTCACCGGCAATCTACGTGAGTACGGAGGTGTGACTGACCAGAGAGGGATGCCCGGAGGAGGATAGATGGATGAGAATGAGTGAGAAGAGATGTGGCTTTGGCGGAGAGAGATGTAGGCTTGTGCGAGTGCCACAAATGATACTCTGCAGTTAGGAACGAAGAGCATCAGCCAGCGTCGAGCAACCAGCACTTACACCCCTCGGCGATAAGGTCACAGCACCGGTAAGCAGAGACGTAAGATGGAGAGCGGAAGGCGAGGGCGGGCAGAGGATAGCAGGAGAGGGAAGTGTGCAGTGGATGGACTGTATAAAGAGAAAGTGGAGAGCAAGTCAAGTGCTAGTCACTGGCCTTTATCCGAAGTCGTCAGCTGCATCCCGGTGCCGTCCTGAACGCACCAAAAAGATGAAGTTGCAGACCACCTCACAAACAAGAATCCCTCTGTCACGCATCGCAAGAGGAAGGTAAGTGCGCGAGCAGCCATTCACTCGCCGTGACAGCCCGTGACAACGCGAGTCCGGTGCGAATCCCGATGACGGCACCCCGGCTAACCACCGGCTATTTTCGTCCTGGCCTGCTCGAGCGTAGGCGGGGAGAGGTGGTGAGAGGCGAGGGAGGCGAAGCTAGCGAACCTCGATCGGATGTGCTGTCAGACAAGGGCCGTCCATCGAGCACTCACTGCTCGCCCGCGACGTGGGCTATCGTGAGCATCCCTACGTCTCTGCAATATCCCCGGGCTATTGTTCGCTTGTTGCAGAACACGCGACGTGCTGCGCGGTCTTTGTCCACCGATGCGGAGCAAACTGTGACTTTTTGTCTCGAGCCTCCACGGCACTTTCGCTCCCTTTTCTCTCTCCCCCTCACGTCCTCACGACACACGACAAGGTCTCTGGCAGGCCGCCTCACGCTCTTTTCCCCGGACGCCCGTTCCACGACTGCCCCACGACCCCAGCTCTGGAGCAGCCACTTTCGCCTCGACGCGTCCCTCCCCTTCTCCTCTCGCACTCTGGACTATGCTACGCGAGACTATGGAGGCCATGCCCGTGTCTCCCACCTTCCTCAGGATTCGTGTTATTGCTTTCAGTACGTTGCGCGCCACCGATCGGGTATACGAGCTGGCGATCCTAACCTCAGTGGCAGGTCTTATTGCTTTCTTGAGCTTTCTGTGGGCCATTTTCTATACGCTGGACATGTACTGGCTCTTCGATGGGATGAAGGCTCCCGAGCGTGCGTGGTCCGCATGATAGTCGTGACGCTGCCTGCTGAACACGCTGCAGGGATCCTCATTTCCCTCATGCTGTTGAACAGCTCTGCGACTTGCATAATGCTTCTCGTACTGTGCGTGACTTGAACATCATGCTCGCGCATCTGCTCATACCCCGCCAGAATCACTCGCGAGTTTCGCCCTTGGCTGGATGCCGCTCGTATTCTCCTTCTCTTCACCACCCACATCTGTAAGTTGCGCTGTCACTGAACCGAACGACGCTGACGCCAGAGACAGGCTCGGCTGTGGGATACTCACTATGGTACCCTACCTATGTCTGTCCTGCTGCAAGTACGTCGCTTCAAGTGCTCAGTAGCTCGCGTCTCATCCTCCACCAGAATCAGCAAATATGTGTCGCATGTTCAACCTCTACATCCTTGTCATCAACTGGGTGGATATCGTCTTGCGTGCGTGTTTTGCCCCTCGGCGATCTCACCCCTCTGACGCGCTCTGACAGTCCTCTTCTACGCTGGGGGCTTGGCCACGCTCGTGTTCGTACGCCGTCGGGCAATGCAGCGAGAGGCGCAGCAAGGCATTCATGAAAAGTTTGTCATTGATGCGCCCGACGCCACGGAAATTGGGAGAGGCGACCTACTGCACACCACGTACAGTCCTCCCACTCTCACTCCTTCGTCTCGACACGCGCATTCTCGAAGTAGCGCCAGTTCCTTCTTCCCCTACCCCCAGACCGCTACCCCGCAATCCATGTCTCCCCCTCAAAGCCGACACAGCTCCTTCCAAAGCTCTCACCACCACTCTGCTGGGAGCTCTCGACACAGCTCGACGCAGAGCTCTCGTCCCCACTCGATCCAGAGCTCGCGTCCCCACTCGACTGAGAGCTCGCGCCAGAACTCGACGCAGAGCTCCCGCAGCCACTCCCGCTCTCGGACGAACTCTCGTACCCTTACCATGTCCCCCATCGTCGAAGAGCCCCGCCTGCCCGAGCCAGCTGTCAGCAAACCGGACCTGAGCCCTCGCTCGTCCGCTCGCCTCTCCCGGCCCCGTCACTTCATGTAACGAAAGCATCCCCTTCACGCTGTATTATAAAGATTAGCACCTGCGGTGCCCAGTGCCGGACACTGATCAGACCTTGCTGTAGCATATCCTAATGTATTCACGCACCCCTAATGTATTCACGCACCTTGAATGCAGAGCATCACTCTTTCGTGTAGTCGGAGTCTCGCAAGCCTGTCGGAGGTGCACGGCGCGAGGGGTGGGTGGGGAGGGGGCGCCGAGGGCGCGGGAAGGGGAGAAGGGGAGAAGGGGAGAAGGGGAGAAGGCGGGGGGAGAAGGCGAGCGAGAGCGTGCGCGAAGGGGGGGCGATGGGAGAAGGGGCGCGGCGAGGGGGAGAGGGGGAGAGGGGGGGAAGAAGGAGAGGAGGGGCGAGGCGAGGCGAGAGGGCCTCGTACATTGTAGATAGCACCCGTTGTGTATTGTAGATAGCACCCTTTGTATTATGTACTAGAATACATCTCTTTGCTTCACTCTACGTGTGAGCTGCGCGCGACGAGAAAGGGGATGGGGGGTGCGTAGACGGAGGTAGGGGAGGTGGGGGAGGCCGGGCGAAGGAGTAAAGCCGCGTGAGGGCGAGCAAGAACGGGCGAAGGTGAATAAAGTCGCGCGAGGGAGAGCAAGGACGGGCGAAGGTAGGGGAGGTCGCGCGAGGGAGAGCGAGGAAGGGGGTGAAGGGGGCGACAATTGAGTACACGCGACGACGAGACTTGAGCACTCACGAAAAAGGGCTCGTCAGAGGGCGAGAAGACGAGAGGGGGCGAGGTGGGGTGATAGGGGAGGGCAATTGCGACGTAAATAACGATGGGGGAGGGCAATTACGACGTAAATAACGATGGGGGAGGGCAGCTGCGCGAGGAGGAGGGAGCGAGGTGCGAGCGAATGAAGGAGAAGAGCGAACAAAAAGGGGGAAGCGATGAAGGGGAGGGAGGGGGCGAGCGAAAGAAGAGAAGGGAGGGGAAGTAAAGTGAAGGGGAAGTCAAGTAACGGGCAAGTAAAGCAATGGGGAAGTAAAGTAAAGGGGAGGGGAAGCTGAGCCGAGCAAAGGGAAAAGGGGAGGAGCGAAGATGGGGGAAGGGAGGAGCGAAGGTGGGGGAGGGGAGGCAAAAGGCAAGAAAGCGAAGGGGTGGAGGCAGGGTGTATCATATACGAGCGGGGGGACAGTCAAGGGTGGAGAGGGGGATGTGCACGAAGGGTGAGGGCGAAAGCAGGAAAGGAGAAGTCAGGGGCGATACACACCTTCACGCGCGAGAGCTAGAGCTTACACTCCTTCGCCCGGGACCCTCTCGAGAGCTTGGTCTTCGCGCACTTCGTAAAGTCGATGAGCTCGAGGATGCGGCGGTTTCCAATCGACGTGAAGGGGAAGGCGTTATATTTCAGGCAAAGGGGGTAGGGACAGCGCCTTGTAAGTATATACCTACCCCGGCATCGCACCGATACCCCCTTCCTGCTCTCTGTCAAGGTTCGCACGACATCTCACCCCCCTTCAGGGTGAGATGAGTTCCGCCCTCGCGCGACAAGCAAACCCCACTGGCACCCTGTCTCGACGAGCCGACCCCCCTCCCCGATTCTGGGCGGCCTCTCATCCGCCCTCAGCGCACCCCACGACGAGTTAGCAGGACCCCTCCCCCTCACACCAACCGCACACCCCCGCGGGATATGAGCGCGCACCTGTGGCGCGTCTACCCCCACGAGACAGGCCCCCTCCTCGCCGAAATTCGACACCCCTCCCGCTCAGAGACGAGGGGCCGAGTCAGTCAGTCTCTTCTTCAGTTGGGCGCACGCCAGATAGACCCCTCCCCCTCTGACTCGCCGCACACCGCTCCCCCCGCCCCCTTCTCTCGCCCGTTTGGGAAGCCCCCACCCATCGACTCGCTCGCGCTCTGCCCATCTCATCGCGCACCCAATCCTAGTCCCCTAGTCGCCCCTCGCCCCTCCCCTCCTCGACTCAGCAGCCCCCCTTCGCTTCTTATACCCCCCACCGCCGAGCCCGCGCGCGAGCAAGAGTAAACGCGCACCTTTCCAGTCGCGAATACCCGCGCGGGACCCCCTCCTCTCGCCCAAAATTAAGGGCGGCGTTGATTTCGAGGGCGCGCGCTCGAGTCCACGGACACCTTTGATTGGTTAGCGCATCCTCGAACACCCACCCCCGCGAAAAGCGCACTCACCAGGTCAAAAAAGACTTCCTTCCCGAGGGAAACACCCCTCCCTCTGCTCCCCCCACCCTTCCCCGAAGGCGCCGTCCAAGGGGGCCTCTCCATTTCCCCCACCCTCCCTCGCGAAAGCGCCGTCGAAGGGGGCCTCTCCATCTCCCCCACCCCCTTCGCTGCTATCCTTCTCGGCGTGCCCTTCGCTCAAAAGGGGGTATGTCCGCATGCCGAACCTTGAATCTCTTGACGAAGCACATCTTGGCCGATGTGCCGATGCGATTGCGGGTAGAGGTGGCGAAAGAATATCTCTGAGAAGGGGGGTCAGCGTCGGGTAGAAAAGGCGGTGGGGGGATAAACGACGAGAAGGGGGAGGGAAGGAATATCTAAGGCGAGGCAAAGGGGATGCTATGATAACTAGAAGGGTGGGGGATAAGTTACTTGGACGCCGTGAGGCGCGAGCTGGCTGAGTGCGAAGGCTGGGAGGAGGGAGGGGGAGCGTTAAGCAAGGGGGCGGTAGTGGACTTGTAAGTAGTAAGGAGAGCGACGAAAGCGGATGTTAGTACAGGTACGAAGGGCAAAGCTAATCAGGATCACGACAAGGGAGGGGGTGCAAAGTAAGGACGAGCGGGAAATAAAGCAAGGGTGGAGTAAGTAACCGAAAGGTAGCCGCGTTAGGTCAAAGATAAGATGTAAGTAGGTGGATAGTGATGACGGTCAGTGATGGATTGGAGTTTTGAAGTGGGTAGTGTAGCATATAGTGATCATTGGTTTATATCAACACAAGGGAGGGGGGAGGGACAACGATGGCGGGGGAACGAGGGACTCACCTCGACGGCAGTCGACGAACGGCCGCGGATGCGATCCTCGTTGCAGCGCGCGGTCCCCGTCGTCGTCGTGCGTGTGCTATGGTTGAAGACACGCGTCGAGGTCGGCGCGTCGGGGAGGACAAGCGGGCGGTGCGTAAATCCGACCGAAAGCCGTCAAGTCGACCAGGTCTCCGCGCCCGGCGTCGCGCTAACCATGCGCGGTCTTCGATGTTGGTCGTCGAGGCCGCTGCACACGGTGAGCAGGTGAGAAGCAAGAAGGGTCAGTACCGACCTTGACCATTGCCTCGCCACCGTCCAGTCATCTCGACTGCCGCGCGCTATCCACGTCCCCGCGCGCAGGCCGCGCTCAACGTTCCCTCGTCGCGGTCGTCGTCGTCGTCGCCGTTGTCGCCGTCGTGGTCGAGCGCAAGGAAGCTCTGCGGAGGAGATGCGGCGCGGGAGAACCACGGGGGAGAAGACGTTAGAGGGTGACACGTTGACAGGCGCAGACAAGAACCAACTCACGTCATGTTATGGGCGTCAGTGGGTGGCTGGTATGGTCGATAGTCGAGAACAACGGCATCTGCACGCACTAATTTTCAGTAATTAGGGCAGACACAAAGAATGGGACGAGATTCCTGAATAGGCGTCGCCGACGTGAGAGACACGCCCCAAGAAGATCGACGCGGCCATAGGATGTGCTGGAATAATCCGCCGTCGGAATCTTGAAGCTACACGAAGTAACGACTGGTCATTCATGAGTGATACCCTGTCGTAGTATAGGCAACTCACCGATACCAATCCTTTCAAAGACGTGGCAGCAAAGGAGAGTTTAGCAACGGGGAGTGAGCGCGGGTAAGAGCAAGAAGAAAACTGCCTCAGTCGGCGCTGATGGGCAAAACTCACCTTCGGGATGAGCTGGCTGAGGACCGGGAGCTCAGCGTGCACGCAGAGCGCATCGCGTACCGATAGGTGCGTACGCACGGTAGTCCTGGAGGTGCCTTCTGATCAGTAAGAAACGTGAACGCGTTACAAGACTTGACTTACCAGAGCAGAGGCCTGCGCTTGCAGCTTCGCAAGTAGACGTCGAGGAGGCTGAAGTAGTAGATTATAGAAATCAACAAAACATTTGAAAGCCATACTCAGGTAGAGAAGCCGACAGTGGAGGGAGGGTCTACGAGGCGCGGTCAGCATGGGAGGTGAGAGCGATAGCAAGAGAAATGACGTACACGAAGGGAATCAGCGAAAGGGGGATAAGCAAAGGTCGTCGCAAGCTGTGAAGATGCGGAGGGAATGAAGTCAGGCTGGCTGATGTCGCTACTGACCTCCCCGCCCGCCTTTTATACTCAGAACGCCTGCCGTCCTCCGTCTTCGCCCGAACTGGGCTCCTCGGCGAGCGCTCCCATCGTCCATTCTACGCACCCAGCGTGCGGCCTAAGACCATTCAAACGTACGTACACGGCGACCGATTAACTCACCGCAGTCCAAACCGAAGTTTGCGCGCGCCAGGGCGGAAGATTGGGGTCCAATGCTTCCCGGCATGGTATACGTCCTGCGAGCTTCACGTCGCGATTGACGCCCAGGTCGCGTCGATTACACGTACCAAATGACCTCCGCAGTTAGGGGGTGGCGTCAGGGAGCGACGGAGTCGGGAATGCTGGGGCTGCTCGCTGAACTTTGCCGGGCGCGTTTGCCAGCGCAAAGGGCGTCTCCCTCGACGTCTGAAGAGCCCAGCGTTCGTCAGAGTGCAGAGCAGCAACGAGAAAACATACAAAAAGTGACTCATGACGCGTCACAAAGCCGAGGAGACCGAAAAAAAGCGCCAGGAAATTCGAGGTGGTGGTTGAGTCGAACGCGATCAGGTCGTTTCTCCTTTGGGAAGGCCTTCAGCTGCTGCAGAAAGGGCGCGCCAAAGACGCGCTCGACGCTGCGTCGTCCTCGCCCGACCCGCCTCCGCCAAGCCTCGGAAACTTTACCGCCGAAAGCTCCGCTTCCACATCCACGTTCTCTCCCGCAGTCTATGGCAAATACAATGCAGATGCCGTGCATGAGCTATCGCGCTCGCAGAGAATCGATTCGAGACCACGTACATCGCGCCCGCTGTCACCGCACAACGTCAGGAATAAGCTTCGAGTATCAGGGTGCACGCCTCGGAAGATTTCCGGGCGCGAGAACGTACGAGGATGGGTGGAAGATGTGAGTGGAATTTGGGGCAAGAGCGCCGAGAGCTTGCCTGTTCGCAATAGAGCCCGGCGGACGCACCACCGTTGTCGTAATGAGTGTGCGTGAGTAATCATGCCGAATATCCATCCGGTTTCGGACCATCCGCGCATGGAAGACGGGTGAGGTGGCAGAATGAGGGAGAGGAGGAGAGGGTCATGTATGTGGCTGTCTGCGGTCAGCGCACGCTATTGCATCGTTCAGTATAGACTAAGGAGTAGTCGCATACGATGTAATTATACTTTTCCCGGCATAATACCCTCGGGCAACGGTGCAATGGACGCGCCGAAATCGACGCCACATATTCAATCCACCACCTTTCGCGCCGTATATAGCGTTCGCATGCGCGGGCAGCGATTCTGAGTGCAGAATCGCAGTCAGTAGCACCAAAGCAATCGATCTATGGGTTGAAATTTTTCACGGAATATATTTTTGTGTAGGGTGACCGTTTGAGGTGGTGAAGAGGTCGAGTTTGGCATGCAAACCTCTTCGACCCTCAGAAACGATAAGTCAGAACGCTGATCCCGCTCATCGAGGACTCGCCGATGTCTTTTGAAGCGATAGGAGTCGTCACTTGAGTGTGCCCGACCCATCGTACCTGCTCATTAGACGCCGAATGGTTCTCGAGGCGGGCTGCGCGCCACCGCGTGAGTTTTCCAGGAATCATGAGTGCGCCTTTGAGCGAGCAAGATTGAGAAGCTCGGGATGGGTTTGGATTGAGTCAAGTATTGGTTTCGCGTCGTCTCCGACGCTTCGCGGGTAAGCGATGGGTGAGAAGTGCATGTGGCGGCTTGGGACAAGGGAGTCCGGCAAACGCCGGTCAGGTTCGGAAGTGCGTTTCCGCTTTCCGGCGGGTCCTTCTTTGACTTCAACCATCGTCATCAATTCAGGCGACGCACGCCGCACCTGCGCTGCTGCTGATCGACGCATTCAGATGTCTTCAATGGCGATGTTCAAATGCAATAAGACCCCCACACCGCTGCCGAGCTTTCTACTTCAAGTCGGCCACTCTCCGACGTGCTGGCTACTGAGTTCTGCTTGCATTCACCTGCCTGAGCGAATACAATGGCATTATGGTGTTCCTTCCGTTTTCCGAGAGCGATAAACGCGGACTGGTCACTGAGGGTCCAAAGGGTAGCTTAAAGGGGTAAGATTCCGGGCACTGATAGGCTCACCGCCGCATGCGATCACAGCGCCGGTCAGTGTGTGTACGCAAGATTGTCCGTTGATGTTCACGGCACGCGGCGTCTCTTCAAAAATACGCTGCCTTGCTTCGCTGGCCTTTTGCAACGTCCCCCGTTCCCCCGTCTTCATGCTTTTCCTCTTCGACCCCATCCGCTGCCCGTCCGCCATTGCCTCAATCATGCTCTGTTGGTGGATTCGTCTGGCGGTGAGTCTCTCGTACCTCTTTCCCTTTCTCGAGTCGGCTGTCTTCGCGCTTGAGGCGTTCCACTTCCCCTCCATGTTTAGCCCCCAGCTCAGCGCGAGCGCCTGCGGCTTTTGCAACTTTCTCCTTCTGGTCCCGCTCCTGGCTTCGCTCTTGCCTGTCGGGCGACCCATTCTCCCTTCACATTCACGACCTTTGATCTTCCTCTCTGCCTTCCACTTCCCCTCCATGTACGACTTTCTGTCGTTCCCGTTCCTGTTATCAATCTCGTCCCTGCCTTCCACTTCCCCTCCATGTTCTCAAACCTCGCTCGCAATCCCTTCCATCGTCGGTCTCCCATTTCCCTTATGGCTTTCGGTCTCGTACGAGTTTACGACTCGTTTCATTGCCCCATGACCGTCTACTGACGCTTCTGCAGAGCGATCTGGCTCTCCCGCTTGACTGCCGCGTCTCTTGCGCTTCGCGCTAGGACTACGCAGGGAGACGCTCGGGTTGATTGTAGGGCGGCGCTCGCACTAATGTGCCGGTGAGTTCCTGCTAGGCCTTTGCTCTACAATAGGCTGATGCGTCGTTGACAGAGTGTTGCGAGTATGCGGAACTCTCTACGCCGACGCGTCAACATCCCGCAAGGATCCAATGTCGCCGGAATCCCTCACGCTTGAACGGACGCGCTTCATCTCACGCAAGCCGCCGCGAGCCTCGACGATGATCTCTCAGCAACCTCGAAGACAGTCACCCGCGACATCAACGACGGCTTCTCGTGGCCTGCCTCGAACTCGGCGAGGTAGCGGTGGTAGTCATTCGGAAGAAGAGGGCCTCCGTCGAGCAAGGGACAGTGCTCGACAGGCTTGCACGAAGACTCTCATCCATGCTCGGTGCGTACCATTGACTCTGCGGTTGTGCATTTCGCTGATTCTTCACTCGCAGCCTTACCCTCGCAACGACGCGCAACCTCCTGTTCAACGCGCGGCTTTCTCTTCGACGCCCGAGCCTTCGTCCCGCGCCCAGCTCCATGTTCCGCACGCGACTCCCTTGTCGATGTCCCGAATCCTCGTTGATGCCGCGTCCCCTCAAGCACGCGCGTCCCTGCGCAAGTCGTGGAGGGATGCATTGTCGTTCGATGAGGTCTCGAGTTCATCCCGAAAGTGGTCTCGAGTTCATCCCGAAAGTGAACTCGAGCTCATCCCGAGAGTAGTCTCAGGTTCATCCCGAAGTGGTCTTCGGGCTACGTCCGCATGGTTTGGGGTGAGTTTGGCGCGTCCGCGATCCATGATCGGCACTGACTTGGTTCTTGTAGAGCTACGGATGCACGGCGACTGCAGGACTGCAAATAGTCCCCGCTTGTTGCGCGGAGGTCATTCTGCTCAACGCGCCGGGTGCATCCTGCTCAATGCATTGCGGGCGTCTTTCTCATTGCGCCGGGCGCCCCCTGCTCAACTCTTGCCGCCACTACCATCCACGAGACGGGTTCGGCTCCAACTCGTGAAGCAACAGATCTTCGTCTGGCGAGCAAGGTGATATGTAAGTCTACGAGGCGCATGTCTGAGCGAGACACTAATGTTTCGTCGCAGATCGTACTTCGCATCGTCAGGATTGTACTTCGCATCGCCAGTGTTATACTTTGCGATGCCAACGTCGTACTTCGCCCACCGCGTTCCCCAAGCGATTCGCGAAGCAATGCATCGCCGTCCGACGAGCGGCGATCTCGCAACCTGAACCTTCTGCATACGCGCTGCCGAGCCAGCCAACTCGCGAACTCACTACGATTCACCCTCCCGCCGTCACGAAGAGGCCAACTCGCCAGCACGGTCAACTCAAGAGTCATTTTCGTCCGGCGAGGTACGCTCCTCCTGTGCCGCGTCGAATGTTATCAAACTCATTGTGCTTCCAGATGCCTTTGAATCGAGCTACACTATGCCTTTCCGTCCAGTCCGCTCGCACGCCGTCGCTCCAAGTTTCGCTCCCGCTGCCCGTTCGAGTCGCTCGGCCGCCGCCTAGTCAAGTCGCTCACCCGCCGATGCATCTGATCACCCATGCGCCACCCGCCCAAGTCGTGAAGCAACGTATCGCCGTCCGGCGAGCAAGGTATTGGGGTTCTCGTTGGGGTAGTACTTCGACTTCTAGCTCGGGTAGTACCTCGACTGCTGTGGTCTCACAGGTGAGCACTTCGTATTTCTCTCGCTGCGCGCGTGCATCGTGCTAATAAAAAGCAGCACTTTGTAGATCTCCTATATCTTGTAGTCCCTCAGAAATTCACGGATGGCTCGATTTCGAAGCTTGTATCCTACCTGGCTCACTTGATGATCACCTCAATTCATCACTTAGCATCTCGAAACTCATCAAGTAGCACATCCCTTCTCGCCTCACCTCACCTCTACTCACCGTGTCGCATCGCCCGCCTTCCCCCACTCGCCCCCTCGCGGCGAACTCCGACGCACACGTGGATGCCTCGGGCCCGAAAGTTGAACATATCACGTGACCCACGGCTGGCGATGAGGCAACGTATCGACGTCCGGCGAGCGGGGATTTTGACATCCAGTGAGCGGTACTTATGTTGTCAGCGTCTGTCGTCGGACGAGGAGGGTGGTTGGCGCTCTGTCAGCAGCGTGTAGCTACATCGGGCAATGTGTACACTTGTCGGGCATACTTGTCGAGCAGGTCATTGCAAGGTTATGGTTAGCGCACTAGGATAGTGTAAGCTATAGCGGGCCGTTACGTACCTCACGTGTTCTATGCCTGAACGACCTTCGTTCGTGCAAGCTTCCCCACTTGACTACACCCTTCCTCTCCTTGAACGCAAACCACCGTTGCGTCGCCGTCCTTGTTGGGTATGAGGCACTTAGAGTACGTGATTAGTGGATCGGTGCACGATGGCTTATCATGGGAATAGAATTCATCAAGCTAACTAGTGCAACATTTGATCAACTGGTACTTTGCCGAGGACTTGTGAGGGATGAGCTTTGGCGAAGGACAGTGTCAATGTATAATGCATTCAATCAGCAGACACATGTCGTTTGACCTATGCAGTCTCGAGTCTTACAATTCTACATCCGACTATGCAATACATGCTCTTTGGACGAGCGAGCTAATCTTCCATTGAACGTAAGGAATGGAAAGAAACAGGGCACCTCAACGTAACCAAGCTTGTCAAAGTGGCAAGGCTAAAGTACCGCTCACCGGCAATCTACGTGAGTACGGAGGTGTGACTGACCAGAGAGGGATGCCCGGAGGAGGATAGATGGATGAGAATGAGTGAGAAGAGATGTGGCTTTGGCGGAGAGAGATGTAGGCTTGTGCGAGTGCCACAAATGATACTCTGCAGTTAGGAACGAAGAGCATCAGCCAGCGTCGAGCAACCAGCACTTACACCCCTCGGCGATAAGGTCACAGCACCGGTAAGCAGAGACGTAAGATGGAGAGCGGAAGGCGAGGGCGGGCAGAGGATAGCAGGAGAGGGAAGTGTGCAGTGGATGGACTGTATAAAGAGAAAGTGGAGAGCAAGTCAAGTGCTAGTCACTGGCCTTTATCCGAAGTCGTCAGCTGCATCCCGGTGCCGTCCTGAACGCACCAAAAAGATGAAGTTGCAGACCACCTCACAAACAAGAATCCCTCTGTCACGCATCGCAAGAGGAAGGTAAGTGCGCGAGCAGCCATTCACTCGCCGTGACAGCCCGTGACAACGCGAGTCCGGTGCGAATCCCGATGACGGCACCCCGGCTAACCACCGGCTATTTTCGTCCTGGCCTGCTCGAGCGTAGGCGGGGAGAGGTGGTGAGAGGCGAGGGAGGCGAAGCTAGCGAACCTCGATCGGATGTGCTGTCAGACAAGGGCCGTCCATCGAGCACTCACTGCTCGCCCGCGACGTGGGCTATCGTGAGCATCCCTACGTCTCTGCAATATCCCCGGGCTATTGTTCGCTTGTTGCAGAACACGCGACGTGCTGCGCGGTCTTTGTCCCCAGATGTGGAGCAGACTGTGACTTTTTGTCTCGAGCCCCCACGGCACTTTCTCTCCCCTCACGTCCTCACGACACACGACAAGGTCTCTGGCAGGCCGCCTCACGCTCTTTTCCCCGGACGCCCGTTCCACGACTGCCCCACGACCCCAGCTCTGGAGCAGCCACTTTCGCCTCGACGCGTCCCTCCCCTTCTCCTCTCGCACTCTGGACTATGCTACGCGAGACTATGGAGGCCATGCCCGTGTCTCCCACCTTCCTCAGGATTCGTGTTATTGCTTTCAGTACGTTGCGCGCCACCGATCGGGTATACGAGCTGGCGATCCTAACCTCAGTGGCAGGTCTTATTGCTTTCTTGAGCTTTCTGTGGGCCATTTTCTATACGCTGGACATGTACTGGCTCTTCGATGGGATGAAGGCTCCCGAGCGTGCGTGGTCCGCATGATAGTCGTGACGCTGCCTGCTGAACACACTGCAGGGATCCTCATTTCCCTCATGCTGTTGAACAGCTCTGCGACTTGCATAATGCTTCTCGTACTGTGCGTGACTACAACATCATGCTCACGCATTTGCTCATACCCCGCCAGAATTACTCGCGAGTTTCGCCCTTGGCTGGATGCCGCTCGTATTCTCCTTCTCTTCACCACCCACATCTGTAAGTTGCGCTGTCACTGAACTGGACGACGCTGACGCCAGAGACAGGCTCGGCTGTGGGATACTCACTATGGTACCCTACCTATGTATGTCCTGCTTCAAGTACGTCGCTTCAAGTGCTCAGTAGCTCGCGTCTCATCCCCCACCAGAATCAGCAAATATGTGTCGCATGTTCAACCTCTACATCCTTGTCATCAACTGGGTGGATATCGTCTTGCGTGCGTGTTTTGCCCCTCGGCGATCTTTCCCCTCTGACCCGCTCTGACAGTCCTCATCTACGCTGGGGGCTTGGCCACGCTCGTCTTCGTGCGCCGTCGGGCAATGCAGCGAGAGGCGCAGCAAGGCATACAAGAAAAGTTTGTCATTGATGCGCCCGACGCCACGGAAATTGGGAGAGGTGACCTACTGCACACCACGTACAGTCCTCCCACTCTCACTCCTTCCTCTCGACACGCGCATTCTCGAAGTAGCGCCAGCTCCTTCTTCCCCTACCCCCAGACCGCTACCCCACAGTCAATGTCTCCCCCTCATAGCCGACACAGCTCCTTCCAGAGTTTTCACCACCACTCGGCTGGGAGCTCGCGACACAGTTCGATTCAGAGCTCTCGTCCTCACTCGACTGAGAGCTCGCGCCAAAACTCGACGCAGAGCTCGCGCCACAACTCGACGCAGAGCTCCCGCAGCCACTCCCGTTCTCGGACGAACTCTCGCACCCTCACCATGTCCCCCATCGTCGAAGAGCCTCGCCTGCCCGACCCAGCTGTCAGCAAACCGGACCTGAGCCCTCGCTCGTCCAGCAAATCGGACCTGAGCCCCCGCTCGTCCGCTCGCCTCTCCCGGCCCCGCCACTTCATGTAACGAAAGCATCCCCTTCACGCTGTATTATAACGACCAGCACCTGCGGTGCCCAGTGCCGGACACTGAACAGACCTTGCTGTAGCATACCTTAACGTAATATTCACGCATTTGAATGCAGAGCATCATGTAGTCGCGCTCCGGAGTTCTGCAAGTGCAACCACGTGATCGCCGTCGTCAGTGCAGCTTTCCCAATTAATCACCACTTCCTTCTTGTTCCTACCACCAACACCAACAACACCACCCGCCCTCGCCATTCCTGAAAGCGCCCGCTCGTTCACCGCTATCTATACATGTCCGCGCGATGGGACCCGGCCGCAGTGAAGGCGCAGCTGCGCCTGACGTCCCAGCGCATCGGCCAGCTCCTCGAGCGCCAGGACTCGAAGAGCCAGATTGTCCGCCGGGACATAGCGACGCTGCTCTCGCAGGGCAATGTCATGATTGCGCGCGCAAAGGCGCAGAAGCTAATTCACGAGGACGTGTCGGGCGATATACTGGAGATGCTGGAGATGTGCATAGGCGTACTCGTCGAGCACTTCAATGAGCTGAGGTGCGCGCCCAGGTTCAGCAACCGAAGTCAACGCTAATGCATGCAACAGCGACCCGGACGCCCTGACGCCCATTGTTATCGAGGCGGCGTCCAGCATCATCTACGCAGCACCGTCCACGGAGTCAAAAGGTCCTTGGCGCCCTCCAGCCCTCGCGCAGCCCTCGCTGACCAGAGATCCCAGACCTGCACACCGTCCGAAGCATGCTCATCGAACACCTGGGACCGGACTTTGCTCGCTCGGCCATTGGTAACCGTGATGGATACGTGTCGGCCAAGGCGCGTTCTACACCTCGCGGATACACATCCCGCTCATCCCCTTCAGATCATCAACGCGCTCTCCGCCCCTTCCCCCTCCGCCGCTAACCTCGACGCATACTTGGTACGGGTGGCGCGGACCTATGGCGTCGACTGGCTGCCCCCGCCCCAGCGCCAACACATGTGCGATCGCAGTTCCCGATCATCCGTGTTTCAAGAAATTAATAGCCATCCCCAGCCTAAACCCTCTGTCGGAGATCCTGAACCCTGAGGCTACGCCCGTCGTCGACCTCCCGCGACTACGCGAGCTCTGTGCTCTGGGTCTCCCCGACGAGCCGTCCTGGGTCCGTCCACGAATCTGGAAGTACGTACGCCGTTACCAGCCCTGAGTTCGCTGCCCTAACAAGCAATCAGACTATTTTTCGGCATCCTTCCGGTCCTCAAGTCATCATGGACGGGCGATATGAAGAAGCAACGGGACAGCTACTACGTACGTGAGCGACATACAGCCTCAGCCTTCCAGCGTCTGATGGTCGTCCTCAGGACCTGGTAAAGCGGCTTCTCGAACCATTGACAGAGCTCCCGAAGCCTTCCCTGCCGCTGTCCGGTATTGATGAAGTGGCGTTCCGCGTGTCGCAAGGGCTGTCCCGAGTGCCGTCGTCACTTCTCTCAGGTCTGGAGGAAGAGCCAGAAGTGCTCACCAATTGCCCACTTGACGATGTGGCCGACGGAGGACTTCGGATACTCTGCGCACACAACCTCGACGAACGTCTCAAGCTAATCAATGAGGCGCGCAACCCATCGACGACAGGTCCGACCCCAGAGATCCGACTGGATGATGACTCCATGCCCTCGATACAGCTGTCGGAACCCGTGGACGAGACACCAGTGATCCAGCTTCTCAGCCCAGTCGAAGAGGTCGAGGGCGACACGGCAGATACGGCAGTCGTCCCAGCCAAGAAGAAGCCGACAACATTACACCCTTCTCGCGTTCATGGATCGCTCAACGTACCCATCAAGCACGAATCGGCCCTCAGGCGGTTGCTCTATTTGCATTCGTCGATCAATCCTGGCAACTACTCGCCGCACATCCCTTCGCTCCTCGTCACCCTGTATACGGTGATGAACCGCGAGATTGACCTGGAAGACATGGCGCATGTGGAGGCTGACACGTTCTGGCTGTTTGAGGCAATGGTCGCGGACTTCTCCGAGCTTGAGGATGAGGAAGGCGGCGCGGTCTGGATGAAGAAGTTTAGCGAGCGTTTGACTTGGGCTGATCCTGAGCTATCTGAGAATATGGCAAGCGCTTCAATCCTACTTTTTCTTCCTAGCACAGCTGACCCTCAATTAGGTGGCGAAGGGCCTTGACCCTGCACTTCCGCACTATTCATAGTAAGTGTGAGCTTATGACGGACATGGGCCTTGCTGACGGTGTTGCAGCCGCTGGCTGGCTCCGTTGCTTACGCAGACCTTACCCTTGTCGTCTGTCTTCTTGATTTGGGACGTGCTGTTCTCGAAGCCGCAGGCCACACGAGACAGCAGTCCTAAACTGGAAGCTCTGATCGACGTTTGCACGGCAATGCTCATTCGTGCGCGGCCACAAATCCTTCGGTACGTGTGAAGAACCAACATGTCCAGCCTACCGCTGACCGATTTGTCTATAGTCTCGGCAAGGGCGGCGCTAAGTCGCCTGGTCTGTGGGCCCAGGACGCTGAAGCACTTCCTCCGCCATCACCGCTGCGGTCTTGGGAGTTGGGCGATGCTTTCCTTGAGGGCATGTCACTGCTGCAGTTCTACCCCGTCGAGGCCGTAGGAGGTGTCGAGACGGTTCTCCAGACGGCCATGGATCTTGTCGAGCGCAGGAAAATGGAGGCGCGCCAGCAGCAGCCGAACCAGCAGAGTCTCACGAGCCGCTTGGCGACCACGATGTGGCGCGGTTTCACGAACCAGCAGCACACGCCGGATGCATCGCCAGAACACTCGGACAACGAGGATGCCGGGAAGGAGAAGCCCAAGGCGGCTCCGCCTGCTGCAACTGCACCTGCCGCGCCTTCGCAAGGGACCAATAACAAGCTCGGTGCTCGTTTAGCAACCACGGTATGGAGGGGCATCACAAATCAGAGCGCTATGGACCCGCCGCCATCCCCATTGGAGCCGTCGCCCATCGAAGCCCCAATCCGGCTACCACCAAGGCCAGACGAGGTCGATGAGCCTGTACAACCGACGCCTGCCGCTGCGACTGCTGCCAGCCTTTGGACCTACGCCGAGAAGTTCAAGGAGTCCGATGCCGCCGCGCGTCTTTCCAAAGTTAGTAGCAACTGGAAAGCGCTCGCGATGTCGAGCAACTGGCGCGGGCTCGGCGCGTCCGCGTCCGTACCCGATAAGATGGACCAGTCGCAGCGGAGCTCGGTGATGAGCGACGGGTACGACTACCAGCCGCCGAAGCCCTTCCTGGAGACCCGCCGCGAGTCGCTGCCGGGGCCTGCAAGGCAGAGCATGTACTCACCGCCAGCGCGTCCGGCCTTCTTCCGCCCGCCGCGGGACAGCGGGCTCTTCAGTCCTGTGCATGATGGGGGCAAGTCGAGCAAGTCTGGCAGCCCGACGGAGTCGTCGCCGAAGTCGGAGAATGGCATTTTCAGCAAGGCGCTGAATGTACAGGAGGCGTTGGCGAATCTCACGCGGGTGACGCCTGTGCCCACGCCTCAGCCATCGCCGACGCCGAAGAGCGCACCGAGGCCGTTGTTGTTGGGGTCGTCTACGATTACGTCCAGGCCGATCAGCAGGCATATCTCCCGGAATAGTGGGCAGTACGATGATCTGGGGAGGAGACCGGCAGGTCGTCCGACGCACAAGCACTCGCAATCCTCGCTGTCGACGGTGCCAGACTTCAATCGCTCGGAGCCAGAGTCTGACGGCGCTGCTTCGCGCATCGTACCCATTCGGCGCTCGGTGTCGCCGATGGCGCCTGAATTCCGCAGGCACTCGAGGACTCCGTCTCGTCTATCCGATGCGCACTCGCCATCGCCTCGGTCGTCAACGGGTGGTCTCCTCAGCCCCCCGATGTCCACGACGACGCTCGACTCACGTGGATGGGGCCGCGTCGATACAAACGACTCACCTCCCATGACATCTCCCAAAACACCAGACAACCTCCCCTCCGACACCGAAGTCCGCGTCGACGGCTCCGAGCAGCAGCGCGGCTCCATCGTGATACCCACCGTCACCTCGCCTCTGGACGCTCCCGCCCACGCAAAGAAGCTGACGCGCAAGAAGACGCCGCCGCCGGTGTATAACGGCGACACCTCCGACTCATCCGCGTCCATGGCGAGTGTCGGCGGGGCCTCCATTCCCGGTAGGCAGCAGCGCGTGCGCACCCGCCGCGGCCAGCGCCCTGCCAACCTCCGCCTGCACGAGCGGTCCGACTCACGGCGCACACCCAGCCCGAAGGGCCTCGTCGTCGAGTGGCCCGGCGAGGACGAGTTGGCAGCCGCCACGCCGAGGGCTACCCAGTTTGAGGGCGATGAGCGTCTGGCGCACGACCGTACGCCGTCAATGCGCAGCCAAACGTCGTCCACTTCCGCTTCCGACAGCTACGAAGGTGCCACGCGGACGCGCAAGGTGTCGACCAGTTCGCGCTCGAGTCGGCGGCGCGTGCGGGAGAGCGCCGCGGAGGAGGGCGACGACGAGGGGTACGACGACTTCCTGAGCTCGTACGAGAGCGAGGATACGGGTGCCGTCGATGCTGCGTCCCTTCGCTAGGCTAGTAGCGTCCGCTCGCTAGGGTAGATGCCTCCACTCGCCAGGCTAGCCAACTGTTTTCGCTTCCAGCTTTCGCTATGTTATGCTCTCTGGATCTAATGCTGTTTATGATGTATTGCAGTAATCAGGTATATCACGAATATCACGTTCACAACGTCCGTTCCGACGCATCCCAGTCTCGTATGGTATCATGGACGCCTCTGTAGATCTTCAGCACTACGGGGAAATAGGGTAGAATATTCTACGTCGTCGTCATGGTCAGTCTCAATTATCATTTGCACGCGTACGCAGGAATGCCTACCTCGAAAGCGACGTGGAGAGTTGGCTTGCCTTGGTCTGAGGTGGATAGGAGTGCCAGGTAGTAGCGCACATTCCATCTCCACAGAGCTTCGTTGATGATGACGGTGTCCAAGGCGGATGCAGGGACGAAGCGACGTGTCCGCTGCAAAACCATTGAAGGGAAACCCCGGCAGGTTTCCAGCTGTATGCCATGTGGCGCTATCACAATGAGCGACTCTGCTTAATATTAGCATGCTGAAATCGTGAATAGATAAATCACACCGACCAGAGAGAACCTGGGTAGCTTTTGTCCATAAAAGTGCGCCGACGCAGACTACCATCATGGCGGCTCGAAGACGGGCATGTCGCACCTACGTCCACCGTTTGTATCAAGAAGAATAGCTACCAATAAGATCCCTTACTGCTTGGAGTAGCATCGACAAAGCTGCTATAAGGAACATGTCCTTCCAGGAGCAGCCGGAAAAGCCGTAAACCACACGACCACTTCCATCTCGTGCGAGACGCCAGTTCTCGACACGATATTCAGTGTAACCGTGTGCTTCAATGACGATGAGTTCCGGGTTTGTCAAGGGAAGGGGACATGAGACGCGATACATCCAGCGTCCGTCGCGAACATGGAAGAGTCCGAACACGGGGTCAAAGCGTCGTATACGAACCCGCTTTAGGAAGGTTTTATTCGGGGACACGTGTCGGTGCGTGTCTGCTTCCCACCATCATGTCGACTGGGCTACTCAGTCGTGGCCTTGACCTGGTCAAGGGTCTGCTGTTTGACAGACGCTACTTTGCTGTCCTTGCTTTTCTTGCTCTTCTCGGCGATGCTGTCCTTACCCAGCTTATTATACGCTTCGTTCCTTGTACGTCCGTATACGAACAATTAACGTGCATTGTTCATGGTTTATGTATAGACACCGAGATTGACTGGGACACCTACATGAGGCAGGTCAAGATATACATCGAAGGGGAGCGAGACTACACCAAAATCAGTGGACCTACCGGCCCTCTTGTGTATGCTAGTCACCAATGTTGGCGACATTCGCTGACCATCAAGTCAGATACCCTGCCGGCCATGTATATATGCATGAGTGGCTTTACTCGGTTACAGATGCTGGCCGAAACATGTTCCTTGCTCAGCAACTATACGGCTTGCTGTATGTGGTGTCGCAGAGCCTAACCTGTGCCATATACTACCGCGCTGGAGCACCCAATTGGCTTGTCGTGTTGCTTCCTCTGAGCAAGCGCTTGCACTCGATATACGTGCTGCGCCTGTTCAACGACTGTTGGGCCGTTGTAGCCGCGCAAGCAGCCATTTTGGCGTATCAGTACAATGCCGACCTACTGGGTACCATACTCTTGAGGTAAGCTCCCAACTTGAGTTATGTACCATAGGTTGACATAGCCTAGCGTTGGAATTACCGTCAAGATGTCTATCGTGCTCTACGTACCTGGCCTTCTCGTGCTGCTTTTCAAACGACGCGGCTTGCTGTCCACCCTCGGGCACCTTGTCGTGGCAGCCGTCGTACAAATTTCTCTCGGTCTACCGTTCCTCAAGGAGTACCCTAGAGAATACCTCAGCTCGGCCTTCGATCTATCCCGCGTCTTCCTCTACAAATGGACGGTCAACTGGCGCTTCGTGTCCGAAGAGACTTTCCTTAGCCCGCTCTATGCAAAGGCGCTGCTCGTCGGACACGTCTCGGCCCTAGTTGCGTTCGGTATCTCCCGCTGGTGTCGCGCAGACGGTGGTTTACTTCGTGTCCTCGAGAGAGGCTTCCGACGCCCAAGCCTTCCCGCTGCTATTTCGCCTGTTGATGCAAGACGTATGTCTCCACACAAGTGTTCACTCGACCGCTTATGCTGACTGAGAACTGGTAGAAACGGCCCTCCTCCTCTTCACCTCAAACCTCATCGGAATCACCTTCGCGCGATCGCTTCACTACCAGTTTTACTCTTGGTATGCTCAGCAGATACCCTTCCTGGCGTGGATAGTTCGGCTTCCGCTTCCGCTCAAGTAGGCTGGCTCTTTTGAGAGGCGTCGTACGCACCTAACTTACATTCTTCAGATTCGCTATTCCCCTCGCCATCGAATATGCGTGGAACGTATTCCCATCCACGGTCGCATCGTCGGCAATACTGCTCGGCGCGCACCTGTGCTTGCTGCTTGGCATCTGGTCTTGCGCGGACGACAGTGCACCGCTTGCTCAGAAGGGAGCTACACATACACAGTGATTGTTGCTATTGTACAGGATGGAGGTCGTAGACTGCAGGGGACGAGAACTCTTCCGCCCCACGCCCCTAATATACATACCGGAAGCTATACCAAGCATTAGCGTCAACAACGTGATAGCACAACTCGAAACTCACTTCAAGTTCTCGAAATCCGTCAAATCCGCGAAGGCCGTGGCATTGATGTCCACATTCGCCCCACGCGCCCCGTCGACCTCCTCCGTCATCTCCACGACAGCCTTGGACTCCGCGATCGTCTTCGCTACCTTCGACTCCGTGTTCTCGGCGACCTCCTCGGCGGTCGTCTTGGCTTGCAGCCTGTCACGCCGCCGGTTCTCGGCTATGAAATAGAGGCGGAAGACGATGAAGATGAGGACTTCGAGGCAGTTGCAGACGAGCATGGAGCCGATGCCGAGGCGGTACTCTGGCGCGTCCTGCGAACGGTAGAAGAAAGGGCCTGAAAGTGACTCCAGTCAGTCGAGCACAGACAAAGCATCTTAAGGTGAAGTATCGGCGTAAACCGCACCTCCGATATTCCCCACACACGCCCCCAACCAGATCATCGCGCTCGCGATTTGTTTTTTCGTCTGCCCGGCGACATTGCTCGTGATCAGGCTGACGCCGAGCACGAAGGACGCCTGATACGAGCCCGTGAGGTAGTAGCAGATGAGGCGGCCAACGTTCGCGTTCTGGGGGGCGAGAAGGAAGCCAAGCGTTCCGCCGATGGTGGGGAGCATGAAGAGCATGCAGACGAGCGTGCGGCTGTTCTTGGGTAGCCGGTCGTTGAGGTAGGCACTGCAGAACGGTCAGACATGGCATGCGAAGACGGGGAACGAACGCACCCAAGACCGATATAGATGCAAACAAGCGCGCCTTGGGGGATACCTAGCAGCGACGTCTCGAGGACATCGAACCCAAGGCCGTTCAGGATCAGAGTGCTGAACTGCAATGTCGATTATCCAATGAGGCCGCACGAAGCACGAACAATGCGAAAACCCACGTTGCTAATGCCGCCATTTGGAATGTTCCCCACGACGCCGAGGAAGAAGAAGAGGTATGTCTTCGGATCCTTGAGGAAGGCCTCCTTCGCCTGGTACCACTTGAATTGCTTGTTATCGATGCCTGTCTGGTTCTTGCGCAAGCGTGCGACCGCCATTAGGCGCTCCTCCCTGGTTAGCCACTGCGAGGTGACGGGCGAGTCAGGCAGGACGAAGTAGATGACGATGCCCCAGGCGCAGCAGAGCGCGCCGACAATGAGGAATTCGTATCTGAGGGAAAGACGTTCGTGAGTAAGCCCGCGATCATCGAAGGAAGCCAGAGCACGTACCTCCAGCTAGCGAGCCGGCCCTTGATATGACCGATACCATACCCCAGCATCCCACCCCCAGCGACTCCAAGACCATTCGCTGCGTACCACGTCGATATACGAGAAGGCTGCTCTGCGCGCGTGTAACTCGATACCGTGATCAGCATGAACGCTGGATCCGCGATAGCCTCCGCTGCCCCAGATAGTATGCGCAGGGCTGCTAGGCCAGCGAAGTTCGTCACCCCGGCTTGCGCCCTATCCAATGTTAGCTACCTCGGAGGATTGAGAAGTTGGTATAAGCGTACATGAGCAAGGCGCCCCAGAGGAAGATATTGATAGCTAGGTACTTTGCGGGTGGCGACTTGAGCATGAGCATATTCGTGGGCAGGGCCCAGATAAGCCAACCAAAGTAGAAGATGGAAGAGAGCCAGCTATAAGGACATCGGGTTAGCGCAATGGTGCGCTGAATGTCCAAGCTGGACACATACCTGTACTCCGTTCCCTCAAGGTGAAGGTCGTCCTTGATGCCGAAGATGGCTGCGTACGCTGCATTCATAGTCAGTTTCTGCTATTACCACGGAACAGAAGGCACGCACACAGCGTTGTTTTGTCGATGTACTGTGCAGACATGTCAGCTTTACCTGCTATTGCGGATGTGGGAACACCTTACGTAGAAGGCATAGCAGACAGCTAGACTGATGGAGAATTAGCGAGAGGACAACCATGAGCTGATGAACACGCACACAGGAAGGATGGTGTAGTCAATCTTCCTCCTCAGCTTCTTCTCCTGCTCCTCGCTAATCGCGTCGTCAGTGCCATACTTCTCCAGCGCCTCCGCGTAGAAGTCATCAAGAGGCTCCCTGTTCCACAAGCGAGCTCGGGACCAAGGCTTGCCAATGAGAACGTCGTCGGAAAGGGTCTGTCGGATCTTGGGAGGGTCCATCGTGGGGCCTGTGCGGACGTCGACGCGACTTGACAAAAACACTCCCTCGCGATTCGCGGGGTACATATAGACGCGCCCAAGGTTAGCACGTCCCGGACCGGGACGCACCTTCGGCTCCCGCGGGTGGCGCTGGGTGATAAAGTATTCTGCACTGTTGGAAGGTCAGCTGAACAGGGTGATGCTGTCATGAGTTCTGAATTGGCGCGAAGCGGGTTGTGAGCGCCCTCGCGTGATGAGCGGCCCTGCAGGATTGCTCAGAAATACAAGGGGGATATTTGATTCATGAGCCTGTGGCGAGGGGGATGTCTAGGACGGGCGTGTTCCGGGGTCGTCGAGCAGCAAATAGGCCGTATCTATATCCTTCGAATCCGAATGGTCAGCCATCTTGTTGCTCTGTAATTAGCCGCATATCACACGAATACAGTGAAATTACTTCAAGTAATAAATGTTTGAGTAGTTATACAGCAAGACTCGCTTGCCGTTCCAACAGTGGCACGCAAGTTGAACTGTGACATGAGCGTTGCGGAGGAAAGCCGCCGGCAGCTGCCGCACGAGTTGATTGCTCGCGTGCCACGGCATTTGCCGACCCTGATTCATCATGACCACCACCACCTCGTCCAGTTTGCCCGCCTGGCCATCCGAAAATGCTAGGAAGTCGCTCACTCCTTCGCAGCATGCGACTCTGTACCAGAATGTACTGGCTGCGCTAAGCCACATCCTGGCTCTACCTCATGACAAGCGGGAAGCCGACTCGGTCAATCGGTTCATCTCTTCCTATGCCAAGGATGCCGCACTGCAGGTTCTCGAAGGCCTTGTGTGGAACAAGAATACGTCGCAGGACAACGTACAGAAGGCTGTGCGCAAAAAAGTACTTGCTCTTGCGGAGAGCTATAGCGCTACGCATGGCATCGATGCACAAACTTTGCTGGATCTTGCAGTGGCATACGGGACGAATCCCGGCAAGATCTCTTCCATCATCGCAGCCTCTATTCATTCTGATACTGCCTTACTATCTTCCTTCCGATCCGAAGTTGCTCCTGCCATCGTTTCTCTCCTCACTCCAGCATCAGGGCTGTATGGATTGAGGAAGATGACGCACTGTCTGCTTTGCCTCCTGCGAGCGTCTCCACCAGAGGTCCAGCGCTGCTTCTCGCAGTCGAAAGAACTGCTTGTGGCCGTCGCAACGGTCTACAATCAGATCCTTCCCTCACTCGCGCAAAACTACGGCGGTCTATCAACCATCCAAAGCGCTGCGGACCGCGAGGTGGACGAATGGGAGCGAATATGGCTGGAGACGAAGGTCGCTCTTGTCGACGTTTTCCACATCCTTGTGTCACGGATGCTGGAGGATTTGTCAACGGCGAAGGGTCAGGCTTTGGGCTTCGAGGCCGACCGCGCCTTCGATATCGTCTTCAGCGTGGTCGAAGTCCCGCTCGCTTCCGCGCCCACATCCTCTCTGCCTGCGACACCATTCCTCAACCGGACGATTTTGGCGGACTACCAGCAAACATACGACCTCAAAAGGGCGCTGGCAAAGTCTATGCAGCATGCCGCGGAACGCGATGCGAGACTAGATCTGCTGGAGTCGAGCCTGCAGTCGCTCGACGGCGAAAGCAAGAAGGATCCTGGTGTACTGAAGATCCTCCTGCGATCTTCTGGGATACCCTTCGGGATTGACAACCTCGGCAAGGGCTCGCGCGACAAGGGCAAAGGTCGCGCGCAGGAGGCGCCGCCTACTGTTGCACAACCTGTCGATCCCGACCTAGACTTGAAGGTCGCGCAGGTGCTGGATATCTTCCCAGATCATGCGCCAGAATACGTGCGCGCGCTCCTTACGCACGAGTCCTTTCCCTACAAGGGCGATCCGGAAAAGCTCATCATGGCGCTCCTCGACGGAACGGCGCCCTCGGAGGACCAGCTGGAGGCCACTGCCGCGCCCCAGCCTATGTCCCGCCCTCCGGAGGTCCAGACTGTCGTTCAAGAGCGACGGAATGCGTTCGACGACAAGGTCATGAATACGGCTCAGCTGCGCGTGGGCAAAAAGAAGTACGTGTCCCTTACACTGCTTGTACGCCAGCCCGCTGACAAATACGTCAGCGACGATGTCCTCCGAGACCGCGAATTCATCAGTCAGATGAAGGCGGACATCCTCAGGCGTGCTGAAGCCATGGATCTGGAGGACGAAGAGGAGGAAGACGTTGAGAAGGCGGCGGATGCCTTCGAGGACGATCTCGAGGGCCTGAACCAAGTCAAGGTCGCCGGAGACGGAGAGGAGACGGACGAAGAAGAAGACGCGGCGCCGCCGACGCCGGACACCATACTGGAGCTCGCGTACATCAAGAACCCGAAACTGTTCGAGAGGGACGGGCAGACGCGTCGCAGCAAGGAAAGGGCGGAGCTGAAGTCGAAAACAGGTGAGCAAGTGTTTAGTGAGATATAGCGCCCATCTAATTTGGCATCCAGGATTGGACGACGAGCAAATCGAGGGATGGAGGATTATGCTAGAGCGCAACGTAGCTTCTCCAATTTTTGCGCAATGCATATCACTTACCACCACTCATAGCCCAAGAAGGACAAGATCCTCGCTAAGCACGAGCTTACGCCCAACCAGAACCGGTTGCCTCCTGCTGCCGAAGCATCCGGCTCAGGTCAGGGTGATTCGCAAAGAGGCAGAGGGAGAGGAGGAGGCGGGGGAGGAGGAGGCAGAGGAGGTCGTGGCAAAGGCCGCGGTCGTGGAGGAGGTGGAGGTGGAGGAGGCGGGTCGACGAGCAGCGATCCAAACACTGCTCGCGACCGCGCCTGGAAGAACAAGAACAAGTCCAGCCGGGCAACTCGGGGGCACGATAAAAAGATGGCACGGATGGCTGGGCCTCCTCAATGAGTCCACGGAGCGCAGTTACCTCTTCTTCTACACCTTGCTTGATTTGTGAAGCTCCTAATATTCTTAGTAGCACTCTGAATGCTCAGCTCTGGTCTCCTCCCCCGCCCGCCTGGCCCTTATGGTCGCACGTGACGTGTTCGACTTCAATTAAGCGGATCGGTCGGACCGGTCCTTTTGCAATTGATGCTTGATCGCCCACAAGTCATCTCGGACTTTGCAGAATCTCCCATCTCTCCGCGCATTCTCGACGATGGCCGACCAACCGACAAAGCAGAAGCTATGGGGAGGACGCTTCACGGGGAAGACTGACCCCCTGTACGCATCTTATACATTTGTGAACGAGTAGCAAAAAAGCCTGACTGCAATCGACCCTTTAAGCATGCACGAGTTCAACCAGTCGCTCAAGTACGACAAGCGCATGTGGGATGCGGACATCCGCGGGTCTATCGCATATGCGAAGTCGCTCTGCCGTGCGGGACTGCTCACGAAGCAGGAGGAGACTGCGATCCTCGGCGGTCTGAACTCGGTGGCGAAAGAGTGGACGGAGGGGACGGTACGTCTTAACGATTGCAGGGGTAGGTACTAGAGCTAATAAGATTTCCTATAATCAGTTCAAGATCCAGGCCGATGATGAAGACATTCACACTGCCAACGAGCGTCGGTTGACCGAGATCATCGGCGCGCTGGGCGGGAAGCTGCACACAGGCCGCTCGCGGAACGACCAGGTGGCCACCGATATGCGGATATGGCTACTTGGGGAGGTCAAGACGATCGAGGAAAGCTTGAAGGCTCTCCTGCGCGTCATGGTCGAGCGCGCGGATAAGGAGATAGACATCCTGATGCCCGGGTACACGCATTTGCAGGTGCGCGCCTTTGTCTGATCTGGGCGATGGTTATATCAACCCACCCATCCTCAGCGCGGCCAACCCGTGCGCTGGTCACATCTCCTGCTCTCGCACGCGTGGTCCTTCCAGGCCGATCTCGAGCGGTTGAAGGAGATGGTGCCCCGCATCTCTGTCCTGCCTCTCGGCTGTGGCGCGCTCGGCGGGAACCCCTTCAGCATCGATCGCGATTTCCTCGCGAAGGAGCTCGGCTTCCAGTCCGTCGCAGAGAACAGCATGTGGGGCGTCGGGGACCGCGACTTCATCGTCGAGTTCTTGATGTGGTCGAGCTTGACCATGACGCACATGAGCCGTCTGGCGGAGGACCTTATTATCTACTCGACTGCGGAATTCGGCTTCGTCACCCTGAGCGATGCGTACAGGTGAGTTCAGGCCGATCTCTACAGCTTCTTGGTTGCTGAAACGTTATGCTAGCACTGGCTCCAGTATCATGCCACAAAAGAAGAACCCGGACTCCCTCGAGTTGTTGAGGGGCAAGTCTGGCCGCCTCTTTGGCAATGTAAGTCCTAGCGAATGGGCGGAAGACGTATGCTCAAGCGTCATAGATGGCTGGCTTTATGATGACGCTCAAGGGCATGCCGTCGACGTACAACAAAGATTTGCAGGAAGATAAGGAGCCGTTGTTCGACTCTGTCGACAACGTATCGGCATCTCTCCGGATTGCTGAGGGTGTCATCGCCACTATGAATGCAAGTACAGTTATGCACCTCTATACCTGGTGTACTGACCTGATCCTAGGTGCACGGCGACAAAATGCTTGCGGCGCTGTCGATGGATGTATTGGCCACTGATCTTGCTAACTACCTTGTGCTGAAGGGGGTAAGTTTGCCTTGAGTCAACACATGGCTGCGCGGCTGACGGTCTACAGATCCCCTTCCGCGAAACGCACCACATCTCCGGACGCGCCGTCGCTCTGGCGGAAGCCCGAAAATGCCAGCTCAACGATTTGACGTTACAAGATTACCAGACGCTGCACCCGAACTTCACGGAGGACGTTCGGGATATTTTCGACTTCGAGGCGAGCGTCGAGCGACGGAATGCCATCGGTGGACCGAGCCGTGTCACCATGGCTCGCCAGATTGAGAAGCTTCGCTCGTATATCGCGAGGGATTAGGCGAATTTCTTGATGGATGTAAAACTGCTGCTGTATCTATACCTGTGCCAATATACTGTAGATCTTTCCCTCGGGGTGCCAGCGAGGTGCCTGTAAGGAGGAGGCTCGGAGGTCGCCCACGGTTCAGTTGTGGCGAGCTGTGGGAGGGGGCGGTGTAAGCGCAGCACATGGCGATGTTCGAAATGGGTGGGCACGTGCTTACGTAACGGTAGCAATCCGGTGCTCATTTGACCTCGAGCATTGCACTCGCTCTCATCTGAAGCGCCCAGGTCAGGCTTTACGGGCACGGTTTCCTGCAAGTCCTGCTATAATTCAAGAGCCCACGGCGGTTCCCTCGCTCCCAATTCTCCCGGTTCACGTCGCAGCCCACATCCCGCTCCCCGGTAACCGCATCCCCCACCGAATACACCATGGCAAGAGACAGACTCGCAGCTATGCGGGTGCGCGCGTATCCTCTACCACACCTGTAATGTCACTCAACTCCTCCCCAGGCCCAGCAGCAGGGCGGCGCATACAACACTAGCAAGTACGTGGTCGTACCACATTTTACTGCCCGCACAGCGACTTATCCCGCGTTTCAGCAACTCGTATCCCTCCCAAGCAGCCGGAGGCTACGGTGGCGGCGCTGGCGGCGGCGGAGGCTACGGCCAGGGCGGGGGTTACGAGATGGCAGAGGTCAACGCCCCCAGCGCTGGCGGTGGTGACATGTCCGCATTCTACACCGAGGTGTGTCGGCATCCCCATCTCTCGCACGCAGGCGCTAATCTCTTCGCAGATCTCCTCTATCCAGGACAGCCTGCGCCAGTTCAACGAGAATGTCGCGCGTATCGGCGAGCTGCACTCGCGGTCACTCAACAACATGGACGACGTCGCGGCGCAGCGCAATGCCTCGCAGCTCGACGACATGATTGAGGAGACGAGCGCGCTGAGCGCGACGTTGAAGCGTCGCATCAAGTCCCTTGAAAAACAGGGCGGCGCGGGGCGCGACGGTCAGATTCGCAAGCAGCAGACCGCCCTTGTGAAGTCCAAGTTCGTCGAGGCCATCCAAAACTACCAGACCGTCGAGCAGCAGTACCGCACAAAGTACAAGCAGCGCATGGAACGCCAATTCAAGATTGGTGCGTACTGCCTCTTTCGACGCCGAACGGACACTGACTCCATCCTTAGTCAAGCCTGATGCCTCACCCGAGGAAGTGCGCGCCGTCGTGAACGACGAGCAGGGCGGCCAGATCTTCAGCCAAGCTGTAAGCATCTGTGTGTCAGCTGTCCTTCATTATCTGACACCAGCACCAGCTCATGAACTCGAGCCGGTACGGCGAGTCACGCGCAGCATACCGTGAAGTTCAGGAACGGCATGAAGACATCAAGCGTATCGAGCGGACGCTTGCCGAGCTGGCACAATTGTTCAATGATGTATGCGCGCCTTCTGACGTGCTCCGCTCTTTGCTGACATTGTGCAGATGAGCGTCTTGGTTGAGCAACAAGACGAGACTATCAACACCATTGAGACGCAGGCTGCCGCCGTAGAGCAGGATACAGAAGCCGGGTATGTACTATCCTTCGGCTTTCTATTCACTTACTGATCGTCTTCCTCAGTCTTGGCTACACGGAGAAGGCAGTGAAGTCCGCCCGCGCCGCCCGCAAAAAGCGTTGGATTTGCTTCTTCATCACTCTCATTGTCCTCGCCGTTATCGGTATCGTCGTTGGCGTTGTTGTCAGCAACAACATCAAGTCCAACAACGGCGGCGGCGGAAGCAGTAACAACAACGGCCAATAAGCGCGGTGCTCCCCCTCCGTATAGACATTATCTATCCTCTGGCGACGACCCCCTTCATGACATCCAGCTGCGGCTCCCTCTCCCGCGTGTGCAGGCTGCATATACCTCTCCCTGCCACAGTATTACCCCTCACATTCGTTTTTATGTGGTCATCCGTCCGCCCTCTCATTCCCCGCTTTGCTGGTAGTACATAGCTCTCGGACCTTCCGCGCAAGAGTTACTCTACTAGTGCTTCTACTGGATTGGCTCTCATCTATCTGTTTATATCATTCCAACGTTTCTCTTGGTATCTGTTGGTCGCTAATACTATGAGGGCGTATGTACGTGCCTCCGTTAGCATGATCACTGCCTGGGTGGAATGCGATTTGGGAGGAGCCACTTGCGCTCGGCAACCGCCGTCGGTGGTTGCAATGAACCATGATGAGTGCAATTATAGGTTGCCTTTCCCCGCATCCCAATGTCGTCCAGCGAGAGCGATCCTTTGCTCCCCATCGAGAGGCCGAGTGAAGAGCAAGAAGATTGCTCATCGATTGCAATATGGCGCGAACGGGTGGGCGCTGCACTCGAGGCTCGTGCGCTACACTTGACGGTCATCTTCCTGGTGCGCAGTATTCACGTTCCCCCCTCTACATGACCAAGCTACAATCGACCTTCTCAGATCGTCGTTGACGCCGCCTGCTCTCTCGCCGATCTCTCCTACACCCTCCTCACGCCCGGCTGCACACCACCAGAAGAGGGCGCGCCCCTCTGGCTCGACGTCCTCTCCCACATCTCCTTCGTCATCACCACCCTCTTCCTCGTCGAAATTCCGCTCTCCCTCTGGGCCTTCGGCTGGAGCTACTACAACCCGTTCGGGGACTACACGCACGCTGCGTTCCACTTCTTCGATGCGGTGATCATCACGGTCACCTTCGTGCTGGAGGCCATCCTGCGGGGGAAGGAACAGGAGCTTGCGGCGCTGCTGATCTTCCTGCGGTTGTGGAGGCTGGTGAAACTGGTCGGAGGTGAGCAAACTCGAACACTTGGGTGCGAGTGCATCACTGACGAGCTGAAGGTGTCGCTGTGGGCGCAGGAGAGGTTGATGAGCCAGACCAGAAGGCACTCGACGAGGCGAAGCAAGAGCTGCAAGCCTTAAGACAAGAGAATGCCTCTCTGAGGCAACGATTATCGTCATATGAATCGACCGAGTAAGGCGCTCGAGACGGTCACTCAGGACTAAACGGATCGGTATATGCTCTGAGCAAACAGCGTTGCTTCATCCTAAAGCAACCTATGTAACATGATTTATGCGCGCAGAGGAACAGATGCTACTCATGTAACGAGATAGTCAGATCCGCGGCTCGTGTACTACGACGTCAAGAACCGTTCTGAAGAGACCGGTCAGCTCGGGGTCCAGCAAGCCTGACGAGGAACACACCTGAGGTTCACTTTTGCGCCTGTCTCCGCATCAGTGAGCGTCAGAGCATCGATGCAGTGTACGCCAGCGGACACCGCCATGAAGTCCATCCGTACACTTTGACATGTCGATGGGAGGAGCGGCCTGCGATTATCTCATGAGTCCTTTATCTCACAAAGTAGCTTAGCTCACTCACCCAACCCGCACCCGATTGTCCAGTGGCAGCACGCCCACATCCGTCGCCTCACGCCTCTTTCTCCTGCCCGTCCTATCGAAGAATGGGCAACTCACATCGAACCGCCTCACTGCATCCCCGCGATTGAAGATGAAGATGTCCAGCGTGAAGCTATCCAGCGGATATATCACCGGCACCTTTGCATTGCCCGCTGGCCGCAAAAGCCCAACAGAAACCACAACCGCCCCAAGGTCAGACGTATCCTGCTGCAATATGGGTGTTCCAGGCGTCGCGAACGCCCCAGTAACCACAGGTCCTGGTGTACGAGGACTGTCAGGCAAGCCACGTTCGCGACGTATCTCGACGCTCGGTGCAAGGCCAGTCGCCGCCTGTGCAGACGAGTATGTCGTCGCAGTTGGTGTCCTCGGGAACGGGACGCCGTCTGGTGCGAAGGGAGGATAGGCTGGTGTCGGTGGTACGGGCGGGCCTGCGTCCGGTGGATTGGTATCCGAGCTTGCGTTGGACATGATGGATGCGCGCTTTTGCGCCTGGGCAAAGTACGAGCTGCCAGATCCGCCAGGTAGGGGTGAGCCTCCTGGCATAGGTGAGGGTGGTAGGTCAAAGGTTGTCGGCGTCAAGGGAATCTGGGCTGACACGGCGACGGAGGGATGCACATGTCGCGGAGTGCCCGGTGGTAATGGTGGTACAGGCGGAGGCGGTGTGCTGCTCAGCATTGATGCTCTGAAGCCAAGACTTGACAATGGCCGCCGCCCGCCCAGTATTGAGGGCATAGTATGCCTCTTCGGACCAGGTACGCTCGGTGGAGAGAACGAGGGATTATGTATGTGAGGTGTCGATTGTCGCTTGTTCGTGAGCATGCCTGGCGAAGCACCCGGGAACGGTGAAGCGGGCTCAGGCAGCACACTAGTGTTGATCGCCGAGTTGCGTCGACTTCGAGGCGGCTGCGGCGTGTTGGGTGCTGGCGTACGAACATCAGGTTCAGGTAGGCGATTGGGGTGCACGGTAAGGTCGAGAAGACAATTCCATTTTGAGGAGAACGTCTTGGTTGGGTAGGTGGTATCAGCGTCTGGCGACAAGATATATGGTTTGCCATGTATGTTGATGGACACTGCGCGTGTGAGGCCTCCCATCGAACTGCGCCGGTCTGCTCCTGCAAGTGGTGCATCGTCGTCGAAGGGGCTGCGCAAAAAGGACACCGCATAGATGAGGTTCCACTGCTCATTCTCGCCAACCTTGACCGGGAACATCTCGCCGCGCTCGCCTTCGGGCTTGAAGAAGTCGTCGCCCCAGCCAACAAGTGCCGCCGTCGCATCCGCCTGACCGTCAAGAGAGCCGGACGCCGAAGAGATCTTGACATCGACCTTCTCCACTGCGAAGCCTACACCCCTTCCAGCTTCTCCAGAGTTTTCCACTTCGATGCATAGCACCACCGTGCGTTCGTCGTTCCCGGCTGCAAGCTGGTCGTCGCCATCGTCTCCGGCGTTTTCCTCCGCACCTGGCAGCACCATCGCGGGTACAAACATGGTGCGCATACGAACACGGAACCCGCTGACAGCATTGAGCGTGCGTCGGTATGACTTGCGCAAGGTCGGTACAGAGGCGCGCGTAGCAGCAAGTGGTGACGGCAGAGCAGATGATGGACTGGAGGGAGGTTGGGGTAGTCCAAACAACGACTGCCTTGACTGTCGACCCAGGCGCGTAGAGGGCAGGACCAAGTCAGACGCGTCGGCGAACGCAGGATCCGCCATCAAGCCCTCGAGGAGGTTCGCCTCCTTGAGCCCGTTGACGCCATCGACTTCTGGTATTGCAGGTTGCGTGCCATTCGCAGTGACGGGAGTAACAGGCGCCGTACTCGCAGGCGTCACCGCGAGCTTGGACTTGATGTACACGGAAAGGGGATTCCTCGCCTGAGCGGTGATCGCGCGGTCGCGCAGCGTCGCCGACGCGGTGAGGCAGAGTAAGGGGTCCGGGTAGCTCAACCTTAGGTATGCTGAGAGAATGCGTTAGTCCCCTATCGACCACAGCATAGAACGCACTGACATACTGTGAGCGAGACGCGGTATAGTGCCAGCCAGACGTTCTCATCAGCCGCCCATAGCAGCGCGAACGTGTCGTCCTCCGCTTGCCCCCATATCGTCGAGAATACCACCGTCCCCTCCGCACGCAAGTACCGTTTATCCTGATCGGGCGCAGACGGCGTCGGGTTCGGCGTCGCAGGCGGGAAGATGGATGGATGGTGGCTCGCCCTCCGCGGCGGCGGCATGAGCGACGTCCCCCGCGGAGAGACCATGTCCTGGTAATTGGGATTCGGCGGCGGCGCAGGCTGCACGGGAATGGGGTTGATGTACGCCGCCTCGAGCGCGATCTGGATGTGCGAGAGGAATGCGAGGAGCTCTGCTGGCGGGTGCTCTGGGTCGGGAGGGGAGTCTGGGGTGGGGTGCTCGACGCGCACGGTGACGAACGCGTCGAGTTTCTCGTCGAAGAACGCCCTGTCGCGGTCGGTGCCTGGGGATTTGAGTCTCGCTAGCCATTCCTCTGGAGGGTCTGTAGGAGGGAACTCGATCGAGGAGTCGGGGACGGCGACGCCGAGGACGCTTCCGGTGAACAACTGTTCGAGCGTCATATCATATCAGGACGTGCCGGAGTGAGGGTATATCGGATGAAGATGGGAAGTGACAGTGACGGTCGAAGTCAAGCACGTATGCGATACAAAGCTTGCCATTTCAGGCATCTCGTCCGCCTGCGCCGCAACGCGGCCAGCCCGTCTACTCGATTGAGCTCTTAGAATTCGAAACTATTCATCCCTGAGGTAGGCGAAATTCCGTCCGTGAGCAGAGACGCGTGTTGTTGCTCTAAGTACATGTTATGATTACATCTACAAGGTTCCTTCTGCCCTTCCATCCATCTACTTCGTGCGCACAACCGTGTCCACAGCCTTCGCGAAATATCTTGAGCAAGGGTCAATAGACATCCCTATAGCTCTGGACACGATACTCACTGGATATTGTGCGAATTCAAGCCGGCCATGGAGATACGACCATTTGAGGTCAGGTATACGTGGTACTCCTCGATGAGCGCCTTGCACTGCTCCGGAGACAGACCAGTGAAGCTGAAAGCTCGTTAGTATCGTGTCAATTCAGACAGCTAGGCCCACGTACCTAAACATGCCGATCTGGTTGATGATATGGTCCCAGTTGCCCGGCGTCTTCAGCTCCTGCGTCAACAACCGGTGCAGCTCATGCCGCATGTCAATAATCCTCCCCGCCATCGTCTTGATATCCTGCTTCCACTGCGCAAACAGCTCTGGCTGCCCCAAGATCATCGCCACCAACCGCGCGCCGTACGCCGGCGGGTTGCTGATCTCGCTGCGCTGCAGCACCGCCAGCTGGCTCTTCACCCGCGCCGCCGCATCCGCACTCTTCGCCACGATGTGCAGCGCACCGACACGCTCGCCGTACAGGCCCGCGTTCTTTGCGAAGCTCTGGCAGACAAGCAGCGGGATGCCCTCGGCGGCGAAGTGCCGCACCGCCCAAGCGTCCGCGTCGAGGTCGCCGGAGGCGAAGCCCTGGTACGCGCAGTCGAAAAAGGCGTAGTGCGCGCGCTCCTTCATGACGCGCGCGATCGTCTGCCACTGCTCGTGCGTGGGGTCAACACCGGTGGGGTTGTGTGCGCAGGCGTGGAGGAGGATGACGGATTTGGGCGGCGCGTTCTGCACGGCACCAAGGAAGCCGTCGAAGTCAAGGCCGATGGTCTTCGGGTCGTAGTACGGGTATGTCACTGGCTCGATGCCAACATTGCGGAATATGTTGAAGTGGTTGACTAGGCGGGCGTTAGTAACATGGAGCGGAGGGAGATACAACCAGACGTACCCCACGTCGGCTGGCTGATGAACGCCTTTTTCTCTCCGTTAAACTTATAGAAGCGCGAGAGGAAGAGCGCGGCAAGATGGTTGGAGCCCGTGCCAGAGATACACTGCACCGTAGAGAGACGCTTCTCCCTCACAACAGGGGAGTCCGCGCCGAAGAGCAGCTTGCCCGAGAGATCGCAGAACTCTGGCAGGCCAGTGATCGGCAGGTATTCGTGATCAACAGAGTCATCGTTCAACAACAGTTCATTTGCCTATGAGCGAGTCAGTATGATGCTGAGAGCAGAGTGATGGTGTAATATGAGGAATGAGGGGAATATGCGCTGGCACGCACCTTCTTGATGACGGGGAGGACCCAGGGCTTGCTGTTGTCATCGCGGTATGCGCCGACACCGAGGTTGACCTTCTGAGGGAAGGTATCCGCCTTGAAGTCCGCGCTGAGCTTGAAGATACTGCATGCATAACGATATGCAACGGAGAACCGAGTAAAGAGCCAAGTGGACGAGCGAATGACATGCCGACGATCAGTCAGCCGTTCCCCCGTCACGTACAAGGGCGACGTACACATCCAGAGGTGCAAGTGCCACGTCGTCAAACGACTCTGCAGCTGCAGAGTCCGTCAGTGCACATCCAGACCCATCGCGCGTCGCTACGCACCGACAGTGTTGGACATCTTGGAACGTAGGTGGTCGGCGACCTGTGACAAACGCGCCTTGGCCATTGGGGAAGGAGTGCGATGTAGAGACAGAAGTAACAATCAAGAAGAAGGGGGCAGGCGGCGCAAGCAGTCAGCGCGGCGTCAAGCAGGAGAGCAGCTCACGACGCACAGGCGACGATGGTGAGATATATAAACGCGGGGAATCACAGTGACACTGGGGTTCCTAGATAGCACGTGTTAATCTTCGATACGTCCCCGCCGCCTGCGATAACGAGCACCCACCTCAAAAATGCCTCGAGGACGTTGCCAGCAGACGAGAGGAGGAGGAGAGGTGTGTTGCGGGGGTGGGGAACAATCCGATTATGACTTGGCGAGCACTTATATTTCCGGACCGCCCGCCGCTGACCCGCCACGCGCACGTTTTGTTCCGTGCAAGGATACGTAGGGATACGTCCCCCACGCGACCAATCTCCGCCGGAATGCCGCCGAAGAGCCGCATCGCCCTGGCACCGTCGCACACCCGCGCCACAGCGGCGAAGGGTCCCCAATCGCGCGCGTCGCCGTGGCCAGCCACCAGGTCGGAGTTCAGGCTTCTCACATCCTGGGCAATCGCAGCGATAGATAAAATATACACATTCAACCATTAAGCGCATAGCATCTATGGTACGTAGAGACCGGTGACATTATAGATAGGGTGGAGGGGAGTGCGTCCGTACGTGACAAGACCAGCAGTAAACGACAATCGCAAGATGGCACGCAGCGCAGTGGTATGGGTGGGCGCGCGGGCGGGAAAGTGGGGGGCAGGGGAGGGCAAGACATGTATGGAGACCGAGTCATATAGCGTCGTGAAAAACGTAACGGAGGTAGGTGCCCAGGCCCGCGCGCGCGAGTAGGGGATATAGTGGCGTACGTGTGTAGACGAGGTGAAGGGTGGGTAGAGGGGGCGAGAGGGTGGTCGAAGGGCGCAGGGGCGTGCAGGGCACGAGGTGCGCACGCAGCGACCGCCGCTCTACGCTGTGGCCATCTTGGATGCGACCGTCCGCTCACTCTCCAGCTTCGCCTTGTTCCGGTCGAATGCCTGCTGCCGGCAGCTCTCGAGCTGATTGCAGGCGTGGTGCTCAGGCAAGCGGTGCTAGGGCCATCCGTCAGCATGCTGCTTTGATCACAACAGCAACAATAACCACTCACCGAACCACAGAAGTGGGCATTGCAGTGGGGGCATGAGCCAATCATACGGAGGGCAGCCTGGTTGCAGTGGTCCGGGGAACCGATAGCGTACTGGCAACGCTTCTTGGCAGGCATGGTGTATGGAAGCGGCGAGAGTTGTGAGAGGGCGGAGAAGCTAGGGGGAATAGAGTCAGCAAGCGGTATCGACAAGGGGGCAGGTGAACGACGCACCTGGTATGTCGTGTGCCGGTGAGGGCGAGGTGTGTTCGAAGGGGGAGGGGGTGTAGGCCAAAGAGTGAACGGTATTTATATTCCCCTGCTGGGCTTACGCGTCGCCTGCCACGTGACATTCTGATCGTCGGGCTCCACGGTGCGGGGCGGTGCGGGACCTTCCTACTGCCATCCTTCACGCGCGCTGCCGCTGCCTGTATGCGCTTAGAGAGCAGCTGTTTATTCAGCCGCTAACTTGAGCAAGGCGATGCCAGCGTTACTCAGCGTTGCTCAACATTCAGGACGATGCTAGAAGACTGCAGAGGCCTCTTCACGGCCTCCCCTTACCCCAGCTGTCAGTCTTGGAATGGATATCGGGGGCAATTCGCTGTGGCGACGGCACGCTCTATCGACGGCGAGACCGCGCGACTCAGAGGGTTCCGATCAAACAAAACAGGCGCACGCCGATAGCGAGGCGCCGTCTGGGGCTCGGTCATCGCAGCCGAAGGCCCGCGCCCGCGGTCGCAGACCGTCGATGTGCTATCCGCCAAATCAGACAGCGCGGAATACCAGCAGTGCCCCCCTGGTGTCTCTCGCAACCATCTACATCCCGCCCAATCGTGTTCGCAGCCACGCTACCGCTGGGTCAGCTGTCGTCAGTAGCCTGCTTGCCGCCGCCATCGCTGTCGACGCCACAATGGCTATTCTTCCCGATTGGTCAAGCCCGAGTCTGGCGGGGTGCGTGCCGACGCGCCCGAAGCTTTGCTGCGTATACCTCGGAACGTCTATGCTGCTGCCCTCATGGTCTTTCTCGCTTCGCTTGCGCATCGGTGAAGGCTTTGTGCCAATCTTTGTCTACGAGAGACGGCTTCCCAGGTAAATTGGATTGCTGATAGCCTGCAAGCCGCCAGTCAGTGCATGTTCATGCACGATACGACCGACATCCAGCGGACATCGCTATCGATGCCAGCGAAACGTCCAGCGCTGCGACTACCGCCTTTCATTGAGTGGCCGTTTTATGGGTTTGTGGCTTCCGCCATCCGTCTGGAATATGGTACGTCGTGTAGCCCATGCGCTTGCGCGAACCGAATGACCCTTGAGTGTCTCCACTCCGCGCGGCCCCAGGCGATGCTTGTGAGTAAAAGGTGCGGGAGGGTCATGTCCGTGGAGTGCAGGTGTGGCTGCATTGTATTGCGATGGTCCTGGAATATGTAGTTTGGACGTACGCGCTCTCAGTACCACAAGCGAAATGGGACGGCGAAGGACTACTCTCCCCTTTGAGACAGATGCTACTCGCTACGCTGGCGTTCGCTGAATGGCACTAATGTCCGTGGTTGACCCGTCCCATCCTAGCGGAGCCTTTTGAGGCGAGCGGGACGGACGAACAAGCGTAGCAAGCTGCACTATAGATGACGCTGATAATCCATTGTCATACCCCTTGATCGTGATACCCAGGCCTGCAAAGCATTCAAAGCCCCAGATAGATTTGATAGACGAAGGTATGAAGTCGAAGCCGCCGCGTCAGGCAATGCGGGCTTGGTGCGGGCGATTGATGAGCGCATTCATTATGGCGGCGCCTGGCATGGGTTGAAAGCCACTGGAAGGTCTTTGAGAGAGGATGAAAGGCTATCCCTCATCAAGTGCATTTTGCCTTTTGACTGCCCAGTGCCAGTGGATGCCCTGCACCCAGCGCGGCAGAGTACCCGTGCGTGAATGAAATCGCGATCGGCGTCGCCGAGTCATCGGTGGTTCCTGTGATCAGCTGTGTGAAGCGTGAGCCCATGTCGCGTCTGTCGCGAGATTGCGCGAGTCTGGGAGCGCAAAAGCCGAGGGAATGCGTGGGCAGAGAGCCCGAGCAGCGAGGGGACGAGACCCGGGGCCAGAGACGAAGAGATCAGAGAGTTGTGGGTCCGCGATTGGCATGACGTCAGGGCAGATGACGTCGGTGTTGCCCTGACGGATGGAGGAGGATGCCTGAACGATCTTTTTCCGTTGGCTGCCAGGTGTTCATTTTCTGGAAAGAGAGCGCGCGCACGAAGGGACGCCGATTCTCAGATTATCTTCGCATTTATCGGGTCCTTTTTCGAGTTTGCGGCCCCCGACGCCGCTGCCGTCGCCGTTGACGCCGAGCCCGCCGCGTGCAGGCTGCAGAGCGGCGTCCGCCCCCGCCCTCGCCGTCTCCGTGGATGCGCCGTCCAAACATCGCCAATCCACACCAGTGCGTGTCCTGCACGCGTTTTCTCCTTTGTCTCCGACGCTCATGGGCGGACTAGTGTCCATTGCCACGCACCGCAGCGATGACCACGATACACACGACGCTTCAGCCCAGATGCACCAGCCCCAACCCCAGCAACAGCAGCAGCAGCATCAGCCAGAGCCCGCACCAGCCCCGGCTCCCCCCATGGCATCTCCCCCACTCCCTCCCGCGTCCGCACCTCCCCGCGTCGCGCCCCCGTCCTTCATTGCCCTCCCCCCACCCGTTGCCTTCGCCCTTGGGATCCGTGATGACACGCTTATGGGCACGCCCCCATCACCCTGTCTCCAGTTCTTCACCGCGCCAAACTCGCCCATGGCAGACTCGCCAGCGCAATCACCCGCACAAGCAATGGACAGTCCTCCCCCTCGGTCGTTCATGCCCCAGTCGCCAACTCCAGTGCCTGCGCCCGCCCCCATCGTGTCGCCCTCGGCTGAGGCGCCGCCAGAGGAACCTTTCGCGGTGCCCCCCGAGCCTGGCATGGAACTCTCGCTCGATGACGACAATCTCAGTGTACTCGAGAAGATCTACCTCTTCTCGAGGAGCAAGGCCACTTTCCATCGCGTCTTCATTGCTCACGCGCTCCCCTCCTTCTTGGAGCAGATTTCACCGCAGGAGGCGGTCGAATACGTACTGCCGCTCCTCAGCGGACTCGCCATGGATGATGGTGCGTGTACGCGTGCATCAGAGCGTCATATTTCTGATGGCCTTGACGTAGAAGATACAGTCAAGGAGGCGTTCGCGGCAGAGCTCCTGGCGATCATGTGGTATTTCTTCACTGTATGTTTCCTCACTTCCCGGAATGCGTAGTTCCTAATCACCTGCTTTAGAAATGTCAGGTCGTCCCGGACGATCCGCAGACGGAGGACCTGATGTTCCCCTCTGCACGGTCTGCCCCCGCCATACCCGTCCAGGCCTTCACGCCCATTCTCGGAACGCTGCTACTGAGTAGCAACGGCCAAGTCGGACTTTCGACTCGCTATGCGATCGTGACCATCTTGAATCGCATACAGCGACTGAACGAAAGCGAGAGCCGCAAAGCCGATTTTGTTCCTCCAGCATCGCGACCATCTTCAAGCAGGGGCATTCTTGCGAAGGACCCTCGTCCAAATCCGAAGTCTTCCCTCGCAGCCAAGGCGATGCATTCTGTGATGAACCCTCCAGAAGAAGATGAAGAATCGGACGATGACGAAGATCTCCCGCCCACGGGTCTCTTTGGCTACGAGGAACGCGAGATGTTCGAGCAGGAATTGCTGCAGCAAGTCGTCATCGGGATGGGTCGGCTCGATCAACAATGGTCGAATACCGAGGAGGGCTATGTGGATATCGATCCCTTGGCGATGCAAGAGGACCGCTCCCCGAATGTGGGCACGCAACTCGGCGACCAGTACCCGCCTGAATACCCCGCACGCTCCCCTCTCGATGAGCCGCGAGTCCGGTCTCCCGCCGAGCCGCTGCCGGAGGACGAGGACGGGGATCGTATGCCGGCCCCAAAACCCGCTACGGATTATTTTCCGAAGATGCCACCGACAACGCCTGCGCTCTCGCCCCCAACGAGCTCGCCAGATTACACTCCGCCCTGGGTGGCCATCAGCCCCGGATCGTCATCATCTACGTCAACGTCATCTTCCTCTACGTCGTCGCTGCACACGCCTCCGAACAACCTTCTGCGTTCGACGTGGGAGGGTCCGCGGTCTCCGAGGGCAGCGGCATTCGAGATGTATGCGCGTCCGGAAAGCCAGGGGTCGTCGGATGGGGAGGAGACGGTATATGTGCAAGCATCTCCTCGCAGCAACGCGTCGAGTGGCTCGCCCATGCAACTGTCGACACCTTCGCCTCCGCCCTCTCCGCCCGAGACTGCCCTTTCAAGAGTCACGAACCGCGATCAGCCGCCCGACAAGCACCCGCAAACGGTCGACCCCAAACCACCGGATGCCACCACGTCTCCGCCTCTGGCAAATTCCCCTCCTTTCATTTCCCTTAATTCTCCCCCGCCTCAAGTTTCGGTCCAAGCAGCATCTCCCGTATCACCCAAACCCACCACAGAGCCCTCACCCTTTGTTCTCTCGCCCCGCTCCCCATCCGATCTCCCCGAGCCAAGGACATTGTCTCCCGTCAACCCACCTGCGCCTCAAATTGGGCCACAGCCTACCAGCAACGTTTCTCTGCCGATGCCGACTGTATCTGCGCCCAATGAGCAGTCGCCGTTCGGCGGCCTTCGCCAGAACGTGCCTCAGACGAGTGCGGACGAACGAGCAGATGCGCAAAGGCAGCAGGCGCAGGTCAGTCCGCCGATCTCGATGTCGCGCGAGCATGCGATGTCGCCAGGGAGGGAGGAGAATCTGGCCGCGGTGGACGACGATGCGATGAACAACATGACGCTGGACGAGAACCCCGAGGAGGAGCAGGCCGCCTTTGGGCGAGTGTCGAGCATGAGCTTGATTTCTGCGGTGTCTGTCAGCGGTGAGCAGTCCTTCCCGACGCACATCTCAAGGCTCATCATCATTTTCTAGTAAAATTGTCGGAATCGGCGCAACAAGCATTCGTCACCGAAGTCGAGAGGGTATGCCGCGATCCTATATACTGGGTCAGACGGGAAGCAGCCTTCGCTGTGGGCGCTCTAGCGAAGGTTGTGCCTGACGAGATCGTCATGACTTCGCTGGTGAGTATAGAAGCATACAGTTGATAGAGTGATAAGCTAACAAGGTTTGCTAGCTTCCGCTTTTCGAAGGCCTCCGCAGTGACTCAATGTGGCACGTTCGTCATTCTGCTCTCTTCGCCTTCCCGGCCTTGCTCGCTCGCCTCGATGCGCAGCAACGTCGGCGCGTTGCTCTCGAGACGGTGATCCCTTTATCGAGGGACGAGTCAGCGGCAGTGCGAACAGGGACGTTGGAGGCTCTGGGAGAGGCCATATACTCGTTCCGCAATGACGACGGCGGTATACCTCAAGAACTCCTCGAGCTTTTCGTTGGACGACGCGAGGACCGGCGCATCCGCGATCACTCAGCGCCCGACGAAGAATGGGTCATTCCATCAGACTGGGGCGTAGACTTCGAGCGCCAGGATCGAGTAGCACCTCCGGACGAGACCCCTCTGGATTCGTTCTACCGTGATCCCGGCCGGCCACTCATCTGCGCGTTCAACCTGCCCGCGGTAGCTCTCACGCTCGGCCGCGAGCGATGGGGAGCCATCCGCGAGCTATACCTGCACCTCGCGGACGACTGCACGACCAAGGTCCGCCGGACGCTCGCCGCGAGCCTGGGTGCGCTGGCTGGCATCATTGGCCCTGAGAACGCACGACAGGACCTGATGGTCGTGTGGTGGGACTCGATCCGGTGCGAGGAGCAGGAGGTGCGCGGGAAGGTCATCGAGGCGATGGAGGCGTTCGTCGAAGCGCTCGGGCCGTGCACGGAGCGGATCGAGGTCGTGCAGAGCGTGCTGCAGGTGTGGGACGAGGGGATGCTGACGGCGTGGCGGGAGCGGGAGACTGTGGCGAAGAGCTTGATTGGGGTGACGCGGGCTATTGGGCAGGAAGACCCGATGCTGGTACGCAGCTTGTTGATGAAGACGTTAGAGGACAATGTTGCGGCAGTAAGGGAGACCGCAGTCCATTCGGTGAGCTTTTTGTGCGCCTCTGTGGAGAACACAACCTGACCAAGCTCTTAGCTTCAGGAGATCTGGTCTATCTTCGGAGGCCGGCGAGACGTCCTTGAAGACGTGCGAAAGGACATCCTTACTCTGGCTCGCTCGTCGTCGTATAGGCAACGCATGACGTGCGTTAGTTCCTATCGTATCTTCTATCTTTCGTTGACGCATTCTTGTAGCTTTATCGCTTGCCAGCAGACCATCATTCTTCCCACCGAAAGTGGGCATCCATGCATGGTTGCCGACGACCACGTCTGGCAAACGCTGTTGCCCCTGGCACAAGACTCAATTGTTGGCGTGCGCATCGGCGTCTCTCGGCTCGTTGCCAATTATTGGGGTAGGTTTGCTACAAGATGCTATTGACTAAAGTACTAACGCGGCGTACAGACAAATATTTGCAACATACGCACATCCCTGATGGGCCTATGCTGGATGTCATCCGCAAGCTGACGAGCGACCCTGCGCACGAAGTGCAGACGTACCTACCCGCACGTTTGCGTGGCGTCGCAGGCCCTTTGCTCGAGCCGAAGCCCATGGAACGGAGTGCGTCGTCCACAGCTAGACGGCGTGCACGAGACGCGGCAAATATGTCGGCCACGTTCTCAAAGCCCCCTCGAGCGGCCAGCATCCTCATTCCCGAGTGAAGGCTTTGCGCTGTCATGCATTTGGTCCCGGATGGATTGCGCGCCTGGTTTGAGAAAAGACCAGTCGCGGGACAGCTGTTCACTATCGTCTAGAGTAACCCCCTGCAAGCATACGCATATTACCCTGCACTTAAGTTTATACCTGCGATCTTACGCTACTTACTACTGCTTACGACGTTTTCTTGTCTAATTTGCTCTCTGTCTTGTCTCCCGTGTAGTAGAATAATGTATTTGCATGCATGCCTGTTGCTGAAAGAGCGCACAAACGGGAGGGCAAAGACCGGGTGTGTTTGTGGGGGTCCGTTGAACGGCGCCCGTGTGAATGGTATGGACACCGATCGGTGATTGCCGTTGCGGGCCACCCTAACGACACACGCCTGAGCTCTGGCAGGGTATAACTTGTCCGGAACGTTTTACCTCGTCTGTCGTGTATCGTGAGCTGAGCTCTCCCCTCCCCTCTCCCTCGGGTCCCTCTTTTCCTCTCCCCCTCGCTCTCTCATTCTCGGTTGGCTCTCTCCTCACCGCGGCAGCGCGTTCCGATCATGGTCAACTTGTTGCTTTTCCTGCGCTATGTGGCTTTTGGTGAGTCCCTGCTGGACGCGCGCCACTGCGGTCGTCTGACGCGTCCCCCAGCTGTATTTATTATCTGCAATGCGATCATCGCGAGTGTAGCTGTATGGAACCTCAGCCTCGCACGGACGGTGGACTTCGGTAGCGTCGGTGCGTTGAACACATTCGGCCTTGGTTTGACGAGTCTAACGAGCCACATAGCTCAAGTAGACACCTACCTCATCTTCGTCGCCGCGTCTGGTCTCGTACTAGCCTTTACGATGTGAGTGCAGCGCAGTAGAACCCTCGAACGACTTACCAACATTCCTCAGTGTCTTCACTCAACTTGCCATACCCAACGCTGTCTTCGGTCGCGTGTTCAGCGAGTGTATCTGGGTGGCCCTTTACTGGATCATGGAGCTTGGTATGTTCTCTGTGCATGGCAAAGGCGTGTATTGACCGTAGTATACAGCGGGAGCCGCTGCCATCTCCGCTTTGGGCCGCACAATGTGCGACAGCGACGACCTTCGCCTCACGAATCAATCGTCCACCATCGTCCATGACAGCTGCGCGTCCAGCCAGGTCCTCATGGGCTTCTCTTGGATATGCGCCCTCACGCGTAAGTGCGCCCGCACGTTTCCCATACATCCACTCACATCCGTTACAGTGATGATGTATCTGGTTGCTCTGGTCACCACCACTGTCTCCCACTACAATGAAGACCCGCAAGCTTGGCATTGCAAGATCAGGGACTACCCGTGGGCCTCGAGCGAGAGCTCGCACAACGGTTCCAGCCGCGCCCCTACCCCAAGCTCGATCGAGAAGGCTACCCTCTCCGTCCCCACGACACAGTCACGCCACCTGCGCCCCCTCATTTCGGTCCTCAACCGCTCCAACACCGCTACCTCCAGCCCCGAGTCAATCATTCACCCATTCCCCCTCCCTGCGACCTCGCAGAAGCCCGTACCAGCCGCTCCGGCGCAGCGCGCACCGAACGGCACCCGAGAGACCCACAACCGACAGCCCAGCAATAACTCTTATTACTCGCGCCCGGTGCAGGCCTCCATGCCGCGCGCGTCGCTCCAGATGCCCTCGTATCACAACCCGAACCGCCCACCGTCACCGCCGCGCGACTGGCGGTCGGAGACATCATCCCAGCAGCAAAGGAGGACACCGTCGCCTCCTGCTGTTGGTGCGGGCTCCGCTGCATCGTCGACGGCCTCCAGGGGGTCGCGGCGTGTCCCCGGACACCGCCCGCCACCATTGGACCTGTCCAAGATCAGCGCGTTCCGCCAGAGGTAACGTCTGTTCAGTGTGCGCCGGCCGCTCCTGACGTTCGTGACTCGCTCTCTTGTGTATACTATACATTAGCTGTTGTACAGGTTAATGACTACCTACGATCTAGTAACTGGTTACGATGTGGCTTTGATAGTTCACGAATTCATTGCATGGATCCACGACATTGAGAAAACCCGTGAGACACTGAGAGCCTTCGCATTGTTCTGCTTCCGGGGCCCGGATGCATTTTGATCGATCAGGCTGGCTTCCGCCATTGTTCCTCTTTTGACCACCGTGGTCCATTTTTGGCGGACAACAATGGACCAGCCATGCGGCCCGCCACGAGGCCCAAACACCTGTTCTTCGCGGAATGTGCGCGAGGGGTTTGTCCACGACGTTCATCTCCGAGCCACTGGCTGGCTTGGGGCACTTCCCATCGATTTCGAGAGCTTGGCCTCTCGCTTCTGACTACTCCACATCTCGCTGGCTGCGCATGCCCTCTAACCGAGCCCGACACGACTCTCACGAAGACAGAACTACCTTACGACCTGCGAGATGAACAAGACTGCCATCGCTCTGCGCTCTATCGTTTTCTGTGCGTATGCGATGGGACCGGTCATCGGGTCTTCTCGGAGGGGCCACTGGCTGACTGACTTGCAGTCGTCTGGGCATTTTTCGCCTGCTGGACAGCCGGAACCAGCGTGGTCCTCATACTCGCTAACGCGAGGCTAGAATACGGTGGTCAGTCTTCTTCTGTGCCTCGACGATTATTGTGGCACAACCTTTCTTGCAGTGGCGGCAAGCACCGTCCTTGCCTTGATTGTGACCATCGTCACTCTATTCATGATAATCGCGTGAGTGGTATTCTATCCACTAAATAAAGTGTCAACTCTGATTATACTAACAGGTCGCACACGGAGCTTCGCTATCACTACGTCCGAACGGGGAACGTGCTCATCGAACTGACATGGGTCGCAATTTCCGCTGTTCTGGGATTGGGTACGTCCAAGGTATCTTAGTACCATAGCGCACCGAGCTGAATACAAATCTCAGTGATCATTGGCCTGGCCTTTGGTATTGACGTCAAAGGCTGCAGAGATACAGGTCGGTCAGTTTCTGGCGCTCATTAGGATATGTATTGATCGCGCTTTGTAGGGGACTTTGAGTACTGTGCCAACACTGCTTTGTTCAGAAAGCTTGTGGCAGTCTTTGCCGCGATGGGTGCGTATATTGTGCATGCAAATCCTCGGAGCTGACATCACGATAGGATGGTCTTACCTGGTCATCTTCAGCGTTGCGCTTCTCTGGCGCTACCGCGTCGACGGCAGATACATTCTGTCGAAATCCGTCTTTGAGATCAACTGGCTACGACGCAGAGACGCCATGGAAAAGGATTACAGAGATCACAAGGGACATAAGGGACGCAAGGAGCGGCCTCAGGACGTTCAAGCTCACGGCATCTTCGACGATATCACGCAGTCTTCGGCGTACAGCACCTCTCCTGGCTATATGTCTCCTCCAGCCAGGACTGCAGCTCGACAGCCCGAGCCTCACACGCCAACGCCACTCTGGGCAAAGCAGGCTAGCATCCGGCGTGGCGTCGACCCTCCTTTCCGGCAAGCTCCCTCTGAGCAGCGCATCCAGCCTCTCCAGCGCGCTCACCCTCGCCCTCACCGTCATCGCCACCGCGAGCATCGTCCCTCCCGCCAAGCACGCGCGACTCTAGCGCCTTCGCAGCCAAACCTATCTGCCCAGACCTCAACGGTCAGCGCCAACGTAGCGAACGACATGAACTATATCACCCGTGCAGTCAGCCCGCTAATCTCCGACCTCGGGAGCGCGCGCCAGCCCGAGCAGGGGTTAAAGCCCCTTCCTTCGCTAGCGGAGATGGTTGGCCAACGTGTTGTTCGACCACCACCGCGACAGGACAGCCTTGGGCGACACGGTTCAAGTTCTGCGCCTCGAAGGCACGGCGGGGCTGATCCCATCGACCGTCCGTTCAGCCCCGCTCGGCGCACATCACGTCGTCCAACGAGCGAGGAGAGTCTATCACGATTCTATTATTTATGAGCATCTACGTGTTGTTATGTTGCTTCTGTCGCCATACACTGTCATGTTGTCTGCTGGTAGATATCTGCACTTCTGGCTCTTTATTGTATCATAGCTAGCGTCTGAGATCTGAAGTAGTCTACGGTATCTATATTACGCTCCTTTGTACAATCAGAATGATCTCTTTGGTCTCTTCATGCTTACAAACATGAAGAGAGGGATTTTGGAATCCGGGGGCTGTGAACGCAATGTCGAAGAAGAAGTTCCGGCCCGACATTCCGGTCCTTGCTTCTCTCCTTCATCATCCAGCGCCAGAGACTGAGTCTGAAGTCCTCGCAGTCGCACTCATCGTCTTGATCTCATACGCGTACCCTCTCCAGAAAACACTCCGACAGCCATTGGGCGGGACTATTAGAACCAGCTCCTTGTAATTAGAAGTTCAGGTGTGGCTGCTTGCTTTGCCGTCCTGCGCGTCTCTTCTGACTCCAGAGTATAGCAGACCGCGTATTCGGTCATGGTCGTGGAACAATTCGAACGTACACATACTCAGACCCGCCTCTGTCTTAGCTGTGACAGTTCGATCGAAACGGACACCCAATCCGTGCCTCTCAGCCTTGTGCACTCTCCCGCTCTACCCACCGACCATGAAGCACTGTCCATCCAGCACTCCATATCTTCCGACATCGACGCGCTGCGCGGACTAGACAGACAGATTTGCCAGCTCGAGGGTATCATCAGAGCCCTTTGCATCCACCGGGACGACGTGCGCAGCAACGTCGATCGCAAGCGCGCGCTCCTCTCTCCTATCAGGTGCCTGCCGCCGGAAATCATGGGTATCATTATCGACTTCGCCATCACAAGCACTTTCCGCCGGAAGCGCGATAGCTCCCTCGTCAAGCAGCACCCTGTCCTACAGGTGTGCCGACGGTGGCGCGAGCTTGCGATTTCCATGCCGCGTTTGTGGACCAACATTGTCTTATACCCATGCGCTGACAGAGGCTGGAACGACACGCTCGCACTATGTATTGAGAGATCTTCGTCGCACCCTTTGCACCTCGTTCTTCATCGCGGTCGGCCATCATGGCACACAACCATCGTCATGAAGGACTATTACATCCACTTGCCAGACCTGGAATGGAAGAGAGCATGCGTGTCGCTTGTGGGGGCCGCGCATCGTTGGCGCTCTATGCGATTGGAGCTGCTCGACGCACCATCATGGCTGCTGGATCGAACCCCATTCTTCTCGCAACTCAAAGGTCTTGATTTGCGAAGATTCGGCTTAAGCCTTCGCGGCGACAATCAACTGTTCCGCGACTGCCCTGCACTCGACAGTCTCCGCCTCGAGAGCCTGGACGTTCACAATATGCGGCTCCCCTGGTCACAGCTGAGGCGCCTCGAAATACACTCATCGCCGGACATTACGTCCTTCGTCACTGCGCTGTCTCAATGTCCTGGGTTGGAATCCCTGATCCTCTCTATGGACTTCCAAGGCGTCTTCGGACCGGTTCCAATCAATCTCCCGGCTCTACAGTCCCTGACCATGCGCAAATCATCGTACTGTGCGCTTGCTTTTCTCATCATGCCAAACTTGCTCGATCTACGCCTCGAGCCATCCGCCGAAGACGCGGCAGAGTACGAGTTGCTAGCTCGCCTCTATATCGCTGCCCTTCTGGCCCATTGTGATGTCAACAACCGTTTCTCGCAGTCGCTCGTAACAACGTTATTACTGCCTGCGGCGCCCGGTACCGATTGGCATACCCTATGGTCGAAGTTCCCGCGGATCACCCATCTGACCGTCACCGACGATCTGATGGACAACAACTTGCGCACGGTGGAGGTCATAAACTCGCTGGCGAACAGGACCGACTGTCTTCCCAGCCTCGCTCGCCTCGACCTGCCTTCTTTCTTTGTGGACGAAGAGGCCAAGGCGGAGGCACTGGAGGCGCTATTTGACGGCCGCGCCCTGGAGGTCGTGGTTTACGAGACGGAATACCACGGGCGACTGTCAAACCACGCGCAATCCAGGGGAGGCAGTATTCGTGAGGGCGCGGTGCCGACGCTAGGCAGCGAGGACGAAGACTCCGACGAGGATGATGGACCGTATAGCTCTGACTCGGAGATGGGAGAAGACGAATCAGGTCTAATGGCAGTAGAAGCCGACGTTTAGCTATGCCCACCGAACGAGCAGTCTTATCGGTTGCGAGATTCAGTGCGAGATACCCTTAGCATACTGTACGATGTAAATTACCAGACAAGAATTTGGACTCGAGCTTTCCCTCATATCTATCTTTGACAATGAGACTACGATTAGAAGAGCAAGTTGAACTTGTCGGGCCGTGCTTATAATGCGCCTCCGCATGACGCGCGCGTGTCAGTCGTACTGATCGACACTTGTCCTGAACCATCAAGAACTCGACGTTCAACATCGTACAAAGACTCAATTTCCTGTCGACCTGCTGTTGTTCTGCCAGGTCTATATCTCTGGAGTGAATTTGAGGATACAACGGTGCGATTTCTCTTCTGCAGCAGTGACGTTTGCGCTGACTCGTCGCGCCTCGACACTCGTCTTTCAGCACCGAGCACTTGTTCTTTCCACCATGATCACAGAGCAATTGAAACCCATCCATCTGCACACCTCCCTCTGCTATAAATGCGACCGCTCTATTGAGAAGACCGCGCTCTCCGTTCCTTTAGAACTCGTCCATGCTGGTATACTCCCTACCGAGAACGAGGCGGCCTCCATCCGACACGCCATTGCTGCTGAGAAGAAGGCCTTTCGGGACTTTGACATCGAGATTGGGCGCGCGCAAAGGTATCTCAAGGACCTTCGCGACCGACAGCGCACCCTCCGCACACATCTCGAGCGCAAGCGCGCACTACTATCCCCAATTGCGCGCCTTCCGTCTGAGGTTCTCAGTATCATCATCGAAATGGCAATCACAAGGACCTTCCGGCGGAAGCGCGACAGCACGGTGGTCAAACGACATGCGGTCTTGCGGGTCTGCCAACGTTGGCGCAGTATAGCCCTGGCAATTCCACATCTGTGGGCGAATATCATTCTATATCCGACCCACGACCCAGGCTTCGACGGCACACTCGTCAGGTGCGCACAAAGGTCGCGGGCCCTACCTCTCGACCTCTGCATGAAGCGCACGAAGCCGTACTGGCGCGAAGCGCACAATCCGCTGTCTCTGATCACTCCCGATCCCCGAGTACAATGGACGAGAGTCGCGGAGGCTATCTTCGCCTGCGCGGACCGCTGGCGTACCATACGTATCGACGACTGGGAGGACTACAATGTCTTGGAGGAAGAAGCAACGTTTCCCCATCTCACCGAGTTGCGTCTGGCATTCGGGAGTGCGCACCCCATAAATCTTTTCAAAGACTCGCCCGCCCTCGTCGACGTCCAATTGGAGCGTATCCACTTGCCGGAGCTGCACTTGCCTTGGCAGCAGCTGCAACGCTTGTCCATCCGGCTTTGGGAAAGCTCTACTGTGCGACACTACGGCCCGGTGTTATCGCAATGCGCCAACCTGGTCTCTCTCACCTTGACTGCGTTCGCCTCTGATGCCAACGAGGCCCATCCACTGGTCCGTCTGCCGCAGCTCGAATCTGCGACCTTGTACAAAAAGGCGCATTCGTTCCTCCGCTGGCTTATCGCGCCCAAACTACGAGAACTCGTCATTCATTCTGATGCGATCGAAGACGAGGTCGAACAGCCTCACTTCCTCTTACAATTCATCTTGCAAAACACCACGATCAACGAGTTGAATCTATTGTACCTATCGCTTTCGCTGGTGCACGCGACCGCATGGGTACAACTGCTGGCATACCTCGATTCCGTCACGCACCTACGCATCGTCGATGATTGGTCGCACATCCAAATATCCCTCGACCTCATGAACTTTCTTGCCAATCAGTCCGATGTCCTACCCAAATTGGCGAGGCTCGATTTGCCGTCGCTTCGTGTCATCGAGCCGCTTGTGGTGGATGTCGTGGAGATGCTGCTCGAGCGACGGCCTCTGGAAGTGGAAGTGGACGCCATAGCAGACCTGGAACGCTTGCAGGCTTTCAGTCTCGAGAAGGGGGGGAAGATCTCCGAGGTGCAGCCGTCGAAAGACAGGTCTGGTAGACCGCCATGGGAGGTCGATGATTCGGATGTGGAGCCGTGGGACAGGGAAAGTGCCTACAGCTCGGACACGGACAGGAGCGAGGACACCAACGAGATCCGTACGTATAACGTGAAGGGTTTGAAGACGGCGAGCGAGTGCGAGGATGATTTGTGTGGCGGTGGTGAACTCGACGAGTTTATGCTATCGTCGGACGAATCAGATTCCGGTCCGTATGAATATAGCGACTACTAGATCACCTCTAACCGTGGGTGGCAAAAAATCACGACACATGAGCTTGTACTTACACCTAGGCTGAGTGATGCTGCATCAGTTTTCAGGCCTCGCATAGGAGGACAAAAGTCGAACTGTGACACACTGTGACCGATCGTCGTGCTTGCTGCCTTCTTGTGCGCCGCGCGACTACAGTGCGTCAAGCCGCGTGTCAGCTACATCTCTCGACTTCCGCTCACCCCGCAGACGCTTGCAGCGGAGGAATCTCACTTGAAGTGGGAAAACGCTCCTGGATTGGTAGGTACCGTCCCGCATTGAAGCCCGCCTCCTCGTGCTAATAACATCCTCTTTAGAGCCCCGAACACTGGCATGCTCGTCAAGATGCTGGCGCCACTGCATCTGAGCACTAGTCTATGCCAACAGTGCAGCTTTTCTGCTAGCACGGCGGGCTTGTCCGTTCCGCTCGAGCTCATCCGCGCCCACATCCTGCCTACTGAAAAGGATGAGTGCTCTATCAGAAATGCCATAGCTTCCGAAACGTCAGTGCTCTCCGGCATCGACGAGCAAATATCCTGCATGCAACGCCAGCTTGATGAGCTGAGGGCTCATCGAGAGACATTTCGCACCCATATCGAGCGCAAACACACGCTGCTGTCCCCGATTCGCCGCCTGCCACCCGAGCTCACGGGAAGAATCCTCGAGATGGTGATCGTAGATACCCTCCGCCAAAAGGGTGGCCGATCTCTCGTCAAGGTGCACCCCTTGCTTCAGGTTTGCCACCGCTGGCGGAACATTGTGCTGGGCATGCCATATATTTGGGCAGACATCGCGCTATTCCCGTATTGCGATGCTGATTGGGACGACGTACTCGCCGACCGCGTGGAGAGATCTCGGCCGCTCTCGCTGCACCTCACCGTTACCGGTACCGAGGAGGCAGTGGAGGCAGAGACCCAGTCGCAATCCCAAGTAGATCCTGAGTCCGTGGCTCGTTGGCAGCATTTCAGCGATATCTTCAACTCATTCTCGGATCGATGGCGCTCCGTGTGCTTCGACACGCTGTGTCCGCCCACGCCATACCAGCCCACCTTTTCTCGCCTGACCTCATTGTACCTGAGGCGAACATTCGACAACCCAGGATCACCGTCGTTGGCGCTGTTCGCGAACGCCCCTGCTCTAGTGAATGTTCGCATACAGGATGTGTTCTTTGCAGGCCTGACCTTGCCATGGCGGCAGCTGCGACACTTGACTGTGTGCCTGCGCCCTAGCGAGTCGACGCGCAAGTTCCGCGATGTGCTGGAGCAATGCGTATTTTTGGTGGAACTCGCGTGTACGGCTCATAGGGAGAGTACAAGTCCAAGCCCATTGATCGTCCTGCCCAATCTGCGGTGCCTCACGTTGAGACACTCGGCTCTCCGACTGCTTTGGTTCCTTTGGATACCCAAGATACGAGAGGTGCACCTACTCAGCGACGCCAGCGTTGAGAACGAGCACCAACAAGGCTACATCCTCAAGGACATTATCACCAGTATCCCCACACCAGAGTTGACGGTCATAACCTGTTCAGTGGTCGGATCTGAGTGGCAGCAATCTCTCCTTCCACACCTCGCGCGAATCAGCCACTTGCGCATCATCGACGAGCATTCGGACAACCAACTCGAGTCTATGGACATAATGGCCGCCGTCGTCCGCAAAAGCGGATACTTCCTGAAAATTACGAGATTGGACCTGCTTTCCCTCATCATTGACGGCGAAGCCAAAGCCCGAGCCGTGGAAGAATTACTGGATAGTTGTCCAATAGATCTGGAGGTTGACGATCTATGCACCTATCGAGAGCGTCTATCGACGTACGCGCGGTCGAGAGGGTGCAAGATTTACGAGGGAGGTGCTCCCTTCATAGGACACCCTGGCCGCTGCAGGCAGGAGGCGGAGGACTCAGCGTGGGAGGATATATGTGCCCGGAGCTGGGAGGACGGTGTTGACAGCATGCAGTAGAGGGCAAGGCGTCCGATTGCTTCACTTTGTACGGTGCATAATTGTGGTTATCGATGGAGCCAAGGGAGTTCATAACTTTGTTACCACACCACGGAGCACAAGAGAAGTCGACCATCGTCTGTAGATTGTCCATCATGGTTATAAGTATCGTTTGTCCGTCATTCAATGTCTTGTAAGCTCAGCCTAGCCGGATGCCAAGCACAAACCCTGCGAGGAAGGATGCGCGAGGCTGGAAGTCCGCGGTCAAGAAATCGACAATCCAGGTCCAACATGAGCCGACAGTAGGAGCGCGCTTCACGCCATTGGCGTCTGTCTTATAAAACAGATTCTCGAAGCGTGATCCCATAGCCCGCCAATCGACCTTGATGACGGAGAGTTGACCGAGATACTAGACCGGTCGGTGAGCATCGACACCCACTCAAAAGCCTCGCGACGTACCTGAAGCAAAACAAACACACCACCAAGGGCGAAGGCAACCATCTTGGCCCCCTTCTTGACGAAGACGCCCGCGCAGATGCCCGCGACGGTGCCGAACGATAGCTCATACAGGGAGACCGTTGAGGTCGGTGGAGGGGGTATGTCTTTGTGATCATCTGCAGGTGCAGGAGGGGGAGGAGTCGCGCTCCCTGGCGGGGGAGATCCTTGCAAAGCTAGGTTAGACACATCTCTCAGCATGCTCGGACGAATGAGCATACCTCCTTCGCAGAAGATGGGCCGACTGTAAGCAAAGAGACCGAGACCGGCCGCAACCACTCCAGCTGCACCAGCAAAGAACCTCGTCGGGCGGATGTTTGCGACTTGCTGTGTCACCGGCCTCTGCGCCAATGCAGAGGAGAAGCGCGTAGCCTGCCGCTGTCCAGTGAGGACGAAGCGAGACGCGGCCGATGGCAGCGCCTTCGTAAAGATCTGAGGGGATGCCCCGCACACTTGGCGGGCAAAGAGGCTCTGGGCGAACATGATGGTGGTTCGAAGTGAAGGAGGAGGAGCGGGCGCGCATTCGCTTCAAGGACGGAACGCGACGTCATCGCGCGGCTAGGGGCTCGGATGAGCGGCCCGACGACGCGTCAAGCGCCACAAAAGCCAAACGGAGCAACTCGATAGAAAGAATCTCGATCACAGATTTTTCGGACGTTCGCCTGTTCACGATGGGTCGCCGCGCAAAGAACAAGCAGGGTCCCCCCACGCCCCTCGAGGACGAGTCTCACTCTACGAAGAAGCTGGGCAAGAGAAAAGCCCCTGCGGACGGCGACATCGAGTCCCCCAAGAGCGCGAAGAAGGTCAAGAACGCGGACGGCAAGGGAAAGAGCAAACATGCCCAGGCTGGCAAGGAGAACGCCAGCAAGAAGGGGAAGAAGTCCAAAGCAGAAGCGGCGGATTCTGACGAGGATGCGGGAAGCGGCTGGGAAGATGTAGAGGATGATGATATCGAGGCGAAGGCGAAGTGAGTGTCGCGCGTGTTGTCAGAAGTAGCTCTGACACAATTCAGATCTTTGTTCCAGGACAGCGATGATGACGAGGGTGCTTTCATCGGTGACTTAGATGAGTTTGACGTGGAGGGGATGGACGAGTGCGTATTGCAGCCTCATGCATCATGTTCCCCCACTGAACCATTTATCAGTGATGAGTTCCGCGGCCCTGTGGAGGAGCTCGATCTTGAGTCGGACGAAGATGACGAGCCGGTACAAGCGCCCTCTCGGGGCAAGGCCAAGAAGTCCAAGCAGTTCGAGCGCCCTGCGAAGATTATACCCACCGCCTCTGATGCATCGTCCTCTGACGACGACTCTGACGATGAGGATGGCCCGATCACCATGGCAAACATGGAGGCTCGCTCGCGCGCCCTCGATGCGAAGGCTGCTGCAGAGGCCGACCTCGACGAGGAGGAGCTGCGGAACGCTGGCATGCTTGTCGACGGAGACGACGAGGATGTAGACATGGATGGCTCAGAGGACGATGATGATGACGAGGATCAGGAGAAGTTTCATCTCCCAACCGCAGAGGAACGGGAGGAAGAGAAGAAGCAGGGCGGTCCCGACGTGCACGTCGTGCAGAGACGGATGCGGGAATGCGTTCGTGTTCTCGGTCGCTTCAACAAGCTGGCTGAGAAGGGCCGGTAAGTACTATCTCTTTGCAGAGGTATACCTATGTCTAATACCTCTACAGCTCAAGGATAGAGTACACGGAACAGCTGATTGCCGACATTGCAAGTTACTACGGCTACAACGAGTTCCTTGCGACAAAGCTTTTCCAGCTGTTCTCTGTTCCCGAGGCCATCGAATTCTTCGAGGCAAACGAAGTCCCTCGCCCTGTCACTATACGCACGAACACCCTTCGTACACGCAGGCGCGACCTCGCGCAGACCTTGATCAACCGCGGCGTTAACCTCGAACCCATCGGGAAATGGACGAATGTTGGCTTGCAGGTCTTCGAGAGTTCTGTCCCAATTGGTATGTGTATCTGTCAAACATTTTGCGCGCTCTCTCATGTCCGCCCTAGGTGCTACTCCGGAGTACCTGGCTGGGCACTACATGTTGCAGGCTGCATCCTCTTTCCTCCCCGTCATTGCTTTGGACCCGCAGCCGCATGAGCGCGTCCTTGACATGGCTTCCGCGCCTGGCGGGAAGACCACGCATATCGCCGCGCTCTTGCAGAACACCGGCGTTGTCTTCGCGAACGACGCGAACAAGCAGCGCACGAAGAGTCTTACGGCCAACGTTCACCGCATGGGCTGCAAGAACGTCGTCGTCTGCTCGTATGACGGGCGCGAGTTCCCTAAGGTCATCGGCGGGTTTGATCGCGTGCTTTTGGACGCGCCGTGCAGCGGTACGGGCGTGATCAGCAAGGACGCGAGCGTGAAGATCAACAAGGTATGGCGTTCGCGGTGCTCACGCATAGATCTATCAGCTGACCCCCACACAGTCCGAGCGCGACTTCACCCTCCTGGCCCACCTCCAGAAGCAGCTCATCCTCTGCGCGCTCGACAGCGTCACGCCCAACTCCAAGACCGGCGGCTACGTCGTCTACTCGACCTGCTCCGTCACCGTCGACGAGAACGAGGCGGTGATAGACTACGCGCTGCGCAAGCGGCCGAACGTCAAGCTCGTCGACACCGGGCTCGAGTTCGGGCGCCCCGCGTACACGAGCTTCCGCGGGAAGACGTTCCACCCGAGCGTCGGCCTCGCGCGCCGCTTCTACCCACACGTCCACAACATGGACGGCTTCTTCGTCGCGAAGTTCAAGGTCGAGAAGCGCAAGCCGGGCGACAAGGAACCGGCGAAGAAGGGGGAGAAGAGCCTGGTGGGCATTGAGGGCGAGGATGGCGAGGGGGATGAGGAGCCCAAGACGGCCTTTAACGAAGAGGAGGACGCGGCGATTATCGAGGGTGAGTGTTATCTGGGCGATGAGTTGCATCAGCGGAGGCTAATGCGTGTCATAGATGCCAAGCGCCGGCAGATGAAGGCGAAGGGCCTGAAGCCGCCTCCGAAGAACAGGCCACCAAAAGCGACCAAGACGGTCGAGGCGGCGGCTTGACCTGCCGCAGCGTATATATCACTGTTGTAACGATCTATGGGACCTATGTGAGATGTTGAGTGTAATGATCATCGATGCCTTGAGCTCTCTTGCTGAGGTCCATGAACGCGTGATATCGGTGCTGTCTGTTGACACTATGGAGGATAAGCCACCGATGACCGAGGTCAATTGGCTATGGTGGCGTTTTCGCTCGGTGCATGCGGGCCCACGCTCGCATTATTTGCCCAATGGGGGAACACTCAAACTGAACGTTTTGTCCGTGTCGGAACGCCTACTCAAAAGGTCGTCCCACTAAATAGAAATATAGGATTTCGTAAAGACGTGAAGTAAGGATAGTCCAGTCCGAAGAACGGTGAAGGAGAGGTAAATACACACTATAGATGTCTCGCTGTGAGTATGGAACCGTGTCTAGTCGCTGTCATCTATCAGGGTAGGCCGCCGAGCATCTCAGAATGATGGAGGACATCATAGGACGCCGCGCGACTAATACTTATCCTTGCGTCCGCTACAGAAGAGGTTGAGTTACGGTTCAAACTGGCGAAAGATCGTTGAGCACTTACCGTCCGCCACACGCACAAACTCCACAGCAACCTCCGATTAGGCTAACCCACAAAGCGACAGCGGCGGCGAGAACCATCCAAATCTGGTTATTGTGTTAGTCTTGCGCGAAGACAATAGGCGACGGGTGGCACGCGCCACGATAGAGCCCGAAAGAAGATACTCACAGCAGCATCAAAATGCAAGTCGACCTGGTCATCGCTCTTGTCGCGGACCTTGTTACGGACGATCGCGACAAAGATGATGTCGATGAGGAAGACCGCGGTCGTTAGAACGGCTGCAAAAATCCCCCAAAGCAGCGAGCAGATTGACGGCAGACGGGCTGGGCCATCACGTCCCCGGCAGACCATGAGCACGGAAACGAGGAAGGCGAGGAACGTCAAGCCGCATGCTGTAACCCAGTCAAGCTTGGACGAGAGAAGTTTAGCACTATTTGACCTACCTATAGGATGCAACACGAGGGCCGCCGTGGTCACCTTCGAGATGGTGTCCTCGAGGTCTGAAACACCTCTAAAATAGGCAATGAGCACTTCCAGGCTTCGTGGACGTTGCAGCGAGTTACAAAACGATAGGCGGGTCCCAAAAAGATGAGGTGGCGCCGCGCGTGGTCGGCCCGATGCGTCCGACTTCGTAGAACGCACGGTGCACGGCGCCTACACACTGTGTATCTCTCCTGTCCGGCCACTCAGATGCGCCTGCCGTCTACAGTGACAAGCAGAGATATGTCCTCGTTTTTGGGGAAAATCCAAGGGCCAATATGGGACAGGAAGCGCGCACGCCTAAGGGCGCTCGTGACGTTAGCACAGCGCGCCGAGGGTGCCGACGCAGGAGCCACGCGGGAGGTGGGGCGGGGGCACGAGAGGGGGACCCGCCTATCGTTTTGTAACCTGCTGTGAGATGAGGCGAAGACTCACAGCGCCTCCATAACCGTTTGATCGAAGGTATAGCCGAGCTTCGTTTCCGAGCAAACCTCGCCCGTGTCGGTCGAAGCATTGTCTACGCTGGTCAGGGTTTTAGCCACGGACGCGTCGCCACTCTCTAAGCGCGCCTCACGAGATCTCGATGTTGGAGGTACAGTACCCCCACACGCCGAAGTTGGCATAACCAGAGACTCCAACATCCGCACCAAAGACGTTTGTGCTGAGCTCAGACGTCACAGAAAACAGGTGGATGGACTTGATGATGGGTGTCGAGAGGGACACGAAAAGAAGCAGGATGAACGCAGGAAACGTCAGCAGGGGTGATATGGACTGCAGCATGGCGGGCAGAGGACAGAGGGTATCTTGGTAGCACCCGCGCGCGCGAACAAGGGCAAGGTTTATATACGCAGCAGTGCCAGGGCCCTCGTCACTGCCTCAACCAACGAGTGACGTGCAGCTCAGTTCAATGTTCGCACGGTGCGCGATGAGCGGAGAAAATGAAATTCTACGGTCGTCTTGGCGCTATCTTCCATTTGGATCACCTCTGTTGTGGCGCGAGCGTCGTGGGCCACACGCGTCTTCCGCCCGCAGGGCGCGCTGGTCGACATCGGAACAGACTTGCAGGGCGCCCAGGGCTCGCCCCGGCTGACGCCGATAAACATTCCACGAGGTCCGCAGGAGGCCCGGCAGAATGAACGGGCGTAGCAACGCAGGTCGCGAAGCCATCACCTCCTGATCGACTCCCTTGGCGGCGCGTTCCAGCCTTTCACGCCGTCAAAGAACGCGTCCTACTGCGAAACCTCGCTCGCGGCTGTAGAAGGACGCGTCGCATGCGACGCCCGCCTACGTCCACGCCGTATATACAATGGAAACCTCGTGTATTTCTGGTCAGAACAAGGGTTGTTTGATTTCAGCGGTTCGTCGTCGTGCTTCTTTGATGGGATTCCCATTTCCCATCAATCGGAGTTTCAACATAGGCCTATTTTCCTGGAAGTACAGGGAGGAAAAGAGGGAGAACTGGGCGTACTTCCTGGCCCGAGACCTCCAAAGTGAGTGGGTATTCGCCATTGAGTAAAATGGAGGGAGTGACGCGAGAGGTCGAGAAGCGGAAAGCGGAGAGCGGAGGCAGATCCCATGACCGCGTGGCTTTAGGGGCTAGATTTGGCTGGAAGGGCGCAGCCAAACACATCATGGGAACAATTTATATAAGCCCCTACCCTCTGCCCGTTTTTCTCAACCCTTTTCACCCTCCTTTATCCTCGTCGTCGACGACAGCCCTTCACCCGGGTCAAGGCCAGCCAGCACATTCTCTTTCCTCCATTTCTATTCGCATTGTACGTACCCGCGTCGCGTCGCGAGTTCCGTCCCGCCCGCAGTCTCATGCTTATCGTCGTACGACAGTCTCACCTGCAATAATGTCCGCCGCCGAGACTGCCGCTGCCCCCGCCCCCGTTGCCCCCGTCGAGGAGGTGAAGCCCGCTGAGGCTCCGGCTGCTGAGGCCGCCCCTGTTGCTGAAGCTGCGAAGGTGGAGGAGGCCGCCGCCGTACGTGATTCTCACGCCATGTGCATATGTTCAACTACTGATTCGCGCTCTAGGAGGCACCCAAGGCTGAGCCCGCTGCTGAGACGAAGGCCGAAGTACGTCCACAAGCCGATCATTAACCGTCACACCGACTGACCTTTCCTTTTTAGGAGACCCCCGCACCTGCTGCTGAGGCCACGACTGAGGAGCCCGCGAAGGAGGAGGCGAAGCCCGCCGACGCCCCTGCTACCGAGGAGGCGAAGGATGATGCCAAGCCCGTATGTCGCGCGTTCTCTCTGTCGTTGCTATGACTCATCTTCCCCTAAGGCCGAGGAGAAGAAGGAGGAACGCCCCAAGAGCCCGAGCCTGCTCGCGAAGCTCCTGGCTCCTTTCAAGAACGAAAAGACCAAGGCCGAGAAGAAGGTGAAGACCCCCAAGTCGCCCAAGAAGGAGAAGAAGAAGGAGGAGGCTGAGGCCCCTGCTGCCACCGAGGAGGCTCCTAAGGAGGGCGAGGCCGCTGCCGAGGCCCCTAAGGAGGAGACCGCCGAGCCTGCCGCTGAGGCCCCCAAGGCCGAGGAGGCGCCCGCTGCGGAGGCTCCCAAGGAGGGTGAGGCTCCCGCCGTCGAGGCCGCCGCCCCGGCTGCTGAGGAGGCCAAGCCCGCCGACGAGGCGAAGCCCGCTGAGGAGGCCAAGGCCGAGGAGAAGAAGGATGAGAAGGTGTGTTGGCTGCCCCTGCGTCGTCACTGTTCACTCATTCTGTCGCAGAAGGAGGAGAAGACCCCCAAGGCTGCGAAGGTCGGCCGCCGCTTGTCTGCGCGCGTCGGCGACTTCTTCAAGCACAAGCCGAAGGAGGTCTCCACCCCGGCCAAGGTCGAGGAGGAGCAGGGCAAGACCGACGAGGCTCCCAAGATCGACGAGCCCGCTCCTCTCGCGCCCCTCGAGAACCCCGCCGCCGAGGGCAAGAAGGAGGAGGGCGCCGCACCCGCCGCTGAGGAGGCCAAGCCTGAGGAGACGAAGCCTGCTGAGGCCGCTGCCCCGGCTGTCGCTGCGACCGCATGAGCACCTTCGTGTCCGTGTCTCCTTGAACGACCCTCATGATTTCCTTCCCCTTCGGATACCTTCACGGGTGCGAACACCCTACCTCATCGTGACGCTGGAGGATCTAGTACATCTCCCGATTTATGTCTTGCCTGGTCTTACGATACAGGGTCTGGTCTTGTTCCATTTACGATCTCCTCGCATCACGACTACCGGATCCCCCTCTTCTTAATACCATTTTTCTACCTGTTGTTTTTGCATACCCCGTTCGATACTCTTTCCTTATGGATCGTGCTCCGTCTTTGGGTTCTCTTCTATCTCTCTCGGCTTAGACAGTTGAATATAAGACTGCCGACCCCGTTCCGCTCTTTTCACTTGAACTTGCCTCGAATGAACACGCGTGTAAGTCTCGATCACGGAGTCATAACTGTAATAGCGCTTTGCTTCGAACGCACTCAGAACCACCATGTCGCGCCGTAACGCGAACAGCGGTAAGGACAAGCTTCTCGACGACGAGGAAGAGGTCTTGCAGGCCGTCATTCTTGCGGACAGCTTCAACAAACGTTTCCGCCCGCTTACAACGAGGAAACCACGAGTACGACGATCCTCGCCACAATGCACACCGTTGGCGCTGACACGGCGCACAGTGCCTTCTCCCCATGTGCAATGCCCCCCTCTTGGATTGGACCTTCGAGAGCCTTGCCCTTGCAGGCGTTCAAGAGGTCTTCGTAGTGTGCAGGTCGCACGCTGACCAGGTCAAGACCGCGATCAGGTAAGTCATCGCGCGCCTCCCCGCCACGAACACCACTGATCGCAAGCACCCCTCAGCGAGTCGAAATGGAGCAAGCCCGGCTCGGGGATGAAGATCGTGCCCATCATGACCGCGAAGGAGACGTTCTCGCCCGGGGACGCGATGCGCGACATCTACACCCGCGGGCTCGTCACGACGGACTTCGTGCTCGTGATGGGCGACCTGGTGAGCAACATCCGGATCGACGAGGTCGTGCGCGTGCACAAGGAGCGCCGCAAGACGAACAAGGACGCGATCATGACTATGGTGGTGAAGGAGAGCGGGTCAAGGCATCGGACGAGGTGCGTGTGCTGTACACTGCGTTCCCCTGCGGATTGCTGACGTGCTGTAGGATGAAGGGCGACTCGTCGATGTTCGTAATTGACCCGGAGACCTCTGAGTGCTTGCATTATGAGCATATCCCCGGCTACCCGCTGAAGAAGCACGCACATATACCACGAGAGATCTTCGCCGAACATCCTGAAGTAGAAATCCGTAACGACCTCATAGACTGTCAAATAGATGTGTGCTCGGTTGAGGTGCGTCTGCAGAGTCTTGTACTACCACCGTGTACTTACAACCTATCCAGGTTCCTTCGCTCTTCCAGGATAACTTCGATTATTCAGATATCCGTCGTGACTTTGTGCACGGGGTCCTCACCTCCGATCTCCTCATGAAAAATATCCATTGCTATGTGGCGAAGGAAGGCTACGCTGCCCGCGTGAAGGATACGAAGAGCTACGAGGCTGTCAGGTGCGTTCACGTCCTATTGCAACATGCTACCGAGGTCTGATAGAAATCCCTTTCAGTAAGGACATCCTCGCTCGGTGGACCTTCCCTCTCGTCCCCGATGACAATCATCCCAGCGGTCATGTGTACGAGCACCTGCGCGGCAACAAATACATCGCAAAAGACAATAGCGTAACGCTGGCACGGTAGCTTCCTTCCCAATCCACCTTCTCGCCACATACTAACTCAAACTCCTCCCAGAAACTGCAAAATCGGCAACAACACCCTCATCGGCTCCTCCTCGCAGGTCGGCGACAACACCGAGATATCGGCCTCCGTTATAGGGCGCAACTGCGTTATTGGACCGGGGTGCGTTATCCGGAATGCATACATCTTCGACGGCAGCACCATCGGGAAGGAGTGCACGATTGAGCGCAGCATCCTCGGCGCGGGCGTGCAGGTGAAGGACGGTTCGGTCATTGACCGCGGGTGTCTTGTTGCCGACGATGTTACGGTGGGCCCGAAGGCGCATCTGCACCCCTTCGAGCGGTTGTCGCGAAGGAGGGAGTTGCCTGCGCAAGGAAGCGGGGAGGATGCAGATGACGAGGATGAAGAAGTGGATTCGGACCTTGAGGATGTTGAAGCAAGTGAGTTACATTCTGCAGACATGAGCGCTCGCTCTGACTTCGTGATAGTGCAAGACCAGTTGCACGCCACATTGGGCGACGAGTCGAATGCTATCATTTGGCCTAGAGAGGAGAAGGAAGAGGAAGAAGAGCAGAAGAGCGACATGGAAGAGGACGACGAATACGACGTCGAGAACCCGAAGAACCAGCGCTTCATGAGACTCGGTATGTTGCTCACCTTGCTCACTACGCCACCGCTTACATACACCACCCCAGCCGACGACTGCTGGGACCTCGACGTCTCCGACCAAGGCTCCGAGTCCGCCGACGACAGCGACTCCTCCTCCAGCGACGACGAGTCCACCTTCTCCGTCCCCATGAACGCCTCCCAGACCTCGCTCCCCGTTGTCGAGAAGGCCGCCGAGCACGAGTTCCAAAAGGAGGTCCGCCAGTCCCTCGAGCGCGCCTTCGCCGAGAACCACTCGGTCGACAACGCCGCCGTCGAGCTCAAGACGCTGCGCATGGCGAGCAACGTGCCGCTCCTGCGCGTGCGCGAGAGCGTCGTGGCGGCGATTGTTGAAAGGATACCGATTGTGGCGGGGGATCCGGCAGGCCAGAGACGTGCGATTCACCAGATGATCGGGAGGTGGGGCGACCTTATTAACCAGATAGGAGGGATGGACCCGGTGGAGACGATTCTTGTGCTGCAGGTGAGTGACCCCTTGCGTACTATTAGATTGCGTCTGACACCCAGCCAGCGACACTGCGCAACCTCAGAGCGCCTGGCATTGTTCGGTCAGATCCTCGCAGCCCTCTATCAAGAAGACGTCGTCGAAGAGGAAGACATCCGCGCCTGGTTCAAGCACCCCGAGTCGCGCGGTGAGGACGTCGGGGCGTCAGGCGAGGAGCTCGAGAACATCAAGAAGTGCAGGGATGTGGGCGCGAAGATGATCGAGCAGTTTGACGCGCAGGAGACCAGTGAGGAGGAGAGCGAGGAGGATGAGGACGAGGATGAAGACAAAGATGAGGACGAGGATGAGGAGCCTGCTGCCAAGCTCCCGCGGCCCGCAGTCGATCCGGATATCGTTGACGGCGGCTCGAGTAGTGAGGAAGAGGAGGAAGACGAGGACGAGGAGGAAGATGACGAGGAAGACGAGAAACTTTCGCCAGCGGTAGAAGCCACCTCTCAATCCCCGACCACTTCACAACCCCAACCTATCACCGCCACGCAACCTCAGCCAACGCCCACCTCACAACCTCAAGCAGAAACAGCCCCATCGCAACCTCAAGCCCCCTCTTCACCCACACCCTCAGCGGCACGCTCGCCTGCTGCTGCCGCGTCGACCGCTGCTGACCCTTCAGCAGCCCCTCCTTCCTTTCGTGCCGAAAGTGGGGGAAGCGCAACCGAGAAGACCGTCGAGTCCAGTGAACGGCGACCAAGCGTCTCTGCCGCCCAAGGAGCAAGCGAAGGAGCCGTGGTGGAAGCGCCTGCGCAGCCGGTTCAGCCGCCTGCGGCGGCGCATTCCACGGAGGTAAAAGTCGCGCGCGAGGAGGAGACGAAGGGCCCTGCTGCGCCTAACCCATGACTCGCTTGCTGCGTGCAGTAATCATTGCGGTTGGCATGCGTTAGTAGAGCTTTCGCGAACAGGATAGTCAGCACCGCCAGTATCCAACAAAAGAAAAACGAGGCGAATAGCCCTATGTACGATAGCTACAGTCTCTTCTACTTATTGCTCAGTGATTGGCTGCTTGCAGTATGATAAACGCTATTTGTATCTAGAGTAGCTCAGTGTATAGCAGAACGAAGTGTGTATCTATTTTTCGTGACTGGTTGAAGTTCCGCAGCGCAAGTTTGAGCAGGTCTAACAACGGCTCCGAAGTTCAACTTGCACGTGATTGGTTCTCTTGCTGGCGTATGTTCATCGTAGTCTACGATCCTGAGTCGAAGATAGCATGGATTCCGCCCTTCATTGCTAGTACAACGCGTATGTACGCACTGGTACATCTTGTTTTGCACGTTGGATAGGAGAAGACTCTCGGAAACTCTCACATTATCGTTATCATTTGCGTTCCGAATCCAGAATGAACTGCGATACATTGTGCAGATAGTATTCGCCTTTGAGTACATCGTCGTGATCCTCCGTCGGCCCTCCGATATCCACCCTCACAGCATCCGCGTCTCCTTCATGAATGTCCCGCAGGTGCGCGCCCATCGCTTGCGTCTGCCCTATATCGACCAATGTGTCCTGGCGAGAATGTAACAAGTACCACCGTGCGCCCGATTTACGCAGAGGATATCGAGCGACGGAGTATGCGGCGTAGTCCTCCTGTTGCCCGAATGCATCCCAGATAAACCACTTCCCGTAGTCCGGCCATTTTGCGAGTAGTGAGTTTATGTCGTAAATTCCCTCTGAGCAAACGACCCCTTTGACTGCGTCCAGCACGGTAGGCGGGGGCGTCAGTGATGGAGTGACCTTGCTCGAGTCCAGGACGATGCTCGCAATCATATGCGCGCTGCACGAGTGGCCGAGGAGATACCAACGCGTGCGGCTGAGGGTTGCGCTGGCGGTCTGATACCCGACATCGTGCAGGTGAACGAGGAAGGTCAGAAGGTCCTCAGCGTGCGCGGGATGGTGCAGCGGCGGCGTCCGAGGCGAGAGACGGTAATTCGGTACGGCGACGCTCACGCTGGTGCGCCGTACGAGCTCCTCCGCGAGCGGCCGATGGTCTCGCTTATCCTCGCTGCGGGCGGGTCAGCACAGTCAAGACATGTTGGACAGTATATAATGTATAGCGGGAGCATCCCGCGGTGAATGGCACCAGGAACACGCCGACGGAGGCTGGATGTCAGGCAAGACGCGCGTGATGGAAAATGCTATATTTATGGTGGAAAAGCAGGCGCTTCGAAGGCGACGAGAGCAACGGCGGGTTTAGAGGGGAGGGGGAAGCATGGAAATGGGGTAAACAGCAGGGCGGAGGGTGGGCTTGGCAGTTTTGAGTTGAAGTAAGAAGACTCACGACCGCCATGCGCCACCGTGCGCGAAGATAATCACGGGGAGCTCTGCGTCCTCAGCCTTATCGGCTGGGAAGTACAGGTCGTACGAGCGGTAGGGGTCGTCGACGCCGGCATACTGCAGATCGAGGATACTGGTGATTTCCATCGCGCGTGCTTCGGTCACGGTTGAACTTCGATTGAACGTCTCGGATCCGCGCCCACCGGGCGTGCGTTTGCGACAGGCTAGAATCGTCCCCGAGGAGGCCTTTACTGTATAGCCAAGCCCTGGGCGAGTACAGGAGATGCGCCGCGAGGTGGCAGCCGAGGGCGTCGAGCACAGGATCGCGCACCGGAATGCGCACCGGAAGGGGCTGCGTGCGACACCGCCACAGTCCCTTTCTCACGCGGCGCGTCATCGCATCATGACGTCACGTAACCGCCCGCGCGCCTCGTATATAAGGCGCGCATCCGCCCTCGGCCCTGGACTCTTTACCGACCACCATGGCTTTCACCGCTTCTGACATTTGCAAGGTCAGTTTTAGAGGCGATTTCCCCCTGCAATCCTGCATCCGGGCCCTCCCCTCCCTTGCATTCCTGGCCAGTTGCTAACTCCTCCCTCAGATCATCTTCGCCGTCCTCCTCCCGCCCCTGGGCGTGTTTTTGGAGCGAGGCTGCAACGCAGACTTCTGCATCAACATCTTGCTGACCATCCTGGGTTACATGTGCGTCCCTTTGCTCTCCCCCGTCCCACTCGCTGACCGTTCCCCTTCCCGTTTAGTCCCGGTATCATCCACGCGTTGTACATCATCTTGAAGTACTAGGCGGCAGCCATGAACGAGCCGAACTTTGGAGACGAGACGCCGCACAATCAGGCGCTAGCCCACTCTACTACGGGTGGAACGACCCAGCACGCCCTTCACGCCCCCGCGCGCATGTCTAGCGACATGATACCCGGACCTGCCTGTACCATATAACGTACTTTCTGACCTTCTAATGTATCGTTATACTTCACATGGATTTGCACTTTTTGTTGTTCCCCACACGTTCGCAGTCGACATGCATGACTTCAGCCTCAAGTGGTCTCAAACCGTATGCCTCGAGAAAACCACCCATCGAGTGCGAAGGTGCGACGTTTCTTGACATCGTTATAGCTGTCGGACTGTCACCGTCTCGGCAAGGCGCATATACTCAGCATAATTCGTAAGCAACGGAACTCTTACTTTTCCGGGCGGACGACGGTACAATTGCCCTCGGCGCTCGGCAGTCTGACCTCGTAAACTTGAAGGCACCCCGCTAATCTTTCCGCGATAACAGTAGCACTGGTACAAATGACATTCGGCACCCTACATGCACCGCAAGCCGACGAAGGACATCGCAATCACAGCCCGTGGTGTATCGCACCTACAGCTCGTCCCGAGCAGGATCATCGTAATTCTCCTCGTCTCCCTCGGCCTCCTCCTTGCCCTCCGCCTGCACGAACTTGTTCCCCTTGATCGCGAACCCCGCCGCCCGGAGCGCCTCATTGATCACCGCATTGCTCTCCGCGTCGTCCATATCCTGAAACACCCCCTCGTCCAGCACCTCAATCACCACATCCCCATCCTCCACAATCACAGCCGCCTCATTTCCCGCGCCCGCGCCCAGGAACGCGTTCAGCGCGCGCCGCAGGATCTCGCTGTACGCGCTCTCCGCCGCCGCCTTCTTCTGCTTCACCGGGTCCGGCGGCGCGTCCTTCGCGCGCGTCGCGGGCAGCGACGTCTTCCGGCGCGGGTGCTTGTACGGGTGGTCGCCCTGCGGGAGGTCCGCGGCGCTCGGCTCCGGCCCCGCGACGACCTCCCGGCAGCGGATGACGGCCTCCTCGCGCGCGTCGCGCCGGGACTTGAAGCCGGGCTCGCCGCACAGGCGCGGGGTGTGGATGACGAGAACATAGGAGCACGTCTTGGCTTCCTTGACGAACAGGATCGTGTCCGTCATCGCCATCGAACAATGGAACTATGAGAACACGTCAGCGCGAATTGACCACATCCCTCGCCCTCAGCGGGTTCCATTGTGGACGCAGGCCAGGAAGAGCGCAGCGGCACGCGTGCATGCGAATATCGGCGAAAATGAACAAGAGGTAAGCGCGGTCCGTGGGAGCGCACCGCGTATCGCGCGAAGAGAAGCAGAATAAAACCGGGAAATGCACGTGCAGAGCCAACAGGAACAGTGAGGGACGCCCTTCGCCCAGTGTGCCCCCGTCGCAAATTTCTCTCGATAGCATCAAGCGATGTCGAGAGCATCAAGGGATATGCAGAACCGAGGGCGACGGCCGCAAAATTGCCTTCGCCGAATAAATGAAAAGATGGCTCACCTGTACCTCAACCTCACGGGGCTTTCCCGTCTTGTCGCAGATAGTGCCGTCGCCCCAGCGCTGCACAAGGTACCGGGAACCCGCATTTTTGGCGAGTTCGATGTTGGCTGCGAGCGCATTCTGCTCGGCGACGGTGAGGTCCGCGCCAGGCTCCGGCGTACGAGGCGCGCGCCCTAAAGTGTAAGAGTCCCACTAAAAGGCGAGTAAGTTCAAGGGTTACTCGTAAAAGGGTAAAGATGAAAATCAGATAAGACGGATGAATGACAGGGAAGATGCTTCGGATAGGTTTAGTAGGCAGCGGAGATGACAACGCATGTGTGGGGACGAAATGCGCGCTTGAAAGGCGGAAGAAAGCAAATATGTTTACCTCTGGATCTTCTGCTGGGCGATAGCCTGCTGCGTTCGATACTTTGTCAGCTCCAGGGTCTTCGCAAAGAAGGCGCGAGCGGGTACACTGCGGAGAAGGCGAAGAAGAGAAAGAAGGGACGCACTGGCAGCATGAGGTGTTGAGGGGATCAGTTCCTTGAATTGCCGGATTTGTTGGCCGTGGCAGTAGGAATACGTGAACCACCCTGGGTAACAATGATATGATGCTTAGCGGCACAGGCGAGTTTCGGGCTCATTAGACCTGCCTTGTCGGTGCTGCATTAGGGTCAGCCGCGGATCGACGCGTAGCGGGCAGACGTGTCACGCACGTAGAGGCATGTCCCGGTTAGCGGCTGCAGGAGCTGCCAGCTGCGCGCCGGGGTGAGTTCCGCATCCGCGGCGTCGTCTGCATTTGGTGGTTCATAGTCCAAGGGTTTGGGGACGTAGCAAAGGTAGGATTCGGGGCCCATTCGCATGAGTTCAAGGGTGTGGTTTGCTTCTGGACGATGCAGCTATCTGAAGTTATTTCATTGCCGCGCGAATGCAAGACGGACGGAGTGCATACCTCGGACGAAGCTTCATCGCTCTCACTGCCGCCAATTTCTTTCCGCGAGCTCCAGTCGCGCCAGCCTGCAGAATCCTCGTGCCATGGTTGGTCTGCGAATTCGAGTTCGCCGCCGCGGAGACCTTCACGGAGCCAGCGTTCAGCTGTGTCTCTCCCGATGGGCTGGCCATTCATAAACGAGACGCGGAATTTAGGGAACGCATGGGGGTCTTCAGGGAGTGAGTGCAGCAGACGGGCTGCTGCGACTTGAAGAGAAGCGCATAACACGAGACTGGCAGCTGAGACCATGCCGCGCGACAATGGCAATGGATTCTGGAGAACAAGGCGGCGGAGGGGTGCCGCGGACGCCACAAACGCGCTCGCTCCCACGTCAGCGCCGGACCGGGCCGTCGTCCGCCAGGAACGCCGGGAATGTCGTCACGGTCTCCATGCATTTCTGCGCAGCACTGGGGCCTCGTGCGGCGTTTCTCATTTTTGCTCACGCCGGGCTCCCCCCCTTCCGCTCTCCCTCCCTCTGCTGCTGTCAGAGAGACGTCAGCGTGAGCCCTAGTTACGCGGTATATTCCGCGGATATTTCAGCCGCACACAGTCCAGGCGCTCTTCGACCGCGAGTACACATACACAGACTGCCATCCGGGGTTTCGTAGGGACGGGCCTTCATCGGGCGGCGACGACCGCACGATAAATTAGATATAGGCCTGATAAGAATTGCGTGCCATGTGTAGCAACGATTTTTCGCCGATTTCTTGTGGGCTTCGCTGGGGGGAGGGGGCGGGCACCGACGGCGGCGACGACGAGCAGCGGGCTCTCCGTCGCACCGAGGCGGGGAACGGACGCGTGACGCAGCGAGGCGCGTGCCGGCGGCGGTTTGCTCCCGTGAGACGGAGCGTCCCCGATTTGGGGGCGCATTTGCAATTTCCAGGGCACAAGAAATCATCGACTTGTTCCCCCGTCATTTAGTGGGAAATTTCGGTTCGGTTGATGAGGACGGCCGTTTAAAACCCTCGAATAGCCCTCGTTTTATTCTTTTCCACCTTGCCCCGCTCTCTTTCCCCTCCCTCGTCGCCCCCTCGCCGCCCGTGCACAACATCGCCCCCAATGTCCGAGTCCCCTGAGCCTGTCGACCCCGTCGCCGACCAGCAGGAGCACGATCAGCTCGACGACGAGTCCCCCGCCGCTGCCGGCGAGTCCAGCGCCGCCGCGGCCGCCCCAGCACCGCCGCCCGGTTCGTCCCCGTCGCGATCTCTGCCCCCAGACGCGCCCTTATCCCATCCCCAACAGCAGAGGCGCCCCCCGTCAAGCGAGGCCGAGGTACGCATCCGTCGTCGCCGTTGTTGATCTAGTAAGCTGACTGAGCAACTAGGCCGTCCCAAAGGTGCCGTCCATACTCCAGAGCCGCGTCGCCCCGCTCCTCACATCCTCCCCCATCGATAGGCTCGAAGAACAAGCCCAAAGACGCGAACGCCGCCGCGACGGCGTCCACGTCCGCCCCCACGACGGGCAAGAAGCGCGGAAGGTGAGAGATCGCTTATCTGCGCTCGCTGACGCGTCTGACGCCCCCGATCCAGACCGCCCAAGGTGAGCTTATTTCTGCGCCCCAGTCGACGCGTCTCAACGATGAATAGGAGAAGAAGGACCCCGAGGCTGAGGGCGAGGAGCCTCCGGCCAAGAAGAAGCGTGGCAGGTCCGTGCGCCGCACTTCTCTCTCCCTCCGATCTCATCCGTCTGCAGGCCCCCCAAGCCCAAGCCCGAGGGTGCCGACGCTGCGGCGACGCCCAAGAAGCGCGGTGTGTAATCTACCGCATGACTGTTGGTTGCCACTAATGCCACCCCAGGTCGGCCGCCCAAGGCTGCAGCCCAGTAAATGCTGCAGCTCAAGCCAGCCTTCTTTAACCCATGTTGCCTGCTGGCCACAACATGGGAAGCGGTCTAACGCACCTCCTTTACATGAATGCTTCTTCCATAGGTTTTCCGGTCGGGTCTCGTATATTCCATATTCCTCCGCTCCCCGCTCCTTCTCTCTCCTCTTCCCTCTTCCTTTCTGTCGTACTGCTCTCGACTGATCCTTCTGGTCTGGTAAATACCACATATCTACACACTGGCGCCCCGTCGAAGCTCTGTATTTATCTATGCCTTTGGGGCGCGGTCACGGACAGGCAGACTGCACACGCCCTCTCTCGCCCTCCTGTTGTTTTAGTACCCCGGTTACAAGCAATATACATATGGACATGAACGATACACTTCGCACACGGACGTCAACATAACTCACGTGAAATCAACAGCTTCATGTTCAACATGCAGAGTTGATTATCACGCTTTCGGACCTTCTGATTCGGGTCGCGTTCTCTGCAACGTACGCACCCTCTTACGGCGCCGCTACTGACCCCGAATTCTGTCATTTATCCGTACCTAGGTAAGTACAGAACATTCACGCTGTCGCAAATCAACGCAAGAGCCGCTGAGCGCGCTGGTAGCCCGCAATGGCCGCCAGCACGGACCCCGTCCCCACAACCGACGCCGTCAGCCAGCCGAGCGCCGTCAGAATGCGCGCCTGCCTCTCCGCCTTGCGCTGCGCGACCGCGTAGCTCACGTCCGGCCGGAACGTGACCATCGTGTACAGCGGAATCCACTCGCTCGGGTAGCCCGCCGGGAACGGCACGCTCGCGAGCGTCGTCCTAAAGGCCGCCAGCGAGGGCCGCTGTCGCCTACTCAGCGCGTACAGCACGTTATCGACCGCCTTCTTGAACAGGAACATCGGCGTTGTGACGCTATGGCGCATCTCGATGCTGCGCGGGCGCGGGCGGTCAGGAGGGGGGGGCCAAAAAAGCGCACACGGCATACAGATCGAAACTCACTAGTTCCTCTGCGCCAGGTCGCAGATCGCGACCAGGTCTTCGTGCCGGGTCTCGGAGTAATGCGCCAGCGCGCTGGCGAGCCGCGGATCGACGACGCTCGGGTCCTCGGAGATTTTCTCGGACGTTATGCCATTGGCCTCGAGAATCGTGCCTAGGACCCGGACGTCTTCGAGCCCACAGTTCAGACCTTGCCCGTAGAAGGGCACCATTGCATGCGCTGCGTCTCCGAGAATAATCGCGCGGTCCTTATAGTGGTATGGGTTCGACTGATTGAGGCGTTAATTAACAGGTAATTGCACGAGAAATGACAAGACACTGACTGTGGTACAGATGAGTGGGCAGCGCGGATTGCGCCCATAATCCTTCGCAAGCAAATCGGCGCCAATGAGCCGATAGGCATCCGGAAATTGGTGCTCGAACCAGGAGAGGAACTTGTCCACCGTGTCTAGCTTGTCAAATTCGGTACTGGGTGCGAAGAGAGTGCAAGTAAACGTCTTGTCCTTGTTTGGCAGAGCGATGAGCATGAAAGAGTGTCGCGGCCATATATGAAGGCGGTTAGGGTGTAGAAGGAACATCGTTTGTCCATCCGCATCCCGGCCTGGTGGCATGCGAAGCTCCATGTACTCGTCCTTCATGTACTTCTGCTCGAAGTCCATCCTGCCAACAGATAAATCGGTATTCGAGACTTGTTGGCATATAGAACCATCATACCTCACGACACGCATCATCTGCCGGCGCACTACCGAGTAGCTGCCGTCTGCGCCTATGCAGAAGTCAAACTGCACTTCGCGGTCTTGTCCGGTCTCCAGGTCGCGAACGGTCATCCTCTTGCCGTCGAAGTCGATGTTCTGCACCTTATGCCGGAAGTGAAGCTTGACGCCCGGGAGCGCTTCCACCTCGTCCAGCAAGCCCTGATTAAGCACGGCACGGTCGATGGAATTGATATGCTACGGGCTGTTTAGCCTGAGTCACAGAGAAGTATGGACGTCGCACGCACCTGATTATCCCTGTCGTAAAATACAGTGCGCTCCTCCCCCTTGGGGGTATGGATCATACGACCGTGCATAGGGATGGCATCGGCGAGGAAGCGATCAGCAGCAGCCGGGTTCACCGCCTGCAGCGCGATGATTCCGCGGTGCGACATGGCCAGGTTGATTGAGCGGAGTGCTGCATTCTCGCGGGACTCGGGGAGGCGAAGGTCTGCGAGTCATTGTCAGCACACGCAACGCGTTCAGGACGTAGTCTCCGCACCTGCCCGCCCCTCATACAAATCGACGCGCCACCCGCGCTTAGCAAGCGCCATAGCGGCCAGGCATCCCACCGGTCCCGCGCCAACGACCGCGACAGTGCGCGCGTTGCTCGAGTTGTCCGACATGATGGCGAAGACGAAGGTGGGGGGAATGTGTAAGCGAGCGTCGCGCCTGCGCTTATGGCGATCGCCCCTAAGGAAAACTCTAGACCTGTGGTCTCGGAGCTGTCATCGATGATATACGGGATCAGGCCCGTGCCGCGACCGCAAGTGTTCCATGCAGAGCTTTCGTGATACTGAGGCGCGCGATGGCGATGAGGACGGACGGGCAGGGGCGATGGGCAGACAAGCGCCGGCGCGTAACCGACGATCGGATCCTGCCCGAGGCGCCTCAGACACGGTCACGTGGCGAACAGTTCAACTTGAGGTCGCGCAATCGCCGCGATGGAGGGGAAATGTGGAGGGGAAAGATGGGTGTGTAACAGGTCCTTGTAGAGCTGACAGCGCTGAGCTGTAGAAGGACGCGTCAGAGACTCTGTCTCACTCCCGCTGGATATTGGAAGAGTCAGCGTGCATTCGGCGTGAATAGATCGCAGTCGGCGGTGACGAAGCTGCGTCGTCGTTTCGAGGTACATCGAAATGTGGCTGACCGTCTGTCTGCCGCACGGGGGGCACTAGTAGGACCGAGGCAGGTGGGCCATACATCTTCTCCGCCATACCCGTCCCATTCGCAGTCGCCTCGGCGACAATCGAGAGCGACGTGATGCTTGAGATGCTCACTCAATTCGAGGTTGCTTTGCCGGCCTCGGTCCTCACTGAAACTTGACATGTTGTATACAGTGTGGAAGACCCGGAGGGAAATGGCTCTGAACCTATAGATGTCCTCTTTCACAAAGCGTCCCTCGAGAATACAACAATGCAATTGTAAACACAACCTTACAACCCCGCCACCTTAAACGCCTCATCCAACAACCTCGCCCCCCGCACCACATCCTCCGACGATGAATACAACGGATTCGCCGTCAGCCGAATCACATCCGGATCCCTTTCATCCCCAATCACCCCCAAACTCTCCAACGCATCGAACACCTTCCGCATCACCCCCGTCCCCACGGGCAAGAACAGCAGGCTCAACTGCGCCCCCCGCCGCTCCGCCTCCCTCGGCGTGATGATCGTGAAGCCCGGTTTGGTGTGCTTGCCCGCCTCCTCGACCGGCACGTAGTACGGCGACCTGACGAGCAGCGACTCGAGCGCAGCCGTCAAAACCAAAGCCCTCTCGCGAAACGCCCGAATCCCACCCGCCGCCTGCAGCGTCTCCAGCCCGCCCAGCACAGCCGCCGACGCCAGCACGACAACGTTGCTCTGCTGGAACCCCTGCGCGCCCGCGATCGGGTCGAACGTCGGCGGCATCTGGAAGCGCGTCGCCTCGTTGTGGCCCCACCAGCCCGCCGCGCGCGGCTGCTTCTCCGCGTTCCACTTCTCGTGCATGAAGAGGCCGGCGGTGGAGCCGGGGCCGGCGTTGAGGTACTTGTACGTGCACCAAACGGCGAAGTCGACGTCCCAGGCGTGGAGGGAGAGGGGGATGTTGCCAGCTGCGTGCGCGAGGTCCCAGCCGGCGATGCAGCCCTGGGAGGCTGTATGTTAGAATGGACGAAGGTGGAGAATGAGGGGAGGTACCTTTTCATGCGCCTTCGCTGTTATACGCTCAATGGGGAAGTACTGTCCGGTGTAATACTGCACCCCACTGAACAGCACCACCGCGATCTCGTGCCCCTCGCGCTCGATAACGTCCAGGATATCTTCCTCCCGCAGTGTGAACTCGCCCTCTCGCGGCGCAATCTCCCGCACAGCGACCTTCGGGTCGAACCCATGAGTGCGCACTTTCGACGCGAAGGCGTACTAACAGGAAGGGGTTTGTTTAGTTTGACATGTTATGTATGTGCGGGAACACGGAAGGTGGCGCATGAAAAACGGAGGGTGGCGCACCTGGTCTGATGGGAAGGCCTTAGCTTCGCAGAGGATCTTGAAGCGATCCTTGGTCGGCACGTAGAACGAGTCGAGCATGAGGTGCAAGTTCGCCGTCAGGGTACCCATGCAGGCGACTTCGCCCTCCTTCGCGCCTGAGAGAACGGTTCAAACGTGCAAGGAGACCGACAAGGTTGTTATGCGCACCAACTATGTCCGCAAACAGCGGGTGGATGCTCTCCGTGTATGTCTTCCATGGCCGCTGCTTGGGGTGCTTGAAGTGGCCGACCACGGCGCTGCATGTCAAGGTTGGTCAGACGCCCAGTCATGCCAGCGAAAGCTTCAGCGCACCTCTTCGCCCAGATATCGAGCTCCTCCTCGACGCGCTGCTTGCTGAGCTTGGGCATCGGTCCCAGCGAGTTGCCGCAGAAGTAGACGCAAGGTGCGTCTGGTGGGATGTCAGCATCTTTTCCCTCTCAACGTATCCCAACGCACCTTGGTCCTCAGCGCGATGGGCGCCGACTGCAGCATTCGTAGGGAGCACGAAGCTATCCCGCGCGAGCGGTTCGAGGTTCGCGATCTCAGGGGGGATGTCGAAAGTGGTGGACATTATAGCGGCGGCGGGCGAACGTGGGGGTAGGATGAAAGGTTCGGTGGGTTCTATCTTATAGCCCAGAAGAAGTAAGCCCTGCCACGTCGTGCGGGAGGGCAGCGATCGGTATGGGAGGAGGATAAAGAAAGCCGTGGCATCGTTAGCATTCTGCGGCTGTCCCTTGGTACGTCCGGCCAGGATCCGACGTGGGCGCTAATTACCGCGATCGGGCGCGGGCCGAGGCCGCGCATCACGCGAGGACCGGACGCATCACATGCCTAAAACGTGCCCTTGTGTTGAACTTCGAACCCTCCCGTTCATCCCTTGCATCGCCCTTCTATACCCACCTGCTATTCCTGTAGTGCAGCCTCGACGGATAGAATAGAGATGGATGTCATTGCTGTGACTCACTCAGTGCATCGACTGAGCAGTTAACGCCGGTGGCACCCACTGTTAACCGTCCATCTGATTCCCGCGTCAGTCAACACAGTCATACGACACGAGAGGACCCTAGTACACCCCCACACCCAGTATATCTGCGATACAGCGCCCTACATAGGGATGGAGGCACTGCCTTGCTGACCTACAGAAGATACGCCTGTTTTTACACAGGCCAATGCATTCGCTATCTTTACCAACTGAGCTCTAAAGATGCTGCTGCCTCAACCGGAGGTGGTCAGATGAGAGGGAATACGGACATAATGGGATGGCTCTCGAGCCGAGGTGACTACTCTCGCAGATACGGTGTGCGTATAACAGCGGATGAAAAGCGGCAGGCCGACCTCGCGCGTCAAACTGCATACCTCGCTTTCGCGCGAAAGCCTTCCGCGAGCTGCGTGCGCTGCAGAAGCTCGACGATGCCTTATCTTACCACGCTTCACAGGTTACTGTATTTCTTCCCGAGTACAATGGTTGGGCAGACCATTGATCAATTCATAATCGTCGAAGCGTGATTGACGATGACGCGCTCATCGTTGGAAGGTGGTGACTTTTGGAGATTAACAGGTCTTGTCAAAGCCATTGTCAGGGTCAAGAACGCTCGCGCAGGTCATTGCGGACTGACATAGTTTTGCACGGGCATTACCTGAGCGAAGCCTCGCCGCCTTCGCATGTGTTGACTCAGCGCAGCGAATGAGACCATCACGAGTGACAAGGAATGTACAAGGACCAGAAATGCGTCGCTTGGGCAGCACCCACAGGCAGCATCTCGAGCGTCTGCAGGTCCATGGGCATCCAGTGCAAGTGAAAAGCTGTGAGGTTTGTCAGTCTCTGACCAGGCGAGATGGGTTAGCTAAGAACGTACACATGCTCGTACCCTCGTAAGTACACCTCCTGGAGAGGGCAAGGTATAAGTAAAGCAAGATACTTAGTTGAAGGAACGAGACTCAACGCGCTCGGAACGCATACAACGGATTCAGTTGTTCGGAAGGACATAAGAGCACCAAGAGCCTGACGCAGCATGGCGTCGGATCATGTCAATCTATGGGGAGGGATGGGTCAATACATGTATAATGAGTTAGCAGGACACGGGTAGCATGCGCAGCACAAACAGGATCAGTAGACGCGGCGGGACAAAACGAGCGACAAGGACGATTATTATGTGTATTACACAGCAAAATATATAGCGTACGGCTATCCGCCCCTGCTCCGCGCATGGCACAGTACAATATATGCACGGACTGATGTTCTCTCCTGCACGTCTTTGCCACGCGAGGCCAGGAGGCACGCCTCGTAGCGCGAGAAGCTATCAGCTATCGGGCGCGTGGCTGTTGAAGCGGTGGAGCGGTCGGATCCTGGACCACGCACGCTCCTACAACTTCCTCAACACCTATGACCTCCCATCCCCCAACTTCTCCTTCTTCTTCTCCGCCTCGAAGTGCTTCTCGGCGCGCTCGAGCAGATCGATGGAGACGAGGATCTTGGAGCCCTTCCACAACTGGACGATATTGATCACATTCTTGAGCGCGCAGATGGGGAAGGAGAGCAGCGCGATGAGCTGCGGCCAGGTGAGCTGCGTGAGCGCGGCCGCGTAGGGGAGGGCGGGGTAGTAGCCGAAGCCGATGGGCGTGTGGACCCATTTCATGAGGTAGAGGGCGACGAAGAAGAGCTCGTTGCCGGCGCAGATTATAAAGAGCATGCGCTGGGGAGAGGGTGAGTTGAAGAAGGGGTTAGGGTAAAGGGGGCGTACTGCGCTATAGTACAAAGAGAGGATGCGGCTGACGGAGCTCTGAACGGTCTTGTGGCTCGAGTTTCCGGTGGCGAGTGAGCTTGCGGGGGAAATGAAATTAGCGCCCACACGAGGCTAGTGCGCATGCATCCGCACTCACCTATACATATGCATGTAGTGCGAGGAGAAGTCGAGAGCGATGAGGAACTGGAAGACAAGCGCGTATTCGGGGTACGCGAGGGTGAGGTAGCATAGCAGACATGATGTTGCGCATCTGGGCCAGGGCGATAAGCGCGCGCTCAACAGCAGCGTCCCCTGCGCACCTATCCGTGACCATGTCTAGGACGGCGCCGAATTTGGAGGACTGGCCCATCGCCCGAGCGGCCATGCCGTCGAATGCATCGAGGAGTGCTGACACAACGTATGCGACCGTGCTGTACTTGGGGTGGTAGCTCATGTAGTGTAGACTCACGGCGGCGAGTATCACTCGCGTGTAGCCTGAAGGTAGTGTGAGTCCTGCGTACGGGATGTATAAACGAAACACGGCGCACCGATGAGGTTGGGCACGAAGAGAAAGACATTCTCCTCGTACGTCTTCTTGGTGGAGAGGTCGACAGCAATGCTGGCGTTCGTGACCTCGATGTTCCCGCGGCGATGTCGTAGGGCCATGGTGTGCGGCGTCGGCGTCGGTGGTGGTGGCGGCAGCGGGAGGGGAACTGGCGCGCGTGGGACAGATGACAGTGCGCCTGCGCTCCGTGCGACGCGCGCCGATCGACACCGCCGCTTCACGTCAGCGCCGTGACCGAGCCGAGAGCCGAACTTCAACCACTCACGTGCCAAGCACGCTCCCATTCGAACCTCTTTACCTGCGCCGCCATGACGCGCTGTCGACCCAATCGCCTCCTCACCACAGCCCACCATGGCCGCCACCGCTGACGACGCTGTCCGCAACGCGATGGCCGCGTATACCGAAGTGCAGACCACCGCTGTCACCACGCTCGATGCCACCGACCTCCGGCTAATGTCTGCCGTCAGCCAGGCGTCCGTCGCTCTCGATGCTCTGCGCGATCTATGTCCCGCCGCCTTGTTCGAGTCGCTCATTCAACAGAATCTAGAGTGAGTGCGCCCGCGACATCCTGTACGCATGCTGACCGTACACCACAGACTCGTCGAGCAGGTGGAGAGCGCAATCGTCACCCTACTTCCCATGCCACAACCCGTAGACCCCAACGCACTAGACCAGAGCGCGAGACCAGCCTCGTCACTGCAACTAGTGCAAACCAAGGCGACAGAAATGACGGTAGGCTATAATTGCATCCAGCGAGCGGACTGATCTAACCACCCGTCTAGGCCTCACTGGAGAAGCTCCTCATACCCAAGCTCACCTTCTCTGAGCCCAGCGGCCAGAAGATACCCCAAGTCCCGCAGGTTCAGGTCTGAGTGCGCGGACGAGTGTTTTCACTTCCTATGTTTTATTGTCCATAGTCTGTACGGAACAGGAATATGTACACGAGAATACCAATGGACGCAAGATATATACCGAACGGAGCAGGATGGTTTACCGATGGGAAACCAGTGGCCTACCCAGCCAACCACCACCCTACCCCGGCATATTCTAAACAAGCGTCTGGCAGATATACAGGAAGATAATGAGAGAAATTAGATCGCGTCATCAATAGTAACCATCGAGGTCAACAGAGGGGGACTGTGCAAGGTGCAGAGGTCGAGACAGTGCAGAGATCGAGGCTGAAGTTAACGATGGAATAAGACGAGTCGGATATGGGTAAAGCGACACCGTCTGGATGGAATAAAGCAAGTCATAGATAATAAAGAATACAGCACGCCCAGGATGCAGTGGTTACAGCACACCCGGGGCGCACCAGTAGGAGTGTAGTACAGCTAGAGGTTCTAGTGATTGTCTTCTGTCATGCGTTGCATTGTCTTCTTGTATGTATGCGCGTGGCTGGCGTCTAGGCGGCGGCGGTGACGGGCAGGTGAGCGGGCAGGCAGGCGATGGCGAGAGAGGAAGGGAGGCGGGCGGACGGCGAGCACGCTGAACTGGGTATTGCGTAGAGGGACTTGGTGACAGAGGGAGGCGATAAGATGAAGAGAGTTGGACGCCGATGAAACAGAAGGGAGTTCAGACCGTCGATGGGCCCGCAACGAGTCGACGACACAGTGCCCAAGCATACGGAACGAGGTACGGTCTCCCCTCCCTGCATCGCAACCCAGGAGATCGCAGCCGATAGAAGCCACCGTCGACACCATTCCCCCACCTTCCACACCGCCTTACAACCCTTGCCCCGCGGCGGTCTAGACCCTCGCCACCTTCATAAGGCCTTCCCTCCTCCTCTCATCCTCTCCCGCTCGCTGCTCCGCCTTCACCCCGCCCTGCCCTGTCGCCGCGCTAGAAGAACCGGCGCTTGCCGCCCTTGTCCTCAGCGGTGGTCACCCTGATATGCACATGGTCCGGCTGTACGCCCGGCGCAGAGCACGGCACGATGCTCTTGATCCACTCATCGCCCTCGTCCTCGTCCTCCGGGTCACAGTCGTGGTCCGCGCACCCTTCGTAGTGCTGGCCCGTACCGCGCGCCGCGGGCGCCCCGGCACCATTGACGTGCACCATAGGTGGCGCGCCCTCGGCGGGCTCGGGAGGTTCCATGCTCGCGCAACTGCACAGGATGCCGCTGCTCTTGCCGCGGCCCTTGAGCAGGTCGGTGAGCGTACAGCGCGCAGACGGCTCGACGTGGAGCATCCGGCGGAGGGCGGGGCGTGTTTCGCGGGGGAGGAGGCGGAAGATGGACTCTGCACCGCCGCCGTGGAAGGTCGCGACGCTGTCTGTGCGTTGGCGCTTGCGCTGCGCCTGGCCGGCGGGCTTGCCGGTGGCCTGTGTGGTGACGGTCTTCGCCTGAGGAGTAGCGCCGTTGGTCTTGGGGACGGCTCCGTTCGCTTGTGACGACGCAACACCATTAGCTTCAGTCGGCGTCGGCTGCTCTGAGGTCGCGGCCGGTGCTGAAGCTGCCTTTGCGGAATCAGACTTGTGGTGGTGCTGATGCTCTGGCAGCGTCTTCTGCGTGACGCGCGGTGTATTGGGGTCGTCGTCCAACACCATCGCTCTCCCGTGATTGACAGACTGCCTCATAGGCAATGGAGGTAAGGGCTCCTTGACACCGTGGGCGTTGCGCGTAGGTGCTTCGCTCCGGAACGGCTGCGCCTCGGGATGCGGCGTACGATGGCTGAGCGGCAGGGATTCTGTCGAATCGGCAGGGCGCGGGTAGGTCAACACACTAGGATCCATCTCCACTCGTGGGCCGCTCAAGTCTGGCGACTGTACATTCTCCAGCTCTGAAAGCGACTCATCAGGATCAGCCAACTTGGGAAAACGGATAACACCCACCTCGAACACAGTTCTCTGACGGCAACGACACCAAGCTCTGGCTCTTCACCTGCGGCGAGCCCGGTATCGGACTCAACAGCAAGCTCGCGCGCAACTTGCGAATCTGCTGGGCGTCTGGCCCATTCACCGTCGACTCGCTTGTCGACTTCGCATCGGCGGACTTTGACGACTCCTCCGTGTGCGAGTACGACGAATACTGCCGCGAGTACGCCGACGAGGAGTCGTACGAGTCGCTAACAGACGACGACGAAGCCGACGAGGACGCCGAGCTCGAGCTCTGCACCAGCTCCGTGCCTGGTGGGAAGGCGACAAGCGTGACCGGGCCCTCATGCGGGACGAGCTCAGCGCCATCCTGTATCTTGTGCGGGTCGCGAATCTGGTCTGGCGTGTGCATCGACGACGAGGGAGACGGTGACCCCGCGGACGAGCCATCCTGAATGGAGCCCTCCTTCGTCGGCGGCTCGAGCGAGTTGGCCCGCTCAGGCGCCGGACCAGGTGACGGGCTAGGCGTCGCCTTCTCCACAGTAAGCTGCGGGGCCTGTACCCGCGGCTGGCGCTCCTTCTGCTCGCGTCCCACGCTCAAATCCGGGTGTGCATTGACGAAGGCGCGGAAGCTCGGATCCGTTTTGGGATCCTGGGAGCGACAGTCAGCCTCAACTGCCTGCATTCATCCCCAACGCAAGACCTACAGGAATCTTCCACGGGAAACGCCGCAAAATCATGCACATGAAGATGATGGCCACGCTCCAGACGTCCGTCTTGCGCGGGTCATACCCGGACTCAGCTATTGACAGGTTAATCGCGACACTCGTCAACGAGTGGTTTTCGCGCACCACAAGACAAGACTTCGGGCGCAAGGTAAGGGTCACTGCCAACAATACCCGTCGCTAAAACGGGCTTCTTGCCGGGGTAGTGAAACACAGTAGCAGTACCTATAGTTGTACGTTGTAAGTGGACATGAAAATGAATGAAATCGGACTTCTGCCAGCTCACCGAAGTCAATGAGCTTGATGACATTGTCGGTCGTCATAACGCAGTTGTCCAGCTTTAGGTCGCGATGCGCAAGACCAATCGAGTGCAGATATTCTACACCATCGCATATTTGCCTGAATACGCAGCTGAAGGATGTTAGAGGATCGCATGTCAACGAGTGTGCTAGGCTCACTAGATCTCGGGACGGCACATCTTGCCAGTCATGACGACCGAGAACAGGTCGTAAGGCGCATACTCCATGACCTGAGCAGGCAAGAGATCAGCATCGTGTGCCCGTCCTACTCACGAGCGCAGACGGTGCCGCTCCAGAACACCGCCGGAGCCAATACGCATGCGGGCAAAGAAGACACGAAGACGGATCACGTGGGAGGACGAACAATGGAAAGAAACTATGCATCCCTCCTTCGGACGGAATAGCACAGTATATAGGGCGCGTGCGACTAGTGTAGTGTCACCGCCCCCTTGCAGGTACCGAGCCTCGTTCATGAAGCATGTTGGCATCGATGAAGCCATATCACTCCATCGCCAGCATATATGCGACGAAAGGTCGCGCAGTCGCCCTCCCGCCTTGCATCCCTCCCTGATGCCAAGGTAAAGAAGACGAGGAGGATGCGCCGATGAACGTGCGTGCACTCTAACTTTTTCGACTTACCTCATAATAGTGGCCATGGTCGCTGACTATATCGACAGTCTCGATAATATTGACATGCTTGAGCGTGCTGCCGACGCAGAATTCGGCGGTGACCTGCAGATGACGAGTGAGCGCCAGCACAGGGAACAGCCACGTCGATCGCGGGCACGCATCACAGGAGCGCAAAAAGTCCTCAAGCAATCGCGCCGCCAACACATCACGTCCTCGAATCACGGCGCCGCGAAAGTGCTTGTGCTCACCTTCTTCTGATACTCCTTCTCGCTCTCGCCTATGCGCTTGGGTCTGAACTCCTTGACCGCATAGATCGTGCCACCATTCTTGTTGCTGGCCTTGATCAGGCGTACAGTACCCCCAGCGCCGGAGCCCAGCACTCGCCCCCACTTGCCGTATTTCTTGCCCAGATGCGCCTGTGTCGCATCGGCCAGGGATATTATCGGCGCGGTGATAATACCACCCTTCGCTGCAAGATCGCCGGTCGACTTGTCATGACGGCGTCGGTGGCGATGTGGGCGCTCGTGATGCCGTTGTGGGCTGATCAACGACGGTGGCGGCGTTGCTGGTGGTGGCCTTGGGGTGATATCGTCGTCTGCCGGAGGCTGCTCAGTCGAGGGCGTGTTCCGTGGAGGTGGCGGCTGGCCGCGTACGGTGCCGTCATCGAGTGTACCAGCCGGACGGTCACGATCGCGTCGCATGAGGGCGGAAGAGAGGCCCTTCTCGCGCCCTGTCGAGGGTTCGCCAGGCGTACGCGGGGCGGAGGCATTCTCTGCCGCACGCTGATGGGCGTGATGGTGGGGCAGGTGGTTATTGAGGAAGCGCTTGAGGTCATGGAGAGGGCCGGTCTTGCCCTGGGGGTGCTGCTCAGGCGAGGGCGATTGCTTCGGCGAGGGCGAATTGGTTTGGCGCGGGGGTGAGGGAGGATTGGAGGAGTCGGTCATGGCCGGGGTGCTGTTGGCGGCCATTGGGGAGGAGAGGAATGAGTTTTTGCGCGACGAGGAGGTGAATCGAAAGCGCGAGGAAGAGGGGCGCCTGTTGTGCTGAGGTGCGTCTGCGAACGGACTTGGGGGCGGCTCTAGGAAGTCGTCGGAGTCGGATCGGGGCGATGGGAATGCGACCTGTGATGCAAGTGACTGTGAGAGGAGGATTGCGGGGGAGAGGCGTAAGTACACACCGCGGGCGAGGACGACGCGCGCGGGCCTCCTGGCGACGTTGCGGGCCTCTGCTGGTGCAACACTGACTGGCGCGGCGGCGAGGCAGGAGCTGTCGGGGCAAGCTGGGGCGGGACGTGGGGATGGCGGTTGATGTGGACAGGGTCGGAGACGCGGATAGACATCGTGGTAGTCGGAGACGACGAGCACGCTGTCGGACGGACAAACAGAGAGGAAGCAACAAACAAACGAGCCCGTCACGGTCAGGTCCTCGTCGTCGTTCGGGTGCACGAACGCTTGGCCGATGGTGGATCCAATCCAATCCCGCAGAAGGGGTCACCAAACCCTTCCGTAATCAGCCCGACGTCAAGTGCGCTCCGCGCCGCACCACATGATTGCCCCGCACTAGCCGGTCCGGCACTTCCACATCAGGCAATTCTGCCCGGCCTCTTGCCGCCCAGCGGCTCGGCGCGCTCGGCATTCCTCGGCCTGCTCAATTCTTATCGCCACAATGTATTATTGGTGCCGCCGGGTTCTTCCCCGTCGCGTAAATACGCCTCCGTCCAGCAGCCTGCCGCCCGCACCCTCGTCCAGGTAAATATTCTCGCCCCCAGCAGCACCCAGCCAGCAGCCACCGCAGTCCAAACAGCCGCCTGCCGTGCTCTGTGCGCTGATAGTGCATCATCGCTCCACCACCTCGCCGACGTCCGCCGCGTCCGGCCTCTTTGTTTCCTGATCCATTGTTTTTCCCCATGCCACCTGTGTGCCACCATCCCGGCCTCCTCCTCCGCATTTCACCACGTCACTCCTCCTGCCCCAACAGGCCCCAGCTCTTTATGGTCGACGTCATCCCCTCTTGCATGTTGAACTTTGTCAGGACGTCTGCAATCTTCTGCTTCCGCTGCCACCCGATTTTCAATGGGCCCCCCACTTGGACCGTCCCTCACACGCCTTGGAAAACTTCGCTGACCTTTTTCTATCGGATTGCGGCATGAGCTTGCCGCGTACCGCTCTCCTTCCCGCCCGCAAATCCCCCTCCGTGCGCGAACGGCTGACAAGCTGGCAGCCGCTGACCGACCTCTCTTCAAGCCCTTCGGACTGGAATCAACCGCCGGCGTTTCATTCTCGCTTGGGAGTACGAGCACGCAGCGAGCACGAATCGCGCTCGGCTAGCGCATCCTCTTCTGGCTCTGCTGCGGCCTCGCTGACCCATCGGTCTCGCTGCGTCCATCGACCCAGATCGATAGCTATCGTCGCCTATCGGCCGCCCTCGGCGCCGCCTCTGCATGCGCCTCGCTTTTCTCAGCTCCCAACGTTCGCTTTTTCTGAGCAGCCGGCATCGCGCCGTGCGGCGAGGGGCGTAAATCCCTCAGCGTCCGTTCCACGCAACGCTCTCTGACCGACCTTTTGCGGCGCGCCCCCTCGCGAAAACCATCAGGCACGTCCTTGGTCCGAGCTCCTATCGCCAGCTACCACGTCGGTGCTTCACGTGCAGCGTCTCGCGGGCGTCGTCCGTGGCGATGGACGCGCCTCGCTGGCGCCTCGACAGGCCTCTCCACCGACTCCATCCACGCCTCGTCGTGTAGGCTATCCGCAGAGGACTCCATGGACAATATCGGCCCGTGCACCGTAGATGGATCAACCGGACGGCGGGCGGTAGCCCGACCAACCGTCAATCAACCGACTACACGCCCGCCATCGACGGCGGTGCTTCTTGCCAAGGCCGCCACAGCTATATGAACTTCTCGCGCGCTTCCTGCCAATGCCATGGGAAACAACGCGCTTCCCAATCGGTTACGATCTTCCCGGCGACTTGTGCGCGACTGCGACGATGATAACCGAACAGAACATCTCGTGCCAAGCATTTGTGCGGTCTGAACATGTCTGGGGCACATAGCTTTCATGGAGGGTGCTTCAGCTCAGCGCAATGCGACCGACCAGCGGCCGGCGTACGACTTAGACGCCGCTTTCGCGTCAGATATCCTTTCCATCTTTGCGGTAGAGCTTGCAGCTGTGTTACGACTAGACCAGCAAGTAGCGCATCGTGATCTTTGGCTGACGTTTCCTATCCTACGGTCGAAGACCCCGGTCCGAGTAATGCGGTTAGCATCTGTACGTCCGTTCATTCACCCCTCTTCGTCTTCCAGCGCGCATCCCCCACACCCATCCTGATTCCTCCTGACCTCACCCCCACATACCTTCGCGTACCCGCGCCCGCCGCCACCACCCGCTTAGCACCCACGGTAATCAAGCAGCACGCCCGCAGTACTTCATCCTCTCACAGATTCCCACCTTGGACACCCGCTTCCATCATCCACGCAGCTCGAGAGCCCTCGCTCGACCGCGAAGTTGACGTTATGCCCTTGAGGCTCACATAAGGCCCTCAAGGCTCACGTTATGGTCTCTATGTAGGGTGTGCACCTGCCTCTATCCCTTGCGCTACGGACCTCTATCCCCCACACTAGGGACCCATAACCCTCATGCTAAGGATCCCGTTCCCTCCCGTCTCGCCCACAATGTCATATGCTCTCGGGGCTTCCTGTCTATCTAAAGCTTTGATATGTGTGTCCTCGATGTGTGTCCTCGGATCTCATTTGTCGGAAAAGTCTGGACCCGCTTACAAGCGGCGTAAGCGCCCTTAGCGCCTGACGTGATTGCGAGCGCTTGCAAGGTCACGATGCTTGCGAGTTACATCGCAGCTTGTCATCCGTGCAGTGTGCTTGCCAGCGGAGCGGCGCTTGCAAGCCTGTCGGGAACTTGGGATCTGGACCGACCTTGTGAGCGCTTGCAAGCAGTCAAGTTGTTGAGAAGCCTGAGGAAGCCTGGTCACTTGCTGGGTCTCTCGGTCACCGTCTCACTGTATCGCCTCTTACTGAACCCTCTTACTATTCCCTTACTAATGGTCTTACTCGTTCTATTACTTAGTCTCGAATCTTTACTGATCTTGAAGTTCACTTTCATTCAACTGTAATCGGATTCTATTATTTACTGACTACTGGTATCGTACTATGGGATTCGAACTATGTACCTTCCTATCGCTATCTTACAGGCGCCGGCGCCAAAACCATTAGACTACAACTACGGATATCTGAGAAAACCGTTGGGCTACCACATACAGTCTGTAAAGCCGCGCAGGCCAGCTTGTACATATCCTGCGACCGACTGAACGAGCAGTATGTTCTATCACGGTGCATTCGGTCACAAGCAAAGCGATTGTATTAGTGAGCACATGAAGGGAAAGTAGCTAACGCCCCGAACGAGTCGTGCGGCGCGTTACACGAGGCGCGTCAATGTCTATCTCGGCCGGTACCTCAGTACGCTTCCTGCCCTTGCCCTTCCCTTTGGTCTGCGCCGGAGGTGCGGCTGTGGCTTCAGTACTAGTGGTTGTATCTACTCGAGAGATGGGCTGCTTGCCACCTCTCCCCCGGCCACTGCTTCGGCTACTGCCCGCCTTGGAACGTGTAGAAGCCACCTCCAACATCTGATCATGATCTACACCGTGAACGTCGCCAGCCTCAGGAGCACCCGAGGCCACCACAGAACCATTGTCGAAAACCTCGGGAAGAATGGCTGGACTCGTCTCAGCGATCGGTTGGTCGGGAATTGATGGACTATCGACGACGGCAGACAAGAGCGTTGTGGGCTGATGGGGGGCTGAGATCGACGACACGATAGGTCCGAGTGAGATTGAGCTACGAAGTGTGTCAGTGTAAGGCATATGAAAGAGATACGAACAATCAACGTACCTGAAGGCAGCGGTGGCACTTGCCATCGAAGCGGACTGTTCGGGCACCGTCTCAGCACGCATTTGATGAAGGACAGCTGCGCGCTGCGCGCTCCCGTCAATACCGGTCATCCTGAGGACCCCTCCTTCGCTGTTCGAGGTGAAAGTGCGACCATTGAAGAACACGTAGTCGAAGGCGGCGCGCACACGCCTAATGGGAGCAGTATCCCAGCCTAACGTGAGGAGCGCGTTATACGAGCGCAGACGCGTCCTATAATCGATGCCGGTTTCGGCGCCGGGCGATGCAAAGGCGGGGTCGCCGCTGATGAGATAGGTAGCCTGTACAAACATGAGACCGAGCTTGAGAACGGAATCATTGACTCGTACCATAACCGCGCACATCGCGATGAACGAAGGGGTTGGCGAAGACTGCTTCCATTCCTGGTAGTAGCGTCCAGCCCATTTGTCGCGCGGGACTTGCAGTGCAGTCTTGCCGTGCAAGACGATGGTCGCGATCTGCTGAAGATAAGCAAACAAATCCAAAGCCAGCTTGATCAGCACCATACCTTGACCAACACGTCATTGAGGAACAGCTCAGCCGTCTTGGTCGAGTCACCGGAAAGGTAGAGAATCGCCGGGTAGTCGGAGAGCACACCTACGAGCAGCTTCCTGAGGGTCTCGCACTGGCGCACGGGCTCGGGGTTCCTCGGGTCACTGAAAACGTCGATCGAGAGCCCGGGAACGTCCCTGAAGATGTGTTGCCGCGTCGACTTGAGGTTGTTCGTGATCGTGGTGCGGATCTCCTTCGCGTAGAGGTGGAACTTGAATACGGATGTCAACACTTTCAATGAGCACAAGAGAGAAAGAAATACGCACTGCATGCACGAAGTGCTCGGTGTGCGCCTCATATAGCCCGCGCAGCGTCTCTGGGAGTAGGTCATGGAAAAGCACGACACTGCCAAGGTTGTACGTTGTCTGGTCTTGCTCGTGGTTGTGGAAGCGTGCCTCGGATGCTGGGTCGATGCTGCTGGGGCGCGCGCGCTTCAGGAGCTTCTCGCTGGGGAAGAACTCGTGGAATATTGTGTAGACCTGGGCGAAAAGCCTGATGTCGGCGTCGGCCCGCATGATTGCGGCGTCAACGTTGCCGATCTTCTGGTTGGTGGAGACCTTCTCGTCCTTGGCGACGCGAAGTTGTTCATGCATACCTTCGACGCGAAAGGTGAGTTGCGTCTTCTCCTCTTGCAGGGTCGAGATCTGGCGCGCCTGGCCATTGATGATCAGCTGGGCTTGTCGCAACGCCTCTTGCTACGTGTGGATAAGCAAAAACACTCGATGGAGGCACACAAAAGACTTACCAGCTCCGCAATCTTCGCTTCCTGCTGCGATGTATTGTCGAGTCCAGCACGTCTAGCAGCAGCGAGTGCATCGAGCGAAGGGATGGGCATGTTGATAGAAGCGATGGTGCTAGCGTCGAGCGAGTTGGGAAGCAGATGGCGAGCGCTGAGGCATCCGAGTTGTGCGCAGCTTTATATACTAAGGGAGCGAGTCAGTACGCAACGCCGTGGAAATCAGTGCATATTGTTTCATGTGCAAGAACAACACGAGCCACACGAATATCGGGGCTTGCCTGCAGCGGAGCGTCCTGCAGGGCGCGAGGCAAGACCCTGGAATGTCATGAAGCAGCGATGAGACACCACCTGCTTGATACTATTGCCACGTCGTCTGAGCTCCATTGAATTGCAGAGGACACGCTGTTGAGGGAAAAGGGCACCGTATGTAAAATCTTAGCCAGATTCCTGGGCATTGTAGGCATGATGCTTACCACGCAGTCCACACGACTGTCTCCCCATCCTGCATACACCGCCCGTTTTTGCGTGTTGGTGATGGTGGCGATGCTACGCCCTACGGCAGGGCGCAGAGACATGAAGGGCCACCACGCATGATTACATGTCGTGGCAGCAACGGTCCCGCGAGGTCTCGCTCGCTTGCCGCCAGAGGCTCTCTCGAGCAAGCCTCGAGACACTCTGAGAGGTAATCGGTAAGCGCATTCGGATGAAATGAAGGATGAACGACTTATTATTACACTCCAGCGTTGCAATTACCACCTTCACCGCTCGGATGTTCTCGACATGACTGCCTCCCTGTTGCTGATGTGCTGCCTTGAGGATGAGGTCGTCCACGCTGCGCTTGACACCAGCAAAGTCGACTCCTCCGTCCTGATGCTGAGCGTCACGAGGTAGTTGCCGTGCGTCGTCTGCACCTGAAGCGAGACACCGTGGACGCGGACGGTCGACACGATGTAATCAGTGACCTCCGACGCAGGGTCAGCGAGCTCAGATCTTCCAAAGACCATGCTCCTCAGGCTCGGCATGACTGCAAGATGCCGCGCGTACGGGAGAAGGCAAGCTTGACGCGATCATATTCCTACGCGCCGCACGGCCGTGGCGCATAGGCAGTGATGCTTCCTCCTCTTCGCCAAGCAATAGTCCCGAACAACTCGAACACGTCGACGTGGCCCGTCCCCGACGCGCTGCGCTGCAAGTTTGACGAACCAAAGGAGGAGACGGCAACCGAGTTGAAGGCGGAGGGGCAGGACGCGAGACATTCACGGGAGGCTGACGCGCAGCCACCGGCCGGCGCAGACGCTTGGCGAGAGGCGACGAGTCCGGTTCGCTACTACTGGGCGACCGTGCACGCTTCGTAGAGCACCCGCGCTTCTCAGTAGTGGTGGTGGGCGGAATGGGAGTCAGCGGGCTCATCGGCGAAGCTTGCGACATGTTGACATCGGAGAGCGTGGTGTCGGGGTCCTGCTCAAATGCGCCGAGGTCCTGGTCGACAGCGCCAGTGGCCTGGTCGTGCGCGCCTGCATATATATCGCCATCGACGTCCCACAATGCATCGACGGACATCTGCGATGTGGTGCTTATATCCACATCTGATTCAAGCTCGGTGAACCTGGATTTGATCACTGCGAACGCCTTCTCCGCCTCGCCCACTTGCGCCCTCGCTCGTCCAGCATGGTCCTCGGACTCACGGCTGCGCTGCTCGGCGAGAACGACCGCACTGGTGGCGTTGGATATCAGACCCTGTGGTGTTTGTCAGCAACAGCGATAAAAACCACCAACGACGACGTATACCTTAGCCTGCCGAATCTGCGCCTTCAACGCCGTGACGCTCCTCTGCAGCCGAACCGTCGCCTCGGCTGACGCCCCGCCCCTCTGTGCCTTTTTCGCCGCCTTTAGCTCCGTCATGACGCGGCCCACATTCGCCTGCGTCGCGCTCAGCTGCGCCACGACCGTGTCTCTCTCCGCCGCCAGCTTGCCCTTCTCCACCGCCAACTTGCCCTTCTCCGTGACGGGCCCATCGCGCTCGGCGACCATCTCGTCTTGCTCCACCTTGAACGCCTCCTTCTACTTCGTCAGTGCCCCCATGCCCATCCGCCCCCGCTCGTTGGCGCGCTGCAGCTTGTCCGCCTCCGTCCGTGTCCGGGCCAACTGCTTCTCCTTTTGGGCCGCCCTCTCCGCGGACGCCTTGACCTCCGCCGCCTGCGTCTCCGCGTCACGCAACTTGCCCTCGAGCTCCTTGGTCATCTCCTTGTGCTCCTTGATCATCTCATCGCGCTCCTTGATTGACTCCTCCCGCTCTCGCACCCTCGACTCCAGCTCCTCCTGCGTATTCTTCGCCTGCGACCTCTCCTTCTTCAACTTCGCCAGCTGCTCCTGCAGCCCCCAGACCTCCTCCTGCATCTTCACCACGTTGTGCGCATTGCCGACGGCCTGCGAGGCGAGGAGATGTGCGCCTTCGGCTTCGCCCTGGGCGATCTCGAGGTCCTTGCGAGTTGTGGTGAGCTCCTTGCAGGTGGCGTCGAGGTCCTTGCGAGCGGTGTCAAGATCGTTGCGCGTAGTCTCGAGGTCGCGTAGAGCGCGATCGCGGGTGTCCTTGCTGGGCTTGAGCTCCCCCTCCAGCTTCTTCAGCTTGCTCGCGCCCTTCCCCTCGCCGTCCTTCCTCGCCTGCTCATGTTCCTTCTTCACCTGCTTCAGCTCCTTCTTCATTTTCGTCAACTCCTTCCGTGCCGCTTCAAGCTTCTTCGTCTCCTTACCGTCCTTGTCGCCGTGCTTCCCATCCTTGGCGTCACTCGTCTTCGCTGACGCCTCCCTCGCCCGCTCGAGCTCCGCATCCAGGCGCTTCACCTCCGCGAGCGCCTCCTCTGCTTCCTTTTGCGCGCGCTCTGCCTCCTCCTTCGCGTCTTCCAGTACCTCCGCATTGTCGTGCGCGTTACGGCTGTTCTTCATGCACTCCATCTCCTGCTGCGACCTCTCTAGCTCCCGTTGCAACCTCTCCATCTCAGCCCTCGCCTCCGCGCACCGCCACGTCGCATGCGAGCGCTGCACATCCACGATGTTGTGGCGGCGCCGTTCGTCCTCGGCGCGCTGCTTCTCCTCTTCCAAGAGCTTCTTGCCCGCCTTTAAGCTCCCGCGCAGCGCGCCGGCCACGGACGCCGACTCAGCCGGCGTCACGATCGAAAAGCGCGTCGCCGAGGGTGAGTTGCGTGCGTGATACGCGGGGGGAAGAGCTGAGGAGGTGGTAGATGAGGCCATGGATGTGAGAGACGCATTATGGGGTGTGGGGTTGGAGGAGAACGCACCCGTAGTGAGGTATGACACGTTGGCGATGCGGGTGGAGGCTAGCGTGTTCAAGCTTGTCGTTGGCGCGATTGTACACGTTGGATGAGCGTTGAAATGTGTTGGTTGAGCGTTGGGACGTACTGGACGTACGATTCAGTACGTCCGCGAGATTGGACACCTCAGCAGCCCGATGAGACGCGTCAAATGGGTTGTATGAGATTTGATGAGGGACACGAGTGTGGTGGTGCACAGAAAGAATGCTTTCCAGCCGCTTGCGGTGAGCCTAGGGCGGATCATTAGTGCAAGAATCACGCGAATGAAACGAAGTCCTTACCTTGAGCTCCTTCACCTGCTCGGACTTGGACTCGTCATCCGTCTACTCTGAGAACTCGTCGCTACCCTCATCCACCCGCATCAAGTCGTCGTTCCACCTAGCACCGACCAAACGACGTGTCTCCGCCTCCCGCTGCAGGCGCTCCTCCTCACACCACCTTGCCGTCTTCTCCACGAGCTCGCCCGCACCCACATCAGCCCCCGAGTCTGCTCCGACAGCTCGACAACGCCACGAAAGAAGTGTGTCCACAACTGGCCGTCCACCATCTGATGGTTGGCAGCCTCCTCCTTGTCCTCAACACGACCATCCTCGAGCACCGCCTTCGCCTCATGCGCATCTAGGATTTCGAGCTCGGGGCGGCGATCCTTGCCGCTCTTCCCGTAGCTGCGCTCCCAGACCTTGCGCGCAAGGAGGCACCAGAATTCGGCGCGCTCCTCAGCGCCGTTGATGGTCAGCCTCTCGAGAAGGCGAGCGAGTGAAGGCTGGAAGTCATTCTTTTGGATGTTGGTGAAGAGCATGCCGTGAACCAGAACAAACAGATCCGGGACATGCGCATCGGGCTGCCCACGGCGCATTTGCGCCTGCAGGCTCCAGACCTGAAGAATCAACTCGCACATTGTGGAGAACGAGTGGAGGGCGCTCGTCTCTTTGCAGAGACTGTGGGAAACAAATTTGAGCTTGCAGTTGACCAGGTAAAGCAGTCTACTCACCTCCGCTACACGTGCGGGTCATTTTCTCACGGGAAAATTGGTTCACCTAACTAGGTTGCTCTGCGAATTTCCTGCCTTGAATCGCAAGTATGTAATGTAGAGACATATACACACCTGTATTAATATGAATGAAGGCGGAAATCACCCTGAACATGTCCAGAAGTCATGCCAGGTGCGTGCGTGGAAATGCGCCCTATTTGTTTGGCACGACATGTTTTGCTTTGCTTATCGAGTTCGGGAGCGCTGAGCTGGATGAGAATGAGGATTGGTGTCTGTGTACGAGACGGGCAATGTACGACATGAGTTCGGGTGATGAGAGTAGGAAGGAATGCATTGATCGCCCAATTTGGAAAGCGCCATCAATTGGCCACAAACTTGGGTGTTACGTCCGCGACATGAGGTATAGGTATGAAGGATGATATGATAGAGGTATACAACATCTGGCATGTCATATCTCTCAGACTCAGGACTGCCGCATCACATACAATAAATTTTTAGTCACAAAGGAGAGCGTAACGATAATGAAGCACAAACTGGAATAAATCAGGAAGGTATCCAATCAAATGTACGTAGAAGGAGGTCATGGTCAGCGGAGTTCACGAGTAGGTAGTCGTCATCTTTGGCAAAGTCCTTGGTAACTACTGCACCTCGAATAATACTATGTGGAGAGAAGATCTCGACCTTGGCCTGCGCCCTCCTTTGTCGCATCCGACGCCGGATGAAACCGAGGTCTCTGTCCTTGCGAAGTGTCGTCCCAGTGGGGGCATCCAACGGGAGAGTAATCATAAGTGGGTGCTCGATGCCGTCAATCGTGCAGCCAAATATGTACAGGACCTGCGCGACCACAATACCCGCGCTCTCGTTGTCCTCGTTGGAGCCAACCCGTAGAAGGACAAAATCGAAGCGGGGCTTGTTGTGGAAGTCGGAATTGCACCGGAGGTAGTCGGCTGTGATTGTCCAATCGACTTCGGATGAATATTTGACCTCGAGGTATTTGTATGGCCGGATCTGCATATGAGGGTCAGACAAAAGCGCTGTTGTATATGCTTGGAATTACCAGGTCGTGCTTAGTGAGCTTGACGCCAAGATAAGTCGAGATCTCCCTGCGGAGATGTGGGAACACCTGCCCATCACCGAAGACGAAACCTTCCAGATCTTCGAGGCTGACCATGCCATCCGGCGAGCCTAGTACAATGCGCTGGAAGTCGTCCTTGCCACTAGGGCCGTCATCGTCACTCGGCGCTGAAGGAGAGGGTTTCCATCGCCACCTGCGTGCATCCTCCACTTCTTCGTCCTTGCGCCTCTGTTCCTCGTCTCGCTGGAGAGCGTCAAGGCGCTCCAGCTGCTCCTGCACGTCCTGTGCCATATACTGTCGATGGCGAATGCGGACAATCTACATCAATATCAGCTGCCAGTCAAGCAAAATGGCGTAGTTGTGTGCACTTACCTGCTCCTCAAAGTTCTTGAAGTTTGTCTGGTTCTTGTATATCTTGCGCAGCCGCCCATGCATTTTCTCAAAGGGTTTCGTGCCGAAGTTGCGAGCAGCACCTTTCGCCTCGATGTCGTCAAATACATGCGCGTGTTGGTGGATTTTTGGAAAGTTCCAAGTCTTATCTCCGTAGACATCGTCGTGCTCGACGTACTTGATGTAAGCCTGGAGCGATACCTCAGTGTCTGCACTTCACAGTGATAGAAGAAAAATACCTGAATCGCCTCCTCGAACTTCGCAAGGCATTCACGCCCTTTTGCGACACGGCGGTCAGTGTTCACGTCGAGAGTCATAAACATGTAGACTAGGACATAGCGAGCAATTGCACAGAGCAAGCGATACCCGGCGGGACTGCTCTCCGGCGTCAGGACAACATGGGCAGCAAACACAAATTGCTTGAAAGTGTATAACGCTCAGTGGTCGCCCAATCAGCATACCAAAAGACCATGCGCACCTTAAGCATATCGGCATACTTTGTCCCATCGTTAAATGCGATGTTCATCACACTCTCGAAATGCGTAAGGCCACGCCAGGAAGGCATCATGTTCATACTGTTACTCATGAGTTAGCTCAGGCTCGCGGACACGCAGGACTGCGCTTACCACTTGTCTACACGCTCCACAGCTGACCGTCCCAGCTCCTCTATGTGCTCCTTGATCACCTCAAACATATGGCCGCCCCAAAGCCCCGACGCAGAGGAATGTAGCGTGTCAAAGGAGAGCGCGTCATAGGGGTCAGAGCGCTCGATTTGCCAAAACGCGTTCTATGCAGTTTGTAAGGATTCAGGTCAATGAAGCAATGAGCGTGACATACCACAACCTTCCGCAGGCCATTTTCCTTCAGTATTGACTCGCCTTCCTCCAATGTCCGAGCGGCGTGCGCCTCAACAACAGCCTTCTCCATCGACTCTGTAGTCCGAACTGGGTGACGTCGCGCAGTGACCGTGGCTGATTGTTCCTCTTGAGGAACCATGCAGCGGGGGCAAGGGAACTTGCAGTTCGTCCCTCGAATGAGTGCCATCACACACCTAGACTTAAGTAAGCCAGATTCGACATACGGGTCAAGGAAAAGCTCGTACTGCTCCTCGTAATCCGCTGCCAGGATCAGTATGCACAGAAAGAGCCATCGTATGATACCATCGCCACATTCAATGTGCACGCCATTCTTAGCATGGTTCTCGATGTCCTTGAGGAGTTTTCCCATAGAATTATGCCAGATTACCGTCTTGAGGTTGATGAACCACTTTTTGCCCGACTTATCACTGTCCTCCTTGATCTATATCTCGAAGTTGAGCTAGAACACAAGGGGATGGGTGGTAGACGCACATAGGGTAGCCATCCCACGAGAATCGCGCCGCCCCAACGATCTGAATGGCGGATGTTTGCGGGAAGATTGGCGATCTCCATGAAGACAGGGTGCGCTTCGGCGGTCCCGAATCCAGACAATTTTGCTGTATCTGCGTATGCGACAAGACATACAGCCTTCGCGTCTGGTGAATTCGGAAGCTGATCCTGCAGGACAGCGATAAGCTGCAGTGGCTAGAAACTTTCTGCATCCTCGTACCTGTATTTTAGACCAACGATCCCCAGTCCAAGGCTCGTCGAGAATTCGTTCCCATTCAGCGCCGTCAAATTTCGAGATTTCCTGCGCATCCCACGCCAGGAACGGAGCGAGGGCCGGATCGGTTATGATACTTCGCACCCATGCCCAGACATCGGTGCTGTACATCGCATACTCCTCCGTGTGGCCATTGAAGGTGGCAGTTACCTTCTCAGTGACAAACTGGAATTATTGTTATTCCAGTCACCAGCGGGTACCAATGCAGCACGCTTACCTTGGGTATTTTGGCAGTTTTTTCCATCAAGTCCCATCCGTCACTGAGATCTTTCGGTGCGCGCACGGTGAGCTCTTCAGGGTGCTCGGCAGCCCGCTTCAAGAGTTTCAGGAGCGAAGCTGACTGATCATTGTTCAGCTGAGCCTCGAGCGCAAAGGCAGCAACCTCGAAGTCGAGGCGAGTGTGAAAACCCTTCTCCCAAGGCTTAGATTCTAGTGGTGGATCAGGCGGCTTCCTATCCCGTTCGCGAACCAAGCGATGCAGGGGTATGGTCTCAGCGCATCTCTGGCTATTTGGATGGTATTCTATTTTGATATCATCAACCGACGGCTGCACCGTTTCGGGGTCCGCTAGCGGCAGAGGAGGGGGAAGTTCGTCGACTGGTGGGGGTGGAAGATTTTCGTAGGGGGGAGTCTCCGAACCAACGAAGCCGCGCTGATCTGAAGATGGCACGGTAAGATATTGATCGACCGCGGCAACTGCTAGCGACAGACGAACCAGCGATGAATGCCGCAAGTGCCTCAGCCGTCCAAGTGGGAGCTTCCTCAGCGTCTTCGGATGGCATGCTCGCGTTCGCTTCGGTGTTTGCTTCACGATCGCCAGGGCGTGTCAACGCCAACACAGGGGGCATGGACGACATATACGTACCATTATTAAGAACTGACAGGGATATGAGAATACAGTACGTACGGGGGGACGGGAGACGCACCGTTATTGACCATGGCAGCCGCCTCGACCATATCAGCGCGATCTGTATCGGCATTCTCGACGGCACAGACCCTTTCATGCCTCCAAATTCCTGACTCGGTGAACAGCTCTCCACATCTTGGGCACCGACAGTCCCGCGGCTGCTGTGTCTTCTTAGCTTTGGTCGGACGCGGAGCCATAGATCTCGCTGAGCTGGACAGAAGGGACACGACTGTACGAAGCAAGACTTGTGGGGAACACGCGGGGTCATCGGTCCGCTTGCAAGCGATCAATCTTATCTTGCAAGTGATTATCAGCCATGCGATATGACGCAAGCGGGCCTCAGCGGTCCGCTCGGATCACAAGCGGGGTCGGACTTTTCCGACATTCCTATGGCTTCTTCAACCTCGGGTACCCCAGGGCGCTGGCGTTATATCCTGGATCGTGATCAATGGGAAGTAGGATGGCCATCAGTAGGAAGCAGGATCGCTAGCAATAGGAAATAGGATCACGAGTGAGAGGCAATAGCATCGCGAGTAGTAGAAAATAGGACCGCAGTCAATAGGAAGTAATCGCGCGAAACTTGGACACACAACGAGAAGTTCTCTGGATACGTCTTCCTGAAGGCGAGATGAGATGTGCGGGCGGCGTCAGGGTTTGTCGAGGGCGTTCAGGGCTCGCGTATGTCAGATGGGTGCGCGTCGACGCATACACTGATAAGGCGCTGTGTATTGCCGAGAAACCCTGAGCGAGGCCCGACGGCATCCGCGAAGCGCACCCAACGGCAATAGTGACAAATGGAAGTTCAACATGGAGGCGCTTGTGGGCGCCGTCCCGGCAAACGCCGAGCTACCCGTTGGGTCGGGTCGACCAAAACTCTGCCTTTTGGTTCGCCTTGGCATCCCGCCTTGTTCGCGAACGTGGATTCTAGTGCGCTGCCTTTGTCCTCGCTTTCGGTAGGAGAGTATGCAATCAGACTTCTGACGTACTGAAGGGCTTGGCCGGCGTCTACCACCGAGGGCTAATTGGTCTTCGCGGCTGCTGGGCGATGCTTCTGACTTGTCGTGCACTCTATCGCTGTGCGCTGCTGTACGATTTCCTGGTTCGCTGATGATTGGTGGCGGGACGTCAAGGAGTATGCATTGCCATTATGCTCAAATGAGGCGAGTAATCTGCCACGCTGGCCCCTTCCTGGTGAACTGATCTCACAGGCAGGTCATACAGCGCAGGCCGACGTGTTAACTGCGTTGCAGTAGCTTCAAACTACCAATGGGACGCCAAGAGGACGTTTGCAGTATGCGAACTACGCAGGGTCCCCCGTAAGCGAGGATTGATATCGAGGGCTGTTCCTACGCGCATCGCGAAGCCACAGCATACATGAAAAGCAGGAGGCGAGTATCAAGGGAGGTTTGCTCATGCCGGGAGGTCTATCAGGGTGCACACCCAGATGCTTCCGTCCTCCGAGAGGCTATATGAGCCTTGTTTTGAGGCGAGAAATGAAGACCAGCTGGTGGAGGGCTGTTGCCTTACGCCTTCCACGAGCAGAAGTGAGTCATCGGCAAATTCAGCGCTTGTAGCCGTAAAGGCTTTGATACTACGGTCTGATAATTGCTCAGCAGGTACACGGCCGGACGGAGTTTGCAGGAATCGAGTACTATTCTGTTTCGTCAACTTTCTTGCTGAGTTCGCCGGAATGTAGCGTCGAATACGGTCGTAGGAATTTTCGCGAACGCGGTGTTCGCAAAATGTCGCGAGGACTGTTCGCCAAAATGTTTCGAGACGCTATGGCGTCATCGCCTCATTGCGTCGCCGGCCCGGCCGTCACCTGGCGCACAGCGAGGGATCCATCGGGGCTCATTCCAGGTGCGATAGAGCAAAGGCGAAGATGATACATTAACAGATATGGCTTACTATAGTATGGTAATATACGAGCGAGCTCGGGGAACGTAGAGTATGTCTATAAGTCTACGAAATTTCGTCAAGTCCGCATAGTAGGAAGAGATTCACTGAAAGATGCAGAGTTAGTTTCCATGCTATCTATCAGACAAAAGAGCGTACCGCATAGTGCATGTAGCTCATCTCCGATTCTGACTGCATCCCGTTGTCACCCAGAGAGCTCTGACTGACCGAACGATGATGCAGGGGTTGCATGTGGTGGGCAGCTGCGTGTAGGACGGGAAGCCGGCTGTTGCTCATGATATTCGATGCTCGTCCACCTTCAATGGGCCGCTCGTAGTCGTATTGTGTGCTGCCACCACAATAGTCTTCCGTGCCGTATGACGCCGGAGATAATGGCATGCGAGGATCTGCCGTAAGGTCAGGCCGTCCATAAGCCAAGAATCGTCCCGCAGGTAAGGCTTGCTGTTGGTCCGGTGAGCGCCGACGAAGAGGGGGGAGCTGTTGCTGTGTGCTCCCGCTTGACTCGACGTCGGAGGACAGGTCATGATATGGCCGCGAGTTGTTGAGCGTTGGTGTATATCGCCGGCCGTCGCCCATGGGTGTGCCGGAGATACCACCGAGTGACGATAGTGGGGGAAGCGACGTAGTGGTGGATGGACGAGGATTGGCAGTACGATCACGCGCTGGCACCGAGGGTGAGCGACTTGAACCAGGACGATGCGCAAGTGCCTGCAGAGCTTGGCGTGCAGCAGCAGCGGAGACATCGCGGGGAGGGGGTTGCGCGGCCTCAATCTGGCGTACGGCAACCGGGAGAAGGTCAAGTTGGTCGTCTGGGAAGTCTTCATGCTCTATGCGAACGAGTTCTTGAAAGAATCTGGGCGCGCGATCAGCAAAGGTCCCCTCATATGGAGAACACGCACTCATGCCAGCTGTCGCCCTTCCCGACCTCCTTCCCGTACATCTTCTGCTTCGCCCGCATATACGAGGTCATCAACGAGAAGAAGTCTTGACCGTTTTCGGGACGCTGAAGGCCGCGCTTGCGCTTCCGAGGAGGGGCGGCTTCAGCGGACTCCTGATCTTCTTCATCGTCGTCTAGGTTCGAAGTCGCCGGGCCCTTGTTCATCATATGCCGTTCATATAGCAAATCACGATGTTGGCGAACAAAGTCGCGCTGAAAATCATCAGGATTGCCCACTACCGAGGGGCTGGATCACGCACATGCAAGAGGACTGTTAAACCCGTGTTCGCGTCCAACTTCGGGAGGTCCAACCTCTTCTTAATCAGCTGGCACATTTCCGTGAATCCCAAACGACGTTTGCCAAACTCAGCCGTTAGGTCCTTCACTATTGGTCAGCTACAGTTCGGTACGGCAGAAGGGAACCCACGGCATCACGAAGACGGCTGCGAGCGTACCCGCTTTGATCGTTAGCGTACTCTTCGACGAGTCGGCGCCCGCGCGGTGACTTGAGGAGCCCGGTAAGGTCGTATTCTTCGGGATGTGCATGGAGTTCTGCCTATTGGGGGCAAATATTGGTGGGAACTTCCTATACGAAGGTGTCCCGCGCACCTTGACCTCGTCTGCATGTTCAAAGTTGACCCTAAACGGTTGGAAGAGCTTCCGCTTTGCGACACATCGAATGGCGGCCTGAGAAGCGCGTTTCAGTGATAGATCAAGAGAGACGTATGCACAAATACCTCCTGGTCCTTGGTGAGCTCGTCTGCAGACCGGGATGTTACATTGTGGTCGAGCGAAGCCATTCGCTCCTCCATCCGTGCGAGCCGCCGGAGCAGGGCTTCATTGTTCTCGCGCAGATATAGCAGTTGTCCGTACAGGAAGACGGTCATCTCGTAACCTGGCCGGTCGTGAAAAATCTACGGTAGTACGTGTCAACCAGAGGAGCCTCCTGCGCGTGTTGCTGTACTCACATCCTGAAAGTACTTCAAGTCCACACGACCACTGGAATTTAGGCAGGCGACGTCCGCAATGGTCGACGTGAACATCTCCAAAGCTGGATCGGGACGCTGCCGCGGCGCGTCTTGCGCATTGTTGACACCGGTGCTGCCATGGTCGGGGTGGGACTGGCTGGTTTGAGGGAATGAGGCGAATGAGCAGTGAAAGTCGGGGCTTGTCGACATGTGCTGCCAGCAGGCTTTCGGAGTGAAGGGCAGGAGCCAAGAGCAAACGCGCGCCGCGAGGGTGGGAAGGAAATAATCATCACGTGCCAATGTCACGAGACAGAAGTTCGTTTTCAATCGAGTCTGAGCCATGGACAAATGACTAGCCAGATAATGTGCAGTGCTCATAGGAGCTTGTCAGTACATGGTACGGATTACTCTGGTATATAACTATATCGAAGATGGCTCGACAAACGTGGGTATCCCGTAGAAGTAGAAGGTCCGGCGGGTGGCTGGTTGGGTATCGAGGGTCGGTGGTCTTGCTGATATAGCGGTGGGTTATAGCGAGTCTCTGATGAAAGGTAGTGACGCGGAAGATGAGGGTAGTGCAGCGATGTCATGGCTGACATCTCAGGGGATAAGGATGCTGCGAAGTTCGGTGAGACCAGTCTCGCTTCAAGCAGAGAGAACTTACCAGGTATCGGGTCGCTACTGGTGGGGGTGCGTGTAGAACGGGTCCCGTCATGGGGCGGAGCCGTATAGACTGTTTGTGGGGGCATAGGAGTCGGATTCGGGTGGTAGGGCGGTAATGACCGCAATGGGAAGAACGGTGTGTTCGGCGTGGATGGCGAAGCCTGTCGCGGGCGTGCGCCTGAGCTCTGCCAATATTCCGGATACTGTGATGAGGGTTGCGAGCGCATCGGAGGACTTGATTGCTCGGGCGTGCGACCACCGTGCTCCTGAGTATCTGCCGCGTCCTCATTCCGTGCTCTGGCGCCGCGATGTTTTTTCGCCCAGAGCTTCTTAGCTGACTCGCGAGTCAGTTCTTGGTGATTTGTGGGTGGAATCGGAGGGTACAGAGCGCTGATCAGGCGGGCGCTGCGCATCTGCCCACAGTTGAGAATAAGCTCGTCCGGATTTTTGTGCGAGACGCGCTTAGCGAAGCGCTGAGTTCCCTCGTTTTCCTGCTGTATCTGGTGTGTCGACTGTAACTCGCAATGGTTGTCGTTGCAGTTGTGTACAACGTTAACCGAGCAGCGGATATCCTGAAACCTGGTCAATAGAAAGGCCGACCTTCTCAACGGCAGATACTGTACCTTGGGACCAAGGGTACACAGCGTTGGTCGGGGCCGAACAACAGGCATCTTGTATTGAGGGTGCGCCGGCAGTATGTCAGTCTCTTGAGCGAGTACAAAGTCCACGCTACCCCGCTGATAGGCGTCGGACCCGTCACGCTGCACAATTTCCCATACTTTTACAAGGCCAAGGTCGCGCTTAGTCGAATTGGCTAGCGCCGGAAGAGAAGCAATGACCCAGTCACCAACATTGCACTTTTCGGAGGTCGGCAACTCAATGGACTTCGCCAGAAAGACGGCTTGCGAAGGGTCATACGATGGCTGCTCTCCTCTGCGGATGTACTCCGCGTTCGCTGCTGTCGAGCTGTGCGACCAGTAGCGGGGTTTGCCAGCGCCTAAACAACGAGCTGGTGTGTTATCAATTATTACGAGACCTGCTTGCAGGAATCGTCTTACAACGGTGGAATTCATCACCATTCGACGTCCAAGCGGCACGTTCCAAATCGGGATGAATATGTGGCGCTGGCATTTTCTCGCCCTTCTCCTCATTTCTTTGCTTGAAAAAAATCGTGTGCACTCACACAGCTCTTTTGTACGATTATATGAAGTTTTCTGGCGTGAATCTCCTTCGCCGTCGAAGTTATCGACGACTCTTTTCCACGTGCTCGGGAGATTCCGACAAGGTGCACCGCCACATAACTCGACAGGGCCTTTTCCTACCGAACGCTGGTCGCTTTCGTGCATATTTCAGTACAGAAATATATCCTAACCTCTAAATAGCACATGTGCGAGCACACACGGCTACACTGCGCATAGGTGTCGAAGAATTCAGAGTTGAAGCTGGGCGACCGACCGTGATGAATTTCCCACGGTCGACTTATCCCCGAAGGTCGCGAAGTCCAGCGCTTGCGACGCGCTCATCATCAACCACCACCATGTCGCCCACCTCGCCTCTTCATCCCTCCCAGACACCCCTCTCACATTCCCTTTTCTTCTTCACACCTTGAAAAAGCTGTCTACAAGCTGTTTCACCACATTTATGTCCCACGATTCGACGGAACTTGGCAATGACAGCGGCCACGAGCTGGACGAGGAAGGGAGTTCCGGGTGCGTGAATGTCCCCCGCACTGGATCATATTACTCAACACTGCTTTTCCGCGGCATGGGGGGGGGGGAGCGGGGGGAGGAGCGAAAGGAAGAGCAGGCGGAGGAAGCGGGGCGAACATTGCCCCGCTTTCCCGTCATATTCGCCCTCAGACGTAGTCTGAGGGTGCGAGGGTCCCGCTTATGGCACTTGAAGTGCTATATATGAGCCCTCGACAGCCCTGTAGCTGGTGCACACCCACCCACGCGCCCGCTTATCGCGATCGGCGCGGGCAGTGAGTAGTGCTTATCCTCTCCCTCCCCCTTTCCCGCAGTCGTGGAGAATCGCCTTCACGGCAATCCTTCGCGCCACCTGGGCTGCGCTTGCTGCTACTCATTGTTGAGCTCGGCATGCTGCGCGCGCAGATGCGCTACAGCTGGCTCTGCCAGCTCAGTGCTCGTAGGTGGCGCGGTCTGCGCACGCGCTCGCGCTCGCGGCGCCATCCCGACCCTCCCTTCCTTCTCTCGCGGAGGCGCTTCTGCCCTCTCATGCACGTTGCTCACTTCCCCATTCCCCCTTATCCCTCTCCTCCCTCGACTTGCAGTATTCTGTTCTATCTACAGTATATTCATAATGCCAACCAACACCCCCAGGGCGCGAGGAGGGACACGGGTGTGTGAATATGCCCCGCTTTCTAATCTTGTACTAACTAGCCTGTCTACTCGACGAGCGGAGGGACGAGGAGAGAACGCGCAACCTGCGCGATGGCGAGCAGAGCGGGGGTGCCGAATAAGGCGCCCTCTCCGCATTTTACGCCCTCAGACCGTGCCTGAGGGCGCGGGAAGCTCTCCTAGGCCGCGTAGTGCGCCGTGGGCGACTCGGCGATGGCTCAGGCGCCTCCCAATGCCCCCGCTGCGTAGCTGGCGCATCACCCCACTCCCACCCTCACCCCCTTCCCCTTCCCCCCTTTCTCGCGCGGGATCAACTCCATCGCAATCTCCCGCGTCACTAGCAACGCGCGAGTATTGCTGTGGTTGTCCTCGGCACGCCGCGCGTCTGCTCTGGCTGTGCTCGGCCATGCCAGCATGGCGAGCGGAAGCCAGCGGGAAGGGAGTCCGCTTCCTCTGCACCTCGTTAGGGCGCGGAGGGGGTGCGTGGCGAAGGACGCGCGTGAGTCGGGGGCCGCGTGGGAGGGAGGACAGCGCATGAAGGGAGGGGGCACGCTAGGGAATGGGACACGAGAGCAGGGGCAAAGAAAGCGGGACGGCCGTAGTGCCGAGCGCACGCGAGCAAATTGCTCGCTGCACCCTGCCCTACACTCTACATCGCGCATACCCCCCGACGCGAAGCGCGATCGCGCGCGCTTCTCAGCCCGTGCCGCCCCTTTGCAGGGGCTCCCCCGTTCCCCGTCAAGTGGTCGCCTGATGGGGAAGCTTCGTGCTGCCCTCGCAGCAACCCCCGCTCCCCCTCCAATTGTGTACCACCCCCTCCCGCACCCCCTCATCCCCCATCATACGTTGCGTACGTGCTCAGCGCTTGCGCTGAGCGCCTCGCGATGTGTAGTACCATACAATGTATATATACATATATTATGAACTATTTTCCCCCCATTTTACGCGCACCCGAGCGATCCCCGACGCGCGCGCCGCGTGAAGCGGCGGCTATTGCAAGTGCCCGCGGCACAGGAAGCAGGCCCGGCGAGCCGATGCGTGGGTCGCGAGCGAGCGTGAGCGCGGCTGTTGCCGGCTCGTGCTGATCTGCACCTCGTGTGCCGCGGAAGGATTTCCGGTGAGCCAGGCCGGCCCACGAGGCATAAGAGGCCAGTGACTTACCGGCGAATTTTGCCAGAGGTGCCCCACCCATATTGCAATATACTGAAAAGATCTCCAGAGTGCATCTTCGAGTGCTCAAAAAAAATCATGACTCTAGCGCAGGTCTCGTACATGCCCTAGGGCCAGTTACCTAGTCAAGGCTAGTCCCCAATTAACATGTCTACTCACCGAAGGAGGGACGCGCTATGGGATCATCTGCAAAAGCTAAAAAGCGCTGCGCAAATGAATTTGTGCGAATGAGGTCCAGAGGCGGACCATTTATGGCACGCCAGTGATACGCCATATCTTCCGGGCCCTTGACGCAGGACATCCATGGTGAGAGTCCCTTCTGGGGTGTGGAGACTGGCGCTTGCGAGCTAGGGAGACCGGTGTTGGGTACTCGAAAGTAGCCACCACTGAGTAGATGGCGGATGCGATTGCTTTGCGCCATAGAGCGAGCAATGTCCCGAGACGGAGCGTGTCGGTTGCTGTGAATGCTATGCGCACGAATAATGGCATTGAAGGATTCAAAGCCTTCCGTAGCGAAGAGCATCGCAGGACCGAAGCGCCGGATGTGCTCAGGAAGATGTATGAGCATGTGAAACTTGGGCTTGTTAAACCATTGGGCGTCGAGTTTGCAGGTACAGTCAAGAAGGTAACGAATCGCGGCCCTGAGGCGCACCTGCATAGGGCTACCGTCAGCACATGAGCGGTCAAAAGGGGCATATCTTCACGTACGAGATACACATCCATGTCATCTATTTCGGGTTGCCATACCATGGGGACAACCATGCCAAGGGCGCTCCAGATGTCGAGCAGATCCGCACTAAGACCCAGATCACACAGTACGAAGGGAGCGACTTGAGCTATCGCACGGAAATCGCGTCCAACAAGCGAGCCCGCGTAGTCCACCAGAGTGTCGCCTGACAGGGGGGCAATACCAAGGCCAGACGTATCAAAAGAGTCAAGACGAGATTTCAGGATTTCCTTTGCCGGGGTCTTCAGGCGATTGTTGATCACGTCTCGCCAGAAATACTTGACTATTCCCAGCAAGATGACGTGCAGAATTTCGACGGGGGTATCCGCGTGTGCGTCAAGCTCTGAGAACAACTTCAGTGGGCTGAAAAAATCGTATAGTCGAAGCGAATTGACGTACCTGGCAGGCGCAGGAGCGGGTTCAACATACGAGCGCTTTCCGGAAAGGTGGACAGCAAGTTCGTGACTGCTGCTTGCTTCTGAGCCTTTGACTGCCCTTTCTTCGTTGTCAACTGCGTAAGCTTGTCGAGGAAATGGCTTTGGTACGAGTCCTTGATGCCGGTCGCCGTGCGCTTGTTTCCAAGCGCGGTTTTACCGCCGACCCGCTTGGCCTCGGAGAATTGCTCGTGCAGGATGTGCAGCGTCTCCGATTTGGTACGCATGCGTTGGCTCATCTTAGGGAAATCAATGATCAGTTGCACCAAGGAAGTGGGAGGCATTCTACCGCCAACGCACCGACATCATACAGTCCAATCTGGATATCATATCATCGAGCGTCTCCGCCTTGCGTGTCCGGGCACCAGTTGTTGAAGCCCTCGTCGCACCAGGTGAGGCGCGCACTGAATCAGGCGAAGCGCGCCCGGAGTCAGGTGATGGCGCGCGAGAGCTTGCTGCGCTCTTGCCGTCGTCGTGTTCCTCAGCCTCATTTTCGACATCCTCCCCTTCCACCCAGCATGCACGGCAGAAATGATTGGCCATCAAGCCGCTGTGACAGCACATCTCGCTCTGCATGGGGTTGTCACCCAGCATCGCAAAGACAGATGGAATGACGAGGACATAGTCTTCCTCTTCCGCATCCCAAGCCCATATCCCATCCTCCTGCGCGGATCTTCCCCAGACGTCACTATGCCAATCCATACAGACATACGCAAAGTGACGTACCTGATCTGGTCGACTATTCCATCTGCCATCTCCAAGGGTGTGACTACGTTCGAAGTCGATATGAAGTGCACATTATATTCTTGATGCACGTAGCGACGTGGAAGCCCTGCCGCTGTGAACAAGAACGAATTGTGTTTGTTCCACTTTTTTGACGTATTTCCCGATGTATCGTCGCAGTAAAGATGAAGAGGGAAGGAGCGTACTGGACGACCTCGAGCGCGCGCGCGCCATTTATTCCCTGCGGCGGGATCTGTGCGCGTCCAAGGTACGATTCCCGATGTTCCTGCGCATTGAGACCCTCGAAGGCAATGAGTACAATAGCTCGGGTAATTAGGTTCGCTTTCGCACCTGTAATTCGATTGGGTGATGGTAGATTGTACAAACGATGTCTCTGCGCGAAAGTAGGAAGGGAGAGGAACAAGTCGCGCTCCGAAATCGTACTTTCTTCTTGTTCGTGTACGATCCAGCCTTCCTCTCGAGAATCCGGAGTCATGCGCCATCCTCTCGCATGGACCACGCCTGACTCGAGATACCAGCGGACCGGCATGAAAACCGTCAGGTCCATCAAGAGGGAAGGCTCGAACACAAAGAACTCCTGCGCCTGATCATTGTGTTTGCGGATGGACTGCGTGAGCAGCGCCGGATCAAGCTCGTCGAGCCACCGCGATGCATGCCAAGCCTCCGAGACTTTCCCATTCGTCTTTTCTGGCAGGAAGTGTAGATGACGTCGCACTCGAAGATTGGCCATTTCCTTGTGCGAAGCTTTAGCTGCGGTTTTCTAGCGTGATGAGACAACGTACCTGCGCAATTATTGCAGACACGTCGTTGGTGTAGTATATATTACCAAAAGCACTAACAAATCGAAGACTTTCGATGCCGCATATTGACTGAAGGACCTTACTGACATCCTTCATCGAGCGCTGTGTTGGGACGTTATCGAGGCCAAGTACCGTCATGGCCCAGTGGATGACCTGGTTCTGCTTAGCAGAAAAGGAGCACCGTGGAATATGGCGAAGTATATCAACTATGCAAGTCTGTTCGGGACGCTTTCAGATCAAGTTCGTCGTACAAAAAGAGCCTTCACTCACTTCCTTGTCAGGCCACGGATACCACGGGTTCTCTTCGTCGCCAATTGGTGCTCTTTGACGCTTCCATCCCTCTCCCAAGGGAGCGGTGGTGTTGTCAGCTTCTTCCAAATACGAGTTAGATCCCTCGTTGACCATACGACAAGGTCATTAACTTACTATCGTCCTCATCGTCGTCGGATGTATTGCCCTCGCCGACTCCATCGAGCTCCGCATCTTCATCATCCGAATCAACCGCGAGATCCGGCATATCCTCTGCGTCATGGCCGTCGAAATATCGCCGGAGGTCACTTGCTAGCGAGGCGACTTCCCTTTCCTCGTACGAGATGCCGTATTGCTCAGCATCTTTCCACGCGTCTGCATCCCAATCGATCTCCATAGCACCACTATCATCGCCTACATTCCACCCACTGTCGGTGTTCGCCCTCTCATCCAAGATTGTTCGCATACGGTCATAAAGTACCTCGCGCTCCCGTGAACCCAGCGACGCTTCCGCGGGGCTAGGACGGATTGAGGCCTCTGAAGGCGTATGTTGTGCGTGGTGGTCTCGCCAGTACGCATCGGCATTCTGCTGATGCTTCTGACTTTTCTCGTGTTGGTGGATACTTCCTGATGCATACTCTGCATCGCACGCTTTACAATGCCACTGCTCGTACGATCTACACTCCCAAACTTGGCTTTATTAGCGAGTGGCTCAAGCAGGAAGAGCGCGAAGCTTACCTCGTGGGTCCTTGGCCTTGAATCGTTGATGAGGCCGAAAGTCGGCAGGATGGAAGCGTTGCTGGGCGCGACGCGACGCGAAATCAGACTCTACGCATCCCGTTGAGTCTCCCTTTGTAGGCGAATCAAATCGTGCTCACCTTCGCGCATTCCTCCAAGGACGCGGTATCGTATCTCAAGCGTGCACTCTGCCTCAAGAAGTACCGCCTCTTGACACGATTTATCGGCGAGAATCCGGGGTCGACTGCCTTGCGAGTAAATACAAGCATACGGCTTGATGTGCTCGAGGTCAGCGATGGCGTGCCGCTCCCTGAGCATCTTCATGGCTGTCCTTGCGCTTGTACCATCGGGTACACCTACTGCTCGTCAATATAAAGTGGAACTAAGTGTCGGCAGCTTCACTTACGCAGCGTAGTAACCACCCTTCCAGGTCCGGGACCTCGTATCCCAGTCCCCCGAACGAAGACAGTCCTGGGAGGACCGGGCGATGCCTTGTTCGACGACGCGCTTGTATTCCCCGCGTGCTCCATACCGCAGAATGGACAAGGATCATCTGCCGAGCCTTCACGCACGGGCCAATCTATTGTGCATCGTTGAATGATATACGCTTCGCCGATGTATGTCCGGTACAACTTGCCTATATATGCAGATACTGCAGATGCAGCAGCGACCGACAAAGCAACGGCGGCGACCAAGATGAGACGTGACAAATCAGAGGGCGTCGCCCCAGCTGCCAGGTACAGAGCGATGAGACATCCAAGAGTAAAAAGGATGGCTAAGATACTATGGACCCAGTGGAGCCACTGCTTGGGATGCCAGAGGAAGCGCTCTTCGAGCGGCTCTTCACTGCCTGCACTCGCTGCGGCCTCTAAGCGCCGTTTACGTGCTCTTTCACGGTCCTTGCATCGCTTCAGCTTAGAAGACAAGAGGAGCTGGTGAGGTAGGGGGATGGCCATCGACCCAGCAAGCTTCAGTTGCAAGGCGGCGGTACGACAATCCTCAAGATTGAGAGTTCCTCAAAGAGTTGGCCACGCGCACGCGGCGCGCCCGTGAGGCATCAGCGGTAAATGCCGAAGTGGGCCCAGGCCGACGTGCGACGTCATCCTCACAGGCTTCCGTCTGCCTCATTGCACCATTGGCACCATAAATTCCGGCGAATTCACGTTCGCCAACATTCGTTCGACTGTGGTCCTACATTCCGGTCAACAGTGGTTCTGACGTTCTGGGCACTGTGATTCGTGCAGAAATCCGCGAACGGCGTCCGGCCGTGTAGACTACTTTCATATCTTTCGTCTTGTCATCGGACGGGCTTGTTGCTCTTGTTGCGATCAATGCGCAGGCTCTAAACCCTTTCGACCGCCTCACGTCTTCCTCGAGGTTAGCTACGGCGACGGCTTGATCTTCTGCGCTGCGCTCTCAGAGCCCTAGCCGACGCAGTCTGGTGACCTTAACACGAGCTCATGAATCGGTTGGAAGACACTTGACGACCGGTGCGCGTGCTCTGCTTCCCCAGCGTAGGCATGGTTTTTGATCACAGACGTGGGACCCTCGTCGCTTTGTGAATCTGCAGCGCCTGTAAATTAGCTGATCCGAGGCTTTTTAGACTCAAAGCATGGCACGGTCAATGCATCGAACAAGGCCGGAAGGAAGAAACGGCAAATGCCGATCACGTGCGAAGTTGAACTTGTAGTTTCAGGTTCGGCTCACACACCCAGACTCCCTCGTTCCTCGATGCCCTCTCCGTTCTCTACATGGACGTCAACTGACTACACTCCGTGCTCCGCCGGCAACTGCGACACCGCAAAATGGACACCGCGACACGCTGCTGTTCCGGACTTATCACCGCACCGCTCCAGCCCGCCGACTAACGCCTTGAAACTCGATATAAGTGAAGCACTCTCGCACGGCTTCCCCCATAGTTTGTCTTTCCCCTCTTCTTCTTCTTTTCTCTTCTTTCCTCTCTTCGGGTTCTTCGTCGTCTGCCATGGCTCAACTCACCTATGTCCCCACTGCTATCGAGGACGATACGCGCCTCGCACCCCTCGTCGAGGACGCGTTTTTCCTCCCCACTAACAGGGATATTGACGCTTATATGCGTCCGGACCAGGGTATGTCTGCGATCTGACTACCAGGGATTGCTTATTGACGCTCCTACGATTAGATGCGACAGCAACATACGTTTGCGGCGCATCCTTAGGACCCTTTCCCAAGCGCAGCAAGAGGCGACTAGATGAAGAACTGAATGTCTGGCAAAAACAGTGCGTCCAGCAACGCTCGCGACTCTGACCTCCCTGATGATCTTCCAGGGTCGTGATTGGTCACTTCAACCACCCATTAGGGCGCCCATGGAAGCGGTACACCGAGAACGTCGTGCCCCTCATGGCGGAGGTCGTCGGCGCGAAGGAGGGCGAGGTCGCGATCATGTCGGGCCTCACCCAAAACCTGCACACCATGCTCGACCTCTTCTACCGCCCGACCGCAAACCGGTACAAGATCCTCTGCGAGGCGAACGCGTTCCCGTCCGACCAGTACGCGATGGCGAGCAAGGTCCGCTCGCACGGGCTCGACCCGAAGGCGGTCATCCACGAGGTGCACCCGCGCCCGGGGGAGTACGCGGTGACGGAGGCGGATATTTATGACGCGATTGAGAAGGAGGGCGACAGGATTGCCATCGTTCTCTTCGCGGGCGTGCACTATTGGACTGGCCAGCTTTTCCCGATTAAGGAGATTACGGCCGCGGCACATGAGAAGGTCAGCTTGACCATAGATGTTCATCATACGACGCGCTGACGATGTGTTCTTCAGGGCTGCATCGTTGGTTGGGACTTGGCACACGCGGCGGGCAACGTCACGCTCTCGTTACATGACTGGGGCGTCGACTTCGCCGTCTGGTGCAACTACAAGTTCCTCAACGCAGGTCCTGGATCCGTTGGCGCACTATTTATGCACGAGAAGTGGAATGAGGAGAAGACACCAAGGTACTGCAGCTTTCTCATGATGTGTTCTTCGTCACTGACATACTTTACAGAGCAGCTGGGTGGTGGGGCCACAAGATTGAGACGCGCTTCCAGTTCCTGCCGGACTTCGACCCGACAGTCGGCGCGCAGGGCTTGCAACTCTCCAACACCGACGTCCTCTCGACCGCGCTTGTCTGGGGTGCGCTCGAGACGCTCAAGGACGCCGGCATGATGAAGCCCGTCCGCGAACGCTCCATCCAGCTCACCGGCATGCTCCAGGACCTAGTCATGCAGAGCAAGTACTACGTCCCGCTGGAGCAGGCGCACCGCCGAACGACACCCGGCTTCACCATTGTCACGCCGCTGGAGGCGCACCGCCGCGGCGCACAACTCAGCCTGCTCTTCCTCCCGACAGGGCAGGGCGTGATGCAGAAGATCTACGAGGCGATGAAGAGCTTCGGCGTCATCGCGGACGAGAGGCCGCCCGACCTCTACCGCATCGTGCCGAACCCGCTCTACAACTCCTCGGACGACATGCACCGGGTAGCGGAATGCCTCGAGACTTCGTTCAAGTACATGGAACCTCGGGCGAAGCTATAGGTTCCGGTCGTTTCGTTGTCTTGTTTGCATCTCGGTCCTCACTGTGTCACCCCCTCCCCTTCCCCTCCTTCGTGCACCATCGCCACTGCCTTTCATGTGTAACGGACTATCGCAATCTCTCCCCTTTGCTTTCCTCTTTTTATCTATCTACCTCGTCGTCCCTTGCTGTTGCTGCGCACACACCGTCACTCATTCGCATTTCTATTTATCTTCTCTATCTATTGTATCATCGGACATGAGGTAGAGTACATCAACTGTAGCCCAAAGTACAACACATAATCCTATTATTGATCTTCTGACGTCTTCACGTTTTGCCGAACTTGACCTATTCGTCCAACAAGGTTCCCGGGAGAGAACGTATCGCTTCAGATTGAGCAAACGAGTACAACAAGACAAGCTACAACGCGGTCTGAACAGAAGAAACAGCTATGTAACAAGATAGCGATCGATAGCCCAGTCGACCATGAAGAAATCGTACGTGCCCTTGGGGTCGTAGTATTGCCAAGACGCGGTCGTAAGTAAAATGGTATCTCCTCTACAGCGCTTATCGAGCTCGTCGCAGACGCCGATGATAGGCAGGTAGACATTGGTATATGGCGGATTTGTCGCTGAACAAAAGGTCAGCGTATGTTGTCGAGACACGTGACAAGCAAGCGGATTCAGAGGTTCAAGTTCGCACGCAAGTTCGTACGGCGCGAGAAGCCATTCTCGTCGCAAGGAGGTACTCACCGGTCACGTTGATGAAATGGAAGGCGTCGTTACAGGACAGAGAGTAGTGTGACCACACATCCGCGGACACGTAGGCGCCCTTCATCATGTAGGTCGTGAGTTTGCCACAGGTACTGATAGTGTTGTCAGGAGCAAAAGAGTGCACTGCAGCGTAGCCATGTTATATTTCACCAAGAGCAACAGCGAAGAGGGACCTACCGAATCCTCGTGTACTTGCTTCAGTCAACTGAACGAACAACGCGAGAATCGAGACCAGCACGATAGCCAGCATTGACGTGGACGCCGCCATGACGACTGCGAAAGCCCTTCGAGGTGTAAAAGAGTGGACTTGGGCGCGCTGGAACGTCCCGGATGTGCAGAGTGAAGGGGAAGATGAAGGTAGGGTTTGAGAAGGAAATGGAAAAAAATAGAATGGAGATGGCTGCCTTGATCTGGCAAGGCCCGGAGTCTAATTGACAAGGTACGTTACTCCAGGCACCAGCGTTGCCTTGTTATTCTAACGTGGGTCGCCTGAGCGGAGCTTGACTCAAGAACGACAGAGGAACTTCATGTCGAGAATATGTGCAGAAGCTATCTCACTGAAGGTCGGGAGACGAACAAACTTCGAAAGGACTGCGCAGCGGACCCGATCAAATCATGCTTCTCACGATACACCCGCCACGTCACGTGCGAAGTTGCTTTCATTTTCTTTGCACGAGAGGCGCCCATTCCAGCGAGAGATGGTGCAAGATGAAGCCCGGTATGAATGAGGTACACCGGTACGTTCTATGCAGCATTCGTGATCATAGGCTCTGACGAGTACATACAGTATATGCTTCAGTTACATGAAAACGAATTTGTTCACGTGTTAGCGATGAGTCTCTTCAGGTCACCCAGAGCTCGACCAGCGCGGACGACGAGACGAAGAATCATCAGACTTGTGGACGACATCGCATCGACGGGAGAATGCAAAAAGCAGCGTGTATTATGGCGCATCGACGGCGATTGATACAGAACAATGGGACGGAGCTGTACAGAACAAGAAGAGGAGCGTGGCCAGCACAAGGCGTCGGCGGCACGAACTCGCGACGTGCTGCAGACGGATGTCAGTATGGCATGTGAGGCGCTGGGCAAGGGGCTCACCAAGGGCATGCGGGCTGCACGCGAAGGCGAGAGGCGGCGTCCAGCAGGCGGGAGACGAGATCGCTGCTCGGCGGGGGGAGGGGGGGGGGGGAGAAGTATGTCAACGAGCATCGAAAGACGAAGGGCGGAGACACGTACCAGCCTGAGCGAGCATCGTAAGAAAACGAGGGGCCCTCCACTCCAAGGCGACCGACCAGCCATCCATCCTTCCATCCATCCAACCAACCAAAACCTTTCAGAATAGACTGCGACAAACGCGACCAGGACTGCCCGTGGCGAGTCGCAAGGCCGCTGATCCCACGCGCCGCCCAGGCTTGCAGGCTAAGCGCGCGCCGGTCTGCCAGCAGTAGGAGGTAATGGGTCCCACGACCCGGTGAGCTGAGGCGGAGCCCCTACTCGCACCGACCCGCAGAATGACCACTCAACCAGACCCCAGCACATCCGGCGACAGTATCAGGCCGCCAACTCGTGACGAGCGACGACCATCCACGGGGACCTTGTCGACAAGAGAATTCCACGAGGGGAGAGGAAGAGGGACGCTGGCTTATATACGGGCGAGATGTGGCTGCACAAAGTTTGTTCCTGCTTGCTTGTTTGTTGAACGGCCAAACACGTGTCCCTTACGCCCTCCGGACAGCGCGGGAGTAAACTCGAGTGTTCGCACCACAACATCGAGTCCATCACCGCGTTCGAGTCCTCGGTCCGCACAGAGCCTCGCTCCGTGTAGTGACGCACGCTTCTACAGATCCACCTGTCTCTGTAGATCCACTCTATCTGCTGCCTGGCCTCGGAAGAGAGGACAACGGCACATGACCGGCGCACTGTCACTGTGGGCGCGCGCGCGCCTCCTTCCTAATCCGGCTCAATGGCATTTGCAAATCGGCCCGACGGTTCCGCTCCCTCCCTCCGCTCGCCCTCTTGATCGTCACCGTCGTGTATCCTTATACATGGCTTCAATCTCTTCTCGTACCAATGATGAACTACAATGCCATGCTTATGATGCCTAATGCGGACAATTGCCATCCATATACATAACCGCGTCTTGCGGACCGTACTGCAAAGGGTTGCACCTGATAGCGACCCAGTCAGAACGGTCCTCAGATGTACAGCCAACGTGCTTACCCGGGAAGTTTGTCCAGCTTCACGCCCGGACCACCCACGACTTCGTTGACCACGGGCTGGATCTTGCAGCTTCCGGCGGTGTTGGAGTCCTGCACCGTCAAATACTTGCACGCTTCTGTCGACCCTTGGCCGGTCGCATCGTTGGGGTTGTCACACTTGTCGATGGCGTTCTGGAGTGCGTCAATCTCCCATCCATTCTGGAAGTCACCGTGCCAGGACAGGCCGGTGGGGTCACTGTGAAGGGGTGGGATCAGTTGGTTGAGCAGCAGCGACAAGGGTAAGAGCGTACCCCGTGGAATAGACGAACGGCCAGCCATCCGATTGCTTCCAGCGCCCGGCAAAGGCGTGAACGTCCCAAGTGATCTGGGCGAGTTGACGGTGATCGAAGTCTAGAGTTTCGCGGCGACGTACCTCGTAGAATAGCTTCATGAGTCCGACCGGGTGCGTCCTGGGGCAGTCGCCGTTGTCGAGCCTTGACAAGAATGCGACGTGAGATTGGTCCGCGGATTCGACGCGCTGCAGGGCATCAGATTCGTCGTGCTGCGACAACATGAAGAGTAACGTGCCTTGCCGTCCCAGCAAGCAGGGAAGTGGATGCGAGCGTTCAAACCGGCCTCACAATCCGTGTTCGGGAAGCCGAAACCTTGCAGCCGCGGTCAAGACATCATAAGGGGACAAAAGTGTTGAAATCACGTACCGTCATAGCCCTGCGCAGTCCCATAGCGAAGGCACGAGTAGAACTGGGCCCGCTCAGAAAGTGCGCCCTGCGAGGTATCGTTCAGCGCGTATCTGAATACAAAGCACATCAGTACCCGCTCGACCCCCAACGCCGATCGCAACGCGAACATACTTCGTTCCCCTCCTCGTGGGCCGCCCAGAGATCATCTTGAAGCCAGGCGGGAAGGCCTTCAGACCAGGTCCGCCATTCCTGACGTCCTCGTCGCCTCGATTCTGGTAGTAAATGAGGAGGCCGCCGTTGGAAACTTCTTCGAATTTGCCATCCTTGGGGTCTTTGAAGTAGAGCTTGGGGAACCCTGTAGACGAGATGAGCGCAGGCGGGTGTGAGAGATGCTGAAGACGCACAGTAGTTGGTCTTGTCCTGAACGACCTTGCAGGACGTGCAGTTTGAATGGACGAGCGAGTCGTACGTCGAGTTGGCAGCGAAGTCTGGAGGACCGCTTCATCAGCCACGCGAGGGAAGGCGAAGACGTGACTGAAGTACGTACTTGAACCTCCGTGAATAGTCTACAGGCCGCCAGCGGGTCAGCGCAGTTACGAGTAGCGAAGATGATAGACGCCTACATGAACATGGTTGGCCGGGATTACACCAGGGTTGATGATGGGATCGACGCGCTCTGCGAAGCGGGTCAAACTCGAGTGTCAGGCATCTGTAATGTAGACCACATACCGGACACCAGCGGGGACGTGCAAGCAACGCGGAACCACGCCTGGACACCGCCAACCCCCGAAAGAACGACCGTGACCAGGAGTAGGATGGGGGAGAACATGGGGATGGGGTTGATGGCTTGGAGGACATAAGTGCCCCCTTTATACCTCCTGGTGGAGGTTGACCGTGATGAGCGGCCCTGGTAGTCGGAATAATGGCTAGGACCGCCGCGAGGAGCGGGACATGTTGATGTGCAGATCGGGCGTCCATTGCGATCCGGGAAAGGATAATGCGCTACCGCTGTCAAGAGAGCGTTCGAGGTCTACCCCGTGCACGGAAAACAATAGGGACGCATTTCGTCGAAGTACGCGGGAGAACAGAAAGGCACGACAACGTACGCCGCGCTGTTTTGAGAGAAAGGTGGTCTCCCGCCTGCGGGTGGGTGCCTCGGACGGACCGCAATCCTCACTGGAAAACGATGGGCCACCAAATATCGAGTGGTACTCAGCTCATAACGTCCTCGTGGTCGAGATGGGTGTTGCCTGGAAAGACAAGCTCCGCTCGACTTGATCGGAAGACTGTCAGTTGCACGTCAGCGCCGCAGACTAACGTCCATCCGTCCCTCGACGACAAGGCCTATTGTCCGTCAGCAAAAGTCCCACTTGACAGAGAAGGCGAAGCCTGAACTGGCCGTGCTAGATGCATCGATGGACGCGCGCAGTTAAGTGGGATATAGCACATAATACGGCTCGCCATTGTTCAAAGGAGGGTATAGATGACAGGAATGAGTCACAAGCGTAAAAAGGCATGCATCGCGGCGCCTTCCAGGACCTTACTCCGGGCAGTTGTCGTCCATGTACATGGTCGCATCGTCCGGACCTTCCTGGATCGGGTTGCACCTGTTCGTCGCCCCGTTAGATGACTCTGGCATGATTGAACTCGTTCACTCACCCGGGAAGCTTGTCTAGCTTGACGCCCGAACCTCCGATGACTTCGTCAACGACAGGCTGGATCTTGCACTGATCGGCCGTGGAGGCGTCCTGGACGGTGAGCCACTTGCAGGCCTCCGTCGAACCGTTGCCAGTCTCGTCGTTGGGGTTGTCGCATTCGTCAATGGCGCTCTGCAGAGCGTCAGAGTCCCAGCCGTTCTGGAAATCCCCGTGCCAGGAAAGTCCAGTGGGATCACTAGACGAATATGGTCAGACTGGAGGACCCGCGAGTTGCAGCTCAAAGACGTACCCCGTGGCGTAGACAAACGGCCAACCGTCTTCCTCCTTCCAGCGACCCGCAAATGCGTGAACATCCCAGGTAACCTGACGGACCTGATAAGTATCATCCCGCTAAGTGGACGCGACAAGTATACCTCGTAGAGGAGCTTGAGCAGCCCGACCGGATGCGTGTCCGGGCAAGCGCCGTTGTCAAGACCTGAGAGGAACGCGACGTGGGACTGGTCCTCCGACTCGACGTTCTGCACAGTTTTTGTCAATGACGTAATTTGACTGTGCAAGTCTTGGACTTACCTTGCCGTCCCAGCACGCGGGGAAGTGAATGCGAGCGTTGAGACCCGACTCGCAGTCAGTGGTGGGGAAGCCGTACCCTGCGTAATAAATCAGTTGCCTGAGCTGCAACGAGGTTGAGTATGAGCAACTTACCATCATATCCCTCAGCAGTACCATAGCGAAGGCACGAGAAGAACTGTGCGCGCTCGTTCAACGCCTCCTGCGAAGGGTCATCGAGCGAGTACCTGGCCAAATCGGAATCAGTATAACCCCCACGACGTGTTCATGGACAGCGCACTTCGTCCCCCGCCTCATTGGCCTGCCCGAGATCATCTTGAAGCCCGGAGGGAAGGCCTTGAGACCAGGACCGCCGTTCTTCTTGTCCTCGTCGCCCCTGTTCTGGTAATAAATAAGAAGGCCGCCGTTCGCGACTTCTTCGAATTTGCCGTCCGCGGGGTCCTTGAAGTAGAGCTTGGGGAACCCTAGAGGGAGGATATGAGAGGGCAAGAGTGTGATGCGGCATGTGTACGAACAGTAGTTAGTCTTGTCCTGCGGGGGTGTGAGGATGCGTGCGAGATATACAGGTGTAAGACTTACCTCGAGAACCTTGCAAGAAGTGCAGTCCGAAGCTAGCAGGTCATCGTAGGTCGCGTTGGCCGCAAAGTCTAGCATGAAGTTGGGTCAACGAGAAGAGTCAAAGCTGAAGAAGAAGCATTGCTGACTGGAGCCGCCGTGAACGGTCTACACAACGTCAGCGTCATCCGCTCTTCACAGCCGTGCGATCACTCACATGAACGTGGTTGGCAGGAATAACGCCTGGGTTGATGATGGGGTCTACACGCTCTGTCGACGAAGCCAGGTCAACGGCATGCTCAGCAACACCAGAAAGCAACTCACCTGACACCAGAGGCGACGTGCAGGCAACACGGAACCACGCATTCACACCCGTGAACCCAGAAGAAACGAGCGCAGTGGCAAGAAAGATGGAAGAGAACATGGCGACGACGATAATGAAGACCTACAGGCCCTCACACCCGTTGCCCTCTTATATACGTTGCTCCATTGTATGCCGCACAATCCTACTCCGCGTTCCCTCGCACTTGAACGACCACTTTACAAGATCTGCGCCGCGATGGTGACAAGAATCTCTATGATCAACAGGCGCAACAGAGGCGGGCGTTGGGCGGGCGCACCGGCCGCACGACCCTCGAAGTCGCTCATCACGACGCTGAATGTGCAGGACGGAGATACCCCTGGCAATAGATAAAAGGAACAGCGTTTCGGGCATAGAGTTGGACCTGATGTTGCATAGATCCATGGGAAACTGGACACAGATCAGACCAGGTGTAGGGAGAAAAGGTCAGCCAAAGTGCCTCTCGGCGGGCTTGTTAGCCGTTGACGAGGTAGTGCAGCGATCTCGAGGGCCTGCGGCAATCCAGACGGAGGAGTTCCGCCAGAGATCGCCCTCGATGGGGGCAGGGCGAGTCTCTCAAGAGTGAATTGAGGCTTTGATGAAGCACTCTGGGTGCGTCGACCTGTGATTCTGGACGTGTGTAAGGTTGTTCAGCAGTGTCGGGTAATATTCTCTTGTTAACGCAGTGGTCGGCTTGTCAGCAATATGCCTGGAAGTTGAAGGCCAGCTGCTCCATAGGCCGCAACGACCAAAGGGACCGAGCTGGTCAGAACAACGTAAACGTTGTCTGAGTGATACCTGCGTGTCGACTTCGAACTGGCCCCGAGGTCCCTCGCAATACGGGTAACAGACACAGCCAGTTCGGTTCGTCGCCACTGGTCTGCAGCCATCAGCGATGTGCATACAGCAAAGCATACATTACAAGCGCTCAGAAGTCCCAATCTCTCAACCAATGTCATCCGGATCCCTCTTCCTCTTCATATCCCGCGTGACTTTGTGTTGCGCGGCTTCGTGCTTGGCGAGCTCGACGGGCACCTTGCTGACCGGGCTCTTCGAGATTTCTGCGAAGCGAGTCAGACATGATTGGAATGAGGGAGGATGGACGACATACCTTGCTTGAGGTCGTACATAACCTCATCGTCCTCATTCGTGAGGAATGTGATGGCAGTTCCCAGCTTGCCCGCACGACCAGTACGACCTGCACGCAGAAATTCTAGTCAGCACTGTCCCACAACATTTGGCTCCCGACGTACCGATACGATGCACATATGCCTCGATAGTGCCCGCCATCTGGAAGTTGACAACCAAGCTGACGTCCTGCACGTCGATACCACGACCAGCAAGATCGGTCGCGACGAGGATGTCGGCCTCCCCGGACCGCAGCGACGCAAGAGCGGCCTCGCGCTGCTCCTGGTTCTTGCCGGAGTGCAGCGTGGAAGCGGACCATCCTGCGCGGCCGAGATCCTTGGCGACCATGTCCGCCATCTTCTTTTGGTTGACGAAGACGATGATGGGCGATGGGTACTGCCCGCTGTTGAGGATCTCGAGGAGGCGATGTCTTGGGGGTATGGTCAGAATGACATCCCGAGAACAGTGACGGAGAAATAACACTCACTTCTTCTTCTCATCCCCATTGACAAACTCGACGCGCTGCTCGACGGTATCGACCGCGCGACCCGCCTCACCAATCGTGATGATCGCTGGCCTTCGCAAGTACTTCCTCGCAAGCCGCTCGACAGCAGGTGGCATCGTCGCACTGAATAACGTCGTCACACGCGTGCGGCCCTTCTTCACCAACTTCATCCGCTGCTCGCCGTCGATGTCCATGGCATGGTCGTCATGTCGGTGCTTGCGGTTGTCGTCCACGACCATCATGTCGCCGGATTCCTCGCCTTCCATTGTCTCTGCTGGTAATTGGTCGAGGATGAAGTTTAGGTCGGGCTCGAAACCGAGGTGGACCATTCGGTCAGCTTCGTCCATGACGACGTAGCGACATTGGCTGAGGACGAGGACGTGGCGCTCGAGGACATCCTTAAGACGACCGGGTGTTGCGATGATGATTTCGGCACCTTCACGAAGGTTGAACTGTTGCTCCTCAACCGAGCGCTACAAGTATTGTTAGCGGTCTTGAACAAAAATAAGACAGCGAACACTTACTCCACCGACGATGGACACGCAGGTATATCCCAAGCCGCTGGCGAACTTGCGCGTCTCAACCTCGATCTGCTGAGCCAGTTCGCGTGTTGGTGCAAGAATGAGAGCGAAGGGGCCCAGGTGTCGATTTTCATCGGTGAGAGGAGCAACTGCTGAGATGAACGCAAGTAAGGGAATGACAAAAGCTGCCGTCTTTCCGGAACCTATGAGAGGTGAGGGTAAATTCAGAGGCCCAAAGCGAAAATCGACGTACCAGTCTCAGCAATACCGATGATATCACGGTTCTGCAGACCAATAGGAATGGCTTGCCGCTGGATAGGTGACGGCTCCTTATAGCCGATGGTCTCAATGACGTCCAAGATAGACGACGGAATATCCGATTCTTGCCATGATCGAAGAGGATGTGGGATCTGTCCGCCACGCGCAGCAATGCTGAAATCCTCGCGGAAAATTCGCCAATCTCGCTCCTTCATCTCGTGTAGTGCTTTCTCAGACCAGTGTCGCTCGTCCATTCCGCTCTTTGCGGCCCGCCTCCTCTCCATAGCGTCCGCGTGGTTGTCTCCGCCCGACATGTCCATACCGGCGACGTGGCCGCGCCCGAACATGAGGGAGCCGCCTGCTTGACCATCAGCCGCGGCAACAGGTGTAGCGTCCGCTGCGGTGTCGTCTTGCGCATCCCAGTCGAATACGAATTTGCGGTCGTTCATCTTGCGGATTTTGCGCTTCTTGCGGTCGACGCCAAGATACCTCGACCGGATTGCAGACAAGTCGTCGTTGGTGAGCTGCGGCGTGTACGTCGCATTTGGGTCTGCTTCGGCGGAACCAGAGGATGAGGTGTTGTTGGCACCGGGAGGAGGGGGAGGGGGCATCGAGCCGCCTGGTTTGCCACGGTCGGCTCGTGGACCTGTCGGGACATTGTCGTAGTCCTGTCGCCTGCTATCGCGCGCGTCGCGTTCTCGGGGAGCATCCCGATCGCGATAGTCCCTGTCTCTGTCGCGGTCACGACCTCTGTAGCCACCGCGGTCCCTTCGAGAGCCGCCACGGTCGCGATCACGATCCTGGTCCCTGTAGTCTGGCCTTGACGAGTAGCGCTCATCAACTGCATAGGTTATCAGCACAGCAGTTATAAGGAGTATCGCACAACGCACATCTCCCCCCTCCAGTAGTCCGTCGGATCTCCTCTGCCTGACGCTCGAGATCCTCGCGCTCCTTTCTTGCGCGTTCTTCTTTCTCCTTCTGTTCACGTATCTCTGCTGCACGCTTCGCTATGGCAAGCTTCGCGCGCTCTTCTTTGGAAAGGAATTTGGGCTTCGAGGTCAGCCTGTGAGCTTCATAACAGTATTACAAGGTGAATTATTCACCTTCGACGCCGCTTCCTTCTCCGCGCGCTGCTTTTGCAGCAGCGACTCGATTGACAGAGGTTCTGCCTTGCTAGTCATGTTGACAGCAGCTGAGCGTAGACGTCCAGTGTCGTTCCTTGTTCAGATGCAGTTCAGGCCCAGTTGAAGACCAGCGACGGTGAGATGCAAGCAGGAGCCGGTCATGTCACGTGCTAGCACTTGCCCAAACGGGCAATTCGGACTTTCGAGAGGCGACTTCAACTTGAACTTGGACTCGATGCCTACAGGCAACCCACAGCTACCATGGCAACCGTCCGTCTCTCGTTGGAAGTCGCGATAGTAGCTCTCAGCTTCGCGACATGCGTAGCATAGCTACGCGCAAGGATCGGTGTATTCGATGCACAATTCGACTGCAACAGGCCCACGAATTGTATATACGAAGCCAGCTACGCCTCACGTTGACGACCAGCCTTCGTCAATACATGAGTCAGAAGAAGGTAAGAACCTCCTGCTGTCACCTGCTTCTTTGCAGGTGCACCCCTCGCCACACTTCTCATTGCTGTATAAGTTGGACATGAACGATCCGCCACACTCACCCCGCCTTCGTATCTTACGCTCAACATGTCAGAGTCAGCCTCCGTTCGCAAGGATATCTCTCCTGCAGAGAGCACCGCGCCGAGCAGTCCTACAGAAGATACCGTGCTGTATCCCTTCTCATCGGTGCTCACCGACCCCGAGGACTTCGTCTCGTGCGCATCGGGCACATCCCTGCAAGACTTTTCCCTCTCTTCCTTCTCTGAGCATCGCGTTGTACCGATCTCCCCTTCCAACTTCATGCGCCGTCGCAGCAGACCCATTGTCCCGTACGCTCCTGTCTTCTCCTGCATCTGCGCGTTGCTCATCCACTACAGACCGCCACCACCCGGTACTTTGCACATCCAACCAGGACGCATACGGTATCCTCTGTACGTCGCATCTAACCCCTTCATGACACCGAACATTTTACCAGTATCCCCAGCTACGAGCTTCAGAGCCTACTCGATGGTCGCTGGGAAGCAGTCGAGCACCCCGAAGGTGTTCTCTACTTCGTGTGGCGCGAGCGCGTACGTCTCTCGATATCTCGCACTCTGCTCGTGCTGAATGAATCCGTGTTTCAGCGCATCTACGTCGATACAAATATCGGAAACCCCGAGGCCGCTCACTACATCTACCTCGCCATCGCCGCCATCGACGACTTCATCACCACCCACGAGATCACATGGCCGGAGGGCAACGTCGACCTCGTCCTTGACCTCTACCCCGACCAGTACAGGTATGCGGACGGTGTCTGCGGCCATGTCAGCGGCGAGTGCGGCTTCGCGAACGACCCGTGCAAGAGCATGGAGAAGTTCTTCCAGGGTGCTTGCGGCTACTACTTCGTCCATCACGAGACGCGAACAGTGTTTTGGCTCGACAGCCTCCCGGCTTCGGCAATCCCGCAGTGTGGATGGGTTCCTGTGCAGACCGCATCGCATCTAAGGCATGCAATCCAGTCGCAATATTGGTGGGTGACATCTTCACCTGTTTGAACGTCGCTGACGCCTCGCAGGAGCCATTGCGCTTTCTTCCCGGACTGTCGTCCGTGCGACAAGGCGCTGCTACATGAGTTGCATGGACAGATAGCCCACATATACGGCGATCGCATCGTATACACCCGGTCGATAGCAGGTCCTTGGGGTCGTGAGCAACTGGATCATCTCATGACTCTCATGGGAACTCTATCAGGTTCGCTGCTATCAAAGCCTAATTCATCCCTGCTTTGCTCACATCAACCTCAGAATACGGCGGGGCCAACCTTGGATGCGCTCGAATCGTATTCGAACTCATGGCTGAACATGGTATGGCCTCTGATAACAGCCTTAAACATTACTAACTATTTTATTTGCGTCACCTTCTCAGCCGTCCAACGCCTCGTTCTGAATCACGGACAACCAAACGTCCGCTTCCAAGCCGACAAATCCGAATACGCACCGGAGGAACTGCCCTCCTCCTGGACCTTCCGCATCGCGCGCGCGCTTTTGTTCTACGTGCCGGACGTCTACATTCGTGACCTCGATGACCTGGGCCGCGACTCGCCCCTGCAAAATCATGAATGGATGGCCTTTATGGACAAGGCGATGACAGAGTGGCAGGAGATCACGCTCTATGTGAGTGGGAGTTGTATATCCCGCGTTGCATGATGAGCTGATACATGTGTTCGCCTACTAGAACACGGTCCTCCTCAATGCCAACATCGCCCTACTGACTATTCAGACGGTCGATACGGACGGTGAGGTTGTGCACTCGGCCTTGCAGATGCTCAGCTACGCGTCCGTGATGGCAAGTATCTGTGGTCTGATTGTAGGCATCCTGCTACTTCGACGCCACCGCACGAGGGCAGTGGCAGATGATGTCGAGGCTGTAAGTGCCATGAGGACGTACTGCTTCACTGTCTGACGCGATCCTGCAGCTATCCTACCTCGCCGACCAGTACGACGAAGAGACAGGCTACGGCTTGCTCGCAATCTTCTACAGCCTGCCTTTCGCGTGCTTGATGTATAGGTCAGTACCACTACTCTGTTGCGCCCTTTCCACCTGACATCCTACTTCCAGCACCATCGCCTTCCTCTCAGCCTTCCTCTTCATGGGCTTCCAGCGCTGCAACGCAGCGCAAATCGGCGGTCTCGCCACACTCGTCTTTGTGGCCTTCTCCGTCATCATCTGGTTCATTTCGCGCACTTGGCGCAACCCGAGGCGTCGCAGCAATGTGACTGTGTTCGGGAAGGTCTTCTTCGTCTTGAAGAAGGCCTTCTTCGGTTTGAAGAGCGTGCTGTCGTTCTTGTTTACTATGGCGAGCTTCGTTGGGAAGATTTTCTCCCAAGTGGCGAGCCGCTTCAAGAGGCAGAACAAGCCTTTGGTGGAGCAACACCCGATGCAGCGGGTTCGCGTTAATAATGAAGAGCAGGACGTCTGAACGCGCAGCCACTTGACCGTCTTCTGGTATTTCGCCCAGATCACTCTCTGTTTCATTCATCCTTTCTGAAGATCCGTTGTTGATTGTATGACTAGTCTTCCGTGCCTCAGGAATGTAGATCACGAATGTATTATGATGCAATGTAGGCAGTATAGAGTCATGAATATTTTCGGCCGTATATGAAGAAACGCATAAGATGGGGACATGCCAGAAACGAATCGCCACAACGACGCGGGAGGATATGGACATGTCAGTCCTCTGCTTCTTTGCTCGCAGAAGTAGATGTGGCAGACGCACTGGCCCAGGGAGGTTCCGGAATCATCTTCAGCTTGCGCGACGCCGATGCTATCTCGTCCTCCCAGTGCTCTGAACTAGACGCGGGAGCGGGTGGCGTCGCGGCTGGAGACTGCGAAGGAAATTTACTGGGAGGCGAGCTGGCTGCGATTTCGCTTGGGCCGTGCGCAGCGGGAGCCGCGGCCTCATCTTCTCTCGGGGGATAGTGAATCTCGCGCACGCCAGGAGTCTCCTCCTTGCGCTTCCTCTTGTTGGGCTGCCACTTCCAGCCAGGGAAGGCGAGCTTATGAGATTCCTGATTTCTCGACGCGAGCTCCGACCACTCGGCTTTCTCCGTTATATCGAGTCGCTGCCACACGGCCGCTGGACCGATGTTAGTGCTCGACTTCAGTGCACGTGCGAGTTGCGCGTACCGGCAGACTTGACCAGAGTTGATCGATTCATCGCTGGGTAGTCCTCATTGCAATGCGCCGTGAAGACTTTGAGGAAGGAAAACCACGCATTATCAGGTAGTCGAATGTCCCCGTTGGCTTTGGGGGCGGGAGGCGTATAATGATATTCAGACGGATTTGGGACCCGAAACGGCCTCTCCTCTTGACCTTCTATGCTGATGTTCCAGCGGCGTGGTTCGGTCATCTAATCAGAACAAAGCAAGTAAGCGTTTGAAGGCCAAACGAGTGGCTCGAAGCTCATGAGTCATGATCTGCCTCATTTCTGAGCTGTGGCGGGATCATAGCACATAATTGGAGAAGCTATACTTACCTTGTTCAGTGTACTATATGAGTGGCAAATTCACCCGCTTCTGCCACTGTCGAACTTGGGCAATGGCCTCAAAGATAGCAAGGGACCTTCCGCTTGGGCAGGAAAGCACTCAATGGCAACTTGTGAGGGGACGACGAAGTAGCTTCGGCAGGGTGAAAGACGAAGAGCAAGTGACTCTGGCGGCGGCGCGTTGTCCATGCGCGTTGACTGAGCGTCAGACGACAACAGTGGCCGTTCAAAGCTGACTTTGATAAAATGACAAGCGAGGGCGGAAGCAAAACGGAAAGTCCCGGCTTCTTTCGCACGATATCACTTGCCAAATGCGGTTAGGGCGTTCATGGTGTCACCGCGACGCAAGTGACGGACCAGCGCTTGGCTGCAGCCGGGACTCGGCTGCCCATCATCCTCGACGTGGGATCGCTTCCTCTGGCTCGAGACCCAATCCCCCCTCCCCCTCCCCTTCACAGAGCGCGCGAGTTACCTGGACCGGTCTCTCACGACCATTCACGATCGCGTACATGATCTACTAGCCACGGACTGCAAGCTATTGGATCAGTGAAGGACGACCTGTTAATCTCAAGATACCATGGGGGAGCGATGCTACAAGGAGGTCGCACCGGATGGGCCATCCCTCTTCCAGAATGGGAAGCTAGTCATCCAAAGTGCGTCGCCGTTCGATTCTTCCCCACGAGGAGAGACTGACTGTCCCCCTTCCCCCAGCGCACCACGTTCGTCGGTTCTCCTCAGACATCCAGAACTCCCCAAGTGCTGATGGCTCTACTAGATTGGATGGCTTGTGTCGGGCGTCTTCACTCTGATCGCATGCGGAGTGTCCTTCTGGCTCATAGACAAGCACCTCCAGTGGTATCACAACGTGCGTGACTTCATCGCTCTCTTTGCGCACCGGCTAATCCACCTCACGATAGAAACATGAGCAGAGGCGTACGTGCCACAACACACCCTCTTCACTCCCCCAACTAACACGCGTACAGACATCGTCCGCATCCTCTTCCTGGTCCCCATCTACGCCATAGTCAGCTTAGCGTCATACTTCTTCTGGGTATGTCCCACCTTGTCCCCCCTCGCCCATCACTTACGCAGCCTACCCAGAATCATTCTACGCCGATCATCCTTGTCCGAGATTGCTACGAGTCCACCGTCCTCACGTCTTTCTTTTATCTACTCCTTCTTTATCTGTCCCCCGACTATCAGACCCAGCAAATGATATTTGCAAAGGAGGGCCTTTCCTACGAGCAAGAGAGGCAAGCGATACGAAGCGGAACCACGGTGAAGAAGTGGGTGCTTCCGCTGGGATGGGTCAAGTGGAAGCCAGCGGTATGTGCGCGTCAGGTGCAGTCTGTCACCATGCTGACCTACTGCAAGGATGGCCTATATTTCTTGCAACTCATGAAATGGGGTGTGCTGCAGTACTGTGTTGTCCGACCTCTGTACGTCGCTCACCTTGTTTACTTTTCACAGCTAAATGGACCTTCCTAGTTGTACGCTTGCTGCCGTCATTCTGGACTACGCCGGCCTGTACTGCGAAGCCTCCTGGGGTCTCGGGTGGGGCCATATCTACGTAGGTTGGCTTCGCGACGGACTCTGTCCTCAATACTCACTCTTCTCAATAGCTGACTATCATCATCTCCATCTCGGTCACCATCGCTATGTACTGCCTAATTCAGCTGTACGTCGCTGTATCGGAGTACCTTGCACCCCAGAAGCCGCTGCTCAAGCTGTTCGCTATCAAGGCCGTTGGTATGCTGGAGCCTACCCGATTTAAGGCTTCGACACTGATGCTTCCTAGTTTTCCTCACCTTCTGGCAAGCGACGTTTCTCTCGGTCCTGACGATGTTTGGGGTGGTCAAAGATGTACGCGAGGCTACTGATAAGCGTGTCGCTATGCTGAGCTCGCCTCATAGACCGAGTACATGACTGCGGAGGACGTTAACATAGGCATCGGTGCACTACTCGAAACCTTTGAGATGGCGTACGCTTTCACAACATCTTCCTCCTCACCTCCACTAAACCTCCTCCTAGCTGCTTCGCCCTCGTCCACGTCAAGGCCTTCACCTTCAAGGTCTACATCCCTTACTACCTCCCAGACTCAACAGCCGCCCCCATCGAACGCACCCGCCGGCTGCGCTCCCTCGGCCACGCCTTTGACTTCCGCGAGACGGCACGCGAGTTGTGGGTCGGCACTAAGTATATGTGGCAGAAGGCGCGTGGTCGGGAGCCCAAGATCGACCGTCCGGCGAAGCGGCAGACATACTACGAGAGTGTGTTTGGGAGACCGAGGATCGCGGATTTACCGGCGCCGGTGGAGAAGGATAAGGGTGCGCGTATGACCAAGGAGAAGGATATGCTTGCGAGGAAGGAGAAGGACGCTGCGTATGTCGAGGAAGCGAAGGCGACGCTCCCGGATGTGTCCTTGGACGATGACCTTGACGCGGAGAGGCAGTGGCTTGGTGTTGGAGATGCGCAGAAGTATGGTCTTCACGTTGGGTATCTGCAACGCGAACGGAGCGAAGGTCTGGAGAAGCAGTTCGAGAGGGAATTGACAAGGCGAGGCTACGTTGATCGTGAGTGTGCTCCATATCGTGCGTTGTTACGCGCTAAGCATCCTCTGCAGCCTACTCTGACCACGATCGTGCCCATCCCTCTGGGCATCGTCAACAACGGTCGTGGTGGCGCAACGTCTATAATCGCATCTCTCAGACCGGACACGAGGCACCCGAATCCCCTATGTCTGCTACCTCACGACACTCATCTCGACAGCCTTCAAGACCTAAGCATGACCGGCATCGACCAAGGGACAGCCAGGAAGCAGCCCAGCAACGACAGCTCCTGGACGAAGACGTTGACTATGATGAACCGCCACCACCAAGCGTCCTATACTCGCCAACACGTACCCGCGGTCCCTCCCGCGACCGTTATACTACTGTGCACGATAGTGACCTGGACACGGAGGCCCCGCCATCGCGCTTCAGACCACCTGGTGCTTCGCCTCGCTCCCCGCGCGCACAGCGTCATGAAGCATCCTTGCCTCCCAACGAATCTCTATACACCGGTCATCGTCGCCCGCCTCTGGACCGTGCAGACAGTGTCATGGCACGCATCTTTCCTGCGAGCCAGAACCCTTCGTCGACCGCTCTGCATCACCCGGCAACGAGCGTTCAATCTTTGCCCTCAGTGTCTGCTGATGGTGTTGCGCCGTCTCGCGCGACGCCGCGCGCGAGGCTTGTGACGGGGACGCCGATGCCGACAGGGCTTTCGGCGGTGGGCGAGCGACGCGTAGAAGGAGGGCTGTCCGAAGTGAAGGAGGCGGGCTCGCAGGAGGCGCACGTCATGCATATGACTGCAGTGCCGGAATCAGCGCGCACATCGTCCGATGTTAGCCATCCTTCTCGCACTTCGCGGACACCTCAATCGCCCCGTGCACCGTGGCAGTCGGACGCTGGTGCGAAGCGTTCCCGGGATCGTGCTACAGGCAATGGCTACCAATCCCCGGTACACGAATCAGTGTACCATCCGACCTCTCCCGCTACATCTCACTTCCGTGACGCTGCGTATCGTCTCCCTACTCAGCAACCTATATCCTCCTTGCCACCCGGCGCCGGCTACCCGAGACTATCCTCCTCCGACCATACTCGCTCGCCGAAGGCCCGGCCAGTGCCTCGGATGCCTTGCCCGCTTGCTCAAAGCCCGCACAACAGCCACCAGATTACACCTCCAGAGCAGTCGTACGATCCCATGAACCTGGGTGGGGACGTCTACTTCTCACGATCTTCATGACATTCACGACGACACACAACGAACAAACGGGAAGGCTGCCTTCCCGCATGACATTGCACGATTGACCTCGCTATTTGTACCTGTGACTTTGGATCTTAGGAAACTTATTGCTAATATAAACTGTTGTCCTGGCTATCTACGTGGCGACTGAGCCCTTCTTGGGTCTGCTCTCAGCATCAGCGTGCACGCAAGCATTCGAACTCGGGTTCGGAGGAAAGTAGCGCACGTGGCTCAAAGGATCAATCCCGCGGACTCGGCAATTGACGTTCCGCATTTCTCCCCGAGCGCGTTGACGTCGTGGCACGCGTCGGCGCCTTTGATACCCCCACGGCTCCAAATACCCTTCTATCTTGCCTCAAACCGCCATCTTGTCGCATTCGCCAGCAATTCAATCGCCCAGAGTCATCAAGCGCGCTCGCGACAATGGCCAACATGATCTCCCGCCCGTCTTCGTCGCCCCCCGAATCATCATCGAGCGCTGGTCATGATTGCCATACTCCCGAGGTGCCACGGGACAAGCTCCCCCCGGTGGAGACAAGGATCTGCTACCACTGCGATCACACCCTTGTCTGCGAGAACCGGGACCTCAGGAAGGCCATCCAGCCCGTATACGCCGCACTACGGGGAGGGATATCCCGCATGCACGTCAACCCCGACGCCATTGACGAACAGATCGCCATATATGAGTCCGATATTGGCCGCTACGACGACGAAATCGTCGATCTCGAGAAGGTTATGCGCGAGCTGAAGAGGAAGCGCGGGGAGCTACAACGCGTAGCGGACGCCAACCGATCCCTCATCTCCCCCATCCGCCGCCTCCCCCTTGAAATCTTGACCACCATATTCCGCTACGTGCAGGATATCCCGGATGTACGCCTGCCTCTGCAGCTACGCAAGAACGTCTGCCAGAGGGTGTGCCACTCATGGAGAACGATCATCCTCTCCAATCACGCCGAGTTCCTCCCTCACCTCATCGCAAGGGGGCAGACGCCAGAGCATATCGAGCGCCGGCGCCGTGCGCTACACGAGCAGCTCGCCATCACAGCACCGAAACCCTTCTCGCTGGTCATCGAGGACTTCAGCAGCATCCTGATGCATGGCAGTGAACGAGAGGACTATGGGCTCCCTCTTGAGCAGCCAATCACCGAGGATCCTATATTCGCCAACTCCGAGCGTTGGCGCTCAGCCAAGATATCCCTCGGACCGCGCACCCTCCGCAGTTTAGCTGGTTTTGAAGGCGCAGTCCCCCAGTTGACCACTCTGTCGCTGTCCTCCGATAGGCCATTTCCTGGCGAAGACTTTGAGTCCGTGTCGCAACTACGCATGTTTGCAGACGCACCCCGCCTAAGGACAGTGATGCTGTGCCCGCCGTTCTATCCGAATCGCACCGCGTTGCCGTACGAGCAGCTCACGCACATCACGGTCATTGGGATGGACTGGTCTCATATCGCCTACCTCTTCGAACACTGTCGCAAACTCGTCCTTGCGCGCATATACGCCGGCAGGGGCCCTTCGCCAACAGATGCGATCGCGGAGACTTGCGCCACGAAGCTCGACGTCGAGACCAACAATCACACTTTCTTGCCACAAACACCAGCGCCTGTGACTCGCTCGCCATTCACCGTCATCTCGGCGCCACGACTATCAAGGCTGGTCCTACACAGTCTTCCGGACTGCGACGCACTCGAGGAGATGATCCAGCGGTCAGGCTGCAAGATCACGAGTCTCATCCTGACCTTGCGGTTTTTGCGGGGGACGAACGTCAGTGCGCAGATCGTCCGGCGGATAGTCGAGATCATGCCCCACGTCCGCAATTTCGAGGTCACCCTCGATGTGCTGGAGGGCGCGGCGACGTTCATCCAGCTGCTCTTCGCGGAGATGAGCGCGTTGACCTGCGAGGGAAAGCCGCGCGTGCTGCCCGTCCTGCGCCGCTTCTCCTTCACGCTCATCGGTCGGCGCCCGGTGTGCGACCAGGAGCTGGTGCAGCTCGTCGCGGCGCGGATGCAGTGCCCCGAGTTTATGTGCTTGGAGGTCAAGTGCCCGCTGCCGGACGCGCGCATCAAGGAGCTGCGGGCGTTCTCGGAGCGCGGGCTCGAGGTGTATGGCCTGAATGACTGCGACCTGAAGTCCGTGGCCATCAATCGTGGAATGGCGAGTACCGCTCGTCTCTCGATGTACTTCGGGCTGTGAACGTTCATTTTGCAGTATCTTGACCTTCACCTGCACGGCCATTGATGTGACGACTGTCAGCTTGTTTTGTAGGATCTGCGCAAGGATGTGTACTGGTATGTTCCCCGCCTGAGCACTTGTGGACGTTCGCTGTATACGTGCTGTACTTCTATAACCGATCTCGTTTGACTTCAATGCTTTCGGGGAAAACTATCGCAGAGCGATGATATCTGGTTAGTTCTACCAGACGTTACTGTACGTCTAAGCGCAGTTTATACAGCTCGATCCCATCCCAGTCATCCTTTGCCCAATGCACACCTCCCCTTTCCAATGCCTTCACTAGCTTGCGCTGCGGGACCTTATCGATCACGAACTGCCAGACATCCTTCGCGTCTCCAAGGAGCCTATCTGCGACAGCTGGATCGCGACGCTCGAGACATAGAAGCACGACCGGCTTGCGCACTCTCGACGCGTTGCAGATTGCATGTAGGGTCCGCAGAAGCGGCGCTACTAGCTCTGGCGAGTATACTGTATCCCCCGTGCAGATCAAGTCGAAAGGAGGCGCAAGCGACGCCGTTTTCGATGGTGGACATGATGTACGTGCTGATAATTCAGAAGTAGCTATCGCACGCGCATCTTCCCAACACCAGTCTTCCGGCGGGATAGTCCAGTCTAGTTCGGATACCTGTATATTTTGACGCGTACTGGTGGAATTTTGAAGGATATTCGGGCGAAGTACGTTGTTTACGACTTGTTCGATGTCGGTTGCGAGCACTTGCCATCCTAGTGATGCAGCCGCGAGTCTAGGCGCCAAATTAGAGGCCCTCCGGTTCTAGCTGAGTGAGGCATACGCAGTCAGCCCAATGCCACTTCCTAGTTCGCATAGCTTGTTCTCGCAGCGAGGTTTTGGCCGAAAGTTGTCAGCTATGTAGTAGGACATAACCTGGCCGGAAAGCCAAAGGGCAGTCCCGTTGACGGCACCGTCGTCTAGCTGAGCGAGCTCAAAGGTATTTTCGAGGAATTGGCAGTGTAGGACTGCCTTGTCTTTCGTAAGATGAGCAGGGAGCATTGCCATGATGGTGGTAGAAAGCAAGCCGAAACCGGCATCAAAAACATGAGGCAACGGGAAAGTTTGACACGGCGCGCACGAGGTTCGTTTCCCATCCCGTCGTCGTCGTCGCTGTCCCCGTCGCCGCGTCCCTCAGCGATGAAGGCCTTCTTCTCTCGACATTTTGGCAGCAAGGACAGCAAGGACAAGGACCCGTCAGTTCAGAAGGAGAAGTTCCCCCCGCTGCGCCAATGGCCACCGCAGGAAGACTCGCCGCCGCAACGGAACGCGACGCCGACGGGTTACACGACGTTCAAGCCGCTGCCAGAGGTCGTACCGGATGAGATCCTTGGCCAGCTCGCTCCTGGCTCTCGTTCTGCCCCCTCTCCTTCGCCGACGCCAACCCCATCGCCTCCGGAAGCAAGCGAGGACACCGTCCCCGACCTCCCCGCGACCGCACCCCGTCACGAGCAAGAGTCTACGGGGAGGAGCTCCCGCAAGACTCTCAATGGCACGAGCAGCATCACTAGTAGCGAAGTCCATAAGAAGGTCGCCTTCATCTCCCCTCCCCCAACACCTGCTGGCGCTACCGCGCTCGACCGCGTCCCATCCGAGCCCACCGCGCTCACACCCAGCCAAAGCCCAGCGCCGGCGCCGGCAAAGACAAGCGTCTCGCGATTTCAGGCTGCGCACGGCGAGAAACCGCGCGCGTCTACGGGTGCCTCATCATCCAGGACGGACGTCGCTTCCACCAAGGCGAGCGCGAAGGCGTCGGTCAGGACAGCGTCCCCGTCCATGCAGGGCTCGGCACAGTCCCTACGCTCCGGTACTCCCTTCTCCACCATGTCTTCAGACAACAGCAGTCGCATCCTTTCCGCCACCTCCTGGTCAGAGGTCACCGAGGACGATCTCGTCTCAAACCTCGGCTCGAGGGAGCGAACACGTCAAGAGGTCCTTTTCGAGATTATATCCAGCGAGGAGAGGTAAGTATTGGACCCTTCTTCCCGTACTTCTCTAATTGCTTGCAGATACGTCCAGGAATTAATAAAGATGAAGGAGACATTCATCGATCCTCTTTTGCATCCCTTCTCGGCGACCTCCTCCTCCATTACCTCCCCATTGTCATCAACACCGAATCTCGACTACGACTACTATCGTTCAGAATCCCCTGTAACAACATCTAATGACCACCTCCCGCCTATTGCCGCGCGCTTCATGTCGCCCACCCCGCCATCTGTCACTCCTCCGGTCGACGCCGTAGACACGGACGAGGAAGACGAGCAGGACGACAGGCTTGGCAAGGGATATCCTTCTTCCCGCCGGACGGGCGGTGCGATGAGCCAGGCAGCGCGCCTTAATCACCCACGCTCACCCTACCGTGCCACCGTCACGAAGAACGCAGGAGGCAAAGGAGGCACCGCCGTGCCCTTCCCATCGAGATCACATCATTCACTTCCTCCGCCCCCACGAGCCAATCCGAGCGCGTCGACGCACTCGCTTGGTCGCCAATCTGTCATCATGGAGCGCGAGCGCAACTTCAGCCAGGGTGCTTCCGAGCGCAAGGTCTCGTCCCCAGCGCCAACACGGTCTGGCGGAGTCCTTCGCAAGCTCAAGAAGAGCCAGAGCGGGACGGACAGCCAGGCAGCCAGCAGCGCAGCCCTCCTCGGCGACTCTATAGCGCCGCATCAGCTGCCAGAAGACTTGCGGATATGCCTGGAGGTTATCGACGGCGGTGTCCTCGACGGACATAAGCGGCTATCAGAGGCGCTTAAAAAGAGATATGACGACCAATACCCGCTGGTTCGGTCTCTCGCAGACGTCTTCGTGTCGAACGTACGTGCCTATCATGTTTACTCGTGTTTGTTCATCTGATTCACGTGTATGACAGTCGGACATCTTCCAAGGCTATGCAAGATACGTATTACATCTGGAGAGGGCATTGGAGGAGGCCGACGACGCCCTCTCCAATGTCAACACGAAGAAGCCGAAGAAGCAGGACGCTCACGAGTGGCAGAAGGTCTGCAAGGCCTTGCAAAAACTTGAGGAGATAGCTATGGAGAAGGGCGAGACCGGACTTGCCATCACGCTGTCCAAGCCTTTCCAGCGACTGCTCAAGTACCCGCTCCTCTTCCAGAACCTGCTCTTCCACACCGACCCGAGTACTTTCGAGTACGAGAGTACGCTGCAGATGGTCGCAGAGGTTGAGCAGATCGTGCGTAGCATTGAGGACGAGAAGATCCAGAAGGAGGAGCGCGACAAGACGCGCGATGTCTTCGCACGTATCGAGGGTCTGGAGAAGGTCCGGCAGCTGGCTCAGCCCAAGCCTTCGCGTATACTCGTCGAGGAGCGACCATGCGTGCCGACGCTGGGATCGATTGGGCCGGGAGGGAATGGGTCATCACCACCGCCAGCCATCGCCAATGGGAAGAATGTGCGGGGGAAGTCGTCGTTCAAGCGGCTCAGCGATGTGCTCAACCCCAGCCTCGGTGGTATTGGAGGGAAGAAGGACCTGTGGTTCGTTGTTTTCAATGACGTTGTGTTGCAGTGCCAACGTACCGGCACGACGTCTCTACCATTGGTCGCGCATACGAACTCCCGGACGAATTCGTTACCCGAGTTCCAAGGACGTGCGAAGTACGCGACGACTGGGCGACGAAATTCGACCACGAAGCCGCGGAACCTGTACAAATTCCTGAAGGTGCGTACCCTGCCGTCCTGGGGTGTTCCGTATCTCATTAGAGCCCAGATCGAGACATGGGATATTGGCGAAGTCATACAACCTCGAGAGGGTGCAGTGTCGATGGACGAGTAAGCAACTACCATTTCTTGTTATGCGACATCTAATCTCTGTGCAGTGTCTTGCGCGCCAAGGCCGCGAAACATAACTCGAACACACTGAGCCCAACACCCACCAGCAATCATGACGAGGATCCGGGCAACGAATCCGACGACTCCGACCGCAAGAGCAAGATGAGCTTCTCGTACTGGGGCGCGGACAAGATAACCGTGCAGAAACCTCTCAACATCAACAGAGGTGGACGTATCACGGTACCGCGACGCGGTGGCGTTCCCGGCGCGGTCTCTTACGGACGAGAGTCCTCCGCGAACGCCAAGTTCGGCACACGATTAGTGTCCGGCGACAGTACTCAACAACCGCTACGACCAGGTAGCCGCAGGACAGCTGCGACCCCGACGTCACGTCGCCCGCAGCAGTCGGAGGACGGACATGGATCGAAGTCCACCATCGCTGGCCGGCCTGCATGGAACAGCCCAACGTCGCCGCTATCATCGCCACCCACAAATGCGCGTCGACCACGCAACATGTCGCAGACGAGCACGCCCGCGTCTGCAGCAGCGAAGCCAATCCAGGCGAAGGCGATGCAGTCGTCGCCGGCGCCGTCCGAGGACTCTGGGGTAGGCCTCTATCGCCAAATTGTCAGGAACGACCCGTCTCTAAAAAACGTTTGATGACACAGACTGCTTGATCTTCGCTGCCGCTGCTGGTCCGTCTTCCTTGCGTCCTTCACACCTGATGATTGTCATTGCCCTGCACCCCTCATACCTCTACCATGCTTTCCTTCTCCCCTCCATTCGCACCTACCGTATGACTTATATATTATTGAATGCATTGCCAGCATACATACCTCTTCCCTGGTGGTACAAGACCATAATTCTCACGTTACCACGCCACCCTTTGTTATGATACCACGTATGCTGCGCTCGCCCACGCACCGACGTCTCCTTTGCTCGCCCCCACATTCATTCAACGCCTTGCGTCCAAAGGACGGCTCAATCACTGCACGCTCATTTACCGGTAAAATAGCAGTATATCCCCCATCTATTCGTTACCCGAGTAGTATATGTAGGTCAAGAGTTCCTGTATTATCATGCTACGTACCCTTTCTTTATATCTTCTGCCTTCGCGGATTTGTTTGCAGTGCAACCCGTTCTCGGGCTTCGTGGTGGTATATTGTGGGCGAAATTGGACAGTGGCTGCGCTTCGCCAGTTTGATACAGTTGACATGGAGGATTCTCGCGATGACGTTGCAGAACGAAAGGTGTTCCAAGGTAGAGAGAATCATCGTACAGCGTTTGAATGTGAAAGGTGCTCAAGCAATAATGATAATGGCTGTAAATAAGCGCACGAACATGCGAAGGAGCGACGTAAGGTGATAAATACATGATAAATAAAGGTGGAGAGGATCACTCCCGCTCATAAAGTTGACTGCTTCCCCTTCAACTCGCGCTTTAGCCTAAGATTTTCCGTTTGCTGCCTACTCAAGCTGCTATGCAGCTTGCGGAGTGCCAGCGACAAAGCGCTCGCGGAATGCGCGCTCCGCAGCGTCGACAGCTGCGAGATCTGCTCGTCGACGCTGTGCAGCTCTTCGGCGAGCGCATCCAACGCGAGCGATACTCCGCGAATCTCCTCCAGCACCGTCTCGGCCTCCTCGCGCATGCGATCGCGGTCGTCGAATAGTCTGCCGCGCTCCCGCGCGAGCAGGGTGTACTGACCCTTGATATCCCTCCGGCGCTCCTCTAGGCGCGCCTGCTCCTCGGCGACTTCGTCCACGGCGTCCAGAGGGAGAATGCGGATGTTCTCCGTACTGCCGGATGCACGAATTGCGTGCGAGACGATAGCCTGCAACTCGGCGGAGGTGAGGGAGGATTGCACGTCGTCGTAGGTGTACGCGTGCCAGGCGACCCCGCTTGCTTCGAACTTGGGATCGTGCTCGGGTGCCACTGAGCCATGTCGCCGAAGGGCAGCGGAACGCGAGCGAGCGAGGGCATCGCGGCGGTGAGAGTGTTGGCGCTGGACACCTTGACGAATGACAGCATTGCGATTTGACTTGCCGTGGACAATGACTGGGCGCTGGTGGCGCTTGCGTAGAGACGGCTTGCGAGATCCAAGTCCAAGGGGTTTCGCATCCGTTGCCTCATCGTCGGCGTGCTCGAGGTCCTCAATCTCTTCGTCCATCAGCTCGCTCATGAGCTGCTGGAGAATCGGTGTCGAACCGTCGGACGCCTTGCCGATGTACGAGTTGGCAATCTGAACCTCCTCATCGTCCGCATCCTCTGGGACCTCTTTTGCGGGCTCCTTCGGTGGTGATGAAGGGCCCGTTTCCGGAGGCGGAGCTTCAGAACGAAGGACTTGTGCCGTAACCGAGTCCTCCTCCGTCTGCTTCTCTTCCTCCTCTTCGACGATGGGAATACTCAGCCGGATGCTCCTAGCCCTGACAGAGTCGGTGTCATTGGAGGAATGCGTGGAATCCAGCGAAGGCCGCCTATCGCTGCTTGAATCCGAGGAGACGGTTTCGAAGCTCGAATCTCCCGGAAGTGGAGGTAACGGCGGCCGCTCGGCAGTAGAACCCTGCCTCAGGCGCCCATTCACAGAGACCAGCGAGCTCGCGCTCGACCGTCGCGACAGAGGCTCGCGCGGGCCCATGCGCTTGCCCCTCAACGACGAGGTAGCCGCTGGCAACCGTGGGCCGCCCGGCCCTCTTGGTCGCGGCCCGCCCAGCTTGTCCGAGAGCGACAGCCGGTGCTGCAGCGCCTTGATCTCCGCGCTCCCGCTGCTCGTGTCACGCCTATGCCCGCTAGATCCATCCTCGTCCTCCTCGCTTATGTCGTGGAGGCTGCTGGGCGCCTCAGACGAGGTGTCGCCGGTGTAGAAAGAGGTACCGACGGGCGCTGTATGGGGCGGGGTAGAGAGGTGCGGGGCCTCTATTTCGCGAGAGCCGGAGTGAGATGAGGTGGAAGAGGTGGAGGAACCCGAGGATGAGCGGTCGGTTTGGGGCGGGGTCGGTGGCAGGCGGATGCCCCTCTCGGACCGCTGGCGTTGCAGCTCGTCAGGCTTGCTTGGTAGAGGCGGAGGAGGGGGGGTACGGCTCTCCTCTCCGACGTCAAGCGAGACAGCCGTCACCGCGAAGTCGGGCGGAGCGGGCTTCTGCGTCGGAGGCCTCGGTAGAGGCACGACGGTCCCCGACTTCGTCCTCGAATGCGACGGGCCGAACGGTAGGGTAGCCGCCGTACGCGTCGGCGTGGCAGGCGCAAGCCGATTCTGCGACCACGGCGCCGCCGGGGGCATAGGCAACGTCGCACTCTCCGGCTTCGCGGTCATCGGCGAGTCCATACTGGACAGATACTTCCCACCCATGAACAACGGCGGCACCTTCGGGAACTCGCTCAATATACGCGCCCGGCCGTCCGACGACGCTGTCACCGCCGACAGACTACCGGAGGCATTCTGCGGATCGGTATCGTCTACCCTAATCTGCAGGGCTTCCGGCGGCGTCGGGAGTGCGGGGGGCTTCACGCCGGTCTCGGTAGATGTTGACGTGCGCGGGGCGGCCTCGTCGAGGTTGCGCTCAAGCTGCGAGTCGGGCGTGCGGCCGTCGGTGGGGGTGTACCAGGGGGGCATGGGAGGAACGGGTGGAGCAGCGGGGTCGTCCTGCGCCCAGAAGGGCTTGCTGTTGGTGCTGACGGCGCTGTATGCAGAGTCTGGCGACATCTCGCTAGCGCCGAAGCTGTATATCGAGGGAGACAGCTGCGAGCCATCGAGGACACTGGACATGATGAGGCGTGCCATGTGGGCATCCTCGCTTGAGAATGTGCGAACAGTCCCATCTTCCAGCTATTACGACAGTGAGCCCAAATCGCATCGCTTGAGAAGGGGTGATACTGACAACTATGGACTTCGGACGAACATGAAGACTGCGCAGGGAAACAGTACGACTAGCGGTCTTGCGTGATCTTGATTGTCTCCTGCTCGCTTTACCTGAGACTGCGTCTGAAAGTTGGTGGTTAGGTAACGACAAACCCACCGAGGTATGAAACAAACCTGACTCCGCCTCTTGCTTCTTGGGTGGGAGGTTCCCCAAGTCAAGGATCTCGTTTTCCTCCTCTTCGCCTGACTCCTCGGCGATAGGCGAGAACGATAGCCGTACGTCCGCGTTGACGCCCAGAAGCGACTGACCGTCTAGGTACTGCCGTACCTCATCCTCCCACTTACGCTGCTCCTCGTCGTTCTTAGGCTGGAAAGACGTCTGAGTGGGCTTTGGCGTCGTCTTCTCGCGCAGGTCGAGCGGCTTGGTGGGTACGAGGTTCGGGATCTGGATGGGTGGGATGATGGGGCGTTTGCGCGGCGGACGGGGCGGGGGAGTGGATGGTTCCTGCGGGACTGATATCACTGGCTCCGGAGGGATGTCAACTGCCAGACGCGGCCGCCCGTCGTGGAGGTCATCCTGCGTCGAGATTAGCCTTATCGTCGCCTGCTCGATCCGGTGGCGCAACATACAGAAGGGCTGAGGATACTCGCATTGTCGCGTAGATACGCAATGGAGGAGTCCTGGTGGCGCGTGAGCACTTGCGACGTTCCAGTGAGCGATGCTACGCACATCTTCGTTGGATCCATCGAGCGAGGTGTGAGCGTCATGGCGCCAAGGAATGGGACCCTTGACGCGTTCGCGGATGGAGGGGGATTGCCCGTGGTCGTCGGGAGTGATGTCGAATACGATTTCAGGAGGGGAAGGCAAAGGAGTGGGCAAGGACCCGTGTGCGGAGAAGCTGGAGGTCGCGCTGGGGGGCTGGGGGACCTCCGGCTCAGGCTCTGCCGTGACTCGGGCGCTCTTGCCCTTCGAAAAGAAAAGTTTCCTGTAAACGACGAACGAAGAAAGAGCCGGCATGCTGGCTGACGTCGAGCGCGTCGCGTCCGGGGAACGCGTCGTCGGTCTCGCGAAGAAGAAAAGTGGAGAAAGTGGAAGAGGGAGAGATGAGAGCAATACCTGATCTTATGCGGGCGCAGGGCGCGCGCTAGTTATGCAATGGCTTGACAACCCCCCGCCGCCGTATGCATCATGCAGTTTCATTTCAAAGAGCCACTGATGCGCGTTCGCGATTCCATGTATCAGGATAATACATTCGGTCAGTCACAGTGGGGGCGGGGAGGGCTCTGAGGCTGCGCTTCGGAGCACTGGGGCGCGAAAGATTGTAGGCGAGGTCAGGAGAACTGTTCGCGACATGTTGAGGGGCCATCTGCGCACTTGTCCCCCATCCCACAGCCGGGTAAGAGCATATTCTGTGGATGATGCGAGCGGAGTATCCGTGCTACATGGGAACTCGCGCAAAAAGAATGGCGACAGTGGTCGTCAGCAGCACCGCCAGTGCGGATGTTTGAGCGCCTCTCCTCGTCCCCGGCCGGTCTTGACTGTTGGAGAGTCGGTGCGGAACACTCGGCCCGGAATAAGGAAGTCCATTTTAGGCAATTCATCACTGCGGCCGCCACCTGCCGTCGCCCAGTACCTTGTGCAAAGCATCGTAAACATGGCCCCTCCGCAGCAATGATCTGCAACGAGGACGCCCAAGCAGATATACCGAGGCCACGGAGCTCTTCTTGGACGACCGAGGGACGTACATAGATCACTCCTGCTCGCTCAAAGTCAAGGAATAAAGCGACTTTGGATGAGAACTCGGAACGAACAAACATCACCAAATCTTGCACGAGACATGAACAGGACGACCACAAGTGCAGGATACTGATCAGGAACAATAACCATTAGGACCGCGCGAAGCCGCAAGACCAAGGTACAGTGCTCATAGAGATAACTCCCTACGGGTCACACACGCATCCAGGAAGAGAACAAGCCGAGCTTGCGAAGCTCAAAGGAAAGTGCGATATAACAGGGCCATCAACAAACGATATATAGGTCCAAGCCGACTATCTTGATATCAATACCCAGGTGAGGAACGACAGCGAAGGTGAATAGGGAATACAGTACTTAGCAGTGCATGTATATGGGGCCGATATCTATAGTCAGTATAATCGTGCATGGAGGTGAACGGAATGGAAAACCAGCAAGCGTCCGTTAAGGTATCACAGTAACCCAGTCAGAAAGGTATAAACGTACGTTCGAAGGACACCCCTCGTGACTCAAGCAGTTCTGTGGCCATCATCGAGATTCTCCACGAACCGGCCGCGGTCGCCTACAGGAGGAAGGGGCGGAGGCAGCTGCTTGCCCTTGTTCTTGTCCTTCTGGCTGCCACCCCCGCCAAACCAGGCCCTAAAGCTCCGCTTGCTCTTCCCCGACACGTTCGTCTCCGTGCTCGTCGTAGCCCGCTGCGCCGGACGCGAGGGAGCACCAGCCCCAGGCTTCACCTGCTCCGCATCGGCCTTCGACACGCCTGGCACGACCTGGCCCTTTCCCTTCTTGCCCTCCGGCGCAGTCGGCTTCGTCGCCTGGCTCACGCTCGCGCCGCCCTGTTGCAGCTTCAGAAGCTCCTCCCCGCGTATGCGCAGGAACTCCTCCAGCAGCGCCGCATTCCGGCTGTTCGCCTTGAACGCCGCCAGCACGACGTCGCCGACGATAGGAACGAGACCCACGCCGGCGCTGACCGCGTTGTTCAAGAGCATGCGCCGCACAAGCCAGCCGGGGAGCTCCGCCTGCTTCGCCTTGCGCAGGACGAGGGTATAGTTGAGCGCCGCGTCCGTGATGTCGCCGGCCATGGGGATGATGCCGATGATGAACGTCCACCCGAAGCGCAGGCCGCATATCGAGAAGCCCTTGTCGAGGTAGTGCGCCTGGCGCTGCACCGACTTGAGAATCTTCGCATCGCGCTTGGACAGGCCGGGGGGTATCGCGCGCTGTGAGGTGCCAAGAGCTCAGCTGACGGCGATGTGCGAGATCAATGTATAGACGCACCCTTCTCCTCTTCTTCCTGCCCTTGGCATCCACATATTCCTCGTACATCGGGTCGGCCGGTGCGTAGCTCTCCAGGTGGCGCTCAAAGAGCACCTTGCCCGCCTTTCCCATGAGGCCGCTCATTCTGGCTGCTGTAGCGGATGGGGGAACGAGGACGAGTCGAGGATGCGGGTGGGAGAGGTAGAGGGCAAGAATAAGCGAGTGGAGTCTAGGCGGGACGCTGGGTAACGATTGACGGGAGTATACCACGAGTCAATGATGTCATCCCACGCGAAAGGGGATCGACCGTGGCGGTGCTATCCACGCGACGGATGGACCCACAACTCGACATCCCTTCACAAACAACTGCTATTGCAAGCTCGGTATCCCTGACAGCAGGGTTTGTGTCCTCTACTAGCTCGTACAACAGTAGTGATACATGGCTAGTTCACAGGTAAAGTACAGATTCCTCTATAGTATGTAGTACACCTGCTCTTCATGCCTCACCCTCGTACGCCGCGTTGTGGATGGCCACAGCGCGACCACTGGGGTCAGGCGCGCAACCCCAATCACCACGCGGTATCCACCGGACGGCCGTGCTCGCAGCCGCCTCCGTTGGGAACAGGCCGTCGAAGATCTCGCGAATGTAGTAGGCCTCCTTCGTATCCGGAACATCTGTTGTCCAGCGCTCGGAGCGCTTGGCGAAGGCTTCATCGGAGACAACGTCGGCAGCGTGGTCTTTAATGCTGGAAAGGATATCAGGATCCCGAGCACTAGTGGGATAAATGGTGAGACATACCCATCGATCCAAGAGTAGCCAACACCATCGGAGAACTGCTCCTTTTGGCGCCAGAGGATGGACTTAGGCAGATATGGCTTGCCATCAGGTGCGCAGTCGAAGGCTTTCCGGATGATGTACTTGAGGGCGTCGTCAGCATACCTTTGCACGTATCGAGACATTTAAGGATACCTTCTCCATCTTCGGGCAGCCGTCCTCGTCAACCTGCTGTTGCGAGCCCTTGCTGAACATCTTCTCTTTCGGGTCGACATTCATCGCGATGTCGAGGAAAGACTTGTCCAGGAAGGGGACGCGTGCTTCCAAGCCCCAAGCCATTGTTGACCTAGACCGCAGTCAATGAGCAAGTTCGCGATAAGAATCGACAGTACTCACTTGTTGGCGCGCAAGCAGTCAGATGTATGCAAGTTCTTCACGCGGCGCACACTCTCCTGGTGGAAAGCGACATCGTCCGGCGCAGCGTGGAAGTAGAGGTATCCGCCAAACACCTCATCACTGCCCTCGCCACTGAGCACCATCTTGACACCCATCGCCTTGATTTTCCGGCTCAAGAGGTACATCGGTGTGCTCGCGCGGACCGTCGTCACGTCGTAGGTCTCAAGGTGATAGATCACATCGGGGATCGCGTCGAGACCCTCCTGCACAGTGAAGACGTATTCGTGGTGCACCGTGCCGAGGTACGCGGCGACTTTTCTTGCGGCGAGAAGATCGGGGGAGTTCTCGAGACCGATAGAGAAGGAGTGTAACCGTGGCCAGGCCGCCAAGGAGGCTACATATTCAGTCAGCAAAGCGCGAGGTGATCGATGAAAGAGACAGTACCTTCTTCAGCGAGCATCTTCATTGTCGGTGTTGATGGGCCGCTCGCGATCTCCTGCAGCCTCCGCTGGCGAAGCTCGTACTGTGCCTGCGCAACCTTCTCCGTCTCACGGGCAGCAATAGCCGCGATAAGACTGCTGTCAAGACCACCACTGAGAAGGACACCGTAGGGGACCTCGGACATCAGGCGCTTGCGAACAGCAGCCTCGAGACCTTCCCGTAGCGCGGTCAGGTCAACGGGGTTGCGAGGGATACGGCCGCCCTCGAGGTCACCGTCCCACCAGGATGGGTTGAAGTAGCGGACAGTGGTGTTGTCGCGGGAGTCGAAGACGTGGCCGGGAGGGAAGGAAATGATCTTGTCGCAGTCCTCGACGAGGGCCTTGAGCTCGGACGAAAACCAGGTCGCGCCGGGCTGTTTGGAGCTCCAGCCCTGATAGAGGGTGGTGATGCCGATAGGATCGCGCGCAGCGATGACGCGGGAAGGGGTGACGGACTCGTCAAGGAGTATGAAGGAGAACATGCCGTCGAGCATGTTGCAGAGGTCCTTGTCATGCTTCTTGTACTACGCGACTGTCAGTCCTTGACACGCGCATATGTGAGGGGGGCACGTACCAAGGGAAGGATGACCTCGCAGTCAGAATGTGTCTTGAACTTCGCGTCCGGGAGGTCCTTCTTCAAGGCGAGATGGTTGTAGATCTCACCGTTGACGGCGAGGATAAGCTTCCCGTCGTCGCTGACGAGCGGCTGCGCGCCGGTGTCTGCAAACAGTCAGACCAAGTTAATCCCAGTAAACTAAGCGACACGTACCAACACCGACAATAGCCAAGCGCTCGTGCACAAGAACGGTCTCCTTCCCCACATAGCAGCCAGACCAATCAGGTCCGCGATGGCGCAACTTCTTGGAGAGCGCGATCATACGCGCTCTGCATCCCGCGGGATGTTGAATACCGTGAAGGCCTAAGATGGCACACATGACGGGAGGAGGCAAGAGAGGGAACTGGGAGTCACGGTCGGATTGACTCGAGCTGATCTTCAGTCAAAGCGGGATAAAGATGTGCGCTATATCCCCTTTCGGGGCGATAATGAACGGCAGCGATCGGCCGACGCGAGCAACGGTTGAACTTCGCAACTTGTTCCCAACATCCACGGCCATAGAATGGCAACTTGCTTGGACTGCTGAACAGTGTCAAACAGGCGTGGAAATTGAGGCTGAACGTCGGCAGTAGAGACCATGGAAGCTAGGGGCGCCCGCAAGTGACCAGTCCAGTTCAGGTCCTGATGCCTGTCGAGCGTCAAGACTATTCAAACGATTGCCATGAAGATATAGAAGAATCTCCTACCTCGCCGACACATTCTGGACCGCGTTAGCAAACGTCGCAGCGCGAGGAAGCACTCACGCGGCGATCCCGAAGACTGTAGAACTGAATATCATCACTGGATCAGCGCTCACGCCGCAAGGAGCCCCAAGGAACGCCGCTCGGAAGTCAACTTGAAGTAGCTCTATCCCGCTACGGAAGGTCGCCCCCGGTCGCTCGAATATCGAACAAAGCAGGACGTGAGAAGTACAGGCCACGAGGTGCGCTAGCCATGTGGTATCAATCAAGATCTCGTGGTGTGGGGCCTTCCCAACTTGGTGCGCCTTGTTCTGTGCGCCCATATATACGGCCCGGCGTTTTTGCCATGTTCTCTCACCCCCTTCCTTCCCCACCCCTCGGGGCTTCGTCTTGTTCTTTTTCTTCCCACACTCATTTGTTTCGGCATGGGCACCAGCACCAGCCCTCGGGCTCAGGTCGAGGACGCTACCGTGCAGTCTCCTTCCCCGAACGTTGGCGACGGTGATGAGCGCGGAGGCGGCAACGTCGCGGACAATGTCGGCGACGTTGCTCTCGACCCCAGATACCGTCATCCGAACGCGTTCATTTTGTTCCGACAGAGCTTTTTGAAGGGATCGAAGGCTACGTGGGTCGAACCAAAGGGCAAGGACATCCACAAAGTCATTGGTGAGTACGCTATCATGTTTGCACGCATTTGGGCTGGAATCCCCTCAGCTCAGCATTGGAAGGCACTGCCAGAGGAGGAGCGGGAGCGTTTTCGCGCTCAGGCTGCCCAGAACAAGCAGACTGCTCAATTGCCGAATCCCGAGAAGCGGCGACGTCGCAAGCGGCAGCAGCTATCTGCCGTGGTTGCTACGAAGCCCCAAGAGGAAGTTTCCTGCTCCTCTATGGCCCTCCCTTCTGTTCCTGTGATCCCAACGCCTCCACCCATGGACCCTCTACCTAATCCCCGTCCTATCATCTCACTTCGCAAGACTAGCCACCCGAAATCACGTTCTCTTGGTATGTGTCACTGAAGCGGTTGTGCTGCAAGGACGCGCTTCTGACAGTCGGCAGGTACCCACGCTCCTTACGCATCACCCACGATCATTCATTCGCCACCCACCGTGCAGATCCCTGCATACGAGGATAACCCTTATCGCTATAGCTTTCCCCAAAAGCCTCGTCCGTCCAAGCCGCGCTCGACGGCGAAGGACGGTCGCGCGAGGACCGCCGAAGCGACCCCTCCTCCCCACCAGGATGTCTTCTCTCCTGCGAGAGCCATCTACAGTTTCTCCGTTCCGTTGCGCACGCCATCTGCCGAACCTTTGATGGCAGCCGCACCCGGTGGCCGATCCTCGCAGACCACTAGCGAAGCCGTATTCCTGCAGGACTTCCCTCGCCGACGTTCCCTAAGCAGTCCCGAGACTCTTCGTCCCTTCTCATCGGGCCGCGCTGACGACATAACCGGCCATGGGAACGTACCTAGCAACGCGCCCTGCGTCGGCATGATGAACCAGCCGTACTATCCCGCCAGCACGCTATCCGAAGAGGCAGACTCGAGCGCCCCGTCATCCTGGTCGCCTACTCGGTCTGACTTCATCGTCGGCGCCCACCGCCGCGGAGTGCATTCCTGGAACGTACCTTGGGCGTCGCAACCGGTAGATCAGACACCTGCCGCGCTCATGGGCTTGGAGCCAGCATTCGCGCCCGGGCCTTCCGCGTACCAGTACGCCATCTACGACGCGGCCCAGTACGCCCAAGCGCCTGCTTTCCTCAATGAATCGCAGTGGGCCGCTGCTCCTGCGACGTACCCCGGGGTCGATAGCGCGCCTGATCCCCAGCAGAGCTACATCCAGTGGCCTCAGCAGGAGCAAGCTGTCGATTACACCGCCGCTGGTCCAACCGCTCAGCCGGCCGCTGGCTTTGCTCAGTACGCCCAGTACCCGATGCAGCAGCAAGAATCATACGACAACTCCTACTATGCTCCGTACGCGTATGATGCGACGGAGTATAACTGATTGAAGCCCATCGGCCTTCCTCGCTCGGCATTACTATTGTCGACGTTCGATCTCCCTTCCCTTACACCATTATTTCCCTTTCCCTGCAACATACCTTATACGCACCCGTCTCACCTCTTACTCCTGGTGCCCTAATCCTCGCCTCCCTCTCATCTCATAGCATTGCTACACTACACTCTGCTAATTACCGCGAAGGACCACTCACTGTATCCCCAGCGCATGTCCCTCTATTCCTCACTCTCACTGTTTCGTTAGCCGGCAGGGCGGGCTCTCGCCGCCTACTGTAGCATACTCACATCCTACGGACCTCTTATCTTGGTAGAGCTACCATACGCAGCTCGTCAAATACCAGCATGCGCTGCTGAGAATCAGATATTTACCTGACATGCATTGTCGCCGCAAAGTCGAACGCCCAAAACGCGTTACGTCACGCGACCGTGACACCACTTGTTCCCGCCTCTCATCTGGATCAGACGCGTCGCGAGGTTGAGCAAACATGTTCCGTGCAGATCGAAAGCAGTTTGACGACAAGACCAACATCCTCGAGGTCGACAACAAGGGTCTGGTCAACTACCCCTACCGCCTGAGCTTGTGCGTGCCATGCCCCCTCCGGTACTCATTTCACCCTAACCCATTTCTTCCCCAGCTACGACAAGCCTCCAATATTCGACGTCACAATCGAAGAGTTTGAGATATGCGCTTTGGACAGGCTGAGGATACTCGCTGAGATTGAGGCCTGCGCGGCGCGAAACCGCAGCTGGGAGGAGACGAAGGCCGTGATCGACACACAGTGCCGCAAGTATATGGAGCTGGACAGCAATACCGCGTCGATCGATAGACGGGACGCGCAGAGAAGGAGGGATCAGCTGGGGCATTTTGTGCTGAGGCTGGCGTTCTGCAGAACGTAAGTGTTGGTGATGGCTAGAGGGTGGCTGTGAGGGATGCTGATTCGCTGTTTGCTAGGGAGGAGCTGAGAAAGCGCTTCGTGAAGGCGGAAACAACGTTGTTCAGGGTTCGTTACGACACTGACAAGAGCGACGAGCGGAGGCGATTCTTGAACTCGAGGGACTTCAATTGGATCGAGGTACGTTTCTGCGGGATGTGTTCGATATGTTCTCACCTTCGAGGTAGGTCAGCGATAGCGAGAAGAAGCAGTTTCGAGACGAATTGTACGCCTCTTTCCACCCACCGCCGAAACCAAACGTCAAGTTGTCAGAACAAGAGCGGAAGGCTGAATTCGAGAAGGAGAAGTACTACAAGGTGCGCCCGTGTCCCTTCGAGCTTTCGCGGCCGATGGCTGAAAGCGCTTCAGGTCAGATGGACGCGCGTGCCAGACCTCGTAGAGAGGCGGAAGGTCTTCCTCAAGAAAGGATGGGCTTATGTTCCTGCCATCGAGCAATCAAGTATCGTCTTCCAAGCTTTCGAATCTCATCTCATGAAGGATCTTGAGGTATGTTCCTGCTATGTCGCCCAGCTGAACAACCCTAACATATCGGCAGATGACCGCGAAATGCCTACCGAACATGAATGAAGATACGCGCATAGTACCCTTGCTAGACAAACTCTCGCAAGGCTTCCTCGCCGGCGTCTCTTCGGAGTGGAGCAATCAGACAGAGGGCACAACAGAGGGTTTGACCGCCGACATGATCGACGAAATTGCGCGCAAGCACTACCCTGCGTGCATGCGCAACATGCATATGAACTTGCGAAAGGACCATCACTTGAAGCACTTTGCTCGGTTGACGTATGGGCTGTTCCTCAAGGTATGTCCTGCTGCTCCCTGCCAGTGCTCCGCCAAGCGTGTAGCTCACGAATATGCCTTGCGTAGGTGCTGGGCCTCTCATTAGAGGAAGCTATCGTCTTCTGGCGAAAATCCTTTGACCGCATAACGGACGACAAGTTCAACAAGGAGTATAGGTACAACATCCGCCACTCCTATGGCCAGGAGGGCAAGCGGGCGAACTATCCTGCGAAGAGGTTCGTCGTTTAGCTCCTCCACGTTGTCCGCTTCTCACCATGCCCCGCAGCTGCTCGCAAATCCTCACCAACGACCTCGACTCCGCACACGGATGCCCCTACCGCATGTTTGCGCCAGACAACCTTCAGTCAACCTTGCTCACCATGTACTCCGGCCAAGGCCTCGCTTCGCACCACCTGCCAGAGATCATGGAGCTAGTTAAGAAGCATAGCTACCACGTCGCGTGTACGCGTGTATTCGAGATCACGCATGGTATGAAGAAGGGGGATGGGATAGGGGAAGGCGAGTCGGTGACGCATCCCAACCAGTACGCGGCGCGAAGCATGGAATTGGAGAAGGCCAAGAAGGGGGAGGACTCAGATGCCATGGCCATAGGCTGATTATCTGCCTGTATCTCATCGTGTCTGTTGGTTTGTATCTATATACCTGTATCATAAGTACGTGCATCTGAGTGGATTGAGCACACCAGAGAGCGCATGGAGATCGAAAAAAATGCCGAATATTCGGAGGCAGTGGTCGCTCATGGATGACGTCGTTTGCTCATGTTTTCCAGCCGACTGCTGCTCGCGTGCAGCGCGCCACCTCTTGACTGCATCCCTCGTCTTCCCCCTCCATCACACCCTTCGCCACGATGAGCCAACGAAAAGTCACGACTCCCTCGAAAGATGCGCAGATGCAGGAAGCGAAAGAGCACTCGCTGCAGCAATACGTGGACACGAATGGGCATTTCTCGCTCGTCCGGTAAGCGCAGGCGCGCGTCGAGCTTAGCGCCCGCATGCTGATCATCCGCGCCCTCATAGGAACTTCCGGCTGGCCGACCTGGTCACTATCATGAACGGGGTCTGCGGATCGCTCTCCGTGTTCTCCTCCGCGCGCTATTTGCTGTCCAATGACCCGGACTACCTGTGGGCCGCGCTCGGGCTTCCCCTCGCGGGCCTGATCTTCGACTTCATGGACGGGAAGGTCGCGCGCTGGAGGCAGGAGAGCAGCATGCTCGGGCAGGAGCTGGACAGTCTGGCTGATCTGGTGCGCCCCCACCGCTCTATGTGCACGGCCCCGCAGCTGACGCACAGTGACTTAGATTTCCTTCGGTGTCGCTCCCGCGCTCGTGGCCTTCACCGTCGGCCTGCGCACCTACCTCGACACGGTCGTATTGACTGCATTCATTTGCTGTGGTCTTGCCCGCCTCGCCCGCTTCAATGCGACGGTCGCGCTGATCCCGAAGGACACGAAGGGCAAATCCAAGTACTTTGAAGGTCTCCCCATCCCCTCTTCACTCGGCCTCGTCGCTGTTCTCGCGTACTGGACCAAGCAGGGATGGATCGAGGGACAGGAGGGCCTACCGTGGGGCACCATCACGCTCTGGGGCGCAGAAGGCGGGCGGGGCGAAATCCATCTCGTCTCCGTCGTCTTCGGCCTGTGGGCCGCAGCCTTCGTTAGCAAGACGCTTCACGTCCCCAAGCCTTAGAGTGGAGGGCAGCTCCAGCGCCAAAAGGGGGCGCACATCATATGCACGACGAGTAATTCACGCTGAGGGACTGGCGTGCTGGTGGGGGAAGTAGGCCAGCGCGACATGATAACAGAGACGATCTGACGACAATGCTTCAAGTAAAATACTGTACCCGAGGTTCAACATCCTATAGTACCGTTATATACCGCTATTTCGTGTCTATCTCGAGGGCTGGGACCGCCTGCAATAGGACAATGGACTTCGAGTTGATCTTTGGCGGTGCGAGCGGCTTATTCTCCCGAAAAGGGCAAAAACAGTAACGAACGCGTGATGTCACGCGTCTTGTCGCGTTCGCGTCCCTTTGCTTCGACCACGATCAGGCTGCGAACATGATCACGTCCGGCGATGCGCAGCGCTTGTTCCTGCAGGCCGTCCTTTCGAGAGGAATAATGTCTGAACCTCTAGCACGCACCCTGTACTCCAAATGCGTAGAGACAGTCAAGTGTAAGCATTGTTTATGGAAATGGCCAGGGCGGGGCATTGACATTGTCCCCCTTGCAGCTGCAGATGAGCATGTAAACGTGTCGTACAAGAACACTCGGGAGGAGTGGGAGGACGTTATCAGGAATGTCAACAATGCCCTGAACGCCCTCGACCTCCAATTCGTCCGCCAAGTCGAGCAGGAGAAGGGCATCCCTATGTGGGCTTTGGTAAGGAGAGCATCTGCTATCAAGTTCACTCTGCGCTCACATACATCGTCTACCAGATCAACTTGAAGGGCGACGAGGTAGCACAGGTAGCGACCGATTACAGCCCCGTCGAGATTGCATATTTCAAAGCCCTCGTGAGTGTTCTTTACGCCATCTTCCCCGGGTATTTCTAACAAAGTGCAAAGGTCGAGCAAATCGTCATGGCCCCTCGGAACTCTTTCTCGATATCTTCTTTCCTCGCGCTCCGCGAGATCAATGAGCTCAAGCCCAAGGCCAACATGACCAAGAGCCAGGGCGAAGAGACTCTGTCCAGCTTCGTCAACCGTGGCTGGCTGGTGAAGAGCAGGTCAAGAATCTCCCTTATCCCTGTAAATTGATGGGCTCATTCAATGCTTATAGGAGAGGGCGCTACTCGCTATCAACGCGCACGCTTCTGGAACTGAAAGGCTATATCAAGTCGGAATACCCTGACCAGATTCCCACTTGCATGCTCTGCGACGACGTGAGTTTGCCCCAGATTCTAACTCACCTAATCCCTCACCAACATTTCTCAGTTCACCACCGTCGGCGTCACCTGCAAATGCGGGCGCGCAATCCACAAACACTGCTTCACCCAATGGCGCAACCGTCGGTCGCAGTGCAAGGAATGCCGGACCGAATGGGCAGACAAACTCGACGACGAGATGTTCACGCCCATCGGGGAGGATGCAGTGGGCGAGAACGACGCGGGGCGCCGGTACGCGAGGCACGAAGACAGCGACGAGGACGGTGAGGGCGAGGAGGACGAGCCGAGCCAGTCGCAGGCTAGTCAGCGACCGGCGAAGAAGACAAAGAAGACGAAGGGCAAAAGCCGCGCGAAGAAGGGGAAGGGCAGGGGTGACGATATGATCCTGGACGACGACGAAGAGGTGGAGGCGGAGATTGAGGAGGATGAGGAGGAAGAGGAGGCCGACTATGAAGAGAAGGACAACGACCGAGCGTCCAGTCCGCCCGTAAAGAAAGAGCCTCGACGCAGGAGCACTCGCGGTGGGTAGTCGGCATGTATTCAAATCTACGTTTCTTGTCCGTCATTCGGTGGTTTGCACCGCAGCCCAAACGACCATTCTTGCTTGATTCTTGCCTTCAGAAATGTTACACGAGAACAAGCTAAACACCATTTCGTTGTTTCTTTTGGTCGATATTTTGTCGTCAGTGGTCGTATAGGATATGTACAGTGTTACTAGGCGCGGACAGCGATTGTGTAGTCTATAACGGGTTCCATGCACATGTAGTTAGGTGGTAGATGTCAGAGGGCAGGTGGTGGATCGTCTCATCGCCTCCTCGCCTCCGGCCGCGACTGTGAGGCTGGCTCGGGCGTCACCTCCGGCGTCGCTACGCGCCCCGCCTCCCCATCCCTCACGACGTTCGTGAAACCAAAGGAGCCCTTCCCCCACACCTGCTTGCGCCGCTTGTCCTTCCGGCCCTCGCCAAACTCGTCGTTCCACTTGCGCAGCTCGGCGAGGCTGCCGAGCGCCTCGGAGGATGAGGGCGTGATCTCCTTCATCGCCTTCTCGAAGTGGCGGAGGTTGAGGACGCGCGGAGGGGTGGTGGGCTTGGTTTCCGGGGCGGGGGTGTCAGATTTGGCCTCTGCGGTGGGTGGCTTGGGCGTGGTGGTCTCCGAGGTGGCTGACTGCGTCGCTTCAGCCGCCGGGGCGACGTCCGTAGTGGCAGCCGGTTCCTGAGTAGCCTCAACACCTTGCCAGGTGTTTTCGGCCTGCGCCTCAACCTCAGCCACAGGTGCAGACTCCGCTGATTCCGACGGCTCAGACTGCGACGCGGCTTCGGCGTCCGATGTCGGCGGGGCTGCTGGCTTCGTCGTGCTTGCCCACGGGACGGTCACCAACTCCTTCACCGCATCCAAAGCAGCAGACACGCAGAGATCTAAAGAACCATCAGCACGCAAGTGACGTGTCGCATGAACACACTTACGCTTCAAGTCAGATCCAGAGAAGCTCTCGGTACGCTTCGCCAGCGCCTTCACGTCAACGTCCTCCCCGAGCGTCTCATCACGCAGTAGGATCTTCAAGATCTCCGCGCGCTCCTTCTCCCCAGGAAGGTCGACCAAGAGACGCCGCGGCAAGCGGCGCAAGACCGCATCATCGAGGTCGAAAGGCCTGTTCGTCGCGCCAATGACGATGACGCTGTCCTCGTTCGACGAGGTCAAGCCGTCCATTTCCTGCATGAATTCGGTGATGACGCCGCGGTGGGCGAAGGCGCCCCCGCTCTCGCGGGCGGACATGCGCGCGCCAAATAAGGCGTCGATCTCGTCAAGGAAGACGACGCAGGGCGCAAGGCGGCGCGCAAGGGAGAAGACGGCACGGACGAGCTTCTCGCCTTCACCGACATACTGTACAGAGCATTAGGAACCAGGGTCATTAAAACGACGAAGGCCGCTTACCATGTCCATGACATCGGAAGGTGAGATGGTCATCATTCGCACGCCAGCCTCCTTCGCAAGGGCGCGAACGACGAGCGTCTTTCCAGTACCTGTAATCAAGATTAGCATCGTAAGGAGAACAGTTGCAAAGGCTTACCTGGCGGACCAAAGAGCAGGCAACCAGTCATGCCGTGCTCTTTGAGAATACCACTTTGGAAGGCAGTAGGGTGAAGCAAAGGTAGTGACACGATTGTCCGTACAGAGTCGATCGTATGCGTCGGCAGATGCACTTGGTCAAATGATGTGGGCATCGACGCTGCAGAATGTTCTGTCAGCGATGCATCACAGTCAATGCAAGGCCAAAAACATACCAGACGAGACAATTGTAGGCAACAGCCGCTGCTCGTGCGGGTCCAAGTCCGGATCCGACTTGACTCGCTCAATGATCTCGTCCCCATTCTCCTCCGCATCCTCCGCTTCATCATCTTCCTCATCCTGCTCGCGCGCCGCCTTCGTACTCGAGCACGCCTTCGCCCACGCCTTGCGCAGCGTCTGCGTATTCCGCGCCGCCTGCCAGGCATTCACCACCGCGCTCCACGGCACGGGCGTCGGCTCCAGCGTAGACCGCCGGCGGGGCACGCCCGGCGTCGCGGCGAGCACGCTGCCCACCGCGCGATCCGCGACGTGCCGCACCTCTGACCACAGCTCGAGCTTGTTGCCCCACTCGGCGCGCATCTTGTCGAAGACCTCTTGTGGGAAGTCAGCCGGGGTGACTGGCTGAGCATCCTCTTGTGGTGGCGGTGCTTGTGCAGGCTCTGGTAAAGCATTGCCTGCAGGAGGCTCTAGCGCAGCGTCTATGACTTCGACGGGTGCTTCTGGTCCTGCTGTTTCTACTGCTGAAGTTTCGCCCTCAGCGGGTTGCCCGGCAACGGCCTCCGCAGCGGGCGCGGCCTCGGCGGCTACAGAAGCATCGACGGCAGCCTTTGGTTGTGGCAGCTTGTCCAGCACACCATGGCTCGCGCCCACGCCCATGCGCATCGTCAGCTCGTTGATCTCCTGCCGACGCGCAATGCGACATTTGCGTTCGTCCACGGTCGACCGCACGCTCGGCACGACAGTCGAAGTCCGATAAAAGGGGACCGTGTCCTGCCCCGTCATGCGGGCGAGGGGCGGAACCCCAGGAGCGCCTCCCATCCCGCCATTGGACATCAAGCCGCTGAGAATCGACGAGATACCCGGGTTCTGGCCAAAGGTCTGCTCCGGGCCGAGCATTACGACTTCGACCTTCTGCTGGGGCACCTCATCGCCTTCGATGTTGGCAGACAGCTTGGGGATGTCGTGGTGGAAAGCGGCGTCGTTGCGCTCCCAGAGCTGTAGTCGGCGACGCAGGCGTTTCTCGCGCGCCTTCTCCGCTTGCTCGTCCTCCCCGAATGAGGGGGTCTTCTCCCGAGAAGAGGAAGGACGTGCGTTAGTACGACTCAGCAAGGCAGCGAAGTTGCTCGGTCCGGGTGTCGATACAGACACACTTGACGGCGTCAATGGTGGACTGATTCCAAAGACAATCGTGATTGGCGCCTGCACGGGCAGTTGGGACTTGATGAAACCCCACCGCCGTCGGTCGCGAACGGCGTTCAGCAACGGTGCATACCATGTCGATGACGTCGCGGCCAGAGTGGGAAAGTCGCGCACGTAAATTAGTCGAGGCCGGACCTTCTCGGTCTTTGAAGCGGCAGCAGCGGCCTCTGCAGTGTTGCGGAAGGGCGCGTTGACGAGGGTGTCAAAGAACGTGCGGATGCGAACGGCGGGGTGACTGGGGGAAGTGAGGGCGGCGGCGCGCTTGTGGACGCGCGAGCTTGCCATGCGGGGCATGACCATGAAGGAAACTGGGGTATTCGGGGTAGCCTGCTGAATCATGGGCTCCACGTCGTCCTCGTCCGCGTCTTCCTCTTGCTCATCGTTACGAACGACCTGGGGCGCGGTCTGGTGCAAGGGATTGCGGGGGAGCTGCAGGGTAGCGGCGGCTGAGGAGCATAAGCGAAGATTTAGTCAGTAGAATGCAGACATACCTTTGCCGAAGTGACCATGCTCTCCTGCTGCAAGCTGCACGGCGTCCAGCACTATGACTTCCGATCCAGTCCTTCGCGCAAGCTCCCATACTGTTGCGTCCACTACATAGTCTCCACCTTCAATTGGGCAGTACAAGGCAAGCGTGGGCTCGGACTTGAGTGTCGGCGTAGGATTGTACGCCGCGTTGTGCTGCGTCTGGGGATGGAAGGTGGCGTGCAGGTGGTCGAGCGCCTCGTCTAGGATCTCCTGGGGCGGCAGCGCCTCCTGCAACTTGAAAGTCTCGGGGAACGGCGTCTCCTCTGGCGTCCAGATGATCTTCAGGTCCTCCGGGAGCTCTATGCGGGGCAGCTGGGGTTCGGTCAATGACGCGAGGAGCCGCGACTTGCGCCGGTGCTTTTCAGCTTCCTCTAGCGGTCCTGTTGGCGGCGTCACGCCTTCCGGTGGTGGTGCACCTGGCGCTGAATCTCGTGGGGCCTCCGCAACATCCCTAGTTGTGGAAGTAGAGGTTCCCGGCTCATCGTTGGCTGGTGTGGACGATGACCAGCGCCTCGGGCTGCGTCGGGCGCCAGTGATGGTCTGTGTCGCGTGTACGGCGACGACGACGGGGTGTGGGGCACCCGATGACGCCTTGAGCAGCGCGCGCGAGCTTCTGCGGACGGCGCTGGACCGCATTGACAGTCAGCTTAGAGGCGCGCAGACGCGATTCACGAGATTTGACTACACTCGATCAGCCGCTTGGACCGCCGCCCCTTGTCTTCATCGTTGACGCCGACGCCGACGACCGCGACGATGCCAGTAGACTGCGAACGGGACAGCGCTACGCCGCGTCCAGAGACCCCCGAGCCGTCGTCCGTACAGGGGCGGCGTAACACGGGCGACGTCCAGCTTCTCGACACCGAGGGCTGCATCTCCCCACAGGTGCATCCCCCGCCCGCCGCCGCGCGCTCCGCGTTCTGACGTCGCTCTCGCAAGTGCAGCTGGAGGCCTGTCTGCAGCATATATTTGCCAAGTACTGCACGCCGCAGGCGCAGCACTCCGCCGTGCGCGCTCGAAAATCCCTCTTGACGGCACCAGAGGGCGCGTATCTCTCGTCTGAGGGCCTCGATGCGTGGGCAAAGGATACCAACGGCGCACCGTTCCCCCAAGAGACGAAGGATGAGCTCATCGAGTTCCTCGATGTGACGCCCGACGGTGGCTTGACGTATGTTCGTTTCCCTCCGCCCGTTGCCACCTCCCTGATCGGCCCCCAGCTTCAAAGGCTTCCTGCAAATATATCAGCTTCAGACAGAGAACGATGAGGAGGAGACCTGGAGGGATCTTGTACGTTCGTCATGACTGCAATCGTGACTGTGTTTAACCCCCTGCAGGCGAACCACGGATTCGATCGTACATTAAGCCTCGTCTCCACCCGTCGAGAAGATTATGAGGAGATAGCCAAGTTTGTTGCGGTACTTCCCTCTTACACCGATTACTTATCCATCTTGCTAGACCCAACTCTTCATGACCCTGTCGAGGATAACATGCCTCGTGGCTCGCCCTTCACATCCAATCAGGATAGCGACACTGCATTCACCCTCACGCACACAACTCCAGGACACCACATTCCACGTCCTCCCGCGCCCCAGGCTCTTTCGCCGGTATTAGAATGACTCACGAATCCTCTTGTGTTCATGCCGTCGACGACTTTCATGTTTTCTTGCTATATGACCGAAGTGTACTTTAATGCTGCTCTACCTTTGTAGGGCATCAAATTGATCCTTTGACTGCTACATCTGAGACCTAGTTCGCTTATTGTGATATGCGCTAGGCCGAGCGGTACGCGCATTACCTTGCCTAGCAAGGTCTCTCGCCACCCTTAATTGAAGCCCAACTTTTTGCAGGCACGATCAGAGAGTCAACAGTGCCCAACTAATGACTGAACGCTCCGGGCTTCGAACCCGGAGCTACCCAGAACCGGATCTCATGAAAGAGTGTGTCGCCGGTCGCAGGGCCCGAGTGCTGCTGCGCCTACCACCACTATGTCGTGAACTGAAGCTTGAGACGAGCCGTGCGCACCTCAAGGCCTCGGGGACAAGCGCTTGAGCTCCGTTCAATGGACCTGCACGAATCTTCGATGCGCGCGCAAGCCGCACGAGATGTGTAGTGACAACTTCCAGGTAATGACCGTTGACGAGCTCATGTTGAGTGACAGAAAAGTCATGAGCGAGTGTCTGCCCTACTGCTAGGCAAGGTCCAGAGCCGGCGTAGCCGGGGCTTCCTCTAGTAAAAGTCCCATCGTTCATTTATGATCATGAAGTTGCCTCTCGGAGCCCGGCCCGCGCCACCGCCCTCTGCTTTCGCCGATCATCGTTGTCTGGAGGTCACACATCCTCAGTATGGCCGCCCTCCTCGACCCCACCAGCCACGAGTACAAGAAGGCGCGAAAGCAGCACTTTAAATCCCTCCGTAATCGCCATCATGATGACTCCGCCTGGACGCCCTTCCGCGCCGCGGAGAAGCACTACAAAGCGCGCTTCCCCCCACCGGATCTGTCCAATGTCCTCGACCTTGCTCTCCTTGACCCTGCGAGGGAAGCGGAAATTACAACGGGAGGTTGGAGAGGCAGTCGCAATGTCGAAGGATTGGAATATCAACGACTAGAACACGCTAGCTCAAGAGCGTTTGTCCTGCCGCGTATCCCAGGTGCGTCGGGCGATGCTTCCCGACTGCTGGCAGCTTACCGATCGCAGGAATCTCTTAGGTTTAATCCTCCTCCCCTCCTTCGTCTGTCATGAGAAGCAAAAGGAGCTCATTCGCTGGGCAATCGCCGAGCACGCCAAACCGCCAACGGAGACGAACCTCGACATCCACTACGTTATTCCCGAAGAGGGTGTCTGGAAAGCTTGGTTGGACTCCAAAGAAGATCCAGCGCGGGACTCCACAGCCATCCCCAAAGCTACTCTGCCTGATGCTGCGCACGCTACCATCCCTCAGCCGCCTCCCGGCCCGCGTCAACTCATCAACAACGAGCCCGCTTCCCCAGCTAACTTTACCTCTATCGTGCATACAGAGAAGATTCCACAACCGCCTTCACCCACCGTCAAGCCCGTCTCGACGTCAAGCTTACTCCGTAAACTGCGTTGGGCGAACCTTGGGTGGTTCTATCACTGGGGGACGAAGCAATACGACTTCGTGAAGGGGCCGGATGCGATCGACGAGAGGGTGAGGGCTCTGTGTAGGGAGGCGGTGCATAGTGTAGATTGGGGAGAGGTGTTTGATGGGAGGGAAGGGGACTGGGGTGAGGAGAAAGATGAGTGGAAGACGTGGAGGGAGACGTACGGTGAGCCTGCCTAACTTGCTTGTGCTCCGTGAGACCTTACTGAACTCTGACAGAGCCAGATGCGGGTATAGTCAACTTCTACCAGACCCAGGTAGGCTGACTTTGCTTGAGGAGAGAACGACGTTTGACAGTCGGTCAGGACACTCTCATGGGCCACGTCGACCGGTCGGAAGTATGTGCGACATCGCCGCTGGTCTCTATCTCGTAAGTGCACTCCTATGATGGCACATCCCTGACCGACCTCATGCATCGCGCCAGCCTCGGAAACGCAGCCGTCTTCCTCATTGGCAGTACGACGCGAGACGCAGCACCAACACCCATCCTTCTACGCTCCGGAGATGTCGTTATCATGTCTGGCCCTGCTTGCAGGAGAGCGTACCATGGTGCGTCGCGAGTCACCTCTACGAATCGCCGTCACCTCATCTCTTCCTCCTTGCAGGCGTACCACGAATACTGGAAGATACACTGCCGCCACATCTTCGCCGTAATGGCGATCCAGAATGGGAGCCTTTCGAAGAGTACATGCAGACGACGCGCGTGAACGTCAATGTTCGACAAGTATTCCCCAAAGGATTTGATCCCTCAGTAGTGAAGTCGTGAACGTCGCGGGTACGCCTCATTGGTTTCTATGTAGCAACAATCACAGTTCATTGTCCTGTTCACAAACACTATTTGCCGTTACTCAGCTTCGAACGTTGCCTCAAATTTCACTGCTTGTAAATGATTGTTTCGGTCCCATGCATATCGCGCAGTCTCACTAACATCTTTTCCAGGACGTCGTAAACGGACCCAAGAGGTCATATATCATCGTGAACGTGAACCCCACCAATAAATATGTAATCCATCCCCAGCATGTCGTCCAAATTCCTTCGCACCCCTTCCTTAGCAGGTACCCTCGTTGTCGATCTCGATGCGCTTGCCATCGGGGACATCGTCCGGGTTGTTGTTGTACCTATAGGACGGTGAGCTCGGCTCTCTCCCAACTTGCAGCGACCGCGCCACGCGACTCACCAGATGTAATGCCCGTTGAGCGCCCAGCCGTAGTTGATGCGGATGCGGTTGCACTGGGGCATTGTCAGCATCGTGAACCATCTCGCCCCAAGTCGCAAGCAAAGCTCGATCGCTAGCCAAGGTAGCTACCAGAGCTCGCAAACTCACACTCGTCTCCAGATGGCACGCGTCCGCACCCCCACCGGGCGGGCAGTTGATGAGGTTCTGCGGGTTCGTCGGGTCCGTCTGGCGCTTCTCGGCCGTGGCGGCGGCGGAGGCGAGGCCGGCGAAGAGCGCGGCGGGGAGAGCGAGGAGGGCGAAGCGCATGGTGAATTGGATGAGGTGGTTGAGGGTGAGGTGAGAAGACTGCGTGTGGTGGGGCGGCGGATGGAGAGGTAAGGTGGGAGTGGACTGCCTTTTATATGAGCGTGCTGTGACCTGACTTCGTCTTGCAGCGCTGGCTATGGTACCCTCGAGGCTTACGACTATGCTCGCGAGGAAGCGCGTTTGCCAGCAGGCGCTCTCACGAATACCTCGCTCACTGATCAAACATGGTTCAACAGACGCCGGAAGAATGCAGGACGAATTTTCCTGTTTGGTTTAGCCCTATGGAGAAAGCGAGGTCGAAGTTCCCCACACCCATGCCGGCTACAGCGCTCCACTACAGCGTGCTCGCGGCGGCTTACGCCGTACAATAGTAAGTCTCATACTCAGCAAGCGCGCCTGGTGGTGACGGCCCGTCCCGCACCGCTCGCTCGAACAGTGATTAAAATCCAAACAAATGAAGTTTCGAAAGTGTTTCCACCGGGACAATGTGTACGTTTATTTGCTCGGTGCTGTGATGCGTTGTACTGTCCTTCGAGCTCGCTGGACGCGCCTGCAGAGCATGTCTTGCCTCATGGTCAACCAAACACAGTTTCTCTTCTGTGTGAACTGCCTCGCACATTCATCTACGAAGCTCAACCAATACCCTGAACTCCGTCGCCATCCGACAAGAGCGGCCTCAAAGAACTCGTGCTGAGCTCTTCGCCTGTGTAAACTGGCTATGCTCGCGTAGCCTCGTCGTATATAAGCCCGAGTGATTGTCCTCTCTTCTCATCAGCCAGCCACCCAGCCTCGGACACCAACAGCCATCTTCACTACCCACCTCTTCCAGACCCGCATATCTCACGATGCACGCTTTCACCCCCATCGTCGCTCTTGTGTCCCTCGCTGCGTTCGCTGCTGCGATCCGCAACCCCAACAACCCGGCGGACCCCATCAACTGCCCGCCCAGCGGTGGTGCGGACCTGTGCTCCAAGGAGACGAAGGTAAGTCGTGCTCTTGTGGCAATTGACTCGTTGAGGTCGTCGTCCGCCTTCACAGCGTCCTTCATCACCATCTTTTCCAACTCTTCTGGGACTCCACGAGCTAACGTGCACTCCTCCAGTGCAATAACCGCATCCGCATCAACTACGGTCAGACCGAGCAGGGCCACTACATCTGGTACCTGTGCGTGCTCGCTCTCCTTTATTACCCCAGCCTCACAGCTCATTTTCCTTCGCAGTAACAACTACGACCCGAACAACCTCCCACAGGGCATTCAGATTACCACCGACACCGTGTCGACGTGCTAGACACCGGGACACTGACGGCTGCTTGATATGACGAGTCATGGGAGACGACCAGACACGATTTTTCCGCTGCTGTCTATTTATCTTCTGAAGCTCATTTATGAATCATGACTTGAGAGTTAGCCTCACAACTATCTACCATGCTTTGAGTCGAAAATGCATTGTCAGCGATGCGACGAACGACCTGAGGCCTCGCCAGCCTAAGTTCAACTTGAAAGCACATGATTGCGGGAAAGTGATCATTCGTGATGCCACGATCACTGGCGCTTGTTCTCGACCTGCTTTCGTCCACCATCATCTTGACTCTCGAGCAGCATCACCCAGCATGTCCAGAGGAGGGCTCTACGGTGGCATCAAATTTGCCTCTGGCACGTCTATTAGTTCCCCTGCTCCCCCTGCTTCCGCACCCCCAGCTGCTGCATCCGAGAAACCAGTAGCACAACCCGCTACGGCTGCAGTCCCAGCACCTGCAACTCCACCGGAAACTCCAGCGCAAGGGCCCAGCGCGCCCGCGCAACCCACAGATGCCTCGAAGGGCTCCGCCGGTATTGCATTCATTGCTGTCGCATGTCGTCCGTTCATCGTCCTCACGAATTCCCTCGATAACCCAAAGGCTGGTCTGCCTCCCTCGCCTTCGCACCCGTGCGGAGGGCGCCAAAGCCGAAGGCCGCTGCGCCCCGTCTACCTGCGGGTGCAGCGCTGAGTGCGATGTCCGCCACGGCGACGGTCTTCGCACCGCCCGTCTTGATCGAGCCCAGCAAGCCTGCTGAGGAGAAGACGGAGACGTCGGCACATGAGGCCCAAACACAAGGATGGGGGAAGAAAGTCAAGCCCCCTTCGATGATCTTGGAGGAAGACGTCAATGGATACAAGGCCGCGCATGGGAACCAAAACAAGAAGAAGGGTAGCCATGGCAAGAAGGGAAAGAAGGTATGTGGTCCGCCTCGTTCAACGACACAAGATGATCGAACTTGGTAAGCAGAACAAGCATGTCCCGGTCATTCTCGCTTGGGACCCCATGGAACAGTATGACCCGATCCGACCCAACGACTACAACGAGTACAAGGTCTGGAAATCCAAGGAGCGTATCGAGAGGCGTCACAGAATGGCCGAAGAGAGCCGCAAACGCCGCCGCAGCGGAAGTTATTCGGGAAGCGACTACACAGACTCGGAGGATGAGAGACCGCGCAAGACAGGTGTGTACCACGGCCAATTTGTCGTTTGGTTCATGCTCACATAGGAACTAGGGCGCTTTGACGAATCGTGGGCCGGCGCTCACGACCAAAATCGTAACGACGATATGCATGTCGACCCTCCACCTGTTGTCGTCGACAAGAGTCTGTCCGGAGATGATGCCTATGCACGCCGTCTCGCCATGTCCGCGGGCATGCGAGCGCAGCCACCGCCAGCCTTCGAGCCGCCCGCAGCAATGGAGCCCTCACCCGCGCCATCGGGTAGTGGATCACCTGCGCCTGAAGTCCCTCCCGCCGCCCCTCGTCATGACGAGACAGGCGAGGAAGCGTACTTGCGCCGCATCGCGATGTCGACGCGGCCTCAGGCTGCTGCTCACATGCAACAACAAGCTGCTGCACCCGTGCAGCCTCCGTCCCGGACGGCGTCCCCCCCGACGTTGGCCTACAATCCCTTTGCGCCCACCTCAGCGCCTCCGCCTCCGCCCGCAGCAGGACCACCGCCTGTGGCCGGTGTTTCCGCGGTCAATCAGGCGGCCATTGAAGCCAGAGCGAAGGCTGCGGCAGCCATCGCAGCCCGCCTGAGCGCCCTTGCGCCCAAGGGAGGAGATGATGCGCCAGCACCTGCTCCGAGCCAGTCAACCCCTCCGTACGTTCAGCGTGTCTTTTTATGTGTCGAATGCATCTTCACAACATACCCAGCCCCGACCAACACACCTTCGCCGCCCGCCTCATGGCTAAATGGGGCCACAAAGAGGGCCAAGGGCTCGGCGCGGACGGCTCCGGCATTGTCAACGCGCTCACCGTCGAGCAAGTGGGTACGACGTCTGGCCCGAAGGGAAAGAAGGGCAAGCAGGCCCAGCAGCAGCAACAAGTTCAGCAACCGAAGGGTCTCGCGGCGAAGATGGGCAAGATCGTGAACAACAACGAGGATGCGAGGGCGAGGGAGGACCGCGAGAGATTTGGCGAGCCGAGCAGGGTGGTAGTGTTGACGAACATGGTGGGGCCGGAGGATGTAGGGGACGAGGAGCTGAGAGGGGAGATCGGTGAGTTTGCATGTTTCTGTCACTGATTTTCATGGTGCTCATGCTTCTCCCAGGCGACGAATGCGCGAAGAACGGCACCGTCCAGCGCGTCATCGTGCATCTCGCCAACCCGCCGCCAGCCAACCCTGAAGAACTGGTTCGCATCTTCGTGCTTTTTGCAGGGCCTGCGGGTGCTTGGAAGACAGTTCGGGAGATGGATGGGCGGTACTTCGGTGGAAGGAGTGTCCGCGCGCGGTATTACCCAGAGACGTACTTTACACAGTACCTCCTGGACGAAGCTCTTTAGTTTATTTTCAAGTGCTGCCACCTCAGTGTACAATGCTACATATCTATCGATTGCATGATTTCGCTGCTATCTCCAGCTCGCACAACCCAGGCTTTAGCCAGTTCTTGAGTTCCAAGCCAATGAACGCGAAATAATGATTATCAGGGTAATGATACAATCCGTACGTTCAGTGTTCACTCTGTAAGTACATGCACCCGAACGCGCCTGCATGCGCCTAGTACACACGCTTAAACGGCGGCACCGCCTTGCACTCGTTCTCATCCAGCGTCTTGTCGATGACACCACGGTACGACAACTTGACGTCCGGCTTCGTCGAGTCGTTCTGGAAGGAAAGCGTGTGCTTCATCCAGCTCTCGTCGTCGCGCTCGGGGAAGTCCTCGCGTGCGTGGGCGCCGCGGGACTCCTTGCGGGCTGCGGCGGAGGTGATGGTCTGCACGGCGCACTGGAGCAAGTTGCGGAGCTCGAGCGTCTCGACGAGGTCACTAAGAGAGGGTTAAAACAGTGTTTAAGTAGCAGGAGGTGGCGGACGTACGAGTTCCAGATCATCGAGCGATCCTTGATACCGACATCCTTGTAGGTCTCGTAGATCTGCTTGACCTTCTGCACACCCTCGTCCAACGACTCCTGCGTCCTGAACACAGCAGCGTCCGACTGCATGGCCTTTTGGAGGTCCAACCGGATCTTAGCGGTGGGGATGGGACCGTCAGCCTTCCTACAGCGACGTTAATACGCGATGCTTGTTTGGGCAATCAAGAATTATTTACCTGATCTGGTCAAGGAACTCGATGCTCTCGATGCCAGCCTCATCGGGAATCTTCTTGTGCGGCTTGCCAGGGGTAAGGGTCTCCTCGATGTGGTGCGCGCAAGCACGGCCGAAGACGACGATATCGAGCAGGGAGTTCGCACCGAGACGGTTGGCACCATGGACGGAAACACAGGCAGCCTCACCGGCGGCGTAGAGACCGGGGACAACCTTGTCCTTGCCGTTCTCGTCGACCGTGATAACCTCGCCAGTGTACTTCGTCGGAATACCACCCACTGATTAGAAGGTCAGTCTCCTGTCTTGTAGTACAATGATGAAATTGCTTACTGTTGTAGTGGACGGTGGGCAAGACGGGGATGGGCTCCTTGGTGACATCGACACCAGAGAAGATAGCGGCGGTCTCAGAAATACCCGGGAGACGCTCGTGCAAAATCTCGGCGGGCAGATGGCTGAGTTGGAGGTAGCAGTGATCCTTCTCAGGACCGACACCGCGACCCTCGCGAATCTCGATCGTCATGCTACGAGACACGACATCACGAGAGGCAAGATCCTTCGCGGTCGGTGCGTAACGCTCCATAAAGCGCTCACCCTCAGAGTTGAGGAGGTAGCCTCCCTCACCGCGAGAACCTGCGATAGGAATGAATGGCTATCCTGTGCAGATATATGCGTTGGCGACGTACCCTCAGTGATCAGGCAACCAGCACCGTAGATACCCGTGGGATGGAACTGGACGAACTCCAGATCCTGGAGGGGAAGGCCGGCACGGGCGACCATGGCGTTACCGTCACCCGTGCACGTGTGCGCACTGGTGCAGCTGAAGTACGCTCGTCCGTACCCACCCGTCGCGAGGACGGTCTTGTGCGAACGGAAGCGGTGGAGGGTGCCGTCCTCGAGGTTGAGGGCGATCACACCCACACACTCACCATCCTGCATGATGAGGTCGAGTGCGAAGTACTCGATGAAGAAGTTGGTGTTGTGGCGGAGGGATTGGCCGTAGAGGGTATGGAGGAGGGCGTGACCGGTACGGTCAGCGGCGGCAGCGCAGCGATACGCCTGACCTCCCTTGCCGTACTTCAGCGACTGGCCACCGAAGGCGCGCTGGTAGATCTTGCCCTCCTTCGTGCGTGAGAAAGGAACACCGAAGTGCTCGAGCTGGCAACCAGATGAGTTATGCGTGCTGCAGCGTCGTATGCGCAGCGTACCTCAATGACGGTCTTAGGCGCCTCGCGACACATGTAGTGGATGGCGTCCTGGTCTCCAAGCCAGTCGGAACCCTTGACCTGTGGGGGATGTGAGCATACATGCGGGGTAAAGTCTGGGAATACGCACCGTGTCGTACATATGCCATCTCCAGTCGTCCTCGGTCATGTTCTACAATGATTGTGAGTACGATGTCCCCTTCGCCTTGCCAGCGATCGACGTACTCCGAGCGCTGCGTTGATCCCTCCCTGTGATGGCTGTCAATAGAGCCCACGAGATATTGTGACTTCTCCCTCTCACCTGCGCCGCAACGGTGTGGCTTCGAGTCGGGAAAAGCTTGGTAATGCATGCCGTGTTGAAGCCAGCTTCGGCGAGACCGAACGCTGCTCGCAAGCCCGCGCCACCAGCACCTCTGCGATCCCGTCAGCTGCCGTGTCTCCCCCGCGCGTGCACCCACTCACACAACGACCGCATCGTACTCGTGCTCAATCAAGGGATATTTCCCTGATGCCCAAGACTAGGTACTTCTCAGCAAACAATTCCCCAGTAAGCCAATGTCTGAGTTGACATACCGGAACCTCCTGCGCCTTGACGGGGTTTGTCGCGACGACCTTCCTCGCGGGGGCGGTGGTGGAGAAGGAGCGGTGAGGCCGAAGGAGACACTTCCTGAGCGTGGGCCTGAACATGGCGGAGTGAAGACAAGACGCGCGCAATGACGCCCCGCCCGCTCAAGAATCCAGAAAACAGCCGGCGATGCCGGCCAATCATCGCTCGTGATTTTCGCATGTCCCCGGTCCGCGACGTCCCGAGATGTGAACCCCGCGTTCTCCCGGCGTCCGCGGTCACGGTTCGACTTTATTGGTCACCTCAGACAGCAGGTGCGTTGCAGGCTACTATAGCTATGGATACAGTGCATTTCCAGAATTATTCAAGTCCGAGTCCTCCCTCTACAATACTCCCAATGGGTCTCGCGGTACATCTCTGCGCTCTGGCGCTGCCGACTCTTCGGCAGGCTTCCGACCTTGCCCTGCCAGAGGTGCCGTCGGCAGCGCCGGCCTGCTTGCACCCACACCGGCAGGAGGTCCTCTACGAGGTATGGTTGCAGGGGGTAGATAGCGCTGCGAGCTGGGAAGTGGTGGTGGCCGAATGGTCGAAGTTGCTGGACTGCTCGGTTCAGACGCCCCGCGAGGGATAGGCGGTGTTGGTGCAACAGGCGCAGGGATGGGAGCAGCTTCAGAAGACTGCACAGGTAGTCTCTGCGTGAAACTGGGATCCCGCCCATGAGCAGCAGCCGTTCTCCGCCTCCGCTCCTCCTCCCCATACAACCTCTCCTCGTCCAATTCGCTGGGCTTGCACCCGCCTTTCAGCAGAATATCCCGCACATACAACAGCGACTCCATCGCGTCCTGCTTTGCCTTCCGCTGCGCAACGTCCGTGACCGACCCCTCTGCGGCCGGCGCGCCGAGACCGCCCTGCTGCAGCGTGTATGCCACCCAGGCGAGCGACTCCCCCAATTTCTGGTTCGTCGCCTGTAGGTCGGCCATCGAATCCCGCTCGCCGTCGAAGCGCGGCGCGCGGGCTTCCCAAGGTGTTCGCGAACCCCGCGTGCGCTCGTCAAGCAGCGCAAATGAAGTCCCCGTCGGGGAAAGAGGTTGCCGTACGAGCGAAGAGAGCTCGGGGATGTTCTTCTGCGGAGATCAATCAGCGGCGATCCTAAGGAAGGAGGGGATCGTCGTTCTTACCTTGAGCTCGGAAACCGCACTCATGATGTTGTTGATTCCTAACCCTTCCCCACGCTCCATGAGTCCCTTCGCCAGCATTTCTGGTATGCCGAATTGCGATGCCGAACCCTGCCTCGCATGACCTCGCGGAGGCGCATGCGACGTCGCAGGACTCGCCCCAGAGTACGAGTTCGTTTTTGGCCTCCCTCGCGCAGGTCGTCGAGGAGGTGTAGGTGGTGGCTGGGGTACCTCGCTCGGTATACCCAGCATATTTCTATTTTGCATCATAATCGTCGCTCCTGTCGCCGGCGAGGGAGAAGACTGCAGCTCGATTGCCTGCTTGATGAGTAAGGACGTATGCAGAGATCCGTCGGCCAATATCGTTCGAGGGGGACTTGGGTATCGGAGAAGCGCAGTCAGTTGGCCACTATAGTCCGCGGGAATGACTTGAGAAGCATTGAGCTATAGATAGTAAACACCGACGGAAGATACTCACGTTCGTTTCGTATGCGGATGAGCATTGCTACGCATATCCATGGTGCTAGCTCCAACGTAGGGTCGTATGCAAACAGCCCGTCCCACAACCTCATCGCATCACCCAGAGGAAATTCGCGCGTAAACAAGAGTCGTAACCATCGACTGTTCGCTGAACGATCAACCTCGTTGTGGACAAGTCGTCTGTCCGGCCACTCACATTCCATATATCTGTGGCTCAATCCCCACACCCTGTATCTTACCCCACAACAGCGGATCAATCGAGCGGAGGAGAGTCGACTGGATGCGATTGCACGCCAGTACCACCGGGCTGACGTACGGCTTGAGCTCGAGCTTGCCGTTCGTGGGCGCCGGCTGGATTGGTGATGAGGCCAGCGAAGGCTCGCGCCATTCGTACCACTGCGAAGCGCCCCGCATTACAGCGCTAAACAACGCCCACGCGTCTGCAGCGACCCACGTCCGGGAGCATAGCTCGCGAAGAGTAGCGTCCTCAGTGGAGGCCGGCTCATCTTCAGGCAATGCGTCGAAGTCGACAGCATAGTAGATCGGTGCGAGGAGCTCGTGCATGCCTGTATATATGTGAGCAAGGTCGTGTTACGAGATGGAAGGCGCGCAACCTTGCCGATAGCCGATCTCTGGGTTGGTTGCACAGTAGAGAAAGAGGATGTCGGTGAGATGAGCTTGAACATCTGCATCGCGGAAGAAGTCGATTTCTGGGAACCTGGAGAGCGTGAACTATGGTTCAGTCGCGGAGGCTCAGCACGTACGTCCGCTCAACATCCTGCGCGATCGTCTTGCGAAGTTCCATAGATGCAAACCACTCCGTCCATGGGTTCTATATGGGATTAGTCTTCACACTTGAGTGAAGACGAAGCCTGAACGCACCTTATCATGCAAACTCAAGGGATTGTTCATCTCTAAGTTATCGACCTTCCTGGTCGTGCGCAACTCCGTCGTCGACCCTCCTGGCACGGTGAAGCCTTCTGCGTAGCCTCCATCTGGTGCTTTGAACTTTTCAAGCATGACGCGTACAAAGTCGCGTCTTGAGGTTCGAAGGCTGCCGATCGGAGGCTTCACTTCAAAACTGGCAGACGTATCCAGCGGCTCCTCTTGGTGCAGGAGGAATAACTAGACAATACTGAGTGACGGTGGAACAAGCACAATACTGTAGCGCACCTTCCATGCAAGACTCCTCCCTGCAACACATACCGAATTGCCCTGCTCATAGTCGAGCAATCGGTCAGCGATAGCGTTGTCCTTCAACTTCGCCAAGCTCGCTTTGGACTCGAATAGGCGCTGATATACATCCCTACCCGCTGATCAGTTATCAGAAGGCGCGTCTTCCTCGTGCACACTCACCTCAGGAGGCCTCGAGGCGCCCGAGGGTGACTCTCGTCCGCGACTGCCATTCGTCACAGTCCGTGTCAGAGAACAAAGCCAAGTCTAAACGGGGTTATGACGACGAGAGCCACGTGCTGGAAGCAAACGAATGTGACGTGACACTTTGCGTGATGGTTGATATCTGCCCTGCTCGGAGTCCGGACCTAACCTGCTTACCACCACCATGACCTGCCACGCCGCATCCATGCCTCGCTGCTTGGAGTCCTGATGGAGAGGCTATCTTATGAATACGCAACGTCTCGCCCATCTCTGGCTCTTGGTCTTATGCCTCGCTCACATTCATCTTGCCCTGCTTCCTTCGCGAGTTCGGCTGTATATCGATGCTCGGTACCGTGAACGTCGGGTTCCGCTCAGGACGGCGCGTGTCGGCTGCTTCCCGACAAGACCATCCGCTCTGGCATGCGCTCTCCCCAGCTTCGACCTGAACGGCATGCAATCCGTTGACAGATATCAGAAATCACGAAGCGGCTTAAACATGCTGCCCTACACAGAGTCTGTGCTTTCTGGCATAGTATGTTCGGACCGATCAACGAGAACGGGGAGGGTCATGCTCAATAGAGACCTGCCAACTTGATCGTCATAGAGCTTGACTCTCCTCCGCCTGTGACCCGGATGCAAAGCGCCCGACACCTGAACCCGCAATACCGACGCCGACTCGCACTGGACTGGACATGCGCTGAAACCATGCGCGCCCATCGCACGACGGAGTACCGACTTCTCTCTGCGGACGCCATAGCATCTGCGCAGCTGGGGCACGAGCCGTAGAGAATCCTAACACCGCCGACACGAACCTCACCTCGTCGGCCTCAGCCGCAATCTCGATCCGCACGTTTCCCCGGATCCGTGAGGTACGTTCTCCGCAAAGCCGAGTGATTGACAGGGTCAGATGTGTCCCCCGATGTGAAGTGCAATGCTCTTTTTCGTCCACAAGGGCGTGAGACCGTCGGAGGCGAGAAAACTCCTTTTCTGATAACCGAAACCGCACCATGCATAATCCAAGATCATACAGGAAGTACTACAGTAGGACATATCGGCGGCGCATAACAATCCGAGCAGCAAGTAAGTAAGGTAGGGTGGTATGTAAAGTACATCGGTCGGACGAAGTTGGATGGAGGAACACAAATTACAAGGGGCACAGTAGTAAGCTACACCCGAAGAAAGCAAGCTACATAGATATCCGGATAATCGCCAGCGATTTCTTTCTTTTTTGTAGGCAGTCCATTATTTCCAGGTGGGAGCAGCGTATGTTGACCACGACGTCGTTGCCTGCGGTTCCGATAGACCCCAATCCCCCGACCAGGGGATCGCCGAGCTCGCTGGAATTTCCGCCGTATACTGAGGGACGGGCTGCTGCTGCGAGACGGCGCGGAGGAAGTGGTTCATGCTGAAATCCATGTCAGGGTCGCCGACTTGTCGGAACACGGCGCTTGGGCTGGGGGAGACATCACCGCCGGACGACACCAGGCTGCCGCCCGGGGACACGTCCTGGCCCACGTCGGGCCAGACGTAGCGGTTGGGAGGGGTGTGGTAGCGCTCGTCGGAGAGCTGCGCGAGCAGGTGGCCCGGGGAACCGCTGTCTGACCTGGATGATCTGTCACTCTCACTTCTCCGCAGGTTGCGTTTGGCAAGCAGGTTCTCGAGGAAGCGGGAGTGTAGCGCAGGCGTATGCCGATCGTCCAACGCCACATCCTTCGAGCCGAGCACATCGATGAGGCGATTCACCAGCGACACGATGTCCTGCTGCTCGCTGTCACTGAGTAGTGGACGAAACTTGGGGCGCAGAAGCTAAAGGCCATCGTTAGTGAAAATGCCAGCGAAGTCAAAGGCCACTCACATTGATCAGGAAAGCGGCGGCGTATGACACGTAGATGAATTGGTCTTCTGGCGCGTAGCGCAGCTGGCGGGTGTAGTACAGACGATCCAACATGGTCTCGATGACCGTCTTCGCCGCATTGTAGGCGTCCTTGAACACCCTACAACTCCGCGTCAAGCCGGAAGCACCCTTCTTCATCATCTGCCGGACGCCAGTGGCGAGCATAGTCAAGCGCAAGTACGAGACCAGTCTGGGGAACGTCAGTGGAGTACATCTAGGTTGACTCGTGTACTTACAATGGGGTGAGGAGTATCCTGTATTGGCAGACCGCTGGTGGAGAATTAGGAAAGACCGTCCGTACAAAAAAGAAGCTCGCCTACAGTGTTGCTCGTAGATCTGCTGCCAAGAATACATGTCCTGTACTAGGCGCTCTGCGTGGTCGCACGTTGAGGCAACGGCGTCTCCTTCCTAAGATAGAGTATCAGTACAGCCGATGGCATCGTATAACGGCGCAATTCAGCTCACCTTCGTGAGCGCCTTCGAGCGCCACTCCCACACCAAGCGCAACGAGCTGATATAGCCGCACAGATGGACGTCGAAGGGCGTGTTCAGTGGTGACGTCTGCCACCAACTCGCTGATGTCCTCGCGAGGAAGTCGTCTGGAGAAATCATAGGCGGTTTGCCGAGCTGCACGGCCTGCGCTGCGTCGACGCAGTAGCAATTCAACCACACCCTGGTCCGATTGAGCTGCTCCCGGACGGGAAGATCCAGCGAGGGGGGACGGTCAAGCCCGAGTTCCTGGGCCATCCTGAACACGGATGAGCCCGAAGGCGCAACGAATTCACAGCCTATGCCTGCGCACCTGATAGCAACACCCAAAAACATCCAGCTACGGTCGTCGGCGTAGTTCTGCCGTTCGGTCAGCGGCTGACGCAGCCCCGGGTAAGCACCGACGTACTCTTTTCGGCGTCGGATACATGCCCAGTAGAAGGTACGCTGTCATGCGGTAAGACGCGAGGTCCAACCGTCATTAATCAGTTGAACTCACCCTGACAAGCGTCCACGCTTTTCAGCCCGTTGACCAGCGCATTCCCAGCCGCAGTACGCGCGAACCCAATGGCCAACTCGTACATGTGCCGCCGAGAATCGTCATACCTGCAGGCAAGACCACAGACTTGGAACGCAATCAGGATCGACCATCGTAGTGCCTCCGTCCATCGCACTCACCAACAGTGAAAAGAAACTTCGATGACGATGATCAGCGATCGGTCGAACTAGTTGCGAGCATATGGACTTACTGGACAAGACCATATCAGGTTCCCAGGGGTGTGCAGCTCGGGGTCCAGAATGGAGAAGAAGGGGTTGATTCGTTCGAAGAAGCTAATCGACAGTGAGCAGGGCCCTGCGGGTATAGCGCGGCGGCACCTACACGCGGAATAAATCCTGCACGTCCTGCGGATAGAGTTCACAATATCGGACGACATCAGGTGCCCTCAGAACGTTCGCGTCGCCTGCATGATGTATGTCAGCCGCGAAAGAAGCCCCGGATCACCACCGCGCGGCGTACCATGTGCGAAGTATGAGAGGCAGGCCATCTCGGCGGCGCCTTCGTCTCCTGTTGGCACCCATCTCGGACGGTGTACTCGTGCCTCGTAAGGTGAGAATTCTGCCAATACATGAGGACAACAGCTCTCATTGAACGCGCACGCCGTACCTGAGGGGTGGGATGAAGTGTGGCGCAGGTCAGGCTGGGCCCGCGCCATCCAGTCGCGTATCCGACCATCCTCTCGAATGCGGTCGAATCGCAGCAACAGGTCCTGTATCTCCATATCCTGGCTTTGGGCGCGCTGGATGAGCTCCTCGTGCGTCCTGGCATTCGGTAAGAACGGCTCGATAGAGAAGCTGATGGACTAACGGTGCAGGCTTGCGCTTTTTGCGAGTGCGAGCAAGGCAGTCGTAGTTGCCTGCGATGCATCTCTGACAGGCGGAGGCACCAGGACTGAACTCGCAGCGGACCTAGTAGACAACATTGAGTAGGATACGGCGCGAGGTAAGGGGCTAACTACCTTCAGCGACTTGCAATGGACACATGCACCAGACCTGTTCGGGGAATACGCGTGTCAGTTGAGACTCATGTTCGTAGATAATGTGCCACGGACGCCTTGGTCCCCGCGCGAGAGCGACCATAAGACTTGTTGATGAAGGGCTTGACATCCTCCTCCTCGGTATTCTCGGAGTCCAGTAGCCTGGCGGGGCGGAACGCGTCCGGGGTAGGGGCAGGCATGGAGGAAGAATACACTCGTCGTGACTGCTCGGAAGGAGGAGGAGACGGAGATGACATGGTCGCCGATGTTCGAACCAACATGGGAGATGACCGTGAGTAATGCACATCATAGGAGGATGCTGTTAGTGTCCAATCATTAAGAAGACGCGTGCAGCTTACCCGTACACAAGGATCGTCAGGGCCTCAGGAGAGGCGCAGCGGTAATGAGCTGGTGGGTTGGTCGCGCAAAACCTGGATAGGACAGGTAGCTTTGCTTATATACAGCGCGGGGAAGCTAGGTGGATGGAAGCCCACCTGTGACATGCCGAGGGGAAGCGGATTCTTAAGGCCCGTCAGAGCCCGTTCACCACGGCAGTGCAGCATGAGATCTTGATTGATATCGGTGATGGACGAGGCAGGATTACGGTTGGCTGGGCCGTGTTCCTGGGGCTATTGCTGGAATTCTATGCAGGTCCGATTGGGAAAACCAAAACCGCCCTACCGCGTTGTCAGTGAAGCAGATCATCTAGGATTGGATGGCCAAGAAATTCCCAGCGCTTACCGAGCCATTCAGTTTGGCGCCCACTGAGCTCGCACGACTGGTTCGCGGTCAAACCACTAATGAGGGCGAGAAGCCCTGGTGCACTGCTGCTCGTATAGCCATAACCCACTGACGACCTTCTGGCTGAAGTTCGTTTGGCCAGAACGACCAACCAGGCTCCTCCAGCACACGCAGTTTCTACCATCACCACTGAGTCAATACCAGGTCTAATTAATTAAGAATGCTGTAACTGACAGTACGGCGGATATACAGCCGCGCTATCGCGTATTTTCAGCAGGGGGAGCGAGGTGCTGGGCAGGAGGCGAGCCCATTTTACGATTTTCCTCGACAATACAAAGTGAGTTGCGAATGGGGCGAAACACCTGACGATACGACCTGATACGGCGGGCGCTCGTGGTCAATTCGCCCGATGGCCGGTGAAAGAGGAAGGGGAAAGGAACAACGGGACCAAATTGCGTGATCGATCTACCATCAATCGGCATCCACGCGGGCGACAGAACGTGGCGGCGGAAGCATATTCTGATTACTCCCGTCCAAGGCCAGCCAAAGGCATCCATTTAATGCTCGTTTGGATAGGAAAATAACGTGCAGTGTACGCTACAGCAGTGAGCCCATCCGCAGTGCGCGTGCGCTTCTGCGCGAGCATTTAGACTATCGGCGCTGCAGTCGAAGCAGGTGACTGTCCTATAAGCGGCACAGCTCTGTAGCGCGCTCAATTGCTGTGGCCAAACTTGCAATCATAGTTAGGTGCTGCCCCCACCGCGCCGGCGCCCAAATGCGCTATGTTATAGGGCTGTATAACTCGGTCAGTCGGGCCTGACTTCATGACAGGTCACCCGCTCTTCAGAGTAAATTCAGTGAGAACTCAGAATTTACTGCCACCGGCGCAGCCTGAGATACCTCCATAGGTTGTCAATTGAAGTAGTGGCTACTATCTCGATGCCGATGCGGAATCGCAATACGAAAGTGATGGAGAAGACGGCCTCCTGAGGAGTGGAAAAAACTGCAGTAGAGACTTCGTCAGAGACGTAACGGCTTCCGCGGAGCTCTGCCACCAGAATCGTCGCGTCCGCGCAAACTCCTTAAGGTGAAGCATCGTAAACAACGTCACCTTGGATGGTGCTAAGAGCGCCTTCGCGCTAAATCGCAGATCCTTAATCATTCGTAGCGGTCACTGATCCGTGCAGGCTTTGGCTCGCTACCAAACACGCACGGGATTCTTCGAGACATGTTCGCCGATCCAGTCTACTTCCCGGTTGGAATTGTGTCCCGCTCCGTCTGAAGGCACCCTCGCCTGAGGGTCCCAGAAGTTGAGAACGGACGAGAGTAGCCGTACTTCGTCGCGCCGCGAAGCATATGCGACGCGGGCAGTCCCCGTTGATTATCAGTTCAAGGACGGGAGCAAGCTGGCAAAGAAGCAGACAGTGAGCGCTCGAGGGGAGTCAGAAGAGACGCCGATCTGCATGGAGACACCTCTTAGCTCGCCGAGGCGGAGAAAACACACCAGCGAAAGATTGTAAGTCCAGGGCCCTTACACCCGCTAAATTAACTGAATTGACGGTGGCACTGTTAGCGTACAGAGGATGTCGAGTCCACGTAGCTATAGGGCGCACCTCTGGCAGTGGTTGTCGCCCCTCAGAAAAGCTCAGTACCTCAGTATGAGGCGAAACTCACCGTGACACAAATGAGCGCAGGTGGAATGTGGCTCTTGCATTTCTGAGCATACAATTGACCTCATATTGTTCATTCGATAGTCGACTCAGGACTGAAGTACTGCGGGTTAAGCTCAGCCGTACAGCCGACTGTGGGCGTGACTGCTTGCGGAATCCTGCCCCGAATTCGTCAGCTTCAACGCTTGCGAATGTGAGCCAACCGTACAGACGAGGAACACATGCCATTCCTCCTGAGTCGGAGACATATCAAGGTTCTCTCCGAAGCGCTCAGCGTCGGTGGGAGGCCGACCGGCCATACAACGGCGCAACTGACGCATGCCAATGGCCGCATGGAAAACCGTCAATCGGGCGACTTCGACGGTATCTAGATATGATCTATCAGTCAGGCCCCAGCATGCCGAAGCTAACATTGCGCACCCGCGTCACTTCCATCCTCGTGGGGTCCTCCGTGTGTGCCCGTTCGGAGAATGCCGTGCGTGTCGTGGGTATGGCGCTAAGGTCGGATGAGAAGCGGAGGCCAATGTCCTGGGTTCTGACTTCCGAGCCCTCGCCCGTCTGTGAACGAGCTTTGGCCCTAGAAAACCTTCCCTTGCTGTTCTGGTGATAGATGAGTATGCCGATATGCACGGCATAGACATGCGACCCTTTCCTGAATTTAAACGAAAATAACTGCATTGCGAAGGCAATTTACACTCGACCAATGAAACGCACGGTCACGGTACGGCCTCCCGAGGTTCGACACGATCCCCTGGCGTTCCCGCAAGTGGGCCTCTTACCTGGAAACCTCCCTCGCACGGGCAAATATGGTGAACAGAAGCGACCAGGCCCACGCAGAAACCCGGGCGGACGACAGGCGCCCAAGACGCGACACAACTGTAGGCTTCAAGTGGGATCGGTCAGCATGATGTTCCGAGGAGCCGCGGCCCACCACTGGGCGCTGCGCACTCAGAGCTATTTCTTGCAACCAAGTACGACATTCGTCTGGACGACGATTACTGCAGTCAATTGGAGGAAGCTCTCCAGCAATACAAAAAGAGGAATGTACGTGCCTTACCACCGACTGTGAGTCCAGGTGATGATTTAGTGAGCAGCGACTCACCTCTTCTTTATCTGACATCGGAGGTCAAAGATGTTTGCCCAGAGTCAGACAAGACGTTTACAAGCCTCTCAAGACGCTGGGCACCCGAATTGATAAAAATTTTGGGACGACGAACTTCAGCGGGGCTGTGAGCTGCATGCGAGTCTGAAATCCGAGGCGCAACACTGATCGCGTTGACAGAAGTTGAATACATAAGACACGCCTTGAAGGCTTTGCGCGCTGGAGCCGCGCTGACCGCATCGCACAAGATGTCCGAAGGCCGACATACAGGCGTAGCCCAGGTCGAGGCGACGTACGATTACAAAGAGGAGTCCTGTGATGCACGATACTTCTCAGGGGCTCCCAAGCTTGTGGTACTCTTGCCATAGAGGCAGACGCGGAGGAAGGCGCTATGTCGGACCAAGATGCACGGAAGCGAGCATTCATTCAAAGCAAGTCACCAAGGTGCAAGCTCGCTGAGATGTTCGTTTCGAGGAGGCGTAGCAGCAGCCTGCGACGGACGATGCGGACGACGATGAGGAGGACAAGTCCTGTGTTGACTGTTGTTGCGCGAAGGCCCTCAAGTGTTCGCCCGTGACGAGCCGTCACGCGCCTCCCCGAAACCACAGCTGATCGATTCGCACAACGCGCCCAACATCACCGCCGACGACGGCCACATACTTTCTACATCGTCGTTGGCATCGTCGAACCGTTGCATGACCCATCATGAAGAGTCTCAAGAAATCTTTTGTGCGTCGTCGCCATTTTATCGCCAAAGTCATGACTGACACGCTGTCCATAATCCAGCTCAAAAAGACCTCCCAGGATTCGACGGGTTCGAAGAATAAGGAGTCCAAATCATCCTCTTCGTCGTCATTTGGCGGCTCCGCGTCGTCCGCAGCCAGTGCCGCTCCGCCTCCACCGCCCAAGCCGCATCCGCAGCAAAGCACCAACGGCTCAAGCGCGAGTTCTGTGCACTCGCTGACCTCTGCGTCATCTGCTGCATCGTCAACGCGCTCTGGCTCTCCTGCAAGCGCATCCTCTATTGGTAGCGGTCGTCATGGAGGTGAAGGGGCCGTTTCCCCTCCCATTGTGGTTGTCAGCCCCGATGCTGCTGGAGACGGACATCGCTTGGCGGCTGGCGGCAAGGACGCGGCTGGTCCCGGAGGTGCAGCCACCCCGCCTCGCAACACGACTCTGAACAGACTCCGCGCCGGTCCCAAGGACACGATCCCGATGGTGGGCAAGCCGCCGAGGAAGCAGAGGAGCAGTCGCTTCGTTGTGACGGAGAAGGTCGAGATTGAGCGGCTTCCCGCCTTTGCTGGTGCGTCGATAAGGCACGGGACTCTGTGCTCGCAACTAATGAAGGAACAGAGACGCCGCCGAGTGAGCGTCCGAGTCTCTTTGTCCGGAAGCTGCACCAATGCCGCGTCCTGTTCGACTTCAATGACGCTAGCGCCGAACTTCGTGGCAAGCAGATCAAGGCGCAAACTCTTCACGAGATGCTGGAATACATCACTACCCAGCGCGGTGTGATTACGGAGAACGTATACCCTGAGGTGGTCAACATGGTATGTGTCTTTGCCATCGACCACCTCCGCGTCACATATCGCCCTTCCAGTTTGCAACCAACCTCTTCCGCTCCATACCCCCGCCCGTAAACCCTACCGGCGACGCGTTCGACCCTGAAGAGGACGAACCTGTGTTGGAGCTTGCCTGGCCGCATCTCCAAATTGTCTACGAATTCTTCCTGCGCTTCGTCGAAAGCCCGGACTTCAATACGAACCTGGCCAAACGCTACATCGACCAGTCATTCGTTCTGAACTTGCTCGAGCTCTTCGACTCGGAAGACCCACGCGAGCGTGACTTCCTGAAGACGACGCTTCACCGAATTTACGGCAAGTTCCTCAACTTGCGCGCGTTCATTCGGCGCTCAATCAACAACGTCTTCTTCCACTTTGTCTACGAGACGGAGCGCCACAACGGTATCGCAGAGCTCCTCGAAATCCTCGGCTCCATCATCAACGGCTTCGCGTTACCACTCAAGGAGGAACACAAAATCTTCCTGACACGCGTGCTCCTACCTCTGCACAAGGTCAAGTCGCTGTCGCTTTATCACCCACAACTCGCATATTGCGTGGTCCAGTTCCTCGAGAAGGACCCTGGGCTCGCGGAGGAAGTCATGCTCGGTCTGCTCAAGTTCTGGCCGAAGGTCAACTCGCCCAAGGAGGTCATGTTCTTGAACGAGGTGGAGGAGGTCCTCGACGTCACGGACCCCGCGGAATTCCAGAAGATCCAGGTCCCGCTGTTCCACCAGCTCGCCAGGTGCATCAACAGCCAGCACTTCCAAGTCGCCGAGCGTGCGCTTCTGTATTGGAACAACGAGTACGTTGTGAACCTCATGAGCGACAATCTGCCCGTCATCCTGCCCATCGTCTTCCCGGCTTTGTACACGAACTCGCGGAGCCACTGGAATAGGTGAGAACGCGTTTACAGCTGCACTGTCACCATCTGACGGCGCGCAGGACCATCCACGGCATGGTGTACAACGCTCTTCGACTCTTCATGGAGATCAACCCGGAACTGTTCGACGAATCGATGCGGCAATATCGCCAGAAGAAGATTGAGTACGTTGTATCTCGTCGAAGCTGTTGAACGTGTGACTGACGTCTGCCTTGCGTCACAGGGAACAACGCGCTGCCGTTCAGCGCTACGAGGCTTGGCAAAAGCTGCGCGATATCGCTGTCAAGAACGCTGGCGGGAAGCTGCCTGAAGGATACAAGGACATTCCTCACCCTCCGCCGCCCCCGCCGCCAGCCGTCGAGGACCAAGACATCATGGAACTTTCGATGGAGCTCAACGCGGCGACTATCGATGACGTTTCTGACTTGGATGAGTCTGGGATGGAGCGCATACCGACGGCAGACCCTGGTCTCGAGGTAGAAACGCACGTTTCCTTGGGCGTCCACCACTGACAAGAGCTGTTCATCATAGGGTCAGGTACCTGACAGCCCTGGATTGGGAGGCGCAGCGGGCCAACATGTGCGGAGGCGAAGCGTTCTACCAGGTTCGTTGCCGCTTGTCTTCCGTATTTTCCAGAGCTTACTGTGGCGTCGTCAGTTGACCCGACCGTTATTCGGGATTTGCAAGCGCACCGGAGCCTTGACGACACGGTGCCATCCAGGGAAGGCCACTAACTGGGTGTATCTTGTAAGCGTCAGACGCGAGCCGTACCATCCAGTGCATATACATATATCCATTTTATACTCCTTTCGAGCAGTACATATTCGACTCTTCGTGGTACCCTGTCGCTATCGTCTCAGTCTCACCGGCTTGCTGGATTGTAAACGCGCTCTGAGTTCGCTCGTAGTACCCATCACATTCCTTGACTTTCTGCCTGTCGCCTGCACGTGTAGCGCCCGCCGTTTCGCCCTGTTCCTTAGAAGAAATGCCATGAACGCTGAGCGGAGCTCGAGGCGCTGCCTGCCACCGTCTGGGAGGCCGCACGAACGACCTGGAAGCGAGGTGAATTGTGGCGAAACACATGGAAAGGACGAAAGGTTGCCAAAAGCGGACGACAAACGGGATTGACGTGATTATCCACGTGACTTTGAGGCGAATCTTCTTCAACCTTCTGTATTGTTCTCGGACGTCGATTGGGATATATAGGCCGGCCGAAAAATGGGGGCTCCTCAGAATTTGCATCTTCACTTCCACTTCCACTTCCACTTCCACTCTTCTGCGATCTCCCATCGCGCTCTCCATTCGCAATGTCTTCCTCAAAAGCTGTCGGCATTGACCTGGGCACCACCTACTCTTGCGTCGGTGTCTGGCAAAATGACCGTGTCGAGATCATTGCCAACGACCAGGGTAACCGCACGACCCCGTCCTACGTCGCCTTCACCGACTCTGAGCGTCTCGTCGGTGACGCGGCGAAGAACCAGGTCGCGATGAACCCGCACAACACGTACGTCCCGCTTGCCACCCGGCGCTTATTCGATCGCTAACTTCTGTTCAGGGTGTTCGACGCCAAGCGCCTCATCGGCCGCAAGTTCAGCGACCCCGAGGTTCAGGCGGACATGAAGCACTTCCCGTTCAAGATCATCGACAAGGCTGGCAAGCCCTACATCCAGGTCCAGTACCGCGGAGAGACCAAGGAATTCGTATGTGGCCCCGATCTTTCATTTTATGGCTCCGATCTAACTGATTTTGTAGTCCCCTGAGGAGATCTCCTCCATGGTCCTCGGCAAGATGCGCGAAGTTGCTGAGTCGTACCTCGGTACCACCATCAACAACGCCGTCGTCACCGTCCCCGCCTACTTCAACGACTCTCAGCGTCAGGCCACGAAGGATGCCGGTACCATCGCCGGTCTCAACGTCCTCCGTATCATCAACGAGCCGACCGCTGCTGCCATCGCCTACGGCCTCGACAAGAAGGTGACTGGCGAGCGGAACGTCCTCATCTTCGATCTCGGTGGAGGCACTTTCGATGTGTCCCTGCTGACGATCGAAGAGGGTATCTTCGAGGTGAAGGCCACCGCCGGTGACACTCACCTCGGTGGTGAGGACTTCGACAACCGTCTCGTCAACCACTTCGTTCAGGAGTTCAAGCGCAAGAACAAGAAGGGTAAGTTTTCCTCATTGTTTGCACATCGGCGTCGATCTAACATACTCTTCAGATCTCTCCTCGAACCCGCGTGCCCTCCGTCGCCTGCGCACTGCTTGCGAGCGTGCCAAGCGCACCCTCTCCTCCGCCACCCAGACCTCCATCGAGATCGACTCGCTCTACGAGGGCATCGACTTCTACACCTCCCTCACCCGTGCTCGCTTCGAGGAGTTGTGCCAGGACTTGTTCCGCAGCACGCTCGAGCCCGTCGAGAAGGTTCTCCGGGACTCGAAGATCGACAAGTCGAACGTCCACGAGATCGTCCTCGTCGGTGGCTCGACCCGTATCCCGCGCATCATGAAGCTCGTGTCGGACTTCTTCAACGGCAAGGAGCCCAACAAGAGCATCAACCCCGACGAGGCCGTCGCCTACGGTGCCGCCGTCCAGGCCGCCATCCTCTCCGGCGACACGTCCGAGAAGACCCAGGACCTCCTCCTCCTCGATGTCGCGCCGCTCTCGCTCGGTATCGAGACCGCCGGTGGTGTCATGACCCCGCTCATCAAGCGCAACACCACCGTCCCTACGAAGAAGTCCGAGACCTTCTCGACGTACTCCGACAACCAGCCGGGTGTGCTCATCCAGGTCTACGAGGGTGAGCGTGCGCGCACGAAGGACAACAACCTCCTCGGCAAGTTCGAGCTCTCCGGCATCCCGCCTGCGCCGCGTGGTGTTCCTCAGATCGAGGTCACCTTCGACATCGACGCCAACGGTATCCTCAACGTCTCCGCCTCCGACAAGACCACCGGCAAGTCGAACCGCATCACCATCACCAACGACAAGGGCCGCTTGTCGAAGGAGGAGATCGAGCGCATGGTCTCGGACGCCGAGAAGTACAAGGGTATGTCTATTCCTTCCTCTTGCTATCCGACTTGTTACTGACTACTTCTCTAGCTGAGGACGAGGCTGCCGCCAACCGCATCCAGGCCAAGAACGCGCTCGAGTCGTACTCGTACAACCTCCGCAACACCTTGAACGAGGAGAAGGTTGCCGAGAAGCTCGAGGCCGGCGACAAGGCGAAGCTCGAGACCGCCATCAACGAGACCATCACCTGGCTCGACAACTCGCAAGAGGCGTCCGAGGAGGAGTACAAGGACCGCCAGAAGGAGCTCGAGGGTGTCGCCAACCCGATCATGCAGAAGCTGTACGGCGCTGCTGGCGGTGCACCGGGTGGCTTCCCTGGCGGCGCTGCTCCGGGCGGCTTCCCTGGTGGTGCGCCTGGCGCGTCCGAGGAGGGCCCGTCCGTCGAGGAGGTCGACTAAGCGCCTCGCCGTGCTCGGGTCTTGGTCTCGTTCTTCTTGTGCTGTCTTGGGTTGCGCGCTTTCCGTTGTTTTTGTAGCTTAGTGATTTTCACGCATGCTTTACGCGGACTAACGCCAACGTAATGTTCTGAGTTATTTACCAATTGTACGATAGAGCAATGCATTTTCTCGCATCATCCTCGTTGTCTGATCATGAAGTCTATGTTGTCTACTCTGGTTCAAGTAAAGGTAAGGACACTTCTTGAAGTTGTTTGCACTCTCGAAGGCGACGTTGTTGTATTGACATCGCGTTGTGGGCGAAGACTGACCAGCGAAGTTGTGCTGGACGAAGGCATTGTTCTCTTCGAAAGTCTTTGTAACGTCGCTCAGGAGATCGCGAAGATGCGTCCGTCGATGAGAGGGAAGCACATTCATTGCCAACGTCCCAAGCGATATCCACTATCTTGTGGCAATCAGCGCGTAGGTGATCATACGCGCTTCCGCCAGTGGGTTTGTCGCGCGAACACGCGCCTATTGTATGTAAATGGGCGGGCAGTTTACGGCTCGCAATGAGTCACTAGCAGCTCGTCGGGCCTCGGTACATGGGAATTTTGTAGGCAAAGGGGCCAGATTACGAGGGGGAACGAGCGCTGAGGATGAGACGGTCGGCGACGGCGATGGGATGGGCGCGCGGCGCGTCGTGAACGGATCCCGTGACCGCGATTGCGCAGTTGGCAAGCGAACGTCGATCAACCCGATGCGTTGGCAGGGACGGTTGCCATCTTGGGCGTGCTCTCCGCACTCACTTCCTCTCATCTTCCATCGTGCGCCATGGCCGGTGAGTCGTCTGCTGTTTGCTATCTCGCCGACATCGTCGCTGACATCCCCGCCAGCCATCTACGCAGTGTATACTTCTCCGAACCACCCGCCGATACCCAACCATCTCCCCACGCTCATCGTCACTCCTCATGGCCAGCCCTCCAATATCCTCTACTCGTATCTGCATACCAACTTCAACTCGGAAAACTACCTCTTGACCCCTTCGCCGCAGGGCGATCTCTGCGTCGCGAAGCTTTTTCCGCCCCGCAAAGACGCACCGGGCAAGGGGTCTGCGTCCGATCCTGGCCACGGCGGTTCGCCCAACTCCCGCGTCGTCCGCTGCGAAGCATCGCGCAATCTCAAGTGGTCCATCGCCAACACGGGCGTCATATCGCCCATCTACAAACTCTCCCTCCCCTCGCCCGACTCGCCGGATCTACCGCTCTTCCAAATATCCAAACCCAACCCGAACGCCGCATTCTGGAGCATGTTCTATTTCGCCTACGCGGGCCACAATATACCCCCGAAGCGCATCGAGTTTGGCAAGATCCAGAAAAACCCGCCGGGCCCGAACGGCGGTGGCACGAGGATCAGCATCACCGGCAAGACGCCGGAGGAGAAGGCGGTCTGGCAGACGCTCGGGGAGGGCAACGAGGACTGCGTGGAATGGGTTGTGTTGTGCGCTGCGCTAAATTTGCTCGAGTGCGTTCCTGTCTCGTCGCTATCCGCACGCTGCTGATTGACACTTCCCGCAGCGACGAGATTATGAAGGCCGCCGAGAAGAACGGGCCCGCGCCCGCGCCCACGCCCGTCAGCCTCCGCGACCCCGGACCCACTCCTGCGCCAGGCGCGCACCCGCCGCCTGGGCCTGGAGGACGTGGCGGGCCTCCTCCCGGCCGTGGGGGGCCGCCGCCTATGGGCCCGCCGCACGGCGCGCCACATGGGGGACCACCTCACGGGGGGCCTCCAGGACCTGGGCGTCCTGGTCCGCCGCCGCACGCCCACAGCCTGCCGCCAGGCGGCCGTGGCTTTCCTCCACAGGGACCCCCTGGCGGACCTCACCCACACGGGCATATGGGAGGCCCTCACCCGAGCGGCCCGCCGATGGGGCGTGGAGGCTACCCGCCAAACCCCATGCGCGGCGCGCCAGGCATCCAGATGCCCATGAGAGGCGGACCGCCTCCCCGGGGTGGTGGCCCGCCCCCGCAAGCGCGGCGGTTCTGAGTAGCGCCGCGCACAGGCGTCGCTGAGCAAGTGCGATGCTTCTGAGCGAGCACCGCGGCTCTGAGAAACGCCATGCACAGGGCTGCGCCCACTTCTTCTGTACATCACCTATCTCTCGGACACCGTCTGTTCTCTGTCTCTTTGGGTTACCAACTCCGTTTCTTTGGGTTACTTGGTCGCCTTCATCTTTCAATAGCTCAGCTTCACCGCCTTGAGCTCAGCTCCCTTCACTTCCCATAGCTCTCGTTGTTGCTATCTGCCTGCCGAGTTCTGCGCGGACAGGACGTGAGCCCCGTTGGAATGGGCGCTGGCCGGCTCCCGCGTGGACGGGCATTGACACTATCGATATCATCATCTCTCGTCGTCTCAGTATACCTGACTGTCGCTGGTAGGCCGAATGTCGTGCTCTGGGTATCGCTTAGGCTGTCGACGTTGTTGCTCCAGTGGCAGACGTAGTCGGATCCAGCGAACGGTCTCGTACGTAGCCATGAATCAGTTGAATGTTTTGCGTGTTGTACACTACATTTGAACGTACAAAGTACACTACATTTCTCTCGGTTCAGACAGTTGCTACGTTTCTTGTTGTTATATATCATGGCGACGATACCAAAGAAGACCCTTCGCTCGATACCAAAGACGATCCTTCGCACCCTCATGCAGGAGACGCATGGGCGTTCCCTCTCACCACCGCTCCTTCCTACGACTATACGCTAGCCCAGGCGAATCGGTGATACCGTCTGCTTCCTATACTGATACTTCAATCGACTCGTAATGATAGCGGCGTGGTGTGAGGCGTCTCGGACACCTCAGCGAGCTGCCGAGGTGGGAAGTCCGTCTTGTTTGGCCTGGTTATGGTTCGCCGCTCGGCAATCTCCGAGGGAGGACATGCCGAGCCTGTGACTCTGCCTCCGACGGCGAACATCCAACGGGCCTCCTCCGTGCTGTTGTTCTACTTCGGGCGGTCCAGCGGAGGGCTTTTCATTGACGTGAAGCTCCTTGCATCATCAATTTTGTGGGCTTACCAAGGCTAAACTTGTCCGGCCGACGGAATACGCATACGGAGCTGACGCGCGTGCCCTCGGCTTGGTAAGTTCACTTCGATATAAGGATGCTCACTAGCGCTCACTTGGCCATGATCTTCATCCTTGGGGGTTCCTTGGGTGCTCTATACGTCTGATCCTTCTCCGTGGTCCTAGAGCATATACTGCTTCCTGTCTCGATGTTGCACTCTTCGGCCTTCGCAGCGGCGCGCGGTGCGTTCGCGCATGCGGCTACGTCCCCAGCGCCATCGAGTTCTATGCGCTCCCTGTATTCTTGCGCCTCGCGCACCCTCAGCGCCAGCCGGCCGATGGTATCTGACCCGCGGCGCATCGCGCTAACTTGGCCGCTACCGGTACCGCCAGCGTCGTGCTTCGCCACCTCCGCGAAGGCGGGCCACCACCATCACCATCATCATCACCACCACACCGACCCGCGGGACCCGAAATCGGACGAATCGATCCCCCACTGGTCCTACTGGCACTCACGATGGAGGGGGAACCCTTGGGTCGAGTCGTGGTGGGGGCACTGGCACGCCCGGCACGCGATGAAGAAGGCGTACTATCGTAGCATGTACGCGCGCGGGTGCCCAATGACGCCGGCTTTCTGGTGGAATATGGGGATGCCTGAGGGTGCTGGGGCAGAGGCAGGGGGAGCGAAACCAGGAAGGCAGGCAGATCTGGACGCGAAGCACGATGCGAAGGAGGCGCACATGGAGATGCGGGGCAGTCGATGGGGCGGTCGATGGGGACACAGGTTAGTCTACTCTTTCCATTTCGCACCGCTCAACGAAGTCACCACTTCGTCCAGACACCGCGGTCGCGACTTCGACGGCTATGGCTCCTCTCGCTGGCCACACCGCTTCGGAAAACACTTCGGTCGTCGCGGCCCCCGCTTCATCCCCTTCTTCTTTCTCTCTATCCCCTTCCTGTTCTGCGTCCCATTCTTCTTCCCGGCCTTCATATTCTTGCTCGCTGCACCGTTCATGTTCATCATGAGCATTCCCATTATCATGCTGCACTTTTTCCTGGACATTCTCTTTTGGATCTTCTGAGCATCGTGTATCAGTACCACTGTCCTTCATTGTTTTCTTTTCAAGCCGTGTATCGAAAGCTATATTTTGATGAATTCAACTCATCAGTGTCCCTGTCATACCGGGAATGTCTGGACGTTAGCAGATGGTAGACAGCGTCAACAGGAGACTGTTCACCCAAGGTGTGCTACGCAATATGAAGGCCAGCACGGACCTCAAAAGCGGGGTGTAGCACGACGCGGTGGTTGAACCTCAGCCTCGGCAAATGCCGACCTCTGATGTGGCATGCACGGTCGTCACCGTCACTTGCCTCCTTCCGCATCTTTTGTCGAGTGGATGTTGTTTCCAGCTCTTATACTTCCGCCAGGTCTATACCGCCTCAGAAGTACAATGACCTCCAGCCACCATTCCGACGCGCGGACCTCCCGGCTGTGGCAAGTGGCCACACCGCCTCGTGTGACATAGACAAAGACGCGATCCTCCTCATGAATCGATGCGCCTCCCACGGATACCGCAGCCCTCTTTCAGCCCCATCTTATCAGCTGTCGGATGCCGAAAGGGAATCCTGCCTCGTTGCACCTTTGTCACCGTGCATCCCGCGACATACACACGACATGCGCCCTGCGATTCTGGTCTATGTCGTGACACTTGTCACGCTGGTCGGCGCGTGTGCTGGTCATAAACAAGAATGCGAGGCGCTTATAAGGGCCCGAGCTGATGGGTTGTTCCTTTCATCTGAACACCCATCTTGAACATACCAGCCATCCTTTTCAGCACGTCTAACCAGCCCGAACGAACTATGCAGTCCTACATCAGCGTCTCTTCTGGCTCCCCTGGTCTCATCTCCCTCCCGCTGACCCCCAACCCCACTGCAAACATCAGAGCAGAGCAGAGCTTGGGTAAGATGCGTCCTTACGAGCTATATGGGACACAGTGCTCACTTGTGGCCTGCAGGTCTCCGTTTGCTGAACGCACCCTGGCGCGCGAGGAATGCTTTCCAGACACCGCCACCTTCCCCACCTATTCGTTCGCAGGCCCCCAGCCCCTCCCGCTCACCCAAGCGCTCTCGCGAGGTCGAAGACAGCGAGAGCGAAGACGTTGAAAACCCACCCACCCCCTCCAAGCGCGCCCGCAGCGACGACGGCGATGGTGAGTGCCACATCTATGTGGCACGTCGAGAGCTCGTATGCTGACGGTCTATGCGTAGTCGTCCCCGTGCGCATCGAGCGCGTGCCCACTCATGAGCTACCAAACAACAACCGACCGACGAATGGCCTCCCGACAAACGTGACCGAGCTTCAAACCCTCCTGCGCTTCGCCTACGCGGAGAACGCGACCCTCAAGGCCACCAACCTCATCCTTGCGGAGAGGACCGTGAAGACGACGAGCGACCTCGACAGCGCGGAGAGACGCGCCGCGGCCGCCGAGGCTGCTCGCGCGCAAGTCGCCCGCCAGTTGCAGGAGGCCCAAGAAGAGTTGCAGGACGCGGAAGAAGCGTTAGAGGAGGAGACAGAGCGCGCTGATGACGCTAAGGAAGACGCAAAGCTGTCCGAGATCGAGGCCAACCAAGCTTGGAATATGGCGGAAGACCTCGAACGCAGGCTGGATATGGCGAAGAGCCAGCTGGAGGACGCGCAGCTCGAAGTTGAAAACATGAGGCACGAACTGAAGGATATGGAGGAGTGGCAGGAGGACACGCAGTGGGAGGCGGATGAGAGGTGGAACGCACTGCGCGATCTGGACGAGACCCGTGCGCGTCTCAACGAGACTCGCGCCCGCCTGACCGAGGCGGAGGCAGCGAAGGAAGAGCTCCAGGAACTGGTGGAAAGCCTCCTGGAGGGATGGGCCGACGAGTACGTTTCGCGCCACTGTCTCTGTGATGACCGCTACGATACCTTGCAAGAGAGGCTGGCGGCGGCGCAGAAGGATGTTGCCGAGCTGAGGGCGGAGCGCGCCGCGCTCGGGATCCGCACGGCTCGCGACATGGCGATCTCCGCGCTGCTGTGCTGAAGTCTTCATCTCCCTGCTCAAATCCCTCCTCTCTGTTCGTCTCGCTACCATCTGTTACCATAGATTACCGTTTCTCTATCACATTTCTCGTCTTCATCTAATCCTCACATCTATTCTCGATTTCTCTCTGGTCTCTTCACTTGCATACCTTATATACTCACTTATAATCTTCCCTGCTTATCTCACGGACACTTGGAAGTTCTGCACATTTCTTGCATTGCGTAGTATACAATGGTCATTACTTTACACGTTTGTTCCCAAAGGATCTTCTAGAATGCGACGCCCGATGCTTAAAGCTCTTGCGCTTAACGCCCCCTCGTCCCTACTTGCCGATCAGAGACTCGACCGCATCCATGGAAAGCGCTAAGGGGATGACAGCGTCAGCGGAATGTCCCTGTTCGTGTGTTGATAGCGACTTACACTTCGGCCGCTCGATGGGCAGCCCGAGGGCGCGCGCCCACACGATCTGCGTCAGGCAGCCAAGGGCTAGAACAGAATGTCAGCATCGTCCATAGATTCACGCTTATGGGACCACATACCGCGCGACACGCCGAAGATGACGGTGTAGTACTGCGAGGAGGATACATTCAATGAACAAGTCGAGAACATTTGTGGCACAGGGTGGCATACCTTGAACTCCTTCAGCCCATAGTGGTAGAGCACGCAGCCAGACGTGGCGTCGACGTTCGGGTAGGGGTTCTTCGTCTGGATGACGATGGTTAGGTCCGGAATTTGTTGAACGGTAGAGAAGACGACGAACCTTGCCATGCTCCTTCAAGACATCCGGCGCGACCTCATACGTCTATGGAAATACGTTAGTGCGAGCGATGTTGGGGAGTACACCTCGACACCCACCTTCTTAACGAGCGAGATGGTCGGACTCTTGAGCAGGTCCGGCCTGGCGTCGCAGAATTCTTGGAGTGCAACGAAGCGGGGATCCGGTGCGCGTAGCACACCGTGGCCATACCTAGAATACATGCCGTCAGCTTAAGTCGATGATCATGCATGAACTAAGTTTACCCTGGCACAACTTGCCCACTCTTCAGCGTCTTCCAGAGGTAGGCCTTGATGTCCTCGTGCGAGACCTCATGCCCACTGCCGAGCTCCTTCTGCATCGCCAGCTGCCAGCGAAGGACCTCCTGGTTTGCGAGACCATGGAGTGGACCGGCGAGAGCGAACAGCGCAGCGGAGTAGGAAAGGAAGGGGTCGGAGAGTGTTGAGCCAACGAGGTCTGAAGAGGTAAATGAGCATGGAACGTCGACGCTGTAGGCCATAGAAGGGGAATGCAGGAAAGTCTAGGGTAATATGAATACTCACGCGACGTGTGCGCTGACGCATTGCCTCCCTCATGGTCCCCATGTAAGGCGATATACAGCCTCAGGTACTCCGTCAAGTCCTTGTTGTCCCCGAAGCCTAGCATCTGGGTGTAGTTCCCAACAAGATCCATGTCCTTATTGAGCGGTGGAAGCGCCGTGCCTGGGTGGTAGATGTTGTGATATATACGCGCAGCGAGGGCAGGCAGGCGGGCGATGAGGGTGAGGGCGTCCTCGAGGGCATAGTGCCAGTACTCAGTCTTCTTGATGCCGCGCTCATAGGCGGACTGGAAGGCGGAATCATGGTTGAGGGCGGCGACGCCGATGCCAAGCTGGGTCATGGGGTGAAGGGTAGGTGGTAGCCTGACGTTGGGGTGAGCATAGTTGAGGAGGTGAGGGAAGAAAGTGGGGGCTTACGAGTCGATGAGACGCGTAATAGTGGTCGGCAGCTCGCCCTTCTCCGCGAGTTCGCGGGATAGGTCGCGCGATTGCTCCGGAGTAGGGACTTGACCGGTCATCAGGAGCCACAGCATACTCTCGGCAGTCATCTCCTTTCCACCTGGGGCTGGCGGGAGTACCTTCTGGCACTCGGGTATTGTCCTGCCGTGGAAGCGTATACCCTGGGAAGGAGCTTGAGAATAGGAAGGATTGCGGGAGTAGGACGAAGCGGACCTCGTTAGGGTCGAGGACGGAGGCTTCCCAGAGTATGGACTTGAGGCCTCGCATGCCCCCGATGAGGTTCTCTACCTACAGACCAACGCGTCAGGTATGAAGCAGTGAACGGAGATCACGCGCACCTTGACATCGCCCAGGACAGCTTGACCATGTTCTGCTTTCTGAGAGGGGCTGAGGAACGGTCGAGTGTCACTTGCGATGGGTACTGACCAGCTTCTTCAGTCTCTCTTGCTTGACGGGGACGACCTCCTCCAGTACTTGGCGAAGCGTTGCCTGCAAGCTCGGAGATGAGGATAGCGCGCCAGTGACGCGCTAGAAGCTCACCTGGGACGACGCCTGCCTTGCGAACGGAACACGAAGCGTAGAGAGTCTGCGGGACAACATGAGAGCAGGAGGAGAGCCGGGTTCTGCGCGTACTCACGCACGAACTCGCGCATCCTAAATACTTGGGAGGTCATCTGCCCACCCCGCACACGAACGCGGGGAACCGTCGGCACACCGGGGTCGGCATCAGATCCAAACCGGAGACCGGACCACGTGCTATCACGGCAAGTGCCGTGCGGAGATATCGGACCGCATGCCGCGTGGAGTCACGTGTGTGGCTGCCACGATTCCAGTCTCGCCGCCGTCGTCGAGCTCAGCACGTCTGTCTCCTCCTCCCGCCATCATGGCCTCCGCCACGGTCCTTGCCCCGGTCGCCTACTTATTCATTATAATTGGAGGTCTCTATGCCTTTAGTCACTTCTACCGCAATCGCGCTGCACGTAAGTTTGACTGCCAACCGAGTGACACTCCAATTGACGCGCTTTTGCCTCCCCCAGGCAAAGTCCCCGACCCGTACTTCCCGCCTCACAAGGAACGGAATGTGTACATGACCCTTGTCCGCATGACCGATCCGCCAGCGCCAGACTCGCTACTCAAAGCTGCACTCGTTCGTCGCGCAGTGCAGGACGTGCAACGCATCGTTCGCCTTCGCGAGGACAAGCCCGCGCTCAGCGTTCTCCTTCAGAAGGGGTCTATTGGGGACGATCTCTGGAGCAGCTTTCAGGCAGCGGAGAAGGAGGTCGAGGTCGAAATTGCTGAGGTCGTTGGCGAGGCAAACTCCTTTGTCGAGGGCTGGGGCCAGTTCATCTTCCAGTCGGCAAGCGAGATATACGCAAACGAGAAGATACGTGCTACTTTTGAGAAAATACATGAAGCAAGGACCGATCTCGGTGTGTCGCTATCTCTTCGGTTCCCTCTTCCATCTCTGACGACAATTACAGAGCAAAAGTATGCCCGCAAGGCAAAATTCCAGCCCGTCCCCATCGTATTGCGCGCCAACACACCGGCACCAAACGCCCCTGGCACACCGAACGCCAAGACTGCTCAACTCCCTCCTGCATCCCCTCAACTTACCCCCGCCAAAGCCTTGAACGGCATTGCCCCCGGCCTGCGCCCTCCTACTCCCTCCACTCCAGCATCCGCATCAGGCTACGTATCGAGCGACGCCGAAAGCGCCACGTCGACTGCACGATCTGTGCGTGCTTCCGCCTAGGTATCGTCTATACATACTTACCCTTCTTTAGTCTGGTAAAAAGGGCAAGAAGCGGAAGTAGTGGTCGGCTGTAGTCTACCAGTAGTGCACTGGTGGTCTACGAGCTGTGAACTATGGCGCGTGTGGCCAGTATTTATTTCCTGTACATCCTCAGATGATCATGGCTTTCGGGTACGATTTTCTCGTGGTGAACACGTTGGAGGGTTTTGGCGAGCATTCTCCTTCTACTTCCTCTCTAAGTGCCATGTAAGTCAAAATGAGTATCCGCATTGCTTCAGTCCCAATAACCGGTATACGGTATGCGCAACTTCAGAATAAGTACGCCACTCTTCTTGAGTCTAAGCTAGCGCTGATACAGCAATAGGTCCGGTCAACAACAAAACACAACCTCTCGTGCAGATCGTCGGCAGATCCTCGTGAATCCCAGGAAAGCATTCCGAGTAGCAGCAAGCACTGCTACGAGCATGCATTCTGACTCTGGCTGTGCGGCCGGAACACATATGATAACCTCGCTATCCTCGGAAACCATTCTCTCTCTGATGAAACGCAGTATACTACAAGCCTCGCCTCCAACATGCGTCGACATTGCTGCAAGGCCGTGAACTTGAGAGTTGATGCAAACTTGGGCCTGTGGGACATGGACTTCTGACCTCGATGGACTTTGGCGCACGCCGCAAGGCGTATACTAGGTCGTGCGGCAGTGCAGCATTCCTGCAAAGTGGCCTATGACCGCATCGAGCATGCCGTTGTCGTCGGCCCTCAGCGCTCAGCGTCTGGTCGAAACGACGGGTATTTCGACCGTTACCTCGGTATCTTCGCTGGACGGCGCCGCCGGTTGGCGCATGCAACTTCGCTTGGCTTCACAGGCTTTCACAGCGAATCCATCTGGGTTCCCTCGGGATCAGCGTATAAAAGCACGGGTGTGCAGGTCGGTGGTCCCCAGTACTCACTCGACCTTCGACTCTCCAGTACTATCCCTTGTCCCCCTTCACCCCTCCTCCACCTCCACAATGAAGTTCGCCCTCTTCGCCTCGACCCTCTCCGCCGCCATCGCCGCCGTTGCTGCCGCTGACTCGCCGACGTGCGACAACGGCGGAAATTGCTACGCCGCGGTGCACGGCTGGGGCGGCTACATCCAGTACGAGCCGTACCAGGGCAACCTCATGGAGGCGTGCCGCGGCGACGACAATGCCATCAACGGCGAGCAGGGCACTGGCAATCTCTTCGGCAACAAGGCGTGCGTCGCGGTCGCTGTCAGCAGTGGCGATATCGGGGTGTGTGATTTTGACCATCGTTCGCTACTTGCCTGACGCTGATGATTTTTGCAGCCCAGCACCGTCCAAGGTCTCGGGAGCTGCGACAACCAGAACCTGAACTGCTTGTGGGCGCAGCCCAGCCTCGACTACAACGTGAGCCCTCATTCTTCGGGCTCTCATCCCATCTCGCTCACACACACCCTTCCATAGATCTACGCCGGCATTGTCGGTGACTGCGCGTGGCAGCCCGAAGGCTGCCCCATCACCCAGCAGAACTTCATCGACTTCATCTACAGCGCGTTGAGCGACATTGGATCGGCGGACTGGCCCAGGTGCGTTCCCTTACCCACTTCGGCCAATCACCATGTACTCATGAACGCACAGCAGCACTGACACCCTGATCTCCAACGGCTGGCAGCCGCTCCTCGGCCTGACCAACTCCACCGACACCATCTCTTACAACAACCTGAACCTCTACCTCCACGGGTCGAAGACCATCGCTTGAGTCTCGGGCTTGGGGTCGGATAGATGTCAGTCATGTCGCACGGTCTGAATGACGGGGTAGTGACGCCCTTATGACCTTGGGTAGCACGATCCTTAACATCAGTGGACTCTGGACTTCGGTGAACTGTTTATTTACTTGAGGGCGCACTTTATGATACCAGTTGGCTTTGCTTCTATGAACCAATCGTGTCTTTTCAAGTTGAGTGGTGGCGATTGCCCCTCATGCGCTCGAGGAACCTCAGCTATCCAGCCCGATGAGCACAACGGTGACGGCTTGATCAAGCGAGAAAGTAGGCATGACCGTTGTATCCGAAGGGTTCGATGTTACTCACCGCGGATTATGATACCTTGCAACGGTAGCGCTCAAAAGGCGACGAGCCCGCTCTATTGAAAGAGGTCGAGCCTACGTCTCGTTTGTTCTCGTCTAATCATGTTCGAAAGTCACGCACGCCCACACGGGGAAAGGGGAGACAAGAAATGCACTTCTACTAAGGAAATATTAGACTATGGTACAAGTTGATATGCGTAAATAGGTAGTACATTGTTCCTACTGAGTCAGAAAGCCCTATATAGCACCATAGAAAGCGAAGGGAAGGCATGATAACACAACAAGTGCTCGTCGTCGAAGTCGTGTCCAGGATCGCCACCTCCTGATCCGTCGAATACTTTATCGTCTCCAATCTTCCCGTGCATCCATCACCCCATATATACGTCCTTCCTCAACCAATATATACTTCCACCTACTGCTCTGTCGGCCGCTTGCTCCCGGGTCCTGGCGTCTGCACCCTGGTAGGCGTGCGTGTTGACCGTACGCGACCAGTGTTCTGCCTGTTCAGCCTCGGTCGCCCATCTCCCGGCACTTCTTCCGGCACATCGAAGACGACGCCAGGGCGCGCAGGCCTGCGCATCCTCCGCTGCTGTTCCTCCTCCTTGGTGCGCCACTGCTCCGTTGCCAATACTGGGTCACGCAGGGACGGCGGCTGAATCGGCGTGGAGCTATGAAGAGAGGCCGTGGGGGAACCGACAGTATTGGGCTGAAGAAGACAGTGTCAGCAAGGATACCCCCAAGGAAGGAGTAATAACACTCACTGCCGTGCCATCCGCTGCTTCGTGCGAGGCCGCAGAGATCGTGCGGAATCGCTTCGGATTGAACAAGCGGAAGGACGTAGGCATCTTGGGACTCTTCACTGGCTGCGTCGTACCCGAGATGGGGACCTGCACGCTGATGGGCGGCGGCGGCTGGGCTCGCGTTGACGGCGCGACTGGGACACGTTGCAAGATCCGCTTCGAGTCGCTCGGTGCGTCACGGCTGGCAGCAGCAGCAACGGCAGCACTCCGCTCCCTCTCCTTCGTCGCTGTAGTTGGGTGCCAGAACTGGTGAGCGGCGCTGGACGTGGAGGCAGGTTGCGGCTGCGATGATGATTGCTCCTGCAGCTTGTTGAAGAAGTTGCGCAGACCATGCCGCCCCTTCGTGTCTTGTTGCGCTTGATGCTGCTGCTGTGCGGTTGTGGGTTCGACGAACGCAGCCATCGAGCCTCGGGAAGGTGAGCGCCTGAGCGAAGACGGCGTTTGAAGTGACTCCTCTGAGGCCTTGGGGCGGAGTCTGTGTTCTGGGGCGTGTTGACCAGTCGCGCGGCCGTACGTGGCATAGGCCGGGTAGCCGTTCGCCCGAGTGTCAGTAGGCGGGGGAACAGCACTGCTGGTCGATTGCGATCGTCCTGTCCTCTCTGGCCGGTGTGATGCATGCGAAGGGGTTGAGGGCGGCGGGTAGGCGCCGCGAGAGGCAGACACAGGCGTAGGTAACGATAGCGTCGGATGATGTCTGGATGAGGATGTATGAGATGGGGGAGCCTGCGCGACACCGTTCGGCTGTGTGCGACTATACTCCGAGGGTCGCATTTGCTCGGTGGGTTTGGCAGGTGGTTCTGGAGCGCGAGAATGAGTGCTAGCGGTCTGAGAATACGGCGCTGCCGGAGGATACACCGGATGTTCTTGAACTCGTCGAGACTGCGGCGGTTGGGCGCCAGCAGAAGGGTAGTCCGACGAAGCCTGCTTCGCCACGCGAGGTTGAGATGTCTCGGAAGGCTTGTAGATTACATTGGGTTGGGCCGTTGTGGATGGTTCGGGGTATGATGATGATTGGTTGTAAGAGCGGTAAAGTTCAGTTGCAGGGTATGCGGAAGAGGCGGGAGGCTGCTGGGCTCGTGAAGGGGGTCGTTGCGGTGGATCGCGCGCCAGCGCACGGCTTGTGGTGAATTTCGTTGGGCTGGGTGATTTGGCTCTCTCCAGGAGAGGCTCTACGGCGGTTGGAGGGCGATGAGAGGCTTCGGGGGAATGTCGCCGCTGAGGAGGAGAAGGGGGAGGCGACTGACGGCCCATGCGGGAAGGCATGGCACGCGACGAAGGCTCAGAAAACAAGAGGGAGTTCTGCGCGCGATCTTGACCAGGTGCAACGGAAGCACTACGACCCATGGAAGCATGAGGCGCTGGCTCGGCTTGCCGTGCCCGATTCTGGTCTTGCTGAGGTGGAGAGACCTTTGCGCGCGCAGGCGGGGGCGGCGACAGAATCTCGGCAAGCTTGGGATGGTTGATTGTAGTGCGTACCGAAGGCGACGACCACTTGGGCGGCGATTCCTTTGGCGCCTGACGGAAGCCAGCGGCTGTCCCAGACCTCGGCGGAGGTTCGAACCTGGGTTGTTGGCGAAAGCCTGCCGCAGTCGCCGTCCTCTGAGGAGGCTCCATGTAGGCAGCATCGGACCTGGACTGCCGTCTCGTCGACCAGGAGACATCAGGAAGGTGGCTGTCGTAGCTTTGTGAGCGCCTTCTGGTCGCGGTTACCTCGGGAGCGACGCTGGTGATCGGGGCTGGCCGAGCAGTCGGTGGCTGGGCGTCAGCAGGCTGATGGTAAGCTGGGAATGCCACCCTGTCCTGCGCAGAGGCACTTGCGGCCATGGGCGGCGCCATCTGCGAATAAACAGAGTTCCAGCTACGCGAAGGGGCAAGAGACTCAGGCGTAGCCAACGAGTAGCCACTCGTGTTATGTTGACTCGAGCTTTGCTGTGCCTGGAGGACTGGCGCAGGAGCTTGCGACACGGTGGTAAACCCGACACCTGTATCTCTAACCCTCTCCCGGGAATTGGACGTCGCAGGTGCGGCACGACGGGGCGGACTCGGCTCAGGCGGCTCGGGCATTGGCGGTACGGGGACGGGCGGTTCCATCGGAGGCGTTTCGAAGGGAGGTACTGTCGGCGACTCGTCCTCGCCGAAAGGTGGCGGCGGCAACCGCGGGACAGGAGGCGGTACTGGTAGCGCAGGAGACCCCGCTGTGTCCGAGAAATGAACAGGAGACCCGTGTACAGCGTCGAAAGAGCGTTCTCCATGCGTACGCGGCTGTAAGGCGGTGAACCACGCAGGACCATTGTCTTGGGCTGGTGGAGGAGGAGGAGGTGCGGGTTGAGGTGCAGTCCGCCCCTTGTCCGGCTCGGGGCGCCTATGTCTACCAGAGTCGTCCGCAAACGCAACACGTTCAGTCCCATTCTTGACATATCCCGACGCAGGCTGCGACTGAGAAAGGGACTGTGCTGACGATGTTTGCTGCTCACGCCGCTTACGCTCTTTGAGAGAGAGGCCACGAGGAGATTCCTTGAATTGCTGTCAGCACGTAGGTGAAAGTGGCATTTGAGCTATACGTACCTTCCGTTCCTCATTGTCCGAGGTGCTGGCGGTCCGTGTGCGCATGGGAAGGCCATAGGTATGGTTCAGCGCTGTCAATGGCGGTTTCGACACTGACTCCGCAGAGCTATGGTTCTCCCTCAACGACCGATGATTCGAGCTCTCCGCGTGCACTGGTGGCTTTGGTGTCTGACTCGTCTTTCGTGCCATCTCGCCTGCTGATGCCGTCGTTCTGCTCTCGCGCAACGCGCTAGAGCCCCACGTTGCTTGCGAGGCAGGGTCAGCAATTGATGCCTCATCATACGCGATAACTGTTGACTGGTCCTGGGGCGGCGCGTGCGAAAAGATGTTGAAGGATGGTGCCACGGCGCGGGGCGTGGGCAAGTGCAATGTCTCTCGCGACATGCCTGCTGCCGGCATTTGGGGTGGAGCGAGACCATGGGAAGGGGGAGACGGCTGGGCATCCAGGACAGGTACAGGTGCCATGGGTGGTGCAGGCGCATATCCGCTGGGATACGCAGCAACAGGCGGGGTGTCAACGGCAGCATCGCGACTATCCGAAGGCGAGTGCTTGACTTCACGACTTCTTGGAGATGGATTCGCAGGGGAAAACTTGCCGCGAATAGACGGAGCGTGGTTGGACGATAGATGCTCCGCGGATGGGAAGTGCGAATGCTGCGAGGCTGAACGCGTCTGCATAATAGGCACATAGGCACGCTGCGGGCTGTTGTCCTTGTACGCAGGATAGGGCGGCGATGGCTTGATCCTAGCGGGCGACGCTTCCGCCGGACTACTGCCCTTGTGCCCCTTGGAGTCCGAGGAGGGTGTGAACTCCTGCGCCTGTTCAAAGCGTGTCTTAGGCACTGTGGAAGTCCCGCGATAGGGAGAAGTACGGACCTTGTCATGGGTGCCGTTAACGCCATTGAGTTGGTATGCCGCCGCGGGAGGTGCCGCGTCGGCGTTCGAGTATGGGATCTCGCGGTGATGGCTACGAGACGGTGGCCTCATTGGCGGCGCGCCTTCTGCGGCTGAAGACGGGATTTCCCGGTGGTGGCTGCGGGATGGTGGCCTAACTGAGGGCGCGCGCCGTTTCTATGGACAGCATTTCAGCGGGCCTTGAACATCATGACCAGGATCCCACTTACAGGCCGTTCTCGCCTCATCTGATCGGTGTCCGAACTGGACTGTGCCGTCAACTCATGGTTAACAGGCAGGGATGATGACCGGAGATGAGATCGACTGGTTGTTGCTTGTGCGTCGCTGGGTTGGTGAGCGACTGGAGGCGCCCTGGAGGTAGATGCGCCGTAGGTCTGTCGATCCTTCGAGGGAGTCAGTGCCTTGTGAGCGCAAGTAACGATGCACGCACCGCCTGAGCATACGAGGGTCCTTCATCTGCGGTATGCCGTCTCAGCTGAGAAGCTACGCGACGCTTTCGCGCCGAGCTATCTGAGCTGTCGCCCTCGTCCTTGCCATTGACGAGTTTGGCCATGAGGAAGGCAGGATTAGGCGCTTCCCTCAGTTCGGGAGCCTTCTGTCGTTCCTCTCGTTCGCGAGCCCGTGTCCTGTCTCGAGTTACAGACGCAGCGACAGGAGGTGCTGCTGGCGGTGCAGCAGCCAAACGGGCGCGCTCCCGCTCCTGCTCCTTGGCACGATGTCGTTCTGCACGACGAGCTTCGCGCTCCTTCGCCTTCTCGCGATCCCGCCGCTCCCTTTCGCGTTCGCGCTCTCGTTCTGCGCGTTGTCGTTCCTTCTCCAGAGTACGTTCCCTCATCCTCTCCTTCTCGCGCTCCAACTTCTCCCGTTCGAGTCGCTCGCGCTCCCTGCGTTCGCGATCCTGTCTTTCCATCTCCTCCTGGCGCTCCCGCTCAAGCCGCTGTCGCGTCAAGCGCTCCTGCTGCTCACGTTCCTCGCGCTCGATCCTCTCCTGCTCCGCGCGCCTCTCCTGTTCCGCACGCTTGCGCTCCTCCTCCCGCTCCAGCCGCTCTCTTTCAGCGCGCTTGCGCTCCTCGCGGTCCCGCCGCCTCTTCTCCCGATCCAACCGCTCCTTCTCCTCCTGCTGCCGCTGCACTTCCTGCAGACGGTGCCGCTCCTCGCGGTCCCGGCGCCGTACCTCTTTCTCCCGATAGCGATCCTCCTCTTTATCTCTGGCACGCTCCCGATCATCGTGTGCTTCGCGGGGTTCCTCAACATGACGTCGAGCGCGGCGCTCCCGGTCGTCGCGGGTGCTGGTGGTCTTCCCGAGAGCTGCGGCAGGGACCTCGAAGATGGAAGGGGCTTTCGTGCGGATGGGTTTGACGGGGATGGGGAGTTCTTCGCGGCGGCGCTCGAGGATGCTCTGCGCGTCATATGTCTTCGGCGCGCGGGAGCGCGAGTCGCCCGGGTACGTTCCGTTGAGGTGGGCGTTGCCATTGGGTGGTGCGATACCGTTAGTGTACGCCGTTCGCTCAGGGTAGGACGTGGTCGTGGTGGGTTGCTCCGGCGGGGGACGCGATGCGCGGCTCGAACTGCGAAGTTTGTCTGCATGTTGGCGCTCGCGAGAAGGCGAGTCGGGCCTGTCGGTTCGGTGCAGCGGCTGGGAAGCAGGGACACCTCGGACAGAGGGAGCTCTGGCGGTGCGCCTGAGCTCTGGCTGGGCAGAGGCAGAGCGATGGTGCTTGGCTGACGGGGCGGGGGGCGGTGGGTCGTGCGATTTGTTGCGCTGGAAAAAGCTCTTCATTCAGGTGGGGGAAGAGGATGAGGGCAGCCTGTGGGGGCGCCGGTGGTGGTACAGCCCGAAGAAAATTCGGTGGGCACGATGTGGGGGTTGGACATGAGGCAAGGGCGGTCCTCGAGTCAATAGCTCCGACCACGCCGGTTAAGGCAGTCTCAATCAATGAAAACTGATGCCTTCTTGTCGACCTTTTCGAGGGGGGCGAGGGCAGCGTATGTGCAGAAAGGACCGAAGTTCAGTACGTATTTGTGTTCGGAGGGTGGTCGGAAGACTCAAGGTCGGCTATCTACAGGCATCGATCTACCCTGCCACATGCCTTCCATAAAGCCGCGCCACCCGCCGTGTTCAACATGAGGCAGCGACAGAGCTCACTTGGAACAAGAGGTGTCGTCGCGGTGTCGTATTGGAAGGTCATACATGAGTCACCACCACATGAAAGCCGGTCGCCGGATGAAGGGACAACATCAACGCGAGATCGCCTTGCGCGGTGCAACAGGTATTTCGAGCATGACTTCATTGGTATCTACTACAAGAAAAGAGGGCAAGTAATTGTACGCCCAGAGGCCAGATGATGAAGTCTATGAAGACGCAAAGAGCAGTAGCGCATCATCGCGTTGGCGCATGGGCACAAGCCGAGGGAACTCGTCCGCTGCACGAATCCAAGACGAAGACATGCAACGGCTGTAGAGTCCCCCAGTTCGATCTTACACGATTTTGACTCATTACCGACAGTAGACAGCGGAAAGGCTGGTGAGGACGACGAGCGTCCTCCTGTCGAGACAATTTAAGGATCGTGTACTTGTGAACAAAAGACGTGGAAGGAAACTGTGTATATCTGAAGGACGTTAGGACGATCCAGACGCGCGTATAAGACAGGTGGACGTACAGAAACCAGCTTGAGGACTTGCGGCATGCTTGAGAAGTACGTGAGCGCTCAGAGCAGTTAGACGCGGTCCCCACACGAGGAGACAAGCGAGACCACGATGTTGAGCCAACTGCAGGGTTCAGGCGATGCTAAGATGATACGAAAGCCGACTATACATGAGTATTGCGAAGTAGAGAACAATGAACGAGGCACGTCGACCAAAATTGATTGCTTTTATAGTGAATTTGCGGGTGTTAGGCCCGGAAGGCTACGGCATGTTAGAAACACAAAAGGGTGAGGCACCGCGTCACCGAGTGGAAGACAGAATTTGTAAGAATAATCCTTGTTCTGGCCCCTCCGAACGCCGCGCGCCGGCATCATCGTCACTTGCTGTTGACCACGACCACGACGCACTCAGAACACTTCTGATTGCTCGATTCTACCCGCCCACCGCCGATCTACGCGGACGGACGACGAGATCATCATTACATGGACGTTCTCGACGAGAAGACCAACGGCGCACCACCTATGGATGTCGACAACGATATCGTCTCTGTTCGGGATGGTACGCACTGGGATGCTTCTGCATCTGCCTCAGATCTGACAGTCCGCGCCACAGAGGTCGCTTTCGCCGCGAAACACCTTCCTGATCTCGGACAAGATGTCAAGGACTTCAAGGCCTATCATTGGCCACTCAAGAACTGGAAGAAGCTGGACAAGAAGATAACCAGCGAGGAGTTCGAGTGCGGCGGCCATAGCTGGTGCGTGTCGCCGCGTCATACGCGCGCGCCTATACTCACGCACCGCGTACACCTGCAGGCGCATACTCCTCTTTCCCTTCGGTAACTCCAATGCGCCACCAAACGACACCGTCTCTGTTTATCTCGACTATGCTGAGCCGAAGAAGGCGCCCGAAGGCTGGCACGCCTGCGCACAGTTCGCGCTCGTCATCTCCAATATTCACGATCCGACGATCTACACCGTCAGCCGTACGTCACAATATCTGGCGCATGTATGGCGCATGGGCTCACAGATGCATAGACGCGCACCATCGATTCATCGCTGAGGAGTGCGACTGGGGATTCACCCGCTTCAGCGAGCTGCGCAAACTCTTCAATGTGCAAGAAGGCCATTCCCGACCCATTATTGAGGAGGAATCTGCGATGGTCAGCGTCTTCGTACGCGTTCTAGAAGATCCGACTGGGGTGCTATGGCACAATTTTGTGAAGTGCGTGCACAGCATCATCTTATCGGACGCGTACTGACTGAAGTGAAGCTACGACTCCAAGAAGGAGACGGGCTTTGTCGGCCTGAAGAACCAGGGTGCAACATGCTACATGAACTCCCTCCTTCAGTCATTATATTGTACCAACTACTTCAGAAAGGTACGTTACGCGTCGGACTTGCATCGTGGCGTTTATTGATAGCCACCAGGCTGTGTACCAAATTCCCACAGAGGAAGATCACCCGACCGAAAGCGTCGCCCTGGCATTACAAAGAGTGTTCTACCACCTACAAACGTCCGATCAACCAGTCGGTAGGGTTGAATTCCTCTTGATTCGACGAGTTCTCATATCCCTGTCCAGGTACGACGGAATTGACGAAGTCATTCGGCTGGAAGTCGTTAGACTCCTTCCTACAACACGATGTCCAGGAGTTCAATCGAGTACTTCAGGACAAGCTCGAGTCCAAGATGAAGGTACGGAATATATCATTTGTACGTCTTATCTCCATGTTGACATCTTGGCAGGGCACCAAAGCGGAAGGCGCCATCGCGAAGCTCTTCACCGGGAAGATGAAGAGCTTCATCAAGTGCGTGAACGTAGACTACGAATCCTCACGGACGGAAGATTTCAACGGTAGGCCTTTCTGGCATTTTCATCAAATCGTGCTGAGCCCCCTTAAGATCTCCAGCTCAACGTCAAGGGTATGAAGAACTTGTACGAGTCCTTCAAGGATTACATTCAAGTCGAGACTCTGGATGGCGAGAACAAATACCAGGCTGAGGGCTACGGCTTGCAAGACGCCAAGAAGGGCATCACTTTCCTCTCCTTCCCTCCTGTACTCCACCTTCAGCTGAAGCGCTTTGAGTATGACATTCAGCGCGACGCTATGGTCAAGATCAACGATCGCCATGAATTTCCCTTCGAGATCGACCTCGCGCCGTTCTTAGACGAGAGCGCAGACAAGTCACAATCTTGGGTCTACTCCCTCTGCGGCGTCCTGGTGCACTCTGGCGATCTTCACGGCGGCCACTACTTCGCGCTCATCAAGCCTGACAAGCACACCCGCTGGCTGAAATTCGATGACGACCGTGTCACGCCTGTCACCGACAAGGAGGTGCTTGAAGAAAACTACGGCGGCGAGGTCATGAACGGCACAACGCCCGCCATGCAGCGCAACCAGGTGCGCACCATGAAGCGTTTCACGAACGCGTACATGTTGGTGTACATCCGCCAAGCCGTCGTGGACGAGATTCTCGCTCCTTTCACGGAGGAAGACACGCCCGCCCACCTCAGTACGTCCAAGCGTGCGTTCGTGGGATTCTCGATGCTGAGACTGGCTTTCAAGAGCGCAGATTGGATGAGGAGCGTATGCAGATTGAGGCGAAGAAACGCGAACGGGAAGAACAACATCTCTATCTGACGGCCAAGGTCATTACGGATGACACGTTCGCGAAGCACGAGGGCTTTGACCTGGCGACCTTCGACGACAAGAACTGGCCGCCATCGGATCTGCCCACTTTCCGGGTCCTGAAGCAGGAAACGTACGCGACGTTCAAAGAACGTGTCGCGAAGCACTTCGGGTACCCGGTAGACCGCATACGACTATGGGTCCTCGTCAACCGGCAGAACAAGACCGTTCGCCCAGACGCCATCATCCCCGACAACGAGCCTGCATGGAGTAAGCCGTCTACCTTCTCGTCCTCGAACGCTTCTGATCACCACTCCAGCGGTCGAAATTATCCGCAACCAGCTGGCTGCGCGGACAACAGACCTCCGGCTGTACCTCGACGTCCTCCCCGACCCTCCCAAGGTGAGTCGTGGAGGGACTCATGGTCTTGCCCATTTGCTCAGTTGGCACCATCATCAGCCCGAACCGGCGCCACAAACGACCATCATGATCTTCCTCAAGCACTTCGACACGTCGCGGCAAACGTTGTACGGTGCCGGGAAGGCCCACATGTTGCGCACGGCGAAGGTAGCGGACCTTGTCCCCATTATCAACGAGCGGATGCGCTGGCAACCCGGCACGCCGCTCAAGCTATACGAGGAGATCAAGCCGGGGATGATCGAGCTCATGAAGCCGCGGTCGACGTTCACGCAGAGCGAGATCCAGGACGGCGACGTCATCTGCTTCCAGGTGGACATTCCTGACAATGAGTGCGTATTGGACGCGCGGGGAAGTATGAACGCGGAGCTAACATTTCGCCTGAGTAGGATCCGCGATCTGGAGAGCCAGGGGCTGTATTCCAACCCGATGCAGTACTATGACTTCTTGCAAAACCGCGTGATGATCATCTTCAGGCCCAAGTACGAGGAGCCTGACCATGACCATCCGGAGTTCCACCTCGTCTTCAGCAAGAAGCAGAACTACGATGTGGTATGTCGCTCATCGAATTCGATGAAGCTTTGCGCTTGCTAATCTGGGGGTACAGATGTCGCAGAAGGTCGGCGAGCATTTGCGCCATGACCCCATCAAGCTCCGCTTCACCACCACCCATCCTTCAAACGGCTCGCCGAAAGCCATCTTGAAGCGCTCCCTGAACCAGAGCATCAGCGAGATCATGCAGCCCTCCTACGTCTCCTCCACAACCACCGTCATCCTCTACGAGAAGCTGGACGTCTCCATCGTCGAGCTCGAGACGAAGCGAAGTCTCAAGATCATCTGGACCGGCATACACAACAAGGAGGAGGCGTCCTTCCCCTTCCTGCTGCCAAAGACGAGCGCGGTGCACGAGCTTGCAGAGCATCTGGCGAAGCAGGTCACGCTGACGCCGACCGGGACGGGCAAAATCCGCATCTTCGAGATCTCGAAGGACTACAAGACGCAACGGGAGTTCACTGGGTCGGAGATGATTGGGAACATCCCGGATCCGGTCGAGTTGTATGCGGAGGAGATCCCGAGGGACGAGCTCGAGGCGAGCGAGGACGACAAGGTCATTGGCGTCTTCCACTTCTCGAAGGACTTGTCACGGACACATGGCGTGCCGTTCCGGTTTGTGGTCAAGCGGGTGAGTCGGATTACTTAGGTCCAGCGCGAACGGTAGGCTGACCGGGATCGTTGCAGGGCGAGAAGTTCGCGGATACCAAGAAGCGCTTGCAAGCACGAATAGGTGTCCCGGATAAGGAGTTCGCCAAGTACCGCTTCGCGCTCATCCAAGCATCGACGTTCAAGCAACCATCATATATCGAGGATGGTGAGCTCTTACACCTCCCTACCGTTCTCTGCCCGGCTGACAATCGCCCACTCACAGACGACACGATCTACGACCACCAGTTCGCACCAGAAGACGTGCTCGGCTTGGACCACGTCGACAAGACCGGGCGCGCGCGAGCAGGCATGGCGGAGAAGGCGATTGTGATCAAGGGCTGAAGGGAAGACGTTGGTCGCCGTTGTTGTTGTACACTACTGCATTGCTTCGATATGTGTTCTGCCACCATTGTTATATTCCACTTCGATTCTCGGACTCGGCACTACTGGGCGCGACATCGGGGACGAGCGTTACGACTCGTTACAGCGTTGATTGCACAAGCATCGGACGATCTCCTCGGCTATGGCCGTCTCTTCATTGCGCCAGTGTCGCCAGGAATAGCGCAGTTCCGTTCGTTGGCCCTGAATCGCAGCTAGAAGTGTAGACGGAAGCAAACAAACAAACATGCGTCAACATTGGTGTCATCGCGAATTGCCGGTGATTCTGCATCCGCGTCGCGCGAGCGGAGCGACGGGCGCGATGCACCGTTCCTTGTCCTTGTCCTTGCTTCGATCCATACGCCGCTATCCCTGCGCTTCCTCACTCACGATAATCCTTCTGTCGCAGAGAGCATCGCAAATGTATCCTGCGCATACACGTTTTCTTCTCCCGGCCGGTAAGAAGAAGAAAAGTCCGTATTGCTGTTGACTACAGCAGTGGTTGTGAGACCCTTCCCGTATGTCTTTCACATGCGAGCCTGGCCATCTCGAAAAGTACAAAAGCCGGCCTGCGTTCGGTCGATTCGCTATCCTTTTTCCCCTCTCCTCCAACTCGCCTCTTCTCTAGTACGTCTTCTTCCTTCACCTTCACTCGCGACACCCAATGTTCGTGACGCCGGGAACAGTGGGATCTCGACTTCTGTCGAGTACCTGTCAGCCTAGGCAGCGCTGGTTGTCTGGCATTGGGATCGCGGGTGAGCTTCGGTATCCCTTCAGACTGCGTGGGTCAGCGACGTCTGCGGGGTCCGATGGCATTTTTTTCATCCCCTACCCATTCCGTGCCCTATCCATCCCTCCTCCCCCGACGCCATATCCGTTCGGCGTTGGGGAGGATCATAGTCGTCATGTCGTCGGCGCCCCGATTCGGCGAACATATAGTACGTCCTTGCACAATTCATGCCTGTGGCACGCATCTAACACGTATTTGGCAGGCTTCCGGTGGCTCAGGTGTGTTTCGGTGAGTAGCTCGTCCTCTCTGGTCATTACTGGCGCTGACTATTCGTTCTTCCGGTCTCGCTTTCTTCGCCTTCCGCCCTTCGCTTCGATGCCTACACTCTCGTTGGAGCGGATACGCCATTATCTCGGGCTCGACTGTAGATACCTGGCGTCACACTCAGTCTATACTCCTTTGTGCTATCTCGAGCTCTATTGAAACAACTGCGCCTCCGCACTTTGCTGCTCTCTGATTCCTTGCCTGACGTTCTGCGGTGCGGACTCCGCTACAGTTTGGGACACTATCAACACGAGCGCATCACTACTCCTGGTTGGTCGACCCCTGTGTGTCACTTAGTCGTGAAGAGCAATATTGGCAGAGAAGACCGAGAGCCCCGTCTTGTGTTCTTCGCCTCTCGCATCGACCTGTTATCGTTCGCCGCCTTCGAATCGCCTGCCATTCTCGCCTTCCCTTTCGTCTGTATACTCCCACCGCTACACAATGTCGCGCGTCAAGACCCTACGTGAACTGTCCGAAAACTCGGTCATCATTGCACGCCTGGTAAATGAAGAGGTCGCGGCGGACTACAAGTATCGCGGTACCTTCTACACACGGTCTTCTCCTCTTCAGTTCGTTGCGGCAGACAGACGGGCGCACATAATCGAGAAGGCATCGGTTCTCTGGAAAAGCGGGGCCGCGCAAGCGATTGAGGATGGTCGCAAAGCGTTGGAGACCACAATCGAGAGGGTCGTCGAGGCGTCTCCGAACCTTATGACCCTTCCTGTGTGCGTGCGCAAGGTATGTACCTTGCAAGGCTATAGAAGCTCGGTCTCGCTCACAGTTATCTCAGGTACTCGTCGATGTGTTCAGCTCAGAGAAAGTCGCGTCGATTAGGGCTCCGTATATAATTTCCGGGGCCCCTGTATGTTAGTAAGTGTAAGAAATTGCTGCTGTATGTTAGTAAGTATGGTGTTTGAAACTTTTCGTAAGGAACTGTTAGATACAGCGTTAGGAATGCATTTCTTACATGTTAATAATGTATGTTGAAGTTTAAAAAGCAACGGGCAGTCTTGATGATGAATTTCATTGAACTTCACATTATATACCGCGTCAAATTCCTCTATCCTCTGGTCTACCTGCCATTTACAGTTGTTGACAATGCCCGATTCACATCGCAGCCTAGGTTGGCCTTCCCGAGTTCTCGCTGTTCTCAAGTCAGGCTATCCACGAAAGCGGCATCGACATCGCTAACTCGTCCGAGTGTCTCTTGTTCGAGGATGGCGAGAAATTGGCTCGCTAAAGAGAGGTTAAGACGGAGACAAGAACATGATGAGAGGTGATGCTAGTCCAGAAATCATGGAATGAGGCGCAATGGAGGAGGGGGCGTGAGGGAGAAGGGGGCACGAGGAAGGAGGGGGGCGTGAGGGACGAGGGGGGAGGAGGCGCGAGGGAGGCGGGGCAGCACGAAGTTGAACAGTCACACTCGTGACAGGTCCGTCACTGACGTCGGATGGGCCCTCTCGGCAAACGCCGACCTGATATCTGTCCTTGCCGTTGCAGTCGGTTGGGCTCATCTGGAGGCTTAGGTGAACGCTGAGGACAGACCTCTTGAAAATGGAGATTACTTACATTTCCAAACATGCCGTTTCATTCCCCCGCTGTAAGTAACCGTTAATAACATGTTAATAACAGTGTTTACAAACAGCTGTTTCAAACACACCCATTTTCTACGGAGCCCTAGCGTCGATGGAGGCGAGGACCCATTACCCCTACTCTCACGCGCTCACCAATACTGCTGCGACTCTATACGCCCTCATTGCTATCGTCCACGCGGATCTCAACGGCGCAGATGCCCTGGACCGTTGGGTTCACCGCGATATCGCGCCTCTTCTGGAGGACGTCGCAAGTATCCCGCATATTCGGTGAGCTGGCTCGCACCTGACCAATGACTACTAGCTGTCTGATCCATGTATCCAGGAGAGAGATTTTGCTCTCGATGGACCCTACGCATGGCGTCCTCGCCGTCTCTATCGCCCAACCTGACGGAGAGTCCAAGACGACGCTTGACGGAGATGGCGGCGCATCCTGTAAGTGTAGATCATCATTGCCTGATGGATAGTCCCCTGACTCGCGTTGTTCAAGCCACCACGAAGCGCCAGCCCCTCAAGGATCTCGCTTCGCAACCCCTGTAAGACCAGAGATCGTGTATTCTCCGGCAGAATATTGGCGCCGATTCGCAGTCCGAGCACACGCTGCAGCCGTACGAGGCCTTTGGCTCAGCCGGTCTCTAACGGTAGTCGTTACTGACGGCGGCAGATAAGCACCGGCCTGTCCGGCATCGACTCGAAGTAGTTTGACCTCGTTAATCGCGGGCCATATGTAGAAAATATGTTGCGGCCGTCTCTTCGCTATCCTGTGTACAAATATCATACGTTGAAGTTTATCTACCTATTCGTGCGCCTTCGCGGCATATTCCCGTTACATATGTGCAGCGAACAACCTCGATTGTCGGCCCCAGCCCGAGTCTACTTGCGGTTCACCGCACGCGCTCTCCTTAACGCTCTTGAAGCACTTCTTACGATGCAAGAGAAAGTGGTACACATTCTGCTACTTTGAAAAGGAGCAACGACAGCTACATACATGCAACGTTCGTGCGTCGAGCCGTTGGCGACACAACGTATGGGTGGTCGTAGGCGCGCATCATGTGGCCGCTGTCCGCTGGACCCACAATCAGTAACACAATCCAAACATGATCGCTTTGTACGCCGGCTCCTCTGTACGCTCGGCTTCATCTCCTCTATGGCTCTACCTCAAGGTATTGTGTAATTCGCTGTGTATGATTCCTCGCACAAGTACATCCAATGCGATATGGTAGTGTGTACAGTGTGATAGATGGCAGTGATGTGATGCGCGCGTACGATGATAGTCTGGACGAAGCTGCGAGACAAGAGAACGTGGGGGCGTCGGTAGAATTAAGTGGAAGGGGGTATATGCTCAGATAACCTCTAGCGCCATAAGCAAGTCGCGGTTGAGAAGCGAAGCCGCCAACTTATTATCCGTGCTCAGCAGCGCTTCAAACTGCGTCAAGCCGCTGTCGTACGTGATGCCATTGGCCCTAATCCTCAGGATCTGGCGAAGGTGTTCCCGCGGATAGTCTGTGGACTAGGTTTGAGGACAGCGAGAGAAGTATACATGAGGGCGCTCACGAAGTTCCGCTGGCTGAGCGTCTTGCGATATGAATGGCGACAAGAAGTCCAGTGCCACCGTGATCAGGGGCCCAAAGATGGCGAGAACATGCTGGCGGATGTCCTCGATAGAGTGCTGGTACGAGGCGCGTCCGATTACGCCGTCGAGGTTCTTGTATGCGTCGTTGAGATCCTCCGCCACGCCGACAGCGCAAGCAATGCGAGATCGCAGGGCCTTGCACATCAGCAGATCGAGCGCAACCTACGAACAGATGAGGATCAATGGAAATCAGGAAGTATGTGGAGGCTCACCTGCACTGCCTCAGGCGTCAAAGAAATGACTGCTTCTTGGACGAAATCGTGCAGAGCGGCGGTGAGGACATATTGCAGCAAGTTGTGACCAATGCGTGAGTCAGCTTCGTCGCCGTATCCGGTGAATATGCCCTTTGCGAAGAACGAGACGGCCGCCTGAGGAAGAGCATCGGAAAGGGCATCGCCAATGGCATTGGATGCCGCCTCGCCGACGACACCTAAGCATAATTGATAAGCTTGGGGGAGACATCAACGAGCTGAGTCACGTACGAAGTGCTTCAGCTTCGGGAGACTCGTCGAGACAAGGTTTGCCTTTGCCGTGCCTCCCGCTGGTCATCGACCTGAGTTTCTTGCGAGGACGGTCGGCACGTCTCTTGGGCTGCGTGGTGTGGCGTTGACCACCATCGGAGTCGTTGCCGGAGACGGGATCGACGTCAACGTCGGCGACGGGGAAAGCGCCGCTGTCTTCCTCGTGGTCCTCCTCTCGGGCTCTCTTGGACCCAAGCAATGTCGGTGGAGCGGGCGTCAGACCACTAGCAAGGCGCTCGATGTCGTCATCTTCGATGTGGATCTCCGCTGCGCGCTTTGAGGACGCGGAACGGCAGCAACCAGCAGTGACGGGCGCAGAAACAGACGCAGATGAAGGAGGGAAGAGCCTGTGCATAAACTGCATAGGCGATGATTCGACGGGAAGGCGATCCTTGAGGAGCGTAACTGAGATCTCGCCGGCAGATTCCGTCGAGCACTCATGCTTGCGTTCCTCGCTGAGGATGGGTGAGCAAGTGTGAAGTCGAGGCTATCACGTCGGACTTACAAGCGAATGCAGGCTCGCACAGCAAAGCCAATCAGCGGTCTCATAATGTCGACGATCAGAGCAAGAGCCTTTGCAGTATCGTCGCTTGTCGAGTCCAATGAACCAGTGATTGCCTGTATGATGCCGACGGCGCTGTCCTTGGTCGACAGACGAAGGACTCTGGCAACAGCCCGCAATGTACGTTGGGACATCAGAGCACGGAGCACGGCCTAAGAACAAAGGTAAGGGCACTGCAGAAGCTAACTCTGGACCGACACGTACGTCCATAATATGGGGCGCGCTGCGACAAACATCGGGATATGCCTTGACCAAGAGCGTGCCGACGACAAAGGCGATCAAGTTCTTTCCGCGTCTCTGTGCCAACGCGAAACCCGCCGCTGAACCACCGAGCACACCGGGCTCAAACACATCGAGGCCGGTCGAAAGCTGCTGGAATATGTCCGCCAGGCGGTACGGATGCGCAGCCAGTTTGGCGATAACGGCGGCGAGGGCCGCGTCGAGCATCGAGCCACCCGCTTGAGGCTTGATCCGCAACCGGGAAGAAGGCTTGTCGCCTTGTGGCGCCTGCGAAGAGGTCGAGATCTTGGAAGGAATGGGCATCTGATTGTGCGTTCAGCGCGAGTTTTCAGGATACAGGGGACGATATACGCACGTCGGTCTGGGCGCAGAGCTTGCTTAACCTGCACGAGGGTATCGGGGTATCGCCGTGTAGAGACAACAATAGAGGTGATGAGGGTTGGTTGCCGGGTGTTGAGAAGGAGAGGTGCCGCAAGTGGATGGTGTCGTGGCGGTAGGAACAGAGAGCGGACAAACACCGTCAATCAAATCCTGCATCCTGATAGGTGGCATCACGCTTCTGGGTGAAGCTTCTTTGACAGGCGAATTGACAGAGCTCATAGCACGTCCTGAGAAAGTCGAAAGCAGATCCAGTCCATCACTCTTGCTGGGGCATCGGGCCTTCCGTCTCGACGATGGACCAGATCCTTCCAAGCCATCCGGGGGGAGATCATCCATTGAAGGGCCTGTATTTTGGATGGCGCGTTTTGCATCTGGTTGTCGACAGGAGAACGCACGTCAAGCGGAGGTAGATCAGACAATCGGTCCGCGGGCCGAGAAGCTGCGTACAAGACTTGTACCCAACGTTCAGATGCAGAGATCACTGTATCGTGGACTTTAAGACTGAATTCACAGTGGAAGTTGTTGTCTACTAGCTGAAAACATTTGAGAAGTTGAGCATACATGCTATCAAGACTCATACCGATCTACGATGACAAGCTTTGCCTTTCAACCTCAGCTACCACCTCTGCATGTCGAATCGCCCGTGTAAGCGCGTAACGACTTGCAAGAAGTCAGGATAGTTTTCTGGCGTAATATAGCCCAGTCGAATGAAGAGGTGAATGAGGACTGGTGTCTTCGTTAGTATCGAGGAGTGCGAGATCCCGGAATACAACCCACCGGTGGCGCAGTTGTACTTGAACAAGCCAGCGCGCATCTTCGTGATGACCTCGTCTTGGGAGAGGAACTGAGGGATGCGACTGTAAGGATGGCTCTATGCTGGGCCGTCACAGTACGCACTTCGAAAGACTCGACTTCGCCGTCGAGAGGCTTGGGCTTAAAGAGACTGGGATCTGCGCCGGTAGGTATGCGCAGATCGTATGTGTACCTACGAATACGTTGGCGACGTATACACTTGCTGGGGTGATGATACTTACTCAACCTCTGGCTGAAGCCATCCAGTCGACGTTCTGTTGCAAAGGATGAATCAGTCGACGGCCTTCATAGGCTGAGTATTGTTCGAGGAAGAAGGGACGCACCTGTAGAAGTAGCTGATAGCGCCTGTACAGCGACAGAGGCGGTTGACTACATCCGCGTCGATGCTGGCTTCCTCCATACACTCCTTTACCAGCGAGTCCCACGCCGACATGCCGCTGGGAATGCCACCAGCGACCGTGTTATCTAGGTAGCCAGGCCAGCTAAGCATTCGTGTAAGCATAGTTCACTCAGTCAAGACAGACTAACAAACGTACGTCTGCTTCGTCTTCGCACGCGTCGGCACCCAAATCCTGAGCTGGCCGTCCGCGCTCTCTTCGAAGGCCGACATATGCACACCATAGGTGACTATGCCAAACAGTGCACATGCGGAGCGCTCCAGGTCGAAGACGAAGTTGAGAGAACCAGAGTCGGGCGCGTCCCATTGCTCTGGTGTAGGGTAATCATGTCGCGCGAATGGGTCTGCGTAAACGCTGGGTAAATAAACGTTAGCGAGCTGCAAAGGCGTAGGATGACACTCAATATCGTCTGAGAGGGAGATGCTCACGGGTAGAGCTCCCCTCGCCACTTGCGTGGGCCGCAGACGTCCGGGAATTTCTCCTCGTCGCGCCACCGCTCAGCAAGCTCGCGCAACGCCGCGGACCGCTTTCCAGGAGTATCCAACGTGCGCGACAAGCTTACGCGCCTCGGGGAGCTTAAAAACTCCCATAATTTCTGCCCCTCGCCCTTCGACTCGTTCTCCTTGTACAACGCGTCTACAATGACTGGGCGCAGGAGGCCGATTTTCGGACTGTCCGGCGCGGGGTTTAGGTGGAAAGGGAGAAGCTCCTCATCAGCAAAGTCCTTTGAAGGAGCGCCCGGACGGAAGATGTCGCAGCGCTCGACGAGGTCGAGGAAGCTGAGCGGTTTGGGATCCGCCATTGCAGGAGGAGCTGGAAGGTGATGTGGCGCGATGGACGATCAGGGCGGACCGGGGAAGCGGCGGCCCGACGATTATTTGATCCGCGGCTTCCCTGATATTTCCCGTTTCGGCAGGCATTGTTCTCTCATGCGGAACTTCCATGTCGGACGCCTATGACGGTCATGCACTCAGCTAGTGCGAGAAAGTCGGAGGGCGTGCTTACCCAGAAGCTATCGGCGTGGGATGCCCCCCGACTGACCACTGCTATAGTGCTAAGGAGAGCACAGGATGGTACCGATCCGTGATAGATAGCGCCAGTGGTAATAGAGTGCTGCAGCCCTGCTCGCATCGCATAATGAGTACGTTGATCCGCCGCCCTCCTCGGCTCGCCTGCAGGTACTTATACTAAGACCGTGCTAGCTCGCTAGCCAGATACGCCTTCCCTCCTTTCCCCTCAAACTTCAAAGTCCAGAATAATCATGCCGAGCTTCGAGTTTTTGTTGGCTTGCGTCAAGACGATCCTTTGGGACATATATCTTACCATCGCCAACAAACTCACTCCCGATGCTCAGCCTGGCCGCCTCATTCCCGCAGGGAGGCCCGGCGCTGGCGGAAAATGGCCCAAGTTCGTCCCACCCTCTCCAGGGGACAGTCGGTGCTCGTGCCCAGCATTGAATGCTATGGCAAATCATGGTGAGTAGCAAGCGCAACGCAGTCAAAGACGACTACATCTTGACAAATGTGGTCAGTTACTGACATTCTACTGTACCCAGGCATCCTCCCGCACGATGGCAAAAACATTACCTTCACCGAAATGGGTGAAAAGATCCACTCGACGTACAACTTCGCCCCATCCTTCTGCTATTTCGTGCCCAACTTTGCGGCCAACATGCTCGGCAGGAGCTACGCACGTCATACCTTTGACCTCGCAGGTAAGTCGGAGTCAGCAACCTCCCGATCTTGGCAAGTTCTAATCCCCAGGATAGACCTCGATTTGCATAATGGGATCGAGCACGACGCGTCGTTGACCCGTGAGTAGTATGTCGTTCCGGCGTGCGATGTTCTCTTGAACAGTGTTACTAGGCCTTGACTCGGCGCTCGCGCCCGACCAGGGCACCCCGCACGAGCCCTTCGTCCGCGAGCTGCTCGACTCTGCGACCGGGCGCGATGCTCGCACCGGCGAGCCACGCTTCACCGTCGCCGACCTCTCCAAAATCTCCGCCCGCCGCCGCGTGCAAGCGCGCGCCACCAACGGCGCTTACTCCCTCGAGAAGGTTCATCAGAAGTTTAGCGCGGCCAAGTACGTGTTAACCTCTGAGCACGCACCTTCATTCAACTCCAACCCAACGCTCACCTAACCCAACGCTCATCTAACCCACCATCTCTAGCACCTCCACCATGCTGCGCATCTTCGGCGGCAAGCTCGATGACATCGAGACGATGCTCATCGAGGAGCGCATCCCGGACGGCTGGGAGTCAAGCACGAAGGCGCGGCACGGGCTCACGATCCTGAGCTTTCAGGACACGGTGAAGGCGGTGGCGGCGGGGATCGACGAGGGGGCGGCGGCGAGGGAGATGGAGGCAGAGAAGGCGAGGGAGATGGAGGCGGAGACGGCGGAGAAGAGGGGTGAGAAGGGGAAGGGTCGGGAGGGGGTTATTGACGGACAGGCGCCGCTGTTGCGGTCGAGAAAGGGGATGGGTATTGGGCAGGCATAGGATAAGCATGGGCACCCAAATAATCCAATCTAACACCATCTTGATTCTTCCAATGTACACGCATAGCCTTATGAAAGCACGTCTCAAGACTCATATTGCGTCGAATTGCTGTCAGACCATTTCCTTCACGTCCTTCCCCTCCTCCATCTGCCCCATCTTCTCCCCCTCCAAAACTCTCGCTGCTTCCGCCTCCATCTCCCGCGCTGCCGCCCCCTCATCAATGCCCTTCGCCACAGCTTTCACCGTCGACTGGAACGACAGGATCGTAAGTCCGTGCCGCGCCTTCGTGCTCGATTCCCAGCCGTCCGGGATGCGCTCCTCGAGCAGCATCGTCTCCAGGTCGTCGAGCTTGCCGCCGAAGATGCGCAGCATGGTGGAGGAGCTGGGGAGAGGGTTAGGTTTGGTCGGGTGTTGGTTGATAGACCAGAGCGGGGAGATTGGCGGACGGCGAACGTACTTAGCCGCGCTAAACTTCTGATGAACTGCCGCGAGGGAGTAGGCCCCGTTGGTGGCGCGCGCCTGCACGCGGCGGCGGGCGGATATTTTTGAGAGATCGGGAACGGTGAGGCGCCGCTCGCCGGTGCGGGCGTCGCGCCCGGACGCAGAATCGAGCAGCTCGCGGACGAAGGGTTCGTGCGGCGCGCCTTGGTCTGGCGCGAGCACCGAGTCAAGACCTGACAATCCGTGTCAGCCATGCATGCCATTAGTATTGAATGCTAAGTACACACTCACGAGTCAACGACGCATCGTGCTCGATCCCATTGTGCAAGTCCAGGTCTATCCTTGGGATTAGCACCTACCCAAGGCGGCAGTCCACTACTATCTACTCACCAGCGAGATTGAACGTGTGCTTCTTGTAACTCCTGCCGAGCATGTTCGCAGCATAGTTGGGCACGAAGTAGCAGAATGAAGGCGCGAAGTTGTAGGTGGAGTGGATTTTGTCGCCCATTTCGGAGAAGGTGATGTTTTTGCCGTCATGGGGGAGGATGCCTGTGCGCGCCGTGAGTATTCGTTCACCTCGATTGGAGCACGTCCTCTATGGGTATTGAGGCACACTTGCTACTCACCATGATTTGCCATAGCATTCAACGCCGGGCAGGAGCAACGGCTGTCTCCTGCCTTGGGCGGGACGAACTCGGGCCACTTTCCACCTGCGCCAGACATCCCTGCAGGAATGAGTCGGCCGGGCTTGGCATTGGGGGTGAGTATGTAGGCTCGAACATCCGCTTCACACGAATCGGGCAAGCTGAGTCGTGCGAAGCGGCTGGTAGCAGGCGAGCGTCACATGGCAGGGTCACGAAAGCGTGACTCTGACTTAGCGAAATTTCGCCGCGCGGTCGCGGTGTCCAGTGCGAATCGTTACTCGTTGGATTGTGAGCCTCAGGAGACCCTCAGTAGCTACACAAGACCATGTACCGGAGTATATTACAATGATAAAGTTGTCTAAATTACCTATCTAATCGATTTCGCTGACCATCTCGTCATCCACGTCCTCCACGTCCTCCTCATCGCCTTCATCGTCCTCCTCTAGATCCAAGTCATCAAGATCTAGTGCAACATCTTCCTCCTCAATGACCTGAAGGGTTGGTTCCTCGTCATCGGCCAGGACGCGCTCAAACTCGGCCTCGCTGCCCTCCGAGTCCAACTCTGTGTCCGACTCGGTGGTGTCCGAATCTGAATCCGTTCCCGGACCAGGCAGTGCTTCCGAGGTGTCCATTGGCTCGGGGGTCGAAGGTGTAGCCACTGCGCCAGTGACGGGCTGCTGTGGTAGATGGCCGACCAAAGGGATCCGGCGGCGGCGCCTCTGCAAGCGTGTGAACGAGGCATTGTATTCGTCGAGGGGGTTCGTCGTGTTGTCCGTCAGCATCTGCAGGCCAGCGCCAATGACGTCTTTGGCAGGCTCGTCGTCATCGTCAAGAACGCGGCCGGGTGTGAGACGGTAGACGTCGTGCTCGTCGAGGCTCTTCATGAGTTCGGCAATGTCGGTCGAGAGGTCAGCCGGTGCATGACGTGTACCCTGCGATGGAGCACCGAGGACGCTGTTCATGGTCTTGGCGAGCTGCCGGAGAACGTTTGCGCAGGGAGCTACGACTCCGAGCCACTCCCAGGATGAGTTGCTGCCATGGGCACGATAGAAAATCTACAGTAAGGCTGTTAGCACAACAAGGTCGCTTGTAGGAGCACGAGAACACGTACTTTAATCCAGAAATTGAGATGCTCCTGCATCAGGTCCACCTCAACGAAGGCATTCTTCTTGCCAGTCGGATTGACGAGCCAGTTGTCTGTGATAATCCTTCTGTTAAACTGTCTGAGTATGCTGGGATCAAATGAAGTACGACACGCAGACTCACGCAAGCCTAGGTGGCCAGACCTTCTCGATGTTGTGAATGATGTGCAACATTTCGTGGGCATACTTGGTCCGGCCATTGCCACGGAAGCTCAGTGCCCACGCTTTGAGCACGAGCAAGATGCGCCCGGAGTCGCCGGCCTTGATAGCATCCGTATATTCACGCGAGATCAGCGCATCGCGCATGAAGAGCATGGCGTTCTCGAAGACCATATCACCCTGCGTAGGTTGGGGTCTCGCATCGGACGCAACGTAGGAAGTACCCGCCTCCGCAGCTGCAAGCATTGCGGCGTTCTCGGCCGCTGTAGCCTCTGCGTAGCGGCGCGAGCGCAAATCGTCGACTTTGCGCGTGTTCGCGTACTCGTCGAAGACCTTCTCAGCATCGGCCTTCAGCTGAGCAAAACCACTGAGGTTCTGGACATACTCGTCGAGGCTGGCTGCCCCCGAGACAAGCAGGAGGCAGTGGAGGATACGTGCGTAAAGCGAGACGAAGATGAGGTCGCGGCAGGTTCGGTAGTTGGGCAGGGATGTGAGGGTGATGGGGAGACGGTGGAGGCGTGTATTGTGGAACCAGAGGCTCCCCGGGTTGCGCGCGCCGCTGTTGGGTTTTCCGAAGTGGGTGAATAGCAAGCCGTGCGCATCGGCAATCTTGCCATGGAAAAGCCCGGGCATCCACGCGCCCCAAAAGTAGCCAGCGAGTCCTGCTTCCTGGCCCGCACGGATGTTGACAAGAGCGCGGATACGTGCTTGCGAGAGTTGGTCTCCAGCAAAGATAAGGACCTGCTTGTTAAACCACTCCTGCGTCTTGACCTGCAACTCCTCGATTGTAGCTTCGATCACCTCGCCGTTACCGAGGATTGTTGACTCGTCGATCTCCATGGCAGGCAAAGGGTGGATGGGCGTCTGGTGGACAGCTATCTGGCGGGAAGTCTTTGGTTGCGTCGCGTTGACATCTTGTGCATATTTTTTCAGGCCAGGGCCGCCGTACACAACAACAACGCGCAAGATGGTGTGGACAAGGCAATCCCTGAAGAGCGCAGCCTCGTTGACAGTATGGAGGATATCGTCGAGAGCAAGGGGAGCGGCCGAATCAAACGCTTTTTGCAAATCGTCAACGCGCATATCCTCCGCAGCCGCATTGTGCAGAGGCCAGATGGTCGCGCAAGTGCCGTTTTCCTGTGCATCTGATACAGATATGTCAGTTCGAGGTGAATAGGTTGTGGTGAACAGCGACTAACCGGTGCGTCCTACGACTTGCTCAGCAGCACGGAAGACCATGTTGATGTTGTCATAAACTGTCGCATAGACGCCGGTAGACGCTACGGCCCGCGCAGCTGCTCGCATGGACTCGGAAAGGGTGCGAAGGGTGCCAGGCCGCGTGAAGTACGACTTGACTTGTGTACCAGCGCCATCAACACCCTTTGTTGTGTACTGTCGAGGTGCCCCGCCCTTGCCAATGATGCCGGAATAGCTCTCGGAGATGCCGATGTGGGACATGACTTCGATGGACTGTCGTTGACTTCCGCTCGCATACAGGTACAGGCCGAGGGCCTTCTTGCCGAGGTTGTTGGCGTAGCTGTACTCCCCAAGGAGCTGCAACATTGTGTTCGTCACGATGAGGGTTTTTCTTGCTGCTCGTGCGACGCTCAAGATGCCGGGCTTCAAGTGTCGTGGTGACGTCGCAAATGCCTTGAAGACTCGTAGAGATACACCCGCCAAAGAGGTGAAGTGCGTATGGATTCGGGATAGATTGAAGCGCGCGAGGAAGTGCGAGTCGATGGGGACTTTGGAGCCATGGTAGACCCCCGACGTACTGAGAGCGCGCACCTCTGCGCGAACCAGGCCTACTGTATGGTCGACGGCCCAATCCGACACCTCCTCCTTGACTGCCGGCGTCGCCCCACGACCAGTCCACATGTCAAGAATATGTCGGACAGACGCCGCGCGGCCCCCGAAAAGGCCCAGCCACCGAGCATCACCCCTCTTGTTCTTCGGGTCGGATGTGTGGATGACGAGCTCGTAGAGCGAGCTGCCTGCCTCGTGGATCGATGCGAGGAGGCCGTCATTGACGGATCGACGGGCATCTGCAGCCTCCCGCCTCTTCCGCTTGCGCTCCTCTCGTGCCGCCAGACGTCCAGGGGCCATGGTTCTGGCTCTCTGTTGTTGCCCCTTGCGCCTCGAGCTCGCCGACTTTTCAGGACGTGTCGCACCGGTCTTTCCTGGGCTGGAGTTCCCAACGTCCGAGCTGCTGAGAGGGGGCAATAGCGCCTCTGTCGCGCGTCGCGAGCCAGGTGGAGGCATCTGCGAGCGGGTATACGGGAGGGAGAGCCCAAGGTGAGCGAGAGGTCGTTGAGGGGGGATAGGCGTGTAAGGTGGTGTGTGGGGGTCGCGTATAGATGGGGCGGCCTCACTGCCATCGTCTTGACGTCCAAGATCTTCTTCTTCACCGAGCCCAGCCTCCTCTTCATCATCCTCCTCTTCATCTGTATCCGTGTCGGACTCGGCCTCATGCACATCAACATCGTCCTCATCCTCTGTGTCGTCCTCGTCCTCTGTGTCGTCCTCGTCCTCCTCCTCCTCCGTGTCATCATCCTCGTCGTCCTCCTCCATATCCTCATCTTCATCGTCAACCTCCTCCTCGGCGACTCCCCCCTCGGTTCTGTTGAGTCTGGGGTCGTGATTCCTGCCGCTGCTCGCCCCATCACTGTGTTCGTAGTCTGCCTCGATGCTCTCGGCTGCCGCATTGCCGATGCTTGCTCCATCCAGCCCAAAGAGTGGTGAGGGCGAGCTGATCGTGAGTGGCGAAGACCCAGACGGAGGGCTGCTAGGGGGGATTGACATAGGCATGAGGGGGAGTTGGAGAGACGCGGCAATGATCGGTGGCTCACCGGTGGTCAGCAAACTTTTGCTTCCGCTGCCCTCTTGGCTCCCACCACAGTGCCCCCTTTGTTCACAACTGTCCGAGGAGCAGTGCAGGAACGAACTACAATGTCATCAGCTCGCGCTCCCCGTCCTAGCCGCCCAGCACTTACAACAGATGAACTTCGTGGGCTCCCAGATGTCCTGGCGGCGTCGTTCGGTTATGAACCTCGCGAGTTTCAAACGAAGGCCATCGGCGCTCAGTTGCAGCGCAAGGACGTTCTTGTACACGCAGGCACAGGCTTCGGCAAGACTGCAATCGCAGCAGGGCCACATTTTCATGAAAGTGCGAAGGGTGGGGTCACCCTGATGATCTCGCCGCTTATTGCCCTGCACGACGAGCAGGTGAGCATTCAGAAGGATGTGCATGCCAGGTACTCACCTCATAAAGGTCGAAACCTTCCAGACCGAGTTCAAGCTCACAGCAACTGCTGTCAACAGCAGCCATGGAGGCTGTAGCAGAGAGAAGCTCGCGGTTAGCTTCATCCCACACCATAACGGACCTGTGCTGACCTTGGAGCAGGAAATCGTTGCGGGGAAGTACCAGATCGTTCTGATCTCCCCCGAGATGTGCCTCTCACGCCGCTTCACGCGCGAGGTCCTCAACAACCCCAACTTCGGGGCTATGCTCCTCTCCGTCGTCGTTGATGAGGCGCACGTAGTCTCGCACTGGGGGGCCCAATTCCGCAAGAAGTACGGCCAGCTAGGCATGCTTCGTGCTTTCCTGCCAAGGAAGACACCCATTGTGGCGCTGTCAGCGACGCTATCAGCGCGCATTCGAGACGATGTCCTTGCAAAGCTGCAGTTTCACAAGACGGACTTTGTCAGTATCGATGTTGGCAACGATAGGCCAAACGTCTCACTTGTTGTTCGTGCTATGCAGCACCCCATGAACACATATGCCGACCTCGATTTCGTTATCCCATCCTCTGTCAAAGACGTCAGCGAGATCAAGAAGACATTCGTCTACGCCGACAACATACAAACTGGTATTGAGATCGAGGATCACCTCGAGGACCTCTTGCCAGAGTCTCTCCAATCCACGGGCATCATTCGGCCCTACAACGCTGCGTTCTCCAAGGAATACCGCAAGGAGGTTATGCGGCTCTTCAGGGAGGGTGCCGTGCGTGTTCTCGTCTGCACAGATGCTGCAGGAATGGTTAGTACTCGTCAAGCCTCGCATCCACGATTTGCACTTACTGACAAGATGCACTAGGGGTGTAACATACCGGACATCGATGTTGTTGTTCAGTGGAAGTTGACCACGTCGTTGTCATCCTTCGTACAGCGCGCTGGGCGTGCTGCGCGAGGGCGTGGTCGCATCGGTCTTGCTGTACTACTGGTCGAACCATCAGCATTCCTCGTTGATCTTTCGCAGGCACTGAGTGGGGTGGGAGACATCCAAAAAACAAGTACCAAGGGCAAGAAGCGCACCGGAAGAGTCAAAACACACGGTAAACGCACCAAGAAGGATGCTATCGCTCGCGGTCTCCTACGAGGTGCCGCAGACACGCTGCACGATGCCATATTCGTGCGCGAGCAGCCGCCGTTCGACTGGTCATCCGAGGACGAGAACCTCCTGGTCTACGTGCAGACAGGCGTCTGCCGCCGTGCCGTGCTGACGGAAATCTACAAGAACCAGCCACCAAGTAAGTATTACCCTACCGCGCGAGATCAATGATTGACATACAACAATAGACCCGTCCGTCCGTTGCTGTGATCTGTGTGACAGCAGCTTGCTCGATGCGGTTCGGCCAGGGAATCCTCCCACTGCGATACGTCAGCCCAAAGTCAAGCGGGGGATCCCGTACGCACCTGTGCAGAGGAAGTTGCTAGAGTGGCGCCGTGTTGTTGTCGCGCGAGACTATCCACAGGCACTGTTCGGAGGGTCAGCCTTTCTCAAGGACGAGACTGTTGAGCTACTCGCATCGGTTGGATCATTCGATACGGAGACTCGGCTTGTCAAGATCCTTGGAGGCCAGTGGAAGTGGTACAAGACCCACGGGCGAGAGCTCTTTGGCATCTTGAAGTCCTTCAGCATCCCATTTATCGCTCTCCCGGGCAAGAAGACGGCACGGGGGAAGAAGCGGGCCAACGCACCAGCGATTGCAGAGCCGCTTCTAGACGTCCCCAATCCACCGGGCGCGCGCGGAAACCGCGACCCGGACGCGTCTCCAGCGACAGTCGGAGCGGCCGAGCCCACTCTCTACTTCAGTCACGACCCGCAATCCAATCCTCCTCCTCCTCCGTCGGCTACTACTCCTGTGGATCCTGACTGGGAGACGATGTCCATGTAAGCCTTCCTGCGGGCCGTAGTCATCCCAAACACTTACATAGTCAAGATGGACTCCCGACAACCCTCCACCATCTCCCAGTGCGACACGGGGCAGCACGCGCGGGCGAGGGCGAGGCGCGAGCAGCGGCCGAGGGCGAGGCGCGAGCAGGAGTCGCGGGCGGGGTACAGGAGCGGGTCGCGGGCGGGGGAGAGCCAACGTGAGAAGCGAACAGGGGGGAGGATGTGCAGACTCGACTCCTGCAAGACGCGGGCGCGGGAACGTGTAGCGACAGAGACAAAAAGTACAGGGAGGACAGATCGTGGCTGGGAACGAGGCTGTAATGAAGACGTAACAGAGAATTCACGCGGATTCAAGTCGGCTGCGCTCATTAGGCGGTGTACCATGTTCGAAGCCTCTGCTTTACATTGCGGGAACGGTACGACAAGCGGTGGAAGGTGGCGGGCGGTATTACTGAAGGGCACAGGTGCGCGTGGTCGAATTCCACTAAGTCAAACTCACGCTTGGGCGCTCCCGCCAAATCGGCGTCACGTTATACCAGTCGCTCGGCGAGCCTCGCCCGCTCCCTCGCTCCCAGTCCGAAACCAGAAAAGCCCGGTTATCGGCCCGTTTGCCGTCCTCCCGATTCAGTCAAAGCCTTGAATCCGTTCGGGCTGTGGCTCGCCTGCGACTGAACGAGTCTAGTGAGTATGTTGGCGATGCTCAGGTAGATATCCCAAAGGAGGGTCTTGATGCACACAAAGATGAACCCGAGGCTGGGCATGTTGGAAGACGGGAGCAAGAAAAATTAGGCGGGGCTGGAGGAAATGCGGGCATATGAAGCGTGCTGGAGCCGAACAGAACGCGGCGCATCGAGGCATGCTTCCCTAAAGGAGGGCTGTCGCGCGTCAGATAGGTGGGGTGTAGGCAGGCCTGAGTTGCAACACCCGTGTTACGTCTTGTGCTCTGCGAAGAGAATGAGCGTACCTTATCGACGCAGCGTATCTGAGGATGTTGTGACAGCCACCCACTGTGCGCCAATCAGGTTGTGTTGCTTACTTTGACATGTTGGTGGAGGGGATGCACAAGCTGACTGTTGCAGGACTGCTTTGACAACGCCTGTGTAGCACGCGCACTGCATATAGAGTCACAAAAAAATACATTGCAGCAGTTACTTGCTGTCCGACACAAGTTCCTCGACCTCCTCCTGGTCCTCCCTCGCCGAGCGCTGGACCCACTGCCGACCCGCCTGAAGGGCAAGGACGCCTGTGAGCGCGACGCTGCACATGAGGTGGTTTGAGGCAAGGTCGATGACAGCGGTGCGAAGGGTCTTCGGCACTATCGCGTCGGGCTCGTGAGGGGGGATCGTCTCGAAGTTTTTGATGATGCCTGCCAAGTGTGAAGTATGGGGTAGACGGGGAACGTGGACGTACGTACTGGGAAGCACGTTGTACACATACATGGCGAGAGTTGCGCCGAAGAGACCTGAGGAACTCGTCAGTCGCGTCAGAGGGGACTGTAGGGGTACACGTACAGATACTGCCCCCGTCAAACATGATGTTGTCTGCCTGGCCGTCCCCAAGGCTCCAGAGGATAGTAGCCCCAGCAAGAGATACAACGAGCCCAAGTAGCAGCTGTGACCACCTGGGCATCGTCTCGATAAGGGAGTAGTAGCGCACGGCGGTCCAAAGGTCCACCTCTGCCGCCGGTGGGCGCCAAAGCGTAAGCAGGTCGACGATCCAATGCGTGAACAGGCACCCAAGCAAGAAGCTCGTCGTGCACACCACCACTATCGTTCGGAGACCCATCGTGAGTGTGGGAGGGGGCTGAGGAAGGAATTCGTTGTGGTCGACTTGAACAGTGCCGAACGCGTCGACGCCAAGTCGCCGTGTACTTCGCGCTTGGCCGGCCCGCATCCTCCGGTGGCGTCGCGCCGACCTTCGCGGCGTCACCAGCGTCAATTTCCTCAGACTCGAAGTTCATCATGAGCCTCACCACCGCCCTTCGCAGCCTCTCGCGTGCCCCAGTGCGGCCAGCGGTGCGCCTCTTTACTGTCTTTGCACCTTCAGGATCAACTCCATGGTTTGTCGACCCCGCGGAAACTACAACACGGCGTGCACCTCTCGAAGTCGCTGAGGAAGCACCGCCTGTACCGGACGCTGCCCCCACGCCGCTCAAAGCTCTCAGGCAATCGCTTGTGAAGTCGCCCCACCTCGATCGCGCATCTGTGGTCGTTGCACCGCATAATGAGCTTTTGCCGGAGTCTGGGGAACCACCAGTAAGGGAAAGGCGGCATGGAGTAAGACGCAAGCGGGGAGGGAACTATTCTGGCGAGACGCTGTACGAAGATACGGGAGGGATCTGGGATTGGGTGATGCTGGCGCAGGTGCGTAACAGACACGTCCTGGTGTATACCGATGCTCAGCGTGTGTCAGGTGAAGGAAGGAACAGAGAACCGTGGAGGTATCGAGGCCGTCGTAAGAGATGTGCACAGAACGGTGGGTTCTCAAAAATATCTCCTGTACTTCATATTCACTCGAATGCAGCTCTCCACGCTCGACCCGCCCATCACCCTCCCTACTCACCACAAGCGCGGCGAGCACAACGGTTGGGCAATGATCGACGCTGGCAATTTCGCCGTACACATCATGAGCAAACCCGCGCGCGACAAGTACTTTGGTTCAGCTCTCGCGCGCCTCAGGCAATAGATACTCTCCTACATACTGCAACTCCGCCTCTACCACGCAACCTCCTCTACACCGCAACCACATCTCTGTACCATAAATGCATGATCTACTCGCCACAGGGGCGCTTCTCCTCGGTAATCATGTGCGTGCCGGAATGACCGGTGCCGGATCCTCGTCCCCCACGTTCTTGCGCTTCCCCGCCTTGTCCTGCCCCACCACGTTCCTGTTCTTGTCCTTCCCCACTATGTCCACCTCGTACCCGCCTCCGCCCAACCTCCCCAAACCCGAACCCATTCCACCCCTCCCGCTCCTCCCCATAGAACCTGCCGACCTAGATGGTTTGACCACCCTCCCCTCCCTCCTCCCCGACGCTGCGGACTACAACACCCTCCCCGGCTTCACCTACTCCAAGCACCTCATCTCCGCGTGTAAGCTGCGCACCGTGCCCACGCAGTATGATATGCCGCGTGCGGACCCCGCGCTGTTAGCGAGTAAGGAGAGGAGGAAGGCGGAGATGGAGCGCGTGGCGAGGGAGGTGAAGAAGGTGGTCGTGAGTGATGAGTGGTGGCGGGAGACGGAAGGGTACAAGTCTGCGGTGCCGCTGTTCAATTCCTTGACCAGGTTCAGAAGGAATGGTAGGGGGACGGGTGCTCAACCTGGTTTGACGCTGTTCTTCGCGCATGCAAACGGATTCAACAAAGAGGTAGGCCTTCTCCTTCGCTCAGATTACAGTCAAAGTACCTCGAATGACATTGCCTAGACTTGGTATCCAACCTTGCAGCATCTGGTCAGGAACTCCGCTGCTGCGGTCAACATTGCAGAAATATGGCTTTGGGAAGCTGTCCACCATGGTGAAGCCGCTGTCATCAACCGTCCAGGTCTTCAAGGGTTCTGTGCGTATACCTCGGAAATCTGCTGTACGTGGTCGCCTCCTTTGACTGATCCACTTTCTAGACACATGGCGGGACAACACCCGCGATATCCTTAACTTCTTGCTGCACTTCATTCCGGCCGACCCCACTACCGATGGGCTATCTACGCACCTCCCTCGGGTCTCCGCGGCGGAGACGGCAGCAAGGCGCTCCGCAGGACTACAACGGAGGCATGTGGTGGCCATAGGTCATTCTTTTAGTGGATGTGCCAGGTAAGTCACCAGTTCCATAACGAAACCGGGGTACAAGACGCGACGGCATGAAAAGCTGACCATATTCACGTCCAGCGCACTCGCCGCTCTTACCCCTCCCAGCGGCCACAAACTGCTCCGCAGCCTCGTCCTGGTCGACCCTGTGATTATGCGCCCCCAATCTGAGCATGAGAAGGGCGTGTTCGACCTTGCGGGCGCTGCCATCGGCAGGAGAGCGCGCTGGGCGTCAAGGTAGGTATCGCCCTGTCTCGCGTATCAGCATGTTGATCGAAAGAATTCGCGCTTCACAGGGAAGAAGCGAAGCGATCTTTCCTCGCGTCGCCCTTCTTCCAGCGTTGGGACCCAGCCGTTCTGGACGCGTACGTGCAAGGCGGGTTGTATGAGAAGGATGGCGGAGGTGTGTAGTACCCCCATTGTGATCATGAAACTTGCGCTGATCACCGCACCGTAGTCGAGCTGCGTATGACTCCGTTCGACGAGGCGCTCATGTTCTCCGACTCGCGGACGAGCCCGGAGGTGCACAGGAGGCTGCCATCGCTCGTCGAAGACGTCGAAATTCGGTGGATCATACCCGGCCCAGGGCAGAAAGAGTGAGTGTAGCGTAGAAACTCGGCACCTTGGGCGAAGAAAGAGCTCACACATGAACTAGATTGGGCACTTCGGAGGAAACGCAAGTGCGCGTATGGCTGCGCCCCAAGAACTCGTCGAATGTGCGCATCGAGGCGCGGGTCATCTAATTCCTCAGGAGAAGCCGGAGAGTCTAGGTGAGTATCTCGAGGATTGCTTTAGCGTCCAAGACGTCATGCTCATATGTGCCAGCGCGCGAGATAGCGGCGTTCGTGGAGAGGAAGGGGGCGGAGGTCAGACGCAAGACACAGACATCCAAGTTGTGAACACACTAGAAAGTAGACGAATATTAGCTGCCATTGTGGTAGACAAGATGCTGACTGAACAGGGCTTGCATAGTATTCTGCTACGCAAATAATGGTTCCCGACTCATGGGCCCCGATTGTGGGCGCCCCTCACGGCAAGTACCGAGATAGACTAGTTTCGTTGATGGGGTACGCTGTCCTTGTCCAGTTCATTCATTCGGTTGCGCATATGCGATGTCTGTCCCAACTCGTGTGTCGGCGTCTCTCGCTTCATCAGGACCGCCGCGCTCCTGCCTTTGCGCTGGCGTTGAGGGGAATTCATAGTGCGAATGACGGTATGTCACGCTTCATCCTCGTCATGCACTCATCCTCAGCCGCTTCCAGACCGGAACGGATTATTTTCTGTGACACAGTACCGCTGGCTGTACAACAACAAGCAACGTAACTATCTCTACATGCCTTTAACTCCCTTTGCTGAAGCTGCATATGCGTAGAACTTGCTGTCCGTTATGTTCCCTTCAATGTCAAAGCACTGCTCAGCGTCGCAATCAAAGCCGCTGGCGCGAACGAGATTGTGTCCTTTAATAAAGTCCAGGACGGTATGTTGTCTCTCGCTTTTACCCTTTTGTCCCGTAACTAAGACTTCACAGGCATAAACAATCGCGTCTTCGACCTGAAGACCGACAACGGGAAGGAGTATATCGTCAAAATCCCGTTTCCTGTCGCCGGTCCGAAGCACCTCCTCACCGCCAGTGAGGTAGCTACTTTGGACTACATTCGAACCGAACTTAACATCCCTGCGCCTGTCGTCTGCTCATGGTCCTCGCGCGCTGAAAGCACGCCTGTTGGCTGCGAGTACATCATGTACGAGAAGCTCCCTGGCGAGCCTCTTCGCACGCACGAGTGCACCGACGTCGCCCTCGCTGAAGACCCCTACGTCCAGCTAATACCCTTCATGCGAGCTATCGAGTCTGTGCTGTCCAACATACGCTTCTCCCAGATCGGCAGCATCTTCTACAAGGAAGACGTCCCTGAGTCTATCCGCGACAGGCCTCTTTACAAGAATCCGGACCTGGAGAATGAGAATACTGCGCGCTTCTGCATAGGACCAACCGTTCACCGTGAGTTCTGGAGAGCTGGCAGGCATGCGTTAGACATTGACAGGGGACCATGTAAGTGGTGCATCGACTCGATAGAGGCGAGCTCATCGTCGCACAGGGGACGACGTGCGAGCCTACATGTACGCCCTGGGCGCATGTGCGCGGGCCAGCATCCAGGCTACGCCCGATCCTGACAATGACGATGCCTACCGTGATTGGATCGCGAAGTACGAAATGTTGGTTCCCGACCTTGCTCCCGACGGATACATTGCGCTTGTCCTCTGGCACCCCGACCTCAGCGCGAACAACATCATCGTCCACCGCGACGAATCCTCGTACCGCCTGAGCGGCATCATCGATTGGCAGGGAGCGACCGTTGGGCCTTATTACAGGCAGTTCGCCCTCCCGCAGCCGTACGACTTCGATAGGAAGTCCGCGCCGCGCGTGGTTTTCTCTGAGGAAGGGAGACCAGAACTTGGTGTTGCGATCGACGATTTAGACGAGGAGAGCATGGAAGAGGTCGAATACGCCCTTCGTCGTGCGTGGAGAGCTTACTTGCATGAGCTGGTCCTGCGCAAGGAAGACCCTCGGTTGGCGGACGACTTGTGCAATCCATTCAGCACCATGGCTACTCTGCGGGCCGTCACCAGCCCTGCGCACACTATCAACCGTGGGTCGCGGTGGCTGCCACTCATACGCCGTGATATTGCGAACGTGTGGTCGCTGTGGGGTGTCATCGTGGGGGTCAACGACGACGACAATCCCGTAGATCCTTTTCCATTTGCGTTCTCCGACGAAGAAGCCGAACAGGCCCACGAAGAAGCAGACCGCTTTGTTCGCGAGCTGGCGATGTGCGAGGATTTGCTCGCTCGCCTCGACCTCAGATGGGAGGAGGAGGGAAATGTGCCGGCAGAGCGGTTCGAGGAGGTGCAGAAGGCTGTCGGCGAAGCTCGACAAGCAGCTCTTGATGCAGCTACTGGTGCGGAGGAGAGGGCGCGTATCGAGAGGGCATGGCCTCTGCAGGATGGCAAGCCGTCTCTCAGCGCCGACCGTTGCTGGTAGCTACCTATGACATATCTGAATGGGAGTTGTGGGCGCGATTCGAACTGAGCACGTGAAGCGGCGGAAATCGGACCGCTTGAGCGATTGGCGCGGGCGATTGGCCGAGCGGGCGCGTAGACTTGCTGACTTTGTTTTTTATGAACCCCATCCTTCCTCGCTGACTCTGCTCGTCGTCCACTGGCTCCAGACAACAACTGATTATTGGCATGTCTCTATGGCTGCCCAGACCGTCGCCGGCAGGTCTCGCTCGTTCCTATAGCCGCGCCTGCATCTCCGCGCCCCGCCGCTTCCCCGTCGCCGCCCACTACCAGCTCGTCCGCGTCCCACCGCCCGCAGCGTTCTCGACGACCCGCTCATGGCGTGAGGAGAAGAAGGACGGGGTTCCCGACGTGCCTGCGAAGCCGGATGTGAGCAAGCAGGGTCCGCCAGCGCCGAAGGAGGCCCCGCCTCAACCTCCTGCGCCGCTCATGAAGCGCGTCTGGAAGAAGGTCAAGCATGAGGCGGAGCACTACTGGAACGGTAGCAAGCTGCTGGTCTCGGAAGTGCGCATCTCGGCGCGTCTTCAGTGGAAGATCCTCCATGGCGAGACGCTCACGCGCCGCGAGAGGAGACAGGTGCGTGGCGCAAACCCGTTCAAGTGCACTGTGCTAATCCCTCCCTTAGTTGAGGCGTACGACGCAGGACTTGCTACGTCTTGTGCCCTTTGCCGTCTTCGTGGTCGTTCCTTTCATGGAATTGCTGCTCCCTGTCGCACTCAAGCTCTTCCCCAACATGCTGCCCTCCACATTTGAGGACAAGTTTGCCGCGCAAGAAAAGGAGCGCAAGCTGCTTCGTGTCCGCTTAGAGATGGCCAAATTCCTCCAGGAGACCCTCCGTGAATCGGGTCTACGCGCCAACGCGCACATCGTTGGCAGCGACGCCTTCAAAGAGTTCTTCCGGAAGGTGTGCATACGTCCTTCATATTCCCCTTGCTGCAAGCTCACCAGCTGCAGGTCCGCGTCACTGGCGAGCGTCCATCCATCGAAGACGTCATCAACGTTGCAAAGCTTTTCGACGATGACCTCACCCTCGACAATCTGTCTCGCCCGCAGCTCGTGTCTATGTGCCGGTACATGGGCTTGAACGCGTTCGGCACGGATAACTTCCTTCGTGGTGCCATTCGCAGCCGGCTCACCAACCTTCGCCGCGACGACGAGCTCATCTTCCGCGAGGGCGTTGACGAGTTGAGCGTGCCCGAGCTGCATGCGGCCTGCCAGTCTCGCGGCATTCGCACGAGCGGCACGTCCCCGTCCCGCCTGCGCGAGGAGCTTACTACCTGGATCAACCTGCACCTGCACAACCGCGTCTCCGGCGTTCTGCTCATCCTTGGCCGCGCGTTCTTCTTCGACCGCACGCCGGGCACCGACGAGGATGGCCGCACTGCGGTTATCAAGTCTTTGGAGGCCGTGCTGAGCAGCTTGCCCGATAACCTGCTCAACGAGGCCGAGATCGAGGTTGACGAGGCGGCGACGTACAAGCAGAAGCTCGAGGTCTTGCAGCAGCAGCAGGAGCTTATCGAGGATGAGGAGGAGCAGGAAGAAAAGGAGGAGCTCGCGCGTCGTGCTAAGCGCGAGGCAGAGGAGGCGGAGGCCATGGCCGCCGAATCCCTTCTTCCTGACTCTGAGGTAAGCATGTTTGGTTCGCACAACACTCGTTCTTGCCTGACCTTTATGGACCAGTTCGGCATCGAGGACGAAAACGCGCGCATGACCACGGAGCAGCTGAACGAACTCGCCGAGGCTCTCGTCGTCCTTTCCGCCAAGTCGAGTGTCCTCAAGGAGCGCGACGAACTTCGTGCCTTGATGGAGGAGAACTTGCAGGCTGAGGAGGTACACTCATCTCCCTTCTCATCTCAGGCGAGGTCGCTAATCAGTCCACTCAGGACCCCAAGTCTCCCTCGGGCGCCCTCACCAAGCGCATCCGCACCATGTTGACCAAGATCGACCAGCAGCTCAAGGACTACGATGAGCGCGTCGGCAGCTCGCTCCAGATGATTTCGCAGGACCCGCAGGGCCGCGTCTCCGTCCAGGACCTCGAAAAGGCACTCGCCGTCATCAAGCACAAGCCCGATGAGGAGGTCGGCCAGGCCGTCATCCGCAAGCTCGATGTCGACAAGGACGGCTACGTCGAGCTGGAGCACGTGCTGGGCTTGGTCAAGCAGGAGGGGCTCGGCACGGTGTTGGACGACAACGCGCAGTCCATCCTGGGGCAGGGCAAGGAGCTGAAGAACGCGGAGAAGCCGAGGAAGGAGGATATTGTGAAGGAGGACGATTAGATAGAATCTCTACTCATGGTATCTTTATCAGCTAAGCCGCGTCTAATAGTAATCGCGTATAGAGCACTGGGAGGGTGCGTTCATCCCAGCATCGACAGGGTGTCTATCGGACCGGCCATCCGAGGACAAAAACTCCCAAATGCGGAAAGTAGGCGATTTGCTGCCATCCCTCATCGCGCAAGCACGCGCCCGATTACCTGCGTCCCTCTCTGCCATGTCGCAGCAGGCCGCGGCTCCAAGCGCAAACATGACAGCGTGCGTTGATGGTCCTGACGCACGGCGGCCTCCCCTGGGGGCCCACATACTTAACACTATAGCGGGGCGTGATAAGCGCTCTCCCCTCCGTCGCTCATGGCTCTCGATGTGAAGTCCGCGCACCTTACCGCGATTATTATCCAGTGCTTGCTCTATGGCGCGTCGGTACCGCTCTTTGTGGCGACGATTTGGGCCTTGCATGGCCTGAAGCACGCCGGCAGGCTTTGGTATCCGGTGACATGCGTTCTGTTCGTGCTGAGTACGATGGTGAGTGTACTTACGCGTCATGCAAACGTGATGGATGCTGACTTTTCTGCAGCACGTTGTAGTAGACGCACGACACATCTTCATCGGATTCATCGAACGTGTCGATGTCGCGGACGTGTACTTCCAAAGCGTAGTGAGGGAGACGACAAAGAATGCTATTTATTTGGTCGAGACGTTGGTCGCGGACTCGATCCTGGTGCGTGAACTCCTGGCGCTACCTGAGCCACCACTGATGACTGCGTAGATCTACAGATGCCATATGGTGTACCAGCGATGGGAGGCCATTGTTCTTCCCGTCGCACTATGGGCCTCAACTGCCGGTGCGTTTCGCTGCACAGTACAATGATTGTCATACTGATATGTGAGCCACCAGTCGATGGTCCTCTTGCTGTATATGCCATGGATCAACGCTCGCGCGGCTTGGATAGCTACTTCGCTCAGCAGTCATACCACTGGGTAGTAGCCTTCTACTCCAGCGCCTTCTCCACAAACATCATAACAACAAGTCAGCCCTTTCCCTAGTCCCTCTGGATTGCTCTGACCACCTTGGCGTAGGCATCCTCGCGTACAAGCTGTGGAATTACCATTGTCAATCCTGCCGCTTCGGCTTCAACGTACCCAGCGGGCAGTCTGCCATATCCCCCATCTTCTTAACCGTCGTCGAATGTGGCGCAACGTACTCTACGGCTCTCATTGTTATGGTTGTCATCTTTGCGACCGCAACGGACGCCCAGTATGTTGTCTATTGCCACGGTATTCGTGAGTATCCTCCTTTGCATTCGTCTAGGCCTAGCAGCTGAATCTGCTATCAGATTGCCAAGTGATTGCCCTGACGTTCTACATGGTCATTGTTCGCGCGGCCATGTCTCGAGTGGGCAAGGAGCTGCGCTCCAGGCACACGCAATCGCTTAGCGCAATGTCCTTCTCGCGCGGAGGTCCGACGAGCACGATCACTTCCGAGCGAAGGATGGAAGTGCAAATCAATCGTCTCACGACCTCTAACCGAGGCCTACCGCGCGACTACTCGACCGATTTTGTCGACGACAAGGAGTCCATGAGCGAGATGACATTCGCGGAGAACTTGGAGTTTGAAAGGCGGCAAAGGCAGATTCAGAGCCGGCTCCCGCAGGACCAGGTGTAGCATAATTGTCCCTGATGCACCTTCTATGTAGTGGCCTTTTGCTTTGTACTACCCTTTTTGATGACCACAGTGCTGCCCTTATATCATGTTGCCCCCGCGACGGATTTATTTATGTGATCATGTGCGCGAAATAAGCTGCCTTCATGCAGTTCGCAGTCATTGGCTTATACGTTACAGTGTATTTTTGTGTACTCTTGAGTTACCTTATTCCTATCGAAGAAAATGCCTAATCTGTACTATGAAGCAGCTTATCTTGCCAATTCGCAAGCTGGACCACGTTTGTATGCGTATGTTTGCTCTTATGGGCGTGAGTGATTTCATTTTGTCGATCTCGGATTCGAATTTGCTTCCGATCAGCATGAATCACTCTCGTCACATTCATCACTCATGTTCCTTTCCTCCCACCATGGCGAAAGTCAATGACGCGCTCCTAATTGCCCAGATACTGACCGCAACTTGGCCTGTCTATTCCGCATCTCCCTGCATCCGATATCAACCCCGGACGGGCTGGGACAGCGCAGCTGAGGGCGCTTTCTCATCTCGTATGCGCCAGCTCTCAAACCAATTTGCTCTCCTCAACAATCTCGACATATCTCTGCCTCTGTCGCTAGCCCTTACTCTATGCACTGCCTACGCTCCGGAACAGGCTTGACTGATCATCCTACGCTCTCGTAATTCAGTTGACTTTCCCATGTCCTCCTCGACTTCACAGACCGAGCTTCCGGCCCTAGCTCGCCAGAGAACCTCCCAGTGCTTCCTAGCACCGCCTTGACAGTGCCCGAAGCGTCTAGAAGATTATCTAATCTTCCCAGGCTGTAGATATATAAGGCGGATCGTGCGAAATTGCACCTTTCCCTCTTACTTCCACCATCGCAATGACAATTATCGCAGAATCAGCCTCCGCCGCCTGCCCTGTGCAAGCCGCAACCCCAGACCCTGTCTATCATCACTCTGATGGGGACCTCGAGGTCCTCGTTGGCCATACGATCTTCAGAATTCACAGCTTCGCCTTCGCCCGCCACAGCGCCAGTCGAATGAAGCTTAATATCGCGACCAGCCCTGGTGAGCAATCCGTCACCGAAGGACAGCTTGTGGTACTGAACGATCTTACACCGGACGACTTCCGGGCCCTGTGCTGGGCTGTGTACCTCCATCCGGGGGATGCGCAGCCTGGCATCGACGACATCGACCGTATGCTGCGCGTCGCCAGCATGAGTCATACGTACGGAATCACGACCTTACTCAAGTGGGCCTGTCAATACCTCACCGACACCGCCGCACGCATCGCCGGTCTCCCAGCTGTCGAGAGGCCTGGGTGGGACCCACCCTTTCTCTCTCGCCTTCTACGTGTCTGCGTAGCGCGTGATCTGACAGCCGCCGTGCAAGACTTCCAGGATATTTGGATCGATCGCCTCGCCGCCAAGGATACGTCCGCCTTCCCTGAAGCCATCGCGACCGCCGAGGACCTTCGCCTCCGCCGACTTCAAGGATACGCCTACTACTATCAGCTCATTGTCGCGCACGAGCGGGAGTCCATACCATCCCATCGTGCAACATTGTACGATATACCCGGCCTAACGGAGGAGCAGAAGTTCCGTCTTGCAGATGGATACCGGTCGCTCACAATCTTCTGCGAGGAAATCCTCGATAACGACATCCGCGCCGAAGCATCCTTGTTGGACTCGTCCGTTTGCAACGAGAAGACACACCAGACGACATGCATCAAGTACATTCGTGCAATCGTCAATCGGGCATTCGGGTCCCCCGACCTGCGCGTCTTCGAAGCGTTCGGCTATATCGACAAAGTCATCGGGGAGTTGCGAGGGGAGTCTCACATTCGCAAGCCTTGTAGGATGGCAGCGATTGAACGACTCACCGGGCTCAGGAAACGCGTTGAAGACACTATGGCCGACCACTTCACCCCAATCAGCGCGTTGCGTCTGGGGATGTTGGGAGAGCTACCGATATTTGGGCGCGTTGCCAGATGAGATCTTGAAGACCTTTCATGTAGTCCTTTGTTCCTACTCCTTGTTGATTAACTTAGTACATGCAGTAGGTTCACTACCACCTTCTGTGCTTGGGGCCGCTGGCTACTTCCCCATACCTATGTTTTTACCTTCGTACCGTGTTATGCCATCTATTTATTCATTGAACTGTTCACGAAACCGTGGCTCTTATCGACATGGTTCCGTACTTACAATAGCTTGATGATGCGGGGTAGCTGGCTGCTCACGTACGCGTCCCATTCTGTATGATATTTCCTCGTATTTATCTATTTATTGGTTTGTCATAACCTTGCTTCGCCAGAGCCCAACATGCGAGCCAAGTGCACGGCCAGGCCACTGTGAGTGTACTGTTGGCAATGTAAAATTGACACAGGTGTATGGTAGGTGATTTCTTGTTACAACTATGCGGCGAACCCGCGCGCGCCGAAGGTGCTTGCCAGCGGTTGAAAATGTAAGTCACGTGCACAGCCGCTACTTGCGCGTGCAGATCATCTGACTGCTTTACAGTTTTACCGGGGAGTGCCGATGTTGGTTCTCACGCTCTCATTCACCGTAGCGATCTTACTGCTGCGCGTCGCATCGAGCAATACCGTCCGCAACAATGGAGAACGACCAGGTGCGCTCGGACATTATATGTATGAGGATGTGGTGCTGACGATACATATCAGGGTGTCCTCGTTGACCTTTACGTCCCGCGCAAGTGCTCGGCGACCAGTGCGTCCCAATCGTTCCCCCCACCGCGCTAGTCCTGACCGATCGCCTTCACCAGACCGCCTGATCACTTCAAAAGACCACGCCTCTGTGCAGATCAACGTTGCGGATGTCGACGCGAACGGTCGCGCACAGAACACCCACATCACCTTCGCCTTCTCCGGCCAGGTGCGCGCGATGGGCGAGAGCGATGACTCGCTGAACCGGTTGGCGACCAAGGCTGGCTGTGAGTGCATATCCGGCTCGATAGAACGCTGAGACTGATGGAACTTACAGTGCTACGGAACGTCTGGTCATACCAGAAGTGATCGTGTACGATAGACGACCTTCCACATCTGCATCTGTGTATCCTAGCTGCGCTATCCATATCGCTTTCCGAGGGCCCTGATCTGTGCATGCCTATCGTCCCTCATTCGACCAACAATCACATTCATAACAAAGTCAACGCCCGCTCTTCAGAGAAGCTGCTCACGCCTGCTCGCACTACATGGCCTTGCAAGTAACACCCTCGGTCTTGACTGTCGCATGCACCGAAGAGACTCTTCCTTTCTTTTCATCCTCCGTGAACGAATGTCCCCTTCCTCTTTGTCTCACACAATTAAGACAGTTCACACCAGAAGTATAGAGCAATGCAGCGCAATTCCATTGACTAGATTACATGTTGCCATTACAGAGTCCAATGCAAGTCATTCTGTTCATTACAGGATCATCAAGCTCGTCGCTGGCTTACGCAACGGCGATCTTCTTCGGCGCCTCCTGAGGCGACGTCTTCGGGAACGTCACCGTCAGGACACCGTTCTCCATCGAGGCCTTGATGTCCTCCTCCTGCAGGTGTCGTTAGCATCTCCGTCTTCCATGCATCCAGCTACACTTGCTACTCACCTTGACACCAGTGGGCAGCTGCAACGTGCGCGACCACTTGCCGTAGCGGCGCTCGCGCACCGCGTAGCCGTTCTCCTCGCGGTCCTCCGCGAGCTTCGTCTCCGCGCCGACCGTCAGGCGGCCGTTGTGCACGTCCACCTGCACGTCCTCCTTCTTCACGCCGGGAAACTCGAACGTCGCGGTGACGACGTTCTTCTCCGCGTCCTCGTGGAGGTCCATCCTGTCAGGCGCATTAGCAAGCACGTTCAGCAGCGAGAGTTGGGAGGGAGGTAAGCTTACCTAGGCTTGATGGCGCGCGGCGCGTCGTTCTGGTGGGCGACCTGGCCCTGGTTGCCCTGCGCGAGGCGGCGCTGCGCGTCCTGCGAGCGCTGGGGGCCGAACGCGTCGTCGAGGAAGCGCTCGATGTCGTAGAAGGGCTCGTAGTAGAACACAGACATTGTGGTTGGGTGAGGTGTAGAGTGGTTTGGTTGAGAGGTGTTGTGTGTCGCGAGTGGTTGGTGTTACTGCTGATTCTGCTCTGACTTGGCCTGCAGCCCTCCCTCTTATACCATGCCCTCCATTCCGGAAGATTCATTCTGCTTTTGCGTCACTTTGAGGGCTGGTGAGGGACGTGGACGCGAGGCGAGGCCTTGCTGGAAAGCGCCCCAAATTACGAAGAAAGTTCTGGAAATTTCGTCTTTCTTTGTGGCTCCCTGCCTCTGACCTCTGACACAGGTCTGACGAGGGCCTCAAGCGACTTTGGCGGTGCCTCTTTGAGACCACAGGATCTTTGATCGGTCTGAATGTCAAGGCGAAAGGGCAAGCGCTCGAAGCAATCGATCCCACAAAGTTCGCGCCCCAACTCTAATGATCATCGCGATTCAGAGCACGGCTGGTCAGAAGTACATGTCCAGCCCAGGTATGCATGTATGCAATATGTATCGTCGTAATAGCTAGTCGTCAAAGAAGAGAGCAAGCACAGAAACGAAGCACAGACAATGAGGGAATACTCAAGCACAGAACAGCGAGCACGAATAAAGTAAGCATAAGAACCGTTCGACTTCATGGAGCACGTCTATCATTCATTCTAAGCACCGACTGCTCTTCCTTCTCTTTGCGTTCGGAAACCTTTCTGCCTGGGGCCCGCGGGCGACCCCATGCCACGACCACGAGCAACCCGTGCCTCCTGTACTGGCACGGATTATTTGTGCCCCCACCCCTCTGCCGCGAGCCTCTTGAGCGCCGCGCGGGCCTCCGCACCGCCCATCCCGCCCGCCGTGTAGATCACGCGGCTGACGTCGAACCCGTTGAACTGACTCGCCGCGCACACCGTGTACGCGCCCATGTTGTCGAACCCGAGCCAGTCGCCGACCTGGAGCGCGCAGGGGAGCGTCGCGCGCTTGCTCACGAGGTCGATCGAGTCGCACGTCGGGCCCCAGACGCTGCAGGTCTGCATCGGCGCGCCGGAGGGGACGTGGAAGGAGCCGCCCATGGAGAGCACGTAGGGCTGCACGACCTGGTGGTCGAACATGATGCAGTTGAACGCGCCGTAGACGCCGTCGTTGATGTAGTCTGTGTGGGATGTGAGCTGAAGCTATAAAGCGTCGGGTATGGAAGAGCACGTACACATGGCCTTGACTTCATCGTCCGACTCGCCCGCGTTGGCGTTCTCCTCATCAGTGGCGCGACGTGCAATGATGTTCGTGGCGATGCTGAAAGCAGTGGACACGAAGAACCGACCGGGCTCTGCGATGATGCGGATCCCCCGCTCATGACGGTCGGGGAAGTGCACGTTGATCGCATCGCGCAGAACGCGCGCTGCCGCCTCGAAGGTCGCATCCTCGAAACCACCACCAATGTCGAGCAGGTTGAACTCGTAGCCAGCCTTGCGGCCCATGGCGAACGCGGCCGCAGCGCGCGCGATCGCATCGGCGTACACGTCCGGGTCGTAGCAGCCGCTGCCAACATGGAAGCTGACACCAACGACGTTGAGGCCCAGCGAGCGCGCCGTCTCAAGAAGACCCAGAGCAGCCGCGAGGGGAGCACCGAACTTGAGCCCGAGGCGGCAAAGCGCCTTCGAGTCGTCCGTAAGGATGCGCAGGACGAGACGCGCCGCGGGGTGCGTGCGCGCGACCTTGTGCAGCTCGTCCGCGTTGTCGAACGTCATGGTGTGCACGCCCGCGCGGCCAGCAGCGCGCACAAAGCTCGTCGCCTTGCACGGGTTGGCGAAAATGATGCGGTCGGGATCGATGCCGCCAATCTTCAGCACCTGCGCAATCTCGTTGTTGGACGCGCAGTCGAAGCCGGTGCCGAGGGCGGCGAGCAGGCGCAGGACGTAGGGGTCCGGGTTGCACTTGACGGCGTAGAACGGGTGGACCTCGGGGAGGGCGGTGGTCCAGCGCTCGTGCTGGAGGGCGACTTGGCCAAGATCCGCGACGAAGAAGGCGCGCTCGGCGTCAGCCTCACCGGTCTCGACGAGACGGTGGGACTGCATGATGCCGTTGCGAAGGTGGACCTCGCGATGGCCATAGTGGAGGGGAGGTAGGGCGTCGAAGATGTCTTCCCCGGTCTCATCGCTGGCGGCGGTGAGGCGGAGGGAAGGGGACGACGAGATGTGGACAGTGGAAACGGCGCGGGGGCGCACAAAGGCGATGGGGTTGGTGGCCGGGAGGGTCTTGACTTGGGACATGGTGACAGTAGTTGTTGGGGATGAGCTTGTGAGGGCGGACTGAACGTCCGGAGAGGGGATGGCGTGTATGGTGGCTGCCTTGGTTTTAAGTACCGAACCTGTACCGCCGCGGTCTTTCGATCCGGGCGGACGGCGCCGGTAGACGGGCGGGCGCGTCAGTCGAAGAAAAGTTTCCTAGAGTGGATTGGGCGTGTTAGGGTGGTTCCCCTGCATATCGCGGTCAGCGGGGACGCGTCGAATGGGCCATAAGCACAAACCTCGCACGGATGACCACCTGCGGGGCGCCGGTCAGCAATCTAATCTGGGGCCGCCCGCGCAAAGGGCGCAACAATGAAGGGCACTCACTCGCGACAGAGAAGTCGGAGGTCTTGGTTCCTTTTTTGGAGAATGGTGGCGACCGTGTGCTCTAGGGTCGGCCGGGTGTCGACGACGCCAGAGAGCGGGATGCTCGACTGTTTTTCTGCTGGGCTCGGGGGGATGAGGGGGATGACGAAGGTCGAAAGCGGGGTTTCGTCGCGAAAACAAATCGATTCCAGTTGGGTTCGGCAATTGCCAGCCAACTGCATGACTGCACCGCATGCGCTGCCACGGCTCCCCCCTGACGCCCATCCACTCCTTCTATGCGGTTCTTTGCCGGCGCGCACGACCATGAAAGACGTTCTCAACCTGATGCATGCAGATCTTCGCGCCAGACGCGCTGGGTCACATTCCCTGCGGACGTCACATTCGAATGAATCGCGCAATCGACGCGCCAGGCGCCTAGACAAATACCTCCGCCAGCACAAACAACGCGCGAATCCCGCCTTCATCGTCCCCAACATCGCGACGAATCTGCACCGCTCTATGCGGTGCATTGACAGAAGACATCCTCATCTCGCTCCCAGCTTTTCCCAGTGCATGCTGCGCCAAACCGAGGACGTTCATTCCACTAAAAATACAGGTTGTTCACTTCGTATACAGTCCCTCGATTACTTCCCAAATACAGCTTCCTTGCCCGCTTTCTTCGCCTGCTCGTCACCCATCGCGAAGCCGTATGCCGCCTGGGCCGTGCCACTTGCGACAGTTGCTGCACTCGTGGCGATGTTCTTCGCTGTGCCAGCGATCCCAGCCTGTGTCCGGGGAGTCTGCGTGGCATTCGCCCAGCCGTCGTCTATAATGGAGGATCTATGAGTCGACCTCATACGGAGGGCTAGCCGTGCGCACGCACCTTTGTTGGCCGTCTCGCTCAATGGGTCGATGTGTGATGACTCGATGATCCCCGGGCGACCCTCGACGACGCCTGCGGTCTGACTGAAGTTGCGCTGCGCTTGGCGGTCGCCGTCGAAATTGGGTCCCGCGCCCGCGCCGCGCGATGCCGTCGTCGGGTCGTCGACGAAGTTGTTGCGCATGGGGTTGGCGTGGTTCGACGAGCTCGTCGGGTTCGCAGAGCCGGGGTAGACGTCGGCGCCTGAGTGACGGTCAGCCTCGCGCCGCTAAATGTCCGACGCGCTCTTGCACCCACCGAAGCCCTGGTTCAACTGCTTGTCGTTCACGGACATGATGTTGGATGTGGTTATGGGTGAGTGTGATGTCGAGTGTGGATGGAGATGCGAAAGATAATGCCCTTGAAAGCCATCTAGCCGGCCTTTTATAGTGTCCAGCGCTCAATGTTGGAGAAATGACCTATTTCCGACGTCGGTCGACGTAGGGCAAACGTAGCGCACCACTGCGACTCCATATTGACTATTGGGAGCGCGCTAGTTAGCGCGGTCACGGGAGTGTCACGAGGAAGTTCGACTTGCTGTGCAATGACGTCGCTTCATCCTTGCCTGGGCTTTCTTGCAGCCCGGGGATCACACTGCCCAAACCCAATGTCGACCAGGAGCCAGCCTGATCCATCCCAAGGAGGCGCGCAGCCCATATACTTGATTGTATGGCAGTCTCTCGAACTCTTGCTCATCTTCTTGCTCTTCAGCGTCCTTTCTAGCCCTCGCACACTTTGCTCACATCTGCAACGAACGGTACAACGGAAGTTTCTCCGTATGAATCATTCCAATGAGCGACTTCGACGCCAATAAATAGTAAACATTCAATCGTGCGTCTCGTGAACTTCCCCGCTCCCACTTCCCAGCCTAACCTCCCAGCTAGCTCCCTACTCCCATCAACCTTCGTCATCATGATTTACTCCTGGCAGTAGAGGCGACCGTAGGCGTCCTCGGCGCAAGCTAGGACTCCCGTTAGCACAGGGCGCAGACGTTGAAACTGAGACTCGACTCACTGCCAGAGATGGTGTAGTCGTTGATGGCGACGGACTTGATGAACTTGCACTCGTGGCCAAGGTTGTAGTCGCAGTTGTTCGGGCAGTTGCAGGCCTTGTCTGGAAGGGGAGGGAAAGAGGTAAGCACAGGCTTCTAGTCTCACTGGTACGAACTCTCCGCGCAGGAGAGGACAATGCACTGATACTCACAGGGGTCAGACGCAATAGCAGCGGCCTGGCCGGCGAAGAGAACGGCGGCAGCAGCGAAGAGGGATGCGATGGAGAACTGCATTGTGACGATGACTAGTTTGGAGCGAGTGGCTGAGAAAAGCGGGCGTGAAAAAGAGAAGACGAGAGCGAGAGAATGTGAAAGAGGTGAGTGTTTGATGAGGTGCGAGGCTCAGCGCTAATTACCTTTTATACCTGACCACCAGAGCGCCCAAAGGTCCGGCAGGAAGTTGTGTAAATGGGTTCCAGCAGGGTCAGATGCGCGTCCGACGAGTACGCCACACCAAGAAGCTGCGCGCCGCAAATACCGAAACATCCATCTTCTTTGCCCGCGACGATGTCGAGCTGAGAGTGGGGCGTACCGGAGGGTGCGTTGTCGAGTTTCAGGAAAATATGGTCGGCGAACATGGATGGTGGGGCGAATAACGACCTCGGAACTTCCTAAGGTACTTTCACAGCGATCTTGGCGGAGGATGGGTGTACTAGTTGTACAGGAGATAGCACTCTTCACTCTTGCACACGCGACGAGACGACTAAGGAATGATGCAAGGACTCTTAGACAACTTTACTAGTACTCGAGCAGGGATGGCCAAGTGATATGCGCCTCGGATGCGACCCGTCGGTACGCTCTCGTTACCAGCATGATCGTCTTACCAAGCAGACAGTCCTCGCCACGCTGGGCGCTCATCATGACGGTGACGACCTCCAGACAGTTTGGGGGATGCTTGAAGCTCTGCGCGAAGGAATCAAGTTCATGTGCCACCTTTCCCCCAAGCTTGTTTCGCTGCGACGATCATGCTTTATCAACCTCTACGTCTCGCTTGGTGCCCTGTATCCCGCCTGGCACCTAAATAGAGCTTGCTACATGACAGAAGCAATTTCTCAGACTGCTGCTGTATGAAAGCCTCGCTGCGCCTCACGACGGTTCCAGCGTGATCAATCGTCGTGCTCCTTGAAACCCTATTGCAGACGTGAAGGCCTGCCAAACGGGGTAAACGCAACGGCAGTTCCTCTCGGGTTGCTTGCAAGAACGTGTGAAGGTTACTCCTCGAGCTTTTAATACATCTGTTTACGTCATGACGCATGAATACGAAGCGTCGTTTCTCGGAGCCCCTACTACAATCATTCGCCGAGACCTGCCGTTGAGAAAGCACAATATGCATATTCAGCATGACCATATAGTAGAGTATATACACTGCATAGACAACTAACAAACGCGACGACAACACGAGCATGCATGCAGATAACTTAAGCATAAATATAACGACTAACCCATCCCATCCTCCTGACCTGCTATCGCCTCGAGGACCGCTCTGATGGCGGGCGCGATTTCCGCTGCACCGCCTGCAGCTCTGTCCATAACCGGCTGCGCGTCTCCCCATTCGAGCCGACTGTCGTACTTGGCGCGCGCGAGGGGCTTCGCCCGCGTTCGCTGTACGTTGGCCGTGGTCGTGTTGGGCTGAGCTCGCGTCCCAGGCGTGACCGGGGCGGGCTCGGAAGGCTGGACAGCGCGGTGCGCGTTCGTGGCCTGGAGACCGGGCTCGCGTCGCGCGTAAGAGGCCATCGCCCGACAGACTTGAGCGGCGAGCGCGGTCGCGATACTGAAGGGTTGGGTGGGGAAGGGCTCTTTTTCCGCGTCGAGACCGCACTGCGCGGCGGCCTGGCAGGAGGAGAGGATGCTCGCGACGAAGACGAACTCGAACTTGCCAGCGGCTTCGAGCGTACTCGAGTGTGGACGGTAGAAGTCGGCGACGTGGCGCGCTTCCTGCCAAGGGCTGGTCGAGTAGACGGCTCGCCCGTCGTCGGACGAGTGGAGGATTCCGCTGCGGCTGGCTTGGAGGACGGCCGGCTCGTCAGGAGACTGGCCAAACCAGCTCTTGGTTTGTAGCCGAAAGGTCTCGTAGGCGCACGCGGTTCTGGCTCCTTCTCTTCCTCCTCGCCTTCCTGCTGATCAGGAGCAGGAGAACGCTGCCGTGCGAAAGGACTTGGCTTCGGCGGAGATGTTGACAAGAATGGAGGACGCGGATTTCTCGATACCGCTGTCGGCAAAGCAAGATAGCGAGCACGGCTGCGCAAAGAGATTAGCCAAGTCGTAGTGCACGAGCAATGGGCGATACTCACGCTGCAAGTCTCAAAGCGCGCTTCGTTTCGCGCTTTTGCGCCCATTTCTCGAAGAATTTCGCTGAGGGAAGATTAGCACTGAGCGTAGGTGCGATAAGGGCAACACCTACAGAGCAAATTTTGCTTGTGCACTTCGCGCGCCTTTTTGGCCTGGAGTGCACGGGGCATCGCAGCCATCCACTTCTTCCATGCACTAGCCTTCAGGTTGTTCGCATGGAAGCGGATCGCAGGAAGCGAGGTCGTCCTAGAGTGCCAAAAGGCGAATGCACGGTAGAGCACGTATTGCTGGCCTTGCAAGACCACCGTGTTTTCCTGGGGGCAAGCGGGTAAACATCAGATCATGACCAGGTCAGCAAGACAACGCACGATGGGTCGCAAGCGTTCGTTCTTGAATTTCTCCCGCCACTTGTCCCACGCCGCGGATAGCTTGATTGTCTTCATGTCTGCTTCCCTCTCCTGTAGAACGACACGGCGATGACGAGAATTTCGAGCCGCTGCTAGCCAGCGGCTGAATACGCGGCGCACAAACTCTGTCGAATCATGAGTAATGTTGGACACCTAATGTGAGTGTACGTACCTTCGCGCTTGACGAACTGATAGCTCTCCATGAGGTTAAGCTCCTCGACATGGCGCTCGCAAACACTCTTCCACTTCTTGAAGGCATTCCCCAACGTCGCCGCATCCCTCTGCTGCGCCACCTCCAGCTCCCTCAACTTCACCTTAATCACCCGATTCGTCCAATGCACAAGCGTCTCATGCATCACCCGCTGCCTCACCCGATCCTGCACCAGCTGCTCCGCCATCTTTTGCCGCCTCTGCTTCCTCGCCCGCGCTAGCCAATCTTTGAAGATCTTGTGGCACCGCTGCTGTTCCAGCTCAGCCAACTTGCGCAGCCGCGCCCGCTCGGCGAGTTTCTCGCGCCACATCTGCCAGGCGCGACGAGTCGTGAGGAGCTTGTTCGCCTTGCGCGCGCGGCGGTTGTCTTTGGCATGGTCGTGGATGGCGCGGCACCATTGGCGGAAGGCGTTGAACTTAAGCTGAGAGGCATGGTACTTAACAGCGTATGCATTGGCATTCGTGTGTGTCTGGTAGTGCTGACGCCAGGTCTTGAGGGCGAGGACAGCAGACGACGACGCGGGTCGGGAGTAAAAGGCGAGTGCGCGCGCTGCAAGACAGTCAGCTGGGTCAATGCTCTCCAAAGCCAATGTACCGCACCTTCAAGCTCACGTTGCTGAGCCAAGCGCTGCTGCCAGACCGCGAAAGCATTTGAGACGAGGCGAGACGACCGCACTCGTTCAAGTAATCGACCACGCTCGCCAGCTTTCCAGACTCGCCAAATAGCACGCATCATGATTTCGTCTCGCAAAGCGAGTTGTTTGCGGGCCTTGTTTTCCATCCTCTGCATGATCGTCAGTAAGCCTATCACCGGAGGGTTCATGAGTGCGTACTCGTATTCTATCACGGGCAGCCTTCCACCCCCGGATTGCGTTCTTCATAATCATCTTGTCATGAAGGTCATCGGCGAGTTGAAGTTCCGCACTAAACGAGGGTTAGCCAAAGTCAGGAATGTAGAATGAGTCACATACGTTCGTCGCTTCCATATAGTCATAGCCTCTACCATCAATCGCATTGCGACACGGTCGCTCATCTCATGCTCGATGCGCTGCAGCTGCAGTGACCGACGCCACGCCTTCCAGCATCGAGCCACCGCCCGCTCCTGCGTGGATTCGCGGAACTCGTCCGCTACCGCATCCCGCTCGTCCAACGCAATCAAGCGCTGCTTCCACAGCTTAAAGGAACGCTGGACGAGCTTATGCGCATAGTGCTGCTCCGCCAGGCGCACCATGAAGGCCTGCCTCCATTTGGTCCAGGCATCCTTCTGCAGGTGCTCCTCCCGGCGGTCGCGCACGATCTTGATCTTGCGCCGCATAGCGTTTCGCCACTCCGCCTGCTGCTTCTCCCGCGTGCGTGCGCGCCACTTGTTGAAGAAGGCGCGTAGGCAGCGTTTGTTGGATAGCAGCGTGACGCGCCCGTACAGATCCTTATTCTCTGCGGTCTTCTCGCGCCATTGCTGGACGCACTTGCGGAGGATCAGGTTGTCACGGGCTTCAGCTATTTGCATGTCGGTGGTCTAGATAGATAGGTCATTAGACAAGCTTGTAGGAAGACGACAAGGGAGTGCTACACACAATAATCCATTCATACCCATCTCGCCATACCCGCCAGCAGCGCTCCAGGAGCCTATCTTCGTAGAACTGGGCAGCGTTCTTCTCGTCGTGCTCCATCTGGATCTTCTTGAAGGCGTCCTCGCCGTTCACCACGCTCCCTCTGCGCTTTCGCGCTTCTGCGACCTTCTGACGCGCCAGCGTCAACTGATCCATTGCAGGAGTCGAGGTCGGACGCTTCTCTAGGTCCTTGATGATTGCCGGTTTCGCCAGCGGTTGCGTCGTCTGGGTAGCGCGACGCTTGGGCTTGACGGGCGTGGCATCCTCGTCGCGTACAGCAGCGCCATAGGACGGGGGAATCGTGGAGGGAGCTTGAAAAACGTCGTCTGTAGACTCTGCGTCCGACGAGTCGTAGAAGTTCGTTCGGCGTGGGACGATAGGTGGCATAGCAGGTTGGGTAGAAGGGTGGTTCAAGAGGGGATGATCGTCGAATTCGAGGCCGAGGGAGTTGGTCACGGATGATCGGGTAGGGGAAGGCGTTCGTCGTGGCGGTACGCGCGATCGCGTTGGGTAGGAGCGGGGCGCAGTAGGCGTCGTGTCCGCTTCAGAGTTCGTTGCATCGGTGAAGACGTCTTGGTGAAGCGTATCCAGCGTGAAGGAGTCGTTAATGCGTGTGGGTTTGCGCACCGGGACGCGACGAGGGCTCGACGGTGCGGGCTTCGGCTTGCTCGCCTTCGCCCGCACCGGTTCCCGCTTCGCAGCATATCCATACTGGTGCTTGACACTCTCCCACTTGTCCGCCCAGTTCCTTCCCTTGAGCGTGCCCAGCTTGAGCAGCTTGCCGTAGTAGACGACCTCATGTGGATCGAGTCCCCGTTCGGTAAGAACATCGTTGTACGCCTTGAAGACGGTCAAGAACGTATTTGCGTTGCTTCCTGCGCGTTGTATGACAGCTTCTAGCAGCTCTATCTCATCGGGGGTGAGGCTAGCAAGCTCGGGAACTGAGACGGTCGAAGTGCGGGAGATGTCCTGAGAAAGTGATGCCGCGAGGTCAAGGATACGAGCGGGAGGAGATGCACGCGTAGGGTTAAATGGCGGCATAAGGACCGACCAGCGGGGAACGCGCGGGGCACGGGGAGCATACGCTACGCGACGCGGTGCTGGTCCTGGACAAGACGCGTTCAGAATTCATCAACACAACGTGATCGCCCACGTGGTGGCGACGGATCAACCGGTGACATCACCGACGGTGGACCCACAACGACACACTCAAGTTCAACTTCAACGCGGGTTCCGTCTATATTCTCCAGCTACATAGTAATGAAGAGCAACAACACAGCGGCACATATATACAAGCAGCAAAAGATCAAATCAATACATAAGTTAGTCCCCACAAGTCCATGTGTATGTACAGTCTATGTAGGTGGAAGCCGATGGGTAATCACGTCGGCTTGTAGTACACGGTCGTGAGGTATTTCTTTTGATACCGGGTCGTCGTCGCCACCGCCAGCACACCGTTCTTGATCGCGCTCGTCGACAAATGGTGGATCACGACGTGGCTGGGCACGGGGAGGACACTGGAATCATCGGCTAGGGGCGCGTCCGAGGTACCCGCGATCTTGGTCGAGGAGGTTTGGCCTTCGCGCCCATTCCAACGCGGTCCCGTCAAGCCCAGGGCGGCAGTGAGGTCGGTACCGCTGGCTGTTGTGATAGGAATTTCCGGCATAGGCACTTCCTCCTCGTCAACCTCGGCACGCGACATACGCATGTTCTGCCATTCGCGGTGACCACTGCGCTCATTGCGACTCGGGCGTTCCGACCTTCCAACGCGCCCGGTGCCGCGAGACGGGCTTCCACTCGGAGTGTGAGACGAGTTGACAGCGCGATAGTTAAGAATGAGTTTGTCCAGGTGACGCGGTAGACCGGGTGCTGGCGGGATGTTGGGCGCCGGTATGAACCCATCCACGACGATGCGGCCATTCTGATTCGAGTTGACGTGCGCCTGAGACTGCAGATAGACCTCTTCCTCCTGCGCAGCCCGTACAAGCTCCTCGGGAATCTCCGACGTCCATTTGGACTTGCTCCGCAGACGCGCCTCCCCATCTACCAAGGCTAGCTCGTATGGATTCTCATTTCCGTCGTAGTCTGTGCTCGAGCCGGCCGTGCTCCAGAACGAGTAGCCGTTCTCGTGTCGCTTAAGCGGAACATCCCTAGCGGGTAGGGGTAAGGGTGTCGGCAGGGCAGAAATGATAGGTGCCTCGGGAGGTGTGGAAATGCCAACGTCAACGTAGTTTGCGAGTGAGCCTTGATCGTCTACAGTCGTAGGAAGATCGTCGGCGACCCTCCACTGATCATCGACAAGGAAGCGGATATGGTGCGTTCCCGGAGTAAGAGGGATCGTCGTATGGAACACCTCCGGCGCATCTGGGCTGCCAAGAAGCGTCAGCAACTACACGGACCATAACCGGCGCGAATACGCACTCCTGTTCCATGGTCGTCCGCCCCTGCCAGTTATCGTCGCCTGCGCGAGCCAGAAGTACCGTCTTCCCGCCGCCGCGCCATGTTATCTTTGTCGGCTCGAGCACGAGTTCCTCAGGGGCACCAATGCTCGAGGGTTCCGACGCGATAGTGGGCAGCTGCGGCTTCGCCTCCAAGCCCACGGGAATTGTTGAGTGCACGATGGGCTCCGTCGCCTTTGAAAGCGGCGTCATCGCCGGCAGCTTCACCGAGGGGGGCGGCGGCTGGTACGCGCGCGCGCCATGGGGGGACGATGCACGCGAGGACTGCGCGCTTCGCTGCCTCTCCTCGCGCTCTTCCTTCGCCTGTGCATACCTACTCTGACTCGGCCGCCGCATGTAGTCCGGGCGCTTCATGGGATGCACGACGGTCGTCTCGAGCAGATCCGTGGACATGAGCTTGTTCACGGGGCGCTCCGTGGGCGTGTCGCTGTTCGGAATCGCGATCGCCGCGCTGCGCGGGGGCTGCCCCTTGGTCGGCGCAGAGTAGAGCGCGAGGCTCGCGAGGTCGGGGAGGTCGAGGGACTTCTGTTTGCGCATGGGGGGCGGGCGGTGAGGGGAGAGGGAGTCGAGCCCGTCGGCGCCGTCGTGGTCGCGCCTCCGGTGGCGGTCGTGGTTGGCGTGCGAGGCCGAGTTGCCCATGGTCCTGGTACAACGAGGGCGGAGGCGAGAGGGCGAGGCTGGTGCCCGAAGACGTCTAAGACACTTCCCAATGACAAGGCCCGCCTTGGGCGATACGTTCTAATTACGTACGGCTCCGGCGGACCGGCCCAGGCACGCGGGGGCTTGGCCCGGTCCCGACGTCTTGAATGTTGAACTTTCGCCCATGTAAGCGGAGCCCCAGTCCGGGGGCTGGACGACCCAACGGGAGCCCTGCGATTGCACTTCGAAGTCGAAGAAGACGGGGAGCGGGACGAAACAAGTCAAGCGCGCTAAACTCGATACGGTCCGCGCTCCCGTTCCCATCCTAGCTGCCGCTAAATGTCCGAAGTAGTGAGGTAACGCAACTACAGATACTGTACAGGCTAGTATTACACGATGATGCTTGGTATAAATCCGCAGGAAAAGAGATTAGAAATGCACTTCCAAAGCTTGCGAAGGGTTCGACTCGATGGGACAATAGGGACACTTCACCAGCCCTTGCGTCTTCGGCAAGCGCTGCAAACTGTCCTTTGCCAGCACATGCCCACACTGCAGCATCATCGGCGGGTTCGTCTCTGTCGCCTGCTCCTTCGACACGGGGCACGCAAAGATGGAGTGGTACCGGTTCTCTGGAGGCAGAGGTATCTCGATCTAGCAGCGAAGGTCAGGCGAGGTACGCCACCAGCGTAAAGTGGGAACAGCTTACCGGAAGTTCGTCCGCCTGACTCCACTCGCCCTTGCCTTCGCGCATGACCTTGCGGGCTTTCTCGATGCGGGATAGCGCCCCGCTGCCCCCGATGTCGCCCACCACGCGCAGCGGAACCTGCCGACTCATGCCCATGCTGGCGCAGTATTCCTTGGCAAAGAGCGGCGCGAGGTCGGAGTGCAGAGTCGGCGACGCAAGGTCCGCGTAGGGTGATGCTTGAAGCTTGCTCAATGGCAGGTAGGCGACGCAAGTCATGAGGCGCATGAACTCTGTCGAGTGTTCGGCGAAAAAGGGTCGCAAGTGCGTGTTGGCATAAGCTATAGCAGGCAGGGGATTTGGCGGGTCGGAGGAGAGAAGGATGCGGATGTATTGCGAGCGATGCAGGTTGAATTCAAGTGGAGACCGTCGCACGCGTAGGAAGTCTCGATGACTGCGTGTCCAGCTGTACAGAACGAGTCAGTAAAGAGAGGTATGAAGTCATTCTGGGAATGATCACATACTCTAAAGCTGGCCCAATGTCCGCAGCTCGCAAGGCTTGCAGGATCTTATGCAGATCAACGAATTTTAACCGTAGTTCGTCCGTTATTGGGAAGCCCGATTCCTGCACGAGTGTCAGTCTTACGATGGGCTTGATAATGATGATATGCATACCGCAATGAATGTCTCCGCCGTCTCGAATTGGCCTGTGCGCAGAAGGTGGACGACCACCGTACGGTCAAGTGCCGCCGCCGATTCTGGGGAAACAAAGAGACCTGGATAAGATGGTATAGACGCAGTGAATTTCTAGTCGATTGCTATTAGATACTCTCGTCGTATTACTGAGCAGTGTAGGCGTACCTTGTCGAGTGCCTTCCCTAGCTTCGAGACAGCGTTGTACACCTCCTTCTGACGGTCGTCGATTTCCTTCTTCCGTGCATCCACAGTGCGAGAGAGCGACTTGAGCGACGAAGCAGATATGCTCCCAGCTTCGCACTGCGCGCGGGCTTCGCGTAATGACTGAAGCAGCGAGTCCAGCGAGTCCGGTACAGGAGGGGCCTTCCCCTTCCCAGTCGGGGATGTCAACTTCTCAAGCTTGGCGAGTTCAGCAAGACATGCATCCATAGTTGAGTAACGTGTCGTGGACGAGTTGTCCGCCTGATTCGAGTTAAGAGTGCGGCGATGAAAGTCGAGAGCAAGCGAGACGCACGTGCGGGTGAGCGGGCCGGTGGGACCGCTGGCCGAGAACGATGCGATCGCTCTGATCGCATATTGTTCTTTTCTATATCCCTCGTCATGGCCAGGTTCATCGTCGGCGATGAACTGGGAAACTTGAAGACTCTCCGTTTTGCATTGGGACAGGAGGGGGACGCTCCTCAACTTAAAACTATCCATCAAGGGTCTGTAGAAGGCTCTACGCGAGCCGTACAGGTCCTCGCCGTGAATACGGCGGATAATGAGACTATAGTAAGGAGTCACCCTTCCGTGGTGTCAGGACACTGATGTGTATTGAAGTAAAGACTGCAACGGGATACTCTGATGGGTCTGCGGCACTCTACTCGATAGGGGAGGATGATGAAGTTGAGGCTCTGTCCGAATGGAAGGAAACTCGCTTCAAGCAGCGCTATGTCGGACTGGGGCTGCTTGGGTCCTCGAAGTACGTTCCCTTCTTCCTTAGAAGTAGCGGGATGCTGAAGTTCTGCTAGATCAGTGCTGTCTTGTACTGCAAACGGTGCCTTGCGGCGCACCCGCGCGGCGGAAGGTCAGGTCGAAGCAGATATCGCAGCTCTGCCAACGCGCCTCTGCGACTGGAAACTGGCCCCCAACGGCGATGCTTTTGCGTACGGAGGCGACGAGGTTGAGGTCTCTGTGTGGGACACGGAGAAAGCCTTCACCGCTCCGCCAGTCGTCGTTTCCAAGCCCGCGCCGCCGGCAGGCAAGAAGCGCAAGCGCAACGATGTCCTCCTTCCTGGCGAGATATGGCGGGCTAAAAATGTGTGTCTGAAATTGTTGTCTCGTTGCCGTTCACTGACACTGCTAGGTTGCAAACGACAACCTTGGCTTGCGGCAACCCGTACACAACACGTCTTTGACGTTTATCTCGTCAACAAGCACATCTGCTCACGATATCGTGGCTGGCACCCAGTACGGGCACGTACGTCGGTACGACACGAGGGCAGCGAGGAAGCCCGTAGCGGATTGGGATAACGTCGTCAAAATCGGGGGCGTGAGGGCCGTACAGAAGGGACTGAACGAGCAGTAAGTTAGAATTCTCACAGCAATAATCTCTACTGACCTGCCCCTGCAGCGAACTATTTGTCAGCGATGCGGGCTGTAATCTCATGTCTCTTGACTTGCGAAATGGGCATGTTGCCTACAGCTACAAGGGTACGATAACATATTATGAAGTCTCTGTCCACTCGCTTATGTTTTGTTAGGGATCGCTGGTGCTGTGGTTTCGATGGCTCCTGCACCTTCATTGCTAGTCAGCGCTGCACTGGATCGATTGGTGCGGATACATAGTACCTTCTCGCCGCAACTCGGACAGCAAGACCGCAAGGGCGAGGTCCTGCAAAAGGTCTTCAGCAAGAGCGTCCCCACTGTCGTTGCCTGGGATCAGCGCGCTGTACAGCCGCAGACTGCTCTAAAAGATGCTGAGGAGGCAGAGGAGAAGGAAGAGACGGATAGATTATGGGAGGAGATGGAGGACGCGGACGACGAGACTTCTGCTAGGAAGAAGCAGCGTAAATAGACCCGTTGTACGCTGTATCGATGTGCTCCTTTCGCTCGCTGGCAGTACGGCTTTCGACTGTCTGGATGTCCAAGTTCAACATGTCTCGTGAGAGTGATGGTTGCATAGACGCGATCACTGGGGAAGCCGGGCCGCGACTTGCTGAACGCCTCCATCGCAGCGCGAGCGGCGTTCATGGACTACTTTTCCAAGTTCCTGCGCCAGGGCACGCAGCTCGTCCCGCAGAAGCCCGTCGACCACGCCCTTGAATTCCACCGCTCATGGCAGCTCGTGCGCGTGCGTAGCATCACCTCAGCCAATGTCCTGCCGTGCCAACTCAACCCCCGCGTAGCACACCCTCGAGCACCCCGATGAGCGCCAGCTGCTGCGCGGGATACGCTCTACGGAGGTCCCCACGCATCTGCAGTCAATGGTGGACGCGCTCGTGTGGGAGACGACGCGGACGGAGGAAGGGTACGTCGCGACCGCGTGTCTGCGCGTGATCCCCTCGCTGACGCCTGTATAGCGGGACTGGGGCGTGTATGGAGTACCTGCTGAAGAATGGTGCGTCTACTCTGCGTCGTGACGATGTATATCTGACTGTAAAACGCCAGACGTCCTCGGCACCCTCGTACGACTGAGCGAGGCTGATCGCCCGTTTGGCATCCAGGCCGAGGTCCTGCGTGCCGTCCAGAACATGGTCGTGCTGCTCGATGAGCAGTTCCTAGTCCACTCCGCCGTCCATCGCGCTGTTCTGAGGCTCCTGCGCAACTGCGTCGGCGATGACATTCAGGAGCAACTCGATGGCAGAAACAAAGTAATGGGTGCAGCGAAGAACGCAGTGCGCGTTCAACCATCAGAATACGAGGAAGACTGTAAGCACTTCCACTTGCAATGTGCGCTTGTAACTCACCCGCGTAGTGGTCAACCTCCTCTGCATCTTGTGCAGTCGCATCCGCACCCACCGCGAACTTCTTATGATCTTCTTCCACGATAAGCACTGGTACCGCTCCGAACCTCTATTCGCGGTCGAGGAAGAAGATGAAGACGATGAAGAGGAAGAGCATGCGCAGAAACTCGCTGAAGAGGCGCAGCGCGCTGGCTCTCCGACCCCGTCTCATGGCACCTCTGGTCAGGCATCCTCTGTCACGAAGAAACCCGAGTACGAATTCTTGCTCTTCAACTACCTGCTTCGCTTCGTGCACAGAGAAGGACAGATTGGCGACTTCGCCCGCGCAGGTTTGCTCTTCCTCATGGACGTCGCTATGTCCCCTGGCGAGCGTACGGCAGGCGACGACAAGGCTGATCCCGTCTCCAATGCCGCAGTCGCGCTCGCGGACTACATCATCGACGGCGATTTCTCCGAGGTCCTTGGCGCTGGTCTCGGCGCTGTATACTCACTGCTACCTTCCAAACTCGAATTCCGTCTACCGCCGGATACTACTCCTGGAAGCGGTATGACAATTGGTGCAAGCATGCCCAACACCGAAGAGGAAAAGCAGGAACTAGAGGAACAAAGGCAGCGCTCGCGTGCGATGGGTGTGGAAGATGCGTACAACCCCGACTTCAAGGGCCAGCTGGACCACTTCCTCAAACTTCTCGAATTTCTTCAGGATGTTCTCCGCCGCAACAGCGCGCATGACCCAGACGTTGCGTCCCCTATGGGACCCGCTATCGTGCAGTCCATCATGGACGCCGTCCGGCGGATCTTCCTGGAGAACGTAGTCTACCCATCTGTGCTGGAGTGCTCGGACGCGGACGGCAGCGCGGTCGCTGTCATGTCCTACATCGAGGTCATGATTCGTACGCTGCGCGATGGGCAGCTAGGCGACTTGCTGGTCGACTTCCTGATCAGCGAGGACAACGACGATGTCGTGCGTCGCCCACGGCATCAGTCGACGATCGACTTGGACGCATCAGCGCCACCACAGGCGAAGTCGGCGGACAAGGCCGCGAAGTCGCGAAGGCGCCGGAGTACTGCGATGGCCCTTCTAGAGATGGAAGCACCCGACGCGCGCAGACAGTCAGAGTACTTCACCGCGACGGTGCGATTCACGCTAAAGGACTTGCTCCTCTCGAACTTGCGCTCGAAGTCGCAAGCGACGGCGACCTCGGCATTGCAACTCTTGCAGACCATGCTTCTGCAGCACTCGCAGCTATGTGTGGAGAAGCTGCTCATCGTCACCTCCGACCCTAAGGCGACTTCGTTCCCCTTCCCCTCACTGAATCCGAAAGCCATATCTGGCTCGCATTTGGACGATGATGAGGACCCCTTCAACCCGACATTCCGCCCTGAAGAGGACAAGGACGCCATACCGCCGTATCACCCATTGTTCTCACAACCCGAAACCACCTACGCGACGCACGAGCGCGAGATGGGGTTGTACATGACTTTGATTTCTCGGGTCGACCCGTCTCATAGCGGCGACGCATTTAGCACCGGCTACGACCACTATCTGCGCGATGCGCTCATCTCGATCCAGAGCCAGCCGGCGTACCAGCTCGACATCGACGAGGAGGCACACAGGAAGCTGAAGCACAAGCTGAACGTCAACGACCCCGTCATCTCCACCCTGCTCGAATCCCTCCGCAAATTCTTCTCCAACACGCCAGAGTACAACATGACACTGACGGGCGTGGTCGCGACGCTCGCGCATCATCCTGATCGCTCGTTAGCTGGCTGGCTCACCTTCGCCCACAACGAGCTGCCAGACAGCGCGAAGCAGGGTGAGTCGGTGCCTGCCCCGATGGACGATGGCGACGACCGGTCCATCGACTTCAAGGTGGAGAACGACCTCGCGAAGGACCTCGTCTTCCTCCCCGCCTCCAGCGTTGACGACGACTCACGCCCCGTGGTGCACACCATCTACCACGGCCTCGTCGCCCAGCTCGAGCGCTACCGCCAGGTCGTCGAGAACTTCGACCAGTACCTCCGCGAGCGGCGGCAGGGGCTGCTGTTCTCGGAGAACCTCTCCGACGCGCTCAGCCTCGCGCTCGAGATCTCGGGCGATCAGGTCGTGCCCGTCGTGCATCAGGAGCCCGTAAGGCAGAAGCAGAAGAAGCCGTCGACGGGGTCGTCGTTCGTGTCCTTCTTGCAGGATCTTACGCCTAGAAAGGTCAGGCCGCACAAGCCGAGTGTCTCGCAGGAGCCCATGACGCCTCCGCGGCGCGACACTGGGCCCTCGAACGTCTCGGCGAGCCCCTTCGGCCCTCACTACCGCCGTACGAGCTCGATCAACGTGGAGCCCTTCGTCGCGCCTGCGCCAACTTCAGGTCCCTGGACGCCCGCGAAGTCGTCGAAGACGTGGGTACCCGAGGACGAGGACGTCTTCACCTCCGGGTGGGGCGAGCGCACGGAGGCGCAGGCCGAGCCCGAGCAAGTCGACGAGGCACAGGAGAAGCCGCCGACGGTAACGCTGTCGCAGTTGTTGGACAATGTTGTTATTCTGGAAGAGAGCATCAAGGAGCTGGTGGCTGTCATTCATGCGCGGAGGAGTTTGGGGATAGACTCGGTTCGGTATCTGTAACGCAATGTCATGACTTGTATGGAGCATATACTTAGATCAAGGATGTCCTTATTATTCAATGAACTTGTCAACACCAAAGATAGCAAAGTGATAGCATAAGTGGGTACAGTTACAACGATGAAGAGCAAGAGAAACAAGGCTATGGTGTAAGGACCACTACCTCCGAGTCTTTCCCTTCGACCTCGGCGCCTTCTCCTTCGCACCTCCCTTTCCCTTCATCAGTCTGTCCTGTATCTTTGCAAACTCCGCATCGTCGATGTCAGGCGGGTCCGGGACGCTCTTTTGTCGTTTCCGCGGGCTGGCTTCCTCCTCCTCATCCGCCTCCGCCTTGCCTCTCTTCTTCCCCTTCCCCTTCGTCTTCGGCGGCTCCGTATACTTTGCGGCAAGGTCGTCGAGGAAGCTGCTGGACATGCTCTTTTGCTTCTTCTTCAGAATCAGCGCCTGCAGAGCGGATGTATCCTCCTCTTCGTCTGCAGCGGCAGCCTTCCCTTTGCCCTTCCCGCGTCGCTGACCTGTCTTGCCGCTGCCGTAGAACTCGTCCCAGACGCCGAGCTCCTTGGCCAGCTTCTCCGCCTCTGCCGCCTCCTTGTCGCTCTGCTTCTTTCGTACGAGCCGCGCCTTCTCGTCCTTGATGCTCTTCTCCCAGGTGGGTAGCTTGGGGATGTCGCCGGACGTGATGAGCTCGGTGATGATGCGCATGAATCGTGGCTCGTCGTCGATGGTGGAGTGGGGGATGTGGTTCATGATCTCGCCGATGTCGCCGTCAGTCTCGATGTAGGCGGCCTTGAGATCTGTGGTCTCTTCGGAAGAGTCTACCCAGCCGATTAGACCATGAAATTAGTAGTACAGTAATAGATCACGCACTCTGATACTCCTTCTTCATCTCGTCGAGCTTGCCACGCGTGACACGATCGAAGAGGTCCTCGAAGTATGCCTCCCAGCCATCCTCGTCCACATCGCCAAAGCCCTCGTCTGTAAGCCCCGTCTGGTCGTATCGCTTGCGGCGCTTGTCGTCGCTGAGCACCGCATACGCGAAGCCGACCTGCTGGAACTTAAGCGCGGCGTCTGCCTTGACCTTCTCGCTCGAGTGGGTGTGCTTGTCAGGATGGTGTACAAGCGCAAGGCGGCGATATGATTTTCGTATCTCCTCGCCAGTGGCGGTCTTCGTAAGAGAGAACACGGAATAAAGGTCTACTTCCTCCTCGCCGGGGAAGAACTGAGTGATTGGGTCGTCGCGGTCCATGATGGTTGGAGAGTGGCGCGTAGCGTGACGTGATTAAACGTGACGCGACGCGTTTACTCGGGCCGGATCACGGGACGGCGCGGCCATCTCCATCCTCCTACGTTCATCTCGCTCCGCTTATTCCAGGCCTGGAACAGCTTGGGTGATCATAGAAACCTCGCAACTGGACATGCAAGTCGAAAGATTTCACTCGACACTCGAGACTCGCAGAAAAGATTACCGGCTTCAAGTGCATGCACTGCAATGAATTCGGAGCGCCCAGCGCGAAACGACCGTTGATACGACCGCCGAACGCTGAGACGCCTTCTCCTGCGAATTAGCAACGTCCTTACCACGGAGCGCAGACATCCCGATGTACCTGCTGCCATTTGTATGGCTATCAAAGATCGTCTACTATGCGGCCTGTGTCAACTCAATACAATGCTACGGTGGCTCCAGTGCATGCCCCTTTCCTCTGCATCGTCCATATAAGACTCCGAACATGGCAAGCTTGTGCTCAAGTGTCTGGATAACTCCCATGTCGTTCCGAGCGGAACAGCCAATATACCATCCCTTAGACGCTCTCCATGTCTTTAATCTACAGGATGCCGTCATTCAGATAGGCGTCGAGCTTATATTTTACAGTGCGTAGTTTTTCCCCCCACTTGACTGTGCTCTGTGCGTCCTGACGCATCCCGCTACCAGCTATACAAACAACCCTTCTCATCGCCGCCATGAGGACCTTCGCGTAAGCGCGGCATCTGTCCTTGAAGCGAGCCCATCGATTCATCTGCATAGCCGGCGGAAAGGACAATCATGGACGACGTTGGCTGTCATCATCGCTCTTTTCGTGTCTTCGACCGTCGTCGTTGCCACGGATATCGCATTTTGGACCGTCCAAATTCCTTCGACAGTCCGTCCAGCTCGACATAAACCCCCTACGGAGTTGCTCTTCCGATTCAATATCATTCTAGTGGTTACCCGCCGCTGCATCGTAAGTGGCCGTCCTTCTTACTCGTTCGGCATGACTTGACAATATCTTTTCCAGTATTTGTTGAGCGATGCGATAGTAGTTTGGCGCGCCTGGGTCTTGTGGCCCAATAGCCGCCTCGCAAAGTCAATCTTATTGGCATGCATGTGCTGTAGCACAGGTCAGTCTGCTTTCAACTCTCGACGTGCAAGTCCCACTTAACTTTCCTATCTAGTCGGCGCCATCCTCAATGCCGTGTGGACTATCCAAAATGACCGATCCATCAATACGCTCCCCAGGATCCAATCGCTTGCCCTCACAGTTCCGCTATTGGGCACCAACATCATCGCGACGTCGCTAGTGGGTATTCAAGTGTGGTAAGTGCTTAATCGCGGCGTGCTTGGTGTTATTCGCTCAGGTCCTCTATCAGGTACTACCGCCGCGATATCAAGGGCTCCCTCGGCCTGTATACGCGCAAGAGCCAAGTAGAGAGGGTGCTCGTCCTGCTCGTTGAATCAGGTTGCTTGTATAGTCTTCTTTGGGTGCGTCGCACTGTTCCCGCGCCTCCGCCCCCGCCCTCAGTTCGTATCAGGCTGTCTACCTCACCTTCCTCCTCACGGCCGGGACGGGCGGCTCCACGGTGACAAACTACGTTGGCACTGCTATCCATAGCATCTCGGTACGTTAGTTGGGCTCCACGATGCGAAGAGCAAAGGCGCTCACGCTATCTAGGGAATCCATCCCATCGTCGTCGTTCTGGTCGTCATGCACGCTACCACCGCGGAGCACCTGATTGACACGGCGCAGGTATCTCATGCGCTACACTTTGTAGATACGCAGGAGGGGCGCATCGTGGGACTGAGTAGCGGGTGCATGGATCTCGGCGATGGGAGCATGGTGAATGGTGTTCTTGCACGGGACCACGTTGGTGAGCGGAGGGCTTCATCGGCGGAACAACGAAGCGCCCATGCTTCTGCCAGCCCGGGTCGTATAGATCAGGAGCACGAGGGCCCTATGATGACCTATGTATCTCGCTCGCGACGCTCCCTGTGCGACTGATCACATCTCGAGAGCAAGTTAGTCCATCGCTTCCTGCGAACATTGCGTCTGACCACTGATTCAAGTATCCAACCTTGATATACCTCTACGCCTGTCGAAGCCGCCATCCTACCCGTTACCATACCCAAGACCACGCTCGAAAGGCATTCAGGTAGGTTCTCCCGACTCAAAGTTCCTTCCTGCGCCCTTTCTTCAATGAAAGATCAAGGAGTTCGCGACCCTTATGGCGGCTTGCGTGACTTCTCCCGCGATATCACAACGTGTGACGGGTACCTGCCACACAGTCGTCTTTGCCCCCACGCGAAGAACGTGATCCATCTGCCCGTCACACTCGAAGACCAACTCATAACCTTGAGCGCATGCGTCTAGTGCACGAGGATCCCGCTGTACATGGCAGATCCGCTAGTGACGCTGAGCTAGTCCCTCGCTGTACGACGATCATCTACTATTTCGTGCAGGACTATATAATCTCCGTGGCTCCTCCGTACTATGCAGCAATCAAGAACGACCATGTCAGCGACCGCAAGCAATGTGCTGCAGCCCCACGATATCCGAGTGTTGAGGCATGTATACTATCAGACGGGCCTCAGCCTCCTCTTTTACGGTGTGTTCCATCGATTTTTCCTTGGTCCCGCGTTTCTGATAAATGAATGTACAGGCATGCAATCGACTCTCACTGTCGCCACTGTCAGTATCCTCGCGTACGTTATCCATATCTGGTTGTGAGTCTATAGTTGACTGACAGATATCCACTAGGACCAAGGAAGGGCGGTCGCGCTGGATGCTTGCCGCCATTGTCGCATTGTTTGTTAGCTCGACCGTCGAAGCGGCGCTCATGACAGTCTTCTATCCGCTGCAAATGCCTGGATGGCTGGGAAATTCTTTGTGGACGGGCGAGTTTGTGGCCTTCATGAACCGCATAAATGCTGCGATAGCTGTGTTCAAGCGGTTGAATGTACGTGCCGATCTCACCTGCTCTAAGCTGCTTGCTGATGTTACTGCAGTACATCATGAGCGACACGATCGTCGTGTGGCGGGCCTGGATATTATGGCCTGATAGTCGCTTCGCCAAGGGCGCGCTGCTCGTATGCATGTGCGGGAGTGTAGGTGCGTATCTGCCGAGTTAATAGGTAAGGACGACGCTAATGAAGTATTTTCGCAGTCGGCGCTGTCACTGATTGCGTGTGGATTCTCAAACCTATAGGGGTTTACCAAGTGTCAAACGCACGGACGTTAATGATCACGATTCCCCTCTTGCTCACCAATCTCGTTGCAACAACGCTGATAGGCGCTCGAATCTGGTTCGTACCGTCGCCATATGAGCCTCCCAACCTGACTCATATGGCAATAGGTGCTATCGTCGGGATATAAAGAGCGGACTCGGCCTCTCGAAGAGGACGCAAGTCGAAAGTGTCCTGTACCTACTGATGGAATCAGGCGCCCTTTACTGCATTGTTTGGGTGAGAAGTCTCCTACTTCGAGACGTACGACGCTAGGGAGCTTACTGCGCATCGCGTCGATTGTCTTCCTCGTCCTGAGCTACATATCAAGAGACGACACGCTCAGTCTTCTCCTGCTGACTGGCGTCGTCATCCATAACATCGCGGTGAGCGCCTTGGAATCCCCTGACGCCAGATCAGACTAATTCTTTCAGGGCATATACCCGACCATCGTCATCCTCATTGTCGCCTATGGAAGGAAAGCGCAGACGGAGCTGCGTGCGCAAGTATCCCACGATTTGCGCTTCGCGCTTTCACTTGATGTGCTCTCGGAAAGAATACACTCAAGCAACATGGGGATCGCCGCAGACAGCGTCAGCCTGTCTGTGCTATCCAATCACGACGAAGACCCTCAGCCAACGACATCGCGGAGCTTTGCTAACTCGCTACCGGGCTCGCCAGATGCCCAACCTATGGCGCGTGACTGAAGGCCTCTGAAAGGTATCTTTGAGGGTCGACGAGGACCCGAGGGTGCGTCCGTTTTTACTGGGGATGTTTTCTGTGCAAATGTCTAACGTACGCGTCTAGAATGGGTTTATACGAGTACCAGCGGTTCCATTTGCCTGTCATGTAATTTAAGAATGCCCATGGGACAACACAGGCACAGTTCACACCTTATTCTCGACCTTCAATGTGCTTCTCCCGTTGCAGGTCACGAGCCTTATCATATGCTGGCCCACTTCCATTGATGCTTGGGAGCGTCTAGGTGGAGAAGCTCGTTCTGATCACGGATCGCACCGGTTCCATACAGTGAACCATGTTACGCCAAGGTTGCTGTAACGCTTCGGTTAATCTTCCTGCAGTTTATTCTCACTTTACAGCTATCTTGGTACCCTTCCACCGACCTCTCAGACGTATATAAGACTCGCGGGTGGACGACGTTACGCCTTTCGGCATGACGACCACGACATACCACCCGCTGAGGGGTAGCGATTTGCATGATATCAAGTACATTTACAGTGAAACGGCGGTCGCCTTTGCGTTTTTTGGTACGTCCTCCGCTCGGCTTTTTTTCTACTCCTTTGCCGCAATGACAGAGGTCGACTAACTTCAGGATTGAAGGCATACAGGCTACACTCTCTATCGCTGCCGCAAATGCCCTGATGTACGTTCTCGCCTTGCGAAAGATACACTCATGCTGACAACGTCTGCTCAAAAGGGCGAGGCGAGGACGATCACGTTGGACGCTGGCCGTCATTCTGAGTCTCTTGCTCTTCTCACTCATCGAGCTCGTCGGCCATCTTGTTTATTATCTGATCCAATTCCCGGCGGGGTTTGGGACGTCGGTCGAGGATATCAGTGAGCTTCTCAACCGCTTGGTAATTTTGAACGTGGTGGCCGAGCGCGTCAATGTGCGTTGGCAGTCTATCTGCTTAGTGTTGGCGTCGCTGACCTTCTTCGTAGTATGTCTTGAGTGACGCGATTGTGATATGGCGGGTATGGGTTTTGTGGTCAGACAGCCTCGTCGCTAAGGGCGTCTTGCTGGTGTGCATGGGTGGAAGCCTCGGTGGGCCATCTATGCTTATAGCCGAGGGTGTTGACTCACGAAGCCCTGCGATTGTAGTCGGCGCAATTATCAATACTATCTGGACTGTACGCCCCGCTACGGCCTTCCAGACCGCGAAGTCTAGGGCTCTGGCTATCACCATACCATTTTTGTTCACGAATGCTGTTGCAATAATACTCGTCGGCCGTCGAGCATGGTGAGCAAATCCACTCGAATGCAACCGATACATAATACTGACGACGGTTCGACAGGATCTATCGTCGTAGCGTCAAGCAGAGACTCGGTTTGTCGACGAAGACCCAGATAGAAAACATCCTATTTCTTCTGCTGGAATCGGGGTCGATTTATTGCCTCGTATGGGTAAGTGCGCTTGTCCTTCTGTATATTGTTTCTGAGGCGGCGCAGGTCGTCTATCTCGTATCAGAATTCACTGCAGGAGCAGACACGTTCAATCCGGTGCGCATCGTCGGCACTGTCGTTCACAACATTTCGGTACGCTTTATGTGCATCAAGGATCCGCATCGTAAATGATTTCACAGGGCATCTATCCTACTATCGTCATCCTCGCAGTCACCCACATTGGCTCGACGCAGAGTCTGCTAGGCACAACACACGTCTCGCAAGACATCCGCTTCATCGACTCAACAAGTCACCCAGAAAGGACGTTCGGCGACAGCACAACAGACGCTGAGATATCTGGCCAGACGCACAGCAATGACGCTTGCAAGTCGGTTGAGTCGTCGAGCACCCGAGGACTGTCTGCCGCGGATCGCACCGAGCTGGAGCTGTGCGAAATCAGAAGAATATCGAGCGAGCGAGACAGCCTTAGGTCTACGGAGTTGACGACAAGGTGCGCTTCATCATTTCCAGAATCCCATCTGCATCTGCAGCTCATCCTCATCCTCAGAGACACCCTTGGCGAGGGTCTGTGATCTTGAAGACAATGTATAAATACACCGATATGTAATATACAGCTCTGTATGTCCATCCCCTTGTACTGCCCCTCTTTATGTACGCTCATACGACGTTGAACCTGACCTGGGGGTTCAAGGTAAGACCGACCTCCTGCCCTCCTCCAGTCGCCGGGCAGGTCGCAGAACCGAACACCATCTTGACATCGCAGTCATGATACGCGAAGCCAACGCCGTGCGGGCTGAAGGTATCGGCGCCGTGTGGCAGAGCTTTGCAATCGGCGTCATCCCTGCTACGGGGCTTGGAGAATGGCCGTGATGAGGGACACATGTCGCAGCGCGCAGACGCGGGACCGGAGAAGGTGCCCGCGCAGCAAGGGCAGCAAGCCTGGGCGCCCTCCCTGAGAGAGACTCAGAACGTACGCAGCCTGAAGGAACTGAAGGCGTACATGGAGTTAAAGGTGCCAGAAAGGCACGCCTTGCACTTCGATCGACCAGCCTGTTCTTGATACGTGCCAGCGGGACAGGGCATAGCGCGAATGGCGGCGAAGACGTTGATGTATGTGCCAGGCTCAGCCTCTATGCAGCTTCTCTGGCCAGCCTCTGGCGTACCACCGATGAGCAACGCACTCATACATGCAAAGTTCAGATAGTGCATACCTGGCTGGTAAGAGCCCAAAGCGCATGGTTCGCAGCTGGATTGCCCAGTTGATAACAGTCCGTTCGATGAGAATGTCCCCGCCGGGCACAGGCGTTCTCGAGGGAGGGCGAGTGCACTGCCTAACGCCAGAACGAACACAAGGAAGCTGGAGAGCATCGTGGAAGGGCGATCGCCTTGACTTTGCAGAACAAGAGTCAAGAATTCCAGGGAGCTGGCACAACTTGCGCGGGGTCGACCGAGAGTGGCAAGAAATCCACGCTAATTTCATGCTTAACCTTTATATCCCTCACCAATGACAGATGGATGCCGCCGCTGTCGCCGGAGCGAGCCTATCCGCGAGACAGTATAAGACATGCCGTCGCCGAGTGCGCACCCACGTCTTTTTCGGCGGGCGTCTCGACGATCTACTTCCGCGGAGGCTTTTATGGCCGCCGGCATTTCCCGGGAGATAACAGGGGTAATCATGAGTACAGTGGACTAGGCAATTGGGAAACGTACAAGTGTACAGGTCGTAGAAAGGAACCTAATCCAACTCCCCCTTCCCTGCCGCTATCAACTTTGCAGCGGCCTCCCGGACGCCATCGTGGCTGTGGTGAGCCAGCATCGTCACCTCCCACAATGCCGACGACCGACTGAGTGGGTCAACGAGCGTCGGGTCATCCAGCGCGGCGCCAAATATGCTCCCGGTGGCGGACAGTCCCGTGGCCACCGTGACCTTGCGCCCGCGCACGCCATCGTAGCCGCCCTCGTCGCCGCCGTCGCCGACGATCATGCCCTGCAGGCGAGTGTCGCGGACGGTGAAGGTGCGCACGACGTCAAGCGCTTGCACGGCAGCGGCCGCAGGGAGGACGAGGCAGGCGGTGCAGAGGCGTTTGGCGAAGGCGGGCATGAGGGCGCGTGGGGGAGGATGCTTGCTGAGCATGGTGAGGAGGAGGTTGGCGATGTCGTTGGGTGAGGATTGAATGCCATGGGCTGAGGAGTGCGGCGCGTAGGCGACGTGCATAGATAATGGGATGGTGAGGGCATATAGTCTGGTGTAGAAGTCGCTTAAGTCGATGTTCAAGGCCTCGCCTAATTGAGTGGTTAGCAATCGTGACATTGAATACGACGTCGGAACTGACCTTGCCCCGAAAGCAACTCGAAGGCGGTGTTGATGCACAGTAAACGAACGTAGAGGTCGGCACCATTCTCATGATCAGCGTCCTGCTCGCCAGCGGCCGGTGCGCCTCGACCGTCCACAATCTCCCGCAGCACGGCCATTAGGTCACGGAAGAATTCGATGTTGACGAGGTGGGCAAAACGAGCGATTCCACGCAGTGCTGCTGGCAAGAGCGGTGTATACGTCGGCTGCTTCAGTATGCGGAAGTATAGCACGAAGATCAACTTTAAGGTCTCCGTATGCTATTCCACGATATCAGCGACAGTGTCACGGAGATAAGCAAGAAACGTACCGTTGCTTGCCGCTCTTCCCGGTCAACAACCTCCTCCGCCTCTTTCATCTCCTTCTCAATCTCCTTGCGCTCCTTCTCGTTCTTGCGCGCCTTCTTGCTCAAATACGGCTTATCCCCCTTCTTGCCCTTCTTCCCTTTCCCCTTTCCCTGCTCTTGTTCCCGGTCCACGCGACTTTGACTCGCGCGCACATTCCCAAGCTCGCGCATCAAGCGCAAATTCGTCAGGCAGCTGAGCGTGTTCGGGTGCACCTGGAAGTGCTTCTCCTTCACCATACGATTGATGAGGCGGACGAACTCGAGGGAGGGCGTGCCGTACTGGTCAGCGCGGAAGACGGCGTTGATGGTGGCAAGGCAGAGGTCAGAGGAGGCGTCCCAGGATTTCTTGGAGAGGCGGGCAACGATGCAGCTCATGAGGTTGGTGCGGAAGTTGAAGTGGGTGACTTCCTTGAGCAGGGCGCACATAGACTGCAAGGCGACTTCCGCAAGTTCGGAGCGGGCTATATGGTGAATGTCAGCATTTTTGGAGCATTGACTTCAGCAGAAGCTCACCCTTGATCTCGGCTTCTAGGGCGCGCAAGTAAGCCTGGTACACGCCGACTAGGCCCTGCTCGTATTCGCGCTGGCGTGCGACCTGCTGGCTGACCTTCTCGGCCTTTTCCTTGTCAGTCAGGGCGCGTATCCGGTAGCCAGGGATGATGTCCTTGAAGACGGCAAGCTGAGATAGGATGGCCAATTTTCGGATGATGGGGTCATTGGGTACGGGCTCAGACTGCGTGGGGGTGGTGATGCTGGGCAGGGAGAAACTATGCAGACGCTTAAGCAGACCTAACTAAAGGAGAGGTCAGCCGAGAGACGAGCGGAGGGGTGGAGGCACGTACGCTGTTCTCCGGATCGGCTACAATGTCCTGGCAGATGCTGGCAATCTGATCTTTCGCCAGTTGTAGTCGTGCTTTACGCGACTTGGTGCTGATCACGTCGGCAACAGCCGGACGACCGAAGCGTGCGCCAGTCGAGACGTCTTCGACGTTGTGCTTCGGTGGAAGCTCTCGCTCTTCTTCTTCAGAGGACTCGTCTGTGTCTTCGCCGGATGACAGGGGTGCTGCGGGCTGAGCTCCAGTCTTCTGAACGCGTCCGTCCGCTAGTTTGATCGGAAGGCGCGAGATGGCGTTCGACTCCTTCGGAGGCTTGAAGGCTGCGCGAGGGGCAGCTTCATAGGGCATCTCAGCATCTGAGTCAGAATCCAGCACGTCTTCATCGTCTTCGTCGCTGAGGTCCCCTTCATCGTCAGGTACGTCGGAGCTCCAAACCTGGCCATCGTCCATCTCGCCATCAGAGTCGATGGAGGGTAGATCATCGTCGACGGCGACCTTGGGGCGCTGAGGTTTGTGTAGCTCGTGTAATCTCTGGGTCTCTGATTTGCTCCTGCGAAGGAGAGTCAGATGAAGTAAGGTGACGGATCGGGCGACGCACCGTGATATGGCTTTCGCATCGAGCGATGTCAGAAAGGTAGCTGCCTGGCCATAATTATCCAGCAGCTCCAAATTCTCCTCTGACACATCTCCATCGCTATCGTCGTTCGCAGTAGGGGGAAGGGGAACCGTCTTGCGCTCCGACGCCTTCACTTTCTTGGGCGCCTTCTCCTTACCCTTCTGGCTCAGCTTGCGCTTCTTCGCTGGAGCCTACGCGTAAAGTCAGCATCCCCTTCAGTTCCACAGCATGTCACGCACAATATTCGCCGGTGCTGAGCGCGCGGACCGCTTTTTAGTGCTGGGAGGCATGGCCGCAAAAGTTGAGCGCGTACCCGTGATCGAGTGTGTGATCGATCAGTGACCAATGGCATTAGCGCCGAAGCCATGACAGTGATGTGGGGGAATATCACATGTGGCCGCCCTCAGCTCTATAACCCCACCGTCGCCTGTCCGGCAACACCGGTCTTCCCTCTTGATTCACACTCTCATGGCGACCAAGGAGCTTAGGCAGATTACGAGGGAGGAGGTCGCGAAGGTGCGCATCTCCCACCACTTCTTTAGCAGTCACTGACGTCGGCATACAGCACAACAAGGAGGGGGACCTTGTACGTTGGATGCAGCCGAGAGGGACGTCCCATGCCCATAACCGTTTCAGTGGATCATTGTGGATGCCAAAGTCTATGACCTTACCAAGTTCAAGGACTTGCACCCTGGTGGCGCAAGCGTACTGCTAGACCCCGAGATTGGTGCGTATTCCCCGCCGAGCTGCTTCCGTCGATCTGGGGACTCACACACCGTTCTCAGCCGGTCAAGATGCTACGGATGCCTTCTACTCCCTGCACCGCCACGAAGTTATCGCCAACCCCAAGGCCAAGCGACTTCAGATCGGCACCATAGTCGATGAGGAAAGCATCTGCACCGACAGCTTCCTGCGCGGCGAGCCCAGTCCCGTTCCCTACGCCGAACCCTCATGGCTGGCGAAGGGCTTCAAGAGCCCGTACTTCACGGAGGTACGCGGTCCTACGCTGGGTACCAGACCTGACAGCGAGCGCTGATGCTGCGTTGTCCAGAATCATCGCAAGTTCCAAAAGGCCGTCCGTGTATTCTGCGAGAAGTACATCATCCCCGATGCGCAGGCACGCGAGGAGGATGGAAAGAGGCCTAGCCAAGAGGTACTAGATAAGATGGCGTAAGTGAACTCGACCACCCACCTGCTTCTTACTCATGAATCCCGCAGCGAAGTGAACCTACATGCCATGCGCATGGGCCCAGGCAAGCACCTGAAGGGTCTCACGCTTATGAATGGCCTTGTCAAGCCAGAGGAGTACGACTATTTCCACGAGGTATACACGCCTCGCTTGCACATCACTACAACAATTACTGACTTGCCACAAGCTTATCATCACCCAAGAGATCGTCCGCTGCGGCGCTCGCGGCTACGGCGACGGCCTCCTCGGCGGCAAAGTCATCGGCCTCCCACCCGTCCTCAACTTCGGCTCCGACGAGCTTAAAGCCAAGGTCGTCCCCGAGGTTCTTCAAGCCAAGAAGTTCATCTGTCTCGCCATCTCTGAGGCCCAGGCCGGTTCCGACGTCTTTGGCCTGCAGACCACCGCGGTGAAGACTGAGGATGGCAAGGAGTGGATCATCAACGGGACGAAGAAGTGGATCACGAACGGGACGTTTGCGGACTATTTCACGGTGGGGTGTAAGACGGAGGATGGGTTCACGGTAATCTTGGTTGAGAGGGGGCCGGGGGTAGAGACGAGGCATATCAAGACGAGCTACTCTCCTGCTGCAGGGACGGCGTTTATCACGTTCGAGAGTGAGTTTATGCCTCCAAAATCACTTTGCTTGCTCATATGGTTTACAGACGTCCGAGTACCGGTTGGAAACACTCTCGGCGAAGAAGGTGGCGGCATCTTCGTGATGTTGAGGTGCGCTGCGCGCTCATGCCGCCAAGTGATTCTTTCGTAACCTCTACTATAGTAACTTCAATCATGAGCGCTGGGTAATGTGCTGCTCCTCCGCACGCGCTCAGCGTGGTATCGGTAAGTCCATTTCTTTCACCTCCAGCCCCTCATCATTTGTCCACATAACACGCCTTTGACTCTTCCCTCTAGTCGAAGAATGCCTCAAATGGGTTAACCAGCGCAAGGCCTTCAACAAGCCCCTCCACGCCCAAGCCGTCATCCGCAACAAGCTCGCGGGGATGATTCAGCGCACGGAGAGCGTGCAGAATTGGCTGGAGAACATCACGTACCAGATGTGCAATATGTCGTACGGGCAGCAGGCGAGTAAGCTGGCGGGGTGAGTGTTTATATTATCTGTCGGATCGCATGGTATTGCGTGTGCACAAGAATGTTGACTGACGGATATAACTCTACAGCCAAATTGCCTTCCTCAAGTCGTACTCGACGGCGTGCGCGCAGGTTACGGCGCGGGATGCGGTGCAGATCTTTGGTGGACGGGGTGTGACGAAGACGGGGATGGGGAAGCTGGTCGAGCATGTGAGTAACTCTGCCTCTTTTCTATATGCTTGGTATGTTAAGACTAATTCTTTCATAGTACCACCGTGTTATCGCCTTCGACGCCTTGCTTGGTGGCGCGGAGGACGTCTTGAGCGACCTGGGTGTACGGCAAGCGTTGAAGCAGATGCCTCCAGGTTAGTTCAGCGTGGAAGGCTATCGCTCATACTCACTGTTTTACAGGCGTGAAGCTGTAAATTCAGGCGCTATTTGCACGCAGAAGGAAGGATCTGCTTGGTTTTATGCCATGTTGCCACAAATGTTTTTACAACCTATGTACCCTGTAATAACATGTTGATACCTGATATAACTTTCCCCATCGATGAAGGTAAATCTTCATTGATGCCTTGAAAGTTGAAGCTCTGATGTAGGGCAGCGATCCTATGTGAGCTTTGAAGTAGATGTTGGCCTTCATGCATGTTACGTTGAGTTGGAAGCCGCGGCGATCGGCTCCCCGGTCCGCGTCCCTTTCTCGACGCGTCGACGCGTCTGATGCTTGTCTTCCGCGTTCATGCCCCTGCGCCATGTCACCACCACAAGCAACAATATGTGTCTCCTCTAGACACCATACTATCCGACCGCACCATGTAGTGCTGTTGACGATCATCGAGAAACTTTTTACTACACGCGAGAATGAACTGCCATCCGACTTCGTGCTGCATGCATATCGCATACTATTGCAAGAGATTGCTGAGGTGCGCATCTACTCAGATGGCGGAGGGGAGGTGAAATGGTGTGCTGAAATGACATGGATAGGTTGCGAAGCCGCGATCGCTCGAGGACCTCATGACGGAGCTCGCGCGATGGAAGGGAGAGGGGGATCGGATGGATGTCTCGATGTTCTTGGATGGGTTGGAGATGGAGGTGTGCACTATCCTGTCGAGCTCGAGACATTGCTGATGGGCACGACAGAAGCACCAGGAGCTCAGGTCCATGGAAGCTTTCAACGACTTCATGAGGCGTGCGTTCAGCTGTATAGCGGTTCGCGATCACTCAGCTCACGCGCATTCCATTGAGGCATCTCCACTTTCACGAAGAGCGCGGTAGATGAGGACGAAGAGGTATGCCACTATCCATCACTTGCACGTACTCTACTCACGCTCTCAAGAGACCGGCTATATCATGGTACGCCACCCATCTACTTACCTCCGGTCCCCCACTCAACTGCCCTCCAGGCTCGCCGATCCATCTTTGGCTTCTTCACACGTCGCATGTATATATCCTACTTGAAGCTCTCCCCTACAGGCGTTCGCAAGCTGCAGGACCAGTACTTGGCGTGGTGCACGAAGAAGAGGATTCCAGACAGCTATTCGGACCACGACAAGTCGTTCTTCACGAAGAACAGCATCCTGATGTTCAGGACGTCGGATGATAATAGGGCTTATGCGGTCTCGGACCCTTTGGAGATGTGAGTGTAGTTTTCCATGTACATGTTGTGGCGATGGAAGATTGACCGATCTGAAGTGCAGAGAAAGGGATGATTGTGGGAGAAGTAATGACGACGACAGACCAGCTGCATCAGTTCTTCAACCAGCGATTCCACGATGCAAACCAATCGTAAGCGCTTGCTAGTCTTCCGAACTGCACTTGGGCTCAGTGTCATCGCAGAGGTCTGCGGCAACATGATGCGCTTGCGAATGCGAGGGCTCATTTCTTGCGCGGCGAATATGGCACTTGTCGGAGGGTGCGATTCTCGGTCCTAGATGTGAATGAGCCTACTAACGTCATCACTATCCAGTATCTTGCGGACTGCATCCCTTTAGCGCGAACACTGGCCGATAAGGTTACACTGCAAGCCGCGCTTGGGTGAGTTTGCGCGTGTAAACGTCTCGTTGCGTGCAACTCATCATCCGATTTAGATTGCAGCATCGAATACCCCAAGACGACAGCGACCGATTACCTCTAAACGATATCCAGCCGCACTTGCACCCATTCGAGCTCCTAGCAGATGTGAAGAAGCTACTGAACGACCAACATGTCGGTCATGACGTCCCATCCTACTTGCAACAGACATTAACGGTCTATAGGGCCAACCACTTTTCTGCTCCTTCCGCCGAATTTTTGAAGCGATGGCTCTCTTCGACCAGTGGATTGAGCAGCACAAGGAAAACTTCATACCGTCCGAACAGTGGGGCCCGCATGCCGTGCAGTCGGTCGTCTGGGATGCGGCTGGCTGCGTGAGGGTAGCTGCGCTCGAGGAGCAGTCCGTGCTTGCTTTCACGAATATCGGGGACGTAGATAACAATCGCATCACCGTCCTGCTAAATCGAGCATATAAGGTGAGCAGGGTGTCGAAGGTCCGCTCGACGGTGTTCACGGTATGTATAGATAGCTCGTCAAGGCAGGTACTCAGAGGGCTTGACATTACTGCTTGAACCCTCTGTTTGGCGCGGCCTGACGATGCATGACTATACGGAGTGGTGCCATGAGATATGGCACATATTAGCCCTGCGTGCGTCTCGAAGGTAAGATACTCTTCGGTCTTCCGTTGGAAGAAAACTCATCCTCTGCAGAGGGCAAATGCACATGTACCGCGACTTCTTGATACCCAGAGCGCCCGAAGACTTCAACCCGAGGAACTACACCTTAAGCAATTCTTTGAAGAGGAAAGCGGGGATCATGGATAACTTAATCCACGTCATGTCGATGCGGGTACGTGGACGTCTCTGGCATACCGTCGAAGAAGCTAATCTAGCCGCAGGCGGTCGATCAAGCATCGTACACGATGGACAGCTTGCTGAGTGCAGTATGGCATACCGAGTTTCTCGGGCGCATGGACTTCTATAGACCGGCGATTATGCTTCTGGCGGATGTCTCCCTGGAATTCGAGATGGCAAGACGAAGTAGGAGGTTGATAGAAGAAATCATGCCCCAGGCAAGTTCGCTCCTGATCATCTGCGCACTCTACTCATCGCCCGTAGGTCATTAACGGTGATGATCTCGAGCAACGTGCTTTCGCATGCTTTATGCTCGCGCGGTGTATCATAGCGGAAGGGAAGCAGTCCAGTAAGCGTCCGTATATTTGACCGATTCACGAGACTCATACGCCTGCAGGGGAAGCGCTGCTTGAAGGCCTGCAGTGGCTACCTACGGCTGAGCAGGACTACAAAACCTTGGAGATGTACCAGTCGCAAATGGACGTACAGTATCTCATTTCCGTGATCTACCACAACCTGGATATGGAGGCTGAACGCGACGCGGCCGCGGATCGACACGCGGCAACCGCGCGTGTATTCAAGGCGCAGGAGGATGTTTTAGTTGACAAGGAGACGGAGGAGATCTTGGATGTAGTAGCGTCGATAGGTGCAGCATTAGCAGGACGATGAATGTATACCACGATGAGAAAAACCGTTGGAAAGACGCGCCTCGACGCGATGGCGGCGCGTGTTGAACATTGACACGTGATCTCGCGTGCCCAATTTCGCCTTGTGCGATGGGCGTCTTGCTCTTCTTGATCCAGCCCGTCGTGCTCTCATATACCTCTCTCCGCCATGGACGGGCCAGCCCCGGAAGAGGACTTTTCCTCGATACCCTTATCCGACCGACTCGTGCACAAGAACTGGAAAGCACGCGTTAATGCGTACGAAGCGCTCGTCAAGGCATTCCAGGCCTCCGCATCCGACGAGGATCCGGTCTTCAAGCCATACGTCGGGAATAGTGATTTGCTCAAGAAGATAGCGACGGACTCGAATGTTGTCGCGCAGGAGAAGGGGCTGGAGTGTCTAGTGGCACTCTTGAAGTTCGCTGGGGAGACTGCTGCGCGGACGCGCGAAACCGTCGTACCGGCACTCGTGGAGAAGGCGTTCGGTTCAACACGTGCGGGGACGAAGGCGCAGGCGACTGAGCTCGCTCTGCTGTATGTGGAGATGGAGAACGCGGGAGCTGGGGTCGTGGTACGTCTGCCCTGACTCGAGTATGATCACGAATGCTAACGCGTGTGCAGGCGGATATATTACCTGGCTTAAGTGCGAAGCAGCCCAAAGCGATCGCAGGATGCATCGTTGCGTTGAGGGAGATCATACGGTGCGTGATGAACCCAGAATTCCGCAAATAGTGGCTGACAGGCAAACAGATGCTTTGGTGTACAGGTTGCACCACCCCAGCCAATCATGAAGGCATTACCAAAGATGTTCGGCCATTCAGACAAGACGGTGCGCGCTGAAGGGCAAGCTCTCGTGCATGTGCTATACCAATATATCGGTGCTGGCATCGAGCCCGCTCTCGCCGATCTCAAGCCAGTGCAGGTCAAGGAACTGCACGAGGCATTCGAAGCGATGGAGAAAGATGGGAAGGGCAAGGGTACCCTGAAGCCGGAGCGAATGACGCGTGCGCAGGCGCGCGAGGCGGAAGCTGCGGCTGAAGCGGGCGAGGAGGCACCAGAAGCCGAAGACGAAGCAGGTATGCAAGTCTGGTCTGTTGAAGTGAGTTATGCTTACCCGACATTCAGCTGCTGCCCTAGACGATCCTCGCGCGTTTGCAGAAATCGTCGATATTGGCCCCAAGCTTCCACCGTCATGGCAGGGTCCCCTAGCGTCTTCCAAGTGGAAGGAACGGAAGGAAGCCCTGGACGCAATGGCGGAGTTATTCGGTGCAACTCCTCGCATCAAGGACACGGCCGAGATTGGTGACATCGCCAAGGCGTTGGCATTGCGCATACAATCCGACGCCAACGTCGCCTGTGTGCAGACCGCTGCCGCTGCGATGGAACACCTCGCAAAGGGCGTCATGGCACCGTTCGGTCGATATAGGGAGCAAATTGTACCTCCTATGATCGAGCGCTTGAAGGAGAGGAAAGCCAGCGTAACAGACGCTATAGGCGCCGCCCTCGACGCAGTCTTTTCCACAGTTCGTAGTTTCAACAAAATATTGCTCCTTTGCTCACTTGCCGCCAGACGACCTTGCCCGACATCATCCCCGACTTGCAAGCGGGACTCACTCACAAGAATCCTCAAGTCAAGGAAGGCACCTTGAAGTTCCTCAACCGCTCTCTATCGACAGCGACAACGCCCATCCAGTCAGCACAAATCAAACCCCTCGCAGAAACTCTCGCCACCTTGATGGAGGACAGCTTTGCTGGTGCACGAGACGAAGCAGCTATGTGCTGTGGTACCCTGATGAAGATGGTCGGCGAGCGGCCCCTCAATCCTGTCATGGATGGCATGGCGGACGTCAGGAAGGCGAAGGTTAAAGAAGCTTTCGAGAAGGCGACGGTGAAGTGTAAGGCTGGCGGTGGTCCGCCCAAACCACCTCCCGCCGCTGCGCCGGCTGCTGCACCAAAGAAGAAAGTCGCTGCCAAACCCCCTCCACCGAAGGCTGCATCACCTCCACCCGAAGATGAGGCACCGCCACCACCCAAGAAGGTTGCGAAGCCACCAGCACGACTCATGGTAGGACACTCGCAGAATTGTGTTCATTCGAAGTTGACGCATTCTCAGGCCAAGAAACCTGCTGCCGCTGGAGGAGACTCCGCCCCACCATCAGCCGCTCCTCCTGTCAAGAAGGCGCCTCCCGCTGCTGCCGCGAAGTCGTCGAAGCCTCCTCCACCAGCACCGGCAGGCCCTCTTGACACCTTCAAGTATAAGCACACCCCGGAGGACGCCGAAGCCCTGGCTGCCGACATGATCCCCTCCGAACTACTCACCAACTTCGCCGACTCCAACTGGAAGACACGTATTGTCGCCCTTGAGGAGATGGACTCGTGGCTCAATGGCGCTATAGAAGACCTCGATGCGGAAGTACTAGTGCGAGCTCTGGTGAAGAAGGGCTGGTCGGAGAAGAATTTCCAGGTCTCGGCTAAGATGTTCGGCATTTTCACTCGTCTGTCGGAGCAGTGTCCGTCTTTTGGTCGCTCTTGCGTTGCTTTGTGCACCGGTGGAATGGCGGAGAAGCTCGGCGATATGAAGCTGAAGAAGCCAGCTGGCGACGGTCTGATAGCGTTCGCTGAAAAGACATCACTACAATTCGTGCTGAACCAAGGTACATAATCACCTGATTAACGTCAGCGATTGCTCACATATCCTTCAGCATACGAACCATTGTCGAAGCAGAAGGCTCCCAAAGTCCTCGCAGACGCTATTGCATGGATCAGCACCGCGTTGACGGAATTCGGTATCGCTGGAATATCGTTGCGTAGTCTCATCGACTTCCTGAAGACCGGGCTCAGCAACTCGAATGCCGCGGTGCGTACGAGCGCTACCAAGACCATCGTAACCGTCAAGTTGTTCGCCGGCGCAAGTACGTTCGACGCTTTAATCCTACCGTCATGAGCTGATTAGCTCCCTCAGGTATTAAGGACCTTCTCGAGGATCTGAACCCGCAACTGCTGAACACCATCACCGCCGAGTTCGACAAAGCTGAGGGCACGCCTGCGCCGGAACCCACAAGGACCTCTAACGATGTAGCCCAAATGGCCACAACGTCGTCTGGAGGAGGGAAAGGTGGCGCCGCCGTTCCCGATGCACTCGACGATCTGTTCCCTCGCGTGGAATTGGACGGGTTGCTGAAGGGCACCACTATCCTCGCCGACGCGAAGGCGGATGCTTGGAAGGTGAAGAAGGAAGCTCTTGAGGGCTTGCAAGCCATCTTGGATCAAGGGTCCAACAAACGCTTGAAGGGCAACATGGGTCAGTCCATCAACCCTCGACTTTGACGTTTTCTCACTGGTCATAGGCGAGATCGGCTCCGTGCTGAAGGCGAGGGTGAACGATAGCAATAAGCCCGTGCAATCACTCGCATTGGACATCGTCGCGCGCATTGCGACAGGAATGGGCAAGCCCTTTGAGAAGCACTGCCGTCTCTTCGTGCAGCCCGTTTGCACTGTTCTCTCCGACCAGAAAGCCCCAACCCGCGCCGCAGCCCTTGCTACCTTGACGGCAATAGCAAACGCATGCGAGAGCATCGACCCATTGGTACCTGGCATCGCTTCCGCTCTGGAGACGCCCAATCCTCTGCAGAAGGGTACCCTCCTCCATTGGCTGGTCGATTGGTTCAAGGAGCATGAGCCCTCGCCTTCCCTCGACCTCAGCGCATGGACAAGTTCTATCGTAGTCTCCCTGGACGACAGGAATGCGGAGGTTCGCAAGGGCGCACAAGCAATGCTGCCCGCCTTGATCGCTGGCGCCGGGTTCGACCATGTCTTGCATGCAACCAACGCTCTCAAGCCTGCCTCTCGCACGTCTGCGGTGCCGCTGATCAACGCCGCTCGCCCTGCTGCAGCTGCCGCTGCGCCAGCGCCAGCACCCGCCAAGGCGGCCCCGAAGAGCAAAGCAGTGCCTGTACCGGCGGCGAAGCACGTCAGCCCTCCTCCATCGCCTCCTCCCGCAGCCGCACCAGCGCCTCCGAAGACTACGACTCGTCTTGGCGGTGTAGGTGTGCGACGAAAGCTGCCTACAGGCACTTCTAGGCCCGAGTCTCGCGCGGAAACACCAGTCGAACAGACTATGTCTTCATCTCGTCTACCTGGGAAACCCGGTCTTGGACTCAAGCGTCCAGGTGCCGCGCGCCCCTCTGTCGCTACTCCGCCCCCCTCAGCAGCATTGCCGTTCCACGGAACCAACCTTGATGCGAAGAAAACTCGTCTAGGGCGGGACGCATCGCGGTGGATTAACGAGGGAGGTCCTACGCGCAAGGACCTGGCGGAACTGCTTCAAGGCCAGATGGAGCCTCACGCATCGAAGGACCTCATAGCGAAGCTCTTCAGCCACGACCACAACGCCGTGAACGACCATATGCAGGGCCTCGGGATGATCTGCGAGCTGTACAATTCCGCGAGCAACGGCAACGACGCGGCTGAGATCATCTGTCTCGCCAACATCGACCTTCCCTTGAAATATGTATCTATCAAGATCCACGAGCCTCAGCCGAACCTCATTTCCAAGTGTCTCGACGCCGTGGACGCCATTATGGCCTTCATGAGGCATGTGAGCTACGAGCTGTCGGATGCGGAGGCGATCTGCTTCTTGCCAACCCTTGTGTACAAGGTGCGTTCAAAGACCAGCATCTCTATCGGTTCGCTAGCTAACATAAACTTTAGCTCGGGGATGCTCGGGAACAAGTTCGCTCGCGCGTGCAGCATGTCATCCAGGCGTCTTTGTTGTTCTACCCCTACAGCCGCGTCTTCCAGATACTACTCGATCACGGTCTCAAGTCGAAGGTCGCAAAAGCGCGGCAAGGCGCTTTGGACGAGATGGCTAACATCGTCACGAAGTCCGGCATGGGTGCGATGGAGCCTCACAAGGCATGCCCTACGATCGCTAGCATGATCTCCGACAAGGACTCCAACGTTCGCAAATCTGCGCTGACAGTCCTGAGGTATGAATTACCAGTTGCTGAAACTTGCCTATACTGACGTCACTCCAGCGAGGTCTATGCTCTCGTCGGCGAGAAGGTCTGGCAATATGTAGGACCGTTGTCTCCCAAGGATAAGACGCAGCTGGAAGAACGTCTTAGGCGTGTTGCTGGTCCTAGCAATCACGAGAAGCCGGAGCCGGAAGCGCCCACCAACCCGAAGATCTCGAGACTTGCTGGCGCTGGTGGCATTCCACGATCTGCATCCCCATCTTTGGGTCCGTCTGCACGAACACGCCTGGGAAGCATAGCAAGAGCCCCCAGCCCTTCAAACCCACCATCGTCGCGATTGACGCGGCCTGCATCTCCCGTGTCTGCGGGACCTCGTTCTGCTTCTCCGGCACCCAGTGTCTCGAAGGCGACGCCAACGTCGCCAAGTGGCATTGGGCGGCCAAAGAGCTTGCTCCCCGGGCCCTCTCGATTCGGCAGACCACGGACGAACCTGCCATCATATGCGAAGCCGACGATGCCAGAGGAGGCTCCACCACGAAGTTCGTACACCCGGGAACCAGAACCAGAGCCTGAACCAGAGTACGAGCCGGAGCCGGAGCCTCGAGCTACACATATGCGGACACGGACGATGAGCATGGGCAACGGCGGAGCGGAGGATATCACTATCACCATCTCCAGCATCCTCAGCAGCGACCCTTCGCGGAGCGTAGACGCACTGAAGAAGATACAGAAGATCCTCTCCGTCGGACCTGAGGCCGGCTCTTCCTCTCCCCAGTATCAGGACCTCGCAGAGCACACTGAGGGCCTCATCGAGACGATCACGCTGCAGATGGCGCACGTCTTCGAGCGCCAAGACGAACTCATTCTCGACGAGAACTTCCGGTTGGCAAAGCACCTGATCCAAACGCTGAACAACTTCTGCGACCACTCGTATCTGGCGGAGTCGCTCACGGTCGATATCTTGACGTCACTGCTGGAGGAGTTAACGTTGCGGCTGCTGGAGACGGACGACAGTCAGACGAAGAAAGTCAAGGATTTGTCGCGCTTCATCAACATGATCATCTTGCGCCTGTTCGCTACTGGCCGGAGGATGTCGATATTCAGGTATGTTATTCGCTATCTCCCAGGCAAGATATTGGAGACTGATATCGTATACTAGGGCTCTCTTTGCACTACTCCTACGCATCGTCAAGCCTTTCCCGAGCAACGGTACAGCGCCTGGTTCGAAGGAAGCGCGCGTCGCCGAGCTTGTCCTCAAGTGCGTATGGAAACTTGCACGAAATATCCCGCAGGACTTGACGGACGAGGCCCTGGATCCGGTCGAGCTCTTCCCTGCCATCGAGCACTTCTTGCAGACAGTGCCTCCGAACGAATGGCGAGCTCGGGCGACGAACAAGGTGCCGTGCGGCGACATGCCCTTGCGCACGATCAAAGTGATCATTCAACACGTCGTTGGTGGGTATACTCAGTCGAACTGTCGATACTCTTTTGCTAACATGTTACGCAGCGCACTACGGCGACGACGTGTATGATCTGCTGTCAACGGCCTTCGACGACCCCTCAGCTACCATCGTCTACCCATACGTATACCGAATCCTTAACTCGGCGTCTCGGGCAGCGGCGGCAGCGGAGAACGGCGGAGGTGGCGGCAGTCGCGCCCGGAGCACCACCCAAACGACGGACTCAATGCACTCCATGCCACGATCTTCCTCTCCCGCCTCCAGCCGCCCCGTCTCGCCTCCTGAATCCACCTCCGCCACCTCCCAGCATCACGGCCGTTCCTCTCACCGCACCAGCCCGAGCTTGTCCTCCGCGCATGGCAACGGCAACGGCTACCTCCCCCCGCCTGTCGAAGAGCCGGACCCCGATCAGCAGCTCCTCACAATCATCGGCCACATCTCGAGCGAGACGACGGGCGCGCTGCATAAGGAGGGCATCACGGAGCTGCACCACTTCTTGAAGGCCTACCCGCACAAGCGGCCGAGGGTGGACAAGATGCTGGAGGCGACGGGCCCGGCGTTCAGGAAGTACATCACGCGGGCGCTCGCGAGTCGCGCGGCGGAGGACCAGGAGAGGGAGGTAGCGGTGCAGGATACGTTGTCGAGTGAGTTTGGCTACTGTGGACGTTTGAATAGGAGAGTGGATGCTGACCATGCCATAGAACTGGAAGCCAACAGCTACCGCGAGCCCGACCAGCCGCCGCAGTCGCCGGTGCGGTCCGCGACGCCTCAGTCGCCGCGCTCGCCGGTGCGTCCCCATGGGGGATCGTCGGACGTGCACGGCTCGCAGGACAAGCTCTCGCGGCTGCACGATATCTTCCAGTACCGCTCCAGCACGCACAGTAACGGCTCGTCGCATGGACGTGCTACGCCTAGGACGTCCCTGGGTTGAGTGATAACCTCCCTATCCCTACTTGGCGATCCTGGTTGGCGGATTCGGATGACTAACACTAGCACGCCCGTCCTCACGCTCTGCTCTACATCTTGTAATTGTTCTGTAATCGCACTTCTTTCGTTCGCCTTTTCTTTTTAGTTCCTTCTATTACTCAGTAATGTAGTACAGTACGCTACGACATGACAGAACTCATGACATTGACATCGAGCCTGGGTGGGAAGTTATGTTCGATTTCCTAACCTCTGCTGTAATTCTAGTGGTGAGGGTCCCTCATGGCAGCCAGGGGCAGCCCTCTACTCTCCAGGCCACTAGGTTTTCGCATTGAGTGGTCAAACCATCTACTCATCATATCGTCTCATCGAGCGGTCCACGCCGCCGCGGTTGCCTGGCACGTTCCGGTTTCTGCAGTGGTTCGCATAGTGGCCCTTTTCGCCGCACTGGGAAGAAGTGTCGTCAGTATCTGTCGAGAGGGGAGAAACGATCGAGAAGGAGGATACGATGGGTGCCGTGAAGGGGATGCAACAAGTGCAACTGCGAGTACTCACCTTGAAGCACAGAACCTCGTCCAAATTCCTCCTCGGCGCACCCGCCGCAGCAGGCGCACTGTTCTGGTTATTCTGGAAGGAGCGGTCAAAGTCTGTGTACCTGCCGTAGCCCGGTGGTGGAGGGCCAAGGTCGCGTGCGGGTGGGGGCGGCGGCTCGTAGGCTTCGGGAGGGGGAAGATTGGGTTTGGGGCTGGGTGAGGAGGGTGGTTAGCAAGCAGGTACAGTGACGGGTGTTGAGAAGAGGGGGGCAGAATGGGGAAGGAGAGTGAGAAGAAGGCGACTTACTGGCCGCGGGGGCACTCTGGACCCAAGGGGCAAAAGCCGGTCAAGTAGTTTTGGCACGCTATTCTGCGGATGTGCTTCCGAGGGCATGAAGGGCCTGGAAACGAATCAGTTGGGGTCCAGAACTTCAAAAGTGTAGCACGTACCCAACTTGCAAAAGCCCCTCTTGTAATCGGGGCATTCCACTCGGCGCTCCTTAGGGTGAGCGTACAGGCATTCATCCCCCGCCGAGCAATAGCCGTACTTCGCATACCACCAGCACTCGGGCATGCGTCGGAGATTGTACTCATGAAGAAACTCGCACGCATCTCCCTTCTTGCATAGACCGCGAAGCCAGTGCTTACACACGGTCGAGAGTCGCTCACGCTCACGCGGATGGGTGGGGAGTTGCTTGGGAGGCTGGAAGTTCTGCACGGAGGGGGTGGTGTGTCGTAGATGGCAGTGAAGGGGTCCGAGGGGACACCCTGCCGGTGTGAGGGCTAAGCGACAAATCTGATCGTCTACACAGTGTCAGCTATGGAAGGTATGTGCATGGGTCAGCACGCACCTTTATCGAGTTTGATGCCCAAATTAGTCTTGATAAAGTCCTCGACAACAAAGTTGTTCTGGTGAAACTGGGGGGCGACAATGTCGCGCAATGGGGAGGGCCCTGCGAGCGGGTCGGAGACGGACATGGTGGTTGCAAACAAGGCGCGAATGTCCAAGCACGCGCTAACGAGCTGACTTTCACTGACAGAAAAGGAAGTATCTCGGCCGCGTGGGACTCGGGCCGAGTCTCGTTGCTTCCAGAAAGAGAAAAGGAATTGGCGAAGGGATCATCTCGTCCGTCGGCGCGCCGGTCCCCGCCTTGTCCCCGCCACGACACTTGCCTTCCCCCGTCATGTCGTCCGCCTCGAAAGCAGCGGCCATGGAGGTCTCCGAGGAGGCCCGCGTCAAGCTCACCTACGACACCGCCATGTTCTTCTGGAAGACCATTACCCACATCTTCTTCAGGTCAGACCAGGCGTGCGTGTGCCGCGTGATTATCCTCACACATCGCCCTCCAGAGAAATTCGACCGCGCGGGGCGTACAACATTCCGCGCGATGGGCCTGTCATATTCGTCGGCGCGCCGCACAATAATCAGGTATGCGAGGGATTCGCCAGTCTGAGTACATTCCTCACTCGTGTCCTCGTCCCGCGCAGTTTCTCGATCCCCTCCTGCTTGGTCTGGAGGTGTACAAGGAGACGAAACGGCGAGTCCGCTTTCTAGCGGCGGCGAAGAGCATGCGGCGGAAAGCAGTCGGGTTCTTCGCCCGGCTAATGGATAGTAGTGCGTACTAGCCCTCTCTCTCGACGCAATCTGTCTAACCCCGTGCATTCACTCCCATTAGTCCCCGTCGAACGCGCCGCCGACAGCGCGAAACCAGCCACCGGGCGCGTCTACCTCTCCGAGACCGACCCCTGCCGCGTTATTGGCATTGGCACCAAGTTCACCACGGAGTTTACCCCCAAAATGCAGATCATGCTGCCCAAAACCGTCGGTGCGCCGAGCTCGGAGGTGGTGGAGATCATCTCGGACACGGAAATACGCGTGAAGAAGGAGTTTGGTGGGGAGAGGGGGACGGCGAAGATACGCGCTGCGCTGGAGGAGCTGGAGAAGCAGGGGACGAAGGGCTTCGAGTTTAAGCGGCTTCCGTTCGTGGACCAGCAGATCATGTACCGGGAGGTGTACCGCTGCTTGAAGGAGAGCGGAAGTGTTGGTATATTCCCCGAGGGTGCGCTTTCAATGAACCTCAACACGAAACCTCATCTAATTTTCCATCAGGCGGCAGCCACGACCGCACCGACCTCCTCCCCTTGAAGGCCGGAGTAGCCATCATGGCCCTCGGCGCAATGGCGAATACCCCGGGACTGCAAGTCAAAGTCCAACCCGTCGGCCTCTCCTACTTCCATGCCCACCGCTTCCGCTCCCGCGCCGTCGTCGAATTCGGGACCGCCATCGACGTCCCGATGGAGCTGGTCGAGGAATTCAAGCAGGGAGACGCGCAGAAGCATGCAGCAATAGGGAAGATGATGACATTGGTGTACGACGCGTTGAAGACCGTGACCGTGCGCGCGCCGGATTATGATACGCTTATGGTGCGCATCTGCCTCTTACTTCCTCTTTTTCCCCTGAGATTCCCCGCATATATCTGACGCCCGTGATTCCAGCTCATTCAAGCCGTCCGCCGGTTATACAAGACGCCCGGAGAGCACCTCACCCTCGGACAAGTCGTCGAGCTTAACCGCCGCCTGCTCGAGGGATACCTGCACTTTAAGGACGAGCCGCGCCTGCAAAAGTGCCGCGAGAACGTCATGAAGTACAACAGACTTCTACGCGATCTAGGCTTGCGGGACCATCAGGTTAGTTCGCTACTTTGAGTGTGAAGATCAACCAAAACTAAGCTGTGTACAGGTGCCGAAAGCGCAAAGAGCGAACTGGAAAGTCCTCGGTCTCTTGGCATACCGACTGATTCTGCTAGCCGTGTGGGGTGTGCTGGCTTTGCCGGGCACCGTCCTCAACGGCCCCATTTTCATCCTCGCATCCGTTATCTCGCACAAGAAGGCGAAGGGTGCGTGTCCTCCTCCGCGTCTTCGCACCCATCCCTCTCTTTCTACACCCCCTTACTCAAATCTAACCCCTTCCACAGAAGCCCTCGCCGCCTCCGAGGTCAAAATCGCCGGCAAAGACGTCCTCGCGACCTGGAAGATCCTCGTCGCGCTCGGCGTGGCGCCCCTCCTCTACGGCTTCTGGGCTTTCCTGGCCACCTGGCTGGCGGTGCGCGTGGGTGCGCCGCTCAAGTGGCGGGTTGCGACGCCGTTCATTGTATGCATGGCGCTACCGTTTATGAGCTATGCGGCGCTGAAGTTTGGGGAGGCGGGGATGGATGTGATGAAGTGAGTTTTCGTGCGCTCTTTGTCGTCGTTATGGGAAGGGGTGGCATTGAATGGATCGAGTTGCTGGTTGTGAGTTGTTGCTGATCGCGGTTGACAGATCCCTACCGCCTCTCGTTGTGTCCCTTATGCCTGGCCAGCAGCGTGCTCTGGTCAAGTTGAAGAACATGCGGGAGGAGCTGTCGAACGAGGTCACGGATATTATCAATGACTTCGGTCCCAAACTGTACAGCGACTTCGACAAGGTACGCTTCCTTTCCTTCTCAGAGGATGATATGCTGACGCCACGCCCAGCGCCGCATCCTGGCACCATCCAGCGCACCACCCCCGTCGAGCGAACCCGGTCTTTGGCGACGCAAGGGCGGCAAGGGCGTCCAGGACGCGCCCGGCTACGGCCTCATGCACCCCATGACCTGGATCGACGAGCGCCTCTTCGGCTGGTCCACGAGCTCCAAACACGGCACCAGCGCCTTCTTCGGCGGCACCGGCGGCAAGTCGACCGCGCCCTCCACCGCGGGCACGCCGGACGACTCCGACGAGGAGGACGAGGGCGACTACGACAACGTGATCAAGCTGATTCCCGAGTTTGGTGGCGGGAAAGGCTTTAGTGGCAGGAGTCGCAACAGCTCGTATGCGGATATGCACCGGATGCGCGTGGCGCCGATGCCGCCGAGGCAGGTGGGGGCGGTGGATGGCAGCCAGCTGCGAGACCACCCTGTGTCGAGCCCGGAAACGGAGACGGAGGGGATTCAGCTGAGGCAGAGGAAGGTGTCCAACCGGCAAAGGAGGGAGAGCCTGTCGGATATGATACCCGTGGAGCGGATCGCGCAGGTGGAGAGGGGAGAGGCGTTCGATGAGGCGACGCAGGAGCTGAACGACGAGGCGAGGAAGAACGAGGCATAGCGAAGTTCGTGCTAGTCGATGCGGACGCTTGTACTCACAGACTATCTATCTATTTCTTCCGGCGGGTGTATTCCACCTGTGTACTTGTACTTTTGGGACGTTCGATGAATGCGAACGAGATGATTTTTCTTGCTCGTTCGACTCATCGACGGTAAGAGATGACTCCATCACCAGGTCGCCCTCGTCTGGCTTCAAGGTGCGTCCGCTCCCACTCACTTTCCGTGTGTCTGCTGACCCCGCTCTCCCCGCAGGGATTCACGGGCATTATGAGCGCCCCACCTGCGGATCGGAGGCCAGTGAATGAACAACCCGGGGCGCGCAACATGTGGCGATCTGCGGTCCCTGCGGGCGCTGGGAAACCGGTGAGGACGTCTACCGCACACCAGCCCACGCCAAGCAGCGAGAACGCTCCCGCCTCGATGAGAAGGCCTCTACCGCCGTCCGGAACTACCTCGCACTTTGCGCGCCACTTGTGAAATACGGTAAGCCAGCCTTCCCCTGCTCGTAGCGGGCCTTCCACCCAGAATCACCCTACACCTGGAATACCATCGATACTATGGACAGCAGTCTTGGGGCCAGCTTGCACCGTGGAAGCATACAGTAGGGCTCACCGGACCGAGATGCAGGGTAGCAGATGATTGTCAACTTGTACGTCACCAATATTCAACTCTTACAAGTGCTCGATCGGCTACTTGCGGCGCGATATCCTGGTCTTGGGGACCTTCTTCATGTTGTCGTCGTGTTCACTGTCTCATACGATCGATCGATATACTCACTAATGCTTTCCAGAGCACCTTCCACTCACCGCGATGCCATCCAACACTCGAGACTGCCGCTCCTTCGCGAAGCAGTTGTTCCTGAAGAAGTACAATGCGGACATGTCGGGGGATTGGTCCGTCGACACTGCTGCCTGCGTCATTTCGACCCTTGGCCGCACAGGTCGAAGAGGTCACTTGCCCTCCCAAACGCGCTCGCATCATTCTAGCCCGACCCCGTGAACGCCTCACCATAAGGGATCGGCTTTCCCCTCCCAATTCCGCCCCGCATCCCCCAGGCTCGCTCTCGTCCTTATAAATGCCCTCTTCGAGCCCCCCAGATCCTCACCCCACGCGTCCCCAATGCTTCCCTTGCACATTCTCGCGTTGGCGGCTGCAGTCCGTGCCGCACTCCCCAAAAACGGCGGCCTCACGGATGAGCGCCCGAGTTACGACAGCCCGGAGGATGCGAAGTACGCACCTGTCGAGCCGAAGCTCAAGACGCAGTGGACGGACAAGGTGACGGCGGACCCGGACAATGTCTGGCCCGAGTACCCGCGCCCTTTGTTGAGGCGAAACGACTGGACGTCTCTCAACGGCGTTTGGGAGTTCCAGTTCGCCGATACGAACTCCACGGACGAGGTTGAGAACCCTCCCGTGAACACGACCTTGGCACAGCGCATCTTAGTGCCATACTGTATTGAGTACGTGCGCATCATCCTTTCCTCGATCCTGTTCTCATCGACCATCCAGGAGCGGTATTTCTGGCATCGCTCTCCAACCAGACACCTACGCCAGCTGGTACCGCACGACCTTCGATGTCCCCGAATCCTACGACCAGAACGTTACGCTGCACTTCGGTGCCGTCGATTACGAGACCACGATCTTCGTCAATGGCGCCAAGGTTGGCTCCCACACCGGCGGCTACGACAAGTTTTTCTTCGACGTCACGTCCAACATCGTGAAGGGCTCCTCCAACGAGCTCATCGTCTACGTGTATGATCCTACCGATGCGGTTGGCAACCGCCCCATGGGCAAGCAGCGCGTCGTTCCATCGCACATCTTCTACACAGTACGTCGTAAATGCTATCCCGTGACCGCGTCCTAACTTCGCACGATAGCCCTGCAGTGGTATCTGGCAGACTGTGTCAATTGAGGCCGTCCCGAGCACGGAGTACATCACCAACGTCGACCTCCGTGCCTCAGCGGACGGCTCCGTAAACGCCACGATCTCGACTTCAAACAACGGCTCTTCGACTTCGGTCGAGCTTGCCTTCATCGACCCCGCCGATGGCTCGAAGACATTCTTCACGACCAACGGCACCGCGAACACCCCCTTCTCCTTCAAGGTCGACCCCGCACCCGAGGCATGGAGCCCCGACAGTCCGACCTTGTACAACGTCACCGTCACCGTCGGCGACGACGTCGTACAGTCGTACACCGGCTTCCGCACCGTCGAGCGCACCGACATCGACGGCGTACCTCGCTTCGTGCTCAACGGCAACCCTGTCTTCCAGTTCGGCCCCCTCGACCAGGGCTACTGGCCCGACGGCCTGCATTCGCCGCCGTCGTACGAGGCGATGGTCTACGACCTGCAGTACCTCAAGAACCTCGGCATGAACTTCCTGCGCAAGCACATCAAGGTCGAGCCAGACCTGTTCTACGCGGCGGCAGATAGCCTGGGCTTGATCATCATGCAAGATATGCCGGCGTTGAACAACGTCGCGCCTGCGGATATCAAGGACGATGAGCAGGCCGAGTTCGAGCGCGAGCTCGACGTGATTGTCCGGAGCCACGTCAGCTTCCCGAGCATCCTTTCCTTCGTCATCTACAATGGTGCGTGGCGCTTGCCTGACAAGCCTTAGTAGGGATAATGCTGACGCGGATTGCAGAGGGCTGGGGTCAGCGCACCAGCGCACCAGAGATTCACCTTACCGATCGCGTTCGTGAGCTCGTCGGCGCGCACCAGCTCATCAACTCGATGTCGGGGTGGAACGACTTTGCGTACCAAGCGCTTAACATATCGGTGGGCGACTACCAAGACAATCACCACTACAGCAGCCCGCAATGCGGTACGCCCTTCTACTCGACCGCTTCTGTGCCCTACGATGGCGTCCGCATTGGGTTCCAGGGCGAATTTGGAGGTGAGTTTGATTAAGTCTGTTTCTCATTGATACGAGCTCAACACAACGCCCAGGCGTTGGCCACAATATCTCCATCGACCACCTCTGGAACGACTTGGAGGCCATCAACGCAATCAACCAAACATACGAAGTGGACGCGACCGTCGACGTCTGGAATTACCGCGCCCTGCGCGTCATCGAAGAGCTGCGCGAGCAGACCGAGCTGTTCGACTGCAACGGCGGCGTGTACACGCAGACCACCGACGTCGAGGGCGAGGTAAACGGCTTCCTGACGTACGATCGCGCGTACAGCCGCATCGACGAGGGGAAATGGAAGGCTGCGATTTCGGCGCTGTACGAGACTTTCGCGGCGAAGGTGTCAGGAACGCAGTAATACTTGAACGACACGCAGTAATTCCTGCACGATATACTATTGAAATATTGACGATTACTACGAGGGCCACCCTGATACTACCACGGCCTAGAGGAAAAGGCCGTTGTCAATGACAGCCGTTTTTGGAAGGTGAAGACCTTGGGTAAAGAAGACGACACAGAAGAGCTAGTGCTGTGAGGCCGGCCTGTGAGTGCCCCTGGGCAGGTCGGCGCGAGCAAAGAGCAGAATCGAGGTGGATTAGAGTCAGAAAGAGTACAAAGGCTTGCAGCTCAACGGCCTTGGCCTTCCGGATCAACCCGTCGCAATAACCCATGTATCCCCTTTAGGATCAATAGCCAGCGTCCGACTCCGACTGGAGTACGTGGCCTTCGACATATTCCCCGCGTGCTCGAGAGAAGTTCCTCCTGAAGGTGTGGGCCACGATGCATGGCTGTCTCGCGACAACTAGGGAAGGGGGCATCAGGTTCGTGCTAGAAAGTTCCAGTAGCGTCTGTACTGTAGCAGCGGAAAGCACCAGAGCGCCGTATCACGAACAGTGCCGAACGTTCCAGGGCAAGATCTGGAATATAAAAGCCTCCAGACATTCCGTCCCTCACCAGCATTCAGACATCGAACCACGCCGAGCGATACAACACCTCTTGCGCCTACCACCTCTCACGTACTCACCTAACCCACCATGTCTGTCTTCTACTACGAGCCCTTCTACGACATTGAGCGCATCATCGACGACGCTTTCGGCGCTCGCTCGCCCCGCTCCCCGGCTGCTGACCCTCAGCGCCAGGCCGCGCAGCGCAGTATTGCGAACACCACCAACGAGGCCCCGCGCGCCTTGAAGCCTAGGTAAGCTCTCTTCTCCTCTCCCCCCCTCTCCGAAATTCGTACTGACTTTCTTCAGGATGGACCTCCACGAGGACGCCGGTCAGAACATCGTGACCGCCACCTTCGAGTTCCCGGGCGTCAAGAAGGAGGACGTGCAACTCGAGTTCCACAACGGGCGCCTGACGGTGTCGGCGGAGAACAAGATCTCGGAGGAGCACAGCGAGAATGGGTACGCTGTCCGCGAGCGCCGCTATGGCAAGTGGTCGCGAACGCTGCAGTTGCCGACGGGGACGAGGGTGAGTAGTCATGTTTTCGCAGTGTAAGTGAGGGCGAAATGTACTGACGATGATTGCAGGACGAGGACATCAAGGCCTCGATGCAGGATGGCATCCTCACCGTGACGTTCCCGAAGACGTCCCCAGAGGCCGCGCAGAAGAAGATTGCCGTCAACTGAGTTGTTGGATTGTCGAGCACGGACCTGCATGAAATTTGCATTGTAGCATAGCATACCCAATCAGAAGGATTACGATGTCCAACTCTCTGCTTAGTCTGGTGTTCTAAGTTCCGTGTTGATTATATTCCGTTTGCAGTGAACGAGACACACATACCGAAGCGTATACTCAACACCTGGTCTCCCCTACACGACCTCTCCTCCTGCCACCTTCCTCCGTGGCTCGCCCGCGGCCTTCCACTCATCGATGTCCGAGTTGTATGAGACCCCGCAGGCCGTCGAGGCCGCAACTGTCGCGCATCAATCAACACTCTAGTCACCGATGCTCGGCGGGGCGGCCAAGACGTCAAGGGACGCCGCAGGATCCGCCAAGCCGAGCGGAAATAATTAAAGCACTCACCTGGCAACCACTTCACATTATGACCCAATCTCTCCAACTCCGCGGCCACCTCTCGATCCCATCCCTCCTCCAGATGCGTCTCCTGGGGTGCAATCTGGTCGTGCAGACGAGGATATGCGAGCGCTTCGGCAGGGTCCATGTTGTAGTCCTGTATGGGTGTGGAATGTTAAGGATAAATAAATGTCGGTCGATAATATGTAGGAGGTACAAAAGACGCCGGTAGACGGGCAGAGGAGGGACGATGAATAGGCAGACGGTTTCCCACCACTCACCAGCACATTTCGAATATGCTGCACATTGCAGCTCACGATCCTACTCCCGCCAGCCGCGCCCCCTGCGTATCGGAAGCGGCCTTGGGCGTCTTCGATAATGAAAGGTGAGGTGGAAGATAGCGGGCGTTTGTTGCCTTCGACTAAGCGTGTTTGTGAGCCGGTCCATCTGAGATGTGGACATGTCATACGCACTGTAGTTCGCGGGCGTGGGTAGGTAGCCCCAAAAATTCGATACGCCTGATGAGTGCTAATGTGTGACCACGTCTTTGCGAAAAGGTAGCGATATACAGACCTTCGACGCTGAAGTCCTCCATGGAATCGTTGAGCACGATTCCCGAGGATGGGACGATGATACGCGAGCCCCAAAAGCTGTTGCAAAGGTTGTCAGACTGGATATTCAGAAAATAGAGCCGAACTCAAGCTCACAGAGTGATAGTGGTCGTTAAGGACACGACAAGCCCGCTGGCATCGGCTGCGACGATGTGGCTTGTTCCGTTGTCCATCTTGACCTCGATGCGACCGTCAGTCTTGACCGTCTGGAATCTGGACGACAGAGGATGTTCGGGAAATCGGAGTGAAAGGTATATGGTATCAAGACCTACCCTTCCGCTTTGTATTCAGACGGCGCGTGCACCTTTGCATCATTTATCTTTGCCCAAAGCATCCGCCCCCGCTCGGGAGAAATGAATTCGCGTTGGGCTGCGTCCAAACCGGGCACGAACATCGGGTCGCCAAGCAAGGTACGGTGAGCGAATGCGTGCTGCGTTGGGTCGTGAGTTCATTATTATTTTATAAGGGTATAAAATATGCCATACCTTCAAGCTCTCTATCATCCGATGCGCGTCCTTCACGGTGCTGGGGCCGCCAACATCGTCGAAATTGTTCAGAATATTGAGTGCAGCGAGCACCACAGCGCCGCTTGCAGGCGCTCCAACCGAGGTGACTTTGTGTCCCCGAAATTGCACGCTCAGAGGTTCAACCCTCCGTACTTCATACGCCCGCAGGTCTTCCAGCGTCATCACGCCACCCTCTGCCTGGACAGCATCGACGATGCCATGTGCAATTTCGCCTGTGTAAAAGGCAGCTGCGCCCTCTCTGGCTATCGTCTCGAGCGTGTTGGCGTATGATGGCCGAGTCAGCAGGGTACCGATAGGAAGAAGTTCGCCATCCCGGGTCAGCCATTGCGAGAGCGTTGGGTGTGAATATACCCAGGACGACTTGGGGTTGTCGGAGTCAGGGGCGCGCGTCTTGATGTTGACGACCTACCGTCTGAATGAGCACCGATCCGAGAGATACATTGACGGGTTCTTACACGAGCCATATCCTCCGTGAGTGGGAATCCATTCCGTGCAAGCTTGATACTTGGCTCAAAGAGGTGCGACCAAGGTAGCTTTCCGTACTTCTTATGCATCGCCTCAAAGCCGCGAAGCTCTCCTGGAACTGCGACTGCAAGTCCGCCGACCGCGCTAGCCCCGGGCTTATCGAGGTACATCTTCGAGGTCACAGCGGCCTAGTCATTCGAGACGTCGGTCGGATGGTCGAAAATGCATATAGTATAGCTCACAGGCGCTGCTGGACGGAAGTTGAGACTCTCGTGGTCGCCCTTAGGCGTCCTGATAAGGGCGAAGCCGCCCCCGCCAATGCCTGAGTTATCCGAGCAGAGAGTGCCAACAGCGAGTGTAGTTGCGATTGCGGCGTCTACAGCGCTTCCTCCTTCACGTAGTATTTGAGCGCCGATGGCTGAGGCTACCTTGTTCTCGGAAGCGATAGCGCCTCGGGAGGGACGTCCATCCATATTCGATGCAGCTTTGGTGGAAAATTCTGACGAACGCGTTGCAAAGGTCAAAGCTGCTTGTCTGGATAGCCTAGTGAGCCTATGGAGGGCCGAGGGATAGCTTGCGGTGACTCTGAGCAAGTCCAGGATGAACGCGAGAGGAGAACAATGGAATGTGGAGATACAATGGGCGCACCGTTGATGTCATCAAGATCAGTCTGATCGGCGTGAAGCGGTGTGGCGTTCAACGCAATCCATCACTCATCCTCTCAAAAATGCCCTTGCCTCTTACACTCATCTTTAGCAGCCGCTACACCTACATGAAGGAGCTTAGACCCTAGACGAACATGACTCTGAATCTGCTCAATCTCCCTCACGATGTCCTTGCCGCAATTTTCGAATACCTGTCCGTACCCGGGCTGTGTGCACTTAGCTGTACATGCCGGGGGATGCGAGATATGGTCAGTAGTCCTTGCCCTCTCAGAATAAGCAAACTCAACTGACGTGCTGCCAGATCGCTGAGTTTGGATGGACAGACTACCTGCGTGTCCACCCACCCCTTCCCTCCTACTCCCTGGAGAAGTCGCGCAAATCCTGGGACGCTCGCACGATCGCGCGCTACGAATATTTCACCGAGTGCCATTGGGAAACGGGTAACTTTGTGGCACGCCCCCTCAACACGCCATGGCGCACTAAGCTGCAGCCCACGCTTGCGATCAACAGCTCTCGACTGCTCGTCGCAGCAGCGAACACTCTCGTCTCCTACGCTTTCGACTCGCCAAAACCTCGCATCCGGCAGGAGGCCTCATGGCAACTGTCAGACCGCTTCACGAGCCTGACCGATGTCACGTCGCTGGCGTGTACGGAGGATCCGGATGTGTACATCGTTGGGATGTGGGATGGGTCCATCAAGAGAATAGAGATTCACCCTAATAACCGCCCCGCACCCTCACTGAGTGTGACAACAACTTACCAGGAGCGCGACGATGGCATAGAAAGCCTTACCTGCGAAGATAACTATCTACTTTCCCTCACTGCCGCGGGCCGTGCTACCTTGCGCAACCTCAGTTCCCCTCAGAATACTAGTTCCTCCATAGAGCTCGGCGCCCGCAGCTGGACCTCGTATCTCTGCACCAGCGCTTCCACACCGTTCGCCGCCTTCGGCACCTCTTCCACATCCCCCCTCGTCCTCCACCGACTCCTCCAGGACGGCTCCTTCGCGCCGGATACCCGAGTCGTCCTCGCAGGGCCCTCACGATCCCCTCTACAATCCTCATCGCATGCCTTCGAGGAAACGAACGCGTACAAACTCGACCGCACCCGGGCTGCCACCCTCTCCCAGCACATGCGCGAGATTCCAGATAGACCCGCCAGCTCAGCCTGCTACGCCATCTCGCGCGCACCACCCGCTGCGCCGTGGGGCGCTTCCCCCGAGCTCCTCGTCGCCGGCTGGTACGACGGCCGCGTCCGCCTTTACGACCTCCGCGTCGCCTCGCGATACCACTATCCCCGCGCTCCCTCGCCCACTGACGACAATCCCGACCCTCCTGCTCCTGCACCCATGCTCCGCCCCATGCTCGCCATGTCCGACCCGTGGCTGTATGACCCAATATACAGCGTCGCGTGTGGTGGTGGCGCGGGCGCGCACATAGCCGCTGGGTCTGCGCGACATGGCGTCGTCTGCCTGTGGGACATGCGTTACGCGCAGCGCAGTGTTGGACATCAGGTAGTTCCCGAAGACAGCCTCCCGCCGACCGCGAAGGGCCTGAGCGTACATGCGCCCGGAAACGACGCTTCGCCGGTCTATAAACTCGAGCTCGAAAGCTCAAAGTTGTATGGAATAACAGATCGCCGGGCATTCGTGCTCGACTGGGTAAGTGCACCTTTTGCTATCAACCATATAATTTTGACCGTGGACCCCGCAGGGTTCCAATCCCACCGAAGAAACATACCCATCCCTATCTCCGCGTCATGGCCTCAAGCGCAAGAAGGGACAGCGTGGGCCTGGTTTTTATGTGACCAAATATGTACACGATAGGCATATTGGGTGATTTGAGCAAGCAGGATGGGCGTCTTCAGGCCGGAATGTACTTCGGTGACCTTGCTTTGCAAGGTCACGCTTTCTCCGAGTCTTATGGAACCCAACAAGCAGTCTTTACAATGGCGTGGACACATGAGATGCTTCATAGACGACTTTGGCCAATCATCACGATATTGAGCACACCGCTCAGCTTTAGCCCAGAAGAGCTGGTGCATCTGTGCTACATGTTGAATGGACAAAAAGGGCTTATCCCGCCAAAGGTGTACTCACGTAGGCCAAGAGGAGCATTCTTCCAGCTGGCAGGAGTTCGACAGTCAAGGGTGCTGCAAAGCTGCAAGCATGTAGCGCTCCCCAAACACGCCCTCAATCCGTTGCGAAGTGGGAGGTAGATACGCTTCACGGTGCGCGAGGAGCACGATAGATGTAGCTTTGTCCCGTCTGGGGTCTATTGCATTGATGTCGGTTACATGCACGCCATCTGCTACAGTAGGCTCTATAATTTTACAACATATCCAAATACAATTTTGATTCCATCCACCAAGCGCAGACTTAGGCAACGCCGGCCTCCTTCACTGCCGCCTTGGCGCTGGCCTGCGCCTTCGCCGCCGCGGAGCGCTCGCTGGCCAGACGGATAGCCCAGGTGAGCTCGTAGGACTTGACAGCGTCTGTAAGAACAGGGTCAGCACAAATTCCAAACTGCAACCAATAAACACTCACCCTCGTAGCTGCTGAGGATCGTCGCGTTCTCCGGGTCCTCCTCGATGTCCTCGATGGTGTCGATCCAGTGCGAGACCTCACTGAAGAAGGGGTCGTCGTCGGCGAAGCGGTGCACAGCCTCGTGATCGTCGCCCGGCTTGCGAACGTAGAGGATCGCCTGCTGGTACGGGTCGACGAGGCGCAGGCAGTAGCCGTCCGCGTACACCTCGAGCTCGCATGAGTAGTTGTAACCCTGGAGCGCGGTGAGGTGGGTGAACGAGCCGACGGCGCCGCTCTCGTATTTCCAGGTCGCGGAGGTGACACGGGGGATGCGGTTCTCTGGAGGGATCGCGCTCTCGTCGATGGGGATCTAATTGGGACGACGTTAGCAAGAGCCGGGCCAGACGATCTGGTAATACTGACCTTGCTGAGGTGGCCGGCGTTCTCGTTCCACTCCAGCGAGTGCGCCATCACGGTGCTCATGTCAACATCACCACCGAAGTAGCGAGACAAGTCGCAGAAGTGGGTGCCCTGCTCGATAACCGGGCCAGCACTCTTCGCCTTGTCCCACCAGTCCGGCTTCAGGATCGAGTCGTATGCGTTGGCGTAGCGCGCAATGGTGGCCATGACGGTGAGGTTGTTGTCCTCGATGATCTTCTTCATCATCTGAGTGGCCTTGAGATAACGAAGCATGTACCTGGAACGAGATCAGACACTATTCAGGTCCAAAGATGAGGCCGATACCCACCCGACAGAGCAGATAGTGTTCGAGTCGCTGATGCGCTTCGCAATCTCGTACCCCTCCTTGATCTCCTCAACCGGGCCAGTCGCGACGGGCTTCTCGATGAAGATCGCGACACCCGGGAAGTGCTCGAGGATCTGCACCTCGACGTCGCGGCCCTTCTTGAGGGTACCACGGAACATCGGGGGCGAGCCAACAATGAAGGCCTTGGGGGCCTCCTTCGGGGTCATCGTCTCACGGAACTCATCAAGCGTCTTGCAGACGCGAGTGTTCTCGTAGGCGGACTTCACGAAGGAGTTGCACTTCTTCTTGAGGGTTTCCTTGGCGCGCTCCGTTGCGGGGTCAATAAGGGCGACCACCTTCATGCGCGGGCCGAGCTTGCTGGAGGAAGTTTAGCAGTTGTAGAGGCCTCCTGAGTTGATCTACGTACTGCTCGAGACGGAAGGAGTGGTTCCATGGGCCCTCGGGCGAGCCTGCAGGGTGTAAATAGCTGATCTCTGCGCGCGATGGGTCTTCCACGCACCGAACATGATGTTGCCGGCACCCACGAAGACGATGTTGAAGATGTCCTGGCCGCCGATGTGCTCCGACCTGCAGATCATTGTCAATACGGGGTCGCTCGATGACGACGCGCTACGCACTTGTCCATGGGGACGAGGCGGGAGGGATCGATGGAGGGGCGACGCGCCGAGTCGCGGCGGTCAGAGGGGCGGCGAGCAGCCTCGGAAGCGGGGCTGGTCATCTGGAGACCTGACATTGCGCGGTTGGGCATCGTGTCTGGGGGGGCGGGGTGAGCGATGGGCGGCGATCTTAGCATCGGGAAGAGCAGCGCGCACCAAATTTTCTGTGTGGGTGGCGGGGGCTGGGCGAGGAAAGATGGGAGTCGAGAGCAAGAGGGAGTCGAGAGCAAGACTGGCTCGACGCGGGGGGCATAAAAACGGGGATGCACGTGCGGACACCCGACGTCATCGGTGGACGGAGCGAGTGAGTGTTCAAGCGCGCAGACGGCGCCCCTCGGCGCCTCGCGGGGCACAGTGGACCTCGACTGACATACAATGGTCAAATTAGACAACGGAAGTGGCGCCCGCGCACGGTGCTCGCGGCGCTGCCGACGCGCTGCAGCCACGACGCGACGGTGGCGCCCCCTCGCCCCGCGCGATGTCTCCAGATAGCTCCAGATCCGTTTGAGGGTATCGATTTCGTTCTCGGCATGGGAATGCGAATAAAATACAATTGTTAGGGTAGTCCCACCAGTAATCCAGCGATATGTCAATGCCAATGCAGATGCAGGGCGGCCAGCGCGCGCCTGGCGCGCTCAGACTAGCTAGGCCTCCCGCGTCCGCTGCTGCTGCTGCTGCGCCTTCTTCGCCAGCTCGGCACGTCGCCGCTCCGCCGCCTCCAGCCGCTCCGTCATCGCCTTCAGTTGTTCGTTTAGCTTGTCGTTCTCCTCCGCGAGCTTGAGCACGTTGGACGCGCGCTTCGACACCCTGTCCGTCCTGCGATCGCGACTGTTCGTGAGCGCGCGCACCCGGGCCCGACGCGGAAACGCACTCTTCGGAGGGTGGTGTGCCAATGATAGACGCGAGATCCACGCCAAAATCAGAGGAGGACGATATCTCGGGCAGCAGCGGCTTCGGGAGCGAGTCCTGCGGTTCAGGCGCGGGGGACTCGTCGCGCGTCTGCGCGGGATCTAACTGTCCCGATTGCGGTTGAAGGTCTGCGCTACGCAAAAATGAGTTCGACGCGTAGTAGGAATGCGAGGGGGCGCACCGGTAGTATTGTTGCTGATTGTCGCGGGGGTAAGCTGAGGATGAGTCCATGGTCTCCGTTAACAACCTCGAGGTTGCCATCGACGTTCATCCCAGCACGACCACGTTCACACGCCCCTATCAGCACTTGTCACTGCCGCATTTGGAAGGCGCGTCTCTTCATTGTCCACCGCGCCCGCCTCCCGCGACGCGTATGTCTGTCCGCGAAACACCTCGTTCATGGACCCTGGACTAGCCATCATAGCCGTTTCACTTGCGTTCTTTGTGGTGGGGAGCTACTCCATCTTCTTCAGCGCCTTCCTTCCCTTGACCGGCATCTCGGTGCGTGCATCAACATACTCAATGCCGACACGCTAACGCCTTTCTTCTGCTATCCCCTCGCTCACCCCTCGTGCCGCTATCTATCGATATCGTGTCTTCTCTCTACTCCTCTATCCTTCCTCGTGCTGGCCTTGCAGGTTCTCGACGCGCTCGCGCTCGACACGCACTACAAATACCTCGCGGTCCTTCTCATCCCTACGTCGACCTACTTTGTCATCGCGAACTGGGTGGGATGGCAGTACTATCAGAATTCATAAACACTGCTTCGAAGGCGTACTGAGTTTCGGCATGATCTTTGCCATTGACCTCGAAGACAGCCAGACCGTGGTCATGGTCTCAAGACGGGAATCGTGTTTCTATACAGTACGGCAAATACAGGTACAGGTGCAGTATAATACATACATCGTCTTTCATGCACGCAAAACAGGCAAAAGACCAACGTTCAGAATCGTAATCATCGACCAGCTTTCAGCAGATCCCTCAGGTTGTCCGAAATGACAGGCAAATTCACTGTCGGCACCTTGAACCCTTCAGCCTTGTCCTCCTTCGCATCGTCATCCTTCTTCGCATCGCCAGTCTTCTTCGTGTCTTCGTCCTTCGTATCGTCCGCCTCCTGAGCCTTGCTCTCGTCCGCCGCCTTCTTCCCCGCTTCCGCACCCTCAATAGACGAGATGCTGCCCGCTGACTTACTTCCCAATGTAGCCCGACGCCGCAGGTTGCTGCTCGACGCACTGATCTCCTCCGCCTTCCTCCTATCGATGTCCGCAATCAACTGCGCGAACGACAGGAACAGCACCTCCGCCTGCGCCAGCGTCGAGTCCAGCTCGATCGTCATGCTCAAGTCGTTGCAGTACTTGAGGATCTCGTCGAACTGCGAAGAGTTCAATCAGCATCTCGCCAACCGTTTTGTTCGCCGACCTGCGACTGACAGCGACCGGATATAAAACTGACGCACCTCCACCAAATACCGCAAAATCACATCCCGATGGCTCTCCAGCACTGCAAGGGCGACAAACAGCACGAACTCGTTGCTATAGTAATCCGTCCAGAGCACCTCCCATAGCCGGAGGACATCGTCGAAGGGGAACTCGCGCTTGAACGCGATGAGCACCCAGCGGAAGCAGAAGAACAGGTTCAGCGCGTCGGTTTTCTCTACAAGGTGAATTAGCAGCGTAAACATAGCGCGGAAAGCGCAATATCCTTACCGAGATGGCGGTATAGCTCCGGATCCATGACGGCGATGAGGTCCTGAAGTGTCGAGAGCTGGCGCTTCATGCCGCTCTGGTCTCGGAGGAAGTTCTGCTTCTGCACGGGATGAGTATCGAGTTCATCAACGCAATGATAAATGCAGACTACCATCCGGTTCATAACCTCGACGAAGCACCAGAAGACGAGCTCTTCCTCCTCCGGGCCCATGACCACGTACAGCGGCGCACACAAGTCTGACATGCCTTGCACGTATCCTGCAACCCTATCAGCACCTCAAAAAACAATGATCGTTCCCCCGACTCACCAAGCTCCTTCTCATAGAAGTTATAGGTCAGAAGAATGCCCGCCATCCGGTCGATATGCTCGTTGCTCGGCGACTGCGCGCCAATATCCGCCGTCTGTGGTGATATCGTCGATACCCGACGCTGTCGCTTGACGTCCTCGGACGAGTGCGCAGACGAGAACAATGGCTGCGTCCGATCTGTTCTCCGACAATCGACGTCGATGCGATGTCGCTCCTCGACCACCTGCGGCAAATCGTACACCTCCGCATTCCCACACCACTCATTCTTGATGCGATGGTACTCGCGCCTGCAAAAACCAGTCAGCTTGACCCACCGCCAAGTCGAATCAAACGCACATCTTATCATGCCACCTCGCCTCCCTCTCCGCCCCATCCACATCCCATTCATACACACCCAGCAAAAACGGCCATATTCTTCTCCTCAGCGTCCCCTCCTTCATAATCCCCCTCCTAAACACCTCATGCTTCACCTCCTCGATCCGCACCTTCGGTCGCCCATCCGGCGCAAACCACCGCTTCCACGTCTTCTCGTCAACTGGATGTGCAGGGTCGCGGCTCGTTTTCGGCGTGGGGAGGTTGGAGGTGGAGTGCAGGAGCTCGAAGATGCCGAGGCTGGAGGTCTCCTGCGCGAGGTCGCCCCCGGAGGACGGGATGGCTTGGGCCTCGCGTCGGCGTGCGCGCTCGCCTTCTTCGGCGACGATGCGCGCCCAACGGGCGAGGTAGACGCGGGCACTCTCGAACTCGCCGACGCCGCCTTTCTCAACCCAGCTGCCCCATTCGCGAGACCACTCGCCGTTTGCGTTGACAAATGTCTTGACTGGGTCGGGAAGGTGGGGTACGATGGGCTTCGCGAGCGGATGCGACAGGATATTCTGCGCTGCATGCCGCGTCGCCCTCGTGATATTCGAGAACGATTGCAACAGCGCCGTCCTCGCCTGCGACGGCGACTGGCCAGCCCCATTCGGCGCCGTCGGTGCCAGCGACCTATGCAGCACCGACGATCGCGCCGAATATGGATTCGGGCTCAAATTCGGCTGCGAACTGGAAACAGACAGAGGCCGCGGTCGGCGATGCGCAGGGACGGGCGAGTGAGAGTTGGCGTACGAGGACTGGGCGAGGATGTCGTCGACGGCATCGTCATCGAAGATCTGCGTCGTGTGCGTCTCGATGTCTTGGCGGGAGGGGTCGATGAGGTAGAGCGAGGGCTGGAGATTGGATCGCAGGATGTGCGCGTAGGATCGGAGGCGTGCTATGAGGTCCTCGCCGCCCCATGAGGTACCGGTACGGGACCCGGATGGCGGGGAGGGTGCGGCGGGAGGTGGATATGAAGCGAGGCTGTTGCGCTTGCGTCGTGAAGTGGGGGAAGATGCACTTGGTGGCGTGGGCAGGCTGAAGGACCGAGACTCGTCGTCGTGGAAATGCAAAGTTGGTAGCGTGTCGCCGTTAATGAGGTTGATGGCGATAGAGCCGTCTATACAACGGTCAGAGCGGGGAGATGATCGTGAGATGCGACGTACACCATGACGAAAGGCTCGGTGGATGCGCAATGAGACTGTAGATGGAGGTCAAGGGAACGGAGAAGGCGTACGACTCCGGCTTCTGCGACGGTAAGTCGATAAGAACGATGTCTGATGCACCGTCAGTGTACGCCCACATTGACGAACACGCTACACACCTTCATCAAGCTCGTCCAACGCCGCCTGCTCTTCGATCTTGACGAACTTGTCCCACTCGCCAGACCCTCGCTCGTTCAGCAAGCTTTCAGGGAGCCATGCAAGGAGGTATATGGGGTTCACTGCTTCCTGCACTACGTGTCAGCCTCAACACCGAATATGATCGCTGCACACGCACCCGCTTTACCAGCGCGACGAAGCCTGGGATGTTATCGCGCGCGTACGCCGTCGGATGGACATACACCTTCGACTTCGTATACACCAGCCGATAGTGGTCGTCCTCCGGGCTCTTCTTGCCCACAGGCGGAGCGGCATCCGCATGCTGGATCTCAACCATCGAGCCGGTCTAGCACATTCGGTCAGCCTTGCGCGCTCTGCTGCAACGCGGTTTCAGACGCACCGAGGAGCTATCTAGCGAGGACGGGAGGCCCGTGGCGGTCATTTCTGGATCTTATATTGCAGGGGACGTGCTGTGCCGCAGGTGCGCAGTGTGCCGGACTGGGTAAGGACCTGGAGGCCGAGGATGATGAATGGCAGAAGCCGCGCCACCCAGATCTTCGGGCTGCAGGAGTTGACGGAGACGGAGTCAAGGGCTCGACGGTAAGCAGATCTCAGGCCCGCAGTTCTGAGACCGGTGGATATTCGAACGTGAAGGAAGAGAGGCAAGCGTACGTGCTCCCAAGCCGGGGATTGCCTTGTCGGCGCAGCCGGCGACTCAGACGCCACCGATGACGCCTCGGCAGGTGCCGCGGGGCCGGGCGCTTGATTTGCTTCCGCGTTTGTTCAACTTCGCTCCTGTTCTTCACTCTCACCTCGTTTTACTCATCGTTTTCTCTCTCATCCTAATTCATACTCGCTGGACGACACATCTACAATTTTACTTGAACGTCATGGCGGACAATTGGAAGACCGTTCTGCAACGCTACGCCGAAATGGATCCCGAGCAAATACCTAAGGCCATCCTCTTTTATGCCACGGAACACAATCTTGTCATCTTCGACCGCTATAACAAGAGCATCTTTCACCTCCTGATTATCCCTCGCACGCGGCCTCCCCACTACACCGCCGCTAGACTCAAGAATCTGCGCACGCTCTTTCAAGGCGACAAGCAGCGCGCCAAGGAGCTTATTGACCACATGAAGGAGGACTCGGAAGAGCTGATCAAGAAGATAGAGGAGTGGATGCTGAAGAGTTATAAGTTCAAGTGGGATGTATGGGTTGGGTTCCACGCAGTTCAGAGCTTGGAGTGAGCGCCTTTCATCATTTTCCTCGCATCTATTCAACCTCGAGCGCGTGCAGCCATGTACACCTTCATGTTATCTCTGCCGACATGCAGTCGGAGCATCTGAAGAACAAGAAACACTACAACTCGTTCCATCCGAAGCTCGGCTTCTTCATCCACCTCGACGACATCCTCGACTGGTTTGAGGCCGTCCCAAGCGTTTGGCGCAAGGTGAGCAGCAGATGCATCCCCGTAATATGTGCGTCGAGCTAAACGCGCGCCAGAACATCGAGCTCAACCCAGCGTTCTTCGAGCCTCTGCTAAAGAAGGACCTCGAATGCTATCACTGCTACGAGGAGTTCAGGAATATGCCGCAGCTGACGAAGCACTTGAAGGAGCATTGGGAGAAGCTTAAGGCGGCAGGAATCGCGAAGATGCAGCGAAAGAAGATGATAGAGGACGCGATGCAGGCCGCGAAGGAGAAGGAGGAAGAGAAGAAGAAGAAAGAAGAGGAGAGAGGCGCTGCGGAGGACGATGCGGGGGTCGAGGATGGGGGCGAGCGGGACGCGGACGAGGCGCAGACGTCAGAGGTTACGGGTAAGGGTGGTCAGAAGGGGGCACCAAAGAAGACTGCGGAGAGCGAGCTGGGTACGCAGGGTCAGGGCGGGAAGGACGGCACGCCCAGTAAGCGCCCGAGCGCCGAGCCAGCGCCCGAAGACAGCGAGCCGCCTGCGCAGAAGCGGACGCGGCTGCAGGATCCCGACCCCTCGTGGCAGTTCTGAGCACTGTACCATTATATTTCTTGGATGCGACCTGATCTTTTAAAGACCTTCCTCGCGTCTGCACTTTGCACAAGACTCGAATCCAAGCCGCAAGCTCAACAAACCTCAAGGTGGCGTTCGCCTCCGACTGCACGAGACTGGACTCCGCCGATGACTCACGTCCATGCAAGAACTCTAGCCACTCAAAGCAACGGCTCGCTCGGCGTGCAAGACGTACGGCATATGCCGCTGGACCAGGTATATCTCGCGCTCGCCTTTGTGCCACCTCTCGTCCACTTCTCTTTCGCTCTCGACGACCTCACAACACCCAAGCGCCCTCACCGACTGACATCGCCTACATCTCTGCCCAATGGCTGCCAACGACTGGAAGACCGCCTTGCAGACCTACGCTGCATTCCCCGACCCTAGCGTCCTTCCCAAGGACGTCTACCACAGTCACTCCGACCACACCCTCACGCTTTACGCGCAGTGGCCGAAGAGCACGTACCACATGATTGTCATCCCTCGCATCCGTCCGCCTTCCACCGGCGCCAGGCTCCTGAACCTTCGCACGCTCCTGCACGGCGACAAACAGCAGGCTGAGGAGGTCATCGACCAACTCAAGGACGATGCGGACGAGGTCGTCGAGTGGATACAGGAGCAGATGGACAAGAAGCAGGGGTATAGGTGGAACATCTGGTTGGGCTTCATGGCGAATCCGAGCGTGAAGTGAGTGGGTTGGGTGCCTTTCAAGGATGTGGATGGTATAGCTCACGATCTCGAAGCCATCTGGCCCTGCATGTCGTCTCCGGTGACCTCGTCAGCGAGCACATGAAGAACAAGCGACACTACAACGAGTTCCACCCCAAGAACGGGTACTTCATCCGCCTCAAGCATGTCCTCGAGTGGTTCGAGGCTGACGCTCCGGGCTACTGGTCCATGGTACGCACCATCAATGTTACCGCAGATACGAGACGCTCACTTGATGTGTCCTAGGTGACCAGACTCGACCCGGTGGAGTACGAGAGGAAGCTACAGGAGCCGCTTGAGTGCTTCCACTGCTACGAGGAGTTTAGGACCATGCCCCGCCTGAAAGCGCATCTCAAGGAGCACATGGAGAGGACCAAGGAGAGGGAGCTGGCGAGGATGGAGGGTAAGAAGCGAATCGAGCGTGCGTTTGAGGCGTCAAGGAAGAGGAAGATAGAGGCGGAAGCGCGGGAGAAGGCCCTCGAGGATGCTGGTAGTTCCAGCGAGTAGAGCATCGCTAAAGATGCGAGACAAGGGGATGCTGATGGAGCGCAAGGACGCGTCTGGTGCGTCGACACAAAGAGCACATCCTATAGTAGGAGGCTGGCCTGTACTGTTTCTCTTGAGTTCAGTTGATTTCTCAAAACTTTTCGCGCGTCCGAGGTTATGGTCGACCTCAAGACAAACTGGTGACTCACCGCAACTCAACCAAACAAACCGGCGAAACGCGATCGGCCAGACAGGGCCGGCGCCACACAGCCACTGAGCCGTTCCCACCTCCGACCGTTCCGTTCGCGTATACTCTTGTTGTTGTCTTGAATATCGCCTCCTCTCCTTCTCCCATCTGCGCTTTCCCTTCCCCTTCACCGCAGCCATGGCCGTCGAGCCCCTGCTCGCCACCCGCGCCCAGCGCGGGTTCATCCTCACAGGTGCGGATCCCCCTCATCGCAGGTGGCAGCTGGACCCTAATCACATCTGCAGTGACAATCCGTCAGTAACGTCCGCGTTCATCATGTATGTGGGTCGCTGAAGAACGCTGCAGAGGCCATCGCTGTTCTCGTCATGGTTGCCATTACGTTCAGACTGGTGCGTTGCTCGATCATCCTGGTTGGGCGCCTAAATGGCTGACCCCCCAATGTGCAGGTCGACGAGGAAGTTAGCTTCCATCTAGGCTACAAGGTCCCTTCATCTCTCGCGCGCAGTTAGAGCGCATCCTCATCCATTTCCTCAGACCCTATCGTGCTACCTCGCCCTGTTCGCGCTCGCCGAGTAAGCAGCTCCACCCCTTGCCCTTAAGATCGCTAAACATATCCCCCCTCAGGATCTTCGAGCTATTCATGTGCTACGACGCTCTCCGATTGCGAAATGTCATCCAGCTCGTCGGCATCTTACGTGCGTCCCCCTAGCGCCCATCCCCTCACGTCTCACCGTTCCGCTCAGTATTCCACCTCGCACTCATGGTGATGGCGGCTCTGCAAGTCCACCAGACGCGAACAGCGCTCGTCACGATGTCTGCCGCTGACTGCGCTAGCAACTTCGACGAAGTGGTCCGTAGATCACCATGTTGCTACCGCTTTGCCGCTAATTCCCCGTAGAGATGTGCAGGGCCTGGTACGCTATGGAATAGGGTAGAGCCCTACCTTATCGTGGCACCTTGTCTCATCGGAGCGTCTCTACTCGTCATGATCTTCTGGATGAAGCACCTCTACGCGGAATTCGGGTGCGTAAAGAGGCCATTGAAGTGTTTGTCCCTAATTATTGCGAAGCTGGGCCGTCTTCCATATCGTTGGCGCGAACCCGAAGATGAAGGGTCAGTCCCATCCTGCATCTACGCATACCATATCTAATCCCCTTCGCAGAGATGTACCGCTGGTACCAAATCATGATCTGCCTTCTGAAGTTCGACTTTTTCTTCTTCATCGGTGTCACGATGCAGGTATGGAAGGACCAGATATCCATCGGATCTCAACTCACCACTGTTCAGCTCCTCATCGTCGTCCTGAACAAAAGTTCAGCAGAGTTTGGGATCACCATCGCTGCCATTCCAGTCGTCCTCGTGCTCCTCGTATTCTGTGGCATCGCCGTACAACGAGAGATCAAGTGGTACGTTGGTAACGAACAGGACTCTCATCCCACATCGTATTGACGCGCTTGCAGGATCATGGCCATCTCACAAGTGCTGATGTTGGCCGCTATGAGTTATTGTGAGTTTATCCCACGTCGCATTGAGGGCATACACTGACCTGTGTTTACAGTCCGTGCGTCACATCGCGCAAGTTACCAGCGCTCTTTATTAACCTGATGGTCCAGTATATAAGCTCGTCCGTTTCTACCAGCCAGGCTCACGAGAGGAGTACGCCACCACGCGTGCAACTCTCACAACCTTCAGTACGCCCATCCTCCTCTGTCTCCTACACTCTCCTACTAAGCCCCCACCCAGCGATCGTCGCCTTCATCATCCTCTTCCTGACGTTCGCTGTCGGCCTGCGCTGCTTCTCCGACTTCGATCGCGGCCTCCAGCCGTCCAAAGTCAACGGTGGGTCCTCGTACACGCCCGTGGCGACCAAACTGGAGTACTTTGGCAGCGGTAATTAACATTCTTCTAGATATCCCCACCCGGCCCACTTACTCATCGAAAATGGACTCCGCAGGTAATATGTCGCAACGGCAGTCGTCGTATATGGGCGGCGCGCCTGTGGGGTCGAGGATATCCATCGAGTAAGGTGGTCGGTGCTTGGCTCGGGCGTGTGTGCTCGACTCGAGAGTCGGGCGCATCACTCGAACGAAGCGCAATCCAAGTGGGAACTTTGGTAGCAAGGGAGGAGGGAGGCGACGCGCCTATGGACTCAGGACCTTCGGAGCTACATCTTCATCTAATTCGGCCAATTATCTATCTACTTACCGTGGCTCGGAGTATGCTACTGCTTCTCTCTGGGTTTACTTTGCTTGCTTACGATCTGCGACGATTTTGTACAGTGCTAAGCTGCGCCTCCGTTTAGTTGTAGAGTACCTTGTAGTGATTATTTATTCGACGGTCCTGCGCGCTCGATGGACTGGAAGTGGTCTGGTTGGTGGTCGGCCTTGCGCCTAGCACAGGTTCAGGAGTTCTCAATCCGCCAGAGCGTTGGCTTCTCGGCGAATGCCGATGTTCAAGATGCAAGGCAAACATGAGCACACAATACGTCGCTTCTTGCTCCCAACTTGCACGGTCTCCTTCTGGCGCAAATTCAGTCTCGCATATAGTGAACGATAAGAAGTCCCTCATCAGGATAATCTCCTTTGTTTTGCAGGTGCATTTTCAGTATCGCCTTGCTCATTCCGTCCGTAACATCTATATAATTATCCAGTACGAATATGGTTCTTCCCACCTTCAAGTCTTCCTCCGTCTCCGTTTGTCTCTGCCACGACTGCGGCACCACCACCTCTCGCGACACTCTGTCTATACCTCTGGACGCCATCAGGTCGTACATACCCCTAACCGCCTCTCAAGCCCAAGATGTCCATCGCGCAAGTGAGGCGGACCTTGCGTCGATCTCCGCAATCGCCGAAGCTATCTCTCGGACCCGAGTTATCCTCGAAAATCTGCGCGCTAAGCAGGACGCCCTCGTCGAGAGCCTGGCGCGCAAGCGCGCGCTCCTGTCGCCAATCCGACGACTACCACTCGAGCTCCTGAGCACTATCATCTCTCTCGCCGTCACTCGCGCCTTCCGTCACAAGCGCGATAGCTCGCTCGCCCTTCGTCATCCGGTACTGCGCGTATGCCAGCGCTGGCGTGCTCTTGCGCGCGCTACACCGCAGCTCTGGGCCGATATCGTCCTCTTCCCGCGATATGATCACAGCTGGAGCTACACGCTTCGAGAATGCCTGCAATTATCGGACCCCCTCCCTGTCGATGTCAGAATCAATGAACATTGCGCTCCGTGGCACGGCAGTGATTTCTCTTTCGCACCCTTCCTCAATTACGATAAATCCGAATGGCAACACGCTGCAGACGCTGTGCTCAGAGCTGCGTCACGATGGCGATCCTTGGCTCTAGACGAATTCGAACTTCCGAATGAACAAAGCTCCTCCTCGCCGCCGCTCTCTGAGATCGGAGAAGTCGACCTCACACCTGTACTCGCCAGCAACCCAAGAGTGCTTCTCGGCCAATGTCTCGGTCTATCTCGCTTGTATCTCGCTAATGTCGACCCTGCCGCTCTTCCCCTGACCTGGGCTCAACTCAGGGAGATCTCGCTATGGATGGTGGCCCGGTGCTCATCTGGTGACCTGACTACTTGCATCGACACCCTACGTCTATGCCCGAATCTGCAAGTACTCGCCATCACAGCGCGTGGCTACAGGTACCAGCAGCAGGACGAAGTTCGTCTCTGCTTTGCCAATCTGCGCGTCCTCGAACTGCGGTATCATGCTTCGTGGCTCCTCGACCGCGTCATCTTGCAGGAACTCAGACTCGCCAATCCTCACTCGTTGACAGGCCAGGTCTACTTCCGCAGCTCACGCGACTGCGCCTGTGGTTTGAGCCAGACATGCACAGCGCATGCGTCGGGGCGCTTGCGCTTCTCGTAGATCATCGAGGGGTTAGACAACCGGAGACGGAGGATGCGACGAGGATCGTCGAGATTGAGGCGCATGAAGCTTGTCTCGATTTCCACTCTCGGCGCGGCGATCCCTTCCGCCACTCGGGTATCGGCATATACAAGGGAGGCACCGTCAAACTACTACAGCATCCTCATGAGGAGGCGGACAAGTTCCTGATGGACCTTGCGAGGAATCGCCTTGACTCAGCTGACTGGACGCTGTATTACGAGGACGAGGACGTTGCGAACTAGGAGGGGAGATTGATCTCGACGGCGGTAGCCAATCGCTGACATCAGAGACCCAGTACACCGTGAAGGATAGGGTCTGTCGCTACTTCGTACGCGCACCGATACGATAGCACGAAGGATGACGACACACCTATATTGCCAGATAGGCAGATGATGGGGACAGATGCTGCCCGACGTTGCTCCTAAGGTAAAAGGATATGTACGACAAGACACCCACAGCCCAATAGATATGTTGTACATACTCTTCACGACGGGTCTTGAACACAACATACGAGACGCAGAGCGACGAGGGATGGGCGCTCGCCTTGCTTTAGACTGCATACTTCGCGATTACTTGATGATATGCATGTCGACGTTGTGAACCAGATAAAGCAGATGTATGAACAGCATAAACAACAAGATTAGCAATACGATAGATAGCCTCTGAACCCCATCTATGGGCAAATAGATATGCCATGTATACGCTTCCATTCGAGGCAATCGTCAACGGTCATGTCATAAAAATCATCGCGCAACCACTTTCAACTACGCCTTCGCCTTCTTCCTCGACCGTGTTACCTTCGGCTCGGGGGGCGGTGGCTCCGGCTGCGCTTCTTCATCATTGTCGTACACAAACTTCTTCACGACCACGTTCTCTGGCACCAAGTCCTTCAGCGGAGAGGTCGCCGGCAGGTTGCCCAGAGTATCAAGCTGCAAGGCCTGCAAAAATGTGAGCATCTTTCTGATGGGGAGCAAAGACAAAAAACGTACCTTGGCAGCTGCAGACAGACAGCCCTTCTTCAACGAGCGTTCAGGCAATGTCGAGGCCTTAGGCGGATGAGGCAATATATCCTCCAGACATTTCGCTGTTTGCAGTGCTCGATCCCACTTCACCCTCCTCGCCGCCTCTTCCGCCTCCTCTTCCTGCGCTTTACCATCGAACCTCAAGCGCCCTATCTTCATCGGCGTCTCGTAGTCTTCCTCGTCACCAGGTCCTCTCCGATGCCGCTGTGGACGCTCCGGAGTGCTGTATCCGTCCTCGCTCCCCTCCGCACTCACGAAGCTCCCATCGCCCTCCTCCCCGTTCGCCGCTCGCCTCGCCCTCCTCTCCGCACGCTCCTTCCGCGCATGACTCCTCGCCTCCTGCTCTTTCTGCCCGTTCGACTTCATCTTCATCGCCGGGCTGTCCGGCCGGTCGCCCTCCCTGCGTATGATCTCGGTCTCGATGCGCGCGGCGAGATAGTCCTGATTCTTCTGTGTGTTCGCGTTCGTGAGCGCCCGCAGCGCAACAGCAGACATCCCGCCCAGCGCGTCTGTCGGGGCGTGCACCACACGCGCTCGACGAGGTGCAGGGGCAGGCGTTTGCGGCGGCTCTGTCCCTCCTCTCCGAGAGCGGGTAGTACGTCGGACAGCTAACGGCTGCGTAGGCTGCAAGTGAGACGCGATGCGTTTCTCGGGCGAGTCTATGGGTTCAGGAGCGGTCGGTCGCGGAGGTGAAGATGCTTGTTCCGGCTGTTGAGCAGTCGCAAGAGGTTCTGAGAAAGGCAAAGGCGTCGCGCCCTCTGCATGTTCCGAAGCCATGTCATGGTCGCTCGAGGGAGCAGCGTCAGCCAGAGGGGCAGGCGGGGTTGGAGGTGAAGAGCTCCCATCGTTCTGCTTGCGTCTCTTTGGTGGACTATCTGCCGCGACGTCATTTGTCTTCCGTTTGCGCGCATCCGCTGCAGAATCTGCTGTATCGCTCGTCTGGGGAGGTGACTTGGCTCCGCGAGCTGCACGAGCCGGTGGAGAAGTCTTCTTGGTCACGGTGACGGATCCAGCAGTCGCAGGCGAGACCTCGGGCTGCATGATTTGTCAGATACTTGGGATAGGTCTTGCTGCCATTCGAGACATACCTCATGCCTCTTTGGCGCTTCTCGCGTCAGATCCACCATTCTCATCTTCTTGCCTCCATTGATCGACATATGCACGCTCTTCGACGAGTTAGCCTGTGTGCTGCTGCCCGGGCGCGAGGAAGACGACGCAGGCTTAGCTGTAGTCGATGGTGGTTTGACAGCAGTAGGCGTCGGTTTAGTTACGGTGGGCTTCGTGGCCGATGGCGGCCTCGCGTACGGCTTGCCCATCCGCGGTATCCTCGTCGTCGACTTGGCCTTCAATGTCGAGCCAGCAACAGGTTGTCTCAACCTCGACTTTACGGCAGCCGTCGACGAGCCCGCAGCCCCCTCCGACGTGCTCGCCGCAGCTGTCGACTCCTTCAACTCCTCGGGCTCCTCCGCAATTGCCGTGAACGGGAATGGTAGCTGACGCTGCGCCAACTTCGTCTTCGCAACAGCAGACGGCGGCTCGACAGACGCGCTCCTCCCCTTTGGCTCGACGGGCGTCGCCCTCGCCTTCCCCTTCGATCGCGAGATGGCAGAAGACGGAGGCTCGGCGGACGCGCTGCGACTCCGCTCAAACGTTAGAGCGGGAAGCCGCGGCTCGACCGACGCATTGCGCTCGACACTGGGTGGACGGATAGCAGAGGGCGGTCGCGTAATCGACGAGGGCGGGCGTGAGGCCGATGCAGGCTGACGCAAAGCGGATGAAGGCTCTAGAACGCGACTAGATGGCCGGCTGACGCTTGACGGCGCCTGCAGGCGCAAGCCGCGCAAGGGGGTACTGGGTATCTTGCTCATCGCCGCCGGCACTCTTCTCGCAGGGCTCTCCTGCGTGCCTGCTCCTCTGGGTATCGTGAATTTGGCCGGGGCGGCGTTCGAAGAGCCACCTTTGGCAGGCGAAGGGAAGGCCGTTGCTTTCGCGGGAACGCGCCGTGCGGGTGATTCGCTCACGTCCCCGGGCTTAATGACCATCTTCATCTTGGTTGGCGAAGACTTCGCCGGGGATGGGAAGCGCATCGGTAACGATGGTGCGGGGGGTGGAGGCGTCGAAGGAGCAATGTTCTCTGAAGCTATAGCTTCCTCGTTCGACGCGGTTTCCGGTACTTCAGGAGCGATGGTAGGTTCCTCGGGGGTAGGAGTTGAAGATGCGGGAGGTTCTGTTGGTCCCTCCTCAGCGCCCTCTGCCTCAGCGTCCATTGCTGCTGGGGCAAAGTCAGACTTGTCGACCTCCATCTCGTTGTCTGCTTCGGCAAGCGCGGCAAAAGCCAGATTGCCAAGGACGTTGACAGCATTGGGCGAAAGAGACCCAACCTCCCTCGCATACGCGCTCGGATCGTGAATTCGTGGCCGCTCCGGCGACCGTGATCGCCGACTAGGGGATGGCTGTGGCGTCTCAAACGCTTGAAAGTCGCGTACGGGGAAGAGGGGCCTCGTAGGCGACGCCTGCCGCATCGGGGAAGGTTGCACGAAGAGGGGATCGTGGTCCGGCGAGTTACTGTCCTCCTTCGATTGGAACTGTGCGGGGCCACGGCTCTTGCGTCGGGATCGTGAGTCCTGGGTGTTCTTGCGTTTCTTCACGGACCCCTCTTCTTTGTGCGGGGACTTCGCTGGGGTGGTAGGGATAGTGAAAGGGACGACACTGCGTCGTGGACGGCTTGATCGGCGGGGAGACTTCAAGCTGAATGGAGATGCTGGGCCGCACAGTTAGAGCCGGCGCCGTACATATAAATTGGTCCGCTCACCATTGGATGGACCCGCTTCATTCCCCGGAGATGGTGACCTTAATGGCTCCTCCGACGCTGGTGGGGCCTCCAGAAGCTGGAGCGCCTCAGGCGTGTCTGAACGCGAGGGACTGCCACCAGCAGGAGGCTGCGGCGATGGAGAGGGCAAGTCCGATGGGGGTGCGGGGGCGAAAAGCTCCGCCGCTACAGCCTCTTCGTCCGCCTTGCTCTGCGTTGGGCTCACGGGGATCAACATGGAGTTGGGACTAAGGGGTGCCTCCGCGGGTGCGACGTTAACAGACGGTACCGTCAACGCCATTGACGGCGATCCGGTGAGGAAGTCCATCGTTTGAGGTCCTGCATCGATCGGCTGCCGCGGTGAGAGGGAAAAGGAGGCGGAGTTGAAGGACATCAGGTTCAGCGAATCGCGACTGTGGTCGTCCGGGGATGGGGAGGTGGGGAGGATGAACGGGATGGGTAGCAGGTTTGCGTTTGGGTTTGGCGACGGAGGCCGACTATCGTCTTCTCCAGGCAGATTAAGCGGCGACTGGGGTGGGGGCGAAGGGTTGTCGTGTGCGCTCATGATTCGGCTTGCTAGTTGGGACTGAGGTTCTGCGCACATCGTTAGCGGGACCTCGGTATAGCAACCATGTTCACACACCTTCCAGCTCCCCACTATCTGGCGTTGTGGCCCGCTCTGGTGTATCTGCCGGTTCTACCGGCGCGAGCGGTTCGCTAGGTTCCCCTTGCGGCTGCTCAGGCGTTGCAACATCGCTGCCCCCGCTGAGTCGCGCCGAGCGCCTGACAGTCCGCTGGTTCACTGGTGTCTGTACAGACCCTAGCACTTCCGATCTGATCTTCTTCTCCGGCGACTTGAGCTGTCCAAAGTGAATACGCGCATTAGCAGTGTTGAAATTGTCGTCGTCCTCGGACTCGAGGGGTGTGTCCGGCCGAAAAGGCAACTCGGCGACGGTGACTGCCGCCATGATCGTTCGTTGGGTATCCTGGCCGTCGCAGCCAGTGAAGCGGCAAGATACAAGAATGAACAGCTGCGCGCGACAAACACGCCGCTTGTGGCAGTCGCGAACAAGTGCTTATACGCACGTGACAGACGCGATCGACAATCAACCCCGGCAACTCCCGCACCCCATCAGTGGCAAGCGCGCGAAACCTCGACTGGCGTAGAAACAGATGTGTAAACTCAAAGAAGCCTAAATACTAAGGACAGGAATCTATCGTTTTACCCTTCATATTTCCAAATGTCATTTCAGCTTCACTATAGTTGCGCACTGGTGAATCAGCCTCCTAGTCTGAGTCCTCTGCCTATACTCCAAGGGAAGCATCCCTTCCTCCTTCAGGTACGTATCTTCCTCCCAGCCCGGGCGTCGCATATGCGCGGGGTACGTCGAAAATACTTCTCCCTCGACGATGGGGCTATTTCCAGGCGGTGGGTCGAATCTGAAGACCTCTATGTCCTTGAACTTCGATGTGTCCTTCGGCCGGCTCGCAAGGAGATCGCCAACAAGACCCATATCGGCCGCGGTGCGCACTTCCCAGAGCCAGAGGTCAAGATGTGCGAGGTTTGGTAGCAAAGTAGAGCGAGACGTGAGGGCTCGAAGAAGGTTCCCGATGTTTGGTCAGCGTCGTCTTGCTGGTAACCTTCTACGACGCGTAGTGTCGATACCCCGAGGTATCCCTTCAGAACCTCCGTCCACATTACCTGATCCGAGCCCCAATCCCGCATCCATAAAGTAGTGACGCTGGCGACGGTATCTTCATTCTTGTCCGCGAACTCCATCAGGTGCTTCTTGACCTCGCTGTCAGTCGTGTCGGTCATGATCCTAAGCTGTTGTAACTGCGGAGCTACCAAGCTAAGCAGCAAGCAGGAAGAAAAACCAATGAGCTCGATGGTATGCAAAGCGGGAAGACTTATATCGAAGTTGGAGTCATGTTCATCAGGGTAATCGTCCATTTCAAGCCGAAGTTCCTGGAGGTTGCTGCATCGACTATAGACCTGGAAGTGAGGATGGAGTTCCCCTGCATCTTCCACGTATAGCTGCAAGCGTACGAGTCGGTCCCAGGATAGGTCAAGTTGAGTGGAGTCCGTATTCCACAAGGAAACGTGGGATAGAGATGGTGTGTTGCGAAAAAAAGCGAGCCGACCGTCATCCGTATCGAAGTCCCCATCGTCCGTGTCAAAGTCTTCCAGGTGTAGATGTTGGAGGAGCGGCAATGAAGGTGTTTGCTGCAGGATAGAAGTGGGAGGATTAATTGCCTTTAGCGCCAGCGACTTCCAACGGGAGGCATGTGCTAGCAACGAATTCCAGAGGTCCTCTGGGGCACTGTCAGTGTAATCTGGCACACCGGTGAGTTTACGCCACTTTGGACGGCTACTGTCGATATGGATGTCCAGAGGGTGTGCCTTGGACAGGACTAGGCATGTCCGTAGAGTATGCAAACACAGCTTATCGAATGCCGGATAGAGCACAATCTTGGCCCACAGGCGGGGTGCCGCAAATGCAAGCGTTCGCCACCGTTGACAGACGAGTGTCACTGGGTGTATGACCATGAGAGAGCTATCGGGCTCGTGCGCAAACGAGAGCTCCATCGCAAGCTCTATTATCAACATAAGCACCTCTGTCGGTAGCCGTCGGACGGGCGCTATCAGCGCGAGCTTGCGCTCCTGCTCGATCGAGAGACGGTCGCGCTGAGCGCGGAGTTCGTCCAGCTTGCGCTGCAAGGTGAACATGGCTTCGTCGACGCTAGATAGGGATTCCTGATCAGCCATAGCGGCCCTGCGAAGGTCGACGCTATCTGTGGCGGAAGGCAGGGCGGACGACCGGATTACTTCAAGTGGGACTGCCAGTGTGGTCGTGTTGACCTGAGAGCATGTAATCGTGCTGAGGGTGAGAGGCTCGAGCTGCTCAGAAAGCATGGTGTGTCTGATGTGAAGCGCAACTTTGCGGCACGAAGAGTACTGTCTCCCTGGATGGTGACTGTAGCAGACAAGGTTGAAAACAGGCTGACTCTGTGATGTGACGAATCTTCGGCTTTCAAGTCACGTTATGATCCGTTGATCCCGACGAAAACTTTCCCATTTCGGACCACAATGGGCCCACGTGGCATTATGGCCTCCATATATCGGATTGTAGTACTGAGTGAACTACGTCTAAGTGATGGTATCGAAAGATCCATGAGATAGCAAATGTACCAACAATTTTACGTCCGGCTTGAGAAATCCATGCATCATGGGCATAGCAGGCTTTCGAAGAGCGAACTGACCCACACCATATAAGTAAGGAAGGATCCTGCCTTACGCCTACTACGTGGAGGATCACCTTACGCACAAATCCGTATATCATCGACAATCAAGAAGCACGGTTCTAACATATTCCGAGCCTCCGAGTGAAATGGAGCTCCTGAACGTGGTCCATATGTCGGTCCTACCATTCATTCGAGCCAGCTCAGAGCTGGGGATGAAAATGGCAGACCTACCTCTTCTCGTAGCTTTCATTGTGGAAGTACTTCTGGGTTTCACAAGTATTCGAGGCCCAGTATTCGTATTTCACGACTGCCACCGAGTCCCCTTCCAGTATTCTCACCTCTCATGAAAGCCACCGTTGCTCATCGACATCGATATTACTCTTCACTGTCGCTTCCCTCGTCCGCGAGTAAAGAAAGCCTCGAAGCGTACAGCATCGATGCCCAGCAGCCAACGGGACTGTTTGCAAAGGTCTATGCGGCATACAAATGCCACCATAAGCGTCAGTGACATGTTATTCGTGTGTACTTAGGTCGTCAACAATTAGTATACGCGTTCGTCGATGCATACATGGACTTCTGCCCGAAAGGTAAGCTTCCCGTCAAAGACGCAGTCGCACGCCCTACTCACCTCAAGAAAGGACATTTACGCCTTCGCCGGTGCTTCCTCAAACTTGTTCGGACTCCCATTCGTCCACTCGCCCTTGCCATTGCTATTACCCTCAGCCGCGGGCTTCTTCAAGGTCGTCTTCAACTGCAGAACCTCGTTAGCACCGTCGAACCATCAGCCCAAACCCATGTTCACGAACCTGGGAGTTCTCCCGCTCAAGACTCTTCAGCACCTCCGCTTGGGCGTTCATTTTCGCCCGCATATCCTCAAGCATCGCCTGCAGCGCCGGGTCCTGCCCGGCTGGCGTCGACGGACTGTTTACCCCGCGACCGTCCTCATCTACCCGTCGACGCTTCGCGTCCGGCGTGGCCAGCGCATGCCCGCGCGCGTCAAATCCGTCTTCGCCTTCGCGGAAACGCTTCCGGTTGTCGTAGTGGGCATCGGAGGCGCGTCGACCGCTGGGCGGGGGGCCACTGGGAGCAGCAGCACGCAGGCGACGTAGATGTCCGTCCATCTCCTGCTCGAGAGCACGAATGGCACGGTCGGCTTCTGCGCGCACCCGTGAAACTTCTTCGACCGCTGCACGAGCCAGCACGTCCGTCTCCCTAGCTACACGCGCCTTGACGATGTCATTAACAGAAGCCTCGACGACCGACCATATATCTTGCCACACGCGCTTGACGTCGATAACACCCTGGTCGATCTTGCCTTTCGCATCCACGTTGGAAAGGAGCACGTCGGCGATAACGGGGTCGATGGACGAGGACGCGGCCGGCGAAATCTTGGCGAGCGTGCTGGAGATGCTGGTGTAGGTGTCCAGCTTGGCCTGTGTGCTGCTAAGTGTGGCGAGGGAGGCAGAAGTATCGTGGGATATTCTGCAGGCACGTTAGATGGTGTAGGTACGTGGATCGGCTTGCTTACTCCGCGATGCGCCGGAATAGCTGCCCCAGCTTATCCAGCTGAGCTGCTTGAGTAACGGGAGGGAAGCGGCGCGTCTCCGGATTGGCAGCAGGGGCAGGAGCAGTTGTGGACGGAAGAGGCGCCGGCGGTGGAGGGCGCCTTTCTGGCGACATTCGGGGCGCCAATGAGGATCTGGGAGGCATCCTGGGGTCTTCTGGAGGTGGCATCTCCTGGTGGCGAGGAACAAAGTCGCGATTGAGGGGAGGCGGAGGTGGAGGGGTGCGTCCACGACGTTCCACGATTCGCTCCCTGGAATAAGCGCGCGGCTAAACATATGTCAATGGATACACTTTAGCACAAAGGCTCTGCAGACGCACCGGTGGAGGCGGACCCTTGGGGGATTCGCGCAGCAGACGCCCTCGTTCCGCGTCGCTCTCCATCTTCACATTGGCTAGGTCGCGCCTGTCCATTCCACGCTCGTAAGATCGGCCGCGGTGACGCCTATCCCGTTCCCTCTCGCGTTCGCGTTCCCTCTCTCGATCGTACTCGCGGTCGCGGTCCACACCTCTTCCTATATCCACACTGCGTCCACGGCGGGCGGGTGCATCATCTGGGCGACCTGAGTAACGGGTGAATGCGCTGTTCTGCGGCGGCAGTGGAGTGGCGAAGCGATTTGCGCGCGGCGAGCTTGCGCCCTCGTGCCCGCTGGGGGATGCCTGGTGCTGTGGCGTACCAGATGGAGGACGAGCACCGTTCTCGTTGGCCCGTTTGCTTGAAGCAGGCTCAACGCCTGGCCAGTTGGAGTCGGTGGGATGCACAAATCTGGGTCGGTAGCGCGTCGACATGAGAGTCACAGTTAGGCGCGTAATCAAAGCGCACCTGCAGTTACCCGCATTGATGCAGGGCCCACGCAGCGGACGCCCTGTTTGGCGATCGTAATGCTGTAGGGCACGTTGCTTGTTAGGCTTCGGGCATCGTGCTGAACCCATGAGACTGGCGTACACGACATTGGTATTTTTTGTATGGGAATGTGCTGGCTGGTCCTCCGCCGCGATACATTTTGGAGGTGACACGAAGGCTGCACGCGTCGGCGTCGGATGAGAATGGTCGAGGGAGCGAAAACGCGACTGTGCTGCTTGTGGAAGCTTGTGACGTGAGCGTGGATCAGAAGGGGTCGGTTGCAAGAACGCAATTTGTGGCAAGCAAAGAGATGGAATGGGCCAAGCAATGGTTTGGGACAAGCACAAAGGGACGCCGCATCGGCAACCCTCACGAGGGCGCCAAACAACTGCGTAAAACAAAGGTTCCCAAATTAGGCAGGTTTTGCGATTCTCAACATTCCCTCTCGTCCAAGCCATCCTTAAGCTTGCTCATGCCATTTACTTCTGCTCTGTCTTCACAATACTTCTTGTTCTTTCACTACAGAGTACACGAGAAGTACGAAAGGCAAACAATAGTTTAGGTGTCATACTAAACCCATCTAGGGCCTCGTCAGTATCGAGCGGTTCTGGTATCATACAGCGATGGGCACGAAGATGAGTATGTACATGGTCAGTAAGAACCAAGACACCGTGCAACGGTTAATGAGAAGGAGGCTGGGACTATTAACTAGAGGTTATAATGATAGATATCTATACAAGGCGCGCACGAGCGGAAGGGACCCGCCCTCACCCGTCCGCCCCCGACCCTAGATAACCCACAGCCAAGAGGAAGAGGAGGAGCGCGGGGATCTCGAATCCTTGCGGGAATCACGAGCGGTACCAGGATCGCAGATCCAGCGCGCACGCACGAGGAAGGACAGAATGGGGGATAGAGACAGAGAGACGGAGACATAGATGAGAGACGGGTATCCATTTCGATGCGACGCTTTAGATGCCACCATAGGCGTCGGCCTCGTCGTACACAGTCGGTGGGCGCTCCTGCTTGGGCTGGTTCGCGCTGGTGCGGGGCGAAGGCGAGGAGGTGACAGGCGCGGGGGCGGCTGCAGCAGGAGCAGCCTGAGCCTGGGCGACAGCGTCCTTTGGCACCACGGGCGGCGGCGAGGCGGGCTCCGCGACAGTCGAGTTCGCAAGCGGGCTCGGGCGCGGCTCGTTAGCGACCGGGCTCATGAACGACGACATGCTGTTGTGGATCGAGCTTGGGTAGTCCTGGCCTGGGACAGCGGAGTCATGGCTGTTGAACTGCATGTCCGGGAGCATAGGTGGCATCGAGTCGATCTTGTACCGCGAGCCAATGGGCGGGTGCACCTCAGAAGGCGGCTGCGGGAATTGTCCGAGAGAGCCAGTTGACATGCTCGACATGCGGGCGTCCTTGGTGTCCAGCGAGGTGTCGGCAAACGGCGACACGGCGAGGTCGGCGAGCTTGGTAGACGGAGGGCGGACAGCTTCGGCAGCCGCAGCAGATGCAGGCTGGGCGACAGGTTCAGCGGGAGCCGCAGGCTGGGCGACAGGCATGGGCTGAGGCAGAGGAGGGAGGCTTTCATGACCGGCAACAGGCGGAGACCCAACGCGCTCGCTAGCAGGCGCAACCTGAGTAATCTGCGAGGTGCTGCGAGCGAGGCCAATGGCGCTGGCCGAGGTGACCGTGGATTGGCGCTCAATCTCCGTGCTGTTGTGGTTCAGGACCTGGCCGTTCGAGGGCTGACGGGTAAGAGCCTGCTGCATTACAGGCTTGCCGCGCTCGTTGTAGACCACGTTGTAGTTGCCGTTAGCCGGGGGAGGGGACATGGCCGGGGAGTAGGCAACCGCGTTCTGGTCCATGAACGGGTTCGCCGAAGAGAGCGCCGCGTTGTAAGCCGGGTATGCCTGGTAGTTGTTGTACTGCTGGTACTGCGCGTACTGATCCTCCTGTCCATAGCCACCAGCAGCGCCGTACTGCTCGTTACCGTAGCCTTGTTGAGCACCGTAATCCCCGCTAGGGTAGCCGCCATGCATGCTCGGGTTGTACGAAACCGGAGCAGCGTTGTTGTACGGCGAGTACGCCGCAGCCGGAGGGGACATCTTGCGCTCGATCATGGTAGGTGGACGCGGGTTGAACATACCGCCGTTGGTGTTGTCCGGAGGGAGCATCATGGCCGACTTGCGGAAGTTGCCTGGGTTAAAGCCATCGTTGAACTGCTTGTTCCACTCAGCCTCGTCGGCCTGACGCCTGCGGCGACGCTGGAAATAAATTGTGAAACGCGATTTCCGACGCGACCGGCGGAGACACGTACGATAAACCAGGACGCGACGAAGAAGAGCGCAACGACGCCTACTATGCCGCCAATCACACCGCCAGCGATGCCACCGGCGTTCGACGACGTAGCACCAGAAGCGTCCTTGCTAGTGGTGGAAGCCGCAGCAGCATCCGCCCCTGCACTGCTGGCGATCGCGCTCGACTGCGTCACGAACGCAGTGCTCCTGCTGGACGTGGTGGGGTCCGCGAGGGTAGTCGTGACATGGCTCGTGATCGGCTGCTTGGAGGTCGAAGACGTCTAGGAGGGATATCGTCAGGCGTATGTACGCGGGTCTGGGATACCGAAGTCTTACCGAGGTCGAAGACGACGTGGTCTGGGACGTTGTACTGCTCGAGGTCGTAGACGAGCTGGTCGTGGTCGCGCTAGTCGTCACCGGCACACGCGAGGTCGTCTGCGCGGCAGTCGTCGTCGCGGCAGTGGTGGTGGTCGGGCGCGTCGTTTCTGCAGCGGTCGTAAGAGGGCGCGTGGTCTGGGCTGCAGTGGTCTGCTGCGTCGCCGCGGTCGTGGTCACCGCGGCGCGAGTAGTCGCAGCAGCCGTCGTCTCGGACGTCGTTCCCGCAGGGTCTGCGGCCACATCAGCGTTAGGTCCAGCCGGTCTAGCCGTTACGCACTGTGTCCACCGAAGATCGACTCGAAGATATCGCCATCATCATCGTCATCGTCGTCGTCGTCGCTGCTGCCAAAGATCCCCCGCTGGCGCTTCACGAGCCCCTCAGGGGACGAGAGCTGAGCGACGCCGCGGCCGACCTTTGCGATGCGGTTGTGGAGATTCGCCGCGCGACGGTGTGGGACGGTAGAGTCCATGTCGACGGCGGTAGTTGGTGTTGTTTGCGAGAAAGAGAGTACAAGAAATGAGCGGAAGTAGTGTACACCACCCTCCAGAGGCAAGCAACTCAAGGGCCGAGAGAAACTGAAGAGGTGATAGTTGGTTGGAGAGAAAAGCGTGAGCGTATCGAGGCACACATCTGTGTTTCGATGCAACGGCCGTACGCCCCGGCCCGTCCGGCCAGCCCCGATAGGCAACGAATCACGCGGTGTCACGGTTGGACTTTCCATAGGTTGTTACATTGCTAGTCCTACACTACGTTGAGGGTCTACTTCTGAAGACCAGGGCGGTAGTTGATCGTCGCGCTGGCCTGGTTGACCGGCAGGACGAAGACCTCTGCGATGTTGACGTGCGGCGGACGAGCTGCTGCCCAAACAATCTCCTCGGCAATATCAATGCCTGTAACTGAAGGAGGGTCAGCCTGGCCGAGGCACACAGCAAAGTTGGAGAGGGTACGTACGCGGCTGGAGACCCTCATACACCTTGTCTGCTGCGCTCTTGTCCCCTCGGTAGCGGATGATGGAGAACTCCGTCTCAACCATGCCTGGGGCAAAGTCAGCTCGACAAGAAGATCGGCGACCGGACATTCGCTTACCAGGCTGAATTTCGGTCGTACGAATCGGAGTGCTGACGAGTTCCCTCATCATGGAGGCCTAGCACGAGACACGTCAGATGCTGAATGAATCGGCAGATGTACGCATCGCTACCCACCGTGAAAGCGTGCACAGCGTGCTTCGTGGCGGTATAGATAGAACCGCCAGCGTATGGCTCACGGCCGGCGACAGATCCAAGGTTGATAATATGACCCGAGTTCTTCTGCTTAAAGTCTGGTAATCCCGTTAGTTCATTCCTGCAGGGGCAGAAATAAGGATACGCACGGTTCACAAGGAGCTGGGTCATCGCGATGAGGCCGAAGACGTTTGTGGAGAACATGCTCTCAATGTCCGACTCTGCGATCTCGCCGACCTTCTCGACACCGAGGACGAAGCCAGCGTTGTTGACTGACATGCGCGATGAGAGCCAAGTCGAACGAAGGGAGCTGCAACTCACCAAGGATGTCAACGTCACGGAGCTCGGAGGGGACCTTGTCCCAGAACTGCGCAATCTGGCTGCGGTCCGAGACATCGAGCTTGACGCTGGCGAACTTGCCGCCAGCAGACACGCCCGCCTCCTGGTGCGCGGCGACACACTCGTCCTGGATCTTCTTGAGCGCATCCTCACGACGCGCCACCAGGATCACGTTAGAGCCAGCCTAATCAATGTGAGCTACGCGCATCCCAACGTCCTTCTCATTTACACACCTTGGCGAAGAGGATGGCCGTCGCCTATGTACCAAGATCGTCAGCCATCGGATGTATACTCGTGATGATCCCCACATACCGCGCCGATCCCCGCGCTAGCACCCGTAACGATGACGGTCTTGCCGTGTAGGCGGGACGTGTTGAACACCGACATCTCTTGCTTGGTCGTCGTAGTAGTAGAGAACAAGCGCGAAGTGGGAAAGGAGAAGCGAATTCCTGACCCCAAGCGGAAGCGGGTAGTCGGATTCCGCCAGCTGACCGCGGCCGACCTCCCCTTATCTCGCGCCGATCGCAGGACGTGGCGTTTGGTGAGGTGATTATTGGTGCTGAATCTGCGCTCGCCAGCACACAAACCGACGCTGCTTCCTTCACCCGCGGGAACAAGCAGGCGCTGCTGTCGCGATAGGGCAGAAAGCCCCAGACTCATCGCGGCGAGGAGGGGGGACAGCGAACGAGATGGCGGGGCGAGACATGGAACAGCGACGGTGGGAGCGCCTGATCACCTGGCTCCGCAACCGCGGCATGCAAGCCGACGGCCTCAAGGTTGAGCGGAGGCCTCGGAGTGGTGAGTATGGCACCATAGTCGATGATCAGGAAGCTGAACGCGCTGTAGACGGCGGCTACGGCCTGTTCACGCGCGACGCGTGCGCACCCAAAGAGGTCCTGTTCACCATTCCGTCTACTGCGTTGCTCAACATCAAGACCTTGCGTCCTCTATATCCTTCGTGGGCGCAGAAGCTGTCTGCGACGCAGCTCATCTCGCTTCATTTGTGCCGGCACCGTCCGGTGGCTGACGGTGAATCGTCCGACCCTGCTTTTGGGCCCTACATTTCTACCCTTCCGCGGGACTTCAGCTTTCATCCTCTCACTTGGCTTGTGGAAGAGGAGGGTCTTCAGTACAGAGTACTCCTGGACCATCTGCCTACGGCTGTCTCCAGGGATTTGAAGGACCTCGAAATGCGGTTTTCTTCAGACTGGGTGCGTCCATGCCATCTTTGACCTGCATGCCCACTAAACATATCAGGTTGTCTGTCAAGAACACCTGCACGACGTGAGTCGCACCGAATCGGATTACCTCTGGGCCTGGCTGAACGGTACTTGAACCGCTCTTTCGTTTCATGGCTCCTACCCGAACTTTCCCTCACCAGTGAACACTCGCTGCATGTACTACCGCGTCAAATTGTCTGCGTCCGACCCGGATAACATGGCACTCTGCCCCGTCATGGACTTCGCCAATCACCGACCAGAGGGACCGCATATGCAGCCCCGACCAACGAAAGAATTTCCTGCTCGCGCCAACATGTCTTTTGCGGCACCTGAGGCGTACACGGATGCTGGAGAGGAGCTCTATTTCTCGTACGGCCCCCATTGCAACCGAAAGCTCTTCGTAGAATATGGCTTCGCGCTCCGTGGTGCAAACGGCGAGGTTGATGTCGACGACCTGGTCGAGCGAACGATGCGGGGGCGTGCAGATGGAAAGCTATTACAAGAACTGCTAGAAAATGAAGGGTACTGGGGGTACGCGTTGTTTCCTGCAGAGATCCGGCATATCCTCAACCATTGCATCAGTGATTGGACTATACACTCAAGCCCCGAACCCAACATCTCATTTCGTCTCCTCGCGGCTATGCGCCTGTTGAGCCTGCCTACGTCGCAACCTCCTGCAAGTCCGGACGAGCTATCAAGCACAGCGCGACAACCTCTAGGCTTTGAGCAATGGCAGCAGACCCTATATGGCTCCCGCGATTGCTTGCCGGCAGATATCGAGGAGCAATGCAGAATCAGTGTAATGCAGCTGGCCGAAAAGATCAAGGCTAGAGCATCAGACGCACTCGCTGCGTTGGATCAAGTCGATTGGGATGGCCCTGTGTATGTTCTAAATACCGTTAAGGTGCTCTGGGAGGAGGAAAGGGACGTCGCAGATGCGGTCTTGAGTTGTAATCTTCCGCTTTGGTGATAGGGAATTGGCCATATCCGGAAAAGTACTATACTCTCGGTCTCAATTCGCTCCCCGAAAAGACGCCGTGTAATCTCAAATTTACATCGCATAGGTACAGCACAACATAACTGCAGAACAGGACCGAATAATTTATGTAGTGTACAAATCCGTCCCGTGTCGTGAGCATCATATGGGCATATGTTTGGATGGAATAGACCTAGAAATTCCAACATTCCCTCTTAGAGACCGCGCATGGAACGAACTCTGCAGCTCTCGGGTTGAGAGACAACAGGCACGTCCGTTGCTGCGGGCTGTCCACACATGTGGAGGCAGGACTCGGGGCCCGCGACGACACCAACGTATCTTCCTCCTCCCAGGAATCAACATCGTCTCCTCGCCATTGGTTCCACACGGCGCTGTCTCGTGTCTTGCGCTTCGAGTTCTGTAGCTCCAGTGGAGGCTGCGCGTACGCGCTCCACGAGGCCAACGGGGATGGTGTAGGAGAGTAGGGGCTGGCGGAGGGGGCGGATGGAGTGCGGACGAGTGGTCGGACAAACGATTTCGGGGCGTGCCATACTTCCGTCTGCCATGGTTCGCTGTGCGAGCGCGCTAGGGAGTGAGGTATGTACTCTGGCGCAGTAGCTCTCAGAGTGGTAGCGCGCGGGCGGGCAGCACCATACGGAGCTTTTGTCGGCCGTCTGCCGTCAGCCCTCGAGGTGCCCTGGCGGATGGTTCCCGTCGATGGCTTGGCGGGGTCCACATCCATAGTATCCACCCGCGACAGTTTCCCCGTGAGGATCTTGATGTTGTCCACGGTCGGGCAGAATGGCAGTTCCTCCAGTGCAGCGCGGATCTTCGAGGGAATGGACGCGTCCCAGGTCTTCGCTTCCGGCGTCGCCTCAAGCTCGGCGCGCAGCGCGGCCATAGCCTCCTGTGCGCTGGGTCGCTCCGCAGGCTCATGAGCCCAGCAGCGGGTTACAAGTGCCCAGACAGCGTCGGAAAGCACAGGAGAGAGCGGCCGTGCGGCACGCTCCTTGGCGATGACAACTTTGAACAAGATCGCACAGCCGCCGTTTGGGACATCCGCGAACGGTGCATGGCCAGCGAATAGCTAGCAAGTGGCGAGTCAGGAAGTTGAATGACGACAATAGAATGATTACTCACCTCGTACACGACGCACGCGAATGCATAAATGTCGCTCTTGTCACTCAGCTGTCCTGACTGGAGAACCTCTGGTGCTGCCCAGTTGGCGGAGCCGCAGAAGTACGACGAGGATGCATCATCGGTCTGCTGGTAGATAGAGGCGATGTCGGTGACCGACGAAAGGCCAAAGTCGCCGATGCAGGCCTTGCCTGACGCAGACACAAGAATGTTGGCCTGGAAAATCAACGCAAAAAAATCAGCCATGGTCACAACAAGATAATTCATCTAACTCACGCCTTTCAGATCGCCATGAACCACGTTCTCGCCGTGGAGGTAGGCAAGGCCGCTTGCGACGTCGTAGGCCTACACGGAGTCGGGGTTAATCTTGGTAGCGCGAAGAAGAGGACTGCGTACCAACGCCACTCTGTTGATCGACGGAGGGCTCTTTCTGAGGTATTCCATAACGTGCCCATGCTCCATCCACGGAGAGACGAGGCACAGCATACTCCGTGCGTCATCCATGTAGTAAACGCCATAGAAGGGAAGGACGTTCGGATGGTTCAGTTGCCGCCAAATCAGAGCCTCCTTGCTGAATTCCTATGAGAATCCCGATGAGATTCAGAAGAACAGAGAAAGAAGTTTGTAAAGATCACCTTCGACGCGGCATCGGCACTCTTGCGATTCGTCCTGATGACCTTGACGCACACTTCTTCGCCGTTCAAGATACCTGTCGAAGATGGCTCGAGGTAAGCAAAGGGTACAAGATGATGATAGTTTGGTACTGACCTTTCCAAACGTCTGCAAAGCCACCACCATTCACCGCCGCGCCTCCACATAGCTGAAGATGGTTCTTGAGTACCAAGCGCTCCGGTTGGATATCGTATGCTTTGGTCAAGTGAATGGCCGTGTGAACGAGTCGATTTTTGATGCGCTGAGAGAGCGAGGCTGGGGCGTGCTCGAGTAACTTGAGCTCTTCGTAAGTATAGCGTAGGCGAAGGTAATGGGTGTCATTCACATCTTGCAGGCAGTTCAGCGCGGCCTGCGGCGCCCTTCCTTCGAGGCCGATCTCTCGGAATGCCTGAGCGACTTGCATCGCTGTGGTCGCCACATCATGCGAGAATACGGTCTCCAGCTGATGTGTGAGTCCATGCCATATCTAAGGGGGAAATGACGCATTGTGTCAGAAAACATCTTTATTGACCTCTCTAAAGTACTCATACTGACAGGATTTTCGGTGAGGGTGCGTAGAACGGCTTGTATGATGATGCGGAAGTTCAAGGCTACTTGAAGTACGTCCCAGGTCGCCCAGTCGATGAGCATGGCATCAATATCGTCTCCGGTGTGTTGTAGTACAAGGAGAGCGACGCAGCGCTGAGAGGTGGAAGATATCCCGTCAGACATTGGTATACTGTATCGTAGTGCGTAGTGGGCGAAAGAAGATAGGACATACCAGGGGGACCGCCATTTTCACGAATGGATCAAGCTTCACGCTGAGCGCTAGCGAGGGATCTCTTGGAACGGACACGAGCAAAGACCGTACACATTCCATCACTCGCGTCCTTTCCTCCATCACGGAGGCTGTCAGCGTCTCGCACGGATCGCATGGTTCGCAGGCAACGAGTGCTGCCAGGACATTGCTGGGATCGAGACTCGCGCCTCGCTGAGGCGCAAGGGGCTGCTGGAAAGAGGGAGGGAAGTGCGCGCTCTGCAGCTGCGCGTGGTGGGATGGGTGAAAGCTCCGGGCGACGCCGACGCTCCCCGGGAAGCCGAATGAGCTAGCACTGAATCTGCATAGCAAGAATCACCGATGAGCATAGATATTACAGAGGGGGAAGGCAACGCACCGAGAAAAGCATTGGATGAAGCCTCTTGCCTGGCTGTTGTCGGTCTTGATGTCAGAGATAAGGCTCATTCCAGCTCACTGAGCTGCAATGGGCTCCGGGAAGTGCGCGGGGTGCCCGGCTACCACTCAAGGTGTCGGTGTCGCAGAGTGTGGAGGAGCGCCCGAAATTCTGAGCGAAAAGAAGGAAGAGGGAAGGAGAGGAAGGACGCACCGGACGATTGGTTAATCCCAATATTTGGGCGCTCGGACATTGCCGCTGCAACGGACGTATGGCGGGCGCGCTCGTCCACGTCACTGCTCTTTACCTGTGGCTTGTTACGATATCGAGCACCTCCTGAGTCCTGTGCTGATACTTGGAGGGCTATACAGGGCCGTGATGCACTGAGAGTGATACTGGTATCAAACAAACAAGACCCAGGTACCATTATAGGTAACGCAAATATACAATAGTGCCAAAACATGAGGAGGTATCGACAGTCCGTGAGCTGAAAAGCCAGGCGAGTATAGCTGAGAGCTGTGCGTAAAGCTGGAAAGCAAGGCGTGGTAGACATGGGTACGCGAAGCCAGAGGGAGATGTCCGATACGAGCTCCGAAGGGCGCGGAATACAGGAAACCGTTCGTCAAACCCATCCAGAGGACCAGCGAGGTGGACATGCGTTCGACACGAACACCGCCGCCTTACATGAAAGCCTCCACCTTACATGAAGACCGCGACCCCGCTGAGGGCCGCAATCACGACGGCACCGACGGCGCCCATCGCGCCCAGGTCGACAACGAAGCGCGAGCCAGCATTGCTGCCGCTCGTGGTCGCGGAGTCGGCACCAGCCGTCCCAGTCGTGGAGCCACCTGTAGTTTTCGAGGTAGAGGAAGAGTGGGATGAAGTACCGTCAGCCGCGTGCGAACTCGTGTGTGAGCCGGAGGCGGTGGACGAACCGGAGCCGGAGGTGCTGGAGCCAGAGTTGTCCGAGCCAGCCTTGGTGGTGCCAGCCTCGATATCGATGCCGTTGCTGATGGTGGAGACGGTCTGGCAGTTGGAAGAGGAGGGCGTGAAGGCGACGCTGTCCGGAGTCACGGTCGTGCCGACCGTGTAGGAAACCGGGGTGCCGTCAGCTGCGAGAGATTATTAGCGTTTGCTACGTTAATAGCCCAAGTCTGCGGCAAGACGCACAGGTATAGACGCCCTCGTAGTACTGCGCGAAGGTCGAGAAGAGGGTAGTGCCGTCAGAGGTCGCGGTGGGGTACCAACCGGGCGGGTAGGCCACATCAGCCTCGCACGTCTCGAAAGTGCCGTTGATGTCGTAGTTTCCGGGCATCACAAATTCGCAGCCCATCTCGTCGAGCTCGTGCCAGCACATGTACTCCGTAGAGTACGTGCTGTTCGCGTTCGTGCAGATACGGAAGCAGAACTGAATGTGGGGATGGGTGTCAGATAATGATCTCGGGCAGGGCAGAGAAGGGGGGGGGGCACGTACCTGCTCGTACGAGACGTACATCATCCACTCCTGATAGTTCAGGTCGGAGCCAGTGGTGATGTTGGTGGTAACGTTGCCGCCAACGGGGTTGCCCTCGCCGGTCGCGCCGTGCGGGTCGAGCTCACCACCGTAGTCGCCAGGCGCGATATTGATCTTCGTGAGGTCACCGTAGCCCATGATTTGCACGTACATGTCTAGTGCGCGCCTGTCAGCTTGCACGCCCTATCCGCGAGATAGGGATACGCACCCGTCTTCAAGAGCGACACGCCCGTAATCGTGCCGTCAGGGATAACGCGCGCATTGTTCCTCGCCTGCGTGCACCAAGCGACCTCGTACGCCTCCGTGTCACCAATCACCGAGTTGGGGTCGGGCGGGCCAAAGAGGCAGAAATCGTCGACCGAGTTGATCGACACAAGGCGGGCGCCCGACGTCTGGTTGAGCTCCGTCCCGAGGGTCGCCGAGGGCGGGTTCATCGGGCCCATCGTACCCGAAGCAAGGACACCTTCGGGGTAGGTTGCGCTGCTCTGCGCCTGGGCGCCGGCTGCCGCCGCGAGGAGGATCAGAGGAAGCATTGCGAAGGAGGGACTGGGAGAAGGGGGATGACTCGAAAAAAAGGAAGTAGAGAATAAGGTGGGCCAACCGCGGCTGACTGCGTCCTTTATGAGGGGGCGGCGGGACGGGTGCGCAGTGCGGACTGTCAAATGGGCGAGGTCCTCCTGTATTTATAGGGATCGCCTATAGGTCGAACAAAAATAGACCGCTTAGGGCCCGGCGCGCATCATGGGTCCAGGAAGCAGAATTGGCGGGTGAAACCCATCTCGCCTCCTCCGATATCTTAATCCGGTGCTCGATCCCAGAAGAACGGCGAGAGAGCGCCGCGAGCTTGATAGGGGTGGACGCAGGGTGGGGGAGGGCTTGCAGAGTACGTTGAAGAGGGATAGACGAAGCGCAGGGGTGTAAAATTGGCAAGGTTGCCTGCCGTGACTGCGGTCATAGTCCGCAGGCAGTTGACAGAAGACTCGAGAGTCCGACAGACGGAAGCACAGCCAACGGGTTCCTGGACAGCTCTGGCTTTGGATCGTCGAGAGGGGGACGGCGTGTACTTGAAGATTTCCAGGTGAGCGAGGTTATTTTCAGGCGCTAGAACTGCAAGAGGTTGCGGAGAATACTTATCCACTCCGTCTGCCCGAGAAGAGCTCACACGGCGCCATGCGTCCGCTGGCTAGTAAAACGACGGCTAAACTGGAATGACAAGCAGAGGTACAGCACACTGAGAGGGATGGTCACGGTCGTAAGCAAGAAAGAAACGTCCATTGTTTGCACCTGCGTCCTTGACGACGACGACGAGGACAAGAGTAACGCGAGCATCCGAGCAACTTAGCAAGTGGCTCGGGCCGAACATCCGCCATCAATCGCGGCGTCGTGATCGGCGGCGGCGCGCCTCCTCCGCGCGCTTGCGTCTCGCCGCCATCCACTGTCGCCTGCCCCCTCCCCCTCCTTGCCTGACTGCATGGCAGACGAACCGCATGGAAAGTCGACAGCACAAGCTGACCCAGCGTGGAAGCGCATCGGCCTACGCTTTCTGGACAGAGTGCGCCATTCACATCCCATCAGGCCGCCCGCTTACGACCTTCCCCCAGGCGGACGCGGTTTCCTTCCTCGGCTCCTGCGCCGCTATACTGTATACGCGCTCCGCTGGCGTCACATACGTTCCCGTCTGTGGCCTCGCGTGTTCGATCTCAGTCAAATTTCTCAAGAAGATCATCCGGCAGCCGCGTCCTGCTCATCCTAAGCAGCGTAAGAGAACGTACGGGTGCGTTATCAATCACCTGCATACACCTACCCTTCCCGCTTCCTTGAGCCCCCACAGTCCCTCCTCCCCCACACCCGCCTGGGGAGCCTCAAATTGTCTGACCCTGACCCTCTCCACAGCATGCCCAGTACCCACTCCGCTGTCGTCGCTTATTTCTCCACCTACGTCCTGCTCGCCAGCGCTCGGCTACCGATACATCCTTCCCTTCCCTTGAACCCTCTCATCACTCGGACTATACCTGCACTAATAATCGTGCCTTGGGCCACACTTGTCGCCTGCTCCCGTGTTTGGCTTAGGAAGCACTCGTGGATCCAAGTCGTTGCTGGTTGCGCATACGGCACATTGTTTGCCAGCATAGCGTTCTCGGTATGGACTCGAGGCGAATTATCACAGTATAATGACTGGATAGAGGGGTTGATGAATAAACTGCTTGCTACCTTTCTGAGGATCTAAATAATGACGGACTACCAACTTCACGCGCACTCTACTCCCTTCCACAGTATTAGGTATATAGCAGATAATATACATGGGTTCCTCTTTATGTGTTTGTTATTATCATTAGATGAGATTGTCAAGCGGGTATCAAGTTGCATAATCTTGCAGGCGTACTGGTTCCTCACATTATAACGCAGTCCTTGCTCTTCTTCTTCGCCAACTGCTTCTGGCGCTGCTCCTCCATATCCGCTGCCATCTGTTGCCTCTTGGCCTCCTTTTCGCGCTCGTAACGCTCCTGTGCGGCGCGTGCTCTGCGCTCCTCTTCTGCTTGCAGTTGTTGCGCGAGTTGGTGGCTGAAGATGCGCTGTCAGTAATCGATACGCGCGAGAGGCCAAATCACTCACTCCGCCATATCACCACTATCCATCGCTATTTGCTCCGGCGCCAACGCCGCAAAGTCGCCTCCCGCCGGACTCGACTTCCTGAAATCGCTATCCACGAAGGTCGACCATCCGCCATCGACGTCCTCGAGTCGTTCCCACACGATGCTGGGTTCGTGCAGAAACACCGCGTCGGTCGATAGGGAGTAAAGGCCGCCGTCTTGTGGGGCCTTGTAGAGGACGGCGAGGTGCGAGGAGCGGAAGAGGGCGACGAGTTCGCCTGGTGGGAGGGAGGAGGCGAGGTGGAAAAGTCCGTGGTAGGTGAGCTGCGACTGGTTCGCGTCCAGCCAGGCGCGGAGGGCGATGGCTAGTTAACGATGGTCAGTGTTTATCTTTGCGGCAAAGTCATTGAAAAGCAGATCAGAGCACGACGTACCATCCCGTATCTTGTTCTGGTCCTCGGGACTGTATCGCAAGGAAGACGTAGACGGACGACCATTACTTGGGCCTGCACCCGAGGTCGATGGCTCGGCGGCACTTGGGCTTGGTCCTGCAGCATTAGGGTCTATATCCTCCACTACAAGTTGACCCTTCGTCAGGTGGTCTGCCTCAGCAATGAGGGAGACAGCGGCATCGTAGTCGGGGTATCTTGCCACAATCTGTGCATCTGGCCCTGACGGGTCGACAAGCCACCCATGGACGAGGCGGATGCCTGCCTGTTCGAAGAGGTTAAGTTCGCCACCAGAGCCTGCGCGGAAGCTGGCTGCGTCCGTAAAGACTGGATTGAGGTGCATGCCCTCTACAAGATAGAGGAGGCGTTATCAGATAATGATAGAATAGATGGGATGGACAAGAGTGAAGGGAGAGTGTGGAAGGAACGGCGACGAACCTTGGGTGTGCGGAAGAATAGACAGTGCGGCAGAGATGTCGAGGTCGGGACAGTTATTAATGAGGTAGTCCGCGACCAGCTGAGCAAGGTAGTCGTACGAGACAGTCTTGCGAGACGCAGGGAGAACCTCGATCTTGTCGCGGAGGATAAGGATGTTGCCTGCAGAGCATGGTTGTCAAGGCCTGATCAGATGCGTTGAACAGAAATGGGCACTTCGCACGTACATATTGCGATGAGCGAGCAAGGCCTGCGGGACCGTTCATCAGCTCAAAGATTACCGGCGCTAAACAAGCACTCCGACGCACCCATTGTAGTTCTGCGTGATGATCTTGTAGTTCTTCCTCGCGTCCCCCTCTCCAAAGGCAATCTCCTTCAGATACCACACATCCGCACGCAACGCTCGCTCGGGGGGACTTTGCGACATGAGTGTACCTTGCAGAGGGCGTTCAGATTCGGGCGGTGTATATAGCCACAATCCAACGCACCTCGTCAGCAGGGCGCTTGGCGCCTCGGCCCGATCTCCGTCTCCGCTGGCGGTGCCTTTATCCACGTGTTCCATCATCCGCGCCGAGCTGCGCGCCACTGCCCGCCTCGGCCTGCTGCTCTCCGCCCGCCGTCATGTCGCACTTTCAGGGACTAGGACTTGGGAAACCGTCTTCACCCCCGCCTCCGCCATCGTACACGGAGGCCACGTCGTCCTATCTAGTGCCGTCACCAAATCATCTCAGCCCGCACGGCTCGGTGTCTCCCTCCTCGCGGACAGCCGCCCTGCCTGGGAGCACGTTCTACATCCCCGCATCGCCGAGGAGTCAGCATGCAGTGTACTCTGGGCCGACGCCGCTGCTGCCGACTGCGGTCTCGCAGTATGCTGCGTTTCACGAGCAGGAGTTGCTTATGGCTGCAGACGAGCGCGCACGATGGCGCTTCATCGGGGCTGTCCTGTATGGACTGGCGGTATACCTCTTCATAGGGTTCTTATTTGGCATGTTCCACGGAGTGCATGAGCTACGAAGGAGGTGGTAAACCTGCCAAGGTGCGCGTCTTTATGTCCTCGGTTGGTGCAGTCTGCTGACATACTTCCTCGCTTAGCCGTGCCTGCTTGCTTGCAACCGCACACACCTTACGAACCCCATGCTCAGTCTCGATAGACGAGGAATTGTGTCTGCATACACGCTGTGCGATGATGATCTATTCGTATGATACCTAAGATCGCCCCTTGCTGGTCCTGTCGACTACTTACGTCTCCCACCATTATCAGTATCCTACCACACCTTGTACGATCAGTAATGTCCGAATCAATACCCAGTTCCTACCATGAGGTTCTTACTTTGAACATTGAGAGGCAAATATGACGATGCACCATCCATAACTTCGAGGCAGAGCGCTGTTGCATAATAAGTGCGTTGCGGTACGACAACATCGGCGCTGGCGCAAGCCATGGCGAGCTCTGCTCTCTCGGCCGTGATTATCCTGACAAGGTGTGTACATGGCAATATATACCTGTCATCACGAGATTCACAACATTCATGGGATATCCTGCGTATCAAAAGAATCGATATACTGCGATGGTGACAGAACCCTGTAACCGTCAAGGGTATGCACAACACCCGCGCCACAAGGCTGGAGAATCTCAAACAGCACTTACCCTCTCAGAGAATCACTATGTAAGCGCCGTCCAGCACGGAGAGCAGAACCTGTCAGAACGGCTTTGCCTCCACCGCAACGACATCCCCGAACAAGTGGTGAATGGTAGCTGCCGACCCCGCCGTCGACAGCCCATATATTTCCGCAGATCACATACACTATTGTACAGGATCGGCACTCGCTAGTGTACAGGATCGACAGAAGTTGTTTGTTGTACAGTGTGATGTATGTACAAGCGGCACCTTCGGCGGGGAAGAGTTTATGGGATGGAGAAGCAGTGCCACAAATCCTGCCAACGGCGTGCGCGGCGTTCTCTCCCTTCTAGGGTTCTGCGGGCTTTTGGGGCTCGGCCTGAGCTGGTTTCGGGATAGGCGCGGTCAGGACCTCGACGCCACTGTCCGTGATGCTGAAAGGGAGGGGATAGGTAAGGAAACCTACGCGGAGGATCTCTAAATTCGAAACTCACAGCAAGGTCTCTTCGAACTGCGCACTCCGCTTTCCGTCGACAGTCGCCGCCGTCCAGTTGTCTGGCCAGTGCACTTCTGACCAGTTGCCACCGAGGTTAATCATCTGGGGTGATGTAAGTCGTAGTTGAGACAGTGTAAAAAAATCAGTAACGTACGGGTTCTATGGTGAAGACCTGCGAACGATTAGCGGATAGCACTTGACGAAAAGGTAACATGCTTACCATGCCTGGCTTCATCGTCCCGACGGCCTTGTTCTTCGCGTAATGCGGAATATTCGGCGCGGTATGGAAGAGGTCGTTGATGCCGTGCCCAGTGTAAGTCCTTACGACGGAGCATCCATTCTGTCGGGCAATCGGTTCACTGTAGCGAGGATGTTAGCGTGGTTTGGCAAGTTTTAGCAAACAGAATACGCACATCACCTTCCCAACATCGCGGAAGAGGACGCCAGGCTTGCAGAGCTTGATCGCTTCATCGAGGGCCTGTCGTGTCGTACGGATGAGCTTCTCGGACTCTTCGTCGATCTTCCCAACGGGGTACGTCGCGTTCAGGTCACCGTGCATTCCTGTTTGTCACATATGAGGGTCATGTATTTAACCCTCGCGAGCGACGTACCGTCGTAGTATAGAGACACATCTATAGGGAGGGCGGGTCAATGAGCAATGCTGTCAGGCCGCGACATACGAGGGACGTTTCACCAATATTGATAATGTCACCCTCCCGAAGCTTGCGCTTGTCGGGAATTCCATGACAGATTATTTCATTCACCGAACTAGAAGCAGATGGTCGCTCAGAGGCAGCCGAGGACGGAGTGGGATGAATGACGCGCACGTGCAAACTGATTTGGGGAAGTTGCGGTAGTTCAGGGGAGAGGGGTACGCGTTGCGCTCGATCGTCGCGTTATGCACGATTTCGTCAATTTCGTCGGTGGTAATCCCGGGCCTAACAGCAGCAGCGCCAATCTCGAGGATTTCGCGCCCGAGCTAGGCAAGGTTGAGCAGGGGAGGACTGATGGAAGGTAAACGCCACGCACCCTGCTGACCGTGCGCATTTTCTCAATCTCCTCGGCGTTGAGAATGCGCGGAGCACTGCCTGAGCGCCTGATCTCGGACGTGGGTACACCTGGGAGGGCACTTTCATCAACTCACAAGATCGCTCGCGTTGTGTAGAGGAAGGGCTTCGCACCATCTTTGGCGTAATCGGGGCGAGGTATGTGGTCGGGGACGGAGCGCCGCGGGGATAGCGGGTACATGGGGCGCAGGGTGCCCGTAAAGTTGTAGTTCGGAAACGGGTTGTACGCGTTGGCTGCGGGGAATGATCAGCGAGGAACGTTGATCAATGCGCGGGAGTGAGTAGTACCGTCCGAGGCCTCATTAGTCGTCGGTAGCTTGAGCTTAGCGATGTCGTGGACGATTTTATGGTTTTTCTTGATTGGGGTGAGACGAGTGTACGCAACCCTGCTGATGAACGCACCCCTTTGACCTATCAGCATCGCACCCATCGGCGGAGGGGGGACTCACATCCAGCCTTGAAGCATTCCTGGCCGCAGAAGAATGAGCCGGTGATCCCGAGTCTGGGGAGGCAATGAACGCAGGAACAAGGAACGGGGTAGGGAGTATGTACTTGTGGCAAGTGGGACATTCAAGCCGCGAGGGCGGGTTGCCATTCGGGCAGGACGAGCTCTGGCACTTCACGATTCCACTCATCTTGTTCAGATGTTTTGGTCAAAGCGCCTCCGAGTCGAAAACTTGGCATCCAGTTCGGCGCACCGGTCCGCGCGCCATGTGGTTCGTATACACGAGTTCGCAAGTTCAGGCTTCGCGCAGTTCCTGGTGCCACTTCCATCTTGCGTCCCTTGCTCCTTCCGTCACTCTATCAGCATGTGAAGATGTCCGCTCGCGACCCCTTCCAGCTCCCTCTCGCGTCTCTCTGGGCGGAACCAGCCAATGGCATTCGGTAAAACTACCGTCATAACTCGGGATCAACGTAGGGAGTACCACTAAGTACGTACGCGCAGTGTCGTAGCATTAAGTATTAAACGGTCGGTGCAATACTATCATATCCATGGGTGGGCAAGAAGCGATGGGGTGCAAGTCGTACAGAACGTAGGCGGAGAACGGCGCAGCAAGCGCCGGATGCAAGCAAGATAAGTGAAGAATATGAAGTTTAAGTTATGTGGCGTGTTGCGATGCGAGGGACGATGGGGGCGGGGGGAGGAACTATGATGGATGTAAGGGTAAGGGTGCAGGGTGAACGAAAGCGATATGGACAGCGATACAAATGGACGAGCGAATAAATGGTAATCCTAAGGTAGGGGCAACGAGAAGGAGACAACGGTCGGCCGGCCGCAACTATAGGTGGCGGGTCAGTGAATGAGGAGGACACAAGAGTTCACTACACACCTTGGGTTCAACGCCTATAGGGCAAGACCTCCAGCTTGTACGCGACCGTCGTGTCGCTGCATGCTTTACGCAAAGCCTTATACCGCTGGGTGCCGAGTACGTCCGCCAGCGCGGCTTCATGCTCGGCGACCCACTGCGCCGGCGGTAGTCCGCGAATAGTACGATGGACACCATTTGGTAGGTGCTCCTCGAATACCAGCGTGACTACGCCAGGTAGCAGGCACTGGATGAGGTTGAGGATGTCGTTGATGGGTGGGCATATCTTGCGAACGGACTCGAAGGTGTCCGAGTGGAATACCATCTGCCACTGCACGCGACGTTCGGGAGAGAAGAACGACGACGCCTGAATGGGGAGTTGTAGGCGCAGCTTCGGGCCCGCGGGCAGACCGGCCGACGAACGCCAAATGGAGGTGGCCTCTAGCACGAAGAGCATGCGTGGGTCTTGGTTGGAAACATCGGTCCAGTTGTGCTTGTGGACGAGCTGGGACTTGAGCGTGTTGAGCCAGCGGTGGGCGCGCGCGTAGGTAGCGCCTAGCGCGTCGGCCGTAGTGAGGGGGATGCGGGTCCGGTGCGCCCACTCGTCCATATTGCGGACATCGCTCGAGAAGACGACTTCAGTGCGCGGCTTGGCCATAGCGCGTTATGAGTTGATTAGGATTAGGGAAGAGGTATTAGGTGACGACCGGCCGACGACTACAGGATAGTAAGTCAAGATGCACGCGACGCGCCGCACAGCGCGATTGGCGACTCACCCCGTAGTGTACGACGCGCAGAACTAGCAGCGGCGGGGGCAGAGATAAGGAACCGACACGAGAATAGAATAATTATCCGACAACGGCCAGCGGATACAGGCGACGGCGGCGACGACGACGACTGAGGCGACGGGTCACTGGCGGACGGAGGGGATGGAGGCAAGAACCGTGCCAGTCGGTATGGCGCGCTTTTGAAGGCGACGGGACTCGGACCCTGGTCAAAAAGGGTCTGAATTGAATATATCCGACCATTTCTGTTCGCCGTTAAACGTGTACTTAGCAACACGAAATTTTCCGAATTTCACAAGGCCCCGACTTCCGAATGCGCACATCTCGTGATCTCCACCTTCTATATGCGGCCGGTTATACCCAATGGGAAGGAGATGCCGACCTTTCCGCTGCATTGTCCCGTCCGTCCAGACTCCGGTTGTATGATGCGAAACGTTTCACGCTCCGCGACCGAGCGGATGCGAGACAGCGAGCAGGCGAGCAGGACGCGCAGAACGAGCTTCAGCCTCCGTCCCGATACTTCTTCCCGCGGAAACATTCTGAGCTTGCGGCGGATGCAATATAATTTACGATCTGATGTGCGAGACTTTGGGTTCACGATCGCAATATATTTCTCAGGAGCTTCGCGCCCTTGGGCTGGCACCGGAGTCGGCGGGAGCGGAAGGCCGGGACCGGTATCAATGGCAACATGGCATTTTTGGCTGAAACATGAGGAAATTCCAGATCGCGCCGTCGGTGACGTAGCGCGACGCGACAGGACGCGACCGCCGGACGCGACTCGCGACGACCACTGCGGTTTCTTGCATGTGTCCTCCCAGCGACAATTCAGCCTCAGAGCGCGCGGCAAGGCCGTGGCAAGCAGTTGCGTCGCTGAGAGACGCTCTCCACACCTGAATACAGCGCAACCGAGCACCCTGAGCACTGCTTGAGCATATAAGCGCCCGTCGCGTGCTGTCGCAAATGACGCGCCGCTTCTGCATGGAACCGTGATCGTCGCGCCAAGCTTCTCAGATCCCGCCCCAGGGATGGAAATATTTTGGATCGCGATTATGAGCTCGGTCTCGTCCGGCTGGGGTTCAGGAAGGGCCGCAACGGGCAAGGATGGTTCCATGTGTCTCCAGGCAGTGACCTGACATGCCCGTCGCCACAGCCTCCTTTTCCATGGAAATGGCGCGTCGCCGACGTTGAATATTCCAGAGAGACGCGTTGCTTGGCGTTGGAGTCCAGAGCGCAGAGAACGTGCGCGGTCGATCAGGTCGACTGTGACACACACGATCGTCACAGAGAGTGATGACCACGTGGTTCTAATCATACCCGGCGGTCACAATGACTCGGAGTAACGCTGATTTAGCACTTCCATTGTTCTCTGATCACCGTACGGACGACATAACCATACGCTTTAGCGATCAGCCAAGCCCAATGACCGTTGAAGCTAGCTCTTCCACCGCTGCGGCTTTCGATGTCAATGAAGCCTTTCAACGCATCCTCAGCGACGAACAAGTACGTTCGTTTCTTACAGATTGAGCCACCTGATCCTCAATCGGACTGTCCCCCGAGATATCGACCCCCTTGGCCGCTGTCCTCGCGTTGAGCGAGTTGATAGAGAAATCCGATGGTACGTACTCTTATCCTTACAGGTATATAGCTTAACCGATACCTGCTTCGTCAGCGGAGACCATGTTCGAGCTCGTCAATGCTCTGAACACCGGAGCGACGGAGCTCCGTCGACAAAATGCCAATCCTATCGGCCTCAACGCAGGATGCGAACTCTTCATCGCATTCGTGACCTTGTTCCCTCACAATAACTCTGTACGGTCTGATTCTTGTTGGATGAACGACGCGGGTGCTAACCCTCGGTTGCCCAATGTTCAGAGTATACCGGAGCTCAAACGTGAACTTATACGTCAGAGCAGACAGTACGCCGAGGAGGCACTTACCTATCGCGACAAAATTGCAAATCTCGCCCTCGGGTTCATCAAAGATGACTCTGTGGTAAGCACGCCCGTACGCTCGTGTCTGCCTGTCGGTTGCTGAGACAGGCCCGAGATTCTCACGCATTCGTACTCTCGAGTGGTTATGAAGACGCTTCTTATGGCACACAAGCGGAAGCGGATATCGGGTAAGTCTCTCGAAGGCCTTGGAATTGCACGGGAGGCTCATAACCGCGCGTCAGTATTCGTCACCGAAGCCCGACCGCGTGGACTGGGGTACGCTTCAGCTTGTTGACCAGCGTCTAATTCGCAGCCGACTGACGCAAGGCATCGACAGGATCAAAACCGCCGAAGTCCTTCGCGCCAATGGCATCCCAGTAACCGTCGTTCTCGATTCTGCTGTCAGCTACGTGATGGAAAAGGTCGACTTTGTGTTGGTGGGGTCCGAGGCAGTGGTTGAGTCCGGCGGGCTCGTGAACGCAGTTGGCAGCAATCAGATTGCCATCATCGCAAAAGCAGCCAACAAGCCCTTCTACGCACTTGCAGAGAGGTATAGGTTCCGCGTTCTACGTCCTTCTTCTTCCGCTCACAAATTCGCAGCTACAAATTCCACCGCCTGTTTCCACTGTCGCAGTACGACCTGCCTACTTCCAAACCGCACGTGCTCTCGTTCCTTCCTGCTCTCCAATCCGCGCTGCCAGCGCATGCCGAAAGCGCGGAAGCATCGAAGGCGTCTCGAGCTAGCGAACCAACGAGCGGGCGGATAACACAGGAGCAAATTTCACAGAGCAACCCCGACGTCGACTACACGAGGTATGACATTTGCTCCTTATCCCGGCTCCATCATTAACAGACATTGAGGCCCGACTTAATATCCCTCGTCTTTTCGGACGTCGGAAGCTTAACACCTGAAGGCGTCAGCCAGTACCTTGTGGGCATGTTTGCAGGATAATGCACGTGTATACCTCGTATACGGCGCGGGAAATGATCTACCAACGGTCGTACTCCGCTTCCCGCGCGCAGAGCGCGCGCTGCTGTTTGATTTTTCGCTGCAACTTGCGCTACTGCCCCGCTCCTGCTCGTCGGCACCCACAGATATTGTCGGGTATTGCGGCAGATTCCGACCTGTCAACGTTCGAGGTTTCTTCCCTGCTCTTCGAAGCATCGGTTGGTGATGCTCACTTCACGTGTTTATGCACGGCATTGCGCCCACAAAACGATTTCCAAAGTCAGCGATTCTCAAGATATGCTTTCGATCCTTCTGGTAGAGCCAATCTCAGGCCCGTACTCCGGCCACGCCGTCGGTCCTCCGGTATCGTGGTCATCGATAATCTTTCCCTCGGGCGGAGGCAACGGATCTTTGCAGGATCATTGTGCTTGTTTTCGTCATAGCCTTGCCCGCACGGCCGATACGCTGCCTACTTGGGACGCGTGTAGACGTTGGTGCACGCGCAAACCACTGATGTCACACCGCCGCCTCGGGACTCTCTTGCAGTTTCCTCTCCTTCCAACACGCCTGAGAACTGTCGCGGTAGAGTGGCCTGGGCAGCGCGCCTGGCAAACGGATTCGACCGATGCGTCGATCGCGATCAGCTGTCTGGATGGAACTCGTCTGCAAACCGGCTCTATCGATTTGTCAATGTTGGAATTCTACGAGACATGCTCTCTGAGGCTTATAAGCGCCCTAAGGCTGAGGACAGAGACGAACAAGGACGGTTATTCGCCTCTTTTCCCCTACTGCCATCTCCCCTCCCATCTTCCACACGCTAGCACGCTCCACGATGTGCAGATTGCGCCAGTGCGTCGTTCCCCCCTTTCCCGCCATTCTTGTCTTCTGACACGACGAGTAGGGTCACCCACAAGTACGCCTTCTGTGGCCACAGAACTGCCCTGGTGCGTCGGCCTTGATTCTTATTATGTGCGTACGCGCTCACAAGCGTTTACAGCCAGACCAAGAGGTGCGGGACTGCCTGATGCACGTGCTTCGACATTAGAACGCGCGCGTCTGACTGGCGAGTAGATCAAATGCGACAACCGCCACTGCCGATTTAGCACCACGCATGGACCTGGCGACTGTGGTCCTAACTGCAGATCTACATGCTGGACCTAGTGAGTCGCTCGCGGCAGTAGCGAGTACGTTTCTCTGACGAATGGGAACCCTATAGCCGCGCATTTCCTGAACAGTACGGTATGGGCATTGAATTCGCCGTTATCGAGCGCGAGGCTGATGGCGGACGTAGAGCTGACGATCCAGAGCTATTGCCCGGACTGCCAGGCGGCGGGTCGTCGATGAGGGGGGAGGGGGTCGTTGCATGTCCGAGAGTTGTGAAGCCTTGCGATGGCTGGCGCCTGGCGCGGCGGTCGTCATCCCAATTTTGTACAGTGAACCTAATCCTCACCATCGCACATCTGTATAATTTTCAGCACTCTATATCTTTATATTCACGACGCAAATGAAGTGTGCATGTCGTCGGATGGGAGATCGAAGGGGAGCTAGGGAGGATATCGACTCGCGCACTCATACCACATGCAGCCGAGCATGGCGGACAAGGCGCACCTTATCCGACTCTGGTACGGTCTACGCGTCGTTCCCGTCAGTTTGCAGTGCTCTTCCTCTCCAAAGACGCGTATTATAGCGCCCCGAGAGTGCAAAGGCTCAGCGAAAGCGGACGAGAAATTTTCGTCGAGCACATCAAGCGCGTCTAGCGCTGGGCGCCCATCGCGTCCGGGTTGGTCGTCGCGGCGAAATGCCACCGACGAGCATTCCGGACGCTGTAGCGCCTGACTATCGACCATCGATGGATGAACGCGACGCAGCAAGGCAAAGGGAAGATTAGAAGGTCGCTCACCGGGTGCCTGCACGCGGATTTATGGCGTGGCAGACCGGTGCGTCTGCGGTGGGTTTCTTCGGCAAAACAAATTTGGTGCAGCGTGCAAGCATGGTGGCTATCAACTAGCGTGGTGAATGCGCTCCTCCGACGCACAAGCAGCCCGATCCAACGGTGGGAGGACGCTCAGGCGCAGGATGAGTGAGGAGTTCGCGTGGATCAGGCTCCGTTACTGACATGTTTGTTGCCGTACGGAAGCAAGAATGTGAGATAAAAATAAACGAGCAATCCGTGAGAAAAAGCTTATACCCGATTTGGGCATCATGTGCTTATCGCTCCTTAACCAGGTTCAACTCACGCGCCACACCGACAAGCGCGCAACAATGGATGCGACCCCGCAGTGGCTCTTTCCGCTCGCCGCGCTGAGGAACACGCCGACAGAGTATCCTATCGAAAAAGAGATGTACGACAGAGCGCGCGGAGTGGAGTTTATTTTCCGCTTAGGGTCCACACTTCAGTTGTTAGTGCCCTTCACACGCCCCACGCTGGCTTCTCGTCCTGATGGATCACAAGGCCTACAGCAGCAATGCTCACGGCTGCAACATGGTTCCACAGATTCTACATGCGCCACGCTATGGGCGACTTCCACCGTCAGGTATAGCGCATCGCTGCTCACGTTTCTGGCCATCACGCTGATTCGAAGCCTTCGACAGGACGTTGCTGCTGCATGCGTGTTCCTGTCGACGAAAACCGAGGAGTGCGGCAGGAAGCTGCGCGACGTCGCTAAGGTCTACCATTCAAAGTCTGCCGGCATTGATCTCAAGAGCATACCTTCGGACAGTAAGGTCATTGTCCTTCAGGGCATTGACGTCAACACGCAGCTTACAACGAGCCATAGGACGTTGAGAGGATAGGCCTGGAAATCCTTCACACGGAAGAGTACCTGTTAGAAGCCTTGTGCTTTGACTTCCTCATTCAAAACGCACACAACGATCTCATAGACCTCTTCGAGGCCTCACAAAGCGATGTCGAGCTGCAGGATTACGCCTGGAGCATCGCCCATGACTCGTAGGTCTGTCTTGATTGGCCCTGATCCTGAGCTAACGTCCAAAAAGGTATAGAACGCCCTTGTGCATCCTGTATCCTCCCCGTATCATCGCGGCCGCCTGCTACATCCTGGCGCAGGCCGCTGCCGACGATCCTAGCGCATCTTCGCTCGATTCCCGGCTGGCAATCACCGCGCCCTCATCGACACTTCCCACCCCGCCCACGCACAAGGCCCGGTCACCCGATGCGTCTCGGTATGTAATTGAGCACTACGCATTCAGCACGGTAGAGGTGCAGAACGTAACAGGTAGACCCGTATCCTCGACTATACGACGCTACACCGTCCCCTAACCATCTTCTGTAGACGCCATAGACATCCTTCTGGAGTTTTACCGGTGTCAGGATCTCCAGAACGCGCCTCACCTCGCCTTGGTAGCCGCCGTACGTGGTGTATAAGGTTCACTCCGGTCTCGCTCTTCCCTGACGCACGATGTAGATCCCTGCGCCGAAAATGGCTACCTCACGAGAGCCCATCTTTCGCCCTTGGCCGGAAGTCGCCAACTTCAACAACACGCGTACGACGTCGGAACCGGCCGCGTCGAAGGCCATCACACCGAACTCATCGCATGGCGGGCACACGCCACAGAAGACTCAGGACTCGATGAGAATGGATCTAAGTTGATTCTAGCTATACACACAGAACACTATGCTACAGATGAGCGTCGTGACTAGGCAGACTATGCCATGAAGTGGCCGCGAGGGTCGCCCTTCTGGGTCTCTGTGGACCCGGTCGACATCATGTCTTCCTCCACCTGTGGTGGCTTCAGCGTGAGCTGCAGTCGGACGTAGTCCCATTGGTTGACTTTCGTGACCGAGTCTTCGACCTGGTCGTCCATTCGGAAGATGGGCGCTCGGCGCCCGGCGTGCTCATGCGAGTCCGTGGATAGTATCCCGGACGCTGATTCGATGGCATCGCCAAGGTCTGTTCGCAGGTCGTCAGGATGCGATGCAATGGCGAGCAGCAGTCTAGGCGCACGCACCATCGTCCTTCCCCGACCACTCGGATTCCGAGCCGTTCGGGTCCGCGAAGGGTATGTCTGATTCCGTGAAATTAATGGTGCGCCAATTCCGTACGGGCTCGGGCACCTACGTTGGGTGGTGGTCAGACGGGGGCGGCCATGGTTAAGAGAGGGAGAGCGACATGGCCGCCTCCGTGCCCTGGTCCATCACGTCGTAGACTGTGGTCGGGGACCAAAAGAGGCCGGCCTGCTCGGACTCCCCACATACCTTGGGGATCGCCCTGCTACCCGGTGCTTGGGAAGCGGAGGCGAGCCAGAAGGTGAGGCATTCCATGACAGTCGGCGTCTCGCTGTCGTAGTTGAATACGGGGCTGACAAATGCGGTGGTCCATCCTGAGAAGACAATAAGAAATGGGATCGAGGACAATAAGGAGCAACACGCACCCGATGAGAAGTGCCCAAAGACCCATTGATTGTAGTTCGTCAACACGAACCAATGCGTGTTGTTCCTCACGCAGGTGTCCCATAACTGACAAGGACCGTACTAGTCAGCGAGGTTGACAGAGATAGCATTTGTGACGCACCTTCGCCCATATCCTCTGCTTCGATTCTAGGTCCGACGGCTCTGCCTTCTCGCCGACCTGCGGCTCTACACCCCGGAAAGGTGGAAACTACAAGATGTTCAGCGCTAGGAAGGACGAAGAACAACACGTGGCACGCACATGTCGTAGATTGGCGAAGTTCTTGATATCGTGTTCGCCCAGTATCCAAGGCGGCTGGACCGCCACGAGGACCGACCGGCGGAACCTCTCAATCATCATATTGGGGTTCTCCATGCCGTCGATACCCTCGATCTCGAGCGCCGGCGCCCATAGGAGGTAGCGCCAGATGGCGCTGTCCATGTCGGTTGGCCCGTGTTGGAAAGTATGTCCCTTCGTTTCGTCGTAGAAAAGAACGTGCATGATTCGTTGTACGGTAAGGAGCGGAAGGGAGTCAATCCAAGGTAGTAGGCTAGGAGACCATGTAAGTTTTGCGGTGAAGAGGAAGTATTTGGATACGCACCGCGTCAGGTCCGAGGGCCGCCGCAAAGGGGCGTGTCCGATGTGGGTGAAGCTCGGCGCAGGGACGGTGGGCGATTCACCATTGATGTAGTCGTGGTCTTCCATGCCGGTACTCTCTGCGGGCATGTATGCATCGTTCCCTGGGTTGAGTATTAGTGGCGCGCATTGCCAGAAAATCGTGGAACGCACATTGAGAGACCATAGCGACGAACTCCTCCATGTCGATGCCGTTGATATGTTCTAGCAACCGGTAGCGCTCTCCGCGGACGGAGAGGGCGTTGCGGTGCGTCTTGTGGCCGCTGGGCGGGAGCGCGGTCGGCGGTGCCGAGGCATCGAGGACGAGATCGGGGAGTTGTGCGTCGCGGAGGTAAAGCCGCAGGTTGTCCATGACGCGCGCGTACACGCGAGGCTGACTCGAGAAAAGTCCGAAAAACATGACGATCGTTACAGCCAGGTAGCGATGTAGGGTATGGGATATGAGTCGATGAGGGGAGAAAACAAGCTGCTGGGGCCTATGGCAACCGGGTCCGGACTATAAGTGTCGGAACAAGGGCCATTCAGGCCAAATATGGGAATTCGGTCTCGGAATGGAACAAAAGGACACAAGGTTAGGTCTTGTTATTCCGCCCCAAACACGTGATCCCACGTTTCGGAGATCTCCGGGCCAATTTCCGGTGCGTGACAGTGCATAGCGCTCACGCCGTCCTTTCGTTCTACTCTCACCATGCCACGCCACGCCGCGCCTCTCCCCGCCATCAAGCCTTCCTCTCTCGCGCTAGGCAAGCCAGGTCTTGCTCTACGATGAATATAGGTGTGTAATACGCGCAGTCAAGACTCTCCGCCACCAATGACTTCGGGTGGCCCACTTCCCTTTTCCTCACCCACGGTCTGCCTGAGGCGTGCACAGCTCAGTAGTTATCATATCAGGCTGAATATATGATTTTTCTCCCTCTGTGACAACGATTTGAAGTAGCGGACCTCTCTGATCACCACAAACATGAGTTATTGGGTGGCAAACTTGGAGGTAAGGTGGCCACTTGAACACCGTGACCCCGACAATTATATCAGGCCCTCCGCGAGCAGTTCCACAGTAAGACATGTATAAGCAAATCGAAATCATTAGGAGAGCACCTGATGCTGACCTCTGGCTCGAAAGCCCCTGCCCTTCGCAAGGTGGCGACTTGCGAAGGACTTTGCTGCGTGACACCACAAGTCTTTCGGCTTCTCGGCAACGGGTTTGTTTGGCGCACATGGAATCACGTGTTTGGGGCGGAATAACGGCTTGTCACAAGGTTAGCCTCCGGCGATCGGTGGCTTGTTCTCGTCCGCAAAAGGCAACTTGCCGTTATGTTCTCACGGCCCCGTGGCGCCTTGTGATCGAGCACGCGCGCTTGCCGACTGCGAGGCCTTCCTCGCGCCCGTCCAGGTGTTGATCTGCCATGTTCACAATTGCCTACCGTCGCTTCCGCGTCCCGGGTCAGCCGCAGGTGAATAGGATTAGCCGCGAATAATATCAAGCCGCCAGTGGGAACCGTAAGTACATCGGTAGGATAGAAAGAGTTCCCAAAAGTCCCAGTAGATATATGTTATGGATACATAAGGGCGGCCTTCCAGGGCTCGTCCGACAACCAAGGCTCAACGAAGTCCGAGGCGAGAGCAGTCCGAATATATGGCGCACACCTCAGTGGCACCCCAAGATCCCATTCCTGTCGCGCTGCATGCAGTCCGGGCAGCGAGTCGGGCTCTCGCGAATAGGGTTTTTGGCGGGAGGAGACATGACCCTAATGCAGCCAGGTGACCGACAGCCTGGCGCTGTGTATCAGGGATGCTATACGCGGACAGGGAAGGCATCACTAACCGACAGGGTGGATGTGTTGGCTGCTGAACAGGCAATTCGGCCTCCGGCAGTCCTTCAGATTGGAGGCCACTGTAGACATGAGTATATGAAGAAGACTCGATGACGAAGACGTACTGGCAGTGAAATGGCCACACTGAGTATAGTAGCGTCCATCAATAACCTGCGAACGTGGTCAAAATAAACTAGACAAGCTTTGAGGCCAACGTACGTTGTAGCACATCGTGCAAAATAAACTCAGTCGCGTTTTGTGGTGAAGAAAAAGTGTTTGAAGAGAGAACGAAGTGAGAGAGGAAGGAAGAGAGCGGAGGTAACCAGCATTAACCGTCGGGCGCGTCCTTCTTATTATGCCCGCTGCGCAGGTCCACGCTGTGAGCAGCACCCTACGCATTGCAGGCCAAAGCCACGGGTTGGAGGCCCTCGCATCAGTCAGCGACCCCTTCTCTCCAACAGCCGCGAGGGTTCTGGAGCGCGTCACTTACTCGATCGAGGCTAAAGCCGCCTGCAGGCGCCCCTTTGCACCGGATCCGCGGAGGGCAGATGCGCCCGGTCGGTCATTCGACAAGTCCCGCAGCGACAAGGAGACCTTAGCTGCGCACCTTTGAGCCTCAGGACCGGCCGATGGCGGGAGAATATGGGCGCCTAGTGCACCTCCCTGTTACAGTTAAAAGGGAAGGCTCGTGCAGAGCACGGTGCTCCTCAATTGAGCACGCGGGGAAGGCGTCAGTACGAGGGTCTCAGGGTGCCCCACAGGGCGCAATGGTGCCCATATGCGGCACGCGAAGAAAGTTCATTAACAGCGCACTGCAAGCGACGAGGGACATAGCGAGACATCCCCCACGGTCGATGAAACATTCGCCTTGATTGACGAGGGGAGGCGCGGGCATGGTGCGGGCAGCAACGTGTGCTGGGGGACCGGCAAGCGTCCCGAGAGGAAATGGAATACAAATTCAAGACCGCGCTCTTTGGAGCTGGCAGAAGGGGCAATTGGTGGCGTGCAGCCGGATATGCAGGAGAGCGGGTCGACATCCGTGCGGTGTCGCAGCAGCACGCCTCATACACGGGAAGTCGGACGGGGCAGGTGCGGCCTGCCACCTTGACATTGGCGGGGCCACGATGAGGGACACGGAGGAATGGGTTGCAGGGGTCGCAAAGAGCGGGGGTAAGTATAAGCTGTATTCAAGCACCCTTGCGGCGAATAGTATTGACGATAAGAACGCGCTTGCGAACCTAGAATGGGATTAGTATGCTGCGAAAAGAATTGAGGTTAGTACGCACCTCGTTCTTGAATGCCTTCCGCCAGTTCTCGCTCCGCAATCTCCTACGCCTGTCACCCTTCCGCTCGTGCCGCTTCTGGTAGTGGAAAGTCTGGGGAACCCTATTCCGCGAGAGGATAACTCGGAGCTGACGGAAAGCTTCTGACAGGTCCCTATTCTGCACTCGAACAGTACGGCCTAAGAGCGGGTCAACAATAATCTGGGTGATTTACTTCCCAGTCACGCACCCTTGTACTTGCCCGCGGGCTTCTGTCTCTCGAGTTCTGGGACTATTGAACGCGACATGGCTGCCCAGGCGTCTTCGGGCGAGACGCGGTACCCCAAAGGCGTAGACCCTTGAATAGACTTTCCCACCTCGTTTGCAAGGTTGCTGACCGCGTCCCAGCCCTTGTTGCCGGAGGAAGCCTGCGAAGAGTATGCGCGCGCGCACCGGGCGAGCAGCAGACGTGCCGCGGGCTGCGGCGGAAGGCAGGAAGCCGCGCCGTGGCTGGCCGCGGCCACCGCGGGCCGTGTTATGCGTTGAGCGAGGGCAGCGAGCATGGTGAGAGGAGAGGAGGCCGCTGCGACAGCGGACAGCGGACTGTGCGACGCGGTTGGCGGTGGGAAACGCGGAACGGCAAAATTGATGGCGAGCCCGGAGCAGCCAGGCGCCCGCCGCAAAAGGAAATCCGCGCCGGCGGGCGAGGTGATCAGCTCTGGATCAGCCATGTCGGCGGACACTCTTGCGGAGGAGTACGAGGTCTGTGGGCAGCGAACGCGGTGGGGGAAGTATTGCTAATCTATCCCCCAGGTACTCGAGTCGATTTACCCCACAGAGCTCTCAAGTTCGTCCCCTCCCTCCCAGTACCCGCAAGCGAACTAAGCGCCCATGTGCAGAAACGTCCGAGAGGGACATACGAATAGAGGCAGAGCCCGACGATCTTGAGGAGGGCGAGGACACAAGTACGCCCCTATCTACCCCGCGTCGTGGCCGTATAGCACAACTGATAGCAGACTCTTGATCAGTCAAGCTCGCGCTCAAGGTGCATTACACCGATGGCTACCCAGACGAGCTGCCCGACCTTTCTTTCGACGTCTTGGAGGGAGAGCTTACCGATGATGAGCTAAATGGTCTGTTGGACGGATTGAGAACAGTGGTCAGTTCCATTGGAAGTACCGTACGTCTGTATGCTGATCGCTCTTCAGGGCGAAGAGAACCTAGGACTTGCTATGGTCTTCACCCTTGTCACGACCTTGCGAGAACGATTGTCCGAACTCGTGCGAGAGCGCGCTGAGAGGCACAAGGCCGAGGAGCACGAGAAGGAACGGCTAGCAATCGAGGTGCGCTCTTCCGACCCACACACCATTTACCCAAATCCTTACACCACCGCTAGGCCGAAGAAGCGAAGACGCGCGGCACACCCGTCACCGCCGAGAGCTTCAAGGCATGGAAAGCAAAATTCGACGCCGAGCTTGCCATCAAGAAGGCGAAAGCCGAGGAGGAAAAGCTAAAGGCCATGACGCCGAAGGAGCGCGAAGAGTACAAACGGATCCAGGGACGACTGAGCGGTTAGTAGCCCAACTTCTTTCTGCTTTACGCGTTGACTGTTCAACAGGCAGGCAACTGTTCGAGAAGAACAAGAATCTGGAGGACGAGTCGCTGGTGGAAGAAGGTGGTATATCCGTCGATATCAGTCAGTACGAGAGAACAAGGGAAGAGGAGCAGGAGGAAGAGGACCATGTAACATTCAGCGACAGCGACTAGTCGAGTGTCCACTCAATATGTATCGTACTGCGCTTTCCGTCTTTCATGGCATGGCTCGTTGGATCACTCGGTACAAGAAAATATTTTCTTCTTTTCTGTCCTTCAGGAGTCAAGTACCCCACACTACGCGAACCCTGTACGTAGCGATGGATGGAAAATCGGCAAAGGATGCGCCTCCGTGTTGAACACATATTCTGTGAGACGATGAGTGAGGGAAGCGCGTACGCAATGCACACAACGTACCATCCAACGGCAGTGTGCTCGCATCGTCGAACAGAAGATACAAATACTTCAGGGTCTCGCTCTGCGCCACATAATCAGCACAAAAGACCCAGAAGACGAAGCCAGCCGGCACCTGCCAGCGCAGCGACACGCACCATCAAGAACGTCTCCATCTTATCGTCCTTCGGCGAGTGCACGTCGTCCACGTTGAGGATGCCCGCATATCCGCCGCTATCCAGCTTGCAGTGCGTCTCGATCGCCTGGAAGATGTCCCAGCCCCAGTCGCGGTACCGGCGGTCGCCGGTCAGGCGCCAAGCGATGAATAGACTCTCCACGGTCTCGGGGCTGGGAAAAGGGTCAGCTCAGCCATAGCCCCACGGCACACTGGGTTCGCAGGCTCGCATTAGCGCACGCACCGAAGAATATACCGAGCGTCATATACAGCGGGTTTTCCAACGCTGATCGGTTGGGTTCATTCAGTCTGTTCAAGGCTCAGGCCGAGTAGGCACTCACGCCGCGCCCTTGATGTACCAGTCCTCGGGCACGCCCTGCTGGCGAATACCGTCGCTCGGAATGCGGAAATGCACAATCTCCGGCGAGAGACCTCTGCGGTCCCTCCGTAAACAGCCCCGTTCCATAGCTTTCACTCGTCACTTACGTCTGCGTGTCATGCGTGGCCATGCAGGTCTTTACCAGCTCCACGCCCGTCAGCCAGTCGCGTTGGCCGGCTTCCGTGAGCTCGTCTGGACGAGGCGGTACGGACACGTTGTCTGTGAGCGCTTCCGCGGTGACCGCACCCAACATGAGCGATCCGCCCAGGAAGCACACCAAATGGTCTTGCTTAGGGACCAGACGCCATTGCCTATAGAAATAATGGGCTTAGTCCACTGTGAGAGCGGGAGAAGGGCCCAAGAATACGCACACATTGCCCTGCGCGTTTCGCTCCGGCACAAGCTCCGAGGTGTAGAGCAGGTTGCTGCCCATGCTCCTCGAAACCAGGGTCTTGTGAATGCCCGTCATGGCATCTGCGTACATCTAGACGGCGAGGTATTAGGGCTCTGCTCGCAGGATGTGGAGCGCAGGACTGGAAAATTACCTGGCGGTAAACATCTTCGATGCCGTCCTGCAATGTTCATCTCGCTTCCGTCATTGGTGGCTACCGGGTGTGGCGTACCGTCTGCAGATACTGCTTGCTGAGGCCCTTTCAGCATGAGGTGAGGGAATGGGCGGAGGGGACGCACATGAGATACTCGTAGTAGGAATCACCGCGGGACCCCAACCGGATGGGAGTCGCGAGGAATTGACCACCCTCTGCCCTGCTCTGAATTGAAGCACAGTCGTATACCATGGAATACAACATACGACATGAAAATGGGCAGCACACCCTGAGGGATCATGTTGTCCTTGATGACGCGCATAACCTGGGGACCTGGTGAGTGAACTGCGGTATAGCAGTCGCAGTATTGAGAGAACTCACTTGCTCAGCCTTCCGCCAATACTCGTCGTTGTCGGTCAGGTGGGCAAGATACTTGAATTCGAGTTGCAACGTCGCAGCCTCAGCGGTACTGATCAGGCCTTTGTTGTCTGGGTCCTCCTCGCCCTTGCGCTGCTTGAGGTTGACCCGAGGAAGAGGTAGGCCTGTAGGAGTATCGAAGGCCGGGAGCATACGTTCCGCGAGGTCAACAGCCTTCTCAAGGTACAATGGGTCCTTGTCAGATAGATGGTAAGCCGACAGTAAGCCGCCAAGGACACGAATGGTAGTCTGGAATGAGGACAGTCAGAGGAGGCTCGAGAGCGCAATGATGTACGGCGCACCTCGAAGGTCGAAAACTGTCCCTCTTGGTCGAACGAAAGGTTATTGGCAACCCATTCCCGAGCGCGCTTGTATTCATCGTCCAGGTGCATGAGAAGCATTGTGTCAATGGAGTCGACGACCGTGTAGCCAATGCCATTCCCGCCCCCAAGGTTCGAGCCAGTGTGGCTCAGTGGGTGATATTCATCGTACCCCATGGCGTCCTTCTCTGCCCAAAGTATAAGCACGAGGTTATGAGAGTAGTGCGCGTTACACACCATAAGCATGCCATGCCCACTAGAAACATTGTAAGACTATAGCAGTCCGTTCAGACGACAGAGGCGCACCTGGAAGGCCTTCACGACAGCGTCGCGCTTCTCGACGTCCGCGACCAGATTAGCTGGCTCGCCGTTCAAACCATCGAACCGTTGGGGGGAAGTAATTCCCAGGCGGCCGCTCCAGTCAGCATAAAACTACAGGGACTAGGGTGAGTGCCAGCATAGCAGGCAGTCAGTCACTCCCCACGCACCTTCTCCAGTGGCCTATAGAGCAGCGCGCCAATCGCTACAGTGCCCACGACATTAACCAGCCAGCGGACAATGCCGATCTTCGATTCCTTCTTCGGGGCTTCTTCCTTGGCTTGAGCTGCGTCCGTTTTTGCGTTTTTGGCCAGCTTCTCCATCCTCTTGCGGAGTCGCGTGCCGCCAGCGTCTGCCATGGTGATTTCAATGGCAGTCCGGACGTGTTAGTTGTGATCAGGAAGCTGAGGGACGTGTCATGGCGTCAATTGATAGCGAGTCGCGTGGGCGGCAATCAAAGCTTGTGCTTCCGAGCCGAGCGGGGATAAGTGCCGCAATTGTCGATACTCAGGCCGGAAAGTGGTCGTGTGGGTGGCTAGTAAGATACTCAAAATACACAACGTACATCAATAGAATACACAGCCCTGTTCATGTCCGTGACCAACGCCCCTCACGTTCGCGAAGTAGTAAATCAGTAGTCCGTGTCTCCCCATGCTTCGTCTCCCTCTGCTGGCGGCTCTGGCATGGTCCAACCAAAAAGACGATCATCTAACCACGACATAGGGTCATCCAAGATGCTTGCCTCTTCATTCTTCGCCAGACCACCTTTCCTCTGGCGCAATGCATGGGACCCATCCTTCGCGGAGGGGTCGACGATCCTCGTCTGTGATAGCATGGTAAGCAAATGAAGTCGTGATGAACTGAGCGAAGGGCACCCACCTTCTTGAAGTTGTCATATATCTGTGGTCCAAGTTCATCAACCACGTCCGTGAGTCGTTTCGACAGTTCTTCCCGCGTCCGCTTCAATTTCAAGAGCGCCTTCTGCTGTCCTGGCACGAGTGCAACGATCAAGGGAGGAAGCGATCTACAGCAAGAATCAGCGAATTGCTCCGGGATTAAACACGACCCGTCATACTTCAAAACGTCCATTCCAGCTTCACCAAACCTCAACGCGGCAAAGTTCATGAGTGGTAAAACAGTAAAAGTGATAAAGGGGGTCGCAATAATCCATGGTCGGGTGGCACCTGCTCGTACAGCGAGCCACGTTCCCAAAATGGCGTATATGGTGTACAAGACGGGCACAACGGCGGCAGCGACTAGCACCTTCCAGGTTGCTAGTACGTCCTTAGCCTCGATCTTGACTTGCGAAGCCGCCAGCGCCTCTGGGAGCGTTCAGGATTGCGATGAAAGAGAGTGCAGAGCGACTAACCCTTTGACTTCTTCGCAGAGATGACCGAGGCCAAGATGAATATAGGCGAATTCAACGCTGTCCCCGGAAGGGCCAACACAGCCCAGACCGAAAGGAGGATGGTTCGGTACACCAGCAGAACAGCCGCCTTCGACGAGTTCTTCTCCGCGCGCGGCACCTGGTGATCACGCAGGCCGAACCGTCTGAGCTTCGTGTTGTAGTCCAATATATCTTTGCGTAGTTGCTGAATGCGCGGCTCGTCCTCGAAGTGGAAGTACGCTTCGAGTAGCCTGCGACTGAGCTTCACGACTTGGTCAATGGAGAGGTGCTGCCCTGGCTGCAGGTAAAGTCTACGCGCCGCTTGTATGACCTATCGAGATGTTAGCGCCCCGTGAGTTCGCCAGCAAGGTGTTTACCTGAAGGGTCTCATAGTCCGGCGCCCGGATCGTCACCGCCTTCAGCGAGTCGACAACATCCTCCACCAGCTTCCCAACCGCCTCCCGCTTCTCCGCACCACCCCGCTTGAACTTCTCCACGTATTCCGGTGGCACATCCAACGGGTGTCCGAAGTCGATGACAGCGCGCGAGCGGAAGCGATGCGCGTGAAAGTAATACATTCCGGCTGGCTGGATTTTCACCTGCAATCCCGGGTTATTGGCCATGGCGCCGAGAGCCATCAGCGCGAAACCCGCTTTGAACGGCAGGAAGTCGGTTCGGTCGTGGCTACCACCTGCGTTGGATGAGTCTCAACGCGTAGAACGTACAGAATGACTTACCTTCGGGGAATATGATGATCCCGCCTCCGTCGTCGAGCTGATGATACACCTGCCTGAACATGTCCTCCTGGCTCACATATGGCACGCATTTGTACGCAAAACCGTCCGCGCCCTCCTTGCGGAGCTGTTCTAGCGCCTCCAGCACTTGCGCAGTCCCAACGTTATCTTCCCCTTTCAGCTCGCGCTTGATCAGTAGCTCAGTGTCCGAGATGACTTCGACAACCTCGGACGATGCGTAGCCGATGTCTTTCGGAAGCGTGATTGTCATGCGAGGGGAGAATACGGAGGTGAATCGTGTGCCCTTGCCGATGATACGACACGGGTCGTCGGCAGATAACGAGACGGTACCAGCTCCCGGTTTGGCATCGTCCTGAGCGCGAGCGACGGGGACTGCACAGGATTCAATGAGTAATCCGCGTCCGCTTAACAGACTCAACTCACTGTTGTGCAAGGCCCTTGCCATGAAGCCGATGAATCTACGCTTCATACTGGCTGCTGCAATCAAGAATTGTGCCCGTCGTCGTGTCTCCTTGTATATCTCAAGACCAAGTAGGAGGTCTAGAAACTGAGACGCAACGACCTTAGGATGGTGCACTGCTAGGGCAAGCTAGACGTTCTCACTGACCTGGTTACTATGAGGTGCCGCAACGAATATGACTGGTCCATGGCGGGGGATATGGTGCGAGCCGCGTGTCCTGACCTCACGAAAGAAAACCTGCGATACCAAGTCGAACATCATCATTGCAAAGTCATAGCTGAGGTTCGACATCGTTGTACTGGGCACCTGGAATGTTGGAGGGCACAGATGATGTGGGTAGAACGAAATTTGGGAACGGGAGAGATGAGAGTTGAGGACAACGAGAAGATTGACGAAGGATGACGTTGGGGTCGGCCTTGTGGTGGACGCGGTCCGAATTTCCGATGTCCCGATTGGGATGAATTGCACTGAGTCCCTCTTTTGTATGTTGACAGACCACTTATCGGTACCTCTAGCAAAGCCTCAAAGCATAACGGCAGCAGATAGAAGCATGATAATATACGGCAGTGCAGATTGGTCAGAATGAAACAAGCCTGAATGTGTTTTTTATCGACTGAAGTTCTGCAATCTGCCTTCGCAGAACATGGTACTATAGTGTAGAGGTTATCACTCAGGATTTTGACATACCAGGGTTCGAATCCCGGTCTTCATCCTTCCTGAAACCCAGGTTCGAACCCTGGTAGTACCTTTTTCTACTCCGTGATACTCTTACAATAAGGCGAGGAAGGCAGGGGAGGTGAACGAGAGCACGGAAGATGCGCGGGATGGGGGGACGAGGAGTATTTACTGTCGTTTACTGCGTGACTGTTGACATGTGACGTAACGCGTATGTTGGCGCCACTCACTGACAGGCTCCTTATCTCTATGCGTTGCGGCACTGAAGCCAAAATGTCCACCAGCACTGCACATGTTGCCATTCCGACCACCCCTCCGTCGTCGTCGCGGCTCATGCAGTCGCGGCGACCGCCCTACCAACCTCTGAACTCGTCACCGCTTGCGAATAACGCCGAACTCCCCTCCTTTGGCCATTGTTCAGGACGGAGGAGATCGCAGTACAAAGCAACTGGTCCGACTACGCCTTCAAACTCACGAACTCCCCTTCCGCCCAGTGCTAGCGGTGGCGGCTCGGTGTTCCTGTCTGGTGGCAGTGGGAGCCGGAAGCTGTTCGTCAACTCGTCCCCAAGCGAAGACCCTCAGAAGACCTTCCTGCGGGATCGCTTCAAGGCAAAGTGCCTCGAGCGTGCCGCTCAAGCGAGACGACGGTCCATCAACAAGCGTCGCTATGCGTCTAGTGAACCAAGCAGCGACGGGTTCGACCTCGACATGGACATGGACGATGGTGAGGACGAAGAAGACGAGGAAATTATGAATGATGAGGTGCGTTTCGCGCCATGCACAGTGTGCGTATGGCTAACGGTCTCCAGTTCTTCCGCCGCGTCGTCGCTTTCGACAACTGCAAGGACAAGCGGTCGTTCGATCGCTGGTATGCTCGCGAGTTTGGCAGCGACGATCCCCACGCCATGGAGCGGTGGGCAGAGGAAGAAGCTGGTGCGTGGGCTGCTCTATGATATTCGTTCTCCTATTCACGGATTCGTAGAAGCCGCCGCCAACGCACCGGAAGAGGAGCTCACACCGGAGGACCTCGAACAAGCCGAATTGGAGGCTTACGCAGAAGAGCTTGCCAACCAGGGTGGCTGGGACGACGACCTCCCTACCGAGCACCCGTCTTCCGACGCAGATATGATCCACGATATGGACATGGACGTCGACATGGACTTCTGAACCTCTCCACATAGATAATCTTATGCCTATTGCGCTACCTTGGTATCCTGCGTTCACGCTGCTCTTGCTGCATATAGGGGCAAATCCCAATGTACTATATCTCTGTCCTCTGTTCATCATTCCAGCTCAATATACAAACTACCAGATGTTCCCGCAGCCGCCAACGTCTTCTGAACCGAGTGTGTTAAACCCTTGCCTTGATCGAGCGCGACACGGTCGCGTGAAAATATATGGACGCGTCAAGTCGCGTCACGCGCAGCTGTTTCACTGTTGTCTTTCGCTACCATGGCCGCGTCCATCCCTGCCGGCTTCCAGGCTCTTCCCCTTCCTATAATCCAGCTCTCCCTTGCTGCAGTACTTAAATGCGGCCAATCCTTTCGCTGGTCAATCTTGGAGTTGCCATCAGACTCAGCCGCGTCTGCGTGCCACCTCCCCCACGAATACCGTCTCTGCCTGAAAGACCGTGTCGTATGCCTGAGGCAATCCACTGACCACCTCTTCTACTGCTCTGTCTTCCCGCAAGCTACACCCACGGACACCGCATCGAAGCTCAAGGACGCGGAGACCTTGCTTTGGCTAAGGGACTACTTCCAGCTAGATGTGGACCTGGTGAAGCTATACCGTGAATGGGCTGAGCGGGACCCTGTGTTCTTGAAGATACAGGATAGATTTGCGGGCATCCGTATGTTGCGCCAGGATCCTTGGGAGAACCTCGTCTCGTACGTCTGCCCTCAACCATTCCCCCGCCTCGTACTATAACCATTTCCCTTCCCAGATTCATCTGCTCCTCTAACAACAACATCAGCCGCATCACCAAGATGGTGCAAAACCTCTGCAGAGAATACTCCCCTCCCCTGCTCTCCCTACCCAACGCGCTTGGCGAGCTAGAGACCTATCATCCATTCCCTCCGCCCTCTGCTTTAGCTGAACCAGAGGTGGCGACACGCTTGCGCGCACTTGGCTTCGGCTATCGCGCGGACTTCATTCACAAGACGGCGAAGATGCTCGTCGATGCGCACGGGGAAGATCCTGCGGCTGCAGACCGGTGGCTGGGCGGGTTGCGGACCAGATCGACGAACGAGGCTCGGGAAGAGTTGCTGAAGTTCATGGGCGTGGGGAGGAAGGTTGCCGATTGCGTACTGCTTATGAGTTTGGACAAGGTGAGCAGGTACACGTCTTGGGAGACTTCGACTAACGAAGATCACAGCGCGAAGTCATCCCTGTCGACACGCACGTCCACCAGATAGCTGCCAAGCACTATGGCTTGAAGGTGGGCGGGAAGTCAACGAACGGCAAAGTCCCTATGACGCCGAAGATCTACGACGAGGTGAACACCAAGCTCGTCGGCATCTGGGGAGAGTATGCTGGTTGGGCGCACTCGGTAAGGTCATTGCACTTCTACATCCGTCCGTCGACCAACCGGCATGTGCATAGGTGCTCTTCACATCTGATTTACGTGCCTTCGCAATGTACGGGCTTGAAACGCCCACGCCAACGAAGGGGAAGGCGCTACTCGATGCCCCATTGCCAACACCGCCTATCACGCCTTCCCCGGCGCCCGCTGGTAGGAAAACGAAGCGGAAGGCAGTTGACGAAGTACCTGCGCCATCCGACTACTTCGCCGTCAAGACAGAAGAGACTTCGGCGTCTTTGGCAGAGGACTCTTCGCTATCACTGGCCGAGCGCATCAAGACGAGGAAGCGCAAGCGTGTCGAGCGAACCTAAAGTCCTTTTGCAACTCTGTCCTATACTGTACAACCTGTATACCCACAATCAATCCTCGTATCTTGGAGGTGGTTTCCGCTTCGATGACGGCGCTTTTGGCTTCGGTCCCTTCTCGTCAATGGATGCCCATTCGTTCTCCTCCTTCGGCGGCCCCTGCTGCACGATCCTCTCCGCCTCCTCTTGCGTCATATCCTCGTCCTCCTTGCTCAACTGATCCGCCACCTCCTTCAACTGCTTCGCAACCTCCACCTCAATAACCCCCGGCGCCCCACAATCCAACAAGCGCTTCCCAATCAGCCCCCGCCACTTCGTATGCCCATTCACCTCCTCGCAGAACACGTTTTCCACACCCTTCACCTGCACCGGCTGCAGGCCTGCGATCTCCCACTGCCCGCTCGACGCACGCGATAGCACCGCGAGCACGTAGTCGTTCGCGGAGTGCCCATTCACCACGCGTCCGGCGACCAGGCGCCGGATGCCCGTCCAGACGGCGGGGTCCCCGCTCACGGGCGTCCCGAAGAGGAAGACGTCCTGGATGAGGTGCCCGGTGTCCTGGGGTGGGAACTGCGCGAGGCGTTTGAGGGCCTGGAAGATGACACGGGCGCCGAGGGAGTAGCCGACGAGGGTGATGGGACGTCTGCCGAACACGCGCTGGGCGAGGAGGTCGGCGAGGACGAGGCCGGTTTTGTCGGCGAGAGCGGTGGCGTTCATCCAGGGGTTGTCGATGATCTGGGGAGGGGGGGTGAGTGGAATGGAGTGTAGGAGACGAAGGAGGCTCACCTGTCCGATTTTGAGCCAGGCGATGGGTGCGAGGCTGTACATGAGGTTGGCGAGGACGGTGCGCTTGATGATTTCGGCTTTTACATATTTTAGGCTGTAGCTTTTGACCAGGGTATACAGTGCGTTCGACAGTTCTTCTAGCGCTTGCACTTCCTAAACAAGGACATCAGCTACATGGTCCATGAGAAATATGCGAATACGAACCCATTGCAGAGCAAACGTGTCATCACCGCCGAAAACAGTCCACGGCGCCGTCACGTCGTCCGGGGTTGTCAGCCAACCGGTAATGCACAAGCGTACGGCCATCGTATCGTGCACATTGCGCGGCCTCACAGGCTTGATGGCGAGATCAGTGATCTCCTTCGTATGCCTCCCGACCATGTCCGCGGTGGACTTCGCGCCATAGGCGCCGAACAGTGCCCCGCATACGACTGAGGACCCGGCAAGTCCACTAGCAAGGAGCCCAGCTGCGGTGCCTCCGACGCCGACCCAGCCGAGTATCGTCGTTACTCCAGCGCCAACCAGAGGTGCAGCGAGGCCGCCAGTGACGCCAACGAGGACCCCGCCGCCTACTGCAGCAAGTCCAAGACCGACCCGACGGAAGATCTTGCGGTTGTCAGCGTGCTCATTCTTCGTCTTCTCAGCGGCGTCCTGAGCCTTCTTGATAGCGGTGTCCGGGTCCTTCAGAGTGGCAACGATAGCCTCTTCGTTCAGAGGACCGAATTCAGAGAGAAACCTGCGGGTTCGTGCCGAGTATTCCTTGTGCGTCGTGACCAGGAGCAACAGAATGCTGTTCATGATCTTCTCAAGGTAGCGTTTGTCCGGCAGAGGTGGCAGTCTGCCAGTAGATGTCTCTGCTAGTCGGTCCAGCTCGGGGCTGTCTTCTGCGAACTAGGCCTCAGCCTACGCGCACATGAAGGCGCTGCTGGGTCTTCATTCACCTGTCGGTTTCTCTGGATGGCAGGCGATCCACGCTTGGTCGACTATCGTTTGAGCCCACTTATCTATGTTCTCGCTGAAGGCGTCCTTCCGTTTCGTCTTCATATCTTCCGAGCCGGATGCGAGCATGCACTCGAGCTCGGCGTACATAAGCGCCTCATTGCGATACGCTGCCAATCGGCGAAAGATGTGCTGAAAGACGTTATCCAACTCGTCCTCAGAGAGCTCAGCTGACGAGAAGTTCGTCAGGTCGGGCGACTTGGTGGACATCGCCGTGGTGGAAGTTGCTGGACGAGGAGAAGATGTTCTCGACATACGCCACATCACTCATGACGACATGCATCACCGCTTTCGGCATTGCCCTTGTTCTCCGGAAAAGGTAATTTCAGAACTTGCTCGATTCCATCATGTCGTTCAGCAATCTCCGTGCTGCACGCAAGGCTAAAGACGCCAGATCTTTTGCTACGAATCCACAAGTGCATAGCGCTGCCCAGGAGACATCGGTAAATCCAGAGCCTACCACTGTCGAGAATGCCGATGTCCATATGCAATTCCAAGATGAGTCTTCGCCGGACGTAGAAGCTGCACTGCAGAACTTGCACGGGATACCTGAGTATCTCTATATACGAAGCAGTCCGAGCGAGGGACGCGGTCTGTGGGCCAAGCAGCCCATCAAGCGGGGTGAGCCTTTTGCCATGCCCTCATCGACTGGAGTTGACAGAATTTCAGGGACCGTGATCATCGCGGTCAAACCACACGTATCCGTCCTTACCACGCAGAACTTGGCCTCGTACTGCTCGAATTGCTTCGAAGAGGCACCCGAAGCTGGACTGAAGCGTTGTGCGCATTGCCGTGTCGTCCATTACTGTAATTCTGTCAGTAACAAACACTTCATCTCGCCGTTTCGCTCACTCACGCGAGAACAGGAATGTCAGAACAAGGATTGGGCCACTCACAAACGTGAGTGCACTGCGCTACAGGAATGGGCGAAGCATGCACCGGCTGCTGAGGTGTCCGTACCTTCGGACGCCGTGAGGTGCCTCGGGCGATTGCTCTGGAAGAGGCAGAAGAAAGGGTTGGATAGCACATGGGTATGCGACTGAACAGTGTGCATCTTCTACAGTCTGACCCGTGTATAGGCTCAACAAATCGCGGCGATGCAGTCCAGTAGGTAAATGGCCTCGTACTCTGACAGGAAACTCAGTCTGCTAGACAGGAAATCCTTGCAGCCTTCCGGCTACGAATTTCACACTCACCTCTCGCACTCCTTGGTGCGGTACCTTGGTTTATCGTCTCCGGACGGGCTTCAAGATTTCGGCATCAGCTCACCGGGCGATCTGCTTGACCTGACCTCTCGTGTATGTGCGCCGATTTTCTCTGCGCCTGCATGCTGCGACTGACCCTAGACTCGCAGTTCGCAACGAACTCGTACTCGGTGACTACTCCGGATCTCACGCCCATTGGCGCCTGCGTTTCGCCGCTGGTCTCGCTCGTCAATCATTCTTGCTCGCCCAATGCTGCCACTGTGTTTCCGCGCGCTTCGAAAACACCGTCTACGGACGAGCCACTGATCTCAGTCGTGGCAATCCGAGATATACAGCCTGATGAGCAGGCAGGTATTCTCCTTCTCACCAAAGGTCGACCTACTGATTTTCTTACTCAGATATTCACGTCGTACATCGACACCACCCTCCCGCGAGCTCTGCGGAGACGTGAGCTGCAGGAGGGGTACAATTTCCTCTGCAAGTGCTCTCTATGCAAGACGCCGCCGCCAGTAGACGCAAGGGAAGCTTTGTGGTGCCCGAAGTCGTGCGGAGGCATGTGCCCCTTGCCAATCGAAGGTCCGTTACGACCGTGAATACCTATTGCCTCTGCTTATCACTCTCGATAGAGAACCCTCTTGCTCAATGCGCGAACTGTAAGGCTGTAGTGAAAGACACCGATGCTGTTCTGGACGCTACCAGAGTCGGGCAGGAGGGGCTGAATAAGGCTACCGCTCTTCAGAGCAAAGGTAGGCGAGTCAGAGATATTCATCGTCTGGACTCACGATTCCCTCAGACCCAGCCAAAGCCATTCAGCTCACGACGAACCTAATACCCATTCTGGTATCCGCTCAGCTCGTGCCCTCGTCCCATCCGCTGCTTGGTCTCTCGCGCCTGCACCAATCCCTCCTTATAAGCGCGTTCTCGGCATCGCCCTCTCAGGACATCCTCGACGAAGCCATCCGCACCGCGGCGAGGGACACAAAAGGCCTCTCCATGATCCTCACCGAGGGGCACCCTGTCCGCGGCGTCGCACTTGCTGAGTTTGGAAAGCTCCTCGCAGTAGACGAGATGGAGGCCAAGCCGGCAAACACGCTCACGGACGGCCTCCCTCGCCCCGACGCCTTCCCTCCAACCGGTCCCCCGCGGCTCAAGCTTGCCTACGAAACACTCCTGCGCGCCCGGGAGGAGCTGCTTATCGGGTTTGGGCGCACGAATGAAGGAGGCAAGGTCGGGCGCTCGGTGCGCGATGCGCTGGCCGCGCTGGAGAAGGAAATGGAGGTGTGGAGAGACGGAGTCAGAAACGCACTGAACGACACGCCGAAGAGGGCGTGATGTTGGTACGATGCCTGATCCCCAGAGCGATAGGTGTGTCTGTATGTGCGCGCTTGTAACGTCTTACCGCTCCTTGTATGGAGTCACCATGTCGTATGGTCTCGCTGTGCAATGGTCGATCGCGGATCTCAACATACGGCAGCGGTGGAACGGCATAGCGCAGCAGGGTATGCCGATGGGTGCCGCTGGCTTAAGCGCCCGTTGTGGTAGCCTTGGCCGCGGGTTAGGTCCGGCCAGGTGATCGAGTCAAGCCTATACGCAGGGTTCCATGCGAAGATCGCGGGACTCGCTGACTGAGCAGTCAAAAGTGACTCGGAGAGTCATCATATTAAATGGCGCTCACTCATATGAGAACTCACCTTCCCTTCACACCCTTGTTCCCCGAATCAGGCATACCTGGAACATGCAGGGAAACCTAGACGTCACAGCTGCCTCTGTCGAGCCGCTTGCTTCTACGCAGAGTAGCGAGGCTCGGCAAGTCCCTCGGGTGGACTTTCAACACCTGCGCCACCACCTCAACAAGCTGTCGCGCTCGAGGGCCCCTAGTCCACTGAAGGACATCTTCAGGTATATGGGCCTCGACGGCATGCTTAGTCTCGCTGGAGGTCGGTGCAGCTTCGCCGTTTGCTACATACTCTTGTTCATCGGGAGACAGGGCTTCCTCATCCCGAAATGTTCCCCTTCCTGTCAATGAACGTCTCTGCATACGACTCCGACACGCGACTGGCAACCACTTCTGATATCGCCTCTATTCGGACAACTGATGTTACTGTACCAAAGAATGCGGATGGGCTGCATAGCACCAACCTGGCAACTACACTCCAGTACGGTAAGGTCTCCGCCTACTAACTCCGTCCATGTCCATGACTCATGTACATGCAGGCGACGCCAGAGGCCTTGCCGCTCTGACGAGCACGATCAAGCGGTTCGTCGAGAGGCTTTACAAGCCCGCCTACAGCAACTACGAGATAGTTCTGTCGCACGGCAGTACAGACGCCTGGAATAAGGTCGTCTCGCTCTTCGTCGAGTTTGGAGATACCATACTTGTCGAGGGGCAAACCTATCCTTCTAGCCAAACTGTCTGGATCCCTATGGGCTGCGTCAGCGCTCCGGTGACGCTCGACAAGGACGGTATAGTGCCCGATGCGTTGGATGAACTGCTCGTGAACTGGGAGAGGACCCATCCCGAACAGAAGAAGCCGCGCCTTTTATACTGCATTCCCGCAGGACAGAACCCGGTACGTAAGCTTGGCATTGTTCATAAGCACCTCCCGAAGACTGACGCGCGCGCATCGACAGACGGGCTCCACTCTCACCGCCGAGCGCAAAGCAAAGATTTACGAGATCTGCGTGCGCCACGACATCATCATATGCGAAGACGACCCATACTATTTCTTGCAATTCCCAACCTACGATCCGCAGGCGCGAAGTGGACCGCCGGCAGACGCGGATGCGCCAGTCAACATTCCTGCCTTCCTCGAGTCGCTCGAACCGTCCTTCCTGAAGTATGACTACGACGGGCGAGTGGTCAGGCTTGACACCTTCAGCAAGGTCAGTCCGTCTTGCCTAGCGATGTTCGTAGCATCGCGGCTGATGAAACGCGATGCAGACGCTTGCCCCCGGCTTCCGCGTCGGTTGGGTCGTCGCGAACTCCTTGTTCTCGGAGCGGCTCATCCGAGCGAACGAGGCGCTCACTCAGACGCCTTCTGGATGGAGCCAGGTTAGTCTGTAGCTTCATACAAGGTGACCATGAGCTTACACTGCATCACGTCCGAAAGGCAATCGTGACGGAGTTACTGGCCACCTGGGGCGATGACGGTTACTTGACCTGGGTCAAACATCTGCGTGATACATACACTGCTCGACGCAACTGGATGGTGAGTGATTCCGGCAATTCGCTGCTCGTCCGGTTGACCTAAGTGGTCCATAGTGCGGTTTCCTAGACAGATACTTCGACGTCGACTGGAACTCTATGTCAGCCGACGGTGTCCCGGTGTATCTCAAGCAAACTACCGGGCGCTGTCAGGGACCCGTCATCTTCAAGTTCGTCCCTCCGAGGGTGAGTGCAAGCTTCCATCCGCCATATATGGTACTCACGTTGAATCAGGCCGGCATGTTCGTGTGGCTGACCATTCCACTCGACGGTAACGCCCACTTCCAACGAATCTTGGCGTCATCGGATGGCGGATCGGACGCGCAGTCGCCCGAGGCTAAGTGGACGACAGAGGTCTGGGAGAAGCTTGCAGAGGCCCGGGTCCTTCTGACTCCCGGCACCTACTACACGCCTTGGCAAGGACATGAGAAGGCGGGGCAGTCAGATACCCCTGGGGTCGCCTTCTTCCGCATGTCCTTCTCCTTGATGACGGTGAGCCTATCCATCATGGTAGCGAATCCTCTCCTAATCATGCGTTGTGACAGAGGGACAACATGGACGAAGCCATCCAGCGCGTAGAGAGAGTCTTCAGAGAGGAATGGACAACGTGATCAAGGTCTTGACGAAGGACACGCTTCAACAGCGCAATGTAGCCCGAGAACCATAGCAAATTACGACCAGCCCAAATACAGTACCAGTAAATACCCGAAATCTATATACTGTACAGTTGAAGTACAGGTTAGCTAATGTAGTCCGCTGTCAAAATATTAGAAGAAGTTTAATCCAGCTTCAGCCGGCCAGTTCGGCAAGTTGTCAAGGTCCTGCAACATATGTTCAGTGAGGCGAAGGTACGAAAGATCTCGAGGTTCCTCACCGCATTCTCCTTGGACGAGCAATGCTCCGCTAACAGTCGGTTCCAGTCCACGCTCGACCCAAACAGTGGGCTGCCGAGGTAAGGCGGCTCCCCAAAGACGAACTCACCATCACTCGGCGACGTCGAAAACGCCGAAGACGGTTCGTAAGTTACGTGCAGCAACGGCGATATGTCGAGGGCAGAAAGTTCGGTCTCAACCTTCACGGGCGCCTTGTCCTCCGAAATTGCATTACTCGACGGCTTGGTCTTGTCCAGCTGATTGCGCAGCGCTACGACGGACTTCTGAATACCCGGCAGGTCGTACTTGCAGCCCACAGCGAGGACTCGAAGGGTGAGCTCCAGACGCGAACGCGCAGCAGCCGCAACCGAGGTGTCTTCGTCCGTGATTAGGTCCATGTCGATGGTGGCGGAGCAGAAGGCGGCATAGATGATAAGATAGAAAATGCGCGAAAGCGGATAGTTCGACTCGTAAAGTCGCAACAAAAAGTGAATGTCGGTTGCAGACTTTTGGCAAGCGGTCGTCGAGTGAGGGATGGCGGTAGCGGAGTCCTCCTCTGTAAGGAAAGGGCGATAGAGGAGGATCCAGGTGGTGTGAACGAGAAGGCTAAGGAACAGAGTGTCAGTCGATAAAGGGAACTGCTACCAGCAGGCGTACTTGAACTCGATTATGTGAGGTGGGGGAACAGGTAGCTCTGGAATGTCCTCCGTATCCAGCAGGATCTCCGGCGGCACCGAACCTTGCCAGCCGATGATACGGTCGCGAATGTCGAGCACGAAGGAGCGCGTCTGCAGAGGCCTTCGTTCTCGATGCTCGTATATCTCTTCGATGATCTCGTCCAGGAACTGAAGCGCGTCAGTGACAGCGAGGAGCGTTTGCTTGACTCTGCATACCTGGTAAGCAAGGCAGACGCTATAAGAATCGTCAGTTAAGACGCCAAGGTAGTCACGATGAACACGCACTGATAGAAGGTAGTCATCTCGTTGCTTGGCGGAAATACAGGAGGGATGTGGACCCGCTGAGTCGCCTTTTGGAACGGCGTGTAGAAGGGCTTCCACGCGTTTACTGGATCGTCCAGAACTATGAAGCGGGTTGAGCGACACGATAGGGATACGAGAGACTATCCAAACACCTGAGAAGTCTGGAGGAGGCGTCTTCGTCCTGAGCGTAGGCTTCCTGCTCATAGCAAGCGAGAGGGACCTACGGACGGATCAGTGTTGTGGGGATTGTGTGTAAAGCTTGACGTACTTGTCCCAAACGTATGCAGTCCAGTATACTCGCTGTCGTGACAGGACTTCGGCGGCGTCCATGTCGGCGGAAGGAACCATGTCGGCAGTACACCCCAAGTCACCAAACAGCCTGACAGCGAGGCCGGTGATGTTCCATGATTGCGAGTACGACCCTTGCGTGGCGAGGTTTGCGGCGAGCAGAATCAACCCTGAAGGAATGGTGAATCAACTTCTACAAGGGTGTGATTAAGAGTACCAACCTTGCGCCGTTGCGAACGAACTAGGCTTACATAGTTCGGCGGCGAGCAGGATGTGGGCTTTTATCTGAGGGCAGTTAAGAACGATGCTGAGCGTGTTGACCACCGGTACTGACCGAGAAGTCGTCGGTTCGCGACTGTAGCTCTGGGAGGTGTCGCGAAGCCACCGCGTACAGTGAGCAGAGCAAGAACTCTGAGCAAAACTGCTCGTCGATGTTTTGTATGCTCACTAAGGAGTTGTCAGCGACGAGTTCGGGTCGTAAGATGTTGATGACTCACTCTCGAGGATGGGTCGGGAAAGAATCATGTATCGAGGGTTCTGCCAGCTTGGGGAGGTCATCAATAGGTGAGCAGGAATGTAGAGACTGCCAACGTACCAAAAGTAGCTGTCAAGCATGAGGCGAGCCTCGTCCACTGTCGGAGGACCCAGGTTCGCCGACCCAGCGCAGGCGAAGTCGATGAGGCGGGCCAACGTCTGATCGTACTGGTTGTCGATGGAAGGGAGCACCGGCCGATGGTTGTGGTCGGCGACGATGAGTCCGTGCATCGTCGGCGCAATGTCCTTCTCCGGGTGGACTTCCCCCACAGGTGACTATGCGGAGATCAGACCCATGATCGTCCATCTGATCGGCGGGGGACTTCACCTCTGGGTGCTCGGACGTGTTGTGCTCATCGGTGGTGCTCATGATCGTCGAGATGCTGTCGCGGCGAGCTCGCTTGGTGGGGCGGTCGCTCCCGCTACCCCGCGATGAGGACATCCCGCTCTCCTCTTGCTTGGTGATCCACTTGCTCAACATGCGCTCCCTGTCGTCGTCGCTCGCGCGGGCGAGGCCGAAGAGTAGCTCCTTGCATGTCTCGAGCTCTGAGTACGCACGCCCGATGCGCGAGGCCTCACCGGAGCGACTGCGCAGTTGTTAGATCGAGGGGCAAGTCGATGAGACTGCGCTGATGGACTCACGGCGGGAAGACGCAGGGAATCCCTGCTTGTGGACAGTACTTGCAGAGCGAGACGCCGTTGGCACCCTTGCCATCGCAGCGACGCTTTCGTCGTCTGCACGCCTATAGGGGGGACGTGAGCAATGACCTCCGCGATCTGTAAGCAGACGTACCTCACACGACGCGCCGTAGCGCCGTTTGGCGGGTTTCGAAGGCGGCGGAGTCTGCGCCACCGAAGCAGGATGCTCCTGCACGTCGGCCATGTTGCTTGATGAAGATAGGTTTTTGAAGCGCTTGAAGTTGGGAGGACGCAGGAGAGAAGGTGGGATGCATCGTGATGAGGGGGTAGTCAGTATAAACGTTTGAAATCGCCCAAGACAGTCGGCAAAGCCGATGTTACCGCCTGTGGGATGGAGAAGACGGGCCCTGGGTGGCGGTGCCCGATGCCCCGAGAGGACAATGGCCCTGCCCTGGCGGAAAGGGGTAATCGGCGAACATTCGGTGTCTTGACTCTTATCCTTCCTTATCTCTCCTCGGGTCGGTCCCTCGACCGATCGCGGGGCCCCCGGACACAAATAATCCCTTCCTCCGCTTGCCCTGTGTGCGGCCGCCTTTCACTAAGGTTATGAGGGTCAGTCCAAAGAGCGAATAGATGCATTTTTAGTACTGTAGCATGAAAGTCATGGATAGTTGTCCGTTGAGTACAAGTGAATAGTCCGTGGACGGTACAATGGTACACGCAGCAAATGCGATAACGAGAGCACACCTCGTTACATTACGAGGCGATAGGCCTTACGATGAACCGTCAAGCAGTCCTCCCAAGTCATTTATATCGATCCCAGCCGCCTTGAGCAGTTCCTACGCGAGGTTAAGCGATCAAGCACTTCGTGAAAGTGATTACTCGCTCACCTCTAGATCGCCGCTGTTGGACGTATCGATTGGGCAAGCGAACGAGTAGGAATTGGAGATGGAAGGCGAGACGTTGATGAACAGGAAGCGGACGCCAATCTGTCCGTCAAGCGAATGAGCGAGCTGCAAGTAATCAAATCGAAGTCTTACCTTGATCGTGTAGTCCACCGTGATGTCGCTCGTTGACCCACCCAGCCCGCACTTGGAGGCTAGGTCCTTGAGGATCGTGTAGTTCGGGTCATCCGTCAACTTGTAGTCGATGGAGAACGGGAACTTGATGTCCTTCGTGGAGTGCGAGGGGAAGTCGACGTCGTCAAGGGTGCCACCGCCGACATCCTCCTTCTCGCCGTTGATGGGATATTTGAGCTGCCAAACTCAGTAAGCTTCCGCCGATGAAATTTGATCAGAGTGCCTCTCACAGTCGCTTTGACATTGTTCAGCGCCACTGAAAAGTAGTTGGGGTTGGTGACACTGCGCTGGATGAGTACTCAATTTGGTAGCTATCTTGTACCTCACTCACGAAATATTGACAGCAAGATTGATCTTCAGGCCGTCGGAGGAGAACTGGACCTTCATTGCGATGTCAGCTTCGCAGATGCGATGTGCACTTCGTTCGTACGTACTACACTCCCGCCACTGCCAGACGTTGTGTCCAGGTCACCAACTACAACGTTAGGTGGCCGCACCCACTATTCAATTGATCTCGTCAGCACGATTGCAAGACAAGGTTACAAAGACCATGCACCAGAGCGAGTGCCAACAAGATGCTCAGGATGAGGAAGACAGCAGTCATGAGCGTGCAGCAGCAGAACCGGCCGACGCATCGCCCTCGTCCGCCCTAGAGTTGGTCGCATCAGCTTGCACGCGAGTGAGAAGTAATCGAGAAGTACCGACCTTCGTCCACATACTGCCATCGGTGTCTCCGTACCGCTTCCTTGGCCTGCTGAGCGGTCAGCCTCAACTCACTTGCCCGACATGTTTACGCACTTCTCATTCGTGAACTCGTCACGGTCGAACCCGCTTCGCTGGTCCTCGTCCTTGGGTGGCGGAACTGGCGCTCCCGAATAGGTGTGCTGGTGGGTAGCCTGCGCATTGGGATCGAACGGCTCGTCCCGGTATCCCTCAGCCCCATAATTCCCGTACGTCTCGTAGCCGCCCTGCTCGTAGGTCGGATGCGGCTGCGCAGTGCCAGAATAAGGATTGTAGTCTTCCGAGGCGTTGTAACGATGTCCAGCGTAGGGGTCGCGGTAAGACATGATGATGAAGCAACTAGCGGATAGCGAGAGTCTATGGAGGAGGTCTGGACGGTACACGCGGTGACGGCGAGAGGCAAGAGAACGTTGTGACGCTGGTGGCGATGACGACTGCGGGACTGCACCGGTTCTTCGGAGATTTCGATCCGGGTGGCTGTGGGGAAGATCAGTCGCACACGTGGGATGGACCCACAACTCGATAACACGCTGAAGAATACCAGCCTGAGCGACTCCGCAGCAAATTCAAGCCTTGCTTGCATAATCAGTATCAGTCGAGGTGGGTAGAGGTCATTTGAGGTCGATTTTGTCCCCCATTGAACCAAGGAAATGTACACAAGGACCCGGTAAGTAGACAAGAGCACAAGAAGCGGATCGTATCCTACCCCCCACCTGGCACAAACGGCATCCTCTGCCCGCCCCCACCTCCGTTCCCTTGCATTGTTCTCTGCGGCTGCCGTGCCGACCCCGGCACACCCGCAGGAACGAACCGCCCCCTACTCGGCGTAGGCGGCACGAAGCGACGATTAGCAGACGGCGTAGCGCCCGGTCCCAGACGCTGTACGGTACCAGGCGGCGGCGGTGGCATGAAACGATTCGAGTTGGGCGCGGAAGTATTTTGCGGACGACGAGCAGAGACGGGCGGGAGAGGACGAGCAGAGGAAGGAGGAGCACGAGCAGACGGTGGAGGCGCACGAGCAAAGGGCGGCGCCGTCGGAGCAGCGTTCGGAGCATGAGATGTTCCCGGTGGTCCGCCAGTATGAGTTCGGTTTCGTGACTGAGCAGAGGCGCCTTGAGGAGCAGGTTTCGACGAGCGAGGCTGGGGGTTGAAGCGTCCAGGAGGTGGCATAGTAGCGCTGGAGCTACCTTGCTGGTTGCCATCGTCGTGCGCGTTGCTCTGGAGCATTCGAGGAGCAGTTTGAGAGTAAGCCATCGTCGCGACGGGTCTTGCGCGGTTTGCAGTTGGCGGTGGTTGGTAAGCGTATTGCCTATGAGGGCGTCATACAGGAACACCATACTTCTCTCGCGCATGGACGCACTCTGCAAGCGGATGGCTCGACCGTGGTCGCTGGTCTTGAAAGCCTTGCCTACGGTTAGACTGGGTACCATCGCTGCCTGCGTGCTCTTGACGCGTCAGAGTCGGCGGCTGTTGACCTCGAGGAAGGGTCAGGCGGGCAGGTCCGTTTGGCGTCATGGCCGAGCGCGGACTTGACGTCGAGTTCGCATACATGCCTTCGTTATAGCTGGGAAATAACAGAACAGTCAGTACGCCGATTCACGCCAACATATGCCGGGTCGCGCACCGAAGAGAGGGATCGACCGCGGCCATGGGCCGCTTGCCGTTCGCATTGACGGAGTTACTTGGCTCCATGCCCCCATCGTTCATATCGTATCCCAACTGTTGTCGCAGTTGCGCATTCTCGTCCGCTAGGCCCTGATTCAACCTTTGAATGGAGAAAGCCTTGAGTTCCGCATAATCAGACGGGGAGATTGGAGAAGTAGGGCGTACTTCATCAGTTCCTCATGGTCCCGCTTGTATCGATCCAGCTGGACCCTCTGTTGCTGATACCGAGCGCGATAGTACCGAATTTGTGACGACAAGGTCTCTTGTTGGAACTGGGCGTCGAATATGAGCCGGAACCTTTAAAAGCGGCATAACTCCGCACCTTTGCCGCCTGCGCCAGCCCGTCCAGCCCATACGGGATCGACCGAAACCAATCCGACATGGGGGCGTCCAGCTACCCAATAACCATCAGCAGCCTAACAAGACGCATATATGCGGCCCCGCACGTCTCGCTGGAGCGGTATGAGTTGGATCCCCTGCGCCCCGCATTTCGAGCAGCTTTGGTCGGCACCTGGAGAGTACGGGAACGACGTCAATCCAGTGAGAGGGAAGAAGAGTGGGTATAGTAACGCACTGAGGTGGTTATTGCAGATAACATGCCCACACTCCGTCAGCCAGAAGGGTATGCTCTGCCCCGCGTTGCTATTGAATGGGAGCTGGCAGCGCGAGCAGCAGACGAACTCCCAGAAGTCGAACTCTAGCTCTTGATGGGAGACATGGGACATGGAGAGCGTGGGGGGAGCAGTGGTGAGCTTGATGCGATGGTGGTGGCAGGAAAGCAAGATCACACGAACTCAGAACGCGTCGACTTCGGGAACCGGGTCGGTGACGTTCGTGAAACTGCACGTGACCGCGACTTTCATTGCTCGCCGCAAGGTGAAGTTCGACTTCGAAACTGGTGGACGACGAGCATGCGTAAGTTGGACTCGAAAGATGTGTATGGTTCAGCATAGCTCTGCCGGCTGGTCCTGTTGTACGAGAGTCAAGCGATAGCATAGTTAACAACGGCGAGCAAAGGACATACTACAACGGACTCTAGATACATTCCAGATGAGCTGCGAAACCACATATAGCGAGATTGCACAGGTAGCGGTAGGTCTACGCAGGCTCAGTAGCAGATAGTACAGCTAGCTCTCGTTGTTCGACAAGCTGACGGCGTACGAAGAGTACGAAATCCTGCCGGACCCGTGAGCGTGCGGTCTCATTAAAGCAAAAGAGGAACGTACAAGGACCCGGCCCTCCAGGTCGTTCAGTGCGTAGGCATTCACTTGACTAGTCGCAGCGTCGATGTCTGCTACCCGGGCAGCGAGGAAGTTGATTCGCTCCGTGCGGTTCATGGGCGAATCGGGAATGGGTGGTGGATCGTTGAACGTGTCGGTTAGGCTAGGCTGCTCTTGCGGGTCGAAACCGAAGGCGGTGACGCAGATGTACCGAGGGCTGTTTACCTGCGAATAGGTGATAAGTATTCTATGTTCATAGGAAGGATATGTGCTGCGTACGATGTCTGCAATGGATATGTTCTCCACGGGGTCCTGCAGCGACATCAGCGACTCGTCTGCGGCGGGATATCGTAGCGGACGTACGAAGCCGTCGTCGTCTGACTGAACTCCTTGCGTTGGGGACGATCGTCGATACGGATGGGCTCTATAATGCCCCAAGCGCGTATTCCTGTAAGCCGGCAGACGCGCGGCCACGCAGGCTCTCTGCTGGCCCATGTTCCGCGGTCCAGATGCTTCATTCGGCTGAGGCGACGAGCTCTGAGGCGCTTCCATGGTTCGAAGCCCTGGTACAGTGCAGCTTGGGGTGGCCTCATAAGGCGGGGGCGGAGCAAAAACGTCGACAGCCCGAACGGTCTTAGCCTCCATTCCGTCGTCTTCGTCTTCAGGGAAAAAGAATGGAGGGTGTCCTGCGGAAGGCGAGTGTCGGCGACATTATTATATGGGCGGCTCGTAGCGTGTGTGGAGGGGCGGCGTCGAGGAAACCGGAGATCAAGAGCAATTGCGCTACTCGCGGGCAGCGTGGCGGGAAATTGAAGGCCAAAGACAGCAAGCCGACTCCCGAATTCAGTCACATCTCTCCTCCTGCATTCAGTGAATCTGTGACGGTATTCCTCAAGGCGACTCATGGACGGGTGCATTTGTCGGACTGCCTCGATCGAGTCCGGGACGATAGGTTGGCGCGACAACGAGGCGCGCAAGGTGCACACTGGGCTGGGCTCTGCGTGTGCGAAAGAAGGATGGCGGCGACATTCTGGGGCCTTCTGTGGATGCGAATGACGCAGGGCTCGTCTGGCAGTCATGGATTCGCTAGACGAGGCATCTCCGATACCTTTCAAGCGAAAGACTACGCAAGCGAAGGCGACCGCACGGCTGGTAGCCTCTGAAGGGGACGGGGGAAGCTGGAGTCCGACTTTCGTTGTCTGCCGACTGTTCCACAAGCCGTATCTTTCAGTACGTCAGACATGAACTGGTTCAAGCTCAACCGCCTGCTGCTGCTGCTGCTGCCCCGTCCTTCCCGCTCTTGCCCACTGCCTCCCGCTCGGTCCCTGCCTGACATGACATTCGCGCACGAGCGGACGCAATCATTTCGGTACCGCAACGCTGCACGTGAGCGGCGATTATAGGTGGGTGACTCGCTCTACGCCCACACTGTCGTCCATAGCCAAACTTCCACCATATAGTCCATCGTCCGAATGGAATGATATACTTAACAGAGTGCAGAGACCCTCAAGGTCCCCCCAATCATCGGCAGAAGCGGCACATACGGGATCACGCCCAAAAACGGGACTCAACGCTGAGTCCGCAAGACTCGGCTCTCCCGGGTCATGGCCAGAGCGACAGGAAGGACAGCAACTGTGGCAGCACGGCGAGTGTGGAACATGATCACGTACCGAGGCATGAGAAGCAATATGCTCACCATCTCTGTGGTCTGCAATCTTCCTCCACTGCTCTCAGATCCTTCGTGGCTGACGTGTTAAGCGTATCGGGAGTGGTGGCAGGGATTCAGCGTGCACCGCGACGAACGACACGATCCGTTAGATTTGGATGGTGAGGCGATCATTCCGTTGTCGAATCTGCTACCCGTGCAATGACGGGGAGTCGGCTGCATCACGAGCAGCGGGGCATTGGTCGAACAGCCGAAGATGCGCCAATCCCGTTGAACAGGATTCGGACTCGGTGAGGTTAGTTTGCAGCTGGAGAATTGCGCAACTTTTCAGGGAAGCCAGGGAGAAGTTGAAGACAGCCGCAGGTTCGTACCAGGTGGCGCGGTGGAAGAAGACCAAGAGGTTGTGCGATCGTACATTGCATAGAGGATCAAATCCGTTGACTACACCAATTCGCGATGGCGGCAAAAGGTAACTTCGATACGTCTGTTGTCTCGCTCAATTCGTCGTCGATCGCGGCGCGGCGTCGGCGCCTCTCTCCGCCTGCCGCATTTGGACTCCGAAGTATCCTGTCTCCTCCTCCTGACCACGTCGACATATTATCCTCGGAGAGGCTGCTTGCGCTTGCTGTATACTAATGAAACCCCTGAACTACTGAATCCCGCTTCTGCGAAGAACATCCGCAACAGAAGCTGCGATCGCTCGTCAGACGAAGCTCACCCTTCGATGACCAGTCAACCTTCCCGCTGAATGCCTCAAACGCTGGCTCGGATCCCTCTGTCCCTAGCGTGACTACTCATCATATAAGGTACGTTTATCGTACTCGCGCGCATTCTCATGGTGTCAATGAGCCCCACGAAGCGCACTTCATCCCTATCTCGGGCTTCCGCCATCCCCAAGCAACATGCAAACAACATAGACACGACAATCCCCTCATGCTCTGCGCCAACGACTAGCCGTACGTAGACGCTACACTGATACTATGCTCATATTTTGCTCCAGGACGTGGGGCAGCCACGAACTACGCGGTCATGGACGCAATTTCTTATGGCAAATAGCTCCCACAGAACGCTCTCCCCCTCTGATTCCCTGATTATCGCCTAGACATGCTTCTCTGCTGTGCTCCAGGCTACTGGGTCGGTCGACGTATATCAACACATATCTAGCCGTCAAGTGCGTTCCTGCTATAGCCTCGCCCTACATTGCTGCATGATGCGTATATCTATTCTCGAAGTCAACAAGACACCTCTGTCTCGTCATTGAGGCAATAAACCCACCTACCAGTAACTTCGTATGATCATGCGGCCTGTAAGGGGCGGCAATCTGCAATTAGCTAGCCTAGTATGGCTCGTTCTGGGTGCGTTACATATCTATGCGAGCCGAACTCTTGCAATGGTATAGTGACGCCGTACTGCAGTCTGAATGAAAGCCCATACAGGGAAGCTGAGAGGCTGAGACCGCGTCGAGAATCGAGAGATGAGAGCGAGGGGGGTTCTGAGGTCTACGTTGTTAGTGTCCATAATCCTCGAATCCTTCTGCCTGCATGAGGGTATAGAGTAAGGAGTCCAGTCCTACTTACAACCATAATAACTCGTCAATAGTACCTGAAGGCCTGAATTATAGTGTTCTGCATCGAGTACGAACTCGCTGTCAATGTCCGGGGCCTTGACCCCCTTCAAGCGTGATCGGCAAGTCGGCACAGCAGGGCGCTAATCACACAAAGCAGTGACAAGCGCCACAGCACCTTTATCTTCAACAACGACGCGTCTCGAGCACAGCGCACCTCTCGACGACCACCTCCACGCATCTGGGCAATGACAATGCCCTACCACGCTCTGCGTGGCGTTTCGACCAAGGACTGGTCCTTTGACGACATCGTCGCGTCCAGCGACAACTTCCACCCCGTCAAACGCGTCCGGTACGATTCAGACCTGACCCTGGCTCTCGACGAATACAAGAAATCGGATATCCCCCTCATAATAGAAGGATGGCACGCCTCGGACGCGTGGGATCATGAGCTCCTCAGTCTCAACTGGTTCGCCAAGCATGCAGGGCTTCCCGGCGATAGTGCGTGCCCCTTTGTATGCTGCATCCGTCATCCTTATGTTGCGTTGTATAGGGATCGATGTACGGAATGTTCATACATGGACGGACGATAGCATTCCCCTGCACGAGTTCATAGCGAAGTCCAGGAGCATCGGGCCCGCTGTAGTCGAAGGAGGTGCGCATACGGTGCCCGTCCTTGAGCCCCGACTTACAACACATTGCAGAAGGGGAACGCTTGTACGGAAAGGACGCGATATGTCCGGCCGCCTGGAGCGACTGGCTGCACAACCGCTCTGACATCCCCCGTCAAGTCCTGCCCGACGACCAATCGAACATCCTGAACGCACTGCCCGAGAGTTCGCGCGTCGAGCACCTCATGTGCTACCTTGGCGTCGGAGACACGTTCACACCCATGCACAAGGATCTCTGCGCGTCGTACGGCCATAACCTTATGACCTACACGGAAAATGGCGGATCCTCGTACTGGTTCATGACGCGCGGACGTGACGCTCAACAGGTCGCCGAATACTTCCACGACCTACAGCAGGAGCTAGATCACGAGAACTACGTGATCTCTCTGGAGGAGCTTCGTCGCGCGCCCTTCCCCGTGTACATCGTCGAGCAGAAGCTCGGCGACATGGTCTTTGTACCTCCCCGTTCGGCGCACCAGGTTGTCAACAGCGGGGGCATCACCGTCAAGACATCGTGGTCGCGCATGGAGTTTGGCAGCCTTGGAGTTGCGTTGTTCAACGAGTTGCCTATCTACCGGCGCGTGTGTCGCCGAGAGACCTACAAGGTCAAATCCCTCGTTCATCACTTTCTCCTACGCACCGCCCAGCTACTCGAGGATCAACTCGAGACCGACAAAGCAGACGAAACCGTTGTGAGGCGGCTCTTCTCTCTGATCGAGCTGTATGACCACATTCTCGTCGACGAGCATACCGGATCTCATGCCACCATGACGCACCTCACGACTTCCCTGAACGGTGACGCCGGGCCCTCGACATCTAGAACGACCGCCATCGATTTTCCGGCCCTCGTCTGCGACTTCTGCGGTGCCGACATTTTCCAGAGCTACTTTCGCTGCTCCACATGTGGACGTCCGCCATCAGAGGCAGAACTTGTCGAGGATGTCTGCATCTGCGCTGGCTGCTACGTCGAGGGGCGGACCTGTCTGTGTGAGAATATGGAGCCTATGCAGTATCGTCGGTTCGCTACACTGCTGGATCTTAGAAAACGGGCACGAAGCGTTCTCGCGAGCTTCTCTCAGCGATACGGCTATCCTAGCGAGTCTTCGATGTTCGAAGACGAGAAGTAAGTAAAGCCTGCGTGATGCCGCCCTATCGGCTGACCGAACATAGATCAATGCTATCGAAGAAACGCGACGCGACATTCAACTCGGCAACAACGATCTGTGACCTTCGCCGTAATCCTCCGGTGAGTAGCATGTACATGTCCAGGATGCATCCTGATTCATTTTCCAGAAAAACCCAACACGGATGTGTCGGCCCACCGCCCATTCTCGAAGCCATCAAATACCCTTTCTGGCGGCCCTCAAATGTCGCCAGTGCCATTCCTTTCACTGCTTTCGACATACACTCGACGTCTGCAACATTCATGTAACCAGCGCTCTTGCGGTGTGCCACTCGCGACCTGACGAGTGGCACGAGTATCATGTCAACGGAAGAGTGCAGCAGGAGCAACGCAGGGCAGAATTCTACGACGCTCAAGGGGAAGGGCAATCCCCACGAAACCTGGATGCGATGCGCGCCGCTGTTGCCTCGATCTTCCACGAGTGTCGGCCTCTAAGGCCTTCATCTGTGAAGTTGGGCTTCTATGACACGGTGGATGAGGTGAGTTCTAGGTATTGTCGCGTATCTTGGGCTAACGCGGCACTCAGTCGAGCTCCTCGACAGCCGAAAGCACTGACTATACGAGTTCCTCGTGTGAGAGAGACAGCGAGCATCAGCGTCCCAGGAAACGGCGAAGGAAATCGAAAGGATCACATCCTGACGACGATGTGGACGATTGGAGAAGCGAGTGTTCCGATTCAAGCGCGTACGTCCCGCTCCAGAACTCATCGAGGCGTCAGCCGCAGCAAAAGTTGCACACGCGCGTCATTGACTGTGTGCTCCTTACGCCTTGGTCCACGATCTCGAGAAGTCTTTGGAAAGGCAAACAGCCCGCTCATGCGCCACGCATTTCGAATCCTACGCGCGCACCACAGCCTTCTGCCCTCGCGACTGCATCATCCAAACCAATGTTTGCGCCCCTCCGGTATCAGCATTCACCTCCGATCCCTCTGCCGGCGAAATTACTCTCGTCGAAGCGTGATACTTCGACGCGTGTCCCAGCTAGCGTCTTCCATGCTTCGCAACGGCAGAAGATATTGGCGACAGACCCTACACCTCTGCCCGCCAAACGACCTCGACAAACACCCCGTGGTGAACACCCTACGGACGCCGTTCTTGTCCAGAAACGCCGCTCCTCTGGTCCCAAGCCGGTGCAGAAGACGCAAGCGCGTCCACGCAACCTACCGTCACAGCCATTGATCGACGAGTCAGTCGTTCAGATCCGGCGGACGACGTTACCAGCTGGGCTAAGATTCAAGAAGAAGTCTGCCGCACCGCCCCTTCTCGAAAACGGCACGAGCGAGGACACGATCCCCGGCCTTGCGTCCGACGTCACTGTGCCTGCGCCCGACGAGGGAAGCACGGTGCAGGAGCGTCCTCTTCCTTCCCATCTGCCAGGTCCAACAGCGCCTTCCACTCATTCACCTTCTCCACCGCTACCGCACCCGACTCTCGCTGACGCCTTGAACGCCTGCAACGAGAACAATTACTCGCACACGCGACGACCTACTCCCCCGAGTCGACCGTCCGTACAGGAGGAGGTGATGAATACATCTACAACCGGACATATCCCGCAGAGCAATCCTTCAACAAACCCCGCAGCGATGGTTCCAACGATCTTCTATCCCTATGGGATGGTTGTCATGCCCATTGCTCTCTATGAGCACTTCGTGCGTCGCCTCCAAAGAGTGAGTCAGATGTGTCGAAGGCCTATCTTCAACTGAACCTTATGGCTTCGTAGCTGGAGGAGCACAACGGTCTTCCTCCCATGCAGATCCCTCCGCTGGCACAACCAGGGGGGCACTGGGCGTGGCCGCCTGGACCTAATCCGTGGTCGGCTGGACCTAGTAATCCGGGTCAGTCTCGTTGACGCGGTAGCTCGTCCTTGTACGCCGTGTCACGAATCTGGAAGGATCAGTAACAAAGCTAGCTTGGTTGCATAACTGCTCTGGTTGTGTGCAGACTCTGGAAGTCGCATGATGCTTGCATTCGCGACTTTTAAGCGAGGCTTAACAACGCGCTGACGGCTGAAGAAGTCGCGTGTGGCGTACTTGAGGATACAGCCAAACATGCGCAAAGCAGGCTTCTCTTATACGCGCCCACGAAAATTTCTTTTCTTCACCTTTGTCTATCACGCAACCTTTAGACAGTGCCCGTCCCATGTCGCCAAATCATAGACCGGACGAGGCGATTCGGCTTGCGAAGAAGGACGGTTAGGTTTTTAGAACCCTCAGGCTTGACCTGTGGCTTGTGGGTGTTAGACCTTTCCTACATCCCATTCCTTCGACCTGTTGTTACGAGCGGCAGGACCGTATACGCATAATACCAGACCAATGTGTTTGATGACTACATACGACTACCCTATGGATGGAGAGGACGTCAAGGTGAACGGCAACGCTGTGCAGCTTCACAAATCAATGGCTAGGAGATCGACGCCAAGTCGACTGAGTGCGCAATTGGCGAACTGAACGCAATCTGACAATACGTGAGCCCGTAATACGCGTTCATGGCACTGTCCATGGCATCGACAGAAGAAATATTCAGGACCAAGGGAGGAAGACGAGTGTGACATCCGGATTCCGTCACGGTGGCAAGCGAGTGCTTGGTGTCACACGCGTCTACTGCCTGCGCCCAACCGCCATCTATTCATCATGTCCGGCCAAGGGCAACGCGAGAATGTGTTCGCCACTCGCATGGCCCTCTCGAACACCAAGCTTCGGCTCAAGGGTGCCCAGACGGGGCACTCATTGCTCGCCAAGAAGCGAGATGCACTGACGACGAGGTTCCGCTCAATCTTGAAGAAAGTCGACGAGGTGCGTTAGATGGGCGGGCTGTATGCCCTAATGATGTACCCATACTGACATTCTCCTCTCATACTTCAGGCCAAGCGCAAGATGGGGCGCGTTATGCAGCTGGCGTCGTTCTCGATGGCAGAGGTGACGTACGCGACGGGGGACATCTCCTATCTAGTGCAAGAGCAGGCCAAGTCAGCCAGCTTCCGCGTCAAGGCGAAGCAGGAGAACGTTTCTGGTGTCGTCCTTCCCGCCTTCGAAGTTGATCGTGTCGCTGGCTCTGGTGCGCGCGCTGTCTCGATCCCCACCAACTGTCATTTATACAGGATTTCATACATCCAGATTTCAATCTCACGGGCCTTGGGCGTGGAGGGCAGCAAGTGCTCCGGGCGAAAGAAGTCTACGCGAAAGCGATTGAGACGCTCGTCGAGCTTGCATCCTTGCAGACCGCATTCACGATCCTTGACGAAGTCATCCGGGCGACCAACCGTCGTGTCAATGCCATCGAGCACGTCGTCATCCCTCGATTGGAGAACACGAACAAATACATCATGAGCGAATTGGATGAAATGGACCGTGAGGAGTTCTTCAGGTGCGTCATGTCTTTGCATCCCCTTACAAGGCGTCCTAACGCCCGTCCAGGTTGAAGAAGGTGCAGGGAAAGAAGAAGCGCGTCAAGGCTGACGACGCCGCAACATATCAGGAGTCATTTGAGGAGGAGACGAAAGCACCGACTATCGCAGAGGGGACTGGAACCACGGACTTGCTTAGCCAGAAAGACGAAGACGTTATTTTCTGATTTCGAGCTCGACATTCACTGTAAAAATACCCCCTTGTCTTTCTGAACACGCTGCCACCAAATGATGCATATCGTAACTCAGACGACTGACTCGTGCCGCGCTGGTGATGTCGCACTACGGCCTGGAATGAGAACGAGAGAATCTTTAGATGATTCGAAGAACCGCAGGGGCGGAGACCTGCGCGGGAGCTCGATCACTCGGATGTCTAACCTCAAAAGGCCTATCATGCAGCATATGATTGGGGGGCATGGGTACATAGGTGATTTGCAGAGTAGACCGCAAGTGATACCAGATCATAAAAGACACAGAAAGATATGCGATTACTGAGATCAAGGGTGAGCGACGGTACGGGATGTGCAGAGACGAGGGACGTACGTCGACCATCTCGACATCCTGGCTCGTGTTCTTCTTCCTGTCCTTGCGCTCCAAGATCGCCCGCCTGTCCTTGTCAAGCTTGATGGTGGTGATGACAACGTTGCTGGGGTGGATGCCGATCGGGGCAGTTGAGCCGTTAGACTTGTCCCGCTGGACACGGTCGACGTGGATAACCCATTTCTTCCTGTAGACCTGGGTGACCTTGCCCTCCCGACCCTTGTACTTGCCGCGCACAATGCGGACCTCGTCATCCTTGCGGATGGGGAGGGAACGCGTCTGTTGAGCACAAATCAGTTATGCGATCTCTATGCGAGAAATTTGCGACGCACATTGTGCTTGCCGCGGAGCTCCTTCGACAGGGACGAGGACATGATCTTGCGCCGGACGGACGAAGGCGCGTCGAAGTGCGCCTTGCGGGCCTTGCGCCGCGAGGAGGAAACGTCTGCGTGAAATCGTGTCAGAATTCACTCAGGTCATCTGGAGCCCATCTGCGCCATCCAGCGAATTGCGTCTCGCTGAGTCGCTCGTTCGCCCCAATCTTCAGCGGAACGGCGTAGATGGGCCCTCTGAGCAGCGACGTACCCGGGTTGAACTTCATTTTGGGCGACGAGGAGCTTGACGTCGGCGGGCTTGACGAGGGCGGGTCTGTGTTGTGGATTCTTGGCTGGCCCGGGGGCCACGCGAGCGGCGGCCCGAATGCCGCACCGTCACGCACGTGGCTTCCATCATACCTTCCCGTCCCCCATGTCGGAGAAAGTCCGTTCCACGAAGCTCAAGTTCAAGGGAGAGAAGGGCAAGAAGAAGCGCAAGCGCGACGAGGATGACGAGGGTAGGCCAGGAGGCAGCCGCCGCCGCGGAGGAGACGACCTCGAACCAGAAGCATGGGTGCGCCCCGACGCGCCCAACGAGATTCGTGGACCGACATTCATCTACCATCCGTCCGACTCGTCTCCCATCTGCATCACATATAATGCGACAACGAACCGACTTGCTCTTGCGCCTCTTGCCAAAGACGACCCGGAGGAACCCCCTAGCGTGATGGAACGCACTCCCACCGACGTCTCTCAAGTTTGGGTCACCACTCGTGTTGCGGGGTCTCCAACCATCAACTTGCGCACAGGAACTGGGGAGGGAAAGTTCCTCTCCTGTGATGCGCATGGTATCGTTGCTGCCGACCGAGATGCGCGCGGCCCACAAGAAGAATGGACGCCAGTGATCATGTCGGACGGCATGGTCGCTTTCCAGAATGTCTACGAGAAGTACCTCTCTATAGACGAGACCGCTGGTGGCGGCATCCAACTGCGAGGAGATAGTGAAGAAGTAGGCTTCAATGAGCGCTTTTGGGTCAAGATACAGAACAAGTACAAGCAAGAAGCGCACGCGGAGGAGCGGAAGAAGAAGGATGCCGCGGGTCCTCCGGAGATGGACGAGCATGAGATCAAGTGCGTCCTTCACCTTCAATTCTCTATGCACTAGGCTGATATGGCCGGCAGCAAACTTTACCAATCCTTCGGCGGTCGCAATGCGCTTTCGGCTGAGCACAAGAAGGAGGCAAGCATCGGTGTTTCCAGTACAGTCAGATTTGCTGACGGGAATGCAGCTGAAGAAGGCAAAGAAGGAGGGGCGACTAGCGGAGGCCCTGTTGGACCTTCGCTCGAAGTTGAGGAGGTACGTGCACCTAATATATCTAGCTGCATTCCAAGCTAAAGTGGCACTGCAGCGATCGCTTTTGTTGATGAATCTCTGCATCCCTTCCGTCCAACTACCTGTACAGTATCCATGTTCTCATCTGCTCGACGCTCTGCTTCGCAATCACAAGCACAGGTCCGCCGTCTTCGACATATAAGCCAGAACGGCCTTATGCTAAGTCCATCTATCCGTTGCTCGTCGCTAGCTTTCCTGCCGTCGACCGTATCGTTCATCTATATGCATCCTAGACGGCTGATTCACCCTCACGCTGCCAACGCGAGTCTCCCCGTGTTCGGTTGAAAGCGAAAGACCCAAACTGAAGTGCGACGTACGTCTACAGAACAACAGGTGTGCGATTGGGTCTTCAACCGAGATAAGGGCGGGCTAAATGCTTCAGATAACGAGGGTTGTACGACCATCAGGGTACTTCCTAGGTGTCCGAGTAGGGCATCCAGGTGACCTATATTCGCCTCGTGCGAGGCTGAACGTCGCAATCGATAGAGGCTAAAAGTCATTCCTTCCCACGCAAATTCAACATTTCTCACCAAAGTTCAACATGCCGGCACACGCAACGTCCCCTCGCAGGCAGCACGCCCTGGGGCATCGAGTATAAAGGCCGGGATGTGGCTTGCCTATCCAGTCTGACCATATCGACTCGCCATCATGCCTCCTCGGCGTCCTTCCGCGACGACCCAAGCTCCCCGCAGAAGAAGAGACATTGCCGTGCCATCTGATATCACACAGTTACGCACCTGCACTAATCACCAGTTGAAAAGGCACTGGCCCAGCAAATGGGGAGTCCCCGAGCGTACCGCTGCTTATGTGGGGTCCATTTTGTTCGCGCCAAAAGTATGAGCTGACAGTATCGTCAGGAGGCAATCCGTAGCTGTAGTGGCTGGAAGCGGACACGGGACCCAACGGAATTATCGCTGTGCCACTTTGCGGACGAACAGGACCCGCAGCGCTGGCGCGAATACTGTAAGAAGGTGCGCCGGGTGTAGAACTCGCCTTAGATACGCGAAGGCTGAATATGGTTCAGGTCATAACGAAGATTCCGGAACTGCACCGCTATAAGGACGACTGGTTCATTAAGGTTCTCTGGGACCGCTTCGTGCTTAAGCTCAAGAAATCGAAGAGCAAGCAACACAATTTGGAAACAGCGCGTAAACATGAGGAGTCCAGCGTGAGTCTGTTCGCCCCTCGGGCCGGCGCTCGAGCTCATGCAATGGTCGTGGGTTTAGATAGCGCTGGGCGGCGTCTTATATATCGGCAAGCCTCAGGCTCACCATCGCCCGAAGCTCGAGAGCGGAGCCCAGCTTGACTACTCTGCCAGTCTTTGGATGAAACCGTCCGCATCACAGCTTATGGATCATAAAGACGACCTGATCCTTCTGGGGCCCTCGGACACGGTAGAGGACGCTTTGCATGCATCGGTGCGTGAAATCCTAACGCGCTCATGCACGGCACTCACCGCTTATTAGGCGTGGGCGGGGAGCGCTTCCTCTCATCTAACATCGCATCGCTCGGTTTCTACCGCGACCTTGGTCTCGCACGCTCCGGTTAGCTTGAATTGGCCACCGCGAGTAGGTTGATTCTCCTACAGTTGCGTCCAATGCGTTGACCCGTCCCTTTAGCATACAGCTATTCTACCTGCTATGCCATGCGCCATGTGCGACTTCCGACCAGCGATAGAACCGGAAAACAGAAGGGAACTGGAGAAGCTATTCTACAACGTTCATGGCGCGGCTCAACTCCTCCAGGTCCTTAGCGCGGCCGGCATATACCATGATGGGCATGTTGCGGTTATGCGCGGCTGGACGCAAGAGCAGCGCATGATGCTTTGGGAGGAGCTGGTCGCTTGCGACGCAATGACGCCTCTCACGATGCTGGCCTTGGAGGGCTTATTTTCCGAAGAGACAGTCGACATGGACGGTGCCGTCGCCACAGGCTCTGTCGCCTCGCGAACGCAGGAATGGACGATTGCGCGGGACCAGGAGATGATCGATATTGTGGTCGATTCAACAATCTGTGACTCGTTCTTCCGCAGGGCGATGGGCATCGACGAAGAGGAGTATGCCAGCTTTAGAGTTCGTGACGTGTCGGGGTCGTATCATCCAGTTGCTGACCTTTCTCAGAGCACCGTCGAATCATACGCACATATACTGAGGGCAGAATACTATCCGGAAGACCAAAACGAGCAAGACTGGGAAATGGTGGTGAAAGCGGTAAAGCCCACGACCCAGCTGCGGGTGCAGCAGACCAGGCTTACGTGGATTGTAGATCATGAGAGATATACCTACGCTAGCGGAGTACGAAGCGCTTTGGCCCGTCGAGGCCATGTTGCGTCGTATCATCAATGAGAATGGACATGTTCAGCGTGCAGCGGGAGAAGTGAAACCGGTAGGTCCCTTGTACACGTTCGTGAAAGGCGCGTTGTTGACCTACAAGCGCAGCCCTCGGTAGTCGCTACAATTCGTCGAATGCTCATGGTACGTCTCATGCGCCCTCTTTTTCTGCTCGTAAGTGTAGGCTGACACCTCCGCCAGCCGGAAGGCATGAATCGCTGCACCCAGCACCCAGCCGTCAACCACGCGGAGATTTCTTCCCTCTGTAGCGACTTCCTGAAGAAGGCCGGCATCTCCGAGCTTACACCTTTCATGGTCTCCGCCGGAATACACAACGACGTGGGGTTTTCGATGCTCTGCAGGCAAGACGAGACAGCCAGAGACCTTGTCATCCAGGCGGCGAAGGGCCACATCACCCTCTTCCAGCGGCTTGCTCTGAAGTTCGCGCTGAGGAAAGTTGACGAAGATGGGTATATCTAAAGCACTACATGACGTTTGTCTCGAGGCTAGCATTTTGATTCTCTGGCGACGGCCCGGACGCACCGCCGGGTACACAATAAACTTCTTGTGCATCGACCAAGCTGCCTCTTGGTAAGATGGTGAACAAAATCTGTTGTGAAGATAGTCCTGAAATATCGTTTCTTGAGGATGAACAAGAACGGTCATCAGCAACTGGGAAGCTGGCGTCAACAGCTTGTTCGACTTGCACGGGCGGTGTTCGGCAAATGCCGCTCAGTCACGGTGACCAAATTTGCTGATCGTGACATCGCCCGAGCAAGTGTCCCTTCACCAGTTCTTTCATCTCTTCACGTTAAAGCCCGTTCTCCATCATGTCCGGCACGACCGAAGGCCAAGTCCCTACTTTCAAGCTCGTCCTCGGTGCGCGTTCTCTCCAGCTCACGGTGTGCAACACGCTCTGACGCGCGCCTAACCTTTGTTGTTCATCGATGTCGCGATCCACTTGTCCTTCTCCCTCCGACCACCTCTCGTACACTCACATCGCGCGTTAACCATGGATTTCTGTGACATGCAGTCGGTGATGGCGGTACGGGGAAGACGACCTTCGTCAAGGTGCGCCCGATCGACGCGACTGCCTCCGATCTCACTCTGATCATCCTACTCCTCAGCGCCACTTGACGGGTGAATTCGAGAAGAAGTACATCGGTAGGCCACCTGAACATAGCGCCATAATCGCGCGCCGTGCTTATACATCTCGTCTTTCAAGCCACCCTTGGTGTCGAGGTCCACCCGCTATCCTTCACAACCAACTTCGGCACGATCTGCTTTAACGTCTGGGACACCGCCGGCCAGGAGAAGTTCGGTGGTCTCCGCGATGGCTACTACATCCAGGGCCAGTGCGGTATCATCATGTTCGATGTCACCTCCAGAATCACCTACAAGAATGTGCCCAACTGGCATCGCGACCTCGAGCGCGTTTGCGAGAACATTCCCATCGTCCTGTGCGGTAACAAGGTTGACGTGAAGGTACGTCACAAATGTGCTGGGTCATACGGATTATTGACGCCAGTCGTGCATGTAGGAGCGGAAGGTCAAGACGGGCCAGGTCACCTTCCACCGCAAGAAGAACCTCCAGTACTTCGAGATCTCCGCGAAGTCCAACTACAACTTCGAAAAGCCCTTCCTTTGGCTTGCCAGGAAGCTCGTTGGGTGCGTGGTCGTGTACCCTGACTAAGGGTGGTAACCGATCTGCCTTCCAGCAACCCGTCTCTGGAGTTCGTGGCTGCTCCCGCTTTGGCGCCGGCAGAGGTCCAGGTCGACTCCCAGCTGATGGCCCAGTACGACGAGGAGTTGAAGAAGGTTTGTGCTCCGCGTCGCTGGAGAAGTGGCTTACCTAATCGTCCTGCCCACAGGCCGAGGCCGTCCCGCTCCCGGAAGAGGACGAGGACCTGTAATTGTATCCTTGACGGCTTCTGCTACTCTACACCTTTCTTCCATCAATCCAACGACGAGCACTGTGCAATACATGATTTACCGGCTTCCCCTTTCCTCTTCACTTGCATCGCTATGAATAAATACTGTACTAGCGCCCTCGTCGTTTCCTGTGTCCTTGCGAGATTTAGGCCATGTATTACGAGCCTGGATTAGACATTGAAGAGATTCTACTTTCTGGGGATGGCACCTTTGGCTGTGGGCTGTATCATCAAGCACGGTGAGACTTGGAAGTATGCGTAGAAGACCTCGAAGTCGGTCAGACCACAGAGATGAACCAATATGAGTACAAATGGAGATAGCAAGCGTGAGGCGGCCATTAGCCGACGGCCGTCCGTCTTGACGGCCCGGATCCCCTCCGGTAACTCCTTCAATTCTGGGTCCCTTCACAGTCTCTTTCAGCCTTGCGCACTTTGACTGGCGCATCGACTCGGGGTTCCTTCCGACAATTACTGCTCTTGCTCTGATCCTCCTCCTTATCCATGTAGCTCGCTCATGCACAACGTAAAGGGCTGCCTGCTGGGGCAGTAGGACAGGGACTTCGCGGGTTCTCGCCGCGCGGAGGCCATGCTATGAACACATTGATAACAAGGGTGCATGCGAAGTGACTCGAAAGTGTTGTCAGGTCAGTTTTCATTTGTAAGGCCTTAAATACTGTCGGTGGTGGGGCACATCGATAGGACGTTGTGCCCTCTTCCCTCCAAAAGCCGCCATGGCCAGCAACGTCGACCAGGAGTCCAAGCAGCCCGTCCAGGTTGTCAGCCAGCCTGTGCCCAGCGCTCCCGCAGTCACGACAGGTGTCGTAGAGGGCGCTGAGGTCGAAGTTATACCCAGAAACAAGCTGGCAATTGTTGGTCCCCCAACGCACTCTCTCACAGTGCCTCGTGATTGAGCATGGTGCGCCAGGTATTTCCAGCCTTAATGTTGTCGTTATTCCTCTCCGCATTGGATCAGGTATGTGAGTAAGGATACATGGAGACGCATGCTGACCCAGCCTTGCAGACCATCGTCGCTACTGTTCTGCCCAAGATTGTCAACTCTTTGTATGGCGGTAAAAGCTATAGTTGGGTCGGGAGGTACAGAGAATGCCCATATGCTGGGACACGACCTAACGCACGCTGCAGCGCGTACCTGTTAGGATCTGCTGCTCTAGGTCCGCTATACGGCAAGCTGTCAGATTTGTTGGGTCGCAAGCCCATCTTGTTCAGCAGTATATTCCTTTTCCTGGTGAGCGGTTTCGCACACATTCCACCGTGATATACTGAATTGCCCTCAGATTGGCTCCGCATTATGCGGCGCCGCGCAAAACATGGTACTTCTCATTCTGCAAAATGGGGCAGCCTTCGTTCACTTCGCTTATTCTGCTTCGATAGAACTGGCTCATCGCCAGTCGTGCCGTTCAGGGTGTGGGTGGAGGAGGCATCACGCAGATGGTATGAGGTGGACGTGAACCAGGCTCACCAGACACTGACCTCAGGCCAGTTCTTTACGCTCTTGGGGGATCTTGTACCCCTTGAGAAGTAAGTGCCATGCAGCTGTATGCATGCCCAGACGCTCACACGAGTAGGCGGGCAAAGTACGGTGCGCTGATTGCGTGCACCTGGACGCTGGCCAGGCATGCTCCGACGTTTCCCTCGTGGAGACATGCTGAATATAGTTCCTAGCCTTGTCGGTCCGGTCATTGGCGGGGTTAGTTGCCCTCTCTTTGCCCCCGGAATAAGCTGATAGGCGACCTTTTAGGCCCTCGCGGATCACTCGTCCTGGCGGTGGTGTTTCTGGATTAATCTTCCCTCCGGCGGCGTCGCTGCCACCCTTCTATTCTTCTTCCTCCACACCGCGCCGCATCAGGGGCAAACACTAAGCCACCATATACGGACCTTCGACTTCCTCGGCCTCTTCCTTATCATCGCCGGAATCGTCTGCTTCCTGCTAGGCTTGAACTTTGGGGAGACATCATGTGCGTGGGAGCATCTTTGCGCGCACTTATGCAGGCCTGAAGCAGCTTGTAGGGTCGACGCCGCAGACGATCTCGCTTTTGGTAATCGGCGTCCTCCTTTTGGTTGCGGGAGGCGTCAATGAGGTGTACACGACAAGGGACCCCATTATTCCCAAGCGGATGTTCAAGGTTAGGCAGTATACATTCACGTCCGTGTCCCCTCGCTGAGCTGCTGTAGGCCAGGACGCCTGTCGCTTTGATGGCTAGCTCCTCGAGCGTATCGTTCACGTACATGCAAGGTATGTAATACACCGCCCGTCTTCATTGTACAATAGCTGATGCGCCGCAGCTGCTTTTTATCTGCCGGTGTACTTCCAAGTAATGGGTGCGTCGGCCACGACATCGGGTCTTTGGTAGGTCGTAAACCCGTCGGTGTTTGATCCTGCGCCGGATAATACATTTTCAGGACACTGTCGTTCCTGCTTGGTGCTTGCGTGACCTCGCTCTCCGCTGGGATGACGATTTCGCGCATAGGCAAATATCGACCTTTCATCTGGACGTTCAGCGTTGTTTATTGTCTCGGTTATGGCTTGATGATCAAGCTGGACAATGACTCTTCGACGTGAGTTGCGCACATGTTGTTCTCGATACATGAGCTCAGAGGTGTTCGCAGGGCGGAGAAAATCGTATTCCCCTTACTTGCCGGTCTAGGGTGTGGTCCGATGTTCCAGGTGGGGGTGCTTTCGGGAGTTCCCAGACGAACGCTCACCTCGCAATACAGACGAACCTCATCGCCATGCACGCTTCAATGCCTGTGAAGGACATGGCGACCGCTACTGGCGCACTTACTTTTATGAGGTGAGTTTTTCGCTCGAGTTTGCGCGCAGTTCTGACTCGGCAAAGAACGCTTTCATCCACCTCGGGCCTGTCTGTAGGCCAGACCATCTTGACGAACGTACGTACACTTGGCCATAGACTCGGAATTACCATTGATATTTTCTCCAGACCTTGCGCAAGAAGCTCGCTGGCGTAGAAGGGATTGGTTTCGACCCTGCGTCTGGTGCAGGGCTCGACAACATCGCCATGATTCACCAGATTTCTGTGCGTATTCCCTGTCGATAAGCACGGCAAACGGGAGGCTTAAGGAACTTCTTTCAGGATCCCGAGCTTCGTCGACGCGTAACCCACGCATTCGTGCAGTCCATAAGCACGATATGGATCGTCAACACGGCGATTCTCGGTGCAGTCATCTTCGTCGGTGCGTCTTCCCCGCCGTGATCGATAACCTGCGAAGAGCGCTCACGCTGCTATGACTAACAGTATTACTCATACGGAGTTATCCGCTCAAGAGACCCACCGTACAAGCCGCGAAGGACGAGGCTGAAGAGACCGTCGTTGGCCCTGGCGTCGAAGGAGACCTCGAGAGTCAGCCTGCTAGCAAGGCCCCGACCATAGCTAATTCACCGTCCGCGGAGAAGGCGAACACATAGAGAAATCGACACAACAAGAAATGCATTAAAATACGCACTCTATTTGGCTCGGAATTTGAGGAGCCAAGATTATGGAGAGAGTGCGAAGGAAAGGGAGAGTAGGACAGCGCCACGACTCGTTTTAAGCACCCGCACTTCTTGATGATCATCAGTCTGCTCAATCAGCTTCGCGTTGTTCGCTAGCCATCGGCTCTGTATAGTCTCGCATGTCCCTTCCTTCCGCACTTCCTACCGACTCGGCAGCACGGATAGTCTCGCTGCTCGAGGTTGAGGAGGGGATGAGTTGAACTCGATCACGTGGGTCGCATGTTACCGCCTTGCCGCGGCGACGTCAGTAGCAGGCCGGGCCGGCCGCGGCGTCTATTCCTGCCACTGGTGACTGTGCTCGGAAAGTTTCAATAATTATGAGGGCCAGCGAGATCCGTCTTCCTACCTCCATCTCCTGCAGAGCCAGACCCCCTCGCCGTCGCGCACAATGTCGGCAGAACAGCGCTCACAGTCGAGGGAAGCGGCGTCAGAGGCCACAGTCGCTCACGAAGGTCCAGAGAACGCGCCTACAGCTGATGTCAAGGAAAAGCCTGGCGCGTCGTGGCGCGCTAACGAGACACACGTCCTCCCGCATAACAACCTCCCCGTCGTACGTGTCAGTGCCCTCTAGTGTGCGGCAGTTACTAACGAGGGGGAACAGGTGTTCGCAGGGTTCATGCTCACTATATTCCTTGCCGCACTTGACCAAGTATGCATACATCCCCCTTCACCGATCGCGCCTAACAGCAAACTAGACCATTGTCGCCACCGCCTTGCCCACGATCGTCGAGCAGCTTGGGGGAGGGGACAACTACAGCTGGGTTGGAAGGTGCGCCTTGTGCCACATGACACCATTTGCTGAGATCTGACCCCTTGAATAGCGCATACCTCCTCGCATCGGCGTCCCTTGGTCCACTGTACGGAAAGCTATCCGATCTAACCGGAAGAAAGCCCATTCTGTACGGCAGCATCCTCATCTTCTTGGTAAGTCTCCTCCCCTCTCAACTCTCACTCTCATTCATAACTCCCACAGATAGGATCTGCGCTATGCGGCGCCGCACAGTCAATGGTACGGATAGCATCCGTCTCGCAGGCCTCACGCGCACAACTGAGTCATCACCATCTTTAGACCTGGCTCATCATCGCAAGAGCAGTACAGGGAATCGGCGGCGGAGGTATTATGATTCTGGTAAGTCTGTCATCGCCGCCTAGTCCACGGCTAGTTCATCCTCGCCAGGTCAATATTACCATCAGCGATATTGTCCCCCTGCAAAAGTAGGTACTTGCTCATGTCTCGAGGAATGTGATAGCTGACCAGTATATTCTAAGGCGTGGTCTGTACGGAGGCCTCATCGGTTCAACATGGGGTACGTGCTCAGTCAGACATGTTACGAGCGCGAGGCTAACTTCATGAACAGGCATTGCGAGGTGAGCTCAACGGCGAGTGTTGTGCCACATCATCTAATCTCCCTCGCAGTATCGTCGGTCCTTTGCTCGGAGGCGTAAGCACAGCATCTTACTCGTATTCTTACATCTTCCTCACCTCACGCATAGGTCTTCACAGACCACGTATCATGGCGATGGTGAGCGTATTGTACCTTCAGCTCGGAGCGCATACTGACCCTCATCCAGGTGCTTCTTCATCAACCTGTGCGAATTTCTAGACAAGTCCTGTTTCCTATATCTAATCCACCCGCAGGCCAACCGGTGGCTTCGCAATAGCCGTCCTGTTCTTCTTCCTCCACCTGAACCCGCATCAAGGACGCAGCCTCCGCGAGCACGTCGCCGCTTTCGACTTTGTCGGCCTCTTCCTCATCGTCGGCGGTGTCATCTGCTTGTTGTTGGGCTTCAACTTCAGCGAGAAGAGGTGGGATGATGCGAAGACCATTGCGCTCCTTGTGGTTGGCGGATGCCTACTGGTCTGCGCTGGCATCAACGAGTGGTTCACGTCGCGCGAACCCATCATTCCGCCACGGTTGTTCAAGGCGGGTTGCTAAGCTTGCGACGCGGGTTTCAGAACATGCGCTGACGACCCCCGATAGACGCGGACTACAGGGCTCATACTGCTGTCAAGCTTCCTGCACGCAGTCACGTTCTTCGAAGGTCAGCAAATCTCAGTGAACGCCCGTCACCTCACTGACAGCCCGCCCAGGAGCGTACTACTTGCCTCTATACTATCAGATCCTGGGCAGCTCTGCGACAGGCGCCGGCGTAAGGTGCGTTTTTCTCTCACGGACAAGCGTTCCTCGGCCATGGACAGGCGTCTCTCGGGCAAATTCGGCCTCATATGGCTATGCGGATTGACACTCCTTCTGTGCAGGATGATCCCCTTCTCGCTGGGTGCCGCGCTCATGTCCGCCGCGAGCGGGATCATCGTGAGCAAGACGGGCGACTACCGCTGGCTTATGATGATTACCTACGCGGTGTTCTGCCTCGGGTATGGCTTGATGACGATGCTGGATGACCAGTCGAGCAAGTGTGTGCTTTGTGTTGTCGTGAGCTATGTGGGGAGAGCTAACGCCTCGTCAGTGCTGTCAAGGAGATTCTACCGCTCATTGCTGCCCTTGGGCTCGGTGCGAACTTCCAGGTGGGTGTCATTCGTGGTATTTGTTGCATACTCTGACTCCTAAACAGACACCGCTCATTGCTCTGGTACGCCCTACATTTGAATGCTTTTGGAGTATATCACTGACACACCCTCGCGTTGTAGCAAGCAGCAATGCCCATCAAGGACATGGCGACATCGACGGGCGCCTTCGCATTCATTCGTACCATTGGTGGCACCGTCGGCGTCTCTATCGGGCAGACCATCTTCACGAGCGTAAGTGGTGCTTATACACAAACAGGTCAAGTAGCTGAGTCGATGCGCGCAGACCCTTAACAATCGCTTGTCCAAGATTCCGAACAACCCATATGCAGGCTCGGCCGGCGGCTACTCGGAGGACGTGAGGCAGTTGAAGAACATTGCGGTGAGTCGAGCGCTTCTTCAGATCCTGCTCCGTGGTTGTCGTGAGCGTTTGCGCATGTTGTGGCGCGGGCGTCTCTGCCTTGTCTTGTGCGCGCGCTCGCACCTTGCGTGGCGCGGGCGCTGGCCTTGCACTTCAGCAGCAGTGCTGACATGTCGCATCCTAGGACCCGGTACTTCGCCAACAGGTGATTCATGCGTTCTCGCGAGGAGTCAGCACAATTTGGATAGCCAGCACACCTATGGTCGGCGTCGCGTTTATCATGGGTACGCATTTTGGCCCACAAGTAGGCTTGACGACGCTTACCGACATCCTCATCAGTCCTCTTCCTCCGCAAGTACACCCTCAAGCGCACAGTCGTGCAGACCGCCAAGGCCGCCGGTGGCGACGCGGACGTCGAGAAGGGCGGTGATGCAACGGCCGCGGAAGACCGGGAAAGCAAGGAGGGCGTTGAGCAGGTGCAGACGCGGACGAACGAGACGCTTCAGACACGCACGACCGATACGAAGGGAAGCGAGACGCGAGAGGGCAGTGTGGTTCGCGACGACGCGACTGTTCGACCGGGGACAGCGGAGTCGGGGAAGGAGAAGGTTTAAGTTCGAAAAGGAAAACATTCGACTCCGGTATGGGAAGGTCGCAGAGTTACGAAGGAGCTCGTGCTTATGTTTGGAGGCACGGCTCACATTTTGGGACTCACTGCATAGGGAAGGACCACTAGTAGAGGGTGGAATGACCACGCACGACATAGAAAAGGCATCTTACTTGCTAGTTACCACATCATTTAGATGTTTAATTTACGACCTTTACTTGACTGCTTTCCTCTGAATATAGCTTAACTTGCGAGCGTACAAGTACAAAGACGGCTTGAGAGATGGAGGAGCATCAAAAGTCGGACAGTGTGCACGACGCGAACATCGCATGGGAAGCTGGAGGGAGGGCAGGCACCGGCCGAGTGAAGGGTACCGTACTGTATTGAGATGCACGACAGATGCAGATAGTGAGAAACAGTGACACGACGCCTGAGATTTGGTGACTGCCGGTAGACTTCGTGAAGGTACAGGAAACGTAGCGTGGGTCATCCCCAAGACTTCGAGGTCATGCAGTCCTGATTCTGCGCATAGCCTAGCCATAAGCGCGTCATACAGTCGAGTAGAGGCATTGCGACCGCCTGTCTTCGTCCATGGATTCATCGGAGTCTTCGTAGGAGAGGCACGGCCACTGAGGGTATGGAAGCCAAGTCATGGGGGCGACCTACCGGCCTGCTGATCAGCGTAGTGCATTGGCATCTGCCTGGCGTATCATCTAAGTGTTGCCGAGGTCACATCTGAGTGGTTCGTGGGACGTGCGCGAGACGTGATAGGCGATGGGTACGACGTGCAGGTGCCCGTCAGTGACGAGTAGCTCCACTAGACGCGAAGGTAGACCGGGGCAGAGATCAGCAGAGGCGCAGAGGGACCCATGACCACCGCGGTTGCCTTGCGAGGTGGGTGTAGAGGGCGAAAGAACGTCGGGCGACGTGACTGAGTTTAGCATATAGTTGCTGCGATGCTGGGAAGCGGTCGCTAGAGCGGCCGATGACTTCCGTTACATGTGAGATGTTTGGTCTGTACGGTCCGGACGACAGCGGAGAGGGCGATGCGGCTGCGACGTGCAGGGCGCATCGGCCCCGTGGGTGACGGGGGCGGCACAAGGTACGGAGGGCACAGCTCGGGGGCGGGGCGATTAGACGTGGGCGTCTAAGAATCGATAACCAAGGCGCTTGTTGCTGGAAGAGCAGCGAGGGCTGATTTTGTGGGCGCAGGTCAAGATGAAGATGGGTTTGCTGTGCAGAGAACCTTGATGGTGATCAAGGGGCCCAAGGAGGCGCTCTGATAAGTCGAGGAGGGCGGGAATCGGGCGTCTACGGGCAAGCGCCCAAAGCGTTCCCATAACAGAGACCTTCGGCGAGTCCGTGCCACACTGGTGCGCAACTCGAGACCCCCGCATCGTATAGAGGGAGAGCGCACGAGAAAGCGTCTCGACTTTGCCCAGCTTTGTCCACGCGGCCCAGCACGTGCCCTTGAGCGGGGACCGGAGATATTTCCCTCAAATTCCTGCCCTCCGTCCGTCTCTTCTCTTTCACGCCCCGCGCAACATGCCATCCTACGGCCTCCTTCACCCTCCGGCACCGGCAGATGCACCGGCCGACCATCGTGTCCCACCCGCCCAGGTCAAGACATGCACGTCGTGCAACTGCGCTCTTGGCGGCGACCCCTCCTCCATTCTCGCCGCTGCGCCCGGTGCAGACGCCCCCGTTTGTGGACGCTGCCGCGAGCATGCACGCGACCCGCGCACGCAGCAGACGCAGCCCTCACAGCCGCAGGACTGCCGTCAGCTCCATCACGTCGTCCCCGACAGCCCAGTCTTCCCCCCTGCGCAGCCGGTGGCGATAGTGCAGCCCAAATCTGAATACGAGCAAGACATCTACGATGCCACCTCGTCCCCAGATTGCGACCGCCAGCCCTTTCGGGTCGGCTTCCCTGCGTCGGGCTCCCTGGCGCAGGACGACCGTCATGACGGTGCACAGGCCCCGCGCCACCATCAGAAGTTCGCGCAGCTCAGGATCAAACCCCCAACGCCGTCGCCGTCGCACGCCTCCCTGTCGCCCGAGAGCAGCTTCGCCAGTCCGCGCAGCCCGCTCGGCGCCCCCGCCCTGTCCGATCCCCTTGTTGACATCACGTACCTGCGAGTCCGACCGCAAGCCCATCACTGCCTTTACCCAGGAGCGACGTTTACCGGCACCCAGAAGAGCGGTCGAAATTCGTACGACGTCAACGTCACGATCATGGTGCGTGGCAACTGTACTCGCGCTAAACCTCCCATTGACGTCGCCCTCCGCCGCAGGACGTTGACTTTGACGCCTCGTTCCTCTGTGGTTACCTCAGTATCCGTGGTCTCACTGACGACTGGCCCGAGCTGACAACGTATTTCGATGCCGAAATTGTTGGCAGCCGACATGGGTTCCTCACGCGGAAGTGGAACGCTTCCGAACAGGACGATATGATGCACTGGCAGCGGTTCCCGGCATTCAAGGCGCTCAAGCACGAGTTGCAGAAGCCCAGCTACACCCTCCCCGACCGTGACCGCGGTGCGATCTTCATGCGCTGGAAGGAACGGTTCCTCGTCCCGGATCACCGTGTGCAGGACATCAATGGTGCCAGCTTCGCAGGTAAGTGGCGATGAAATCTTCTGCCACGCCCATCCCTCCACCACCGCGCAGTTCCACCGTTCGTCCAAGTCTGAACGCCCATCTCGGCAAATGATAACCACGAATAGCATTCCCTGACGGGGAGTATGTGGTGGAACACAGCGTGGTCCGCTAGTGTTGATGTCTGTCACTCGAGCTGGTAGCCTGACCCTCGCTTAGGCTTCTACTACGTCTGCGTGGACTTCAACTCCTCGACGCACCGGTCTGCAGGGCACATGCCTGATATGCCGGAAGACGTCATGGAAGAGGATGTTGACCCGTCCCTAATGCCTTCTGGGAAACCAGAACCGCCGCCTATGTCGCCGTCCAGTCCTCGCCGTCGTCGAGAATCGATGGGCGTGGGTGTGCGTCGCCGGTCGAGCAGTCGGCGACCGCCTCCTGCGCTCGCGGGACCTGGGACGGCGACGATGAATGGCTTCTACTACCACCAAAACTCGGAACCGTCAGTACAACCCAAGCGAATTCGCAGGCAACCTACTGACCCTCACTAGATACCAGCAGTTATCACTGTCGCATGTCCCCCAGGTTGGCTCGTCGAGCTTCGAGTTCTGTTGATGGGATTGCTGCTGCTTTCTCTTGGGCGCTTGCCTGCTCGCACGTAGGGTTGGCAGATGCCTCTCTTTGCGGTGACGGTGTGGAGCCGCGCCCATATACCTCTGTGTCGTACGCTTTCTCGTAGTGAATCCTCCGGATATGTACTTACCTGCCCCACTCCCCCTGTACCTATATCTTGCAACGCATCCATATCTTAACCCTCTCTTGACTGTGGACCTGAGAAGCGTTCGTTTGCCTCAAGTTGATGCTGTTGTTTTGATTCAGTAGCGGAAGATGGACCCACAACAACCCACCCGGAGGAACATTTCCGATGACGCACGTCCTGGTACGCGCCTATCTCGCGCTTGTCCTCCAATTGGCCGCTGGTCCATCCCATGATCCCACTCTTCTTCGCGTTCTTGCCCACCTGATGTTGACGGCCTGATGATCTGAATCCTGCGGACGCCATGGTGCGCTCTACAATGCGCGTGAAAACGCGTCCGGCAATGTCAAAAGCCAAGCCTGGGGACGGAGACGGGAATCGTGGGGGAACAACTCATTCCCAAGAACTGTCAAGTTGCTCCCGCTCCCTACTTGTTCTACAACCTTGAGGACTGCGCGCGGACGCGTCGTTGAGCGTGTTGGTTATATCTTCGGGAGCTAGCCCACGAGTATTGCGTCCAGAATGTCCAAGATGCCCTCTGAGAAGCGCGTCATTATCGTCGGTGCAGGGTGCGTTATGCCCATTTGCCCTCCCGATCGCCAATCATTAACGCGCTTTATGGACTTGCAGAGTGGCGGGTATAGCGACGGCGATTGCTCTCAAGACGCAGCTTGGGTTTGAGAACTTCACTGTACGTTGACTTGTTGGCAGACGTCGCGTGTAGGGGTTGATGCTGATGGACGTGTCTATCCAGATATTCGAGAAAGCGGAGAGGCCCGGTGGAACGTGGAGGGTGCGTATACGCTTCTGCCCAGTGGGCTTTGTGGTTGACGATGTTGCTCCTTTAGGATTCGACATATCCAGTGAGTCTGTGCTCCTCACCCTCGTCGGGTAGCAATCACTTGCTACCTCCATCCTTCCATCCCACCTTCATCCACATCCCTTCCCAAAATGCTGATCCTTCCCCCAGGGCTGCGGCTCGGACATCAGCGGTCACTGGTATAGCCTCTCCACCGAGCTGAACCCCAACTGGAGCGCCTACTACGCGGGCCAGCCGGAGATCCTCGCCTACTGGGACGCGCTGTTCGCGAAGCATAGACTTGCCGAGCACACCGTGTTCCGCACGGCGGTGGCGAGTGCAGAATGGGACAACGAGCGCCAGCTTTGGCGGGTCGAGACGGTGTCATGGCAGAGGCGGGGGAAGGCAGCCGAGGTTGAAAGCGTGGATGGCGAAGAGGCTGACGAGACAGAGGAGACGCGTGGCACCGCCGAGGCAGAGGTCCTCTTCTACGCCATCGGCGGGTTCATGGCGCCCATCTACCCGAAGGAGGCGGAGGGGCGCGCCGTCTTTCGTGGCGAGCAGTGGCACACTGCGCGCTGGCGGCACGATGTCGATCTCGCTGGCAAGCGCGTGGGCGTGATTGGGAATGGGTGCTCTGCGTGAGTAGGCGGGCGTGCGTAGACGAGACGAAGGGCCCCTGCTGACGTGGATTTTCCCAGCGCGCAGATCGTACCCGAGCTGGCGAAGGACTCGTCGACGAGGTGAGCTATACTTGGCGTCGGCTAGAGTGAACGAAGACTGAATGGGGCACAGGATCGTCAACTTCGTCCGCACGCCTCAGTGGTATGTGCCGCAGGTAATACGACATCTTCGAGTCCCTGTCATCGACCTTGATTGCTGAATGCCGAATCAGGGCAACAAGCGTTACTCCCCGCTGGTGAAGTGGGCGTTCGCCCACATCCCCGGCTTGTTAAGAGCGTACAGAAACATGATCATGGCTCGAGTGAGATACCTTTCCGCTTGTTGACCTACAACTGTCAACTGAGTTCTGACACTGTCAAGTCCGACCTTGTCCACCTCATCTTCAATCAGCAAAACAGATTGCTTACCTGGATTGCGAGATGGGTGAGTAGCGCCAGGGTCTTACGACGTATCCGCCTCCTCACGATCGGCTTTCAGGCCTTGACCAAGTATATCCGGGACACAGCGCCCAAAAAGTACGTGGACCGACTGGTTCCCAATTACGGTGAGCGTCAATTTCGCCTGGCCAAATTCTGGCGAGTCTGATAAGGTTGGCGAATCTAGCCGTCGGGTGCAAGCGCATCATCGTGGACCCCGGCTTCTTGAAGAGCTTGCATCGCGAGAATGTCGAGCTGCGCCAGGACGCCATCGATAGCATTATCGAGGAAGGCGTGAAGTTGAAGACGGGTGAGGTTGTGCCGCTCGATGTAATCATATACGCGACGGGCTATTCGTTGGTTTGCAGCCCACAATCCGCAGTCGACTTGCCAGCTGAGAGCCCTGAAAATAGGATGCGCCGGACTTGCAGCACATCAAGGGCTCTCGAGGGCAAGCACTACATGAGTACTTCGTGGAGCAAGGCGGCGCGACGGCCTACCTCGGATGCAGTATGCCTGGATTTCCCAACTTGTTTTACCTCTTGGGTGCGCACGTTCCTTCATACGTCGGTCAGAAGGCGCTCACGGACTTCGCGAAGGCCCCAACGTCGCCTCCGGGCACGCTTCCGTCATCTTCAGCGAAGAAGTGCAGGTACGTGGCTTCCGAAGGTGCCTTTCGGGCGTTGCAGCTTATTGTCCGTCTACATTCAGATCCAGCTGGCACTGCAGGTGATGAAGCCTGTGCTTGAGGGGGAAGCGAAGTCGTTTGAGATCAAGGACGAAGTGGTGGACAGGTATAATGGATGGCTTCAGTCCCGTTTGCGGCACTCGGTATGGACCGACTGTATGTCGTATTATCGGCAGGACCGGCGCGAGGGGAAGATTGTCGCAACCTTCCCGGGGCCGGTCACACTCTTCTGGTGGCTGGCGCGTCGCCCGAAGTGGGACGAGTGGACGGGGGTCGGCGCAGAGGCCTGGGCCCAGCGCTTGGCGGCGGCGCGGCGTCGAAGACGCTTCGGCTCCTTCCTGTTGCTCGTCGCAGCCTTCCTTGCTGGGTGGGCGAAAAAGAGGGGGCTGAGGCTAAGATAGAAAGCAGTGTACATTACAGCACCTCGCGATGACTCACTGGCGTGCAAACAATGAAGTCGAACTTGCCGTCACACGGGAATTACCGAGAGGCGAATTTCCAAATCAACAGCCTGTTCACACCGGCCGGCCGACGGGGCGTGTGATAGTTCAGAGTCTCGATCCACCTGCGCTCGTCGTCGTCGTAGCCGGCCCCCACCTCCCTCCTTTTACGCTCAAACTGCTGGCTCCGTGCCGCGCGGGTGCCCGGCTATGACCTCCTACTCCCACTCATCCTCCTCCTCCACCGCCAACGTCGTCGGCGTCCACTACCGCGTCGGCAAGAAAATCGGCGAGGGCTCATTTGGCGTCATCTTCGAGGGTGCGTCGCCCGACACCACACGTTGACTGTCAGCTGAGAGACGGTGCAGGGACGAACCTTCTCAACTCGCAGACCGTTGCCATCAAGTTTGTGCGTGTGGGCAACCGAGGCGTCAAGCGTTCTCTGACAGGCGCGCACCCCACAGGAACCCAGGAAAGCGGAGGCACCCCAGCTACGCGATGAATGTCGGTCCTACCGCATCCTTGCCGGCTCAGGTGCGTCGTCCGAACCTAGCACCAGCTCATCCAGACTAATTGGCGCACAGTCGGTATCCCGACCATCCATCACTTCGGACAGGAGGGCCTGCACAACATCCTTGTCATCGACCTCCTGGGCCCCAGTTTGGAGGACCTCTTCGATATGTGCGGGCGCAAGTTCAGCGTCAAGACGGTGTGCATGGCAGCGCGGCAGATGGTGCGTCGCATATGTGACACAGACAAAGACATGCGCACCCACACTTCTCCCAGATCACCCGCGTGCAAACCATACACGAGAAGAACCTCATTTACCGTGACATCAAGCCCGATAACTTCCTCATCGGTCGCCCTGGCACGAAGACAGCGAACAGTGAGCGATGAAGCGCTTCCCTTGTTCGCCTACTCATTCGCGTCCAGTCATTCATGTCGTTGACTTCGGTATGGCCAAGCAATACCGCGATCCGAAGACGAAGCAGCATATACCTTACCGGGAACGCAAGAGCTTGAGCGGCACTGCGCGTTACATGAGCATCAACACACACTTGGGGAGAGGTGCGTGAGCATGACTTCATAGACTCGGCTTCCGCTGATGGCGCGTAGAACAATCACGTCGGGATGATTTAGAGGCCCTGGGTCATGTCTTCATGTACTTCCTGCGAGGCAGCCTTCCTTGGCAAGGGCTCAAGGCCGCCACGAACAAGCAGAAGTACGAGAAGATTGGCGAGAAGAAGCAGACCACACCAATCAAGGAGCTTTGCGAGGGCTTTCCGGAGGAGTTCGGAATCTACCTCAACTACGTTCGGAAATTGGGCTTCGAGGAAACTCCTGATTATGACTTCCTACGGGAGTTGTTTTCCAAGGTTCTCAAGAGCAATGGGGATCAAGATGATGGTGTATTTGACTGGAACTTGCTAAACGGTGCGCTGCTCAACTGTTTCTGTATGCACTTCTTTAATCTCTCGTCCTTCAGGCGGCAAAGGCTGGGAAGCATCAGCCGTAAGTGTAATCAATGTCATGTACATCGCAGTTGCTTATAACTTTTTCAGAACAAGGGATCGACCGATGCTGGGCAAAATGCTCGCCTGGAGGCTGCTGCCAGGGAAGCACGGCAGGATCGTCGACGTATATCGCAACAAGGTGGCCCTGTACCTCCGTCCCCAGCGCTCGTCAGGCATGGTTCGAAGCAGCGCAAGGTCCCAGCCGCTCTCACTCCAGGCGGCGGCGTATCAGGACAGATGACGCCGCACTCAGCCGCGGCCCAAGTCAATGTCCCTATCGGTGGCACACCGCGGGGTAGCTCGCAGCATCCGTACGCTGGCGCCGGCGCCGGTGGCTACGACTACGGCGACGATGGCGGGTACGGGCAGCCGCAGGCGCAGCAGCCATACGGGCGAATATCGCCCATGGTCCCCGCCGCGGGCACCGCGCCGCCTGCGGTGAGCAATGTGAGAGCCCACGCGGGCGACGTCGGCGTGTCGCGTGACAATGCTTACCATGGGCAGGACATCGACGAGCCCGCGCCGAAGAACAGCCTGTGGCGTATTCTGACGTGCCGATGCGGTTGAGCGACGAGCGCCTTACGACGATCCCCTGCCTCACGCCGCCGCTCGTGCCTCGCGAGCCTCACGAAGTCATAATATCCCCGTGTACGCATACCGCCAGCCCGCGTCTGCGACCTGGTCGCTGTCCCCTTCCCCCACATCCCCCGTTCCACCTACGCCCTCCTGTACCACGACGTGTCCCGGTCCCACAAGACGTACCTCTGGTGTCGCATTACGCCTGCCTACAGTATCCCAGTGTCGCCATACGCATCTCTCCCGGTGTCGCTTTACGCATCTTCCCCGTGTCGCTTACGCCTTTCCTACCGTGTTGCCATACGCTCTCCCATCGGTGTCGCCATACGCCTCTTCCCCCGGTGCTCTCCTACGGTTCCGCTGGGGCGCTCAGAACTTTCGCCGCGCCGCATGCTAACGCTCTACTATACCCTTCTAGTACTCATCCTTAATCTGCATCCTGTTCTATCTCGGTCCGTCCGCTATTGGGTTGGAAGTCGCCTTTTCTTACTTTTTTTTTCTCTTTCACGAGCTTTCATGAGTGCCACAAATTCGGCTAATAGAGTTGCGTGTGCCAGTGACTTTTTGTGTGAGCCGCCAGGTTAAATGTGAGCCGCATGGAGACTGGACGTCGAGTGTACGTGCATATCGTCCTTCAAAAAACTCGCTCTACTAAGTTTCCGGCCCACGAATACACAGTCTAATATACAAAAGCAAGGAAGATACATGATTCGATTACTGCGCCACAATCTCCTTGAACTCGCCGTTGTCCACCATCTCCTTCACGATGTCGAGGCCGCCGACGAACTCGCCGTTCACGATGAGCTGCGGGAATGTGGGCCAGTCGTTGAGCTCTTTAAGACCCTGTCGGACAGCCTCGTCCTGCAGGATGTCGAATGACGCGAACTGGACGCCCTGCTCGTTGAGCAGGTTGACGATCTTGCGCGAGAAGCCGCAGCGTGGTGCGTCGGGCGAGCCCTTCATGAAGAGGACGACCTTGGCCTAAGAAGGCAACACACCGCCGGTCAATTCTTCTTCTAATAGGTGGGCTTCGAAACAAGCGCACCTGGTTCATCAATGCACGCATCCTCTCCTTCAGCGCCTCCGGCGACTCGTCCATGGGTACATCATTGGAAGCCTTTGCTGGCGCCTGCATATTTTGTGAGCGTGATGAAGATGGGATGAGGGAATTTGGGCTGACCTGTGATGTCTGCGACTGGGGTGCGACGGACGGTCCTGAGGTATGCTTTGCGACCGACGCGGCGAGCTTGGGTGCGTCTGCACCACTGATGCGGTCCAATAGAGTGTGTCCCTGGGCATTGAGGTCAGTGACTGCAATGGGGCAACATTTGGGACGTGCGAGTGATGATAGATCGGCTTATGAGGTGGAGGGGAAGATCCGCAGGAGACAACACATACCCTCAGGATAACAAACGTCGGGACCGCCTCCACATCAAAGGACTCTGCAATATCCGCCGGCTGTTCTGCCTCCACCTGTGTCATAACCCATCAGCGACATTGAGTCCTTCATACGTTCTGCTGGTCCACACACCTCCAAAAACTGCGTCTGCGGGTACTTCTTCGCGAGCTCGCGCACGACCTCGTTCATCTGCTTGCATGGCTCGGCCCAGGGCGCCCAGAAGTTAATCAGGGAGACGCGATTCAGGTCCGCGGACATGATGTCCTGGAACTGCGTTGGCGATTCGATGACATGGAAGTTGGGGGAGGTGGCCATCGTGAGTGAGTGGAGTTCGGTTGGCAGGAGTTGGGGATGGCAATGATGGGTTCGAGCAGGGATCACTACAAGTAAGAGGATCTGCCTGGGGGATGGACGAGGGGGTAATCGAGCGCGAGATGGAGGTGGATTGAGTACAAGACGCAGGGTGGGGATCGGTGAGCCCGATCACGATCGGCCGAACGGGCCGGCTCGGGCTGGCGCGATCTCGCGCCACCGCTACTCAGAGGACTCAAGCTTAGGCAACCATGGCGCACTCCAGTCAGTCGCCAGCGCATAAGCAGAACCACGGAGACATCGTATGCAGCATTGAGTAGTGTACAAGTGAGAAGATGCGCATGATAGGCAACCATGGGTCAATGTGTCCGAATCCCGAGCGTATCAACAATTATGGCCACCGTCTATCAGAGTTCCGCAGCTCTCTCCTTCGCCTGCTCTGGCTGCTGAACGCCCTCTGGTACAGCACCCGCCTTCTCCAGCTGCTGCCTCGTCTCCTCTGCCTCTGCCTTCTCCTTCTCTTCCTCCTTCGCCTTCTTCCCTGCCTCCTCCTTCGCCCTGCTCTCCGCCTCCGACTCTCTTATCAACGCCGCCAACTCGTCCTCCACCAAGTCTTCGTCCACCGCATCCGCGCCGACCGCGCTGTCGACATTGACATTCACTGTCTCGCTAATCTCGCGCGCGTCCATGTTCGCCTCCGCCAGTGCGTCCATCGTCTTCTCGACCTCCTCGCGTTGAAGGGAGGGGTGGGAGAGGATGGAGCGGAGGGTCGCAGTGCTGAGGCTGTAGGATTTCATGATCTGGAGGGAGAGCGTGAGTAGGTGTTGTAGGTCACTAAATGGGATGATGCGTACCTCGACATCGCCCCGCGCGCTTTCAACGCTGATGAGGGTGCCCTCCAAGGTGGTCAGGCTGCCCAGTCGTCGGTTGAGCACCTCCTCGAGGTGCCTCTTCGTGCGCAAGTACGTTGTCGCGACCGTCTTTTGGCCCTTGCGTAATGCGTCCTTCGCTTTGGAGGTGCACCTAGCGACATGTCAGCACACGATTAGAGGAATAGCCAGCATAATCACTCATCCATCCGCGCCTGCAATGCGGATATCTGCGAGTTTAGTGATTCGATGGCTGTGCGCAGCTCTATCACACCCTTGTCAACGGCTGTAATGGTGCGCTCGGCTGGTGAGGTCGACGGGTCCGTGAACTTCACCACCTGAAACCAACATGTCAGCACGCCGACTGAAGGTGGTTCCACAGATGATACTCACGTCCTGCTTCAAATCCGCTACCAACACTCCCTTATCCCTCTGCATGAACTTCAATAGAATTTCCGCGTCCCTCTCTCCAATAATCTGCCCTTCCCCGGCCACGACCTCCCCAAACCTCCGCCTGAAACCAAGCACACTGTACAGTCCATCGCTAGCCCCATCTCCCTTCTCCTCTTCCAGAACCGCCGCTGCTGCCTTTTCAGGCAGGCTTAGGAAGACGTAGTCCCCGTACCAGCTTTGTGTTGCTGAGCCTGAGACGCGGGAGGTAATGGAGTGCACGATAGAGTCCTCTCCAACGATGCCGAGTTGCTCCATAGCCCACCAGAGAGGCTTGCCGACAACATATGTGGCGACGGTGGTGGGAGAGGGTATCCAGGAGGAACTAGGATAGATGGATTGCGTAGAGGTGAGGAATGTAGAGAGTGGTATCAATGTCCGATTGGTGACGAGGTTCGTCTACGCTAGGCGGAGCTTGGTGAGAGTGGAATATGGTGTAGGATGTAACACTCACGATAACTTCGCCGAGCGCCGCAGGCTTGCCGACGCCCTCGACGCGCATGGCGTCAATGAGTTGCCTGTTCGCCTGCAATACCAGTCTGCTGCCAGAAGTAGCTGAGGCAGACGCGAGCGCTTCGGTGCTCCCTGATGCACTCCCGCTCGAGACATGTGTCTCTAGCGCTTTCCTCCACCACTCCACGTTCGCGTTATACGACGCCAGATTCGTATGCTTCTTCTGTGTGAAGTCCGAGTACAGTCCTTGCAGCCTCGAGATCGTAACCGGTCCTAGACTCTCAAGAGATGGAGGGAGTTGCGCTGCAGCATTGGGATTCATGCGCTGCGGTGTCCCGGGCGCGGTCGTGCGTAAGAGACCCGAATTCGAGCGTCGTGGAGTAGAATCATAACCTTGTGCAAGGGTGTTGACACGAGACTTGGCCGGCGTGGCGAAAGCGGACATGGTAGACAGCGACCGAACCTGCAGCCGCGCACAGGTGGTCGTGGCACAAGGCGCGTCAGAGCGCTTGAGGTGATCGGGGCCGGAGAACGCCACATTGTCGGTCCGATGGCCGGATATCTCCGGAAGCAATCAACGCCTTCGTGCCTGAATGGCCTGCCTTCCTCCAGCTCCTCGATGTTATTCGTCCCATACAATCGTTGTCCGTCTTCGAAAAATCCGACTGTACTTTCTGGTAAGATTCCTAGGCGGATGTGCTTAGGTAGAAGGCCAAATGGAACTCTCGTGTAGTGGCGTTGCAATACATACTATATCTCACCGGGTCTTTCGAAAATCCCGCCAAATCTTCGAAACTCCCGGGTAACTCCCTCAAAACGGGGTGCTTTTCTTCCGGAAAAGAATGAGTAGGAAGCTCTCAACGTCCCCTATCGGATGGTGGTACTTTTATGGGCTCTGGAGGGAGGCAAGGATCAGGACGCAGGCGAAGCGGATGACGCACGTGTTTGATGGCCATCAAAATCGATCGGACCATGCTCCCCTCATAGCCAGCCACTTTCACCGCTATTACCGCAAACCAGCGCACAAAACAAAAGTATAGGCGGGTAGTATCAAGCTCAGGGGTCCCTACTGACTTTTTTCCGCGTCGATATACGGTATCTGGAAGGGTGCTACCGGGAGTTTCGAAATTTCGGTGGGATTTTCGAAAGACCCGGTGAGATATAGTAATTCTGCTGCCGCTTTGGCAAGCTCAAGAATTTCTGAGTCAGATAAGGAACTTCATCCCCCTTCCCCGGTGCATTCCATCCTCCTTTAGCCATGCCTCTACCCCTCGGTATCATGGAACTCATACGGTGTCGGGCAAGTGTTATGACTGCAGGCCATTGCAGCCACACCCCCCATCTCGAGACTGATCGAAAGCCATAGTATTTCCGGGACGATGGTCAATTGCTACGATCTCGCGAGGGCAGACGGTGTTTGGGGGAATGGAGAAGGAACAACCCCTGCGCCTGGGTACACCCTGACGACCCGGAGTGGGATAGGGCCCGGCCAGCAAGGATACCTCGCGACTGGCTGGAAGAGGACCGAGAGTTGTGGCAGCAAGAGGAGAGTCGTGAGAGGCGGGACATAAACCTGCAAACACCCAGGGACGCTGAGGGACGAGATGAAAGGACCATCAACACCTCGAGGTTGCCAGATCGAGATGATCCCCGCCCTTCACATACGCAGCCACCACCACCACGGTGGCGCACCCTTTCCGACGACCATTCCCACTCTGCTTCCCCCCACCCCTCTCACGACCGTCCAGCCGACTCTATGGACGTTGACGCCCCCGGGACTAGCGCACATCACGCCATGCAGGCGTCAACGTCGACGTCGGCCCCCGCTCCTCCGCAACTGCCCACGTCCCTATACTCGGACCCCGCAACCGAAATGGCAGAACGAGAAGCATGGGGCGCCCGAGTCAAGTGCGTCTTCCACACTAGCCTCCCCATGACCAGCCTAACGCGCGCCCTAGGGCTATAACGGCCGTCCTCGACAAGTACAAAGAGCTGCAGAAGATCAAGGATGCGCGGCGCGAGTTGAAGACCCTCGCAGGGGAGCACCTCACGGAGAAGCGCGTCGCGCAGCTGAAGAAGCTCGACCAGAGGCTGCAGCAGCTCGACGCGGAGCAGCGCGCGATGGTCGCGCGCATACCGGGCGCGGGGTGGCCGGAGGCGGCGCCGCCGTCGGTCGACGCGGAGAAGACATACGAGGCGATACACGGCTATATTGTGGAGCTTCATGCGACGACAACAGCGATGCACGAGCGTCTAAAGGCCGTGCAGGCGCACCAGAAGAAGGTCGCGGGGGAGGGCGAGGAGGGGGAGGGAGAGACGGCGGCTATGGACGTCGACCCCTCAAGCAGGCCGCGCAAACGCGCGCGGCTAGACGAACAGGCGCAGGCCGCAGAGGACGAGAAGGCGCGCCAGCTCGACCTGCTACGCGAGAAGGCCGCGCACATCGAGTCGCGGCTTGAGGACCTGCGCACCCTTCTGCAGCAGCGCATCGACGAGATCAAGGGCCACGTCGAGCAGACGATCGACGAGCAGTCGAACAAGGTTCTCGAGGTCTTCGAGGAGCAGCTCAGGATGTCTACGGACGGCCTGGCGGAGGACGCGTCCTACAAGGACGAGGGGCTGACCTTCGGGCAGCGGCATGCTCTTCTGCATCAAGAGCTGGATAGCATGGACAACGACGTCCAGCAGATTGGCGGCTACATTGCGCAAGTCAAACAGCTCTTAGACGTACAGCAAACGGAGGTCGCGGCCTTGCAGAGCGAGGTCGAGGAATCTCGCAAGCAGACTGCTTTCGTGAGTGGCCATATATTTTCGCTTTCGGGCCCATCCTAACGGCCTGTTCTTCAGCTCAACGACAAGTTGGCTGCCTATGAGAAGCAGCAGGCGGCGAACAAAGAACGCCTCGCTTCCCTCAGCGCCAAATACGAGCAGCATATGGCGCGACATAACATCCCTTCACCCCAGCGAACACCTTCACCTCAACTCGAACTCATTACTACGTACGACGGCGCGCTTGCGGCTTTGCAGGAACCCATAACGCAGGCGATACGGCGCATGTTGTTACCTCATATCCAGGAATTCCAGCAGGATATCAAGGGAACCATACAGGCGCAGAAGGAGGACATCCTCGCCACGACATGGCCACATATGAGGGAACTACTCGACGCTGTCAACGCCGTGGACCGCGCATTGCCTGTCGCGAGGTCATAGCTGTATTATTATGGTATTCCGAACTTTAATGATCCATTTGGCGACACCAGAGGGAAAGAATTTCAGAGGATTGCGTTCACGGAGCTACAAATACACTGCTACGATATCGTACAACCGCGCGATAATCGACGCTTAGTTCATGCCCATGGCGTTCTTAGCCTTGTTGAGAAGAGAATCCTGTCGGAACGTCAGCTTCGGCGACAGCGAGGAACAAAAACAAGCAGCGCACCTCGTTCTCGTTCGAGTTGCCGCTCAGACTATCGCCCGCGCGCTGCGTTCCGGACTTCTCACTGTTGGGCTGCACCGTCGATGCGAGCGAATCGGCCGTGCCCTAATTTCCATCTGTTGGCGTCAAACGCACGGATGGGTAGGTGGTAGCTATCGCACCTTGGCGTAGTCAGAGACCTGCTCGGTGGCAGTCTTCTGGCTGTCGGGCTGGGTACGATGTGAGCATATGGAGAAGAGCTAGGTAGTGAGGACGACGTACCTTCATCGCCGCCGCGGCCTTGTCGGTGAAATCCTGGCGACCGGCTTGGGACATGGTGATAATGAGCTGGGCAGGGCATGAGTACGAAACTGGAGAATAGAGGGTAACGATGAGCGTACATGAGAATGGGTTGGGTGAGTACAGTAGGGAGAGGAAGAGTGAGTTTACGACGGCAAGGCTCAGGCTTTTATGCCGTCTCAAAATCCTCACCGCGATCGCTCGCTGCCATGACCGCGCTAGTGACGTCGGGCAGGGCATGACGCGCAGAGGCGTAATGGCATGCGGGGAGCGGGGACGGAGGAGGAAATGGGACAGAAGCTGTAGGTAATCCTAGGAGGTCGAGCCCGCTAGTTTGACAGGTTCTGGTGCTAGCCGTCCTCCGGGTGGCCACTGCAAGCTTAATTTGGATACCGTTGCTTTCATTGTCGACTCCGCAGATACTTGGGATGTCCGGACGGGGGAGGTCGATACGTACAGGGGCACGATGCAAGACGCATTCGTTGTCGACGAGGATCGGAGAGAGCTCTAAGTGCTTTCCTTGTCCCGGCCGCACTGCAATTCCCGCCTTCTACTGACTCATAGCGTCGGGAAGATGAGGAGACACCGAGGAGCGGAGCTGAAGAGGACCCGTGCACAATGTAGACGCATGGAATTTTTGACAGCTGTCGACAGTCGAAACCTCCGACGAGAGCAGGTCATAGGATATGTTTATTCTTGTTTGCTCGTTCGTGGACAATTCGCGCTTAGACACTTGAACATTGCCTCGTGGCTTGCACGAACCTACGCGCAAATTACACTGCCCGACATATTCACCAGCTTCAGCAGAAGCTGCGCATCCCAAGGCAGTTATTTAGCCTGATAGGAAGGAGCTTGACCCTCGTTGCCTGCATGTTAGGTATGTACATGGCACACAGCGTGTACTTCAAGTTCTCGCCACGCGTCGGTCAGAAATGCAGGCACGGCCATTGGATAAGGTGCGTCTTTGCGCATCGTCGCTGGTATGCGACCGGGGTTCCCGCATGCGCCGTTGTTCATTCAGATGGGTCATGACGCGACAAGTTGCTGACGACCCGTCTGCGGGCAGTGTGGACGCTCCCCGATGGCTCGCACCATGCAAGCGACGCACAGCTCGAATTTCGTTGTGGCAAGTGGCTGCTCACGTCTTCCTACCTGCTCCCTCGTCAATAGGCGGACTGGAAACAGTGTATTTGCGCGGGTAGACTGCTTTCATGCCAACTTTAGAATGTCTTTCACTTTACCGCTCAGCCGCCTACTCTAACCTCGAACTGCCACGGTCACATGAGAAGACAACCGCGCCGGAACCGTGGGGATGCCAAGACCATCTTCAAGTTCACTTTTCGTACACGGATGCCTGCCGGAAGCCGACGCATACTCGCCTCCGTCTTTTCGGTGCTGCGCACCGGTAGCGGAGCCCATATCGTCAGGCCCTTGTGATACTTCGACACAAATTCGGGCGTTCTCATTGGCTTCTTTATCGGCGTAACAAACCTTCTATCAGCCTCGTTCACATGGTAGCAAGTCCGGTAGGACGCAGGTCAATAGACGGCCCTCGAGCAGTAGGCTCGCGTAGGGGAACTTGTGCTGTTCACCGTGGAGATGCATCATCGCACAGTGTATCGCATGTGCTGCGTGCACACTTCTTGCCCTCCGAGCTCTCGCGCTAGAAACGTATAAAAGCGAGGCATCCGGCTCACCAGCTTAGCCATCCCCGGGTCTCCTCAGTTTTACAGTCCTCATCATGCGGTTCACCTCCCTCGCCTCGCTTATTGCTGTATCCACGCTTGTCGTGGGTGAGTAGTACATTTCTTATTCTCGATCCTCTGCTCACTTTTGTGCAGCGCACCCCGAGCCCGACCTCACCGTCGAGCAGCGTGCTGTTCGCAGGGTCAGTCGCGCCGTTTACCATTGATGTATATCCTATCACTGACAATATACCTACAGCTTGAAGCCCGTGGTCGTGGTCTTCAGGCGCGCAACTGTGCCAACGCCATCCGTGACTTCGAGGACAAGCGCATGCGCGCCCGTGCTCTGAAGAAGCGCGGTCTCGTCGAGGAGGCAAAGGCCCAGTTTGCGAAGCGCGAGGTCATCTCTGGCGCGAGCACTACGTTGTCCGCGGCTCCGCCCACCTACACGGAGCTCCAGAAGTAGGTCGTCCTGTTGACAGGGACGAAACACTGTTTGCTGAACATACAACTTCAGCACGTCGTGCGTGCTCGCTCCCGAGGTCACTGAGGGACCGTACTACATCAACAACGAGCTCGTGCGCCAGGACCACCGCGAGGATCAGGCGTGAGCTATGTTCATCATAATTACCGTTTCGTGTAGCTAACCATCCGCAAGCGGTATCCCCCTCGTCATCGACATCGGTATCCTGGACATCAACACCTGCGAGCCCGTCCCCAACTCCTTCGTCGAGATCTGGGCTGGTGCGAAAAATGTCATTCTGCTTGATCTTCAGCTGACGAATTTATTCTAGCCAACGCTACCGGCGTTTACGCCAGCTACCCCGCCACCCTTGGCGGTATCAGCGGTCCTCCCCCGACCCAGTCTGAGAGCAGTTCCCCTTCTGCCTCTGGCCCTCCGGGCGGCGGTGGACCTGGTGGCCCAGGCGGCAGCATGAGCCTCGAGCGCAACGAGACCTTCCTCCGCGGTGGCTTCCCCACTGACGACAACGGCATCGTCGAGTTCACGACGATCTACACCGGCTTCTACGAGGGTCGCTGCCCCCATTATCACACGATGGTCCACCTCGACTGGTCGATGTCGGACAACGGGTGAGTCACATCTTCGCTCCCGACCTGGCGCCCGGCTCATCGTTCTGTAGCACTCTCGTCTCTCACTCCGGCAGCCTGGCTCACATCGGCCAGTTCTTCATGGGTCAGCTTTTTGCCACTTTACGTTGATTGTTCTGACGCCTTCCCGCAGACGAGGACTGGAACGACCAGGTCTTCGCTCTTGAGCCGTACACCTTGAACACCAACAACCGCACGCTTAACACCGAGGATAGCATCCTGGCCGAGCAGAACACTGACGGTTACAACGGCTTCCTTGCGTACGTAGCTTCCGCCCCTCTGTCCGTTTCCCGACCCTCACACGGTTTTTGTAGCCTCGAGAAGCTTGGCGACGACATCTCCGAGGGTGTCCTCGGGTACATCACCATCGGCATCGACTCGACGGCGTCGTACAGCATCATGAACAACAACTACTACAACTCGTCCACCGAGAGCGCGAGCGCCTCGGCATCCGCCTCGTTCGCCAGCTTCAACTAGAGGGCACGGGCTTGACGTGTGCCATGATGTATTGTGCGGAAAAAATGGGTTCTGTAAAACTGGGATTTCACATGTCTATCTTTACAAATGTCAGTTCACTTCTGCGACCTCGTACACGCTAAGTGTCCGTTTGACGAGTCGAGAGATGGGTGCCGGCCTAGGAGCGGTGCTTCCTACCCTTCTTCGGAGTGACGAGGGCGTGGAATTCGGAGTGCGGCATCCGAGCGACCTCCAAGACAATTGTGTCCGTGTCCCTCCTGAAGACAGCAAAGATGTAGACGTGTCCAGGCAGGAGGTTCTTGCGCGGCACTGGTAAAGCAGTTCTGGCCTCGTCCTTGACGAAATTCACCATCTGCACCGACTGGACCTCTTCAGCCCCAGAGCCGCGTCCCTTCATCATCGAGAGCGTCAAGCGACGAATGAAGCAGCGCGTGTCAAAGCGGAGGGTGCTACTGCGCTCCACCCGGAGGATCCCCGACGAGTCAACGATCAACATGGGCTCTGTTATCTTTCCAGTGAGTCTTCTCGCGTCGTACAAGCCGAAAGCGTGCCACATACCGTGCAGGTCCTTATAAGCGCAGACCAATTTGTGGCCCGCCCGCCAGTCAGCCTTCTGACAGTCACGCGAGCAGTAGAAGGCCTGAGCGCAGCAGCACATCTTCAACGTCGACGACGAATCAGACCAGCGGGTACACTACAGACTCGGGTTAGTATCTAGCATGCACGAGGAGCATGATAGCATCGCACTTGCCTGGTGGTGGGCGCATTTTGCATGAGAAATTTCTCTGTTGAGGCGTTTCTTGATTTTTCGCGCCTCGGAGAAGTTCCAGAGTAGTTGGACGAGGGGCTGCCACTTGACGCTGGTGGCATTGTCAATGAGGACAGCATCGCGAATGTTGGCCTGATGGAATGCACGAATAACAGCAGGCCACACCAGAGCCGGTTGTAACACGCGGAGAGCAAGGTCTTCGAAGATCTTCATGCTCCTGGAAGAGAATGTCACGCAGCGAAGGGCCGTAGCGACGCGTCCGAGCAAGGCTAGGAGACCACATTCCAGGCCGGCGATGATGCAAGAGGTCGGGACGCCTTGCGCAGGATAGACAGCCCCAAGGAAGGCAATCCAAATCCCCGCGCCTGCATCAGGCAAGGGGCACAATGACGCAACGATGGACTTCCTACATATAGCCATGAAGATGCGACTAATCACAACTCCGAGCGATCTCTTCGAGTTGGGCATGCGTAGCCTGTGCAAAGCATTCGGCGCCAGAGCGAGCATGTCCAGTACAATGCCGCAATTCTCCAACAGACGCGCAGGCGAGCCAGCCACTGTACCAAAAAGGAATTGGCCTGGGAGATAGACCCAGTCGGTCTTGTTGAGAAGAACGTTCAACAGCGCGGAAGGGTCTACTGTTGCCAATGCAGCGAGCGCACGCCCTTCCGTGCCTGGGGAGAGTGGAAGTTCTTTCAGAATATCGATCAACCGAGACGCCGGTTTAATCAAGTCCTGGTTCTGCGTCGACAGAATCATGAGAAGTACTTTATGTATGAAGTCTTGTTGCGCTAGCAGGAACTGTCGTGCAGCAGCATGCGGCCAGATAGACTGGAAGATGGTACTGGAGGAGGAGAGGACAGATTATTTCAGGCGTTCAGCATCTTCTTTCGTGCCCTTCAGGAGCAGGATATCCACGATTGATGTGAACGACACCGTGAGCAAGGCTATCCAGGGCCACGCATCTGAGAGGAGCGAAGACAGGCTTTCGGGAAATGACTGTGAAGCAGACAAGCAAAGCTGAGCGTAGGCTTGCAGTGCCATGGTAGCGCGGTGGATGATTTCCACGCCGTCCGGCATGAAGGCCAAGACATCGATGTCGGAGGGTCGCAGAGAGTACCTCAGCAGATCAAGGATTGTTGGCAGTATTTCGAGCGGTATCGGTGTATCCGCTTGGGTATATTGATGGAATAAGGCCTTGAATCGCGCCTGAGAGGGGTTTCTTGAGCATCAATCTCGAAACAATGGAATCAGAGAGCTTACCAGAGCATCACGGTGGTTGAGGGATAGCAAGACAGAGTTGCTCATTGTTCCAGGCTATACTGCTGGTCGTCGTCGCTGTCAGAAATAGATGTGGCTCAACGCGACGTATTCCAGAAGATGAGATCGAGGTTGCTGAGTCGGTAGTACCGGCAAGAGCAAAAGATGAATGCGTTCAAAAATCCGGTGCAACGAAGGCGGGGTATGAGTTGGAGGGGAAGAAAAGACGGGTGGCCATGTTGATAATAAATTTACTGCAGGGCCTGAGCTCAGACCAGTGGACACTGACCTCAAATCCGGCCTCTTTGAGCAGCCATGTATGTGACGGTGTCACCATGAATGAACGGGGTGGTGGTCAAGATACAAGGAGAAAGGACTCAATGACCGCGAATTGCCGGTCAACGGATCAAGAAACGATTGGTCCCGATCAGCGAGGAAGGGTGTGACGCACTGCGTTACGAGAGCGCCAGCAGGACATACTCAGTTACTGACCATACCCCTTGTCCTCTACACTGTCTCCTCCTCTCGAAGCTTCACTCAGATCTTTCTCAATGGCATCAATTCGCCTCCGACACCCCAACGGCGTCGCCACCATCCGCGCCGCTCTCGATCGCGACGACTTCACCGTCCTCGACCTGCAGCAAGAGATCTTCTCCGCGACGCAGATTATCCCGTCGCGTCAGAGGTGTGCGTGGCGCTCTCCTCCCATCCAGCGTTCACCCACGGACTCGATGCATGAATTCAGTGAAAGCCGGTTACCCGCCGCGCGACCTGACGCTAATCCCCGAACTGCCGGTATCTAGTCTGGGGCTGGCAGCTGGAGAGCAAATCATCGTAAGCGAGACGCCCGGTGGAGGAGGAGGATCTGCTCCGTTCCAAGCATCGGCACCTCAAGCGACGCCTGCTGCACCTGCAGCGGCAACAAGGGCCAGTGCACCTTCAGCCGCAGTGATGCCTCCATCGTCAGATGGGCCGGTGCACGTCGAGATGCGTGACGGTAGCTTCTTCATACACAGGGTGCGCATCGTATGACATGGCAGCTGCTTCTTGCTCACCCACATTTAGGTCGTCCCAGATGACAACTCGTGCATGTTCTCCGCTATTTCCCTGATCTTCAAGCAGTCAATAGCCCATGCCCAAGATATCAGGAAGAGTGCGCACTTCACATTCACCCCCTTCATTCCCTCATCTCACATCTCCGACAGTTGTCGCCGAGGGCATCCGTGGCGATCCCATCACCTTCAATGAAGCAATCCTCGGGTACGTCTTACCCCCTTCCCCTCCCTGAGCACATCACTCATTGTGCACCACGAAGGACAGGATGGAACCCGACAAGTACATCACCACCATCACCAAGCCCTCAACCTGGGGAGGGGCGATAGAGCTCACCGTCCTCGCTAAGCACTTTGGTGTCGAGATCTCCAGTGTTGACGTCGAGACTGGTCGCGTCGACCACTTCGAGCCCGAGGGTGGCGCGGACACGCGCTGCGTACTAATATACTCGGGCATTCACTACGACGCGGCGTCAGTCGCGCCTATGATTGACGCACCAAACGAGTGGCATCAGACCGTGTTCCCCATTGTACGTCGCCTTTCTTCGCATTGCCTGGGCTGTGAAGCTGACGCTAATTGCAGCGCTCTTCCAACGACGCCTCGGATGAAATCATCATCGCCGCGAAGAAACTCGCCGACATTTTGCGTTCCAAGCGCGCATACACGAACACGGCGACCTTTGACCTCAAGTGCGAGAACTGCGGTCAAGGTCTGAAGGGGGAGAAGGACGCGCGCACACATGCAGCGCAGACAGGGCATACCAACTTCGGCGAGTACTGAGGGCGTCTCGTTGAGGCCAATTCTCCTCCGAAATACCCGATGTCCCCCGCTAGCATCAATCATCAGAGTTCGACGACTCCGTGTCGACCTCGTCTCCATGATCAATGACTTGTTTGTAGTCGAGGACCAAGGCTTCCAGACGCGATCACGTGCAGTGCATGCGGAAGCAACGAGACATTGTCAACCGTTGGACAGATCATCGCGCCCGTAAAGACCTCAAGAGTGCCTAAGAACGTGAAATTGAAGGAAAAGTAACCAAAGCACAAAGAGAGCAGAACTACATAGCAAGTCACACACAACCTAGCCACCTACGTCGGTGGCACACAGGTCATGGCCGTTCTCGCTGGAGGTAATTTACATCTGACGGAAAGGTGAGTTCACGCGAGGGAAGAAGATGGATATAGACGTACATATTGTGAGAGCCAGCGGAAGCCTGTCAATGGGACCTGGTGAGCCAACGAAAGGGAAAGCATACGACAAACGACGCACCCTCTCCGTAGCCCTGTCTCTGTACAACAGAGCACATGAAGATCTCAATAGGGCGGATGTCCGTGAGGGGGACCTTGCCCTGCAGAAAGGTATCAGGCTGTATATCGTATATACACTACAGCTGTTACGCACCTTGCCAGTCGTCTGGTACAAGCCCAAGTGGTGCCGGAGTTCCTCCTCGCTGACAGCACCCGGGGCGTCAATCTTGTTGCCGAGAACAAGGAAGGGGACTTTCGCGAGCTGCTCGATCGAGAGGAGTGCGTCGAGCTCAGCCTTCGACTCGGCGAAACGCTCGAAGTCGGCGCTGTCGACGAGGAAGACGATACCGTCGACCTCCGGGAAGTAGTCCTTCCACAGGCGGCGGGCTGATGAGATTGGCAACAGTGCCAGATGGTGTACAGAGTGCAGGAAGGGCGTGTGGCATTTGCGAATATGCGAACGGGAGAGGGAAAACGATAAGCGTATGCGAACGGAAAACTGCAGCAAGTACGCACCCTGCAAGTGACCACCCAAGTCGTACGTGGTGAACTTGACATTGCCAATGGCAAGCTCCTCAGAAGCTGTCAAAAGGTGACCGTCAGCCCCTTCACGTCGTCCTTACACGTGAACCTCGCACGCACTGGGATGCAGCGTAGGCTGGAGCGTGGCCAAGCGGTCGTTCTTCAGCATGTGCAACAGCGTCTGTACGCCTCTTGTCAGCCTTCCCTCCCCCATAGACACAGCTTCTGTCACCCACCGTCTTGCCGGCATTGTCGAGGCCGAGGAAGAGGATTTTGGCGTTCTTGTGCAGCAGGCCTGCACGCGCCAAGCCTTTCAGTGCCCAGAGCGAGAGAACGGGGAGGGCGACAACGCACCGAGCTGCGACAAGACGTCCCAAAACCAGTTGAGGATGAACATGGCGCGGGCGGGGAACGGGTGTGGTGAACAGTGTCAAGGTAGATGACGACGGCGGCGGCCAGGCCTGGCGGGTGCGTCCGTTACGGATGTCACATAAACGTGACGTGTCCACGTCGTTCGTCACAGATGGCGCGCGCGACGCGCCTTGTTCATTTATTCGACTACGCAGTGCTGGAACGCGTTTCGCAGCACAACGAAGGGATAGGAACTGAAATACACCCTTAGAAGCTGCTTGACACGGCGCGGAGCGCTCGTGAACCTCATCTAGCCCTTCGCAGGCACGTGGAAGCTGAGCAGCTGCCAGAAGCAGTCTCGGGAAGCAAAGCCCTATCGTGAGTGGAGGCCGTGCTTATGATCTGTACACCGCTCAACTGCATGCAAGAATATCCTCCACGACGAACACTACTGTGAAGAATCCTACGACCCACACCACATATTCCTCCGACTCCCTGGCCTCCTCATGCTATCATGTCCCTTCTCTTCCACCTTACCTTCCGCAACGTCCTGGCACTCTCGATCGCCATCCGCGTCGGCCTCATCATATATAGTGAATGGCACGACGCGCACTCAGTCGTGAAATACACCGACATCGACTACCGCGTCTTTAGCGATGCTGCTCGCTTCCTCCGTTCCCCCAGCGCTGACAACGTCGCGCAAGGACCTTTGGGGAGCCTGTTAGATCTTGGAGAGTACGTACCTCCACTCAAGTCCCATGCCGGTATATTGAAATACCCTGCTCAGTCCATACACACGCGAGACGTACCGCTACACGCCGCTGCTAGCGTTCTTGTTGCTCCCCAACGAATGGCTCCATCCCTCGTTCGGGAAGTACCTCTTCGCGGCCTGTGACATCTTGAATGGGATCATCATGTACCGGCTGCTTCGCACTGAAGTGGTCTCATCCGCGACGGGAAAGATAACAGACGTGTCTGCGCGTTTTCTTCTGCCCGTGCATGCTCTCGCTGACCTAAGCACCAGGCCGATGCTGCGTCGAGTAACGAAGTATTATTCTCCACGGAGCAGGCACCAACGGACGCGTCAAAAGGGACGACTTCGGCCTCCAAAGAACGTCTAGCGACCCTCTATTCGGCCACCCACCTCCTCAACCCCATGGTGTTCTCCATATCCACTCGGGGATCATCAGAAGCAGTGCTATCAACGCTCGTCCTGCTAACGCTCTATGCGGCCCTGAAGAGGCGCTGGGACGTTGCGGCTGTTTTGCTCGGTGTGAGCACCCATTGGAAGATTTACCCGTTTGTCTATGGTATCGCTTGCCTTGGGGTCATCACTAGCGAGATCGAGAACGACAAACATCTCGCGCAAAGGTCTTCAATGACTGCCGGCCCTTTCGCATACCTAGCGAAGCTTGTCAACAAGCGAACGCTGCGCTTCCTTGCCATCAGCGCGGGGACCTTCGTAGCGCTCGGCGTGGGCTGCTACGCTATGTACGTCAAGCCCCAGACTCTTCGGCCCTCGTCTGACCCGTCTACAGCTGGGGATATCCCTTCCTGTACGAGTCGTACCTCTACCACCTCCACCGACTCGACCATCGGCACAACTTTTCGCCTTACTTCTACCTTGTCTACCTTTCCTGGCACGACAACGTCGCGAACGCTACTCCTCGTCTCTCGCTGATACGGCGAGCCCTGCGATCCCCGCTTACCAGCTTCGTGCCGCAGATGGTGCTTACGCTGGGGACGGGGCTGCTATTCGGACGATGTGCCAGGGACCTGCCCTTCGCCTGGTTTGTGCAGACGGTGGCGTTTGTGCTCTTCAATAAAGTGTGCACATCACAAGTATGTTATGCGTTGGTTCCGAGCGCACTGAACCCAACTGACGTCGTATGCAGTACTTCCTCTGGTACCTGCTGCTACTACCCCTCATCATGCCCCGGCTACGCATGTCCCCGCGGAAGGCCGTATTAACCATCGCCGTCTGGGTGCTTTCGCAAGCCTTATGGCTTTGGAATGGCTTCAGGCTTGAGTTCCTTGGCGAGAACGTCTTCCTTGCACTATGGATGTCGTCCCTCGTGTACGTAGCGGGGCACGGATGGGTCCTCGGACAGATGATCGATGCATATACAGGAGTTGGGGAGGTGCAGAACAAGCCCAAAGTTGAATAAATAGTACAATTCGACAGTAAATTCCATGGCCCAGACTGAGGTCTACGCGAGTTTCGAATCGATGGCCTCCTTGGTGAGCCCTTCGGGCCCGTCGCGGATTTCGATGACCTTGTTCACGTCCGCCTGGCGTTGAAGAGGGAAATAGGTCAAGAGTTGTTAGCACATGCCAGGATCCAAGGACTGGGATCGTACCGTATTCTGGAAGTCGATGAGGGAGCTTGCGTGAAGGGTGAGCATGCCGATCTCTGAGCTTGATGGTGCCCAGTTGATCAGGACAAGGGGGTAAGACGTTCGCCCATCCTTGTGGTGAAGCTCGTAGGAGAGGACGACGTATCGAGGGCTGTTCTCCGGAAGTTCTGCGGCGAGAGAGGCGGTGTGAGCCCTCGCCACCTCGGCAACATCGATGCCTCGGACGCACCTTCCGCGAGGTCCTCGATGGAAATGTTGTCAAACTGCTCTACCTCCTCCATCGTCAGCTTCGCCTTGTTGATCTTAATGACGATGGCTGCATGTCCCTGGTCCCGGCGGGCAAAGCGGAACTTGCGCAGGGCAGTCTTGATCTCCTGCGGGATGTCGACCGTGTGGGACTGCCTCGCGTTCAGCGATCTCGGCGCACGCGTCGCCCACGACGAGCACTCGCCATGGCTGCTGCTGATGAATTTAAGGTGGGTTGACTGGGGTGGTGGAAGAGTGTCAGGTCACTAATGTCAGTGACCGCAAAGGTAACCGAAAAGGGACAGCGATAAGATAACACGGCTAGTTGGCAAGGGGCTGATCCATTGCGAGGGAGCGATTGGCGGATCGCGGCAGGCGGGATCTCACACACTTGTCCGCACTAGATTCTTGATTCAATGTGCTGACACCTCGTCATCGCCCTTGCCTCCCCCCACCACGTTCAGCCGACCTTATACGGAGCCTGCGAGGCTGCCGGTCGCTTACCATGTCCCGCACGCGCTTTCCGATATCGCGCACGCCGAGTACGGCGCCTACGACCCCGGGAGCCCTTCTGAGACCAGATGGTTCGGTCAACGATGAGGCCACGGGAATGCTACACGACATTGTGCACCACCACGAGCGCACCGATGTGACCATAGTCGAAGAGGAGACCCCTCGCGAGAGCAAGGACGGGCGTCCCTGGTACAAGAGGCCGAGCCCGTGGTGGTACGCCCCCTCCCCTCTACGCGTAAATTCCTCGCCCCTCATGCTGCTCTCCTCAGGATCTTGGCGATTATACCGTTCACGACGATGGGTGCGTTGCTCGCCTAGCCGTACTTATATACACTCCCTGAGATGCTCCCCCTCAGCCATGTCTGGCACCCTCGCTCCTAAGATTGAGATATACACGCGCCTCGTGTGCCGCGTGCATAGGCCCGACCTCTTCAAGGACACCTATCACTACGATCCTGCTACTACAGAGGGCATACTGGGCAAACCCAGGCCCGCGAACGGCATGATTGACCCCCATGATACCTTCCCTCATCCCGTTGCACGCGAAACCGTCCTTCATTTTGCCGCTGACGAAGGCGAGGAGGGCCCTACGAAACCGACATGCGCTTCAGACCCTCTCGTACAACGGATCGTCGCTCAGCTGTCTGCTGGTATGTTACATGCTCCCTATCTATGCACCCCATGCCAAACTATTTCATAGCCATGACCCTTTCCATGGGCGTCCTCGCCTGTCTCACTACTGGCTGGTGGGGATCGGTACGCCTGCTATTCGCTTCTTATGTCTCATGACGCTGACTTGACGCAGTTTTCTGACCGGCATGGCAGGCGTTCCGTTATGGGCATTTCCGTCTTTGGGTTACTGCTCACAGACCTTATCTTCATCTTCGTTACGCTATACCCGGATACCCCGCCCGGCGGGTATTGGTTCCTTGTCGTAAGCCTGGTCCATTCGTTGTGACGCAAAAAACGATACTGACGTTTCTCAGGTTGGCCCGCTGGTCGAAGGCACGCTAGGCGGTGAGTTTAACTGTCCATGCCTGAAGCTTGTTGCTCGACCTGTTTCAGGCATGACGGCAGCCAGTGCTGCTATGCACGCATATCTCTCCGATACTACCAAACCGGCTGAGCGCGCACGCTCCTTCTCCATGTTTATGGGCATGCTTTTCATCGGTGTCGCATTCGGCCCCACTCTCGGTGCCCTCCTCATTCGCGAGGCCGGTCTCATCTACATTTTCTTCGTCACCACGATCGTTCACATCGCGTACACGCTCTATGTGTGGTTCATTCTGCCCGAGTCCGTCTCGAAGGAGTCACAGCATGCGTCGGCGCTACAATATCAGGAGTCCCTGGAGGTGACTACGCATGAGCGCCGTGGGTCGCGCATCCGGGCTCTGCTCAAGCGAATGAGCGCGTTCTTGACCCCTTTGGCGGTTTTTTACCCTTACCGGACGAAGACGAATGGAAACCCTTTGAAGGCGCCTACGAGGGACTGGAGTTTGGTCTTCATTGCCCTTGCGTACGGCTTCACGACGAGCATCATGGTACGCACGCCTCATTCCTCTGTTTTGGCTTTTGGCTGACCCAAATAACTCCCCTAGGGCTCGTACAACTATACATTCCAGTATGCCTCGTCAACCTTTGGCTGGTCATCAGAGCAGGTCAGCAAACGGCCGCCTATCCGCCTATCCGCATGCCCTTACTAAGGTTCTATAGCTTGGCTACTTCCTTAGCTCGGTGGGGGCCGTCCGCGCCACTGTTCTCGTTATCCTCGTGCCCCGTGCGTGACCGCCTCGCTCCTACTCCGAGGGTGTCTACTAAGCGTCTCCATTCAGTCATTCTCAAAATATTCAAACCCGCCCCCGAGACCATCGAGTTCTATCAAGACGACGAGAGCGCGCCGCTCCTCAGCCGCCCCGGCGCACCGCGCCCGCAAGTAATCGTCCGCAAGGAGATTCACTCCCCCTTGTTCGACCTGCGCTTCGCGCGCGCGTGTTTGGCGGTGGAGGTTGTGGCATATTCCTTCATGGCGCTCGCACGGCATGCGTGGGCGTATGTAGGGGCCGCGATGGGTGCGGCGATTGGGGCGGCGCTGCCTGCGGCGTTGCAAAGTGTGGCGCTGGATATTTATGTGAGGAGGGGTGGGTCGGAGGCGGGGAAGTAAGTGGGATTTTTAGGGAGGAGGAATCGGTGCTAACGATGCCGTCAGGCTCTTCGGCGCACTTTCCGTGGTGCAGGCACTGTCTTCACAGATTGCGGGCCCATCTCTGTTTGCATTGGTCTACATGAACACCGTCGCCACCTTCCCCAGCGCCATCTTCTTTGTCGCCGTCGGTCTCGTCGCCTTTGCCTGCATCCTCCTCATCTTCGTCCGTATTCCGGACCACAAGAATAGTGTTGGGACGCCTTCGCCTGCCAGTGAGGACGAGGAAAGCAGGAGCGCGTATGCGGATAGCCGAAGTACGTCCCCGATGCCGGATTTGGGACGCGAGGTGACGCTCGTGGAACTTGGATCCGAGGAGGATTTGAATGCAGTGAGAGGGAGGAAGGGACAGGTGGGAGGGGAGACTGCATGAGCGCATAAAAGGAAGGTTGTTGAGAGCCACGCATGGTTAGTAGATAAGATGGACCCTTTGGAATCTTGCACTTGATTTATTTAGATACGACGTATATGTATCCACCCTTTGCCTACCTTACTCCCTGTTTGCTTGCTGTATCAGTATAATCGTCTTGTGCTGCGCAATTAGCTTCAATGGCATACAATTGCAACTGTGCAATAACCAAGTACAAGAGGATAGACAGTAGGTACACTCGAGAGTCCATGCCAGGGTATCCAATATATGCACGCGTAGTACAGGAGGATTCAGAGGTCCGTGAGTGAGCCATTTCACACACCATTGACCTCGTCCGCCGCGGACGACCACCACCGGTACCACCGCCACGCGCCAAAGCCAACTAGGGCATTGAACAGCCCGACGATGGACGAGCCCATCCCGAAGAGGGTGAACAGCCACCAGGTGATACCGACGACCTTGTCGAGGACGAGGCCGACGTAGCGCTTGGGCTTGGTCCAGGGGTCGGGGGATGGGTGGTAGCCTGAGGGGAGGCGGATGGTTGGGATGGTGTCGGTGCGCTGGGTGGGGGTCGGGAGAAGGAGCAGGGTAACGACGGGTTTCTGGGGGTCAGTCGTCAGTAATCGAGTGTGTGAAGAGGAAAGAGGGGACGAACATGGTCCGAGGTCGTATATGACGGTATTGAGGTATACAGAACATTTGTTATGGTCGACTCGGATGCCTCTGGGTCATCCGAATGTGTAGCGTAGAGGATGCGGTCGGTCCAGGCTGGTACGCGCGCGGGACTGTGGGTAAGACGGTCAGTCCACTATAAGCGCGACTCTAACAAGATAACCTACTTGTACTTGTCTACCGCGCCGATGATACACTTGTAGGTTGCCTTGAACTTCCAGAACTCGCCTTCATGCAAGCCTATGAAGGCTGTCCGCCGTTGCTTCTCGTTGGATAGCTGGTCGTACACCTTGAGCTCTTGTAGTTGCTCGTTGTTATCCATGAGGGAATAGCCCGAGCTGGTAGGCGGTGCTAGTGAATTGGGAAGGTCAAGGCGGAAGTTCACTGGTAAGGACCATGTATTAGCGACGAAGTATCTCATAGATCCAGCAGTGGTACTCACGGTCTCCAAAGAAGAACAGATGAGAGGAGTCGTAGATGGTCGAGGGAACATTGCTGGGTGCGCCAGGGGAAGGGGGGAAGAGCAAAGTGCCAACGATGTGGTTGTAGTCCGCTATGCGGTCTGCGACCTTCTCAGCATGGGCTGTTAGGTGCGCGCAGACGAACCTAAGCAATAGTGAGTACCTGGGTACGAAATGACGGGCCAAGAACACACGTAAAGGTTTCTCCCAGTCCCCCATCCTCCCCTGCAACGCGGAAACGTACGCCAGTAGCTCCCTTGTTCGACATGTAGCCTGGCCCGCAGCTCGAGTAGGACGTGTGTACGTCAGTGATCCTGCGCGCCACACCCTCATCGAGGGCGTATACCAGCAGCGCGACCCCTCCATTCACTATCTTCCCCACCAGTGAGTACTTCTCCTTGTTTGGTGCATGCGCTTCAATCTCGGCAAGGATATGTTGATGACGGCCCTCGATGACGGACTTGGACAGACCGGCGACTGCGTAAGGACATGAGTTCGACAGGCCTCATAAGAGGGGGGGGGGCGGAGACGCACGTCCGAGGTATAGTGGGAGTAGTTCTTGAAAGCCGACGGCAACAATATCTGGCGCACGCCTCTCCCGCGACAAGAAATGGGACACTTGAAGCGTGGGGGACAACCAGTCGACCAGATCTTGCGGAACGCCGTTGAGGCCTTGCAGCGCCGTGTTATACGACGCAATCTGGACCAGCAAGCGATCCTTGTGGTTGGGCGGGGGAGTCTGTAAGTCCGTGGCCATCGTTGATGTGGACGTTGGGCGAACGCGAGGAGAGGGGCCTCCTCCATTTCGTCTCCATGCGCGGGGAAGGTGACGCGATCGAGCAGTGACGTTATCGCCCTCGCGCCCACGTGCAGAAGCCTGAGTTCAACTTGGGAACACCCATTCAATAATTTATTCCAGCATCCTCGTACAATCATCGATAGCTAATATGCGTTACTACGGGCAGGTGGTTGATCAGAATACTCCAAACTCGAGATGCTTCCCTTAGGAGAATGGTTGTAATGAGCAGCATTCGGCCGGAGTGGTGGTAAGAAGACCTCGAAATCCTGAGATGCCTTGGACGAGTCCTTCTGTAGTTTAAAAGGTCAGAAAGAACCTCAAGGATGAAGCAAATGCTACACGTACGAAATGTCTTCCGACGGCGTCCTTCTCAGCCGCGACTGACGTGTAGCTGTAATGACGGGAAGGCGGTTGCGGTGTCGGACATGGCAGCGCTCTGCAGCCACACTCAGCCATGTACGCTGCTGAAGGAGCGATATGGCATCGCTCCTTGCGCTTTCGCCAGAGCAACAGGGCAACGAGTGCGATCACAATGGCAGCGACGCCGCCTATGACCCCACCGACTATAGCACCGATGTTAGGGCCAGACGACGTTGCCCCCACTGATGAAGGCGTGGAGGAGGCGGTGGAAGTGGCTGTCGAGGATGGTTCGAGCGTTGATTGTGACGGGTCTGTGCATCTGCGTTAGCGGCGCATGGTTAAGCGTTATTCTCGTACTGACCCGAAGCATAAATGGACTTTGCGTCAGAAACGCTGAAGTTACCTTCGGCGCTGTATTGCTATATGATTTTCAGTGAAAGATCGGGTAGGGCGATGCTAAGACGCACTGTCACATCGTAAAATGCCCAGTCGGGAACCACAACCGCGTCTTTAGCCGGGCATAAGCAAGATGATTGAACTCAGTGTCATTTACTAACCGGAAACGTCGTGCGGAAAACTATGTGCTTGTGAGCTTACGAGACTGGGCGTACATGACCGATCACTTACCCCTCGTCCGTGGCATCTGAGCAGCCGACCCTCCAATTATACCAGGAGCTTCGAACCTCATCAAGCTCTCGTCGGACACACTCACGTAAGAAAATGCTCCTACCTCGCTGAATGATCGGATTCATATCGACAGGCGACGCATGCCTGAACGAGGACATACGTGACCATTGAGCAAGCGCAATCGGTCTGCGTCTCCTCGGTGGGTGGCGAGAATGATTCCACTGCATTCTCAGTCAGCTCGTGAATGGGTATAGGGGTTGTTCACGTACGATCACTGCCACAAGCGGCCATGAGGCTAGAAGCGACCTCGCAGGGTGTTTGGCCAACGTCGTTCCTCATCTGCCAGACATACGCGTTATTCCAGTCGACCTTGGAGAGGTAGCGATCATGTACGCACCCAATTATACTTCCCCTGCTCATCAACTGAACACGAAAGCGTCGAATTCGAACTATCCGTACCGTCGCCACCCTCCTGGGCTCTCGCACTCAGAGCCGCGGAGGTGGCGACGACCGCGGCAACTGCGCGCATGGCGCGCATCCCTCCAAAGGGCCGTACTGAAGGTCGTCGTTGTCGAAAGAGAAGGGAGAAGAAAGCCGGTCATATCGCGCGATAGCGTTATGTATGTATGCCCGCCGTACACAGGAGTTGTGACACTGACATGGGCGTGCTCTGATGCACGGAATCATGACCGCTGTTTCAGTATGCGGGGGCCGCAACGGGTTTCGACTGCAAGCCGCCTCGCCGAGCGGTGGGGCGTGCGGCCAGAGCGGGACGAGAAGCCACTGGAGAGCCACCTGTGAACCGGGGTAACTAGGCCGGCGACCGTAACTCCAGTCGAGGAGTGGTATTCTACTTCGAGAGCTGGCTGCTTGCTGTGGTAGATTCGGAGGCGAAGGTTCCATGGGATGAGCAGTGTAGCGTCTCGGAGAAGACGTACGCAATGAAGCGCTTCCGTGTTAACAAGGACCCGCCGAAGACTCATTGGGAGGACACAGAACGCCCTGCATACAGGCACTGGAATCAATTGCATTTTGGACGATAGCAGACGTCGGTTGTATCAACCTAGAGTACAAGAAAGCAAGCTTGAGGCAGCGAGTTGGACGTGCTAGAGAGCAGAGGCGCGTTGCGACGAGGTGGCCCCGACGCGTACAGCTTACCCCGGCTTTTGATCTCAGCACGGAACAAAACCCAAGTTGAACTTCGGTGATCCGTCTCGGAATATGCCGCGGAGAAGTGGCTTACACGTGACAGTAAACGCGCGTCAAACTATACAGCGTTCCTCGGTATCTGCCGGCCGTCCCAATCAGCGAGGGCATCGTTACCCATAGACCGCAGATATCCGGCGTCGGCCTCAAGATCCTTCGCAATGGCGCCCAAAACGACGTGCGTTGCCTGCTGCTCTACATGAAGACGTTACTGACGATGTCCATAGCGTTCCTACCGCCCAAGTATGCACATATCCCCTCCCACTGTCCTCCGATCACCCTGACCCCATCCCGCCAGTCCATTGAGGTCCCCGAGACCCTTCTCAAGAAGCGCAAGCAGACTGAGAAGTCGCGCGAGGAGCGTCTTGCGAAGGCCGCGGAGGCTAAGAAGGTTCGTACATCCCCCATCCACCATTCTTCTGCTTTCTTTGCTATATGATGTATATCTTTTTCTTGACGGCTAGTTACTCACTATGCTGCCTTCAAACATACCATCTTTCGGGGCTGATCTTCCACGTAACACAACATACACTCGATCGCTGTACTGACCACTCTCTAGGCGTCCATTGCCAAGCGCAAGGTCATCTTCAAGCGCGCGGAGGCGTACGTGAAGGAGTACCAGGCTAAGGAGCGGGAGGAGGTCCGCTTGAAGCGGGCTGCACGAAGCAACGGTGACTTCTACGTCGCTGGTCAACCAAAAGTCTACTTTGTTGTCCGTATTCGCGGGTACGTCTACTTGCGTTTCGATCATGATCATCCGCTTATTTGCATCGCAGTATCAACGAGATCGCCCCCAAGCCCCGCAAGATTTTGCAACTCCTCCGCCTCCTCCAGATCAACAACGGTGTCTTCGTCAAGGTCACCCGCGCCACCCAGCAGATGCTCCGTCTCGTTGAGCCTTACGTGACCTACGGGTACGTTGCCTCAAATAGCTTTTGGTAATGGTCGTTAACACCATATTTAGCGAGCCGAACCTCAAGTCCGTCCGCGAGCTTATCTACAAGCGTGGATACGGCAAGGTCGACAAGCAGCGCATCCCCCTCTCCAACAATCAAATCATCGAGCAGAACCTCGGCAAGTACGACATCCTTTGCGTTGAGGACCTCGTGCACGAGATCGTCACCGCCGGCCCGCACTTCAAGCAGGTATGCCGAACGCCGGTCACTTCATCCGGCTTGTACTGACCGTTTCCAAGGCGTCGAACTTCCTCTGGCCATTCAAGCTCTCGAACCCGACCGGCGGCTGGAGAACGCGCAAGTTCAAGCACTTCGTCCAGGGCGGTGACTTCGGTGACCGGGAGGGCAACATCAACAAGCTCATCCGCCAGATGAACTAGGCGTTGGTCTGCCTGGCTTGTTGAGGGGACGGGGCGGGATGGAGCGAGATGTCGGTACTCGCGCCAGTCTGCGGCAACACACTCACGTACTTTACCGCGTATGCCCTTCATGTACTATGTTCGCTGCTTATGGTTGAACTTTCTATGGCAATATGCACGCTGCAAACAAACCAACAGAGCCCCCAAGAAGATGACGTTGAGCAAAGCCCGAGAGTGCTTGGCTTTGCCCCAAAAGAAAATGAGTCTGCTGCCGCTTGACAGGCAAAATGAAAAGGGACCTGGCGATGACCGAACAAGGCCATAACGCGACTGAGTCACCGCCTTAGCGCGCAGAGATCGAACGGACCAATTTTATCGTCCACGACGCCGCCCACCTCCCTACCGGCAAGCCTTCGCAGCATCGTGTGCAGCTATCGCGCCACAGAGTGGACCCCACGGCCTGAGAAAGCGCCAGCATATGTTCCAGGCGGCCAGGAAAGGCACTGCTTATTGCCGAGCGTCACCGGCCGCATCAGCCGTGTTCTACTACAAATACCCCACCTTCACATCTCGTCGCTCATCTTCTCGCCGCTGCTTCTCCACTACGCCCATGGCTTCCTTCCCTCCTCTCGCCCGACTTCTCTCCGCGAACGCCCAGTGGGCGGCGGACGTCGAACAGGTTGAACCTGGCTTTTTCGCCGAGTGCGCCAAGGGACAGACGCCGAGGGTGCGTGCGCCACTGCAGGCTCGGGGTCGCTACTGACGCGATAACCTGCAGGTTCTTTGGATCGGGTGCGCAGACTCTCGAGTTCCCGAGTCGGTCGTTACCGCTGCGCGGCCAGGCGACATCTTCGTGCACCGGAACATCGCCAAGTACGTCGTTCTCTTGCCAGCTGCCGGTTCCCATCCTAACGCGCCACGTCTTCCCCCCTTCTCCCCGCCACTCCGTACCCGCAGCCAATTCCATCCAGACGATATCAGTGCCCATGCGGTGCTCTCCTACGCCGTCGATCACCTCGGCGTTGAACACGGTGCTTTGTTTCTCTCATCTCCCGCTTGAAGCTATTCCAACCGATTCTCTTCTTTGCCGTTTGCAGTCGTTGTCGTAGGCCACAGCGAGTGCGGCGGCGCGACTGCATGCCTCAACGCCTCGGTCCAACTCCTCGAAGACGAGGCCCGGACGCCATGCTGCGACCCGTCTCAGCCCGCTGAAGCGCCCCTCAACCGCTGGCTCGCGCCGCTCACGAAGCTGGCTGCGGAGCTCAAGCTTTCGTCCGCGCCCCGCGACGAGGCGCTGGACGCCCTGGTTGAGGAGAACGTAAAGGCGCAGGTATGTGTCGTATCTCTGCGCGACGGGGCTGCGGACTGACCGACTCCGCGACCAGGTGGAGAACATCATCCAGTCGCAGACCATTCAGAAGGCCTGGCAGAACGGTAAGAGCCCTCGCGGAAAGGAGGTCTGGGTTCACGGATGGGTACGTCGTAGCATCCACCGTACGGAGCCGTCATGCTAATGTGGCTCTAGGTCTTCGACCTCTCCATCGGCAAGCTCAAGGACCTCGAGATCTCGCAAGGTCCCAAGGGCGCTATCCTTGATCTCCACGCCTAGAACCTATCTATAGAAGTATATCTTATATTAGTTGCAAGTGGTAAGCCATGTTTAGGAAGAAACAGTGATGTCCAGTATCTCTACTACGCTTTGATGCATATGAGCGCGACCAGCGCTGTATGGCTGCGCGGCCCCATGACCTCTTTGCGTACTCGTGGGGGGTGCTTTCTGTTAGCCCAGGCATGCCCCTGGTCTTCAGCGTGGTCGAGAGGACGAGGCTAGAGCTTCACAGCTTGCAATGAGAGGATCGAGGCCATAGGTCACTGACAAGGAGTGCCTTATACGCAACAAGGACCAGTCTTATGAATTTCACAAGCCTTCCAACACATGTTTCTGACCTGACTTTCAACTGAATGAATGGCCGACGAGCATCGCATCACGGAGGGCAACTACAGCGTCTTTGACTGAGCTCGGTTGAGCAGCGAGCTTCACGCAGAATCGATGACAGACTACAGTCAGAACATGGTGCATAAACGTGTGTTGGATTGGCAAGTTCGTATCTAACTAATGCAAAAACGTAGGAGATTGAGCGTAAGGATGTTGGGACACTAGGTGACCGCCTTATCCATGGGGCACATGCCGGGATAGACGGCCAAAGAGTGCCCCAGTCCGTCTGAGGTGCAGATGATGAAGGGCTGCCTTGAGACTGGCAGCCTAACATGTGGGATAGATGCACCTGGGTAGTTGTTAAAAGATGAAGAAGAAATTTTGAGGATCGATGGTTTTTAAGGTGGGCAGTCACGTGTCACTTGAGGGCAGGTCGGACCGCGTCGCACGGTCACTTGATTTCCGTGGCATTCAGCGAGTCGTTACCTGGCGTCATGGTTCGACGTGCTTGCGCCGTTACTAAGTGCTTCGTCGTGGTCATGACGGAATACGTGACTGCACGGATATATCCGTCAGCAAATCAGAGCGCGACGCTCTTATCGCCGACGACATAAGACCACCAATTCCCAGAGGACGCATTCCCCTCATCTCAGCTTCACCTCGAGCCTGCCCAATCATCATGGTTAACAAGACCTTCACGCTCAGCGACGGCAACAAGATTCCCTGGATTGGCTTTGGTACGGGCACTGCTCTGTACAACCAGGACGCGTCCGCCCCTGTGAAGCAGGCGATCGCGAATGGCTTCACGCACCTGGATGGCGCGCAGATCTACGAGAACGAGGACTCCTTGGTCGGTCTCTCTATGCTCCTATATGCGCCACTCACTGATGCGTCGATATAGGGCGCCGCGATCAAGGCATCGGGCAAGCCGCGCTCCGAGCTCTTCATTACGACGAAGCTAAGCCCGAAGTTCACGCTGGCCCCGGGAGAGTCCGTGAAGGAATCGCTGCAGGAGTCGCTGAAGAAGATCGGCGTGGACTACGTCGACCTGTTCCTCGTCCACCAGCCGCTGCCATTTGCTGAGAATGGTACATTGCCCGCTCTGTGGGTCGGTCTGGAGGGCCTTGTGAAGGAGGGCCTCACGAAGTCGATCGGTGTCAGCAACTTCAAGGTCTCTGACCTTGAGAAGCTCCTGCCTGAGGCTGCAATCCCGCCCGCCGTGAACCAGGTACGTGTTGCTCCGTGTCGTCACTCGTGGCTCTCATCCTTGGCCAGATTGAGCTGCATCCCTACGTCTGGCGGTCAGCAAAATCTATCTACGACTTCTGCAAGTCGAAGGGGATCGCGGTCGCATCGTACAGCGGACTCCAGCCTATCGTGAGTATATGCGCCTCGAATTATCACCCATCGCTTCTAAGACGCCATATAGACCGGTGGCAAGGGTGGTCCCTTGGACGACATCCTCCCCGCTATCGCCGCGCGTCTGTCGAAGGACTATGGCAAGACCGTGACCCCCGCGCAGGTGCTCATGAAGTGGCTGATTCAGAAGGAGGTCATCATTATAACGTGAGTCTACCGTATTCACTGTTGACTGCAAGTCGCTGAGATGGCGTCCTCAGAACCACCACCAAGAAGGAGCGCATCGAGGAATATCTCGACGCGATCAATGTGCCCGACCTGACCACGGACGAGATCAACCAGATTGAGGAGAACGGCGTGAAGGTCCTGAAGCGCTTCTACATGAAGCACGTCTTCCCCGAGGGCGAGTAAGGGTCGTTCGACAGCAACAACACATATAATGTATAGTAGGAAGGCGCAAAGCAGGATGTATTCTAGTCGTCGATGAACAACGCGATGGTTCAGAAGAACGGTGCGCGGGGCGAGAATAATCATTTTTGTCCTGGAGGCAGTAGACGAAGGTGCGTCGCCTTTCCACCCGCCGCCCCACTGATACTTCCGCACGCTGGCAAGAGATCCCGCGCCTCGAGGATGTGATGCAGTGCTCGGGGGAGGCAGAGCGGTGGTCATCTGCCATTCATAATCTTCATGAAAGGGGCCAAGAGATGATTACTCGGGAGATTATGGCACACTCGTGGGGCTCATCACTGCATGCAACCATCTCGTATCCATCTCACGGTCCTCCTTCCTGTGCGCCTTCTGCGAGTCCGACTCTTGTCCGCCCTCGCCTAGGCACCCTGGCCTTGGCGTGTCGATCCAGCTGCGAGAGACGTCCTTCACCCCTCATGGTCTCCCCGTAATCCCGGCGCCTAAATCCTCGCAATCTAACGGGCGGCGCTAATCACCTCGTTGCGGCGCGTGCCTTGGCGGAGTGTATGCATGGGTCGGGCAGGACTCGGGCGGGGTGCCAACTGACAACGATCTCAAAGGCTGAAGAGAACCGCCGCTGCCTGTCAATCAACAAGCCAGATAAATGCCGTGCCACCGACCCCTTGTTTCGCGGGTTGAGGGGGCTTTATAACCGCCAAGGAGGACGCGCGCGCCTGGTCTCCGCGCTCCCCGCCTGGTGCCCGTACGTGATCCCCCTTCGAGGTCAACAGCAGGTGTTCGCGCGCGATGACCGTCCTCCGCACGCTTTCCACGGTTGCGACTGTGCTACTTCTCGCGCGTCAGGCGGCGGGGCAGAATGCCCAGTGCACAGATTCGCAGTTTGATTGGGTGAGCACACGTTTGTCGATTCTGCACGGATCTGACCATGGCGTACCGTAGTCGTACAACTCGATCAAGCAGTCTCCCTGCGATGTCCTCGTTAACTTGGGTGCTGTGTGCAACGGCGGCAGTACGTACGCCTCGATGCGCGTGATGAAGATCACTACTGACTCGCGCCCTTCAACAGTCTTCAGCGTGCCCAGCCTGAGCTCTGGCGAGCAGTACGTTGGTCCGGATCCCCAGTTTGCGACCGACTGCCGGTGCAACACGGTCTTCTACTCGATGCTAGCGGCATGCTCGGCGTGCCAGGATGCGGAGTACATTGGATGGACGATGTACTCGGCAAACTGCTCGAGCGTTGCTATCGAGGAATTCCCCAGGGATATCCCAGGCGGCACCCGGATCCCGCACTGGGCGTATCAGGATGTCGTGGTGCGTACGCATCTGCAGGCCTTGTGATCTCGACTCACCTGCCCTACAGACCAACAACACGTTCGACATCCAGACGGCCATCAACGACGCCTACTCGAACGCGCCCGAGTCGACCGCATCCGCCAAGCCCACCTTCTCGACCTCGAAGTCCTCCGGACACAGCACGGCCACTGGCTCTGGCATGGAGTCCAGCGGCTCCTCGTCCGCATCGGGCGGCGGCAGCAAGACCAACGTGGGCGCCATCGCAGGCGGCGTAGTAGGAGGCGTTGTCGGCCTCGCAGCCATCATCGGCCTCGTGTTCTTCTTCCTTCGTCGTCGCAAGCAGCAGCGCGCGAAGGCGCCTTCGTCGGCGTACCTCGCGCCGCCGATGTCCTCTGCGACGCCGCCTCTGCCGCCCTCGACGCCCGGTGCCTTCAGCGAGAAGACGGAGTTCGTGCCGCCGAATGCACCGCCGACGCCAAAGCTTTATGTGAGTGTTGAATTGATGACCGAAAAATTCTCACTCCAGGGCTGACGATGCTCTCAGGACCCCTCTGATCCCACGACCTTCCCGTCGTCGCCGGCGCCCACGGGCACGACGTACAGGCCCGAGTCGCAGTACGATACGAGCGTACCGTACGGTGCGACGACGCTGCCGTACACTAATCAGTACGATGGCAGCAACAACAATGCGCCATATCACCAGCCTCAGGCGCAGCACTACAGCGGCGTGCCAGAGGTCTGAAGGGAATTGTGGGGATGAAAGCGCTTTGCTGGCGGCTTGTACGATGCTTGACATACTGGTGCAGGATTTCTCATTTTTCTACTTTGCCTGCCACTCCCTGGATGTCTGTATATTATGAATGATCATGAACTTACGCTCTCATGCGACGTATATGTCTGAGCGAGGGACGTAGCCATTTCTACATGAGCGTGCCGAGTGCCAAATCACTCAATCCTTGTACATGGTCTCGCCTGCAACCATTGATTTACTGATGGAAGGTTCGTCAATCCTTTGACTCGTTGCCGATGAGATTCTCGTCCGCCACTGAGAATCAAACAGGCCAACTTGTCGATATGGGGCACCAAATGGGAGTCCCCGGCACAACCTTGTAGTCGTCCTGGTCGGACTCAACCGACGCTGGCTGCGGTCGAGCCGAAAGGGATGGTGTCACTTAATCCGTCCAATGTTATTGACCCGCACGGTCTTATTTTCATTCTGAGTGTAAGCCCGGTCTGGTCGAAGTAAAGGATCTCTCAGTCCATCCGCCTCACTCGTACCACTGCCTCCCGGGCATAGAGCCATTAGCCTAGTACTTCACCCCATGATTCCCCTGGAACCGCGGGTTTAGCACCTTCTCCTCGTTCGGGATGTCCCCGATCGTCTTCCACTGCAACCCCCTCGGCGGCGCATACGCGATCTTCATGGGCGCGCTGAGGAATTCGGCATCCCACTCATCGTCGGGGACGTAGGTGGCGAGCACGGAGACGCGCGGCGAGAGGGAGGTGAAGAGGGGCTTGATGGAGGCGGGGGCCTGGGTGGCGGGTTAGCAGCGTGAATGGTAGTTCATGAGATAGAGCATAGAGGTACTTATGCAATGAACTAAGCCACGGACCTTGAACCCCTGCCCCACCGGGAACCAACTCGGGAAATACGACACCGCGATCATGATCCTGTCCTCCGTGCTCGGATTCGGCATCCCCGCGTGCCACACGCACATATCCCTGAGCACGACGCTCCCGAACTTGACGTCCACCTGCGAGGGCGGGCGCACGGCACGACGCTCCTCGAGCCGCGCGGGGATGATGTCGCAGGTGGGCGCGTCGGCGTCGAGGGATGCCCACATCTGGTCGCGCTGCCCGGTGTTGACGTGCGTGCCGAGCCAGAATTCGGTGGAGCCGTTGGCGGGGACGAAGTCTGGAGGGGGGTGGTGAATGCCAGGTCGCGAAAGGGTAGGGTCGAGGGCAGCTACACATACCTGACAAGAGGAAGTTCGCGACCATTCCCCAGCGCGCCTCGGGGTGGCGGTAGGAAGCGTCCTTATGCACGGGCTGGCGCTCGGTCGTCTGCGCGCAGGCAACGTTGGCAGTGATGAAAGGGAGTTGGAGGTTCGGCCCGAGGTAGTGCTCGGCCATGGAAACGACGAAGGGATTGGTGTAGACAGAGGGCAGCTGGAGGGCGGGGTCGGAGAGGGGTGGTGATTGAAGGAAATTGGCTGGGTGTGGGATGAGTATACGGCGGAGTGCAAGTGTCAGGTAGGAAAAGGACGTAGGGAAAGGGGATGGAATATCATGGACGGTAAGTACTGACATGCAACGCCGTGGTTAAACTGCGTGAGATCAAGCTTCTGGCTCTTGATCTTGTGCGCGGTGGGCAGCATGGAGTCGCGTAGCTTCTCGAGGTCGGAGATGGGGACGATGTTGTTCAAGACGAGTACACCATCGCGGTGCAGGAGCTCAAGTGCGCGCTGCAGGTTCGCTGGGGTCCATTTGCCGCTCTGGGAATTGAGTTAACGGTGCACGAGAGATGCATAGGAACATACCTCGCGCTCAGCGTCCGTAAGAGTGACGGAGCCTGGGGTAATGGGTAGCTGGACCATATCGACAGGAGTGGAAGGTGATGCTTGAACTCGGGAGAAGATGTCGGTACTCTACCTCCTCCACTCGGTCCCGTGTCCTCTTAAGAACGATGCACGATAAGCAGCATTTCAAAAGGCTATCGGATTCTGAAGATACCGAGCTATGGGACAGTGGGAGGGAAGCATACAAGCTACATACGAGCGCGCCATCCGCGACCTTGGCCGGCTAGGGGTAATGGTCCCCACTTCTAATCTCGAGACATCTTTCCCCCTCGAGCGGTATGAGCTCCGGCATTGGAGGGGGAGGCTAGGGGAAGCTGGGTACATATGTTGCGAGGAGAGCGGAGTAGGTTCGAGCAGCGTCCATCATCTGAAAACGCAGCGTACAGAGATGAAGGAAGAGACGAAGGAGGGTGATGAAATGGTAGTCGAGAACGAGGGTACGAACGCGAGGTCGGGCCGGAGACGCGATCGACGCGAGCCACGCGTCGTGACATTGCCTACTTCCTGACGCCATGAGCCACGACGAGCAAACGACTGTGCGCGACGCGCACGACGACGTTGACGCCACGGACGTCGTTCCCCCCGTTCTTGATGATGACGCGTATCTCTTTGACCCGCTAGAAACGCCCGTCCCCGCGTCCCTCGAAGGGGAGGCGGCACCGGCTATCCCGACGGGGTACGCTGAGACGAATGTGCACGGTGAGTAGAGTACGTAGATTGCAACGAGGGACAGCTCTGAAAGCTTTTTAGATACAGAAAAATATGCGGACGCGCTCGGTGCGGTCAGCACGTCCATCATCACACAGGTCATTCCCCAGCGCTCGCTAGCGCCGGAGGTGCTACCCTTCGCGTCGTCATTAGGTCCGCAGAATCTTGCTCTAGCAGCGCTTGCGGTCGCTATACTTCTAGTTTCTGGTGAGCTGAGTCCCCCTTCACCTCCACGTATGCTGCTCTCGCACCCTTGGCTGACTCGCGCTTTTCAAGTGCTGGTGCTCTTCACCAAACGTCGCTCTGCTACGAAGGGGAATGCACTCCTTCTAGTCGGCCCGCCGGATGCGGGGAAGTCTGCGATACTATCCGCGGTACGGTCACCTCACTGCTTTCTATACTACACGCGCTGATATCTTATACTTCTCTCCTCCCCTCTTCCGACTTCCCTCTGCTCTTCCCATCCTTATCCCTCTTCTTCCCTTCCTCTTCTTTTCTTCCCGTTTGCTCCGTCGAACAGCTCGTCTACAAGCACACCCTCTCCACGCAGGCCTCCCTCCAGACCAACTCCGCCTTCGCCACACTCCCCAACCTCAAGCAGCCCCTCCGCATCATCGACGTCCCCGGGCACCCCCGCGTGCGCGACCAGTTCAGGGCGCACCTCCCCGCCGCGCGCGCGATCGCGTTCGTCGTCGACGCCAGCACAGTCAGCAGGAACGGTGCGAGGGTGGCGGAGTGAGTGTTGTTGGACGTTCGTGTTAGGTCTTTTAGCTGACCATAGACTATCACCCCCGCACAGGCACCTCCACACCCTCCTCCGCGCCCTCTCTCACCTTCCTCCCTCTCAGACCACACCTTGCCTCGTCATCCTCGCACACAAATGCGACCTCCTCAAGTCTGGTGCCCCCGCCCTCGCCGCCTCCCGCGTGCGCACCGTCCTCGAGCGCGAGCTCGAGCGACGCCGGGCAGCCGCGGCGGAAGGCATCGCGGTCGAGGGGATGGGCAGTGGAGGGGACTTGGGCGGTGGGGTGGGGATCGGGAGAGCAGGCGACGATGCTGCGCAGGAGGAAAATGGGGGCGACGGGCTGGAGTGCGCGGGCAGCGGAGTGTTCAGCTTTGATACCTGGGAGGGCGGGGAGGTGACATTTTTGGGCACGTCGACGCCGGTGGGGAAGGGGGCCGATGAAAAGGAGCAGCAGGGTCTGGCCGACTTGGAAGCCTGGTTAGAAGATCACTTCGCATAAATGTAGCGCCTGCATTTGTTTGAAGAATCGGACGCATCCCGAGTTGCGTGGACGAATCCCCAGTTGCGCGTCGCTGGAAGTCCATCAGTCACGCTCTCAAGTGTGGCATATCCGTCAGATCATGAAAGGTTTCAACCAGTCTATTGTCCATTACGCCGCACAGTCGTATGTACGGCAACTAACACTACCAGTACGTATGCATGCAAGAAAAAAGCCAGGAAAAATCGATGATACAGAGACATGCAGAAAACAACAAGACATGCATATGCAGAACGACGCGGGACTAACAGGTCCTAAACTCAGATGACTTCACTCGATACTCTTCACATGCTATTCTTCACTTCACCCTCGATTCGAAGATCTGAGAGACTGAAGTCAGCCTACCGCGTTCATTCTGTAACGAGAATATGCTCACCATTCAAAAACCACCACTCACACCGCCTCCAACCTCCTCACCCCCTCCTCCCAATCCTCCACCGCAACCGTCCCCTCCGCCCGACACACCGGGCACGCCACCTCCACTCTCCCATCCACCCTCGTCTCCTCCGCGCCCCTCAGCGCCACCCGCTGTGCACTAACCAAGCAAGGTGGGTGCAGGAGATGCTCGCAGACAGGTTCACCTATTCCTTCATCAGCACCTATCTCCCCATCAGCACCACTCCCATCCTCAGAGCGCATCCCCTCACCTGAGTCGCCAGCACGGCTGATCCTAATCTGCCGCTTATCCCCCTCCCCCACCTCCATCATCGGATCCTCGTCCGACGGACCCACGCCACAACTATGATCGCTGCACCGCAGCCCCGCCTCCCGCTCGCGCTTCTCGACCACCTCGCGCACCGAAGGGCCAGGGGCGGGCGGGAGCGTCCACTCACGGCGCGGACGCGGTTCGGGGCGGATGCCGCCGGTGCTCATGCGCGCGGTGCGCCGGCGGGGTGGGGCGTCTGCGCCAGGAGTAGTCGCGGCATCGGGCGTTGGGTTGTCGGTGCCAGCGCCGGTGGCCGGATTGGGCCCCACCCGCTCCGGAGGTGTAATACCCTCGAGGATAACCTGCGGCGGGCCGCCGTCTGGTGGGAACAAGATGCGCGCCGTCGCCGTCGCCGTGAAGGTATCGATGAGCTGAGGCTGATTGGCACCGTCGTTGGTCGCTGGAGGTGGGTTGGCGGTAGCAGCTGGAGGGGCTTGTGGTGGGGGATTAGTGGCGGCGGCTGGCGGTGGTGCGGTGTTGCCGGCTGCTTGCGGCGGCGCATTGCCTGGTACAGGTGCTTGCCCGAAGAATCCACTCGCAAGCCAAGGCGGGCGCTGTCCTCCCAAGTTGATGCCCGCACCTCCGAGCCCGAGACCCACGGGGATCGCACCCCCAAGCGGAATCGCACCCCCGCCCAACGGGATCGCCAAACCTTCCAAGCCCGGTAGGTGGATCGGGAAGGGCTGCGCTCCTTGTTGCGCTCCTTGACCTGCTCCTTGACCCCCTTGTGCTTGCGCGCCCGCCGCTTGACCTGCCGCTCCTGAGCCCTGCTGTCCCATCCCTCCAGCTTGTTGCACACCTGGTTGCGTATCCTGCTGCACGCCTAGCTGCGTATCACCACCCCCCTCCCTCACCGCCTCCTCCCCCCTCCTCAGCTGCTCCCGCACCTCCGCCATCCGCTCCACCGCCCCCGGCTCGCCGAACGCCTGCCCAAAGGCCGCCTGGATCCCGTTCCGGAGCGTCTCTTGCAGGTGCGCCATCGTGCCCGGCTGGGGTGGGGTGGGTTGAGGTTGTTGAGTTGCTTGGGGCTGAGGTTGTGTGGTAGGTTGAGGTTGTTGAGTAGGTGCTTGGGGCTGAGCTCCCGTCGGCTGAGGCACCTGGACGGCGTGCGGCACCGCAAACGCCCCCAGCGGAATCCCACCCACCCCCGGCCCCGCGCCCTCCAAAAAGAAATCCATCCCCGTGTCCTCCCCGCCGGGCCCGACCAGCGTCACCCCCCGGCCGTCCGCCGTCGGGTGGTAGTGGTAGCCCGAGCCCTCGAGGCCAGGCAACAGGGGCGTGAAGGGCAGGGCGTGGTCGCCAGCGTGGTCGCCTGCGTGGCCGCCTTCGTGATCGTGATGCCCGTTCTCGCCTTCGGCGTGCTGCTGCTCGCCAGCATGGGCCTGCTCGTTGGAATCGTTGTGAGGCTGATCATCGTCACGGTCCTCGTCCATCGCCTCCCCATCATCCTCCTCCTCCTCCTCCTCCTCCATCCCCTCCCCGCCTATCGGCTGCAAAAACATGTCGAACCCGATGCTGAGCGTGCCGCCCGGGAAGGGGATCGTAAAGTTGTTGGGCGGGGCATTGGACGCGGTCGTGTTAGGTGCAGGTGCGTTCGCGTTAGGCGGAGGACCACTCGTCGCCTGAGTTTGTTGAGGCGGCGCTTGAGGAGGAGGAGGAGGCTGAATATCAGCGGCTGCTGGCTGGGGAGGGGTCGGTGCTGGCTGAGCTTGAGAAGCGGCTGCTGGCTGAGCTTGTTGAGCGGCGGCCGGCTGAGCTTGTCGAGCGGCGGCCGGCTGAGCCGGCTGAGGTGGGGGTGCTTGAGGAGCGGCTGCCGGCTGAGGAGCGGCTGCCGGCTGAGGCGTTGGCGCCGCACTCTGCCCTCCAGACGCAGCCGCAGCCGTCTGCCCTCCAGTCACAGTGGCAGCACTCTGCCCTCCAGACGCATTCGCAACAGTCTGCCCTCGCCCTCGTCCCCCCAATCCACCCGAACCCGCGCCCATCGACACACCTGTACAAAACAAAGAAAAAAAAAGAATAATCAGCATAAGTCTTATCCTCGCAATAGCACAAGCTCCTTCTCGGGGTAGCATAGGCCCTATCGTCGCAGTAGCATGAGCCCCTTCTCGCAGTAGTATCCGCACCGAAATTCACACAGCAAAAACCCCCTAAAAAACCCACTCAAAAAAAAACCCCTACTCACCCGACGGTGGCCCCCCAAAGATCGAGTTCATCATCGCCTCGACCCAGCTGGCCATATGCGCCTGCTGCGCGGGCGTGTAGCCGGGCCATAGCGCTTCGAGTGGGTTCGGTCTTGGGCCTCGTTCTGCAGGGGGATTTGGCCCTCGCTCTGCGGTTGGGGTGCGTCTTCGGCCTCGGCCTCGTGCTTGCGTGCCAGCCGCCTGAGGCCCAGCGCCAGGCGTGGCGCCTGCATTCGGTGCCGGCGCAGGTGCCGCTGCTGGTGAGTTCGCCTGCGCCGCTCCTAGGGCGTTCGCCTGTGCCGTCGCCGGTGTCGCTGCTGCTGTAGCCGTCGCCGGGGCAGGTGCCGCTGGTGCGTTCGCCGCCGTTGGTCCAGCACCACCGCCCGCAGCCGTGCCAACTGCTGTCGTCGGTCCAGCACCACCGTCCGGTCCACCTTGCGTCTGCACTCCGACTCCCCCTTGTGTCTGGACTCCGATTCCACCAGCCACCACACTAGCACCAGCCCCACCACCCGGTCCACCCGGCACAGCACTCGCCACATCCACCCCTGCCGCACGCAGCGCATCCCCCCTCTGCCCGAGCGCCTCCCCGAGCGGCCCGTGCAGGAGGTCGTCCATGAGCCGCGCGAGGGGTGGGCGGTCGGCGGTGGTGGGGTCGGTGGGATTGGTGGTGGTGGTGGTGGTGGGGTTGGCGGCTGCGGCCGGAGGTGCCTGACCTGCGGCTGCGCCAGGACCTGCTTGACCCGTATTCGCTTGAGGCTGAGCACCTAGAAAAGTATCAATATCATAATTGTGAGAAAAAAAAACCAAAAACTCACCTCCACCCGTCGCATCCATCGCCCCCTGCACGCCCGCGCCGCCGGCTGCGAGGTTGAAGGGCTCGTTGGCGGCATTTGCCGTCGTACCAGCACCCGCTGCTAGTCCTGCTGCATCTCCCGCCTGTCCTTGCCCTAAATTCGCACCACCCCCTGCACCAGGCTGCGCAGCGTGTCCCGGCACCGGAATCGTAAACGCGCCGATCGGAATCCCTCCCAACGGAATGCCTGCTCCTCCTTGTCCTCCCAAAGTAAACGGGATTCCTCCCTGGCCACCCAAAGTGAACGGCCCGATTGGGATACCCCCTGCACCTCCATTCGCACCACCACCAGCGAACGTGAACGGAACTCCCCCTTGTCCGCCCAAAGTGAACGGCCCTATCGGGATTCCTCCTGCTCCCCCTTGTCCTTGACCACCGAGCGTGAACGGCACCCCACCCCCCAGCGGCACCCCATACCCCTCCCTCCTCCAAATCCGCTTGTCAGGGTCGACGTCAAACCGACACGTCGGACACGTCGTCTGTCTCGGCCTCGAGAACCAGGGGATCAGGCACTCGGCGTGGAAGACGTGCGAGCAGGGGAGGGCGACGATGCGGGGTGGGGTGGGGGGTGAGTTGGGAGCAGCAGCTGTAGTATGCGTGCCGGCACCTACAGCAGGGCCGGTGGAAGCTGCTGACGCGTCGTTCGCGTCGGCTGCAGGCGCGTCATTTGTGGTGGTAGCCGCCTCCCCCGCACCACCCTCCTTCCTCTCCTCACCCCCACCCTGCGCCCAGCCCCCACCACTCCCCTCCAACAACCCCTCCCAACAGATTGCACACCCACTCCCCTCAGGGGACACCCGCTCCATCCTCTGCACCAACCCCACAGGCACCTCCTCCAACGCATCAATAATCTGCCTCGCCTTCGCCGGATCATCGCGCTCGGACTGGGTGTAGAGGAAGGGGAGGTCGGAAAAGGGGCCCATGGGCCGTGGCGTGGCGGGGGGATTTTGGTTGCGGCGGGGACGGGGGAGAGTGTTGGGGGGAGGGGGGTTAGTTGGAGGAGGTTGGATAGGAAGGTTGGCGAGAGGAGTGTTGGTAGGAGGCTGGTTGTTGGTAGGTTGAGTGACAGGCTGTGCATTGGGAGGAATGGGCTCGGCGCCAAAGAGCCCCGCGAAGAAGTTGTGGTTGACGGTCGGCGGACCTTGGCCGGTGACGCCTGCGATATCTCGTCGCAGGATGTCGGCGAGGGTGGGGGCGTGGGGTTGGGGGGCGTTGGCGGCGTCGGCGGCTGTGGGGTGGGTGTTAGTATTGTGGATGTGGGTGTTAGGTTACGGGTGTTGACGAAGAGGGAAAATGGAATGATGGGCGAGTGGTGTCGATAGTGAAGTGATATTGAGGATGGTCGGCGCGTAAAGGATGAAGATTCCAAAGGGGAAATGGACGGACCTTGACTCTGCCTAACGAAATCGCGCATGGTACGTGAGAAGAGCGCGGCGAGGGGGTTGTTGAGAATGGGGTCGTCGGCGGGTGGCTGATGGTGGGCGTGGTCGTGTGGGGCGGTGGGTGGTAGAGGCGGATCCGCATTGGGCGCGGCGGCGCTCGTGTTCGCATGCGCGTCAGATGACTCGCCAGCCGGCGTGCCCGCCCTTGACTCGCGCTCTGCGGCGCGGGTGGCGGGGTGGCGCCTATCGCGGTCCTGGTCGCCATCTTCGAGCACGCGGCCGCGGCGGCGGTTGGGCGTAGGATCATCAACAGGCTCCAGCCCCGGCATCCCGTCGTCTTCATTGTCGTCCGCCATGGGGACGTCGGTGGTATCGTTCGCGCTGTCGGCGGGCGCATTCGTGTTGGATGACTCGCCATGTGCGTCGTCATTCGACTGAGCGAGCCGGTCATCGTGCATGATCACGTCCTCTGGCGTCGACGACATCTGTGTGTGTTGTAGGTGTTGGTGGTGGTGGCAAGACAGAACGGGTAGGAAATGAAAGAGACAAACAAGGCGCGCGGGACGACAATGACGAGGTGCGTGGCGCGCCGTGATTGCCTTTTTGGGATCGAATGTTCTGGCACATTTCGGGGCGGTCGGGCCGGAACGCGCTATGGACGCGACCACGAGCAGCACGAGCGCGATGGCAGCCTCCTCGTCCAGCACACCATCTGCATCGTCACCGTCAAGCTCGCCTACGTCACCAACGACGACTATCCTCGTTGGCACACTCACAACATGCAAGTCCGTCACGCGCACAGCCCGCCCAGCGCCTAGCTGACCTCCTTGCAGCCGCGACTGCCGCCTTCGTGACAGGTTTGCACGGCATATGGACCAATCGACCTCAGTACACGGTCGCGACTGGCCTGGCAGCGGTCAATAGTGGCGTCACTGCTGCAACCTTCTTTTGTGCGTGTCTACTCCTCCGGCTGGCGTGCTTGGCCTACCTCAACATGGCGCGCCTGCGCCTGCTCGTGTGACGATCGGACTGACATGCTACCATCACCCACCCAGCCCTTCGCGAATTCGTCGTACGACCTCTCCTGCGAGACCATGTCCCGCCACCAACGTCCGTCCGACGCGAGAACCTGGTCGAGAGCGGCGTCAGCGGTGCATTGACAGGTGGTTTACTCCGAGGGATTCGATGTCCGTACTCCCCCATCCTCTTGCTGCTCAAGCACTGACATTCCTCTAGCCGGTCCACCCGCCGCCGTCTCCGGAGCCCTCATCCTCGGCACCCTCACCACCTCCCTGCAGTATGCCTTCAACGCCGTCCGCTCAAGACCTCCACCTTCCTCAACCGCTGCGGCTACCTCTGCCTCACTGAATGGTGCGCTTCTCCTTCCACCCCTCTTCCTCTCCCCTCCCCCCTCTTTCCCTGCCCCCTCTTCCCCCGTCCCTCCCCCTCCCCTCGTCCCTCCCCCTCCCCT